CTATACCATACCAAAGGCCTATAGGGTAATAACTTTACTCAACTGTTTGAGTAAAATGTCACGAATCCCCGCGGATTCCCTGTGGTTATGCACAAAGGTGGGGCATGCACTTTTGGCGCGAGCCAATCAGGAGCGTTCCAGGATTCCGAGCTCTGGAGCTCGGGGGCGCGGGACAGGTCCGGCCGGGCGGTGACCCGGACGAGGGACCACGGGACAACGGAACCACTGTTATTGGTTACGTAAATAGATATATACGACGATCGTGTCCACGGTCTTAGATAGTTCTTGCTTGGTTCTTCAAGCAAGCAATACACATTCGCTGCACTCATACACTTTAAGTGGCATTCCGATTTGACTGTATTACCCGTGCGATAGGAGCTTGCCCTTTGTTCTATCTTCATAATTACCAACCCCAGCATTCTGTGGAGCCCGTGCTCCCTTACAGACAGACGACCCTAACAGTTGAGTGGTTTGTAATATAAAACCCTAGAAAAGATCTACGCAACAAGACTGAGCTACCTAGCCAACAATGGCTCTAACCTGCTGAACCCCACACAGTTAGGTGGCCGGAAACAAAGGTCTGCAATAGACACGGTCTTACTACTACTACATCACATACAACAACAGAAAGAAAGGAAAAAGTCAACTATAACCACCACGATTTTCCTAGATGTGAAGGGAGCGTTTGACCACATATCCAAACCACAGCTGATAACTGTACTCAAGAACCGTGGCCTACCAGAAAGCCTGGTTAGCTGGGTAGACTCATTTTGCAGTGGCTGGAAAATCCAACTTACCTTTGAAGGCCACGTACAACCAAGTACGGCAGTTAACACTGGAATCCCACAAGGCTCACCAATATCGCCAATCTCATTCTTACTATACGTCGAGAGCATTACGGCTCAACAGGGCTTACAACTATCGTATATCGACGACTTCAGTATATCGGTATCGTCAACGTCAGCAGCCAAGAACTGTAGACAACTAGAAGGGATCATACAACAACTATTCTAACTAGCTAAAGAAAAGACTATCGTATTTGATGAGGCCAGAACAGAGCTTATACACTTCCACAATAAGAGAAAACCTATAGCGGACTCAATAACTATTGGTTCTATAGTGGTTAAACCAGTAGAAGTAGTCCGCTGGCTAGGGGTATTTCTGGACAGAAAACTAGACTCCAAAACACACGTGGAAAAGAAGATAGAGGCGGCTACGGCCGTCTACTACGGCCTACAAAGACTCGGTACAATACAAAAGGGACTGTCGTTCAGGGCACTAAGGCAATTATACGTAGCCTGTATCACGTCAGTAGCCGACTACGGCGTCTAAATATGGTAGAGAGGCTATAAGGACAACCAAGGCCACTACCACCAGCAGGAGCTAGTCCAAAAATACCAACGGTACAGAACCTAGCGGTAAAACAGATGCTGGGAGCGTTCAGTGTAAGAGAAGGCAGGTACGCCTGATCAAGGTGGTCACAATAGGAGCAACAAGCAGGGCGAGCAATGACTGGTATTGGTGTAAGGCTTCAACCTGGCCTGAGCTAAAGAGGTGTGCGAAGGCCATGGTCTATATACACGTGAAAGGGGTTACGAGTCATCCTTGCGTGGCCAGGGTGGTAGTGGCGATAGTGCGTGGCCCTGTTAGCGGTGGCGATAGTGGCGATGGTGGCGAGGGTGGCCCTGGTGGCGGTGGCCATGGTGGTTACGAGGGTGGTTTCCTTACATTCAGAAACTCTCTCTACAAGGCCTTAGAAGTGGAAGCAGCTATCCTACCGACACTAATTCGATTCGAAAAGGCTTGTAACAACTATAGCCTACGAGTACTACTTTTTCAAGAAAGTCACCCTATAAAACAAGGCCTCTACAAAGAAGTAAGAGACAAGCTACAAGAATGGGATGACTATGGCCTACTTCCAAGCATACAGCCCACCACACAGCTATTTAGACTCGTCACAAGGCTGAGTAAACTAGTTACAAGAAGCTGGAATATTGAGAAACCCTTAGCGCACTGGGTAAAGCCGTGGGAGCAGAAGGTCCAAGCAAAAATCACTATCAACCAGGGTGGAAAAAAGACAAGCCAAAAGGACCACCTACAACTACTACAGAGCCTCAAACCAGCTATGGCACCTACTGCAAAGGCTACTACGGTAGTATTCCACACAGACGGGTTACAAGGCTTCATAAAGGGCGGAATCACTAACTCAGCCGGCCTATGCCGACTAAGCGCGAACTTAGCACCTGTAGTAGCCAGATCGTGGAACCTGGGCTCAACCATCAAAATGGCAGACGCAGAGGTCATCGGGATTATCAAAGCCCTAGAAGAATCCCAAAGAATTACCACTACTACGTCTACTACGTCTATTACTACGTCTACTACCTTCTATATCTTCGTGGATAGCCAAGCGGCAATCCAGAGGCTAGAAGGCTACACATACCATGCAAAAAGGGCCCAAAGACTAGTCAGGTTACTAGTCCAAAAAGGCCACAAAGTCAAAGTCCACTGGTGACCTAGCCACGTTGGAATCGTTGGTAACGAGATAGTAGACCAATTAGCCAAGGCCGGCTTAGAAAAAACAATAAAAGAAGCATATGTGTCACTAGCCTACCTACGAAGGCAAGCCAAAACCTTATTAAAAAACGCCTGGAAAACCGATTGGCTAGGCCAAGAAGATAGGGAAGCAACAGGACAAAAATCCAAAGGCTTAGGTGTAAGAGAAGGCAGGTAAGCCTGATCAAGGTGGTCACGATGGAGGGAACAAGAGGGCGAGCAATGACTAGCATTGGTAAAAGACTTCAACCTGGCCCTCGCAAAGGAAGGTAGGCGAGGGCCACTATTTATATACATAGTTGGGTGGCTCAATCTGGCGGGTGCCTGGGTCGAGTGTTTGGGGCCAGCTGGTGGCGCCTGGGCCGGGCCGGGCGTTTGGGGTGCTCTTTCCTTACATTAGGCACACACTATAGAAGGGTAGCCCGGGACTTAATCTTTACAACTTCAAGCCTACAATACCACTACTACCTCAACCAAATCAGTCAGCCTATGTCCAATTGAAGACCGGGATTGGCTTCTTAGCTAGTTATCTAGCGAAGATTTGAAAAGTGGAAAGTAGCGAGTGCCCCGGATGTCTGGAGGACCAAACACCCACACACCTACTACTACGGTGCAAAAAGTATACTATAGAGCGGAAGGCTTTGACAAAAGCTCTGAAAAACTACCCTCTCACACTCTAAATACCATTCCACACCATAGAGGGAAAAAAGGCCCTAGGGGACTTCCTTAGTAGCACGAGGATTTGTACAATGAAATGGCTAGAAGAGGTCAGCAAAAATTGATCTATTTCCTTTATTCTTATCTATATATTTCCTTACTCAGTTGGTTGGTCCTATTGGTATAACACTACACTTTCCTCATTACTCAGGCCTGAGGGTGGTACAGTATAAGTTTGGCCAAAGGAACCCCATTACTATGAAACTATTACGTTAATAAGGCTACGTGCCTAACGATGTACTTAGCTCTTGCTTTCTCTATTTTCTACTAGTACACTAGGTAGATAGACTGCCAGTCTTTGACTGGCCACGCCATAGCCCTAGAGGCTGCATGCGTGTATGTGACGAACTTAGTTGTTACGATCCTAGTATCACAACCACTCGACTGTTAGGGTCGTCTGTCTGCAAGGGAGCACGGGCTCCACAGAATGCTGGGGTTGGTAATTATGAAGATAGAACAAAGGGCAAGCTCCTATCGCACGGGTAGTACAGTCAAATCGGAATACCACTCAAAGAGTATAAGTGCAGTAAATGTGTATTGCTTGCTTGAAGAACCAAGCAAGAACTATCTAAGACCGTGGCTACGGTCGTCGTATATATCTATCTAGGGCGGGCCAATCAGGTCGTTGTTCCGTTGCTCCCTGGCAGAGCCATAGAGCGTTGCTCCGTTGCTCCCTGGCCTCTAGAGCTACAGAGCAACCCCGTAGAGCCAACCAAACCGTTGCTCCGTACCCCACCGCACAGAGCAAATGCGGGTCCCTGCCCCGCATGCCTGTCTCGTCATCCCTATTGGCCGGCCCCACTTTCAGAGCTATGACTAGCCCAGAATGGGCGCGGTTCATCACACCTGGTTCAAAGGTGCAGTGGGCGTTGCCCACTCGCGACAGATTGGCTGGAGTGGCATTTAGGGCGAGGCTCTCGGCGAAGTGGATGCAGCCGATCAGGGAACGCTCAGTATGATCAGTACGCCCAGTCGGCTCAGTTGGCCTGGGAGCGTACTGAGCATACGGAGCGCACTGAGCAAGACGGCTGCAGCCAATCAGGGAGCGCTCAGTATGGTCAGTACGCTCGATCGGCTCAGTTGGCCTGGGAGCGCACTGAGCATACGGAGCGCACTGAGCACATAGGATAAGGATTCTAATTGGTTGTCATAGTTCTATATAGGAGCTGGCAGAACGCTCCCCCTGGGAGAACGGTTCTGCAGCTATCAATGCATCTGGTTAAGCATACATTGGTTGTGTGTTGAAAGCCTGTCTTTCGCAATCTGTGCACGATACTCCTTGTCTCCTGTTATCTCTTACCTGCCGTCCAGACCCCCACAATCCTAGGCCGGGCCTAGCTCCGTGGACTTGTTGTCCAGATTGTAACACTGGTTCGTACTGGACCGGCTGCGGAAAGCAAGCGCCTCAGGCAAGACTGGGGGCCCCGTTTGTCGAGGGCCAATCAGACGGTGCCCGTTGCCAAGAGGGCTCTTGGCACCAGGAAAATGGCCCGGCACGCTAGCAGTGCCCGGCGCCAGGCAGCTCCTTCTTGTCGGACAAGTAAGAGCGCAGCTCTTACTGGCCCGCCATAACTAAATAAATACGATGACCGTACCCACGGTTTTAGATAGTTCTTGCTTGGTTCTTCAAGCAAGCAATACACATTCACTGCGCTCATATACTTTGAGTGGCATTCCGATTTGACTGTATTACCCATGCGATAGGAGCTTGCCCTTTGTTCTATCTTCATAATTACCAACCCCAGCATCCTGTGGAGCCCGTGCTCCCTTACAGACAGACGACCCTAACAGTCCAGTGGTTTGTAATAGTGTAATGAAGAAAAAAAAGAAGAAAAAAAAGCACTATCTAAATATATACGGCTTTCTCCTCCTATTCTATGAGGCCCGGGCAAGCGGTAAAAGGGATCGACACCGCACAATCGGCGGCACAAGAGGTCCCATTTGCGGGGAGCTGTCCGGTACTGAAGTACTTGCGCACGATGTCAGCCGTACAGTTGCTCGTCGATACTAGCAGCGCACTATGGCCATAAGACTCCTGCACCACAACAGCCGAGCCGTTGTGGCGTCGCGATAGAGTGAAGGCATTTGCCAGCGGCGTGGCTGGGTCGTGGCGGTTTGACAGCAACAGCACCGGCACCGAACTCCCGAACGGTCCCGAAAATGTGTATTTGGGCTTGAATTGCCAGTTGACACACGAGAGCGGGATTCGCGACCACGGCTCCCCCGCGGTTGAAGACTGTTTCTGGTGGAAATCGACTTCTTTTCTAGCCCAGGACACGTTGCGCCCATCCTTGGCGGCAAGAGAAGCCGAGTCTCCGCACAGGATACCAAACGACGCCTCGGCGCACCATGAGCAGTCGACGGGGACGTGATTGGGCATGATTCTCGTGCAGAGGCTGCCGCCACCGGAGAGTATAAGAGTGTGGTTTCCCTTCAAGACGGAATTGGCTAGTGCGATGGCTAAAGGCTCATACCCACAGACGGGGCTGTAGACCGTCTGACGAATTGTACTGCGGACCGCGTACGACGTAAGCAGACGGACTCGCCCGTCTTGCGCAACTGATATGGGGTTGGTTTCAAGGGTCTGGATGAAGGCATCAACGCGTCTCCGGACGTCAGCAGCGCTCTGGTCTTGGCCTTGCCGCAATGGGCAGGCATCTCCGGCATCGAAACAGACTTGGTAGAAATAGTCGATAACCGATTCCGTGTCATCGAGATTCTTTCTCCATGTCTAGTGGATAGAGACGTACGGTCAGTGCCACGATTCCTGGAGACTAGGGTGGCTATGGGACGAAAACTCACTCCACTGATGTAGTCGTCGGCGTCAGCAACGCTGTCGAGAACCATCCTCCCCACTCTTTCGGGATACATGGAGGCGAAGGTGTTCCCAAGAATGGTTCCGTACGACACTCCAAGATACTGGAGAAGGGGCTTCTTGTTTGCGCCCCTAGGTACTGATGAGTTTATCCTGGCCCTATTCGAGGCAGCATCAACCCGCTCTACAATCTCCAACATGTCCCGAGCGACGGATGCGGTGGACATGTGGGCGAAGATGCTCTCCTGCCCAGCTTGTTGGCCGCACAATTGCCCAAACCCGGCAGCAGCCTGATAGTTGAGGTTCAAGCCGACGTCCCCCAACCCGACGGGTGGCATGCCGCCCTGCTGGACTACATCCATGACGCGGTTGAGAATGTTGGCGTAGCAACTCGAGCTGGGCGTACTACTCCCCACGCCCCGAGGGTCAAAGCCGAGAATCTCATAGTGTTTATCGCCGTCAAGAATGCCCTGCAGGTATTTTCCAAAGAGCAAAACCATCTCGACGCCTGATCCGCCCGGACCTCCCGGGTTGACCAGCACCGTGCCCCCAAAGGAAGGGTCGGTATCGGGAACCACGGCTGGAAGAGTAGCGATACCGATGGCAACCCCTGACGAGATCGTGTTGTTGGTATTGGTCCAGTCCAGAGGAACTTCCAGACGCGCGCACCTGTACCCATTGTAGCAGTCATGATACTGCAGGTCTCGAGACGGATCAATCGAGGTCCAGGTGAAGTTGGCGAGGCTCTCCTGCCTTTTCTCAAGGGACGCTGTCCTGGTTGATGCCACCAGCAAGGCTGCAAGCGGCCACAAGGCATTCCGAATAGAGACGGCTGGCATGGCAGCGAGCAGAGTGGTAATCGAATGGGAAGAGAAGAAGGGACTAATAGAATTCAAAAATTTATCGAGTTCCTGCAGAAATATTTCGCAGTCTCGATCCGCTGAAGACTCGTGGTCATTCGGTCGCCAAGAGGTGGGCAACAACGTCCAGTTTTATATTGATTGTTTATTTATTTGGCTTCTTTTCGATCTCTCTCGACCAAGCCTCAATTTCGGGGTTGCTCCGGCTAGCCCCGACAAGCGCCAAGGACTGTGAGCAAACATTCCCAACGAATGTAACACCATTCAAACACTGTCTCCGTTTGGAGGCTAAATTTTGAAGCCCGTTGAGCCCCTTTGGTTGGTTCTGCCTTGTCGTACAAGCAACTGAGTCTATTCATGGGTTGGGCTGATTTTTCTGATCCTTTAATCATACGGCATACTTTAATCAGCAGGGATTCTGTTTCCTTTTCTACTACTACCAAAAGTGTTGGTTGTGGGTCGTTGTGGCACGGCCAGCATAGCCCCATTCCCAGAGTTACCAACGGAACTCTCTAGTCGCGAGAAAAGCGCCTAGCGCGACCGAACAGCGACACCGAAGATGACGCGTCAAACAGCATCGCCACCCCTAAGCTTCGGGAGGGATTAAGCACACCGAAACTCTCGCACTTAAATCCATGGGCGCAACTATTCAACAGAACATAAAAGTAAAGGTGGCGGTCGTGATGCCTCACGGACCCCCTCGGGGATATTCCTGATTGATTCCAAGTCGGACAGGGTTTCAACCCCTGTCTGATCTCGCTCGGCAGATATGACTGCTAGGAGCTTTCCCAGCGTATCTGTTGCTTTAGGGTGAGACGAAGAGGTTTCCTCTCGCTCTGAGGTTTGCATCATTAAAAACAGCACTAAAGAGGTGGTCGGTGGTCGTCTTCATGAACCAGGAAGCAGGTTCCCAATTTTCGGAGATAGAGATGGGGTTTTGAAACTTTCAAAGGCTGGATTTATAATGTGTAACAGCCACTCCCTGGATTGTGGTGGCGAGGCCGGTGGCAAACCTGGGCCCATCCGAGCTGAAATACTCCGTAGTTTAGCTCCGCAGTTTAGCTCGAATGAGCGCAAGCTACATGCAACGGTCGAGTAGTATAAGATGAGCCCAGGGAGGGGGACAAGCTTCAGTTAATCACACATAGCCAACCCCCCCTTCCCCAACCACGCATCTTCCATCTTGTAGCGCCACACCTATCCTCGTCGCCATAACCCCTACGGTGTTACACAGGCACCCACAGCGGCAGATCGTGCTGCTGCTTTATCAGGCCGGGTACGTCTCTTTTCTGCCTGGCGGAAATTACCCAGTGAGGCCCAGTTCCCACTCCCATTCCCATTCCCGGCTCCCGGCTCCGGTTCCGGTCTTTTCGTGTAAGTACCTGCGTATCCTTTCTACCGGCAGAAAATTCACGTCCAGGTCTTATCGAGGTCCAATTCTCACCCCTCAGGTCTAGTTTCCGTCCTTCCGTTTTATAGTTGTTTCTTCTTGGTGTTTGTTGACATACACACGGGTCTCGACGCCGTGACCTCGTTCCACCTTAAGCCACACAGGATCCCTTCGTATGCTGCGTCGCTGCTTTCACCACCGGGAGAGTTGGTCCCCTGATATATCCCCATTTGCACAGTGAAAATGAAAGGGGTCATCGAGACCTCTCGCGGAGTTTTAAGAGTCTGTATCGGCCTATGATGGACCGGTTAGCCATCAAGGCATCGCCGAATGGCACTGCTCTCCCGGCAGATTTCGGCGAGGTGCCGCCAAGCCGTCATGTAGCCTGACAACACGTCGGATCTGACAGCTCACTTCTCTTCTGACGTACATAAAGTCTCCGATGTCTGACGCAAAAGGATCCCCATCAACAAGATTTCCAATGCCGGAACCGATGCCCTTATACTCTGACATGTCGGAGGAATGAGTTGGAGCCCATTGTCTTGGTTGCGAGCTTATCGAGAACTAAGCTGCAGCTCTACCCTGTTCCTGCTTGGGCCATTCTGATGCCTTCGTACAAGTCTGTGCTGGAGCGTATGTTGTTGGAACACTGGTACTCATCACCGGGATGGTCTTGAGATGCGTGGCGTCTCTTCGCTCGTCTGTGGAAGGGCGTCTTTCAGGTAAAGAATATCGTGAGGCTCACGGTAGGAATCCAACCTTTTGTGTTACTCTAGTGAATGACACTGATAAAGACTCGATGCCCCTGCTGCGACAGATTGTCCGCCGGCCAATGATGCTGCGACGAATACTCCTTCTCGACAATCACCATCTCAGCCGTCTGCACCGGATCCGCATCATCAACCGCCTCGACATAGGTAATTCTCTCCCTCCGGATCCGATACTGGCCCTTCCACTGCCGGAGCTCCATCCCCAGCCACCAAATGACCCCCAGCGACAACCCGCACCATCCCACTGCCGGCTTCAGCCACCCCGGCTGTCCGTCCGTGACCACTACCGAGGTCTTTGCAAAGGCCCCAAAGAGAACCAGTCCCAGAGATACGACAGCAACGATGCAGGGCAGGGGATCTAGCATCGGGCGGTACTCCCGCTTCTGGTTCCAACGGCGACCCGTCTGTGGCTTGAGCCAGGCATCCACCTTGAGATACAGCAAGCCGACGACGGCGAGAAAGCCGAGAATCCCAGTGATGACATAGGTGTAGAGATAGGTCAGCGTATTATAGGCCTCACCTGGGGCGAGACTTAGTCCGACAGACAACACCAAAATAATCTCAAACATGAGATGCAGGGCTGTAGCCGGTATAGGTGCTTGTTCCTTGTCGGCGGGGTTTTTGGTGAAGAGGCGGGAGAGGAGGCTGTCTTTGCTGGCGGCGAAGAAGAGGGACTTGGGTAGGATGCCTTCCTTGGCGATCTCTTGCTTGACGCGGGGTGCCGTGTAGATGACGGCCAAGAGGTTGCCGAAGATAGAGAGGGCGAAGAGGACGGATGCGCCACGGAGGAGACCCTGCCCACCGTCAGAGGCCCTGCCGCCAGAGATGGTCCAAAAGAAGTTTATGGCTGCGTTGGTTGTGTTCAGACTGTTTGGGCCAGACCTGATATTGCTGCCTTGGTATGGGTTGGCGCAAAAGTAGCTCGTGTTTATGAGAGGGTTGAGCACCAGTATCAGTGCCATGGTCGACATGACAGTCGGCGCGAACAGTGTCTTGGGCCGTCTGACCTCGGCGAGGACGTAAAAGGGCTGTTCAAAACCCGTCGACGGGTAAATGGCAAAGGTAAGGGCTTGAACCACATCTCCAAATCCGCCCACCTTGCCCTTGTACTCCCACTTGATGCTTTTACACCCTTCACCGCCCCATTTCAGGCTCCATCCAATACCGAGGAAGATCATGATGATGACCAGCGACACCTTAAGGACGGCAAACATGTTGTTGATGAGAATAGAGCCTTTGGGAGTTATGATGTTGATGAGCGCGCAGAAAATCAGGACGCCCAGGGCCCAACCGACAACGGGTCCAGACCGCATGCAGCCTTCCTGGCAGTTTGGATTGATGGCCGTCTGCATGTAAACGCCAAACTGGATTGCGTTGCCGGCGAGATTCCCAAAGATGAGGAATGTGATGCCATATACGCAAGATATGAAGAAGTCGGGGACTGTGAAGATGTACTCGAGCTGTAAGCGTATCATAACATGTCAGATATTGGCCACTGCCGAGAGGACGGAACAGGGTCGACTTGCGTAATTCTTGTCACCACCCGATTTCGGTGTCGATACGTGGCGATGAGCGACTCTATGACGGGGAATACTGAGTCCCAGCTCAACCCAACAGATGGAAATACACCAGACGATGAGGGCGGCTGCTATCCAGAGCAGCAGGGCAGCTGCTGGGTTCCCAACCCCCGACACGACGTTGTAGGGCTGTGTGAAGATGCCGCTCCCAATCGTCTTGTTCATGATTAGACAGCCGACAGTGAAGGGACTCAGGCGATTGTTGAGTCGTGGGATGAAATTGACAACCTAAATATGACCGAGATATGGGTAAGCCACTCTAAGGACTACCTAAGTATAACTTGGGAGCGAACAGGTTTGGGGATTCGTACTTGGGCCCCGCAATGCTGTACGGCAGCTTGATCTGCAATGAGATCAGCTTCATCTCGGAGGTTCTGGCCATCCGCCCCATTGCCTGCGGGATCAACAGCAGCTCTGGGCATGGTTGTGAGCTCGGTTGCTGTTGCTGCGAGACCTTGACATGACCAAAATGACGGACAAGGCTCCCTTATCTACCTGCCTAGCATTTCAACGCCCGCTTTTTTGACCTACCTGGCGCAACGCCTTTTTCTTGGCCACCCGATGCAGACATACGGGCCTCAGCCGCAGCCACCACGTCCACCTGTCAGAGACGAAAGGAGCTTTGGCTCCAGTTCGCTTCAAACAAGGGCGTCCAATGAAATTTCTGTTGATGATCAACACTATTGGCAGCGTGCATAAGGCCACACAGCATTCGAACAAATTGAGGGACGCCACAACGCACCTGCAGCTCGTATTTGGTATTACTATCAATGTCTTCCCCGCCCCTATGTCTTGGTATGTGGTCACGTACTCTTGTTTTGGAGTCGACGTCCGACATTGATACCATGATGGAGCACATCCCGGCCTCCTTATCTCTGGTTCCTCCGACGTCGACTCTGAGCACAAATGTCGACTACCGGCTGGAGATTACAGAAGCGGACGACGAGGTCATCAAGGTAGAATATCCAGCTGCCGATAACAGACAACTGGTTCGCCAGTACAGCCTGACGGAGGCGCATTTTATCCTCGAATATCCATTTGAGCGACGGTATCCGTTCAACGATTGTACGAGGTGGAGAATTACCGTCATCAATGGTCTTGGCAGGTCTCCAGAGCACATACACCATGATTTCGCCAACAGAGAAGCCGCCTTTCAGTTTCAAACTGCCATCACCGGATATGTGCCTTTTGCGTACCTAAATGACGCATTTTGTAGCGCCACCATCAGGTCTCGCTTCTTGAAGAACGATGTGTACAGAGGCCAGGGGGAGATCCAGCTCTGGCGTCCCATTTCCCTCTGGGAGGAGAGGGCTGGACCGTTAGACTCAAGCATTTCTGTCGCCACCTCTACGAACGCTAGTCTGGCTCCAACGCATGACAGTCAGAAGAACCGGACAAGTATTGTGGATCAAAGCGTTTCACCTCTTCTAGTAGCACTGTTACTAGACGACGACGGAAAGAGATATACCATGGTGAAGACGAAAGGTGAGAAAGAAAAGCGCTTCGCAGCGTTGTTTTCCAACCCGGGCTGATTTTATCTAGTGGCCGACCTTGTCCCCAAGCCAGTTACGGGCATGTCGGATCGGTTCTCATTCCAAGGCGACTCGGGGTTCTCAATATGGAAGTTATCTACAGACAGAGAAAACCTCAGCGACCGGAACGTGCGTAATCTTCTGGGCCTCAAGCCCCTCAAAGAGGACAGGGCTCTTAACCTTACTCTCGTTGCCTCAAGGATAGCAGACAATGCCGCTGCAAGTCCCTTGGACGAATTTCGACAGCGGTTTAGCGACCTTCGCGCGATGTACATGGAATCACTAGAGCGAAAGGGCAGGCTCAGAACTTCCATCTCTAAGGGAATGGGAAGTAGCAGCTCATTCGAAGGCCTCGCGATTAGCTCAAACCACTCCGGACAGAAGACACCAACCCTCTCCTCATACTGCTCTGGATTACCCTTGGTCGGTCCTTCCACGCCATTCGGGGAATCAAGCATAATCAAAGAGCTAAGCGGAAGTCCCGTCCCATCACGACACGAACTTTCGCTATCGCCGACGGCAACCCACATCAGCTTCAACCAATCTCCAGACTATTACATTGCCCAAGCCGCCGGATACCATCCTCAATCCCAGCACTATCCCGGCCACGCATCACTAAGCAAGCGCCATCTTTCGGTAGACACAGCTAATTCCACGCCAAATCTAGTTCGCCAAGAGACCCTCAGGAGAACAGACCATGCCACCGAAGCAACAACAAACCGCAGTCGCCACTCGGCCTCGACCTCGACCGGCTCGTCCAGCGAGAAGACGAGCGTCTTTGCGGACCTTGATCAGCGAATCGCCAGGTCTATGCAAGCGGATCCCTCTTTGGGTTCTGCCGAGGCAGTAATTCGGACGCTTCACTCGCTGCCTGGAGGACCACGGGCGTTGGTCTATGGTTTTGACTCTGTTTTGGGCGGAGCGGACGGCGAGAATGCCGCGAGGTCATTTCGATGCCCGTTTGAAATTATCCACCCCCAGGTTCAGCGATCACCAAGCTGCAAAGAACCAATTCTGTACTCTTCTGCCCAGCTCTGGTATGTCCACGCTTCAATTTACTAGTTAAATGATGACAAATGCCGACACTCTCTTGCGTAGGAAACACCTCAAGCGATATCATCGGTCTTATGAATGCGACATCTGTCTCGAGGACTGCCGCGACAGCAAAGGCATCAAGAGCCACGTCGGCCGAGGATGCATCCCAACAACCCGCCCACCCCATGGGGTCCCGTTCATGCAGGTTCAGGATGTCGAAGAAGTTCTGGACCCTGACATTGGGGACAGCAGTGATGAAGAGAGATGGAATAGCATGTGGGACACAATCTTCCCGACTTTGCGGAACCGACCTAGTCCATGTTTGTTCACTTCCCCTGTTTCTTCCCAAAAACAAACAGCCGGCTGACATTCCTTTGCATCAAGACTTTAATGTTCCTGTGGTGGCCACAGACTCCGACTTTGACGGCGACCTCATGCGGCTCCAGGTGATATTTGCATCCATGATCGACAGCGATGCGGGCGACAGAGACACGATCGATAGCTGCGATAATGACACGATCGTGGCAAAGACAAGGGCGAAACGCTACCTCCGGGCGGCAATTCAAGCGTTTCTGGGTCGCCAACTCGAGCCCTGGGCGGGGTTACTCACGGAACCGAGAGTCGACGTCGACAGCAGCGACATTTCCAGCGGGCCTGGTCCGAGTGCACGCAGTTTTCTTGGAATGATGGGCGATGACGGGCGCTACTAACGTTGTATGAAAAGGAGGTCACGGTAGTTACTGTGCAGACAGGGATGGATCGGGCTTGTTCCGGGACAAAGACGCAAGGAGAATCGAGGACGAGCTGGAACCCCCTCTTTGGTAAGAGTTTTAAAACCTGAGCCGAGATGTTGATTAGCCACGCGTCTGTCATTTGCCATGGATCTGATGATACCCGGTTTTCAAGAACCTGTTTCCTTTTTTCGATTCTTTTCGACTGCATCAGAGACCGCAAGGTTGAAAGAAGCCTGCCGAGGGAAATGCTAACCTCGTTCACTAAGCTTTGTCAGCGGGCCTAGTTCGAGCGTGTCTGGGTTATCCAGGAATTCGCCCGGGCTCCGGAAGATCCACTTCTCTTTTGCGGTCGCAAGGCTCTTTCTTGGACGGAGTTCTACTCCTTGGTCCGAGTTATACTATTTCACCTAGGCAACCAAGAAGGACTCACGGAAAATATCGCCAAATTTTCCAGATGCCTTGACCTCGAAGTCGAAGAAGCGTGCGAGCTCAGTGAATTTATCTACCGGCTTCGAAACCTTGCTGCTATCAGAGACTCAATCAATCCCAGCCTTCCCACCCAACTTAATCGCACCATACACTGGAAAGCCACCGATCCCAGGAACAAGGTTTTCGGAATACTTGGTATTTGCACATTTAACAGGAAGAAAACCATACCCGATTATTCTAAGACTACCGCCCAGGTCTCTTCGGAAACTATGTCATTAACAATACTGGAGGGTTTTAACTGCGGTTACCCTCTTCTCCCTCTCGTCCCAGGGCCTACGGACCTGGGGTTACCGTCCTGGATACCAGATATGCGAGCACACGGCATAGCTCGAACAGCACCGTATCATCCATACATGTTTTGTCCAGGCGAAGACTTAATCAGTAGCCTCGTCTCAGACTCCAGAGCATTTGAACCTTTAGCTACCTTCTCCTGGGATCTTAGCTTTTTGTTCGCGGGCCTAGCCCCAAGTGATGTTGAGGTGGGTGACGTATTGGCTGGACTATTTGGTATTAACTTTCCGTTCATCCTTCGTCCTGTGGAGGAGCGAGATACCCTGGCTGGACTACTTGGGCATAAACTCTCCTTCCAGTCGTCGCCCTATTACTGTGACGAAGTATTTCCACATGATCAGTGTCGCCATACCGGGGGACATGAATGGGGTCATGAGCTGCCAGAGGGTTTGGTAGAGCAGGACTTGTACTAGAGATTTGGCTTTCAACGACTCGAAATCCATTGAAGTTGTTCTCACCTGAGACCAATTCCTTAACCTTTCAGTTTTTCGTTCCGAAAGTGTATATATATTTAGATGCCTTATCCCGCCAGTGAAGACGTATTTATATTTCGAGGAGAATTATTCCCGATCTAGTTAGTAACTAAAGGTAATAAGTATAAGGTAAGAGAATTCTTTTTAGAGGCAGACTGAGTTAGTCTGCAACTAAAAAAATTAAGCCTCATTCAAAGATAGCTAGACTAAAATCTGGCTCGCTTTATCCCGGCTCAGCCTCGGCTCACCGAAGCTCGAAGTTGTCAACTTTATCCACTTTCTCATGGGAATGGAACATATTTTGGGCCTTCTCGCCTACCTGCGCCTCCTATTCTTGTTGGTCGTGGTGGACACGGCAAATCTAGAGCAGGGGGGGTGGTCCATTTCTGTGGATATTCGGGGGCTAAAGGCGGATTATATACCTAGGGTGAAACCTTCCTCCCAAAATCACCTGCAAGATATCGCAAGCCTAGACGAGCCTTGTCGCTGCCTTCCCCAATCGCTTTGCGTCGTTGAATTTTCTAGGACACAATGCTATATTAGCACATTGTCTGCTACAGATCGAGGTATAATACAGAGAAGGTCAACTCACCACTCGAACCCAGGCTCGAAAACTTGAACGGTGGATAGGAATTGGTGTGCGCGAGGCGTATGACTTCCTCAATTACTTTCCTTCTATCCTCAAAAACCTGGGAATAAGTTCGCGTTTTTAGGAGGCGAAAGTCGGGTTCCGTGCTATCAAACCGCGCTGCTGCCACCAGGTCGTCCCTGTCGAACGCCAGCTTCCGGAACAGCTTGCTACGCGCCCAAAAAACCGCCATCCTGATATTCCGCTTTCAGACGCGCTCAATCTCCTTCTCGTCGAAGTTGGGTACAGCCACCGCCTTTGCCGTGGCCTCTGTATATTCTGGGAGTAGGGTCGTAAATGCCGGGTTGATCTTACTTCAGTTGCTATTGAGCTACATGTATACAATAGTACCCATTTCCATATTGAGGCTTGGCTTTAGGAAAACCGGCTGGCCTCACCTACGCTGAGGTTTGGCGGCCGGTGGAGGAGAGTACGGCGTGTCTTTGTGGGTCTTTACTTGGGTGCGGGATGGAGGTAGGTCATCGCTAAGGGTACTAACGCGAACCATAAACTCTTTTTCCGTTTCTGTGGCCTAACTCGGAGGGGCGAAGGACCGGGACTGCGGTCGTCCAGTTGTTTCGAAAGACTTGTGCCTAAAAATGCCTTCTGGTATCTTCGTTCGGGCGCTTGTCGGGATGTTAACAATGCGTAGAATATTGATAATATCGTCGGCCATTATTTCCTTTTCGGCTTGAAGGTCTTCATACTTGGAGATGACGCGAGGGAGTCTAAAAAGGATCCGACCATCTATAGAGACGCCATGTCACTCACTCCATTCCTTGCATGTCCTAGCGACTACGGCTAATGCCGTTACGATTAATGAGACCGATCTTATCAATCTTATCTAAGTGCCAAGCTAGTAAAAGGGAGGAACTATAGAAAGAGTTGTTTTATGACGGTATATAGAAAGTGAGCAGAAGAGGGCTTATATTAGGAAGAGGAAAGAAAGGTAGGCGTAGCCTAGATACTTGATTATCATGCAATTATTCGGGTCTTCTTGAACTAGGCTATAGGTGGCTAGTATGTGCGCCACGTATGCAGCCCAACGGCTTCTAATAAGATTAGGCAACAGCGACCAGTAGTTCAATTGCTGTAATTTTTCTGAATAGAAGCGGGACATCGTAAGCATTAATCTCGAGCAATTAAAAGAGCGCAACATCTCCAAAGTGAAAGCAGCATCTTCTATCAGCATCTATCGTCCCTCCCTAGTTCCATTCCTGAGGCTCATTACCTAGGTAGTTTCCTGCTGTCGGATTACAAGTCGGGATAATCATGCAAGCCTGCCACGGCCTCGTCGCTGAGCGGAGCCTGCCTCGTCCAGATGTTCATGCCAATCTTCTCGCCCGCGGTAACGGGCAAGCCAGCATGAAGCGTCTTCTGGTTGCCGGAGCCGTCTTCGGGGTGCAAATTCTCCCAGTAGACGGCATTTCCTTCGACCGGGCGGAAGGTCAGCCCGCGGTTGTACGGCTCGTCGCAGTCGACAACATCACACCAGCGGTCGCTGACGGGCGGGCTGAGCAGCGGGAAGTTGGTACCGCCGCCGGTCGTGTCGTTGCGCACGTAGATGTACGCAAAGAAGCTCGACACGCGGTTGCCGCCGTTGACGGCGAGCTTGTAGGCCGGATCGGAGAACCAGTCCGCGTGGAAGTGGTAGTGCTCGCCCGGCGCGTACTTGACGAGCTGCAGCGGCTCGAGCTGCGACGGCTGGACGTCGTGGCCCTGGAACGCGAGCGCGCGTTCCTCGATGCAGCGCACCACGTGGTCGCTCTCGACATACGTCGACTGCGATGTGCGCTGCGCGGACCGCTTGCCGTCGGCCACGACCGAGTGCCGGAACGAGTTGATGCTGCAGGTTCGGTTAGCAACAGCACGGATATGAGAGGGATGTGCTGATAGTATCTACGGGCTACGGCCTGTCTTACCTAATGGCTCTCAAATGGGCGCATTCTTGCGCTGTCAGAAAGTCCTTGATGTACATGACCAGTGGCGATGACGAGATGATTTGGACCTGGTAAGAGGGGTGCACACAGATCTCATCGCTAGACGACAAGGGAACCTGTAGTCCGGAAGAATCTGGCTGCTCTGAACTGGCAACCAGGCCGACCAGTGCCCCGATACTGCTTAGGAGAGAGGTATTTGGCCTCATTTTTGATCCTACTTCACTTGAAATTGACCGGCCGTTATATCGCCGCGCTGAAAACGTGGCTGCTAGTGAGGCCGTGTCGAGTGGTTCCGTCTCCAACAGAGCTACCGACTCCCGAGCAATGCGGCGACGGCCTTTAGCCGGCTTGCAGATGACTGGGCGGTACCGAGTCGCAAAAAGTGTCGAACACCGCCTCACAAGGTCGCATCTGTCCAATGACGGCTAAACTGTTAATGTGTCTTCTCCCAGAGCCCGAAACAAGCCAGCCTGTCCACTGTGGGCTTGTCCATCACAACCGCACGCCCCTGTTTATTCTAGTTTGGCAGACTTGCGGGAAGATGCGAGCAAAGCCGAGATAATGAAGTCTTCTATCAGCTGGGCTCCATGTTTGGCTGCCGTTTTCGTTCGACTGGCTGGCGCTTGGGACTATGTCGGCGAGACCAAACTCCAGGATGCTCTAGACTCTAGCGGATACACGCTGATTGCATGCAAGTAGCCAGACCTCTCTACTCTCAACGCAGCCTGGTTCAAGTTTGCTGACTGTAGGTGTCTATTATAGTCGTTTTGGTAACTAGCATCCCTTAGAGTCGACAATGATCTTGTGCAAGGCGCTAAGTTTTGTGGGATCATCTTTCTAGCCAACCAAGTAAGCGAACATGCATGAACAGAGCCACGGGTTTCTATCTCAACCACTGTTCAATTCAGGGTGGACTTCACTGACCCAAGTTCACAGTGACGCCAGCCGAGAGCTAGAGAAGGAGTGGGCTTTGCTAGAAAAGGCAGAAAATGACCCAAATATCGTCAGCTTCGACTGCGAGGCTCACCCAAGGCCGTGCAAGCACCTCGATGTAACTTCCTTCCCGACAATCCGTCTGTACCATCGCGACGGCCGAATGGATCGGTATCGAGGGGAGAGGAAGGCCAGAGAGTAACTATGCAACCTGCCAAGTCTCCAGCAAGTTTACGTGATTTACTAATCATCGACTCGGTGTATTGCTAGAATGGGCATGTTTATTCACCGCGCCCTCCAGCCGTTCGTGATTGAGACAGTCGAGTCCACGGCCGGTGCCCTGAGGCTCCTGGATGACGTTGTCATCATGGCACACCCTCTCCCGGACGACTGGAGCCTGTACGAGCGCTTCAAGGCGCTGGCAAAACAGTACCGCGACCGCTATAGCTTCGTCGTCTCCTCGCCAATTCAGGACACATCTGCCCTGGCGTGCTACAACAACGTCGACGATGAGAAGCACGTGACTACAGAAGTCGCGACTGTGCAGGCGCTCGAGGACTTTGTCAAGCTGTGTTCAGACCCGCTGATTCCAGAGCTGACGAGGCAGAACGAGGTACAATACACGAAGGTGAGTCCGTCACTTCTAGTATTAGTCTGTGACGGGTCTAACTTTCATTGCTGTGTTAGACCGGCAAAAGCATACTGCACTACTTCGCTACGACCGAGGCAGAGAAAGAGTCGTACAGGGTAGAAATGCGGCCGCTGGCAAAGAAGTATTCCGAGTTTCTGCATTTCGCCATCACCGACGCCGACGACTACTCGGACATACTGCCGGCCGTTGGGCTCAAGGCCGGAGCGAAGACGGGCCTCGCCCTGGAGAACCGCAACACTGGGGATATGTTTCCCTACAAGAGAGCCAAGAAAATCACGGCCAAGAATGTCGAGGACTTCCTGAACGACATTATTGACGGGAATATCAAGCCTTGGAACCAAGAAGCAGGATCGGGACAGGAGGGGAGGAGCCATGAGGAGCTCTGACTAAGATTGCATTTTATGCTAAGTTGAGATACATTAGTTGGATTAAATAAACAGCTTACCTGCTAAGATGCCTTGGTAGAGGTGGTTATATTCTACCGTGCCATCTGTAAGCGGCCATTTAGATACTTTGTGTATGTCTGGCAGCTTGGCCGGTCTAGAACCAACAGCTATGCCTTTTTAACCTGTTTAACACACAGAGTCTTGATTAATTGACCCGAAGTTATTCCAAAAATTACGGAAACATTACATCACCCGCCCTTCAAGCCATCGTATTGCAAGGCAACGACCGGAACGCGCAGAAATGCAAAATGAAATAATGTACACGGCAACTAGAGGCTCAGCCATAGCCGCCAGAGACAGAAACGAAACACACAACATCAGATTCACCAACGCCCACTTACCTACTCCAAGGAATTTGTTATTTACACGGCAAACGGCGTCGAGGCCGGCGGGTTGCTCTTTGGCATGGCGCGGGATGAGATGGTGGCACCGGTCTTCTCGACGCAGTCAAGCCGCTGGTAAGACGCAGCAGCCTCGGCGGAATCCAGGGGTCGGTTGGTGACCGCCTGGTCGGGCGTCGGGGTTTTTTTCTGCTGGAACACGAGACTTGCTGCAACGGGCAGATGGGATGCTAGAGGGAAGGCGTTCATGGGAAAAGACAGCGCCTCGGTCAAAAGGGTCAAGTTGAGTCCGGACCCAACGAGGTTTTTCACGGGGCCCAGGTCACGTAGCATGCGGCCTGCCTCGGCGGCGCTGGGATTCTGGGAGCCCATGGAGCCTAGCTGGAGCGACCCGATGGTGACGAGATCGATTGGATTTGCCGTGAAGATTGGGAGCATGTCCAAGCCAGCCTCTGAGGTAGAGACGTCGTCTTTGTCTGAAGCGCCGCTGAAAAAGCCGGCGGAATAGCATGTTGACGCAGACGACATGTCCGAGGTGTTACGGCGGGTAGCTCTTCGCGCCTGCATGAGGACAATTGGGGACGCCGGAGGGACCATCCAGAAGTCAGGCGTCTGCGAGGAAAGGGTATCTTGCGACGGAGGCATGGGACCAAGCGAGACTGGCTTGAGGTAGTGCTGTGAACCGTGGGCGGTTTGCGGGGACACCGGGACTGGAGAGCCGGGAAATACCCGCTGCTGCTGCGGCTGTTGTTGATGTTGCTGATGTTGCTGCTGCTGGGTCGAGTGGTGCGGGTCGACGACGAGCGTCAGCTGATAGAGAACGGCGGCAAGTACCATATGCGGAAGCAATGGGGGCAGATACGCAAGCGAGTGTCGCGTCTGGTATGTGCTAGTGAGGAAGATGATGGCCTCTGAGGACTGCCGGCAGACAAACTGGGGGGTCACGTCATTGCGTAGCCGGGGGACCGCATCATCTTCAAGGCTCGCCGTATTCGCAACAAAGGGTTGGAGGAGGCGGAATAAACAGTAATGGTACCATATGCTTGGAGTTTAGATTAGCACATTGTTTTCTCTCTCACAAAATCGCCAAAGGGGTGTAATCAGAATCCGGACATGGGCAGAGAAAGCCTTACTGGGCAAATAAAAGATCTGGGCCACCGTCAGGAATTCGTGTGGAATCCTCTGCAAACTGCTTGTAGCAGCCAATGCACTTCTCGTATGCTGCTTCCAAATCATCGGCCGTCATAGCCTGGGAGAAGTTGTAGGACGAAAAAGTATGGACTGCTTCCGTGATCTCGAACACAAACCGAGCGAGGGGAGGGCAATGTTGCAGCTCGGCAAAAAAATGCATTTGCAAGGAAATCCCTAAGCGGACCACAAGATTAGCTTCATTACAGCATCCAGCGGCGGTGGAGCTGGCTGAACCTCGTTCGACCCGTGCCTGGGGGGCATCATCTTCTCCCAAGTCATGCGAGTTGGGCTGAAGTCTCATGAAAAGAGGGCCGGCCTTGGGTTCAAGATCGCCTGCAAGAAGTCGTAGAATCCTTGTTGCGCTTGCGCGTTAGAAACCCGCATATGTTGGTCATGGTCTTGTTTTCGCCCTTTCTTCCTCTCATGCTAGGTACTGCTTACCTGATCAGTGAGAACCCTCCACAGTAAGCCAATGCCCGTACGGCCTTGAAGTCATCGTCTAATTGGTTGTATTGCTGTTGGGTTTGGAGGCTCAGGTGGATAGACGCCCTCACGGACTCTTCGGCGAGATCGCAAGCCTCATTGTCGTTGCCATGGCTCATCTCGGTCAGTGCGAGCACCCCTAGGGCTTGTATACTAGGGAGGTTTACGTGGGTATGCTCAGAAGCCAGCAGCCTTTTGGCCTCTCCTAAGAAGGCGTCGCCGAAGCTGACTCGGGAGATGAGTTGGGAGGCGGAATCAAAGAACTTGCAAGCTCGGCCTAGCATTGCATTGACAAGTGCCTCGGAACAGTACCGTGGATTTCCGTGACGGAAGTCATCCATGAACTGAGATTGTGATACTAGCGACAACGAGGGGAAGGAGCACGAAAAGAAACTGGCGAGTAAGCGCTGCACAAGACGCGTGTCTGATGTGACGCTCGTCCAGGTGCACAATATTGGCTCCTCGGGGATTTTAGAAAGGGTTGTTTCTACAGGAACCCGTGCACCTGGCGGCAGAATACCCAGGGCTGAGATGCTTGGTTCAACGCCGGGCGGCGGGAAGGCCGGATTGGCATAATTTTGAAACGAAAAGTGGCTTGTTGGAGAGGGGCCGGCAGAGAAGCCGGCAGAGAAGCTGGCCCGGGACGCGCTCTCAGGTGAGCTCCCGGACTGGCCGAGACCCCGACTTCGCGGACTGCTGAGGCTGGCAGTTCGGAGTCTTTTGGTCAGGTCCGGGGCTAAGGAGGACGGCAGTCGAGATTTCGGGGCCGAGGGCGGAGAGTTGCTGTCGTCGGAGAACAGAGTGCCATCGGCTACGGCGCGCGGTGGTTGAGATGGGCCGCGTACGCATCTCGTTGAATGGATCCACTCAGCTATCGCATCAGGGGGCTCGTCGTTTCGCAAGCGGTCCAAGACTGCCTCCCATTGCTTTGGGCTGTTGTCGGTGAGAGCCTGTATCAACGCATGGCCCTGCCGCTGCTCTGCTCGTAGCCTCTCAATCTCGGACCTCAGGTGGTCTTTTGTTCGCCACTTCTTGTCCTCGTATACGCATTCTTCCCCACGAGACCTGCATCTCCGACACGGCATCTGGCCATCGCACTAGCAGGCGGTTATATTAGCTGGTGCCTAGGTAAGCCCCCCCAGCCATGGGGGAAGACGATAATATATGAGGATATAAAGAAACGGAGGGAGGTTGAACAACGTCCGCCAAGAATGCGCAAAGTCTTTGAGATAGGTCTGTTTGTCCACTTGAACACACCTTGGTTCTCTTCCTGCGACACACGAGGCATGCATTTGGTGTGAGATGCTGTCTTGGCATGGTGAAGAGCGTGTTTCGAGCATGAATTCTCAGTAAAGCCTCGAGATCCCACCCGTCACCAACAAAGGGAGGGGGAGGTTTTGACTGCCAGCCGTCCGCTCTACCACGATACTCGAGCTATTATACCGCCGGGTTGCAGGCGGCAAATGGCTCCTTGCGCACAGCGGGTAGCCCTGAGCTGTCAAGGCCGACGGACGGCTTCTCGTGACCCCTGTAAGCTGTTAGTGCAAGTAGTCCGGCACTGGTGCGGGAATGGGTCATGGGGGATGCTTCAAGTACACCCATCTGGCGCCGTAAGACATGTTAGGCCTAGAGATGGAAGGGTATGTACTTACATCTTGTTTGTGCGCATGTGCTCGGTACTTGGGAGCAGTACGAGCGCAGTCCCAGGTTTTCAGCCCAGCCTCAAGTCATCGCAACCTCCAAGCCTTTAGGGCTAGGGACGAGCTGGATTGAGTGCTTGCAGTGGCGTCATGATTTAGAGGAAGTTAGTAGTAGACAGCACCACCCTACCGGGAACAGGGAGCTCTCGTGTTCAGACCCTGACACTTTGACACAGTGGCACGGCCGATTGATCTTGGTGAGGAAGTCAAATCGCCGTCGAATACAGCGAGAAGGATCACCGCCCTTAGCTATCTGGAAAGTCATCAAGGAATATGCCAATGCGAGCCCCGCTGATCTTCCAGGGTGGCTCATGCCATACTTAGCCTACCTATCAAGGGTTCAGCGACAGGTTGCCCACATATGTGGGTATGAGGCTTCTAGTGTCTGGGATCGGACGTGTGAGAAATGACGACCTGTTGACGATAAATAGGTAGCTTACCATGCATAGGCGGCCGAGCTCTTGAAGAGCATAGCCGTCTGAAACCCCATATATCCGTGAAATATTGAGCTCCACACACATCTGATTAAAGTTGCCTCATATATACGACTTCATTATGCAAGAATGAGACACATAGCTGCCGAAGACACATATCTTGATGAATATCAGAAGGCAAGTTATTTGGCATCGCGAAATTCTGAGATTGGTTTGGCCGGGCTCCAATCTGGCTCATAGCAACCCCGCAGGGCTCAGGTGGCGGCTGCAAAGCAAAATTGACGATGAGCCTTTCTCTTCTCATTATGACCGAGCTGGTAATTTCCGAGTCACGATAGAACCGATGGCTCGATACAACTCGTCCAGTCATCGGCCACGACGCAAAATCCAGAGGCAATTATTAAAGAGATACGTGCCGCCTTGTATCCTTGTCGTGATCAAGAGTTCAACTGTAGACCTGGTCTCATAATTGTGAAGCATAAGTGTGAAGTGGGGGTGTCATGAAGTGAAGTATGGAGTAGTTGGTTTCGAGACAACTAGCATAAAGCATAAGCGTCTTCGGGGCGGTCTGTAAGTCGAATGAAGAGCTGGTGAACACCTTCGTTAGTGGCGATCCCAAGTCAAATACGACAAGTCAACATGAAGAATTCCAATGCGCCGCTTCGTTGCAAGGATGTGAAGTGGTTCGGCGGGCGGTAGCGCTCAGAATCATGATTCAACGAAGAGGCTGGCATTGAGCAGATGCACTGTCCAGGCTAGCAATGGGCCAGATCGACGGCTTTTGTTGTTTAAGAGCGCAATAATGACATAACGAATGCATCAAATTAATGGAGACCTGCAGCCTTGGTGGAGACCTGACATAATTTATACAGAAAATGAGAAGGCGGCAAAAACCAGTGTCGTCTCTTGATCTTCTAGTTCTTCGGATGTGGTTTGTATGGAAAGTCTCTCGTATATTTGAGGTGGCAACACATAGCTTAAAAGAAGCTATCATGTTTTTATTGATCAAGTGAGGTGGGACGGAGAGTGCTGGAGTGGGTTTGTAACACGTGATCTCGCGCCCCATATATTTTCCACTCCACATCGACCTGGGATTTCCCTCCGCCAGGAACCCTCCACGAGAGAGGAACGGGCACCACTCTCACGCCCGCGTCCCATCCCTCTGCCCAGCATGCAGCCAACAAGGTGTCTTCTCAAGAGATCGGTGTGGAAAGGTATGTTATTTTTCCTCATGCGGCGGGTGATCCTCCTCAATTGAGCTCATTCACCAATCCGGACAGTGTCGCAATCTTTACTAACACACGCCCGCTAGGACCGCATATTGTCCCGTAAGAAACCCCAACTCGAACCCTGCGACGAGGTTCATGACCATATCGAGTCCTGTCACCTGACTATGCGATCGTACAAATTGACTGACTGGGCGCAGTTTGCCAATCGTGCGCCCCGAGGTTGGGAAAAAGATCGTGCCGATCAGGACCCAAGCGCGATCAGCCACCATCCTGCCCAACTTCGTCGGCCTCAAGTTTCAAATCCACAATGGCAAGGTGTATCATGACTTGACCGTTACAGAAGATATGGTGGGCCACAAGCTCGGCGAGTTCTCTACGTACGTCCCGTCCTCGGCACTCCTTGGATAAAGAACGGTGGCTGACATGTTACTGGATGCCTCTAGAACACGGAAGCCCTTCAAATGGGCCAAGAAATAAGCCAACTTGCGGCTCTAGAAACGACGAATTCAGGATTATTGGCGTTTATAACCGGCAGACTTAAACCCTTGAGCAAGAGGAAGTTGTAACAGTGCGAATGGCGTTGGGGCTCTGAGGTCGAGGGAGAGGACACAAGGAGAGCCTTTGCTGTGATCGACAATGGTGACCGAAGCCTTCTTCTCATCATGCTGCATTTCAAGGACGAGCGTCGAGTAACCAGGGCACTAACGCAAAGGCGCTCAGGCCGTGTCAAAACGCTTTGTATATATATCATTCATCGTATGCAGCTTTGACTGGACGAGCTAGCGGGAGAAAGCTAGCCTCGTCAACTTCTGCTGCTGCGCTTGTAAAAAGGATACCAAAGGGAAAAAAAGACAACTCTCTAACGCCTTTAGCCGTGCTCGTAACTCCGTATTCCGCTGAAGCCAACCTGATGTGACAACCCTAGCGGCCAGGGGAAAAAGAAAGAAACCCCTCTCCAGAACGTGTATGTTATGACGACAATCTAGTGTCCGCACTCCGGGAAAGAGCGCACATGCTCCTTGACGAGCATGATAAGAGAATGAACATTTGGGTCTGTTTGCGCCTGCGCCTGTGCCCGCGCGCCCGCGTCCGCGTGATGCCAATGCCATAGCTTAGCGGTAAAACTCACTCCGCTTGACATTAACACCGAACTCGCCAACCGCCATGCCTAAATCCTCCATGGTCAGCACGGTACGGTTCTGGCTGCCGCCCTGACCGCCACCGCCATAGCCCGGTCTCTGGATGCCTAGCGGCGCGCCGCGAGCCTGGTCCTTATTCCCCGGCTGGTTGGCAGGCTGCCCGGGGGCGGGGAATCCAGCTGCCGCGCCGAGGCTGCCCATGGGGTTGTTCGCACTGGTGTTGCTTGCGCGAATGCGGCTATACTGATAGGCGTCAGCGGCAATGTCGGCGACAAACTTCTGCGTTGCCAGGGCGAGAAGGCGGGCGAGGCGCTGGTCCGTCTGCGGCGGTGGCGGGAGCCCGGCGCGCGTCATGTAATAGTTAGTTACAGCATCGGGAATCTATTAGACACGGTCAGTTAGATATAGTCAGTCGCGGGATGCGGGAAATAAAGCAGGCAATTCAGGAGTGTGGGGAAGGGTGCATACGACGGGCGCATAATCGTCCATTTTGTTGAGGAACTCCTTGAGCGACGCATCTTTACGCGTCGCGGCCTTCGAGTCTGGGATAGGCACTGGCGCAATGGCCGCATCCGCATTTGAAGCTGACGCCTCCGCTGGTAATTGTGTGCCGTTCATGCTAGTAGTAGCCCCGGCAGGAGCTTTTGGCTCGGCGTTCTCTGTGGGCAAATTGGTTGCCATTTTGTGCGATGCTTTGTTGTCGCGTTCTCCTATGGTGAAGATGCAAGGCGGAGGTTGGCGTTGGAGGGGCTCGATTTCCGGGGATATCACGTGAGAGACCCGCTCTGACGAAGAGGGCTAGAACACACCGTGACGCTCAGGACGGATGACAGGAACGGATTGATTGCTTTCTACGAAGACCACGAGCGATCCTGTTAGCTAGACATTTGCGCTTTATATGCCCGGCGAAAATTTTGTTCTTGCACGGTGGTAAGTCGGCTAGTATAACTCTATCGGTGCCGTTCAATTACTTGACTTTTTGCTATACATACCGCGGCAAATACATGTATTCATTTTGGAATGTTCGGAGTGATAGGTGTAAACGATCTAACTGTGGAAGTCGCTCCTAGAGTAAACTAATACTAAAATATTGCTTTTTACTTAATACAACAGAACATTGAAGAAATACGAGTTACTTGGCATTGTTCCGCATAGAATATGCACCAGTTGTCGAATAAATCATGTATTATTTGCCGTATTAAGCAACATGGTAAATGCAACCTCCCTACTAAAAACTCCGTGGTAGAACTGTAATTAGCGGTAAAGCCAAACCCTTCTTTACCTTATAAGCTTCTTTCATCTTAAACCCAATCCAATTGCCTGGGCATCTTTAGTTTTGTGTATGAGAAGGCTGCTTGCAGAGTTGCAATCTGGAATTTGTAATCCGGCATAAACCTGACTTTAGTTAAAATGCCGGGTAAACCGTAGTTGAACATGTGCAAAGCGCCCAATTCTTCTTCAGCGACATTTAATCTCCGAGAAAGGAGAAAGGAGAAAAGACCAAGATGGGGCCAGGGTCAAACAAACACGCAATGTTAGCTGCGTGGCCGTGGTAAGTTATCGCAATTACCAGACTACGCAGACAGATGATCTGGTCTTGGTCTATTCATCGACGCCTGCTTCGGGTGGTAGGCATAGATTCGAAAGCGTCGTCCTCTGAGATCTCATCGTCACTGATCTCTATTGTCTTTTGCGGAGCTTTCGCAGGCCTTTGTGATTGTGAGAAGTTGAGTGTGGTTTGTTTAGCTCCTCTGGCAACACTACGAGTTGCTCTGGTGGGTTTTGGCGGCGGCGGTTTTTTCGCCGGTGGCTCGTCTTCTTCCTCTTCTTCTTCATCGTCATCATCCATAACAACATCTTCCTCCTCCTCCTCTTCTTCTTCATCACTGTCATGGAAAGGGTTAGGCTTCTTGCGACCCCGTGTCGGTGCCCTCTTTGGCGCAGTAGCTTTCTTTGCGGCTGGTGCAGCTTTCTTAGCTGGGGCCCTCTTGGTTTCTCGAGCGGCCGCGGTTCGTTTCGCTGGCACTTCTGTTGCTGGTTCATCCACAAATAAGTCATCGTCATCACTAAAAGTGACACCGGAGGTGTGCTGTGCGCGGCCGCGTCCGCCCGTGGGTGCAAACTCTGGTGAGGGTGGCAACTCCTCAAGCGCGCCAGGTTGAGCCGTCCAGTGGCCATTCAAGTCGGAATCCCAATCGCCGGGCTTTTCTTTGAAGCGTCTCTTGCGTTGGGCCTGCTTTTGTAGGCCCGCAGCAAAGCTGCTCTCCATAACTTTCCTGAAATCATCGATGTGCGCGTCGAGATCGTCTGCAATCTTTTCATCGTCAAGCTGAAGCAGGCCCCTTACCTGGGTCGAGAGCGAATCCATTACAAATAGCTCAACGGCGTGCTTGTCGTCTTTGCTAACGAACTGGTTGACGGCGTCCCCGAAGGGAGCTTGCGGTAAAATTTTGAGAGATTGCTGAGCAAAAAATTCCTGCACAAGCGTATCGACCTTGATGGTGTCGGCCGAGTCCGTAGCTTCTGCGATGCCCTCTGGTAGATTTGCGGTATCCTTTGCCTTTCCTGCTCCTTGTTAACCCCCACCCACGACATTTACTTCGCGGATAATGGCGTAACTTACTGGTAGCTCCTGTTTTCTTACGATAGAAGTAGACTACATCGTTCTGGTTCGCAACCTTGCCTGCGAAGCGGTTGGAAAAGCGTTGTGGGTTTTCCACCTCGAACTTGGCCCCTTCGGGAGCGGTATATTCTACCTTGAGTCGAATCAAGGGTAGGGGCTGCTCTTCGTCGTCATCCATCTCTTCGGCCCCATTGATCGACAGCCAGGATGCATTGGCCTCCTCTATCATCTCTTCCACAATGGCCATAAGCCGTTTCGTAATGTCTTGGCGGTTATCCTGCTTCTTCTCGAGGCCCTTGAAGCGCTTATCCGTGGCTAGAACAATTTCACCCGTGACAAATGGCCGGACTGTCTTCAAGGCAATCTTTTCGATCGCAAAGTTCCTGCCAGTGAGATTGAGGATAGCCACTTGCTTGGTAACAGCCTCTCCCGGGATGAGGGATGTAGCAACCGATGACCCTGGCTGCATGACGAAGAACCCAGTTTCTTGGTTACGCTGAGGGTCGATGAGACACTCGTGCTCATGGCCCCATACAACGAGGTCCATAAAATCCGGGAGCATGTTTTCTGGCAGATAGCTCGTGGGGGTGTGCGCGTAGTGGTTCTGGTGAAGTGTCAAGAGATTGAAGAAGTCGGCCTTTTGCTGACCTGGTCGATAGAACTTGACTTTGTTATCCCGAAACGTGCGATGCATGCGCTCATCGCGCACGTTGCTCACTCCATACAAGGCAAGCTTAGTCTTCCCTTTTTGCAGCAATACCGGCTTCACTTGGATATTGTCGGCCTCGGGGACGCGACCAAAGTAGTTGACAAGGCCCGCTGCCTGCAGCAGGTCAAGAGAACAGTAGTGGCCATCGCCGCTCGGGTCGTCGTGGTTGCCGTGGATCGAGAAGACGGGGATGGAGATATTGATGTCAGGGTCTTGGTAGTTGACGTGGGGAAACGCGCCCTCGAACACTTCTGCAGCGTCGCTCAAAAACTCGAGCTCGCAGGGTTTCATGCCGAGACAGTTCTTGCGGAGAGAGCGCATGACCTGGTACATTGACTTTCGAGAGGGCTTGTTTTCGTGGAAGAGATCGCCACCGAGGAGGACCATGTCGACGTCGTGCTTCTTGGCCAGCTGCATAATCTCATCGAAAGTGCGCCAGCTGTCGTCCTTTCGGATGGGATCTCGCTCCTCGAATCCGACATGGTTATCCGTCGAAATCAGGATACGGATTGTATCCGTCTCTGCAGCGCGTCAGAAATGTTCAGCAAGTGCGCCTGGATCCCAAGGGCAAATCGAAGCTGTAGTCCGTCCTTAGGGGAAAAGACTGCAAACCTACCTGAAGCTTGCGGCATTGTGGAAAACCCGGCCCCCGTTGGTATTTGGTATGGGTACCGAGACTTTGTAGAAGGATTATGCAGAGCACACGGCGTGTTCCTGTGGTAGAGCTTGACCTGGCGATACCGTTATTCTTTGTGATGCCAAACGCGACAGAATCACGAAGTCACATGGCCTGGCCACTCTTTAACTTTGAGGGGCAGCTCTGGCAGGCCAAGCGCAGCGCTGTCAGGCACCCGCGGGCGGGTTTTTGGGGCAGAATTTCAGAGCTAAGGTGAGTGGACAAAGGTCCCTAGACTTCATTCCACGGGCGAGAAACACCACTTCACAAACCCCCTCCAATGGCCGTGACGGGGGTTCCATTGCTGTGAGGTCAATTGGAGTTTAGGTACTACCCATTGTTTATTGAGCACCCGTCCCTCGAGTGTCGTAGCTCGGAACGAGCACGTTTGTAATTTCCAGCAGAGGCTCGGAAAGTCCTCAATGGTTCGAACATGGCAGACCTCCCCAATGCTCCCAGAGCCCCGCGGCGCACGCGAGCTGGTGGTCGAGCGGGTGAGCGCGCTTCGGTCATGACGGTGGCTCGACAGGCAGCACGCGCCGCTTTCACCACAGAGCGACTACGGTCCTCTCCCATAGCCCATGCTGCCATTCCAAGGTGTGAGTTTTATTTTCACAGTGCTCTCACTTTATTTTCAGCCTTTGCCTGAGAATCTGTATCGTCGCAATGCGTGTCCCTTCATGGCCATTCGTCACAGCCTTCAAGACGGACTGTTCACCCTTGACCTTGACTGTTCACTTTCGCCTCCTCACCACCGTCTTCTCACCACGGCCGGAGCTCCTCGTCACCCTCCTTGGGGCAGGCCTCATATTCTTTTTAACTCTCACTTCATTCTATCTGAATATCCTTTGGTGCACTACTTATACTTCTTCCCGCCTTGCACCCCCCTTCCAGGTCTTCTAGGCCTCGGTCCTCGCCTTTCGCTACCTCTTGCAACGCTCAACACATACCATTCACCCACAATGTATAGAGCCTCACTCCGCCCAGCTGCAGTGCAGCGGCGAGTGCTTGGTGAGTTGGATCCTAACAGGGACCTTAACGCTCCTCGTGGCCGGACAAAGCGGGCTCCCATCACCTTTGAGCAGGAGAACGAGGCCGCCGTCCTTACCGGAGTTCGGCTTGGAATATACGACGCCAATGAAGTTATTTCGTGGACTAACTATCAATCCCCTGCCGTTGCAGCTTCCGTTGGAGATGTCCATGACTCGGACGACGAAGACTTGGCACAGCTTCCCGACAGTGACTTCCAGAGCGGGGAAAGCAGCGATGCCGACATTGAGGCGGGGTACGATCAGGCTGACGATGAGCTACTCGGCGAGGTTATGGAAGAGGACCTGGGCGAAGCACACGAGCACGATGAGCGGGCCGGCTCCGAAGAGCAGCAACAGGGGCCGCCGTTCGATCCAGCGGCGATAGGCTTGAAGGAGATCAACAACCTAGCCCACTTTGGTGTCAGCAGCCACAAACCCGGAAACGGTGTAGAAGAGCTGCTCAGCGATGACCTGAACAAGTACTGGCAGTAAGTCCCGCAGTTTCCCTTTTGTTGTCTCTCGCTAACACAGGCTCCAGGTCGGATGGGCAGCAGCCCCATCTGCTTACAATACATTTCCTGCGTCGGGTTGAGATCCGCGCCATACGATTTTATGTCGACTACAAGCAGGATGAGTCATACACGCCGACTCACATCGTTTTCTATGCTGGAACAGGTCACCACGATTTGATCCAGTTTGCCGAGGTACCGCTCGCCAACCCTGTCGGCTGGCAGGATGTTCCCATCGCGGAGTGCGGCGGAGGCCCGGATGGGCACTCCTTGTGCTGCTGGATCGTGCAGATGCATGTCAAGGAGAACCACCAAAACGGCAAGGACACACACATTCGTGGTATCAAGATTTTTGCCCTCGACGAGAATTCTGCAGGGGGGGCCGTTGGCGACGCCGTCCACGAGATGGAAATCAACATTGACCACGCGGCAGATCGATTTACCATCCAGAATTTGGCTATGGACGAGGATGAGCCTTTTCGAGAACTGCTTGACTCGCTGGGCGGCAATAATCCCAGCATGCGATATCAAGCCAGCGAGGGTGGATTTTCCTTCTTTCCCGACTTCATGCGCGACCCGGAAATCCGATGAAAATTGGAGGCTGCTCTGTTTTATTTGGCGGTGCATTACACAAAGCCTACGGCATTGCTGTGGACAAGGTTCGGTGGTTGGCATTTTGTAAGCATTCTAGGTCTCAGAAAGGGACAATGGGCTATGAACTAGGCTTCACGGCGTTGATGTCCATCTCATTATGCTGTATATTTATGGTGGTCCGGCCAGCAAGCCGCATCTTTTTGCGTCTCGTAGCTGGAAATACCAGGCGGGAAGCCTGCGATTTCAGTCCGGTGTTAACGTTGAGCAACGAGTCTATGGATAGGCCAAGTCTAGGTAGATACTTGGTAGCATTATTAAACTGGATGGGAATATATCATGCTGGACTAATGTGACGAATCCGGTAGGCATGGGCAGTAGTGAATGAAGACTAAGCTCATATCTGAACATTAGGCTATGTCTTTGCGCAAAAATGTGTCAACACGGTGTAGGTATTGCTAGAGTTTCTGAGATTTTTATCTTTTGATATATTAAGTACACGGGCAGGTAATAGCCATCATTCACGTATGCTTGTTACCCATACTCAGCGCCGAAGGAAACAACCTGGAAGTCATGCGATATATAGATTAAGTTGGTCACGAAAAAAAGCCAATACCCGGCAGAAACACGAAAGGTTCTTGGATCTGGCCGGCTACAACTGGCGCATCACATGCTGGCCGCTCCGCTCCACACACCCGAACTTTGAACGGAGGCTATATCGAGCGGTATTCTTGTCTGAGGATAAACACCTACCAAAATATGTTTATCTTTTACTTATTCTTTTCATATCGTATTCGAGAACACGGTGCTGCACGATCCGGGAAAGGGGCCAAACTCCGCTGTTGAGTACCACTTTGCCAATCTCGCAACGGTTAACGTCAGGCCGAGCCGCTGACTCCACTCGTGGCCTTGATCTGGAAGGAGTGAAGACGCCTGAGAACTTAGAGATCCCGCCAAAGAATGCAGATGCAGATGCAAGCACGATTGCACGCAGAGAAACAAACAACCCATGTGCAAACCACGACGGGCAGCAAGCAAGCAAACTCATGCTAGATCTAGAAAATAGAGAGAGAAGTCGCCCCGCGGTTGCAGCAATTCCACGAGGAGTGCCTATGTCGCTGTCTAGGCTGCCATTTTTGGCTAGTGTGGCCCCGCCATTTTCATGAGCACGTACCCCTCCAGTGGCTTCCTCTACGCATCTCACAGATCCCAACTTTAAACTTCAACGCTTCGCCATGGCGGCAATCATATCGAGGTCGACGATATCTCCGTCGGTGTCGGCTTCATCGGCAGCTCCGTCGGCGTCTACCATACTTACTTCAGTTAAGTCGACGAAAGATAGCGATCCCCCGACCGTACGATTTACCAATACGCAAGATCTCTTCGATATCATTAATTCCACTACTGGAGATTTCCTTACCGTTATAAGTATAATATTACCCTCTTATTTCTATATAACATACTAATTATTTAGACGTCTCTCCTAATCAATTCACCGAAATCGAGTGTGAGCGAGATATTGGGCGAAGGACTGGGCAAAAGAAACGATACCGAAAGTTCCGTTTACGCCGCTATAGTGCCAATTCCCAGATCTTGATCATCACAATCCTAACCGATCTACGCGAGGCCCTTCACCTAGGACTTTATATCCCGTATATCCGAAGTACTACGGAGGAAAATTGGAAAAATATGTCCTACAACATTGCGGAAACAAGGTCATCCTGGAGGAGATGGCGGAGAAGGCGATTCGACAGGCGGTCCATGGCCGGAACGTGCAGGAGCAGGTAATTGGCCAACACTAGTCATTGAGTCTGGATATTCCGAAATATTACCCGAGCTTCACAAGGATATGCGGTGGTGGTTTCAGGCATCAAACCACGAGGTCAAGATTGTCGTTCTGGCGAAATTTGACGACCAGCAACACCACATTTTGCTAGAGAAATAGGAGGAAGAAATCTCGAGTCCACAAGGAGCGATCACGCGGAGTCGGGCTGCTGCTATAGTGCAGCAAAATGGTGTTCTCAACCCAGTGAAACGGCAGTCAATCACTATCACCCGCGATGAGACAACAAATCCAGTATCGTATAATGTTACTAGGGGGGCATTAGTACTAGGATTTCGACTTCTTTTTCTTCGCGATCCAGGCCCGCAAGAGGGAGATTTTGTACTTAGCATTCAGAACCTACAGCTGTATGCAGAGAAGGTCTGGGCTGAGCTGCCGAGATCAGACACCAATTAGAAATCAGTATTGATGACCTAACATATGGCCAAAAATGGCAGCCCCAATAGTGACACAGGAATTCCAAGCAAGGGTGAATGGCACGCTTGGCGGCAACAGCAAAATAACCAGTGTGCAGGTCAACTAGTAGTACAGGCCCCTTGTTGTGGGCTATGTATCCATGGGATGCGCGCTACGGATAGAAGGCTGCTATGACACAGGTACCCACACGGTACTTGTAAGAGACTTGTGCACTTGGTGTCGAAGCCGCCGAAAATGGCGACACGCGCCAGCCAAATTCGGCGGCCAGAACACCGTATTCTCTGTTTCTGGAGTAGTATTACTCAGATCCCTTGTCTGTATCATAATACAAACCTTCCTGTTTTATACAAAACCTCAAATAAATGTGGTACTTTCTTAGCGGGACAGCCTTTGGCGTGTTGTTACTTAATACTTAAGTACCCCGCCCCCGCACCCCTTTGAGTGACGCAGTTGGGAGGGAGCTCCAAACGCATCATAGCGGGCAACAAAGCGTCTTGCCGTCCACGTTGAGCCTCACTCACAATGCCCTTGTCTGGCTTTCCTCAGCCGCCGCGTCCGGCCGGGAGCTCTATGCATATTCGGTCGCCCCTACCAGCTGGCGCGTCCAGCAGATCTCTTCTCGAATTCTTCTCGCGTGCCCTCGCGTCGTTTAAAAGCTCTGGCTCCAAGTTCCAAGTCATTTGCACTGTGGCGCCGCCCACGTCCCATGGCCCCTTACCAAAGCCAATACCTCCTCGGACGAAGCCGCCTGCCCTGATCGTGCTCGACTCGTCGTTTAACCCGCCGTCCCGAGCGCACTTGCGCATGGCAACGTCGGCAATATACGATCGGGTAAACTTGAAAGGGAGTGGGCAGGCCACGAGGGCATCGCGGTTGCTACTGCTGCTTGCCATCAACAACGCTGACAAAGCCCCCAAACCGGCCGCGTTCGAGCAGCGGTTGGCCATGATGTGGGCGTTTGCCGGGGACATCCACAACGCCTTGCTAAGCGAGCAGCAAGGGGCCGAGGCATCCGATGGATTAGCAGAGGTGGAGGAACAGGAGAGGCTTAGCATCGACATCGCCCTCTCAACACAGCCGTTCTTCCACGAGAAGTGCGCTGCAATTGCCGAGTCCGCCTTCTACGAAACTAATGGCGCGAGGGAGATGGAGCAGACAGTTCTGGCGGGCTACGACACACTGATCCGCATTTTGAACCCGAAGTACTATGGCCCGCCGGCTGAGGCAGGACAAGTGTCTAGCGGCGCAGTGAAAACGCCGATGCAAAAAATGCTCGACCCGTTCTTTGCCCGAGCAAAGCTGCGCGTCACGATGCGGATAGACGACGAGTGGGGCAGTAAAGACGTGCAATTGTCGTACCTAGAAGATCTGCTCAATGCAGATGGGCTGTCCAGGATAGGCGGTAGTGCAGGGTGGGGGAGTCGGATACAGCTTGTCGAGGGACGCAAGGACGGGGAAGATATCGTCAGTAGCACCTACGCGCGGGTCGCGGCAAAGGAGCGTGATTGGAGCATGCTGGATAAGATGGCCACTCAGGGAGTAAGGTGGTGGATAGAAGAAGAGAAGCTTTATACTGAGTGACTTTGCTGTGTCGTGTCGCGAAACATCGGGTCTGCATGGGCTGGTGGGAAACAATGGAGGAATTGGGGGCGAGCTTGTATTACATACCGTTCCCAACTGCTCTAATTCTCGCATATATCAATTACTATCCAGTGGCAGAAGAGGCGCCACGACGAGTCCAATATGCTGGCTGGTAAGTAACGGCGTTATGGCAAGACCTGGTGGGCTTGGCTGCGCGAGCATCCCACGGACGGCCGCTAGATTTCAGTGGCCTGAGTTTGGAACGTAAATGTAGACGTTGCTGAGCAGAATTACGTACACTTAGGAACCGGGACTCAAAAGAGAGCCTTTTCAGTCGATACTAACCTCAAATGCAAGAGAAGTTCCAGTAATGGCACAGAATATCCTATAGACATAATCTCCAACGCTGATGGTGGTTTAGGTCTGGATGCTCAAGGCGCGAGAAATTATGGCGGTCAGAGCTGGCAGGATACGAGAACCCTACTGAGCCCCACGCGGGGCGCAAAATTTGCCTGTGGGCCACTGAAAATTTGCGTGCGCTGCAGTGGTGCACAGATCACCCAGCGAAAGTATTTAGCAGACCGTTCCGCCCTCCCCTTCCTTTTTTTTTTTTTTTTTTTTCCTTCATGTCGACAATACTTCAGTAAGCCACCCTCTACCTTGCACTCCAGTCTCTCCTCTCTGCCTTTGATAATCAGGATATAGATTGCGAGCGCAACACTCCCGTGTGGGATATCTGTTCGGACTTCGTTGCTAACTCTGTTCGCGCGCAACAGGAGAATCATTTCTATAGTAGTCGTCCGCTTTTGTGTTCCCTAAAGGAGCTACAGATCCCACCCGGGTTGATGATCCATATCCTCGGCTCCCTACAGTGAGAACCATTTACTCTCGTTCTGCCTGTAAAGGCGGCAGTCACTGGCTTTCGGGTCGTGGCTGTATAGAGAGTAGCGATGATCTGTACCCTGTCTTTCGAGGTCTTGCCTTCGGGCGCTCGGGCAGGGTGGGTGCCGATGGAAGTCTGACCGGCCTTTCATTTTTATTTTATTTTTTTATGCTCTCGAGCTTTGCCCCAGACGAGAGGAAGAAGCTCCTTGGCTCATTGGCGTTTTCCTGAAAAGCGCTCTGAGAAAACCTCTGGAACTGCTTCACACTTATGCTATTATGTACGCGATTTGCCAGCCAGGCTCAAGGACCCCAATGTGCCGACTTTATACCGCTTGTGGTTTACCAGTTCTCTTCCAAAAGGGGGTGGCTTGTCAAATTCTGGCAGGTCCTTCTCCCAACTGCCCTGTTTGGAGACCCGCAGCCTTGGCATGCGCGTGCTGTGGTTTTCTAAATCAGGCTTCCCCAGGTTCCCCTTGACACGTGGACCCGCGACTTGTCAAGCTCCCAATATTCGTCTAACTGACTCCTGTCATTGAATGACACCTGCCCGGCATGTGTTAAACGCCTTTCGTCTCCATATTTAATTAACGGACGCATAATGTATGGCTGCGACTTGTAACCGAACCCACAAAGCATTATCCATGAAAAGAAATGTGGGGTTGTGTAACTCGGAGTAGAACCTCATCGACTTGACTTCTGCCCTTTCTAAAGATACTCCATCTTAGATTTTAAGTCCCGTGAAAGCAGAGTTGTCTTGATGCTGCACAACTCCCCGTCCCTAGCCACCTGACAAAAGCAGACATACATGGCTGTGCTGTGCGTTATCAGTGTGTCTCGTGGGTCTTGGGTCTGGCCCAGCACTGTCGTATTCCCAGGATTCGCCGAATGCGAGCAAATCCCACCTCCCCTGTCTGTGATGGTTCCCGTACGCTCTGAAATATCCAACTGCACGGTCTGACAGGCAGCGCTTCTGCAACGGTGATATTGGCATTGTGTGTCCCCGTGCGCGTCTCCTGAGTCTCGGGATGCTACAGCAGCCACTTGTTCGCTCCTCGGGAGCCAGACGCTGCAACCAATCATCGCCTCTGACCCCTAACTCTTAGATCTCATCTACAGACGCCATCATCTATGTGAACCTGGCGATACTAACGTTCCCCCCATTCCACCCCCTGGCCCGGCAGATACCCACGATATCTTCTTACTAAGGCAGGTGAGATGTCATGAGGCCGATGGCGCTACTATGAGTAGCCATTGCATCTTCGCCAAGATAACATATCTTTCGGTCTTCACAGGTTTCCCTGTGTTTGGACTTTGGGTGCAACGTTGGTCGACCCTGGCGGCAACTCACTATGGTATAACATGTCACCAACACGGCCCTCTCTGCTCAGATGAGTGGACCGCCGCTATTATGCTGCCTAGTAGGTATTGTCCTAGGCTGAGACTTCAGAAACGACCACTGCAAACCCACGCCCAACAAGCGACTATCTAGAATAATGCGCCTACCGAGTCTGAGTCTTGCCGGTGCCTTGCCACTGTTGGTAGTAGGAGGGTTAGCAGCAAGAACGCCATCAAACCGAGCCTTGCATCAGAAGACGGGCGATTCCGCCAACTCAACCTCGTCTGTCAAGCCCAAGAAATTCATTATCGAGGTCGAACAGGTAAAACACACACCGCCTCAATACTTTGTCTTCCGGGCCAGTTACAGGTTGTCTTCATTGAAAATAAAGAATCTGGCTAATATCTGGCTGGCCATTACCGCCACCTCGTGAATAGGGGGTCAACCTCGAATCCCTATCGTCCAAGTTCTCGGCAGCCGGTGCCAAGGTCGTCCGCACCTTCAAGACCGACGTGTTCTCTGGTCTGAGCATCGAGTCGGATGAGCAGAATGTGGACTCGCTTCAGCAGCTAGCTGGAATCGCCCAAGCATGGCCCGTTGGCAAGATCTATTTGGACCCTGTCGTTCCTGTAGCAACTTTCAGTGACGACGCCACTGCCGCCAACTACTCTGTCCATGCGTTTACGGGAGTTGACACGCTCCATAGCGCCGGTATTTATGGCAAGGGCGCCGTTGTCGCCATTGTCGACACGGGGACCTACTACCCCCATCCTGCGGTATGACACCAAACGAGTTATGACCGCGCCTGAGCGAGACCTAATAGCTGGCTTGTGCTGACTGTTGATTCTAGCTTGGAGGTGGCTTCGGACCTGGATTCAAAGTTGTAGGAGGATACGATCTTGTTGGAGATTCTTGTATGGCGCCATTTCGACCATGTTTACCATTCCCGGAAAAAAACACGGAACTGAATCAGGCAGTGATATCTGCGTGACTGGTGACTAACTGTCTTCACATAACTAGCATGGCCAGTTGGCCCCAAGACTCCCGACACGGATCCCCTTGACGTGCTGGGACATGGCACGCATGTTGCCGGAATCATTGCTGGAAAGTCAGAATGGTATGCACCGATGCAGCATACCTTAGATTCTGCAGAAATCATTGCATATCCAGAGCTGTGGCTGACCGCGCACGACAGGTTCACTGGCGTTGCCCCCGAGGCGGCCCTGCTCTCGTTCAAGGTGTTCAGCGATGTAAGCAACCAGCTCGCGAGCTCTGGCGCGGTACGGCTGTGGCTTATCTGGTGAACAGGTCGATAGCACAGATGAAGATACTCTTGTCGAGGCCTTTCTTTTGGCCTACCAGGCCGGGGTAAGCATCTCAAAGCTCCACAGTCCGACATGCAGGTAAACTATGATTAACTACCAGAGGATATTGCAGGCCGATATCATAACATCCAGCATCGGCGGCACGAGCGGATGGTCTGAAGGAGCCTGGGCTACGGTTGCTTCGCGCCTTGTTGACCAGGGGATTGTCGTCACCATCTCGGCTGGTAATTCAGGCGACGACGGCCCCTTCTATGCCAGCTCGGGATCCTCGGGCAAGAAGGTCATTGCTGTGGCATCAACAGACGCCAGCGTGATTGCGGCGCCGCCTTTCAAAGCCGCCTTTACCCTCAATGGAGTCTCGAACGTGACGTACCTGGGTTACGAGCCCGACGTAAACTCGGCGCTCTGGGATGTTCCCACCGATCTCCCAATAATCCCGGTTTCTTTCGATACTGCGAATCCCGCAGACGCTTGCACTCCGCTCCCTGGAGATACGCCAGACCTCTCTGGCGGCATCGCCCTGATACGTCGAGGCACCTGCAACTTCTCGGTGAAGCAAGCAAATGCTGCCCAGTTTGGCGCCAAGCGGATCCTGTTCTACAACAATGAGAACCCCATCATCAATCCGGGTAGCGTCGACCCAGCCATCCCCGTCGCAATGATTGACGCCAAGGCTGGCGCGGCCATCATCGCAACCGTGAAGGCAGGGGGCAACGTGACGGCCAATTTTGCCATTCCCAGTGACTCCAGTTGGGCAGTGGGCCTGTTCAACTCGGCTGGTGGTATCCCGTCTGAATACACCAGCTGGGGCACCACCTTTGAGCTCGAGATTAAGCCCGATGTTGCTGCTCCCGGGCGCAATATCTACAGCACATATCTCGACGGCTGGGCGGTCTTGTCAGGGACGTCCATGGCCTGTCCGTACGTCGCCGGCATTGCCGCCCTCTACGTCGGCAAATACGGCGGCCGTTCCGTGCACGGCGCCGGCTTCGCCAAGATGCTCGCCAACCGGATCATATCGAGCGGCGCGGCCGTCCCTTGGCAAGTCGCCCAGCCAACAAGCCTCCCTATTGACTTTGGCTTCTGGGCCCCTGTGCCACAGGTCGGAAGCGGGCTCGTCAACGCGACCAAGGTGCTGACGTCAACCACGTCGCTGGTCTTTGACAAGTTTGCCCTCAACGACACGGCACATTTCAGCCGCTACCACGATGTGCTCATCACCAACAGCGGCAACAAGCCCGTGACGTACAAGTTCTCCCTCCAACCGGCTGGCGCCTTCAACGTCCAGTCCCCCAACTACCCGTCCTATCTCGCCGTGTTCTACGAGCTTGAGCCCTTCAGCCTCATGCCCAGCGTGAGCTTCCCCTCGGGCACCTTCACCGTCGGGACGGGCCAGACGAAACGAGCACAGATCAACTTCGACATCCCCAAAGGCTCCGACGCGTCGGGCTGGCCCGTGTACAGCGGCAAGGTGCTGGTGTCGGGGTCTAACGGCGACGAGCTGAGCATCCCGTACGCGGGGGCGGCGTTCGACCTCAAGAACTCGCTGCGGCGGCAGATGTTTGCCGACGGCACGCCGTTCCAGGTGTCCGGGCCCAACCGCGACGACATCTCCATCTACCACACGTACGACTTCAACCTGTCGTGGTCGGCGCAGTCGTTCCCCAAGGTCTACGCCGACTTCAAGTTCGGGCCGCGCGAGCTGCGGTGGGACATCTTCGAGGCCGGCTGGCGCGAGGCGCGCTGGAGCACGTACCCGCCGGTGCCGGGGAAGAACGGTTTCGTCGGCAGCGCCACGTACTGGCTCGAGTCGGACTCGTACTGGGCGTTCGACCCTGACACGATGGATAAGGAGCTGACGATCCCGTTTCCGCTAACGCTGCTCACGCGCACGAGCACCTGGAGCTGGTACGACCAGGGTTTCTGGTGGTTTGGCAAGCTGGCAAATGGGAGCTATATTGCGCCTGGAAACTACACGTGAGTGCCCCCTTTACAAGCCCCAACTCATCTTTACTGCGTTAAAGCAGACTTCCAGAGTCCCTTGTCGACATTTGATGGATTTCTTGTTGTTAACTGATATGACTGACAATGTACAGAATGAGATTTGCTGCGCAGATTCCGTTCAGCGACCCAACACACTCGGACAATTGGCATGTCTGGCAGGTTCCTCAAATAACCATTCTGCCGTATTCCCCCTGAAAATCTGACATTGAGTCAACTGAGCGAGAGAAAGAATGAGATGATATCTTGCAGACGGTATCACCCAGGATCCACCACGTTCATCATCCATGCATCAAACCCAAATACGCCCGTTCCTTATTTTCAGCCTAGTCGAGGAAGAAGTCCTCCCTTTGGTGTTCCTCAGTCCGAGCTCGAAATGGAATATGGAACTCATGGCGAATCGCGAATCGGAGCAGTTTAGTTTGATGCGAGGACGCTTCAAACATCCTGCCTAGCAGGGATGACGAGCAATGCTTGAAAACCATTCGCGGGGCATGCTGCCACTCAGGAACCAGGATAGGCACCCAACAGTACCTACTTAAATATGCACGGATCTTGTCATCATCGATTGGAATCTGACCCATATCTCGGGCCGGGCCTTGTCCAGATCAAGGCCCACCCGATCCTTCATTGACCTAACATTACTTTAAGATAACATAAACCGTTGCATCAACGCCACGGCACGAGCTGAGCAGGTAGTATATCCTGGCTCTCCGTTAACCGCAATTGACCTCCTACTGCTTTTGCGAAATCATCATCTCCTCATTATCCGAAATGGGCGCAGCCCGGTTGGGGGTCTTGTTCAGCTCATTCTCGCCCACAACCTTTGTTGTGCCTGCCATGGTGTTCTCGTATTGCGGGTGCGTGGTCAAGACATACTCCTCCTTGTCAATATGCTTGAACATGAACCAGAAAACCACGGTCAGGATGCCGCCTGCGATGGCCGGGCCGCCAAAGTCCCATGTAAGGTACGGGTCGGTGATAACAGACGAGGCGGCAAGGCCAATGGCGTAGGCAACAGCAGTGTTGAAGAGGTTGATGGCCGACACAAGACTCCTCATATTAGGCGGGGCTCGCGAGTAGGCAATACCGTAGGCCGGGACATTGATGAACAGCTCCGAGATGCCGCCGATAGCATAGGGGATCGCCATCCACCAAATGCTGATGGGGGCAACACCGTCGCCGATAGCGCAATCGCTGGAACCGTACTCGCCGCACGGCGACAGCTTGTAGGCATAGTAATTGAGGACAGTATATCCAACACCACCGATGGTGGACAGAGCCAAGCCGGTGGTGATGCGTGCGACTGGGCCGTAGTGGATGCCGAGCCTCCGGAGAAGAGGGTAAAGACCGTAGTTGAGGATGGGCGCGAAAGCGATGATGCTCAGGGAGTTGAAGTTGCCAATAACGTCATTGGGCACGCCGTTGGTCTCTAGCATGGTGGAAAGGAAGTTTGCCGCTTGGCCAATGCCATTGTCGTTGAGATACTGAATCGGGAAGAAGCAGAAGATGCCCGTCGCCTGGAAGGTCCGGCGGACGTCGTCAACGAACTGATCGTTCCAGTGCGTCTTGTAGGTGAAATCGAGATTAGCGGCGGCAATGTTGGACGGCTTGGCCAGGTCCCAGAACCCGTGGCGGCCAAACTTCTTGATGCCTCCACGTCGGATGCAGATGCCCAAAACGCGGAACACGTTGCCAAGATCGCTGCCCGCAGCAGGGTGCAGAATGAGGCGCTTGTGGAGGAACCAGAGAAGCAGGGGAAGCGGGAGGTAGAGGAAGAGCGGAAGGATAAAAGCCAACCACCACTGAGAGACGCCCGAGAAGGCTAGTCAGCTTCTTGTCATGTATCAGAGAGTTGAGGCGGAATTTAAGACTCACGCCGACGTATTTCTCCGAATATGATGTGGCAACTCCGAAGAATCCTCCGATGTTGATCAAGAGGTAGAACCAGAGCATGACGCGTTCGGCGGTCGACTCAGGATCCTCGATGACCCTCTCACCGGACTTGAGGGTGACAACAGTGGGAACGGTCGTCGTGACCTGGTCGAGGAGGAGGGGCGAAACGTTGGGCTTGAACATGGCTGAAGGAGAGATACGGGATCAGCAGGCCGCCAGAGAGTTCAACGGCAAGGGGATGCAAAACTCACCTGCACCAACCGCCAGAATGTAGAGAGACAAGAAGTACGGAGCTTGGGTAGCATTCTTTGCCAGGAGATCCTTGGAACCAGCGGCAACCATTAGGACATGGGCAACGCCAAAAACGGCCACACCCCAGCAAATGATCTTGAAGCGACCGCTTCTGACATCAGCCAGCCAGCCGAAAAACAACGGAAGCGCATACGCCAGCAAGCTGAAGGACTGGGCAACGGCGTTGGCCACCTTGGTCCCCATTCCGAGGGCGCCAGCGGTGCCCTGGGTTCCCGCGGGCGGGGCTCCGTAGCCATTGCCGCCTTCTGGCAGCTTGCGGTTGACATAGTTGCCAATGAGTGGTTGCACACCGTAGAACGAGGCGCGCTCGCAGAACTCGACAATGCAAATCATGTAGGCCGTGAAGGGAATCCTGCCGGGCACGCGCCTCAAGGTCGCGGCTTCTTCCTCTGTGGGCTTGCCCTCGTAGTCCTCGTCCATGGTGAAGGTGTTGAGGTATGGCGCATGCGCGTCCCCGGGCGGGACGTTGTCCATCTTCTCGCTGAGGGCGCCGGCGGCGGGCGCCGTCGCATGGGCCGGTGAGCCGATGCTGTCGCCCGACGACTCAGGTCGCTTCTCGTCTCCAAGTGTAGCTGTAGGGTGTGGGACATTGTGTGAGTAGCATGACACACGGGAAAGGGTGAAACCCACGTGCGCCGAGACTTGACTTACCCATTGTGCGCGATTCCACTTGCCGGAGCGTGTTTGCCAAAGTGCTGGGTTGCAGAGACACACGATTGCAGGGCTGGCTGTAAATCGGGATACCCGAGGGAAGGGGACACGGACATGTAATATACTTCCAAGCTTTTTTGGGGGGGATTCACCCCGCGGGAGGGCAGCACGTTGAGACGCTGATCCTGAGCAAAATGCTTCACAGAACGGATGGAACCATTACACGACTTACGCTTCACACTAGCGCACCGACGGGTCAAGTGGGGAGCATTTCACGCCCGCGTGGAAAATCGATGGAATACGCTCTGCACCTTCCCGGTCTGGCACGTTCGGGCGAGACAGGTCGGGACGAACTTTCCGTTCACACACTCAACCTTAACGACCTCCCGCATAAGGGTAGGCCCAGCGGACTCCAAAGATACTCGCGCCCTAAGGTGGTATGTTGCGCGCGGTTTGGATTCCGCTAGACTTGTAGTTGGAACAGTGCCCGAGATGCGACTCCGCATGTATGGATCCTACCCTGGGTAACTGCCTGTTCTGCCTGCCTGCCTCCAATGGCAAAGCCGTGTTTAGTCAGGACATTCTATTGAAAGGGGGGAGCTTGAGAGACGGGAGGTGGCATGTCGGGTCAGGTTTCAACGGATGGCTCTCGGTGTTCAGCATCCACCGAGGTTGTTGTAGCGGTGCATCAAGCCCCATTACATCATGCCAAGAGCCGTGATTGGACGGGACTCCCCCGGCGCTGCGCCAGATCAGGAAGGCGGACTGGCGTGGGGGAGGGGCCGGGGGTGTAACCTGCGGAACTCGTCTCCATCCAGCGCGTCTGATTCGGTCCTTTGGCCATTTATCATCTATCTCTCGACGAACGCAATACTCACAGAGTAGCAATTCCGGCGGAATACGCATTTCCAAGCGGTGGGGCCCCTTTGCATTCATTCCTTCTGGGTTCGGCAATCGCTAGCATGCCCACCGGCGGAGCTATGGTCCCCTTTTTCGCTCTTTCCGTTTTCTTTCTTTTTTGCCTTCTAAACCTTCTAAATTCCCACTTATCTAACGGACTAACGTCGGCTTCCCCGCCAAAACCGCCACCCAACCCTGCTGGGGTAGCAGACCTTGGCAGCATTAACGCACATTAGATACCGAACCTACCTACACCCACCTGGCTCAGATAAGCACTTTGGTACGACCGCGTTTTTTTGGGGTTTCTGAGTTTGACAGCACGGGCGGCTCCGGGAATCAGTCTCGGGAACGTCAGATAGCTCTGAGTCTGATCAGCACTAGACATCAGTGAAATGAGAATTGACACTAATGCACCTTGAGCGCCCATGCCTAATCTATCATCTGAGCCTTTGCGCTCGCGTCGTTTCCCATGTGTGGGATGACGCGAGGGACGCTCCAGCCATTGCGTGCTACTGCATATGTAGAAGAAACTGGGGAAGGAAGTTGGCAGGTGGCTGCGCTAGAGCCCTGGACGGTGGTGCATTTGGAAGGCCGAACGAGGTACTCGGCAGGACGCAAGAAATTGGGACGATCTGAGTTGGGGCTCAAAATCCTGCGCCGCCACTATCAATAGTGGTGGCGGGTATTGAGACGGCCGCTGCGGTGTGTGCGACTGGGCACTTAACTCATAACGTCCTCTGGTTCCGTGATTAAGAGTGTCTCGAGGAGTAGGGCAAACTGCGCCAGTGTAGCATCGACGGCTGGCACGATGTTCGAGCTCTTACCATACGCGTCCGAGGGATAATTCATGTTTGACGTCTCCCCACAGCCCTGCCAAGAAGGTAGGTAGGAGCTGTCAAGAGTCCAAGACTTTGGAGCCTCAAAGGGAGTGGCTTGCCAAGGCACGCGATGGCGCCGTCGGCCGTTGCCAATTTTCTTGGATTAGTCTTGGACTAGTCTTGGACTCTTGGCCACATTCTGCAGGTGGTATGACAGGTAGGGGTACGGAACGTAGTATTTGGTCGAAAGTCCCTTTCCCGGCCCTTTCATTGGTGCGCTGCCATTATCTTAATGTTCATTCAAGCTGCTTGATAATTGAAGATGCCGTATACGCGCTCCCAGGACTGGGTGCTTCCAAATATGAACATATTCCATGCAGCACTAATGCAGTGGTAAATAGATAAGGTAGCAGAATACGGGACCGTTCCTAGCCGTTGGTAAACATTGGCCCTCCAGAGATGCAGAGGTTCAGAACACACCACTAGAGAGGTCCTAGTAAGCACCACGACATCCATCCATCCCTCCACACCAGCGCGTTTACATATCAAATTTCTCAGCCACTAGTCTCTTGCGTCTCAGAATATCACGCTCCTTCGTGCATCTCTTTCCTGCCTGCGTCCTGTCTGGCCTTCCTTGATTCCACATCATGAAGATAATTACGCCAAGCTTGTGATCATGCAACCCACCCCAGCTCTCTTAAGCCTTGGCAGCCCAGCCCAGAGTTGGCGGGTTCGAACCGTCAAACACGACAAAGGCCGCCTTGAGGGCCACGTCCCCGAAGATGTTGATGCCGACGCCGCTGCTGCTCTGCAGGCCGCCGAAGCAGGTCGACGAGCCGTCGGTGACGGGGCCGTAGTTGAGGTACGAGGGCGGGATGGTGACGCGGGCCGCGCCGATGCCGAACGTGAACGATGGCACGGTCGCGGCGCAGGGGAACACGTAGCCGCCGTACGACCGGCTGTTGGACGCCCCCGACACCCCGCGGTAGTACGCCGTCACGATGGCCGTCGGCAGGTACAGCAGCGTGGTGCCCGTGTCGGCGATGCCCGTCACCGTCGTCGTGCTGAACGTCCCGGACCCGACCGCGTACCCCGACGACGTGAACGTCCAGTAGCCCGGGTCGTTGTTGACCGGCACGTACGTGATCTCGCCCTTGTACTTGGTGGCGTTGATGAAGCCAAAGTCATAGGTGCCGGCTGCAATAGGCAAGAAAGGGCGGGTTAGCCTCTCGTTTGGGTGTACCTATCGGCCTTGCACACTCAGAAGAAAGGGGCAGGATAAAGCCTTGGAAAGACAAGCGACGTAAGCGGGAAAAAAATACAACATACGTGCGTGGAACTTCAGGTCAGTCGTGAAGACGGGCTTCTCCAGGCCGGCCTTGGCATTGTCGAAAAAGGTCAACTGAGCCTTGGGGTTGACGGTGTTGAGGGAGCTGAAGCCCAGGCCGACGAGCCCGTCGATGTGGCCCTCGCTGGTGAAGCTCGACGAGACCTGCTGGGCGCACTGCACGGCCTGGCTCTTGACTGTCAAGCCGCCGACGGTGAAGTTGTCAATGTACACGTTGCCGCGCGACGCAGAGCCGTCGCCGTACGTGATGCTCCAGCTGTGGCCAGCCAGCAGCTGCGACGTGCTCGACTTGGACGGCGTGTAGATCTCCTGGCCCCGGATCTGCGACGCCGGCGTGTGGCTCGAAAAGACCCAGAGGTCTGACGAACCCGTGTCGATGTCGAGGTTCAGCTTCTGCGGCGGCGTGCCGACCGTCACGGGCGTGACGTAGGCAATGTCGAACTCATCGATGGGTATCGCCGCGGCGCTGCCCGTGTCGCCGCGCCTCCGCACCGCCTCGGCCAGGCGCGAGTCCTGGATCTTGGCGACGGCCTTGACGAGGTAGTCGGGCGCCGTCTTGCCGAACTTCAGGTACGTTTTGTAGACGGACAGGGCGCCATTGAAGCGGTAGCTGGGGTTGCGCACTTGGTGCAGCGTGACCCTACCGGAGCTGGCGTCTGGGCTGTTCTCGCCGTCGACGACGGTGGTGCCGATCCTCGGAGGCAGAGCCGACCCGAGACCGGCGGCCCCGAGGGTGGCGGTGAGCAAGAGGTTGGTGATGGCAACCATGATCGCGGCAGCACGGTTAAGGAGGGGCAGGGCTATGGCTGGCAGGCAGCTTGCTCTTCCAAATTCCAGTCGGGACGGTTCAGATACGAAGCCAAGCCCGGGGCAGTGCGAGTTGCGGGGTCACCAGCCTGTCCAGATAAACAAACCGAAGAGGGAGAGGGACGAGGAACGTGTCTCGCGCGCTCTGGGCGGAAGAGAGAGAGAGAGAGAGAGAGACGGCGGGACCACCACACTGCTTATCTACCACATGCTCGAGGCTAAAGACGGCCCAGATGGCGATTCCCGGCCTTGATAGCACGACGGCGTAGTCGTGGCGGGTCTCATATAATTACATACCTAGGTAAAGTAAAGAGAGGGCATAGATAGAGATAGCTGTACCCCGCTGCCCCTGCACCCAGCACACAGTACCAACCGGGGCTGGGCCACCTTGGGGAGAGCAAGAGCTTCAGGGTCTAAGTGATGCTGTTGCTTGGCTTGTCCCGAAGGGTACCGAGGCGGGGGAGCAAGAGCCGGCCAGGGGACAAGGTGCATACACACAAGTCTGACAGTCTCACACGGACGGTCTCTAAGTGTCCAACAGCTCGTCTAATCTGGCGGCGGCGTCGTGGCCGCCAGCCGGCGAATCGGTAGGCCGCAGTCTCTCTCAGCAGGTGCTCGCTCTAGGTATCGACATGTTCCAGACCCAGCTCTCGGCCGCCCACTTTCGCTTCATGTCAAGCTCGCCATGGTAAGCGCAGATTCGCAAATGGGCAGATGGGCAGGTGAGCAGACGCGCTGGGTTGCGAGCTTTGCCATTGGCAAATGGGGGCTAATGGGATACCAAGACATTTTATATTGCCATTTACCACTGCCGCGGCATGGCGTCGGCAGTTTAGGCAGATAGGGAGCCGCTGGTCGGCAGTGCCCTATCGGGTGTGCGTGCATGTGGCCCTGATGTCGGGCTTTTACCAAGTATGTGTCGCCCATCTTCCGGCTTGACGGCGGTGCTGGTTTTAATTGCCAGACGGCCCAAGGAGCAGGCCAGGAGCGACCCGCGGCATTTGCGCTGCCCATTGAATTCCGAGCCTGCGATAGGCAAGTGGCTCGGCAAAGTGGAAAGCGGGTCGACATGTTGTTTGCTGTTTCCAGGTGGCTATATTACGGCTGTGATAAGAAACCCTGCACTTAATGTCTGATCTGAGTCTTGGCTTGGCGTCGGCCGTTGACGATCTGGTGCAACTCTGCGGGTTACACTGCCAAGATAAGGTAGGTACTATTAGACTGTGAGAAGTCGCTCCCGTGCGACCTTCGCTTTGGCCTCCGGCTCCGCGAGGCTAATGAGAGATGCCTGTGTTCTCGAAGGTCGGCGGAAGATCCAGCTATTGCGGGGTATGAGCTTTTATGGAAGGCTACACGGTTCTTTGTGGAACGAATCTACCCTCATGGTTATCAAAAGTGCCTGAGATCTTGCTTACTATAATATGTCTCAAAGATGATATCAAGGCAGTGAGTGAGATCTGTCTAAGAAACCCATGGGTGACGGCGAGTAACTTCTATGTGAGCCACCAAGTCCTTCAGGTTTGTGTACTGAGGGCTAGCAGCCAGAAGCGAGTCTCGTGAGGGTGTTCTCCTGAAACGCCAAGCTATATAACACAGACAGCTATTATGAGGGACTTAGTCTAAGCTCTATCGTCATCCGGCTCTTTATTACACAGAGTGGCGAGTGGAGTCGGAGTTTAACGATGGGCGATAGCCTCCAATCATGCTTCATACTAACTAATTGACGCTCCAAGATTCATCCCCGTCTTTAACCCCGATAATAACAGATTGTATTCCTCATACACAGCGCCCTTTGCCGAAGCAGAGTGTGGGATTTATTAGTGAATCATTTAAATCTCAATCCCCCTTCTCTGCCAATGACATATATACTAAAAAGTTGACCTCCACAACCATTCTTGATCTCTGAACTGTGTTCACTCGTCGGCCTAGCACTCAATCGTCTTCAGTTGAGTCTAGGCAAGGTTGCTCACGCAGAACAGCCCCAGATAAACCGCACTGCTTGGCCACATGGCGGCCTTTCCGAGGGTACTCCAACACATGAAACGCGCCTAGCAAGCACAAAAAGACCCTATACACAATGCCGGCCAATCATACATTCCATTGCACACTCTGAGGTGGCCCAACGGCTCCTGCCATGCGACGAAGCGGGTGTCCTCAAGCACTAGGTCGGTAGCAATGTGCTGTAAACCAATGCTGAGATCCATCATGCCCGCAGCGCCTGGGTATTTGCAGTACGACCGTCACCAATCTATCCCCCATATACCTGCGTAGATGGCTCATGTCCCCGCCATGTATCGTCGTTTAAATGTCTCCCGAGTCCCTGGATCTGGATCCTGCCCATGTCTCTGATGAGGAGCTTTCCGTTGCATTAATCATTCAGCTTCACCCCAGCTCCCCTCACTTTGCCAAGGCATTGGCCGCCTCCAGGTCCCGTAACAACATCGTAGAAGCTAGTTCTTTGCGCCATCGTGTTTGCGGACTCTAACGCGCAAAAACCTTGACGACTCCGTCACCGCCGCCGCTAACAACCCATCGGCCATCTTGGCTCCAGACTACGGCACAGACGCCCTCGCCGCGCATAACGCGGTGACTCGTAATCTCCTGGGTGCAGGACCGTTTTTCCAGGGACCAGAATCGTAGCGAGGCGTCGTGGCCGGCACTTACAAGCTCGCGCCCGTCGGGGCTGAGCGATAGGCTCGAGATGGAAGCAGGATGGGCAAGCATGTTATAGGTGCATTGACCTAATGTTGCAAGATTAGTTAGTTGGACATGGGGCTGCTTCGCTGGGAAGGAACGTGGGCCAATACAAACGCAGGACTTACCACTGTTTGCATCAAAGAACCTCACGAAGCGATCCTCGTGGCCTGAAATGATTACGCCCTCAACGCCCGACCCAGCCATGGCTCGGCCACCACCTGTAGGTCCGCCTCCGCTGCCGACGTCCTCTTCGTTCAAGCCCTGGTGAGGCTGGTCAAGTCCGACTGTTGTAGTGACAACCGAGTTCACGCCTGTGCCAACAGTGCCGTCGTATGTGATCAAGCTGGCCATGGCGCCGATTTCCTCTCCAGACCGGGTATCGTAGACGATGATGGCGGCGTCAGAGTAGCTGACCACGAACGTCTCTCCGTTTGGACTCAGTGGCGTGATACAGGTCGGGCTTGCTCCTGAGTTTGCGCGGGGAATAGTGTGTATAAGCGAGTGGTGGAAAGGCGAGCTTGATGCTGTTGTTGGCTGCGGTGAGTTGGGGAACGCAGAACCAGAGCTCATTGAATTGCCCCTAACACGACCGCCCGGCCCGCGGCGCCCAGCCCCCGGCTGCGGTGAAGTAAGCTGGGGCGGCGCGCTGATTGCCCAAACCTTGACCGTGCCATCGGCAGCTCCCGACACTAGCAAGATGCGATCAGGGGTTCCATAGGCACTAGTCTGACCAAAAATAGCCCCAAGATTGGTGGGGAGGACGCAAAGAGCCCAGACGGCATCAGTGTGGCCATCCAGGGTGGCTTTGGGGTCCACTCTACCTCTCTCCCAGACGCGGATCGTGGCATCCCGGCCCCCGGAGAAGATCCAGCCGTCTCCCTGAGCGCGACCGCCCGTAGAGAAGTTCGGAGATGGCGACCAAGATGTCAAGGAGAGCACGGCGCCGTTATGGCCGCGATGGGTAAAGTCTGCGGTGACGTCGAGATCCGAACCGCTTGTGCTCAGGTGACCGGGATTCCGGTCGGGGATGTGGAACCGTTTGATCGTCCCATCGTCTCCAGCAGTGCAGATCTCGGGTTCGCCCGGGCTGCCACCGCCCGAGAAAATGAGGGTTCGGACCGTGTCTAGGTGACCCCGGAGACCGAACCGGAGCTTAAAATTCGCGCTTTCTGCCTTGTGGCCCAGCGCGTTGAGCGACAGTTCATGTTCTGCGCTCCTCCTGCGAGCCATCGAGGCTGAGCTCTTTCTCCGGTGCGAAACAGGGACGCGATTGGGTGATTTGGGAAGGTTTTCCGCTGTAGGGAAGACGTCGATATCTGGCCGATTGGAAAGCTGCTGCGCCTGGTTTGCAGAAGTTGAATCCGGGAAGCCAGTCTCGCTGAAATCCCAGCCGTCCGCTTCCGTTGTTGGACGTTTCTCAGCAGTTTCCCCCACCTCCTCGACTCTGTTCAGAGGTCTGAGCTGGCTGCTCGACTCTGGGTTTTGCTCTTCGACTGTCTTGTTAGCCATTGGCACTTGTGCAGGCCATTCACCCGTGTTGCTATACATCGCGGGAGGATTCTCGGTGTTTGATGTTCGGACCATGGGCGTAGGTTGCATATCGGGATTCTTCACAACGAAGCTGCCGGGACCTTGAGGCTGCTGTGCAAGGTGGTTCGGGGCTGGGGCTAGTCGAGCCTGGGCGGCGAGAATCTCGCGGACGTGGTTCTGCTGCGGCCGCATATTCTGTTGAAACGATTGATCCAGCGCCTGCTGGCTGAACTGATCACCTTCCCGCAGATCTTCGATCATGGGAAGAGGTGGGGATTCTCTTGGGGGTATTGGGTTTGCAGGAGTGATCATGAGATATGTAAACTCGGCTTGACACTGGTCGAGGAATGTCTTCAACTCGTTGCGCGCATTTTCATCGTCAACGGGACTCGTCACGGGGCCGTCGATGTCCATCGCGGGGTTGATTGGCTTTTCCAACGAGGCTGTTTTCGGAAAGGTCAGTGGTGTCCCCAAGGTAAACATCAAGCGGCCAAGAGTCCAAGGCTTACAGCGTAGCTTCTCCTCAATGAGGGCAGCCCGGTCGTATTTAGTCTTCTCTGACTCGGTATCGGGAGAACCGTTGCCCTTGAGCAGGGTAGCTTGATCCTTGACCTTTTTCTCGAGTATTGTAACATATTTCTTCAATGCCTTTTGCGTCGCATCAGCTCTCCGCGCCTGGCCCTCGAGGTTTGCTATCCTGCTCTTCATTTCCTGCTTCTCGATCTCCCAGGAGTTGCGGTCGCGTTCGTGCCTGTGCCATTCCGTCTGGAGAAAGCGCATGACACCTGCGACGAGCCTTGGTTAGCACTTGTGGCCGGTATGGAGCTCCCAGTCGCGTCCTTGGTGACGGAATGGTGTTCACCTTGTAGCGTGTACTCAGTCGCGGGCGGCTGGTTTGCGCCGTTGCCCATGGGACCCATCTCGTGCCCGGGACCGCCACCGATCCCATTCCCTCCATTTGTGCCCATGGCGGCGGGAGGTGTTGCCAGCTCAGGCGCCGAGTTAGTCGCGAAAGCTCAATCTGGCCATGGACACGTCGACAAGCGACGGTGAGGAGATCCTGAGAGGGCAAAGCTTCGCAGCCCGACAGAGCGATGTTTATCTCTTAAAAAGTGCGATATTAGAGTTGGACGAAACAAATGCAAAACAATCGTGTTGAAAGGGAGCGTGGGCTCGAAAGCTGTCCTCTTGGTCGCGTCGACAGCTTTTTTTGTCGCCAATTTTTCGTCACTGCAAAATGGGCGAGTAGGGCGGCAATTGCTGGCCTGGCTTTGGCGATGCTGGCCACAGGACCCGGCCACTGGGGAACGGGGAGCTTGCTGGGATAAGTGGGCCTTCTACCTGTATTGACGAATCAAAGAGTTTTTTAAGCGTGAGGCTGCATGGCATAGACTGCTTGACTGCTTGGAGACTCGTTTCCGACCCACTTTTGATGTCTCAGGGGCTCATCAGCTTTGGTCAGTTTCTAGGAGAAGCGCAGAGAGACACTGGGGGCCGCTAAGCATCGCCTCAGGCGATTGGCATCAATCAGATTAGGCCTTCTATCACAGCTGCACGTTGGCTATGTCGACGGACGCACCCCTGCGCTTGCCTACATTTGTTACTGATTCTCACAACGAGACTCGCGCATGCAAACGCAGAACGTGAGCAGGGACAGGTTACCATGCACGAGCTCTCCCGGCCAATCACGGCAGATCGACACCACAAGCACTCTGTTGTTGAACCAAGGCAATAATGTTGAAGAAGACATATGGTACCGAGTATTCTGTGAGACTTCCCTTGCTATGGACGTCAAGAGATATATACAGGCATCGTGTAACTATGTGGTGTTGTTGTCAGAACTCAAGCTCCTCAACTTGCATTTTACAGGTTAAGCATGTTTTGACCGTCATTCCCTCCTCGTTCTCCACCGTCCGGCCCCATTCGTGGACATGTTTCCCGCTGCCGCCGACTGTGTCCCCGAACTTTGTGGCACCACCTTTTCCTCCGACTATGCCGCCGCCGCCTGCCTTGCCGGTATTACGCCGGAAGGCCTCGGTTCTTGTTTTGCGCTTCAACTCGAGCAGCTTCTCCTTGAATTTTACCTCTTTCCGTCTCTTCTTGTCCCCCTCGCGCTTCTCGAACTCGGCGTCCAGTGCCTCTACCGAACCCCACTTATGTGTAAGGGCGTATTCTTCCACTTGGTATCGTAGAAAGAGCATCATGTCGTGCCAGTGTGATTTGTGTGGGTTTGGCTTGGACAAGTGCGGGAGTAGTTCGGGGTCCTTGAGCTCGGCTGCAGCGCAGTGTTGGTTAGCACGGCTTGTTTACTTAGCAGAGCGCGTTGCTCTGCCTCAAGCACAGAGAAAGACTCACGGTCTGTCAATAGATAGTCCTCCCTGCACTCCGTCTTGGTGAGCAAGCTGTATTTCTCGGGATACTTCTCTTTGCAGGTGTTGCACACGGCACAGCCAAAGACCTCCTCCCACACGAAGTCAATCTCGACGCTGCGGCACTCCCTGCATCGTTTCCTCGTCTTCTCGTCTGCCAAGACGCTGATCCCAGGCTCGAAAGGGCCGGCCTTGTTCCGCTGCAACTTCTTTATCAGCTGCATCCGCTCCCACTCAGCTGCCGTCATATGTGCTGGCTTCTGCTCGGCCTCGGGCTGGCCAGGCTGGCTGCTCGCCCCAGCAGACATGCTCTTGTTCCACGGATCATCTTCGGTGCTCAAGAACCCGCCCTTGGTGTCTGTCATGGTGCTGAAGTTGTAGTCGACGTATTTGGTGAACTTGTGCGACATGGGGGGCAAGGCGCCATCCGCAGGAGCGGCCCCGGTCTTGTTCGGTGCCGTTCGTGCATCGCGGTTCGTGGCGGGCACCTGGGATCGCGTGATGGATTCGTAAGGTCGTTTTTTCCCGGCCGGTCCGGCGAGTTCGATGTCGTCGGTTGCGACAAAGCCGGAGGCAGTCCGTGGTTGTGAAGGGACACCGGCCGCGCGCTGTTCTGCTTCGCGCTGGTCTCGGATGGCTTTTGCGTGCAAGCGGGATTCCTCCTGTAGACGCGCGGACACAAGCCGCCCTCGTCAGTATGGACATCAGGGATGATAAACGGGTTCGTAGAAGGCTTGGTGTGCCGAAGACAGTTGGACTTACTATACGGCGAGTGACTTCGGGAGTTGGCGGGGATCGTGGACGAGCTGGAGCAGTCGCTCTTGGCTGCGGTGGCCGCGGTGGAGTGGATGGCCGCTCCATTTGGGCAACCCGTGTGTGGTCCAAAACTGTAGCCACAGAGTAGTATAATTGCACTGATCCGTTAAACAGTCCTTTACCTGGGAGCTAATGTGCAAAATGTTATTCAATAGGTAAAATAGTGCCGGGAAGAGGCAACATGTGGTGGTTGAGATTTTGGAGAATGTGCCTGAAAGTCGCCTTCTGCCAAGCGGTTTGACAATGACGCTGGTGGGCTAGGTGTGTTGGTGCTCGTTCCGCACCCCAGAAGGCCTGGCGCCGCACCACCCGGACTCGCGCACGCTTGAATGCCGTTGGTCAACCCGCGAAGAACTAAAAAAAATAGTAAAGCCTTCTCGTCACTCCTAACACCTGGATAGGATGAAATCAAACCTCGTCTTGGAGTAGACGATACTAGCTTTCCGCGAAGGCGGCATCTTTTTCTTGGATGACTCAGGAAAGTGAAGGGTGGTAACGGACGAGGCATCCCCAAAAAGGATGCGACGCTTTCAATGTCTTTGAGTTTACGGATGTGACAATTAATGTCTCCTAACCCGGCTACTAGACTCTATTATATGCCCGCGCCGCCCATTTTATGGAATAAATAAATCACACAGAACTGATCGCGCTCGGCGAGTTAAAAAAAAACACCAGGCTCCCGCCGACAGCATCACAGTTTGCCTACTCTTCCTTAACACCCCCGTGGCCAGCGCGCTCCGCCGCCTCAACAGTCTTCTTATCACTCTGCGCGGGGCCGCTCTGGAGGCCGCTCATGAAGCCCGCTGGCTGCTTGAAGGGTCTCTTGAGGTCGCCAACAGCTGGCTGGCCAAAGAGGTGGATCTTGGTCATGTTGGACTCGAAGGCGCCCTTGAGAGGGATGATGCTCTGAATGACGAGGGGGTTGGTGTACCCGAAGTAGATGTGCATGACGCCCATCATGCCCACTCCCATCAGCTGCGAGCGCATCAAGTTCTTGAGCTGGCCGACGTCGTAGGCGTGGACCGTCGTCGTCACGAGCTTGCCCTCTTCGGAGGAGCCCATGGGCGCCGGCTCGACATATTTGAGCGTAGTCAAGTCTGTATCCAGTCTATGTTAGCAGACAGCCTTGCCGGTCGCGCGGAGCGACAAGGGGCAAGATGGCAACGCACCCTTCTTCTTGTCGACCACAGTCTTCATGTAGAGATAAATGCCCAATATGATCAGGTTGCTGAGTATGTAGGCCGCGCGGCACGCATTGAGTACGAAAGGGTCCTCGAAGGGGATCTTTTTGGAGATTTGCATCACCCCGAGGATGATGACCAGGTTGGTGCTGTAGAGGTCGCAAACTTGTCAGCTTTCATTTCTCCATTTCGCGCAACAGCGCGCTGAAACGTCGCGTTGCCTTACATTTGCGGGCTGAGGCCGACCATTTTAACTGTGGCTAAGGTCGCTCGCGGAAGACGAAGTTTGGGACTTGAATGGTTGGATGCGAAAGATAGATTGCGCGAGATTAATTAGGGGCCCGGGGCTATGATGCTTGCGTGATGGCGAATGTCGACAGATTTTATTTCTCGTGAGGGTGCTGTTCAGCACAAGTCCCGCATTACCAGGTTCCACCTTCCATTCAACGCCCCTAGCGGTCGGCTTTGCTATTGTTCCGGGGTCGCGTCACCTAAAACTGCCTGGGCCCTAGCGGAATCGGCCGCCAAGGGCGAAAGGCCACGTTCACACGTTGAGGTTCGGAGCAGTAGCCACTCTAACTTGACTCCACCGCGGCACCGAGCAGGACCGCGAACGACGCCGCAATTTCCACCGGGCTTATCTAGACATTTAAGGTAACCACCTTCCCAATTTACGAACAGACAAACATGGCTCAACGGGTTTCTTTTCGCAAATTTATGCACCTTCTCTGAGGCCCAAAGCCGCAAGCCGCAATCCACGTGGGCGAGAATGTCAACCTTTTGATGGGATTATCCAGAGTTGGCCAGAGTGTTGGCGTTAACCTGACTGGGATGAAACAACTTTTCTCTTGCAAGGCGATGCAAGCGTCTATATCACGGGCTTCTTCCTTCATGGCATCTGCCAAAAATCTTCTTTCTTCTTAGGTTCCTCTGAGCCTAACGCAATGTCTGCAAATGATGTTTGCTCTTCCGGAATATCGGGCGCGTATCTACGCGTGATGGTTACATTGACCGCGATCAAGCGGCCTTTCTTTGGCTTTCCGGCTTTCGACCTTCTCCAGCCTTTGCCGTGCTTGTGATGAGGTCTACCGATCACTGGCAAACATATCACTGAGACCAAGTTTGCCTGTGCTGTGGTGATTGAACAAGAGTTGCCCTTTTTGTGAGGGTCAAGAGTTGCAGTGCAACAAATTGGGACATGCAAGTGGACATTCTCTCTCCTCGTTAATACTTGTGTATAAGTACGAGCCCTTTTCGTGTTCGCCATGTACTCCAGACCTTGCAACTGTCAGCGTGCCGCGTCATCCTGACTTGCACCATGGGCTTCGACAGCAAGCACGCTCATTTTCTCTTCTTCGCTGGCTATAAGCGGCGGAAGAGCAAGACCAACAAACGATCAGACTTGCCAATGGTCAACGTCAACGTGCATAATAGTGCCTACGCCGCTCCCGCCAATGTTTCTCAGAACGCTGGGATGGGCAATTCCCCGTTCGACATGCCGCCTCAGGGAGACATTCGACGAGGACGTCGGTACTCAAGCTATTCGCAAATAGGCTCGGACTCGTCCCTGGCATCCGAGAGAGCCGATCCGTTCCCGGCTAGTCCGGGAGAACCAAACCGTGACTCGCGCCCAGACAGAGCGGCCCCCGAGAACCGCAATGGCCGTCGTCGGCAGTCAATGAATCCCAACCACCAACATCACAACCCCAGCCTCCAGCGCAACTGGCCTGTCAACGACAGTAACCTTTTCATGACTTTCCCTCAGTATTTGTCCATGAACCGGGCATCCAACCACAGCTTCTTGCCAGTTTCGCCCGGGCCAGTACGCTCTGTATCTGCAGTAGACTTCGACAATCTTGCTACAGTGTTCCGGGTTGTCGATCGAACGGCAGCGGAGAACGCTGCTGGACAGCAGCCGGCGGACAAGGAGTTTGTTATTGTTTGCCCTGGCAGTCATGTTGAAGATATGATCCACAAACTTGCGCTGGGCGCTGATAGGCCGGTACGGGTTTTTCTCCGTAGCCCCGACGGGCATGAACTCGGGGGCCTGGATTCCATCTCCAGAGTCCTAGCCGGTGCCCAGTCTTTCTGGGTTGAGATCAGTGACGATGACTAGGTGGTGAGGATACCAATCGTCTGGACGACACTCTGCCACGGCTCGGCAGAAACTTAATGCGCTATTAGTTGCCCTTAGCCAGCATACTTTAACAGCTGGGATGGATCTTGGGGGGACTTCGAGGTTACCTCATTCTCTGTTCGCTTTTTGCCTGAGTATGTATTGGGTGATCCGCCTAGGATGGGGTTTTGGGACAGGCTATAGCTCTTATGCATCCTGTCATGCATGTATCAACTACATCTTTCCTTTGGTATTGTCGCCCTGCCGGTTGTCATACAGAAGACATTGTCTCTCTGACGAGCACAGGTTTCTATTCTTTTTTTCGTTCTCCGGTTGGCATTGCTTGGTAAAACTTGGGAAACGTGCGGCTATTTTGGGACCTCTATCATCGCTGTGCGTACACGTAGGGCGGACTAGATAGATGGGGCAAACATTGCTAATAATAAACAATCATTCCCGGGCAGTTTGCTTCGCACAACATACCTTAGTAATCCGGGATACTCCAAGTTCGTGGCCTCCTCTGTTTGCCCCGATGGGCCGAAAGCGATGGCCTTAAAATAAGACGCTTGCCTTGCTTCTGAGACATCCCTTGATTCAACGATTCTCGTCTTGAGGGCTGAAATCGCACTCGACTTCAGAAAAGCTGGTTTGATGTTGTTTCTGACGCCTAATTACTCCAAAACCGCCGTCGATCCTCTCACCATGTGCCGAAAACTAAGCATTATCTTCGACGGCAGTCCCTGCAACAGGCTGTGCACCGACCCGTCATTGACGCCCCGGGTGATTGAGTGCGAATACAAAAAGATTGGCCGGCGATGCTATCTGGGGGGCTTGGACGTGGTCGTCCCCATCCACTGCCCCCGTCACCGCAGGGACGTGATCAACCCCAAGATCGATGAATACTACAGAACTGTCTCTGCCTACACGACAGCTTCGCCCACTGGCACGGGGGTACAGGTCAAGAAGACAGCCCTCCTCCACCCGGATGTTGCGTCTCGCATCTTTAGCTATCTGACCATCCGCCGGATGGCGCTGTCGATACTGTATGCGGAGGCGATCCAGGACTTTAGCAAGGACTTTGGGATGCCAACGGGAAAGAACGCCGGAGACTATAGGCTTCTTGAAGACTTTGCAGGCGACATGGACAAAGCGCTGGCACTGTTCAGGGATGACGGAAAGGTCAAACCGGGAACAGCCCCTATCGACCTCCCCGGCGATGTCCTCGACCTGTTTTGGAGGACAGATGACCCCCGCAGGCCAGCCAGCGGGACATAGCAAAACTAAAAATTGCATTACCATTAAACGGGGGATTTGGACTTTGGACTATAGACTGGGCATATCTTGATAGTTGCATCATGTACGCTGTAGCTTACTCCTGGATCTGCAACCGGCTTAAGTAGTGGCGACATAGGATTTTGTAGTTGCATGCCATAATGTTTTGTTATTCAACCCACGGGATATTTTCTATGCGCTGTTTTCTTCTCAGCCTTACGTCTAGTAATCAGCAATTGCTTGGAAAAAGACGGCACGCACATAATAATCCGGCCTAATTTTCACCTGGATATAGGTGGCAAGACACGGTACATACCGCACATTGTCGGCATCCAAGCTGCCTCTCTTCCAACAACAAACACCTTTCTCATGTCAAAACTCTTGTCAAAACTAGCGCTGCCGTAGCCTTTCTGATTCGCAGCCACTCTCTTCCCTAGCCCGTCGCTAAGGTCGCAGCTAAAGTGCGTGGAGCCGAATGCCCACATGGCCACAGCCTTGTTCACCCAGCACTCTTCAGCGCTCAGGTCCGTGGCAAACCCCGACGACACGGAGCTGTTCCTGTATCTCTCTTTGACGGCCCTATCGTCGAGCATCGGGCTGTCCCCCCCTCAGTCATCCTCGCTTTCACCCTCATCCTCCAGCTCAGCATCATAGTCAAAGCCATCATGTTTTTGTGTTCGGCGGACGACTTGGTCGGCGACGATCGCTAGCCCTGACTGGTCAGGCCCCGAATTGGCAGTTCCTCCCTTCTCCTCAATAGCGTGATCCATGATAGACTCAACGATACTGCTGGCGTCGTGTCCAATCTCGTTGACGAAGCCGAGGAGCATGTTCCTCTTCACGTATCTTCCGTGAGTGCCCCAGTACCTTGTCCCCTTGAGGACTTCTTTCTTTACTAACGAGTTGGGGCTTGTAACAGACTCCTTCCAGGTCAGCTGGGTAATGGCGTTGAGAAACGCCTACCAGACATATCGAGCCTTGGGCCGTATATCGGTGATGAATGTAAGACGGCGTCCGTGTAGGCCGGCCAAGTTCCCGAATTCGAGTTTTTAAACCTCCTTCGGGAACACTACCTCCTGCATAGTCGAAGCCGTTGCGTCAAAGACCGTAATACGGTACTCTCTGGGAAAAGTCGTTTCCCAATCCTTGAGGGCCTGGTGCCGTTCGTCTTTGTCCTCCCACGGAGCTGCGGAATCCTTTGGTTCCAAATTGGTATCAGGGACGATGACCAAGAAGCCCCTATCAAAAGCCTCTTCTATAGCCGAATGGAGAAAGATGCCGTTAACGGCCGAGAAGAGTTCGTCGCGGGCGCCAATCCCGAAGATGGAGTCCATAAGGTCCGCTGAGCGCCAAGGGAAGAGATGTGCGGCGATGCCGACTTTCTTATCGACCCAAGTCCCAAGCACCGGATCCCAAATGCCATTGGAGCCAGGGCAATAGGCTTGCTTCATCAAGTCTCTCATCATTGACTGGTCACTTGTTTCGCGCCGGCCCTTAGATGTAGCATTGAGGTCGAACCCTAGCCTCGACGTGTTGAAGAGCTTGACGAATTGGGGATAGTGTTGGAGAGGAGTCTGCTCCAGCTTTCGGCGTGCTCCTTCGCAATTGATGCTTGTCTTGCGAGTGCAATATACTGTAGCAGGCATTCTCTTCCTTTCTCGTCCACGTCTTCCCAGCGCTCTCTCGACAAGCCTCCGCCGCCTTCCTGATATTTCGGAACTGGAGTGAGCTATATACCCCGACTCTCTCCGCGTCCATGGTAAGGAGATCTGCATTGTTTGACTAGAAAATGGAATAGAATGACGACGACGGCTTGAGCTTCTTCTGGGCGGCCTTGATCTTGTCAACTAGGTCGCTATGTTCATTCTCGAGTGCGTATATCGATTTTCTCGAGAGATCCTTTCTCTTGCTGCTCGAGCGTATCGGGATCTCGGGGGCGCTAGCAGGGGAGCCCACAGTCGGGAAATCAAGAGACGAGCGCCTCTCAGAGACGATCAGAGCGGTGCCTGACATGATGAGAAGTTTTGAGGTCAGAAAGAATTGAGGACAAAAGGTGTTCTGGCGCAGAGTCGAGGTGGGGTTGAGTTGGATAGAAAGGACAATGTAGTTTTTTCAGGAGGATGGAGGTCAGAAAGAATTGAGGACACGCAGAGTCGAGGTGGAGGACGATATAGTTTCTTCAGAGAAGGTTAAAAGGAAGAAGGATCTATAGTGGGGTTCCTGCAAGGAGCCCCGACCACGGCACATGCATTCCACGGAGAGCCACCTCGGCGCAGCGACTAATTAGGTGGCTTTGGAGCATGCAATATTACTTTCATAATATTCCACCAATATGTCATGCCCAGCATACCGACTACGAAATCACCCTGATGCGGAAAGGCATATTTTTAGTTTCACTTGGTTCATGGTTGCCATGACAGACTTCGGCGAATTGGGTTACGTTTGAAAGATTAAATATAGTTGTCTTGCCTATGTCTACGCCATGGCCATCATCGCTACGCTTTGCTTGTAGTCGCTGGTCCCGTTGCCCGGGTCTGCGTCTTGGGGCGAGCACGAGCTGCCGGCCTCGCCCTCGCCCCTGGCGCCGTCGATGCGCATGAACTGCCGGCCGCTGGTCGCCTTGAGCAAGTTCTGCTGCGCGTCGTCGAGCCAGCCATTGATGAAGTCTCCGTCTGCATTTTGGAGTGGTTGGTAACGAATCCGTCAGCAAGTGACCTTGCAAACTTGGAACAAGAGGACATAGTGGATTTACCCACAACTCCGCATGCCAGCTTGAGCGGCGGAGGCCCGGTCCAGCCTTCGGGGATGAGTTTGCGGACATCGTAGCGGATCGAGAAGCGCAGCTGCGGCATACGCTTCATGTCGGCTAGGCAGCAGCCGCCATTGACCGCGGCGTAGGCGTGCTTCTTGATGTCCCTGGGGCAGCGCCGCGCGGGGCCTGCCCTGCCGGTCCTCGGGCCCGTTCTCGCACCACCAAGTCATGTTGTTGATGCGCTCGTCAATGTAGTCCTGGCTCTTGGCGCTGCCGTTGCCAGCAACCGCGTAGAAGTCTTTTGGGAACAGGATCTCGGCCTTGTCAATGTTCTCGTAGTAGGTGCTGAACATGATGGGGTTGACTTCGGTGTAGCTGTCTCCGTCGACGTGGTACAGAGTCGAGGCCCCTGAGTAGGAGTTAGTCAGAACTCGTGGATTCAAGTCGATCCATTTTGGCTCACAGTTGACGGAAACGCCGTTGGGGTTTTCCCCCGAGGAGCATCCCTTCTGGAGCTCTTCGGTTATGGGGAGAGTCTTGGTGACAACGTCTGAGCCATAGAACGAGCGCATGTGAGACTTGTACAGTCCCGGAAGCACGATAGGGTCAATGTTCTTGAGCATAAACGGCTTGTGGCGGATATCAGTATAGGCGGCACCAACGCCCGCCAGATGCGCGACGGCGGCGGCCTTTTTGCCTATCACGACAGCAAAGAGACGAGATATTTGGTTAAGCACCGGTACCTCCATTCAGCAATGCAATCGAGCGGGGGTTGTTATATAGTATGTCTGCGATAGTGATATCCAAGTGCCGAGTAAACTGCAGACAGATAACTCTTGGCGGAACTAGCTCGGATGTTGACATGATAATATGCAGCGTAATTCGCCAACGATGGCTTGCTGTATCGTGACTGGCCTCTGGCAAGCAGCTTCATCCTGCTGCAACCATATTGAACATGACATCTTTTAGACGGAATCCGTGGTTGGACAGATATCGAGACTCCTACGTCATCCTTACTACGTAGGTAGCACGTGGCAGCAGAATCAGAGTCTAGACACGCCCACTCACCATGCCACGCCACCGCGGCTGATCTCTCGACGGGACAAGGCAGTGTAATGCTACGCGGACATGTTAGCTTGAAGTTGATAGGGCTAATATTGAGAGCCAGAGAAATAGGATCAGAGCTATCAGTGCTTCTCTCAAATCCAACGCCACATGGAGGTAGACTCTGTCGTCCATCCATCCAGCCAGCCAGCTAGCCACCCACAGGAGTAGTTTCCCCGGCTTGATATCGCAACTCAACTCTAGCAAGCTTGCAGCGAATCGGCCACGGCCGTGAGTGAATACTTCCCCGGAATCGACCGGGATGTCAGTCGACTGACTGTCGGCTCGTGACCCGAGCCCACGCTAACCAACTGCCTGCGGCACACACACAGTCAACGGCTGCGGGAAACGTCTCGTCGAGTTTGGTACCGGACCCGCGACATTCATGCACGCGGGGATCTACACGACGGGGGCGCCTAGATTCTCCCATTAGGCCTAGTGTTTCTCGGAGGGTGCATCGTGAGGGCAGAAACCCGTCTGTCTCAGTTGGCTGAGATAATGATATGCGAGGCGAGGCGGGTGACAGAGTTTTTGCACACATCGGCATAACCGAGCAGGCAGGCAGGCAGGCAGGCAGCGACCCACGAGACCCGTGGGACCTTGTGCGTATTCCATGGATCCCCCGCTTCCCCAAATGTTGGGTGCTCTACGTCCTCGCAGGCTGCCCTGAATGCTTAGGGGGTGTTAATCTAATTCTAATTAAAGAGGTGCCTATTCTGTGGACAGCGGCCGGACAACCTCGAATTCTCACACTGGTCTGGACTGGGAAGAATATGGATAAAGTGAACACAAGAAATAGAATCCGTTACATTCTACTCTGTATTCTCAATTGAACTTGTACGTGATCATTGTGAAAGCGTTGGACAAGTGAATAAATACGAGATAATCTCCATCTTCAATTTTGCGTGCAGGCAATCTGATTCTGCTGTAGCAAGTGGTCTAGTAAGTTACTTCAGAAGCTCAAGACGAGAGCAAGGAAAAGGAAAATATAGAAATCGCAAATAAGGAAAGAAAAGATCAATAAATAGCAAGAGAACACAAGAACGTCTACACTCCCATCCCTCCCCTAAACGCCTTCCGCTGTAATAATCTACTCATTCTCATAATGTGTGGAGGTATCTAATGCCGTTGAAACCCGCCCCGCGATGCAATGCAATGCCGAAAGAAATATAACATGTGAGCAACATGAGACAACTACCTAGAAACCGCACAGCCTTTCCTTGTAATTAGGACGTGCAGCTTCTCAGTTTATCGCCGGCCGCCGCTGACGCCCATCATGGGGTATTTCTTGTAGAGCATGTCGAGGGCGTCGCCCTGCTGCTGCTGGGCCGCGGATGATGATGCGCGGTGAGACGATGTCGTCGCCTTGCTGCGGCTGAAGAAGCTGCGGCGCTTGGGCTCTGTCGTGGACGAGCTAAGCAGTGGCTTGTACGAGCTGATGGAGGCCTGGTCGGCACTGGCGGTGCTGTAAGGCATTTTGGGGGTCTGTGTTGGAGATGTAGACTTTTGGACGCTGTTTCTTGTTGGAGATTCTGAGAGGCGATTTGATCAAAGCTTGTTGGTGCGGGTGTTTGTATATGAAGATGATTGTTTAGTTGTAGAGAAAGTAGGGCCTCAGGTCGAGGTTGGAGGACGTGGCGTTGATGTTTTATAGGAATGGCGTTGGCGGATTGCAGCATTGAAAATTTTCGCAGCACTTGCAGCTGCCTGACAGGCAACCGCTTCTCGAGGATGAGGGCCTGAGTCAGCATAGCATCGTTTCCCGTCCTGAGGCGCTTGCGTGTGTGACAGCGCATTGCGTGTCTGGCCGTTGACTCATCTTGCCGACCGCCGAGCCTCGACCAATGAAATGACGGGCCACGAACCAACAATGGGTGTGTGCCAGGCATTCTGAGGGGCGTTCTCAACAGCGTCTGTGGCCCAGCATATGACTTTGCTTGGTGACCGAGTTGCACATGTGTGCAATATGCGTCGGGGCGCTCCGGAACTCCTGCCGGCTAATATAAAAGCTGCCCTTAGCCCTTTTGCCAAGCAGTGTCAGTCATGTTGGGACCTTGTGGCACCAAGTTTGGACCCCCAGCTGGCGGTGACCGGCTGATAGCGATGTTCCAAGTACGTGTACTGTCCATAGCGACTGTTGACAGTGGAATTCGAGCTGGTATATGCTACCATCGCAATCTTCAGGGGGTTGTAACGACACTCTGCCGGATCTGGAAGGTGTCTAAACACAAATACGCGGCCTCGGGGCGTGCGCGCCATGCCGCCGTCATGGCCAATGGCAAAAATTGGGGGAGATGGAACTGAGCAAGGCTGGTTTGGTATGGCGACGAAATCTCTCCTCCGCGACCATGGTCTGGATCTTTTACGTGCGGTAGCCCAAAGCGCCTGGGGCCGGGGGAGGCCGGGCACGGCGCGCGGCTCAAAGCCGCGGGACAGCATAACCATCGTCTATTTTAGGTCGTGTGACTGCGGGTGAATTGGCGAGTCGATCCTGTGCCAGAGGCTCCCAATCGTGCACAGCCATCCAACACCGACCTTGTGGGGCGGAAATTTTACCATGGAGGCGGGTTGTCAATTTGCAAAATCAAAGTCACCGGGACTGACTGTGTTCGGCATGGCTCAGCCTCATGAATAAGTTCTCTACCTCAACTATACCTCTTGTGACATCAACTCAGAAATTTCTAAATGTTATGGCGGGCAGGCGCCGAGACTGCAAAGCCACATCTCATCGAGGCTGGTACAACTCGAGATTGTCTTGTGTAGCGCTAATCACTATGTGGCCTGTTACCGGGTGAGAAACACCATAGCCATGGTTGCATTTATCGGAAAACTTAGGATCGCGTGCACTTTTAGTCTTTCACAAGGCGGGAAGATCTGAACGGTGGTTGGTTGTTCGGACTTCGGGACGGCGACGAGCACGAACACGTCCCTTAACAATTGGGAATCGTGGTATGGTGTATGCGAACCCGTTTTCTCCCGGATTTCTGATACCTCAAGGAGCGTCCATATGTCATAGGACCAGCAAACATGAGTGGAACGGATGCGTCATCCTTGTTTTGTCCGCTAACAGATTCGCGCTATTATATGCCCAAAATGCCTCAGTATCAAACCATTATCGCAGGCGGTATTTGGCTGCTCGTTTGCTACCGTGTGATATCACCATGTTCTTTCCAGATTTTTTTCACGAATCATCGGCTTCCTCCTCGACCGAGCCATATGCCGTCCCGCTGCCCAAGTTTATGTTTAGGTTCAGACTTAATCTCGATGCTTCGGTGATCTTCGCATCGCTGACTCCGCTCCCACCATCTCCTTGAGGTCGCTGGCTTGTAGGCACCTGAGTCCCGCCATAGAGACTGACAGGTGTGACCTGCTCAACTATGTGCACGTACGAATACTTGTCAAGCTCTCTCCCGCTGACCAGCGAGCCTAACTCAGCCCCATCGATCTTTGCGTTCTCTGGGTACTCGAGCTTTCCCGTCTCGCTCCTCTTGTCTGGGTCGTATGTCTTGAAAGGCCGCCTGACCCCGATCACCCTCTTGGTCGCCTCCTTGAGAGCATACAAAACATCAACCGAGGCGTCTACCTTAGCTTGCACGATGAACGGATTGTTGTTCTTGCGCTCGATTATAACGGCGAGCTGATATGAGTCGGGGATTTGCTTCTCACGATCGTTTTCGGTAACCGTCCATTCAACCACATTGTTGCCCTCGCGATCCCGAGTCCGAGTGCTCATGCTCGCCTTTGCGCTGACCGTGGCAAACACGTGCTGGTCCCAGTCGGCCTGGTTCTTCCACTCGTAGGAAAACCCCAGGTTGATGGGCGCTGGCGCGGCATCCACCTTTGCGGATGCGCTGGCGTTGTGCTGTTGCTGCCGCACGACTGTCGTGAGGATAACCCCAATGCTGCCATCTTGGGCAGGCGCAAAACACCGGATGGCCGGGTCATCAGCAGGCTGGTCAGAGCTGGACGTGAAGGTGAGTCCGACTGTCACGTGGCGAAACCGTCGATTCTTGGAGCTGGTGTCACGATGCAGACTGAAATGCACCACGACGAGGCTGGCGGGAACCTTGTTGGAGCTGCTCAGCTGCCCGTGCAGAACAAATTGCTCAGTGACAGTGGTTGTGAAGCCGCTCGCCTCGACTTGAATGATAGGGTTGCCGAGATATGTTCGGTTCGTACCCTGCTCATTCGGGTCAAAGATGAGCGGAACAGAAATGCCGAACTCCTCGCTTCCGGCCATGGCTAGAGAGAAATCGATGCCGAAGTAATGAAGTCGAGGGTCTTCTTTCACACAATCCTTGATGATGCGACTCGTGAATTGCAAAGTAAATTAATGGGATGAAAGTAAACACAGCAATTGACCCTGGGTTCGGAGGCTCGGAACGATGCAGCGCAAAAGAACCGAGCCTCATGGCCAGCACCCAACGCTGAGTTTAATCTCGTGGCTAGCCTGCACAGCCCGGAGCAATAATGTCCAGGCTAGGCTTCAAGGGGGCGATGACTGCATCTCAGCCCAACTTGCCTTATTAGCCACATTGCATAAGTGCGAGATCTTCGGTAGAAATGGGCCAATAACACGGGGCGCTTACGCCTGGACAAGGGTTCGCGAAATCCTTTCGGGGCTGGGGCGGGGTGCAGGAGTAGCCAAGATTTGTTTTTGTGATCGAGATGCAACCGAGCCCCGTCTGATAATTTCTTCTCCGTCCATGGTAAGTAATCCTACCCAAAGCAATCTCTCGACATAGCATTGAGGGTAATGTTCGGAAAAGAGACAAGAACGAAGAAATGGGCGAGATGGAGTCGGACAACATCCAAAATGTCCTGGAGGGGCTCAGAGCGGCCTGGGAAGATGCCGAAGACGAGCAGGCTCGCGAGAGCCTGATCCAGAAGTGGATGAAGACACTTGAAGTGAGTCCAAGGCCATTTCCTGTCCACGCCAGACAGCCTCTCTCTGCCTTTCTGACGCGCCACAATGCGTAGGACTATTGCAAAGATAGATATGACTATGCCGACGCCAATGATGTCTTTGGGGACTTCATAGAGGCAAGACTCGCAGATCTGCTCGAAGCCTTCAACCCAGCCACGGCGGACCATGTTGGCCCCCTCGATGCGTTCCTCCGTTCCATGGATGACGAGTCAAACATCAGGGTGTGTTTTGAGAACGCATTGATGAGCCAAAAGAAGTTCTTGCGCTCAGCTCAGATGGAAACAAGCCCATTGAAGAGCGAAAACCTGAAATTGAACAGAGCTAAATGGGTATCTGTGGCCATGAGGCTCATCAACCATCATAGCCAGTGCATCGTACCCCTGGTAACATCAGATGGAGAGGGCTCGGCCACAAGAAATCTGTGGAAAGATGACGAGACGGCGTTGCATGTAGCTGTGACACAGAGTTGCCCAGAAGCCGTTGAAGCATTGCTGAGCGCTGTGCGGGCACAGCACCAAGACCATAGCCGAGGCGAGCGTGCGATGCTGAGTCAGAAGAGCTCTGGCCAAACAGCGCTTGCAATAGCTGTTGACCAGCTGGATCTTGAGACGGTGCGGCTGCTGATCAGGGCGACGAAGGCATTCTTGAACATCTCGTGGGCGCGGGGAGGCTTCCCGCTGCACGACCTCGTTTTGTCCGTCGCCAATCCGGCAAAGAAACACTCGGACCAGGCACTGAACGAATCCTGTCTGATTCTGGCCGAGATAATTGAAGCTGACACCAAAACATCCTTGACATCGCGCTGTGGTGTCATCAGCACAACTCCATGGGACGAGAAGGTCGAAAACCTCCCCCCATATACCTTAGCCTCGCGGGCTGAGAAGGGGCTAAAAGGCTTCAAACGTCGGGCCGCTACCCAGAACTCGCAGTCTCTAGGCAGCCTGGACAGGCGTATTCTTCTTTTGAAGCAGCTTCGTGTCGACATGAAAACGTACATTGCTCGGGAGCTCGACGGCTCTAGTTACGATCAAGCAACGGCTGGCGGTAAGTTTTCGCTCCTGGGGATGTCACGGCTGTAGCCTGTTTGCTGACTGATGAGGTGTGCCTAGATCTGAGTTTGCAAAGTAGGTCTCTCCCGATCCTGGCCGTTAGCTCAACAGGCACTGCTGCGCTGGAACATTGCTGACACAAAGTAGATAAAATCACTTATCTGGACCTCTCGGACTTTGACTCTATGGCCTCGGGCGCGCAGGAGAACGACCTGGAGCGCTTCGTTAACAATTTTAAGCCACGCGCAAACTGTTTTGAGTTCTCCGACATGCTCTCGTACGTGCGGCTACCCGATATGTCGGCTGGGGACCCTGAAAAGACATCCCAGGCCATCATCGCTCTGTTCAAGAACCTGGCCGAGCTCTTCAATGTCGCCAAAATTGTCAGACTTGAGGCCAAAGACAACCCTGCACATCCCATGGAGGACTCAGAAATTGCGAGGATTGTCGAGAAGTTTAATATCGAAGAACTCGACTGGGGGAAATACAATATCGACCTGGATCCGTTACGAGCCCTGGCCGAGGATGGTCGCATTTCGTCTCTGCGGAAGTTGAAGCTATACTCGACAGGGCATTGGGGTGTCCTTCATCATTGGTTAAGTGAAGAGGGAATTTTTGCTTTTGAAAGGGTACAGGTTTTTTTTTACCAAGGAAGATTGATTCTTGCATAATTGGTAGCACTTCAGCTAACATGGGAAACAGCTAAAAGAGATCCTGATCAGCGTGGTTGATCCATATGTACGTTTGGATGGACACGGCTCCGTTCTGGGCTACACGGGCCGAGAGTTCTTCACTGACGGTTTGATAGGAGACAGCTGACTTACCTACGGTTAATACACGCCCGAAGTTGACCGAGATATTGAGGGCGAGGATGAAGCAAAAACTCGAGACTGTCAGGAGTGATATGGTCGGCAAGCTCAAAATCGAGGTGGAACCTGGCCACCCCCATAAACCCCGGACGAGGGACATTTACGTTCCAGAGTCCGTGTCCAATCAGTAAGTTGGACAGACTCAACTCAACTCGACGTGGCTAACCCAGCGGCAGGTTCTTCAAAGCTTTTTCGAACGCGCAGTCGCAGGCTCTTGGTGATTTGGATCCTGGCGATGACGAGAAACTTGGTCTGCTGCGAAGTAAGGTGGCGATTATCGACAACGGTGTCGACATGGGCCAGAAGAGGATTGCGGCAAATGTTCGACGCGGTCGGTCGTTTGTGAGCCTTCATGAAAATGGATGGTACTTGCCGTGGTTCACCTCTGTCCACGTCCACGGGACCCAGATGGCATCGCTAGTTGTGCGCGTTGATCCCAACTGCGATCTCTTTGTATACCGCATCAACTCGCTTCCCGGCGGGTCCATTGATGTGCGCAATGCGGTCGAGGTATGTCACCTGTGCTCTTTTAGACCAACAGCTCCGTGGCGCTGTTGGTGGGTCAGATTCACTCACTAATATCGGACCGCGACACTAGGCAATTGAAGCGGCGATCGAAGACCAGGTCGATGTAATCAACCTCAGCTGGTCCTTCAACAAAAATAGCGAGGCCCTCAAAGATGTCCTGGACAAAGTGACGGACAGCAAGCAGCACAGGGCGCTAGTGTTTTGCGCCAAGTCGGACGAGCTATACGCCGACGACGTGTTCCCAGCCGACTACCTCAGCACCATCAGCGTCGCCGCTGCCACCAGTCGCGGACGCATCGGAACAGAGGGCAGCAAGCGGCCGGATCTGCTCATCCTGGGCGAGAATATGCCGGCATACGGACCTGATTATCTGAATAAGAAGGAAAAGGAATCCAATATTTCGGGGTCATCGGTAGCAACAGCATTGGCATCGGGCATGGCGTCCTTGATGCTCATGCTGGCCAAACAAGACGTCGTGCTTAAAGAGAACTGGGAGCTCTTCAAGACGAAGGAGGTGATGCTCAAACTGTTTGAGCGGTTCAAGACGGACAAGGCCAGCCCCGTGACCTACGTGAACCCAGCAATGGTCTTTGGCGAGCCCCAGGACCGCCTGATTGTCGAGATGAGAAGCGTCATCACTACTTTTTCTAGGGCAGGATACTGACTTGGTTAATACGGGAGCAGCGTTTGCGAGGTATGGGTATCATTCGGTGCCATAAAAAGGACTGATAGGATTAAGGAGGCATAGGCGTGTCCTAAAACTACAAAATTAATTGGAATGCTATTTGTTTTAAAACCTTTGCAGCTTGGATGTGGAAGATTAAGTTGTGGATAATTAAGTTGTGGGTGATTAAGTTGTGGATGATTAAGTTGTGGAAATACTATCCAGAAATTATTGAACATTGAGCTGAGCTCAAATGACTGACGAGACTCGGATTTAGTGGAGAAGCTAGGCGCTGCATAAGCGAAGAGTGGCTGAGAAACTGGGGGGGGGGTGGGGGGGGGGTCGCTCACCAGCTGACATCCATTGAACCCGAGCAGCACAAAGCCCGTTATTACCCGATTGTTAGTGGAACGTGGGAGATGCGTCGAGTTACGCCCCAAATTGAACCCGCTAGCTAGCAGGATCATTAAGAGCCGTTGGCCACCCGCTACGAAACAGTGCATGAGGATTGGGCAGCGGACATGGACAGCGGGTTATGACCAAATCCGGTGCGCCGGCCCAGCACTTGAGGCCGCCTTGCGGGGCGCACTCGATGCACGCTGCAGTGCTGATGACCAGTTCCAGGCTATTCCGAAGCTGGCTGGGTCCAACACCCGACCCCTGGTCGGGCAGCCTCCCGTCGCGTCAATGCCGCCCTCCGTGACGACGCAAGAGGAGCAGATAAATGGGCAGCGACGACAGAGCGCAGTCGCCGATACTTGTTGTCGACACACTCGGTGTCCATTTTGAGGAAGCTTCTTCAGATTTGCTCTATACAGCATACAGAACTCCCTAGGCAGGCACGAGTGAATGGACCCTCTTTCGGCTGTCGGCGAGCAGCCTGACCGCTTCATTTCCAGTGGGCCAACTCGCGCGAACACGCTGCAGAGCGGGTCCAGCGGCTCTAGCAGCTTCGACCTCAATTCCGATACCATCCTTCTTCGACACACGGGCTCGGGGTTTGCAGAATGGGGCTTCAATGATAACGACACGCCGTCGCGGGAGGCGCCAGACAGTGCGCGACTCGGCCGCTTCGACCATCCTGACTGCTCTTTTTCCCTAGTTTCGGTTGGCCAGCAACCCATCAACTGCGAGTACGTCTTTTCCTCTCTTATATCTTTTCTGTCTCTTAGTTGGATAGCTCTTCGAGGTATCTAGTTAGAACTGCAGAAACACTCACTGACAGTCTGTAGCATCATTTTCGTCCATGGGCTGAGTGGCGATGATCGGACGACATGGAAGGCTTCTTCTGTGTCGTGGCCCGAGGAGCTTGCCCTGGAGTGCAAGAACGCGCGGCTCCTCTCCTTCAAATACAACCGGTCTATCTGGACAGGGTCTGACATGCGCTCGATGCAGTCGGCCTCTGAACAGTTGCTCGCCATGTTGACAACATATCGTCGCCGCGACGTGTCTGAGCAACGTCCCATCATTTTCGTTGCCCATAGTCTGGGAGGTTGGCTTGTCAAGGCGGTTAGTTAAATCTGGCTCAACTTCGTTGCAATCAATCGGATGGAAACGCGGAAACGCAGAAGCGCTTGCTTGCTGACAATCAAACAGGCCGTCGCTCTGGCAAAGGGCTATGGAAGTCTCAGGCTCTGGCCAACCTACGGCGACATCAATGACTGCACAAAGGGGGTCGTCTTCTTTGGCACACCTCACCGGACCAGAACTCTCATGGGCTGGAATAGCATCTTACGCAGAATCCAGGCCGCCTCTCAGTACGTCGATGACGCAAAGGAGTCACAACCACCGCCGCCACCCGAGGAGCGTCCCAAGGCCCCCTTTATGAAGCTTCTTTCCGCCTTCGAGTCGAGCCTGGACGATGGACACATTGCGATTTACTCATGCTTTGAGAATCATGAAACTGGCACGGATCGCGTCGCTACCCTGGTGAGTGCTTGCATCCTGGAAACAATTCTGATATGTTTTTAACCATGTTCGAATAAGGTCACGTCTGGCGACAACGCCCTGGGCCATCGTTTTGAGAACGTCGTCTATCTTGACGGAAATCACGCTACAATGTGCCAGTTTCAAACGACCAACGACATTGGCTATAAGATCGTCAAAGATCTTGTCTTGCAGGTAACAGATCAATCCATAGGTCGCGCCTTGAGAACGTTCCGCACCGCCTTTCCAGCTTTTGGTCAGTCGCACGTGGGCTTTCCCTCATCTGGACTCGAAAACTTCATCATGGCTAGGGAGGCAGGTATGTAACCTTTGATCAACAACGACGTCTGTTTGACACTGACTTGTGCAGAAAATCCAGAGCAAGCAGAATCGGCCTCCGACATAGACAGTGGTGTTGTCGTCGCAGCCCAAGTTGCCCGACTATTTCTTCCAACCGGTGTGTATCGCAATTAGAATTCTCCATGGTATGCCGTTTCCTTGCTGACAATATGCAGTAATGCTCCGGCGCATTAAAAGAATATTGACACATCCGATATTCGGTCTGGAATATGTCGAATCTCTTCTCTCGCAGGGAGAGGTCCCGGAATGGGTGACAAAGAACGAACAGTACTTGGCCTGGAGACATGACAAACCCTTGCTCCTTATCACAAGTCCAGTCGGCGCAGGGAAATCAGCTATTGCATACTACATTGCGACTCAACTTGCAACAGAGTATGGCTCTAAAGCGCGTCAAGTGGCCGATCGAGATGAAATCGTCTTGCATCATTTCTTCAACAACCAGTCCAATCCCGAGGACCATTTTTCACAACTGCTTCACCAATTCATTCTTCAACTTCTCGAGCTCAATCCTAGCCTAGTCAGGCATTTTTCCACTAGCCAGGTCCTCACGCCTCCTAAGCGACGGAATTGCTGGCCCTTCGAGATCAGGCCAGCCAGTTTCATCGGATCCCGTAACAATGGGCAAGATGGGGAGTTCACCCCGCCCAGGCGAACTGCTTCTGGGATCGAGTTACGAAACCAGCACGATACTGTTCCAATTTTTACCGGCGACGACTTGGTTACTACCCTCTTTTCAATGCTGCGCGAGAACCCGGTTGCGCAGATATTCATTATTATTGATGGGCTGGACGAATGTGACAGCGCTTCTCAGCCACTGGTCAAGCGACTCCTGAAGCGGCTGCAGGCACTGCAAAACACCAAGATCTGCCTTACCTTCCACAGCACCGCATCGATTGTTGCTGAACTCGTGGATAACAGCGATAAGGTGTCATCAATCGATATTACGAACCAGGAAGAGCACAGACGCAGCATCACTGCATTTGCGAGGCGACAACTGAAAGATATCGAGCGGCATATGCTCGAGCGACGCTTCCAAATGCCTGACGAATACTTTGAGCGGATCCAAAAACTCTTTTCGGACAGCCATCATGTCTCATTTCTATGGATAAAGCTCGTCCGTCGAGTCATCAATGGTGTGAGAAATCTGCCTGCCTTGCAAGCCTTTATAGACATCATTCTTCCCGTTGGGGCTACCGAGTACACCCTTGATATCGAGAACCTCCACCACTGGATTCTTGAATTCCTGATAGGGAATCGACAAAAACTTGCTGTCTTCGCCCTGTTCTTTGTGGGGTTGGCAAGCCGGCCTCTTCGGCCCGACGAGCTCTCTGCTCTTCTCGCAACGACAACCTGCATAAAGGAAGACGGATCTTCGCCCATTTCTCCTGTTCAGATATTACAGCGAATGCCGACGATATCGATGTCTCTGGCTAGAAGGACCATGCCGTCCCTCACTCGAACCTCTACTCCCACCCTGGAACATCGAAGGACACCGCCATGGTCGCAAAAGGCTCAAGAAGAGAGAATGCGAGAAGAATTCTGGCGATGGATGGATGTTGGAATTTCGTCCGAAGTCACACTTGGCTCTATGGAAGACGAATCCCGTACTGACCTAGAATCTTGGCTTAGCACTGAGCTCTTCCAACTGCTTACGTTTCAGGGCGGAGTTGTGTCGCTCGATCATCCGTCACTTAAGCACTCCATTGTCTCCTTTCTTACGCGAAACCACCCGGGGAAACTACAGGTCTTGCAGCGAGAAATAGCGCAAGCGTGTCTGACTCACCTCTGTCTCCCGCGCCGATCAGACGTCGTATTTGAATACAACCCAAAACTCAAGACCCATAGCCCTCCAATCCTTCAGTTTGCTTATTCAATGAAGAACTGGCACAAACATCTGAAAGAGGCTGGTGTCCTCGGCGCGAGTCTCGTTACGGAGGTCGAGGAGCTTTGGGACGACCCGCAGTTTCATGACCCACTACTCCAGCTGTCGGGAAAGTATTATACCACCGATTATCGGCCAGACCTGTCATGTATGCTTGCGCTTCTTGACGCGGACGTTGTCCTCAACAAGCATCTCCTAGACGATCACCACAACAGCGATCTCGATATGGCCAAGTCTAATTCCACGTTGGCAATGGCCTATGCCGCAGCGAACGGATCACTCAAGTCTCTGGAGGTCATAACGAAGGCCACCTACAACTCCGAGAATGTCAACCAACTCTTGAGTGTTGGTGCAAAAATCCTGACTTTGGCTGGAGAAACGGGCAAGAGTGGCTTTTTCGAACAGACCTCAAAGTTTCTAAACTCATATGCCAAATCTCTTACTCGGGAATCCGGGAGCCCGCCAAAATTCTCCAATACGGAAACAACTCTACTCGAGGCCTCTCAGGCCATGGAGCTTATCAGGCTGGCTATCACCGCAAGAGACCCAGATCAAGTTGGAAAGGCTTTGAAAAAGGCTCAAGGCCGCAGCGATTTGCCCCAGAGGATGAAGGCTGAAGGGCTGCGTCTTGCCATCCGCAATTCGGACCAGAAAATGGCGGATTGCCTGATAATAAATGGTGCCAATGTCAACAGTAAAGGCCCAAACGGCGAGTCACCACTGCATTGGGCCGCAGCGGCAGGGGATTTAGGAGTTGTTCAGCTGTTGGTCGAGAAGCGGGCCCGAAAGTCGGCAGCCGATGACGAAGGGAAAAAACCTATTCACTGGGCAGCCCGGCGGGGCCACGCTCGGGTTGTCGAGTATCTCTTGTCCTCTTCGGTCGATAAGGATACCAAATCCGGCAGGACCCCTCTCTTCTCGGCCTGCTCGTTTGCGTCACTATCGACCATCCAGGTACTGCTCGACTATGGTGCGAGCATCAATTTTCGAGACATTGATGGGCGGACGCCTCTCCACCTTGCAGCGTCGATTGGTGCTAAAGACGCAGTCCGCCTTCTGCTCGTCGAGGGGGCAGACCCCAACGTCAAAGATAACAAGGGCCTGACGCCTCTACAGCTTGCCTGCTTTGGTGGATGGGATCCGGTTGTCACAGCGCTGCTGTCGGCCGCCGCGCTCGTGAATGAAACGAGCGAGAATGGGCAGACAGCACTCCATCTTGCGACCATATCGCAGAACCCGACGCTCAGCGTTGTGGAGGCGCTTCTCTCAGCCCATGCCGACGCGAACATTATAGACAAGGCCGGACACAAGCCTCTCTATCTCGCTATCAAGCACGGCTCGCCGGAAATGGTGAAGATCTTGCTTATGGCCACCTCCTTTGCGACAATGCAACAGGCAGAGAGAAACACGTTGCTGCAGAGAGCGCGAAAGTGCAAGGGAAACAGGCCCGAAAACTACTTTCTAGTTGAGAAGTATCTAAGGAATCTAGAGGAGGCAGAGGCGTCGATGGACGGGTGGGTGCCGGGTACCAAGCCCCAGCCTTGATGTGGGGCAGGTTTCTTGGATATTGTAGGATTTCTTTTCTTTCTGTTTTTGGATTCGATATTGATACCAAAAATTTTGGATTGAGCTTGGAAGGACGATCAACTGTGATTTTTGATTATGCCCGTCTGCCTAAAATCATCAAGGCCTCCCCCCTGTTACATCCAAAGTCCAAAGGTGTTGCCCATCCAAGCCGAGGCCATTGGCCCTTGCAAGTCGGTTTCGCCCACCAATTATTCGACGCTCAATATGTTACTCTCATAAATTGTTGTCGTCTTGCCTGTGTTGAGATTTTCGATCTAATCAGCGCGAAGAAACAGTCAGCAACTGATAATTCGTTGTGGTTTTGCTTGCTTGGTGGCTCTAAGATGGCTAATTACCTCATATCGCGGAGTATCTATGCTCGCATTCACGTTGCGGCCAGCCTGTTGGCCGGGCTCGGTCAGGATGTCTTTGATCAGGCCCACGCTTTCGGACGTGTTCGAGTCGCGGCCTTTGGTTTGTCAGATTTCCTTGTGGTTCTTTCCTTATTCTTCCATAAAGTGGTGGAGGGGGATTTGTGTAGAAAACAATGACGATTCATAGGGGTGGGAACTTACCGCCGACGGGCTTGTATCGGACTGTCTGGCCTAGCGCGAAGGAAGGCATGGTGGCGCGATTTGGAGTTAGGCGGTAATGTCAACGGCGTGTATCTGGATGAGACGATAACCTGTAAATCGGTGTTGACCTGGAGACTGGAGAGGTTGAAGGAGGTCTGCACCGGACTTGGTTTGATATACCGACAGGCATGAAGTGGGGTGAAAGATATCATTGTCGTCATAGATTCGCTCGTCTTGTTTGGCACCCATGTGGTCTTGTAGAGTCTGCAACACAGGGATTGCGTGCCTTGAAAGAAGTCGGACGGCAGCTCCGTCCCTGTCGGAGAAACTGCGGCATGGGGGATGACGCTGCGTGACCGCGGCTAGCGTGGAGGTGATGCAATGAATGTAATGCAAGCTTGACATTCGACATTGGAAGCGCAATAGTCTATCTCAAACTGACATCAACCCTGCCTAGGAATACCAGTCAGTACATGGAGGTGGAACCAAGGCCAAGTCATCACATCCTGGGGACCCGGCTGCACACAAATGGTGACAAACTATACAGAAACCAACTCCTACCCCCCAGCAAGAGAGGGGCGGATGAGTCTCGGCTGAAAGTCCAAGAGTGCGTAGCTAGTTGGACCCAAGGACCGCCTTCATGACCGTAGCCAGCTTCTCCTCGCACGCCGACAGCCCCCCGTCGAGCACGCGCTTAGCACGCCACGCCACAAACCGGTCCGGGCGCACGAGGATAGCGCCTGACTCGTCGACCTCGCGGATCTTATCCCAGCGGAAATACACATCCTCCCAGTCCTGGCGGTAGCCAATCGAGTACGCATTGATGGGCACTTTCAGCGCGGCGCCCACCGCAGCCGCGGCATCCTTCCACACCTCGCCGTGCCGCCCCGTCAGCAGCACGAACGCGCCGTGGCCCGCTAGGTCGATGGTCGAGATGGCGCTCCGCGGCACCGCCGTGTTGAGCCACGCGTGCGGCAGCCGCCGGCCCGGGTACGTGCTGCCCGCGTAGTGCTGGTCGCTTTCCTCGCCAGGCTGGAACGCCGCGTTCTCGTCGTCGAGATACACGGCGCCGCCGCGCCCGTACAGCTGCCCCATCTCCGTGCCCAGCCCGTTGAACTCGCCTGCCACGGTGGCCATGTGGTCGCGCAGCGCCTGGCGCCGCGCGTCGCCGGCCGCGTCGGACCGTGAGGCCAGCTCGGCGAGTGGCGCGGGAGCCGGCGGGGTCACGCCGAGCGGCGCCGGTGGCGCGAGGCCCAGGTCGGCCCAGAGCGGGAAGTTGTTGCGCAGCGTCTGGTTGGTTGTCAGGACGACGTCGGCGCCTACTGGCTGTCGCTCTACCGAGTACGTGTCGAGTAGTTTCGGCGATGCCTGGCCCGCCTCGACGTAGGCGATCTTCCAGGCTAGGTTGTATGCGTCCTGGATGCACGTATTGGATCCCAGGCCGCGCGACGGCGGGTGCCGGTGCACAGCGTCGCCGAGGCAGAAACTGTGTTTTTGTCAGTCTGATGACTCGACGATGAGCAGTGTGTCACGGCAAAGGGGGCAGGGGCAGGCTTACACGTTGCCCTTGGAGTAGGTCTCGGCGTATGTCTCGTTGATGTAGAACTTGGACACGTGCAGGACCTCGACGGGGGTGTCGTCGCCGATGGACTCCTTGATGCGCGGCACGTAGGCGTCCCAGTCGAGGTGGGTCAGCTTGGGGTCCTGCGCGGTGTGCGCGAGCGAGAAGACCCACTCGTCCCACGTCTTGACCATGCGGGCGACGGTGACGGAGCCAAAGTCGTCGACCTGCGTGCGGTCCGGCTGCATGATCCAGTGCATGTTGCCCTGCCGGAACTCCATCAGGTGCGACAGGTCCGCCTTGACTAGGATGTTCATCATCATGGTGCCGCCGGGGTTCACCACCATGGGCAGCCCGAGCTGCGCGGCCACGGCGCTGCGCCCGCCGTCGGCCCCGAAGAGGTACTTGGTCCGGATGCGGTACTCGTGCTTGCTGAGCTCGTCGCGCACCGTGGCCACGATTTTGGTGACGCCGGCTGTGTCCTGCTCCTCGAGAAAGTGCAGCAGCGTAGTGCTGAACCGCGTGGGGAAGCCGTGGTGCGCCGCGTGCCGGACCAATATAGGCTCCAGCACCGCCTGAGGCAAGTCGCAGTGTTTGCAGGGGCTCGCGTTGTCGAAGTCTTCCTGTAGATGTCCATGGCGGGTTAACCACCGACGAGTCTGATTAGGTGCTGGCTGGGGGGAAGCTAGCTGTGGGTGAAGGTCTGACCTTTCTGTCGGGCCCGTTTCCCCATGCATATACGCGACCAAACTCCTCGCCGGCCAGGCTGGCGCACCAGCGAACATGCATGATGGAAGAACCGGCGTTGGCAGCTTTGACCAGCTCTTTTTCGATCCCGAGGTCACGGAAGCACTCTTGAACAGGGGTGTCGGCGGTCAGCAGCCGTCGCAAGGGCGATAGACATCTCCCGGAATCTCACGGAGAAACACGTACCGATGGCGGCGGCGTTAGTTATGTGTGCTCGTGGAGTGTCGGAGGTGCCGGGGCTGGAGGCTATGACGAGGCCCTTGAGACCTATTCCCGTGTCTTTCAGCTCGAGCTTGCAGCATGTCGGGACTGGGCGTCCTCACCGTACATGGTCAAGAAGCAGGCGAGCGAGATGCCGGCTGGGCCGGCTCCCACGACGAGGAACTGAGTTTCGATCGGGTCGTCCATCTTGTCCGTCTTGGGGGTCGCGGCGGGGTGAGAGGGCAGAGCCATGGACAGTGGACGAAGAATTTTAGCGATTCTAGGTCTTTGCATTGTTCCAGTTACTAGTGGAAACCCGGAACTACTTGTTATATACCTTGGTGAGACTGGCAGAGGCACATACCGACCGCATGGGTAGTAAGCGCGAAGCGCGAAGGCGAAGGCGAAGCACGATATCGGCGAACCCCGGTGGTCGGACTCGTACGCCGGACTCGTCGCGAATCTCGCCCTTCGACCCCAGGCAGGAGAGGAACCAACTGACTTGTCTGTCAGCAGTTGTCTGTCAGCAGCTTGTGTAATACGCATAATACGACGTCGACTGGTCATGTTACACACAGTTGTTGGATACGCGGATGTGACTAATGCTTAGCAACGCCTCTTGTCCGCGTGAAAGTAATAGAAATTTTCGGCCGAATAGTCCGGGGGAATCCGCTTAGGAATAAACGACTTACCCAGTCTCTTGATAGCATTTGTTAGTTGGCGTAGTTAGCAACAGCTCCCTCTCGGTATGGCCTCGACTGGTGAATGGGGTGGCTGATACGCAACAAGCGCGTAATGACCGTCATTCAGGTAATTACATGGACCTATGAAAGGGTCCCATGTGGTTTCCAAATCGACGACGCGGCAAAGTGACGGGCGGCCGCCGGTGGATTATTGCTTAATGGCCCATAATTAGACAACCAATCTACGATCCAAGTCATGACCCTGGCGATAACTAAATCGCGGTGAGTGAGATTTTATTTGTCGGGAAAACATGCCCTTTCCTCGTTGAGGCTGACGGCTCACCTGGGCCCACGACTCGGTCCGTAGATTAAAGTATCCGCCAGCGGCCCGTGAGGCTCTACAGTCTATCATTGTGTTGCATTCTCGTCGAGTTATGTCAGTAGCTATTACTTACATCTTGGCTATCCTATATCGTTGCCAACTCCCTCCCCATCTCTCAAGCAATAAGAACTCATCAGAAACACTATAACATGTTTCGATGTTAGCACGGAAATAATGCACCACATGGCGGGTGGTTAGCTTATTACCCAGGAATTAGTAACCAAAAGGAGAGTACCGCTGCGGTCGGTGAGGCTCGAATTCCACATACCGTTGGGGTCCTATTCGTGATTACTAACCTAGACCTGCCACCGCCGATGACGAGAGATTCGGGGCCGGCAAAGCATACCAAATTCCTTGGTTGGCTAGAAAGAGGAAAGAGGACATGATGTATACTAATCAATTAACCGACACACACACACACACACGAGTGAAAAAGGCTCCGGCTTCTACCCCCCGGCTCTCACCCGCTCTCCCTCCCAACGACACCTCCAAGAATCGGCTCGCCAGGAACCACCACCGCCACCAGAAAACCTACCAGCCAACCACATGTCCAATCCAACAACAGCTCAGCCGCTCCACACCGGCGGCCCGGGCGGTTGATACGCGTCGGGCTTGATGGCGTTGAGGTTGACGAGGATGCCGGGGTCGCTGCTCTTGTACGCGCCGGGCAACGCCACCAGCGGACCAGGCGTTCCGCCGCCGGGGCCCGTGACAGTGATCTGCGAGCACGAGAGATAGAACTGCGCCTTGTTGGCCTGCATCGCCAGGTGCAGCGCGATGTTCTCCACGCGCAGCAGGTAGTCGCCCGGCGGCGTGCTCGCGGGGACGGTCGCGTTGACGGTCGTGTACGCGTCTATGGGGATCATCGTTACTCGTTAGTAAACTGGTGGCTGCGAGCTGGGGAAGAAGGTGGGTGTGGTTGCGGTACTGCACTGACTCTGGTTTGGCCACGTGAGCTGCTTGTTCTTGTCGACGGCTGGCATGGAGGTGTGGATCTTGAACCACACGGCGCCCGACCCGTCGAACTTGGCCGCCGACGACCCGGCCGGCACCTTGGCGAGGTAGTACTGCGTCGGGCCCGGGTGGTTGATCTGCTGCGTCGAGATGTAGTGGACCACGGCGCCGGCCGGCACCGTCGCCACGCCGGCCGCCGTCTGCGACGTGTAGCAGCGGATGTCGGCGCTCGCTGCGTTCTCCACGCCCTGCTTGCTCTGGCTGTTCTTGGTCATGCGCGTGACGGACCAGTCTTTTTCCTCTGCCTGCCCGTTGACCACCAATCTGGGGAATGTGTCTGGCGGTGTTAGCCGGCTTGTGTCGACAAAATTTTGATGGTTCTACGCAACACGCACAATGTGCCTCAGCCACAGCTGCGGCAAGTAGCATGGACGAGAGAAACTTCATCTTGTTTCCCGCTTCCTCAGGCTCAAAAAGTCTGGGTTGTAGTTGTTGGTAAAGACGACAAATTCGTAGCTGGTCACGGGTAAACAACGCCGCTTGCAATATCTTATACCTTCAAGGCTGCCGCTTCCGGGACCCGGCATGTCTAGTCTAGTCTAATGTGGAGAGATAGATTGCGGCGTGAGTCCCACCTATGGAGGTGTGGACGGGTAATGGCATGGCTGCCATTGGGCTTTGTGGGGAATTTAGCCTGACCAAGAGCGCAACTACCGAGTGCATAGGGAATCCCAGGCCAGATGTGCGTGGCATACAGTCACAAGGCCGCGGTATATTGTCTAATTTACGCCCTTCGGCACCTATCCGCTTGTGAGCAGATTCATTTCCTGATGTCATCTTTCCAAGCCAAAGACATACCTACACTTTATTGTGCCCGGGGATGCATTCTGGCGTTTCATTGGCTCAGACTCGTCCAACCCAGAGTTTTGTTGTCAATCAATAGCGGTAATGAGGTAGCTAAACTTTGTCTAACAGGCATGGACGGTTATTACCTGATATTGCCATGCGTCGAGCCCATCAAATACAAGGTACTCAGATAGTCCGTGTTGTTGAATTGCCCCAGCTCGAAATGCCAGTGACTCTAATCATTCCAACGCAACTCAAGTATAAACATGAAAAAGACCCCTTAGTCGCAACCCTTTCTCTTGCTAGATCGGTGTCCCTAGAATCGTCATCAAGCAACCACTTCCCCCCTCAACCCCTACTCCAATATGCACCTCGCCTCACTCCACAGGAACAAGCGCGACGCCACACTCTTCCCTCTCACCAATCCTGAATGCCTTCCACCCGGCCTTGGGCAAATCAATCGACCCATCTTCAGCCAAGAACTTCATAAACACGCCGTGCGTCACCACAACGACGTCCTGCCGGCCCCCACCGTGCCGCTCCTCCAGCGCGCGCACCAGCTGGCCGATCCGCTGCCGCACGGCCTGCGCGCGCGCCTTGACAGCGTCGATGTCCGCCGCGTTCGCGCCCTCCTTGACGAACCACTGCGGCGGCAGGGCACTGAAATCCAGCGCGGGGAACCGGACCTTGAGGCTCGCGGCGTCAGACCCCGTGTCGCACGGCAGGTCGCTGCGCTCCTGCAGGTCCGGGTCGAGGATCAGGTTTGCGCTGCCGCCGCCGCCGTGCTTGCTGCTGACGAGAATCGCACCGAACCCTGCTAGTGCCGTCTCGAGCGTGCGCGTCAGCGGCGACGCCAGGACTGCCGCTACCGACGACAGCGCCGGGAACGAAGCCGCGAGCGATGATGCTTGCGCCAGCCCGGCTTCCGTCAGCCCCGGGTCGCGCAGGCTGAAGTCCTTGGACGCGTTGTGGGCCGACTCGGCGTGGCGGACGAGGTAGATGGTGGACGGCATGACTTTGGGGTTTGGGACTGGATTTGGGCTCAGGGGTGTTGTTGTTGTTGTTGTTGTTGTTCACTGGCTCAGTGGTGTGGAATCAATCGCAGGTCTCTGGGCAGAAGCTCCGACGATATGCTCAAAGCGACGACTAATATATCGCTCGTCCTGAGCCAAGCAGAGCAGCGACACTTGCCGGTTGTGGCTCGAGGTAGAGACCTAGGCAGGGGATAATTCTCGATTGTCAACTCGATGGGCACTTAAATGTCTATTCTTGGGGCCCGTCGAGGTTGATTCGAGTTATTTGCTACGCTGTCTACGAAACCAAGGCGCGTCTTCCCAGCAATTCTATAAGAGTCTCGATGAACCCTCAGAGGCCAGTCCGAGCAAAATGAGGGGGCGGCTCTTTACAGCTGCATGCACTCCGCCACGCCCCAGACTCGGCGTGCTCCAACCAAGCGGTCACGCCATTCGGAGCGGGCATTTCATTGGCCACAAAACGTTTCCTTATTTGAGCTGGAGTTTTTGGGCAGATAACATGGATTGACTCTGCATTGACTTGATTACTATAAATATGTGACAATAAACCGCAAAACACCTTCCCATGGTTTGCAACGCACAGCCGCCACCCGGCCACTCCTACCCGCACTGACTGGCCTAGCAGGAAAAGACGGCCGGCCCGGGGTTCTTGTACGACGTAGGCACGGGGTAGTTGATGTTGATCTGGATGCCGGGGTCGGCGGCCTTGTAGGCGCCGGGGAAGGCGACCTTGTATGAGGCGGGCGGGTCGGTGTTGCCGCCGCCCGTGACGCCGAGCTGCGCGCACGAGATGTAGAACTGCGCGCCGCCGGCCGTCGACGCCGAGTGCAGTGCAATGTGCTCCGCCCGCAGCAGATAGAAGCCCGACGTGATGCACTTGGGGATCGACACGGTGAACGAGCTCTTGCCTGTTGCGTCGCGTGTGTGTGTTTGTGTGTGTCAGACAGTGTGGGAATTCTTCAGAAAGCCTGGGGTGGGTTGGTGACTTACCGGTGCTGGGCCACGTCAGCTGGCCGCCAAAGTTTGGCTGCTCTTGGTAGATCTTGAACCACACGGCGCCGTCGCCCTTCCACGTGTTGACGGTCTCGCCGTCGGGGACCCGCGCCAGGTAGAACTGCATGGGGCCCGGGTGATATACGTTGGGGGCGGCGCCGTAGGTCACCGTCGAGCCGGCAGTGGCGTTGAACGTCGCCAGCGCTGCCGCGCTGCTCGACTGGAAGCAGCGGATCTGCTCCGAGGCCACGTTGCCGACGAAGCCGTTGCTCTGCCAGTTGTCCGCCTTGCGCACGTACTGCCAGTCGCCCCCCGTCCCGGCCTTGGGGAACGTGTAGTGTGCGCTGGCGCTGAGCGCCGCCCCGAGCACCAGAGCAACCGTGGCCAACATGGCTGATCGTGAATTGTGAGGATGGATATCAGCCAGCAGAAGATGGGATACCAGAGTGCCAAGACAAGAGTGACGTTTGGTGCTGCTGTGTGTCTTGCGGTAGTTGGGGACGAGTGTGTGTGTGTGTGTGTGTGTGTGTGTGTCTGCCACGGTACCGGCCAAAATTCAGCACTCACTTATATAAGTGCCTTGTATAGCCGGCCCCGAATATGATGGCGGGAATAATGGCCGGATTGGACGTGGTTCCGTGGCCAGCAGCTTGCCAAGAGGAGTCTTTCCCGGATCGCGTCCGCTCTTCGTTCCAAGGCTCTGGCGGCCGGCTAAAGGGCCAACCGCACCACTCACAGCGCCCCGAGTGATTAAAACAATATATGCCAGAACAGCGGCAGTTTGCTCGGCCTCACGTGGGCAATCCTTGTGTGCGCTTTTCCGGGGGCATTGTGGGGTGCAGCCACCTTATGCAAGCCCCCCCGTGGGGATGAACTGCGGCTTCTCGAAGTTCTCGACAACCCAACGAGGGTATTCCGTGGTACCGCTCTAGAATGCCTTCGGGATACTTCCACCCGCGTTCCACTGCTACCTTGGCATGCCATGCATTTAGCGGGCTTCCGTCTGAAAAACCTGGCATTCATAATTAACTGCATAGCCAGCTACTAGATTTGGAACCGCAGAGAAGAAAAGAAGAAGAGATTCTGATTACTGAGGCCAGGTATTGCGCTCTTGTATGAAGGCCAGCATCTGCGTCACACAACTGACTGCCCTCAGTTCTTCCTCGTTCATCCCTGCATCCTTCCTCCAGGCCTCCACGTCTGTGCGTATCTCGGAGTACATTACTTCGGCACGTTTCTCCTTGGCCTCTAAGACAGCGGGAGAGTCAAAGTTATAACTGCCTGAGATTTCCCATGTGTCGATTTTTTGGCTGCACCATGCTTGAAACTTCTTCATGACGTTGGTCACGTCCTTGGCCTGTACAACGTCGCTGGGTACTTCCGGTAGCGCTTCCTCGTACGATTCGACTTGGTCTGTGTCGTCTAGTCCGTCCTCGCCCTCGGAGGAGCCCACTCCAGCTGGTAGATGTGAGATGGGCGTTTTTCCCTTGCTTTCCGCTGGACCAAGTGAAAGCGATGGAGATGGCAGTGGAGGCGGAGAGTCACTACGCGACTGTTCGGCTCTCTTGAAAGAAGGCGGGCGAGATGAAGATGGAGATCGAGAGGTATGATCCGAACCTTCTGCCTGATCTCTGTCGTTGATAAACAGCGACCGCTTCCATCGAGCGTACATGTTCCTGTAGGCTTTTCCTGTGAGCAGTTCGGGCTCAAACGAGAATTCCTTATAATCAATAATTGACTCGGCTTGAGCATTGTGATCGGTAGGCCGCACACGAAAAAGGCTGGATTCTTGGTCGTACGCGATTGACAGCGACTCGGTTTCGTTGTTAGACCTTTTCAGCAGCTGTTGGAACTCTTTCGACTCGAGAATCTCCCGCATCTTGTTAATCGAGTCACTATTCGCATGTCAGGGCTTAATTAGCAGAGCTCTCATAGACTCGTAGTACTTGAACAATTAGGGTATTGCCGTGCTCAGGGCAGGAAACGCACTAGCTAAGGGCTGTGAGCAAGAAGTTCACCATTCCCGCTTGGCCACGGATGGACTGGCGAAGAAAGTCAATCTCGTTGCGTTTCCATGTTGCCGAGATGCGCAAGCGAATTGAAAACTTGCTGGGCTTCGGCTTCTCGACAAGGGTCAGGACGGGTTGGAGCTTGTCGAGGAGGACCCGGAACTGCTGTTCGCAATTGGCCAGAGCGAGATCCACTCCTTCCAGGCTGTTGCTGGAGGCCGGGCCATTACCGGCGTACAAGTCGCGAGTCTTGCTGATGGCTACCTCAAGTGTCCGACACTCGGCTGTGAGTTCAAGAACGTTGAGTTCTGCTCGCTGGACCTCGCTGCTGTACTGGTAGATCTTTTCTAACCCGAAGATGCATTTTGTAACCAGTGCTAGAACCGTAAGTGGGTCCATCTTGCCTCTGATATTCTGCCCGGGATCAGTTGGTGGATTTTGGGGTGCGGTCGAGACCTGGGACTCAGCCCCCCAATCTTGGTGAGCTGGTCCTTTCTTGGCTGCATTGTCATGTGAAGTGGCGTTCATCTTTTGTCTAATTAGGACTCTGATTTCTTCCTTATCGGACCCTACAAACGGAAATTGTCATGCATTTGTAACAGGAATCATGGGTCTAAAGGATTTGATGGGAATGCTACTGTTGTGGACTGTAAAAAGATAAAAAGAACACGATTTAGTAAGAGTCCACCCGCCACAGGAGTGAGATAATTACGCGCTGTCAAATTGTAATGTTATCAACTCTTCATCTGCATCATGTGCTCCGCAAGCAATGTTCCCCCGCAGCTTAAAGAGACGCGTGTCTCTTTCCTGTCAACATATACGTCGATCAGCAGAAGGGCTTGCAAGTAGCTGCCTTTTCTCCCGAACCGGTCCTGAATCTCATGCTTCTGTAGCTGGTCTTCTGGAAGCCGAGCAAGCGGATACTCTAGATCGACCATTATGCTCGCTGTTTGGTTCGGGGGTCCCATAAATTAGCTCTAGAAAACCACTTTCCTCGAGCGAATATTGTGAAATAGGGCGCCTGTAGAAAACGGACTTACTTTCTGCTTCGAGGTCTCGAACTCTGGTTGGACGCTGGTCTGCACTGCAGGTGACAAATACCACTTTCGACTTCTTGGTGCCTCTACGGTCCTGTAGTTTTAGCCTTCTAAGCACTTGAACCCGTTCATGTCTGGGTCGGGGATTGGTGGCATCATGGAAAATTGGATCGCCCTTGTCGACAAGCCACTCAATCTGACCCGTGGCCTGTCGGCCTCCGTCAGCAGGGTTGATTTGTAGATCTTCTGCAGAGTGTTTTTTGAGGTCAAATATTTCGCATCGAACCAACCCGTAATGACTCGAGGTTTTGCGGACTGGCTGCGGTGTTGGTGTGATACTGCCCAGCGCGTAGATGATGGAGCCTTTAGCTGCCCCTACCCAACTAGATTTATGGCTCTAATATTAGCAGGCGAAGGTGCCACTGTTGAAACGGATAGTAACTTGGGTTTGTTCGCGCCAAGGGGGATGATTGTTCTTACCAGTCATCTGATCTTTCCACGCTGACACCAAGTTCCTGGATAGAACTGAAGACATGTTGGTTTGTTCCAAAATCACCAGACAAAACAATTGACTGCGATTGAATAGCGTCAGCTTAGAGTTATAACAAAAGTAGGCGGTGATGGGTTTCTACCTTGACTTGATTTTTGGCAAGCTGGGCTTGTATGATTTGCTGTACAATGAGATTCGACAAGGTGGAAATTGATCGCTCGAACATGGTTCTCAGGTCGTCGCTGTCGGGTGGTTCAATCAGAATAGAGAGAGCAGACGTTTGCAAGTTTCAACTTACCTCGTTATGGTCAGGGCGCCATTCCGGATCCCCGTTGCCTCGTTGTCAACTGTCCCAATGCCTCGAGGAAGCTGGACTGGCCATCCAAGTTTCTGGTTCTTCCCATCAAATTGATGCAAAATTGGCTCCAATCTGTCAAGAAGCGTTCTTAACTTCGGTTTCACAATATTTGTTGCCCTTGACCGAATTTCCCAATCATCTGAAAAGGCGTTAAGCTTTTCGAAGTCATCGGGGTCAAGTCTGTCTTCTAACAGAGCAAAGAAGGAGTTCTCAATCTCGGGGATCCCAACTCTTTCAGAGTCTTTGTAGACGATTGCAAGGAATCTTTCTCTAAAAGGTGAGGTGGTTTCCGATAGACGACTCACGAGAAGAATCTCCAATCTTTTTGAATGCCATCTTTTGATTCTCTTCATCGACTACTTCGAGAGCATATGACGTGACAGTCTAGATATATTTACGGTATTTGTCAATTCTTAAGGCCTAGATTGGAACAGGGCCAAGGCATTAGGGACGTACCAATGGCCCGCCATCAATAAACTCACACAATATAAATGCATCTCCCTGCGATGGAGGCCGTTAGCGGGCCATCAAGGTTCATCAGGGCCTGTGTCGTTAACGCCACACGTACCCGCTTCCGGAACCGAAAGTGATCTTTACATTGCGCTTTAAAGAAGCAGTATAATGCGGCTGCTTCCGATTCAGTGACCATGTAGATCTCGCGACGTTTTGGAAACAAATTGAGGTTAAACGCCGACTCAACAATGCGGAAATAGCGACGTGTTGTGCTCTCGGGCCACATCTATTGTCAATGGGTAATTAATCATTACCTCAAGATCAACAGGCCATAGATTATTAAGAGGGTCCTAGACTAGTAGAATGGTTCCACCACATAAGAGAAGACTCACTGCAGGATAAGTAAAGACGAGATCAGTTGGGACTTTGTCGAACGCAAGTCTGCCAATCTCGTTGCATATATTGTCATGGATTTTCTCGATCAAGAGTTCAAAAAAGTCTTCGATTATGGAGTCAGGTGTTTTTGCGATATGTCGAGGTAGATCACCGGCAATAAAGTCTTTGGAATCGAAGCTCGCGGCATCATACACTTTCTCTGAGAAGCTTTCAAGTTCTTTCAACTTGTTTGTGGCATCGAGACCCGCTCTCAAGAACTTCTGGACTCGGCTATTATGGTCAATGTCGTATCCCCATTGATGGCACCCCCTTGGGCTTGGAGAATATGATATCTCGCTTGGAACTTTCTGCGATTCTGTCTTGGGCCAGTTCTGGATTACCCTTATGCCATTCGCTAGATTTAGACCCTCAAGGATGTAGCTGGAGATTGACAAATACGTGACAGCTAGGTGTATGAATCAATACAGAAAGGCAGTTAATATAGTGTATTAACTGCCTTTTGGCAAGCTAACATGCGGAAGGACCAACTCGTGAATTCAATTCCAAACTCGACCCCAATGGTTATTCGAATCTCTGTTTGTTTCAGACGTGAAGTCTCGGGCATGGCCATTGTCAGCTTTGACCTGAGCGGCGGTGGAGGGCGGTTGTCGATAATTAGGTTGAGCAGGTTGCATTCATTGAACCCTGTCTTGATAAGTCTTATCAATCAGCTCTCAAAGAGTGCCTAGGGTCGTGGAATACTGGAGCTATAATTACGATGACTAAAGGGTGGGTGGAGGGCGACGAAAGGAGAGAGTTGCGATAGCGACACTGGGAAAGCGGGGAAGACAGCCCGTGACGTGCAACGCAACAAGCACCGCCTCACTGCCTAATCTGGAAGTAGGTGTTCAGCCCCTTCCATTTCCAGATTGAGGTATGGCGTATCCAAACACAGCCATTCGATAAGCTGCAGTTCTTGGCATAGCTGTTCGCCAGTGGCAAACATCCACAAACTCACCTACACAATTCTTCAAGGGCAAGAAAGGAGGTATCCTAAAGCGGGAATAACATGCCAATCATCACAAATCTAGTTCCTACCTAATTACCTAGCTGAGCCAGTTCCAGGTGCTTAAACGCAAGGACATCTAATAATACTGTCGCAATAAAAAGCTAACTCATGCAGTGCAGGGAAAAGAAAAGGAAGACGCATCAGATCTATCAACAATCCGAAAGACGGCCAACCAAGCTGTGGATAATTAGAACACAGCTCCATTTCTTCCACCGCGCCCCCTATTTGTCTCGCGCTCCATACCATCCAGATGACCACATCTGTGTTAATGTAGCCGACTATATTCACTTCCCTCTCGTCAAACAGGCGTATGATGAGAAGAAGCAAACAAGCCATCTATGCTAATAGTGGTGGTGGCGGTGGAGGAGGTAGTGACGGTTGCTAGTTTGCGGCTGGAGGTGGAGGTGGTGGTGGAAGAGGCGGTTGTGGGTTTGCGGCTGGAGGTGGTGGAGGTGGTCCAGGAGGGGCTCGTACGAGTACTGGGGGCGCTCCCGAGAGTGGTGCCACGGGCGGGGCCGCGGGCGGTGCGTCGGGTCGTGCGTCGGGTGGTGCAGGAGCCGGCTCCGGGGGTGCCCGTAGCGGTGGCGCCCGAGGCGGGCCAACAGAAACGCCAAAGGTTGGAGCTCGCTGGAATCCGAGTGGCGGCGGAGGTGGCGGACCGCCGCGGACTGGGAATTGAGGATATCCCGACATGGGATGAGGAGCCGGCATCATTGGTGCTGGGCCAGGGTCCGAGCTGCTCCTCGTCTGGTAGGAAGTTGAGCTGCTGGACTTGGACGTCGGGGATGATGCTACCGGTGCTGACGAGGATGAGGACGTCGAAGACGATGATGATCCTCGGCGATAGAGGAAGCGCGGGAGGCAGATGATGCAGAATCCAACTGCTATGGCGATAATAACATAAACGATGATGAGGGTGGCAATGGTGTAGTTGTCCTTCATTGTGGCTGGCTGGGCTTGCTCTAGTGAGCTTTGTACCTGAGAGTTGCCAGGTGGTTGATTACGTGTGAGGAACTAAACGTTACATCAACCTGGAGCAGGCCTCAGGGAATCAAATGCGGCTGGTTGGGAACAAAGGACAAGAAAATGGGGGAAGCAGGAGACGAGGAATGGCATTGGGGAATGGGGATGAAGAAATCCCTGATACTTCAGAAGTTGGGAATTTGGTGCGAAAAATGATGGTAGAGACTGACGATGATATCTTTTGCATAGCACTAAAAGCCGACATAAACAAATAAAGCCCAGATTAAGACAATTTGACAGATCCCCGGCCGTTGCAAATCGGGAGCGCTGATCACGTACTGAAACCTGCGTCATGCCACTACCCGGTTGTCGTAACGCAGGTAACACCCGCACAAAGAGCGGTGGAGATGGATCGAAGGGAGGGTTTGCGATTCCCGATTTCAATGTGGCACAAATTACGGCAGACAAAACGCTGGCGTCTTTGGCGGTTCACCCGCCACGGGATGCTTCCGAACACATATTCTGAATGGTTCACGCGGTATGGTGTCGTCAAATCCGCGAATCTTAAATCAGCTATTTCTTTAATGTTGCTGATTATCGGTGTCTAAATGGTCCTAATTTGATATATCCGCCGTTGTTCCTATCCTGAAACCTGTCCCACAACCTAGGAAACGTTTTAAAGTGTCCAAATACAACTATCTAGTACTTACACATGTGCGCAAGGTGGGATATGGATTTTGGGGTTACATGTATGAAGAAAATTACATATAAATTTCTGGAACTGCGAAATCCAACAAATTTCTGTGTTCCAACGGTTCTAACCCGTATTAGTACTACTTATATCAGATGTCCTTTTAGCAATTATCTCACAGATAGACGTTAGTGTTTACTTTAGTCACAGTGGTGCTTAGCTACCTGCGTACGTATTCTGTCAAATCGCTTCTCGAAATTCCCAGCTAAAATTATGACAATATTTCCACAATAAACATTGTCCCCCAATAAAGGCAACACACCTAGCTGACTTCATTGAAGCTCAGGTCCAGAAGAGAAGTACCGGAGACGCAGGAAGTCAAGGTCGACGAATATTTCGTTGATTGGCCGGTAATCGGTATTATCATTATGAAGGGGCTGTACTAGCTGCAGTATGCCCATGTTTAGATTAAATAGCTAAGATTCTTACAATATGTTCTCGTGAACTAGGTTCAATAAATATTCAACAAAGATCATGTGTACCACCCATTAGAGAAATTTAGTCTGGTCCTCAAAGAAACCGGAATTACTCCTTGGCTTCTTGCTTGACAAAAGCCTGGCGTGGTTTTCAACCATTATTGCCTTGGTAGTCAAACAACGGATGGAGTGTCGAATGGGACATTGACGCAGCATCAATGTCCCTTCACGTATTTCCATGACTAAAAGTATTGGGGACCAGCCTTTCCGTGCCGGCTTTCGCGTTGTTTATTAGAGCTCCAGATCATCCCAAAAAGTATCGTACGCTGTAATAAACGGGGGATAATCAGTCCGCCAGCGCAACGCCACGGCGGGATATCCAATGCACTCTCCGCTTTTGGCAGGAGGCGAATGCACACGGTGCCATTCAAGCAGGCTCTATATTAAGAGCGCCCACGGGGTTCCTTGAGCCAAAGTCAGCGTCGCATTCCGAGTCGCGACCCCTCACAAGACTGCTCAGTCGCGATAGGTCCTCTGGAGTGATACCAAGCCACAATAGCGCCCGTCCAGACTCCACTGTCTCACATGTTCTCCAAATTCGGCCCTTCCACGCGTTGACGCTGGCTTGCGATTCGAAGACAATACTTTGAACGTGACCGAGCCTTGCCGATGTTGCCGCCACAACCTCGTCAGAGTTGCGCCCCGCCGGCGGAACAATTGGCCATCTTACAGGTTCTACTCTCAGAGCCTGTCAGAGCGTCGGATCACGCTGTGTCAACGTTACTTCTTGGAATATTCGCGCTGTCTGGGCGAAGGCTTTGGGCATGGAGCCGATGTGAAGACTGAGGGTCTATTACCTAGCTACCTTTGATCGAGGAAGGGCTCCGTCAGGGACTATTGACAAATTGCGGTGATGCTTTAGAGAGACAGAAAATATTTATACTCCCGCTCTTCCCGCTTGTTCGATATCCTCTTGCCTAATCACATCATCCTCAACCTGAATGACAACATCAGCAAGGAAACACACTTCAATCAGTCAAACATCAACCCACGAGCCAACACCGCCCAAAATGAAACTCATCCAGTTCCTCATCGCATCAATCCTCCCCTTCAGCATCTTCGCCATGCCCAACCCTGCGCCTGCTGCATCCCCCACTGTCGACGAGACGGTCGTAGCCGTCGAGGCTGTCGAGGCCGTGGGCTACAGCGAGAAGCGCGACGAGCCTAGCAAGCTGTTTGCGCGCGACCGCGTGTGCCGCATCAACGGCAGCGGCCGCGTCAACTGCCGCTCCTGCCCTAGCACGTCGTGCTCTGCGCCGTACTACGTGGTTGGGGGCAGCTCCTGTACGTTTCACATTCTGTATTGCTCGCCTCTTGTTGGTGTAGTTACTTCGTTTGCCGAAAGCGCGAACAACTGGCTAATTAACGAACCCAACCCAAAAGACAACTTTGACTGCGCTGCGGCCGGTGAATGCGTCACCATCGGCGGCGTCACGAACTGCAACTGGGACCGAACTGTTGCTGAGGGCTGCTACGTCTCTGCGTACTACACCGATTCGGGCTGTACAGTCGGTATGTTGTCCCTAACCACCTATTCTATCTTGCTGCCAAGGAGCAGTTGGACATGTATTCAAACTGACGTGACATGATTTACAGCCAACCTTGGACGGTGCTGATTGGACCGTCTGGTGTCGGAGTACTAGGAGCAGGGGACATGCGAGACGGTCCGTGACTAAAGGAGAGGGAGATTTGGGGGCGGTAACCAATGCGGAAAGTGGATATATAACAGTGAGACCCTTCCAACCACAGACCTAACTGGACAGTAATTATCATTAAGAATGCTCCTCCCTAACATAAGCCTGTCTGACTTATACTTTGGCCGACGAGATGGTGGTGTCTATGCACAGATACGTGTATTGATCCTTGGCCAGGCCCATGCTGATGCGCGATGTTACGAAGCAGCACGTTTATCATCTGACAGGAAAGCATGTAAGCACTACTCGAAGAGTGAGGCATTGCCCTGAAAGGATAATGCATTGAATCGTTGATGGCATGAATCATGTAGATGTTAAATGTTACAAGGAGATGGTCTCGTAGAGGGCCCCCTTTGAAGGCCGTTCCTGTTAACCCGGGACTTCGAGCAAAGTTTCCAAAACTGCAACCAACGAGGAAGTAACAGGTTCTAAGTACAAGAAATGTGTGGCTGAAGAGCCGAGACAGCCGATGAGCATCCAAAAGGCCTCAAAGGGCAGAGCGTGCTTAGCACACCGCTAATTAGACAAGCGCCGCCTCCCAGCGCATCGCACTCCTCAACAAGTCTTTGCCGAACTGGCGCTGCAGGCTCGTGACCTTGTCGACAATGTGACCTGTGGCAATGGCCTTTGGCCCCCAAATGTTCAGGGCAATAGCAGCGGCACGCTCAAGCCATGTTATGCACCGTTCTACATCCCCTTGCCGCTGGTGTATCTCGGCGATGTCCTCCATGGTGTGTGCGGCAATACTATCCTGGTAAAAGACGGGTTCCGCCTCAACAGGAATTCCTGGTGCTTGGGGGCGCTTGACCACAGCCATGCAGTGATCGAGTGCTCGGTCGCACTCATCTGTCATCATGTAGAAATGGGCAAGCTCGTTCTCGACGGCCCGCGCCTGGTCCGAATCATGTCCGAATACTTGGCGGCATGAGTTGAGGAGCTCAGTGATAATTTCCATGGCGGCCTCAAACTCGCCGTTGCGCCTTAGGAGTGTGGCAAGCGAGTCGAGCAGCTTGAAGGTGACGGCACGAGACCGGCCCAGCCGGCTGTTGAAGACGTCAAGCATGCATTGCAGAGCGCGCCGCGAGATCTCCTGGCACCCCTCATCTTTCTGTAGCTCTTGGCAAATCAGGGTGATGGGATGGTTGGGCGAGAGGTTGTTCCGCGCCTCGGTGGCTAGGAACTTGAGGAGAATGGATCGCAACTCTGGCCGAGCGCTGGTATTCGCCGGCGACAGGGTAGCGAGGACATTTCGCAGAAAGTCAAACGGCTGATTGATCATTGCCGAGGCGGCAAGGGTACCAGCTCGTGCGAATACGGGCCATGCTCGGCGGTCAGGCCGGTGTTCCAGCTCTTCGGTGGACCCGACTGAGATCTTGATCATGTAGATGGCATTCTTGATGTCGCCCCAGTACTGCGTCGACTCTTCCGAAACCCTGAGGCCGAGATAGTCGTCAGGGAGCACACCCTCTGGAATGTTTTGAAGCTGCCAGTCGTAATAGTCTCGAATGCTCAATGTGATGATGTCGAGGATGCGGGTTTTTGAGTCAGGTGTCATGGGCGGCGGAGGGGACCCTGCCAGAGTCTGAATCTGGAGTTGATATGCACCAAGGCTGGGCGCCGGCGAGTTGGATGCCGAACGAGCAGCCGACGGGATGGAGAGGTGATCGTCGGAGGAACTCATGTCTGATACTGGAGTCGTGCAGACCAGCTCGGGTGACGAAAATTGGGAGTGAGGTGAGGAGGCTTCTGTTTTGAGAATGCCAAGCCCTAGCAAAGTGCTGTCTTGTTCTTTCAGTTGGTTGAGAGTGGTGAGAGCACCTTGGCTTTGCTGGGCGGGGTGGCGATAAGATGTGACTGCTTGGGCAGAAGATGGCCCAAGAAGAGTGTCAACCACCGGGGATCTCCTCAACCCCTGAGTGATTTTCCTGGTGACTTGGACCGTCTTGCGAAGCTCGGCCTGGCCCATACGGCTGTCCTTGTCAGAGAAGTTGGCAATCCGGACGAGCCGGTCCTTCTCGTCGCTGTTGACGTTCTTGAAGACGTTCCACTCGCGGAACCGCTTGTCGTACATGCGCTTGCTGTCAAGAGTATCAGTCACCGTGACCAGAGTCATTGTGATGAGGAGACGAGGGCTGGGATAAGAGCGGAGGGGCGAGACCGGCTGATCTAGAAACTTTTTGTTGTGTGAAGACTCAAGGCCGGTGATAGAAGGAGAACAAGACTAGGAGCTTGATCAAGTTCAGCCTCGACAGAAACCAGGGAAACAGGCGAGACTTTAAATCTCCACCTGGACTTCGGGGCCGAGTCGAACGGGTGCTCATGGCCCGAGTCAATCGACACGAGTCACTCGACTCGACTCGACTGGACTTGGCCCAAAAGAGCCGGATTGGACAGACGAGAGAGGGAACCGAAACGACAGCCGGGGGCCGACGGCGGTGGAGCGGCCGCTCTTTCGCAGTGTTCGCCATGCGTGGTTGCGTGCTTGTGCTTGTGCTTGTGATTGCCGCGCTGTGCCATAACTCAATCGCCACGCCCAGCGCGTATTGCGTACCTTGCGGAGAAGCCATATTCCCTTCTCATGATCTCGCTTACTCGCTTTAGCGGATGCTTTCGATACAGGCTGATGATCTTGTCGCGGTGCTGGGCCCACTGCTTGGCCGACGGTCCCTGCAGGGTGCCGGATTTCCGCTCTGGGCCCGTGGCCGTTGCCGGCAGCACTATTGTTGGCGGCAGTCTTGATGGTGCATTTGGGTTTGGCACTGCTGCACGGTTCTCCGGGGCATACATGGTTGTTTGATGGTTTAAAATCATGGGCAGGCACTTAGCCCTCATCTTGACAAAATGGATGCAATGAAGGGACTGAAGTGGGGGGAAAGTGAGAGTGCGGCGGCTCGCCTGCTGCAGGTTGGGACAAAACCTGACTAACCGCCGAGCTTGGCCTGAATCGCGCAGCGGCGCGCCAGGGCCCAGTCCAACTGCCCTTATAAGAAATTCGCTCAGAAACGGTGGTCGAGAGACCCTCCACAGGCTCCTTTCGCGTGGCGCAATCTGTCTCTAACCCTCGCGGCACAGCATTGCAGCCGAAAAGAACCTTGCAGCTGCTGGGGCCAGCGGAACCCACTCCAGCGTCCTAGGGCACCTACGCCCCATGGAGCGTGCCTGCCCCGAGCTTGGGGCCTTGGGGGCTAGGGGCTTATTAGCCAAGCACAGGCAAACTCCCGTCCGCTTCGTGCTGCGTCATTCGACCTTCAATTCTCGTAACCCCACTTGAATCCTCCAAGGCAGCCATCAATCTTCAAGATCAGAGTGGCTGATGCCCGCCCGGCAACCTTGGCCTCGGCCCCACACCTTCCCGCCCACACGAAAATGAGATTTGGCACTCCAATCGGTTCACCCACCCGTTCACTTTTCCTTTGGGGAAAACGGCATTTGTCTTGTACCCGCGCCAGCCCCTCAAATCCTGCTGCCTGGAAAACGAGGCATAATGGGAATGGATGAGACGCCTGTCGATGGACCAATTAATTCATCCAAGCCCGCAACAAAGAGGCAACTACCTGGTAGTAATTGGCCCACATGTTCAAATGACCAGTCAAGATGAGTATAGGACTAAAGTTAGTCAAAACTAGACCGGCCCTCATGTTCGATAGCCACGCAGCGTCCCCTTGGACGGCCAGGAAGGCGCAGGGGTCGACAACCTAGCCAGCATTTCAGCTACCGAGCTACCAGCTGGGCACGGCAACTAAAAAGACCCGTAGACGCCAGATGGCTTCTTTCCGAAAAAGGATCAACAAGTTCGCCACTCGCTGCATCACAGATATCCGTTATTATGGGCCTGGCCCAATGAAACTGTCGATTCTGTAAACGGCTTGAGCTTAAGCTTCACTGTCTGAAGATGTTGATGTCAGAAATATAGGCCCGAGACATGCAGCAAACACGGAGTCCATGTCTAGATTAATTTGAGTTGCTTGCGTGATGCTACTCACTCCGGCTACATATGCAAGGGTCTTTTTCTAACCGAAGTTCTCATGCCTTCTCGGCGAGGTGTCCCAAGAAGGAGGTGTGGTAAGAAGGTAGTTGAGCTATCTACTTAGCTAAATGACTCAATAAGTTCAACTGATAAGGAGCAGGCGGGACTCCGCTGCATGAATCTTGGAATTGGCCCAGATTCTGAGCCGCCCTGAGGCCTCATAGCTCGTGGTTCACATACCAAGATGTGAACGAGCATGGATGACAACGCCAGCAATGCAAATGATGAGCGCGCCAAATTGGCTCAGGCCCTATTGAAAACCACCTTGCCTCTAAAAAGACGAGTAAAACCTCAGATGAAACTCCATGATACGCCATAGCCGTGGACTCTAGCGCCCTGCAGGTCGCAGCCACGTCAGTCAAGAAGACCCTTGCCATCTCGGTGGTTTTTGACGGCGTCGTATACGGCCGTACACATACATATTGGCCTGGTGATGACGCGCATTTGTCAGTTTCGGCATTTTGAAAGATAGAACACGTCTGGATGTGTGTCTATGTCATGTGAATAGGCGGGCAAACTTACGACTGAATTGCTGCCAAGGCTGTAGGTGAGATTAGTGATCTAGAGACTGATATTTTGAGTCCCATGGTGCAAGCTAGGCCGATGCCGGCACCAGCCAAGAGCAGGTTAAAGACGCAGCCGAAGAAGGTGACGATCTGCTTGCGCCAGTGCTGCTCGCCCTCGGTTAACGAGGGTCTGCTGGTTTCGACGGCCAGCAAGATTACAAAGAGGACAATGTTGAAGATGAGGCCAACGATTCCCTGCACACAAGAAGAGGAGGTGGTTTGTAAGCGTGCTGGCTCACTTGGACGTGGCTGAAACAGGCCGACGGGATGGATCATAACGTACCACTGCTAGGGCGGAGAGGGGAAGCGTATAGATGGCCACATCGAAGATGTCGGAGGATCCGAGGCGTCCAAAACCGCCCATAAGTGCGAAGCTGCAGGGATTCGAATTAGAGCTAACCACCTTGCTCCAGTCTATCGCGTTCCTGTCGTTGTTGTCCCTTCCCATGTTCAAGTTCTGGACAAACGAGACAGAAGATGCAATTACGAGGCCGACGTGGGCCAGAATGGCGAGGACGTGGACGGCCTTCCACTGAAAATTTTGAGTTCGATACATGGTGTCGAACATGCGGCCGAAAGGGGCTTGTGGTGCGGATGGTATGATAGTCGGGTGGACGCCAGCCGATCCGACAACGAGTTCCGAAGGTGGGATAAATAAGAACTGGAGGCGCTGCAAAAAATGGGATGATACGAGAAGGAAGATGATGACTCAGTGTCGTCCTTTGATGAAGGGCTTGGTACTCAGTGAGGCAGTCCAACTCCATGACCAGGGTGAAGGCACCGAGCTGGAGATATATGAAGGGAGCCTCTCTTGTGTCAAATGCACCTTGCCTGCTAGCTACTCCCAAGACGGCAACAAGATGCTAACCAGAAAACCAGAGTCGATTCGCGGGTATCAAGCGCAGGGCAGACAAACAAGGGCCGGCTAGGTTGCCGCGAAACCGTCGAATCAGCGAACATACCAGCAGGGCAACTGCCGCTCCTCTTATGACGGGAGCTGACACAGCCACGCGCTTCGCCGGCTGCCAGGTCTGTGTTGTTACACTAACAAAGCCACGCTCCTCCCCTGAGCCTCTCATAGCTGCGACAGCAGACTTAATCACGGAGGAGAGTTCACCAAAAAGAATCTTCGCGTGGTCGATCAAGCAGGAGAAAGTCAGCAGCCATGCGATTCCGGATCTGGGGCCGAAATGCATGCATGCAGTCAGACATTCCGCAGCCAGAAACACCCCGCCGGCTCCCGGGAATCGGGATTTCGTTAAGCGCTAAGCGCGCTGAGAGGGCGCGCTGAATGGGGACGGGTCACGGCCAGCCTGCTGTCCCCGTACGGCGTACGGTGGGCCTCCTGCAGAATTTCGCGGCTACCTGTTTGACGAAACCGCAAGATGGACGAGCAGTACCAACTTCAGGTCCCCACAGATTACAGCTGGTGCACACAAAAGTCCTAGAAGTTCGTGTTTGCAAGAGTAAGCCGTTTTCGCGTTTGATGCAGTGCGCCGAGCGGAGGTGCCGAGTATGCCAGAATACACGACCTCCACTGATCGACCGAGAACCTAACCCAGAAACAATCCGCTTTAGTGACCGGTGCCTGTAGGGCTGGCTGGCAGTCAATTCACTCGACGAAACAAACACCTAACCAAAAGGTCAGATTCAGAGCGCGGGCCAATAACTCGGCACATAACCTGGCACAAACACATTAAGAATTTCAAGCAAATTGGAAGAGAAAACTTCGGAAAACGACCCGGCCGAGAGGCCGTTGTGTCTGGTCAGCTTCAGGCTGCCACGCCACTATTCCGTACTCCGCACGGATTTTGGAACCGCCCCCACTCACGGTGGGGTTTGGTATGGTTTGGCGATGGCGCTGGCGCTGGCGCGGAACAGCAACGGTCAGCTTCAGTATCGCATGAAGCGCCACGCCACGGAGTGTCCCCAATCCACAGACCGAGAATTTAGCAATGAAAGACCACAGCAGCCGCGGATACGCGGAGAAATGCAGTGCGGACAAGTGCTAGTATCAGGTAACACTTGCCCTGAGTTGATATCGTCCTCATGCCAACCACGTATAGTATCCGATCTGACTGTCTGCTTCACTGTGTATACCTAGGAAAACTGCTATATTTGGGCTTCTCAAAAACTCGACATCGGAATTGGAGATGCAAGCCACCATCCCGTTCCCCGACAGAGAGGTGATTGGACTCAGCCATTGGTCTGAGGCAGGCTCGCAAGCCCCGACCAAAAAAAGATGTCTTACCCCTCGCTCCTTCCTTTGGGGGGGTGCAAGTCGGGATCCCTTGTAGCATTATTAGGCGGCCATGTTCCACATACAACCCACTCCACTCCACTGGGCAGCGCTGGGCGGGCTGTCTTAGTGGAGAGCGGCTGTGGTGGTGGAGAGCGGCTGGGTGGCCACCTAGGCCCGCAGTTAACGTCGACTCACAGTTTGTTCAGCGCTTTGCCCCCGACTTCCAGGTTCCAGCTTGGCACTAAGACTCGGACTCGACTCGGAAATGGAACGTAACCACTGCCCGGCCACTGGGCATTGCCGGCAAACATGGCTGTCTAGCACAATTAGGCCTCGACAACCAATTGCAGTCGTTGGTCCCTTAGGTGCCGAGATCGTTTGCTATGCTGCCTCATCACTCAAGATTCCGGGCGTGCCGTTGTTTCGAGCCCTGGGGCAGTGGGCCATTTCCCCGGCCAATAGGCCTAGACTCCAGGTTCCTGTCATTCACAGACGCAAGGCACACTTCTATGGACTTCAGACATCCAGGCACCGACACATCAAAAGATATCAGGAAGTACTAAGATGGGGAGCGCCAGCGCCCAGAGTGCCGGGACCGCTGCCGTTGGCAAGCTCAGCTAGGTTATTTAGCCACCGAGTCTGAGCCGCCTTCCTCTGAACAACTGCACTGGGCCGCTCCTAAGATTTATTGCAAGGCTCGTCCCGCCGGCCGCCATAACTTGCCCATCTTATCTCCATGGAACTACCAACATCCCCGACTCTACCTCGGTCAGCTCTTGGCCGCCACATGCATCGCGTGACGCAGCTGGTGTCTAGCGGCTTCAAGAGCAGTCGAAGCACCACCCAAAAACACGCTTGCAGCGACACAGGACACTACCACCACGCGAACGTCCAGACGTCGGCACACCTCCCCCAGCTCGCTCCACCTGCCGACTTTTGCCGCGTCAAGCCCAACGATCATGCACAGAGCCAATGCAAGGGTTGCGATGTCGTGTGTGAACTACTGCGGTGGGGAGAGTCGCGGAAGAGACAGAACCCCGACTTTGAAGGGTGCTCGCCGCGGCGGGTCATACACCTCAGCTACTGTGAGCTCGAGCTTTGTGGCTCCCGGAAGACTGGCTGTGACACTTGCCAAATGATACACCGCGGCTTCCTGCTGGACCAGATCACGGGCCAAGACGCGGATAGCCTGAGGAACCCAAACAACCAATGGCCCATCCACGCCATGCTGACAATCGGAAACTCGGGTAACAGTCTCCTCTTTACCATCGAGTCGCCACAGACAACCCTCTTCACCACTACCATACACCTACAGCGACCTCGGAAATCATCGGGTCACAAAAAATCATCCTCGTTCACACGATCCTCGTCATCCACGAGATCCTGTCCAACCGCCGAGCCGACGACGGGGGCATCGAGGCTCCACCCAGACTTCGCCGAGTTGCACAGCGTTGTGCGAGACTGTCTTGATTATCACGAGTGCTCCTCCAAGCACCGTTGGTCAGACCAAAACCCAACCTGGCTTCTCGAAATCCTCCCGTACAACCAAGTCAGGCTGGTGGAAGGAAAGGGGAGGCCCGTGGAATACGTGGTGCTAAGCTATTCTTGGGGCGACCCGACGACCATGCCGGCAGCCGAGTGGGCGAGGATCAAGGCGGCCCGCACCATGACGACGAATGGCAAGCCTATTCCCGAGCGCCTAAACGGCTTCGACCAGCGCGCGCTTCCCGAGACGATGCAAGACGCCATTTCCATCTCGAATGACCTCGGATTTCGCTACATCTGGATTGACAGCGTGTGCATCCCCAAGGGTACCGACTGGGACACGGAGGCGGCCCTGATGCATCAAGTATACGGCAATGCCGCCTTCACTCTCGTAGCTTGCTCCAGCACCAAGGCAACCGACCGACTGCTGTGCGACAGGCTAGCGTGGACGCATCGGAATGTGGCCCATAAACTGCGCGGGCAGTTTCTCCACAACTCGCAAATGTCCTTGGACAAAGTACGACTCGGCGCTCCCGTATCTCAACGTTCCTGGACCCTCCAAGAGGAGCGGCTTTCTCCGCGGATCCTGTACTGGGCTAATCAGCGGTGGTACTGGTCATGTACGGAACGGCAGACAGTTGAGATGCGCGAATTCGGAATCCCATCTCCCCTACTGCCCAAAGAAGCCTGGAGCCTTCCGCATCGCTACTTAGAAGCATGTCGCATTGGAGATGAGCACCAGCTCCACGAAGAATGGCTGGACATCGTCGAGGCCTACACGCGCCGCGACCTAGTGGAAGCCAAGGACCGCTTTTTGGCGATTGCTGGCCTTGCTGTTCGCTTCTACAATGCCAAGGCAGAGGTTGGCAAGGGGGCAGTTCCCGAGGAATATCTGGCAGGCCTGTGGAAGGACGACTTTGCCAGGCAACTAGCATGGTCAGTCGTGAAGCCTGCGGCTCCATGGCAGCACCTCCAACACATTGCCCCGTCGTGGTCATGGGCATCGCTACCCCTGCTGGTGCACACCAAGACAAAGCACAGCTTCCGGCTATCACCGCACTTCGAGTTTGTCGGCACCAAATTCATCAACCCCGCCGAGACTGCCGTAGCAATAACCACACCGACGACCGCATCAACGACCGACATGGAATGGGCCATGACCAAGATTGGAGATTTTTCGTCAAACGCGCGGGAGATGGGCCAGTTCATTGAAAGGCGAGGCAGAAACACAAAGGTCGTCGAGGTTAGGGGTCGCTTCCGCAAGTTCGTCTCGGCAAACTCGCAGAAGGTTCCTTGGGAGCGCATCCAGATCAAACGAGACGGGAGAGAGATATTCAACTTTACGCCCGGGTGTCATACCCACTCACGAAACCTGAACGACGGCCGGGTTCTTACCAAGGACGCCCATGGCGGAGAGATTGTCGGCCAGCTCGACTACCTTGCGCCCCCCGACAGCCGCAACGAGGTCAAGAGGCTGGGAGTGTACCTCCCCGACGGTGCCGAGAAGGATCTGTACTGCCTTGAGCTGGGAGAGTCGGCAATGCTGCTGCTCCAGGCTAACAGGCGATGGGGGGTAGCCGACTCTTACCGCCGTGTAGGTGTGTGCATCGGCTACAAGAACCGCAGAGGGTTTTTCTATGGTTGCACAGCAGAGAACATATTGCTGGCTTGAAAGAGATGGTTTATGACTTTTATTGATACAAATTTTGGGCAGGCTTCCATCATAACTGGGTATTGAGTTTTGGTCTTTCGGTATAGGCGCAAGGTTTTGACAGTTCTGCATGGGTGATTACATTGTGAGAGGGTTCGGGACAGGGGGCGTGAAAGCATCTGGGTTAGTTTGTGGAGTTTGTCTCTGTCTTCTTTATTCTAGTCCAACCAACAGCTACTTTGGCTTCAAGCCACTGCCATGTCATGGCGAAGTAGATTTGTCAGATGTTGCAGCTTTAACTCTCCGAGTCTTAGTTTCCTTTAGATTATATAGGCAAGCGGCAACTGCCATTGAGCTCAATAGTTCATCCTCCGTCTTACATATTTCAGTATCCATACTTCATACTTCATACAGCTTGAGTATTGCCCGTAGTACTGTATTCCGCAAAACACTGCGCGCTCTATTACGGGTTGTCTGGTGCGGCAGCATCCGTGTACGCCATCCTCACGGCACTTCTACGGTTCTACGGTGTGTTTCTGTTTGCTTTAATATTCTTTGCTGCCTCGACATTGTTCTTTCTCTGAGTCGGCCCCCGTTACTTGATGCGTGTCTCGCAAGCGAGAAGACGTCAGAGTAATGATAACCGGTCGCACATCTGATGGGGATACTTCCTGGTCAAGGCCTGCTATCTCGATTTGTCAAGTTCATCTCCGGACCAGGACAAGGCGGAGACAGAAACAGAAATTGGGACAACGAGCTTGATACTCGTCTCATCCAAATAATACGTGTCTAGATCGCCCATTTCGCCCTCACTTTTATCGTCATTGGGCTCGCAGAGCCCGCCAGGCACAACGTAAGAACCTAGTCGACAACGTCACCTTCTTTTTACAAGTAATTAAGCTAACTAGGTTCGGGGTATATTTAACGGAGGACGCACTTTCAGGCGTGGCTTACCGCTTTGAATAGTCTTTTGTCTGAACTAGCCCGTTGCCCAGGTTTTCTACGTGGTTCACCAGCCGTGGGCTTCAAAGATTTTCCCGCTCGAATGCAGGGATACCGCAATTCTGAGCCCTGGAGAAGGGTCAAAGCTGTGGTCCAAGGCTATACAGGTAATGGCGATAGCCGATGTGCTATGGTTCTTTATCATGGTGTATGTAATTCTTAGCTGCGTGAAATGATGTTTCAGCTAAAAACTTCTGTGATGGCTCAGTCAGGCATAACTAAACACTTTCTTCATTCGTTCAGAGGCGCCTTTCTCTGAGCTAGAGCTGGGTGGGTACTTGACGATGCTTTGCTTCCTTGTAACGCATCTGAACTTTTGAGTTGGGTTGTGAGACGTAAAGGTACTTAGAGGAGATCAAGTCTTTGAAGTATTGAAGAAGCTGACTCAACGAGGCAACCGACAGAGAGAGGCTCACTATATTAACTGTTCCACAGCTTCATCAGAAACAGAAAATCAGAATTTATACTTTTATCACTGTTCAGTTAGACAAGACTGCTCAGCCTAAGTTTGTTAGAGTCAAGATAGCGTGATAGTATTTTGTGGGTAGCGAGGTTCTTGTCTAAGCCACATGTTTTTAAGATTGGCAGCTAACGTAAGTTCAGTGTGCAGGTCAACTGTCTTAGTCTCCCTGCACCTCACCTGTCCCACTCCACTTAGTTTAGAATTAGTTTAGAAGTAATTACGGACTTATTATATTATCTTTATAATTAGAATATTAACTAAGCTGGGGAATGAATTCGGAACTGGTTATAAACTAGTTGGGGACTTGGCGTTGTAAATAGACTGGCCTAGTTGGTTCGTTCACGCCGCGTCATTTCGCGCTACCCGCGCTAGCTAATTAAAATGCGCAAATCAAAAAAAGTGGGGTGGGATAGGTGAGGTACCGGGGACTGGGACAGTTGACTTATGGTCTCGACGTGAGTTATATCCTGTAGGATTTAATGCGGGTCAGCCGGCAGCGAGAAGCTGCAGATTGTTTGATGCTGACAAAAGGGGGAAATTTGTAAGCAGCAACGGAAATACTTATCGAGATATAAACCCCCTTTCATTGGAGAGGGCAGTTAGAGAATTTCTAGTAATTTTTCGTTGTTCTCGTCGAACAGGCAGAAGAATACCCACCCGTCCCCTGACGGCTCTAGTTGAATAACAGTTATCTATCTAGGGCATTTTTCTTGTTAGTTATCTCAACTGCCGACCTTTAACTCCCAAGCGTGTAGACACCGTCGATATTCCCGCCACAATGGCCACCCCCTCAATCCTTGTCGTCGGCGCCGGCGAGCTCGGAACAGCCGTAGCGACAGCACTCGCCAAGCACCCGCACCGCCGCAGAGGCAAAATCGGCGTGCTCCGGCGCGCCGAGACGCAGCGGTCGGCAGACTCCGCCAAGCAGGCCGAGACGGCGCGCCTCAGCGCGCTAGGCGCAGTGCACGAGACGGGCGACTTTGTCAGCTCGTCCGTCGCCGAGCTTGCCGACGTGTTCCGCCGCTACGACGTCGTCGTTCAGTGCGGCGGCTTCGGACTGCCCGCCGGCACGCAGCTGCGGGTCACGGAGGCCGCGCTGCGCGCTGGCGTACCCCGCTTCTTCCCCTGGCAGTTCGGTGTCGATTACCCGACCATCGGCCTCGGCAGCGCGCACGAGTTGTTCGACGAGATGCTTGAGGTACGCACGCGCCTGCGCGGGCAGACGGCAACTCAGTGGACGATTGTGTCGACGGGCTTGTTTATGAGTTTCTTGTTTGTGCCTAGCTTTGGCGTCGTTCAGTTGGACAAGCGCGTCGTGCGCGCGCTCGGCAGCTGGGAGAACCGCGTCACTGTGACGACGCCCGAGGATATTGGTACCATGGTTGCTGAGGCGGCGTATGTGCCTGGTGACACGGTCAACAGCGTGGTGTTTGTGGCGGGCGAGACTATCTCGTATGGCAGGCTTGCCGACTTGTTGGACAGTGTCTCCGAGGCCAAATTTGACAGGAAGTTGTGGGATATAGGGTACTTGTCATCAGAACTGCAGAGTGAACCCAATGACTTGATGCTCAAATATCGGAATATCTTTGGGGCTGGGGTGGGCGTGGCTTGGGATGTGGACAAGACGCTAAACCACCAGAGGGGGATAGCCATGACCAGTCTGGAAGAATACGTTAGGGAGAACCGGGACCTGTTAAAGTAGAGTTAATTGTGTTGTCGTGGGTTCTGTGGATCTAAAATGGAAGAGGTGTAATCACGATTCCTCTGTCCGGCCCGTTTAACTCACCCTAAGTCACGTCGGTCACGAGTGGACCCCTGAACGTGCCAATTCCGGAATGTCGGTCCTCTGCGGTTAAATTTTGAGGCAGTCTATTCGTACGGTAGGAAGCGTCTTTTTGTACGGTAGGGTACAAAAAGTGACATGCGCGCCAAGCCGCCAAGCCACTAGCCCAGCCAAAAGTCGGATTTTTACACCTTAAAAAGACTAGTTGAATAGATTGAACGCTTCTTCGGATGGCTTGCCCGGCACCCTGCGCCCGGCACCCTACGCCCGGGCCACTTTTTACCTACAATTGAAGCCATCGCCAAATCCACCACCTGCGCCCGGCACCCTGCGCCCGGGCCACTCAGGCCAAATTTTACCTACAATTAAGGGCATCCGCCAATTCCACCAAAACCTTCCACCTTCAACAACCACAACACCACAACACCACAATACCGTCAATTGAGCTATACCAACAATAACGCGATTTTATGGCCGCGTAAGTAGGTGCGCAGCTTCATTTTGCATCTACAAGACTAACAAGCGATAGAAATGGCCGCGCGCGCGCCTTCGCCCGGCGAAAATGATGATGCGCACCCCGCGCCCGCACCGGTGCCTCTCTCAATGCCTCCGCCAGACCACAAGCTTTTTACCCACAAATACGACTTTCTCGTTGACTTGATGGATGACTTGGAAGAATGGTCCGCTTCAGCGCTCTTTTGCGTACGAAAGCTTCGTGCGTCGAACAAGATCAAGGACTTCGGGCATTCCTGCGTTGAGATTTCCTGCCAGAGAGGCAAGATTCGACTTAGCGAGGCAACCACACAAAAGAGTCAACAGAGGACTATAAAGTGCGACTGTCCTCTCAAGCTTGTGGCTAAGGCGCTCGCGAAAGACGAGCGTAAATGGACCCTACACATCGTCAACAGCACACATAACCACCCGCCCGCCGAGTCCCGTGCCAATTTGGTCGGTAAATTCCTCCCTAAGCACAAGGCTTTTGTGGCGACCTATTCCGACAGGCCCGCGATCTCGAATCGGGAGATCGCTAGGGATTTGCGCACCAAGTTCCCCGGCTTCGTCTTCAACCGTAGGCAACTTCGAAACCTTCGATATACGCAGCGACAAGAGACCCTTGACGAGCACACACCGTTCCAGGCCACGATGAAGTTACTTGACGATAAAAAGATCAAGTATGATGTGCTTTGGTCCGCCGGGAACGACAAGAAGCCAGAGGGTCTTTTTTGGACTACTGAGTGGTGCGAGGAGCAGTGGAAGCTTCATCCTTGGGTGCAGATGTACGACAATACGTACAAAACCAACAACAAAGGACTGGCATTCTTCCAAGTCGTCAGCGTCAACAACCTTGGCCAGTGCTTCAGCTGTGCGTTCGGGCTGATGAACAACGAACGGCAGGAAGGCTTTGACTGGCTGATGGATAAGGTCAATGAGAATCGTAAAAGGATCAAGGCCAACAAACCAACTATCACAATTTCCGACTTTGACGTGGCGATGAGGGCTTCAATTGTACGTGTTTACCCTGACGCAGACCCTCAACTCTGCATCTTTCACATCAATAAGAATATGGTGTTGCACATCCACAAGAAGTGGGATAAAAAGGCTGTAGCAGAGGTCGCCGCCGCACATGCCGCGGCACAGCCGGCTCAGGGCGACCAAGCGGGTGGAAGTCGGGACAACAACAACAATAATAATGAAGCCGAGGGCCCCGGAGATGACGATGCGGCTGCCGGAGTTGTGAATCGCCTCAACCGCATCGCGGTCGACGAAGTCCCTGTTAGTCGCGTGCCTGATGAAGTCGAGTACTCCCGAGCCGGGGTCTACAAGATTTGGGAGCATATGCTCTATGCCCCGACTCTTGATGACTTCAACGCTGCATATGAGAAGCTCAAGGCATTCTTTCCTCAACAAGAGGAAATACTGGCTTACGTCGAGAGCATGATGCCTTTACGCGAGCAGTGGGCAACGTGTTACACCAACAAGCGCCTCAACTTTGGCCACCGCACCACATCCCCAGTTGAGGCTCTCAACCGTTACCTGAAGAGCTTTGTTATCAACGGGAATAGTGACATTCTTCAGCTTATTGAACAGTCGTTCAGAATGCTTGAGGAAATGCAGAGGTCTATTAGCGAGGCTCGCCACTCCGCGATGACTCGTATAAAGCGGTCATATATAGGCAGAGTGTGGCTCGGTGAGGCTCCGTACAACATCGTTGAGAGGGCCGTGGATCGGGTCGTCAAACAATTCCGCATTGCACTCCGTGCCTGTCCGACCGAAAAGGACCCGAACCCGGGCCCCCTGCTGGAGTGTACGGGCCAGTTTACCGCCCAGTTCGGCATCCCTTGCAGCCACAACCTTCTGCATAGAATGATCGAGGGAGATTTGAGGCTCACGAAGCTAGATTTCCACCCATATTAGTGGTTGGGTAGATCTCTTACTGACGAAGACCGGTATCTACAATATCATGAGTTTGACCGTGTTGAGCGCCTCCGAGGAAGACCCCGAGGCTCTGCGGCGGTTGCTCCTGACCCCCGGGCACCCCGATCAACAGTCCCGATCTTAACGGCATCACCGGCGGCGACAGCGTCTCTAACGCCGGTGGTAACAGTAGCATCGACGACGACGTCAACCGGCAGGGCTTCGGGCGTCATGCCTTCCATTCGCCGTAATGCCTCACAATGGGAGGGCGTCAGCTTGGAGCAGGAAGACAACAGGGATAACAGGACTCAGGAAAACACCAGCGAAAACGCCCCTGCGCAAGCACAACGAACTGTGAATGACCTCACTATCCCTCGCGGCGGCGCCCGCTTCGGTGCGGCGAAGAGAGGCCCGAGCAGCCGGGGCGGCCGGGGCGGTCGTGGTGCAAAGGCAACATCAACACCACGCGCATCATCAGGGGTATTACGAACCCCGGCTTCATCTGGAGCACAGGCTTCAACCCCCAGGGCGCGCGGGTCTCGAGGAGGCATTACAAAGGCATCAACACGCGGTGCATCGACTCGTCGCACTACGAGGGCTTTGGCTGCAGCATTTGAGGCACAACAAAGCGATGAACTTGACGATGCGTAGGCAGGGCAGGTTTTTATTGCATTTTTAGGCATGTTATGTAAGCAACAACACAGGTTAAGCCTTCGGGTTTTATTGCAGAAATGAACGATTGAGCGCATCTACGGCCCTGAGCATATATCACTGCATTTGGAAGCATATTGACGTTGGCGACGGCGGCGTGGTGTAACTGCGATGCGACTGCGATTGATCCGAAGATTTCTTACGCTGGTATCGTCCCAGGAATTAGCGTTATTTTTAGTGCGAAAAGTGGGTTTTTAATGGGCGGGTCCTAGCGCGCATGTCACTTTTTGTACCCTACCGTACAAAAAGACGCTTCCTACCGTACGAATAGACTGCCTCTAAATTTTTAAATATTGTATTGGTCTCGGTGCCCGGCCACGTCAGTGTCATATGCCGGTACCACACCACAGTAAGGTGAGGTGGGAGGTGGGGTCGTGCTCCACTCCTTCCCCTTCCTTTTGACCACTTCCTCTTTCCAGCAAGAGGGTCCCGGCTTCCGTAACGTTCCAGTTTCATCCCCCGTTTGAAACCGGTAATTATCGCTACATTGCTAGCCTCACAGGTCACACATCTCCTATGTATATCATGGATATCTGGATGCGTCGTTTCCCGCCCGTGCCAGGGCGGCCTCTCTGAGACTCTCCAGTCTGCCCCAGCTGAGCCAGAGTCCAGACTCCAAGCATGACGCACATCTCAGCAATCAGCAAGGTTGCCCGCAAGGTTGGCCTCAAGGTTGCCCTCACGACATTCCTCCTCTTTGCTCTTCTCTATCTCGTTACCTTCCACCTACTAATCCAGCTCTACCTCGGCACCAGCCCCCTGTTTGCCAAGGCTTCTCTCCCCCCACAAACACGAACGCCTCGGGAGATGGGGTCTGAGCATCTCCTTGCCGCTCGCGCCCGTGCCCGTCGCCGTCCTGCCTGTATCGGGCAAAATCCTCGTCTGGTCTGCGGATAAGGCTCGCATCTTTTCCAACTCGACGGGCCACACCCTGGCAGCCATTTCCGACCCTGCTACGAGCACGGTAGAGGCCCACAATGTCACGCAAACGCACCACAACGTGTTTTGCCCGGGTCTCTCGCTTGACGCCTCCGGCCACCCAGTCGTCACCGGGGGGTCCACATCCACTAGCATCTACGATCCTATCACCGAGTCCTGGGTGGTAGGACCCGCATTGACCACAGGCCGGGGCTACTACTCCCAAGCCACTCTCTCCGACGGCCGAATTTTCACCATCGGCGGCTCTTGGTCTGGCGGCGCTTCCACGCCCAAGAATGGCGAGACCTTGTCATTCTCACTCTCATCCTCAGGCTGGGCCCCACTCCCGTCGGCTCTCTCGCACTTCCCATGCACACGTTGGACTAGCTCGGAATATTCGCGGCTAACAACCACGCATGGCTTTTTGCCTGGACCAATGACACCGTCTTCCAGGCCAGCCCCTCGCGGAACATAAACTAGTACGCGCCCGTCGATTCTAAGACAGGCAGAAACGGAATGGGAGCCCACTTGGCCGCTGGTGCTCGCGCCGACTCTCGCGACGCCATGAACGGCAACGCCATTATGTTCTCTGCGTCCCCCGCCACCGGCGCCTCGATCCTCACCCTCGGCGGCGCCGAGTCTTAGTCTCTCCCCAGCAACATCCGCCGCCCACCTGATCTCGCTCCCGCCCGGCGGCGCAACCTTCTCCACACTAACCGTCTCACGTCTAGAGGATATGCACCACCCACGCACATCCTCCAACTCAGTCGTGCTCCCTAAGGGCGACGTCTTCATCGTCGGCGGCGCCAGCTACGCCAAGCCATGGAGCGACGTCCACGCGACCCTCGTCCCCGAGCTCTTCTCCGCGGGCACGCACACCTTCGCCCCGCTGGCGTGCATGGCCGTAGCGAGAAAATACCACAGTGTGGCCGTTCTCCTGCCAGACGCCACGGTCTTGGTGGGCGGCGGCGGTCTGTGCTGGGAGCCGTATGATGGCGACGAAGCAGGAATCAACCACCTGGACCTCCAGGTGTACGAGCCGGGGTATCTCTGGGGCGGGGATGGGCTGTGGGTGGAGCACAGGCCGCGCATTGTAGAGATTTCGAATACGGATGGTCAGGTGCGCGAGTTTACGATAGTGCGCTACGCGAGTGCGACGCATGCGACCAATACGGACCAGAGGAGGATAAGGTTGGATGCCACCGCCACGCCCGTGGATGTGGTAGCGGCACAGGAGGGTGTGAAGGAGAGGCAGGTGTATGAGATGCAGGTGCCGCATGACGCCGGCATTGCCGTTCCGGGATACTGGATGCTTTTTGCCATATCGTCTGCGGGCGTCCCGTCAGTTGCCGAGACTATCTTTATCAGGCTTGCCTAGCGCCGACACTTTATGCAGTTGGCTATTTTCCTTCTCGGGCTACACAGAAACGAGCTATTGTGAGTAGCTACGTCGCACTGTCCCAGTCCCAATCCGCTATCGGCAATACCCCTGGAGAGCCGTCACACGTGGTGGAATTCGTCCATAACGGGCAAAATTATACCGAGACTGTGGAATTCCTAGAAGGGATATCGATAGCGAGCACACGGACACCCGCGTTCTCCGTATCGTTGGTGGCGCTTGGTAATGGGGGGTCTGTTGGTTGATGAAGCGCCCCTGCCGTGTGGAACGATGTGGTTTTGGGCGATAATAGCATCGCGACTACTTCTTTGGCTCCAAGTCTCAAGTCTAAATCCCTCATCAGCTACTACACCTCGGAATCGCAAATATACTTTCAGCGGGTGGCTTACGAGCTCTCTTGCCGCTTTGACTTTACGTGATGCTTGCGTTGGTGTGCATCCTCCACTGGCTTGGCCTTTCGGCGGACTTGATCTCATCCTGGATCAGGACTTGCCAAAAAGTCCCGCTCCCAAGCACACTGGTTCTAAGCCCTCTCATGACGCTAGTGCCGTTGTAGGCGTTGGTCAAGTCAGCCATCCACGTTGCGCCGCCCTCCTTTCCTCGGGAACCAAACCGAGTGGTCTCGAGAGGCGCGTCGGCAATCTAGTTCTAGCCGTTGTAGAGCAGCGTGTTCTGTCCCGCGGTCCGGCATCGGTAGTATCGCCATCATAGGCTGTCCTAGGCCTCGCTAGAGAAGTACAAGCATCGAAGTTGACAGCGCATTGAATTTTCTGGTTAAATCAGGTCTAGTATTACACGAATGAAGGCCTTCTTATACTTCAAGAAAAAGGACAAAAGAAACACCGTTCAGCAGGCCGATCAGCCGTAATAAGTAAGGGACTCAGCCGCACGACGCAAAGAAGAAAAGAGGGCATTCGGAAGTCTGGGAGCCCGGAAAAAGGGCTGAAAGTAAAGAATGAAGGAATGTGCATTGTTTGAAGGGATATGCATTAAATGATGGAACATGCCGACTGTGGCTCGAAAGGTGGCTCAGAGTGGTTCAAATCCAGGCGACAATATACGTGCAATGGCAGCATAGGAAAGTTTAACTCATAGATCCACTGCCCTTTGCAACCAGGAAACTCCCCGTTTGGTATGGCATTTGAGTATCTCTCGTAGCCCATAGATTTACACGTAGGGAATGGTACAGGTGAAACAAGACTTTAGCTCGAGGTTTGAAATTTAAATACAGAACCCACAAAGACCGAGGATGAAAGGAAAATTCCTGGAAGATAAAATTTGAACAAAAACATCTCCTATGCTGCTTGCCTCATAACACACACTTGACCGGGGCGTGCTTAATCTAGGTTCACTCCACTGCAATCCGTAGTAGCATTGAAATTCTAAGTAATTTGACGTATTCATAGTCTGCCATCCTTTTTGCGGAGACAGCAGACACGTTATGAGCGAGTTGAGTTTTGGGTTCTAGTGGATCAGATAGATTAGCGTTCCCCACTGAACCACAGAAGGTTCAGGGCCTGAAAGCGATTTCGTTAGGGCACGTGACCTGCTGCCCCACCATTTCTCTCGTCAACGTACACGCACCTGCCTCAGTTCCGAACTCCAAAAACAACAACCGTTCACGCCCTGACCTTGACCTCACCATCGAAAAGAAGTCCCCACCGCACCTTCCTCTTCTTGCAGCTTTAGTCACCCCCTCTGCAGCAAGGCATCCCGCAAGTCAAAATGCCTCACGAAATCTTTCTGACGGCTGTCGTGAACGAGCACGATTTTGATGCGGCCGTAAAGGTCCTCGGGGGTATCACGGCAATGCGCGAACAGCAGCACATCTCCCGCGTTCACTATTACATACGCGACGTCAGCGTCAGGGGCCTGCCCTCAATCAAGGAGATCCAGAAGGAGAAGGGCCCAACTTCTGCATCGTGGCAGGAACTGCACCAGATTCTTCTCAAGCAATCCTACATCCTGCACACCCGCCACCGTGACTTCCTGGATCCCACCTCTCCCGGCCCCGTTTTGAGATTCTGCGACCAACCAGACCCCGAGAGCAACCGCTACCCGCGCTTCATCACGCAACGCAAAATTCTCGAGATCAATGATCTCAGAACTGAAAAGATTCTGGCCGAAAGCAAATTCACGTAGGCTTCGCTCGTCGTGCATGCCATTTGGCAATTAAGCTGACATTTGCATATAGGTTGAAATCAGAGATGGTTGAGGAGTCGTACCACTGGTGGCTGAATGACCTCGAATACGCACTCACCCGGATCTTGCCTGTGCCTCCTGGCTCCCCGCTGCCGCAGCAGGTGTCGGACCTCAACGACCTACAGCCTCTGAGCTCGTTCTGGATGCTTTATGTCCGCACTTGGGTCGAGTCCAACCCCGAGCGCATGCAGCTAGCCTACGTCCGACTGAATCAAGTTAAGAACGACTTCACTGGCCTCTTTGAGTTCAAGACCATGGACCGCCGCGCCCACGACACGAGAAACATGGAACCCCGGGGATCGGTCTAGGTGCCCGAAGACCCTGTACCTGTCTATTCCAGTGCCGATCCTACGAATGACAGCGAGTTCGAGGATGAGGATGATGGTGATGATGACGAAGATGAAGAGAATGGTGAGAATGATGGGATTGCAGATATTAAGGACGAGGACGACTCAGATGACGTCGGCCATTGCGGAGGCGATGAAAACATCAAGAGTGACATCAAGAGCGACTCGGATGACAAGATCAAGAGTGACCCGGAGAACAACATCAAGAGCGACTTGGATGACAACATCAAGAGTGGCCCGGAGAACAACATCAAGGGCGACCCCGATAACAACGACGATATCTATATGACTACATCTATCATTTACGCTGTCCCTTACAGCGGATATATGGGGGCGTTGAACCGTCGCCATCCAGTGCACGATGTGAGTATTTTCGTCGATCCCGATCGCTGCGATGGCAGTTTTCCCAACGAAGCGGCCGCGGATTATTAGTGCGACTGGCATTGTGATGATAGGAAGAAACGCTGGCCTCGGACCCTCAAGACGCGACAGAGGGGCTTGTCGGCCCCACCGGCATTTGAGCCGACGACCCCCCCACTGATGTCATCATCGATCATTGGTCTCATTTCGGACATCAAAAATTTGCATTTCGACGACGGCCTAAATCCGGGTGCTGCCGTGGCCGAATTCGGCACTGCTTTGGCTAATCTAGTCCTGGAGGAGAAATAGCCGCGTTGGCTGCCGAGCAGGTTTTGATGTTGCTTTCCATTCTTTCCTTTCATCTTTCCGACAGATCCCCTTCTTTCTATACCGTTTGGGCCAATCTAATGGATATTTGGCCTCCCACATGAGCTCGTTTGGCTTGGATGGCACGGTTAGATTTCTGGAGTTTGTGTGTTGGAGTTACGGCCTTGGGTAGGCTAGCACACGCTAGATTTTGCATGGCATAGGCAAGTGGGATCCTGATTGTAAAACCATGTGTACTATTTGACAAAGTGGGAGGGAGCTGGTGTTTATTACATTGTACTGTACATTATGGGGATGGGAGCATGGAGAAATCAAGCGAGCTTGGTTTTGCTGTTTGCTGACGGCGGTTTACATATGCTACCATTTACCAAATCATCACTGGTTGGTGGCATTGACGACTGCTTTTAAAACAATCAACAGCTCATTATCAAGTACTTCGCACCGTCACGGTATTGCATCTGCTTGGTCGATATGTGCGAATTCTTGTTATTGTGACCGCTAGCGGCCAGCTAAAGTCGCGAAGTCGCTCCTACTTTCCAATCTTCAATGGTCAGTCTCTCGTAGGCCAGGATGCAAACCTTGAAGTAAGAGAGGTCGGGCTGGTGGCAGGTATCATGGACCTGTGAATTGACCAGGTGCCAGGTGAGCCTTCCCAGTCGGCTACGTGGCCATGTCCATAATTGCAACCCCGGTATCCGTCACCATAATTGTCACTCCAATATCATGAATCTACACGGGGGATGAAAATTATATTCATTCCGAGGCTATCTATCTGAGTTGTCCATTTTACTCCACCTCCTAAAGCCAATGGCTGCATCCGCGAAATCATGTTACGTGGATGCCACGTTTTCTGTAGTTGTTCGCTATGGGGCTGTGTTTGTCTCGAATATGGTTCGGCGAGTCTAGATACAAAATCTCATCCAACTGCTCGATAGTGATTGTTCCCACGACCAGAGAATTAATTAAAGAGTGAAAATCTCCCCTCCATAACGACCAAAATTCCCAAGACAAGGCTGTGCGCCTGTCCACCTCGCCTACTGGTTCAATTTGCGGCGCTTCGTTCTCAGCGATCGCTTAGTCTCCATCCCCTCGCCGTCTTCATTGCGAGTAACAGTTTCCTGGAGCCTTCTCGTGAAGCTTTCCTTTATATCCCCGGAAACTGACACCCGGCCGACCTGGCGCAGTCTGAGGAGCTGTTCGGCCGGAGCCAGCAGCTTAGTGTGCGAGGGTGGGACTCGATCGTCGAGCTGCGAGCGATGCATCGGCTCGGACTTGAACTCGACAACCATCTTACCCTTTTCCTGGTCGAAATTCACATGCAAACCTTCGATGATGTGGTAGTAGCGCTGGTAGTAGAACTCTGGCTCGGCAGCAAAATGTAGGTCTAGCTGCTCGAGCTGAGCTGCTTCGCTGATGTTGCCAGAGCCGAGGAGAATGTCAACAGCGCCAGAGACGATTGGCGTAAGATGATGCACGCCCTGGTTCTTTACCGGCCGCCACGGCGATGACACCACCAGCATGACTGACCGAAGATATTTTGCGGTCCGGCTAGAAAGTGGGCCCAGCGAGCCAAAGGCGGGATTCTCTACGAAGGACTGGGGGTCAGAGGTGGGGTGGCGTCCAAACTTGCGTGAGCAGGACTGCCATGCGTTGAAGTTGTCCGACTTGATTTCGACTCCGACCTCGGCGGTGGAGAGGTGGAATATGAAGTAATTGTTGCCGTAGAACTGCTCGAAGACGATGGAGTTGAAGGCGCGGTTGGTGTAAGCGAGGCCAAGGTCTATTGATGGGGCCAGGATCGACGGCGCCATCTGATGCACAACAGCATGAAGATTTCCGATCGGCACAAAAGCCCAGTCAAGTTTTGACCGAGGATATATACCGTGGTCCCACGGGCGGCCCCATTGGCGGCACTTGAGAAACTCAACAATACAGCCGGTAGGGACGAGGAAGCCGACGATCAGCCTCACGATCTCGAGGGGAAGGGCACCAAGGAAACAAGAGGCGCCAGCTCCAGCGGTGGAACTGGTATTTCGAGAGCTGGCCCCGCCGGTAGAACAACCCAAGGGCGTGATGGCCTCACCGCCGTCATGGCCGTGTTCTTCTTTGTCGCCATCACCGTCGCTGTCGTCGGGCCAGATAAAATAATTCTCGCCCCGAGAATAGTCGGGGATGCGGACCTTTGGAACCTCTCCTGCCGAAGTGACACATCGGTCGAACCGAGGAAACGAAGGCTGCCATTGGCAGGATCGAATGGCGCTCTGGTATATGTGTGAAAGGGCTGGGTAGTCTTCGTCTCGCTTTGGCTTGGTTCGCCACATCGTGTCTTGACAAACTTGAAGTGAAGAGTGATGTGAGGTGCGGGATGATGAAAGGTTGCTGAATGGGGAGCAGTGGGGAAAGACGGGCAACAAATCTAAAGCTAGCTAGTGCTTATCTCAGCAAGCTCAGACCTCTTTTTCAGGCGTAGAAGAAAGAGCCCCGGGGCCTGCGGCCCCCCCCCCCCCCCCCCCCCCCATGAAAGAAGGCACGCTAGACCGCATTCGTATCCTGTGACCCGCAAACTTTTGCTGTGGCTCAGATAGACCCACTTGGACCCACATTGCACAGAACGCCTGAAAAAGAGGTCTGAGAGAGTAATGTTGCGGTAGTCGTCAAGGGCGTGTCAACCGCCATACAAATAGAAAAAATGTAGATTTGTTTTCCTTCAATTGTCTAACAACTGTCACGGCCGGCTTGGAATGAGGGCGGAACTCCTCTATTGGGCGCTATAGACGAAGATTCTAAACTAAAGGGAAAAGGGAAAAGAAGCTCAAAAGCCTCCCCTCGCGAGATTCTTCCAGGGCGTCTCAAGGTGGGGCTCTGGCTGGTCGGGTGGATCCACCCAACTGGCGTCTGATTAGTCAGAGCGTCTGGGAGGCCTGGAGGACCAGGCCCTCACAACAACCACATATCGTAAAACTATATAAACATATGTCTGAAGATGCTGAGACGCTCAAAGATCTAATGGTGTAGTGTCACGAATCCCTATGGATTCCCTGTGGATATGCACAAAGGTGGGGCATGCTCTTTTTGGCGCGGGCCAATCAGGAGCGTTCCAGGGTTCCGAGCTCTGAAGCTCGGGGACGCGGGACAGTTCCGGTCGGGCCGGGCGGTGACCCGGACGCGGGACCACGGGACAACCGAACCACTGTTATTGGTTACGTAGATAGATATATACGACGACCGTGACCACGGTCTTAGATAGTTCTTGCTTGGTTCTTCAAGCAAGCAATACACATTCACTGCACTCATATACTTTGAGTGGCATTCCGATTTGACTGTATTACCCGTGCGATAGGAGCTTGCCCTTTGTTCTATCTTCATAATTACCAACCCCAGCATCCTGTGGAGCCCGTGCTCCCTTACAGACAGACGACCCTAACAGTCGAGTGGTTTGTAATACTATCGCCTCACTAGGGCCACGCACCACCGCCACCAGGGCCACGCAAGGATGACTCATAACCCCTTTATGTATATTAGACCATGGCCCTCGCATATCTCTTTAGCTTAGGCCAGGTTGAAGTCTCACGCCAATACCAGTCATTGCTCAGCTTACTTGCTTCCATTGTGACCACCTTGATCAGGCGTACCTGCCTTCTCTTACATTGAGGCTGTTGGTATTAATATATTCTTTCTCTACCAATTCACTAAGAACAATGCCAGAATTCGTGCACTATAGCCGTACATCAATAGAGGCATGTGTTACAATCTGGACAACAGGTCCACGGAGCTAGGCCCGGCCTAGGATTGTGGGGGTCTGGACGGCAGGTAGGAGATGACAGGAGACAAGGAGTATCGTGCACAGATTGCGAAAGACAGGCTTTCAACACACAACCAATGTATGCTTAACCAGATGCATTGATAGCTGCAGAACCGTTCTCCCAGAGAGCGTGCTGCCAGCCCTATAGAACTATGAGCAACCAATCAGAGTTCCTGCCCTACATGCTCAGCCGTGCTCACTCGCGCTCAGTGCGTCTTGGCGCTGACCCTACTGAGCACTCAGCTCAGCCGTGCTTGGTCGCGGTCATGCGTCTTGGCACTGACCCCACTGAGCACTCCCTAATTGGGTGCACCGTCCCTCGCTGGGAGCCCCACCCTAAATGCCGCCCTAGCTAATCTGCAGCGGGCGGGCAACGCCTTTTGCACCTTTGAACCGGGATCGTAACAGCATGACCTGGTGATATTTGATATTGTTTTTCGTGATGTTCTTGCCCCTGTGGAAGAATTGCGCATCAGAAGAAACAATAGCGTTTGTGGCGTTATTTTTATCGTTACCAGTGTCCCAGAAAACCCGGAAAAGAAACTCAACATAGTTAAGTTCAATATGGAAGAAAGCAGGCACAGGGACAAGCCACTTCTTCTGCTCCCACTTCTCGCTAGCCTCTAACTACGAGAGCTTAATGCGGCGAATAAAGAAGGTTGTTTTCATATCGCCATAAACAAGGGTGAGGCGTTCATCGATGTCAGACTATTGATCCAGTCCAAGCCTGCGTTTGAAGAGCTCTTCGTATAGTTTGTACACGCCGTCGATAGTTCCTTCATACTCAAATATGGCCCCGAGCTATAGGTATGGGGAGTTGTCGTATTGTGACGGCGCCAGCTCACAGCACCCACTACCACTGCGCTAGAACCCCCAAAAGGATGCCAGAATTGCAAGTCGACGACTTGCAACCTGTAATGGGTTATAGTGTGCTACGGCCGTTGCGCGCCGTGACACGTATACAACTCTCTTGATGACAGGCATGCCGGGAATGTTGTTCTTTGTGAATATCTTCATGAGGGCCTGTTTGACTAGCCATTTTGACGCTTTATGGATAATCTGGCGGCGTGGAAGGATATAATCGATGACCATTCCCTTTGTAACCTTCGTTCGAGGCCGGAAATTGGCCTTCTGCACCGCTCCCCCGAGTTCTGGGCACGAAACAATACAAGCCGTTGTAAGGTTGATCATCCCGTCTTTCTTCCCGCTAACTAGCTCTCTTGTACGGTTCATGAAGTTGAAGTTATCATAAACAAGAAGCCCGTTCGGATCCCTGGCGACTTTCTTGATGTTTTCCTTCGCTCTAGCTGCCATGTCGTTGAGCATTTTATTCAGGGTCCAATACGAAGGAATTAAGCCGATACGAGCGAGGGTTTCTACCGCACGCCTTGGTGTACCGTTTGCGAGCATATAGAGGCCGAGAATATCTCTCAAAAAGGGGCTGTTGTTACGTGCGTAGCCGCCTGTAAATAGGGAGGCGAGTAGGAAGATTTGAGGGCTTTTGTCATCGTCAAAGTTCATATTGGCCAGCTCTTTCTGGGTCGTACGCTGTCTCAATATTAGTACCATAATGGGAGAGAGGCTCATGGGAATGGGAGAAAGAGCTATAGGAATGGGAGAGAGACCCATAGGAATGGGATGAAGACCTATGGAGAAATAAACGTACCTGATTCTGGAGGACCTGTGATAAAAAGGTGACCAAATTCGGGGCGTATTTCTTGAGCGTTGGCCAGGCTTCTTTGAGGGTATTTTCGAGGAGCCAAGCAGTGTCACAGACTTGTACAATAGTCGTAGGCACTGAAGCCTGGCCCTTGAATTGCTCAAATACTCCAAAAGCCGGTTGATCGATAAGAACCCTCATTTCCTTATGTATAACATGGCTGAAGGAGCCTGCCTCGGCAACATGATCGTCACTTGTGATAGTAATGCCTTGTGATTTGAGGGCATCACGAATAGAAGGGCTCATCAGAACCTCTCCAAGCCGCCGGGAATTCATGGCAATATGATTCGGGGTGCCCTCACTCATGAGCTTGAAGAGGAAGGCATCGAGGTTGTATCTCTGATGCTCAGCTCCTTGCCGTCGTACCTGGTTGTTGTTGTTCTTGCGTAGTTGTTCCCAAAATCGCATTGTTTTCTGTAAAATATCGTCTGCTGGATGTACAGACTCGTCTGAATCGTCATCTTCAACGTCATCTTCGTCATCTTCGTCATAGTCTTCTTGTTGTGAGGCTTCTACAGCCTTGGTAGGAGAAGAGAGGTCAGGGGTGCTGCCCAGGCCAGTAAGCTGTGAGCTCGACCCTGCATGCCCACGCAGGGGCAATACCTAGCTGCTACCAGAAAGGCCCGATTCGTCGTTTTCTGACGCGCCCGACATGTTCTATTGAAATGATTAGTACCAAAATGATCAGAAAATCCCGCGCATTCGAACAGTACTAGCGGCGTGTTGTTATAATCGCGTTTGCCGTTGTTATGCATGCGCATTCGATCGCCGGTTGCAGGTCTGAGGAGGCCTTGACGGTTCGATGCGCATTATGCACTCAGACAAGTACAGTGGCTCTTTTCTTCGTGTGTTGTGATTGGTTCAAATGTGTATTTATGGGTCTACCCCCCCTGCAAATCTAAAAAATCGGGCCGCAGGCCCGTAGCCCCTCTTTGAGCCACGGTACTGGTCTAAGCTTGCTGAGATAAGCTAGTGCGGGGTGATCCCTGTAGCCAAGTGATCTGCCTGAGTCACACTGTGCTGCCTCAGCTGGTCGCTGACTGGACAGCCTCTGGCGAATAGTTATGATCTTCTAGAACTGAGTCGCCAACCATTGCCCAAGAATGCAGGTTAATGATAAATAGCAGTCATCAGAGAAAGCGCAAAACGAAAAAATTGGAACCCTTTCTCAAGAGAACAACAAAATGATACTACCTAAGCACTGTAACAAGTGCCACTGTGGCAAAACCCCAGTGGAGACAGCCCTGACCAAAGGACACTAGACCTGTTGGGGATCTACCCGGAAACCGTAGAGGCCGTCTTGTATCCGGATGTTGGCTCCACCGCTCTTGATCTCACTCTGTTATTGCTTCACTGCTACTGTATTGAAATTCTTCTCCGTTTTCTTGCAAAGGAAGGCATGGATGATCACACTTCATGTTTACGAGGTTTGGGGAGGGCATCAACACGGCCCATATGCTCATCAGTGAAACCCGACTCTCCGAGAAGGACATGAGGGCCTAGTACTAAGGTTCCCATCACTAGTTACCCGGTATTGAAGAGAATTGAAATCTGTCAATTAACCATCAGTTCATCTTTGTCACAACTTCACTACCCATCGGGTCCCTTTCATTCACGATGCTGCTCACCACAACCGTCATCCAGTGAGATGTACGACGGCCCAAGCGTTCCGGGCACCCCTGTCGTCGCCGTTTCGGCCCCTCTAGTCCTCGAACTGCCAAGAGTTGAACGGAGAACCCCGATAGCCCTATGGAAAGCGGTCCCACTCTCGAAACGCCAACCTTAATCCCACATTAGCGGTGTCGGGCGCAGACGGGACGAGCGACCTACCTCACCCTCTTCACCGACGGAGCGACTTGTTGTGGCGTTGAACGTGGATGCCAACGCCTAAATGGTCTACAACGGGAAACCGTCTCGGGGCTGCCGCACGTGCCGGACACGTCGGATCAAGGTGCGTTCGTCCTCACTCTGCAGACCCCACATCCAATCATGCATGTTTCAAGACGAGTGGAGTCGTCGACGCCGTGAGGTGAACCGCGAGCGTGTCTCGCACGTTGCTAATAGCACCGGATCCATGATTAACCTCGCTCCGAACAGTGCGACGAAGGCAAACCTACCTGCCAACGCTGTGCAAAGTCAAGACGGGAGTGTGGCGGCTACCGTCCCGAGTTCGAAATTGTCCATCGCGACCAGACAAGGTCGACAGTCCGGCGAGTCCAACACCGCGCCGCCGATCTGCTTCAGTTCCAATTCCCAGCCCAACACCCGCAGAATCCATCGTCATCATCATCATCATCATCATGTGGCAACCCGGCATCTGTTCTGAGCGTGCCCGTGGACCAGCGCGCTACATGCTACTTTGCTTCCAACTTGATCCTTCTGCCCCAGGTTGACACCGCCGAGGGAGTCTGGGAATTCCTGGTTCCCCTCGTCGAGTCTGAGCCGCCTGACAGCGCCCTATCGTGCGCTTTTCGTGCCTGTGCCTACGCTTTGCTAGGAAATCGAATGGTGGCCAGCACAGTCAGCCTCGCCAATATGTCTCTAAAAGAGCACACTCTCGCACTCGCCAAGACGCACCTATCCCTCAAAGCCCCAGCCACCGCGACTGCGGATGCTACACTTGCTTCGGTGCTGCTTCTATCTCTTTACGAGGTATGTCTCTTGTTTTCTTGGATACCGTTCTCTGTTCCATGTACTAACCAAAGGGGCTGTAATTAGAATATCACAGCAATCAAATCACCACAGATGTTAGCCTGGCGCTCCCACATTGACGGGGCTGTTGTCATTGTCAAGACGCGCGGCCGCGCCCAGATGTGCAGCTCCAAGACGGGCGCCCACCTGTTCAAGGCTGTGCGGCATTATCTGGTAATAATAGAGTCCGTCACCACATTGCCTACTTTTCCTAACGCTATGCAGATATCCCGTACCCTCTCCTCCGGTCTGCCAATTCCCTGCGGCCCAGACTGGTGGCTGAGCAGAGACGGTACCGAGCCAGAGTCGTTACTCGCCTCCTCCCAGCGCTTCGCCCTCGAAACTGGCGAGCTATCCGCCCAGGCCTCATGCCTTCTCGCAAGCACTCCGCACACCACCGAGGGCGTCGAGCTGATCCTCGAGATGGCGACAGTAGTGCAAGATCTAGACCACCAGATTGCCGGCTGGATGGCAGCAATCCCCAGCGAATACCGCTTTAAGACGATGTGCTGGGCGACTGAAGACGATGTCGAGCTAACCAGCAGCGGCGGTGGCGGTCGCTACGATGAGGCCGAGGTCTTCCCAGGCAGCGTCGATGTGTACACGGACTTTGTAACGGCCAGCGCGTACAATATCGCGCGGGTGTCGCGGCTAGTGCTCGCGTCGCTCCGCATCCGATTTGCTGCGTTCATGTGCGCGCCGGCCGACTATCGTGCCACTGCCGAGTACGTGGCATCGCATCGCGTGTGCGGGCCCGTCATTGCCGGTATACTCGCCTCCGTCCCGTACCACCTGGGCTGGCGTACACGCCAGGGCGAGTTGTTCGACAACTCCCCCGAGCGGTCGGGGTTTGCCTGTGGTGTGCCCGAGCCCGCCCGGGCCCTCGCCGGGCTGTTTCTCTACTGGCCGCTCACGTGCGTGAAGAACTTCGACTTAACTTCGGATGACCAGCGCACGTGGGTGACGGCCAGACTCAAGTTTATCGAAACGCAGGTGGGGTTAAAGTGCGCCGGTGTGGTCAGAAAGGTGCGCCAGTCCCGGCCCGAAGATCCGGGAACAATGAGTACGTGACTGACGAGTAACGGACAGGCCGAATTCCGATTCCCATCAATGATGATCGGCAATCAGGGTTCAATGGTGAGCCCCGACCCGATGAGGAAGTGGAGTCCGGGTCTGCCGAGGAGGAACGAAAAGGGGGAGCTTCCCCAAACCCCAGAGAGTCTCAGCTCCGCCACGCAGAGCCCACAGCCGAATGATGCCGACGCGAGGTAATCTCTGGAATCGGATTCACCTGGAGCAGAGGGTCGCCGTCCAACGTCTCAAAGACCCGGAAATTTCAGGATCAAAATACTGAACTACCGAATCATGCTCATCGCCGGTGCATCTCTATCTATCGTGAAATAGCTAACCAAGAAACTTCTATGAGCTATTTCTAGCAATTATTTTCAAACCTAAATCTATGACGGGAACAATCCTATATATACTCTCTTCAAGCCCCATATTCCAAAAGAAGCCGCTCCATCTCGTCGCACATTTCTGGAGTATAAATCAGAGCCTTATACAAACGGCCAGAGCGTATTGTTAGCAGGTTATAACTGGCATAGTCTTCTCGCATCTGCCGCAAGATGGCAAGCGGACTCCGCCCCCGAGGTCGCCAAAGCGCTTGACATGCATGTGATCCGGATTCTCGTTCCGGCCCGCCGCACCACCGCAGATGTTTGGGCTGGCCGACGCTCGGAGCAAGAGCCGCGCCGCGGCCACGTCGCATCTGGCGACGGCGACCTGCAGCGGCGTAATTCCGAACTGCTCGCAGTTGTTAGAGTTAGCCCCCAGACGGAGCAGTCTGTCCACGATGCAATCATCGTCGCGGCAGGTCTTGGGATCGCCCGCCGTGTGCCCTCGGTGGTTCCCCACGTACAGTGCTAGTGTCGTGGACGCGTCGATCCTGTCTGCGAAGTGATCCAGGAGGAAGCGGAGCTGCGGAGGCCGGTCGTCCGGGTGCGACGCCATGAACTCTACGATGGTGCCTCTGAATTTCCAGGCCACGGTCGTTGATGCCTTGGCAAATCGGCAGTACTCGGTTTTAAGGCGAAATCTGGTCTCGATCATCTCTGCCGAGCTGCTTAACTGCACGACTTTCTCGGCCAATTTGAACGCGGAGGCTTCCAGTAGGCTGGTCAGGACCACGGTGGGATTCGAAACGTCGTTTTCCCGGCCCCAGTTCAGCCTTTGGAAAGCACGCGCCAAGGCGCTGACTCGAGCCTGCATCAAATGTTTGGCGTTCTCGAAGTGCGGCTGCGAACCGTCCAGGAAGCGGAACGCGAGCTCGGGCGCGACCAGGTCTTCAGCTTCTGCCACGATCGTGTCTACAACGGGCAGGATCCAGTCGAGGTCCTGCTGATAGAACTCGAGAGCCGCAGTGAGCACCATCCGACAGAGCGCTCGGAAAGTCTCGTCGGGCTCGATTCTGAACTCAACATGTGCCGGGACAATTCTGTTCGATTCTAAAAACTCCCTGACGGTGTAGTGGGCGAGTGTTGCTTGCTTCTCATTCGAATAAAACGAAACGAGACAGCCGCAGCTGTCCCTCAATCTGTCGAAATCGCAGAAAACTATGTCTTCTTCGTCTCCTCTAATCTCAAGCCGCTTTGAGCATGAGTAGAACCGGGTCATAATTAGGCAGGACGTGAAAACTTTATCTAGCCGACTACGGGATAGGAAGTCGTTGAAACATAGCCAATGCAGGGCGAACCGGACTAGCTCGCGGTCCTCTTCGTGAATGAGAGAAAGGATTCGCTCATAGGTTTCGTCGAGCGTCTTGGGCAGAGATTTGATGGAGTTTCTGATCCTGGCCGTGGTCTTGAGCCGCCGAAGGATGTCGAGCTGGCACACCGCCCATCGAAACATGCCTTGGGCGCCTTCGGAAAGCGAGTCTTCGACTTCAGACTTCAAGCTCGAAGGCCACTCTTTAAATGCAGTGGTATCTTTGATTCGTGCAGAGACATAGATCTTGATGTCGGCCTGCACTAGCGGATGCGACATTGGAACGAAAACCGAACATGGGATGGAGAGCATTGCCTGCTCGATGTCGAAGTACTCACGGCTCGTCGCCAAGAGCTGGAGATTGCGAAAGCGAGGGTCATCGATCAGGGTATAGAGAGTTTTCAGCAGCGTATCCCGAGGCTGGCTCTCGTCGAGCGCGTCGATAGTGACAAAGACTGTGTCAAACCCTTGCAAGCAATGATAGAGACTTGACAAGAGCTCATCAACATCCGGGTGGTGCCCTCTTTTGAAAAGACGGTATGCCTCTCCCGGTATGCTGTCTGCCTCGCGGCATAGCTGGGCTATCAGCCAGCGGAGGAACGGGCTGGTCTCATCTTGGTTGTGTCCGTGATAGCAGTAGTAATACACAGAGACGAACCTTTTGGCCGTTTCTGCTTTGCAAATCTCCCTGATCTGCTCGACCAAATGCGCCGCAAGCACGGTTTTCCCAGCCCCCGGGATGCCGTGCAGCCAGAGGCAACGTAAACGGCCCTCGACCCAGTCTGTCCATTCACAGGATCGTGTCACCCAGTTGCCAGTCCCTTTCTCGTACAGGGGCTTGGCCATGTTGTGGTTAGGTGATGGATCTGTGTACTCAAACCATTCGCAAACCTCTTTCCTCTGAGACTGGTCGAGCGCAAGCTTGATAGACCGAATACCACGTCTGCGAGAGCCAAAGTTAGCCATTGACCCAATCAACGAATAGCGTCAACGGTGCAAGCTCACAGCACCGAACCGCCCATAGCCATAGTGATAGTTGACTTGTGGCTCATGATCTCACCGAGCAGCGTGCGCGCCCTTTCCCGCTTGAGCGGCCATGCCAAAGCCGTCAAAGTCAATTCCACCCTTCGCCACTTGCTGTGGCTCCGACTTCTCACAACCAACTGCGGGTCGGGCAGAAGCGCGTGTAGGTCCGTGACTGCTCTCTTGCACGCCTCGAGCGAGCCGTCAGGACCACTGATGCTGCTCAAGATCCGAGCGGCGTCGTTATCTTGTTCTCGCAGGCAGACGATGTCCTCGAGGACTACCGACAGCGACTTGGTCTCGATGCGGATCAGCCGGAGCTCCTTGGGGCAGTCGGCAACGCCGTCTATGTAGGCTTTGCAGACGGACGCGATCTGCTCCGCGGTTTGGATGATGGCGATGATGCTGGCTGTCAGCGACAGGGGTTCCATCACAGGCACCAAAAAACTGTGCAGGATTCGGCGGATTATTCAGCGGCGAGCGTGTAGTGATTAAAGGGGTTAACCGTGGAAGGGTCGAGGTCTGGCATTGAAGAAAAAGGTCTTCAAACAGTTCTTAAACCTACATCGGGCCGGTCTGACCCAGACCGTGGTTATCGAGTAACAGGAATCGTCACCGGCCCTTGACGAGACCCAGCGTCGGTTGTCTTGAGGCTTAGTCGATCGAGGAAGCTTTTTTCATCGCGTCTCTCTTAATGTGCCACTGAGGTAGGTTATACTCGATATTACTCGACTGCCTCGGGCTGTGAAGTACGAATATGTATCCATTTAACGTACGCAGGGAGCCAAGGCCTCCTATGGGCCGCTGGCCTGCTGGGAGCCTGGGTGGCGTCGAGTGAGGACATATTTACAGGCGCAGCAATGTCATATGACCGCTCCAGGCTGACCAGGAAGCAAATGCTTGTTCAGCGCGTTAATGCGTTATTTCGCACTTACACAGGATAGACCACTCCCACGGTCCCTCGCCCGGACGGGTGGCTTTTTTTTCGTTCTGGGAAAGTGCCTACGGTGGCGGCTGACGAAACTGGGGGCTTTGAGACTATGACTCGGAGCGTTATCAACTTATCGACGCCCTCGACAATGATTGGAAGGTGACAACTCTCAGCCTCGCACGGGGCGTAATTGTCAACGCCACCAACGGCCCCCGGGCCTCCATTGGTGTGTCCAATGAGCATTTCCCAAGCAGGAGAGCCCAAAATCCTAGCGCTCCAAAACTACGAACAATGTTCATTCTCGGGTGCCCCAAAGGCCCGTTGAGCAAGCCCGAAGCCAGATTTTCACTCTTGAAAGGGCTGTGTTTCGTACAGAGGAGGCTCGGGTCAAAATAGGGCCACCCTCCCCAGCGCAAGGTTCAGAACGCCACAATCAGAAAGTGGTTAGACTGGCTGCGCCAACTGTTCAGTCAACAAGCCAACTTTCACTTCACAATGTAAGAAAAAGACGGTCGTTAGGGCATAGGGGCTGTTGAGCTTAGACGATCCGCAGTTGTAAAGGATGTGTTGAGATAACGCGCTGGTCAGTCACACAGAGGTGGCTGTGGTGGCGCAGGGTCCCAGATTCTATATAATTGGCCTACGACTACCTCTTTCTTCTAGATACACATGGACATCTACAATCCATCACTTGAACCACCGGTTTTCGGCGCGCAGTTACGCCCTGTTGCTTCCAGTACCGGTACCTGGTGATTCCAACAGGATGGGACCTAGGAGATCTCAATGCCTAGTCACTATAGAGAGGTTGAGTCTCTAATTTAGTATGTCCTTCTCTTCTAAACAGGTTGGTTTCTCTGAGTGTCGATGACAGTTTCTATAATAGTTAGCTCCCCAGTGCGGACTAGAGTAGGGCCAAATGTCCTGGAAGCTCGCCTACTCGCCACCTAGGCACGGCCCAAACACTCCCAATCACCGACGGGTTTTCTCTGTTCGTCGTTTGCCTTTACCACTAGACTTCTAGATTTTACGTAGTTTTGAACGAGTTCACGCTTTCGTCAGCGCTTGCAGGGATCCTTGTTTGAGATGACACCTTTTGACGAAGCACAGGTCAGAATATTATGTAATGAGTGAGTTGCTCGTTCCGCTCAAATTATTTGCCCGTTTTGCTTATCAAACCTGAGTTGCGGGGTTCCTGGAGTTTTCGGATCAATCAGCTGGAGAATGTCTTGTCCCTTGTTTTTCATCTAATCTATATGAGGTGATTAGATAGCCAATATTTGACCGTACATCAGAGGCTAGACACATTCTTTCATCTCATCTTATAATTGTCTGAAATATTTCAGACCACAATCTGTTTAGCTAAACTAAATCCGATGAACAGCCGTTCTGTTCACCCCGTCAATTCCAGATTGGCTTTCATCTAACAATAATGGCTTTAGTCGCCTGGCCCAAATCTTTCTCAGAACCTGTTCACACACAGTGTGCACGTGGACAGCTCGATTCTTCCTCCTCCATGCCCCGCCATCTTCCCTTCATCGTTTACTGCCCGTCAACTCATTAACTCGTAAGGCGAACGACAAGACCACACACATTTTGTCACTAGATTTGCCAGCTTCTCATATCCACGCCTTCTTTACCCTCTCTACAACTAGCGCGCTACAGGAAACATGGCCGCCCAGGATAAAGGCAACGACTTGACCCAGGTGGAGGTCAACAACGGTCGCAGCCGTCGCCGTGGCCTAGCCTGGCCGCGTCGCCGCCTTCACCGCGGGGTGTCGGCTGCCAAATCACAGCCCGATGGCCACACAACGGCTCAGGCAAACGGAACGCCCCTAAATGCGCAAATAACATCTACGCTATTGCCGCCTCCACGAAGAATGACGGCCCAGTCGTCGTCAGGCCCGCGTATCGCATCGTCCAACCCACTGCGGCCCCATGTCCCTGCCGGCGTCAACCAGGCTCGCCAACAAGCTCTGGGGCCAAGAAAGACGCAATCAATTGCAAGAAAAACTGCACCAGTCAAGGCCCGCGCCGCTCATTCTCTGTCTTCTAACAAAGAGTCACAAAGTATATTCCTTTCAAGTCTCTCAAGTCCTCACTTCTTCAATATCAGCCTACGCCTATAAGAACACCCTAGACCTCTCCTCATCTACACCTCTAGTCTTAAGCTTTGATATAAGTACAGCACTGGCTGACACATAGATAATCTCCAGACGACCAACACGACGCTCGTACCCAGAGCTCGAGAACGATGAGCCTTGCCTCGGAGACCATTCATGGTTCAGAAATCAGAGCACAGGAGCAGCTCTCCATGTTCCCCCAACTGAATGATCCTCACACCAAAATTGAGGACGAAGAAGACAGTAAGTAGGAGACGAAGACGCGACAGAGCGAATACTAACTAGATAATAGCTGTTGAGCCCAAAGAGTCGGGTGCTTTTTAGAGACTGGTCTATCCACATCTGGGCTAGTTGCCTTTCTCGTTCGGGCTTTAGCCTTTCCTCAGAGAAGTGCTGTGTTTTGGTCGACAGTGGACAGTAGACAGTGATATCGACAGCAAAGTCTTGGTGAGTTCTGAAGCCCTAGGACAGGAAAGGCAAGGCCCAAGAGCGGATATGATTACGGCGAGGGAATTATGATTGGTTCGGTCTATAGATACACGTGGGATATTCGGTTGGGGGCCTTTACGGCTGGGTGTAGTATTACTCTACCGGGACGGCCTTCTTGATTCGGGGTTGGGAAATCAAGACAGGATTTTCTTTTTTTTCCATTCAGGGTTTTATGGCATGGATCGTCCTTGATAGGACTACAAAGCCGAGATATCCTATTGCGGGAGGGTTCTCAAGGGTTTCTGGGCTCTACGCTTTTATTTTACGAGTAGCAATATTTGTCCAGCCGCCAAGGTTCCACTTCTCAATCAACTCCAACACAGTGACAATCATGCTTAATGAATGTGAAGCAAAACACAAATGACCAACCAAATTCCAACTCAACGACGTCGCTCCGCGATAGAGTAGTAAGCCGAATGAATGATTCAAATATGAGGCAGAGCAACAACCAATAAGCAAAGGTCTGACTCTGTGTTCACCAGAAATACAGTCGACCGACTCACCTACCTGTTTTCTGTAAAAGATCCCCACTCACTAATTCGGCCGGCACATTCCAGACCATGGGCTGCATCGAGTATAGGCTATGCTAGCCCCGCTCATTGCTTAGCACCCAACAGCAGGCTTCAGTCCTCCGATTCCATATACGTCTTGATAGGCGTCATCAATTCCTCGGCACCACGGTCAAAGTCAGTAAAGATGGGCAAACCCAAATAATCAAACCAACAACCAATCAGTCACATCATTGGGATACAGCGTCTCGGGATCGCCACCATCATAGCCAAACTCCTCCAAGTATTACCAGCACTGCAGAAAGTGACCCTTGGCGTTCTCATCCCCCGGAATGTAGTCCCTCATCTGCACATCAGACAGCCGCACAACCCCGCCATCGCCACCCAGCTCCTCACCCGCCGCCGCCGCCCACGCGGCCATGTACTCGCGCGCGCTGGCCATCTGGCTGCAGGCCATCAGGCGGGCGCTGGGTGGCACGCGCTCGACGAGCGCCTTGACTAGCAGCCCCGCGTCGCGGCGGATCCACACGAGCGGCTGGCGGCGCGACCCGTCGGCGATTCCAACGCGCACGTAGCCACCAGCTTCCCGGCAGAGCTCCGTCGGCGCGCGCCGCCAGTTGTCGGCGTACAGCCCGACGTGCAGGAAGCTGGCCTTGGCGGCCAGGCTGGCAGCGCGCATGGCCGGGTCATCGCGGACGAAGCGCTCGACGGCGGCCTTGCTGTCAAAGTGCCACAGCTTGGTGTATTTACCGTGCGATAGTTTTGTGGCGTCGCCGACGCTGCCGCCCAGGTTGCCGGTGATGCCGACGACGACGATGAGTTTTGCCATGTTAATTACCTGATTACCTGTACAGTCGTGTAATAACTGTGTGAGAGCACAGTCGATGCTATAAACGAAGTCTTCGGAAGGGTTATAAACACCCCAATGCGGATCTATTCCAACGCATAATTAAGACTTTTCACTATTTCAGGATTGTTGATTCTTCAGCAAATAATTATGATGACAAATAAAGGTAGGTATATATGGTCCACCCCTTCTCAAGGCTTCCGGGGGTGTGGAGCGGCGTGGAGACTGTGTTTTTGCCATCAACACCATCCATGATAAATCTTCTATTTCTTGACAATATCGATGCGAGAGTCTAGAGCTCGTCTCCTTGGGACCCAGTTTTCGGCATTGCTAAACCTAGCGTGTTCAAAATGCACTTCTTTTGGAACTCTAGCTAACGAAAGACAACTTGGTTTTTTTTCTCTAGGCCTATCTATCTCAATAATAAATATTCACTCGAAATCATGCGCTCCTAAATACTAAAGCTTGTGAATGACAAAGAAATTTAACCTATGGCGACAGTTGGGTCTTGAGGGGATGTTTACTTTCGACGATAAACTGGAGCAAGGAAAAAAGGGCAACACTTAACGTATTTGATAAGCGAGTTAGCCATGATAAGCAAGCTGGCCACCTTAACGAGACCGGGTAGCGTGCGCAGCCAAATGCGATAAGAAATTGATAAGATCACTAACAATTTACTAACATCTTTTTGCTTGTGCCCCACCAAATCTCGTTAAGGTGGCCAACTCGCTTATCATGGCTAACTCGCATATCATGAACGTTATAGCAGACATCAAGAAAGTAACCACAGCAACTCGGCACATACCCAATCGAGCAAGTTGCCAGACAACAATCAGGTAGTATAATTAGATAATCTTGGACGGAGTGACGAGTCTCGGTGGACGGAACGGAATGGAACCAGCACCGGCTATTCAGTCGATATTACACAAACCAGACTAGCACTGCGGGGCGGGACGGGTCTTGGTTGCCTCGCCTCGTATTGCGATCCGCGCTACGGAGGTAACAGGGACGGAGTTTGGGCAGGCGAAGTGGGGCCGGCGCGCACCAAAGCTCCCCACAAATAGCACGTTTTGACTGCGCTTGTTCGTTGGCCAACAGGAGAGAAACGATACCTCTAGACTACGCTTGCAGCTCCTCTGATACGCCGGCCTGCTGGAAACTGGGCGTTTGTTATTTGTTAGTGAGGTCGTCGGTGACAGACTAAAGTCCGCACGCTTGCAGGTATCGACGTAACACAAAGCCGCTAGCGCCCGCATTGCTGGGCCATGGCTACAAAGCCACAACGGGATTTATGTCAAAATAAAAGACTCGAGATAATTTATATATAAACTCTCCATTTTCATGGCTTCCCCTGAAACATACCAGCACCTGAAAATTGTCAATTCCACCTCACAGAAAAAGTTACTGTCCTCAGGTCTTCTGTCAGCTATCTAACATCACCCCCAAAATGACCGGGACGCACCTCGCCGCCATCCTGCCAGAAAAACGGGCCCGGCTCCAGGTCGTAGAGCGCGCCACGCCCGAGCCCGGCCCCAACGAGGTCGTCATCGAGGTCAAGGCCATCGCACTGAACCCGATCGACTACTCGCAGCGCGACACGGGCATGCCCCCCGTGCCCGTGTACCCGGCGGTCCTCGGATGTGACGTAGCGGGCGTCGTCGCCAAAGTGGGCGCCAACATCACGACGGCGCCGGCCCCCGGTAGCCGGGTCCTCGCCATGGCCACGTCCTTCTTCCACGACGGCTCGCCGGACCACGGCGCCTTTCAAAAGTACACCCTGGCGCAGTCGGAAGCCGTCGTCGCGCTCCCAGATGCCATCTCGTTTGAGCAGGGCGCCACCCTCCCCATATGCTTCATGACGGCCTTGAATGCGTGGGTCACCATCGGCATCTCGCTCGACACCAGGTACGCGCCGGAGGACAAGCAGGCCGTGCTGATCTGGGGCGGCGCCAGCAGCGTGGGCACCTTTGCCGTGCAGACGGCCAAGCTGCTAGGCTTCAGAGTCTACGTTACTGCCAGCCCTTGGCACCACGAGTACCTCGAGACGCTCGGCGCACACGCGGTATTCGACTACCACGCCAGCGACGTCGTGTCGCAGATCGTCGACGCCGTGAACAGGGACGGCGTGGCCCTGCACACGGCGCACTGCGTTGTCATCGGGTCCCTGCAGCCGACGCTCGACGTGCTCAAGGAAACGAAGGGCGCCTCGGCTGCCCGCGTCGTGTACTCGCCTCCGCTACTGCCTGATCACCCCACGCTCGACGGGGTTGAGATCAAGTGGAACTTCCCGCCCATGCAGAGTGAAGCGGTGCTCAACAAGCACATGTACGAGTGCTTCCATGTCTGGCTTCGCAATGGCCTAGAGTCGGGCACCATAGTTCCCAGCCCACCTGTCCAGATTGAAGACGGTGGCCTTGAGGGCTTAAATGCGGCGCTGGACAAGCTGAAAGTTGGTGTCAGTGGGAGGAAGATTGTTCTGCAAATCTGATGTTCTGTGTCCCACATGATGTATATTTTGCTTCCCCGTTGTGTTGTAGCCGCCATATATTCAACCCCACGAAGTTAGAAGTTAACTCTTGAGTTGTCGAAATATGACCTTCAGCATCGACTCGAGAATGGCAATGCTCTCATCAATGTCATAGCTCTGAGCGTCGTCAGTTGAAGGTATCTTGAATCTCATGTCCTGTGCCATGTGCTGCTGGTTAGCTCAAGCCCGTGAAAAAATGCCAGCTAGTTCTCGATATTTAACCCTCGCCAACTGACCTCGAGAAACGAAAGCCTGTCCGACATAAACGAGAACGGCTGAACCCGTTGGTTGTACAGAACGAGGAAATCGTAGCCGCCGTGTTGTTTTTGGGAAGTCGCTAGGTTGCCCACGTGAGATCTGAGAAATTCCCTATTCTGAGCCTCAAAGCGGATGAGGGTTGTGTAGAGATCTGTGTTTTTAGGCAGCATCTGGAATACCGGGAGCCAGCGCTGATCCCGCGGCGGTTTCAACAAGTTTATCTCCAAGCCGAGCAAAAATTGCAAGTGCACTTCCAAGATATTTTCCGCTGCGGCAACAGCAGTGCATACTTCGTCCCTTATGATCAAGGGGTGCGGATCAGCCGTTGCGTTGAGGTCGTCTATAAGCTCTTGCATGTTGTCAAAGTACAGTCTTTCTCCGGTAATGAATTCTTCAACGATGAGATCCGTCTCGTATCGGTCTTCGTGGTATCCTCTTCTATCCCGGAGTGTAGAATCCACCTCAGCAGGCCCGATATAATCCGGCCTCGACGTTATGATTCTCTCAATGGTGTTAAGAGCCTAGTGCTTATCAGTATTAGGCCCAGCGCTCTGGAAGGTGGCATGGGAATAACCTTGAAAAACCCTGATGCCTTGCTTCCGGTAATATCAGAAACAGTCAGTTCTGGAATAGGTTTGAAACGCTCATTAATAACCTCGGAGATGTGGGTCAGGTAAAGTTCCACCGGCCTCTGTTCCACAATCTTGAGGGCGGATGCATCGGAAACAAGGGGATTATCGGGGTCCAACAGCATCAAATAGGGGTAGCCTTTCGAGAAAGCGCTCCTAAGAAGATTAAAGGGATGCTGCATCGGGGTGTTGTAGCTGCGTGGGGTGCCGAGCTGGGCCTCAAAGTAACCCTCGAACCACCTGTCAATACCGGGAAGCTGCAGCTCAATCGCGAGGCACTCGCGGAGAATAGAGCGCGGCTGTGCTGCAGGCTTCGCTGTCGCCTCGGCAGGCGAGCCACCAAATTCATAGCGGTGGGAATTTATGATCTCGTCAGCGTACACCGGCAGGCCAACAACGGATGTGATGGACACTTGGCTCAAGCTAAGCCCAGACAGAGCGGACCATGCATTTGACTGCACGAGAGAGCTCCGGAACGAAAAGTCCATGCTCTCGCGCTGGGCGCGGCGGTAGACTCGCGACGCCACAAGGTCGCTCTCAAATTCTGATCCAGACGCCATCTCAAGATGGAAAGAACTCGAAAGCGTCTGGGTGCTGGAGGAACTGCCATTGTCACCCGAAAGGCTAATAGTCTTGTCTTCGGTCCGGGCGAGCCCAGATCTGGACTGTTCTGGCGGGACAAAGCTCTCTTTTGCTGTGACAATAGACTTGGTGTCAATGGAATCTTCGAGGCTCATCAGCCTTTGAGAGAGACCCCTGCTGCTCTCCAAGAGGTGGTTGATGTTGGTCGTGAGTTCAAACCGGAACTGCTGGGCGCGAAGAGCCGAGTCGCTAATCATATACAGTCCACATGTCAGAAAGAGTGGTTCTCAGCTGAGTTGCCAGAGTTGGGTCTTTCTGAAGACAGTCAATTAATTACCTTTGTAGAATGTTGAGAATGAGGGAGATGGATGACTTGAATCCCTGCAAGCGGGTCAGGAGAGCAACGAGCTTTGTCTCCTTTCTGGCCCATTGCAGTCGCTGCCTCAAGGCTAAGCGTGTGATAGACGGTTCCGAGAGAGACAGCGAGCCAACGCACTCTTCGAGCTCTGAGAATAGGAGGACGCCGTTGGTCAGCACGGCGATAACCTGGTCGACCTGGACGAGAGCGGCGCGCTGGACCGAGACGGACGCCATGTTCCGCGTCAGTGTTTCGAGGGCCGACAGGATGATGGATGCGGCCTGGGCTTCGGCGTGGACCTGGGTCGCGATCTTGGGCGAGTCGCGCACGGCCTCGACATACGGGCTGAGCACCTTGACTACAGCCGCTGAAGCCGAGAGCAGCCCACAGATGGAGGCGGCGATACTTAGAGGATCCATGGCCGGCGTGCTGCACGTCGGCGTTGATGAACCGATGCATCAATTTGAGAGGAGAACGAGCTGAAATGGGGCCCGAGGAAGGAAGCCACCACCACCCAGGCAGCGCATCCAGGCCTCCATGCCCCACCTCCTCTTCCGCTACGCGGATTCAGCCCATGCCGATTGGACAGCTCTCAGTCTCACGACACCAACTTCGGAATCCTCACATTTGTCGAATACATTGACCAGTTTTATCTTCTAGCCTCAGATGCGGAGATGAGGTAAGCAACCGTTGGATATTCAACGGCTCACGGCATGACAGTTGCGGAAATATTGAATTCAGCGCCAACGCAATTGAGTCTAATTAGCCCGGTAGTGTAGCCTCATTGATGGAAATTGACGTCACCCAACATCACGGGGTCTTCATCTTCCTTGCATCAGCCACACGACACTGCAACTTGTTAGTCGCACCCCAAATATGCCCGTCCAAGTCGACGCGGCAATTCTCGCTGCCCTCGGCCTCGACGCCGACAGCGCCAAGCTCGTCCCGCACGGCGGCTCGGGCTTCGCATCGACGTTCAAGCTGGTCGCCACCAAAGACGGCGAGGACGTCGCCTACTTTGTCAAGACGGGCACCGGCGCTGACGCCGACGTCATGTTTCGAGGCGAGCACGCGTCGCTCAACGCCATCTCCGATGCGGTCCCCGATTTCTGCCCACGCTCGCACGCGCACGGCGCCCTGGATTCGCCGCCGGGGACCTTCTTCCTCGCGACCGACTTTTTGGACCTGGGGTCGTCGGCGCCCAGCGGGTCGGGCCTGTCGCTAGCGGCGAAGCTCGCCAAGCTGCACACGACGCCGGCGCCTGTACCCGTGGGGTTTGATCGGCCCGTGTTCGGATTCCCGGCGGCGACGTGCTGCGGCGCCACGGCGCAGGACAACGCGTGGAGCGAGTCGTGGGCTAGCTTCTACGCCGACCACCGGCTGCGCGCGGTCCTGCGCGCCGGCGTCCGCAGCAACGGCCCCGACGCGGATCTGGCGCGCGCCGTAGACAAGGTCGCCGCCGCTGTCGTGCCGCGGCTGCTGGGCGACGGCCACCTGCGCGGTGTTGTGCCTGTGGTTGTCCATGGCGACCTGTGGAGCGGCAACCACGGCCGCGGACGCATTGCCGGCAGGGGCGGCACTGAGAAGGTCGTGTACGACCCGTCGAGCGTGTACGGGCACTCGGAGTACGAGCTCGGGATCATGCACATGTTTGGCGGGTTTGGAGATACCTTTTGGCGCGAGTACGAGCAGCTGGTTCCCAGGGCCGAGCCGAAGGACGAGTTTGACGGCAGGGTCGCGCTGTACGAGCTGTGAGTCTCTCTGCCTACGTTTCCACTTACCCGATGTTGGTAAAGTGGGTAGGTATGCTGCAAGTAATTAGAGAGCTAACTGAGCGATCTCGCAGATACCACCACCTCAACCATTTCGCCCTCTTTGGGGCCGGTTATCGAGGGGGCGCGATGTCGATCATGAAGGAACTGATATCCAAGTATGGTTAGGGTCAAAGGTTTGTAGTATTTGAAGTAATACGTAATTAGCAGGCTTCGGAGCTGTGTGCGCGTTACGGCACCTAAATCTGTTATCACTGCGCACACCCCCGCAAGTTACTCATCAATACGCTGGACATTGTATTACAGAAAAGCGCCTAGGTTGAGTGTGTCGCTTGTTTCCCCTCACTGCGCCTCGGGCACCTAGTGCACACTTTGAGCCGTGAGGCTGCGAGCTGGACTGCGCATAGGGCCCTAGCGAATGAGAACTTGGGACCATCAGCAAGCCCAGTGCCCAGTGGGGCAGAGAAGTGGCTAGCATCAGGCGGCAACGTGGGGCAGAGTTTGGCCACCTCTCGAGAAACCATATCCAGGCCCTTTCTCGAGATGGATTGGCCGGCATGATGGACTCGCTTGATTATAATCCAGCTTACCGGTGACCAGCGTCTGTCAGCTAATTAAGTACAGTACCAGCCTGGAAAGGACCTACCCAGCCCTGCGATGGCTCGCCCTCTGCGCGACGCGTCATGCAAAATCTGTTCGGACCTTGCATTCCTGAATAACCCAAGGGACAGCAGCAATTTTCTCATATGTCCCCTCCCTAACATTGCCGAGTCTGCTGAAACAGAAAGTTGTACAATATGCTCCTCTCTCTGGAAAGGAATCGCTCATTTTTCCCCGGACATCAGCAAATCCGATGACGGTCTTGAGGTTTTCATTGAGCCATGGTTCGGGGGCCCTCTGACGTTGTCGGTTCACTCTACGTCAGAAGACAAGGAGATCGTCGTGCTACAGTTCTTCACCGAAGCCAGTGAGTTCTCAGTGATAATTACGAAAAATATGCCGGAATACTGAGAAGCTGCGAGCAGCGGCGCGCTATTCATCATTGGCTACCCAACAACTTTATTTTTTTTTTCTTTTTGCTCTATAAAATATTTTCGCTTTTTATCATGTTCTCTCCAAACCCCATTTGATCACTCTATATTTTTTTTCCGAGAGTCATGTCAATATATTCTGACCCGCTTAATAGTTCCTCACCCTGTTGGTTTTGGCTATTCTAGACGCATCGCGGCCAACTCTGGCTCCGCTGACTGCTACGAACGGATTCGACAGTGGATGCAATTCTGCAGCATGAGCCATAAGTCCTGTCTAGAGACCGACGGACAGCTACCGCGGCGATTGGTCTGCACTGGGCTTGGCCATGCGAACCCGACGTTAGGGGTCAAGGTGGTAGACGCGGAAGCGGTTCAAGGACCATACGCTTGTCTTAGCTATTGCTGGGGTGACTCTCGGAACCTTCAAACCACAAAATCGACTCTACAGGAGCGGAGAAGAGGCATCTCATGGACGTCCATTCCCAAGACGCTTCAGGATGCCATCGAGATCACGCGATCGCTCGGAATGGGCCATATATGGATCGACGCACTATGCATTATCCAAGATGACGACGCCGACTGGAGAAGCGAGTCGGCCAGGATGGGGCATATCTATGCCAATGCCGAGCTCACCATCGCTGCGACTTGGGGGTCGGACGCGCAGACTGGGATCCATAAGAACAGGAGCGAAACAGTCACTGTGTGGCAACGTCAGGAATTTGCTGCAGCCTCCACCAAGACGAGTCTTGGAGATTCGCCCATCTTTGCACGACGCCGGTTCGTCCACGACAACATCGGTCTCAGTCCCCTCTGCCAGCGAGGATGGACCTTACAAGAACACATTCTATCACGCCGCATCGTCCACTTCACCGAACAGGAGGCCTGGTTTGCCTGTCGCGAGCAAGACGCAAATTGCGAGTGCCAGTACGGGAGACCAGTAATGCCCATGTTTGTGCGGCCCGCGAATGTGGGTATGATACCGGTTACACGCATGTGGCGCACGATAGTCCAGAACTACTCCTACCGCGAACTCACAAACCCATCCGACAAGCTGTCTGCGCTCGCTGGAACAGCTCAGATGCTTCACCAAAAAGCGGAGGAGCAGCGCTTACCGTTGGGCCGGTACCTCGCCGGCCTGTGGAACAAAACTTTTAGAAAAGACCTCCTCTGGTTTGTCAGTAGATCGTCCGCATGCGAATTCCGGCATGCCGAAAGATACAGAGCACCAAGCTGGTCCTGGGCTTCTGTGAATGGACAAATCGAATATCACAGTCATCCGGGGTATCGGAGAGAACCGATGTCAGTCAGGATATTAGATGTCCAAACCACAACGGTCGACCCAAACGACAATTTTGGGCAGGTTGCGTCGGGCTACGCCAGAATTGCCGGACGCACTTTGGAAGCAACAGTTGTCCGCAGCCACGGCACCTGGCTCGGGTCGAAGACAGACAAATCTCGGATGGTACCCCACAGTTCGGCAAGACTTGAGCGACGCGGCGAACAGATCGAATTCTATTCAGATAGCTTTTTTGTTGAAGACTTCCGGCCCTCACCCGCAGAGACCGTGGCGGGGAATGATGTACCTGTAACATTGGTTTATATAATGGATGGGTTCGCGCTTGTATTAGCCAGGGACGGTGAGGAAGGGAATGCGTTTAGGAGGATCGGTTGCGTGGAACATGTGGGCATGTGGTTTTATGCCGATGAAAGCGACGCGGAGGAGAAGGAGTTATTAATTTTGTAATTTTCTTCTAGCTGCTGAACCATAGTTCTATTATACCCACCGAGAACACACTTACAGTCCGAAGAAGAAGCTGGGTGTGGGAGTTATCGACTACAGAGTGACTGGGAAGCTGCCCCTATTACATCCGACTGCGGTTAAGGAAAAGCAAAAATGTGAGGCTCCTGGTTACACTATGGCTTGGCCTCGATCGGAAGCCGATGGCAGTAGAAACAAAGTTAATCAACCGAAATAAGAAATTATAATCATCCATCACCATCTCATAGCACCCACTGCCCCAGGGATCTGCCTGAATCCTTAGCCTCTTGTTCCCTAGCTTTACTAACGAGTAACACGTCTCACTTGGTTCCCGGCTAGATTTCCCACAGTGGCCTGCCGCTTCAGATTCCCTCTCACCCTTCCATTTCAGCGCATGTCATTGTCAAGTCCGTCCTCTGACCAACTTAAAGTGTACATGGTTACACACACACACAGACAATCATCGACTCATTGACCCAGGAAAGCCAATCAGCTATTAGAACATGAAAAGCAGATATCTAGACAAGCGAAGAACATCACGTCATTTCTACGGCTCGCCATATAACAATAGCAATAGTCGGCACTGTGGCTTGCATGCGGCCCCCAAAGGTGGCTGGGCTATCGCGCATCAGGGGGCAGCCAAGAGGATGGATGGTGGGATGAGCAAGAACCCAAACCGTCTCGCAGCCAACGTCGACAAATCCTACTCTTACGTAAAAGGGATTGATTCGCCGCCTCAGTGGTGCCTTAACAGCTTGGTTGTGTAACTGAACCTGTCAGTCGAAGGATTCTCTCTTCCGCCTTGTAGTGTATGTTCCTACTGGGTTCAGTCCATCGGCATCTTGTCTCGCCAGTTACCCTGGGACTAACGACATCCTCTAATAGCTGAGCTGTATCGGAGAGGTCATACCGGTTTCGACATGCGACCCCTCGACGAATCTGCCCTGCATCTGCGCAGTGCCCGACTTGTATTCGAGCATAGAGAGCTGTCTCAGGTCCCAGTGTGCTCCGCTGGAAGGGATACGTATGCTCGGCAAACAGAGAGACACCATGGAGCGGTGCCAGGGAGTGCTAACGAAGGCCTTGACAGAGATTGGCGCAATCGACCAGGCCCTCTGCAACAGACCATGGCGGTCCCAGCGGCTCTCCTTTTACCTGATTCTCTTGCTCGTCATACCAGCGCTCCTCTTTATTCCCTTGCGGCTTTATTCACGCTGGATCGCCGTGGGCCGCTTTGAGAAAGACGACTATGTTATGATTCTCGGCGGTGTAAGTAACCAAATCACGGAGTCTCTTGACCGGGGGACAGTATAGAGACGTCAGCGCTAACTCCCGGGCTTGGCTTTCAGCTGGCATTCATTCCTGTCATTATGAATAGCCCATTCTGTAAGTTAAAACCCCTGGGAAATTTCACCCAACGGTTGGCGTCCCTTCATGTGCTTACTGCTATGTGTCAGTGACCACGGCATTTGGCGTCAACATCTAGAACGTGTCTCCTGACGCCTTAACTAACGCTCTGAAGGTTAGAACCCCTCCCCTAGTCCCGCAACTCGTAGAATATGCGGGCGGCTAACCATATTGGCAGGTCTTATACGTTGGGGAGCTTTTCTACCTCCTCACCGTTTTCTTCGCAAAGGTGTCTATCATCTTGTTCTACCTCCGTCTCTTTCCCGGCGAGGGCTTCCGGTGGACGGCATATGTGGTGATGGGTATAGTCATCATTGCCAACCTCGTGGTTTTATTTCTGTTGATCTTCCAGTGTGTTCCCATCCACTATTCCTGGGATGGCTGGAGGAAGTAGACGGGACATCCAAGTGCATGAACGTCAACATGCTGGTTACAGCCGGAGCTGGCGTCAACATTGTGCAAGAAGGCATCATCCTACTGCTGCCTATTCCAGTTCTCTCCAAGCTGCACGCCTCGTTCCGCATAAAGCTCAACGTCGCGGCCATGTTCAGCCTGGGCATCTTTGCCTTGGTCTCATCGTCGCTGCGGCTGCACTTCATGGTCCTGTTCGCGCACACGGCCAACGTCTCCTGGGACTCGACCGACACCTTCATTTGGACTGGTGTCGAGAGCGGCATATGCGTCATGGTGCCCTGCATCCCGGCGATCAGGGCCCTGCTTCTGCGGACCTGGCCGCGCGTCTTCGGGTCGACAACAAGCAACTACGCGGGCTTGTCCAAGTCAGCCAGGTCAGGGTTCCGCCCGGCCCAGGAGCAGCGGGCAAGGAACATGAACAGGGGCGAGCTGTTCTCGCTCGAGTCGCGCGATGCGGACGACGCGGAACGGAGCGAGAGCCAGGTCCAGCTGAAGGACCACACGCCCAGCGGGAAGGTCTCGGTGATTACAGACATCAGCATTGTAGAGGCAGGGGTAGAACACCCAGAGAGCAGTCCAAGCGATGCTGTGGGCGTGTGGGCAGGGCCGCGTGCAGTACCCGACGACCGACACTTTTATGTTACTAGATAAATTAGCTGACGATGCGAGCAAAATCGAGATTGAAAATTCCATCAATGAACATTTCGTTCTCCTCGGTGAAGGACAACGGTATGCCCCGTCTCGCTTTTGGTCCACGGCGTCAAAATGTAGGTGGAGGCTGCGAGTTCTAGAAGGGGAAAAATGAATGAGGAAAGAATGCAGCACAACCTGTGGTGGCGTTTTTTACATCATTACACGTGTACCAAAGGAAGAATGTATTCGGCAGTGAAGTAAGATTGAGAGAATTGCTGTGCGGACTACTTAATGTGAAGAGCAAGTTGAGGATCGTGAGTGTCAAATGAAGGTGAGCTTATCCTCACGCTTGACTACGCGAGTATGACACGGTTTGAGTTGCTATTTTGTTTTCGAGTCTGAGCTTGCTTCGACGAGCGTCTAACTGTTCTATTTTTTTTAGACGCAGAACGTGCCACTCTTTATTCGCAAGGGTCTGTTTTCAGTGCGCTTGACCATCTCACTACACCGCACCTTCCTCAAATGTTCACGGCATCAATTTTTACAGCGTTCCGAAATCGCATAAACCCGTTTGTTCTGTCTCACTTTTTATTTCTCTGGAGCACACTTTTTTACTTTGCACTTTTCTTGTCACGACGACTTCAATACACAAAGGCTCGGAGAAAAAGGTCTTGGACCTCGTCCAACTTAGGAGCGCTGAGGCAGAAGTAAATGCGCCGACAGTAATACTGTTGCAAGGGCATGGATGTGAACAGACATGCAGACAGACCGGCGAAGGTTGGAGCCAAGTGTGATATGATAGCTACAGGTTCACACTTCTAAGCCCTGAAGATGTTTTTAATATGGAGAAAATAAAACACCAGCTACAAGTTGTCCCTCGTTGAGAGCTCGGGCAGATGAAACAATGTGCTTGTCAACCGCAAACTGCAACTTCGATGTCCAATACGAGCGTGGTGGCCAAAAACTCGAAAAGCAAAAGACCTCTCGCAGCCTGACACCTAAGCCTAGACTTTGGCCAACGATGACTCAAACCAGATCAGGTCGACACGTCTCTCTGTCAAGGATCACATGGTTGCACCACCAAATGACAGCGCTGTTTGACGATGCCTACAAATGTGTGGCAGCCATAGACGTCATTTGACTCCCGCGAGTCCCAAATGAAATTTGGCGGGTGCCAGCTCTGGACGGCCCGCAAGGTAAAGCTACGCACTAACCACTTACGGCCTAGCGGATACTTCCAGCCAGTCGGCGTTCTCGGGCGGGCGACACGGGCAGAGTGCATGTCACAAGCTCATCATTTTGGGAAATTGTTCCCCTAATCGCATCTCGCCAGGCGCATGGGAACAGCGTTATCAACGTCGCCTTTGATTCTTTAGTCTTGTTGTTTTCGCTTCCCACATTTCCCCTCCTGTCGCCCCAGCAAACAACTGCACGATGAACGGCCACTTTGCGGCGGTCGGCAATGGGCCGGGGCATAAACAGTTCGGCCATGGCATCCAGGTGATTGACGAGGAGAAAGCATTTAAGTAGGTGATAACCCGCCACGCTGGCCGCTTTGTTGCATCTCCCGTCGCGCTTCTAACCACCCTCTCTCTGCAGCGCGCACCTCAATGAATACCTCTCAGAGACACAGGTCGCCGAGGCGGGTTTCAACTACCACCTCATTTCTGTCTTCGGCTCGCAGTCGACGGGGAAGTCGACGCTCCTAAACCACCTCTTTGGCACCGAGTTCAGCGTCATGTCCGAGTCCGAGCGACGCCAGACGACTAAGGGAATCTGGATGTCCAAGAACAAGAAAGAGGGCGCCAACGCGGATGGCGCAAAGATGGCCGAGAACATTCTGGTCATGGACGTCGAGGGCACCGACGGCCGCGAGCGTGGCGAGGACCAGGACTTTGAGCGCAAGAGCGCCCTTTTCGCCCTAGCTACGAGCGAGGTGCTTATTGTCAACATATGGGAACACCAGGTCGGCCTGTACCAGGGTGCAAACATGGGCTTGCTAAAGACCGTCTTTGAAGTAAACCTGCAGCTCTTTTTGAAAGACCGAAAGTATGTTCCTCTGCATCCCCCACCCCCGTCGCATTATCTCTTTACGAGGTGAAATATTAACTCTACCGTGCAGGGCACAAAGTCCTCGCTCCCTGCTCTTCTTCGTCATTCGCGACCACATCGGGAATACGCCCCTCTCCAATCTGCGCAACACGTTGATCCAAGACCTATCCAAGATATGGTCGTCCATCTCGAAGCCTCAGGGGCTCGAAAACTCCAAGATCGACGACTACTTCGACTTTGCCTTTGCCGCTCTCCCCCACAAGGTCCTCCAACCCCAGCAGTTTCTGGCTGAGGTCGACAAGCTCGGCGCTCGCTTCGCCGCCGGCCACCGGTCGACCAAGGACCAGGAATTCGTCGGGGGCGTGTTCCTGCCCGAGTACCACCGGAGGATACCCGCTGACGGGCTGTCGGTGTACGCGGAGGGAGTATGGGACCAAATCACCAACAACAAGGATCTCGACCTGCCGACGCAGCAGGAGCTCCTGGCGCAGTTCCGATGCGACGAGATTTCGCGCGAAGTTCTCGTCGGCTTTGACGAGATCATTGCCCCGCTCGAAGAGCAGCAGGCTGAGTCGACACGTCTCGGAAAGGCGTCGGTGCTGGCGAACCTCGGCGCCACGGGAGCTGCGGCCCGGGAGAAGTGCGTCAAAGCGTTCGAGACGCAGGCTAGCAGATACCACAAGGGCGTCTATACCACCAAGCGCGGCGAGCTCGAGAGCAAGATCGATTCGCGGCTCAAGGCCCTGTACCAGGCACAGCTGTCGGCGGCGCACAAGGCCGGCGTGGCTGCTTTCAGCGACGCCGTGACAAATGCTGTCAAGACCGGACAAAAGTCCGGAGGCTCATACGAGTTTGCCGAGATCGTCGAGAAGCAGAAGCGGAAGACGCTGGAGTTCTTCAAGAAGGAAGCTCAAAGTCTACTGATCCAGGGCGTGGCGTGGTCCAACTTCAAGCCACAGTACCGGTTGTTCGAGAAGGAGCTCGACGAGGTCAGCGCCCGGCTGCGCAAGGAGGAGATGCGGCGGCTGGCTATCCGCGTCGAGCGGTGGGTCAAGTCTCGGCTCGGCGATGCTATCGGTCTTGAGTTCAACAAGCTGGGTTCTGGTCGAGGCGGGTCCGGCGCGCCTGAAACCGGCGAGAAGCCCCCGACGGAGAAGGACCTGTGGGATCGCATATGGACCGTCTTCATCGGCATTGTCAAGGAAGCTGAAACCCGCTTCACGGACCGGGCCAAGAGCTTCGAGGCGAACGAGGAGGAGGTCGAGGTTGGCCTCTGGCGGCTGCGGCGCAAGAGCTGGGTGGCGCTAAGAGAAAGAATCGAGGAGGAAGTCATGGAGAGCAACATCCTCATGAAGCTCCGCGAGAACTTTGAGGACAAGTTTCGCTACGACGAAGAAGGCGTGCCCCGCATCTGGCGCCCCACAGACGACATCGAGGGCATCTACACGCGGGCTCGCGAGTCCACGCTCTCGCTCATCCCGCTCTTGTCCAGGTTCAGGTTAGCCGAGACGTACGCACCCCCGGATCTGCCGGCTTTCATTGGCCTGCAACCAGCCGGCGCCGAGACGGAAGACGAGGAGGACCTTGCCCCCATCGGCGGCGTTGATGAGGAGGAGGGCAAGAGCCTCGAAGAGGAGATGACGGTCCTCAGCGAGAGCAAGAGGCAGGACCTGGTGGTCAGGTTCAAGAAGATGGCTGATGGAGTTTATGTTGAGGCCAAGCGGAGCGCGATTGGCGGCATGACTCAAGTACCACTCTACTTTTATGTCGTCCTCTTGGTCCTGGGGTGGAACGAGATTGTCATGGGTGAGTTATCTTGCCTGTCTGCTTCTTACACCCGCGTGCTAACCAGGTTGCAGTTTTGCGAAATCCCATGTTGTTCGTCCTCATCCTGATCATGGCCGGCGGAACTTATGTGGCATACAACCTGAACCTCCTCGGTCCAATGATGCAGATGGCAAACGCGGCCACCAACCAGGCCGTTGAGATCGGCAAGGAGAAGCTGCGCGAATTCCTCGCGAACAATGAGACGGCCCGGCAGGCCCTCGCCATGCCAGCCACGACCAAACCGCGGGACAGCGATTCCATCAGTATGGAATCCTTGGATAGCCGCGGCAAGCGGAGACAACAGTCTGCCGACGATGATGACATTTAGACATGACGAGCGAGGATTGTGGGTCGGGGCTAGGGTTGTCCATACAGGATTTGTATATGCTGGTTTGTTGTATGAAAAACGGGTGTTTGGCCATTCATGATGTTGGCGCGCTGGATATCATATCTATCATGATGTCCAAACTCCTTAAACTCCAAGGCCATAATACAGTAATGTTCCACAATATGTCAAAGCACAACAAAAGTGAAAAGCAGGACTCAAAATGCTTCCAGACCGGCCGGTGTGCCAAACCACGTCCCCAGCTCGTCCCCGTCCTTTTCTTGGTCCTTTGCCTGGAAAAAGTCCGTCACGCGGTGCGAGTCCCCGTCGTCGTCCACCGGCCACTCGACCTTGACGGAACCCGCCTTTCCGGCCTCCAGCATGCCCTTGGCGGTGCCCCAGCTAAACCTGCACTCGGGGCCCCAGCCAAAGACGGGGTGCATATTGCCCTTCATCCACGACACGCACCGCCCATCTGACGGATAGCCCGACCCCCAGGCCATGGTCTCGTCGTCACCCTCCCCACCCGCGCCCGCACCCACACCACCCCTAATCTTCCACATGGTCTCGAGCGCGGCGTCCCTCGTGACCTTGGCGCACACGCTCGCTGCGCTGACGCACGGGTACAGGCTGTCGGCCTTCTTGGCGACGGTGATCTTGGCCGTGGGGAAGACGCGCTCGAGTTTGGCCTGGTAGGTGGCGGGGATGCCGACCGTGTCGACGTAGATCTCGCGCACGTTGACGCCGCGCGCGTATACGCCGCGGATTAGCGCCACCGTCGCGTCCAGCGCCTGCGCGTTGATGTTATACGCCGCCCCCGCGGGCCGCAGCATCCCCGACCCTATGTCCCGCGCCGACAGCGCCGACATCGCCCACCCGCACGACCCCGCCAGGTCGCTCCCCGCCTTGCACAGCGCCTCCATCAGCGACGACCGCACCGCCGCCGTGAGCACCTTGCTGTCGTCGAAGTGGTGCGCGTCTCGTAGCAGCGGGTCCGACAGCGGGAGTGGTAGGTAGAACACGCCGTACACCATCGGCCCGAGCACGGGGCCGCGCCCGGCCTCGTCGACGCCGAGGGCGCAGGGCGGGCCGCTGGCGATTTCTGTTGTTGGTGGAGGGGATGTGGCGGGAGGGAGTAGGGCCGTTGGCACAGGGGAAAAGTATGTGTATGAGTCGCCTCGCAGGAGTGCTGCAGAGTCGACGGACGGCGGGATGAAGACGTTGGACAGGGGCGTCTCGAGGGCGATGTCCTCGGCTGTCATTTCGGAGTCCTCCATTGTATAGGTCGTTTGGAGGAGTTGTAGAGGGAGCCAAAGGCTGTAAGGCTGAAAGGGAGACAGAAGAATAACTTGAGATTTGTGGTTGACAAAGACGGGCAAAGAACAGAAATTTTGCCAAATCGAAAGAATTATGGATCGTGGACTGTTTCAAGGCATCACCAGAAATGCCCAATTCAGCAACTGATAGACTCGATTCCAGCGAGGAATGCCCTGTCGCCCCATGTTAGGAAGGCCCTTCGCCGCCAAAGCTTGACGCGTCTGCGTGATGACCGTGTCAGCCAATCACGGCCCCGGTGCCCCGCAGAAAACAATTAAACACAGACAGAAATTCCACGAGGAGTGCCTGTGTCACTGTTTGGGATGCCGTTTTTGGCAGGTTGGACCAGCTAATCTCGGCACTCTCCACAAGTACAGTGGGCGGCAAAAAGTTCTGATCTGCCAAGAAGTACCACGCTAACCTAACCAGGCAATCAAAGCCCCTCAGTACTTGGTATACCACCCCTTTGCCTCCAAAACAGCTGCTACACGTTTAGGCATCGTAACCGATAATCTATATAGAACCTCCTGGTCAATTGACCACCAGGCCTCCTTTGCAGCCTGTATTAACTGCTGTAATGTCTCTTCTGTATCTGGTGCTCGCTTAAGCTCTGGATATAACCTATAGATCTCAGCCTTTATAAGAGCCCAGAGGTTCTCAATTGGGTTAAGGTCTGGAGAGTATGGTGGCCATACCATAACACGAATGCCTAGCCCAGTAAGAACAGCCCGTACTACCCTCGCAGTATGGACTGATGCATTATCGTGCATAAAGGTATCTACAGGTTGAATGAAGCCTGGAAGGTGGGCCGAATATAAGCAACTAATTACCCATCCATATACTCCTTGCCTTGCAGAAAGAGGATCGCCATCAAGAGGAACCAGACCAGTGCGTATATCGTGGCCAAAAGCTGCCCAAAGCATCTTCTTTACGCCTTTGCCACTGCATATAACCTCTTGAACATCATGTTGAGCCAGTTGTTCCGATGGGCGATTAAAGGTCCATACTGGTCGTTTCCCAACCCCGCGCTCCACAGTACATTCATCACTCCATTTGAGCCTTTTCCAATCCTCCTCTGTATAATGTTGACATCGTTTAGCCCAGGCGAGTCGGGCTGCAGCCTGGGCCTCAGTCAGCTGTGGTTGTTTAAGTTGGCGCCATTTTCGTTTACCAAGCTCGTTAAGAAGGCCTCGCATAGATCGTTCTTTGACAACATTATCAACTGAGTCAAGTAGGTCTCGATGCGTAACGTGAGGGTTGATATGGGTTACCACGTCGTAGATATGGTCTCGTTGTTCTGCGGTGATCTTTCGGGGTGCTCCGGAACGCGCTTGGGACTGATTATTCACCCGGAGCTTCTCAAGCCGTAAGGTCGATTTGATAGTACCGAGGGGAATCTCTGGATGCATCTTGTGTATTCGAGCGTGGCTATATCGAAGCGAATGGAGCTCACAGATCCGTGATCGCATCTGTGGTGAAAGCTCTTTGCCACGAGCCATACTGTTGTTACTGGTGATGTTGTGATTGTTGTCATTATTTTTTGTCGCGTTCAGAAGCGATGTACTGTATTTAGCCGTATATGGTTTAGTGCTTACTGTGGTACTTCTTGGCAGATCAGAACTTTTTGCCGCTCACTGTACGCAGAGCTCGGGCTGCAAACCCCACCATTTTCAGCAGACTGGTTCCTCCAACAGGCCTGGTATCACGTTGTCCCAGCCCCACGCTTCACCATGGCGTCATCACATCGAGGTCGACGACATCTCCGTCGGTGTCTACCCTTCGGTAAGGTCGACGAAAGATAGCGATCCCCCGGCCGTGCGATTCACCAAGACGCAAGATCTCTTCAACGCAATTGATCATACTAGTGGGGATTCCCTCACCGGCACAAGTATGGCATTGCCCTTTTGTTTCTATATAGGTATATTAATTGTTTAGACGTCTCCCTCATTAATTCCACCGAAATCGGGCGTACCCGAGAGAAGCAAGGCCGCAAGTTCCGCTTTCGCGATTACGAGAGCAATTCTCGGGTCCTTATTATCACGATCCCAACTTACCTTCATGAGGAACTCTACAAACGGCTATATAACGAGTTTGTCGGGCAGGTTCGCGACACGGGTTTAAAGAATAGTTGGAGAGACATCGGCAGTGCTACACGTTTAGCACAACAAGGCTATTCTGGACGAAGCAGTAAGGAGGGTGATTCGACTGGTGGCCCAAAGCCTCAACGAGCTGCTAAAGGTGCCTGGCCAACACTTGTCATCGAGGCAGGATTCGTTTTCAGCGTTCAAGAACTGGAGGAATACGCGTGTAGATTAGCAGAAGTGTAGATTAGCAGCCAATCAAATTCAGCATAGCCGACCAGTCAAAAACGGCAGCCCCGACAGCGACACAGGAATTCCACACCTGCTGCCAGGTCTTGGCTCACGACGCACCCGTACCAGTCCCACGTCCACCCACCCTGCGTGCGTGCTCTTTCCGTTGGCCGTTGGAATAGAAATAAACAACAGACGAGCCTCAATTGCAAAAACCCGCAACGAGTTTTGGGACCGCACGACTGTATTGCATCTCCCGCAACCACAAGCGCTTGCGCCCTCAAAGTCGACCTGCCGCCCCGGCGCGACTTACTCAGCGCCTCTTTTTGCCTAGATCCGTCGCGTCGTCTTTCCGGAAACATTGAACCCCGAGTCGCATGAGCAATGGCGCCCCGGGCATCGCTGCAACGGCGCACCCTCGCGCCCCAGTCTGAACATGTCTACGAGCTAGGCGTTGTCGGCCGGTGCGTTCGCTCGATTCGGGCAATCCTCCTCTATTAGATAGCCCACAATGCTGACTCTTTTTCGCTCTCCCCGTGCAGCAAAACCGGTATCACCCTCAAGGACACGGGCATCCGCGACGAACATGGCATGGAACCCATCGACGACCTCTTCTCGCCCAATCCTTCGGACGACGATAGCAGCGACGGAGAGCCGATGGATCTTACTGCTAGTACGTTTACATGTTTCCTGCTCCACCGTGTTTTAGTTTCGTCGCCTTTGCAGGCGCTCGTGGCTGACCATGAATCTTTTCTTTCTTTGCAGCGTCTGGTATTGGCCCCGCGGCTCTGCTGAATGGCCACGGCAATCGGCTAGCTATACCACTCCCCCTCCCGCGCGTCCGGTCGCCAGTCAAAACGAGCCTCAATTCGCCGGCGCAAAGAAACCGGCTACTCGCGCGGAGCTCTTCGCCCACCCGCGGATCTATTGTCCGAGAGCGCGACTCCCAGCCGAACCGTGGTCAGATGGCCGCTAAGCGCCGCCTAGATTTTAGTGCTTCGAAGTCTTTGTCTCTGCCACAGCCGCTCCCAGGCAAAGGGGGCTCCAGACTGAATAGCACCAGTGGCTCGGCAAGGGATCTAACTAATGGTTACTACTCCGACAGTAGCCTCCAGGAAGAAGAGGAGGAAGAGGAAGAAGAGGAGGAAGAGGAGGAAGAGGAGGAAGAGGAGGAAGAGGAGGAAGAGGAGGAAGAGGAGGAAGAGGAAGACGTCAACAACCTCATCGACGAGTCCCTGGCTATGCTTAATGCCGGAGGCGACGACGACTACAACTTGCCCGAACAATCGGAAAACCAACAAGACTCGGACCCCGCTGTTTCCTTTATCGAGGAACAAAGCGCGTCCTCTTCCACGGCGAAGCGGAAACCAGGAAGGCCACCCCAGGTCAAAGCCAGTGGCACTGCATTATCACGAGGACGGCCGTCAGTGAAGAGAGCCGTTCCTGTCGTGGTTGAGGAATCTGAAGAAGAGGCCGACGAGGAACCCAAGGACGAGCCAGAAGAGCCTGAGCCGGCTGCAGCGACAAGCGATACACCAGAAGAAGAAGAGATGGAGGAGGATGTAGTAACCAAGCCACTAAAAAAAGTGCCTAAAAGGCGCGGACAACCGCCCAAGGTAGGCAAAGCCGCAGCAGCGCCAGCGCCAGCAATAGAATCTCCAGCACCGGCCGTGGAAGCTCCAGTGGCGAAGCGTAACAAGCGGCGCTCACTAACAGAAGTAGAGGAAGAAGAAAGCGCAGTCAAAGGGGAAGACACGGCGACGCGCCAACCAAAGCGACAGCGCACCGACTCCCGGTCCGGGGCCAGCGCCACGGTATCCAAGAAGACAAGCACTGCTAGAAGCAGTAGCCAAAATGCAGCCTCCGAACAACCAGAAGCCGCCGTGTCCAAAAAGACAGGGGCTGCTAAGGGCAGTCGCCAAAAGGCGCCTTCCGAGCAGCCAGAAGCCGCGCCGCCCGCCAGCAAATCCGCACCGCCGCCGCCGGCAGTGAAGGGCAAACGAGAGCGGCCCAAGCGCAGGTCATCAGTTGATCCAGGAGACACCTCATTGGTCGCGGTCGCCAGCCGGCCGCCGTTGCCGAAGTCGCGCGGGCTGCTGATCAACAGGCGCGACGCGCTGGGCGACTCGGGCATGTTCCAAACGCGGTCCGGGCGCAACTCGATGAAGCCGCTGGCGTTCTGGCGTAACGAGCGCGTCGAGTTCGACCACGACGAGGCCATGGAGGACCGGTTCACGGGGCGCAGCCAGCCCATGAAGTTCATTGTCCCGACTATCAAGGAGGTGGTGCGTGTCGACGAGCCCGAACCCGAGTTCTACGCCAAGGCGCGCAAGGGGGGCTCTACCAAGCGGGGCGGCGGCGCGCGGCGCGGGAGGAAGCAGTCGTCGTACGGCGACGAAGACGACGACAGCCGCGGCCCCGCCGACCCCTGGGAAGTCAACCCCGGCACACTCAGCGGGGAGGCCGTGGTGTGGCAGCCTGACTACGAGACGAACGCGCCCAAGCCCGACGACTTGGTCGACATGGAGGAGCGGCAGCTGGCCATCAGCGCGTCGGCCATCCGCCCGCAGGCTGTCAAGGACTCCAACTTCCTCTTCGCTAAGACCATTAACGAGGGCTTCTTTGGCGCCGGCGTCGTCGACCTACCGCCGGGCGCCGAGAAGCGCTCCAAGAACACGCGCAGGATGTTCATGACCTTCTTCGTCTTCACCGGCCGCGTCCTCGTCACCGTCAACGACACCGAGTTCCGCATCAGCAAGGGCGGCATGTGGTCTGTGCCGAGGGGTGAGCCAAACCTACACAACCCCGCCATGTAAACCGTAAAATGCTGACCGTGTGGTAAATATAGGGAACTACTACAGCATCGAAAACGACTACGACCAGCCCGCGCGCATCTTCTTCGCCCAGGGTTGCGAGGTGGCCCCCCAGCCGCCTCCGCAGGACGAAAACACCTCGTAGGAGCGGCCAGCCGCTGACCTGGCCGAGTGGATGAAACGGTGTAGAACTTGCGAGGAAAGGCCTCTGAGTATTGAAGTATAGTGTAGTGTGATGCGGTACGGGCTGCCCTAGTTCCATGGAAATAACTAGCCAGCAGCCAGCCAGCGCTGCGCGTGCTGCCTTTTTTTCAGGAGTACGCTTTTAAGGGACGGACAGGATCGGAGTCAGGGGTGGATGGAATCAGGAGTTCGGGGGCCAGGGGACTAGGGAATCACGTAACGGGCATCTACTGACTGTTGCGTTTTCGGTTCCGTTTTCTCTGTTCTGTGTGCTGTTTTTTTGCGGCTGTCTGTTGAATGAATGATCGGGCTTCCTTATATATACCTACTCGACCAGCTAACTGAGCTGTTTTTTTTCCCCTCTTTTCTTATGATTGCCTATCACAGAAAATTCGGGCTGTCTGTGTCTGGTCTGTCTGGTTATATATATCTGCCAGCGCTGGAACCTGGGATTATCTGATTTATTCCATGCTATCGAACCAAGCTGTGGAGTAGATGAATGGACATGAATGCTAAGTTTCGGAACTATGCATAGTACATACATATGTCCATAGTGATATCAAAACGAAACCTACGGATCAACAGGCTTGTAATGCGGTCTGTGGAACGGGGTGACGTCTGCTCGTTAATGGCAGCTGCTTGTCCCACATTGTTTTCGCTTTTCTTCGTCTCCACCTCCCCCTTTCATGCCAGAGGCGAACCAAGATAACATGGTAAATAAGAAAGGTAAATATCTAAATAAAACGAGGCTCAAACCATCCTGCCCCGCATTAGGAAGACAGATTCGAACGTCAGTCGTTTCAAGAAAACTAATAAAATTGTTCACATCGAAGAAGGGTATCTATGTTCAATGTCTGTAGGCCTGTCCGCTGAGAGGAGTCGCAATACCGATACAAGCAGGCTTCTGACTAGCGCAAAATATACTACCAGCACACCCCAAGTATATAGACCTACTATACTATCTACGACAGCATCGCTGTCCGCCCTTAGGCCTCCTGTGACAGCACCTTCTTCAGCCCCGCCATGTCCTTCTCAAAGGCCATGATCTTCTTCTGGCTAGTCTGGAGCTTGTCGAGCAGGTAGTTGATCCGGTCCGTGGTCTGGTAGGGCTTAGTCGGCAGGCTCGCGAGCACGCTGAGCTCCGTCTCGACCTTGTCAATGTTCTTGGTCTCGATCTTTGCGAGCTCTGTCAGCAGCGCCAGGTTCATCTTGGACTTGATCACAGTATCCTGCAGCAGCTTGGCGAAGGCCGACTGGTACACGGGCTTGCCGGCGCGAATCGTCTGGGGACGCCCGTTCACCGACTTGACGGTGATGAGCTCGGCGTCGGCCAGGCTCTCGATGGCGGACTCGGCATTGGCAGCCCCAGGGCTGGTGGAAGAAGCAAATGTGTTGGACAGCAGCACTTCGTTGTACCGGAGGCTCTCCTTCTCCCCTATCTCCTTGATCAGATACCAAGCTTGCTCTGTCGACCAGCTCTTGTCTCCTTCGCCAGTTTTCTTGTTGGTGAGCAAGAACATCCTCAAGATCTCTGCCGCGCTCTGCTCGATGATTTCTGAAACAGCCTTCTTGGGAGTCTGGCCGATTTTGAGCCTGCGCGCAAGGATTTGCAGGTCCGTCAGACGTCCCCCAAGCGCCTCTATGCACTCGTCCAGCTCTCTTAGATCTTCCCGGCGCTGCTTTTCGGTGATGACAGGGCTGGGGGTTGCATCCTCGCCTTCGGTATCTGCTAAGCCATCCTGAAAGGCAAGCTGGGAGATGACAAATTGCTTCGCAACGACGGGCGACAAGTCGCCTAGTGTGACCTGGTGGAAGACGCGATCTGGCAGGGCCTTGGATAGCGACTTCGAATACGAAGTATCATTGGTCAAGAAGATGACATGAGCGATGTTGGACTGCACAAGAGCTGCAGCCCAGTCGGAAAGTTTATCGTAGACAATGGCTTTGTCCTCATTCTTGTGCAAGAAATTGTCGATGACGACGACGGCTCGCTTTTCCGGGTGGGCCTCGAGGTAAGCATCTTCCGAGAGGTCCGCGTCCGGGTCCGTCTTCTTTCTGCCGTCCAGGGCAACGCTCTTGAGCGCCGAGGCAGAAATCTCGAGGATTTTGACGACCTGTGATTCCAGGTTCTCGGAGAAGCCAGCCTTGACGCCCGTCGTCCCCTGAATGGCGAGGTCGACGAGGTTGCTTATGTTGTTGGACCACGAGAACACGGGTCGATACCCAACCTGACCGGCAAGGTTCCCAATGAGACCAGCCTCGCCACGGGCCTCCACAACCGGCTTGCAGTCCAGGACCAAAACATCCTTCCGTCCTTGGAGAACTTGGTCTAAAATAAGCTCCCTCCCTCCGGAGCCCCGCGGCCCATGGACGACAACAAAGGTGTCTACCGAGTCCAGCAATGCGCCGTGTATGGAGTCAATCAGATCCTTGCGGTGGGTAAATAGCGCATTGAGGCCTTCGTGCTCGTTTCTCCGCTTACGGAACACACGAATATCGTCCGCCTGACGCTTGAACCATTTGTACAGCTTGCTGTTGGTGAACTCAAAAGACCTTTGTACGTGGGCCTATGCAACGTCAGCACTGCACCGTTTCTGAGAGGAGCCCAGAGAGGAGCCAAAGGGAACTAAATGCATCAACATACCTTAACAAAGTACTCGCGGATCGGATCAAACACGGCCACAGTGAATGCAGCCAAGAAGGCGGCAACGATGGGGATGACAATCCGTGGGTGGTTCGAAACCCAGTCCCAGATGCGGTGAGCCTTGACACGCTGCTCGTATGACAGGCGCAACTTGGTTGCAGTTTTGCTGCCCTCCTCGCGGAGAATGAAGCCGTGCATGCAATTCCTTGCCATTACGGCGTCCCTGACCATGGAAAAATCGACGTAGGCATACCTTGGTACGACTTTGGACTCGGAAGATTGAGAAGAGATGTCGCTAATCTTTCCGTACTGACGAAAGATGCTGTACAGCGTCTCTTGGGAGAGATCTGCAGGCGGCTCCGAGTTAGTAGCAGGCACAAACTCGACCCTCAAGCGGCCCTTTGGGAACCGGTAGAGGTCCTCGAGCCATGGGCGGCCCTGAACAAGGCCGACTCTGATGCCCCGGAAGAGGCTGAACCACGGCCGGATTGGGTTCTTGTCCAGGAGGTCGGCGAGGTTGTCTAGGGGGTTGTCAGCAACTGGCTAAGACAGGTAGCAGCAAAGGGGGGTGCCGCCAAATTACCTACCTTGGATCTGGGATGCCGACATGTCGCCTAGATGGGTAAATTTCACAAACGCGCCGCCGTCCTTGAGCCGGGGAATAATATCCGTGACCTTGATCGGAACGTCTTCAGGGATAGCCCGCTTGACCATGTTGATGGGATCGAGCATGCCAAAAGACGAGTTTTCAAACTTTTTGAGGATATCGGCGACATCGCGACTGCTCTCCCATGGGCGCAAGAAGGTGATGAGACTGAGCCTCATGGGGAATAGGTCTGTTTGAGGCATTAGCCTGGTAATTCACACACGAATACGGTAATACACGACTCACTGCTGAAAAAGAGAATAGCCTCGTGGGGTGCGGCGGCGATATGCCCGCTCTCCTTGTACTCGGTGCTGACAGTGGTCTCCCATCTCCGGGATGTTCGCCTGTTGTGTCCCGGGGCGAGTGGAAGTCGGAGCTGGGCGATACGGGCCGCGGCGAGCGATGACGCCTCAAGGCCGCCCCGCCTAGCCAGCGGCCGATACAGAATGCGTGCCGGGATCATCTCCTCATGGCACAGCACGATCCTGACCAGGGACGGACAGCTGAACTACCGAAGGTGGACAGCCTGCGGTCATACACCGTGTAGGATATGCAGGTCCCGGCAAATGACGGCGCACACCGTAACGGCCGCGGCTTAGCGACAGAATGACTTGCGTATCTAGAAGCATCGCGTCAGCAAATTGTCGGTCAACCTTGAAAACAATGTTGAACTGCTTGTTCAAGACGAGTCACTCCACTCACCTCAGAGCTGCAATGCAATGCAATGCAATGCAATCCCAAATAGGATGCTATAACAAGAAAAGAAGGCCCGCGATGTTTGCCCCTTTCAACTTGAAACTTGAGAGAAAATGCTTCACTCGTTGGCTGCAAATTGAAGAATTGCAGCTCCTTCAGGATGGCTGGGTGCCAATGGAAGTTAACGGACTAAGAGCACCGGCAGCGCAGCGGCAGCGGCAGATCAGCCTAGACCGGGCTGCTGCCAGTGAGGTCATCGAAGGGGCTAAATAAGCCTTTCCCAAACTGGTCCAGGCCCCACGCTCAACGTCCAAAGAGCACAGACATCACCGCCAACAGCCAATGAGCATCGCGATTTGTTCTCATTGGCCAGGGGCGGCGGGGCTCTCTTGATGCAGGTCCTCTGACGCTTTGGGCCATTCGCATGGACGGGAGGCCGTTATCACGAGACTTTGGCTTTCGCGGAAGCGCCTGCCCCTCGCTGCCCTCACGCTCGTTTGTGGTACCCCTCTCTGCGGCCTGCTGTTTATATTGCCCTCTGTTGCATACCCAGCTTTGCCCTCATTAACACCGATTCAATCCACTCGCTCCCACCAGCAGCTCCAATCGGCCGTATACAACAAGGAACCCTCGCTCTCCGATAACTACCCGCCAGTCGCATCCCCACACAACCGCCACAATGGGCTGGTTCTGGCAGTCAGCTTCTTCCGCTCCCTCAACCACCACCACCACCATCACCACCCTAACTATGGCCTCGAACCCCAAACCAGCCCCGAGGGCGGCCGCGGCCCCGAACGCGTCCAAACAAGCGAACAGCAACTCCGACATGGACCCCGAGATCCAAAAGTTCCTGGAGATGCTGCAGGAAGAGACCAAAGGCAACCAGCAGAGATACCAGCAGCAACGAGAACAGCAGCCAGCACCCACAGACGACAGCCGCAAGAAGCCGTCCCCCTTCTCCTTCACAACCTCGCGGACCTTTTCCTCATCATGGTTCACCATGAAGGGGTCCGACAGCGAGTCGTCCACACAACACCAATCCCCACCACCACCCACGCGGTCGCCCGAGTCGCTCGCACTCTCAGAGGTACAGCTCCCCGAGACCATGTCGTGCCGGGACGCGTTCGACTATGCGTGGCACTGCCACACGGTGGGGTCGCAGTGGAACGCCATCTACCGGTACGGGACGATGCGCAACTGCAGCGACCTGTGGGACGACTTCTGGCTGTGCATGCGCACACGCACATACGGCGCCGAGCAGAAGTCGGCCGCCATCAAGGCGCACTACCGCGAAAAGGAGGAGAAGAAGTACGGCGGCGGTCGCCCCAGCAGCGAGGACGTCTGGCAGAGCCGCCGCGAGCCCGCGCAGCCCGGCGAGGCTTTCCAAGAGAAGTTTGCGCCCCCCGTCCACGACGACGTCGAGTACCAGCTCGCCCAGCTCGAGCGCAGGAGGAAGATCCGTGAAGAGCTGGGCATTGCGAGTCGGCCGCAGGACGACAGTGATAAGGACCATTAGTTAGACCGTCTTTTTGTTGTTATTATTATCTAATGTCGAAACTTTTTCCAGCCCTTGAGTCGTTATTCACGTTGGACTTTCTGAGACGAACAATGCGTTACTACCTTTCTGCCAGCCCTAAATATTTTTTCCTAAGGAGATGCACGAGTTATTATAATCCCTAATACCGAGTCACGATGCCCTGTCTTCTTCATAACATCCACTCGTGAAGGCTTTTCTAGGCCGAGTTGATTACGCCATTCAAGACTTCTATCCTTAGGAATGGGATATGATCTCATGGGATGGTATGAGATGTGATCTCACGGGGATCAACTTGGCCACCTTACAGCTACACTCGGGAGGTGGTTTACACTACACTTCTGCTCGTGTTCGACTTGTCTCCGAGTTTGATCCTGGATTGACGCAAGGTCTACCGTTCGCTTCCGACCTGTTGATCTACCCTGCATTTGCCTAGCACTTGGCCGCCGGATACGAGCTTTCTTGTGCCGTAGGACTGCCAAATATCAGCCAATATCTTGGTCATGGGATGCAAGTCTAAGGCCGTGGTAAGATACTTCGAATCAGGAGATGTCGCTCTTTCCTCTTGGACGCCAGCAATTCCCCCCAGAACAGCATTGGTAAACCCTGTTCCCTCAATTCAACTATGGAGAATAGAAATCATAAAGCTACTCTAATAGCTACTACATTCCTAATTGGTCATCGGCCACGGGTAGAACCTCTTTCTCAAACTGGGCTCATCGGAATATGCTTGGAATATGCTGGCCGTTAATAGCCTGGCAGCTACATTCCTGGTGAGGAATGGAGCTCTGGGCAGTTAAGTGCCTTGGTGTGGTGTCTACCGTTCGCTTCCGACCTGTCGATTTACCCTCCATTTACCCAAGACGTGAGTTATTAGAACCCCTATTATTGAACATCAAAGCCATCTCCTCCCTCGTATAGACGCCTCAAAGTTTCTCTCCAGGGGAGGCGCGAGCAAGTAGAACCCCTAATGTAGAATCTAAAAGCCGTTATCTCACTTGTATGTATGCCCCTAAGCTTTTCTCTAAGGAGACGTACTGACTAATTACTTCAGATCCCTTATAAAGAACCTTAAAGGCCTCGTCTCCCTCGTATAGATGCCTCTAAAGTTTCTCTCAGAGGGAGGCGATAGTAATTAGAACCTCTCAGATATAATTCCAAAGCTCTGTGTTCCTTCTACAACTGCCTGTCTTATTAGTCAAACGACCTCTCATCTCTAGAGGTATTGAAGTATTACATCTTGTACCATAGACCTATCTAACGAGGACCCATGGCCATCCCATAGCTAGAATTGAGCCACGGCAGATCCAGAGTTGAGCTAGAGCAGGGAGGAGAGAAGAGACGACCAGAAACACCAATCTCGTGGGAATGCAACGCGGTGGACTTCCCTCAGAGGAAACCCTTCCACGCCAACCTTCACGCAGCGATCCTTCAAACCTCTTAGAGAATCCCTCGCCAGTAACTATCTAGAGCTCGCCATGATGGTGGGTGCTGAGGCCGTATACATCAGACCTCATAGTTACATGATCTTCCAACTTTGGGTCGCTCTTCCGCAGTACCTTGGCGACTTCTGCCTCTCATTATCAGTCTAATTTTCTTTCGTATAAGTGCCAACGAACTCCTACGCGGCGCTCAGTTTTGTTGAGCTTCGTTTGGTCGTGTATTTGCTGCTGGAGTTGTTAGGAAACTGTACGAGATGTTCCGCAGTTGACAGTTTTATTTGATGGTACGACCTAGTGATGCACTTGGCTTGGTATACCTGAACTAAGCTCGCTTGTTCGAGCAATTTTTATGGTCGCTGTCGCGTGGGCAATATGTCTCCGATGTTTATGCCTTGAAAAAAAGCCCACGATAATACTTGGAGCTCTAACCTAGCCGCAAGCTCCTATGTCAGGTACGCTAAATCACAACACAACGGTTGATTAAGGTGCTTACTCCCCTTAGTCCGGCGTTTTCAAAGCTTTAACGAGCAGCCATCCGAGCGGAAAATGATAAGCACTTTTGATAGCGTATTGATCCCTTCCTACTGTTCTCTCCTTATTACGTTGGGATTCTGGCATCACGAGTTTTGGCAAGACAAGTGAGGGCGACAGGGGTCCATGGGTGGAAGTGCACTTTCGGGCAGTCACGACACAGTAAACATTTTCCAACATCAGGGCAATGGCAATGTACCACACAACATACAGCACGCGGACTAAAGATGGCGAATTTTTGTTCATTGCTAGGAAATGGGAATCGTTATTAAAATACAAGCCTGGAGCCTCCGGAACTTTTTCCCCTGTATCATGATCATGATAATAAAAGCAAAGCAGATCTAGGTGTCGGCCCATACCCATTACTCCGCAGATCCACTGAGCGCGCACTGCAACTCATCGAAAGGAGTCCAATCTACTAATGCATAGGGAATAGCAGACGAATTAAGGCGGCTAATTTAATCGACCTCCTCGACAGTGGGGCCATCATCGTGGGTGGCACCAGCTCCGCCACCCGGAGCACCGGGAAAGCCACCAGGACCGCCGGGCATACCGCCAGGCATGCCACCGGGCATGCCACCAGCACCCGCACCGTAGAACTTCATCATGATGGGGTTGGCAACAGCCTCGAGCTCCTTCTGGTGCTCCTCATACTCCTCACGGGTAGCCTGCTGGCTCTCGTCGAGCCAAGAGACGACCTTGTCAATCTCAGTCTTGAGTGTCTCCTTGTCGCCAGCATCAAGCTTCTCATCGACCTTGGAGTCGGCGAGAGTGTTGCGTAGGGAGTAGGCATAAGACTCGAGACCGTTCTTGGCAGAGACGCGACGGGCCTCAGCCTCATCCTCCTCCTTGAACTTCTCGGCCTCGCTGAGCATGCGCTCAATCTCCTCCTTCGAGAGGCGGCCCTTGTCGTTGGTGATAACGATCTGGTTGGTCTTTCCGGTGCCTTTCTCGACGGCGGAGATATTGATGATGTTGTTGGCGTCAAGATCGAAGGTAACCTCGATTTGAGGAACGCCACGGGGAGCAGGAGGGATGCCGGTAAGCTCGAACTTGCCAAGCAGGTTGTTGTCCTTTGTACGTTGACGCTCACCCTCGTAAACCTGGATAAGCACACCAGGCTGGTTGTCGGAGAAGGTAGAGAAGACTTCGGACTTCTTGGTGGGGATGGTGGTGTTGCGGGGGATAAGCTTGGTCATCATGCCACCAGCAGTCTCGATACCCAGTGACAACGGGGCAACGTCCAAAAGCAAAATCTCGTTGGTGGACTTGGAAGAAGTGTCGCCAGACAGGATAGCGGCCTGGACGGCAGCACCGTACGCGACAGCCTCATCGGGGTTGATGGACTTGTTGGGCTCCTTGCCGTTGAAGTAGTCGGTGATAAGCTTCTGGACACGGGGGATACGGGTAGATCCACCGACGAGGACGATCTCATGGACCTGAGACTTGTCGATCTTGGCGTCGGTCAGGACTCGATCCACGGGCTGAAGGGTGGAGCGGAACAGATCCTGGCACAGCTCCTCGAAGCGGGCACGGGTGATGGAGGTGTAGAAATCAATACCCTCGTACAGAGAGTCGATCTCGATCGACGTCTGGGCAGACGAAGAGAGAGTACGCTTGGCACGCTCGCAAGCAGTGCGAAGACGGCGCAGGGCACGGGCGCTGGAGGAGAGTTCCTAGGGGGAAGTTAGCGTTTGCTCGAAAATAAACATAAAAAAGTCTGTGCGTCTCAATGACTAAGACACGGCCTAGGACTCTGCTTCACGGGTGCTGTAGGATCGTTCTGAAAGCAAACTGCACGCTGCCAAAACTCGTGATGCCAGAATCCCAAGGTAATAAGGAGAGAATAGTAGAAAGGGATCAATACCTTTCGATGTTTTCTCTTGAATTCGTTGACGAAATGATTGACGAGGCGGTTGTCGAAGTCCTCACCACCCAAGTGAGTGTCGCCAGCAGTGGACTTGACCTCAAAGATACCCTCCTCAATGGTAAGGAGTGACACGTCGAAGGTACCACCACCGAGATCGAAGATGAGCACATTCCGCTCGCCCTCAACCTTCTTGTCGAGACCGTAAGCAATGGCGGCAGCGGTGGGCTCGTTGATGATACGTAGGACGTTGAGGCCAGCAATTAGACCGGCATCCTTGGTAGCCTGACGCTGAGAGTCGTTGAAGTAGGCCGGAACAGTGACAACGGCGTTGTTGACAGTGCCACCGAGGTAGGCCTCAGCGGTCTCGCGCATCTTTGTAAGGATCATAGAGGAGATCTCCTCGGGTGTGAAAGTCTTCTTCTCGCCTTTGAACTCAACCTCAACGACTGGCTTGCCACCACGGTCGATGATGGTGAAGGGGAAATGCTTCATATCGGCCTGGACTTCAGCATCGGCGAACTTGCGGCCAATGAGGCGCTTGGCGTCGAAGACGGTGTTGTGGGGGTTCATGGCGACCTGGTTCTTGGCGGCATCTCCGATGAGGCGCTCCGTGTCCGTGAAAGCCACAAACGACGGTGTTGTCCGGTTACCCTGGTCATTTGCAATAATTTCGCAACTGGGAAAAAGTCAGTGCAATGCTCAGAAGCTAGCAATCCCGGGTTTCGGGAATACCAGGCTCGAGTGACGAGAAGTCAGGGAGGGATCAAGCTTACCGATCCTCGCGGAAAATACCCACGCAGGAGTAGGTAGTACCCAAGTCGATACCGACAGCGGGAGCCATGTTGAATATGAGAGCGTTTCTTTTCTATCAACTTGTGGTGATTGTGTAGATGTAGAAGCTTGTGCGATATTCCCGAGTGTGGTTTGGGGAAGAGAAATGCGATGCAGAAAAGTTGTTCAGGACAGTGATTGAGGGAAGGAGGGGCAGAAGAGCTCGCAGAATTTAAGTTGCAGGTCGACCTTGCACTTTTTTTCCACGAGCTTCCGTAGGTTTCCTCCACCCCACCTACGCCGGGGTACAAAGCAGCTACTTGATTGACCTGGCAACCTCCAGCTGCTTCTCGTTCACACCAGACCGAAATGGAACCTTCCACACCCGTCGCCCTCCAGCGATTTGACTTCTTTGACCTTCTAATTATCCCACTAGAGTTTAAAGGTTTTCGTCTTAGAAAGAGACCACTGCAACTAATGCAATCACGCCTCCAGAGCCCGAGCCGTGACTTTTATTGGGCTTAGATAGACTTTTGTCTCCACCAGCTGTACGGATTACAGTCACTTGCACCAGGCCGCAAGGTCCCTTTACGCCTCTCATCTCGTCTCCGCTGCCGCCAGCCTCGTGCAGTGACGGCCTGTGTCGTGTTTTACCTCGATTCTTTTCCCTTCTCCGTGGTGGGTTTGCCATCTGGTGAGCGCCAACCACTCAGCGCCATGCCGGAACATCCTCAGCAGGACTGCACCGTCGATTGATCACGATCCATTGCATTAATTCGAGCGTCGCAGCACCCAATGGGCCATGACGGGCATCTACCGTGCTGCCAGACATAGGTGAAGATGCCTCGGGGTTTGGGCAGGCAAGCAGCATCTGAGGCGGAGCTGGGCAGGAGTGCCGCCAACTCCCAAGTGTTGGGCGGGTTGAGGGAGCATGAAAGGCATGAAAGTTCCACAAGTACCCCGAAGTACCCCTCTGGACCCACACTCTCTTTCATGCGGGCAACGCAGCCTCCTGCGGGTCTGGGTGCTTGGGTGCCTGATTCCCAGCGCCTGGGTTTCTGCCTTGCCCGAGCAGCCTGGGCTATATTAGTTCAATTGGATGCCGGTGGCCTTTTCGACAACGGTGCGCCAGTCGCTGGGCTCGGCCGTTTGCAGATACGACGCTCTTGAAGCTCGTTTGGGCGTGTTTGTTTGCGACTGCAATTCCCCCTCGTCGTCATGAAGTCATGGATGGTTGGTGCGATAAGGTAAGCGGCGATTCTGTGCCCCGCACCCACCATATTCTCCACTCAGCGGAGGAAGTAGGAGGGGCACGGCGAGACACAACCAACAGCACGGGCTGCCTATCACCGAGTATCGCCGCAACGGGCGAGTTCTACAGAACGCTGCTAGACCCAGTTAAAGAGCCGACGACATTGGTCCTGCATTACCCGCAGCGAGAGCTTAGGTGCTTAGTGAGGTTTGTGGCTCTATTAGTGAGGCACCTGCAAATCAATACTGCCTATTCCAATACCATTTCAGCACACTGGAACTTATTCTTCTCCCCGGCAACAAGATTACAGCCTCATCGTACCCTAAGGGAAAATAACAAGAAAATTTAAAGAGGGAAAGGCTTGCCCAGCCAAGATGTTGATCAAAGAGTCTCACGCCGACGTGCAGACGACGGCCAATGGAACGGAGACTTCGATGAGTTAGTCCAGACCCCCATCCTGGGTTTCTAGGAGAGCTTATCGCGCTTGCTCGAGGGGAGAGCCTGGGGAGACGAGATCTACTAGTACCGAGTACCTACCTAACAAGCACATCCCACAGGAATCTTCCTGTTCCACCCCACGATTCCTGGATACCCAAACGCGTGAGCGCCCGACGAGACAGACGGGGCTTCTCGGTTATCTTAGTTGCTGTGTCTCACAAACCTATTATCTCGCTAGGCGCTTTCCCGGAGTCGTGCTGTTCAGCGAGATTTACCAAGGTTAGCTCGCCGTGCTGTCCTGGAGCTCTGTGACGAACCTATTCCCCTCCTCCGAGCTCTAGCCCCCATGTTCCATGGATCGGGGGTGTTGGTGGGACGAGAGCTCGGTGATGATGGTGGAGCTTGGATCCCCGGCAGTTCCTCCGTGCTGTTCCTAGACTACATGAAAAGCAAAAACTGGGTCCTGTCCTTTAGAACCGGCGAAACTGACTGGTGGTGGCGTGATATGTAGTCACTGGCCCTGTCGCCCGATTCGCTCGCCAGATCGCCGGCCAGGGGTACATTGTCGCTGCACCGAGCAGCTACCACGACTTCATCGGCCCCGAGCCGCTGGCCTACGATGTCCCAGGGACCGACAAGGGAAACGACCTGAAGGTGGCCAAGGTGAGTTGGCTGCCTTGCGCTGTTGGGGAACGCCATACCCCTTAACAACAACGCCCTGCTCACCACTGATACATCGTCCTCCTAGACTCTCGAATCCTACGACGAGGACTCGTACAAGACGGTCGACTACCTCCTCACGCTGCCGACATGCACGGGACGCATCGGCACGACAGGAATGTGTCTCGGCGGACACCTAGCCCTACGCGCAAGCGTACGCACCGTCCCTCCCCCGCCCCCTATTTAACTATCCCTTGCATCCCACTTCCACTCACTCACACCCCCCTTGTCCCCCTCAGCTTTACCCGCGCATCACCGCCTGCGTAGCGTACTTCGCCACAGACGTGCACAGCCGGACGCTGGGGCCGAACAGCGGGGCCAACACATCCGCGGACGCGCCGGCGGGGAGCGCGCACACGCTGGACAAGCTATCCGAGATCCGCGGTGAGGTGGCCATGATCTTCGGGCTCAAGGACACGCACGTGCCGGACGCGGGGCGGGACCTGATCCGGGCGAAGCTGCGGGCGGCGGGGGCCGTGTTCAGCTTCTACGAGTTCGCGTGGGCGCAGCACGCCTTCATCCGCGACGAGCTCAGCAAGGGCCGCTACGACCCGGCCATCACCAAGGCGTGCTTTGAGGTGCTGCTGGAGCTGTTTGGCCGCGTGCTCAACACGGAGCTCGGCGACCGCGACGGCACGGTCCACAAGGTTGAGCACGTCTGCTAGGCCGCTTCCCCTTTCCTATGCCCTATAGCATAGACATGGCTTCCATAGACGCTCAAGGTTTATGCGCCGTGTTGTGGCTGGTTGAGAACAGGACACACAATCCCTCATTAAACCAAAACAAGTAAATAGGAGGTGCGAACATGGACTACAGGCTTCTAGCGAGTCAACAGACAAGCAAGCACTGCAAATATATTTATTGTATTGTGCATTAGTCCGAGTCATATCTTAACCTACTTACGTCAATCACCTCCAGGCTTAGCCAAGAGGACAAGCCCCTTGACCTCACGAATGTGTACTATGGGGGTAGCGGTAAGTAAAACCTGTACAGATGGTATTGACAGGAGTTTTGAAGGTACCTCTTGCCGGAAAAACCCCCCTGTGGCGAATTCCGAGAAACCTGAACAGGGGGTTTACTTTTGCACCATACCACAGTAGTATCAAACTCTCAACATTTAACTATTCACCTCCCACGCGCAGGAGCAAGGGTAAGTAAATAAAATAACAAGAACAGAAGACCTTTAGAGTCCTCTTTAAATAGAAATACAAGGTATCATCGCGCGCGTATGTACCTATGCTAGAACATGTGTCCGCCATAGCTATCCCTCAGCTGGTACGCCGGGAGCGACGGCACACATTACTTCATGTCTAAACCTGTATTTGTAAGATCGCGTCGCGCGGCCATGTGCCATGTCCATGGACAGCGTCTGACAAGCAAAAACAACAGAGAGTAGAAACACCCCGAATCCCCAAACGCCTTTTTTATGTTTTCATCAAACGCCGCCAGTCCATCTTGTTAGACTGTCTCGGTCGTCTTTCCTTTTCCCCTTTTTATGCACATTTATCTCTAACCAGCCAACGCTGTATAACACAGGGCGATTTCCACCCCCGCCGAGCGTGAAGGCCCATAGTGCTTGGGTTCCCGTGGGATTAGTTTAAACCCTCTCAGTCTCCCATTAGACAACGTCGTTCATATTCTCAGTCGATCAAGAACTAGGACCTGTTCGACGGACCCGGGTTGTTGCCGGTGGGATTACCCGTCTCCCTGTTGATCTGCTGCTGCGCGAGTGCGCGAATGACACTGGCACCCCGAGCCCTTGCACCTACAGCTCCGCTCGGAGCATTCTGCAGCGGATGCTGCGGGAGCGGCAGGTTCGTCTGTATGGACAGGTTCGCAGGGTTTGGCGCGTACACAACTGGAGGGGGTGGCGGCGGCGGCGGAGGGATATTTGAGTAGAGAGCCGGGGTTGGAACAGCTCCGGCGGCATACATCGCGGCTGGGTACTGGGAAAGCGGTGCCTCCACGCTATCTTGCCTCTCGAGGTCAAAGGACCTGTTACTGCGATTGGTATCGGCACGCGTCACTCGGAGGCCTGGCGCGCCCTCGCCAACAGGCGCCAAAGGAAGTGTATCTCCAGCCTTGCGGCGGCCGCGCTGCGAGTCTCTGGCATTCTGGAAGTCACGGCGAACGCCTTCGACATCGACGGCACGTTTCCGGTCTGCCGACGCTTCACGGCTGTTAAGAGTGTCGTCGTAAGCCCAATCGTCCAGTGCTTCAATAACGGGGTTTGACGTGTTCAGCTGCTCAGCTGCATGCTTCTCGACGGTTCTGGTCGAAGCGCCGCTAAGCGACCGCTCCATGCCCGAATTCGCAAGTTTCTTTGCCGCCTTTTCCTTATCGGCCTTCTCGCGAGCAACGGCAGCAAAGTCGTCGGAGACGGCCACGTTGTATGCAGGGTTCTTGGGCCCGCCGAGAGGCTCGCCACCACCACCAGGTCCGTTGATGGGCACGAGCTTCAGGGCAAGCGCCAGTGCGCACAGGAATTTGGACCGGCGGGTGCCACGAACAGCGTCGTTGTGCCAGTTGGACTTGTGTTTGATTGCAATCTTAAGCGTCAACTTATCCAAGTCGCCAACGCCACCGACAGCAATAGTGACATCAGGTTGGAAGTCGCGGCTGTTCTCGGGCGAGCGCACGAACTTCTCAATCTCGAGGCGTAGAAGCTCGATGTCTTCAAACGGTGTGTCGAACGACACGTTGACATCGATCACTTCCTTCATGGCCTTGCTTCGTGTCACATTTTCGATCCACTGGTTGTTTAGAATGATGTTTGGAACCTAGCCACGGTAAGTAGCTGACAAACGAGAAGGGAATTCCTGTCCACATACCTGAACGACCTGCATCTTGTCGATGCGGGTAAACACCGTGTAAAGCAACGAGATCTTCTCCACTACGAGCTGCTCCTTCTCAGGGCCCGTGATATCGACACGGTCGCCGACATCGTAAGGGTGCTTGACGAAAAGGAAAATGCAGGAACCCAGAAATTCCTGAGTGGTGACGGCAAAGACAAAGGACAAAGAAAGCAGCGTAGTTCCAGCTGTTGTCAGAGTCGCGATGAAGCTGCTCTGGAAGACAGCCACTGAAATTTCGTTAGCTCTAAGCCTCAAATTAGCGCACCGCGGATTAACTTACAGAAGATAATGATCACGATAAGTAGGACGACGAAGAGGAGGACCTTATCGAAGACAGTTAAAGCCTGGCTGATATCCTTCATACTGTTTGCGATTGCCTTCCTCTCCTTTCCAATCTCGACAACTTTGCGGACCATCTCATCCAGGCTGATGTCTCCATTCTGGTCGGCATCGATAGCGTTGAAGCACTCTTCGGCCTCCTCGTGGTGAGCAGGTCCCAGGACCTCGGAAATATCTTCCAAAGACAGCGATTCCTTGCCCTCGACCACGAACGACATCCAGATACGTCGCGCCATGGCTTCCGAGCTCCGGACCTTCTCGAGCGCTTCCACGACAATTGAATGGGCCGAGTTGGGGTTAAAGACCTGCTTTCCCGTGATATCGGAGGCGATGTTTCCAAAAACTGACGTGATCTTGTCTCCGAAACGACCGACGTCGCCCAATAGCCTCATAGGCGTCGCAGCGCCCCCCTGCTTGCCCTTTCTGAGTTTGACGTTTGAGAGTATCATGTCGATGCTATCGTTGATGATGTAATCCTCTTCGGCAAACTCGGGGCAGTACATGGGGAAGAGAGTCCGAGAGGCATCGTACATGAGGCCCAAGAGGCGGATCTCGTGCTTGGAATCGTGGATCCGGTTCGCAAAGGACCTCTGGTGGTATGTAATGCTGATGAGCTGCACGATCGCCTTCTCTCCAAGAAGAACTGCGGATGACAGAAAGAGGGACAGTAGGATACGTGTAATGGTATCAACCCATTCAAGCTTGTCCATGATCATGAACTTGAACACCAGCCACGACGAAAGGGCCCAGAAGAACATAGAGAAGGGAATCTCGAGCGCCCGGAGCACGGTTGCGTATTTTCTGGTCCCTGAGCTGATGACACCGCAGAAGAACATGAAGATCGGAGGCAGAAGATGTGCCACCACCTTGCCGACCCAGAGAGACAGCCAGGATATTTCGATCCACAGGAACAGCCGAAACAAGCTGCTGTTGCTGGTGCCGCCCAAGCTGACTCGGTCCTTGTCCCCGTCGCCAGTGAAGGGGAGAATAACGAGTGGTATGGCGAGGAGCAGGGCGACGGGGACGACGTAGAAGAGATAGCGGGTGACGGCAGAGAAGCCGACAATTTTGTTATAAAGGCGGCCCATGGCGTTCAGCGACGTCTCTTCCGACATGCTCGAGCCCGCCCGCTTCAAGTCTCGCTCCACTCGCCTCCGACCGGCCGGGGTGGGGAAGAGGCCGCCCTTTTCGTCGTTCCCATCCATATCCGAGTTGAGTAGGGTCTGGTTGGCCTTTCGGGCACCCGAAGAGCTCGCATTGCTGCGGATGGTGGTGAGTGGTATCTCCTGCATTTCGGCGCTGTTCCTGCCAGCAATTGGCACGAACCCCAGATTTCGCGGCGACCGCGGCGATCTTAAAGACATTGGCCGGCAGTGAGGGGTCTCGAGACCTGTCGAGACGTAGGCGTGGCGGGGAGGAGTAGGTGTCGGCAAGGCCTTTCGCGAGGAATGTGGGGGTGGTGACGATGATGGATCGACGCGCTGGGTCTGCTCGTTCGGCAAGCAGACAGAAGAGGGACCAAACGAGTGTCAAGTTCCACGCAACAATGCTGGAGCAAATATGCCGTCAAGCATCAACAATTGAATAAGACCTAGTCAAGGACCTTGGAAGAATTCGCACGCGTGTGTTTGGGGGTTTCTATATGGGGTCTATAAATAGGTAGATAGTGGGCTAGCGGCGCAAAGAGACAAAGGACAAAGGACGAAGAGAATGGCCGTGACAGTCCTCAATGGAGGAACCCACAAAGTGGCATCGACTCTCAACCGAAGCGAGAACCGACTGGAGAAGTAGGTGATAAGGAATGGAGGACGTGGCCGGGTCGGATCTACACGTGTAGGAGGTGGGAGGGCGCGATGAAAAAAGAGCGAAAATTGTGTTTTACATACTGAGTAGAAGGGAAATCGTCCCCTCTCGGTCGATACCATGGCCAGTTTCCCGCTGGCATTCAGACCGCGCCTCGCCCGCCAAGAAAGGGGTCTCCCGAATGCCAATTGGGCCCTTGCGGGCCGCTTTTCTGGGTACAGGTGCGGAGATAAGTCGTTGCACTGTGCTGGCGTCGCGGTCGCGGAAGGAGCACGTGCTTAAGCGAAGCGACAAGGGTGCAAAAGGTGCAGCCGCGAGAGGAAGCATTTCAACTACCCCGCACCCCGCTTTCCCAATCACCACACACAAGCCATGAAGCAGCACGTCTCCGTACAAGAACTTTCGGCTTCCAGCCTCTCACCCTCCAGCAGCAGACCTCTCGAAATCCTGCCGGGTCATCGGAAAGTCAGGTTCGCTCTAGAGCATCGTCTTCAATTCATTGAGAGCCGGAAGAGCAACAGGCGGTCTACGAGGATGGCCAAGCAGATCGTTTTCGAAACATTTACTCCCGACGAAGTCACAGCATATGATCGACGAAGCTGCGAAACTCTTCAACGAGAACTACGGCACTTGGGGTCCATATTCGGAGAAACCAGGAAAACCTGTCAAACTCAGCACAAAGAGACTGCGAGAGCAATATCTGGCCGATCCCGCAAGCTCTGACACCCGAGTTACTGTCGACGGCATTCTTGCTGGAAATGCCTTTGTGTGCCGTTGGAAGTATCAAGACAGCATCATCTGTTGGGTCACTCAGTTAATTGTACACAAGGAATATCGTGATCATGGCCTCGCTACCAGTCTTCTGCGTTCACTCAGGCTCGATACAGACGACATCTATGGCCTTATGAGTTCACATCCACACGCATGCTTAGCAGCTGCTAAGTCCTTTGGAAGTAAGTACAGCCCTGCTGGCATAGCTTCTATTTCTAATACCAAGCAGCACATGTCGGAAAAATCCCTCTAGACTTCATCTAAGCGAACGCAGCTGGAATCATAGGGGCTTCGCCAGTATCCTATATCAAAGATGCGAAGTTGTGCGGCGACCTCTTTGATCCTGATGATACGAGCGGCCTCATTTCTGGCGTTAATACCTTCTTTTTCGTGGACCATGAGGAACCATTGCAGGCTTTGACTTCGATTCAACAAGATTGGAAGTGGCCATTTGGCAGCCTGCCGGAGGGTAAGGAGTTTCTCCTTCTGCTGAAGACTCGTCAATCGAGATCGCGGTCTTCATCAGCAAGTGGAAGGGATCCTGCCAACCCATCTGGGTAGCTATTAAGTAGTTTTCGCTCCCATGTACACAGAGGAACAGGGCTCGAGCTTGCAAGATCGGGATGAGAGAGATGTAACTGGAAAGGAACATCATGGCTGTGGGGCCGGTGTGTATGGGTCGTCCTACCATCTTCACCATCGAAAACTGAGCTTGGTGGGCGGCGAGCACTGTGCGGGACTTCAGCCGTTAGCGCAAGGGCGATCGGCCAGGGGCTGGTGGCGTCAGCCTCTTGCTGGGACCGCCTTTCCCATTTCATATTTTCCATGTCCCCTTGCCGCTACATTCCCAACGTTCCACCACAACCAGCCCATTGGCGTTTGGATGAGCGAAGGCCCACCTGCGCTACAGAACTTTTCTTGGAGAGACGAGACGAGGTAGACTAATTTTGCGCTGCAAAACTCGCCTCTGTCACAAATTGCATCAGGAGCTCAGAAGGGCTTCCTAAACAAGCCAAACTACTCCACTGAGCACAACGATCGACAAGGCACCCAGGTTTTGATTCCGGTGGCGTTATGTATACACACGATTTACCGCTGGTAGCCTTTCACCACTTCACATATTGTAGCCCGGATTATTACGAGAATTTTTATGCAAGAACCCCTAGCATCCCGTCTTGTGTCTGCGTACGGCAAGGTCACGGATTAATTGTATATGATACACTCCGGATTATGTCCACGACACAACTCTGTACTGTGGTCGCGTGCAAAAATAAAACCCCCTTGTCATGTACCTGTGGGGCAAACACTTTACGCGTTTTTGACTCGGTATGGGGCTTTTTATCACCCATCATACCACAGTACACAGTGTTTTTTGGGACAGTCTTTGCATTGCAGGCTTCAGATGGGCCGCTTATGCCCCTCTCTCGCCCCTCGCCAGGCAACTTGAAAATGTCGACGGAGTTCCCAATTGGGCGATGCTGCCGAACAGCAATCGCAATCATCAATCCACTGTGCTCGGTTGGCAACGTCATTCATATCACTACAGGTGAGGACGAAAATAACGATCTGCGCCGCAGTTTGCGGTGTAAGCTCCCACTACGTCACCAGAGTCCACAAAATGCTTTCTTCCCCTTCCGATCCGAGGCTGGCACCCGTCAGCGAACGGAGAAGGCGACCTGAAAATTTGTCCAATTGAGACCAAAGTTGGCCTAGCTTGCCAGCCGATGGCCTCAAGCGGGCCCACATGGAGTTGGCCCCTTGTGAATACGAAGGGGCATTTCGTTTCGCAATAGGATTACCTTGACCCAAAGTTGGCCTGGCTTGCCAGCCGATGGCCTCAAGCGGGCCCACATGGAGTTGGCCCACTTGGAATACGAAGGGGGCATTTCGCAACGGATTACCTTGACAGACCAAAACAAGCTCAATGCGCAGGCCTCGGGACGGGCGTCCTCAGTTGCCGCAACTGGCCCGTGGTTTTCCACAATACGTATAGTGGTCCTCTCGAAGAGGCCAACTTACCTCCCTATAGAATCGAGCAAACTTTGCCAGGTTGAATCCTGCCAGGTCGGTTGTGCCGAGACCGAGACTGGGAACTAGATGATATCTAGTGACTAGTCAGATCTCGAACCACACATTGCTGTTGGGTTTGAGGCCATTTCGCGATGGCGAGTCCCTGGCATAATCACAGGCGTCCTATAATTTCCAGTCGCGCGATTGCTTCCAAGGCCGGCCGTGGTCAACAATAGCGACCGCAGATCAGCAGCACTCCCGTCCCCCAAGGCCGCTCATCGTTTTTATCCGAACTCCTTGCCCGGTTCCCGCAAGCCAGCCCGCTGCCCGACAGAGTTTGTGTCCCGGGGCGCTGGAACTTGGCAGATCAAGCCAATATAACAGCCGACCCCAAGGCGATCGGTTGAAAATCGTGGACGGCCGGCTGTATTGTAGCCGCACTGTGCCCAAGGGTCCAAGTACGGCCCGAGTTGGCTCAAGCACCATCGGGAAGATTTTCAGCACTGAGATGGATTAGGAGCGCACTGGAAAGTCTTCAAGAGCCAACGAACGTTTATCAGCACAAGAAATACTGGAGGAACAAGAAGTCAAAATGAAACAACCCACGAGAAATTAAAGGTGCTCGTTCAAACGTAATTGTTAAATCCTCCCGCACCGTCACAATGATGCACTGGGCTTGGCAGAGAGCAAAGGTGGTCATAGCTCCAACAGCATTGTCCTCGTACCCCACTAAAACCTCCGTGACGATAGCGTCAAAGTGTCAAGTCAGCTCGTCAGGCCATACTTTGGCGCTACAAATGACGTTGAACTAGGGACATTGCCACCAGCACCGCGACTTTCTTACCAATTAGGCAGCCGGCGCAGACGGACTAAAAACATTGACAGCGGCCACCCGAATTGAATACAATGAAGCCGCCCGCGCGCCGCTTCAACTACCAGCAATGCCGTCGCCTTCTCGTGACAGCAGGCAGGCAGTCGTCGCGACGCCGATCTTTCCTATGCGCAACCTCGGCCTTCTCCTCCCCTTCCCCGTCCATTCGAGGACGGGGACAGGCGATACCGCCCGCAGGATCAGTAGCCCCGTTCCACAGTAGCGCCCGGAAGCTACACGACCAGCAGCAGCAAGAGCAGCAACCAGCGCCACCGAACCCGGCGCCCCTGCAGCGGCGCCCCACGACGGCGCCCAAGCCCGTCATCGACATCCGCCACATCCGCGAAAACCCAGAGCTGTACGCAGCCAACTGCCGAGCGCGCAACTACCCCGCGGCCGCCGACTACCCCAGGCAGATCAAAGAGCTGTTCGCGCAGTGGCAGGATCATCAGCGCCGGGGCCGCGGCCTGCGCGAGGCCGCCAACCGCCTCCGCCGCCAGCTGACGAACCCGGGCGACACGTCGCAGTCGGAGCCTGAGCCGCCCTCGTCGCCGACGCCGCCGCCGCCGCCCACGCGCGACACCCTGCTGGCCGAGGGCCGCCGCATCAAGGCCGAGCTGTCCACCATCGAGGAGGCCGAGGCGCGCCTGCAGGCCGAGATGCATGTCCTGGCCCTGGCAATCCCCAACCTGACCAGCCCCTCGACGCCCGCCGGCGACGAGCCGCGCGTGCTCACCTACATCAACGACCACCCCGAGGCAGCGACAACCACCACGTCGGAGAGTGGCGCTGCGCAGGCGCAGTCGGACCGCGTGTGGCGGTCGCACGTGCACATTGGCTCGGAGCTGGGGCTGCTGGACTTTGCGGCGGCGGGGGCGACGTCCGGGTGGGGGTGGTACTACCTGCTGGACGAGGCCGCGCAGCTGGAGCAGGCTCTGGTGAGCTACGCGCTGGCGGCGGCGACGCGCAGCGGGTGGCGGCAGGTGAGCCCGCCCAGCGTCGTGTACAGCCACATGGCCGGGGCGTGCGGGTTCCAGCCGCGCGACGCCAACGGCGAGACGCAGGTGTACGCGCTCGCGCAATCCGCCGACGACGCCGCGCGCGGCCGCCCTGAGCTGTGCCTCGCCGGCACGTCCGAGATCCCGCTAGCCGCCATGAAGGCCGACGCCACGCTCGACGAGGCCGAGCTGCCGCTCAAGCGCGTCGCCGTGTCGCGGTGCTACCGTGCCGAGGCGGGCGCGCGCGGCGCCAACACCAAGGGCCTGTACCGCGTGCACGAGTTCACCAAGGTGGAGCTGTTCGCGTGGACGGCGCCCGACGCGGCCGAGGCCGGCGACGTGTTCGAGGAGGTGGTCGACTTCCAGACGGAGCTGCTGGGGTCGCTGGGCCTGCACTGCCGCGTGCTAGAGATGCCGGCCGCAGACCTCGGCGCGTCGGCTTGGCGCAAGTGCGACATCGAGGCCTTCTTCCCGTCGCGCCGCGACCGCAACGGCGGCTGGGGCGAGCTGACCAGCGCCAGCATCTGCACCGACTACCAGGCGCGGCGCCTCGCCACACGCGTGCGCTTCGCCGACAAACTCGACTTCCCCTACACAGTCAACGGTACCGCCCTGGCCGTGCCGCGCGTGATTGCTGCCCTGCTGGAGAACGGCTGGGACGAGGCCGACAAGTCGGTCGCCATCCCCGAGGTGCTGCGCCCGTGGATGGACGGCCGCGACAAGATTGGCCCGAGGCATCACCAGTTGTAGGGCAGGCCGGGAGGGCTGTTGGTCAACGCGGCGGCAATTGTAGTATTATAGTAGATAATTAAATGCTTTGATGACAATAGCAAAAGTTTATTCTTACATCCTTGGCAATTCTTCGTCTCTGATATTTGAAGACGTTATATGTATTCTGCAAATCTGAAGCTATTCGCCCATGAGTACAACGAAGATATCGAAACTTGAATTGGCCAAAGGAGGATACCAATGGCTCAGAAGCCTTTCGCTTTTCATCCGTCGCTTTCCCCCCCTTATTACTAAGAGCCCATGGATGCTAATTAGGTGGCTTGATGACATTTCTCTATCCCCAAGACAATCTGAAGCAAATCTACTGCCCACGAGAGGCCAGAGTCGCAATATGACTTAGATCAGGCATATATACTTCATACCTACCTTACCTATTTGCACATGAATTCGAGACATTGGACTTTTCATGTAATATGTCGTCTACTCAGGGAGGCTCTGCCCAAGGAGGGGCTTCCATAGTTGGATTTATCACAAAAGTGAAATGGCTTCTACAAATGGCTTATACCCACCACCACGCACACACACTAAAAGTGAATACAGGCATTTGCAGCGGTACAGCAACAAGTCAAACAATTAAACGGTACTGCTCCTTGAACTTTTTATACAACTAGCCACCGCTCCAGTTCTACTCAAGATCACAGCAAACCCCGAGAAAAAATCTCCGGACCCGAATCCCCAAAAACAAACAGCCAGTTAACAACACGTCTAAGCACTAAACCCTTCAAAACATTCACTTCAGCATCATCAAAATACAATTAATCAACAACAGTGAACTAACATTCCACGAACATATAGACATACAGGCGGCCCGCAGACTATGTATGTATGTATACCAGTAGTCTCAGCTGGAACCAGAAACAGAAACAGAAACCCCCAGGTCCAAGTCCTACTAATCCCTACCCATCCATCCGTCCATCCACGGGCATGGGTGGATATACCCTCAAGTATCCGTAGATAAAAACATGACCCAGCTCCTGCTTACTCCTACTCCTCGCCCAACACGTCCGAGAACCAACTGACGCGGAGGTTCCCTGAAAAAAAGTGCCCGTCCAAGAAAGGCGTCATTATACGGCATAAGGTCAAAAGAAAAACAAGACAACAAGAACTAGACATGCAAAAAAGGGGGCTAGGGTAATGTCAATCAATCTGCCCATACGAGTTCAGCCCTGAAAATCCCGGTGTGTCGCCGTCGAAACAAAACTTTTTCCAGGCTTTCTTGTTCTCCTGTCCATCAGTTGGTATAAAGCACAACCTGCCCGTTTCTCCCGCCATCTACTGCCGTGCTGACATCGCTGTCCCTGCCAAGCGAATCTCTCCCCGCAGCGCTCTCTGTCCAGTCGCTCGCGGCATCATCGTGGTCGCTATCGTCGTCATCCGAATAGCCCTCGGAGCCTGTGTAGCTCTCTGAGTTCGTGATGACTGTCCCACGGCTTGATCGTCTATGAGTGTCGGGCTCACTGCCTTCTTCGTGGGTCAACTCGCGGTTTCTCTCATCCGTATGCTCGTCTAGGGGCTCGTCCAGCGGCTCATCGGCGGGCTCATCGGCGGGCTCGTTAGTGGGCTCGTCAGTGGGCCCGTCAGTGGCCAAACACAAAGCCGTGTCCCCATGCTCGGAGCCGGCGACGGAATTTGCCGACGAGATGATAATATCAACTGGAGGCTGGTTGTCAAACGCATCGTTGAACTCGCTGACGTCGTGCTCCTCCTCGCTCTCCTTGAGAGCAAGGTTCTCTTTGACAGTCTCCCTGTCCAAGTCACCATAACCCTTAGGGGTGGGAAGTCTGCTCCCGGCTGCCCAGCTGGTCTTGCGGAGTTTCGGGCCGACGGCGGTTCTAACGCTTTGGCTTCGCTTCATTCCGCCGCTGGGCACATTGCTGGAGATCTGACTGAGGGAGAGGATACGGCGGGACGCGCCAACCGGGCTCGGCGCGTTCACCTTGCTCTTCGCAGACATAGCCATGTTGATTGCCGTGCGAGATTTGCTCGTCTCGGGCGTCGGTATGTTGACTACCGGTGGCTCCGTCATTTTCTGGGAAGAGACACGCTTCCGGCTCATCGACTCTCGCCCATTGGCTCGGCTGGTCTTGGCCATGAGAAGGACGCGTGAGTGATCCATGACGCCTTCGAGAATGCGTCGCTCAAGGCTTTCGGCACGCTCCTCCATATCGCGAAGATCCTCGCGGCGGAGACGGAGCGCAGTGTCTAGCGAGGAAAGCTCGGCTGACAGCCGGATCTTCTGGCGTGCGAGATCTTCTTGTTCACTGCGCAACTCCTGAAGGTCCTTCTTCAGTCGTTGCTCGTCTGCCTTGAAAGATGCTAGGAACTCAGCCTCGCGCTGTTGCTGCTCTGCTCTCAGAGCAGTGTTGGCCTCCTTCAAGCGGGCACCTTCTTCGATCAGACTAGCGAGGAGTTCGGCCTTGAGGCGGTCTTGTTCGTCCTTCAAGTTGGCTCTCAGGCTTTCCTGCTCCTGTCGTAACAAGGCGTTGGCTTCTCTCAGACGTGCCTCTTCCTCTTGGAAATTGGCCACGAGGCTCTCTCTCAGACGGCCTTCTTCGGCCCGGAGATCCCCATTGACTTCCTTCAGGAGAGACTCCTCTTCTCGAAGGTTGGCTAGGAACGCGTCCTTGAGGGTAAGCTGCTCGTCCCTGAGAGCATCATTCATCTGCTTGAGTCGGGACTGCTCCTCCCTCATGCTTGAGAGGAATGACTCCTTGAGTTGATCTTGTTCGTCCTTCAGAGCGGCGTTCATCTCAACCATCCGGGTCTGCTCATTTTTCAGGTTGGCGACGAAAGTCTCCTTAAGTTGGTCTTGCTCTTCCTTCAGGCTGGCAACCATATCCTTGAGTCGAGATTCTTCTTCTTTGAGGTTGGCGAGGAACTTTTCTTTGATCTGCTCCTGTTCATGTCGAAGGGTCACATTTATGCTGTCTTTTAGACGCATCTCCTCCTCTCTAAGACTGGCAACACTGGCTTCCGCTTGCTCCTTCTCTGCTAGCCGGCGCTCTAGAGCAATTATGGTGTCCTGAAGAGTCTTTTCCCTATCTTCATGCTCATCGGCAATCCGCTGTGTCTGGGCGGCGATGAATGCAGCAAGCTCGGCTGCAGTCTGCTTGACTTGAGCATGTACTTTGTCGAGGGTATCAAGCTGAGCGAAAGCCTTGCCAGCAACCTCGGTGTGTCCAACAAGCTGGTCGAGCTTCTCAAGCACGACTTTGTCGTCATACTTCTCGGGGGGCGGAAGAAGTGGCTGCTCTGGCGGCTTGGCTTCTTCAATCTTCTCTTGCAGGGACACAGTAGAGGTTTTGGAGTGCTCGTAATGTTGGCCAACAACGAGGAGCACATCTTGAAGTGTCTCCATGATCTTGGGCTGGTATTCCGAGACATGGCTCTGCAGCCCTTCGACCTTGCCGATGGCCTCCCGGACTTGCTCTCGCGTGAGTTGATGCTCGACCTTCTCGTCGGTGTGATTTTCGTCCGACTTGCAGACGAGATCCTCCACGCGGTCGAAGACCGTCTTGGAAGCCTCCTCCATCTTCTCGAGCGAGTCTGTGACAGCAGTGCCGAGGGTGTCGACAAGAGTTCTCAGCTCCTCGGCGACGGCCTTGGTATTGACGGCCGCGGCCTCCATCTCAATGTCTCTGGTCTCCTCCCTGGCGGCCCGCTCTTCCTGAGCAAGCTGGAGCTCATCGTACTTGGCTAGCAGGTCGCTGATGCGCTCGTCAACCCTGGCTAGGACCGTGTCAGTCGTGAATTGAAACTTCTCGTCCGCCTCCAACTTGGCACCGACGACGCCAGCCCTGGATTCTTCGAATTCGTCCTTCATGGTGTCGAAGAGCTGCTTCAGCTCGTCGCTTATGTTGGCATTCTTTTGAATAGTGTCGTTCATGGAGTCAAGTACGCCGTTGATGGCATCAATTCCTTTGGCACCGTCCTCGAGCTTCCCTTTTACAACACCTTGCAGCTCCTGAAGTGCAGCCCTGACCTCAGTCACGCGCTCACCGACACTGACGGTCTCAACCTGTCGTGCTTCGATTGCCTTGGCGTTGACGTCGGCGTTGAGGTCGACATTCTCCTTGTACTCTCTCAGGAGAGTTTCTAGAACTTGGACGTCCTCTTTCGAAGGAAGAGTAGCGAGATCCGATTTCACAATTTGCTCAATGACCGTCTTCGTGTCGAGGCAAACAGCCTCGATGGCGTCGATATCGGTCTTGGTGACCCTTTCTGGGTCTTCGAGCGCCTTTTCGTGGCGCTCCTTCATCTCGTCGAAGGAAGATATAACCTGCGTCACGAGCGACTCGACCATGGTTACGTCTTCCTTGCGAGAGAGGATCTCCATGTGCGAGGAGAGACCGCTGAGGTTCTCGCGTGTTTCTAGAATCAGAGCTTCTAGAGTCTCGATGTGATCTTTGCGGACAGCTTGATCGCCGTCAATAAGATCATCCAAGCACGCCTTGGTGTTCCGGAGAATTGTCTCAATGGCCTGAACATCCTCACGCGTGGCCGCGTCAGTGCTGGCGGGCGCAGGAGGTAGAGGCGGCTCTTGGGAAGCCATTTCCGCAATGGAATCCTGAACATTCCTGAGCCTCTCGTCCAAGGCCTCAAAGGGCTCTCGGTTGGATATTCCGGCGACAGATTCCGCCACGTTTCGGAGAGCCTCTTCCATCCCAGCCAGGTCCTCCCTGGAGAGCGACTCAAAAACGGGCGGCGGGGTTGATTCGATGGCCTCAATCTTCATCCCGAGTTGGTTAATCAGGACCTCGAGGTTCTTGATGTCATCGTGCTTCACAGCCTGCTCAGCGGGTACTATGGCATTATCGTTGAGCGGAGCCAGAGCACGGTCATTCTTGCTCTCTTCGCGAAGATCATCAATGTCTGACCGGACGCTGTCAAGCCCGTTTCGCAGCGCGTCAAGGATCTCGTCGTTTGCGGTTAGATCTGTAGGCTTGTTCTGAAGTCGGTCAATGCTGGCCCGAATATCGCCTAGGCCCTCTTGCAGTGCGTCGAGAATCTCAGTGAGACCGGCAATCGGCCGCGTGCTGATTTCGCTCCGAAGGCCGCTGAGACCCCCCTGCAAGGCTTCGAGGAGTTCCTTATGACCCCCGGACTGGGGCAAGGCTGGAACCATGGAGGAGTTGACAATATCTCTGAGGGACTCGATCTCTTCCTTGAGCATCCCCTTCGAACTATCGGATGACCGAGTGATGAGTTCGGCCACTTCGTCGCGGAAGCCGTCGAGCGTACGGACGAGGTTGACCATGAACTCTTCTTGATCTGTCTCGCCCCTTGCACGGTCGACATAGCTTTCAATATCCTGCCTCAGCCTTTCGAGTCCGTCTTTGGTGGCATCAAGAACTTGCTCTGTGTCTCTGCCGTTGGCAGCAGTGTTCTGCTTCGCCTCCTCTGAAACAGCCTTGAACTCGGCCTGCAAGTATGCCTTGATGTCCTCAAGTCGTTGAGCAAGCTCTTCGCTGTTGGAAGACAGAGGTACTAGCGCTGATGACTGCGAAGAAGGAAAGTCAAAAGACTGGAGTCCCCTCCTCACCGCATCTTCAACGTCTTTGGGTAGGCGTAGCGAGTCTAAGCCTTCCTTCACCGCATCAACAACGTCACCTCTCGACAGGCTGGAATGCGGGACCAAAGCCGACGAGTTAGCCGAGAAGTCGAAAGCACGGAGCTCTTCCTTGACTGCGTGGGCTACGTCGCCGGAGACATTGAACGACTTGAGGCCTTCCCTGACGGCATCCGTAACATCGACTCTTGATATGTTCGAGCGTGGGACGAGAGCAGAAGAGTATGCCGAGGAAAAGTCAAAAGAACGAAGTCCCTCATTCACTGCATGCGTGACGTTGGCTGGGAGGTTCAGCGAGTCAAGGCCCTCCTTGACTGCGTCCGAAACATCGACTCTAGACAGATCGGAGCGTGGCACCATGGCCGACGTATATATAGCAGAAAAGTCGAATGCTCGAAGCCCCGCCTGCACGGCCTGCTGCATATCACGGGGAATATCAGCCGAATCGAGCGCTTCCCTGACGGCATCCACTAGCTCATCTGCGAGATCCAGCGATTTGAGACCTTGGCTCACAGCATCCGCCACGTCCCCCTTTGACAAGGACTGAGGAACTAGAGCGGAGGAGTTAACAACAGAGAAGTCGAACGAGTGGAGTCCGTCGCTGACGGCATCCAGGACGTCGTCTCGCGTCAAATCGGGACTACGCGGCGCTGGGGGCTGCGGCATGGGGAAGTCGAATGAGTGAAGGCCTTCTCTAACAGCGTCCAGCATCTCTTCCTTGGCGCTAATGGACGATGGGGCCACAGGGAACTCAAACTCCTCGAGACATTCTCTGACGGCGTCGAGAATTTCGTCGCGGGAGATGGTTGCGGGGGTCTCGACCTGCGGAGGCACGAAATGCTTTAAACCCTCAACGACGGCCTTGAACACCTCGTCGCGAGTGGCACCCGGGGGGCGATCGTCGCGTGGGGCGTATGCACGAAGTCCCTCTTGGAGGCACGCCAAGATCTCATCCCGTTCGAGACCGATCTGCTGGATCTCGATCTCTGGCTTGTACTTTTCCCAGGCGTCTTTGACGGCTTGCACTACGTCTTCTCTGCGGAGGTCGGATGCGCGGGGCTTGTTGGTTTGCGAGTCCTTGAGGGCTGCTCTCATGGTGTTATAGATCTCCTTGTAATCAATTGAAGAATCTCTGGAAGCGACCGTAGTTGCCGATTGTCGGCGGTGTTCACGAAGAACATTGCTCATCTGTTGCTTCATCTCCTCGAGGCCTTCTTCGATGACTCTAGTCATCTCAGCTTGGCTGTCAGACTCGGTCCTTCCTCTGCCTGACGAGACAACTTCGTCAAGCCTGCGACCGATCTCCCGGCCCATACCCAAAACCTCACCACGAAGTTCTCGGACGAGGGCCTTAACCTCGGCGGTTAGGCCGCCCCCCTGGGCGACGCTGTCTTTGATAGTCCGAATTGCTTTCAAGACATCCTCGTTGATGACATCGGCAGGTTGAGGACCCGAGGCAGATGAGGAACGGGCGTCCTTGTCTTGGAGCAGCTTGCCAACTCTGCCGCCACTCGGAGCACGTGCTTGATCGTAGCCGAGCTCCCTTCGGCGGGCCCCGTCGTCGTCTTCCTCAAAACTCCAGCTGCGGTCGCGAGAGCCGCCGTCGCCGCCGCCATCTCCTCCCATTCCTCCCGCCGCGGGAACAACGGCCTGTTGCTGGTTCGACTTTACGATGCGCACGAGCTCTTCGACTCTCTCCGCAGCAGCCAAGCCAGAGAGCTTCTCGACAACCTCATCAAGGCGAACGAGCAGCGTCTCTTGGCCGTCCTTTGTTCCCATATCCCGGAGAATCTTCTCCAAAAGAGCTATAATAGCAGGCGAGTCCGGCCCAAGGAGAGACGGGGTGCTCATTAGGGATTCTCTATCAAGAGAAGCGGCAAAGCTGTTTGGAGACGGAATTCGTGGCAAGGCAAATTGGCGCGCCTGTTTGGAGAACGATGTCGGAGAAGTTGGCTGGTGCCTGCCTCCCTCGAGAAGCAGCGGGCCTCCGTATGCATCTCTTGTGGTTGGTTTGGTCTTGGCGTCGGTAATAAGTTCGCGGAGGCTCTTCCGAATATCCTCGTCGCGGGCGTTTGTCGCCTCTTTTAAGCTGAGCAGATCCGTAGCATTGTCTCTGCTCCGTCTACTGAGCTGCGACATCTCCTTCTGGAGCGTGGTCGCGATGTTGGTTAGGGTGAGGATTTGGTTCGAGAGCGAATCGAGCGCGGCAGGCGCCTTGACCAGCGCCGTGGAGCCATTGGTAATGTTGGCGAGGGGCGTCTCAGGTTCCTTAGGAGCCGGAAGAGGGCTAGGCGTGCTGAGGGTCTGGGTGCTCATGTTTTGGAGCGCAAGCATTGTCGCCGACTGTGGGGGAGTATTTTCGCCCAGGATGCTCTGGTGTGGACGGCGCACCGTAGGGCGGATGATGGGCGTCAGGCTAGGCCCTAGTCTCGGCGTGGCAACCATGGCCTTCTCCTCTCGTTCGTCCCTTGACTCGACGAAGGGGTCACGGCCCCTCGAGGGTGTCGAAGGCCTGTCGAACTTCTCGGGAGATCTGGGGGTAGAGATGGCCGAGTCGCGGCCACCTTCGATCATGAGGCTGCGATCTTTGACCGAGGTGGGCTGTAGAGACTGCATGCGACGGTGGGTCGAGCCGCGCAGCAAGGACCTCTCGGGCGACGGGTCGGCGATGCGCTTGGTGAGATGTGGTACCAAGGCGCTCTCGCGTGCCTTCTCGGTCAGGGCGGCATGGGCCGACTGGATAGCAGTCGAAGTGCCGGCCCTCGAGACCACGGTGGGCGACTGTGGGTTGAGGGGCAGCGGGGGCGGTGCGCGTTCTGGATCGGAGCTGTCCCACCTGCTCTGAGTTAGTATGTGCTAGATAAACGACAAAGACTAGCATATCGCGCACACCGTGACAACCTCGGGTGCAGGGGTTAAGGTAGACGGGGTGGCATACATTGGGACCAGGGCGCGACCATGGTCTGAAGAGGCGGAATGCTGATGTCTAAGGGCCCTATCCCTATCGGCGGGAGCGTCCCTCTCTATGGGCGGCATCTTGCCCCGTGACGCGTAGTGGTGTCCCGTGTATGTGCTCGATACTAGGTGGGCTCAGTGGGGGAGAGCTGCGTGTGGAATGAAGCAATACAATTGCCAACCAACAAATAGCTGGGGTGGAGGTGCTGGCTGTGCGATTGCGATGCGAGCGGGTTTGGAATGGAATGAGGACGGGTGGATAATAATGGAAGCTAGGTTAAGGCAGGTAGCTTGTCTGCAGAACCGGGGCGGGCGGGAACTGGAACAGACAGACAGATGTCGGGTATCGAGGAAAGAGCAATCGCGGCGTCAAAACACGCACCTGCCTCGAATCCGAGACAAGCCACACGCGCAAGACAGTTCGTTCGCGCAAACAGACCAAAACCAAATAAAGGAAATCGCAGGCGAAGCTTGAATTCGAGGTCGTCGCAATGGTTCGAGATAGTAGCAACCATCGACCAAGCTCTCGCAGCTATTGAGGTGCAGGGTATATTGGAGATTGTTAAGGCTGGTGCAATGAGGGGCCCGGTCGTCAACAACCCTGCGCTGGCGCCCTCTGAGCCAATTGCCCGCCGATGTTGTTGATTATTTTGGTCTCCCTAGCAACGCGCCAACCGCGACCGGGACGCATTTTGATGTTGCGGCAGCTGCCGTTATCGATAACTATGTGGGTCCTTCCTGTCTTCCATCCCATTGTCACCCGCCAGTCAACTGGCTAATGACCGCGCAGCATTCGACTCTCGGCGCGGCTCTCCGTCGCCTTTCGGCATCCGCTGTTTGACCTAATGGAATCCTTGCCCGTCGTGCATCCAAACCCCCACCTAATTCTCACAGAACCGTGGGTCTGGTATATTACTGCTGATTGTTTTAGCTCGGTTTTTGTTAAAGAACAATAATAGAACTTTGAAGATTAATTACTAATGCGCTCTGCATTTTATCTCCCGTACCTGCGCCTCGAGCTGGTCAAGTCAAAACACAAGGAGCCACTTCGATCATGCCCCTCTGTGTTCTAATTCGACGTGCCAGCCCCCATTTTCCTGTTTTTTTTCTTCCACGGCCATTCACACTCTACGGAGTAGCTCATTGACAAGTTTTCAGAGTTGCACTATTCAAACAAGAAAAATAAATGCAAATTGCGATAGGAACCGCAATGCAGCCGGGCGCCTTGGATCTTTTTCCTAGACCTCAAAATCTATATCTGAAGCATGCAAAGATATATCCGCCTAACAGGATCAGTGGAAAGCATCGCGGCTTGCTGCTTAGATTGTAACTCGGCGTTCCCCCACTAAATATGTTAGGGACGTGATCATAGATAAGTTATATTCATCAAATACATCGTCCTCCACGCATCGGTAAATGGCAGAGAATATCGCCGCATAGATCCTTCAGGCGACGAGCTTTGCCTCAGACTTTGCCGGCCGCTGTCCAAAGATGGTGCTGCCTATGCGGACCTCATGGCTGCCCATAGCGATGGCGCCCTCAAAGTCCTCGCTCATGCCCATACTGAGCTCGAGCTCTCTGTCCAGACCTAGCTCCTTAGCCACCAAATCTCTCTGCTGGGCTAGAAGAATAAGGTCCTCGTTCTCATTCTCGGCCGTCGTGGCCACGCTGCGCGCGATGGCGCCGATGGTCATGAGCCCCAGCATGTGGAGGTTGGGGCAGTCGTTCATGATGCTCCGGCACAGCGACACCGTCTCGTCTCCCGGCGCGCACCCCGCCTTAGACTCCTCGCCCGAGGTGTTGACCTGGACGTGGACATTGAGCTTGGGAGCCGAGGGCTCCGACTTGACAAGATCGCCCCGGTATTTGTCAAGCAGCTGCGCTTTTTTCAGCGTGTCGACGCTGGAGACGCACCAGAGATTTGGGATCTTGGCAAGATTCTTGCAGTGCCCTTCAGTTGATGTCAGCAACTCTCGTGACTCCAGGCTGTGAGCATGGCTTTGGTGCCTTACCCGACTGCAGGCCGCCGATAAAGTGCCATTGGACGGTCCTCGGCAGCAACTCTGCTTTTTGGCTGAGCTCCTGGGCGTAGTTCTCACCAAAGTGGGTTTGATGAGCTGGGGCTTGGTGGAGGGCCAAGATGTCGTTGGCCGGCTTCAGCTTTGACACAGCCACTAGTCGCACCTATAGGGGACTTATCAGCCAGTGCTCCCCCGGAGTAGGTAAAAGAGAGATGACGGCATGTTCTAACATATGAGGTTTAAGATGCGGCGCATATAGCAATCCGCACATCCCTATTCCGGTGGACGACAAGCATATGAGAAGTGGAGTGCGACAAACTTACAGCGCGGCCCTTGGAGACGGCGGCGACTCTCTCGCTGACAGCCTGCAGCTGCGAGATGAGGGCACTCGCTCGTGTCGGATCAATCTTCATTTCTGTTTTGCTCATTGTGTCCAAGGTAAATAAGGCCTATGCTGTCAATATTCTGCGCCTATTTCGGGGACGGTACGGAGGGGAATCTCTGCGAAATTCCAACTGGATGGACGAATCAAAGTCTCCCTCAATACTAAAAATGGGTCCAGGGCATCTGAGGTCACTCAGGCTTCGACTCAATCAGATACTCAAAATTTCACCGCCCGAAAGTTGCCGACTTGAAATGTTTGCATTTCCCGGCACGATGTAAAGCATCTGGCGACCCAAAGTTAACAATATCGGGTGATGCTTCCCGGTATCCTACTTGCCTCATTTCTAGCGGCGAAAGAGATGGAAGCCACCTCAACTGCTTCTTTCTGCTGAAAGTCCCCAGGGCGGGCGGCTGGGCGGCCTTTTAGTTTGAGCAGCGTGCCCCGCGCTTGGCCCCGCCGCCGGCTAGCCGAAAGAGGTACGTCACACCTGCTGACCTCTAGCCTTCAGGCCCTATCTGGCGTCCTTCTGGAGTCAACTGGAAACTAGACCCCACTAAACTTTAGGTACTTTACCCCACTCACGATGAGAAGCCCAGTGGCCAGGTCGGGCAATCAGTTGCAGGCAAGTGTAACGCACCACTCCCAAAGTCAAAAGAGCTGAGCACCGTCCAGGCCGTTTCATCCCAACACCTTCCCGGAAACTCGGGCTGTCTCCGTTCCAAATACCTAGCTAGGTAGGGTGTGGGCGGTAAGCGCTGTACGCAGCCGAACTTGACGGTGTGCTCCTGGATATTATCTTATTTTGTTTAGTGAGACCGCAGGCAGTAGCGCTGCTTGAAGACGAATGTAGAAATGCAATTGCAATAATTGATGAGGCGCTCAACGGGCGGCTTTCCTGTGCCTCTTTTTCTCTCCCCAGCTGAACCTTGATGGGCTGAGCTGTTGGGATAATAACCCAAGGATTGGATCGTGGGATGGCTCATTCCCGCGGTGAATCCGATTATGGCCAGTCCCGTCCCGTCATCCTGAGCCGCAACCAAAATGTATTCAGAGTTCCGTGATCTCCCTGGCCTGCCGCGGGCGCCCGCAGGTCGCGACGGTCGAGGATTAGCTGCCGTCGATTAGATCTAGGGCATGTCGAAGCTTGGCCGCGATTGGTGAGGAAGGGCGAGTCTCACAGGCCGCCTGCTGAAGATACGCTGAAACCAACACCCGCCTACCCCCCGGGCGTCTCTCGCAGGTCGTCGTCTCTCGCCAGGTCGCTCACCAATGTCCGGTCGGCTCAAAACTCGTGGTCTTCCAGGTTATATACACTTCTGTACACGCAACCCCAAGATTGTCCTCATAGGGCTTGTCCTTGAGCGACGACATTGTCGCTGTCTCGTGGGTTTCGCGTGAATAAACCCCGTTCCGCCTCCCCCTTCCTCGCGATGGCCATGCGGTTGCTGTCGCCGAGGCCACCCCCCGGCTCACCACGCTTCACAACAACATACACAGCGCCATCATACACGGCGCCATCACCGCGGGCCATCGTCATTCGCGAACATGCTCTCCCCTACCTCCCGCCTGAGATCTGGATCATGGTCCTCGAAGCCCTTCCGCCTTCTTTTTTCCAGCAGGACCTTGGCCGCTTAACCGTCTCCAGACGCTGGTATAGTCTCGCCTTCCCAGCCTTCTTCACCAGGGTCGAGTACACCCCGAGAGTTATCAGCCGACTTGTGACGCGCAAGTCCAAAATCATGGACAGGTCCCGCGCCATGCTCAGGAAGAGCCAGCGCGTTGTCAACGTAGTGATCGAGGGCATAGGGCCGTGGTGCGACCCCAGAGACCGGTGCTATGATACGGCGGCCAACCTCCGCCGCTTTTGTTTGATGCTGATAGAGTTTAAAGAGCTCACGACCGTGTGCTTCACGGCCAGGTGGGCCAACAAGAGCTGGAAGGCAGATCCTCTGCAGCTCGACTACCTGCCGCTCAGGACCATCGAGCCCTACATCAGCCTCTTGCCCCAGGTCAAGGTGCTCGACCTCGACCTCTGCGGAACCTCCGTCACCAATGAGATGGGAGGCCCAGTGCACTTGTGCCCCTACCTCAGACCGTTGCTCTGCAGGCTCCATAGCCTCCGTGTCAGGATGCGGTGCATCTGCCTGGATGCCGTGTGTTCGACCGACGAGGAACCCATCTCGGTCGGCAACCTAGTCCTCGACTTGTACCTAGGCCAGGTGTCCGACGTCAACCCCAAGCTCAACTCATCCATGTGCTGCTTTGCCCCGAATCCATGGGACTGGAGCAGCCCCATAGACGAGCTGAGGACAGAGCTGCAGAGCCTTGCAACGCGGATGCCGTGGCCACAGCGTGCCGAGATCGTCCATCTTGCTCCTTCCGGTCATGTGCACACGTGGGACGCCTTGACCGACACGTGTGTGCCAAATCTAACAGAGGATTCCAGGTCGTTTTCCATGTTCAAGGAGCTAGAGTGCAACGCTTGCTTTGCTGGGAATGACTGGCATATGTCCTCGCACGGAACGGCTTAACCTCGTCAGCTTTCTGTCGGCGCCTGCCTCGAGCCCTCATTTGAGCTTCCGCCACCTCCAATGTGAGAATACTACCACGTAGTATCCTATTGGCAGTGGCGCGGAAGTGAAGTGACGGGATGACAAGAATTTCAGGGCTTTTGGATGCGGATAGGCCAGTCACCAGTTGCTTGCACGAGCAAACTTAGGACTGAAATGAAATTTGGGTGCTGATGGAGAAGAGTTGTTACGAGAAAGAGAATAACATGGTAAAAAAATCCATTCAGCTCAGTTGTGTCAGGTCGGCAGTATTACGGTCACAACTAACATGTTTATGAATTTAGTTTTTTTTAGGTGAATGAGAAATTCGCTGGCAAGACTGCTAGGCTTGTGATCAGTCCTTTTTTTTGCCCTTCAAGTTTTTGACTACAAACTGCAAACGCCCCTCGCACCTAGTTGCACAAAGAAAGAGAAAAAAGAAAAGAAAAGAAAAGAAAAGAAAAGAAAAGAAAAGAGAGAACGCGTTCCAAGCACCATTCGGCAACTCGCCTGCGCTCAACTTGACAAGAGCACCCTGATCTTCGATTTTCACTGCGTCAGCCCTTTAACCTTTTCACATCATCGCTATCGTTCATCTTGCAACAGGTCGCCCACCGGCTAGCCATCCTCTAAATAAATCACAAGGAAGGTCGAGTCGCCAAGATGCCTGGTCGCGGTCGCGGCAGACCAAGAAAATCGGTCTTGGTTGCAAATGCAGATGAGGCAACGGCAGAAGAGGCACCCCAGCAGGTGTCTAAGCAGGCGCCCGGACAGGCGCCTGAGCGGGAGGCCCCCCGTCGTCGTGGAAGGCCCAGAAAGAATGCCCCAGAGTCAAAGCCAGAAGAGAGACTTGCTCCGGCACCCGAGCAGGAGCCTGAGCAGAAAACCCCGCGGCGTCGTGGAAGACCCAAGAAAATCGTTTCAGAGCCCAAAACGGAACCTCTGGTGGATGATGACGAGAAGCCATCACCTCGCCCGCGCGGCCGACCCCGAAAGTCAGATGCCAATACACCTTCGGGCGGATCCGACATTGCAGCACCTCGCCAGAGTAGCAGTCATTCGAACTCCAACACTAGCGATGCTAACATCATCGCTTCTCCTTCTGTTCCTGCGTCTTCTGCAGCCGTGGACAACGTCATGAGGCCCACCCCCCGTCGAGGCCGACCTCGAAAGTATCCACTGCCTCACCTAGAGTCTGCCTCGCCTGCTTCACCCACTCCGCCTGCTGAGCAGCAGACTCCCGGCAGTCGGCGCCGTGGACGACCTAGAAAGATTCAGATCCCCGCTTCGGCGGCTCAGAAATCAGATATCAAGGACAATGCTGCCGTTTCTGAAGAGGCCGGCCCTAGCTCTGAGACCAAGCCGGCTTCGGATAAGATCAAGCCAACGCCTCGCCGTGGCAGGTCCAAGAAGATAACTGCCAGCAACGTCGACAATTCGCCCAGCACCAGTTCCCCTGTCGTTGCTGCGGTTAAACCCTACACTAGTCGCCCTCGTGGTAGACCCAGAAAGTCAACCGGCAAGAAGTCGCCCGGCCGTCCGAAAAAGGTTGCGTTTTCGAAAGATAAGAACTCTTCGAACGACAACGAAGCCGAGGATGACGCCGAGGATGATGCCAGAGATGATATTGAAGAAGAGGCCGAGAACCTAACTGATGATAACACCACGGACAGAGACAACCGTTCCACGAATAGGGAGAACGCCGACGTTGCCGACATGTCTTCGAGACCAACAGATCAAGGTGCTAGCAAGCCCTTCAACTTGAGTGACTGCACTGGAGTCTATGTCCTGGAAGATGCCAAGAATCCGGGCGTGGAAGTTGGCACGGTCGATATCAGTATCGCCGTGGATGGTAACGACATTCTGGCAGCTTCGTTTTGCTTTGGTCACGAAACGAAGATCACCATGCGGCTGGCTGTCTCTAAGTCAAAGCTGGATCGCTTCATCTGTAAACAGGAGGAAGAAGAATATAGGGAGTTCATCGTCTCCGACATCAACGAGAGCGATGCCGACGAGATGTAGGATAGTGACAGCGCCAGCGGCCCGGCCTCGGTAAACGCGCTCGGCAAACGTAAGGCGCCAGCTACGAGCACCGGAAACGGAGGCCCCGCCAAGAAGCAGGTGAAGCTTTCCGGCCCGCCACGCCTCCATTTCACCTACCGCGGCCGCTACAAGGACAACATCGTCCCTCAGCTCAAGTTGGGATATCTCGACTTTGACGACGATCAGTACAAATCCTTCGCAATGACTGCTCCGCTATACGATGGGGACGCCGTTAATTTTGTGGGCATTTTCTTCGGCGTCACGGCCGGGCAGCCGGGACGATGGAATGACTACTCCGAGGCTGCAGCTAAGACTAAGAAAGCCCGCCTCTCCAACTAGGACGAGTAGGCCGCCTTTGTTGTCTTTCCCTGCCGTCTCTTTTAGATGTCACGAAGGAGAGGCGCTGGAAAGAAACCACAGCAACCAACAACCAAGAACGAGGAACATTAGGGGTGGGGCGTTGACGATGTGGCAGCGAGTGACAAGGGAAGCATGGCCGACACTACGTTGGCCACATGTTTGTATGAACAATATATCGAGAAACCAAGCACAGGACCAGAGTTCCGGACCAAATCGACAGTCCGCGATCTTCTCCATCCCCAGACCAGTTACCAGAAGGAGGGAAAGGGCCTAGCATGGGCAGGCAGTTCGGCAGTGTGCCGTGACAAAGGGTGGACGACATGGGCTCGACCACCTAATGTTTGTAATAACAATTTGTACAGTATAGCCCGGCGAGGAAGAGCCCAGGCGCAGACCCGAAGGCGGGCGGTCAGCAGATTCCCTGTACACGGGAGGGAACGGAAAGACAGCATGGCTCGCACAAGCCAGCCAGCCAGACAGTCTCACATGTATGCGCTCTCATTAGGTAGTTGCTTGCTTGCTAGCTATGTGGGCACATGGCCACCAGTCTCACACTCACTTGCACAGAGAGAGACGGGTAGTACGTGCCTTACGTACCTGGGCAGCCAGATACCTCGAACCAACGGGGAGCGCGAGACAATTCTCACTGGACAAACCATGATTTGCAACCGCGGCCAACTGCAAGTGAACCGTGAGCGCATGCATGACCATGACTGACTACAGCTGAAATTAATTACTTTTATTACTTGTAAAGAGAATGTAGTGCTACTACTACGTGTATTGTTTCAGGGGCAGGCATCTATATCATTTCACACCAAGACGAGTAGTTATGTACCTCTCTGGGTTGGGGTTTGGGTTTGGGCTTGTGTAAAGGCCACCAGGCCGTGTTAGGAAAAGAACAGTCAAAATATATGATGCTGACGCTTATGATGATGATGGTGGTGGTGGTGGTGATGATGAGCGACTAGCCGGCTACTTCCCAAACGTATAGTAAGTAGCAGTAACAGTAGAAAGCCCCGCCTTTTGCAGTGTAAGACAGACGTTTCTTTCCCCTGACATTACATGACATGTATAGTATATAGATATGGTGAGCCTTCTTTCATTGAGTCCCAACCCCCATGGATGAAGTGCTTTCTTTCTTTCTCATCCTTCTCAACCCAGTCCTGCCGCACCCGCGCGGGGTACAATCACGCGCGCAATGCATAGATTATCCCGCTTAGAGAAGTTTCCCTCCCTTTTTTATTTCTTCTCTTTTCAATTTCATTACCCCCAACCAACCCCCAACCCCTTACCACGACTGACCAAGCAGCTAGCGCTGTGGCGGCATCGGGGTCGAGGGCATGGTTTTGATCTGCTTGATGAGGAACTCGCGCTCGTCTATGAACTGCTCGTCGTCGGTCCTGTCCTCGAGGAAGTGGGATAGGAACTGCAGGAGCTTCTCGCGGTTCATGAGCAGGATCTTCTGGACGGGGACCGACTTGTGCGGGTTGGCGACGAAGACCTTGAAGACGTGGAAGCCCTCGTACTGCACCATCTTGCGCTCGTCGCGTAGCAGGTTCATGCAGATCTTGAGGTGCTCCCCGCGGTCCACGTACTCGGTCATGACGTTGTAGTTGGACCGGTCTAGCAGCACCTCCCCCAGCAGCTTGATCGACTGCCGCTTCGTTACGTAGCTGTTGGACTGCACCAGGATCGTGTTGTACTTGGTGAAGAACAGATCAAAGTTCCACGTCAGATACTTGGGAACCAGCTCCTTGTGCTTAGTAAGGAGCTCCTACATTTTTTGCGACGGTTAGACAGATCCGGGCGGGAGGAAGGGCTGAAAAGTCTTACCCTGAACGTCGTGAAGGCGTCTGCGGCCACTTCAAAAGAGCTCTTGTCGATCCACTCGAAAAACATCCAGAAGACGCCATTCCCCGTCTGGCTCCGCTCCTCGTCGATTTCCGCAACTCCCCCCTGACTGGACCCTTCCTCGTCGCCGTCGTCGTATAGAATCACGGCCGCCGCGTCCTTGTTCTTTAGGACCTCACGCAAGACCGTCCCCGCGGGCGTGGCGCTCTCCTTGTAATTGTATCCCTTGCAGAGCTCCACCAGCACCTGCGGCCGCTTTTCGACGACATAGACGAGAGCCATGGGGTCGCTACCGGGCGATGCCGTCGGCGGCCGGAAGCGGAAGACATATGAGAATATGACTTGCGTGTCCTTCCGCGACTCGAACGGTAGTCTGTAGAGATTTGCGGCCAGCAGGTAGAGGAGGTCTTCGTCGAGGATACTCGTCACCAATTGCAGTACCTGTTCCGGACTTGCGTCCGACTCTGTGCCCAAGCCTGTCCGTCAGCCATCGTCGGGATCTCTCTATGGTCTCTCGGTCTGGGGTCAGCAGACGCACCATGTGTGCCCTGCAGCATTTGTTTAATTTGTGAAAGAGTTTTAGCGAGTTCGTCGGCCTTTGAGGCTTAGTTAGCGGAGCGAAAGTGGTCTGGGGCGCATTGGGTTGTTGTGTTTACCTTTGCCGCCCCTCCTGGCCCGTCGAGCTTCAAAATATGTTCCCTTGCCTGCTTGGGCAGCTCTGTGGTATTCGTCCTTGCGCGGGCTCTTCCAAAAAGGAAGGACATTGTGGCGGTTTAAGCTGGCAGCCAACGTCGGTAGCCAGTCTCCCCTCAATAAGCTGGACCAGAGCAGGGAGGTTTGGCAGGTGGACGAGACCGGATGGTTGATGTGCTGGGTATTATCGTCGGCGTACTGTACCTAAGGTTCCCAACGCGGCAAGGGGCCTATGGCCGGGAGACGGGAAAGTTTGGGGGCGGCCTCGAGAAAGCCCCAGATTCAAAGTGCTGGTACGGAATAGCAGTGTCGTTCCTTATCAGTCCGGCAGTCGAGTCCTCGGTCTGGCTCGACGAAGCAAAAACTCGCACGCTGAACAATTGCGGGTTCTGACGTCAGATGAATCGGCGTTTGATTGGCATGGAAAGGGGCTTTGTTGTGAATTTCAGATGGGAAGCTTCCTCCTTACCATCACAGCTGGGGGTATCGGGCTACAGTGCGCTGCGCTGCCAGCGCGTGGGAGACTGTTCAGGGGTCCCCCAATGCGCCAAGGCACGGGCGCTAAGACGCCGAAGTTGACACCAAAAATCAGCGCCCCGCTGATAGGTAGATGCATCGTAAATCTGTTAGTGTAATACTCAAGCGGCCCCCAAAAGCAGCCCTCAATTTGCTCTATCTGTCGTCGTGCCTTAACTTGTTTGCCCCACCGACCAGTAAGGTAAGGTTGGGCTGGAAACCATCCCCTGTTGCTGCAAGGCTGTTCGATCCGTCAGGGTGACCCCGCAACCCCTCAACCCCTCCATGCCCGCCGCCCGGTTGGTGGGCTAATTGAGAACGTATCAAATCGAGTCACACTTGAAAATTATTACTCCCACGATCCTGCGACAGAGAGTGAGTCAGGCTCAACGCTTGTCAACCTCGCTCCCTCGTTCCTAGCTTCCAGCCTGGGAAATCCACTCTACACGAATATCACCCCAATTCCGGCCAGCGCACACTAGTCACTTTGACTAGGAATTCGCCCAACATGTCGATTGACTTTCCCAAGGAGGAGGAGGCCACCATCGAGAGGTGGCGGGAGATCAAGGCCTTTGAGCGTCAGGTGTGCAAGACCCTGTCACGCTGCAGCGCCCAAACCTCTCAGGGATGCGTACTAACTTGGGAATTAGCTCGAGCTCTCTGAAGGAAACCCGCTCTACACCTTTTACGATGGCCCGCCGTTCGCGACTGGTCTGCCCCATTATGGCCATCTCCTCGCCTCGACCATCAAGGACATCATCCCGAGGTACTGGTCCATGAAGGGTTTCCATGTGGAGCGGCGCTTTGGATGGGACACCCATGGCCTTCCTATCGAACACGAAATCGACAAGAAGCTGGGCATCTCTGGCAAGGCTGCCGTCATGGAACTGGGCCTGGCAAACTACAACGCCGAGTGCCGTTCTATTGTGATGCGGTATAGCGAGGAGTGGAGACACACTATCGAGAGACTGGGCCGCTGGATCGATTTTGACAACGACTACAAGGTATGTTGGGCCAGTCAATCGGTGCGGCCAGCAAGATGTGGTGCTGATTGTTACAGACAATGGATCCCACGTTCATGGAGTCCGAGTGGTGGGTCTTCAAGCAGCTATTCAACAAAGGCCAGGTCTACCAGGGATACCGAGTTATGCCATATTCAACAGCACTTACTACTGCTCTGAGCAATTTTGAAGCGAACCAGAACTACCAAGACGTGACGGATCCCGCTGTGGTGGTTTCCTTCCCTCTGCTCAGCGACCCCGAGACAAGCCTATTGGCCTGGACAACTACGCCATGGACATTGCCGTCTAACCTCGCACTGGCAGTACATCCCGATTTTGAGTACATCAAAATCCACGACGAAAAGTCCGGAAAGAAGTACATTCTCCTCGAGAAGCTTCTGGGGACTTTATACAAAGATCCCAAGAAGGCCAAGTTCGAGGTTCTTGAGAAGATCAAGGGCAAGGATATGGCGGGCTGGCTGTACGAACCCCTCTTTCGGTATTTCTACGAGGAGTTCAAGGATGTTGCGTTCCGAGTTTTCACGGCGAAGTATGTCACCGACGAGAGCGGCACCGGTATCGTTCACCAAGCTCCGGCCTTTGGCGAGGACGATTTTAACGTCGCAACCGAAAATGGTGTCATTACCGAGAAGCACGGACCCCCAGACCCTGTCGATGATTCGGGCCACTTCACTAGCAAGGTTTCCGACTTTGAGGGGAAGCATGTCAAGGAAGCAGACAAGCATATCGTCAAGCACCTAAAGGCCACTGGGAGGCTCGTTGCCGAATCGCAGTTTAGGCATTCGTATCCAATGTGCTATCGCTCGGACACCCCCCTCATATATAAAGCCGTGCCATCCTGGTTCGTGCGTATTACAACTATCATCCCGCAAATGCTTAGCAACATTGAGGGATCTCACTGGGTCCCCTCTTTTGTCAAAGACAAGCGGTTTGCTAGCTGGATCACGAATGCTCGCGATTGGAACGTATCCCGCAACCGGTATTGGGGTACCCCTATCCCACTTTGGGTGAGCGACGACTTGGAGGAGAAGGTATGCATCGGAAGCATTGCAGAGCTGAAGGAACTCAGTGGGTACGAGGGCGAGATCACCGACCTCCACCGCGACAAAATCGACCATATCACGATTCCCAGCAAGACGGGCAGAGGTGTCCTGAGGCGAATTGAAGAGGTTTTTGACTGCTGGTTCGAGTCTGGAAGCATGCCGTACGCCAGCCAGCACTATCCGTTCGAGAATGTTGAGAAGTTTGAGAAGTCCTTCCCGGGTGATTTCATTGCCGAGGGTCTCGACCAGACAAGAGGCTGGTTCTACACTCTTCTTGTTCTCGGAACGCACCTCTTTGGTGTTTCTCCCTTCAAAAATTGTGTCGTCAACGGAATTGTGCTGGCCGAAGACGGGAAAAAGATGTCGAAGAGGCTCAAGAATTACCCCGATCCTGGAATCGTCATGGCTAAATACGGCTCCGATGCTCTTCGTCTCTACCTCATCAACTCGCCGGTTGTCAGGGCAGAGCCGCTCCGCTTTAAAGAGGCTGGAGTCAAAGAAGTTGTGGCCAAGGTGCTGCTTCCTCTGTGGAACAGCTTCAAATTCTTCGAAATCCAAGTTGGCTTGATCAAGAAAGTAGAGAACATCGATTACGTGTTCAACCCGGCGATGGAGTCGGAGAACACCAATGTGATGGACAAATGGATCTTGGCCAGCTGCCAGAGCTTGCTTGAATTTGTCAACGCAGAGATGAAAGGTAAGTCAGCGACGCAGGTTTCTTTTGGGTTTAACTTGATGCTAACCGTATCCAAGGTTACCGTCTGTATACTGTCGTGCCCAAGTTGTTGGGGTTGATTGACGATACCACTAATTGGTACATTCGCTTCAACCGGAAGCGTCTCAAGGGCGAGAACGGAGTTGACGACACTCTCCATGCGCTGAACACGCTCTTCGAGGTCTTGTATACAATGTGCCGGGCTCTGGCCCCCTTCACGCCCTTCTTGACGGATACCATCTATCTCAAGCTCCTTCCTCATATCCCCAAGAATCTTCAGGGCGCAGATCCTCGAAGCGTTCACTTCTTGGCTTTCCCCGAGGTTCGGAAAGAGCTCTTCAACAAGGACATTGAGCGGAGAGTGGAACGGATGCAAAAGGTCATTGAATTGGCCAGATACTCTCGCGAGAGACGGGCTATTGGCTTGAAGCAGCCTCTCAAGACGCTCGTCGTCATCCACCACAGCCAACAGTACCTGGATGACATCAAGTCACTCGAGGGTTACATCACCGAAGAGCTCAATGTCCGGGACTTAGTGTTGACATCAGACGAAGCCGCGCACGAGGTTCAGTACAGCGTCACAGCGGACTGGCCCGTGCTCGGCAAGAAGCTGAAGAAAGACATGATCAGAGTCAAGAAGGCGCTGCCAAATGTGACAAGCGAGCAGGCCCATGCCTACGTGCTCGAGAAGAAGATCACAGTCGATGGCATTGAGCTTCAGGAAGGAGACTTGGTGGTGAGGCGTGGCCTGAAAGAGGACGATGCGTCCAAGAACCTGGAGACCAACACAGACAACGACGTTCTCACCATTCTCGACGTGGAGGTTTACCCCGGTCTCGCCGAAGAGGGACTCGCCCGCGAAATTATCAACCGTGTGCAACGTCTCCGCAAGAAGGCCGGGCTTCTAACAACAGACGACATCAAGATGGAGTATCGGGTATTGTCAGACCCTGAAGACATTGGAATTGAGAGAGTGTTTGAGGGGCATCAAGAATATATCGCAAAGGCGTTGCGGAGACCCCTGGACAAGCATGAGATTACGCATGTGGAGGGAAAGATTCCGGATGGGAAGGAGGAAGGCATTATTGCCGAGGAGGAGCAAGAGGTGCTGAAGGCCACGTTCCTGTTGAGACTACTCAACCTGTGAACTTGTCGTGTGAGGACGGGTTCGCTGCAGTCTTATCAAGGATGAACCGAAAGCTGGGAACTTTCCCTAGTATGTACGGGCTCGTAAAAATAGACATCGAATGAATACTCTACGAATAATCCTTTATTTCTATGTTTATTTGGATCCCTTTGCCGCTGCCTGTATCGTAATATCGAGTGAGACGGGGTTATTTGGCACTTATCAGGAGGGGCACTCTTACCAAGTAGCAATCCTTGAGTCTCATGAACTCCTTGGCACACTTGTCTTTGTGCACTGCATTGTAGTCGGCAACAACGCATTTCCCGTAGACGGCCGCCTGCAGGGTTCACTCGTCAGGTCGTTCGTCCAAATAGTGGACAGTGGGAATGGCCATTTTCTCTCACCTCGGCAGAGCATTTCGAGACGGCCTCGGCGAAGCGCTGAATGGGCCGGGTTTTCGGCTGCATCGTCGCCTACAGTTTTTATTGTGTTGTCCTGCCTTTGCTGCTGGTGGAGTGAAAAGTTTTATGTTTTTAAATCGGGTGCGTCGATATCATAAGAGTCTGCAACATGTTAACGCAGGCAAGGCGTCTTAACCAAAACGTGTTAAGCTTCTGGGTAAGTCGAGAGAGTCTGTGATGTAGTGATGCTCTAGACCGTTTTGGTGAGTTATTGGTACCTCGCTACGTTGAGTGGTCTTTGGCCTGAGTGGACGAGGTAAGGTATGGGCCGGGCACGGCCAGCCAGCCACGCTCCCCAAACCCCAGACCTTGCGACAGCTTTACGCGCCCGGCCTTGGCACCGTAAAACTCGAGCTCAGGAACGCGCCTGCGCGCCCGCGTACCCCCTGCTCCATTTCGCATTCTCGAAACACCAAGCTTCCCCCTGTCACCAGATGTTTCCGTGTCGCGATCCCGGGGTCCCGACGCATCTGGCAATTGCGCTCGCTCCCGCGCAACGCCCGGCACGGATTGCTTCTGCATAGGCTTATACGACATCTCTCAATCGTTTAAAATCAGCATAATAGTCGTCGGCGCTCACCATCGCATCCTATCATGCCTTCGAGAGAGCGCCGTCTCACATGCTGCCTCAATCCTCTCTGCCCCTCCGAGACGGCAGGGTCGGCCTTCCTTCTTCCGAGGCGCTCTCCGTCGGCAGCCAGCAAAATGAGCCCTACTACTCGTCGCAAGGTATGTTGTTTTTGCTGCTGCGACTGCTGCGCCGCGAGTCGTCTTTTGTTGCCCTAAGCTGACCTGGATAGACTTCCAACTGCTCCACGACATCGTCACCCTTGGAGAGTCCATATATTCTACCCTCCCGGAACAAGACCGCCTTCCTACCAATGCCCTATTCCAAGCGGCGGAGCAGGTTCTCCCACAATATGGTTTCGATGGCGAGCACGCCCCTTCGCACATCTCGCGGCTCATCTTCAAGATTGGGGGGCAACGATCTGGCGAGACGCTCAGCGACAAGTTTCAATCCATCGTGAGGAATATGGGCGTGCAGCTTGAATACTATCCCTCCAGTTCAGTACAGGAGTCTCCGCCAGCGAAGTCAGCCTCCTCCCACTCCTTTGCCGACGACGACGAAACCGGACGCTTCGATTTCAGTCCGCGCCCACCACCTCGCCGTAGACATAGCTCTGTCTCCCATCCAGCCGAGCCCTTGTCTCCCTCTAATGTTTCAGATTATCATCTACCTACTGGCCGCCGTGTGCGCACTCGATCGGCTTCGTCTACAGACTACAGCATTGCTCCTGACGGTGCGGGAAACTTGGAGCGGAGAGACACAGGTGGCGACAATGTCCCTGGTTTTCGAGAAGAGGGCAGCCATGGACGGCGCACATTTTTTGCGGGGTTGCAAAGACCGACTCCCACCGAATCTAGGCCTAGACGACCTCCGCATGCTGCGGGTCTCTTCGGGAGCAGGCAGTATGGTGCGGACGACGAGGGCGAGGGCTCGGATCACGCCACCGAAGATCTCAAGTTTCGCCAGGGTCAGGCGCACTTACTCCCCGCAAATAAGATTCGACCCTTTTTACGTGGCTTCGGAGCCGTGCACTATGGTGGGGATGATTCCGACCACGAAAGCAACAAAGAAATCGGCGTGTCTCCCTCTACCGCCGGTGGGACGGACGTTGTCCATCACTCCCCTCGAAGCGACGCATCCGGCGCTTTCCGCGGTGCTAGCGACACCACAGCCCAGACTCAGGACGACCAACTCTTCCTTTCGCCCCCAAACGAGCACTGTCAAGCGGATATCGAAGCATTGGAGGCCACGTTATATCAATTCATGAATAAAGATGGGGCGACCCTTGCAAAGGATGTTCTATTTTCCTGGCGTGCTACGGCTAGGGAAACGAGGCGCTGCAATAATGAGCTTGAAGATTTTGCCGTACAGTTCGACGATCAGGATATTCGCTCTGAAATTTTCGACATTTGGCGCGAAGAAGCCGCTCTCGCTAAACAAGAAAGATTAGAAAGCGAAGCCGTCGCCGCGCACAATGAATACGTAGAGCGCATGGAAAAGCGCGCCCACAGGGTGTACGAAATCTTCACGATACGCGTGGCGCTGTTGCATTGGCAGGAACAGGCTCTCGAAGAAGTCGACCGGACTGCAGTTGCGCGCAGGCATCTCGTGCGGAAGCGGGCGTTTGATAGCTGGCGCGCCCAGCATATCGAGGACGAGATTAAAATCAAGAACTTTGTCCTCATCAACGCGCTCCAGAAATGGGGCCAGGTCGCACTCCATCATGAGGTGCGCGAACAAGTCGCCATCCGGCAGTATGAACAGCATCTTGCCAAGAACGCCTTGCAGAGGACATGGGAGGTGTACAAAGGCCGCGTGGCAGATGGTTTCCGCGACTATCGGCTCAAGGAAGATTGCTTGAACACATGGTCTACTAAAACAGGAGAAGCGCAGGATGAGTATGGTGTGGCTGTCGCGTTGGATGAAAGGCTCGTGCTCGACGAAGCCTTTGCCATATGGGGCGAAGAGACCGAGGACCTACAGGACAGAGCCCATGACTGCACGGTGCAGAAGCTTGTTCAGGATTGCCAAAGGACTTTGTCACACTGGCATGAGCAAGCGAGCCTGGCAAGATTGCTGAAGCAGTACAGTGCTGGGCAAGACGACAACTCAAAGCGCATCGTTTTGCAGGTCTGGCAATCAGCCTCCCATGCAGCGAGGCGCGACACCGAACTCGCCAATGCCCAATTCCTCAAACTTTTCATCGTACAATGGAGATGCGAGACGAACCTCGTACGCTTCATTGGTCGTGCTGAGCAACAGACAAAAGCTGCAGCGCTGGAACACTGGGCCCTTGAGGAACGACTAGCCTGGTATAAGAGGCACTCGGAGACGCAGACAAAACGACAAACCCTGCAGAGCCTTCTCGAATCTTCACGGCAAGCAAGAAGCACACGGGCCAAGTCCCAACACGAAGCCGACTATGTTGTTGAGTACTACATGCAAGCCGAAGCCCTCGCCACATGGCTTTCGGAGACAGAGGCGATAGAGCGGCATCAGCGAAATGCCGACTTGGTCTCCCTCTATCGTACCACCAACCCGTGTCTAGGCTTTTGGGGAGAGCGGTGCAAGGAGAAGGTCTCCCGAGATGTCGTATACAGGAGAGAGGCCCTCAGGAACTCGAGGAGATGCACCGTGTCGAATGTCCTCGACACATGGCCCGACATCGCACAGTCTGCGCGAAGAGACAGGATGATGCGCAGCTTGCGCCAATTCAGGCGAGGCTACAAAGTCAACCTCGCGCAGACGTGTCTCGACAAGTGGCAGGCAGCCGCAGGCGATGCTGTAGCCTCTGGTCGGGAGGCCTGTGGTATCCTTGTGCAGCACAAGCGGGACGATGTCAACGACTACCTCGATTACTGGGTCGACACGGCCTACAAAGCGCAGGAAATCAGGCAAATCGCGGCGGATGCCGAGTTGGAGGTTTATCACAGGAAGTGGCACGGCTCCCTCCACGAGGCGCGGGAGAACCAGCACGACGCGGTCGAGTATGATGCGGAGAAGACACTGGCCGAGTGCTGGAAGAAGTGGGAGTTTCAATCTCTCCAGATGGAGAGTAGACGGCTCACGGTTGCCACGGTGCGGGAGAAGAACGACCAGCGCTTGTGTCGACAGATACTCGAGGAGTGGCGCCAACGGGCCGTTCCGGAGGCCGTGTACAGCGACCCCCGGCTCCACCTCAGCACCATGTCTCGACGCAGCATGCGCCAGCAGCAGCTCGCCCGAGCTTCTATCCCTCCTTTCCGCTCCGTTCAGCTACCATCACGGCCGGCGCGGATGACCAACCCCAAGACGCCCCATGTGGCGGCTTCTCAGATTGGCATCGGCCGTGGTACCGGTGGCGGCGGCGGTGGCGGCGTCGGCGGTACCAGCAGGTCGGTACGCTTTGGCGCGAGCTCGTTCCAGCTCGGTCCCATGGAGGATTTCGACGAGGAATCACTGCTGCCTGATGTCGAGACCAACGACCCAGTCTTCATGAGCACGCCGACCCGGTGGACCGGCAGCGCGAGGCCCCTCGGGTACCGCCCGACGACTACCCCGTCGGCCATCCTGCCCTCGCCCTACGAGCGAGAGCTGCGGCGGGAGTACGGCCAGTCGGCCCGCCCAAGGGTCGAGTTTCCGGATATCACAGAGGACTCGGCTGAGGCCTGAGCAGTCAACTAGGAAGTTCAGCGTGGCGATCTGCAGCTTTTTGGCATGCTACCGCTATGGGGCGTGCGTCATTATACGGACTCAACTATTATGTTGTCGGCGTTACAATGTATCATTGGATAAGGGAAGGGAAGGGGAAAAAGAAACGGCGGGTCAGGTCAGGTCAGGGATCTATTTTTCTGTATTTTTGTTGTTGTAGTTGGATATACCCCCAGGACATGATGATGCGTGCGTGCATTGCATTTGCATTTGCATTTGCAAAGAGGCGTCGTTGGTTCGGATACGTAAGGTAAAGCAATTGGAGCTGGTTTTGCCGGCCGGATACTTAGGTATGGATAAAATGGTGCATCGCTGAGCTGCGCTGGGCTGAGCTGTTGACAACAGGGCAGGCAGGCAGGCAAGGGGAAAACAAAATAATATTATTATCCCTTCGAAAAGTATCAAAAACTCGATTCTCGATTGCTTGATATGCGAAGCAAGAGCACCTACCTATGTACTCTCTACATTAGCTGAGAATCGGCGCGGCGTCTTTTTGTTGGCCCCTTTTCGGACCGGACAGAAGAAAGACGAGAGGGCTGACAAACTCGTGGGTTTCCAGACACGGAAGCCAAGGCGGTTAAACCTGCAGCGGCGCTGACAAACATGCAGGCAGCAAACATGCAAATGCGGCCAAAAACGCTCTTCTTCGCGGCCATGTTCTTGAATAGTAATCTAACCCATGATCTGATCCTGCCGGGCGTTGGACTGGTCCTCGGACTTTGAAACCCGCCATTAGGTGCTTCTAGGTAAGCGTTGGTCCATAGGCTGTGTAACTGTAACATTCACACGGCATCCGTCGGTGTGAAGTGTCGAGGTCCATCGACGTATGTACTCTACTGCAGTACTTACTACCCTAGTAACCTGATTCGCCTTAGTTAACCAACCCATACGCGGGACGGGTAGCCGTTCGCTCGCAAAAAGTTGCCATGGACAGTCCGGCCCGCCTCTGTTCTGGCATGTTCTTCTATCCTCAAACCTGCCTATTTCCCGAAATAGTCGGGGCCTTTCGCAAATTGTTCCCAAACCTGTTAATCATGACGGGCACTGATTATGTAGCAGCAGGGCGGATGGACTATTCCCCCGCTCGAATATTCGATTGAGAGTCCTCGTCGCTGACATGCTGAGATATGCGGAGTTCCTCGCGTTGCCTGCGGCCATCCCCTTACCTGCCACGGAGACTTCCGAAACTCAAAACAACTTTGAACCAGTAGCCATTGAGATAAGAGTTGCAAATAGTCTCGATAATTGGTTGTGTTCTTCAAGCAGAACCGGGTCTCTAATTGGGGGGGTTTCCGGGGCCGAGCCGGCACGCGAGGGGCTGTATCGGCGATTTCGAATGCCACGGAGATGTGCACTTGGCAACCGCCAGCAAGATGGGTACAGGCATGTATAAAAGACAGAGAGCCGCCTGGGGGTTGTGTAGAAAAAGAATACCATCACTCTTCTCTATCTCCCAGGACCTCACCTACCTTATTCTAAACGCTTGATTCTCAGCCTCACAAGATTCGTCAACCTTCACAATGGCTCTCCCTTCGCCAGTGAAGACGAGCCATTTCGAGCCGTATCCCGAGCTCGACCCCAAGCTGCCCCAGCACTCGACCAAGAGCAAGCACGTACTGATCACGGGCGGTGGCTCTGGCTTCGGCTCCGCCATCACAGACTCATTCGCGCAGTCTGGGGCAGCCAACATCTCGATCCTCGGCCGGAAAGAAAGTGTTCTTCTCGCCAAGAAGAAGACGACCGAGGCGCAATACCCGGGTACCAAGGTCCACGTCTTGGTTGCCGACTTGGCAGACAAGCTGTCTGTCGACAAGGTAGTGGCAGAGACAGTCAAGTCTGCCGGAAACATCGACATCCTTGTCGCCAACGCAGCCTACCTCAGCGATGTGAAGCCGTTCATGGAGAATGACCTAGATGACTGGTGAGTCCGAGTTTCCACCTTGCCAGATAGTAGCAGAGAGGCAATGGAATGGGCTGTCAACTTACCAACGCTTCCTGCCCCCACAGGTACAAGGGCTTCGACATCAACGTCAAGGGCAACTTCAACCTGATCCGCGCCTTCGTCCCGCACGCAGCCCTCGGCGCCACCGTCGTCGAGGTCAGCACGGTTGTCCAGTTCAACACCGTCCCCGGCTACTCAGGCTACCACGCCTCCAAGCTGGCCCAGCACAAGCTCTTCAACTACCTGCATGACGAGTACCCGGCGCTGCACGTTGTGTCGATGCATCCTGGCGCCATGAAGACGGACATGACAGCCAAGCTGCCCGCGGAACCGCCGTTTCCCTACACGAATAGTGAGTTTCTTTCTTCCCTGTCTTATTCAAGCCTGTTCCCGATGTGGTTTGTTTCTCGCCTAACACTGCCACAGCGGCGCTGTCGGCAAACTTCATCGTCTGGCTTGCTAGCCCCGAGGCCAAGTTCCTCGACGGGAAGCTGGTCTGGTCGCTCTGGGATATCACGGAGCTGAAGGCACTGGCGAAGGAAATCGAGGGCTCCAGCAGATTTACCATTGGCATGATCGGGTGGCCTTAAGTGGCTTGGATATAGCATGGATATCTCATGGATAGAGTGAGAAGAGAATGCAGTAATGATAAGCTTGAGATTGAGATTGTTTTAAAGTGCTTGCGCAATTACAACCTCGAAGTGACAAGAAACGAAATTGAAGCAGTTAAAATGCGAGTTTGTTAGCCTGCAGGATACATACTGTATTTTGTCATGATTGCCAAGAAACTTTAAGGATTGCATAAAGGCCTCAGCAGTACAGAGACGTTTCATTGTGAAATATATTGCATTAGGTGGACTTGAGCATGGTGATCGGATGACTTCTTGATGTAAAAGTGAGGCCAAGGGGAGCGCGGAGCCACAGGCAGAATTGCTGGCAAACCAACCCCACAACGGAGGGCTAGATTCTGCCGCCCTACCAAACCGCTAGCCCGAAAGAGAAGGCGGTCAGCGCATTTTTGGCTCAGGGCTTCGCTTATTTCGAAACCCACAAACCTTCCCATCAGTTTTGTTCTCTTGTCAAAAGGTCACGGCCATCACGGAACTCGACAACTCGTCTCGGTCGGCAAAATCAATCACAATGGCCAAGGTTAGCAAAAGTGAGTAGATACCGACGATTAGCGACGCTTTCACCATTGGCATCTAACCATCATGTCTGCAGCCCTCCACTCGTCGAGACGCAAGTCTCGTAAGGCGCACTTCAGTGCGCCTTCGAGCGTCCGCCGCACCGTCATGAGCGCCCCTCTCAGTAAGGAGCTTCGTGAGAAGTATAACGTACGTTTTGCCGCACCCGATCGTTGATGTCTTGTTTCCGATCGCAAAACTCACAAATCGCCTCAGGTCCGGAGCATGCCCGTTCGCAAGGATGACGAGGTCACCATCGTCCGCGGCCTGAACAAGGACAAGGAGGGCAAGGTCACCTCGGTGTACCGCCTCAAGTATGTCATCCACATCGAGCGCGTCACCCGCGAGAAGGCCTCCGGTCAGAGCGTGCCCCTCGGCATCCACCCCAGCAACGTGGTCATCACCAAGCTCAAGCTCGACAAGGACCGCGAGTCCATCCTTGAGCGCTCCCGCCTCGGCCGCGAGCAGGTCGCCAAGGCCAAGGGCAAGGCGAAAGCTTAAATAGTAACCCCCGGTCGTTTGGAGGGATGAGAAGAAAAATTAAAAACCACTCGGACAATCGGTTTTGCCGACCTCGACGAAGGGTCACATATACCCGACCCGCGCACCCCCAATGCCTCGTCAAAAAGAGGGATTCTCTTGTTTCGGTTCTGGCGTCTTTGCGGCTTAATTCGGTTGCATTATCGGCGGGTTGTCTTGCCATGCCAACCACGACAAAAGGACAGGGACAGCACGGGAACGGGCTCGGATCTAGATGCAGAGAATAACGAAATCGAGACTTTGATCTCAATGGCCATTTCACTATGCCAGCTGCTTTCCGCGCTCGCTGTGAAATGCTCCATGGGAGGTATCCCGAAGTTTGCCTCGAGCACGCCCGGCTGCTCGAGGCCGTTGCGGTGTCCTGCCTGCTTCTAGTGACTCTTTTTATGTTGACTCGCAAGAGGCACCATACAGGCCTGAAACATGGCTTATGAAGCGCAATCTTCAACCAGTAAATTCATAGGTAGGGACACCACCGCCAGCGAATCTCGTCCTCTGCCGAGGATAAAGCTGTTCTCGTATTATAGAGGTCAGCGGTAGATGGTTACACCTTTTGGTTGCCCATCAATTCCTGGGCTTGGGTCTTCCACTCCTCGCGCCACCTGGTCAGCGGCGGCCTGCCCTCAACCACATCGCCAACGCTCCAGAGCATGCGCTTCTTGTCCGTCTCCTCGGCGACGTCGTTGTCCGGTCACAGAATGTAGAACTTGCCCTCAGCCATCTTCTCTTCGAGATAGTCAACCACCTGCTCCGGCCACCAAGCCCCCGCCTGGCCGGTTGCCGCTGAGCCCCGTGAACGTCCACCCCGGTACCAGCAGGTGCACCGACACGCTGGCCTCGTGCCGCAAGTCGAAGCTTGCTGTCGGTCGGTCCTTGCTCCGGGAATACGGGTTTAAAGGGGGGACTGGGACTGGGCCCGGGCCTGGTTCCCCAGTCAGTCAGCTCTCTCTCTCTCTCTCTCTCACACACAAACACACACACACACACACAACTCTGGTAGGAAGCACAGTTGCAGTGAGCGAAGGCACTTGGCTTAAGTAGACAGACACAAACGTTTATGAGGCAAGTAAAGAAAAGGGGAGAACTTGGCTTGATGATGGACGGGGTTGAGGAGGCGGGTGTGGGGTCGGATTTCGGACGGGAGGGGGTTAACTCCGATTTGACTCCAGCCCATCCAAGGCAAGAACATATATGAGGGAATGCGGTATGTGCCTTCCAGATTATCACCGGGACACCGAATAACTACGGCATGTATGTCAACTTCGATGCCAAACCACCCCGCCCGTCTCATCAACATCAAGCAGGGTAGGTTCCTCCAAGCCCACAACCCCAACAACGATTACCAACACAAACACTATATTCTCATCGTGTGGATATCCCTCTCCTGCGCCGCAATATCACAGTCCTACCAATTCTAGACACTAAAACACACACGTCTGTCACCTAAATAGACAGACCAGGACACAAGCAACAATGTTCCAAGCTACCGTCGTGCAAACACACACAAAGGTTTCGCCCTCGTCCCTGTCCTGAATAAACCCGAGGATGCGAATTCGATTCAAGCAAGTTTCATTATGTCTACCTACGCAGTATATGTATGATATCTGTTTATGCACCAGCAACAAGCCTGCCCCCCAGCCTCTCTTCGCGACCGTAGCACGTAGGCAGGTGCCGACCCCTTCGAGTATGTATTCATAGTCCACCAGGAAACCCGCATACGTCAACGCCCCTGGCTCGTTCGTTCGTTCGTCTGAGAGGCTGTAGCAAGGAGGATAGATTTCGGTTCGTCCAGTATGCATACCCCGGTTAATCCTACGCCACGCTACCAAAAAAAATGCCACATTAAAGCTTGTAGAAGTAAGTGATAATGCCATGGCGATATCGAGTCCCGGCGTCCACGGGTTATCCATTCGTCGGCCCACCCACCCATCCCGTGAAAAAGGGTTACGGGAACACCATTGTAGAGAAAAGAAGAATGCAGTGATAAATAACGCGCGACCACGTCCATGCTCGTTTTCTTTTGTTGTGCTCTTTTGGTAAATCATGAAGGGCGGGCGTTTGTTTGCTCGCCATGCCTCTCCTACCACCGCCAGCCGGCTGCCACATGATGCGTTTGCTCGAGTCGTATTCAGCAAAAGAGCAATAAGCCACTACGACCCCGCGAATAGGGGCCGAGATAAAATCAGAAAGCCGCCCCCAACCCGCCCAGCCCGGTCTTGGACTGTCGCTTGCTAAAGCGGTTGCGCTTCACCAGGGTCGTATCCTCCAAGCTTGCCTGGCTTCTACTGGGATGGTTGCGGCCCGCCCGGTCCGAGACGCTAAAGCCCTCCGGAAAGGTTGACCTCCCCCCCATTGTACTCGCCGGGCTCGACATGTCCGACGACATGTCGCCAAATCCGTTATCGTTGCTGAAAGATCCGACCAGGTTTTGTGATATGGCCAGGTCTTTGGCCCGCTCCAACGACTCTATCCAGTCGTCGACAGAAAATTTTGCACCCTCAGTCTGCGATGACTTGGGCTCCTCGAATGTGTAATGCACACCACCCTGGGCACTGGTCAGTTCGCGCTCGGGATTTGGAAAAGACAGTTGTAACTCACTGTGTCGACGCAAAAGACTGGTTGGCCCTTTGCGTCGATTTGACCCTTCCACACACAGTCCGGGGCAAGTAGCGAGATCTCCTGCTTCGCCCGCTTCTCCTCTCCGCCAGACGGAGCAAGGACGATGCGCCCACCCGAGGTAATCATGACAAGCCGCTGCCGTTTCTTAGTCGTGCTGCCGCCAAAGAAACGGGATAGCTTCTTGTGCCCGTCACTCTCGCTCCGCCCATGAGGGCTGTTCGGAATAGGAGAGGATATCACCATCAAGTCGCCGAGCCTCAAAATCCTCTCGTTGTTCCTTGTCAGTACCGGTGACCATTCGATATCTAGTTGCGTAGGCGGCGGCAGTTCCGTGATGATCCGCGCTGGCCTCGACCCATTCGCTGTTGCTTGAGGGGCCCGAGATGTTGTGATTGGCTTGGGCGAGCCAGAGGAAACACCGTTCAGCTGTATGATATTAGGCTCCTGAGTCGGTGGCACGTACGGCCGAAGACGCGGGGCCTTAATCCTCCACAGTTCCTTGCCAAACTGCTGGCCGTCAAAGAACTCGTGGTTTTTAATGTGCTCCACCGTCAGGCGGCGATTGGGGTCCAACACGAGACATCGCTCGACAAGATCGCGAGCTGCGGGGGGGAAACCGGCAGGGAACTCGTACTCAAGGCCTACGATCTTCTGGAATGTTAGGTACTCGGTGGCCGCTTTGAAAGGTGGACGGCCCACGAGCAGCTGATATATGATGCACCCAAACGCCCATAAATCGCTGGGCTTCCCCGCAGACTTGTCTGTCAGGAGCTCAGGGCTCACGTACTCGGCCGTACCGACAAAGGAGGCAGTCCTATTGTCGTCATGCGCGCCGTTCGGCCCAGAGGCGTCCTCTGGCGGTGGCCTGGGATCTCGGGGATCGGGCAACAGCTTGGCAGTGCCAAAGTCGGTGATCTTGACGTGCATCTGGTCGTCCAAGAGCACATTTTCAGGTTTGAGATCGCGATGAATCACTCCGCGTGAGTGCATGTACGCTATTGCGTCCAATATCTGCGCGCCGTAGAACCTCGTGCACTCGACATCGAATGTCCCCGTCTTCTTCAAAACACCAAGCAGCTCCCCGCCATTGCATAGATCCAGGACGTAGTAGAGCGAGGCCTCGTCTTGAAATGTGTAGTAGAGCCGGACGATGCCTGGATGCTCCGTGAGCCGGTTTAGCGTGTTCTTCTCGATGTTGACATACTTGATCTTCTTCTCCTTGATGATGTGCTTCTTCTCAAGCACCTTGACCGCGTATTCTCGTAGCGTTTGGCGGTCTGTGGCAAGATAGACGGTGCTGTAGGACCCCTCTCCGAGTACTCGGCCAAATGAAAAGTCCCGTACCCCCTTCTTGACCGATTTGATCACCGTTCTTCCTTCGGCGTCGACCTCTTTCCTCATGCTCACTGCAGCACCCCGATCTTTCCAGTCTTCGCTGCTTGCTAGTGACTGCATATCAGGCACATAACTGCCGTTGGACGGGGCATACGGAACGCCTGGGACCGAGCCATATCCGACCCCCATCCCTTTAGAGCTTCTCCTAGGTGGCATTGGACCGCCTGGGCCATTGTTTCCAGGAGGTGCTGCCCCTATCCGACTAGCAGCCTGGTGCGACCGGCTCGTTTCTCGAGATGGTATTTGTGCCAAGCTAGCGGCGTCTGATCTTGAGCCGCTTCTTGAAGGTACTCCATACGCTGAAGTTCGGGACGGGTCAGTCCTGAGACTCGCGTACGGTGCCCCCTGATGGCTCCGCTCCGTGGCCGGACTCGGCGTTGGGAGAGGAGTTGTAGGTGGAGAAAGGTTCCCATTTGTCGGTTGATATGTTGGATACTGTGGTTGGGGGTAGTTATCGACGGAGCTGGGAGGATTCGAATACCCCCGTGCAGCATTAAGGTTGTTTTGCGCTGTCTTGAGTATTGCAGCAGCGGATTCGTATGTGTGACGTGGAGGCTCTTCGCTCGTCATCTGTGGTCCGACAGGTTGCGGCGTACGAGGGAAGGCGTCGCGGGGTTCCTCGGCAGTCGGAGTCGACTGGCTCCCTGGGAACTCATCGGGGCCCAACGAAGCCTCTCGCGAGGGGCTGGGCGACGAGTCGTCGGGGTTTGCGATCCGCAGGCCCCCGAGAGCTCGGGACAGGCTGAGGTCGCCGTTCATCTTGTTGAAGCTAAAGCCCCGCGAAGGGCGCTGGTGACACGGGCGAAGTCACCGGGAGGCACCAGGAGAAGGTGGCGGTCCAAGGGCGTCCTGACGAAGGGCATACGGCCAAGCGTCGGGGGGTATTGGAATGAGTAGCTAGGCGGTCGCAGACGAGATCGGGTGCGGCGGCCGTGGAAGACAGGAACGAGGTCGGGCGTCAATGACCGGTCGGATGCTGTCGTGTCAATGGCTCCGGGCACGGAATGCAGCAACGGGTATTCTCTAGTCTGTCTTTTGGCAAGCCCGGCCTCCACTGTCCACTACCACGCCTTGGGCATTGGGCAGGGGAGGTACCTGGCAGCCGCTCGGCTTTGCGTCGTTGAGCCTCGGGGGCTTGGAAGCGAGCGGGGATGGCAGGTCGACCTCTCTGCGCCTCGTTGGTAGTGGCAGCAGAGCAGGTGGAGAAGGTGCAGGTGAGGTGCAGGTGCAGTGGCAGGCGACGGTCGTCGATAGCACCTGGGCTGGGCAATTTGTGTGCGAACGTGGTTTCGTCACTACGGATAGAGAGACGTGGGCGGCGGTTTCCAGGATGCTTGCTTGGTCGCTGTGACTTCGCACAGGTAGCCGGGTACAGCGTGCTGCTAAAGATGCAATATCAGGTAGTGTGCGTATCTGTATGTAGATATACAGTACTCGGTGTCGGCAGGAAGTGGGCAGTCTTTTGGGCTCGGAGCTGATGCTGCAACTGCTGCTGCTCTCCTGCTTGCCCGGGGCCGTTGGGACTCGGCACTTGGGCGGCCAGCACAGGTTACGTTACTGGCTCGGTATCAACGGCGAGCGGAAAAAGAAAGGTGCGTTCAAGTGCGGAGCATAGAGGGTTCGTTCGTTGTCTCACAATTGGGTCGTTTTTCTGGCTGCCCGGTTCTGCTGCTTAGTGCCGCTGCTTAATTAGTGCTGCTGCTTGGTGCTGCTAGCAGGTGGCAGGGAAATGTGGACGTGTCCCGTGGGCCAAAAAGCTACCTTAACCTTCGCAACCTAAAGGGTAGGTGGTGTAGCAACTGTTATCTGGTCGGTAGCAATTGTTTTAGCGGAGCGATCCATCTGGCCAAGAAATTGGACGTCGCAAAAAAAAAAAAAAAAAAAAAGGTCTCGGAAATGGCTGCTGCACAGAGCCCCAGAACTGACTGACGTATTCGTCAATTGGCGAGCAAGTCCACCACGCCTCCCTCGAGTTGTCTCACAGTTTCCGTCTTTCCGGGCATCCCACGATTCGTGAAAATAAAACCCCCTATACAATGCTATCCGATTCATCAAATAACTCATGCATGCCAGAGCCAAGATGCACTTGACTTAAGCAGTGACTACGCAGCAAGACCACCTATGAACCGACTAGAAGCTCGGGGCCGAGAACACCTCATATATGATCGATCCATGGATGGAACCAACCTGGCCTCTGATGGGTCTCTGCTGGGCGACCTGCCCGCTTTGGAGGATTCCCTGCTCCCAACACGACAAATGGGACATCAACCAAATCAGACGACGAGTCAGAGGACCATTTTCCAGGTCTGGGGAATTGGCTGCCAATATCGCTTTCCCGGTGGTGGGTGCTTCCATCCTTGACATTAAGTGTATTAATTGCGGTCGAGTCTCCGTCGTTAGATTTCACTGGCCTCGGATGAGGCTGGCACTTGGAGGAGTGTCACGACTTATCCGCGCCTGGTTCAGTTATGTTCTTCCATCGAACTTGCGGATCTCGGATTAAACCGCCAGCCACCCAAGATACGTACATGAGGTGCCCTGTACATGTGCCCAGCAGAACAGCGTGATGCTTCGATTCAGCATGTCCGGCGAGGTAGGTACATAACGCATGGTGGGTAAGGTGAGTACCTAGGCAGGTACACTGCAGGACATCTGTTGAGAAAAACACAAAATACTATTATTAGTTTATTACTAGGTATGCAGTAAGACACATCAGAGTTCCTTGCCCTCCAGGTACCTCTCCGCCAATAACTTTTAGTAGGAGTTAAGAAACACTCGGGCTCCATGTTTTCAGAAAACGTAGATGAAGTATGCGCCAGATGCTCACTGCTCTTTCCTGTACCTACCTTCCGTTACTCTTCTCCCTTCCTCGGGCCGTTGCAACTGCAGGCCAGTGACTGCCATTGCAGCCTTTTAAGCTTTGCAGTCTGATCAGAGTTCCTGCTCCAAGCCGCATTTGCCGTGTCTCATAACCTGGCTTTTCCGGGTGGTGCCCAGGACACCTCTCCTTTCTGGCCCGTTGGAGCTGTGGCTTCGTTGCGATACATCCCCGGTATAGCAGCATTTACCAGCCAAACTCCCCGTTGAACTGCTAGCACAATGCTACGCCTTACTCAGACGGTCATCTCTTTGACCATGGCAGAGGTGAGGGAGGTCGAGAACCGCCGTCGATTCCAGAAATTCTTGGCAGCGCAGCCTCCCGTAACCCAGCCAGATCCAGTTGCGAGAGAGGCGTCCCAAGAACCAGTGACTCGGGCTGGCAAGTCGGCCAGGTTCTCCCCAGAGGTGGGTAACGACAAACAGAAAGAGGCAACTATCTCGCGGTCTAGGGAGCGCCTTCGCACGATAGATCCGCCGAACGAGTCGACCTCCGAACAGAGAAGGGAGGAGGAGATCCTGCCACTACCCGAGCTGCCCCGTAGACGAGACATCCGGCAGGACATGGGTGACGGCCCTGCCGACGGCCTTGACTCAATCGCTAGGTCTTCGAGCGCCAGGCGCCTTTCGCTGACGCCCAGACGTCTCGCGCCGGCCGAGATGCTTGTCAGTCCGCGCCGCGAGCCAGACACATCGGACCTTGACAGTACTCCAACTCCCCGGCGAACGAGAGAGCAGACGCGGGCAAGATATGGTTTATCGACTCCATCGGGACGGACTGCTGTTAGATCCCTTCCTATTAGCCGTCTTACATTCCGTCATCCCGTACCTCAAGCAAGGTTTGAAGTTTCTGACAGTTGTCACCAGGTTCCGGATCCAGTGAACGTACCGGAAGATTTGGTTCATCCCGATCCAGTGCATCAGGTACCTGGACAAGAAGTCTCCACACCAGACCGTCAGTCATTTCTACGGCGTGCCGAAAGTCTCCGTTCTCTTGCTCATGTAGGATGGACTTATATCCCCTGCGTTTCTGGCGCGCGAATTGCTGATGGTTTATTAGCTCCGGGAAGCCGAAGGCAGCAGTATGAGATTTTATCATTCTTTGAGAGACGAACGCCATGATCCACCGATCCAACCGACTCTGCAGAGCAGCCCGCGTTCGTCGCCGTTATCGATGCCTAGGAGCCCCGTCGGTTTCCAGATTTACGATGATTCTCTCCCGGCTTCGTCGCAGCCACAGACCCCACAGAATCTGCCAGAGACCCGTCATCAGAGCCGTCTGAGCGGTTCTTACACGGTACCTGCTCGGCGTCTACCTCCATACCCGCTCGGCACACCTACGACAGGCCGGTTGCGGCGGAGGGCCAGAGGGCGCCATCTAAGCCCGCCTGGACTGCAAACGCCCGGGTTCAGGGGTTTATATGGAGGAATCGAGAACACAGACGACTCGGTCTTGTTTGAGCAGGCATCGAGAGAGTTGGACTCTGGAGGATCCCATGCGGAGCCGCCGCCATCACCGCGAATCACTTGAAGATGCAAGGAGCCTCCAAGGAGTCACAGGAGGTATAGTAGCAGCGAGACGGGGAGTCTTCACGCGAGATGGGGGGTCCTCACGCGAGATGGGGGGTCCTCACGCGAGACGGCAGATGTAAATATTCCTAAAGTCAAAATATGGCTTTGCTTCTGATAACGTTTTGGCTGGAGTCCCACAAGATTAAAAGGCTCGCAAAAAGTATTTGTACGGAAATAAATAATTCATCAACATCCGTCTCAAAAAGGCTATGTAAGCCACTTCAAGTAAGGCTTCCAGTAGCCCGAACGGAATCCGAAGCTTGACTAGACAGACGGGTGGGTTCCACGTCCGCAGTTTGCTTGCCGCCATTGCCCTGCTCCCAGGCTCGGCATGAGACACCGTCTTTTGCCCGAAGGAGGAGGCAGGAGGCGAGGTCTGCACAACCTTGCATAAAATTGTGGCTGGTCCATGCAACGGGGCAAGAGCGAATCAGCACACCGCTTTCTCATTATGTCAGCTGCTGCCCTGGGGCGGTGTCTGCACAAGAAGGCAAGGTGTGGATTTAGAGAACCCTCTGGAAGAGACACATCGGATTGGGCGATGAAGGTGGTGGGGAGGTGGCACAATCAGACTCTGGGCGTGCAGAACTTATCGAGCGCTGACTGGAGCTCGCACGGGGCAGCAGGCAGAAGCGGGGGCGGCCAGAAACCTTGGCAGCCAAAGCGAGGAGCAACCATGGCATGCATGGGGCAAGCCGATCTAGCTGCATACGGCCCCATGGCATTTTCCGCGCGACCTGGCCGGGCACGAGAACCAACCCACCTATCACAGCGTTGAGCCGTCGATCGGGATCCACTTCTGAACCACAGCCAATGGTGGTCTGGCTCTGGTCTCACTCTCTGGAGAGCTACCGCTCCACAGCATCAGCTCCGATTGTCTATGCCTGCCTCGCGGCTGCCGGCCGTCTGTCTCTGCTTCCTCTCACACACCCGTTTCGCCGCCTGCATCTGTCTTTAGTTTCCACCTCCTGCTCCTCATCCACATTCTTTTCCTCACACATATATTCCCGTTCCCATCCCCCCTTGTGTCTACTCGTAGCCTTCCTTTCACCTGAACTCTTCAACCCGTTTTCGACCTCAGCGGCCTACTAACACCGAACTCACCTACACTCTCGTCGCCGTCCTCCCCTGCTGAGCCGTCTACAACGCATTCCTACCTCGTCCTCGTCCTCGCCATCCCCCCTCTTCACCTCTTCTTTCTTCCATATTATCCTCATCAATTGACCCATCATCTCGGACTCGTAGCAGCCCGCTCCTCTCTTCTAGCCAACCGTCTTGTCAACACCCTGGCCACTCCTTGTCCATCTTGACGTGCCTTACTTGACGTGCAGACCTCGTCTCCCTGATAACATAACACAGCACCCACCTAACTCGCTGATCTGACCAGTTCACGTGCATCTAGCACCGTCTTACACACTCATCTAGGGCTGAACAAATCTTAAATCATGCCGTCGTTCGATTGCACCTACGCGTCGTCGCCTGTTCTAGCCATGCAGCCTCAGGCTATTCATCAAGTTCCCTGCGGCAGGACCTTCCTGCCACACCATGCTTCGTCGTTCAGTCAGTCAGTCTCGTGGCCTCAACAGCTCGTCCGAAGCTCATCACTCGCCGGGCGTAAAAGATCTAGAGACGAGGCTGCCGTGAATCTCGACCCTCCACAGAAGGTCGTCGAGCCACCAGTCATCAAAGAGTCCGAGGACGAATGGACGTACGGCCCCGGCATGACCCTCATCAGAAAGACTACGGGCTATGTCATTGATGCCACCAGCCAATCCGGCACGTGGGTCGAAGAAAAAGCCGCCGCTGAAGAGACGCGCAAGACCGAAGCTGCCCTCCTTGTACGTGATCAACTTTCCCAGGAGCGGCCGTCTCTCAGAAGCCACAAATCGCAACGGCTTGATATGGGCAATGGCGCAAACGAAAACTCCTTAAGCCGACGATCAAGTCCAGCTCGAGACGTTGCCAACCCAATGACCGCGTCCTCGGATTCCCTCACACAGCCAATCGTAGACGACTTCACATTACATCTTGGCATTGGCTGGAGCCGAATCAGCGACGAAGAACACATCCAAGCAGCCGCTCGTGGTTGGGCCCGCTACATCGAGAACCACTACCCCATCACCAACGCTCAGATCCGGCTGGAAAGTCGCGGGTTGCAATCCTACCTGGTTGAAGCGAACGAGGGCTACTTCCTATTCGCCGAAAACCTCCGGCAAGGCCGACTCGTTAGCAAGACAGTCGAGGGCGCCCTCCAAAACCTCAAAACCTCCCCGCCCGTCTTCGACAACACCGACACCATGGTAGCCACCGAAACACCCAAACCTCTAGAGGTGGCACCCACTTTCACAAAGCCTATACCTACCGTCACGTCTGTCGAGATGGACATGAGCTGAACACTGCCTGCACGATTGAGCTTTGGCGTTAACAGATGGACTCCTTGCCCTGGAGCGTGTACTTGATAAACGGCCTTGATGGCTTGCATGGCTAGAACTGGGCACCGAAGTCGTGTGTCCGATTGATAGCCGGTAATTTTTTGGGGTTTCGGAAAAACGGTTCCACTGGGGCAAAAAGGTAACCTTGGTCGACTTCTTTTTTCTTGTAATGGGGTCATGGAGATTAAACATATGGGACTTTTTCTTTCCACATTTTACGACATACCTTACCTGAAAAAGTGTACAACTAGACTCCAACTGGAATACCATCACAATGAACAAGCAATACGTGAGGGCTGTTGCGTGCGTGATGTTTAAGTGCAAGCACTTGTATTAGCCACAGTCGGTCTCACTTCGAAAGAGACGCACCTTGTGGTCTGTTTCAAAGCTACAAAGAGGCCTTGGTGTGGGCAGGGAGAGCTTGGCCGAAGTGAATTGCGGTCAAGTGAATCGGGGGGTTGGATGGGAACAGTCGAAGCGAGGCCAAAGCGGGGGCGAGGGGAGGAAAGTTGGGGGCTGCAAATCTATGGGCCCAGTCTCCGGCAGTTGGCGAGCAGCTGGCAAGGAACTAATCCGTCCAGAGAAGCTAAATTCTTTTGCCAGGCTGCTTGGTCAACTCGGAGTCTCGGAGCGACACTGGCAGACAATCGAAGCTTTGGTCATCAGCACCAGGCCAGACCAGACCACTTGACAGTCTGACACGGCCAACCCGAGCAAATGTCGGCGAAGCAAAAAGCAGGAGCACGGCGCATGGTCTTGGTGATGGTCTTGTCTCGTGGCCCTTTTTTTTTCTATTTGCGGCTCTACATATTAGGTATACGATGTGCGTGCTGTAAGTGCTTGTTGTATTCGTCTCCGTCTCCGTAACCAACCGGGCAGTGCATGTCCTGACGAGGAGATTTTAGGGGCAGGCCATGGACAGAGCCATGATCGTACACACACACTAGTAGAGATGCCTATCGTGGGGTATCTTCTCTTTATCTTCCGATCTTGAATTAGTGCCTATGTCTGTCAAGGCGAGGTTTTCTACACAGGAGGTGCAGAAGCTAGGTTGATGTTCAACCAACCCTTTCCCTTCACAGTCCACGACACTCTGCCACGATGCACATTGCATACATCGTCCGTGGTGTTTTTCCCCAAACGTCAGTCAGGCACAAACAACAACCAACGAAAAATGCACGGGGGAAAAAGCTGTTATATAATCCGAGTGCTGCGGTGCATAACATAAATCCAATGGAGGGCATAGTATTGTAGGTTTAGTGCTATAACGCCCGGACAAAGGCGAAAACTTTGGCCGACGTGTCTGTGTACATACCACGGGCGGACGGACGCGGAGAACGACGCGCTGCAGGAGCAACCGGTTCGCGATGCGATGCAAGGCGGATGGATGCTTACCTCTCAACAGGAGCAGCAGCAGCGAGCCAGCCGGATTCGACGAGTTGCTTGCTGTATGCGTGTGTGTTTTCTTTTTGCTTGTTTATTATAACTCTCAGTCAGCTTCCATCTGCACTCCTTATTTTTCTTCTTCAGTCGCGTCTCGATCTCTTATCATGCTTCCATCGTCTCATCTCATCACCGTGCATCCCGTCCATTGATCCATCAATCCAAATCAGAATCGGATTTTTGTCATTGGCGTATCATCTATTCGTCTTTTTGTGCACGCACGCCCTGGTTCCGCCTACCTTCCTACCTGTGGTTGTTTCCAGGCTCCATCGTCCTGCGACGCACCCGGCGAACGGGGCGCCCGTTGCCAATCGTCAGCAAGACGACAGCCGGCGGCCCCCCTCCTTTTTTTCTGCCTTTAGGACTGCCCACTGCCGAGGGGCCGCTTCCCTCTTGTTTCTCACCCCTTAGAGGGTGCGTTCCCTTACTGGCTGGACGGCTGGCTGAGCTCGCTTCCTTGTGTGGCAGTGGCGAATTCATCCAGTCTCTTTGGCTGCACGCAGCTGTTCGCCGTCGCCAACCAGGAGGAGGGGCACAGCCTTGCGGGTGCCGAGTCACAGCTTCCAGCCAGGACCCATCGTTTAATCCGTGAAAGGAGGAAAGGTGCAAAAGAGTTTTGCTAGCCCTCCGCTTTTCCCTCTTACACTTTCTAGCACACTGGGGCTAGTTTCAATTTGGTTCGATTGAGAAATTGACTTTTTTCCTTCGTTTTGCTATTTTGCTTGTTCGTGTCTTTCCTTCCCCGTAAGCTTTGGGCGTGGCGGCTCCGAAGCTCACTCACTCGTTCGCATTCACATGCGCCTGCCCGCTCCAAGCAACCCCTCACCGTGCGACTTGACGCAGTGGCTCCGCCGGCCGGTCGCCAGCTGCCAACCACCGCCATCCGCCGGCGCGTCATTGGGCGACGGCTTCGAGGAGCGACGAGCCCGAGGAGGCAGCCCGGGGAGAGGAAGCTAGAAGCTCGCGGTCTGGTCTAGTCTTTTACTGTCTGAAAGACCAAGACGAGATAATTCGGAGGAAACACTAGGCCAGGAAAAAGGAGGGGTACGATCCAGACGAAAAGTACGGCTACAGCGGTGGGGCGAGGCACGAAAGCGCACCCCATCCCGATCTCACCAAAAGAACGAACCGAACCGAGACTCCGCAAAAGAGACAGCGGCGGCGGAGGAGGTGAACGGGAGGAGCAAGACACAGCGCGACACGCGAGATACAGCGAGACCAGGGCTGATCGCCGTCCCGCATTCATGGTGTCGCACCAGCACGGCGGCGACGTGTCGACCTCGCTGACAGTGCGGGGGTCGGCGTCCGTCGTCGGGGCTGGCGCTGGGAGCGACGGGCGAGGGAGCGCAAGTGCGGGCGCAAGCCTGAGCGGCAGGACGGCTGGCTCAGGAAATGGTGGAGGAGGCGGGTCTCATGTCTCATCCCGCGCCCGCCGCTACAACCGGTCGCACGCTGGAGGCGTCGCATTTGTGCCCCAGAACGAGTTCCCCGTCTTCAGCCACAGCGGCGACGTCGAGATCGTCGTGCGCGTCGCCAGCGGCCACGAGAACAGATATCTGCTACACCGACATACCCTCACCCGCTGCTCTGGTTTCTTCGAGGCCAGCACCAGTAAAGAATGGTCGCGCGCTCAGACGGTGCCCGACGTGTCGCTATCGCCAGCTCCGCCAGCCGTCCCGGCAATTGAGGCGGCCAGCGGGAGCAACAGCAATGGCAATGGCAACAGTACCGGCGCAGAGTTGGCGAGGATAGACGATCGAAGTAATGGCGGGAACGGGAGCGGCAGCGAAGGCGGTAGCACACCACGGCCCATGGGCTTGGGTCCGCTGCGGAAAAGGTGGAGGTACGAGCTGGACACTGGGACGGGAGACAACGACATACCAATGCTGGTGCAGAAGCCCGAGAGCAGCGGGCCGCCCACGGCGGGCAGTCTGACGTCGCCCAGCTCCATATTCGGCGGGCCGAGTCCGTCAAGCCGGCACCACCACAGCAGCAGCGGCAGCGGTAAGCCGTCGCGCGCCTTCTTCCGCTCCGTCGCCAACCTCAGCCTTTCGTCCACCCACCATGCAGCGGCAGCCCCCCTGGAGCCCCCCACGCACGCCGAACAGGATCTGCTGCGCGACTACGACAACCTGTTCCGCATCATGTACAACTACCCGCCGTACCTCGACGGCATAAACATCGCCGACGCCTACGTGCAGTGCAAGTCGCTACTGACGCTGGCGGACCAGTACGACGCGCTGGCCGTAGTCGGCCCCCGTGTTGACCACCATCTGCTGCAGTTCCAGTCGCGTCTGTGGCGGCAGATCGCAAAGTATCCCATCAGCTACCTACGGCTGGGCTACCTGGCCCGGTCCAAGGTCATGTTTCAGGAGGCGCTGATCCACGTGGTCGGCCAGTGGCCCGCAGGCGAGCGGTCGATCCGGGCCGCCATGCCCGACACAGTGCTCGACATCATCGAGGACAAGGTGGATGAGCTCGAGGAGACGATCAGCCGTATCGAGGCGCGCCTGTTCCGCCTCACCCTCACCAACCCGCGCTCCGGCGAGCGCGTCACCCCCGCCACAAACTACCTCGACTGGCTGGCCGTCAGCCTGTTTCGCCAGTGGCTTGCCGACAACACCACGCCGCCCATGCCGCCAATACCCGACCGCACCCGAGGTGCTGGCGGGCACCGCGACGCGGCAGGCGGCGGGTCTCGCGCCCGCGTGGCGAGCAACAGCAGCAGCAGCAACGCCAGCGCAGCCGGGGCGGGTCATGGCCGGTCATCAGGCGGCGGTAGCGGCGGCGGCGGCGGCGGCGGCGGGCCCGGGCACGGCGTCCTCGTGGCGCCGGTGCCGCCGCTGGCATCGCTCGGCAAGACGTACCGAATCCTCGGCGGCGCCGCGGCCGGCACGAGCAGCGCGTCGCCCGACAAGGGCTACCTGGCGCACGACGAGTGCAAGCGCTTCCTCAAGCTCACGCCCGACCTGTACAGCCGCGACAACCTGCGGCGCTTCGAGAAGCGCGTCGACGAGCTCAAGGCCATGGCCCGCGAGGTCGTCCGCCCGCTCATGGGCACCGGCCTCGAGCTCGAGCTCGGCGCCGGCGGCGCCATCGCCCCCACCGGCATCGCCTATCTGACCTGCACCACGCTGGCTGACAGGGACCTGCCGTGGCTCGTGTACGACTAATGACGGCGGACGGCGGGCGGCCGGGCTGCGCGGGAGAAGGTACATACCTAATGATTTCTGGTGGCACATGTATATGGGAAAGAGAATGATGGCATGACGGATGAACGAGGAAGGTAATAATGAACACGACTCTTTTCTTGCTCCTTTTCGGGGCTGCGACTCTTATACCGGACCGGCTGGGGAATTGCTTTTTTTATTATAATGTTTGACTGGGTATGGCTGCCTTACTGTACGGCTGAACGGATGGACGGACGGATGGACCTGGAGTCTCTTCTTCTCTTCTGCCTGTGAATCTCTCTCTCTCGTGTTCCAAGTCTCTACGGTACTTCACTGCCCATCTGACTACAGTGCTCGGTCACTTGTTTCTCTTCGTTTCTTTCTCGGTCTATACCATTTATTCTGGCTTGGAAGAGTCTTTATATATGGCTCAGCCTATGATTGCCCCCAATCCCCCCCCCCCCCCCCTCCCCCGATGTAACGAATGAAATATGTTGGGTGTTTTTTTCTAGGTTTGGCTTGGGTTTTTCTTGTAACTAGGATACCCGTCAAATGCAAAATCAAATAATTGTTACTATTTTGGCGAGTAATTATAACTCGGGGCAACTGCTTCGTTGTTATGCATTCGACGTGAAGTGTTGAATGTCGAATTATTGAACATGAATCGACATAGGCCCTGCCGTGTTCATGCTCATAAGAGAAGGCCGTGGTGCCCCGTTCCTTGTCTTTTTCTCCATTCCTCTCTTCTACTGTTCACAACACGATAATCAAACATGGGCGGCGATGATATGTTTGTTATCTACAGAGTAGTTAATTTGAATTAGTTCAAACAACACCGAGTACGTCTTTTCCGCTCAAGTCAACCTGAACCTCGTATGTCAGAGTCCACAATAGTGAGATATTATTTAATTATTTGCGCAATTAAACTATCAGCGCCTTAATTAGATCTCAGCTCGACATCTGAGACAGGTTCCCTTAGTCGGACTCAAGGCGAAGTTCAACTGCGAGAAACTACACCGTCTCTCGCCAGAGAAGATACCTCTCCACATCTGATTTAAAATCAACCCAATGCCATCCACCGACGGCGAGCTGACCTACCGACAGAAACTGGAAGCGGCCTACTCCAGCTCGCGAATCAGATCCATGTACATCGCCGCACCAATACCCGTCATGATGTGCCACCAGCCGTGCAGTTCCAGCAGCCAGGCCCACGGGAGCCCGACAACGGCGCGCCACCCGCGTAGGCCATGGCACAGCTCGAGATCGACATTCCACAGCACAAAGCCCACTAGCAGCCAGGCAATAGCCACGCCGAAGTTGCGGAACAGCCGGTTGCGCTCGGCCGCGGACCCGTCGGCGCGGCGGAAGATGAGGTAGACAGTGCGCGGCCAGACGGCGTGCACCATGGCGGTGAACATGGCTAGGTGCACGATGATCTTGCCGCTCTGGACGTACGCGGCGGCCATGGCGGCGACGACGGCGTAAACAGCCGCGGAGATGGCGGCGCGCTGCCGCGGCGGACGCTGCACCCCGCCACCAGCGGCGCAGTACACGCCCTGCAGCAGCGCGCCGGCCGTGATCAGCATCGACATGTCGTCGGCGAACTGCGCCGGCTGCAGCAGGCTGGCGTGGAACGCAAACGACGTGATCCCCAGCACGACTAGCGACACCGCCATAGCGTCGAAGCCTGGCGCCACCTTGGCCGGTGCCGAAGCGGCGCGTGTGCCAGTGCCGGGTCCCGCGGGCGCCTGGCGCGGATTCTGCGGGACCCGTGGCGTCCATGCGTACCGGAGGGCTAGGTAGACTGGGGGGAAAAGGAATCAGTGAGAGACAAGGCAGGATTCTGAGGGGCATCAAAGTACCGTAGATGAGGTTGGTCAGCGAGTTGACGAACTCGGCGAGATATCTGGTTATCACGTAGTCCTCTTCGCAGAAGCTTTGGAGGATCGGTTAGCCGATTCTCCGCGAGAGCGAGGCGGTGTGAGTGAGAGCGGCTCACTTTGCGGCGCTTGTCGGCGGCCCCCAGACTCCGGTATTGGAAAAGGGGTCGCCGCCGTAATGGCGATTATGATGCGGCATGATATCGTTGGAATCAAGTGACCAGATGATTGTTTTGATCAACGTTATAGAGAGTCGTAGTGTTTTAGGGGCGCTTTGAACAGACGGGCAAAGAAGAGGGTGAAAATGGACAATTATCGATATGGAAAACAGAAAACCAAATAACAACAGTCAGTCACTGCAGCCCCCAGCCACCTCCCCACTAGACTTGAAATGGTTTGGAGTGAGCCCGAGGTCCGAAAGAGCAAGGAATTGAGTACGATGCCCGTTTATATCTCTAGAGTCATGCTAGAAATCACCTGACAACCTCGCTCCGGGCTCAAGAGTCGGTGAGGTAGCATTGGAGCCGCGCGGCGAATCCTTCTGCAACTTTTAATCCGTCCCAAACACACAGACTGGAGTCATGTTAAGTTAAGCTTTGGGGTTGGACGACACCACGGGGTTTGGCGATCAATTATGCGAGAACTATAGTTGCAATGGCTGTTCTATAGAGAGCATGCTATGCGTAGAGCAGGTGGCAGTGGTATCTCGAGAGAAGTCCGGGCCCCGAGATCCACCAGAGCGGCCTCGAGTTGAGCAACTTAACTCAAAAGTGTCAACTCGTGTCTCTCAACAAGAGGCTCAGAGGCGATGAATGGCGGCGCTAGACCTGCCAGAAAAGACAAGACTGGAGCATCGAATTGCTACAGAAGCCGTTTCTATCGGGAGGGCCACAAATGCTACTAGCAAGATTAGGTTCGGTGTCTATGAACAAGGCAAAGAAACCCCGATTGATGAACTCAATGACGAGGATGTCGGAAACCAGGCTTTCAGTTGACACAGTCCGTGCAAACAATTCACCCCAGGGCTACCAGAGTTGGTACATTGGGATTATAGAATTCGGTTATTAAGTTGTAATCGGTACAGAGTACCTAGCCTCCACTTTTCGAAGGGTCAGGACTGCTTAGTCAGTCTGCAGGGACCCACTCCAGAATTGTAGCGGCAGGGCTGGCACGACAGGTAGGCAGATGCCAGGCGGGCGCGGAGTTGGCTTCTTCGCCTCGAAAACTCCAGTCTCCACTAGTAAACCACGACGCGATAGACGGACGCGCTTGACCGACCCCAAGCCCCCAACTCTGTTCCCCGAAGCAGCCCCATCGGAAGAAAGGCCCAGCCCAGTGTTCGACTCGATATTTACTTAATCTTGTCAAACGGTACCTAAGGTAGATAGGGCGACTCGCACTGGCCTAGCGAAAATGCAGCCGAATTACCGGGGATATGCACAACATGCGCCGCCCAGGGCAGGAGGACAGCATGTCCCACAACGCCGTGGCGGCATTGGTGAGTGCCGATTTCCATTTGGCTTTTGCCTTGCTGTAGTCCGTGTATATGTATAATAGTCTGGAGTTGAGACTGCATCCCATCGCATCCCATCGCATCCCATCCCGGTCCTCATTCTGTCAGCCTGACTCGCCGCGCACTCCGCTTTTCCCGACATCTGTTTTGCGGGTGGAGCATACTGCGCGACGACGGGAGCACAGCTCTTTCTCTCCCGTTCCGTCGCAAGCATCGACTGCCCGCAGCCATAATCCCGCTGTCCCGCCATCCCGCAACCCCCAAGTGCAACGTGTGCAGGAGGCAGAGCGCCCACGCACACGTGCATCCGAACCAGCGCCCTCAATTGCAGAGTCTAGACCCTAACCTCGCCCAACCCCGTCACAGGTCCCATGATGTCAGCCGGTCCCCATCACTCAGTGCCCATGACGCAGGCCCAGATCCATCAGCAGCAGCAGCAGCAGCAGGCCGCTCTCCAGCTGGCCAAGCTGAGGAGTCGCAAGCCCACCGACAAGTCGCTCCCCGAGGGCGTCGAGGAAACGCTCGTCGGCGACGGCGATGTGGCCCTGGCCTACAAGAACCTCCGCGACTTTGAGCGCCGCCTCGATGCTACCATGACGCGCAAGAGACTGGACATCGTTGACTCGGTGAGCCGAAACGCAAAGGTATGTTAGCCCCCCCTACTTCCCCTACAAACTGAGGCTAATGCGCCATCACCACACCAGCGGTATAAGACACTGCGCGTCTGGATCAGCAACACCGTCGAGGACCAATTCTGGCAAATCAACAGCATCAATGCCGACACGTTTGACTTCTCGGCTAACAACGAATCGTCATATCGCGTCAAGATCGAGGGCCGCCTGCTCGATGACGAAGACGACACGGACAAGGACGAAGACGAGGCCAAGGCGGGCAACGACACGGATGGCGACAAGATGGAGACAGATAGTCCAAGCCTACCCAAGGTCAAGCCTGTCTCGGCCAAACCGGGCCAGCGCTACCGCTTCTCCCACTTCTTCAAGGCCCTGACGGTTGACTTTGACCGTCCAAAGTCGGGACGTCCCAGCGCAGACACGAGCGTTGAGTGGAAGAAGCCCGACCGGACGCCGCCAGGGTCTAACCTACCCGCCGCGGCCGACTTTGACGAGCTCACCTTCAAGAGGAATGGGGACGAGAATGCTAACATCACCATCAACCTTTACCGCCACGAAGACCCCGAGCGCTTCGAACTCAGCCCCGAGCTTGCCGAGATTATCGACATGAACGAAGCCACGCGCCAGGAAGCCGTCATGGGGCTGTGGGAATACATCAAGCTCATGAAGCTGCAGGAGGACGAGGAGAAGAGGAACTTTAGATGCGACGAGCTCTTGAAGAGGGTAAGTTTACTTGCCGATTGTCGCAGCCCCCGTGTCCGTGCGTATTGAGCATTCTAACCAACACTCCTCAGGTGGTTCAACGAGATTCCGGCTTTATTCCGGCGCTCAACGACTACATTGCGCCGCACCTGAAGACGCTCCCACCGGTCAGGCTGGCGTACACGATCCGGGTGGACGAGGAGTTCCACAAGGACCCCAACCCGACCATCTACGACATCCGCGTGGCCGTCGACGACCCGCTGCGGGCCAAGCTGGTGCCCTTCATCCACAACCCGCAGTACGCATCCATGCTCAAGGACGTGGCACTGCTCGACGACCAGCTGGCGACGCTGGTGCAGGCCGTCGCCCAGTCCAAGGCCAAGCACGCCTTCCTAGCCTCGCTGACCCAAGACCCCGTCAACTTTGTCCGCAATTGGCTCAGCTCCCAGAAGCGCGACCTCGAGGTCATCATGGGCGAGGCCCCCCGCGGCGGCGGCGAGGACGCCACCGGCGACGAGTGGCGCAAGGGCGGCCGCGAGAGTGTCTGGAACACGACTAATGCCCGCGAGAGCGTTAACGTCCTGCTGTCCAAGCACCCCATGCACCGGTGAACTGCTTAGCGCTTTTTTTTGGTCTTTACACGGGGGAGGGAGTTACTGCAGGCGTTTCCGGTGGTAAAAGGGCAGGCTCTTAAGAAGGCGTCTGCGCTGTTTTTCTTTCTCATATTTGTCAAATTTATCTATCCCGAGATCATTAGGTGCGTGCGGGTGCCGTGTAGGCAAGTAGATGTTATTGTTAAAGTTGTGGGCTGTCTTCTTTGGCCCTAGTTGGTTAGACGAATGAATTGTCGCTTCCCGACGCGTTAAATATGGTGATACTTAGCAATATGTATTGTATATAAGATAGGTAGAGTAGTCGCTTTCGCCCCAAATCGGCGTGAAGTGGTAGCATTTTCATAGTTATCGGTCATTTAGTATCATGTTGAGAATTGAGAAAGAGTGCTCGTCCGAAATAATGTAGATTATTCAGGTGCCTTGCTTTTTCTGTATTGAACCAGACGACGAGCAGCAAAATCACCACTGCCAGCAATAAACCACAATGTTTTGGGCCGCGCGCAATGCGCAATTAGTCTTGTTGAATTTGGTTATAATGGGGTATCTATCACGGTTTATTATTAAAAGAGAATCCTTTTTTCGCTCCTTCACGTCATATCCATGTCCATATCATGCCTGGCTGCCACACACACACACGCACGCATCATAGGTATCCATTCAATCCTAGCCCGTCAGGTCGACAAAGGCCACGTCGCTTCCTCGCCAGACCCTGCTGTTGCCGTCTCGCAGGCAGTGGTTTTTCACCAGCATTTCCACGTTCTTGTCTATTTCTCGATCTTGCTCGATGCCGAATTGGCTGTCGTCGTTGTCGCCACTGCTGTCGCTGTTCTTATTGTGCGTGCTGGTGGCGGCCATGACGCCGTCGGCTACTTCGCGGGAGACTTCGACTTCTTCGAGGTAGCCGGCGTCGGCATCCGTTGTAGATCGAAGGAAGTATAATTTCGTTGTGGCAGAGGACGTAGTAGCAGCGGCCGTTGTCTCTTTAGCCAAGCTTGCAAGGCGAGTCTCAAAATTATCTGCGCTGCTCTGCCTATTTTCCTTGCCGTCGCCGCTCTCTATTTCGCCGACAGAGAGAGAATGAGAGCCGGTTTTCCCAGGGTCTAACGCAGTCGAATAAGGCGGCACCGTTCGCCGGTTTTGTGGAGGAAGCTCGTCTTCGTTGTCATCTTTGATGTCATTTTTATCGCGGCCATCTGCCGTTGGTGGGCGAAAAGTCCGGTGAAACCGTGCATTGCGTAGCTGTTGGAGTGGAGGGAAGTTGCCATCACTCTCGTCGCCTGACAACAGATCGATTTCTATCCGGCTGATGAAACCTGCAGTAGGAGAAGCCTTCGCATTCGTAGACCCGCTGCCAGATCCTTTTGAAAGCTTTCCATAGTCGGTAATAGACTTTTGCGTTAAGACGGTGCTTGCACTGTCTTCTCTGCTCTTGGGTTGCTTGAAAGGTCTCGGCTTTCTTGTTGTTTGCGATGAAGCCGAGTCCGATGCTGGGGTATCATCCACCAAATTTGCGGAAGCTACTACCGTAGTCCTGCTACGTGCCACCACCGACCTGAGCTTTCGCGGGATCGGAGACGGGCTGGGTGGGTCTGTCTGAAAAGGAGGATCGGGAGGGGGGCTCTGAGTTTGCTCCCTCTTTCTGGGGGTCATCTGTCCCGCGACCTCGGCCGACGTCACAGCCTCGTCGCGACGTGGAAGTGGCGAAGGGGCCGCAGGACTGGACGAGATGTAGATGGAATGTTGTGCTGCATTTGGCTTGGGATGTGCAGTGGAATATGTGATGGATTTGGTAACCCTGGGGCTTTCCTGTGAGCCCGCGAGGGTCCAAGGGTTGATTCCCGCCGTCGGCTTGCTGGGCTGGGGCTTGGAGGGTTTTCTGGGTTGCCTACGTCCTCCGCTACCCAAAGCTTGCCGAGTAGAAGAGCCAATCGTCGCCGAGCGGGCGAGTGGCTGCCTGCCTGTGCCCTGGCTGCTGGGAGGGATAGCGGAAAAAGACGATCCCGACGAAGAAACAGTGGTGGAGACTTTCGATGGAGCCGTGATGGTGCTGGTGCTCTTTGTAACTTTGACGAACTTGTCCAGCGCCCCGGTGGGCATGTCTGTCTTCTTTGACCGAGTGCTACGCGTTCGCGTAGTCCTAGCAGCGGCCTTTGCAGAAGCCCGCCGTTCCTTGGAGTGCAGCTTCTCTTCCCAGTCCTCTACCGTCAGGGGCACCCCTATTTTGACAATTGACTCTGGAATCCAAGCCAGATCTAGCTGCAATGAGTCAAACGTCTTTTTGGTGCCGGCGCTCTCCGGACTTTCCACGGCATCATCGTCAAACTCATCATCGCTATTCAGAGCAATACCGCTTCGGCCGTAGCCTTCTACCTCTTCCTCAGGCTCGGCATCGAGATTGAGTCCAACGATGTCGGCTGGAATGAAGGATATGCGCAATTCAGGCGTCGCATCTGTACTAAAGTGCGTTCGTCTGATGGAAACGGCTTTGACAATAGCCGCCTCGTCTCTTTTTTGTTGATCGAGGTCATCCGCGCGCGGCTCTTGCAACCTATACTTGTCGAGTAATATCTGAACCAAAAGGCTAGGGGCCAAGACACGGATTAATTTAACAGCGCCGTTGCGGTAATTCCAGTCAAAAGTCTCGCCGACAAACTTTCGCAGGCCGATGACATCCACCTCTTTCGTCGAAGGGGAGCCTCTCTTCAGCCTGTCTACTGTGTCTTGACGCGAAACGACTGGATGGGTGTAATATCCCAATATTTCCATATTCGGAAATTCGTCGGGAATCTCCAAGGCTTTGTGCTTTGTTCGGAAGAACTTGCTCTCGTTTGTGCAAAGCTCGTGTAGTAGCTTGCTTTTCCAAGCCGCCAGGGCTGCTGTATCTGCCCTTTTAATCTGGCAGAGGTCTCGACCAAAGCCGGCCCGCGCGGCTTCGCAGGCCACCTTGACTCCGCAGCCCGGAACGCCTTCGGGGAGGTAATCGCCGCCACTCATCAGAGCAACCAGAACCATTCCCTCCCGGTTCAACCCGCTGGTGCCGCTCGCAACCTCATCCGCATCGTAGACTGAAACATGGGTAGGCGTCTTGGAGCCCTTGGGGCCCTCGGACGTCCAGTTCCGCAGAGTGCGGCGGCAGCCAAACATGATGGTGTCGACATCTTCACTGAGAACGGCATCCACGACGCCCTGCTGCTGGAGAAGGGCGCATTCAGCCTCGGCCTCACCCGGCGCATCGTGGATAGCGAACCCAAAGAGGCGAATCACCTGCTTGGCCATGGCGGACGCAATAGAAGTGCCGCTGCGGCCGACTGAACGCTTATTGCGCTTGAATGCCGGCTTCCTAGGGCCATCAAAGACGAATATTGGCTGGATGGCAAGCCCCATGAGTCTGAGGAGGCGGTAGAACAGAGTGCGGATCGCGGGGTTGGAGCCGCCTGAGGTGTGGCCAGGTTAGCGGACAGTCAGTGGAATACAGCGCATACAGTATACATGGAAATACCGGAGAGAAACGAAGCGGATCGGACATGGACTGAACGTACCTTTGGCTGCCTGCGTCTGAAACTGCCATATCGAAATGTCAATGGCGACGCGCAGGGGACGCCCGGTCTGCTTAAGCTTCTCGACGGCGAGCTTGCAGAGGGATACGCGATCCCCAGGGCCAATCTCCTTGTAAATTCTGCGAAAGATCGAATTAGACGGCCATCCATCAATTCAGGGTTAGGTTTATCGCGTGGCATGGGTTTGTACTGGAGGTAGTATCCATCACTCACCCTTTGATGCCCATCTTGGCAAGTCCTTGAAGTTGGCTCAGCCGTTTAAACCGGGTTTTCCTCTCTGGGAGATGTTTAAATGGATGCAAGACCAAAATGTCAATCAAGCTATGTTATTAGACCTAAGTATGAATGCAATTATTCAGCTCATCCGAGTCATTTAGCCCTGGTGTCGCTCGCGTTGCGGCAGCTCTTGAGGGCGATGGCGGAGGCAAATACCCTTTGTTTACCTCCTTCCGCTTGTGATCAGGTGTGGGGGGTAACAGCTGGTAGTGTCACTCAGCCTTTAGGTGGTCCGAGGTGGTAGGCCTTGCCGCCGTACCAGGTATTTAAAATTGGTAGTATCTCGTTACGTTCATAACCGAACCCAACAGAGTGCAGTTATGCAAGTAAAGAAGTCTAACTGCCTTCAAGCCACCTGCCAAGCACCACCCGACTTGAAGCAGGGGTTAGAAGCCTCATGCTGGACCCGACGACACGGGAAGTGTCCATCTCCATTTATTACCTGGAACAGCTTCACAGCACAACAGCTGAAGCTTAACGCGGGACTAGGACCACCCTACTCGTATTGACATTGAAAATCATAGGGATTTTTTTTTAATTTAACTGGCAATTGGCGCTCTTGCGAGGCCTCACACCTCGCGCTTTTTTTTGTCTTTTTATTTTTGGCTTTTATTTGGGCATTCAAGCCACTGGGGTCTTGTCAGTCTGTGCTGAGACGGCGCGGCAATGGCCTCGTCAACAGGACCGCCGACGACGCTGCCGCATCGTTCTGTCGCTAACATACGCTCGCCCCCCGCCGCTGGCCACCACGGGCCGTCGAGTGGGCCATCGACTCCGCTGCGGCCTATCACATCGGCCTTCGCCTCGCCGTCCAGTCTCCGCGCTGAAGAGGATCTCATTATCATTGAGTTCGGCACTCGGAAGCTGCAAGTTGGCTTCGCTGGAGATGCAGCGCCCCGGGGCAGCATCTGGTTTGGCCCCGACCACCAGCGCCGCGTCGGCGACTTTCGCGCTTGGCAGACAGACTACCACGATGACTGGAGGAACGCTGCGGCCGGAAAATCATGGGGCTGCGATCACGAGCTATGGCAGTCCGACATCCGCGGTCTTGACCTCGGCTTAGTCGGCGACAAGATTGAGAGGGCTCTGAAGGACGCCTTCAGCAGGTATCGCATACATCCCCGGGCTATTTTTATGCCATTTATGTGACTTGACTAACACCCTACCTAGATATTTACTCATCGACTCGCGTCCCCGCAGAGTGGTTTGCGTGCTTCCTTCGGACTTGCCCATCCCGTTACTGTCAACGGCCCTAGACAGTCTGTTTAACCGGTTCCAGTCGCCCACGGTCTCACTGTTCTCGTCCCCGGTGGCCTCAGCCGTGGCCGCTGGCATGCGGTCAGCCCTAGTTATCGACCTGGGCTGGAGCGAGACCGTCGTCACGGCTGTCTACGAGTACCGCGAGGTCAATTGCGGTCGGACCATCCGCGGAGGTAGGATGCTAGTAGAGCAGACTCATAATCTTCTCGCAAAGCATCTCCCCCAGGCTCGGAAGGAGACCGAAGCTGCCCATAGTTCTCAACAGGCGCAGGATTATGCGCTGAGCTTCGAAGAGTGCGATGAGATTACCACACGCATGGTCTGGTGTAAGCCTTACCATGCAGCCACCACCACGGTTGCCCAAACCGCCGAGGGCCTACCAACGGTACAAGAACACGACGAATCTGATGCCCGAGGCCACTCGTCTTCTGGAAAGGCTGCCACTGCGACGATTCCTCTGAAATCAGCGAAACCGCCTACATTGCTAAACTTGCCATACGACCTACTCACAGAGCCTTGCGAGAATACATTTTTTGACTCACGCTATTCCCAGAGCAGCTTTGACGACCACGAGTTACCGGTATATCTGCTAGTATACCGCAGCCTCCTCAACCTTCCACTGGATGTCCGCGCAATATGTATGTCGCGGATTATATTTACTGGTGGGTGCACGGGCGTTCTGGGGCTGCGTAAACGGATCTTTGACGAGGTGTCCCATCTCATACAACAGAGAGGCTGGGACCCTGTGCAAGGCAAAGCAACCGAGCAGTTACGTTCAAATCTCAAGCTGAACCGAGGCACGCGGCAAGCAGGCACCGGCCCAACCGACGCGGCATCACAAGCAGGCGGCAGTAGTGGTGGTGGTGGCGGCGGCGGCGGCGAGGAACAAGATGGGGTTTGGCACGACGCGGCAAATAATACTCCAAAGGTCGACCCTATTGATGAGCAGCTGAAAAGAGGCGGCGATAAACGACCGAGAGTTCAGGGCCAGATGAGAGCCCTCGAGTCCCTCGGAGCCTGGACCGGCGCTAGTATGATTAGTCACCTTAAGACGCCGGCCATTGCAACAATTGGTCGCGATCTCTGGCTCCAACAAGGCGCAGCAGGTGCGAGCAAGGCGAGCGATGTCGATCCCAAAACGCAGCAAAGACAGAGTCTTGGTGCGGGCGGGCTGATAAGAGGTGCCGCTGCCAGCTCGGCCTGGACTTTGGGGGTCTGGGGAGCAAACTGATCCTATCAACCAGGTGCCCTATGCTGGCATATCTATGTAGATGAGGTAGATAGGCAGGCAGCAGGCAGGCAGGTAGGCAGGTAGGCATGGGAGGGTAGCGAAGCTTGAACTTGAGCTGGGTAGCTGGCGGTCCGGAGGCACGACGAAGTCCACCAGATATATGCATAACCCAGGCAAGGCTCTCAACTGGAGGATTGAGGTCAAGTGTACAGCTTACTCAATTGCCACGGAGCCTCAGAGCGTTATGACACAGCAATGAATGTTTACTGCAACAGAAGCTATTTTTGGGAAAGCAAGTGGAGCTCGTGTCGGGCGTCTTGCGCGTCCTGGACGCTTCGGACGAAAAGCTACAGGCCTTTTTGGTCACCCGGTTACTTTATCCACCTGAAGTTCAGCTTCTTCTGGCAAGCACGTTCCTTCCCTCTCGTGTTTCTTGGCCAAGACACGTCAGGCTCCTTCCCATCTCAACTTACCTAACTCCAAATAATTCTCAAACTCCAAAACAGCCACATCACCAGGCAGTTTCGAAGGTGAAAACCAGTTGATACCTCTTCGTCGATTCACGCCTTCCTGCTTTCCTGCCCTCCTTCCTTGCCACTACTGCTTCACTGCTGCCTCACTGCTGCCTCTGGAAACCGTACTTTCTTGTTTACACTGTCTTGGCCGCCTTCAAGGCGTACCTTCCGTTTCTTTCCTAGAGTTCTGTAGGGCTCGCTTCGACCGTTGGGCCGCCTGCCTCAAGTTTAAAGAAGCTTTCCTGCGAAGTTCTCTGCTGCCACCTTTCTTTCATCACCGTCGTGTCATTTTGCATCGTCGACCCTTGTCTCCGTCCCATCTCCAAGCTTCGTTACCGGCTCTCTATTCGTTCGAGGTCTGGCACTTGCCTATTGCCCAGCGCCTAGCATCGGCTGACCGATCGCTTCGTTGAGCTGACCTTGGCGTCGGCCGGAATTTTGATTTTTGGTCTCAGCAGAAACAATTGCGGCCCTCTCCTCAGCGGTCGCCTCTTCGTCTCTCACCCACCCGGAAGCTCCCCATTGTTCTACATACTGGAATTGTTCAATTCAGTCTGCCATCGCCGTGGCCTAGCTGTTGTGGCACACTTGAGGTATGCTGACCGCATTCTTCTTCTCGTCATGCCCCTCTCGCCGCCCTTCCGCCCTCTCCCCCCAAATAACACCACAGCTACAACACTCCCCCTCCTCTCGCCCTTGCCGCCAGCAACCCCTGTACACCAGTCACCACAAGATGAGACAGCCTTCACAACGCAAGCGCGGCAAGCGGCTGCTCAAGCTTCTTGCGGATTTCCAGCAAAATGACATCCCCATTCCCCCACACCTCCTCGTGGCGGCGAGATACCGCCTTTTGAACGATAGCCGTTGCTCGTTTGTTGAAGTTGTGGATCGCTCGGCAACAGAGACCATCGGCGACGCCGACCGTGGTCTTTTCCCAGAGTTTTTACTGTCTCAACTTGAGGCACAAAGGCTGATGGATCCAGACTGCAGCACCGAGGTCCGCCTCTTGCCCGTCTTGGCATTCGTCAACTCCTCACTGTCAACCGACTTGCTTCACAACAAAACATTTCCCACCTTGTTTCGCTGGCGGTCCTTCCCAATCCCCCGGGCATACTTTCTGTTCGCGCACATTACACACAACATGGGCCATCGGAGCTATACAATCTCCGAGCTTTTGAGCCTTCGCGGTGACCATGCCTCCACGGGCGTCGTCTCAGCTTTGGCTAGAAATCCGGAAATCGGTATGGCTCAGCTTCTCTCGAGTCTCTCATGGGTCTGATGCTAATACTATGATATTTGCAGTCGATATCATCCGTGATTCTGGAAGCGAGTCTTCGGACGCCAAGCCGCTGCCAAACATGCACAAGAAGAACGATTCGTCGGCCGAGTCCGAAGTCCTCTTGTTCAGAGGCAACATGAGCCGCCGTTTTGCCCGTCAGCCTGCTCGAGAGCTTGCTCCGGAACCAGTTCGCGAACCAGTCCGTGAGCCAGTCCGTGAGCCGGTTCGTGACATGGTCCGCGAACCAATCCGCGAGCCGATTCCTGAGCCTGCCCGAGAGCTGGTTCGGGAGGTAGCTTACGAAGCCTCACGTCCCATAGAATGGAAATATCGTGGCCGAAGCGACTCTGAGGTTGCTATCAACGAACCTCTTTCTGCTCCCAGTGGACTTCTCGCCCAGAGAAGCGAGGGATTTCAGCGGTTCTACAAGGCCGTTGTCTCCCCTACGCATGTCCGAGTGACCGCCGGCGGCCGCATTGTTCCCAACACTCGTGGTCCTGCATCGCCTACATCTAAGCGAGGCAAAGAGAGCCCTGCTCTCGATGGCCAGCCGCTCATGGACAAGGTAGTCCATCCGAAGCCGTCACTTGGCCAGATGGGCTTGGGACAGGCAATTCCCGTCATCCCTCAGTTCATCGGCGGATATCCTCCTGGATTTCAACCGCTCCAGGCGCCCATGTCTTTTGTCCCAATGGCGTTTGGAACCCACCTCTCTCCCGGAATGCCTTTTGCTCCGCCTCCTATCAATCATTCTGCCATGGCTCAGCTCGCGGCCGACAGCGCCTTGAAGGACAGCCACAATGCGAGGCCCCGAGAGATTCGAGACGAGAATGGGTCTTTGGATGACAAAAAGGAGAAGGTAAAGCTCACATCACCCGAGTTCTTTGACATGAGCAAGCCGTTCTTTTACAATAACCAGTGGATGTATCCGGTCCAGACAGCATTTTCCGCCCCCATGGGTGGCCAGATGATGCCGATCCAGATGGTCGGTATCGCCCCAGGTGTCGCCCCCCCCTTACAGGGCCGTATGATGTCGCCAACGGTGCCAAACGGGACGGCCACGATGGCGGCCGCCTCACCCTATGGTCCACCTCATCACGGTCCTCCTGGGATTCCGGCAGTTGCAGCCCACCATATTGTCCCGGCCAATTCCAATTTCCAACAGCCCATGGCTCCCCCAATTTCGTCAATCAAGCCCAGCGACATCACGAAGAAGCAGATTGCCAGCTTCAAGAGTTCGCTGAAGTACAACGAGGACCAGCTGCAATACAACCGCCATCAGATTGACGAAAAGGAGATGGAGGCTCAGATTCTGAACCTGCGAGAGCACATCAAGCGGTTTGAGCAGGTTTACGAGTCTCAAATTGAGTACGAGAAAGCCGTCCTAGGCGAAGCCGTTCAGACCAAAGACGGAAAGGATACGGAATCAAGGGCTTCCGCCTCAGAGCCACCGGCCAATACTGCTGAAGTCGAGCCGTCTCCTAAGGTACTGGCAACATTGGAAGCCGAAGTTCAAGCGCAGCATGGCAATCCAGAAGCCAAACCCGCCGCTGACCAGTCGACTGCGACACAGAAACGAAGGCTTGCACGCTCCAGTCAGGGGATTAATACCTCTGTTGGCGAAGGTGGCAGAGTTGCTTTTGAGTTTTCCCCCGATCGGGTTCGGCCGACTTTTTCGGACATGATGAAGAGGTCGGGACTTCCAAGTGATGCGGCAAAGGCCCCCGTTTTCCAGCCCAGCTGGTGTTCTTTCGACTATCCCAAGGAGAATCCGGACGAGACTGAGAGAAGACTTTTGGCTGCCGCCGGTCAGAAGCAGCCTCACATGCTTGATGAGCATAAGCCTACCAGCTCTCGATCCTGGGGCACGACACACCAACATGATCCAGTCCAGCTCGAACCTGCGGGCCCCAGTAAAGGCCGCGAGGGGTCGAACTTTGGAGTTCCGTATCTTCTTGGAACCCTTCCGAAAGGCGTCAACCACCGCACTGCCAAGGACTTGGATTACGTGTACAACAGACCATTGACGGACGACGAACGTCGTGCGCGATTCCTGTACTGGGGCAAGGCGCCCAAGTCTGTGGTTCAGGGCCTTCCAAAGTTTGATGGGAAGCACTTCTATCCGCCTTCCCCTGTCAAGGAGCACGCTACCCTTCCTACTAGTCCTCCGCGAAACCGCGCTGGTTGTCGCGTTCCGACTGCTCGCGCTGACTGCAACTACGATTTTCGTCCTACCAAATCAGACTCGGACCCCTTTCGTCCTATGACACCAGTACAAAAGTCAGTTGCTTCCAAGGCGGTCGTGGTGAGCGAGGATGGGTGTGCTGCCGTCAGACACGCCAGAGCTTGTTCTTTTGAGACTCAGATTTACAGTGCCTGTGATGACCTGGTGGTGCCCGAGGGTGCTGGTTTTGTAGACCTGTCGACAGTTTTGCAATCTCGTGAGAACAGTGTGGATGCTACGTCTATTGGCTCGCTTGATAGGCGATCGGAGAGGTCTGGGTGAGTAGCCAGCTGAGCGTGATGAGGAATGGAATCGCTGACACGAGCAATTAGTACGAAGCTTTGGCAGACGGTGCTGAAGAAGTGCCCAACGAGCAGTGCACTGTCGTCCACCACTGCCCAAGGTTACTTGCCGCACTACGCGGGACATGCTGCGGCATCGCTCAGCCCTTCTATCAACAAGCAGCCGTACTCGCCTATTTGTGATGCCTCGCCAGCCAAGCTCGTATCGGATTTTGGCAACTGCGGCGATGGAGGGGCCTTACTTGCGCCGGCGCCAGAGAAGCGCGGAGAGAATCGCCCACCCAACAGCGCGGGATCGCTCGAGGACCAGTTCAAGAATATTTCGATAGATGCCTCGGACCGTCGCGACCTGTCATCGGTTTTCAAGATCTGAGAAGTGTATCACATTGTTAGGGCGGTGGGCATGCTTGACCAGCTCAGTGTATTGTTTTATTTTGTGTTCGGCTATGACAAGCAACGATAACGTCGGGACGAGTATAAAGAGATGCATGACGTTATCCGAATCATTCTTGTTGCTAGGTTCAGGCAGTTGTTGCCGTACTAATCGGTAGACTCGAGGAGTCTTGCAGTTCTTATGAGAGAAGGAAGTATAATCAAGCAAGGGCAAGATTACTACTATTAGGTCATGTAGAATAGCTCTTTTGTAGCACAGAAAAGTCATGTATACCTCAAGCTCCTGGTGTTGAGGTTTTATTTTATGATGTCGATGGGACGATAATGTATTTTAAGCCAAACCGAGCAACTCCCCTATCATGACATGTAAACCCAATTTATACACAATGCCTTTTTCCCAAACAGGATCATGCCAGACCAAAATACACCCGCCGAGTACCTCTATGCCAAGGTTGTGCGATCGTAGAACAAGAGATAATGAAAGAGGGAGGAGAGACGGAAACATTCAGTTTAACAAGCTAGGCCGGGCCAGACCAAGCCAGACCAGACCAAGCCAACCGCCAACCTTAGGACCAAAGAAGTTCCACCCCAGCAAAGTTATGCGGCCGAGATTCGATCGAAATCCGTTAAATCCACTTTAATTCAATTTTTTAATCCAACCACCGGTTCCAGCCGTTCCTCCGACCCTTCCTCTCGGACCCCATGCCGCCGGCGAATTTCGACTCGGCCTCGTCCCAAGTCTTGCGCTCGACGGTCCGGCGGGCCAGGACCGCGCGCGTGAACCGCCACGCCTCCACGTCGGCCAGGTTCCACGCCTCGACGGCGTCGCGCACGACGGCGTCCTCTCTGCTCGTGCGGCTCTTGGATTGCTTGCCTTCCCCGTCGCCGGCGCCGACGATGGCTTGTGCGCGCGCGAGGAGCGCCTGTTCGAGGCTTAGTTCTTCGGCTGTTGGCTGCGGCCCGTCTTTGGGGTCGTGCATGGGCGGTAATTTGGGAGGTGTCGTCTTGGGTCTATCCGCGGCTTCGTCTGGTTCGTCGTCGTCGGGAACGGCAAAGCCAAAGTGCCAGTCCAGATCGTCGGGGAGGTCGCGCTCAGCGAGCAACCACAGCGAGTGAGCAGCGCCCAGGTCCGAGGCCACGGCCTCCTTGAAGCGCAGCAGCCGCGGCCCCGCCGACACGCCGCGCGCGCATAGGTCCTGCGTCAGGTCGACGACCCACGGGTCGCGGCCGCCCGAGTCGCGGCGCACCCACCGCACGTCGATGTGCGTGCGCGGGTTTGCCAGCGACGCCGCCGTGTACGGGTGCGGCACCGTGCCGATCGTGTACACGGTCGATGTGTTGCGGTAGTGCGCGGGTGTTGAGATCCGGAGGCGCCGCGTCTCGTCGTCGCACGGCGTGCATTGCGCGATGTTGGGCGGGCACGACTTGGGCATCGGCGTCGCGGGGCAGCGCGTCAGCCGCAGCGCCAGCTGGTAGGCCGGGCTGATCAGGTGTGTGGTGTGGTGCGGCAGGGGTTTGACGACGTCGATGCCGTCGGGGAAGAAGCTCTGCCATGTCAGGTGCAGGTGCGACTCGATGAGCTGGGTGAGGTCCTGGACTCCGGAGGCGGATGACGTGGTCATGGCCTCGGCGACTTTGGTGTACTTGGTCTCGCGCGTGCTTGGTTGGTAGTAGGCCAGGGAGTTGGCGTGCTCGTCAACGGTAAAGATCTTTTCGTTGGTGTCGCTAGAGAGGGTGGTCAAGAAGTCCTTTGCGATCTTGAGGTGCGGGCTCGCCATGGCAAGCTTGATAGCCGCCGTGACTTCGGCTGTGGGGCCGACAAACAGCCCGTCGCCCAAGTCTTTCCACATGGTCAGCGCCGGGAACTCGCCGCGTCGTAGAAACGCCAGCATCGGGTCGTTGTACGGGGCCATGGGAAACACGAGGTGTGAGGCGAGTAGACCGCCACCCATATTCTCCCAAGCCAACCAGCGCATGAAGTCGGCGAGAAGGGCCGGGTCCATGCCCTCGCGCTTCGTAAGCTCGCCGTATCGAGGGTTGTTTGCGGCTTCAGCAGCGCTGAGGATGACGGGCTTGAAGCCCTGGGCCCACCAGGCACGTCTCCACGCTAGGAGTAGATCGCTCTCGGACTCCCTCAGCTTCTTGTCGTCCTTGACTAGTGTGTTGTCGTAGTAGCAGTAGATGGCGGGGCGCTTATGCATGACCGGCAGGACTTGGCGGTTGTGGTCGAGCGTCACGGAGCTGCTAAAGGGCATCGAGAGCCACCGGAAGTTGGAGTACCACGACGAGTCGCCGTACGTGTCATTTGACTGGCGCTCGGGCGCATGGGAGGGCTGCTTGAAGTGGTATATGCTGCTTGCCCAGTGGCTTTTCAACGACTTGCTGCTTCGGCCGGCCACATCCGTGCCGGGCAGTGTGAACAGCAGGCTGACGACGGCGAAGATGGAGATGGCGACAAGCAGGAGCGAGACGTGTCGCGAGCCGAGCCGGGGGACCGGGCGGCCGAAAAGAACGTATTGCTTGGGCATCGTAACGCCGTAGCCCGGGGGCGATTCGGAGGATTGGGATTGGGGGCTATGGCGGGCGGGCGACGGCGCAAGACAAGGAGGCGTGCGTGGCAGTCGCTGGGGACTCTCGACGGCGTATGTATCCAAATCAAAAGACCGTTGGCGTATGTCCGGAGCTTGTCTGCGGTGGGGTTCGGTACTCGGTAGAGCAGGTCGAGAAACGAGAGCGGGCGTGCGAACGAAGGGCGAACGAGGGCGAAGACAGGTGGAACCAACAGGGCGAATCGAAAACGGTCAACACATGTCGCGATTATTGGCGACCATTGGCGACCATCAGGACGGCCAGCCCCCTTGCTGGTGTATCGGTCTGTCTCTCAGTACGTCAGTCTGGGCGGGGAGAGCTGCAACCAGGCGTCGGCCAGTCTGGTGTGATTATTGATCAATCGGTCAACCCGAGAGCAGTCCGGAGTCTGGAGAGAATACCCTGCTGAACAGGTGGTTCACGACGGGACCTTGGAGGTTTGTTGTGGAGTGGTCTGGATGGAGCCAGCCGCTAACCACGAGTTTAAATCCAACGCGAGTCTCCAATTCGTCAGCCCCTGACATTCCCGCCCCATCTCATGTGCTACTGCATGGCGGCCTGAGGCTGTGAATTGCCAACTGGGTGGTGTCCTGCGTCCACTGTGCATGATCCGCATTTCACCACCTAAGTCTTAATTCCACAAACTAGGTAGCGATAGACGTCGTCGACAAGACACCACATTGAGCTTTTCGCCTGGCATGATGCACATTATATCCTAATTGCGCACATGTTCAACTCGAAGGTTGTCTGAAGGTTGGTTTTCAGAACCGGAAACGCGAGGGCGGCATTTACGCAGCACATACGGTTACATACAACGAATACACCCCTAATTTAATTTACATTCGTGCTTAGCCTCTTCTAAAGACTTCTACGAGACAGCGTGCCTAGATGTTGGGCCCTTAGTCTGGCTGCCGTACGGCGTGTTTTCGATTGTCAACATACAATTGGTACCGAGGCTATATCTGCCGCGTTTGTTGTTGCAAAGAACTGAGGTAGTTCAGTAGTTCGATTCTTCTGTTCAGCCGTTGGCGTGGGAGGCTGTCGTCTTAAAGGTGCCCCCACTGTCCGCTGGCGATCTCGATCGACAAATTGACACTGTTAGTTATCCCAACCGTGTCCCCGCGGGTTGGACTTTATACGGGAGAGATCACACCATGCTTAACTGTGGAAGTTGCTCCTAGAGCACCTAGACGAAAGAGAAAAATACATTGCGATATAATAGGGCAGGGAAGTGGGCTTGGGTTTCGAGACATCTACTAGATAGATAGGTAGCTTGCTGTAGATAAGTGCCTGACAGAGCTGTGGTATAAGGGTGTCGCCTACATCTCGTCAAGATCATGGAAACGAAACATGCACAAGCACCGAAAGAGCAGCATTGAATCCCCAAAACTCGCCCCATCAAGATTAGCCTCTAATGCTGTCGGCGGCTGTCCATTTCCATCTCTGCCTACTTGCATACATACCTACTCTACGGATACTTTTGCAACTCCAGCAGCCCGTCATATGCAAAAGGGTAGAGGCGGTCTATGCCCAAAACACAAAACCTGTGACCATAAACGATACGCAGGCTACGACTACGACGGTTGCAGAAAGGCCATCAAGACACACAAGCACTGCCAAATTTCCGAAATGACGGAGACGATTGAAGATCACCGCCGCAGAGGAGTCCGCTAGCCGGTGTCTTTTAGAAGAAGCGGCCAAGAAACCGCGGGTATGGTACCAGGAATTACCGTAACACAAGGAGCTAAAGACTGGATAGTTTAGCGGTGAACAGGCATCGGGCCTAGGCCTGCTTCAGGCGACTAAGTGCCTTAATTGGTACGGAGCAGGCGCGACCTTAACTTAATCTGCACTCCCACCCACACTGCGGAGAATTCCCAAAGATACCTACACAAGTTTAGACGTACTTGATCGAGAGGAGAGCGCCGCTGGAATTCTGCGAAAGTAATCAAGCGACAGGCGGCATTCGAGTTGCATCGAGAGATGGTATTCTGAGCCTGGGGGGTTTGAGCTGAAAGCGAGGGGCAAGGTCGCCCCCAGACTCTCGAGATGGGGAAGGCACGGTTAAGGTGGGTAACCTATTTTTAGCGCCTAGACACCCATCAACCCCAGTCTCTTCATCCCAAATGAGTAAAGGGGCGGACGCTAGTGCAGGACGAGTGTAGTCTTGGTCACACCAAGTAAGGCGCGGCTGAATTGAAACTAACCAAAGGCACGGTAACGGTCGACGGTGTGCGTCGTGCTGTCCTCCCATCGCTCTTCATCATCTTCACTCAGCGACGCCATCATGGCTATCAGGGCTGACGACACAGCAACACCGCCTCAAGCCCTGATAAAATTGATTGAATTCGTCTCCAGCCTGCAGCCGATGGTTGGGTGTCTGGGAGGGGCAGGGGAAGAAGACTAAAGACCTACGCGGACCAAAGACTCTGATTGGCGACGCGACGAGGGTCATTTTTACCGACTTTCATCTGACGAGAGAACCGGAACTCACTCCTTTCCATACCCTCACCAGCCACATCTCCATCCGCCTCACCCCGAGCTCGTGGCCTTCGACAGAGGCTAACCGAGGGGGAGGCACGTGTCGAGATCCTGCCGCGACACCAGTTTCTCTGGCCATTAATGCCTGTCACTCTACCCTTGCTTGCCTAGGTACCTGCTTGCGCCGCTTCGACTTGCCTAGACAAAAATCGATGATAGGGCTCGGCTAGGGGAACTCACCACGCCAACTTGCGCAGAAAGATGCAACGCCCGCCGCAGCCTGCCGTGACCGCATCATTGGGTCCGCCGCCATTGCCGCGGCGAGAGTTGCCGGATAGAAATGTCACCAGCCTCTCTTTCGACGATGCCTATGTTGCATTCGTCCTATTCTGCAACCCCGGTGTTCCTACGGATACCGACTCGGCTGCCCTGCGCGAGGCCTTTCGGACGCCCCCTAAGAGCGGCGGCAAGAGTTTCAGTACCTTCACCCTGTTTGAACTCATCAAGCAACTCGAGGCCAGAGAGCTCAAGACATGGGCCGAGTTGGCCTTGAAGCTCGGCGTCGAGCCCCCAGATCAGGAGAAGGGTCAGAGTTCCCAGAAGATACAGCAATATGCCGTACGGCTCAAGGTATGAATGCATGCGCCGCCTCGCGAAGCCGACAGGGCCAAGTTAACACAGACCTACAGCGCTGGATGCACTCGATGCACGTCGATGCCTTCTTTGAGTATCTGTTGAACCGCCCGCATCCCTATTGGACTGAGATTCCCTCGGACCAGACCCCGGTTGCTGATCGGGAGCGAGATGGGGTCGCTGCCGAGGACGACATGGCCCTGCGGGCCCTCCTTCCTCAGATCAAGCCCCGGAGAGGAAGGAAGAGGCCAGACGACGACGACACCAACAAGTCGCCGTCTCAGCGCCCATCGCCCCAACCAGACGAGTTTGAGCCGTGGACAGCTCACCCGGACGGGAGAGGGAGCGTCTTTCTTTTCCCCGTATCAGACCCTTCGAGGCTCAATACGCACACACCTATGGGGCAACCCCCTAACCCTCCCTGGAACCAGAACAATGACGTTGCCCAAACGCCCCTCACCGCTTACCCCCACCCACAGTCTGCCATCACGCCGTCCACTAGGCAATCATTCTGGGGAGAGGAGCCCAAGTCAGCCATCACCCCAATGAAGGGCAGGGCCGCAAACAGACGACACGGAGCTAAGGTCGTTTCATCTGCTTGGCGAACCGGCGCGACGACCACCGGCGGAAAAACACGGGGCAGGCCGCCTATCAACCGAACCGGCCACCCGGACGGGCCGTTCTCGGCCTTTCCGGCTTCGGACATGCACACTTTCAAGATACCATCTCCGACGCCCGAGATACATCCAACATCTCAGAGCACCACGGACCCTAGCTTGAGTCGCCCGCCTTCGGTGCCGCCATTGGTTGCACCTCTGGCTGCTCCTCCTCAACCACCTCAGTTGGTGCAGAGCCCAATACAGTACACGCCTACCCAAGAAAACGGACCGTCTCGGCCAGCCAAGAGAAGTAGGTTGTCGCTACAAGTGCCAGAACGTGTCGGAGGTGAAGTACGACTTGCAACGCCGCCCTTGCCGGCCGCGTCAGCTCCGACTCCGCCTGTCCAACCCGCCCCACCCGTTCCACCCGTTGTAATGGTGAATGGGCAGACACATCAACATTCTCTTGACAATTTGGTACCTCAACTCGGGGTAGCCGGCCATGCCGGCATAGTGCCCAACTACAACGGGTCATTCGCGGGCCAGACGGCCCCCATCAATGGGAAGCAGGGTCAGCCGCGCATCTTTTTCCAGGACCGTTCGGACCGCACGAATAAGGACGAGCTCGAGGGCGTGTTCATGTTTGAGCTCCTGACCGCTAGCTGGTACGATGCCCAAGGCAACCGGATCGCGCCTTGCTGCGTCGACGAGGCCTGGGGGATTACGCAGACGGTAGTCGAGAGCCTCCTCAAGGCCGCGACGACCAAAGAGGCGTTCCTCATTAACCTGGCGGCGCTGGCAGGCGGTAAGATAATGATGAAGACGGGAAGTCTGCGCGTCACGCGGCTCGAGCAGCTGGCCGACCGCAACCGATACTACTGCGCCTGGGAGCTGCGCATGGGCGACATCCGTGGTAGCTACACTATGGAGGAGACGGTGATGCACGATAAGTGGAGGAAGCGTCAGACTCCCGCCGCCGCCGCCGCCACCACCAAGGACGACGTCGACAGGCCCACCACGGGCGGCATTGACGACGCGGCCGCCACCACCACCAATAGCAACGACGAGCCCATGACAGCCGAGTATTGGCAGCGAAAATACAAGGAAATGGCAGGCATGCTCCAGCAACGCGACAAAGAGCTGACACTGCTACGGACCAAGGTGATGGAGTCCATCAGAGACCATGCTCAGACCCAATGACACGAGATGATATGCCGCTCCCGCGGTTGAAAAGGGCCCCAGTACCTTGTGGGCCTTCGAACATGTACATGGCTGTATAATCGAGACGGGTGCAAAAGGTGGAATTTTTTGAATGAAGATATGAAAAGCACGCTGTGTGCATGTCGGGTCTATATGTAACATGTATATCGAGTTGGCGGTTGGGAAGAAGCTTTATGCTGGAGCGGTGGTGTTCCAAGTGTTACACCCTTCCGCGTTGGACACCAGAATTCTTTTTCTTTGCGAGCAACAGAGAGCGCGCGCCCTGATACCCTTGCAGTTTACGATGAGATTATGCCCTTTCGTGTCTTTGTAGGCAGTTGGCTTGTCCGTGCTATGAACGGGTTTCTTGAGTCAGCAGCTGGTAGGGCAGAACTCACAAGGTACCTCATGTATCCCCGGAAACTCCTTTATCACCACCGTGCTGCTCATAACTGATATATATTGCTTCTTAGTTGAAGTGGAAGCTAGAAGTGATGGACGCGGACTGCACGCTGACGCTCGTCTAAGTCCAGCCCTTGCAGCTACCGCAGTGGCATACCGAGCACTTGGCATTGATCTTCAATGCCCGCCACGGGGCCATGAAAACTAAAGCTGGAACCAACCTACCTTGGGTACGGTCAAAAGGTGCCTCTTTTGGCGAGAATATGCTGACTTCTGGCTCCCTGCATTTTTGGGATACCGCTGGCTTATCATTCTCGTTCGTTTGCGAATTGAACTAGCCCGAATGCTTAGTCCTCGGCCGAGGTACATTTCTTTTCTCTTTTACTCTTGTACTCCGTATTGGCCCTACATTTTTTTCGGGAATCGTGATCGATCGGTCCTCTTTTGTTCTCTCGTCAGGAGATCCAATCAAAGTGAGAATATCTTCTCAGGCCAGTTACCTCAGACAAATGGCCATTACGGAAGAGAAATGTGAACTGAGGACGGACCAGGTATGTGCAGGTATGTGGCCCAGCCATCCAGACTTAGTTCAATTCACAAACGAACGAGAATAATAATTAAGCGGTATATATTCCGTATTTCATCCAATGATTAGGCTCCAACGGAAAAGTCAATGCACACCCAACCACGTAGAGGTCGTGTGTACCTAAACTCCGGCGGAGCCCCGCGGATGCCCGCCAAGCCAGTCCTCAAACATTGGGCCCATGGCCTTCGCCATCGAGCCTCGCGAGCGTTGGGGCCGCTGCCCACAACAACATGCAAGCTCTGGGTTGAAGACGTGTCGGAGGACCGTCGGGAACTGGCCAGCTGAGGCCGTCGAGGCTGTCAAGCGCTCAACGCTCGGTGATATTTTCGCTGTTCGCCATCGTCCCCCCTTCAGCTGCAACTTAGAAGAGATATCGCTAATGATTCTAAGACGGTTGCACCTCTCTCCTTTGCGACCACACATTAGGTTAAATTTATTTTGGGTTTTAGAGGTCTCTATTATTTAGATATGGGGCCCAACTAGCAGCCAAGGGGATAGTCCGGCATGCGCAACCTTAATAATTAGGTGCATAAATCCGGCAATGAAATGGCCTGCAGCCAACCGGCCCGCCCGGCTTAGCCCTAAAACATCAGTCGGCCCGAGGGATGGACACAACATCGCCGCGCCTCGCACTGCCAAAACCTCACAAATCGCAGACTAAGCTTACTTCAACTTAGCCGTATCCCAGACTACCTTAGCTAGAGGGACGGGTGATCAAACAGCGGCCAATTGGTGTTTTGTAGCAAGAATTAAATGTGGAAAAGCGATGGAAATGCGTCTCCAATGTACGGCACTTGTGTACGTACATGTACCTCACGTACATTTCTAGTTAGCTTCCATCACACCCTGTACAGTACGCGATACCAAACGATAGAGAAAGAACTTGGATGTGCCGTAGGTGGCCCAAAACCTGGGCTCCAGTTGATGCTTGGTTCCTAGGCACGACTGTCTATGATGACCTCCCTGGCCAAGTCTGTGACACGCGGCCAGCCGTGACAAGTAGCCTAGCTATCTAACCGATTACCTACGTATCTTGCTCGACAGGGACCCTAATACATAATATCGCCCGGAGATCCCTGAGTGGCCAAGCAGGTGAACGTCCTAGGTATTTTCTATACAATGCGCGGGTTAGGCGCCTTGTAGTGCCAACTCCAACTACAATACTCCACCAACCTTTCTGGAATCTACCTTACCTAGCTTGGTTAAAATAGCCTGGATCTAACTTTTTTATTTACCTATTTTTCCATCTCACCCGCTGATAACTGCTTATACTTCTACTCTTTAACCTTGTACAGCTCATAAAAGAACTAGAAGCGGAAAAGAAAGAAGTAGAAAGATTGAGAAAATTAGAGGACCTGAAGCATCGGGTAGCACAGCCTTCCGAGGCAGCTGTAAGGGCATTTGCGAAGCCAGAGTCAGACGCCGAAAGAAGGGCAAGGGAGGGTAGGGAATACACTGCCAAGACAAAAGCCCTAAACGAGCTCCTCTACTTGACTTCCAACGGCAAGCCCCATCCCACACAGAACCCGGAGCAGAAGCAGCAGGACTAAAGGGTGCCAGGCACCGGCAGGCCTCTGGGTTGCCTTTGGAGAGGGCAAGGCTTAGAGGGGCGCTGAGATGGGCGGCGGGAAGCCTCGAGGATTTCAGAGCTTTGTTGTCCACTTTACAGATAGATACCTATCGGTTGTGTCTTTGCGCTTCGAAGAGCTTGGGGAGTTGTCGTCATTTGTCGACTAGGCGGGCCTCGGATATAGCATAACGACTCTGTAGATATTCTGTACCTAGGGTTAGGTATCCTTGTATGACATTCTACGTATGTATACAAAGTATGTTGTACAGTACCCATGCATCGGCATCAGCCGGATATTCGGGGTTGGCACGGCTTTCTCCAATTGGCTGTTGGCCTTTTGGCTCTCAAGGTCTCGGTTTCCGACGAGAGCTGCTAAGTGCTAACCGATTTCCCTTGGAACTGTGTACTGGCGCGGGGACAATACAATTGATTATGAGACGCACTCGAGATTGCGCTGTGGGTAGCAGTTATGCCTTAGGGCTAGCCGAGTAGCTTTCACATGTCGAGGAATGCCAATGTCGGGCAGGGGCTTCAGCGCTGGAGACTGGGGAACTGGGGAACTGGGGCCGGGGCAGTGACGTCGCCCCATCGCCATAGGCCGCAGCGGCGAGTTTAAGCCGCTGCGTGGCTAGCGTCGCTCCCCCATCGGACCTCGGCAGCTGCTGCACACCACACTAGTAGTCACTTGATCCCGTTGCAGGAGACGGAACAAGGGAGACAGATGGAGCTTCACGTAATGGCGCCAACCCACGGATGCTGCGACGGCGTTTGCACTACAAGCAGCGAAGGCTTCTCCACAGAGTGATATTGTATTGTTATACATATTCTTTGGCTTTCCCTCCCTCGCGTGTCGGACCTGCGTGTCTGTGAACCCAAACCAACACCAACTGCCTTTCGTACTTGCCCCGCCATTCTTGTTCCGACGACACTCCCGTCTTCCACTCTCAACCCCCAACGGAACCCGCCCACCATGTCGCAGTCCAAACCAGTGATACCCCAGAATGACAACGTCGCCCACGCCATTGCCGGCGCGGGCGGCGGAGTGCTGTCCATGGCTCTGACGTAGGCCCCTCCTCCCTCCCCCCGGCGCCCGCGCTGACATGGTTGCGCCTGACTTAGCTACCCGCTCATCACGCTGTCCACGCGCGCGCAGGTCGAGTCGAAGCGGGCCGACACGGCGTTCCTGGCGGCGGTGCAGAAGATTGTGGCGCGCGAGGGCGTGTCGGGGCTGTACGCCGGCCTGTCGAGCGCCCTGTTCGGCATCAGCGTCACAAACTTTGTCTACTATTACTGGTACGAGTGGACCCGCGCCTTCTTCGAGACCGCCGCCGTGCGCGCCGGCCGCGCCTCTAAGAAGCTGACCACGGTCGAGAGCATGATCGCCGGCGCCATCGCCGGCTCCGCCACCGTCATCCTGACCAACCCCATCTGGGTCGTCAACACCCGCATGACCACCCGCAAGACGGCCGCCCAGGAGGCCCAGGAGGCCCAGGAAGCCGACCCCGAGGCCGCCCAGCCCGCCGGCCGCAGCGGCACCCTCCCCGGCAAGCGCGCCGCCGCCCCGTCCACCATCGGCACTCTGCTGAACCTACTCCGCACCGAGGGCCCCCAGGCCCTCTTCTCGGGCGTCGTGCCCGCCCTGGTGCTCGTCATCAACCCTATCCTGCAGTACACGCTGTTCGAGCAGATGAAGGACACGGTCGAGAAGCGCCGCCGTATCACCCCCACCGTCGCCTTCTTCCTCGGCGCCCTCGGCAAGCTGTTCGCCACCTCGGTCACGTACCCCTACATCACCGTCAAGAGCCAGATGCACGTCGCCGGCAGCGGTAAGAAGGAGGGCGTGTTTGCCGCCCTCAGCCGTGTCGTGCGGGAAGAGGGCTATGCGGGGCTGTACAAGGGTGCGTCTTGTTTTTTCACTCTCCAGACTCGCCGTCGCTAACCCGCCGTGTAGGAATCGGCCCTAAGGTTACGCAGAGCGTGCTGACGGCCGCGCTGCTGTTCGCCTTCAAGGACGTCCTCTACGAGCAGACCATTCGGCTCAGGGGCACCGCCGCGGCCAAGAAAGCCCTCGCTGCGTAGGGCAGCCACAAACTAAAAAGCGACAGCCAACTCACACTGTAAGTCCCTAAACAGTAGCATGTTTTGGCTTAGCGCCAGGCCGTGCGCGGCCAGGCAGACCATGACCAGACCTTTTTTCCTCCCCTCTTAAGTCGCCAGCCACGGGCAAGCAAGCGAGGCGGACACGTACGATAGATGTGAAAAGACGACGACGAACAGAGAAGACCACCAGAGACGAGGCGAGGGAGTGTCTGCCCCTTTCCCACCCCATTTGGGAAAATAAATGCGGCGCACCACCGCTGGGGACATGTAGCGGAATCTGCACCTGTACCATGCGATGAATAATACACTTTTGCTTGCTTTTCCTCTTGTAGTTTGTATTTTTTTTGGTCATCTCTGTCGAGGGGCGACTTCTGTAGTGTAGGATTTGGCTAGAATTTGTGTAAGTAGAAATGAAAACGTGGAGAAACTATTTCCGCGTAAAATGGGTAGCCGGAATGTTAATGAAATGGCTAGATGACGGACTGCCTCTGCTCAACTAAGGCTTTCCTGCGCAGGTAAATAGACGGGCGATGAATTGGAATTCGGATATCAGCAAGCAAGCAAGTAATAGCAAAAGCTAAGAAAATCTAACAGAGAAGGGGAAAAGAGAAAGAAAAGTCTTCCGCCCATTGACCACCGCTAGCAATCCAGACGACGCTAACCATCCTCCTGAATGCTTCCCGGAATGGACATGACCATGCAAACCGACCATATATCTAGAGAAGGAATCTATCTACTCTCACCAATATAAACAGACCCGGCCGATGATGCTTCTCTATCAACCTAGGTACAAAACTGACAGAATACCGCCATCATACCTGTCAACCTGCCTCCTTACATGTCTCCACACCTGCTAGTCTACGTAACTGTCAACATACTTGCCTCTCTACCTGCCTCCGTCCCTGTATGTCCACCTGCCTGTCTGCCTTCCTGAAGGCCTCCCCGGATACCACGTAAACACCTCCCTCACCCCTTAACCTTACCCCTTACCCCTTTTCATCCCTACCCCAATTCCCGTTTTCCTATACCAAGCAAGATACGTAGGTATGTAGGTAGGTACACAAGCAGATAAGAAGACAGACAAGCAGACATGCAGGCAGGGAGGCCGGCACCCATCATCTATGGCATTCCATCCCATCCCATTCCGTTTCGCTCCGTTTCGCTCCGTTTCGCTCTATTTCGTTCCTCATCCCAGGCGGGGTTTCCCAGCCAGTCAACAGCAGCAACTAAAGTACTTGCAAGGTCTGTCAATACCAAACAAGCAAACAAGAACGACAAACAAAGTAAAACAAAACGGCACAGGGCACCGACATCGAATACTGCGCCGGTTATGCGAGCCTATGCGAGACAGACAGGAAGAGACAGAGACTGAAAGGAAATGAACATGGAAAAGGAAGTAGAAATGGGGATGGGAATGAAATCAGATAAAAAAAAAGCAGTTGAGCCCAGCCAACGAGGTGCCATCCATCATCTATCTGCCTACCCGTCTACTCATCCATCCGTGACATGGCATGACATCCCATGACATGGCCGAGAGCTACCTGACATGACTTGACTCGATCTATCATAGATACCACAGGCACTGCATACTGCATCCTGCTACTGAAGTGTAGTGTAGTGACAACTACCTACTTGATAATGAAACTTGCCATCCCCGATACACCCCCACTACACCACCACCAACTGCTCAGGCCCGGCTCGGCAATACCGACCTCGATACTAACTAAACTGGTGCTTTGGCGGCGCCTTGGTCTCGACGACCTTAGGCACGATCCACCACTCGTGGTACGCATCATCAGGCTTGGGAACAGTAGCAGAAAGACCCAGACGGTCGGCGACGGCCTGGGGAACGACGTCGGTGGCGGCGAGGGCCGAGTTGGCGGCGAGGCTGGCGGCGACGTCGCCGTCGCGGGGGCGGGCGAGGGCCTTTTGCAGGGCGGCGATGGCGATGCTAGCGGCGATGACAGACCTGAGAGAGTTCTTGGTGCGGGCAGCCCAGCGGTCGTGGCAGCCGACGGTGAAGGCGTCGCGGTCGGGCAGCTTGGCGAGGGCGTCGTAGCCCTTGCGAGCGCCGGCAACGGCGCGGTGGGCGTACTCAAGCAGGCTAGACGTGGCGACGCCGGGCTGCGCCGACGCACGTGCGAAGCTGTCGAACGCCGGCAGCTCCGGCAGCCCGACGGCCGCGAACGGCTTCATGCGGATGTCGTAGCGCAGCGCGTCCGAGCCGTACGGCCGTTCCTCCAGTGGCTGCTTGCCAGTGCCGGGCGCCACGACGAGCCGCAGCCGCGCGAGCACCGTGTACAGGCAGCACAGGCCGTCGGCGAGCTCCCACGTCACGGCGGCGTCGAGGATGGTGGCGCGCAGGTAGGCCAGGGAGCGGGTAAACTCGGCTTCCATGGCCGGGGTGAAGCTGCCGTAGGGGCCGGGCTGGCTGCGGGCGCGCAGGTCGGTCATGCGCTGCACGGTAAAGGCCTTGATGCGCTCGACGTGCTGGGCGCGCGTCTTGGCCAGGTAGCTGAGGTACCAGTACATGCCGGCGAGCTCGTCGGGCTGGTACGTCTCTAGCTCGAAGCCCAGCTGCACGATCCACTCCATCAGCCGCAGCTTGTACAGGTAGGCCCACGACGAGAGGGGCAGCGAGTAGGCGGGCTCGGACCCGGCCCAGGCCAGCGCCGTCTGGTAGATGATGGGCTGCTCGTCGAGCTGGACCTGCAGCAGCTGGTCGATCTCCTCGGCGTCGGCCTGCACCATCTCCCAGTCCTGGATCGAGTGGCAGAGCGTCCTCCTCACGCGACAGCGGTTCTGGCACAGCGCGCGAAAGATGTCGAGGTACGACTGCGCCGCCCTGTGCCGAAAGGTTTCTACCTGGTGGGCGATGGCAAACCGCGGGTCGTGGGGCGCCTCAACGGCGTCGTTGGCCGGGTCCAAGAGCCGGCTGCACGGCAAGACGACAATGGCCAAGTCGTTGTCCATGACGTTCTTAATGCTGAGGTGTCCCAGAATAACCATGTCCTTGAACATGAAAAACTGGAGGAGCGCCCGGATGTAAACAAGCGGCTGGGGCTTCTGCGCCTGGAAGGCAAAGACAAAGTTCTGGCAGGACTGTTAGTTTACTAGACGCTGCCAAAGCAAGTAGGGCGAACGTAGAAGAAAAATCTCACCAGAAGACTCTGAGGGTCAGAGGAGTTGAGCACCTTGAGCACCTCGGCTCCGTCGGTGAACAGCCTCCGGAAGTGGCCAGAGGTCTCCTCAAAGCTCAGCTGCACAATAGGGCGTGGCGGCATAGTGCTTGCAAGACGACGCTGTATCTTTGTGCTGAATGCGCCGGGAACCGGGGTTCCCAGGTGGCGTGACTTGTCTATGGGCTCCCAGATGGCCTTCATCTGCGTCCAGGGCAGGCTTAGCGACTCCGGGTTGCTGCGTAGCTCCGAGAGCTCAATAGCGCGCAGAAACGCCGTCCTCAGCTCAAGGCGGAAATCCAGGGCCAAGCCTATCTCGTTGGGTATTTGCGACCTGATGCTGTGCAACACCCGCCGGGCCTCGGTGATCTCGTCACGAACTTCGTACAGGCCGACGTCAAAAAGCAGAGAGCGGCGGTACGTGTTCGTCACAAAGTCCTCTTCCTTCAGGGCGGGGGGTCTAGTAAGCAAAGGTCTTTCCCCGGCATGGATGGATGCGTCTGCGAGGACTGCGGCTCACCTCGTAGTAGTGCTCGCCCTTGATGCGGTCGTTTACATACCAACATGACTTCACCAGGCCCAGGCAGTAGGCCCGGAGGACTGTGTGCATGGTGTCACGCGGGGCGTCATCGGGGTGGTTTTTGATGAAGTCAGCCTCCTCGAGGGAGGTAGGGGACGGCACCAACATGGCTTCGATGTACATGCTTGTGAGTATCGTCTGTGACAGCGGGTAGCCGAGGTGCCAGGCCATCTGCGGGGGCGATCAGAAACCACGCGGTCAGTCTTGTTGACGCCGCCAGACAGGCAGACGGACGGCAACCAACCTCGAGACATAGCAACTGGTCGATTATGCCCAAGACCTCGCTGGGCAAGAGCGGCCGCGTAACATCGTAGTCGTCGTCGAGTAACTCTCCGGGGGCCAGACAGCCGCTGTCCATCTTGAGGTCCATGATCTGCACTTATTGTGAGATGACAGACGACACAGCTTCATGAGATAAGGACGGCGCCCGTACCTCAAGAGCTCCAACGGACTCAAACAAAGTGAAATGTCCATCCTTGACGAGCTCGCCGGGCTCCAAAGCTGCGATGCAAACAAGACGAGACCAGATTAGCACTGGCTGGCACTGACAGAGGGGATAAGGGGGGGTGCACCACATACTCGCACAGGCCGCCCGAAACCGTTGCGTGATGTCGGTAGATACGACGCCCTCGCTGTGCATTATCGGGGGCGGCGGTCTGTCGTCCTGGTTGAGGTTGTAGTTGATGGTGTTGAGAGAGAGCCCAACGAACTCTGGAAGGTTGCTCGCATTCGCAGCAGCGGGTTAGCAAGGCTCCGCAATTGGTCATTCGGCCGCGAGACGACGACGAACGAGTATATGAAGGAGTGATGGATGAACGACAGAGACGCGATAAAAAAGAAACATGAAAAAGGAAAAAAAATAAAAAAAGAGGCCTGCATACCCTCCGATACGATCGACTCATCCTCAGTCATCGTTGTCTAGCCTCTCTAGCGTCCGAGGGTTTTGTCGGGTCGTGCATGTAGGTATGGATATGTGGTTATCTCTTGTCTTGTCCGTTTGGGTGTAGCGATGCGATTCGAGATGCAGGAACCTAAGCGGGAGCGGGTGAGCGTCGTCAGGTCGGGTCAGACTTAAGCTTGAGTCTAGTCTGCCCATAACGGGCGCTGCGTGTGGATAAGCGACCTTCCAACCAATCTTTGCTGCGCCGGCAGCAAAACGGCTGACTGCGAGCGAAACAAAAGACGGAATCGGCGCAGCAGCAATCGAGTCGGGCTAATAAATCTTTCAGAGCCCCCCAAAGAGTCTCTCGTTATTCGAGGCAGGGAAATCTGGGTAGGTTGTTGGCCAGTGGGACTCGAGCTAAACCCCTCCATTTACACACCTCTTACCGGGTGCCTTACCTACAAACCGGAAGACTAGAATCTGACCATCGAAGTGATAGCAAACGTAGCATGATCGAAAACGCATTCATGCCTTACCAATCATGATACTTGATTGCTTTGTCTGCCCAATCTCGTAACTGTCCAACAACAACATGTGGCTCTCTGGAGATACCGAGTTGCCCGAACAATTGGACACGATTGCGGCGAGCAGCAGGCAGATTCCCTGTGAATGGTTTAATGCATCTCTTCCTCTAACGAGTCTCCGTATGATACAGTATTGACAATTGCAAAGCCGCCCATAAGCTATGCCGCCACACAGTCACAGACGCGCGCTTCCCATGCTGTGAAATTGTCGTCGCGGGGGGCAGCTGGCTCGTGCCCAAGTCCACCGAGTGTTGCAATGTTGTTGAACAAAGTGTGTCTATCCCCTACGCGCGCGCCCGTCATCTCTCCTTGCACCTCGATTCCCTTCATCACCTGCTAGGTCCTCTAAGCCGAACCTCCAGCGTTGGCGGCCGCCACCGCGGCAGCGGCATTGGCTTCGGCGAGGTTCTTGACCTCGCCCTGCTTGCCGTTCTGTAGGGGGGTTGTAACAGGAATCAGTCGCTCCGCAATCGTCGGCTTCATGCTGCGGGCCTATGTCCGGCACAACTCACCGACCACTTGGAGAATCTGAGGTCCTGCTCGCCTCGGCGCTCAGCCGCGAGTCTCTTATCCTCCTTCAGGCTGCGGCGCACGACGCGGGCAGCGACGGCCAGATAGCGGTTGTAGCTGTAGAGGGGAATCAGCGCGTCAGTTTCGGGCGGCTCCTCTCATCATTATCAAGCCAGCCGGCGAATGTTTGCAGCGCAGCTCCCTGCCCCGTCCTGCTCGCCCTCAATTGTCCTGTCCGCGGTCGCGAACCCCACGACAGGAGGAAGGGTCCGTGAATCGTGCAAATGTTGGGAAAGGTTCAATTGACTCACGTAAGACCTGCGGCTTTCCACGCGAACACCATTTTGGAAGATTTGTGACGAGGGATGACTTGCTTGCGGTTTTGATGTTCATTCTGGCGAGAAAAGGTCTCGTCTGCTTCCTTTAGCCAAAAAGCTCCGCCGAGCTGCGAGTCACGTGCCAGCTATGGCCTCCCCCAAGACGTCCCGCATGTTATGTAAGCTTGGGGGCTCTGTATCAGATCATTGTGTACTGAGTATACGGCACAGATGAAAATACATCACCGCCTATGTTTTTTTGCCTTTAGTTATTATATCTAAGAATTAATTTGTCGCATGGTTTGTATTGGTAGTCTTCACCAAAACTCGGGGCCTAGCTTTCCCAGACTGTCACTCAAGTCAGTCAGCCAAGTCTCCCTCAGACACGTTCAATACATGAGAGGTGAATTTTTACAAGTCGGTCATTGGCAGGTCGGCCGTCCCTAGGCAGTTCTTTCCGTCTCTGCCGTGCGATTAAAATAGGAAGAGGGTTAAGTCTAGAGGCTACTACAATATGCACAAACGACGAGCCGCAAGTCTACAATCGGCCGATGCTGTTGATACATTTTCCGGTTCCGTCGCTTTATACCCGGAGTCCAAGGTCCTCCGCGAAGGGCAGAACGTGCAGATCACCCACCGCACCCACCGATGCCTTGCCGTCTAACAGCGCCTTGGCCGCCTGATATGTCTTGTTAGCTAGAGTACGCAGCGTTGATGGGACATATGAACCTACAGTCTTGAACTTCTCCGCCGTCACAGACTCCAAAGCCTTGATCGTCTCGAGCACCTGCAGGGGCTTTCCGCCGTGGATGAGGTTCGCGCCAGCGTGTACAAGGCCGACTCCAGCGGTCTCGCTCCCAGACAAGAGGTCGAACTTGGCCTTGGCAATAGCCTTGACTAGGTCCTCCTTAGAGACTGAGCCATCGACAACACTCTTCAGGGCCTTGATCGACTCCTCGGCGACCTTGCGGACGACAGAGGCCGAGCCTGTAATCTCAATGGTAAGGAGGCCGGCGTCCGAGTAGGCATAGTTTGTCGCCTTGGCATGAGCGCCGGGGTTGGCGGCCGTAGCCTTGGAGAGGATAGTGAAGCCAGGGGACCACTTGATGCCAGACTCGCCGCCTAGCAAGCCGATGAGGACCGCTGTCTCGGGCTGAGATGCGCCGAGAGCAGAGCCGGGAAAGGCAATAACCAGCGCGCTCGAGCCTGTCTTGGGAATCCGCACCTCGCCACCACGGTACTTGGAGGCAGCGGAATCCAATGGGTCGGGGGACTGAGAAGGCAGCTCCTTGAAAAAGGGCTCGATCCACTTGGATAAAGCACCTTCGCTTGCGCCATCAGCTACTACGGCAATGTCGGCCCGGTTGTAAACGGCATCGGCGTACTGGGCGACCGAGTTTTCGTTGAGGTAGGATGCAATCGGAGTGCTAGGGGTTGGGTAGAGAGGGGCACCCAAGCCGGTGTGGAAGGCAACCGAGTGAGCAGCGTCGAGAGCAATAGCATCGGCGCCAATCTTGGCCTGCTTGGCGTGGATTACAGACTCGACCTCCTCGTGAAACTCGTGGGCTACATAAAAAGTGTGAGCGTGGCCTCTCGTAGGTTCCCGATAGAAAAGGCTATATCACGCACTGGTGTACCGGGTCTGGGTGATGACCTCGGCTAGGAGCTCGGTGAAGTAGGGAAGGTCTTCGCGGAGGAAGCTGGCCTGGAGCACGAGAGCTTCCCGAGTGTGGTATGCGGCCAATTGGCCTCCCAGAAGCTCGGCTTCGCGGACGATGCGCAGGGCGGAACGTTTTTTGGTGTTCTGAAGCCGGAATGCAAATTAGCTCATGGTCCTGACGCACACCCGAGGCTTGCGGCCGCTGCAGCCACACCGCCAGCGCCATCTGTCGTTGCGCAATTGACCTGCCTTGAAAGTGAACGCCTCAAGCCCGACCGTCAGACCCGGGAGGGGCTCGTAGCGGGTGCCGGCTTTGGCAACGACGGCGAGATGGGTTGTTGGGCCTTGATCGTCCCTCGAGGCGACCTTGATTCCGGCGACGGTGGCGGGCTCGTAAGACGCCTTGGGCGATGCAACTGCCGCAAATCCGCGCTGCGCAAGCTTCGCAGCGCCCTGGCTGCGAAGGGCCAGCTGGCTGCCCCTCGTTAAGGCCGATCTGGAGATCATGGTAGGAGGGGCCGTCGTCAATTGACAATTCAATGGTTCGCGGCTGCAACTGCGTGCTTGAGCTCTTGTCAATCGATTCCGAAAAATCCCTGGCTGGCCGGCTTCTGGGTTGGCGGAAAATGGCTGTGCCGACCCGCCACGAAACTGCCAACTGCCCTGGATTGGTCCGCCCGCCCGGCCTTTAGTAGGAAAATGACAGGCAAGGTGCCTGACAGGGGTCTACGCTGAGGGTTCTGTGTGTAAGCGTTGACACGCGCGATATGATTGGCCCATAAAAGCTACAGCTGCCTCGCGACCGAACCCACTGTAAAAGTTGCCTTTTTGGGGGGGCCTGATCCTGGCGGCGACGACTCAGAAAATTATTAGACTTCTGCAAGTAGTCCCCCACCCTTCAGCAATCTGAACCTCGGCGACGTGCTCTCTCGCATTACTTCCTTCAATGACTATACGGTAGCACATGTGGCAGCTCTAGAGATAGTGAGAGGATCTCTAGAAGCAACACGCAAATCCCAACAGCACGCAAACATTCCGCTACTGTCAACATGTTGGTCGTACGTCAAGCTACCCGTTCCTGCATCGTCCCTTCACCTGGCGCAAAGTCGCCACAGCCTTGCACTGCTGCTAAAGATCCCAATCTAGACAAAGCATCTTGCAGAGCTCTGCTCTCTGCTCATCGGGGAGCTCTATGGCGAGCTCCCATCCGTATGTATCTCCCCGCTTGTCCCACTCCTTGCGGTCGTAATCTCAGCGAGTTGAGACTGACGGCGCTTCTAGAGAATCTTTGCGACACTTATCAATCGGGGTAGGTCGTCAATTCCGCAACTGGTCCATCATACCTCAATGAACCCCCGTCAGCTCCGCCATGGACTCGCCGTCCTCCTGCAGTACAACATGCTCTTCTACTCCGTTGAGCCGGACACCGAGGTGGCCGTGTACGAAGCGAATGTCGAGTATGCCTATAACCTAATCCGTACGGGTAAGATCCTAGAGATGATCGATACGTCGTTTGGCGCGCCTGCCAAGGATATCATGCAGAGTCTGCTCCTTCTGGGTCAGGCACGGATCTCGGATCTTATTGAGGCGTACCAACAAAAGATTGACCAGGCGAAAAAGGCTGCGGCCGAAAAAATTGAAGATGGCAACGAGTTCGAGGTTAACAGTGTAAATGGGCACTCTGATTCGATCAAGAAGTCGGATCTACTGGTCAAGAGCACAGCCCAGCTGAATTCGGTCATTTGTCGGCTCGTTGAGGCTGACCTCATCGATGTCGTTCACTCTCGAAGCTTCCAAACGCCCCAAGATATCCACAAATCTGTCGAGAAGGAAGTCACCGAAAGATTATTCCCCGGCGGGCCAAAAGGCGGGAAAGCAAAGATTGAGCTACAGGACAAGATAGCTGAGAGCCTCCGCAAAATCCGCAGCGAATCCAAGTCTCTGAAGCGCAAGCTGGAGCAAAATGTCACGTCTGCAAAGAGGCGTAAGCTCTTCAGCGGTGGTGCGTCGAACGGCGCTCATGATGAGGAAGTGGATCCGGATCTTGACGTAAGTGCCCTGAACAGTGACCCGAATCATCATCATATTCTAACATTCATCAAGTCGAGACAAGTCATCCGAATCAACTATGAAAAATGTCTTGTCGATCTTCGAAACCGCCGCCTCGTGCAGTTTGCAACTGACATATATGGGGAGGCTACAGCGTATGTCTATGGCGTGCTGCTGCGATTGCTGACGAAACCCATTGCGCGCTGCCGTCCTGATCCGGTGATGGATATTGGCGAAGGCGACAAGGACAGGCAGAAATTCGGGTTCGTTACGATAGGCGAGATATTGGATAGCCTCAAGACTTCCGTCGACTTATCTCTAGGACTTGGGAAGGTTGCCAAGCATGATATTTCTTCCAGAGCCGCCGACGCAATTCAAGAGGAACCCCCCAAGCCAAAACTTTACATTGAAGAAGCCGATGTCGACGAAGGTGATAGCGCAGACGAAGCCAAGGACGGCGATGGCTCCAACTCGAGCGGGTCTGATTCAGAATCTGACCACAAAGAGCGCCCGGCGACAAACGGCAGCAAGGTTCAGTTTGCGGATTCGACAGGTGCCAAAGAAATGAGGCTCGATCGCCCAGCCCAGCTTCGCCAACATCTTCTCCTGCTCTCGGAGAGTAATCAGCATTTTGTCCGCCATTGTGGCCCTAACGAATGGACAGTTGACTTCGTGCCCCTCATGAGCGCGTTGCGCGAGTTTGAGCTCGATTCTGTCATTGAGCGAACCTCAGGTCGCCAGGGCCTGCGACTGGTTCGAATCCTCCGGACCAAGGGCAAACTGGACGAGAAGGCGCTTCCGACTGTTGCGCTGATGAAGAAACCCGAAGTACAGCAAAAGATGTTGGAAATGCAGAACGCGGGTTTCGTGCACGTTCAGGAGGTGCCACGAGACACGAAAGCAGATGTGAAGAAATCCTTCTTCCTTTGGTTTTCAGACGTGGACAAATCCCTAGCCCGCCTGCTTGATACAAGCTACAAGACCACGGTGCGCTGCATCCAAGTTTTAGAAGTTCTCCGCCAACGGGAAAAGGATGTGCTAGAGCTCACGAAGAGGACAGACGTCCGAGGCAGGGAAAGGGACGTGATGAGAAAGGAATACTTCGACAGGTATTCTCGTTTCCTGGAAAACGAGCGGAAGCTCTTTGCTCAAGTCATGAGACTTGACGACCTAGTCGCCGTTCTACGTGATTTTTAGGGGCTGAAAAGCAATGTACACGAAATCGGTTGGTCTATCTGATATCAAGTCATGATGGCATAGCATCGGCGGCGTCGGGGATCAGAATGGTTGCATTTGCTTGGGGTTTACCAGGAGGCTTTGGGTTTAAGCTGGGATGCTAGGCTAACTAACTTGCATGGCTTTGAGTCCATGGTTGTACACCATATATCAATCATGAATAGAGATTATGACATGTCCTCTGGCATCTAATGGGACGCAGGAGATAGGACAAAGAAGAGAGCATGCACACAGTTTTGTGAGCTATTTTGAAGCGATTACCCCGACTAAATATCTTTTACTATTTCCGAGTCCAATAACAGGCTAAGTGAATTGTAAAGCTGATTAAGAGAGCTTTGCAAAGTCTCCCAAGCTATCGGAGTTGAGTTTGGATACGGAGATTTCCGTATTGTAAGTACGTACAGTAGTACCGTTTGATAACAAGGCGCTAATAATTCCGATAATCTCCAATGCAGCCTGGGCCCAGCGTCCTGGCACAATCCCGCTGTCGGAGCTTAAACGGCAGCGCATGGGAGCTCCAGGAATTTTTTTGTCAAAAATTTACGGGGTTCGCGCCATTTGTCTCGGAGCGCTCCGATCTTGCTTGTGACAATCTCCAGTCCTGTCCCTCGTTTCGCCAATTTTCTCGCCGGTCGCCTAGAATTTCTTTGTCTGGCCCACTGCGTAACTAGCATTCTTTAAGTCGTATACCTGGCGACTCGCCAAAACAAAAGCACAATGTCTCCTCCAGCGGGCGCGGCGCAGAAGGAGTCTAACCTTGCAAGACTCTTGGGATCTGGTATGTCGACAGTGGCGCACCCCGAAGACTACAAGATAGCTGACTTGCTTTGCCCTCCCCCCAGGCTCTGCCGGTATTGCCGAATTGGCCATATTCCACCCCGTACGTCGTCTCGAAGTAGTGCCCTACGCCAGCTACCATGCCCCAGATCCGTCAACATTGTCCAATTGGTAGCCCGATAGAACGGAACCGAGAGCGCGGCAGTTGCTAACTACTTTGGGCACAGGTCGACACCATTGCGAAACGCTTGATGAGCAACGAGACTAAGGTGCGCAGCCTCTCTCCTTGCCCCTTGTCGATATGGGGATCGTGTTCCCGAAAACATTCGGGTGCCCTTTATACAGTTGGGAGGAATTGACGACAGAGGAAGAAAGAAAGGGGGCTAATTGCGAATCTGTACGAATATAGATCGTCGGCCTACCGCAACTCAACGCCGTAATCTTCAAGGACAAGGCCGCTGCGCCGCTCGGGAGGAAGTTCGTCTCGCTTTTCCCCGGACTCGGCTACGCCGCCGGATACAAGGTCCTTCAGCGAGTATACAAGTACGGAGGCCAGCCGGTGGCCCGCGACTACCTCACATTACACTATAGCAGGGATTTCGAGGGTGCCTTTGGCAAGAAGACCGGAAAGGCTATCATGCACTCAACTGCGGGAAGGTGAGCACGGCCCAGTCCTCAGCAGAGCTAGCAGAGCTGTCCTGTCACCTATGCCAGGAGGAGAGCAGTTTGTCTACGCGCAGACTCGGGCCAAGATAACATGGCTAACCAACCCTCCGTTTTATGCAGTCTGATCGGCATTGGCGAGATCGTCCTACTACCCCTTGACGTCCTCAAGATCAAGCGGCAGACAAACCCCGAGGCCTTCCGGGGCCGCGGTGTCCTGAAGATTATCAAGGACGAGGGCTTCGGTCTTTACAGAGGGTGGGGCTGGACAGCTGCGAGAAACGCCCCCGGTTCTTTCGCGGTATGTCCGCTATATCCGCCAGTCCTTGACAATTGAGTTGCCATCACTTTGTTAATGTTGATTTGTTAAATTAGCTGTTCGGTGGCTCTGCATTTGCCAAGGAGTTCCTCTTCAAGTTAGATGACTACAACAAGGCGTCATGGTTTCAGAACTTTGTGGCCTCGATTGCGGGTGCCTCGGCCTCCCTCGTTGTCTCGGCGCCGCTTGATGTGATCAAGACGCGCATCCAGAACCGCAACTTTGAGAACCCCGAAGGCGGCTTCAAGATTTTGACCAACATGGCCAAGAACGAGGGCGCCTCTGCCTTCTTCAAGGGCTTGGTTCCAAAGGTCTGTTCTTCACTGAAGACCCCCTCCCCCAGGATGGCCTGCGCAAGGTAGTAGTAGGCTTAGCCCATGAACGTCCTGCTAACCCAACTTATCTTGCAGCTCCTCATGACGGGCCCGAAGTTGGTTTTCTCCTTCTGGCTAGCGCAAACATTGATCCCAGCGTTCGACACTGCGTTCAAGAAATAAACCGTTAAACCCTATATAACGGGGACTAGCGCTGAACTAGAAATTGGACAAAGAAAATAATCGAGATACCACCTGATACATAGCTCTAATCTATATGGTCGGGATTCTATTTTCTTGGGCGGCGTTCTGGAGACATAAAAAGACGGGCGCGTCTCTCTGAGTGTTTTGCGTCGGGCGCGAAATCAACTAGTAGAGTCATGAGGTAAAAAACACATGTCTCTCCAATCCACAACAACTATATAGGGTTTATTCAGCTCCGACTTGCCGATATATACTTCTCCTCTCTTCCTATTGTTCTTGTCTATCCCAGCATCCACCCGTAATGAGGACAGTGTAACATCTAATACCCAAACATAGTCCGTAGATGACTGAGGGATTACAGAAGTCACGAACACAAACACTGAACCTGATGGGATCGATTCGGCTCAGTCAATAGACCATTTCAAATTCTGTTGGATGTCTATATGTGAGTTTTCTTATCTGTGGTAGAACTAAAACGAAAGAAAAAGAGAAAGAGAAAAAAATGTCAATGACTTGCAAGACACAAGTTGTGAGCTGTGATCGTCAGGACTCGGTGTTTCATGGGTCCCTGGTCAGCTTCCAGGCGTGGCCGCTCAAAAGGCTACAGTGCCAAGCTTCAAGGATAATAACGTTCAAGTGTAAGGCACGGACCACTAAATGTGGGGGTGATTTGGGCAGTGCGGGCGGCAGGGTGGGCCGCCTTGCAGACCTGACTTCAACGCTTGAACATGACACTCACCAACTCCTCTTTGAGGAGTGTTAACTAGGCAGCACCATCACCTAGATTTGTGCGCCTAATTCACTAGATTGACCATCTGCTTGCCATCTCCCTGGCCCTGAGAGGCCGCGATTTGAAGACGACTCGAATGCGCAGCCCGCCCGGCGACTCCAAGATACTTGAGTGCTTGCATTAGACTGGACCCGACCCATCCATGAGAGGCGCCCGCATGCCGCGTACCGCACTGGGCCATGGAATTCGGCGGTTCTGATGGCGGTTTTGACGCCGGTGACGACCGGCCTCCACAGAAGAAGAGGCCCTTGCCCGCCGATCTCCCCAGATCCCTCGACGACAGGAGACATGTGCCGACCGAGCTTGTGCCCGAGACGGAGATGTACGATGGCTGGCAGGGTTGGTGCTCCGAGGCCCTTGCTTTCCACCACACGTCATAGCTACATACCACAGTGCTGTTGTTGTTGCTAACTGCCTGCTCCCTCTCCACGCCCGTTGCCCAGGACAATCCCAATTCCTGACCTCGCCCATGATCGCCAAGCCCCTCAGCTTCAGCGACCTCTCCTTGAACGATGCCAAATACGACGCCGCGGACATAATCAAGGGCGGATCCGATAGCGAAACGCGCCTCATGGAGATGCTGGCTGCACAGGCCGCCCACTCGGCCGGCGTCGTCTTCGACAACGAGGATGCCATTGCTGACGACGAGAAGATGACTGACGAGGAAAAGAAGGAAGCCTTGCAGAAGGCCTTTATCATGGCGGCGAGCAACGGCCACGTGGATTCCGTCGCAAAGATCCTCAACGGCAAGGCGAGGTTGTATGTCGACATCAACGCGCCCGACGACGAAGGCACGCCCGCGCTCATATACGCAAGCTGTTTTGTGAGTCAGGAGTTCGCCTGCGGCGTGCTGGTATTCCCCCGCTAATTCCTCGACAGGGACACGAGCCCGTAGTGAAGGCCCTCATCAACGCCGGCGTGGACATCGATAAGCAAGACCGGAACCAATGGAGCGCGCTCATGTGGGCCATGACGAATCGGCACAAGGGGATCGCGAAACTACTACTAGACAACGGGGCGTCTCCCGAGGCTAAGACATCGTCAGGGCGAACGGCGTTTGATTTTGTCGCTCCCGACAGCGACATGTCGTACTATCTAAATGGCAGTGGGTATGGGATTGGAACAGCTGGCGCTACCGATGACTTTTACAATCCTGGCTTTTCGCAGGACAAGTTTGAAGAGGAGCTGGCCGAGAACGAGATGCGGAGGCGGATGATGATGGAGAGCGCCCGCGACTTGGAGGTAGATCTGGGGAATGTGGGAATTGACGACCAGCCCGAGGTTTGCATCTGTCCATCCGCATATATAGGCGTATTGCCACGCGCTAACCTCTTGTCAGCCTGTTGATGATTTTGAAGAAGAACAGCAGGAATTTGACTGGACGAGATGTCTACACGACCAGATGTTTGTCTTCCAGGAGAGTGAGCTGGACCGGATCTTGGATATTGTTATCACGAACATGACCCCTCAACGGTCACCGACCCAGAAACCCGTGCCCGCAAACATGATCTTCCTAGGGGCCAGATATGCGCACTACCATTCTAGCCCGGAGCTGCTGGCGAATCTGCTCATCACGGCCATGGACAAGATCAACGATGTGGTGGAAAGATACCAATGGGATATGACCATCCTGGCTTTCTGGATATCCAACGCAACACTTTTGTTACACTACCTCAAGAAAGATGCCGGCCTGGTCGAAGCAACTTCGGAGTTCCAGGCGCAGCTTGCGGAGCTGATTAATGAGATTTTCATCCTTATTGTCAGGGACGCCGAGAGACGGCTCGACAAGGTCCTTGATGCTGCCATGCTGGACCATGAAACAATCCCCGGATTCGAAGACATAACGTTTCAAAACGAGTGGAAGATCTTTAAGCGGAAAAAGGAGATCAAAGAACAGCCCCTTGAGAAGCGGTTCCGCCCCCCGTCTCCCAAGCAGAGGGCCAAGCCTTCTCCACGTAATGTGACATCCCTCCTTTCTTCCACATTATTTGTTTTAGACCTATACGACATTCACTCGGTCATCTCGGCGCAGATTGTATCGCAGTTGCTCTACTGGCTGAGCGCGGAGCTGTTCAACCGCATCATGTCGAACAGGAAGTACCTAGCTCGTACCAAGGCTATGCAGATTCGCATGAACATCTCGATACTTGAAGACTGGGCCCGTCAGAACAACCGACAGCCCGAACACTACGAAGGGGGCGAGACCCGATCAACCGGGGAGAACATAATCGAGGCGGCACGCCGGCACATGGCGCCGGTAATCCAGCTTCTGCAATGGTTGCAGTGCTTCTCATCGTTGGGTACCGACGACCTGGAGGCCCTGATAGGGACCTTGCAGCAACTCAAAGCCTTGAGTCCACAACAGCTGATACACGCTGCAACGCATTACCGGCCGGAAGTAGGGGAGAAGGGGCTTCCCAAGAGCGCAATGAAGTATCTCGTTGCAATACAAAAGGAAGTGGCTCTGCGGCGTGAAAGAAATCGCAATGCGCCGGCGTCGCCAAAACCGAAGCCGGGAGGTGATAGCACGCCGACTACGCCGGCAAAGAAGTCGAATGGTAACGGGGCGACATCGCCGGCAAGCATACAAACGCCAAGGTTAGGTGACGAGTCTGAGCAAGAGGACGAGGCCCCGGCAAACTTGCTGCTCGATCCCGCGCTTATGCTCCCGTTTACGCTGCCAAGCGTGACCGACATGCTGATCAGCTATGGTGCCGGGTTTGGGGGTGTGAATCGGGAGCGGGAGCGAAAGTACATCCCCACCATCCCGCCCGAGTTTCTCGATAAGATCGAATCGACCAGCAGCACCAAGAAAGGGCCCATGTTCGGCGAGAAGGACTGGGAGAACGAGGAAGTCTAATAAGCGTGGTTTGCTGCTTGACTAGTGTGCTTTTTCCTTCTTGTTGCAGATCCGCCAAGGAGTGATGCGTTCAAAGTACTCTTTGCTAGCAATAGCATAGCGAACTTGTCAATCTGTGAGACCGAGCTCCTTGGTGACGAGGCTTGCTCCAAAGTCTGCCATGCTGAAGGAGTATTAACCTGACTGTGTTACTCCGAGGTTGCCTCTGAGGCGCGCGGGCTGCGATCGGCGGCAGCGGAGGTCAGGTTAAAAGCGTTTGAGGGTCAGGCCGACAGTGTTTCCTGCGTACTCATCAGCATTTGAGATAATTAGAGGAAGAGTTCGTAAAACTGCTCGCTGGTGAGAAGTACAGTAGCAGTATGTTGTATGCCAGTTAGCAGACGGCATACTGTGCTGGGCGCGGGTGGGGGGGGAAGGGAGGAAGAATAAACTAGTCGAGCCTCTAGGGCATCAAAGAGGGCAGCCCTCGAGCGGCCCGCGCGGAGCCATCTGCTCGAGGCAAACTCACGCTCGAGAAGGGGCTCGGGGCGGGGACTGTGGCCTCGCCGAGACGGGAGTTGTAGGCCGCGCGTGCCTCATTCGGGCGGAGTAACTACCGGCAGGATATCTTCATCAGGTTCAGGTTCAGCATCGCAATCGTAATCAGCAGTAGAGCTAGCATTATCCCGCTTCTTTTCGTTCGTTCGCGATTTGAGCTGGCAGGTTCGGGATTGAAAAGTCGCGAAACTTTTCGATCGCGACCATGTAGAAAGGAAGGAAAAGTCGAGAAATCTTGAAATAGGCAAATGAACAACGAGGTCTCCCTACTAGTTCAGATCGTAAAAGCTAGGAAGAAGCGGTAGATTGGGTTAGGGATTAAAAGTCGCGAAACTTGGCGATCAGGATCTAGGTTATCTCAGTTCCTCGGACCCTTCTCTTTGGTTGGGACTGCCGGGCGTACGTTCGGAGTATCCTCGGCAGAAATGTCTAGGCCGTCTTAAAAACATCCCTCATAATCACAATGATATCCGGGCATGTTAGACCGTTCGAGTTAGCTGGGGAGGTATCTCACAGCGTGCTTGGTTCGCATCGTCGTTGGAAATGACCCCGCACCTACCACTCCCCTATCCCAAACTCGGCCGCCGAGACATGCTCTAGGCCATCAGTCCCTATCTGGTATTATTGTGTTGTACATACATACATACAGTATGTACAGTACATACGGAGTACATACTACGTAGAACGAAACGCCACTCCGCTATACCACTGAGTCCGAGGAATGGTGCTTAGGTGCTTTGTAGGCGGCGCTTCGTCCAACCTACACGCCGCGCCCAGACCCGAGGCCAACAAAGCTGCATCCCCCCCAGCGGACGTGAGGACCGCCGCGTCTCTTCCACAACGCGGGCTTGACTACGCGCGCGCCCGGCTTAACAATGACATGGCGGCACGGGCGTTTTCGGGATTCTGCCAGACAGGGACTAATGGCCAGAGGTAACTGCAAGGTTACCATCCCCCACTACCACCACTGCCGCCACTTAGTGTTGATGGGCAGCAGACTGGCCATTTGTAGGTCTACTCAGTCTTGTCAGTGCAGCTTGTTTCAGCTGTCAAGGGAACTCATAGGCGGATCCAGCGTGGGATGAGGTTGGTAGAGCCGACTTCTTGTCATTTCCGTCTGTCGTTTTTCCGTTGTTATCCATGGCTACTAGATTAACTGTACGAGTTTAATATAACAATCCTTTGAAAGGTCAATATTAGTTTAAGTCATGTATGGGCGGTAGGCTTGTTTATTCTAAACCAGCCTGCGACAAGAGACACCGAGGTTCGGGAGGACAGGGAGGCTGATTTCAGAGGAACTCCCTTACCCGAGTACCTGAGGAGAAACAGGTGTATCGTCTAAAGGACGGCAAGCTGTCCCTTGCGCTGGAAGAACATCATTCTTATGGCTGGGTGTAACAACCCGCTTGCCAACACATCCATAGGTGGAAGCCACCATATAAAGATTCACTTAGACTGTGCGGAGGCGTCTGGCCGCAGAAAATATGCCGAAATCACAGCACAGCAGCCCAAGGAAGGATAAGAAGACAGCGTCCTTTCCAGCCTAGGAGAAAGGTGTATTTCTTCCCGCTCTCCCCGTTTCTGCCTCTCGTCCCAGCACCCAGCCTTCCCATTACAGCCCACGCTCAGTTACTCACCAACGTTCCTCCCGAAATCCCGAGCATGAGTACCCCGTAAAATACACAGTACATCTTACCAATTACCATCACCAAAATGGACGGTCATATTATCATGTAAGCAATCCCCCGGATCTCATATATACCTATGGGGGTTAATATTTTATGAGGAAAATTGCCCCTTATAAACTTGAACTGCGGTGCAAGTGTTCTGCATAGACCCAAAGTACTGGTGGAATTCACCATGTTTGACAGGACAGCTTGACGCTCGGCTCGGCAGGCCCGGTGCCTAAAGATAGAAGGAACTTTCGAATAGAAGGCATGCGCAAGATTGAGCTGCGGAAGCTCTTCCTTTAATATAGGTAAATGTCGAAAAGAAAAGCGCGGTGGTGAACCAACAGGGTCGCTCGCCATCTGCGATTGAGGCTGCTACCGTTTGTAGCGCGAACGGAGTTCAGATCGGGGGATGTGATTGAAGTTTGGAAGCTTAGTGTTCAGACCCGCCGGTAGGTAGGTAAGTGCTACGCGAGGTTTCGCGGGGTAAGTACACGAAGTTTGCACGTGGCCCACACACTAAACCTAATTGGGCTTTTTCCATGAAAGAAGGTTTGCGGGCGAAGTTTGCACGTGACCCTCAAGCTAAGCCTAATTGGGTTTTTTGGGGGAAGATGACGTAACACGGCCAGCGACAATAAACTCACAATACGCTGTGCCGTGACATAGCTGGAGGAGCGGGAGGGCGAGTCGAGGAACCCGGAGTCTTCAATGGCCCCTCGATTCAAGCCCCAGAACGTCCAGCCTTTAGTTGGACTCCAGCGGAGTCTCGTCAGGTAGCAAGATCATCTACCTGCGAACGCCAGAAGTGCCTCTGCACTAGGCCTAGTTTCACTTGGGCACGAACTCGGGTTGGGTTTAGGATGACGCCGGGTGAGTAGGTAAGCAGGTTGGAGGGAGCAACATGCCTAGTTTCTTCCTGAGGGGTGGGAAGCCTTAATCCCGGCGCTCAGGGCATGATGAATAGCAGTGGTGTACTCGTGCCCTCCAAACGAGGTATGTGGAGCGCAAGATAACCCAGTTGGAAAGGGACCACATGGGGAAATCCCTAACCAATAAACTGCTGAGGCGTGGAGGGCGGCATTGCAGCCAGTGCAGCTGTGATCGAACACGCTTTGGGCTTGTACTGGAAGATGCTCAGGCATATCTGGAAAATGGAGTCGCATGGGCTAAATTTTGCTAAGACAGGATGAAATGATGAGACAGGCAGGATAGATTTTTTTTTCTTGCCACGATTCGCAGGGGCCTAAATGCCGTATGCAAGGTGTCAGGTCGGGCAATGATCTGGAGTCTTGACAGGCCAGAGGGTTGATGACGGGACATGCAAGCTGCAAGGGACAGAACGCCAGCTGGCAAGCGATGCGATGGCCAGGGGTGGTGATGGTGGGGGTGGGCGGACGGGCGCATAGAATATACGCACCGCACCGCACCGCACCGCACACACTGATGCGCGCGCTTTACTAAACAAACTCGGTGTAGATAATGCTGTGTTCGATTAACTTTTTTATCTTCTCGCTTGGGCGTTGGGGAGTAGAAAAAGCGATAAATTGATTGATGTTGGTTTTGCTTTCTCCCATCTTGAGTGAGAGAGAAATCCATCGCGAGTCGGCTTTGTTGGTGGTGGTGGCGGGAACAAGGACAGATGGAATTAGCTGAAGACAAGCTGGGCTCGTCTTGTCTGGCTAAGTGATCACAGCAGTTCTAGCTGGCCGGGGCTCTTTGCCCATCCGAGAATGTGCCCGGTGCAGACAGACAAAGTACGAAGACACGGCATGTTTGTCATCATAGAATGCTGGCCCGTCCGTCCATTGAGAGAGAGAGGGAGAAGAATCTTGTCCTGTCCTGTCCTGGGCCGTTGGCCACCGTCGTGCCGTTTGGTCACTTTGGTGTACATGGCTAGACGACTGGCGGGCAGTTATCGTTGTGAACTTGTGAACTTGTGTGGATGGGTTTTGTTGTCGTACGGTTTCATCTCATCGTATCACATCGCTCCCCTCTCATCGTGTCTAGACACTTGCTAGTTAATCATCATCACGTCCCTACGTACCGCGTACTGTACTTGTGCCATGGCCGATTGGTTTGTGAGAGGTGTGGATAAGAGAGAAGAGATGGAGACGGAGACGGAGATGGAGATGTGTGTTTCTGGGGACCATCTCTCTCGCCCGTCTGGACGCCCATCCATCCCTTCCAGATACTGTATGTACTTTACTACGTAGCGATGGCCTGGATCTTCTCTTTTCCCCCGCCTACCTATCCATGTAGCCTGGGCAGTCTCCGTCGACAACCTGGATCATGCTTGGGCGTTTGGCTTCCCTTTCCCCGGGACACACGAACACGGCTCGGCGAGAAAAAAACCGTTGGTACATACATGGGGCCGGATATGGGGTATGTACAGTGCTGTCGAACGGGGCGGCTGCTGGGATCGAACGGAATGGCCGATCGAGGAGTTGTCCCTCGGTTATTCCGTACTCACTGCCTAAAGAGAACGAATGAGTGGTGATTTCTTATTTCCTCTCCTTACTCCGTAGGTAGTTAGGTAAGTCCCTAGAAATAGACTGGTGGAGAACGCAAATTTTTTGGAGTCACACACATAGACACGTGAGGAGGGGAGAAAGAGATTTTCTTTTCTGAGGTCGGGGATTGGTATGATGGAGGCCGGAAATTGGCCGACGATGAGTTGGCTAAATTGTCTGAGTGTGTGTGTGTGTGTGTTGGGTGTTGTTGCCACGTCAGAAACAACGGCCCCCCAATCGGGCACTGTGTTTTTTTTGTAGGAGGGGGCGCTCCCAAGCAAACCGCGCAAGCGTGCGCGTTGTTCGTACATACATATTGGCGGAATCACGCGCATGGAAAAGGGGTTACGAAGCAAAGCAGGAGAGGAATCCTTTGTCTTCCATTTCAAGACAAGTGACTGGCATGGCATCGTCTGAACATTGGCCCGAATTGAAAGTCGGTGGCACTTGGGCCGGCTGGGATGACCCGCGACGTTGGGATAAAACCAAATGCCCCACACACAAAAAGTCGAGTGGGCGCTGTGGAGTAGGAGGGGTAAGTTACCCGCGTGTTGGTGATTTGTGACAGCTGGGAAGCGTCGTGGTAGGAGATTCCACCACTGCATGTCTGCCGTAAATTGGAAAATGCAAGCTTTTGAATCTTTTCTCTTCAAAACTCGTCCGGTACTCACAACGAAGAAAGGAGATGGAAAGGCCAGAGAGCTGAAAACAGTTGAGACGAAAAAGCACTCAAGGTAAATTCCCGAGTGTCGATCGTAAAAGTCCGTGCAGCCTTTTCTAGGACGGCGTGCGGGTCAGGCCCAATGTGTAAGTGATAGGGACTCAAGCAATTTTGGATTATTGCGTCTCAAGACATGCATGTGATATAAGGCTACCACTATCTTTTTTCATGCGCCCATAGTAGAGCGTCTGTCGAGGTAGGTTGATCGAAGACTTGCTCGCCACTGTCCTCCTCCCCTCGTTTGGGTAAACATGCTGTTGCGCAGTCTTTGCTCTTGCCTTTGCATCTTCGTTCAAACACGCTGCCCGGGATATCATGGTGTGTTTGTACGACTGACTGTGCCACGGCAATGGAGCGAGCGGTGTGGGAAACAAATCTTTTACCCACCGTGTCTGTGGTCTCAGGGCCAGAAGATCGTGATATCTTTGGCCTTTGCTGGAGCAGTGGTTCTCGGTTCTTAATTGCATGCAGATAACTGGCCGCCCGACTCGCATGACAGACACCCAGTCAAAGGGCCCGTTTCCTGCAAACGCGGAGCGAGCTGCGGAGGTGGCAAGCTCTGGATGGAGGACAGCCGAGAACGCATCCGCTACCCACTCACTCCCTCACTCACCGCATCTGCTGGACTTGCATCCAAGGCATTCAGAGGCGGGGAAAAAGAAAAAAAATTAACTTAGGACCAAGGTCGTGTGTGTGTGTCTGTCGCTAGCCTTGGCCAACATGGCAAGCGGCCGTCCTATTTTCTCACCATTGGGCCTCCAAGAGACATTGGCATAGCCCAATCAGCAGGGCTGGACAAACCGAGAGGTACGGCGAAGCAGTAGGCAGCAGATATCTACCTATTTACTCCCATCTCTTCTCTCGTGCTCGTGTAGAAAGGCGTCTGTAGTCCCGGCAATTACAATTCAACAATCTCTAACCGACACTCTTTTCCCGTGTGACAATTTCCTGGGCCTGGATCGCGACCACCCGACACTCTCTTCTCACTGCCATTCACTCACTCATTTGCTCGGCTGGGCACACACTCATTTATTTACTTGCCATCCATATACCAACTACTAGCTCGGCCCGGTGGTAAAACTAGGTTTCTCTCTTTTCTTTTCCTGGACACTGCTGAGTTCAGGCCCACGGCTTGATATCCAACAAAGCTATCCGTATCCCGGCCAAGGCTGTCGACCATCGTTGTCGTGCCGAACTTGAGAACTTGGCTGCCCCCGAATCAGGTCGTGCCAGTGCTTTCGTTTTCGGCCGCCACAGCAGGCGCCTTCTGCTCCCGTCGTTCGAGCCTTCCCTCGTCGACAGACCTAAAGCCCGCGGCGTCCGGCCGAGCTTCCAGCTACTGCAGGGGGAACCAACGTTCCTGTCCCGTCAGCAGCTAGCGGTGCCAGTGCGTGCTGTGCCGTGCGCCAGCGCTATTACGATTCGGGAAAGCGAGCTGCGGCCGCACCAACCAGCGCCGCCCTGCCCTGCCCGCGCCAGCGCCAGTCCCGCCAGCGTGCTGCTCCTGCTCACCTCAGCGTCCATGGCACCCCAGAAATTCGCCAGTGTGCGCCACAAAGCCAGACCGCCAGCCCGACTTGCTTCCTTCCGCGACGACAGCGGCCTGGTTGCGCTGCGATACGAGCAGACGCGACAAGCCGAGCCGCCGATCCCGCTGCCTCCTCCTCGCAACCCGCTGCGCATCTCCCTCACGCCGTCAGGAACCGGCGCCCCAAGGACTCGGACAGCAATTATCGTTATCCCACCCACCGTCGCGCCTCCTCAAGAGGAGCACCCTCTTTTCCGCACACAGCGGCCAGCTCCATCACACGCCAACGGTGCTGGCAACGACAACGGCTGGAAAAGGGACTCGGGTGCTCCGACGTCATCCTCAATCACGCTCCGAGACGAGCACGACGAGGACCCCGTGTTCCGCAAGCTGTTTGACCACGGTTCGGACGCGCCCTCGGTTTTCTGCAGCGACGAGCAGACGCTCAAGGACGCGGCCTCTCCCATCTTGGAGCTTCCCAGCACGCCTCCAAGCCCGGACCTCGCAGCTATCCCACAAAAGCTGTCGACAGCAGCTGGGTACCGCGACGCGGACTCGGATTCCAAAAATACGCCAGCGTCTCCTACCGAGTCGGCGCGGCCTGTTTCGCTCACAAAGAAACTGAGCAAGACTTTTAGCATCCGGTCTGCAGCCACTAAACGGCTGAGGAAAAGATCACTCAGCACCGACGGTAGGGCTGCATCCCCAGATGCACCGCCATCGACAATGCGGGGCTCGCCTAACAAATCTCCAAAGTCACCCCCACGCTCTTGGGCACGGTCTCCGGTCTCCAACCGCAAGGGGCGTGATCCCGGCCCGTCACAAGCCAGCGGCAGCGACGCGGATTTCACCCCCATCACGACTCTGATCCCCGACGACAGCCTTTGGGACGACTTTGGCAACCTGTCGTTTTCGAAGCGCGGGAGCATCATGTTCGGCGGGAAGGCCGGCTTCCCCTTCGGTCGAGATGCCCCGCCCGCACCGTCATCGTCGGCGGACGCTGCGAGTGTGACGCCGGCCCAGCCCCAAGTCGCAACCCCCGCGGCGGGCGGCGGCGATGCGACCGACGAGAAGCCGCATGCGTCGCCCCACGACGAGTCGCCGTCGGTGCCCAGCATCCGCGTCGTGTCGATAGACGTTGAGAGGGAATCACAAAAGGTGAGATCGCTCTATGAATCCAACGAGGGCCTGAACTGGCAAGATGGGGTGCGCGTCTCGTTTGCCGAGCGGCTTGAGCCCACAGAGGAGGTGCCATCGGACGAGGAAGAGAACGTCGTGTACGGTTTTCCTTGGAACTCTCCAGCCGGAACGGCCCGCTCGATGCTGACTGACACGTCCCCTCTCCAGTTCTTCTCCCTCCGATCCTCAGCCAAGCGGCCGGCCTATCGTGCATTCTCCAAGTATCACTACGCCACGGTCGGCCAGTTCATTATCTCAACGACGAGATAGCCAGGTCAGGGGGGGATACGAGTGGGCCGGCGGTGTCGAGGACTGGGAGGATGTCGACGGAGGCGACGTTGACCGGTACGGCTTCATCACCCGGAGGATGCCGGGGTCTCGGGCAGGGACACCCGAGCCGAGATCATCGCAGCTCTCGCCTAGGAGACGGAATGTCCTAACGAAGCGGCCCGGGTCGGCCTATTCGTCGTCGCCAAACGGACAGCTGCGCCCGCCAAGCAGGAAGGTCTCAGCACGTTCCCTAAACACATTTACCTCGGAATTCTCAACAGTATCACGAAGGTCGGCGAGGTCGTCGATACGGTCTGCCACAAATCGCCTGCCGCACAACCGGGACCGCAGGTGGATGGACGAGGCCGGCGACATGCTTGCGCTGCAGCCCGGACCGGCAGAGGACGACAAGACGGAGAAGAGCGCAGAGGCACTGAGGCGCAAGGAACTGGAGCGTTCGGAGAAGTGGCGCAAGATGGCCAAGGTCGCCAAGAAAGTAATAGACGGTCGCGGGGTGGACTTTGAGTTCGACACCAAAAACCCGAAACTCGTCGAGCGAGCCTGGAAAGGGATACCCGACTGCTGGCGCGCGGCAGCCTGGTATTCGTTCCTGGGGTCAAGCGCCAAGACGAGGGAGAGCACCGAGACAGACGAGCAGCTCATGGCCGACTTCAACAAGCTGCAAGACGTGGCCTCGCCGGACGACGTCCAGATAGACCTCGACGTGCCGAGGACTGTCAACGGGCACATCATGTTCCGCAAGCGATACCGCGGCGGCCAGCGTCTCCTTTTTAGAGTCTTGCACGCCATCTCCCTCTATTTCCCCGAGACAGGCTACGTGCAGGGCATGGCTTCGCTGGCGGCCACCTTGCTGTGCTACTACGACGAGGAGAGGTGCTTTGTCATGCTAGTCAGGCTGTGGAGGTATCGCGGCCTCGGCATCCTCTACCACCCGGGGTTTGGTGGGCTTATGGCTGCGCTAGGAGACTTTGAAAAGCGTTGGCTAGCCGGAAAGGACGTGGCCAACAAGCTCGTGAGTTGAACCACCCCAGAATATCCGACGGAAGACGCTAATGATGTATTCACAGAACGAGCTCTCGATTGATGCAACGGCTTACGGGACGCGGTGGTACCTGACCTTGTTCAACCTCTCCATCCCCTTTGCAGCCCAGCTCCGCGTCTGGGACGTCTTCATGCTCATGGGCGAATGCCCGCCCGGAGCGCCCCCCTCAAGCCCAGGGGAAGCCGGGCAGTCCAAAGAGGGCGCCGAGACGGCTCCCCCCAAGGGGCTCGACGTGCTGCACGCGACTAGCGCCGCGCTCATCCACGCGCTGCGCGACGTCCTGCTGGACTCGGACTTTGAGAACGCCATGAAGGCGCTCACCGCCTGGATCCCCATCAAGGACGAGGACCTCCTGATGAAGGTCGCGCGCGCCGAGTGGCGCCAGCACCAGGGCGGCAAGAGGAAGGATAAGGCCTAGAGGGCTCTGCAGCAGTCGTCGAAGATCTTGAGCAGGTGGAGGATCTGGTGATGCGCGACACACACCGGCGGGTGGTTTTTAATAATTTCTTTATGATTATTTTCTCGTTGGCGGCTGGCGCGCGTGCGTGCGTGTGTCTGGGTGTGGGGGAAGTGTCGTTGGAGTACCGTTGGATAGACTGTAGATCAGAGGCACATTGCACACAGAGCGAGCGAGGACTCGTTGTTATTGTTGTCGCGGCTCGGCTTGATTGGCTTAGCTTGGCTTGAATCAGCCCGTTTTGCGCGAGGCCGGGAGGCGGGAGTCGGGCAGGCTGGCGAGGCGCGTGGTTTGTTGATACCCCTTCCTTTTTTCCCTATTATTCTTCTTCGTCTTTTTTCCTCTTCTTATTATTCGTCTTCTTCGTCGTCGTCGTCGTCTTCTTCTTCTTCTTCTTCTTCTTCTTCTTCTTCTTCTTCTTCTTCTTCTTCTTCTTCTTCTTCTTCTTCTTCTTCTTCTTCTTCTTCTTCTTCGTCGTCGTCGTCGTCGTCGTCGTCTTCTTAACCCTATCCTATCGTGACTGCAGAAATTGAGATTGTTTCAACTTTCGGCTATTCCATTTGGCTGTCCACGTTTATTTGTGTTGCTGGTGAGTGCTGGATGGGGATATGCCATTTCACTTGGCTGGTTATATCCTTGTGGGGCCCTGTTTCAATTCCTGGGACGTCGACGTCGTTCGTTGTAAAGGTTGAGCTGGCGTGTGTGTCGTCTTGGGTCATTCATTCATTCTGGCCCGAAAATCTCTGTCTCAGCAGCCCCTCAGTCCTGGCGTGACCTCCATGACCTCCATGACCTCCACATCTCTCACTCATTGTGCATGACCTTGTTTTCTTCCTGCCGGAACAGACCTGAAGCGGCGGGTTCGGACAAACCAACCGTCGGCGGAGTGGCCTCTCTTACCAGCTGCGTTCAAGAGAGACAGAGTCTCTGCGAGTTGTCCAGTCTTCTGCTCAACCAGTTTTTTTTTAGTTTTTTTTTCAGCATTGAAGTGCGTTGCCGAAGCTTCATGGTCACACTCTCTCTGTTTTTCTCGTTCTCTTACAAGATGCCGGAAGGGGTGTTTGCTGGTTTAGCATGGTCTAATACATACACATACTAATACGTACACATACATAGGTAAGGTAGTCATCGCGGAAATACTGAGAATTTAATTACATTCAGTGTCATGTCTGGAGATGAATGATGTGATGGATACTGTGATAGTATATACCCTCCTCTTCTCTGGTGTCATGAGATGTGAATAAGTGGATGAATTAGACTACCGGTAACCAACGCGACCGACCGTCTTGTTTTTGCTTGAGGCATTCTGTTTCTCAGTTTCTAGATAACACCTCGTAGGTAGTAGTTATTCATTTTGGTTGTGGTATTTACCTATCTGGCTGTTGTTCTGTTCTTTTCTTTATTTCTTTTTTGTCTTTCTTTCTTTCAGACATCCCAAAACGAATCACCTTCCAACTTTTGGGTTGCTAATCGAGCTTGCATACTTCATGACCAGCAAGGAGGTCAATCCGTTAGTCCAGTTGGTCGGTTGGCCGGTCGGTCGGCCGGTCTAGACCTAGCGGCTTGTTTCCTCCCCCGCTCCCGCTTTGCTCCCGCTTCCGATCTCCGCATTTCTTTCTCAACGACCATGCTTACCTCATATACACCTACCCGCAGCATACATGACATGCGCGCCTTCCGGATGACTTCTTCATATGATATCATTTCCGTACCGACCGACTGGCCGACCGTATAAATAAATAACTATAGGCTAGCCTCACCGCAGTAACGAGCAGCATATTCACAACTTCATCCACAATCACCAGTTCAGCACAGCACAGCACAACACAGCACAGCACAACACAGCACAGCACAGCACAGCACAGCACAGTCACCGCGGTATTGTCATAGGCAATCATTGAGTCCCTTTTCTCTTCAGACACTGAGTCTTACCTTTTACCTCTACTTTACTCTACCGGGTTACCTACCTCGAGACACTAACCGACTACGGCAAGAACAACCAGAAAAGGCATAGAAAACAGTGAGCGCGAGGTAGGTAGATACCTAGATTATAGATAGATAAGGTAGTTATATCCATCCTGTCGCTATCCCAACCACGTACTATACCTTACTTTACTCAAGCGAAGCTAACAACTACACAGGAGCTATCACGACAAGGACCTACCACGCCAGGACCACAGGCTCAAGTCAACTCAACAAGTTCTGCATGGCTCCGTCATTACTCGCTGCCGCAGAGGGAGCGACGCAGACGCAGACGCATGCGCCGGCGGCGCTCGACGGGAAGACGGCCGCTACCGCCGACACTATCGTCACCAGCGCTGCTGCCGAGGACAAGGAAATGACGCCGCTCGAGGCCATCTCGCACGGCGACGTGCTGCCAGGTAGGTGACCACGGAGGAGCCTACATAGTTACTGGCTTACCTTGCTTGTCTCACTTACTTACCTGCCTGGCCGTTCGTTGCGGAATGCACACACACTTTCTCTCTACGATGCCTTTTACACATTGACCTACCGCACAAACCTTGGCGACATGCGGCAGGAGCAGGCAAACCGCCGCAGAGGCTGCCAGCTCTAAATGCCCATATACATCTCCCACTTACCTACTACCGACACCACCATGCCCCTGCACTGATTCCTAGAGCCCAGCTAACCCCTAACCACCAGGTATCCCCGGCTTTCCAACCTTCGGCGCGGCGCGCCGGCACATGCTGACGCACATGGCGGCGACGTTCCGCGGCTGGGCGCGGCTGGGCTATGGCGAGGGGCAGTCGGGCCACATCTCGGTGCGCGACCCCGAGTTCCCGGGCTGCATGTGGATGAACCCGCTGAGCCGGCACTTTGGGCTGGCGACGGCAGGGGAGTTTCTGCTGCTGGACATTGGCACGGGCCGGATGCTCGCGGGCGGGCGGAACCCGACGACGGGGCTCCGCACCGCCAACGCCGCGGGCTTCTTCATCCACAGCGCCATCCACACAGCGCGGGCGGGCGTGCACGCCGTCTGCCACGCGCACACGCGCGCGGGCCGGGCATGGTCTGTATTCGCCAGCCCGCTGCAGATGTTGACGCAGGACGTGTGCAATTTCCACGACGCCCACGCCGTCTATGCCAACTACGGCGGCATCGTCTTTGGGCGGGACGAGGGGGAGCGTATCGCGGCAGCGCTCGGGCAGCGCAACAAGGGCGTGATCCTGATGAACCACGGGCTGTTGACAGTAGGGGAGACGGTGGACGAGGCCGGGTTCATGTTTGGCTTGCTCGACCGCAGCTGCGCCATTCAGCTCGACGTCGAGGCGGCCAGCAACCCCGGGCTCGTGCGGCACATCATCAGTGACGATGAGGCCGCCTACAACTGCCGCATGGCCAGCGAACCGCACGCCCTGTACCGCGAGGCCCAGCCGGACATTGAAATGGAGATTGAGCTGGCGGGGGGCGAGGAGGTGCTGGCCCGGGGCTTCGAGAGCTTGGTCATAGACGGGGCTGCTGCCTGAACACGCTCGTAGGGGCTGGCTAGTAGCCGGTACGGGAGACGTGGCAGTCCCGGCGGACTGCGGTGGAGACGGAGCCTGCGGAAGCTATGCGTGTCGCGGCCCGAGTTGATTATGCAAAATGTGTATATCCCTGATATCTGCTTGACGTATCCCTCGACGGACGAGCAACTTGACGTATGTGTCTCCACAAGAGCAGTTGGCCGACTCCTCCTCATGATGAGTCGACGATCGACGCCATTGTACTCCGGCGAGTCTCCACAGTGGTCCGGGTGGATGAGGGCGTCTGCCTAGTCGTGAGAGGCGCCCCCTGAGGTGAAGCGGCGAAATTGTAGAACAAAACAGTCTGAGTCGGGTCGGGTCTAGGCTGCCCAAATTGCCCATGACAACACACCTCCAGCCAATAGAGGACAGCCCACTGGCCAATAGAGGACAGCCCACCAGCCAATAGAGGATAGCCCATACCGGCCGACGGCTTGGCTGAGGTTCAGATCGGAGTGCTCTGCACGCCCATCTATGCCCGACAGCCCGCAGCTGTTCAGCATTGCACCCGGCATCGACTTGGACGGGCCAGAACGGCAGCTGGACATTCCACAAAACGCAACGCCTCCGGGCAACGGAAGTGACCGAGACATGATGTCTCCTTGCTTGGGCGGGACAGCTGATTTGTGGGGCAGCAGTGGTCTCACTCGTTTGCCCGGAGCCTTTTCTCTTATTTTATCCTGATGCAGTCTGCCAGACACGCAGTTGAGTGCGTGCCGTTATCTCTGACGAGAGCAAATCATATCATTCTCCGGCTTCGTCACCAATGGGAACTTGAGATAATGACTTGGGCAAGGTCCCTACAATCCTACTGCCCTTGCCAGGAAGACCCTTGGAGGTTCTGGAGCCCGAAAATGCTGGCAGATCAAAAAGACCTACCCCGGAGGAATGCGTGTCCACGTAACCTGCAAACACTTGTGCTCGCGAGCGCTGCAAGGTTGCGGAAGCTAGAGTGAGACGAGATAGTGGGGCGTACCAGCAGCAACAATAAACATAAGCAGTTTCATCCCAAGGGAGAGAGGAACACGGGATGACCGTGCCCCGTCGTCTCAATCTCTCGCCTCGGACTCGTCGTGGTGAGGCGCCCCGAAGCCGTCCGCTAGGCAGGTTCGGGTCCTTGGCCTTGGCCACGAGCGTGCCGAGCTGTGCGCCCAAGACATGGCGGGATTTGGACACAAGATCGACTCACTGGCGATCGCGTGGCACTAGGTTCGTAAGACGAGTTCCACCGGGGCTCGCGGCCGGATGGCGGCTATTACGGACGGCATGTTCCGCGGAAGGGGTTTCCTGGCCTTCCTCGGTGCTGTTCCGTCGGCTAGCTAGCCATCCCCACATGTCGCCATGTCCGTGGTTGGTGGTTGGTGGTTGGGTGCATTTCTGCGTCGGGGTAGGCTATGTGTAAGAACATCACGTCGTCCACCCCAAGTGCTCCGACTGGGTGGGAGCCGGAAGCCCGCGTCTGCCGTAGGGGACAGGACAGCCAGTCGCAGCCATGGTGGACTGGAAGTGGGTGGGCGGAATGCCTGCCGAGAGGAAGATGCGGACCGGCGACAAAAGACGCGTAGGATGGGGCGGGAACAGTCAGAAACGGCCGACCAACGGGCTGCACAGTTGCGGGCCTAGCAGAGCAGGGGTTCTGGCGAGGAAAGAACCAAGACAGGACCGAAAGAAGGCCGTCTGTTTCCCTGCGGGCTTCGCTGCATGAGGCGAGCCTTGTCTTGTCTTGGCCGGAGTCGTGGGCGGCACAAGTGGCTGGCCAGTCACCACGTCGGCCGGCATGAAGTACGGACTGCGTAGCTGGCGGCGTGGGGCAGCCAATGCCCGCTGCCTTAGCCAAAGTTAAGAGCCGACCCTGCCTTGGCGCCTGCGGACTTCGGATTTTCTCTTCCGCATAGGCGAGGCGAGCAGCTTCGAATCTTAGGCCCACGTCGATCAGGACAGGGACAACGGAAACAGAGGACGCAGCGGCACGAGCGGCCCAGCCCGGCACCGCCGAGCCAGCAGCTTACCGGCGGAGCTCCCCGGCCAGCCGCCGCTACCAACCACCAGCCGCCAGAGCAAGACCCGCCAGCTGGTCGACGCCACTCTCCTGCCTGAGGCAAGGGATGGTGAGGGCGAGGGCGAGGGCGAGGGCGAGGGCGAGGGCGAGGATGATGTTAGCCTTAAACAATTGCCCCAGGCATAAGGACGCCGCAGGAGTAGGACCCCCATCCCATCGGTACCGTACGAGTTGCAACTTGCAAGCGGCACTTTCATGCCGCGGACCCCACCTCACCTTGCCAAGTCCAGGCTCCGAGAGTGATGGGATGCCAGGATTTGCCAGAAAGGATCCGAAGCGGGGCGTGAAGGGCGCTCAACTTCACAGTGCACTCGGCCTCGCTGCCGCAACCAACGGCCCAACAGGGCAGTCAGTCAGTCAGTCAGTCCAGAGACAAGTCATACTATTATTTGGGCAGGCCGCGGGATGGGATTGAGATGGGATGCGGATACGGATGCGGAGCCGGAGATGGCACCTTCGACCCTGGAGAATTCAGAAGACTGTTGTTCCGCTGGTGCCTGGCCCCCCAACCCCACATGCCAATTGCGTATTCTCAAGGGTGGGAAGATGCGAAAGTGAGCTGTCGTGAGCTCGAACTGTGCAACACGGCGAGTGTAACAACGCTGTGGAGACGGCCGTTGGCTGCTTACTGCCTGCTAGCCGGCCGTGCTACGCCAGTGTTCGGTCTGTTTTTTACCCCCAGGGCTCTTTTATTTTTTCCCCTTTGGGAGCCGGGGAGCTGGCAGGGCTATTGCTCCACCGGGCTGAATCTGCACTAGGATCTCTGATGAGTGCCGGAACGGCGATCAGCCAATCGGCCGGCCGTTGGCAGCACTAGGAAAAAGAAGAAAGGAAAAGAATGAAAGAAAAGAAGAAAAAGAATCTCGAAAGAAAGAATCAGCCCCACCAAAACGCCCACCATCAGCCTTCAAATTCCAAGTCACAAAACGAAGCCCCACAGCGGTTGATGCTCCGCAACTCTTTTTTGTCCCCTGTTCACCGCCCAGCTGACCGCCCCTGAATTATAGGCAAAAAGGCATATTAGGTATGGAATGGCACAGGGATCCAGCCCTGGCGGCGCCGCGCAACAATGAAGGACGGAGCTCCGTGATTCGTCTCAAGCTGTGGAATTTGGGTGAGCTCCAGACGACTTGAAACGCCGACAAGGCAAGGTACCGCCCGAAGCGAAAACCTTATGTCCGTCCGTTATGGGCATTTGCAGCTGTCATTCCGCGGTCGAGCGAATGACAAGTGTTCGTCATGGCATTCCTTCGGCTTGGCGCGACGTTCAGGCCTTCTTTGGTCTTTCATAAGCCAGAGAGTCTAATGAGTCTCAACAAGGTCCACGTCAGTACGAATATATATTATTTTGCGACAGGTCAGGGCATTGAGTGGAAGGGACACGGAAAGAGGAGTGTGTTCCAGTCAAGAGGTCATCTGTTTTTTTTTTTAGCCCTTGTGACGTTCCATGTCGTGGGATCGCCAAGACAGACAACGATATGTGAGTCGACGGATTGGGGGACTTGGGTATTGCGGACATCGTCTTGTGCAACATGAATAGAGAGGGGGAAAAATATGACACAAATCCCTCCCAACTCGCCGCCGAGGCCGGAATATGACTATGTCTATTCAGAAAAGAGGAATATACGAGAGGTTTCTTTTCTCTTTTTATTAAAGCGGTCCCCTACCCATGTAGTCTAATAACGAGAGCAGTCATCAGTCACAGACACGAAATGGAAATGCTGTCACCGAGCGGATGCAGAGCCTCTTTTCCTCGGCCCCGGGCCAAAAAAGGAAATATATGAGTCCTATCAAACTGTGGAGTCCCGAAATGACGGGGGGGGCATTATTATCACAAGCTCAGGCTGGCTGGAGGTGGAGAGAAAAAGAAAAGAAACGAAAATACAAATTTGCAACGCGTGAGGTTTATGGCGAATTGGCGATGAGTCAAACATTTGAGAAAGTATTTTACGCACTTGCAAAGGCTGAATGGAGTGAGGCCCTGCAATAACAACAATCACAACCAGTCCAATCCCCATATGGAGAGCTCTCCCTAGGTACCTTAGTTCAACAGAAGCTTTTCCGCACAGTACTAGAAAGTTCCAACGACCCGCGCGTGGGGGGTGTGGTGATAATTTCCAGGCAGTGTCTTCAGTAGTGCAGTGCAGCGCCGGTCTCGTCATCTTTTTCTCTGTGTCTTCTTCTACGGCTAATGTATGTGCAATGGAAGTCAGAGTCTGTCTGGACCATGACATGGACACCTGAATCTGTCTAATTTCGGAGGGTTCTGTCTGCCATCATCATTTTCGCCGGGTACTATACAGACGAGCGGGCAGACAGTTTGGAATATCCCAATTTACTCACTCAACCCGCCTCTCCCAACAAAACACAAACACGAAACACACACAAAAAAGTGGAATGCTGCTGTCTGTGCCTCCCGGGGCTTGGAATGCCCATTTACCCGTCGCCCAGCGCAGCAGCAGCCTTTAAACCCCCAGCAGCAAGTGCAAAGGCTCACGTCACGTCATGGGCAGATAAACAGTGAGCACTAAGGTACGTTGTAGTCTGTACCAACTACCTACGTACCAAGGGAGGACAGGACAGGACGGAAAGGGGGCAGTGCCTCTCGTCTTGTTCCTCTTCTTGTCTCCTTCTGGCCTTTATTTTCTCCCTTCTTTCCTTCGTGCCTGCTAGTTTTGCCGCCGCGTCCGCGCTTCTCGAGTTCGGGCAAAACAACCCGGTTTACCACAAACTCGGTTCGCTTGCGTAGGTGGGCTGGGCTGTTGGTATCAGATGTAGTGTGTGTTGTAGAGCGGCGGCGGGGCAGGGACGTGAGTGAGTGAGGACGGAAAAAGAAAAAGGGTGGAGATCCCCGCTGTTATGCTTTAAGGTGGTGAGACGGCCAAGACTACTAACGGTGGAGGTGGTGAGTTGTGTTAGTCGAAATCCTATCCTCGGCGCGCGGCCCCCATCCCATTATTCTTTTTCTTTCTTGGGCCTTTTTCACGCTGTCTTATCTTGTGTTGTATCTACCTGTCAGTCTGTTCCTGGCCTTGGTCCGCCTTCTCACGTCAGAACCTTTCCGACAATAGATGGAAGGGGGGAGAAGACGGACAAAAAAAAGGGATGTGAGGAGCTAATTATGAACCGCGAATCATCGTGCCGGACAGAGAACCTGAAACAAGAGGCACTGGGATCTTGCTGGTTTCTCTGTCTCTGTCTGTCTGTCTATCTGTCTCTGTCTGTCTGTCTATCTGTCTCTGTCCTCCGTTGCGTTGCCCATCATATTGCTGTCTGCGTGATGATGACATTTTGGTCCGGCACCGGCGGGCAGTTTCTCTGTTTCCTCTTTGCACGCACTGGCAACCTGCCTGCTCGCACGGAGTCCTCGGGTCAGGTTGAGAGGCGCACAAGATCAACCCGAAACGATGACACCCACACCCAATTACGTGGTGTATTCTTTTTGTGCTTTGTTTTCCCTTACCTACTCGGGAAACCCTCGCATATAGCCACGCAGTAAATACCTTAAACGTGGACAGGGTTGGCGTTGCCCACCGTCTCTCTTCTCCGAGAGCATTGTTTGGTGGCCTCACCAAATCAACCCATCCCGATTGTTTTGGAGGGATGAGGGAAGGGAAGGAAAAGGGGGAGGGGGAAAAAGGGTCCTGCAGCAAAACAAATCAAGTTTACCCTACAGAAAGTACTTTCTCTCTCACTAGCCAACACCTACCCGCAAACATAATACCCGTCCATGGTTAACAGCCATGACATATTAATACATATCCGCCCATCATAGGGCAGGAGTTTGCCGTACAGTACATACATGTGTGGTAACCGGCGCCCAGGGAGTAAATGGCAGCGGGCGCCGACAATTAGGGCAAACGGCACTATGCGCAACCGTTATTAACTGCCCGCCCATCTCGGTATTTGGGATGGCAGAGACCGAAGGGATTTCCCAGCACGGCTTACTCACTCCCTCCTGGTACGCTTAATTAATATATTCTCGTCTTGAGGGGGGGCCTTGGTGCAGTAGGATTTGATGACGGAACATTACGTGCTTTGCTTGGTGGTGGTGATATGGGTACCAATGCAGAAGGGGGGGCCTGTTATTGTCTTTTTTTTGCTATTGTTTGATATTGGTACCGGGCGGTCCTGATATTTCTTGTACGTACTGGATCGTACAACGGGAGCACGACACGCCAGCCAAAAACCTGGATTGACCATGATTGTCGGTGTTTCAGCGAGAGGGGAGCAATACACGCAAGACATGTGAGTGGGCGAGTGGACCCGTCCACTTCAGTTGTTGGACGTCGGCCTTTTTCTCTCTCTTTCCTCTCCATCTCTACAGCCCGAATGAACCCTAACGACGGGCGAGCTGCACGAAAGCCCAGAGAGTCCCACGCTCCCTTGGACGATTTCTGCTTAGGATGGCCTCATGGCGGGACAGTGACGGGGACGGGGACAGGGACCCGCCCAAACGTCTCCATCGCTGCAACGAAAAAAAGGCGGCGAATATGGCTCGATCCAGAGTGGGCCGTGGGGGGAACAATGAGTAAACAAATTGCTCTGTGCAATTGCACATGGACAAGAAAATTTTAGCTCTTGCAACATTCCGTCAATGGCGTGGTTTTGGTGGACAGATTGACCTGAAGTCGAGTTTTTTTCCCTCTCTGTGCTCTTGCCCCTCCTTACCCGTCCCGATGTTGGGCCCCGGCTTTTGCCGCAAACTGCTTGCTACTCGCTAGGGCCCGCAGATCTGCAGCCAGCCAGGAACAGTCGATTTCCCGCTACGCAAATGGCCGATGATGGGCGTGCAACGCTAGACGACATCGGAGCCTTTTTCTCGTGATCTAATCTTTTTTTCTTGCTCGGCTGCTTTTGGGGAAGAAACGTGAGTCTTCTCTCCGCTAGCATATACCCCAGATCCATTCCATTCCCGTAGAGGGGAAGTACACATTGGGGAACGGGGGACGCCAGTGGTCCGTAGTCTGTTCCCAGCACGTCTCTCAAGTGGATTTTCCCACATGCCCTGGGCCATCCATCCCCAGACTACCGATTATGGCTGGGTTTGAAGTAGACTGAGACAGCCATCCAGAACGAAGTGTTCTTCTTTCTGTATGGACTCTGATAATTCGTCCGATTTTGTGGCCTAGTGAGATTTTTTCCTCCTTTCTGCCAACCGTCTCTGCCCGCCCCTCTTGCATCCATGCAATCTCAGAGTAAACTCCGTTGGCCAACCTGAGCCGAGCTCACCACGCCTCTCTCGACTTCCTTCGCTCCACTCCACTTTGGGAGCCACAGCTAGGTAGGTGCATGTTGGTCCGGGTGAATTGGGCCGCAAGGTGTGAAGATTTTTTGCCTTCTTCCGTTTTATGCAAGGAGAAAGACGAAAAGAGAATAGACTGTTTGTTACCCCGGCTGCCAATTGCCTTTGACTCCATATGTGAGTGTGAGAGAGGTGGGTAAAGTCTGGGTCTGTGTCCCACAAATCGATTATCAAACTCCACCACCGGAAGCTAGCGAAGGAAAAAGCTAGCATGTCATGTTTACTGCTCCCTGCTAATCACAATGTGCTCTTGTTGGCGCGAAGCTGCCGGTGGCGAGAGTGGCTAAGGTCGTCCGCCAGGTCAGCGCAGCAGCAGAATCTTCGCTGGACACAGCGGAGGTAACGTGGCACAGCGTCTTTTTTTGTCCTTGGGAGCAAGCAAGCAGTGAGCGCATTCGCTAGATTCGAAACGCCTATTTCCAGCCAAACCTGGGTATTACATAACTTTTTCTGTTGCCTTTTTTGAGGACCCACAGAAGCTCTTTGGGCTTCTGTGGGTCAATCAACCTAGAGCTGCCCAAGCCAAGGTCAGGGCAACCTACTCTTGCGCCGCCTACAGGGCAGGGAGTGGAAGGGCGCACCATGGCGGCCGCAATGCTGTGAGCCGCCATAATGCCTTTCCTTACACCATACGGAGTAAGAAGCACGCAAATGGAACGAGGAATCCGGATTTGGCGCCGCAATATCCTGTCATGGATCATCCGGCGGAGGAGACAGCAGTGCAAGCCTGCAAATCTGGACGCGGCGGCGCATGTTGTTTCGCCCCCCAGCGGTCTGTCCGGCCCTAACAGGCACCTCGGTGCTCTATAGCAAAGGTGGCTCTAGTGGGAAGAAAGGTACGAGGCACTGTGGGCAGAACTGTATGGATGGGATGTGGTTGATGATGCCTGCATCCCCGGGCATGCAATGGGCATCCCTCTCCCGAACGGGCTGCGTGGGTTTCCTGACCCGCCTGGGTCGATATGGAGATATCGAGGTAAGTGGCTTCCTGATAGCCGCTTCGGTGTACCTTGGGTAATTGGGACGGCCAGATGTGCAATGTCTGTCCACAGTCCACAGTCCATATCCATACATACAGAGCTGCAGAGGCGTCGCAGTGTGTTGCAGGTTGCTTGGCTGAGCTGTCTCCACGAGACATGCGACAGGCACGCATAAGAGTCTCGACGCAGGGTGGCAGGCTGTTGTTGCCTGCCTTGCTTTACCTGCCTCTGAGAGCTCGGACAAGCCCGTTGGTGGGCTGCCAAAAAAATGTTCCTTGCAGAGGAAGGTCCCGCCGTCCGCACGTCCATCCATGGCCATCCATGTTTGCCGTGCCCGAGCGGGTCTGGCTGGCGGCGGGTGCGGGACGGGAATGGAACTCCGCTAGCGCCCCGTTGGAATGTGGAGAGAGCGAGAGGCTGTTTGCCGATGACGGGATACCACAGCTGATCGGCCACCAGCCCATCGAATTATTACCCCAGGCATTGCGTGGGAAACGAGCACGCATGAGACACTAGCAAAGACATCATTGTGGTTGGTTGGGTTGGAAAATTTCCATTTGATCATGAACAGAAGTTGCCCGATTTGTTGGGGTACCTCGGATCGGCGAGGAGGCTGTCAGACTCTCTGCCAATTGCCCCCCACCACCATCTATAGCCCCAAGTTCCAAAGTCCAGTACAACTCCGCCCATCGTACAGCAAAAATCGCGTTGTGACATGATCGTCGAGTTCCAAAAACAAAACTTCTCTCATACACAAGGCGTTGATGTTGTGCCTGGTCTTCCAACGCCGTCCCAGTCCCGGTCCAAGTTCCAGTCTCAGCCTGACAATCTGAGCTCGTTGGGCAACTCCTGTGCCCAAGGCGTCCTGCCCGCCATCCCTATGCAAAGTTTGCAGTCAAATGGAATACTTAACGTCTCAAGTGTATCGCTGTGTAATACACGGTATCCCGCCCGTTCCCAATGTGAGCCCAGTCGTACGCCTCTCCCAATTGCCCAGGGGAAAAAAATCAAGTCCTATCCCGTAACAGCCAAACTTTTTATGATATGCTCCGGTGTATGCTTTTTTTGGTTACAACAGTCCCTTGAGGAAAATAAAAAAATGATTAACGTAAAAACAAACGAGAAAAATCGGTAGTAGAGTCGTGTGGGGTTCGAGGAACAAAAATCGATTGAGGGGTATAGTCGCTTCCGAGACAAAGAGGTGCTGGATGATCTAGTATGATCGTCTGCGTTGGAGCCGGACAGATTCGAACGGCTTAGCGTATGCTCGAAGCTCCCTCGCTGCCTTCTCGGACAGATAGCCTCCGTCGAGGCCCGTGGATGACGTGGTTCTGATGGAGCAGAGGCTGGTGTGCGACGTCGACGGCGAGAGCGCTTGGCTCGGGGTAGTGCGAGCTGTTGATATCGCACTATACTGCGATAATCGGTTGCTCGGCTGTGGGTTGCTGAAGTCGTATGCCGGCGAGAGGTAGAACTTGGTGCTCGTCGTTGGCCTGGCGAAGGACCACTCGGAGGGTAGCGGTGCATTCAGTGCCGGAGAGCATGGGCCAGAGCCCGAAGGTGATGCTGTCTTCTCATAGTCGGCTAGCCGGCACGATTCCGAGCAGTATGTGGCGCCATCGGTCTGCTTGTCGCAGGCGAGGCAGAACTGGTGAGTCCAGTCGAAAGACATTGTGGCTGTCGGGGGGGCTGGAGCGGACGAGGGAGTGACTGGGCAGTGCTTGAAGTCGGCGAGAGGATGTGCGAGCCAAGGTGCCAGAAGGCGTCAGGATGGTGAAGCTTTATTGCTTGTTGTCGATGGACGAGGCAGATACCCAGGCTCTGGAAGCTGGTCCCGAGGGAAGGGGCGGGTTATAAGAAGTCGGCAGCTTGTTGACTCATAGCAGCAGGACTAGGATGGCGAACCAAGGGCAGCGGGGTGGTGGATTGAAAGGAGAGGAAAGGTCCACGACGAAGCTGTCTCGATGCCGATCTGGGGAGTGAGGTCGGGGGAGCTGGGGACGCCTGGATTATGTATCCCAGTCCCCTACCCGCCCTGGTCGTTGCGGGTGTGTGGGAGGAGAACGAGGCAGATGCCCATGACCACAAAGGGCCCCACGAGGACTAAGACATTGGCGCAGTAGAGGGAGGTACGGCGATCGAGAGCCTGCAACGTACCTTTGTGCTGCGGCGCACGCCGAGCGGTACGGGGTATCCATGTACCCTGCGCACGCTGCACTTGCACACCCCTCCAGGACAGGGACCAAGGTGGATGGCGAGAGAGCTGCAATCTGCACTATGCCTTGTACGAGGAAGGTCCAGTGGCAGGGGTCGCTGGTGGTGTGCGAAGAAAACTCTTCGCCCGGGCGTGCCCTTAGCATGACCTGGTCGTGGCACCACCCTGGTCAGTTGTGAGCCATAGAGTGGGTCATCTGCTTGGCGTCATCCTGGCTGGAGCGCCGAGGACAGCAGACCTGCGCTGCGAGGGTGGTCCTCTAGCCTTTGCACATTGCACAATTGCTTGCGCCTTTGCCTGCTCCACTGTCGACTGAGGTCCTCTGTCCTCATGCCATGCCATGCCATGCTCGGCGCCAAGCAGCAATTGAAATCAGACTGAGGTGGGGGTTTCCATTCTCAGGCTCCTGCCTCTGCCCTCGTCTCCTCCTGTGGCCCGCCGGCTGCTTCTGGCTGCTGCTGCTGCTGCTGCTCGCTCCAGTTCTGCCTCTCTCGCGCGCTCCCATCGTACTATTGGAAGTGCTGTGCTGTTGTGCTGCTGCAGAAGCCAAACATGGCAAAGAGCAACGCCGGCCAGCAAGGCCAGGCGACCTACCACGGCGCCGTCTCTCTCTAAGCCCGCCACGCACAAAGGCAAGTGGAAGCGGGGGCCTCAGGCCTGCGCCGGTCTTCCACTTGCAGAGCGATCAGGCGTTTTGCTGTCTGCGTTCCTCGCCTCCCGCTTCCCACTAGCGTCGAACGGGCGCTGTTCTTGCCTTTTCGGGGATGCTGTCCAATGGCTGCTGCGTTTCCCAACAGCGACAACTGTCTCCAGAACCCACCTGGTGAAACTGAATGTCGAGAATGCCATCTGAGCAGCTCGACCGTCTTGTCTTCCATCCACCACAGGCGGCGCCATCACCAGCGCCGGTGCTCGGCCGTGCATCATCATCTAATTACTGCTGCTTCTGCAACTGCTACTACTCGCTCGCATTGCCGCGGTATTCAGGAGCAGCCGGAAGCGGAGGATAAAACAAGACGGGCTGTTGAGAGCCACTGGCGAGACGGCAGCGGGAAAAAAAAGCGTGGGGGTTTGCTGGCTGGCCCCTCCCTCGTCTGGGTTGCAGCGTCAATCTGGCGACCTTCCATTGAGAGGCAGGCATGGAAATAGCCACAGGGCATCCAGCCCGCGCTCGACCACCACAGAGAGCACGAAAACCCGCAGTGTCTGTCGAGTGGGGATGGCGACTGCTGAAGTCGCTGGCTGCAGTGCGACCTTGCCCTTCTTTTTCCCTCGACGAGAGAAACCAATTCAACCCACCACCCACCACTATCACCACTCTTGTCCTGCCGTCGGCAGGACTTGCAGGACTCGCGAGACTAGAAACCGGCCTCAGGCAGGTTGTTTCATTGGCTGCCCTCCCTTTTCGACAGGCCTGTGGCAATCACTGGCTGGGTTTGACTGGTGTAGTTCCCGCACTGCGAGGGTGTCGTCGCTCTGTCTCCTGCAGACGACCCTCGAATTCCAAACTGCCAATCAGCGCTTGCCGAACGCCATCTGAAATAGCGACATGTTCTTTGCAGGTGGCCGCTGGCCACTGAGCGGAGCTCCGAGGACAAGTCCTCTCCCACGTCGTCGACGCCTATTTGGCAATTGCAGTGTCTTGCCAGTCCAATCTGCCCTGCCTGCCCTGCCTCCCCTACGGTTGAGCCTCGGCCGTGTTCGTGCATGGTTCGAGATCCCGTCCAGCCTGGCTTTGTACACCTGCATCCCCGGCGAGACGCCATCTTCATGTTTGAGCCACCATGATTTGCACTGCGCCCAACTTGCACCAGGCTGTCGTTTCTCCTTTAGCAAGCAACACGGCCGTTTATTGGCAACACGGAATTGAGACGGGATATATCGCCCTATGCATGGACACGGGACCCTCAGGAGTGGATCGAGGAGATCTTGCGCGCCCTTCTCGCCAGGAGTACCCCTCTCTGTATCATCGGCCAGAGGATTGACTGCATCTAGCTGCTTCCAGATACACCTGCAGCACTGCATCCGCACCACCAAAGTATCCGACAAATCATCGCCAGTCTTTGTACCCCACACATATCTCTCATTGGTGTATACGGACAGAGTCAGGCAAGAGTTGCCTTTGTGTGCCATCTCTCGTGTGTCCAAGTAGACTGTACCACCGGCTTCGTTGCTAGAGTTCATCTCGAGACTGAGGGACGTCTGGCTTGGGGGAACGAGACTTCGTAGCCCAGTCCTAGATTGGGCCACAGGAGATCTGAACGACACAGCGAGGTAAAAGAGCTTCCCCCGACCTGTGCATTAACGTCATGTAGCATTTGCAAATGCGACATCAGAAGCAAAGGGTTGTTTGCCCTCAACGCACTGCAACTATGTAGGTCATCCAATGCTGGCGTGTCAGGGGCTCCCGGTTAAGAGACGTTGAAACCAAACACTCGTAATTTCTATTCTTACGGGGACTTTTGAAGCCTTCCCATCTTTAGCGTAATGCTCTATCAGGTGGTTTGAGCGAAGAACGCTGCATCGTTTGCTTGAATATACATGTCGATGGACGGCCACTGGCCAAGCTGTCTTCGTGTCCGTGGCGAGCCAGTCTCCAGTACGACTACAGTCCAATCCCTGAATGTTTATTAGCGGGGACTTTCCAAGATCTGAATGACCTCAATACCGTACGGCTCGCCCTAAAGGGTTGCGCCGAGGGAGGTAGTAGCTATGGGAGTCCTTGTTATAGACTCTTAAGGGGCCTATCTCTCAAGTGCTACGCTATACGCTAGTAAACATCCAGGGATTAGACTGTATACTAGCAGGCAAGCATCTCGAGGGATCAGCTCGGGCAGCATGGAAAACACGGAGCCGGTCCACTAGCGGCAAGGCCGGCGATTCGCTGAAGGTTCGCTACGTTACGGGAAGTCCCCTTTGCCCCCCAACTCTCCCAGTAGAGTTTTTAGCTGGTTGACCCCTTTTATGGGATGGCGCCAGCCAGGCTGGTCATGCGTTTTGGTGCTGCTGCGGTTCACTGTCAGTTATAGCTAACCTCGAAATCAAGCGCTCTCACATCACTGCCATCCCGGCAGAATGATATCAAATATCTCATACATGAACAATCCCACACGACCCGGGTTTCATGCCGTGCCGGACTGGCCCATCTCAGGCTATCAGCAGCAAAACAGGGACCAGCTTGATTGAGGTCCGTCGGGAAGCTGCAGGAACCCCCACACATTTGAGAGACCAAGCCGAAGGGTCTTTTTTTGTTCCAGTGGTCGTCGGTTCGAGGCGCGTGCTTGGAATTTCGAGAGCATGTACTCCGTAGGAGGTAGGTCGGCACGGGAATACGCAGAATCTCGAGCGTCGAACACCAACAAATCACAGCGAGTCGCCGTCTGAGACAGGGCTGACGGCTTGGCCAGCAGTTCACGGACTTTTTCTACGTGCTATACCAGATTCAGAACATGCGATCTTCCAGTCAGCTGTCGACTTCAAGCCACAACCTCCCAAACTGCTCAATCGAGGACAATTGCCGCAAAGATGCACGCCAGCACTGAGCGCCTCTGGGGTGGGCCGTAATATTGTCAAATCACCGTGCTTCGATCGAGAAATCCAACCACTCCCCCCGCAGATACTCGGCGGGCATCTTGGCAGCATTCCGCCGCTCCGATCATGGACTGGACGGACGGGCCAAGCTTGCCAGGGGAGCCTCTGTTCGGGAGGACCATCAATCCTGGATCGGTCGACGATCATTTTCGAATTCTAGAGGGCTTGCAGATGGAGTTCCAACTTCCGCGTCATCGAGCAAGTGGCTTTGGTCTTTTGCTGGCTACGTATCTGCCGGCTGAATGTTGGTTGCTCGGTGAGATAGTCGAGCAAAGTGGGAAAAAAAAAGAGGGAGAAAAACCCCGACTTCAGCTCCAGCAGCACTAACGTGATTTTTAAGCATGCCGTCGTCGTCCACATCGAATTCCGTCGGGGCGAGTGAGGCAAGGCCCGGGACCCTCGGCCCCTGCGGCGAATTGCCAGGCAAGTTATTGCGTCCGAAACCGGGCTTTTCGACTTTGCCATGTGCCCAAACAAGAAAAAGATGATTTGAAAGCACACTCGTGAGGACATCTCCAGACAATCCGTTTCCCCCAAGAAGATTTTGGTTTGCCTCAATCACGAGAACCTGAAGTCTGAGAATCCCCAAGTAGTGTGTGGCGCACTCGTGGATCTTCTGGCCTATCCTGTCAGCTGGGGCTTGAAAAGTCCTGCCCATCGTCCAAATTCCACGCAAAGCGAGAGTTTGAACAAAAGGCAAGATGGCGCTAACCGCACTAATGCGGGGCGTGCATCTATCACCTGCCCCCTCCCCCGATCGCCCGCTGCCTGTCCAGTGTTAGTGTGCATCTCACCGAGCAGGGGTTTTGACGTGACGAGCCTTGCCAGCTGGTCTGGTCCGCGCATCAAAAAAAAAAAAAAAAAAAAACGAAGGAGCTATCACCAACACAGATATGTATTGGTTCTTGTGTTGGTGAAAAGGCTGAGATATTGGCCCCGTCAGCAGCGGATTATTGCTGCTGCTGCTTTTGTTTGTGTGTTTTCGGAATGTGCCAGCCGACAGGTTTGCATCAATCTCACTGCGTCTCAGTTCGGATATTTTTACCTCGTTCGAGCAGACGAAGGAAGGCAAACTGAGATTAGCAGGGAGAGCATCATCTATTCTCAGCAAGCACGGTGCGCGCTTTGGATACCTCCGCAAATAAATTCTACAAAAATCACCCATGGCTAGTTTGACATTGCTGGCCTTTTTTTCATGAAAAATATGTCAGTATCAATTATCCAGGCCCGTCCAGAGGACAAGCGGCTGTTTGCTTCTGTGTGTGCAGTGTTGAATCTGTCTTGCTCAGCGCTCGCGAGCCGTCAAATAAGCGCGGACAACCCTTGTCCAGCCGGACTAGGATTTGCATAGGTCGCATCTTCACCCCACGTTGCGGACGGGAATGTTTTCTTTTCGAGTTGGCGGGGGTGGGTCAGCCGGTCGAGGGCCCCCTTGGCGGCGTATTTTTGCTTCTTCATTTTTGTTGACCGTGTCGCCGACCGCCAGCTCCAATCCCAATAGGGACTCTATCGCCGTTCACTGAGTATCGTTCACGTCGATATTGGAATTTATTTCTTTGCAGTGCTGTCGCTCGCTGCCTTGGAATTCGTATATTTTATTTTTGCCTCCAGCATGGGCTGTATCCGTTATAGCATCAGATCTTTTGCTTATCTTGCATATCCTATCTTCAGGAACTAGAGCACAGGCCGCCGATCATCTTCACCCTGTGGCAGCAACGGCGTCAATGTGCGCTGTAATCATAACCAGGGCACGCCATCCGCAACCGCGTTGAAACATCGTCGGGGCAATCTCGACTATATAATACATTCAATGTTCAATAACGAGATGCAGGCCCCTTTCCTGAGAGACGCGGGAGGATAGTAGTGGCAGCATAGACGATGTAGGGAGCACTGTATTATGCATTGGCTATTTGGCCTGCATCGCGTGTCTCCCACGCCATGAACGCACAGTGCACCTTTTTGCTAGTGTAACAGTATGTACGTCTGGACTCTGGACAGGCTGCGGGCAGCCGCATAGACTCCCTAAAAGCTTCATTTGCATATCTTCCCACTCGGATAGCCAGATCCTCTCATTTAACCTGTGCCTGATACTACGACATGGCCCCTAGCCAGACCCTTCCATTGGATTGCTAGGTATTACTTACCGAGTAAGGCACCTTAGGTTACCGCCTTTAAAGTTCAAATGGACGAGACAATGGAAACAAACGCCTGTGGCCTTGGCTGCCGATCTGGCATAGATTGAGCTGAGGGAGCAAGATCCTGAGCAATCATCATTGGCTCAGTGCCGAAGCCCCAGCAGGGGAGGAGAGGGCCGTCATTCATCAGTAGCGCCCACAAACACAGCCAAAAAGGGGTTTTGTTGACGACCACACAGAAAATTTTCACGATGTGCCTAAAATTTCTCCCCCGCTGCAATCGAACTCTGCCATTTGTCGCCACAAGGCAAGTAAATAAGCAGCCGGTGGCTGGTCCATGAGCGCCTGGCCAGGGGGTCGAACGCACCATGCTCACTCCTCGAGAAGGGCGAGACGGCCATGTCCGTCCAGACTCCAGAGCAAAAAGCCACTGAGACATGCACCGTCCGAACGACTTTTTGCGCCGATGGTAACCCGCAAATACCTAGTAAGAGGCCCAGGCTGACTTTGACGCAGCTGGACGGCGGCTATTACTCCTAGTCTCCTACGGCTACCGTGTATACTGCGCGACGAGATTGCAAAGTCGCACTTCATGCGGGCCATTCCGGATGCGGCTCAACGGCAAACAATGGCCATTCTCAGTCATCAACAAGAATTTGGAGAGAAAACAATCCTAACCCAGCACGGCTCAACCGCCAAGTTTAAACCTACAAGTTTCCCTCGTTTTCCGGTTTGTAAGGCCCCCTTCGATGCCAAGCCTTTGTGGTGCAACGTCTGGCTAGGGGGCAGCTCTTGCCCTATGCTGCTTTTTCGCATTTGTTTTTGCGGAGTTCAATCGCTTGAACGCCAGTGTGAAGGCTGTTCGAGTTTCGGCACTCCTGGCTGAGGTGATCAGCCTTAGAATTCAGGTACGTAAAGCCCGCTCATTGGCTAGGATGCGGATCCACCGACGCCAAGGAATACGACATCAAACTTCAAGTCCGTGGGCCTCCCCGCAATCTTTGAATGCAAGGCCGGCCGGAATAGGAAAAGAATGTCGTATCAAAAGCTAAGGGGCCAAGGGGTTGATGCAGTAACCCGAAGCCCTCGGCAACGTCGCCGAATAAGCAAAGCAAAAAAAGGGGAGGCTTGACAGACAATAGCAATACCAAGCTTACACGCGGCGGGGCTTGGTCGTTAAAAGACGTAGTCTCACGAGGCCATTAACTTAGACGGCTAGCCGGAGCTGGAGAGTGAAGGGAGTCCTCGAGAGTGCATGTAGGCATGTACATGAGACGTACCGGATACAGAGAACAGTTATCAGCAAACCTCGGTGTCTGCTCCAAACACCAAGCTGGGGAATGTTCGGACTGACTGGGTCGGTGAGAAACCAAGCGTTCATCCCTACAATCCGAGCGCCACCAAAGCCACAGCGCGTCAAAGCTTGGACACCAAGCAGGCCTGTCGGCAACCCTAGTGCTGCTTGTAGATGCTTGCGGACTCGTCACAAACGTTGGCCGAAAAGCACAAAAAAAGAAAAGCCAACAGAATTGTAGCGTCCCTTCAAGTGCCGCGAGGGCAAGGGGGAGGGAAATCATGGGCCCCTGGTTGGATGGAAACGCCAGCACCCGAACCTGGGGGGGGGGGGGGGGGGCGGGGGGGCGCCACCGTTGCGAAATCGAGTCGACGCCACACTTTTCCATCAGCCTTTAGTATCTGCACTTCAAACATCAGTCGCAGTCGGAACACACGGACACAACATCAATCTTTTTGGTGATATGGCGAAACGCCCGGCTGAATGACTGCAACCCGGGCCTGAGACAGAACACCCAGCATCAGCAAGCAGCATGTAATCCCAATTCCATAAGCCGCATCTCGTCAAGGCCAGGCATGGCCGCCTAACGCCGGGCCATTTCGAATGCTATCCTATCTACGCCAAACTCTACTTTCTTGGATGCAATTGCTCCGTAGACTAACAACCGGGACGACGAGTAAAAGAGAGGACAGGCATTAACGACAAGACGAGAGATCTGTACCAAAGGCAGGCTGGCTGCGGGAAAACGCTAAAAACCCAAGCCCGGTAGTGGTCCTGTCCCTCATGCGTGCGAAACACGAACCCGGGAATGCTAGACTGTGGTTTGGGAATTAGTTCAAGAGCAGACGGACGGACGGGAAAAGGATTCCCACCGTTTTTTCCCAATGACGACAGGGCTAAAACTAAAACAACAAAGCTGTCCAGAGCTTCGGGCCCCAGCCTAGGCTGTGTTGTGTGTCTGTGTGTGTGTTTGTGTGCCATGTTCCGAACGGGCTACTCCGCACATTACCTTCCTTAGCTAGCAGCAAGCAAGCAAAGCACTCTGCAAGTCTCGTCACACCAGAACGAAGGCCGGAATTGTGCTGTCACCAGAAGGAATGGCGAGAAATAAAATGACTTGGCAAAACCATACGACTGGAACCGCCGCCAACGAATGGGTGAGCCAAAATGAACGATTAGAGATGAAAAGTTTGGCGGAAGAAATGAGGCCGTTTTTTTTGTTACAGGTCATGTTCTCTCTCTCGTGTGCAAAGCATGGCCGTTGCGTCCGGCGGGCGAGCAGCAGCATTCGACGAACGATGAATCATGGGGTGGGCAATTTGAGGGCTGCTCGAGCGTCAAGTGATGCCCGTAAGCCCCTGAGCTCTCGAGACTAGCAGAGTCATCTGCCATAAAACGGCGTGCAAAAAAGAAGGTGGTGCCGTGTATCGCGGGGTTGGGGTCGGGGTTGGAACTTGGGAGCCACCTTTGGTCTCGTTGAGATGCACGACGCTGCTTTCAGCCATTTTTCGAGAGGCTTGGCTTCGCTCTTGTCATTTAGCTCGTAGGTTAGCGTGGCGACGGCCAAAATGCGTTGCTCGAGAGTTGGGGTGGACGAATGGATTCCATGGATATGGATGGAATACTCCGATCCATGCCCTCCGCCGCTCCCAATGCCTTGGGGATGCATATTTGCCTACTGCTAGCTAGCTTTCCCTCCTACCCACCCTGGCTTGCCTCCTTTTTCGAGCCTATCTACACTAGACAAGTGCGTGCGGGGGATAGTTTAACACACATGGAACGTGGATTGAACAACGGCTTCCATGGATTGGCGACGCTAAAGGCTGGTCTCAAACCCGTCAGATGTGGCGACTAGGACTCAAATACCTACCCACCCAAGCCCCGGCAAACAAAAGTCAATTGGGAGACAGCCTCTGCGTATCTCTCGTGTTCACATTTGGCGGATAGCGACCACGCCGTAGCTCTAGAGATAGGGGCAATCCGAACTCTGAGCGTCGGATAGCGGACGCTAGACGGACGCTCAGGTTCGACTCCGAGTCCCCTTCCTTTAGCCACCCATACATATTGATACAGCCAACCTTATCTGCTGGGCCCTGAGGGGATGGGATGCCTACATGCTGTAGGGACCTGAACATCCGGCCACGGGACTGCACAAGCAGGTAGGTTGGCCGCGCATCCATCCCCATCCATTGGCACCATCCCCAAATGCAAATCCAAACCCCAAGATGTGAGCTATCATATCGCCCGTTGCGGAAAGCAGGAGGGTCTCACCTGCATGACAGGCTCCTTCAGAGCCTGCCGAGGCCGGCGTGCTCTTTCTCTTTTGAGCAGCCAGGCCAGGAAGGAGTGTTGGCGGCCTTGCGCCTACCCGATCCAAGTGGTCGCTCGGAGATTGAGAGGGACACAATATATAGGTAGAATGGCACCAAATCGGGGTCATGGTCGTCATCGTCGTCGTCGTTGTTGTCCCTAGCATAAGGTATCTTGGCGCAAGAAGAGGGCTAAGGGCTGTTTACTAGTCGTGCTGCTGCTGCTGCTGCTGCTGCTGCTGCTGCTTCAGAAGACAAGACGCTAGCTACTACGTACGGAGCAGCAACCTCCTTGGTGCATAAGACGCAGTCAGATTTCAACTCTTGGCACACGCCCTCCCCCGCTCTTTCCACGGCCTTCCAGGCACATACTGTGGGTACGTACATACCCCGCGGACTCGCGTTAGGTTGCCCTCAGCCAGTATCTCTCCAACCAACACACGCTGCTGCATACTGCGCACCGAGAGATATAGCTAACCGGGCATGCACCTAAGATACGGAGTATGCGGGATAACCAGGTGGCCAGTGTTGGCGTGTTGGCGAATACCTACCTAGCCTAGGTGCCTTGGGGGTCGTGAGCGTGCTGAGATGTGCTGTGAGACAAGCAGAGAGAGAGAGCGTCGAGTCCGGACTCCGAGACACGCAGACGCCCCTACGGCTTGCTTCTTCTGGCCAGTTCCTCTCCTATCGCTGCCCTCGATTCTAAAGGACCCTCAAGTTTGTGGGAGCATGAGCGGGAGGATCAGCAGCAGTAAAGCAGTAAAGCAGCAGCATCAGCAACAGCACCCGAAGTCAAACACCAGCTCTCCCTCTGCCTTGGACACCCGCACCCGCACCCGCGCGGATTGCCCGAAATGGCTTTCGTGGGTGGCTTTGCCGCACCTGCAACTGCACCCACGACTACGACTGCGAGGCAGCAGCACTTGAGAGCAACTTCCAGGGCCAGGACCTGGTTACCTAGGAACCCCCAGGGTACTCTCTGCTGCCGAGGGGTTGCAACGCAATCCATCTGTCTGTCTGGGGAATATGTCGCTTACGCTAACATCCATAATAGATGGAAACGTGGGGTAGTCGTGGTGGGAGTGGGAATTTGCTGATGGGATGGTGCCCGCTCCTGTCGGCGAAAGCACTCTCTGTTAATGGCCTGCTGCTGGCTGGGGGTGCTTGGCTTTGGGGCTGCCGAAGCTCCGTCCTCTTAGATTCGCTCACGGCGCCGTCATTGGCCGGCCCCCGCACCGAGGCACCTGCGGCCACCCTCTCTCCTATCGCAACGCACGCACGCACGCACTCACGCACGCACTCACGCACACCAACTCGGAGCTTTCCTCCTGCGAGCCAGCGGCGGACGGCCGCGGCGGACCTGTGTGGGCCTGCGGCTGGCTTCTGGCTAGCTAGCATACGCAGAGAGGTGCAGCAATATTTGCATAGCTGACACAAAGCCTATGAGAAACAAGATGGCTACCTGCCGAGCCTGTCCCTCTCTGAGGGGAGAGGCATACAGAACGCAGCAAACAGGCCGCGACGACGGGTTGCCGTGCATGCTCCCACCATCCACCTCCCAACACCACCCACCCCCAGGCGCCCACCCAACCAGGGAAGATGGAGTGGGCGGGTTCTCCAGTTCGTGGATATGCAAGTGTATGGCGTGCATATCCAGCCTAAGCCAGCCGTCGCCGGTCAACCGCAGCCACCAAAGGCCATCGGCGGTCCCTGTTTGCCCAGTGCAGCAGCATCCATTCCGGATTACACATCAGAGACATGCAGCTGGACGCCCATAGACTCCCCCGCGGACAGGCACGAGGGCCATCCCCAAGCTCATTAGCCTCTCGTCCTGCTGGCCTGCAATACTGCGAGGCCGCGCAAGAAGCGAGAGACGCTTCCACCACGCCTGCCCGACGAGTGGTGTCCTCGTATCAGTTGCTGCTTTCTGAGAGACACAGATCACCGGGACATCCTCCGGCCAAGCTGAGGACGCAAAAATGTAGTAAGAGAAAGCAGCGGGCCACGACGTCCGCCGCCATGTGATGTGGTGCAACTCGCGGACTGACAGATGATGCGCACCGGACGGGGTGGAAGAGGGTCATGTCCGTCTGCAGGAACAGGTTCCGGGGACGACATGCCGGCCAGGCTTGCCTGTCTCCCTCCACTACAGCAGCCGGGCGCTCTCAGCGCCGATCACTCCAGCAGCTAACGTCGTACATACATTGCCGCGCCCTTTTCCGCTTTGGCCGCTGGGAAAGGCAGGTAGGGTCCTCCAGTTCCATGGTTTTTCGTGTCGCAAGCAATCAAGTTGGTTGCTACCCAGGTTGAGAGACGACTTTATCACACATGCGACCAAATAGTGGCAAGTGTCTATATCTGGCTTGTTTCAATCGCGAGCTTGATTTTCCGGTCCCTACATTTAGCAACTGCAAACCAGAGATAGAAAAAACAGGTTCGGGTTGCTAGACTGGAAAGTGTCGACACTCGCGCAATGCAATCAATCTAAGTGCGAAGGGGGAAGCAGAAGGTGGTGGCATTTCCGCTGCTGCTAGTGTTGGCTGTATGGCATGGCGTGGGCGAGAAAACGGAAGTCGAGGCGTGCTACTGCTACCCTGTCTTGCCATCGCCTCTACCAAAAGCTGGTTTGCTGTACTGTACCAAATCACACCCGCCCTTGGTAACTATTGCCTGGCGTTGTATGTGTCCGCCTTAACAGTGACGGAATAAGGTAGGTAGGGGAGGTCGGTTGCTACGTGTTGTGTGTGTGTGTGTGTGTGTGTGGACATACAGTCTGCTGTGTGTCGCTCGTGGGCTCGGCATCGTCTGTTTGGGCAGCCCGCTGCCGCCGCTAGTTGGCCCACCAGTGAGTGGGTTGATGGGTGGGTTATTTACTCTACTCGATGATATCACTGTGTGAGTGCGTGCGTGTCTGTCTCCCTTTACACAAACGCAGACAGGCAGACGGACAGACGGACGCGAGGTTACACGGCAGCCAGGTCTTGTGTGTCTTCCATCTTTCTACGGTGATGTTGTATGGAATTCGTAGCGGAAAGCTAGGCTCCTGTGCTGTAGCCGTCTATCGTGCTTGCTGTCGTCGCCGTCGCCGTTGATGCTGCTGCCGCTGCTGAGGTGGTCCCCTCTGGTCAGGTGCAGTGCAGTGTCGTCTTGTCCTGTCTCGGCCTCGAGCCAAGACTGACTAACAGTGACAGGTAGACAGAGAGAAAGACAAGCGGGTAGCGGCAGCTGTCTATCTACCTACTTGTGTGTGTGTTTCTCCGAGTTCTCCCCCATTCTTACCATATCCTATCCCTCCTATCATATCATATAATGGCATAGTATATCACGCCCTGTGTACTATGTGTATGCGGTACTACTGCCACTCACCATGTTCCGTTCCCCGCCCGTGCCCTCGTTTCACTGCACTGGTCTGCACTGCTCGGCTTGAGCACCGGATCGGATCGGGTCGGATTGGACCGGGTCGGGTCGGATCCGCCGGAGTAGAGGTGGTGGTGGATGAAGAGGATGGATAAAATAGGAGGGGAGGGCAAAGGCAAAGGTTCCCGGGTATTGCGTGTGGCGTGTTACGTACGTACGTACGCACCGTGTGTGTGTGTGTGTGTGCGTGTGTGTGTGCACGAGTTGCACGAGAGCGAGTGCGTTGCCAGTCTGGAGAGCCGTGTGTGGATGTGGATGTGTGCAAGGTGTACGTACGTACGTAAGTAGACTGGACCAGGAGTTTGGGTGGTTTGGTGCGTAGAGATTGTACGTGCCTAACAAGCACCCCTCGGAAAGAAGTCCTGTCGTGAGCTACCGCTCCACCAGCTAGGACAAAACAGATACCTGTTGCCTAGAGGTCTGGGCAACAGTACATACATATATATGCTGTAGGCTGTAGTAGGCTGTAGGGATCCAGCACAAGTCCTCGACAAGCTGCGTGTGAGGCTGTAGGTATGCTGCTGCTGCTGTTGCTGGTGGTGGTGGTGGTGGTGGTGGTGGTTCATCGTCGTAGGCTTCGCAGTACCTTGCCACGGGTGAGTTACCCATATTGCAGGCCAAAAATATAAATATTAAAATGTCTGCCTAGCTGGCGATGGTTCTCGTGCTGGTCTGCCTATCTGTCTGCCTAACCGGCCAGCCAGCCAGTGAGTCGATGACGTTTCCACGAGTTGAGAGGTTTTTTGAACGCGCAATGTCTTTCCGTCGTGTAGTTGTCTGTGGAGATAGAGGCAGAGTGACAGGCAGAGAATTCGTGGGTGGCTGGCTAGCTCGCTGGAACTGTATCTCTGTCTCTGTCTCTGTCTCTGGTCTCGTCTGTCGTGAAACCGTGGCACGGCATCGAGCGACTGCGCGAAATAACACATAGCGGGCATCGTGCACAGTGTACGCGACAATGGGGCTAGCAGGCAGGTAATATGTCGCATCTGGCCTGCTAGCAGAAGATATAAAATAAAACAAATGAAGGGGGTGACGTTTTGTGGAGCGGGTTTGAGGGAATTACCCAAGGTACCTTACGCGACGCTTTGCTGTCGTATAGCTCGGATTTCTTCGACGGGCTCAGGAGAGGCAAAAAGTGGCAGGGCGCGCGCGCGCATGAAACGTGTCGTGTTCGTATCGTATCGTACAGGTGAGCTGTCATGGAGGGAGGGCAGCAGTGCAGCTAGGTCGGGTTCGGACCCAGCTCCTTACCTGCTTGGGGACGTGCTGGATAGCCGCCTAGTGATAGTGAGCACGACGGTGCGAGATATCCGCTTGTTGCTGTTGTTGTTGTTGTTGTTGTTGTTGTTGTTGTTGTTGTTGTGTGCTGGGTTGTAAAGGGGGTGTGGCTGTCAGACAAAGGGGGTTTGTTTTGTTTGTGTTATTCCACGGGTGATAATCTTCCCCCTTTTTGCTTTGCTTTCGCCTCTTCACTCGCCCGCTTTAGACTTTCCATGCGTCCATAAAAGCCATGCCATTGAAATATTCGCCCCCTAGCTTGTTGTCTCGCTGGTATACAGTGCAAGCGGCGCCATTAGTGAGCCATTTGGAAGACGGCAACAAGAAAGGTTCATGCTGCATGTCGGTTAACGGCAACTACCTAGGTAACTCTCTGCAAGAATTTTGTCAGCGTGAAGAAGACTGCGTCTGAGCTCTCACATGCAGCATCATCTCCGAGCTTCCCACCCGGATAATGCAGCACAGTTCCCCCAGCAACAGCCATCACAATGCCGGCTTAATGGCAGTGAGAGAGCATGCTGTTGCGTGACTCCTCCCCATGCGGATTATGGTAAACGATGACGACAGCCAGGACTATGGTAAGGGCAGCGCTCGGAGCAGTATTACCGGCGGTGGTTGTCACAATGCTAGATTCTACTACCTTCAAACCACAACCACGGGCTAAACCTACGGACAGGCCGCATAGAATACCTGTTTGGAAGATTACTGTTTTGAGGTGATTCTAATGGTACTATTTGCATCGTGATTGGGAAACCCAGAGGATACAAGTCTAGACGAAAGTATGGGGGGTGATGAGGGTCAAGTAGCAGTACTATTGTTTGATGTAGATTCCCACCTTTCACCTGTCCGGCGGCGACGAAAGCAATACATTTCCAGCCGAGTTAAGAAGGCCATATGAAAATATATACTTTACTACACAGCTTAGCCTCATGACATGACCCTGGTTAAGTGTTGTAGCAGTTGAGTGAGGAGCTTCAGAATCCGGTATTTCTTACATCAGAGCCTTGGCACGACACACATGCCAAAGTAACTGCCTTATTAAGCTGAACGGAACCACTGAAGCCATCGTCGGTGAGCCTGCCAGCCGTAAGGTGGCATAGGTAACGGAGTAAGGCATTTTTGTCAACTCCTTATCTAGCCCGAACCTTTCTCAGCTAGGGACTGGTCAGTTGGAAATCCGGAGAGGGGGATTATTCGATCGGATAGACCTAAAATAATAACTCCTTCCGGAGAGTTTAAGGAAAAGAACTGCTTTCGAGTGTAGCGAGCAGCCCGCCGCAAGGGCCCCCGGAGGCAAAAAGGAAGAAAGAAAGAAAGAAAAGGGCCGCTCAACTCCCGTTCCTGACTTGCCAGGTAGCGTATTCTATTCTCAAGGCAGTTAATTTACTTGGTGGTATCCTTGTCCTTCTGACATGGCTGCTCGTCCATGCGCAGGTAACTATGTACCCTGCGGTATAGAAGGAGGAAGGGAAATGAGGAATATGTTGGCTTACATGTCTAAACAGGAACATGGTAACACGCTTGGAGAGCCCTTAAGACGGCCACTGTCTGTTATTCATTTAGTTCCGCATCAAAAACCCGGTGGTTATGACTAGGTTGTTTGGGGACGGCGTGCCGGTTTTATTTAATCATTCCGTAGTTCGAGGGTGCTATCATGACTCGGTATCAATTGAGAGGTGTTTGCTTGAGGGGAATTGATGTTGTACGGAGTGATTAATAGTCTTGATTTGAAGCAGCCCCTGTCTCTTTTCCAGGACTACCGTATACGTATTCTCTCGTCGGCGGTATAATTCAAGCTTGGGGTCTGTAAGGCGGCCGGGGCCGAGGTGCACGTGTTGCGAGCAATCCGTGGTCACCTTGACGTCGAAGTAGTAGTAAGGAGTCTGAGGACTTCGCACGGATCCTCCTGCCAGGACTCCGAGGCGTACGTCGGCTGCGAGGTGATCTCGACGCCCCACAGAAGCTTCGACCCTATCCTCGTTAAGGCTCAGGGAGTTGTCTTCCGTGACCTTCCGTCTCTAGTGGACAGGGTCGCTGGGCTGCATCGGCAGAAGGTCTAGCTCGTGCTAGATATAGTGTATCACCGGCACCGCTGCTTATCCTAGACCTCTTCCGCCTGCTCCACCAGTTTCTCATACCGCGGCCCGGGCGGCGGGGGGTTGGTCAGAGGGCCGCTCCTGGCATTTAAATCCCAGTCCAAAACTTTTTGAGATGTTCGCGGATCTTCTCCTGGCTCGCCCCCGAATCTCTAAACTCTCTCTACTCTGACGAATCCAGTCGACCCAAGCGTCCTTGAGCTTGACGTACAGCTCAAGTTCGAAACCAAACAGAGCGGGTGTGTGCGCACGAGAGGACGTGCCGGTATCCGTTTGGTCCATTTCAAGGTCGTTGGCTACCCACAGGGTACTACCACCTTGGGTACCTTGAAGAACATCTCGACGCCCGAGACAGAAGGCCAACCGTCGTGATGCCTACTCAGCCCAGCTATATGGTGGCGGGCGCGGCGGCGTCGATGCGCGTGCCGTTGGGGATTCGTTTCCTTATTCGCTATTCGTGCTGGTGACTGACTGAGAACATCTCGACGCCCGAGATAAAAGACCAACCGTCGTGATATAGACTTAGCCTAGTCTTGTGGCGGCGCGGCGGCGTCAGCAAGTGCGTGTCGAGTTGGGCTGTCACGATTTGCCGTATGCGGGACGGATCAAAATCCTGCTGGCAAAATAACTAGCTCTAACTAACACTTAAACGGCTTGGAAGCACCACCAACCGGCCATATCATATCTATATCTTAGCACTCTCCTCTCTCACACTTCTTCACAGTCTCGCACTTCCTTCATTTCACTTCACTTGTTCCCCGCTACCACATCACCTACCTAAGGCATAGTAACAAAGCCCAGCCCAGCCCGGCCCAGCCCACCATGTCGACGAACAAGGACGCAGTGAGGTCGTCGTCGTCGTCGCCGGGATCGCTGTCGTGGTCGTCATCATCAAAAACATCATACACCGGCAAAATATGGCGCGACAAGGCGAGCAAAGCCCCAGTTCCCTACCTACAGCATACGCATTGCCCACACGCTCGAGGCGTCAGACTCGTTTGCGAAAGCCCTGGCCGGTACTGGTATCATTCCCAAGGCGGCCGACCACAAGAATCAACATCCCGAGGAGGCCAAGCATCTGCCACAATTTTTATTACCGTTCCAGCCCATCCCGGACAACGCGGAGAAGGTGATTGTCGACTGGGTCAACGCTGCAGCCTGGAAAAAGCTCCGCCCTCAATTCTCCAGCCGAATTGCCCAGGTGGAACTCTCCAGAGACAAATCTCGGCCATACGTCTACATGTGGGCGCCCAAAAAGTGAGACCTGCAGGCAGGCCAGCGGCGCGGCGCGACTAGGTTTCCATGGATTGGTTGCCTGCGGTCCTAATCGCCGCACTGGGGAGTCGACGTGTCCATTCGCGAGGGAGAGAGAGAAAAGCACGGGCTGGACTTGGTGGTGTTTTGTTCTAATGTTTTTGGAATATGGATATGCCTAGATAATAGTCATGTAGTTTGGCAGCGCCTTACCTGACACAATAACACGAAATAGGGCGGGCGTCGGCCGGAGCGATGCCTTAGCTAATTACCTTTAAGTTAGCTACTAACGTTCATGATATGCGAGTTAGCCATGATAAGCGAGTTGGCCACCTTAACGAGATTTGGTGGGGCACAAGCAAAAAGATGTTAGTAAATTGTTAGTGATCTTATCAATTTCTTATCGCATTTGGCTGCGCACGCTACCCGGTCTCGTTAAGGTGGCTAACTTGCTTATCATGGCTAACTCGCTTATCAAATACGTTATATCTATTTTCAAGATCCCGGGCAGTGTGCGGGGTGAGTGAGAAACGAAAAGAATGCCGACCAAAAAACACGAGTAGCAACAGGGTCCAGAACAGTTGAAGACACGCTAACTTACCCAACAAACAGCCCACCCCCATCCCTGTTGTCAGGTTTCTTTCTTGAAGCGGCGGGAGCTCCGTCTTGTCTTGCACAAACTAACACAAGGGCGGAGACGTGGCGAGCCTATCTATTGAAAGACATGGGAGTGGAAAGGAGAAAGAAAAGGACAGTCAATTGAACGAGACTTCGCAAGGTCGTGTAGAAGAGAAAGTCTATTCGAACTGTGGTACAAAGTGGGCCGTGCCCGGGGAAAATCCACTTGTTACACTGCCTAAAAAAATTTGACTTTTCCTGGGGAGCTAGCGCATTTAAACTTCAGATGAATTTGCTACATCTATACATACATACATACATACATACATACATACGGTCTTGAAGAAAGCAGTGTGATCTTGTTACACCACATTTGACACTATTCGCACATCAGGCCAGGCCGCGCAGGGGTCCTCAAGATCACACTGCTTTCTTACTATGGTGTTGTGGGTAAGTTTCCCCCCCTGGCTAGTATAGTCAGGGGTTAGGGTAGGGGATAGAGGTTAGTGCGTACGGAGGTTACAGGCAAAAGTTTTCACAGTGGGACGGGTACTGGCAAGGGTCACGGTCAGGGACCCACTGTCCCCTCCGATGTACCAACGCGTCGCGCACAGCTGTCAATCCAGAAAACCATCACCACCTTTGCAATGGCTTCGGATCCCCCCTCTACGCCACCCTGCCAGCATTTCAAGAATCCTGATATTTCCCGCGATGAGCGGCTTCAAGTTCAAACTCTCCGCAATATTGGCTTGACGTACGAGCAAATAGTTACGCAGCTTGGGTTGACCTACAACCAAGTTAGATATGCTTCCAGCGCTCCAAATGTTACACCAAAGAAACGCTCTGGTCGACTTGGCCTTCTCAATTCCGATCAGATTGAAGATCTGATCACCTTTATTACCTCCTCAAAAGCCTCTCGCCGAATGCCTTACTCGAAGATTCCTCTTGCCCTTGGCTGGAGCTGTTCAGAGTACGCCATCCGCTACGCCCTTCGTAACGCTGGCTTCAAACGCTATGTTGCATACCGAAAGCCCCCGATTACCGAGAAGAACCGAAAAATCCGCCTCGACAACGCTCTCGATCGTGTACACTGGCCTCTCGAGCGATACTACGAAATCCTCTGGACCGACGAGACCTGGGTAACTGCTGGTACCCATCGAAAGGTCTGGGTTACACGCCGTCAAAACGAGGCATACGACCCGACTTGCATCGTTGAGCGTGAACAACGGCCAAATGGATGGATGTTCTGGGGTTCATATTCAGCAAAACATGGAAAAGGGCCTGCTCTTTTCTGGGAGAAGGACTGGGGATCGATCACTGGAGAGAAGTACTCGGAGAGAGTTATCCCTCTTGTTGATGCGTGGTTTCGGCTTCATCCCGGCCAGGTATTTATGCAAGATAATGCCTCTCCTCATACTGCCCAGGTCACTCGCGAAGAGCTTACAGCTCGAGGGATTCCTGTTTACACCCATTCTCCCTATAGTCCTGATCTTAATCCGATCGAGAACGCATGGAACTGGATGAAGGATTACATTGCAGTCAACTACCCGGCAAAGATGTCATACGACCAACTGCGCGAAGCAGTAAATACTGCATGGGAAGCGGTCCCTGAGGAATTCCTTAGAGAGCGTGTAGATACAATGCCCGTACGGCAACAGGCTGTCATTGATGCCAATGGAATGTATATTCCTTTCTGAATTGACAGCTGCGCGCGACGCGTTGGTACATCGGAGGGGACAGTGGGTCCCTGAACGTGACCCTTGCCAGTACCCGACCCACTGTGAAAACTTTTGCCTGTAACCTCCGTACTAGAAAAACCTGTATTTTCGCTAGTACTTTGTGTGCATACCGTTGGCGTCAATCACCGCCTGGCATTGGGCCTGCATAGATTCAAACGACGTAGCCAGAAAATCGGCAGGTAGCTCATTCCAGGCTTCCAAAACGTATCCCCTCAACAGATCGCAGCTTGGGTCTTCTTCTAAGCCCCATTTATCCTCGATATAATCCTTCATCCAATTCCAACAGGTTTCTATTGGATTCAGGTCAGGGGAATATGGTGGCCAGTAAATAACCTCAACACCACGCTCACCAAGGTCCTGTTTGGTGAGAGCAGCTGTATGCCCGGGAGCTCCGTCTTGCATGAGGACTAGTTCTTCGCCTTCTACCCTCACAAGACGAATCCAGCCATCTATAATTGGGACCGTATGCTCTCTGTATGACTCGCCCGTTACTGTTCCCCAGTCCTTTTCCCAGAAAAGGCCAGGTCCTTTTCTACGCCCTGAAAAACAACCCCAAAACATCGAGCCTTTCTTGGGTTGGTGACGCTCAACGATGCATGTTGGATCCCACTCTTCACCAACACGCCTTGTTACATATTGCTCTCGATGAGGGCCGCAGGTAACCCAGGTTTCGTCAGTCCAAAGGACCTTTTCCCACTGCTCGGGAGTCCAGTTGAGGTGCTCGTGAGCCCAGGCGAGACGTTTTTGTCGGCTGGCTTCAGTAATCGGGGGTTTCTCTCGTGCGGCTCGACGACGGAAGCCAAGACGGTAGAGGGCGCGCTTAATGACCCAGACCCCGAAGGCTGCTTCGAAAAGAACGGCCGCAAGCTGTAAAAAGCCCATTCTTCTGTTCTTTTTGGAAGCGCAGACGAATTCAACGAGCTCGTTTTCCTGCTCCTGTTTTAAGGTCCTAGGCCGGCCAGCCCGGGCACCAACCGTAGCCGATACGGCCCGCACGGCTGTGCGAATCTGGTGTTTTGTATGGCCGGTAATAGCTCTGATATCTGCGTAGGATTTGTCTGCATCGTAGTATAACGTCCGTATGCGTTGACGTTCTTCAACGGTTAGGTGCTTTGTTCCGGCGCTCGTCGCGTTACGCGGCATTTTGGCGGTTGGCCTTGTTGGGCTGGTGTAGAGGACTAGTGTAGATAAGTTGAAAATTTCAATCATCTGTAATTGTGGTAAATGGGGCTGCGGGTCCTATCCCTAGCTGGTACTTGAGCAGGGGGTAAAACTTGACTTGGTGGTTCGACACTATTAGCTGCGTGTGCCCTTTATTAATCCTCCTCGGACCCTACACGCCGGGGGCGTTGAAGCCTGCGCCCCAGATGGTCTTGTTGGATTTGGCGATGGTTTCAATTACAGGTCGCTAGGCGCAGTTGAACCTGCATTGTACCGACCATCAATTTACTATTTTCTGGCGGGCAAAACAGGGATTTCAATTTACATACAGTAAGTACCTTTTGGCTAACTACGGTGTCTATTTGACTTTCTCGTGAAAAATGGACGAAAGACAAAAAAAGAAAATGAAACGTGACAGACTTCAAAAATATGCGTCAGCCGCGAATCGAACGCGGGGCCCATCGATGGCAACGATGGATTTTACCACTAAACCACTGACGCTGGAAACTGCTCGTTGGTCTGAGCTTTGTGTCCACTTAGACTGAAAACGGGGTATATGACAGCTGGGTGCGGGGCCCCACTTCTATTTCCTCCCTTCTGATGAAATGCGAATAGGGGTCGTCTCGTACGTACCTACCGAGTACAAAAGCATTTTATTCCCCAGATGCTCCTGTCTCTCTATGGCTACCTAGGTAATCGCAGCGACCCCTTTGGCTCCCTCTAGTCTTGTGGAAGTCGTTGCTACGGTTGAAAAAAGAACACACAACAACTAACCACCTACCGCTTTACCTCGCCCCTTACTTCCACGGACCTTTCCGCACAAGATTCCTCGACAACCAACTTTGCAGTAACAATCGCTCACTCACTCATAGGACGCCACACCTCTAGGTAGGGGACACCTCGGAAGACAAACTCAACTGCAACGACGACAAATTTCTTCACATCTCTTCACTTCTTACATAGTACATACACCGGCCGCTTACCACCTACCCGCTATCTATCCTACCCAGCCCTATAATACGTACGTCCTCACCATCACGCCACATGAAACAGGAAACAGCAAAGTAAAATCCTCAGTGCCTTTTTCGCGTGCAGAGTCAATCTAGTAGTAGGTATATACTACACGCAGTATATATAGCCTAAGGGAGGGGGGGAGGGGGGCAGGCATTCTAGCAGCCGGTGCAGTGCAGTGCAGTGCAGTGCAAGGCAAGGTATATCCTCCTCGTCCGCTCGTTTGCTCTTGCAGTCGATGTCTGTCCCACAGTTTCCGCTCTCATGAATCCATGCCGTTGCCCAAAATGTAAGAGAAAAAGAAAGCTCATAAAAAAAAAAGAGATACTCGCTAGCCTGCAAGAAACTTGTGATCAATCGCTCTAGAAAGGACAATCCCACTCGTTTCCAAAGAGACAAGACAAGACAAGACATGCTGTAACGCCAATTCGCAACACCCATACTGGTCCCCGCCAAACACAAAACGGCTAATACACGCTCCCCTGGATGCTCTTGTCCTCTTGCTCGGCCCTGCGCAGGAGCGCCTCGTCGGCCTCATCGGTCAGCGTGCGCGCCAGCTCGTTTTCGTCGTCGTCGTCGTCGTCGGGCTCGGGAGACGTGCCGCCTTCATCGCCGCGCTCGCCGTCGGCCTCATGCTCCCCGTCGCTACTATGCGGATGGTCGCCTAGCCGGTTCGCACGCATGCCGCGGCCCATGCGGCTGCGGTCGCGGTCTGCCCGGTTGCCGTGGTGGGGGAAGGGCGGGAGGACGGGAGCGAGCCCCGCCACGCTGGTCCCGGTCCCGGCCACGGCCCCAGTCCCGTTAGCGACGGCGGGAGCGGTGCCCCTCCTCCGGTGCTCGTCGTCCTCGGACGAGTCGGCGTCGCTGGCCACGACGCTGTTGTGCCCGCTGTAGGTGCCGCCAAAGTCGCGTCCCAGGTGCAGCTGGGCGCGCTCAAAAGGCCGCGGCGGCACATTGGGGCTCTTAAGATGACCGCGCAGCCGGTCCTCGACCGAGATGAAGGACGGCGTGCCGTCGGGACTCGACACAATGTCCTCCCGCGCCTTGGTCACGTCAATCTTCGGGCCGCCTCCGCCCAGCGCCGCCGCCGGCGACAGCAGACCATCACCGCCGTTGGTGGTGATTGACTGGAAGCGCTTGGCAGCGGGACGCCGGCTGAGGATTGTGTGGCTGTTGGCAGTGCCATTGAACGAAGGGTTGGCGATGCCCTGCGTCTTGGTATGAGCCGTGCTGGCCTCACCGGCGTTGGCGGTCACGGTGGCGCCGCTCGAGCCAGAGCCGTTGTTACTGCTGCTGCCACTGCCACCCCCGCCGGCGCCGCTGCCGCCAACCTCGCTGCCCGCGGCGGCGGCGGGATCATCAGAGGTGATGCTGTCGCTCTTCACCAGGTCAGCCAGCGTCTGGCGGATCTTGAAGCTCTTGTCGTGGTTGCAGCCGTCGGGGCAGCCTCCCCACCTCCGGCGGATGCCAGGCGAGCCGACGGCATATGAAGCAGGACTGGCACTAGCGGTGGCAGAGAGGGCGCGAGCAAGCGTGGAGCTGTCCTTACTGTTTGCGGTCTCCTTGGGCGTCCCCCCCTCCTTGTCCTTGTCCTTGTCCTTGTCTTTATCCTTGTCGAGTAGGGCCCGCTGCCTCTTGAGCTCCGACCACGTCCGCAGCTCGTTTTCGAGTATGAACTTGCCGCTCCCTTCGTCCTTGCGCATGATCAGAAACTCGCAGTGATTGACGTTGCGCAGGTCCTCAAAGTACTCGACGCTGAAGTGGTACCACTTCATGAGGAAGACGCGGGACATGAGGCCGTGGGTAACTAGGACACAGACGCTCGCAAAGTCGTCCTCGCCGAACTGGCGCCACAGGCTCTCGTTGAAGCCGCTCACGCGGTCGTAGGCGTCGGCGGCGCTCTCGCCGTTGGGGATGCGGTAGAAGAAGTGGCCGTAGTCGGCACGCTCCTGCCACATGCGCTCCATCTCGGCGCTGCAGGGTTGGAAGTTGCCAAAGTCCTGCTCGCGGAGGCGCGGCTCCTCGTAGACCTTGATGTTGTTGCGCTTGAAGGGGCTGGGCTCGGGGTCGTCGCTGGTCAGGGTGGCCAGGATGCCCTCGGTGGTCTCGCGGGTGCGGCGGTAGGGGCTGGTGAAGAAGTGCAGAGTGTCGTCGGCCCGCAGCATCTCGCGCAGCCGGCGGCCGGCCTCGTACGCCTGCTGCCAGCCATCCTGGGTCAGCTTGACGCGGTGGTCGGGGATTGTCTGGTGGATGTCGCGGTTCTCTGTGGCGGCAGTCATTAGCCTTGGCGCAACAGCCGCGTCGTTTCAAGGGGCCAGGCCGCCATACTGTTTCCCTCGGACTGCGCGTGTCTGATCAAGATGAGGAGTCTTGGTTTCCCCATGGCGGCGGTAGGCGTGGTACAAAGCACAAAGCCCAGCACGGCAGAGTCAGCTCGAGGCAGATACAGCAGCGAGATGGGTTGGCTCGCGGATTAGCTGGCTGTAGAAGCGGCGGCCAGGTCCAATGTCTTGGTGGCCGTTGAAGGCGTTGGTGGGGAGGGGCGCAGCTGAAGCGAGCGGCGGTGGGTCGAGGTCAGGTAAGTCGCTACGACAGACAACGGGCTCCGGGCAGCCAGCGGAAAGAGTGAATGTTTTCGTGTTGGATGTATGTGCCAGGCAGACGGAGACACGAGGCTGGTGGTTTTAACTTCTGGGCAGAGTAAAGTTTGAACTCGATGCAGAAGCACCGCGGCATATAACACGAGGGCTTTCGTCTCAACAAGCACGGCGCGGCAAGATATTACAAATGCGGACGTCAGTCACAAGCGACGACGGGTGGGCATGGCGTGGGACATGGGCAGCTGCAGTTGGGCTTGGACACATAAAGACCCCACCAAACTTTGACTTGACGTTTCGAGTTCTTGGGTTCGTCTGTAGACTCCATACGCGCGCTTTGGATTCCTTGCACGGTGCAGGCACGCAGCGCCTGACAAGGCAAATTGATGTGCTGCCGCCAAGTGCATGCAGCCTTGGGCAGTGGTCCTCTCCGCCGATGGCCGATGCAGATGGAGGGGCAAGCAAAGGGCGATGAGTGGCGATATCGGCTGGATGCGCTCGCGTGAGGTCCGTCCCAGGGCAGCGGATTGGAAATTTCTGGGCTGTTGGAGGGGATGGGCGCCTTCGAGGCTGCCAATCAGACGTCGGATGATTCTGCAATGCCTGTCAAGGGCCTGTTGAGCCGGCAGTTGGGCGCTGAGTCTCATTTGCCTCGGGCGGCTAAGCGAATCAAGCGCCCTGTTAGTCGCGGGGCATGGCGAACATGTCTCTCATCACCAACAGTTAATAAGCCGCATCGGCACAGAACGTATCAGCGATGCTGACTTGGACGTTGGTTTGGATAGGCAATGATGTGCGCTAACCGAGAGTTATGTTGGTGATGCAGAGGCATTCTTGCTTTTCTTACATTTTCTTCAGCTGCTAGAGAGAGTGTGATATTGAAAATGTCCCAAGAGAAAAGCACAGAAGTCAGAAGAGAGGGATACCACCATAATAACCAAAATAACGCGCAACTATTCCGTAGTCTGGGCATTCGCACTCAAAAATCTGATTGCCTTGCCTGCCTACCAACCTACCTAGCCTAGGTAAGTCAGCAAGGGGCGCTGAACGGCCCTTTTTCTTTCTTTCTTTCTGTCTTTCTGTCTTTCTTTTTTGCCTCCGGCGAGCTGCTCGCTACGCTCGAAAGTCGTCTCCCCTCTCAGAATATCCAGAACTTCTCCATTCTGGGGTTATGCGATCGGCCAGCCCCCATTATCCATTTCGTAACTGACCAATCCCTAGTTCTAGAAGGTCAATTATATATTGATACATTGTAGATAAGAAGAAAGCCTCTCTCCGTTCAGCTTGATATCGGAAGGAGTCAAGATGTGATGTGGCGCAAGCTCGCCAGCAGCAGCCCCGCCTGCGCCACACCAGCCCGCCCACCGTTATGCCATTTTTAGTCCCTGACCTGACCTTGCTGTAAGAAACGTACCGCGAATACCGCGCCGCAACTTTAGCTCATCGTCAACGACGCAGCGCAACGCAGCGCAACGCAATATCACCATTCCAACTCAACACACACGCACGCGCACGCGCACCACAGTCTTTGATCGCACCCACACAAACCCTACGCTCAGTCAGAACACTATCCATGTCCGCCCCCGGGCCCGAAAGCATCCCCCTCTCCGCCGACCCGCGGCGCAGCGCCCGGCGGCCACCCGCCAAGAAACTCAAGACCTCCTCCACGCCCACCGCCGCACAGGCCGCCAACCTCGAAGCGCTCTTCGCACACCCCGAGCAAGAGATCCGCCTGCCTCCAGCACCCGGCACCGTTGCACGGCGAGCCCTCGCCAGTGCCGCCCCACCGGAAATCGTCGCCAACGTGCAGGGGTCGAGCGCGGGCGCCGGCAGCGGCGAGTTCCACGTGTACAAGGCGGCGCGGCGGCGCGAGTACGAGCGGCTGCGGGCGATGGACGAGGACGTAGCGTTAGAGCGAGCAGCCGCCGACTTCGCAGCGGCGCAGCGCGCGCGGCTGGAGGCGGATGCGGAGAAGACGCGGAAGAATCGCGAGAAGCGGGAGCGGAAGAAGAACAAGGCGGGGAAGGGGAAAGGAGGGGGAGGACAGAAGCAGGGGGGTGGTGATGGTACGGCGGTTGCGAATGGTGGTGGGGGAGGTGGGAAGAGCGCGGATGCGGCTGCTGGAAGAGACGAGGCGTCGGCGACTGCGACGGCGGATGGTGAGAAGAGCAGTGACGTGGGAGGAGGGAATTCAAATTCCGCCAACACCAACAACTCCTTTTCCAGTACGGCCGCTTCACGCAGAGGAGGGCAGTCTACCGGCAAAACGCAATCGGCGGGGGCAACGGCCGGCGAGTCGGGGCTGATCATTCACGACGACGATTGACGGGGAGCACATCACTGTTCACCAACTTGACACCAAAAATAGACTAGACACCTCAGGCAGACAGCAGTAGACGGATCATGATGCATGCGGGAGGGGGCCGGTTCACGGAAACCCTTTTGTCTACCATGGCCAGGTCTATAGGGGCATTTTACTACATGGTTTTTTCTCGGCGGAGGAAGATAGCGGGCGGGCACACACACCCCCCAGACCTCCCCAAACAGTAACCGACCGGCTCTCAGGCCCAGGTCGTTACATCTAATCATCTCCTCCGGCAGCGCCGGTGCCAACGCCCGGTTGGGCCTTTCTGGCGCTGCAGATATCGTCCACTCTCAATAAGAGACAGGCAGCCTGTAAGATAATGGTCAGTCAGCACGTAGTAAACAGCGGGTCTGCCATAGACAGTGGGACTACCATAGACAATAGAAACGCACCTCGATCGCAGTCTTCATGCTCTGCACCTTGATGGCCTCGGGCTCCCACACGCCGTACTCCTTCATGTCGACGAGCACGCCCGTGTCGCCGTTGATGCCCCACGAGCTCTTGCCCTCGGCGTGCTTGGCGCGTAGGTCGGTCAGCACGCGGACGGGGCTCTTGCCGGCGTTCTGGATGAGGGTGCGCGGGATGACCTCGAGGGCCTCGGCCACAGCCTTGTACGGCCACTGCTGCACGCCCTCGATGGACTTGGCCATCTGGGCTAGCCGCACCGAGACGGCCATCTCGGTGGCGCCACCGCCAGGCGACAACCTGGGGTGAAACATGACGTTGCGGGCCACGCCCATGGCGTCCTGCAGGTTGCGCTCGACCTCGTTGAGCACGTCCTTGGACGGCCCCCGGAGCAGGATCGTGCACGCCTTTGGTGACTTGCACTTTGTGAGGAAGGTGAAGTACTCGTCGCCAATCTTCTCAATCTCGAACAGGCCGCACTGCGTGCCCACGTCCGACTCTTGCAGGTCCTCTACTCGGTTCACGATGGTGGCCCCCGTGGCTCTCGATATCCGGTTGTTGTCCGTCTTGCGAACGCGCCGCAGCGCCGTCACGTTGCCCTTCATGAGGTAGTGTTGTGCGAGATCTACACGTGTGAGCGGCATTCATAAAGCGTCAAAAAGGTACTCACCAGAGACGCCCTTTTCTGTAATGACTAGGTCTGGGTTGAGCGCCAGGATGTGTTCGCACATGGTCTTGACCTGCTCCTCCTCGATCTGCAGGATGCGGTTCCAGTCCTCCTCCTTGGAGATCTCAATGTTTGTCTGCGACTCGCCCTTCTTGTACTCGAGCGTGCAGTCAAGCAGGATGATGCGCGGGTTCTCAATCTTGCGGCGCATCTTGGGGTGCGTGATGTCCTTGTTGAGCATGACGCCGTCCAGCACGCGGCTGTCCTCGATCTCGCCGCCGGGGACCTTCTCTACGCGCGCGTACCGCTTGATGTCGACCTCGCGCTTGCCGTTGCCCACCTCCCACGCCACGGTGCGCACCGCCTTGAGCGCTAGGCTGCACATGAGCTCCGACCACCGCGACACGAACTTGGTGCCGATCGACGACGAGATGAGCCCGTGCATGGCCTTGTCGTCGTTGATGTCGATGGGCATGGAGATGTCGTCGACAATCTGCAGCGCGTCCTTGAGCGCCCGCTTGAAGGCCTGGATGATGACGACGGGGTGGATGTTGCGCTCCAGCTGCGGGAGCGCCTGCGCCAGGATCTCGCCGGCTGTGTCTCTGTTAGCAACCTCCCCCTCCCCCTTCCCCTCCCCCCAGTCAGGGTCATGTAGAGCTCACCCAGGATGATGACGGTTGTGGTGCCGTCGCCGACCTCCTCGTCTTGGGTCCGGCTGAGCTCGATCATGCTCTTGGCGGCCGGGTGCGACACCTCGATCTCGCGGAGGATGGCGTGGCCGTCGTTGGTCAGCACGATGCCGCCCATGGGGTCGAGGAGCATCTTGAGCATAGCCTTGGGGCCGAGGCACGACCGGATGATGTCGGCGACGCTGCAGGACACGCATGCAGGTCAGCTTGCAGACTCGTGCGGGCAGAAGAGAGTGGACATGACATACGTCTTGGCGGCGGCGATGTTGGACATCTGGGCTTTGCGCCCAGTCTGCCTCTCACCGCTATTGGTGTCTGCGGAGCGCGGTGCGCATGTCAGCCGACTAGCCCAGCGTAGCAAGCCGGCTTGGGCCCGGGACTGGGGAGGGGAGCAACATACTCATCACCACGACAGGTGCCTGCATCTTGCCGGTGCTGTGGGTTCGTCACTTGAATAATTATTTACTTTCCGTCTGGGTGCTCGCGTCTCGGCGTTGGTCCAGAACTCGGACACGCTGTGGACTCGGGAAATTCAGGTTCTGGCGACGTCTGGGTCAGGCGAGGTCGGCGGCGGTGGCAGTTGCGGGTGTGTGTAGTTGTTTGTTCGAATGTGAATTTGTTGCCTCCACTTAATCGCCAATTGGTAGGCGGGCAGGTAGCTTCAGGTGGGATGGATGCCCCCCCCTTCGAAAAGTTCAGATACTGGACCAAGCTCCTTCCTCGCGGCGGGCGCCAGGTGGGGCCAGCAGCGTGGCATCCGGCAGCAGCTGTCAACTGGAAGCGGGCGCGAGGTTGGCCCTCCCTGGTTAGCGTAACGCGGTTACCACCGTCTCGAAAAGCGGCCGAAACATTGCATTAATTCAACTACAACTCCACAAGAAGACGGCAGTTTCTCGTTCATAACCTGCCACAAACTGACCTCTTCACCTTTGCCTAAACATTTTCCACATCGTTCGGAATAACAAATGCAATAAGCTATCCCCCCACCCTCCCCTTTTTTTTCATTCCTTTTTGTCTTTCTCTCTGCTTCACCTGCAACACAGAATCCTCACTACAGGAAAGATAGATCACACCCCATCACCACCTCAGTCCTCGTCCTTAACCCTTCAGCTCATATCCAGCACAGGCAACATATATATTACTATCTAGTGAGAACGTGCTCCCTACCAACCCAACTAGCAAGGTAGACATGTAGATTGCCTCCGGCGGCCTGCTCGCTGCGCTCGAAAATCGTTCTTTCCTCTCAAACTCTTAAAACCAGAATTTGTCTTCGGTGGCTTCAGTGGCTACCGTACGTTCAGCTTGACAATCCCATTTCCCCCGCCAAAATGAATATATACCCCCTGCACCTATAACCACGTACCAATTGCCACTTACCACTTGTCACTTGCCATAGTTACCTTGGATATTTGTTTTTATTTAATTATTTTATTTAATTATAAAATGGCCCTTTACCTAGCCGTGCCTCGTGTTGTCCTTACCTCTGTCTTCACGCGCGAGAGAGGAGTATCGAGTACAACATATGAAAATGAGCAGAACCCGACTTGACCGCAAATACCACGAACCCCAAACACCATGTCCCAAAACTATCAGACCAGAAAAAACTCCCGAAACAAAAACAAAATTAAAAACTCCTATAAGATGAGAGACACGAAAAAAATGAGAGGCTAAAAATGCGGTAATGAATCTCAGCGTAAGAAGAAATGTACACATGCAGGCTGTCTACCCAGGTTTTGCCGTCCCTCCCTCCCTCCAGTGCCAGTGCCGGTGCCAGTACCAATGCCGCCTAGAATACTCCTACTTCACATTTGCGTGTCCTGGCAAGCAATGCAAAGTCATGAAAAAAGGGTGAAAATGAATTAAACAAAAATTTTCTCCGCTTAGTGATATGTGCAGATGCGTATTATTCGCACTTTCTGCTGAGTGAGCCCTCTGAAGTAATAATGTATGTACGTCGCATGTCGGGCATGTGTGGCCGTGTGTTCGTGTGCAGGTGTGTGTGTGGATGTGTATGGGTGTGGTGTTGTTTAATTAGTCACATAATGTTCCCCCTCTTCTATTACTGTCCACCTCAGAGGAACTGCGAGAGGGCGTTGCTGAGGGCAATAAAGTCGACCGGCTTGGTCACGTAGTCGTTGAACCCTGCCGCGACGCACTTCTCCTGCACGTCTGACATGACATTGGCCGACAGCGCAACGATGGGCACCGCTGGTAATTTCTCGCGCGCCTCCCACTGACGTATCTCGCGGCAAGCCTGGTACCCGTCCTTGCGTGGCATATGTAGATCACACTATACGAGACCAATTAGACATAATCCAAAAGAAATGCAGACCAGAACTTACCAAGATGAGAGAGTAGTATTCGTGGGGCTTGGAAAATACCGTCTCGGTACACTCGACGCCGTCTGCCGCAAGCTCGACAGCAATGCCCACCTTCTTCAGGTACTTTTGCAGCACCTTCTGGTTTACCGGATTGTCCTCGACCAAGAGCACCTTGTAGCCCTTGTTCCCCATCTTCTTCTCCGCCTCGACGTAGCTCTGCTTCTGATTTTCGACTAGCTTCTGTGCTGTCGACCGGTTGCGGTCTATGCTGAGATCACGTTCCTTGGCGGGATCGAAGATGACGGCAAACCGGGAGGGCTTGACTGGCTTGTAGATGTACGACACCTTGTCCTGCGAGAACATCTCTTCGTACTTGGTATTGGCCACCTGCTTCATCACAGCCTGCCTCTGGACCGAGTCGGAAAGGATGAGGATCGTAGCCTTGCCGACAGTGTTAGAGCTCATGATTACGTCCATCAGCTCGATTATGTCCTGTGGAAGCGGCAGATTGACGACAATGTGGGTAAATAAAACCGCGTCGTCGCCTCCAATAAGTTTCTCCGCCTCCTTTACCGACGACAGTGCTGAAATCTGATGCGGAATGTCCTTGGGCAGCGTCATCTCAATGTGCCTCGTTGTCGCTTCTCGGCTGTGTGTCTGCGGGCAGATGATCAAGATTGAGTACATGGGGGGCCGGAATTCGCTCGCGGCGGCAGGCGTGACGACGCTGTTTCCGATAGGCGTAGTGCCAGACGAGGACCTATCTGCCGGCATCTCCAGCTTCATCTGCGACAGATCTTGCCCGCTGGCCCGAGCGGCCTCACTGAACCGGGCCAACCCAACATTGACACTTGCATTGATAGAAGACATGGATGAGCGATTGGTCAGCTGTGTTCTGTCCGAGAACGCCGACGGCTCTGAGCTGCTGCTAGAAACTACTGCCGGAGATCTAGGGTTGGCATCTGTCGACGGGCTCGCCTCAGGCGACATCTTCTGAAGCAACTTGCTAGCAATCGTTTGTTGCTGAGAAGTCAGATGCACGTCTCTCATCAATCCCGGTGTCGGCTGGGGAGGTGACGATAAATCCGGGCGGTCCTGGCCTGTTGGTAGCCCAAATTTCGCCGAAAAGGTAAACGTGGATCCTTTGCCGGGGACCGCCGTCCCTTCCATTCCGCCGCCGTGAAGCTCGGCCAGCTGACGCGAGATTACCAGACCCAGCCCGCTCCCTCCGTGCTGGCGAGTGCTGCTCCCGTCAATCTGGCTGAAGGGCTTGAATATCAACTCGGCCTCCTCTTCGGTAAAACCCCTACCCGTGTCAATGATGGAGAACTCGAGCATGATTTCATCGTCGGCAAGCTCCTTGTCCTTAGGAGTTGCAACCTTACATCTGCTAAAGACTTCTCCTTGACTAGTAAACTTAATAGCATTACCAATGACGTTGAGCAACACCTGACGAATCCGCACCTTGTCCCCCTTAACCCATGCGGGGACATCTTCATCGACAATGTAGTTGAGCTCAAGACGCTTTGCAATGGCCATGGTCGACACGAGCTCGTTGACATCCTCGATGAGGGACCGTGTGTGGAACCATTCAAAGTTCAGCTTCATCATTCCGGCATCAACCTTGGAAAGATCGAGGATGTCATTGATGATCATGAGCAGGCTGTTAGCACTGGTCTGGATCGTATTGGTGTAGTCTCGCTGCTCTTCGTTGAGCGTCGTGTCCTGAAGGAAGCTGACCATGCCAGATATCCCAATGAGAGGTGTCCTAATCTCGTGCGACATGTTGCTTAGGAAACGGCCTTTCGATTCCATCGCCTCCTTCAACTTCGTCTCGAGAAGCTTCAGGTCGTTAATGTCAGTGGCAGACCCAAAGAACGAGCTAGCCCCATTGCCAAAGTCGACATTGTCGATCTCAACACACCGAACGAGATGCCACCGATACTCGCCACTCTTGGACCGCAGCCGTATTTCGGTCGTGTACGAAACTCGGCCGTTGCTATCTGTCGAGACCCGGATCACCCCCTTCTTAGCGAGCTCGACGAGATTAGCGCTCTGGAGCTCGTACACCGAGCCGCTGCTAGAGCTGTTGTTCCGCGACAGCGCCTGGTGCACGCCTCGGATGTTGCCGTCGGAGGCAACCGAGATCTTGCCAGTCGAGCCCGAGTGCTCATGTCCTTTGCTAAAGAGGGGCGTTGGCGGCCTGTCGTTCGGTATCCGGCATTTGGCGAGGTCGTCAGGGTGCACATAGTCCATGAATCCCAAGCCCAACGCGTCGCCGAAGCTCTGGCCTGTGTAGGACAGCCACTGCTCATTGGCAAATGTGATGCCCTCATCCTCAGTGGCGGTGAAGATGATTTGCGGGATCAGGTTGGCGAGTAGGCGGTGCTTGGCCTCGGAAGCTTCAATCTGCTCCTGTCGCGCTGCTCTCAGCTCGGCAATGTATTTGTCGTGGATGTCCATGTAGGACCCCAGGAATTGCAGAATGACGCCCCGCTTGTCCTTGGAGGCAACGGCACGGGCTTGGAACCAGCGGTAGGCCCCGTCAAAACGCCGGATCCGGACGGTTCGCGAGAACTGTTCGCCGGTCCGGACAGATTGGCTCCAGGCACGAAGGTACTCCTCGCGGTCATCTGGGTGAAAGCTCCCCCAGGTGTCGGCCGCCAAGTCGCTCGACGTCTGCCCCCGGTACGTTAGGAACCGGCTGTTTACCCAGACTATCTCGCCTGTCTGCGGGAGGGCGACGAAAACATGGGCAGGTAGCGAGTCTAGAATGAGGCCTTTCAGTTTGTCGGACGGTGGGGTCATCTCCGAATGTGAGATGGACCCGCTCCGCGACGGTGCTGGCGGTAGCGGGACGCCTCTACCAATGCTCGAGCTGGGCGGGAGCGACTGAAATGTGGATGCAAAGTCTGCCCCGTAAGAGTGCAGCTGCGTATGTCGATGCTGTGCCTGCAATGGAGAAGCATCCGACCTCCTCTGGTTCTCGTTCATGGCTGGCTGCGACCCTAAAGGCGGTGCTCTCTCTTCCCTGGGGCTTGGTTGTGAAACATGACGTCTTTGTTGGGACGTCAATTCTTCGGCATCCCGGTTCAGGTAGTCTGTGCCTGTCAGATTGTCAGGGAGGGCGGGACTGAGCGGCCCGTTGTCCTGTAATTGTCCTTTACCGCCAGACAGCCGCGATGAGGGTCGCTTTTCTGCAAGTATAGCCTCTCGCGAGTTCCGCCGCGTACGCTGGCCTCCACTGCCCGCACCTGTCCCTGGCCTCGGCTTGGTGCTGAAATAACTGTCGCCGCCTACAGGGGCTGGACTGGAGCTAGGCGTGCGCCTTTCCATCACCAAACCCAAAGCAGAGGTATCCCACGTGGGTGTTCCACCAGGAGAGCCCCCTGCACTGCGCACCGGGCCCGAGTAGTCGCTAGGACTCGTGAGACTACCCGCCATAGACCCCCGGAACACATCTTCGCTGGGGAGGTACCCTAGAGAAGCTAGTGCTGCTGCATTAGCCAGCGGCCGCCCGTCAGGACCCAGTGCGCCGAAGCCTGCCGTCGGCGGCCTTCGCTTCTGCAGACCACTCAGTTCCAGCTCCAAGTTCGTGTAGTGACGGCAGAGGGAAAACGAGGTGGCCAGGTGAGGACCAAGGTGCTCTAATGAGTGCCGAAGGTTTGAAGGGTACGGAATGACAGGGCTCAGAATGGATATGATGGCAATTGGTGCGTGCTTCTGCTTCTGGACGGGATCTGGGGAAGGGAGCGGGGTTGCGTGGCCCTCCCCAGCCTTGTTTCGTGAAATCCGTTGGGCCATGAACGCAGGGTCCAGCTTGAAGGCAGGATTGGGCTTTGACAGCAGGACGTGGGTCAGAGGAATATGCAACACCGTCCACGAGTTGTCCATGCCAATTGCCTCGGGTGGCCTGAGAGCCGTGTAGTCAAAGGCGGCCGAGGACGGGTTAAACGACTCCTCGTCAACCGTTGCATCGGTGAAGAATGGGTTCTCGCTGGGGTCGGCTCGCACGGCGGGAGACGGCGCAGGAGATTGCGACCATGGAGAGGGGGAGGCTTGTTCGTGCTCCTCATACCTAGGTGTTTTTGGTCTCGGAATGTCCTCGTCGAGTCGAGACGCGATTCCCGTGGCCCTTTTCTCAGGCCCCTGGCCCTTGGAGGAGCGCACATTGGCCGATTCCAGCGAAGCGCTGCCTAGAAGTGACGAGAGTTTCGAGGATGAGTTGGACTGCTGCCCCCTAACCTTCCTTCGCTCCCCTCCAGGTGTTGCGGCGGGGCCGGTGGACAAGGGGTCGAATTCCTTCCTCTCAGTCTGCTGGCCGAGGTAGGGATAAGTTCGGGTTAGTGCAACGACGCGGCCGCGGTCGAGGACACGAATCACGCCGTTGTGGTCAATCAGAGGATCGGCTTCGTAGTTGAGGGCTTGTAAGACGTTCAAGACTTTGCCGTGGCCGTCTCCACGAGTCGTAGACGGTACCTCCCAGCTTGGAATCTTCTGCTGGTCCTCCAACGCGTCATGTTCCTCGAGCGCCTGGCGGTTAAGATCCATGTGTTTCTCGTAGCCTCCAGATGACTGCTCCAGCGTGGACATTGGGTGAGTTGTTTTGCTCCTTCCAAGATCGGGCCGGCGCAAAGGTGTTGTCGCCCGCCCGCTTGGGGTTCCCATCTCTTTCTTATCCTCGTAGGATGTGAAGGAATGCCGGCTTTGTAGGCCGGGACGCCCTGCTCCCTGCTGTCTCGGTGAATCGTCCCACTGGGAGGCGGGCTCCGAGAACTCGCCAGTACTGCTGGGCATAAGGCTCGAGCCTCTGGCAAGATAACCTAGACTCAAGTCGTCTTCGCGATGCGAGTTGTAGGTCGCCTTTTGGCCCCAAGGGACGTTTTCAATGTCTGTGGAATCGGCAGGGATGGCCAAGGTGACCCTTTCGGCCCTGTAGACCTCGACCATGATCTGGACAACGGTATTCCACCACGCATCCAGTCCAGGCTCGGCAGAGAGCATCAATGAGAGATCGTAAAGGTTGGGTGTTTGGAAGTCAAATTGGCCCTCGGGGTGGGTGTGGCCGTGGGGCAAAAATGTCCTGGCCGAGGCCGGCGAAGTCGGCTTTGACCGCATGTTGTCGTGGCCGACGAGATCCTCAAATAGAGCCTGCGTTCCTGGCGGGGGAACAGTGGGCGAGAGCGTGGTAAACGGCCGGTGCAGGGAGTGGTTGACGTAGCCGGGCGACGCCATGCGCGGGAAAGGGTAGGACGGCGTGCCGGCTACGGGGCCCGGCGTCTGTTCTCCCCGGACCGTCTTGCCAGACTCGGTTGATGTGGTTGTGGGCGTCGACTCGAGCTGCGACGTTGGCGGCGAGACGGATGTCTCTTCCTGTATTGGCGATATGCGCTTTGGGCCCGAGGTAAGCGACGCCATCGAGCCTCTTGTCGGCAAGTCTTTCCGCTCCATCTGGCGTGCCAGCTGATCACGATACTCGTTCAGCTGCCGCTGCGCGTCCCCTGCCCCAACCCCTGCATGCATTTCGACAGATCCCGCTAAGCCTCCCTGCCAGCCATTCTTTGCTGCTAGACTCCCGGGACCGACTGTGTCTGGGACGAAAGCGGGAGCGGGTTGGGAGTCGTCGGCGGTGCTCGGTGACAGCGACGTGCTCGCGGCGGGCTGGTCACAGACACCCGATTCCGAGATATTTGAAGGCTCTAATTCCGTATCTCTCTCGAGCCCGCCCGTCATTTGTTCTCTCGATGATGGCGGCGGCACTCTAATCAACGTCGAAGCATCATCCACCGAAGGCAAGTTTTGACACGCCGGTGGTGGGATGCCAGCTGCTGCTGTCGCCGTTGCGGCGGTTGATGGTGTTGTTACCGGCAGCGGCTGCGGTAGTTGTGGTGGAGTTGCTGGTATCGGGACTGGGGCTGGGATTGTGGATTGGGCCACTACAGATCGGCGCGAAGATACGAGGCCTTTCTGGACTCCGGGAGATCTTGATCCGGGCATGCCTCGAGGGAAAAGGCCCCGATGACGTCGTTGCAGACGGGGCGGCCTCGGGTTCGGAATCGCACATTCATTCGCGGCCGCGATGAGAGGGCCGTCGGCGTGCCCGAGTCCTATTAGGCGGCGTCAACGCAAGAGGCGATTTCCTGAGAAGACTTCGGAGTCTAGCCAACCGAGCCAAGATAGTTAACTCTGGGTGGTGTTATTAGTGTGTGTAGACGAGGTCGCGGTCGATATTGCCACCAAAATTGTTAGCCCTCACTCAGCCTAGTAGTCGAGCGTCGCAGGTCGCTCCTCAAAGCATCAAACACTGAGACGGCACCGCAGAATGCTATGACACCTACTACTAGGCAGGCTCTAAATTTCTCGAGTGCAGTGCAGTGTGTACCAGCGTGGCAGGAAGGTTTGGCGGGTGGGTGAAGCGCGAATGTGGAGAAGTTGGCAGCCTACCTGTCTAAAAAAGGGGACTATGACGTCGGGCCATCTACATGTCACCGCCTCCCCCCCCCAACCCAACCTACCAAACCTCAGAGACATCCCTCAGCCGACGGCCGCCAACCCGAGAAACCAAGGGTCTTCTCCGCTAAATAAGCAACAGCCTCGCCGCAGCTGACGCTCTCATAGCTTCAGAAATTCGGAAAATGAAGCACTCAAACATGCACCTGCTGTCAATCCAATCCAACGTTTCAATTCAGCATGGGGGTGCTGGTGGAAGGAGGGCACACAAAACAGTTTCGCCAGGTTTGCTGGGTCTTGCCTGTGGTGGGTAACTCGCAAGGGGGAACCATGCACCCATCATCGGACCTATGGAAGCCAATGTCCACGGTCGGCTCAGTAGCGCGCCGGTAGTTAATAAATATCTGACCTCCGCAGGAAACTTCCCTGCTCTGCACGCACTTGGAAAGATGTTCAATGTCTCAGCCACATTTGCAACTCATATTCATGTTGTCCACGTCCCCAGCCCGCTAGGCAGATTTCATCCTACCTTGCGCGGACGTGCAGTGCAACTCGAAGCCATCGTCGGAATATTGACCGCGCTAGTCGTCAATTCCAACTAGGGCCACACCATCCAATCTTTCGGATCGTCGTCTCCTAGCGCGGTACGTTGAGTGAAGTGGTGGCCGTGTGCCCGTTGATGGTTTTTTTTATATACCAACAATGCGGTCGGAGCATAGCACAATCCGGTCCTGCAAGATGTTCACCAAGTGGAAGCCGAAACTACCTTATCTAGCGCAGGTCAGGTAGCGTACTCCTACACGCGCAACTAAGTAAGGTACCTAATCTTTCATGACGGGTGAGACACTCGTACCCAGGAAACGTCACCGTTTCAATTCAACCGCCCCGGCTGCGCAACATAATATTGTAAGATATAGGTATACACTAGAGATGCGTATCGCCATTAGTTGGTGGGTGCCAGGCAGAGAGACCCAAATCCACAAATCACACAAGTGGAAGCCATTTTCATTTAAAGACGGAAGGTCGAGAGGAAGCCAAGACCCTGACGACACGGATGCGAGATTGGGGCGGATGGACAGAAAAACAGCTGTTACTGCGCCCTCTGGGCTGCGGTAAGACCCGAACGTGCGGCACGGCTTTCATTTGCTGCTGAAGCGCGTCTTGTCGTCAGGCCATCATGCAAGAAATCTCGGGTCCCCGTGCAAATGATGAGAGAGAGATTGGGTGTAAGACGTCTGAATTGGAAGCCCCACCGCCAGTGCGCACCTCTCGGGAGCGTCGCCTGTGGCCTGTATCCCGTCTCTCTCCCTGTCTGCGCCATGCAGCAGGGCATCGTTGAGTGATACGGCTACGCGGTTCTCAAAAAGGAGATATGCATTATCTAGGTATATGGGATTTATGGTTTATAGGCCACTGTAGCTATCACCTCGAGCCACAGGTCCAAATTAGTGAGGGAGCGGGCGGGCTGTTGAACTGGATGGGAATGTTGCGCATGACCAGAGCAGGGTCGTCGTCGATCGGCTGAGCAGAATGACGTCAGAGGCGTCAGGGATTCTCCATGAGTGGCTGAGGGTGGGGCAACAAAAAGTCTGCAAGAGACCCTAGAGAAATGCACGACATGGGATGGGATTTCTAACCGAATCCCTTTACGGCGGTACCACCACGTTACGTATCAGATGAGTAATTGGATTGCACCCTAACGTGAAAGGCAAACACCTAAGTGAAACCAAGTCGTCCTCGACAATTCAATCATATCGCCTTCAATTATAACGGCTAACACACAAAAAGACTAACTTGGCTATTATTTGAAGTAAATACGTACATATCTAGAACATGGCGTTTCATGGCCACGGAGCGGGGCGTACAGAGTGCTCGTGAGGCCGGCATTTTGAATACTTGCACTACATTACATATCCGGCGCCTTGGTGAAGAAAAACATTACAACATAAAGCCTAATTAGTCAACTACGCGGTATGCCATACTTTTCAATCATTACTAAGGACTGATGTATGAATACAAGTCGCCCCAAGGTACTTACCATAGCTGTAGTCTCGCCTACCCCTTCTGCATGAAGGGCGGACCCGAAACTGCTTTGGGGTTCCCGCTGCTTCGATAGCCGGATTAATTTGTTCGACCCCGAGATGCGGGACGCGCGACGCGACGGCTGACCCCACCTCTGCATGGGGTACCTCATTCACCTTAGCTTACAGAGCTCACAGTTCTGTATAGTTCTAGTATCGTTTCTTCAGTTCAGAGGCTCAGAGTCACGTAAATCCGAGTTTTCATCTGACCTCAATCTGAGATGCGGCGGTATTATGCCTGATGCAAGTAGCTTTACCTCTGCAAGGGATACAGCGTCAGCTACGCTGCGTTCCCAGAGAAATAATTCTCAGCCAAGAGTTACTGAAAAGGCATAAGATAACCTTGTCTATGAGCCAAAACGTGACCGGGAGTGAGAACTTAGGCAAGATATCATATCATAGACTGAGTTCCATCGGTGAAACAAGCACGAGATTATACTACATGCATATACGGATTAGGTAGCTACCTATCCGTAGGTACCGGACCTACGAAGTACATAGGTACCATTGAAGTAATTGGAAGCTCAGCCCTCGACAAAAGTTTACGCAGCTCGTCAGACGTGATATGATGCTCTCACAATGAAGAATAAAAATATCCAATCAGGCCATGGCCATACTCAGGCTTACCATGATTATTGTTTTCCCCGTTAAGATGTGTTTCTTGTTACTTGATGGAGTAGGTACTGTACATACAAATGGTTAGTGTACAGCCAGTCAAGGAAAGAACGGCTGCAACCCCACATCTCATAATTCAAGCTAATTGGCTCAGCAGTCGAGGAAGCCCACTAGTGCGAGGCTGCAGAGTCTCTCCATTGTCGCTACAGGCAGCCTCGCCATCGACTACCTTAATCACTTTCCCGTCCTGCATTCCTCAACCATCTCGAACCTCGCAACCAAACGTGAGACCCTTACTAATAAGCCGTGCTGTGTCCCACCCGGCCCACTCCTAGCTCCGAAGCCTGTACGCCCTCATTCGGTCCCAGCTTTATTTTCTCTGCACTTCTGCTAGCAGATAAACCCAGCAGCATCTTGCCCGTAGATCTGGCAGTAGCAGCAGCACCCACAAGCCGGAATTGACGATTGATTGCGCACATCTCCGCCGCCGCCGCCGCCGCCGCCTTCGCGCACCATGGCCGACTCGGACGGCGAGTATGTCGGCGACCTGTCGGACGACGACCTCGGCGACCACCACGTCACATCGGCCGCCGACGGCACGTACGGAACACGCTCCAAGGCAAAGGGCGGGCCGAAACAGAAGGGGGGCGGCCGCAAAGCCAAGAACGCCCGCGGTAAGGCCGTTTGGGAGGATATACAGCGCTCTTGGGAGGATGTGGTCGAGGGCGCCGACGGCCTCGTCTCGAGGGAAGACCACCTGCAGGCGGAGAGGAGGGCGCGGCTGCTCCGCGACACCACACCGCTGCAGCGTGGCATAATTCGCCACCTCATGCTGGTGCTCGACATGAGCTTTGCTATGGCCGAGAAGGATTTCCTGCCCAACCGCTACCTTGTCACCATCAACTGCGCCGTCGAGTTTGTGCGCGAGTACTTTGAGCAGAACCCCATCAGCCAGCTGGGCATCCTGGCCATGCGCGACGGCATCGCCGTGCGCATCAGCGACTTGACCGGCAACCCTGCCGAGCTCATAGAGAAGCTGCGTGAGTGGGCCGAACAGCAGGAGCCTCTAGGTAACCCAAGTCTGCAGAACGCGCTGGAGATGTGCCGCGGGGCGTTATTGTAAGCACCATCGCCTCATCACAATGCTGCCAGGCTTTTCTAACCACGCGCACAGTCACACGCCATCACACGGCACGCGCGAGGTGCTCATCATCTACGGCGCGCTCATGTCCAGCGATCCGGGGGACATCCGCGACACTGTCACTAGCCTCATAGCGGACCACATCAGAGTCACCATAGTGGGTCTTGCCGCGCAGGTAGCCATCTGCGCCGAGCTCTGCACGCGCACCAATGGTGGCGACGAGAGCAAATATGCCGTAGCCCTGCACGAGCAGCACTTCAGGGAGCTATTCCTTTCGGCCACGACGCCCCCCGTCACCCTCACTACCGAGCAGAGCAATGCCAGTCTATTAATGATGGGCTTCCCGAGTCGGACGCTCGCCTCGCGGGATCACGTTAGCCTCTGCGCCTGTCACAACCGGCCGAGTCGCGAGGGCTACACGTGCACCCGCTGCCGTACCAAGGTCTGCCGGCTTCCCGCCGAGTGCCCCGTCTGCGGCCTCACGCTCATCCTAAGCACCCATCTGGCGCGCTCCTACCACCATCTCTTCCCCCTGCGCAGCTGGGTCGAGGTGTCCTGGGCCGACGCGGCGCGGTCTACCGTCTGCTACTCGTGCATGGCACCGTTTCCTATCGAGTCTAAGGCTCGCTTAAAAGGCAAGGGCAAGGCCGCCGCTGGCGGAGACAGTGGCGCGGTCGGCTCAAACGTGCCAAAGGGCGTTAGCGAGAGCGGCCGATACGCGTGCGAGGCGTGCGGGAACCACTTCTGCATCGACTGCGACATGTACGCGCACGAGATCATCCACAACTGCCCCGGCTGCCAGAGCGACACGCGCGATTCTCTCGCGCTAGCGGCAGACGGCGATGCTGAAGCTCACGGTGCGGCTAGTCACGCAAAGGGCGACGCCATGGCGATAGATACGTAGACGAGCGCGGTTCATTCAGCAACACGTTCCCGGTATCCCTGAATCCATTAACTTACCATACGCAGGCACGAGGGGGAAGGAGTGTGGGGGCGAAGGGGCTGGGTTTACTCTTGGCATGGCGTTTTACTTTGCTTGTTATTCTCCCATCGTGTCTATAAAACGGAGCGCTAGGCTTGCAAAGATAGCAACAACAAGCTAGAGGGAAGTGGGACAGCCGCGACACGTCACTGGAATACTGAAAACGCTGAAAAGGCGGCGCGGCGACGCTTGGCTTATCTAGGCGTTTACTAAGGTACCTGTGTGGTACTTGTTTGGTATATTTGTACGTGTACATGCAGAGTGGCAAATTTAACGTAACCGCCCATTTATTATATCCAAACTTCACGATACTGAAATACTGAAACGCTAAAACACGGAAAAGGCGACGCCAGCAGCGAATAGTTGTTGGCGTATCCTGGCGTTTACTAAAGTATTGTATCCTTGTGATATATGTATTAGTGTGCACGTGTACATATAGAGGTGCGAGTGTAGCCACTCATTCATATCCGGAGAGGTACGCATGGCATGGTATGGTACGCCATCAAGAAACGAGACGGGAAACTGATTTCACGCCTCTTACTTTGCGGGAAGCTAATGAATATGTGGTAGCGAACCTCTAACTACCTTATCCCGAATGTACGAAACCAACATATTCTCTCCAACCTTAAAATGTCATTCATGACTGTGGTTGTTTGGTCAGGTCAGGTAAATAAATAAGTAAATAAATAGATAAACAGTGCATGGTAATCGTTATTCTTTCGTTACGGCGGGTGCCTCCCTTCCCCCCCGAGGTCATGGCGTGTAATGTAGAGCTAATGTAATGCAATGAAATGCAATGTTGTACAAAAGCTAATGGTGAGACGAGACAGGGTAAGGAAATGTAAGGCAAGGGAGTTAGGCAAAGAAAAGTACATAGACGAGCCGATATCGCTGGCTTGCATCACCGTCCGTCCGTCCGTCCGTCTATCTCCCTTTTGTCCCAAGTGATTTACGCAAATGGATACACGATATCCAAATATCTGAGCTAGCTAGGTAGGTAGGTATGTACCTAGAACTCAAATTCATTATCACCGTCATCACCAGGCAGGCTGGCAGGCGGGAAGTGCGTGTGAATGGCGGATGCATGACATCAATCTTTGGCCATCCCCCCTCAAATTGGGTTGATTTGGTTTCGCAGCAGAAACAAAAAAAAAGCCCAAGAAAAAAACATAAACAAAAACAGTGCTAGTTAGTTTGTCTGCGCGCTCGTGGAGGTGGATTGTATGCAATGACGCCCAAAACAATGAAAGCCACAAAAAAAAAAAAAGGGTGCCAAAGGAGAGCGCTAGAGATTCCCGCGCTCGGCCTGCTCGCGCTCAATGGCCTCGAACAGGCTCTTGAAGTTGCCGGCGCCGAAGCCGTCAAAGTTGTTGCGCTGGATGATCTCGACAAAGACAGTAGGGCGGTCCATGAGCGGCTTGGTGAAGAGCTGCAGCAGGTAGCCGTTGTCGTCGTAGTCGATGAGGATGTTGAGGCGCTCGAGGGTGTCGAAGAGGTCGTCGCGCAGGGACCAGGCGCGGGCGGCGGCGTCGGGGCGGCGCAGGCGCGCGCGCATGGCGGCGTAGTAGGTGGCGGGCACGGCGATGAACTCGACGCCGCGAGCGCGCAGGGCGGCGACGGCGGCCACGATGTCGGCGGTCAGCAGCGCAATGTGCTGCACACCGGCGCCGGCGTTGTAGAGGATGTACTCCTCGATCTGCGAGCGCTTCTTGCCCGGCGCGGGCTCGTTGATAGGCATCTTGACCACATTGTTAGCGCTCGCCATGACGATGCTGCTGAGCGCCGAGAAGTCGGTGCAGATCTGGCTGTCGTCGACGGACCAGAACCGGTGGAACGAGAGGCACTGCTCGTAGAAGGCGCACGCCGACACCATCTCGTTCCAGTCCTGGTTGCCGACGCAGTGGTCGATGCGCTGCAGCGCGACGGTGGGCAGCTGCTCCTGCGCTAGGTTGATGTTCGCCTTGGTCGCCGTCGTGCTGCCGACGGCGGCGCGAAACCCCGGGAGGAAGGGCCCGCGGTACTGGCCACGCGAGATTAGCGTGTGGGTGGTGTCGCCATAGGTGCGGATCACGGCGGTCCGGACGCTGCCGTGCTGCTTGTCCTGGAACGTCTTCGGCGGCTGCACCGAGTCGGCGCCCTCGGCGACGGCCTTGTCATATACACCATCGACGCTGTCGACCTCAAAGGCCACGTCCTTGACAGCGTCGCCGTGCTTCTCCAGGTGCTCGTAAATCTCGTGGAGCAGGTCCCTGTCCTCTTGGGAGATGGGCTCGTCCTCAGGCAGGTGTTTCCATGAGCGGATGGGGGATGTGAGAACGAAGCGCACGTCGCCGTTGGCAACGACGTATGAAGCGATGAACCGGCTCCCCGTCTCGAGGCCTCGGTACGCGATGGTCTTGAAGCCGAAATTCGTCTTGTAGAAGGCAGCTGCCTGTTTGGCATTGCCCACCCACCACGTTATATGGTCGTAGCCATTGAAGTCGTTACCGGGACGTTGAACCGCGTAATCTTCGGCACCCGAGGACGAGTCGTTGGCTGACAAGTTGGGCGAGTCCGGGATAGCAGACGGTGACATGCTCACACAACGGGAATTCTAGACTTTTGTCAAGCCTGAGGCTGAGACTGGAGGCGGAGAATTAGCTAGTTAAGTTTAAATGGGGAAATGGGCGTCACAACAGGTTTCAATGCTCAGCAAAAGGTAAGTTATATGAGAGAAGACTGTCGGGGAGTAGTGGGAGAGGAGGCCGGCTTAACAATGCCTCTGTGTCATCCCGCTTCCGTCCCTGAAACCTACCACAGCATACCAGTTGTCACGCGCCCCGGGGCCCGGGGCCCGGAACATTGAGCTTTGGCTGTCGTTTTCAGACGAGCGGCGAACAGTGGAAGCGTAGCAGAGGCCTGCTTGAGCCCCCAATGGCCAATGCTAGCCGCACACGCCGCTGTCCGAGTGTCCCATCGAGGCCGGTCCTGGCTAGGCTCTGGCGGGCCTCTCTGCCCATCGGCACAACCTCTAACCCCCATTCCCTGACGCCATCGGCAGCCCGCAACTGGAGCTATTGGAGCTGCGCGAACCTAATCGCTAGCCCCATCCCATCCCATCCTCTTGCCATGACGATAAAGCCGAGTCGATGAGCGCGGCTGCTTGCAGCGTGAGCCGTTCGAGACTTTGAGTGGAGAGGCGGAACCAACACCGTCGGTAGCGTCATCTCCTACCAAAGCCGCGCAAAGCCGACTCTGGCCGAGAGCCGCGCCTTTCTGACCACCCCCTCGGGCCAAGGCCAACAAGCAAGTGACCTGCCCAAACAGGCCTGTTTCTTCCGTCTGACGAAACAAGCCAGAGGTATTGGCCAAAGAACCGGGTCTCTCGGTGTTTTCCCGTCGCTGCCCTGGTCGGAAAGGCGGTTCTGTTATCAGTCGCCTTGGCCTCGGGATCGGAGAGCCGGGCTGTGGTCTGTGCTGTGTTACGTTAGAGGCCCATACAGAACACGCATTCCAGAACGAACACAGTCGTGCACTGTTTGGTGCTGCTGGCGACTCATTTCGTCGTCAAACATTCCTATTCCCTAATTGCTTTGACTGCTGTTCTCGGCAAGTTTCCATAAAAAGCCCGATACCGTCGAAACTGTCGGCCGTCGCGGAATCTCACACAAACCACAGCCCGAAGGCTAAACCGCCCGCCACCATGGCCTACATATCGCTGAGCAGACGAGACACCAATGTCCTTGAGAAAATCAAAGATCCCGAGTTGGACCCCTCCTCAGCCATACAAATCGATGCCATTCTCCAAAAGGATCCCCACATCCTAGATCAGCAGGAATACGCCGAGCTTTCCCAGAAGGAACGTGACATCATCTTGGCTATCCAGGGCCTTGAGTTGCAGAGCGCCGTGCCTCGGTCCAGGGAGATGCCCGAGATTGATATTGTCGGGGGGTACCGTCAATGTGTTTCGAGGCTCGGGAGCCTCATTGATGACCAACCAAAGTATGCGAGCGCAAGAAATAACCGGGCGCAGGCACTTAGGCGACTGTGCGGCGATTGTATGCTGGTCACGGGAGCGCCGCAGCCCCCGCAAGCACTACTCCGCCATATCGACGACGCTGAGCGACAGGAGATGGCCCAGACTGTGTTGTGCGACCTCGATCGCTGTATATCGCTCCTTACACCGAGCGAGCCCCATTCCAAGATCTCGCCGCAGACCGCGAGAACCTTGTCCATGGCGCATACCCAGAGAGCTGCAGTATATCTCGCGACCTCCAAGCTGATATCCTCCAATCCCGTATCGATTGACGTGGAAAGACGCGAGTTAAGATGGACGAAGCTGGATTTCGAGGAAAACGCGTCGCGCGATTTTGCAATGGGCGGCAGGTATGGAAATGAGATAGCAAAAGGCCTCGCCGTAGCTACAAACCCGACAGCCAAGCTCTGCGGGCAGATGGTGCGAGAGGCGATGAAGAAGGAATACGGTCCCGACTTTCCAGTATGAAAGCCGTGGGGGCCATTTCGATTGATAACGGGTTGATGGGGTGTTTAAGATATGATTATTACCGGGAGTTAGGGGCGGCCATCCCGGCACCAGCTTCTTGTCCCCTTTCAGGAGCTCAATTCGGTGAGGCGCCTTCGACAGAGAGGCATAATTATTGTCGAATGCGCTGTATTGTATTGTACATTTCTCAAGGTTTTTTTGCGAACCCGAGACGGCTAGCAGGACGCGTCTAAGTAATGCGGACATCTATAAAGGGAGCACGTGCGAGTTAACTCACCGACAAGCAGCATCAATTGTCTCTTGCGTGGTCTTGCCCTTCTCCTTCTCTTCCCGGTTAATCCGCAAAGCAGCAGCAGAGAGTCCAATAAACACGCCGAAAATGGGGTCCGCTATACGGGAGATGATGTACGCTGCAGGAGCCATTTTCGCAAGGTCTAAAGATTTACCGAATGGTTTGCGAGGGGAAAGACGGGACTGTTAAATCCAATTGAAGATGTCCGTTGAGCTGTTCCTTCGAAATGGAGGTCAAATCCGCCCAGGCGGATTTACAGAGCCCCACACCGGCGAGAGGACGAACCGACTCGGGGTGCACGGACCCATGCTTAGTCACCCGCATGCACCGTGCCCGCTCCGCGAATTTTGAAAGCCCACAAACCAGAAATTATTTCGGGGAAGCTTCTTCAAACACGGTCCCGTCGTCACTCTGATCGCCTACCATCGACTTTAGGAATAGGCCCGAGGGAATATCAGGTATGTCTTGAGTGCTCGCCGTCTCCCCTAACACATGAACCTACCGGCAATAATTCTTCTTTCTCTCTTTGCACGCTGACTTCTCTGCTTTTCCCCGACAGAACCGATCAAGATGAAGTTCCTCAAGACGTCGCGAGTGTGCCTGGTCACCCGGGGCCGTTATGCCGGCAAGAAGGTACGCGCAACCAACAGACGTCCCACCTCGCTCCCATTACTCTTCCCATTGCGCTTTTGGAGGATCAAGTTGGAGGAACTAGTGGATTGGAATCGACTTGCCTAGCTGTGTTGAAGATAGGGGCAGACTGCACCACGAGTTAGAGGACGAGCGCTGGGCCCCTCCTAAACTGCCTAGTCAATCACGAGAAGGAGACACCAGGACGGAGAGATGAGGGGCTGACAAGAATCCCCTGCAGGTCGTCATCATCCAGCCCGTGGACACCGGCAGCAAGACACACCCGTATGGCCATGCCCTCGTAGCAGGCATCGAGCGGTACCCCAGCAAGATCACCCGCCGGATGTCCAAGACGAGACAGGAGAAGCGCTCCAAGGTCAAGCCGTTCATCAAGGTCATCAACTACAACCACCTGATGCCCACACGTTACACACTCGAGCTTGAGGGCCTTAAGGGCGTTGTGTCGTCCGACACCTTCAAGGAGGTCAGCCAGCGCGAGGACGCGAAGAAGACGGTCAAGAAGGTGCTGGAGGAGCGCTACACAAGCGGCAAGAACCGGTGGTTTTTCACCCCTCTTAGTATGTTCAACTCCGCCCCTGGCTTGCAGAGCAGAGCAACTGTGTTGGCATGGACACGTTGCTGCAGCCGCAAAGACGACGCAATTGTACTAACTGCGCCGCTCCAGAGTTCTGATCGGGTTTATTCACATGGGCTGAACGGGGCGAATGGTTTCTCTGGTTCTCTGGGGCTGTATACAGCATGCATCAAGGAAAAAAATTGAGGCTTACTAGCTGAATTTACGGCAATTGAACGGCGACCATATGGCGTTACAGTCAATAGCTATACCCATGAAACCGTTGTGCAGAGAGACAAACGGGATCCTACGCACGTTGTGGGACGGAGGTAATGAAATCCTCTAGTGACTATTGTCGATCTCGTGGCATGTGGTAGGTCTAGGCAGAGCGGCGAATGTTTGCACAACTCCCTCAGTTCCCTTTGCTGTGAACACGATGCCTGTCTCGGGTCCGGATTGGGGTCTGCATATTCACTGAGGAGGTCTGATCGTTCTCTTGTGTAGTCTCCATAGTCCTTTCATGAATCAGACACAATCTTTGACAGCCCTATTCCAGTCAAGCCGCCAATATGCATTCGGAAGGCTGGGCAATCCAGACATTCATTGTAGGCGGACGGTGTTTGACACCTGTTCCGTTCACAACGTTTTCTATCCCTATAGGTGGTCAGCTCTAAGGCCTTGAAGACTTATATCTCTTGCCTCTGGGCGTCTTCGTTAGTTTCCAGAATATAGTGTAGACAAAATTTGTGTACTCCAGTCAGGTGCTTGGAGATGCTTAATATATTCCCGAATGTTTTGTCACTGGCAAGGACAGCATGAACGTGGAATCACATCCAAGTCGTGGGACGTATCTTGTGTAAAGTATAACATATTACCTGAGGAAATAGGTAAGGTACTTAACCACCCGCCCCTTTAATGTGGATAGCCAACTTCCATCGTCTCCAACCTCATCAACATGGCGCGTATCTGGTGCGATATGAAGCTACTTTCCCTCATCCATCTTTCACCCCACGAAATAAGGGGCATTGGTCACTCAAAGCACGAACTAAGAAAAAGGCAAACAAGGCAACTAGCCAACGGCAAGGGCTGCGGCATCGTGTCACGGCCAGTCTCGTCTTGCGTAAGGCTTAATGACTACACCGAGGGCGAGGACAGGACAGGACCCGCTGTGTTTGTGTCCTCGTGCTACCTGCCTGCCCCTGCCCCCGACCCCGTAGTGGATGTTGAGGAAAATTCGATTGCGGGCTGGATCAATAGCCATAGGCCTAGATCTAGGTCTGCCACGGCTCTGGGGGTAGAACCGTGGTCTTACTTCTTGTGGTTTTTGGTTCACTTCGGCGTGGTGTGTCAGTAGATGGGTATTTGTATAGGCAGGAGACAGACAGACAGAGATCAGAAGCATTACCTACCACCTATGTTCATTATCAGCTATGCTTTCACGCAAGAGCCCCCTCTCAAGTATGGCTCTGTTTGTCTATGCTCTCATAAAAATAGTAGGGTAATAAGAGCTTCGAGGCGAAAGGAAGCATTGCTTGAGCTTCTCACGGCTGGAGTGCCCCAAGGAACCACACACCCTCCATATCGAAAAACACACCAATATTGGTATCTCGTTGCTACAAGCACTTACAGTCCTTCTTGTTGCCGCAGATTAGAATGTGAATGCAAATGCAATAATAGGTCAGTGATGCACAGAACAGCGTCTGTTGCTTACCCACATATATAAATTCAGCAAACCTTTCCGTTCCAACTCCCAGGCGTGCAAAGGTTCACTGTATAACGCCACGCCTTATTGTCATCCATCTACCCCGGGTGCGGTTTCGAATGTCTAAACTCAACCCCCATTTCTATATACGTTTAGTTATTCCAATTGTACGCATGCATGGGCGACTTTCACAGTTCTAGACATCTCCCTACGTATACTAGACCTAGGTATACAGAGTACAAGCATCGGAACGTAATAAGCTCAGTGACTTCCGACCCAAGTTAGTCTCCAAAACCGCAGCAATGCTCATGAGATAAAAGAAAAGCGTTTGTCTTTAGGTACACAACGACATGAACAAAAGAGAATTTTATTTCACAAACGCTATTTCCATCAACGATAAAAAAAACCCCCCACACAAGAAAACAACAAGCATGACAACCTCTTGAATGAAATTCCGATAATATCACATAAATAGGCAAGGTTAGTGAGCCAACATTAAAGATAACGATATCATACCTCATGTCCCTTGGAGAGGCGACACAACCTCCCAAAAACGAATGTCTTCTGTTGTCTACTCTAGGAGAGACTTCCACGGTTAGATCTACCAGCAAAGTGAAATGGCTTGTACCCATCAACATGCACATACTAAAATGAATACAACCCACAAAACAAGTAAGTGACAGACAGCCTGTCTCTCAAATTAGAGGACATTACAACTCCTTGGATCACCACTCTCCATATAATCCACGGGAGAAGCACGTCAGGAGCGCTTCGCGACAAGAGTCAAATCGAAATGATGATGTATTTACAAGAAACTCTATCCCCCAGTGCTCGCTAAAAGTACGTTTAAGATCCGGTTCCTTGCATGAATGCCCTTTCTCATGTTTGATAAACTACGCCGTCTCTTGGATTCGTGTGACGCCGCCTCGGCCCCGTTTGCCGCCCACCCGCTCTATAAATGGCAAAAACATGTCCTTCCTGGTGCTAGTAGCGAGACTTGGGGAGAAAAAAAAAGTGAAAGATGAAGAAAACCACGACCATTTGTAGACCATTCTATCCCTCTTCAAAATCTGGATTTTAAAGCGGATAAAAGGAAATGGCAGGCCGGGGAAGAAAATGGTGTGATTATGTACTCTCAATGTATTTTGCCATGTAATTCGTGTCATCAGTTCAATGTCCGTAGTCATTGTGGAAAATTGACAACTCTTTTCTCCCCCCTTCTCGCTCTCCTATGGTCGAGAAATCGTAGTTGCTCAGGATCGAAGAAATCGAGGCTGGCTCGCATTAAATTCGTATGGTCGAAAGAATTAATAGGTTGATCTCGGTCTTTATCCTGACCACACACAGCATTGCTACCTTCATTGCTTTCCAATGATCTTCGACTTTGCCTCACTTAGGGCGGCGTCCATAGCAGCATCCATCCCAGGTGCGTAAGTGGGCGCGAGACCCCCGAGGAGGACGAATAGAGTCAACAGGACAAGGGTGATCGTGGCAAGGCGGCGGAGAATCGGCTGCCGGTTTCCGAAATCGGCCCACTGGCGGCCAGCCTCGCCAGCGTAGTTCTTGAGCGTCTCGTAGCCAAGCTTGTAGTAAATCATGCCGCCCAGGGCAATGCTGTAGCCGAAGAACTGGAGACCTGTCACTTGAGTGCCCCAAATGAGCATGGAAGCGGCGACGAGCATGACGTCCTTCAGCACACCGCAGAGGGTGAGGACAAGCACAGATGTCTTTCCAATCTATCGGACTGTTAGTGAATCTGACGTGGACCAGTTCAAGCGTATCTCTTACTAGGAATACAACTGAGACATTGAGCAGGAATGCGCAGAGGCCGTTCAGGAATAGCGTGAAGAGCCCCACACCGTAAACCTCATCCATCGTGATCCTCGGGACCTCCAGAAAGAGGGCAACGGAAAAGTTCATCGCGGCGCAGACGGGTGCGAAATAGTACAGAGAGACCAAAGGGTCCATCTTGAACTCGGCCGAGCTGAGGAGACGCTGTACCATCGTAAGGCGGAGAGCCTCAAAGATGATGCCGCCAATTTGGAAGATGACACCAATCCAGACGAACTTGATTTCGCCAACGGATGCAATGATGACACCGACGACGATGACCAAGACGTTGAGGAAGACCTTGTAGTTGGGCGTGGAAACACCCAGAGACCAGCTGGCGATAAGGACCGCAACAGGAGTCGTGGCCTAGTTCACATTAGCACAGCCCGTAGCCCATGTCACACCCCGGCCGCCTGGTAGCACCAACCTTGAGCATCTGGATGAAGGCAACGCTGAGGTAAAGATAGGTGAGGTTTCCGCAGATCAAGCTCAAGCTGAAGAAGAAACCAATCGGGACGATGGCTCGTAGATAGACACGGCCCGTCATCTTGACGGACTTCCGGCCATCGAGGAGGGTCGTGTAACGAGCAAGAAGCTGGGTCATGATCGTCGCGAAGACCAAATGGTAGGTTGTGAGAATGATGGGGTAGTCTGCATCATCTTAGCATATTTTCCTCGTTTCTCTCTGATCCCCAGCGAGTCCCCAGCGGTTATTCTTACCAAACCCAAGCGTGGAGAGAATCCATTTGTTGAACAATATGACCGACGAGCTCAAAGTAATCCAGATACTACCGCGTCCGCGCGTTAATCAAATCGGCTCTGCATCGCTGGACTCGCCGCGCCGAAGGGTTCAACTCACGTCACGTAAAACGCAGGATGTAAGGACGACTTTGCTGGCTGGGCCTTCTCAGCACTGGGGTTGACAGTGGGAAGAATGGCGCCATTCGACTCCCGAGGGCCCTCGCCCGACGCCCGTGTCTTTTCGTCGACGCCCATTTCGGCGGCTTGTAGTGATTCTCGGGGGGCCGAGAGGGGATCGGAGAAGGTGGCAGCGTGTCTGCAATGCTGGATCAACAGCGATCTTGAGCGAAGCGCGCCGGTGGAGTGTAGACACGGGGTTTTTGGGTGGACGAAATATAAGCGACGTCGACTACGGCGGTGTTGGTGGCGTTCGCGGCGATGTGCGAAACAAAACGAGTGGATGGCCAAGGCCTGCTGAGACCAAGTGTGTGTTCAAAGAACTAGCGAAATCGCCGACAGTGCAAAAGTACGGAATAAGTTGTGTAGCCGAAAATAAAAGACTCCTGAAGGCCCTTGTTTGGTCGGGCGCTGCTCGTGCCAATCCGTCGGTCGTCGCTCGACGTATAGGTCTAGGAGTTGCGATGAGGCCAGGAGGGTCGAGATGAAAAGGAAACGCGGTTCGTGGCGTGAATGAAAGCGACGAGGGGAGGCTGCACTTTTTTTTTTGGTTGGTGGGTACCCTGCAAGTTTTGGAGCCGACCCAGTTGCCAATCAATTTGCTGTCTAGGTTGGGAAATTGGAACCACCAGGTGAAAGATTGTACGGAAGCGGTACTTACGTGGAAGGGGACGCGGCCAGCGAGCTCGGACTTCCCATTGAGCCCCCCATCCATCGTCGCAAATGGCCTAATAACCCACTGAACATGTCCCCTTGTTCCCATTCCAGAATGGAATCAGTGGGAAGTTCCCACTGGGAACGGCTGCTGCTGTGTCCTCAAATCCACGCTTGTCAAATGCTAACAGGGAGTTACTGCCAATTCAGGATCTCATAGGTCCAGGCATTAGTGGGGTTGATATGGCGACTGATCAGGCCTTGGTCTCCAGCATCCTCTGGTTGGGCCTGTCTAACTCTACGGGCTACATGGCGGGAAGTATGAGGGGGAGACCTTCCCAAAATTCAACTAGAAATCCGTCGATCGCTAGTGTGACCTCTCAATGGGGGCAATAAAAAGGGCGAACCTCACGCCGTCCACGGATTCTATCAGCTCGCCAAACTTTCAGTTGTTGTGAGCTAGAGTGAGGCAACCGACAGCTTAACGCACGCTGGAGATGTTTTGTCGGAGCGGACAGGAAACCTAAGCATCTGAGCTACGGGCTCCGTACTAGATGAAATCTTACGCCGCGACAATTATCAAGGTTGCGGTTGGCTTCCCCCTCAATCATCTTAGTCTTGACTCAGGGGCGCGCAAGGAAAAAAATAATTATGTGCCACACAGTCGCCATCCCTCAAAAAAGGGCCGGTGCCAAGCAAGTACCTTTCTAATGTACCTTCTAGGATCGCTATATCCTGTGTGCTAGTATTCCGTAACCTTATTGAATGGATTAATGGAAGCGGGAGGTACAGAATACATGGCGGTACTTACCTTACTACGTCGATTCACAGCCGAGCATCGTCAAATCGGCAAGCAGCCTTGAGCCACATGGCTGAGGCACGTGCGACAGGCCCGTTTGCTGAAGATCCCTCTTCGCCAGAGCGTGCCCGTGGCCCGACGAAGAACGGAATCCAGCCACTCATGAAGAGTCTTTTGCTCGTTATCAGACACCAAGTGGGTTTTCCAGAACATGGCCATCACAGACTTTCCCCAATTCTCGACTCAATGACTCGGGTCCTGCTGCAGCAGATTTGGGGTTCGACCGACGGCAAAACTAAGTTGGGCAACGAGGTACAAGCTGGAGTTGTCTGTGGCGCATTGAGTTGAAGTCTCCTTTAATCTGCGGCTTGGCCAGTGGTGTATCGTCCATGCCGGTGGAGGCCTTTTGGGGTATTCCAGGCAACGCGTCAGGAACTCGAAGCTGCGCCTGCTCCTCGAGACATGGTCTATCCTGGTGTGTTTTGGCTATTGTTTTCCCTCTTGCATTGTTGCTCCTAGAATGGGTACATACTTGCGGTAAGTATTCGGGAGGAAGAGAGGGTTACGAGAAGGATAGAAGTGAAAGGCTTGGCTTTGACTTCACACCCACGGTCCAGGGCGCGCACATCATCGCACCAGTGTCACTGAAAGACAGGCGTGGCGGCTTGCTTTTTACCTCTTACAGACAGGTCCGTAACATGCATGAGATGCTCCCAACATTCAAGCTTTTGTATTGCACGTAAAGTATGCCAGTAACCTGATGTTGCGCACCTATACCACCCGAAGGGACCATTGCTTGGTTGTCGGCTATCTTCGTACGTCGAGACTCGGGATTCTCACACCGCAAACAACATGGACTCTTCAGGTCGGCCAGGATTGGGAGTCTGGCGCTAAGTTCGGTAACACCAATGACGGAAGCGTCGATAGAATTGCCGACAGCCCTATTTGCCAGGGTCAGGAATGGAATGCCCCATTGCATCGACATGCCTTCGTCTGGGCTGTCTGCCTTGGCTATTCTAAATTCAAGATACTATGTATGGAACTCCAACCTTAGCCGGGCCAATTGATGGTGTTTTCTAGTGAACTCTAGCGGCAGCTTGCTGACGGACAACTGGGAACCACCCACCTCACCTCTTGAGTCTTTGTCGGGAATGGTAACAGCCTCCATATCAGGAGGTAACACTGTGACAGGAATCACCGGGCGCCTGCATTCAAACGTCTACGGTCACATTTGTCAAGAGGGCTGTCCGACTGCAAAATCTATCTATCCGGGACAACAGCATCCGCCCTGCCCACCCTGCCCACTTCGGCTTGAGTCGTCCATGCGGTTTGCCGGGAGCCGAGACGGACAGGACCGGGATAAAGTCCCGTCCCTGAGGCAGGCGGGCACAGGTGCCTTGCCCTTGGTTGTTCCAACCTGGAAGGAAGCATCTGAATTGCATCTTGTATTGTATGTCTATACAGTATGTAATGCATGTATGTGTAAGTATCCCGTGTTTGTACAGTACCCATTAGCCTCCAGGGCTGCGAACCAGGCCAACGCCGATCCTCTGACGCCTCCTGCGTGCCTTCCGTGCTCGCTGCCGCCATGTCATGACCCGCGCAAGCCGTGCTTGTGGATGGACTACGAAAACAACAGGAACCCCCTTGCGGAGGCGGCGGTGTTTGTCTCTCGCTGCATCCACCGTCGAGGGATGATCCGAGACCTCGTTTCGGTCAATTCGGTAACGGGCCCTGACCTGGACCTGGGGGGTCCGGGCTGTTCTGTTTGCAAAAGACCCGCCGCCCGCCGCCGCCTTCGATACCGGCCGATTCTAATTCTAATGTCCGAGCCCGTCAAACACGCATGTACGTCTTTCATCTTGTTTTGAATACCCAAGATGGTGAATGATCCTTATTATCTAGAGCTAGAAAAATGTTTGATACTATGGCGAAAAGCGCCACAAGAGACTTGCACAGTACAGACCTACACGAGCCAGCGTGGTTTCTAGACTTTGTGCCTCTTAATCTCTCCTATCCCAAAATCACTTCATTGGCGTGATCAGTAATATGTTAGGCATCATTTCAACCTTCCATCGCCATAATGGTATAGGTTTAGTGCATCAAAATGCCCGGGAATTGGCGTTGCCTCTTAAAACCAGGCTGTTACTATAGGAACTGCCATTTTCGGCTGCCCAAGCCGCCATTGAAATTGCGGAATCTTTCTTTGAATTGCGTGGCTAACCGTGTGTGCCCCCTGGCCAGGTATGCGCATATCAAAAAAGCATGTATACTTGTACGTACATAACAGTTCACATCTGCGGTTCTGCACATGCGCAGAGACCAACGTTCTTTAGCGTTTCGACGCCCGCTTGTCCCTGGGCCGATGATCGAGATTTTCCTTTCTTCATGTTGATCCTGATGATGAAACAGGCGCAGTGTGGAGAGAGGTGCAAGGTCTGTGGCGGTCGAGCAGCTCAAACGGCAATGCGAAACAAAAAACTCGAGGGCCGAACTGATTCTCACTTGCCATGCCAGCAGACATCAGCTTCCATACCTGACGACATGTATGTATATGCACGTAAGATGCTGCATCCATCGGTTAATGTTGCCACCCGTCGCTCAATAACGTTATTATATCAGAGTGCTGCCCCAGCAACGGCTGTGGCACGGCGGCGGCACTCCTGTCGGTTTTGCTCTCGCACCGACCTCGCGCTCTAGGTTGACGATCTTAACGTCGTATGCAGTTGGTAGACGCGTCCTTTGAGAGTCTGAGTCCTCGCACCTCCAACATCTGCCTCTTGCCTCTGCATCTAGGGGGGTTCCGTCACAATTGGACAGCGGCCCGTATGTACTAGTGATGCGCAGCAAACCACCACGTCTCATGTCCGGCCGTGTTGGTTGCTTGGTGGACGGGAGAAGAGGCGACGAGAGGCGTAGATTGTGTCGCAATGTTAATTACGGCTCCTTCGATAGGCAGGTACCCGATACATTGTCATCTCCTTCGCGTTCTGAAGGCTGCGGTGCAACCACCAGCGGCCGGTCGAGCTCGACTCGACAGCTCTGTGTGCAGGTACATCCTTAGCTAATGTAAGGTATACACGCCGTCCAATACGCTGTAGGATTAAATTTCACCAGCAAAATATTTGTGATGACATCGCGGGCATATCCAACCTCAATGATAGGAGCGGGGGGGTTACTGGGTTCTGACGGGACGTGCAAGGTGCAGGGCGATTGCGGGACCCACCACACCCCCCCCCTTCGACCACTAGAGCCCGCCTGCTGGTCAAATAATTTTGGCCCCTCCATCGGTTCCCCTTTTTTTCTGGGGTGCGAAATCACGGCCTGGCAAGTCTGGGCCTCGCTATCAAATACTCCAGCAGCCGCAGGAAACCCGAATTGTTTGTGTGTTTTCCCTTGACAAAACTTCGGCTTCGTAAATTTTGTCCGACTGCCCACTGCCTGTTCCCGGCTGTGTCTTCTTGCCGCCCTCAACTCTTGCCCTAGCCAAACCAATCGTCGCAAAAGCCGCGCTGCACTGATCGCATCACGGATCTTCTCCACCATGGCGGATATGTGGGTTCCCCCCTCGCGATCGAAGGATGCGGCGAGCTGTGTTCGCGCTCCGAATTACTAAGAGTCGACCTTGGCTAACGTGTAATCGCTTTTTAGCAATGTCGATGTTCTCGTTATCGGCGCAGGCCCGACTGGCTTGGGTGCTGCCAAGCGTCTCGATCACATTGTGCGCTCACCGCTCCCTCCCCCCTCCCCCAACCAAAGTCTGCGACATTGGCTGACTTGAGCGGCAGAATGGACCTTCATGGTTGATCGTGGACGCGAACGAAAAGGCTGGCGGTCTGGCTTCTACCGACGTCACTCCCGAGGGCTTCGTGAGTTGCCTCCCAAAAGTGCAAAGCTCGCCGTCTTGAAGCGCTATCGTTGTTGACCCAATGCCCCCGCCCGCTAGCTTTACGATGTTGGTGGTCATGTTATCTTTTCGCACTATAAATACTTCGACGACTGCATCAATGAGGCATTGCCCAAGAACGATGACTGGTACACGCACCAGCGCATCTCCTACGTGCGCTATAAGGGCCTGTGGGTCCCGTATCCTTTCCAGAACAACATCTCTATGCTTCCCAAGGAGGACCAGGTGAAGTGCATCGATGGCCTTATCGACGCGGCCCTGGAGGTCCGCGTGGCCAACACTAAGCCAAAGGACTTTGACGAGTGGATCGTTCGTATGTGCGGCGAGGGCGTTGCCGACATCTTCATGAGGCCATACAACTACAAGGTCTGGGCTGTGCCTACTACCAAGGTAAGAAGGATATCTTGAAATGTAGAGACTCCTGTGCTGACCTCAACCCTAGATGCAATGCCAGTGGCTAGGAGAGCGTGTCGCAGCTCCCGACGTCAAGCTTGTTACTAGGAACGTCATCCTGAACAAGACCGCCGGAAACTGGGGCCCCAATGCTACGTTCCGCTTCCCAGCACGGGACGGGACGGGTGGTATCTGGATTGCCGTGTCAGACACTCTGCCAGAGGAGAAGAAGCGATACGGCGAGAAGGGTGTCGTGACAAAGGTGGACGCCGAAAACAAGACTGTGACCTTGAAGGACGGCACTACAATCGGCTACGGCAAGCTTGTCAACACCATGGCCGTCGACGCCCTGGTCGAGAAAATGGGCAACAAGGAGCTCATCACCCTGTCCAAGGGCCTCTACTATTCGTCAACTCATGTTATTGGTGTTGGTATCCGGGGCGAGCGCCCTGAGCGCATCGGAGACAAGTGCTGGGTAAGACGGAAGTTCGAGTTCGCCCGTATAGCACACAAAATGCTAACTGCCCTCCCAGCTCTACTTCCCCGAGGACAACTGCCCCTTCTACCGCGCCACTATTTTCTCCAACTACTCACCGTACAACCAACCGCAAGCCGATGCCAAGTTGCCGACACTGTACTTGGCTGATGGTAGCAAGACCGAGTCTGCCGAAGCCAAGGAGGGTCCCTACTGGTCCATCATGCTCGAGGTCTCGCAGTCAACCATGAAGCCGGTCGACGAAGAGAACCTACTCAAGAATTGCATCCAGGGGCTCATCAACACAGAGATGATCAAGCCCGAGGACGAGATTGTCTCGACCTACCACCGCAAGTTCGACCATGGCTACCCCACCCCTGCGCTGGAGAGAGAAGGAGTCCTTAAGCAACTTCTTCCCAAGCTTCAGGATATGGATATCTACTCGCGTGGCCGCTTTGGCAGCTGGCGGTACGAGGTCGGCAACCAGGACCACTCCTTCATGCTGGGAGTGGAAGCCGTGGACAACATTGTCACTGGCGCCGTCGAGCTGACGCTCAACTATCCCGACTTTGTGAACTCGCGCCACAATAACGAGCGTCGTCTTGCCCAGTCCTTCAACTTCGCCGGGACAAGCTCGAGCAACGCTGCTCCTGCGCCTGTGCCTGCGCATGCGGCCAACGGCGCCAAGGAAATCCCCACCAGAGACCGTGCTGCTTCCAAGGCGTCGGTAAATGGGAGTCACTCCCGGAAGCCGTCAAAACAGGTTAAGTGAGATGAAGCGCGACCTTGGCCACATGGCAACGCGATTCGAGAGTGACGAGTTTGTTGGGGCGGATGTAGTTGGGTTTGCATAGCTGGCAGAAATTACGCCATTGCGTTTGATTTGACTTGCTACATTTAGCAAGCATTTGGGATTGGCGAAAATATCAGCAGAACAATTGGCAGTTCTCTTTCATTTGAGACTTTTGATGGTTGCCAGCAGGTTTCCTGACAGCACATGGTTGCTCATAGGACGGGCTTTGAAGGGGCTTTCCTGCCCAACTTCTCTCTATAGAGTAGAGTAGAATAGAGCCTGATTTCGGGCCATAGAAATGGAACTTGATCAGTTCCTGGAGTCGGATCTTGGGGACGGTGCTGTGTTTAAGCATTACATTTTCCCACCTAAGCACCTTATTGTGCGGAACGGGCTTGTAATTTAGTGGGGGCGGCACAGGCTGATTTCTTGCTCGTCGGTTAGGGAGCCCCACTTAACCGACGAAGGCAGGCTTGAGGATCATGGCCTTGTACCTCGTGAGTAAGTGTGTCACTTGAAGCTTATATCAAGAATATTGGCCAAATAGTTATAGCCAAGATAGCAAACGACTATTGATAGATGAGCTTGTGGTTGACTGAGTCTGAACTTATAACTCATTGAGACTTTGGGTGGCAGGCTATCCGAAGCATCGACCGTCTTGTAGACGACTTCGAAGATACCAAGAAAAATGATGCAATATGACATTTCGCGGGTGAGTGACGTCAACGGCGTTCCAGGGTGGAGAGAAAACGGAGGCCGGGAAGGTACCTGAAGAACAGCAAAACCGTCGCGGAGCCTTCTCGGGAGAACACATTGCACATAAAACATATTCCTAGGTCAGCAAAATCCAAGCCGGCGCGGTTATGCTAGAGACTTAATGGTATTTCCCCCGTAGCAATGTCTAGTAGGAGAAAAGCACGGATTCGCAATGGTCAACCGAGTTAACATCAGTGGAGGTACCTTGTAAGTGGATACACCTCGGTGCCACGAGACTCATTCAACCCAACCCTGAAGGGAACTGGCGCGGAGACGAAGGGAGCAGACAGTCGAGCATGGGATGCAAACACGTGGACAGATAGAAATCGACTTGGGCAGAAGTAGCACACAAGGCACGAGATGCATTGGATATCTGGGGGCCTTGGAACATGGAGGATGTTCATATTAAATACCTTTACCTTACTCCGTACCCTGGCAGGCATGAGTAAGTGGCCAGGCAGGAATTAGAAAGAGGCGAGGTCGATAGTGACACGAAGCGGGGGGATCCCTCGAGGCAAAGAAAAGCGGACTATGGGGAATGGGAAAACAGGAAATTAAGACGAGAAATCCGAAAGCCCACAGTCGGGTGGGAAGTCTCCACATGGTCAATACATCTCAATTTAGAGGTTCAGGGAACCTGAGGTACTGAGGTAAGGGACGCCTCGTGTGCACGGCGGTTGGAAAGGCTTTCTAGTGTAGGGAAACGCAGCTCCAAAACTCGGGGTCCATCGAACAAACTCGGGCCAAGCAACTGGGGCGAACAGGGCGACGATTATTATTCCGTATTCGAGGTAGGTAAGTAAGGTAATCCGTACTATGGCAAGGTGCCCTACCGCAATCTTTCATCCCGACAGAACCTACCTACCTTACCTCCCGTCTCCATCCTTCCCATTTTTTTCATTGTTCGGATGCAGGCCCATCGGCACGTGTAGACGCTGCGACCTGAAACCTCCCTACATGGTACTGTACCTACATTGCGGATTAAACGACGTAGTGGCTACTATTCGCATTCCAGCGGGCCGGTGTGGACTTGGCGCGAATCAGACCGCAAAGCCACAAACGGTAAGCTCGCACTCACACCGTCGCCAGCCTACCGACCAGACCACAAGCAGAAGCAGATTCGGCTGCCAAACGTGTCGACTCCTGACAGCTCGTCTTGCAGCTTTGCATACCTTGCCTACCTCGAGTTGTACCGCACCTAAACGCAACAACACCGCATCGCCGTCGCCGCTTCGGAGCCTAGTGTCACCGTCACTGTCGCCGTTTCGCATGCAGCGGAGGTCTGCCTCGAGCGCCCGCTGCTGTCTCCCGCGTGCCCCCCTTCACCATCCGACCCCCGATCCCCACCGGCCCGGATCATGACCGGAACATGACTTTCGCGACGACGCCTTCCCGACGACTCTGTGATCCTTGAGCTTGTGGGTTCCTCTGACGTTGCCGGCCATGGATTCCGCCGTGCGCCCGCCTGACGACCAACAGCTCGATTCGCCCGCGCGTATCCTCGAGCGCCTGCACCAGATTGCCGGTTACGCCTGGGACGACTCGAGGGCGCCCTTCCACTCGACTTACGATAACTGGCATGTCTATGGCACTAGGTTCGTCTCGCCCTTCTCCTCGGCCGGCACCGGCACCGCCTTGGCCACGCCCCCCGCCCCCTACTTCGTCGCGACCTCGCCCTCGTTGCCCAACCTCGGCCACCCGAGCCGGTCCTCTCCGTCAGACCAGCGTGTGCCAGGCTCGGTCGCGCACAGCGACGCCGGCAGTGACCGCTCTGCCGCGTCCCCCTCGGCAGCCCACTCGGTAGTGGCCGACGCCCCCGTCGTGGAGGAGCAGGTGGTTGCAAAGCTCTCGTACAACGTGCTCCGCGAAGAGAGGGCTTTCCATATTGCCAAGAGCTTGGTCGCTGGTGCGGATCCTAACTGCGAACACATTGTCAAACCGCTGGAGCTCATCCGTCTGGCGCCGCTGCCCGGCGATCGGGGTGCCATCATTGTCACCATCTATCATTCTCCTGGCCCGGATCACATCTTCAGGGTCCTCGACCTAGGTCCCGCCTTCTACTATGCGAAAAAGGAGAAGGATAGGTGGGAAGCCCACCGGGACGAGACCCCCAAACTAGACCCTCCCATCAGCCTTCAAAACTTCCTTGACTTCGCCATCGGCGCCTCACAGTGCTTGGAGATGATTCATCACGGCCAGGGCATCATCCATGGCGAAATACGGGGGGATGCATTCCACTACAGCCTTGAATCAAATAAGGTCAAGCTGGTTGCCTTTGGTTCTGGGCTGAGGTCGTTTGAGCACGGCCTCACAAGCACCGGCTGGTCTGCGCTATCCAAGGAATTGGGTGCCAAAAACAAGCTGCAGTATATCAGTCCAGAACAGACGGGACGCATGCCCGCCGAACCAGACACCCGAACTGACATCTACTCGCTCGGCGTTGTCTTCTGGGTCCTCCTGACGCAACAGCCCGTTTTCCAGGGAGAGACACCGCTGGATATAGTGCAGGGCGTCCTCGGCCGCCGGATACCCAGCGTCTCGGCCATCCGGATCGACATCCCGGATGTCGTCGGACGCATCATCCAGAAATGCACATCCAAAAATGTCAGCGATAGGTATTTTTCGGCTAGCGGTCTTCGATACGACCTAGTTACAGTTCAGAAGCTCTTGAGCAGCGGCGACTTACTGGCTCTCAAGGAGTGGCAGATCGCCTCGAGAGATATCTCGTCTTTTTTTATGCTGCCGACAGCCATGATAGGACGGGATAAGGAAAGAGCAGAGCTCTTGAAGGTCATAGACAGTGTTGCCAAGAACCACGCTATGAATCAAAATGGTGGCGTACATCGTTTCTCAGACGCTTCAAACTTGTCGAATGAGCACAACGAAGGTACCGAGGCATCTAGCGATGGCGCAAGTTCGGCCGACGAGACAAACAGGCAGAGCGCATCCTTTGCACAGACTGTGTCTTCGGAACCAAGGTGGAAGACAAACATTGTTACTTCATCTCTCGGTCTCGAGTCGCTGAATGGCTCGGGAGAAACTGGGTCCGACGGCAACTCAACAGTATCGGCTAGTCCTCGTCCCCCGCGTCCATGGGAACGCCACCCTAGCATTGCCTTCGATGCTGGGAGTCTTGCCGATGGCGCCTCGGCTGAGGTATCGCGGTTGAGTGCTCCGACAACCACCGACTCTTCTTCGAGTTTGTCGCGGCAGCTGGGCTCGGCCAAGTTTCAGCGGCAGGGCCATTGCGAGATCGTCGCAATCGAGGGAACAGGCGGTTTAGGGAAGAGTTGTCTTGTCCAGTCCGTCTTGGCAGACGCGCGTAGGAGAGGTTACTGTGCGACGGCCAAGTTTGATACGGCTAGACGGACTGCCTTTGGACCACTGTTGAAGCTTTTATCCTCCCTATTCCGCCAAGTATGGGGCGAGAGAAACACAGAGACTCCTTTCCACCAGACGTTAAAACAATATGTCCGACCTATATGGCCCACCCTACACAAGGTCTTGGGCCTGCCGGAATTCCTGCTAGGTCCCGTCGAAGCGTCACTGGCACGTTCTGGGTCCAACTCGCAGGCCACTCGGCCGGCCCCGAAGAGGCGCGGCTCTTCGCCCGAGATATTAGGCACACCCACCGTGCGTAGCGTCTCGAGCTCATCTACGATTTCACAAGACTTCCTCCGCGCGGGTAGCTCAACCAAAAGCATTAGGCTGATGAATACGGTTCTCGACGTTTTGAGAATGTTCACGCACCACAAATTCATATGCTTTTGCCTCGACGATCTCCACTCGGCAGACGATGAATCGCTCGAGCTCATCACCCAGATCATCGGAGCGAGGCTCAAGATGGTCATCATCATAACATACCGTCCAGAGGAGTCGACTGCTGAGAAGGTGCAGAAGATTTTGAATCCACCCAAGTCTGAGGAACATCCCAGAGGCGCTGGCCCGGCCATTACGAAGATCACGTTAATGCCCCTGAGCGAGGATGATATAGTTCAATACGTCTCGGCAACGCTTTCGCTACCCAAAGAAGAGGTTCTCCCGCTGGCTCTGGTTATACAGTCCAAGACGGCGGGCAATCCGTTCTATATGCGAGAAATGCTCAACGCGGGCCATCGGAAAAAATGCATATGGTATGACTATCTCGTCGGCCAGTGGAAGTATGACTTGGATAAGCTCTTTGATCAGTTCCAAGGAGAACAAAACTACGACGTCCTTGACACTGCCTTTATTACCCGCCGCCTCAACGAGCTGCCTGTGGCTTCGCGATGGATCCTCGCTTGGGCGGCACTATTGGGACAGGCGTTTTCGTTCGGTCTCATTTGCAAGCTGATGGATGCCGAGTCCGCCTACACGGACGGGATGCGTCCGTTGACGGGGAAGGAGAAAGCCGCCACCTCGATACCGCCTTCGCAAGAGGCCATCGCTGGGCTCGAAGCAGCGCTCCAAGCATGCATAATTGTCCCCAGCGATCGTGACGACCGTTTTCGCTTTGCTCATGACAGGTATATCCAGGCGGCATCCGCGCTGAAGGAGTGCGACGCCCGGACAATGCACTTTACCATTGCGCAGACTCTCCTCAAGCACTGCTCCGCAGACCCGACGCTGAGAGACAGCACAGCCTCTCACATCTGCGAGGCTGTGGACATTATTAAGAAACGAGTAGCACACCGGAGACCGTACCGGGACCTATTACTCCAATGCGCCGAGGTCGCAACGGAAAGCGGCGCTCGGCCTACGGCGGCAAAATATTATAGCAACGCCGTCGCCTTGCTCCAGTCGAGCGCGTGGGAAGATGGACTCGAGGATGTGTCGTACGATGAGACGATCAGACTCTACCTCCGTGCCGCCGAGAGCTACCTGTACATGGGCCACCAGAGTGCCGCAAACGTGCTGCTCCAGACGGTATTCAACCGCGCAAGGACCGCTCTTGACAAGGCACCCGCGTGGGTGCTGCAGTCGAGGATATTCGCCCAGAGCGGAGAGTCAAAGCAGGCGCTGGCCTCGCTCCGGCAATGTCTGACAGCCCTGGGCGTGGAAGTCGACGAGCAACCCACGTACGAAAAGTGCGATGAGAGATTTGAGCGCCTGTCTGTCAGGATACAGACCATAGGCCGCCAGCAACTGCTCGACCCGCCCAGCTCGAGCGAGCCTGGCCTATCCTCTCTAGGGGCAGTGTTGGCGGAGACTACGAGTGCCGGGTGGTGGCACGACACGCTCGAGTTCTACCAACTGTCCCTTCTTATGATGGAGGCGCATTTTGAGCGAGGCGCGTTTCCTCAGTCGGGACTGGCCTTTCTGCAGCTGGCCATCATCGCGCTCTCCCGCTTCAACATGGTGCACTTTGCGGTTGATCTGGCGAATGTCTGCCTAGAGTTGCTGGAGAAGTTTCGAGACCCGTACTCGTTGGCTAGGAGCTACATGATATATGCAAACTTTGTGGGGCATGTCCAGCACCCCCTCGGGCTTGCTGCCAGCCAGCTCGAGGGAGCAATGGAATACGCCGCAGTTGCTGGAGACCGGATATCGGCCATTCTGAGTTTCGGGCTCTCTGCCCAACTCCGATTCTTCGCCAGCGATAATTGCTCCGACCTCGAAGCTTTCTGCCAGTACGGCTGCGAGGAAATCCCCAATTGGCACTTGGACACGCGAGGGGGCGTGCACATCATTGCCGTGAGACAGGTCTCCTGTGCTCTACAGGGGAAGACGCGCGTGTTACAACCTCTCGAAGTCATGAGCGACGAGCAGCACAATGCGACGACGTACAAGGCGTGGCTGGCGACCAACACGAACAACGGCGGAAGGTCTCGGCTAATCTACGAGACTATGGAAATCGTTCCCCTGTTCCTGTACGGCCACTACGAGCGAGCGATTGAGATTGGAAAGGCTTGCAGCGAAAACCTGTCCCTACTGTGGTCGTCTCGCAACACGAGACTGGCCACGGTGTTTTACGGCCTGTCGTTGGCTGGACTGATTATCCGCCGGCAGAAGGATCCTCGCCCGGTAGAAGAAGACTTCAAGGCCCAGGTCGAGGATACGGTGCGCCATGTCGAAGAGCTCAACAAGACCATCAAGGACTGGCAGGTTGTCAATAACGTCAACTACCTAGCTTGGTCCAAGCTGCTTGATGCTCAAGTGTCGGAGATGCTTGGCGACCATGGCAAGGCCATTCGGCAGTACGAGGAGGCGCTGGACCACGCGTCTGAGCACAATTTCATCTTTGAAGAGGCTCTCGGGAACTACCTGATGGCAGATGTCTTTGTCAGGAATGCGGCAAGACGGTCGGCGCGGTCTGCGCTCAGAGACGCCGTGAGTCTCTTCCGCCAGTTTGGTGCCACGGGCATCGCCGACCGTATCGAGGCCGAGCACAGTCTCTTGCTCCACGGGCCCATCCGAAACTGCCGAACCTCGGACGCCGGGGTCCAGACGGACTTTGCCGGCGATGCCGCAACTGTGCAATATCACACAACCGACGGCGAAGGGGTCGAGGAAGCGCAGCACTCGACGCAAGCTGCCTTGGCGGCGCTCAGGGGGGAGCGCATGTCGGCTTGGAGAGGCTCGATGCAGCCACAGGAGGCTGGGGCCGGGCTGCCTGCGCTTGATATGATCGATCTGCATGCAATCATCGTGTCCTCGCAGGTCATATCATCGGTCCTCAGGGTGGACGAGCTGCTCAAGACCATGTGCGACGTGATCCTCCAGACATGCAGCGGATCTGCGACTCTCGCCGCCATCGTCGTGCAGGACGAAGGCACCACAGACTGGTGCGTCGCCGCGAGCGGTGACCCGGAAAAAGGAGCCGAGGCCCACATCCCCGGTATTCCCCTCAGCGGGGCCGACCTCGTGGCCGAGAACGTAATACTCTACTGCACTCGGTTCCGCGAGGTGGTCTTCCTCCGAGACCTCGTCAGCGACGAGAGGTTTGGTAACGTGAGCGAGTCCTGGCTGCGGAAGAATCCGCACAGCAAGGCCGTGATCGCCATCCCCATCTGCCACGGAGCGAAGCCGCTACTCGGTGTTCTCTACCTGGAAGGAGTCCCGGGATCTTTCACGGACCGCAACGTCACGGTCCTCCAGCTCCTCGTCAACCAGATTGGCATCAGCTACTCAAACGCCCTGGCCATGAAGGCTGTCGAGAAGGTCTCGGCAGAGAACATCTCCATGGTCGCTCTGCAGAAGCGAGCCTTAGCGAAGGCGATCGAGGCCCAGTCAAAAGCCAAGATTGCGGAAGCCGAGGCGATCCGGAACGTGAAGCTTGCAGAGGAGGCCACAAAGGCCAAGTCCATCTTCCTCGCCAACGTGTCGCACGAGCTGCGCACCCCGCTGAACGGCGTCATTGGAAACTCGGAGCTCCTCAGGGACAGCAGCCTCAACAAGGAGCAGCTCGAGATGGCCGATTCCATTAGGGTGTCGGCAGACCTGCTCTTGACCGTCATCAACGACATCCTCGACTTTTCGAGAATGGAGGCTGACAAGATGAAGCTCTATATTATTGCTTTCAACCCCGAGGAGATGGTACGAGAAGTCGTCCGGGCCGTGTCGTACAGCAACCGCGAGAAGACGTCAAAGAAGAATGTCCGCATCATCCAGGATATCAACCTACCGCCGATCTTGATTTATGGCGACCCCATCCGCCTCCACCAGGTTCTCGGCAACCTGATCGGGAACAGCCTGAAATTCACCGAGGATGGCTCCATCACCATTGGAGCGCGGATCGAGTCCGAGACCGAAAACCAGGCAACGCTAACATTTTGGGTCAAGGACACAGGGATAGGAATCTCGGCACAGCAGCTCGAGAACTTATTCCAGCCGTTCAGCCAGGCAGATGCAAGCACGGCTAGGAAATACGGCGGGAGCGGGCTCGGCCTCAGCATCTGCAAGTCCCTGATCGAGACAATGATGAAGGGCACAATTCGGCTAGAAAGCCAAGAGAGCATCGGAACTACAGCGTGGTTTACCGTTACGTTTGAGAAGGCCAGGCCAGAGGTGGTTGCTGGAGACGCGCAGAACACACCGACGGAACCTCAGCCCCAGAGGTTGCTTGTCGAACGGGAGCCTGCTCCTTCGTATGGTGTGGATCTAAGGCAAATACCCAAGGACCAGCTGCGGATTTGCATTGCCGAGGACAACGCCATCAACGCCAAGATCGCCATGCAGTACATGCACCGCCTGGGGTATCCGAATGTCGACAACTACGACAACGGGCTGAAAGCGGTCGAAGGTCTCCGCGAAAAGGCTCGGCAGGGCGTCCCCTACCACATCATCCTCATGGACGTGCAGATGCCTGTTCTCGACGGGTACGAGGCGACCAAGCTACTCCGGAACGACCCCCTGGACTCGGTTCGTAAAATACTGGTTATCGCCATGACGGCATCCGCGATCCAGGGCGACCGCGAGAAGTGCCTGGCGGCGGGCATGAACGACTACCTTGCCAAGCCGGTCCGGTCTGATGTGCTGAAGAAGAAGCTGGACACCTACCTGGGTTTTCAGGTCAGTTCAACCTGATATCGAATTTCTTTATTGGTGCTGACGAGAAGGTGGACAGCAACCTCACGACCGTGTGCTCGGGGATTTTGGCAATAGGAAGCCCCTCGGCCCAGCCCTCGAGCGACAGCCCATGGCGCCTCTTGTTCCCCTTCCTCTTCCCACGCCTCCCGAAAGCTACGTTGCCAACGGAACAACGACGTCTCCTCCTGCCCTGATACGAGACGACGATGGCCGCGCGAAGGCCCGCGGCAGCCTGAACTCGGATGCGGTGCCCAAGATAATAACTAGCCCGATCCGGACTTCGAGCGACAGCGTATCCTCAGTCAGAGGTGGCGGAGACGCATCGCCGACAGCAGCTGCTGCCACAAAGCGCCCGCCGCCTAAGAAACTCGTCAAACACAGAAACCTCAGCGGCGACTCGACGGGCTCCGCCAAGGCTGCAACTGCCAGTGCTCCTGCCGTCGCCCCGGTGGTGATCGTGCCAGAAAAGCCGAAATCAGCCGGGCTCCTCCAGAAGAAGCCGCGGCGGAGCTCCGTCACCGTGGATGCTGCCGTCCCGGCCCGCGCCGCGGCGGAGAACGAGGCCTCTGCGCCCGCTTATGCGGCGCCTAAGCCAGGCGACGACGGCTCGGGCAAGTGAACAGTAATTAGACGGGGGTCATTTCGTCAAATAATGTAGATACATACCATGTCGCGCGGTGCCATTTAGTGTCTGTCTGTCTGTCATACGATACCCAGTGCCAGGAGGATTGTTTTATGGAATGGGCGAGGGACGAGGAATTCAGGAAACCAAGAGACAAGAGCCGGTTTTTATGCATGCATGCATACTTACTTATTACATATATACCTTTTTTTATTGTTCATGTTTATGTTTCTGTCTGTTTGTTGGTTGTTTTTCTGTTTCTGTTTCTGCTTCTGTTTGTTTTTCTGTTTGTTGATTGATTCATTGGGGGTTAGTGTTGGGTATGCTGGATGTCTGAGTCTGAGGCCTAGGTAGAGAGAGAACTACTGTTTCCTTTTTCCTTTTTTCTTTTTCTTTTTCTTTTTCTTTTATTTTTGGGCCGTGTATGTGTATGTCTGTTTGGTTTCGTCTATTTCGTCTTGTCTATTTGTTTTTGGGTTGGTTTGGCGGTTCTTGGCATAGTTCTGGGCGGTATTCATTCAGTTGGCTAACTGAGCTAGGTTCATGTTTCATGTTTCATGGTTCATGTGTTGTTGCATTTCTCGCTCTCTTGGGTTTGTCTGTTGTTTTTTATAGCAGAGGGGAGAATGGTTCGGATATATATATATATATATACGTATATACCTATCTAGGTATTGACGACGGCCCGTTTCCCCTTGTGTCTTTTTTTTTCGGTCCAGGGAGCATATAGGGATGTATATGTGTACGCTGTTATGAAACACATGTTTAGAGGCATACATACATTGGCGCCCATGCTGCCGTGTTTTGTTTTGTTTGATGTAGTCAATGCCCGGGCCTCTTGGGAGATAAAGATGGTTCGGCCGACATCGATTTCGTGTTCAAGGGTTGGCAAATTACGTGGCTAGATCTTGGCCGGTGCCGGTGCCATGCCAAGTGACTTCGCCGCAGCCGCCCCCCGAGGCCGAGGGCCGACTTGACCGGGACAGAGGCACGGGGCTCATTGAGAACTCCTCATGGTGTAATATTAGATTGAATACTTTGGCCCCGATTCTCAAATCCCGAAACAATGAGCCCCGTCCTGCCTGCTCCCGCTGTTTCCATGATGAAGGCGCGGCGTGTTGACTCTCAGGCGAGCGCCGTCGAAAAGGGGCTTCCTCGGGGCATTGACACCGTCGCACCGGCGATATCGGTGCGGGGCGATATGACCATCGCGGTTAGTTTTGTGCCTCGAGCGTGGTATCACGATGAAACGGGCCAGGCCGTTGAACGACCTCGGGCAGGGCCTCGACTCATCTCGCCATGCCCGCTTCAATATGTCGCCTGTCCCAACCATCATGAACATGTGACTAGGTACCTAAGGCACCTATAGTTCACGAGATGCGGGATGGCCATATATATATATATATCTAGAGGGAGAGAGGGAGAGAGACCTCTATGTATATACCACCCTGATTCATCCCCATCCAGACACGCAAGCCCGTTCGCTGCCCTGCTTTCACATTTACTTCACTGTTTTTGGCTTTCTCTCTCTTCTTCGCTTTGTTGATAGGTACCTACTTAAACCTGACGCCAAAAGCGCTGGCGGAGCGGCGAGTGAGTGATCATGACGTTGACGTGATCCAAAGAGAACGACGGGGCCGGGTCCCAAGGAGGAGTTGATGGAAAATATACCCATAGGTGAAACCGGCGGATATTACAGATGATAGATAACGGAGCTCTGGGGTTTCTGCTGGTTCGAACCCGGGATTGTTTTCTCTCCTGCTATTCATTCATTTTTACCTAGGTAATTTGTCAGGCTCTTACTGCCTGCCGTGCAATAAAATAAATATATATAAAATAAACCGAATATACAGGCCGGGGCCGGCTACTCGTTCGCCTACATCATCATAATCATTATCGTGGTCGCTCGTTGCCCTTTGCCATGCCTCTATCGCGGCCGTGCAGCGTTACCAACAACACAACCTAGAACTAGTTAGATATGAGGTTTTAGCAACTACCTAGGTAGGCATCGAATATTTGGCAAAGCAAGGCAGCGAGCGGCTGGTATGAATCTGGCTCTATCGGAATTGGCGTCTCAATTATTTGACTTTTTTTTTTTGCTGTACCGCGCGCGGCAAATGCTTGGTTGTGTTCATTTTAGTACGTGTGTGGTGATGTGTATAAGCCATTTCAATTTGGTGATATCTGGATCTAACTGTGAAAGTCGCTCCTAGAGTAGACGAAAGAAAACATACCTCTACAAGTTAGAGCCTCATGTCAGCTGTCCATCTTCCAGAGCCAGGAACAAAGTCAAAATGACCAACAATTACTGAGAACTGACCCAGTTCCTGTATATAGATCTAAGATTAGTCTTCTGTCAAACCGTCTCCGACAAAGCCAGCCGGCGTGCAAGCAACTACGAGAGAAGCAGTGATAGGTATTAAGAATCGGCATGCATGCTATCCACACATCCCTGACCGTTTATTTACTCTGGGCAAGAGAAGAAGAAGTAACCCGCGGCCTACGAACCATTCAAGTTTATTTAGCATCACTTTCTTTTTCCTCAACGCGACGATTCTAGCTTTGGTCCGCGGAAAAGAGCAAAACCAAGTCACCCAGTGAACAAGACACCAACAAACACTCATTTAATTTCATATCCAAATACTTGCTATATCTAGATGGGCAGGTAGCTGCCTGTCGATATATCTAGTTGGTTTGCCTGCCCGCCTCTCTCTCTCTCTCTCGTAGGGTCGGTTCTCCAGCCTCCGTACCAACCAAGAACCGCGAGGACACTAGACATTCCGGAAATAACGGAGAGAAGGCAGAGGCGTGCAGGGCAGGACGACGGGAAGGCAAGAAGGTATGAAGACGCGTACAATCGAAAAGAGAGACGGTCAAACAGACAGACAGACAAATTCGTGCGGGGTGGAGAAACGCAGTGCATTTTGTACATCCAACAGAAGTGCGAAGCCAGCATCAAACAAGCAGTTGTTCATCTATTGTAAGCACAAGCGGAGTGTTGTTTACAGTTTTTTGTTTACAGCTCAGCCTGGGGCACATACAGTAGAGACAGAGAGAGAGACTCGCAGACACGTCGCGAGCGAGGTTCTCTCCAATGGCACGGGGCACACACACACATACACACATGGACCGCATTGGTAATAACCAAAGTCGCGAAAAGAAGCGCGTACCGAGTGGTTAGGCCCAATGGAACAGCCGGCCCACGATTCTCACCAGTCCCGAACAAGCCAGTCGACGGGGCGCGGTCGGGAAATCGGTCCCAGACTTTGCAAATCTATGGTATGGGAAAGCGTGGTTCGTTCTCTCTCGGCCCCCCTGCCCTGCCCTGGGGTCGACGAGGGTCCGTCCGTCTGTCCACCCGTCGCGCGACGACGGCAGCGCTCTGAAGACGATGTAACATCAACCTTGGACTGGAAACTTGGTTCGCGATAGGCGCACTCGATGATGTGATGAATCGGGAAGGAGGGGGTGGTTAGACTGTTGAACAGAAACAGACAACCTGGAAAGGGAAAGGGACGGAAAAAAAAGGGGGGGGGGGGGAAGGTGAGGGGGGGAGGGGGAGCGACCGGTGTGGGTGTGGGGGGGGGGGGAGGGGGGGTGTCCAAGTCTTGGTCCCCACTGTTTTTACTACGGTCTCCGCGCCTTGGGCTTTGGCTCTGGCTCTTGCTCTTGTTGTCTTGGCCAAGAGGAACTTAAAACTTGGACCTTGGCCCCTTTCCTTCGACGACGTGCCCACCCGCCACGCGTCAAAAGACGCAACGGCCTTCTTCGCGGGGACGACCGAAACATGGAGCTTCCTTGGCTGCACGCAGCAAAGACATTCGGCGCGTCTGGATAATCACCTACGCAGTAGAGCTTCGGGATGCCTTGGCAGGCAGGCGGAAACGTCCTTGCGTCTGTCTCGCTCGGTCTCGTCACGTCGTGTCTTCTTGTCTTGCCTCTTACACATTTGGAAATTAATTTCCAGAGCCGGATTAACGCCACCGTGGAAAGAAAACGCCTGCCAGATTCTAGAACGGCTCTACTGCCGCATTCCGCACGCTCGCAGCCGACAAACACGAGACGGCATGGCTGGCTGCGAATACGGCTGCCCACCTTGGCGCGTCTGCTAATTCCCAATATGCAGCCCTCGGTCTCATCACTGTGAGCCGAGGCGAGGACCCCGTGACAATTGTTGTTGTCGTCCTATGTTCGGAAGTCCGGCCAGTCATCCCTCTTCACCGGTCCCAGTTCACACTCACCTCTGAAGAAGGCTTGACGGAAGCGGGGGTCTAACAACCACGTGCAGGCAACTCGCAGGCAACTCACAGCCAATTGCCTACTTACTAAGGCCCGGCCACTGTCTTGGTTCAGCCACTCGAAGAGTCCAGGGAGAAGAGACTTGCCACCACCAAGCCATTTTCCTGCTTTCCCTCATGTCTTTACCCAGCTAAAGTGCTCGCGATCGTTGTCAGCATTGGCGCAGACACATGGCAAAGCACGCGCGTTCACTGGGCTTTGAATGGACCATATGCGTCGTGTCACATTCGGAAAACTTAGTGTCGCGTCCCACAATATCGCGATACTGTGAGCCTCATCGGACTTCGGTCCTTTGCAGTACGAGCAGGACTGAGCCGTCTTGATTTCGAATCGCAAGCCTAAACAGACGGCTCTGGCATGTGTCTGTGGCTCGTAGGAGTCTAGGTAATCATGAAAATGCTCGGTCGAAGTCCAAACGCCACAGATATCTCGGGGACGCTCGACTTTGGTGATGAGGTTGACTCTGCTAGGGTCGTATGGCTTGAAGGTTATCTTCCCGGTAAAGGCTGAAATGGGCGCCTTGGAGCTGCAGGTCTGAACTTGGGCTCCCTCTGCCATGTAGTCTTAGTCGGATGTCTCCGATCTAGCGGAGTTCTAAGACATCCAAGAAGCCCTCACAACTCCAGTGTTGTTCGGGCGCGGTAAGTATGATATGCCAACAGGCTCTACCGGAGAATGACATTCAGTCCGACGGGAAGGTCCGCCATTGCAATATCTGGCCAGGCTGCTTAAAGGTCCTGTCCCGTTGACGTCGAAGTTGCTTTCGAATCCGATATCTACTGTCGCCCACCAAGCTCATACTAGCACATCTCGCGTGGCTCTATACGGCGGATGGTACGACCGACAAATTTCGCGATGAACCAAAGATGGACTCGGATTCCTGCCTGGCCCTGAAAGGTCTCGTAAAAGACGGCAACAACCGCCTTGTAACTGTTGTGCGGCTTCCTCCCATTGATCTCGCAATCGAGATTGCCAAGCCCGCCAGCCAAAGAAAACAACGCACAGTGTGACATCGGTTTGGACTAGCTTATTCCAAGACCAGGTTGGAGCAATTACCTTATGAGGTGGTGTGTTTCAGATTGAACCTCAACCAGAAGTTCTGGGTTCGAACAGGGGTCCACCACCGCTCGTGGGAACGCCACTAGGCATGGAGGGGCTTCCTCAACACCGAGGACTTCATGGTGATTCGAGGCCATGGGACAACGCCACACTGCTGGCTGTAGCTCTTTTTTTTCGGGTGAAGTCCAGAACCCCCCCCCGGGGACAGCTGAGAAGCTACATGTCACTTGCGCCAAACAGCCCAGGTTTTGGTGCTCACCAGCTGTGGGAAGCTGCTTATGTGCAGCATTGCCCGCCGTGTTCAACAACGTAATAGGCGAATCATAGGAAGGCTCGGAAGTGCTGTCCTCTGGTCGCAGTGCACAGGTTAAAGTACAGACCCAAGTATGAGGTTGTGCTCATCAGTCTAGACCTGCATGTCCTTGGCCAGAGTTGGGCTCCAGATACATCTCTTCGTGTTCGAGTGGGATGGAATCTGGTATCGCGTACGGAGTATACGGAGTATACGGCATACAAAGCATAGCCTGCCATCGCATGACTTAATGACTACCACCCGCTCGAGTCAGAAAGTTTCGCTGTAGCGTAGTAGAGCGAGATGTCGGTAAGTATGGTGCAAGCACTGCTTGTCTGAGGTTCTGTGCACGAGGTCACATTGAGAAACCCCCAAAAAGGCTGGACATCTAATGGCGTGTCGTCGGGTTGTATCGAGTAAATGCTTACCACAGCTCAAGCGCTAGACCGTCGAAAATGGTCTACATCAGCATAGATCAAAGGGCGCTAAGGCTTCTCGGCTTTCTGCATCTGGCTCTTTCCTTGTCATCACCAAACTCGAAGCAGCAGGTCCTGCATGACGCTCGATGCCTTGACTTCTAAAGCTAGAATTTGGACTCGAGGCCACCGACGGATTGGTTTGTAGCTTATCGTCTCGGGATGGCAACCCGTTCCGTCCGCCACTCAAGCATGATGTATCCCTGGTAGGCATGCTGTTGTCAGACGCTGTCAGGCATCCCATAAGGAGCGCTGATCGAATTGAGAGAACGAAACTTGTTCTGCATCAGGGCATCGGGGTATCGAAGAAACGTCAGATCCCGGCCGTCGTTTTGTCTCGGGCGAGAAGTTGGGGGGACACTGGACCCCGAGGGTTTATCTATCTCACCAACTCATCGGTCGCCGGCGAGCCCATCATCTGGTCTGGGGTCGGGCGTCAACTGGTTTGGCTGCAGGCGTTGGAATGCGGTCTTGCCGTGCCACACAGCAGCATGACTCAGTCTCTTTGCTCTTGTGTGCTCTTGTAAAGGCGCCACCATATTGATGAAGTGTGCCTCAAGCAGATAGCCTGAAAACCTGGCGTAGTGGAGTTGATGGAGTTCTTGTCGTTGCCATGGCTGCCGCTTGGTAGCAATACTGCAACGATAGGGCGGCGATGGACGAGTAACAACGGTCCTAGCTCTGCGACAGATAGCCGGATGAAACCCCTCATCGTGCGTCAATCACGGTCACGTTCATGAGGTCGAGAGTGGAGGCACCGCCATGACGGTGTCCCGCAGGCTGGCATGCAATCCTTGGGGGGAACAGAAGCACCGGAACCGTTTTCCAGAGGCGGACCCAAGGCCGCAAGAACGAAACACGCGTTTTCGTTCAGAAAGTCGGTAGGGGTAGCCGCGTCCGCCGAGAAGTTGCAGCTAATGCGAGCCCCTTTTTGCTTCGCAAGCTGCAAGTTATCGTCGCTCGCTTGTATCTGGGAGTCCGTGTCGGCCATCTGCTGTGATGTTACCGCTGTCGCTGCGGTTGCCGCTGCGGTTGCCGCTGCTGCTGCGGTTGCCGCTGCCGCTGCCGCTGCGGTTGCCGCTGCCATTGTTGTTGACGCTCCCGCTGCGGTTGCTGTTGCTGTTGCTTCGAGTCAAACCTGGGCTTTGAGGGTCCCTGGGCGATTTGCACTCGTCTCCAAGCCCGAATGAAACAGCGCGTCGAACCCGCAGCACACACGGGAAACTGTCTGTTTCGCGCACACCGAGTTATTGAGTCGCGCGCGCAACCAATCGGCCTAGACCTCTTGTAGATTTTGGCCTTGGTTTGCTGGCTCGTGGACCTGGATGTTGTATGCGGAAAAAATATCGACAGAGGCTCTCCTCCCAATGTATACAATACCCGCCTCCCTTACCTTGGTAGCAGGGTATCAAGTTGAATCAATGTGGCGTTGAAAAGTCTTGGTCGGAGGTATTGACAGGTTGAATAAGAGCCAGGCCGCCGTAAGATACTCAACCTGGAAGTCGAGGTAGCTGGATCAAGTTCGGACGGGAGAGCGCCTCCACTGCTTTCCGAGTACTGTACTTCCATGCTCTCCAAAGCACCCTCCAGAGCAAGTGCTGCCGAGGGGAAGGGGAGTCACGATTGTCTGTGTTTCTGGTAACACCGCGCTGTGGCACCACCTCGACTTCCTATGAGGTGGGTACGTACAGTACATACAACATGGATGCTGCGGCGCTGCGTCCATGGATGGAAAGCAGTCGTGACCTCGTACCTCGTACCAAGGAAATCCAAGAGTTGGGCCTGGTTCAAGTTGTTTGGATGGGAATTTCTCCGGCAGGTGCATCCCACCCTACCGCCACCGCCTGGGCGGGTTTGTGGAGGAAGGAGCCAGTAGGCAGGCAAGCAAGCAACTTGCAGGCAGGCAGAAAAAAAATCAGAGATTATTTTATTATTGCCAGTACTTCGAGGGCTGGTACACAAACATTCGGGAAATCATCCATTGCATCTGCAACCACTGGCATCAATTTCATCTCTCATGTTCATCCTTCTGTTTCCAAGCATGCTCGTGTGCCGTAAATGTACCCTGTCGCCAGTCGATAGGTAAGCAACGCACAGGGGATATCGGATCACGACCTGTTTTGATGGCGGTCTTTATGCTTTGGATGCTCGAGTACCCACCCAAACAGCAAACAGACTTCTATGCCATGGGCAGCAACGAGCATGCCTTCCATTATTGCCCAAGCAGGCCGCAGGATTCAGTCATACGGTACCTTCCTTCCTTACCTTGGACAATGGATATTAGCCGCACGGACTCTAGCACCGTTCTTGCCCTCCCCAACGGCCGTCCAAGTTCAAGCAGGTTTCGGTGTATGTTCGAAGCACCGAGGGTAGGTGGGCGGTCGGACCGCTATTGTTAGCACCTGCTGCCACCTGTGTGCCTGCCGTTGCAAGTTGAAACCCCTGTGTTTGATGCCACTCTCAGTTCGTCTGCACTCTGCATGGCAGGCGCGCCCCAGAATTAATCCGGAGTGCCATGTCTTAGCTTGGCGCAGCATCCAAGGTACTGTTGTGCGGTGCGCACCGGCAAGAGGTACTTTGTACCTGAAAACAAACTCGGCTGGTTAGGGTGTTTTCCCTCATCCAGAAATCCCCCAAGTCTGGTTGGGCGCACATCCGAAGTGAGTTCGTCCCGGGCTTTTCGACGCTTAAGAGACGCTTGCTATAGCCAAGTGCCGGCGTTTTCCTGCCAGGGACATAGTGCCCTCATTCCAAATCTACCTAAACTCGTCTATTCCCTCCTGCCTGATCCGAATCACCCATCTGCTTTGGCGAAATGTAGGCGTCTTAAAAGCGGTTCGCGGCGGTTTTTCGTCGTCTGGTCTCCATGGATGGATGCTTGCTTGGCTGCTTGCTTGCTGCTTCCTTCCAGGGATGGCATCCCCGCCCGCTCCCCCCTCCCGGCAGGTAGGTATGGATATGTTCGTTCGTGCTTGGCCCGATGGGTACTATTGGGGGGGGGGGTTGGAACAACGAAGACTAAGACCGCAACCTAGTCCATTGCACCAAACCAAAGAAGGCACCCTATGATGATACTTCACATACAACCTAGATAGGGTATACTAACTACAGCACGCGGGATCTGGCTTGATCTGGCTGGCTGGCCCGCTGCTGGCTGGTTGTGGCTCCGGCAGATGTCATGGCTGGAGCAGTCGTCGTCGTTGTTGCCGTCACCGTCGCCGCCCCCGCCATGACTGTCGGGTCAAGTGCTGGCGCCCACTATCGGTTTGCAGTTTGCACAGGTACATGTACATGGCATGGGAATCCCTACCTCGCATGCTCGCCTTGATGCGGCTGCAAGCGCGAGATCGACCAGCTTCTCTAGCGCCCAGCATCTCGAATATATGGCAGTCCGTGAGCTGCTGCTCCATGTCAGATGCATTGCTCGCGCTGTCAAAGCGCCCCATGCTCCTTGCGTTGGGTTACTTGTCGACTGCTACCTGCTGGCGAATAGGTGGGAGCTTCTGGACCTGCCCTGCCCTGCCCTACCCACGCCTTAACCGCACATTGCCATCTTCCGAGGACGGCGTCATGGCTCCCTTGGCAGATGCCACCGCCCAAGGAGCCTCGCAAACCAGAGGCCTGCCTGGCTTTGATGCTAAGGTCCAGCACGGGAGACGGTGGCCGCTCAAGTGCTGGACTAGTACCGAGTGGACGGGCTAACAAGGGACCGAGAGGTATGTATTCTCTACACTTGCACAGTAAGGGGCACTCAACATGGAGAAGTTGTGGGTGGGTATCACGTATGCTTATCCAGGCTTTCAGTGCAGGTATCTGGACTTGATGCATGCACCTCCGCTATGAGAACCGAACCGTGTCTGAGACTTTGAGTGGACCTCCAAGCCGCAGAATACTATATACGTAGGCTAGTATAGTTAGGCGGTTCTGCAAAGTGAGTCTGCGCCTATTGTTATTATTATCTAACGCGCACAGTGTCTTTTGCCTCTCGTCGTCTCAAAGGCCGGAGAATGCCGCTAGCTGCAAACTACCTGGCCTGGAGCCCGTACCTATTCTAGGTCAATCAGCTCGTGCGCAAGGGCTCGACGATCTCGGACACAGCGGCCTTTTCCTGATGGCTCTTCGCTCCGAAGCGTGCCCCCCAGCTCATGTATACTCGAGGCACACCTCAATGCGTGCCATCTTAGGAACTTTAGTCGTGGGCTGAAGCGCCTCCTCATTAGCCATTAGACATGCGCTGCCGCCAAACTACCACCGCCTACCTGCCCACCCTGCGCGGTTAACCCGCTCACGGTTGCGCCCGAACCCAACGGTCTTGCTTCGGCTGCCAGGTCCCTGGGCGAGCCAGCATCGATGCTCCCCAATCAGTCACAATCTAGTCGTGGGCTTGGCTTGCTGCTGAGACAGTGAGATTCTTTCTCTCAATGTGGCACCTGTCTATCAGCCAGCCCTTTCGTGCTCCAAGGCCGTACACTACATAGTACGTATTGTACGTACAGACAGACATACATCCATACACACGCATTTCGGGACGCACTCTCCCGTCTTTTGTCCAACGCTGCCATGCTTTTCTCCCTCGTGGCGGCCTGGACGAAGCCATCCGCATTAGGCAGCTCAGGCTTCGGAGCCACCAAGATTTGACATGACTCAACGGCCTTGTGCTAACTCGGGCGCACGGAGTACATACAGCAACAGGTAGCTAAGGTAAGCTACGGAAGGGTGGGAGGGGATTCTGCACCCGCTCTGTACCTTGGCTCTTCACTGGTATCGTCACCAAGGGCTTGCTACCCGCACCCCTCCCAGAGACAGTTGCGTTGATTCGCTATCCGCCTTCGTCATCCTGCCCGCCGTCTCTGAGGATCTGCCATGCATCAATCAAGGCACACCCCGGCTAGCGGCCCTGCGCTCCTCACACGGCCCACGTCCGCTCTAGGTCCTGTAACAAGAAGGAAAAGAAATGACAGGGCCCTAATACAGTATACTAAAAACAGACTGCTCAACCCACCTCCTCTGCCATGCCCATTACAACAAGCTGCCCGGCCAGAGCCAGCCAGCCAGACAGCCTTGTCACTCATGATCCCGGTGGCGTGGGCAGGCGGCCCTCTTCACTACCACATCCACCTCCAGCTCCACCTCCACCTCCACCACAACTAGCACCACCACCGTAACCACCATACCAGGGGCCTCGGGGTCTAGCAACGGTCAAGACTAAGGATCGATGGCTAGGAAGCCATATTTTGCGCGGGTCCCTGCAAATCCTCACTCCCCCAGATTCCTAGCATCTTGGCTTCCCGGCATGCTTGCCGTGTATCTCGATGTCTGCTGTTTTCATGTTCCTTACCACGCTCCCAACCTTGGCCGCCGTCGACTTGTCACTTGTCCTGGACCGTCCTGTCGTCCCCGTTTTTCTTCATACGTAGTACATCTCTCCCTCTTGCCGGCCGGCCTCTGCTCTGTCCAACATCTCCAGGTCCGGGGAACCCCTCAGCTGGTCTTAGTGCTCGATCTCCTTCACACCCTTGTGTCAATCTCTTCTGATACGCACCGCTTCCAAATGAAATAACCCGGGGCACGTCCTCTTCTCCACATTGTTTCCCGCTCGGCTACTTGCCTAAACAGTAAACTGTCACTGGTTTCCAAATCCTTTTTTTTTCTTCCCATTCTCCTTCTTGTCTCTTCCCGTCGTGTGGACCCGTTCTCCATTCACACCTGGCCCTTGCTGCCGCTTCTGGACCCTTTCTGGACGTCGACATCGTCCGAACCGGCGCGGGCCCCTACAGGAGGGAAGGGAGGGACATCGGGACGGGGCACAGAGACTACGGAGCCAGGGTCCCCCTCGCCTCTGCCGCTCTAGCTCCGCCTTTCTTTTGTAGTGCAGTTGCTTTCCCTGCTCCGGGACTTGCTCGACCTTCAGCCGATTCCGCCCATTTCATATCTAAGCAAGTACTTAATGGGCAAATGAGCGTGAGCTTTGTCACTTCGACGTTTCATCACCACACGCCCCACCTATTTTCTTCTCTCCCACTCCCACTGGGCTGGCCGCCACCTCCAGCTTCCGCCTCCAAAGGTTATTTCCACCTCTTCTGCCCTCCCAGTCTTGACCTCGCTGCTGCTCTAAAAACACTCGATGCCCCATGGCTCCCTAGCCCTCCGCCCCTCTCCCCCCCCACAGCCTCCGCAAAAGCGGCATATTCTTCTTCCCTCCTCTGCTGCCACGCCCTACACTTACATAAGGATGCTTACCATCAACAAGCCAGTGCAGTACGGCTACAGATCCGTCCATGATCTACCTACCCCGCCGAGCACCTCCCGACCTTCTCCCCCGTTAGTATTTCAGGATTTTGTGCAACAACAGAAAGCGACGCTCGCCATCTTCCGAAGCAGCAGCCCGCCCGGTCAGTCCATGTCTGCGCCTCACCGTGGCTTGCCTCCGCCGGCGGCCCTGACTCCGGTTCAGCCGCCTTCTGGATCCGGGCCTTCCCAAGCTCCTCCTCTACCACCACCTCCCCAAAGCCAGTCTCTGGGTCAGTTCCCGGCCGCTCCCTCATGGCAGCACGTGTCAGAGGAGTCAATGCGAGCTTGGCTGCTCGCCAAGGCCGAGGAGGAGAAGAGAAGGCAAGAGGAAGAGAAAACGCGACAGGAGAGCTACCGCCTCGAGCAGAGGAGGATGGAGCACGATATCCTGCGGACATCTTTGCAGGGCGGGATTCCGCCACCCATGGTTCCCGTCGTGTTTGCGGGGATGAGCGGGGGAGTCATTTCTCAAGCTGCCTTGGAATGGGCGCAGCAATACGTGCTCTCGCAGTCTCAGCAGCAGCAACACCCGCCAGCACTGATGCCACCCGGGCCGATCTCCCCAGAACACCAGAGGCGAGACTCGCAAGCCCAGACATACGCCCAGTATCCCACCTCGGGAGGGGTTCCTTCGACGCCGGGTTCGGGACAAGGACCTCCAAGCGCGTACATGCCTGGCTACCCGGGGTCCCCAACCAGGCCTCGGGGACAGAGCATGCCTGGACCGATGGGAGGGCGATCTCACGGCGGGGTATCAAATCTCCCGAGCTTAAACACCAACGTCCCGGGAGGACCGGGAGGGCCAGGAGCAACCCCGTCGGCTTCCCACCCGGGAATTGTCCAGTCTCAGTCGCAACCGGAGTCGCAACCGTCGCCGTCAATCTACTTCCATCACTGGCAGCCGCCGGCAAGCCAGGGAGGAGGAGGGGGAGGAGCACGGAGCGGGACCGACCAGCCTGGCACGCCCTCAGGTTCGTCGTCCAAAAACAAATTGCGCGCTTGAGGGACAGGCGTGAGCTAACAGGCTCATCCACGCAGTAGGTGAGTCGCCACGGAAGCGGAAAGCCCCTGGACCGCAGCCACCGGTGCCGCCGCCGGGCGCATCACAGCGACTCCGGTCGCCACCATTTTCGCACAGCGTGGGTCTGTCAAACCCCCCACCGGGACGCAGGAGGGGCCACTCGCGGCAGCGAAGTGACCTGGGATCATACCGCGCTGGTGGGAGGGGGCGTGGGGAGAGTGGCAGCGGCAGCTTTGGGGCGCCGCGAGAGGCGTCGCCTATGCACAGGGATGGCGGCGAGTCATTTTCCTTTTTGCATCACCAGCAGCAGCAGCATCCGCAGCATCAGCAACAGCATCCGCAACAGCATCAGCATCAGCACCAGCACCAGCAGGCACAGGGACAAGGACCACAGCCGCAACAAGCGCGAGCACGGGCGGGCGCCCACTCGGTTTCGTCGCTCCTGTCCGACGCTCCGCAGTCGCCGCGGGCGACAGCACAATTCGCAGCTCTAGCTGGGCCACCGGGCATGAGGGGCCAACACGGTGGTGAAGGCGACGGCAGGAATTCCCCACGGTCGTTGGAAGAAAAAGCGCGCGGTGGAGTGCTAGGATCGACAGCCACGCAGCCAGGAGATAACGACTGAACCTTAATTTCATCCATGTTTCAGCCTCCCTGGCCCCCCCCGGGCATGCTAACGTTAGCGAGCAGCGGTCCCAACGACCGGCATCGCCTACCCTAGAGCCCCTTCCGGCAACGCTAATTGAGACCGAATTGGCGAAAACTGGAAGCAATACCCCCGTCTCGGCCTTCGGGGGCATGTGGAACGAGGCGTGGATCGGACGGAATCCGCGAAACTGTTGGCTCGAGGAGGAAATTTCGTCCATTCTCTGCCGGCTACTACTAGCCTCCTTCCGAAGACGCGGTCGCATTCGCCAACTTTGCGGGAAATTCAGTTCGGGCTGGGCGCGCAATCAATGTCTTTGCATTCAGCCATCGAAAACGCTTCTGTCAAGTCACAGCGGCACACAGTATGTGCAGGCAGATTGAATGTGCGGGGGCTGCTACTCGGAGGGTTTTCTTCTTTCTGACTGCAAACCTGCGGTGACGTCGACGACGTTACTTTTGTCTGCTTCTTCTTTTCTTTCCGTACCAATTTCTTCTTGCATCCACGGCAGTTTTGCCTATTCTTTTTTGTCATTTTTTGTTCATTCCCCCCTCTCTTTTTTCTTCTCTTTTCCCCCTGCATATTCATCAGTGTGTATTCTGTGAATACTTGTACTAAATCTACAGCAAAATCATGGTCATGTGTACTTTTATGTAATGTTTTACGAAATGGAAACGGCGGCAGATCCGGAAGGCGAGGCGGCCCGGGGTTGGTCAGTTACTACGGATGAACAAAAATGAAGAGACGAACGGCTCAGACAATTGGAGTTTTCGGTTTTGGTTCCAGATTCCTTTTCTTCGTTCTCGGGTATGAGCCGCAACAGATCAGATCACACCAGGCCAAGCCAAGCCATAGCAGGGGGGTCTAGCATTTGTTCAACATGGGAATGGCGGGCATAACCGGCCCGTAGATCTTTCCTTTCTTTTTTTTTCCCTCTCGTTTTGTTCCAACCGCTCCCGTGGCTGCAGCGGGGCTCCCGATTCACACTACACCCAAGAGGATGGAAGTGTGAAGGCAAAGCGGGACAGGATGGAAGAGAAGGAGCCCTAGTACGGATACACAGCGCATCTAATGTCTCCTTGAATGGTGCCTAGTGAAAAAGCTTGAGAGGACTTTCCTGTTTGGCTGGGTCCGGGTTTACTCAGTCTGTTTGTGGAGTACCTACGATGAATGATACCCTACATGGAGGAAGAATGGCAGTATAAAGAGAATATAGAGAAAACATATTTTTAACGCTTTGGATCCTCTCGCTACTGTAGGATATTATACTGGTGCTGCGTTAAGAGTCCCGCCGATCGCACAGGGCTGAAGGGTCTGTCTGGCCTGGGAGGGCAAGGACCCCGTCACAGTGACGGGAGTGACTGCCCTTGAACTAGTTAGGGTAATGCTACACACAACAATCAGACTCTTTCCATATTCGTGCTCTTGCTTCAAATCGGGGTCCGGGTCGCGACTCGCGAGCAGGAGCTAATCGCTCCTGCTGCTCTGCTCCAGGCTCCAGCTGGTTGGCTGGCTGATGCACTGCAAGTTGCTGGCTGGCTAACAACCTGGGAAGAAACGACTCCCCTTCATGCCCGCTTCCGTTTTGGGAAGAATTGCTCCCCACACAAGTGTCCTGCAATCAACCACCCCCCTATTTTGTACATTACGTCGGGGAAGGAAGTGAGGTGCCAGGAAACGCCCTTTTTTTAAAAAAAAAAAAAAAAAATTTATAGCGCGGTCTGCGCGCCCGCTTCTCACATGGGTACTGTATATACCAGGTGAAGGTAGGTGGGGTTTAGACCAAGGAGAAAAGAAAAGAAGAAAAAAAAATGTAAGCAAAAAAGAAAACGCCAAAAACCCCTCTTTCAGATGCTCTCTCCCTCTCTCCCTCTCTCTCCTCTCGTCAAGCCCGCGGTCCCGCATTCGGTCGCACCAGACACATGCAGACAGGGACATGGACATGGACAAGGTCATGGTCATGAACCAGGGGTGGAGGCAAAAGAGGAGGAGACTGGAGAGTGTGACCGCCAAGGCCTGAGGCCGCCGCGGATGTCAGCTCTGGTGGTGAGATTTCTCCTTTTCTTCCAAGCGCCGTCGCGTCTGTGAACCGACACTCCCTGAGTCCCTAGAGATTTCGTACCCACTAGGGAATTGATTAACCTACCGGGCAGGTCCCTACTAGTCGCTAAGCTACCTCGTCTAAGGTAATTGGAGTCGGTCACCTAGGTGGATAGAGCACTGCACAGGTGACTCCGGTGTCCGTAAAGTACTAGCCGCCGCGTACGGGACACAGCCGTCCACGAGTGTAAGTCGTTCGGGTTTCCCCTTTTCCACCATCGGTGGGAATTGCGAGAATTGGGAAGTGATGGGCGTTTCCGTTGTAGGTTCCCCGCGGCTCGGCCCCGCACAGCGCGTGTCAGCCACCGAGATCCCAACCCTTCCCAACCACCCACCCACACACAGCCTCTCAACACATCAATCACATCACATCCCGCCCATTACTGATTGATTGCAAGGCCAGCAACGGAAGTTACAGAGAGCTGTACTGCGTAGCAACAACAAAAAAAAGTTGCAACCCCCGAGCCAGCCAGAGCCAAGTCTGGACAGGTCAAAGCGATACAGGAACGGGAGACTGATCTACGTCTCGAGCGGCTGATGGTGCACAGAGGAAATGGAACAGTTTTCTCTCTCTTTTGATCTTCCTATTCTATTCTTAACGACAGAAGCTATGCGTCAAGGAAAACTAAACACTCGAGGCGAAGGAGTAACTTACCTACCCACCTCCCTCGGGCGAGACGTCGAGAGTTAAAATAAACCAGAAACATGCCCATGCGAGGACAACAGTCAAGCCCCCGACGCGAAAAGCAAGCCACACCCCCTACCCAATTAGTCCAGGCTGGAGTTTACTATTTAAGTGGTCTCAGCCGGGATTATTTACGGATACGGAGCACAGACTGGGCATAATTATGTCTTCGTCTACGCATCAAAGGTGCTTGAGGAGAAGTATAAGCCAGCCAGCAGGCAAGCAAGCAGCGCGCCTCTCAACCAAGAAGGACTCGGTCTGGGCTTCTCGATGAGGATGTCGGGCAATTTCTTATTCGCTGCGCGCACGGCTGCAGGAGCGTCGCATCCAAAGGGAGACGGGCCAACCTAGCCAAGAGGCAGGCAGGCAGGCAGGCAGGCAGGCAGGCAAACCAGACTTACCTTATTACGGATGAATACCCGACCTTGAGGGCAGCAGCCAACAGCACTACTGCTAGCCAGCCCTAGAGGGCAAAAAAGAAGCTCCCCCCCTTATAATAAGCAGGCATGGTGTGAAACTGCGAGCGGCCTAGGCCCTGGGGTCAGGCGCGGTGCATTTGCGACGAGTACGACGTGACGTTGAGGGGCGGATGACGTTACTTAATATAGGGCTGCGCAGAGACACCCCTGCAACGGGGGTCTTCAGCTGCTGGGCTCCTGAAGGGCTGGGGTAAACCCGAAAACGGTTTGGCGCCATCGACGAAGGGGGTAACACACACGGCCAGGGCTTGCCCACGGACGCTGGACCAAACCAAACTCAGAACAACAATCAACAACAACTCCAACAAGTGCAGAAAGTGCGGAGGTACCTCTGTACTTTCAACACTATGGGTCTGGACAAGACAACCGCACCGCACACAGACACGCAACTGGAGGTGTCTAATCATATCTTGGTCTGCCTAATGATTCCCCGTCCCAAGCACGATCAAGCAGAATTAAGAGAAAAGAGACAAGAGAAAAAGAATAAGGTACGTATAGAAAGGTACAAGAAGAGGGTGGTGGGTTGTGGGTGTGTGCAGCGTTCTTTATTTAATCTGCGAGCCGCACTCGGCAACGCTAAAATGGGACTGGACCACCCACCCATCCCAACCGCAGGGAAGTCCAAAACTCTGGCGTCTTCGCCAAAGAAAGCCAGCCAGTCCGACTCTGCCTCGAGGCGGCGAATCACTGGCCTTCAGGCACCCGTATCCAAAAGTCGCCAGCCATCCTACGCTGCGTCCCTATGTCACAATCCTAATATCCACAGCTGTGCACATCTATCCGTTAATACCTCTTACAGTACGAATACCCTCTTCGGTATCCGCACGGGACTATTCGGTCGGTAGGTATGGAACATGGCCATGGATTAACGGACAGCTCTGCCGCTCTGCTCAACTGCTCGGGAAGACTGAATCCAGCGCATTGCAATGCAATTGCACCCCACGCGGCCATGACATGATACTGCGTCTGCGTCTGCGTCTGCTCCTCGGACCCGAGCCCGAGCCGGTACGCGGGCCCGCGTCTCCGGACGGGAATGGAGGAATTTGTCAGAGTTCGCATCGGGCGAACGCCTACGGATTGGGCTATCGACGTCCGACGAGCCGCGTCTCACATGGCCGCACCACAAGCGTCATAGCTGTCGTGCCGTATCGTATCAAACTGCTGGAGCCGCCAGTTTATTTGTTCTCGCCTCTCCATTGCGAGCCAAACCACGAAACAAACATTCGCCAGCCAGTCTCTTTTCCACATTACCTCTACACCAGCACCACTCGCCCAAACGAGGCTTTGTCGGTCCCGTTCGAAACTCGGAGCATGCGACACGGCAGTCTCCGAGACATGGACGAGAGGATGCGACCCTACGAGGCAAATCAAGCCGCTGCCGGCCGCTCTGTCAACCGCGGCAAGTCGTGGATGCTACTCTGCAGAGGCAATCAGATGTTTGCAACCCGAGAGACCAGCTAGCCGCACCCTCCGAAACACTCGCAGAGCAGGCAGTTTGGACCTCTCAGCGCCGCCCGGACTACCCAAGCGTCTCATGCGGCTCGACGCTTTTCGGCATGCCGACGGCCACCCACCACTAAGCCGACCCTCTCTTGCTCGCAGAGGGCTGCGTGCTCTGGATTGGCCGGATACCCGAGAGGGTGCCTGTGCGACTGAGCTCGGGCTGCTCGTGCCCCTACCTGCTAGACTAAGGCTTGCTTAGCTGTCGTCACATATGATGCATTATCATATGATGGGCGGGGGTGCGCTATAGAGCAGAAAGTCGTTGGCTGGCGCTTATAAGCACGAGAGCAAGGCCGAGCCAGCCAAGAGCGGGCCAGATCGATCAGATCTGGCCGGCACAGATGGCCACTCGGCGCGGGTCCGGCCATAGAGTGGCTGCTGTCGAGGGCAGGAAGTGATGAGCAGTGAACCACGACCACCACGTGGGTTCGCTGCCAGACGCAGGCCCCGTCTCGCTCGCTTGACAGGCAAATTGCAGAGCACGCTACTCGGTGAGACACGCAGGCGGCACGGTATTTGCTGGGGCGTCTTGCCGTCGGGCCTTGTCCTTGTCCTTTCCCCTCCCTTGCTGATCTCTGTCGAGCGGGCGCCGGCGCCGGCGCGTCGTGGGAAACACGCGGGCTCGCTTCTCTGGGATCGACAGCAATTTGCAATCCCCTCGTCTATGCCATGCCGCGCCGCCCACATCTTTCAGTCAGTACGTACAGCACTCTACAGTCTACACCATATTCGGCCCAGGAGCCACACACCCCATTGTTCCGTTTCTCGGTCCCAAGTTTTGTCAGCGCGCCATCATCCCTCTCCTCTCGGGCCGCTTCCAGAAGTGCAGACGACGCAGCAGCAGCTTGGCCCCAACAAGACGACAAGTCCCAAATCGGTAATGGAATCGTCCTCGCTGCTGCCCTAGCTCCTCTCTCGTTTATGTCAGGCGTCCCGCGTGTGAAAAGTTTTACAATTTACAAATTTCCCGCCCACAGTAACGCGGAGAGCTGGAGAAACCTTGACCCCCAGCCGGTCGATTGAGAGGCACGGTTAATCGAGCGCAAAACTCGACGGCCGGGATCCGGATAGGCAAAATGCGTCCCACGATATTTCCAAGATTGCAGTCTTGCCATGTTGAGCGGCTCAATGGGGGTCCTGGCCCCATTCTTTTCCGCAACCGCATCTTGATCGGGGAACCGATCGGCAGCGCAGTATGTCTTGCAGCAGCCAAAGGTTAGATCGGTGTGTGTGTGTCTACGCGCGGCGGCTCGATATTGCCACTCGCTCTGCTGCACATTCGCTCGGAACAGGCAAGGTGAGGACGGGCAGAGGAAAAAAGACGAGTATGCGACGGTGGTTTCTTTCTACACTCTATAACGAAACAACAAAAATAAAGCCTCGGGGGTTGGTTCTTCCAAGCGCCGCCCGCTGGCTGTCTTGTAAGTCGTGTGTCGGTCTCTTTGGCTCGAAATGACTAGCTCGTCGCTCGGGCCCCTTGTCCCTTTTTTCTCGAGTCCTTTCCCAACCGCCTATCTAGGTCCGCGCGCGTGCGTGTAAGTGCTAAAGGAAAGACGCGCGCGAGTTGTGCGCCCCTCCCCAACCTTCCGCCGGCCCAGTGCAACAACGGCGGCGGCTATTTTTATCTGCTTCTGTAATCTGTCTGCGCCGCCCGTCCCTTCTATCTTCCGCGCCCTCTGGACTTGCATTTGCAAATATACATACCTACCTACCTAACTTACATACCTGCATATATACCTACCTATATAATATGTAATAGCGAATACGGTGCTGCACGCTCCGGGAATGGCGCCCTCCCCCAACTCTCCTCATTTGGTTTAGCGCGGCATTACATCATCCCCGCGACTCTACGTCCTTGCGCCTAACACTTAGAGTGTGATCTTTTTCCCTGAAAAAAGGCTCGGAAAGCCGTCCCTAGAAATGGCGGTACACGGCTATTAGAGCCACCCTCCTAGAGTGGGGTACCCTGTGCGAATTTAACCTCAATTCTTTTCAGCTTTCTGGCGCACGGGCCGCCTTGGAAAAGAACAGGACGAAAAAAATCCCTGAAACTTCTAGGAACCATTTCGTCCTAAAATTTCCGCCGTCCCGCACGGGCCAAATCAACTCGCTTAAGTTTTTGAACCAATAGAAAAGGGTGCACACCACGTGACCATGCGCGACCATTTCCGAGCTTTCCAAAACCCAGAATTGACTTAGGTAAAAAATTAGCCCACTTTCTCCAAAGTACCGTCATTTTTGGCGCTAGCTTTCTGAGCCCCTTTCTAGGGAGAAGATCACACCCTAAATAATTAGCCCCTATTTAATTGTTGGTCCGTATCGCTATTTGGGGTGCCGTTCTTGGTAGCTTGGACCCGCTAATCTCGGCACCCCAAAACACTACATTTTTGGCGGGGTCCGTCGTCAACAAGCAATCGCTCTATAACACCTTCCTTCGTTAACAAGCGAACTACTTATCGCAATCACCCTACAACACTTATTCCTTCCGTCGTCAACAAGCAAGCGCGCCCTGCTCCTTGCAGTCGCCCTAGATATACGCACATTCTATCTTCAGCATTCAAGCCATCCGCCCAACATGGCTAACAAGAGAACAATCGCCGAGCTCGATCGGCTATCTCTACCTGGCAACGCCCCCAGAGACAGTATCTCCCGCCTCCCCCATACCGTCTGTGGGCTTGCCGGTCTCGGGTGTCGATAAGATTATCGACGAAATCCACAATCGCATCTGTGGCCGAGTCGAGGTCGAAGAGGAGTGGTGGTGCATCAGCCTCAGTCGTGACGAGTTCAAGGATTTTGAGGCGCGTTTCGAAGCTGAAGGGGACTACCGCTGGCCAAAGTAGGTAGCCTATCACTTTGTCCCTCTGTCTCTCTGCCCCTCTTCGTCCAGCTGCCCCTTGTCAAGCATTGCATTGGCTAACCTCTGATTAGGTACGACTACTTCCCTCAGCTCGCCAAGTTCGTCCTACGTATGGCGAGCGCTATCCACGAAGCCGTTATCAGAAGATTCGAACGCCTAGTCATAGAGCAGTTAACCGACATACAGCGAGGGAACGACCAAGTCGCTGCCGGTTTCGCTCGGGACGTACACGCAGCAGGAAGTTCCAAGATTGAGAGGGATGGTAGTTCCCATTACCCAGACGGGTCGTTTGCGCATAAAGATGCGACAGAGCTTGGTGTTATCCTGGAGGTCTCACATTCGCAACAACACCAAGATTTACCATTCCTCGCAAATGACTACATCCTAGGTTCAAATGGGTTAACCCAGGCTGTCATCGGGATCGACCTTACGTACCGGGGAAAGGAAGCAAGAGTTATAATATGGCGACCAAATAAGACCAAGGAAAACGGAGAAACGATACGTACAATAAAAGAGACCTTCAAGGGTACCTTTCGGAATGCAGATGGGAATTTGGTCAATGGCAAAAAGAACCTCCGGATTTGGCTGAAGGATTTTAGTAATAAGCTTGATTACTCCGGGATCCGAAAGGTCAAAGGGGTAATTACCATCTCCTTTACTCAGTTATATAAGTTGGTACAGGAGAGTGAGGCATTTGATCAGACACGGAAGCGGAGGCGGGGGTTGGATGAGGTTCTCGAAGGTAAAAGCAGGCAGAAGATGGTCAAGCGGGATATGGTCCGCCCCTCAACGTTTGCTCAAGACTGCGTCGCCTGTCAATAGCTTAACGTCTACCTTATAATCGTCTACCAGTGGCTCAAGGTCTGATAGCTTTTAATAATAGCTCAACGTCTACCAAGATCTACCAACGGCTTAATTTCTATTTAAGATTGCGATTATCTGCCCAAGGCTTCAAACGCCCGCCAATAGCCTAACGTCTATCACCAACAGCTCGATATCTACTAACAGGTCAACGTCTGCCTAAGACTATAATCATCCGCTCAACAGCTCGACGTCTGTCAACCACAGCCAACAGTTCGACGTCTGTCAACATCTACCAAAAGCTCGACGTCTGCAACAGCCCAACCACGAACACTCAGCCAACAGCGTAAAATACCTGCAATGCTTTCATTTTCTTCCTGTCTCTGTCCATCTCGCTCTCGTACCTTTTTCTATTTGGTATCATACTACATTGCAAGAAGAAGAAAAACACGCGAAAACGAAAATGCTGAGACGTAGCCGAGCTCAAAGCGTGCCTGGCGTAGGCCAACAACAGTAAAAAAGAAAAACGCCAGTCATAGCCCGTAGAACTCCCAGCCGTCATAGCCGCCGTCCGGCCTCGTGTCCCGCGATGCTTGGCCACCCTCGCCTGAGAGAGGGGCATACTCGGCACGAAGCTCTTCGCCCAATCACAACTCATCGTCTTCCTGCTCCAACTCGGAAGGCTTGAGCAGGCCGCTAACCTTGGACCGTCGCTCGTGCTCGGCCGCCTTTGCGTCTCTCTCTTGCTGCTCCTTCTCCACCAGGTACAGCTCCGCGTTGTCGCCCGCAAACTCCCTCAGCGAGATCAAAAAGTCGCGCAGCGAGAGCCGGAACTTTTCGTAATGCGTGTTGAGCGTGAACAGACCCTCGACGAAGGCCGTGATTTGGCCCCTACCGACGACAGTTAGCTCGGTGCGGCGCGTCAAGACGTTCAAAACTTACGAGGTAAGGTTGCTAAACGCGTTCTTAAGCAGAGTGCCAACAAACTCGCCCAAAAACTCGCGGTTTCCGGTCCCGGCCTGGGCCTGGCCCGGCAAGTAGACAGGTCCCTGGATCTTGGGCGACGATCCGTCGGCCGGCTGGACAAAGTAGAACATGCGCATCAGCAGCATGGACTGCGTCTTAAAGCCGGCCTTGTGGTCCTGGTCCGTCAGGACAAAGAAGACATCCTGCAGGATGGTAAGGAAGAACTGGTTAAAGAAGGCGTTGGACGTCTGCACGTCCGTCTTCTCCGCAATGTTGTTAATCAACTCCAGGCACATGTTAAGTCCAGCAGTTTCCACATCGCGGTTATCGTGCTTGCTCGCCCACAGACAAGAGTCAATGACAAACTTGAACTGGCGGTTGTCCAGTTTCAAGAGAGCTGTTGCTGGTTAGCAGGTTGCAACAGATCACATTGTCGGCGCGTGTCTTACCAGGGAAGCAGTGGAGGTTGATTGCCCGCAAAAGGTTGAAAAACTCCACGCGATGCTCGGGGAACTCTGAGAAGTCCTTGTTGATCATTTCCAGCGTGCACTCAAACACATTCTCCATGATCACCGGGACTTGGTCCTCCATCAAGGCCTGTTTAGGGTTAGTTTAATTCGCAGAACAATTCATAGGTCTGAACCAAGGCAAAAGACATACCGAGAGCTTTGTGATGATAGCCGTCATGGCCTTGAGAACCTCGGCATCGCGAGCGCCGGGGACGTTGCGGTTGTAGTCGACAAGAACGGAATCAAGCAGCTGAGGCACCATCTGGGCCCGAACAGACTGCAGATCCTCGGCCTTGTCAACAAACACCTCGACGAGCTTGAGGATTTCTTTCTTGATCGTCCGAAGCCCTCGGACTTTGGGCATCTTTGTTGCGATCTCGCCTGAGAAGAAGTTAGCATCTGAAGAGTAGATCATGTTCAAAGCACCAACCTTCGCGGACGACTGCCTCAGAGATCAGTTGGCTCGTGGCAGCGTACATCTGGAGCATGTCGTTGTACAGACGGCCAACTTGGGGGAAAAAGTACGTCCCAATAGATGAGCAGGCAGATACGTTAGTCTTCATGATGTTGCCAATGATCTTGATTGTTTCCGAGTCCTGCAAGATAGCTGGGTTGATGGTGGCCTGCTTGATGATCTCATCCCACGCGACGTTGGGGATGTTCATCAGCTCAGCCAGGAGCCGCTCTTGCTGGTTCCTGTTTCCCTGGGCAGCGACCATGTAGCCACATGCCTCATAGAACGTGTGAACCTGCTGAGGAGTCAGGTCACAAGTGATCTTGCCCAGGTTCCGAATAATCTCCTCGATAAAAGGCTCGTTTTCGCTGGGCTGGAGCGCCACAAAATGGCGCCTGCACTGCTTAGCAATCTTAATGAAGGTGTCGCACGCCATGTCCTGGACTCCTGTGAAGAGTTAGCAAAGCCTGCTGAGAAGCGAGATCTCAAAGTCCGTAGAGAGAAACTTGCCTTCGTGAGACTCGTGCATGAATTCGAAGAGCTTGTTGACCACAGTCTTGAGGAACTTCCAATGGGCCTTCAGAAACCGGGGGTACTGGCCAACAATGTACATGATGTTGCTGGCGACAACCGCCTTGTTGTCCTTGCCCCGCTTCATCTCGGTGAGTCCCAACAGGTCCTTGATGACTGTGACAAGGAACCGCTTCTCCGTCTCTTCGTTCATGGCCAGCGATATAGATCCAATAGCCCAGCACAGCACGTTGCAGTTGTGCCATGACCACTCGGACCCGTCTACTTGGCGCGCAAGCTTCTCCGTCATAATCTGCTCAGTGTCGACCACGTCCAAATGGGTGAGGTACACAAGACACTCGCGGATCGTCTTGTAAAGCTGGACGGTGTCCGTCTCTTTGACAAACTCTCGGACAATTTCGCCCTCATCGTTTTCCACAATCAAAACTTCCTCAGGCCGGACCATCTTCTCGATCATAACGACTCGAAGGTTGGACAGAATCTCGTTGTACTTGTGTTTTCTGAGAGGGTAGTTGTTGAGCAGAGACGGATTCGGTGCGCCGCCAGTCTGCAAGCCGCCCAGGGCGAGAGGGTTCAAGTCCGTGATTGGAATAGACTGCATCTCCTCGTAGAGTTCCTGCACAAGCTTGAGCCAGTAGTCGAGGCAGATCTTGAAGATCTCGCGGTCGTCGATCTGCGAGATCCGGATCAGGTAATAGTGACCATGGGTGAGAAAGTCGCGGTTGGGGAGATTTTCAATAAGCTAAGAAAACATCAGCAACCATGCCACACATCAGAGAGGGGAACCAAGGTAAGTACCGGAAGATGCATCCCAAAAAAGTTGCAGAGAAAGAGAGCAAGATTCTGGATGAACTCTTGGTCTCGCGAATTGCTCTGCGGATACGTGCTCTTCAGGTCCATAGACAGGGGGATAATATTGGAGATGGTGGTGAGAACCTCGGTGAACATCTTGATCAGCTGCTCGTCATAGGTGTTGGGTTGGCCGGCGCCGCCCGTCTGTAGGCCCCCAATCTCGGTCAGACACTGAAGCGTGACATTGCGAAACTCTGGAACGTCCAGGAACCGAGTGCGCAGCGTCTCGATCAGAGGCGTCTCAAAAATATACCCCAGCGGGATCCAGTTGCAAAAGCGCAGGAGCGTCTCCAGGGTAGCCTTGACGAGGCTGGGCTGTGTAGCCGTGTTGAGGATTTCCTGGCAGAGCTGGAAAATCTGGGAGAACTCGGCACACATGGTCGTTTTCAGGTTGCGAGTCTTGGTCGACGTCATTTGCTCCGCAGAGTAGTCGAAGACCTCCTCAGACAAAAGGCGCAGGATGATCATATTGTTCTCGCAGATGGAAAGACTGGAGTGGCAGGCCGCCACGATCTCGTTGATAAATGTGGGCCAGTTGTGAGGCCATTCCTGCTTCAGGACCGAGACAAGAACGAGGTTGAGCTTGTTGAGAAGAGTGCGGTGCTTCTTGAGGTCTTCGTCTGAGTTCGAGCACTGCAGAATGTACTGCACGACGAAGTTGCGAATGCCTGTCCAGTCTGTCAGCGTCCGCCATTGACACCGCGAACCAGCATGCAAACTTGCCTTGACACTGCTCTCGTGGCAGCACCTTCCATCTCGTCATAATCACATTGTCGAGTACCTGCAGGCCCAGAACTGTGTGTTTGTCAGCATCCCGATATTGCCTGGGAGCACATCGCTGTTTGTGACGAGTGGGAACACGCACATTTTGTTTGCTCGTAAGTGGCATTCGAAAGGATGCCATCGACCATCAACCATGCGTCGGGATCCTCCTTGAACTGTAGCCGTCGCAAGTTAGTCAAAGACTCCCGGGTAGTAGAGGGCGCAATCGTATCGGGTAAAGCAGGCTCACGGACAACAGGCAGGAGCGGGAGAAAGAAGCAAAGAGGGAGCGGGGGAACGACTAGAGAAGGCGAGAAAGAAATCAACGTGCCTGGTTCAGGGCAGCCTGAGCAGCCTTTTGCTGCACGAGAGAAACCCAGGGTCAGTATTCGAAACAGGCGTCCAGGAGGATATGGATGCTGTCTACCTGGTCGCCGCGGCCCTCGTAGAAGGCCCGGACGGTCGCGTCCAACTCCTCGATAGTCACGGCCATTGTGTCGCGCCTTGCCGCGTGAGCTTCTCTCTCCAAGTGCCGCGGCGGCGATATTTTCGGTGGGGGGAAAGAGGCAAGGGGTTCGATCGAGACGTGGCTCGGCTGCGGCGAAGGCAGGCAGACAGGGGGGGGAGGGGAACGGATAACAGGCCGGAGGCGCGGTCGCGATTCGGGAAAAGAAATCTACCTAGTGTGTGTAGATGGGTCGCCGAGGGGACGTGGGTAAAAGAGGTCTGTCTTGTAAGGTGCGTGCTATGCTTCACAGATGCAAAAAGAACGGTTAAGGTTCCTGGAAGAGGGGAGGGGCTGGTGAGGTGTGGTCGGGATGACGGATGTGAAAGTAAGTGTAGTGCAAGTGCAATGCAGTTGGAATGAGAATTGAGGATCGGGTTGAAAGCTTCAGAAGGCCGAACCCCACCAGCCTCTCGATTGTTGCTTGCAACCTGCACCTCAACCCCTCGTTGCGCTGGCGCTGCTGGAGCTCCGCGTTTCTGCCCAGAAAACTGGAACCCGACCTTTCGGTCAGGCCTCGGCGGTGAGCGGCGCTATATTTGTCCGACGCCCGCTTTCTAAGCAGCGGCCCTCAAACCTCCCGTCGCCCTTGACCCGCCAATGACGTCTCTGCGCCGCGTCTGCCGTTCAGTGAGGCCGTCACACAACCTTTACCTACCTTCGCTTGAGGAGCAAAGGCAGCAGCTCGCACAAAGCAAAGCCAAGCCTCCTGCAAGACAATTGATTCTCATGCAACGTCAACTGCTGCGGCCCGTTAACGAGCCAGGCCTTTTGCTCCTGGTTCCCGAATGCGGAGCTTTCAAGCCCGCGAATCTCCCGAAAAGTCACGTCTTCCTTCTTGCGCTGAGCACCCACTTCCATTCCTCTCGGCATACCTAAAGAGAGCGTCTTCTCCGACTGTTAAAACGTCCCCAAATACTGTAGGTATATAGGCGCAAATACCACATTTTACAGCCAAAATTACCGCATTTGCTAGCTGCCCCGCTCTAAGTGCTGGCAACGCAGTTGTATCCCAATTGCACCTCGCCGCCGTTGCCAACGTCAACATACTTCCAAATACGGTAATTGAACCTCAGGATCGTAGATTCGCTCACATCGTTCAAATCTATAATAAGAAGCGAGGCTAACTTCGTTAATTCTAATTACGTAACAGGGCCAAAAATACCGGCGGCGTATTTTCATCGGGCGTATCCCTAAGATCGCCAAAGTCGCTTAGATCACTCAGATCATCAAGGGCGGCTATTTCTATCGCTAGTTAGTCCTACGCGACGATATAGATGATGAAGAACTGAAGCTATACTGATATATCGATTGAATGCGGCTGCGACGATGTTTTGGTGATTGTTGAAGGTCGGTTACGGTAGAAAGGTAAGGGCCGGGTTGCGTTGTGGTAAAAAGTGGAAATTACTGCGCGGCAGAATGTTGGATGTACTGGCGGGCGGCGTATTTAGCCAGGGTTAGGGTTTTGTGTAGTAGATTACAGTATCTGGGGACGTTTTAACTGTCGGAGGACAAGGTCCCTACTTAAAATGTATGTATATATACCGTGATAGACAACGTCCTCTCCGGGGCATTTCCAAAAGACTACCTACATCCCGTGTTTGTATGTGCAAATGTACTACAGTGCGTCCAAACTCTGATATCTTATTTTGCGTGTCTTGCATTCGAACTGCGTGGATTCCATGCTGTTAAAGGTTCTGCCAAGAAACGGTTAGAGAGACAGACGCCTCTGTAATACTGGGTGGGTGTATGTACAGCACATACGAAAGTAAGGTTTCATATAGGACCCATCAAACGGCTAGCAGCAGGATGCCATATCTCTCATGGTTTCGCTCTTGAAGGGCGCTATGCGATATATAGATTGAAGTTGGTCACGAAAAAAAAGCCAATACCCGGCGGAAGCACGATGACAAGCCTAACATGAAAAGTTCTCGGATCCGGCTGGCTACAACTGGCGAATCACCTGCCGGCCGCTCCGCTCCATAAACCCGAACTTTGAACGGCCCGGAGCCGGTTCGGCACTAAGGTTGCGGAATAGAGAAGAACAACAAAACAATGTGACGCGGGTTGTAACCTAAACTTGGACCTGATAGCCCCCATGATGAATAAAACCACATTTCACAAATCACGTGTCCTCGGAGAGGATCGAAGGACGCTATATCATCTCTATATCCAAAATTTCATTCGATTTACAGGCCAAAACATCTTGCAAGATACGTAGCATGGTGTGATCCAACACATACAATTTTTAATAACACGACCCCTATGCCTTTTGATAGCCGCACTCGGACAGGCCCTCCTCCAGGGCCTTGATTGCCCGATCGATATCGCCCCTAGAGAGATCGAGCTAAGCGCAGTGTAAGCAGCAGACCAGGAAGAACTCGAGCCTTGAACAAAGGAAGAAACTCACAACGCTGACGCCCATATGGCCGAATCGGATATACTTGGTGACGATTTCTTTGTGGATGCCGCCGGCGAACACCACGCCCCTCTTTGCTAAGCTGGGCAGGATCTGCGGGATCTGGACCGTCTCGGGAAGGTAAATGGCCGTCATGCCGTGAGCCTGGTCGTCTGGGTTGGGAGCAACCTGCTTAAGGCCGAGGTCTGCGACAGCCTTCTTGATCCTGTCCGACGTCTCCTTGTGGCGCGCGAATCGCTCGGACAGGGGCTTGGAGAGTATTTGCGATAGGGCGGTATGGAGCGCATGGACGAGCTGGGGCGACGGAGTGGCGAAGTAGGAGGGCTTCTTGTTCTCGTAGTTTTGCATAACTGCAGCATCACGTCAGTTCACCTGGGGGGCTGCACGAGCGCAAATGGTTTCTGGCTTACTTGGCAGCCATTTCTTCATCGAGGCAAAGTACGACGCCGGAGGGGTTTTCCGGCTCTCGAGCGCCTTGATAGCGCGGCCGCTGAACATGGATATCGACAGGCCGGCGGGGCAGCCAATGGCTTTTTGGCTGGCCGTGACGACGCCGTCCAGCTTCCAGCCGTCAAAGTCGAGCTCCTCGCATGCGACACTGCAGACGCCGTCGACGAAGACAAGGGTGTCTGGTGAGACGCGGCGGACCAGGGCCGAGAGGTTGGCCAGCTCGCTCAGAACACCAGTGGACGTGTCGACGTGGGTAACAGTGATGGCCTTGTAGCGCTTCTCCGACAGGGCCTTCTCGATCTCGGGGAGCTGGGGCCGCGAGCCGACGGCGGCCTTGAGCTCCGTCACCTTGGCGCCGTAGACGGCCAGGCAGTCGGCGAAGCCGTCACTAAAGTAGCCCGTCCCCAGCACCAGGACGTCCTCGCCGGGCTCGATCAGGTTGGCGGCGATGAGATCCCAGCCCAGAGTGCCCGAGCCGGACAGGACGAAGGGCTGCGAGGCGGGGTCGGTGGTCTGCAACAGCTTGCGCAGCATGGACAGCGTCTCGCCAAAGGTGGCGACGAAGCCCGGCGCAACATGGCTCTCGCTAGATTGGCAGTGTCAGCACCGGGAGAGGACGGGTGCGGGTCCGGGGGGCTGCGAGGGAACGCACCTGTAGTGACTCATGGACTGGAGGACGGCATCGTCGAACTCGATGGGGCCCGGGATTAGGATGGTGGGATGGGGCGGCTGGGGCGACATGGTGGGGGAGCTGGAGATGGCGCGTATCTGGGTCTTGGGCAGCAGCGAGGTGTCGACCGTGTCGGGGAGTCGTTCGACGGCGTAGGGGGTGTTGATGGGGTAATCGGGAGCGAGGTGTCTTGAGATCAAAGAGAGGCGCGCGGGGGGGTTATCGGGCGTCTTTTGGTGGGGCATCGAGAGCAGTCGCAAATGTAAGCGTGACTTGGCTGCCGAGCGCCGAAGTGTGTACATGCGCTAGTTGAAAACCTCGGATGGCTGCCTCACGCTCACCACTAACATGTGTTCGGTCTGTGCAAGCGAAACGATACTTTAGGCTCAACTGGAAAATGGGTGCACGGCGAGTACCGCGCGGGGGCAATCAAGCGAAAGTCAAAGTTGACGTAGCCCGCGGATAGCGAGTTTGCGAGAGCGATAACGGCGGAAAGGAGTAAGGTTTGGGGTATGGCGTGCCTGGCTGGTACCTGTATTTGCAGTGTTCTGCCACTCTTCATGTAATTAGTTCCTTAAAAATTGGCAGAGTCAGAGTTACCAATGGCTGTCACTTGGGTAGTATTCTGAAGACCAGAGTTCAATTCAAACATGTTGAAAATCAATAGCCGGCGCTGTTTCAGCCCTGGTTCGGCAAGTCCCGTTCGCCCCGGCATCGGATGCCGCCGATGAAAACACCGTCTCAGATTGGCTCTGTTGTCTAATTCGCTAGAAACGGTTACACAAGGTAATTTCAACTCGTAGAGCCTCACGGGCTTGGCCAAGACAGGCTATGCGTGTTTAGAGAAAACAAGCATCGAGCACATATACTTAACATGACATATTCGTACCATGATTAGTCTTTCCGACGACGTCTGTCCAGGACACGCCTACCAGGTACAGTACGCAGCCCGGCTAGTCACGGTACACCAGCGAGACGGGGTGGAAGCAGCTGCAACTTGACAACCGACCAAACAGTACCAAGTTGTGTTTTGTCTCAACTGTACTCCGTACGGCTGGTCCCGTAGTCAGGGATGCGTCTTTAATCCTGATGCGGCCACAGCGGGGCCTCTTCAGCCTCGAGAGAAATGACAAGAGAGAAATGGAAGAGCCGACATTGTGAGATTTACAGAAAAGTTTACAGGATTACCGCCAAGTTAGGTTTGTCAACCCTTATTCAGTACTTGACCGGTTATGGTTACCAAACCCAGGCTGATGATTTTGGAAGCTACGGAAGGTCTTCCATCTGCCAGGGGCCCCGCCGCTGCAGCGCTGTTGAACATGCGGGGGAGGCTGGAGCCCGTCACGTCGATGAGGCTGCCCCGCAATCAAGCCTCCGATTGAATTTCAGCCCCCGCCGAATCGAGGCCCCCAGGCGGGAGACGTCAGCTCGTGCCAAGACTGGTCGCATGGGCGCGACACCACAGCTCCGGTCCAGGCCCAGAGCTCCTTCCAAGCCACAAAACGACACTGTCGCGACATTCCACCTCGAGCAATTGTGGTATAGCTAGAAGGAATTGAGTGCATCAGGTTTTTTCTAGATACCCTCGTCTCCCGGCCGCCCCCCCTCGATCGAACTCTAGCGAAAACGACACTCGCAAGCCCAAGCCTCCCAGGTCGACGCGCAATCCAGAAAAGCTGCAAGAGCACTTGCTACGGGCGGGCCAGTGGACTTAAACGAAGCCGCTCCAGGGCTCTCGGGGAGGCTCCCATCTACCCAGCACCATGGCGTTCCTGATCCTCGTGATCGGCGACCTGCACATACCGGACCGGGCGCTGGACATTCCGGCCAAGTTCAAGAAGCTGCTCGCGCCGGGCAAGATCGGGCAGACGCTGTGCCTGGGCAACCTGACGGACAAGGCGACGTACGAGTACCTGCGCACGATGGCGCCGGACCTCAAGATGGTCAAGGGGCGCATGGACGTCGAGGCCACGTCGCTGCCGCTGACGCAGGTGGTGACGCACGGCAGCGTGCGCATCGGCTTCCTCGAGGGCTTCACGCTCGTCAGCAACGAGCCCGACCTGCTGCTGGCCGAGGCCAACCGGCTAGACGTCGACGTGCTGTGCTGGGGCGGCACCCACCGCTTCGAGTGCTTCGAGTACATGGACAAGTTTTTCGTGAATCCCGGCAGCGCCACCGGCGCGTTTACCGCCAACTGGGTCCCCGAGGACGACGAGGTCGTGCCCAGCTTCTGCCTGATGGACGTGCGTATTTGTGTGCCGTGGTGGCATAACTGGAGTGTTGCTGACTTTTGGCCTACAGGTGCAAGGCATCTCCCTGACGTTATACGTCTACCAGCTGAGGAAAGACGCCAACGGGGTCGAGAACGTGGCCGTGGAAAAGGTGACATATACCAAGCCCGTCGAGCCAACAGGGGCTTCATAGTGTTGTGTGGGTTGTGAGGCGGGCAGCCACTGCTGTCTATAGCGCGGCTCATGACATGTACAGCACCAGGATGCGCTGTGCCCCGTTCCGTGTCTGGGGGCGTGGCATGAGGATGGTTGACAGAGGGTCTGAAAGCGAGGCTATATCTGTAGACGATGGCCAGGCCGGTGACCTGTGAATGGTGCTGTCAGTGTTTTTAGCAGGCAGTTCATATTATACGGAGGCGCCAGAAGGAGCGTCGAGGCTGTTAATTGATGTTCCCGGGAATACATTCCTACTGCTCGGCCAGCCTGCATGGCTCCTAGCGTGCTTGTTCCTCACGCAAGAAACTGCAAGCCTGCCGTGCACGACTCTGTCTTAGCGCGGCGGATGCTGAAACACGGGCTTTGGTAGGGATAATAAGTATCGCCACGGGTGAAGACCTCTTTGGGATATTAGTATCAAGGCCGCTTTGTAACATCTCCTCGTAGCTTTAGACGTGTAAATTCACGGCACGCTGTTGGCTCGCCATACTGCCAATTCAGAGAGATATGACAGCCAAGAGACGACGGTGAATAGCAGTTGGGTATTTGATTAGTATTAGACTCCCATTCCCGCACCCAGAGCCGACCGCAGCCACATCCAACAACAACCAGCCAGCTATTATGCCAACTAGTTAGGCAGGTAGGCAGCCAAGGTCAGGTCAAGTCATGTAAGAACCGACGAAGGAAGAAAGTAGTAGTAAACAAAGACACACGAGCGCCGAAAAGAAAAACACTAAGAATGGCAAACGCCCATCGCTGTGCAGAAAAACAAGAAAAGAAACATTGCTCAATCCAACATTATCGTCATTTCCCCTTCTTCCCAGTCAGTCACCAGTCACCAGTCCGTCCCCATCTATTCTATTCTCAGCTCCCAATAGAACAGAGACCGTAAAACAGGACCAAGACTGGGAAGATCAGAGCATCATACTCCGCCGCCTCGAGATCTTATCCCGCGCCGCCCTGCTACCTGCACCAACAGCAACCGCATCACCATTATCATCGTCGGCATCAGCATCACCATCTGCCTCCCCGTCCGCAACTGCGTATGCCGTGTCTGCCACCAGCTGCTCCCTCGTCTTCGTCGTCGCGGGGAGCATCGACGCGCGCTTGCGCGAGGACGCCGGGCGTTGTCTTGTTACTGTTGACGTTGATAGTACTGGTAGTGATGGTTCAGTAGTGTCGCTGTTATTGCTATGGCGCACGGCAGCCGACGAGCGGCGGGTGCTGGTGCGCGACGCGGCGGCGCGGGACGGCGCGCGGGCGGTTGCAGTCGGCGCGGACGGTTCATATGCGTCGTTGTCATTATCATTAATGTCAACATCGATGGGCCTTGTCGCCGTCGGCTCAGGCGAATCGGATGCGATGGACGAGCAGGTGAAGTCGTACACGTCGTGCGTGCCCGCCTGCTGCTGCTGCTGCTGCTGCTGCCGGCGCTCGGTCTCGCGGTCGGGCTTGCTCGGCGCTGTGCCTGTCCTACCGCTGTTGGTTCTGGCAGGCTTGGTTGTAAATTCTGCCGCCGCCGCTGTCCTGTCTAGTTTCTCAGTGGTGGTGGTAGTGGTGATGGTGGTGGTGGTGCTTGCGAGTGACTCCCTGCTGCTGCCGCTTGCCATCGATGGCCGCTTGCGCCTGTCCAGCACAACGGTCATGGGCAGCGTCGTCGTCGTCTCGGGCAGCAGCAGGCCCAGGCTCTCCTTGCGCGCCAGGGGACTTGCGCTGGCAGCGGACATGCAGCCGGGGTCGGGGTTGGTGGTGCTGGCGCGGTCGACAGAGCCCGGGGCGGGCGTCGCGGCCGAGGCCGAGGCTGGGGCGGAGCGGTGGGCGAACTTGCCCTCGCCGGCCACGGCATCCAGCAGCTCCTTGGTCGGCCGGCGCATCTTGACGCGCAGGCTGGGCTCGGCATAGCTGACGGCCGCGCGCGACCGCCGGTTCGGCCGCGACGTCTCGCCGTCCTGCGAGATGTCCGCCGGCGGCGGCGTGTCGTGTGTTGACAGTATCGGCTGCACGCCAGTACTCGAAGAAGATGGGGGAGGCGTGCCGGGCGCGGTGCGGTGCGGCGACGCTAGTTCCTGGTCGTCGTCCTCCTCCACGGGAAAGGGGGTCAGCGGGTCGTCCGGGACGACAATGTCCGCCGTCTCCGTTACTGTCGGGGGATCCAGGGGCACGGGGATCTCGAGCTTGGGCGGCGGTTTTTGCCGCCCTGTGCGCGACTCCCCGGGGTCTGCTGCCGCGACCGCCGGCTTGTTCTCGTCGAGCACCTGCACGGTTTTTGCGGCGGGGGCCTTCCGTGGGGATGACACGTCCTCGTTGGTGCTCTTCGCCGAAAGCGGCGTCCTCCCCTTCTCGCGCCGCGGCGCAGATGCGTCTTTGATGCTCCGCCTCCTCTGCAGGAGGTCGCGCACGGGAAACGGCTTCCCCGTGTCTGCCGCCGCTGCGTTTCCTTTGCCTGGCTGCGCGGACCCGACTGCTTTGACGCCTTCGTTCTCGTCGCCGTACTTCCTCTTGGCGCCGGCCCTGGTGGTCTGCAAGATAGACAGTGTTGGCGGGGTTGCTATGGGGTTGCTTTCCTTTTCGGATCGTTTCCTGGATTCCTTGGCCTCTTTGACCTCCTTGACCTCCTTGATCTCCTTGGCCTCTCTAGCCGCCCTGGCCTCTCTGGCCTCTCTGGCCTCTCTGGCCTCCCTAACCTCCCTGACCTCCTTGACGGCCACGCTCTCCGGGTCCAGCCTAGCTTCAAGATTGCTGGGCCGCTTCCGGTCGTAGTCTAGCTTGGGGGGCGGCTGGGTCTCGGGCGGCTCGGAGCTCTCGTCAGGCTGTTCTGCGGGCTCGTCTGTCCCCGACTTCCTGATGGGCGACTCGGGCGTCGCTTCTTCGACGAAGCGCGAGACGGGCGGCGGGCCCAGATCGGGCGACTCACTCGTATTCCCCACCTCGGAGCACAGGGCTAGGATCTGTTCGCTGCTGTTGATAGTGTCAGCACCGCGCACTGGCGTCTCCGGATGGCTTGTTACCGGGCAGACTAACTTCATGGTGGCGCGGGGGAACGACTTGTTCTCCTGGATGGGCGGCAGCCGGCCCTCGCGCAGAGCCTGGGCCTCGGCATCTGTTATGGTGTCGATGCGCACTCGGCGTTGTGGGGGGCTCCGACTGGCGGCAGCCCGGGGCTGGGCGTACTTGCGGCCTCCGGGAGAGCGCCGCTTCGAGGGCGGCTCTAGGCCTAGAGAGGCGAGCATGGACCCCCATTCGATGAACTGGGCCTCGAGCTTGGCCTTGATCTCGAGCGCGTGGTTGGCGACCCTCTGCGCCGTGTTGTCATGGGCCTCATTCTCGAGGCGCAGGATCTGGCCGCGCAGGTCGAGGTTCTCGGACAGCAGGCGGGCGCATTCGTTTTCGAGGGCGCGGATGCGGAGCGACTGGCTCGAGTTGATGCGGGCAATGTCTCGGTTCTGCCGCAGAAACTTGCGGCGCACTAGTTACATTGATGATTAGGCATTATTATTATTAGTAGCAGACGAGAGAAAGAACGAAAATATGACATACGGATTTCGAGATTGTCGGCAGACGGCACGGCTTCATTGAGTCTCGCCATTGCTCATGCCAAACACAGACTGTGTGCGCGGGAGCGCGATTCGGTGTCAGTCGGATTACTGGACTTGAATTTCAAACACGCGCAAACTACTGACGGGTTTGCACAAGACAGCGGGAGTCGGTGTGGAGGCCCCAGAGCTCGCCGGGATGGATAATTTCAAAGTCATTTCCAGCTGTTTACTTCCTTCCCTGAAGTGGCTTAGCGGCCCAGCACCCACCTCGCTGTTAGCGGCCACGGTGCCCAGCAACCAACAACCTTGGGCTGTTTCGGCTAGCCCGTTAGTGGGGGGGCCCTGGCCTGGCCCGACTGGCAGCCCGCCGTCCCGTCGGCAGCTGATGGCTGAGCTGCAGCACGTCAGAGGCGGGCGTAGGTAGCTATTTCGGCTTGACTTTGAGGCTAGCTGGCTGTGGCTGTCTGTCAAACCGTCGACAACGACAGAGATCACTTCTGTTACATATGTAATCGGCGGCATTTCATCCCCTCAACTACGGCACCTATCTACACTCTATCTTGGGCAATGCAGCGCATTGACCGCGCATAGTTCTAGTCTACCATCTGGAAACCGATACCGATACCGCATTCACCATGTCCGCCTTCCCGACCAGATCGTTCTCGTCACACATGCGACAGCCGTCGTTGGCTGCCGCCAGTACAGCGTCCACCGGCCAGCCCACCGCCCTAGCCGCACGCGTCAGCGAGAAAAAGGCCGAGCTCGAGAATCTCAAGGAACTGCGCAATCTCAGCGCCGCCCTGGCCTCGCAAATGGAAGCGCTTGAGCAGAAGCTGGCCACCCTCTCTGATGGGACTGAAGGTCTGTCGGCCCCCTGCGTTGCCTCTACCCCCAAAACTGTGATTGACTCTCTGTAGCCATTGCCCTGGTTCTCAGCAACTGGCATAACGTGCTGAGGGCGATTAACATGGCATCGGGTACCTCTCCCCTGCCCTGGATCTTAAACTAGAATATCTAGTCTCTAACAGCTGCAGCGAAACTCCCAAAGCCCAGCACTAACGAAAGCTCACCTATGGACGACCCAGCACCGCTCCCTCAGGCCCTTGTTAGGATCCCGACAGAACATGCGCCGACGCTCCAGGCACATGCCGAAGGGGCGCTTGAAGAGGAGCGCGACTGACCGGGCTCAACACTCAACGCCTGCCTAGGTAATCAAAATACCTTGGCAAATACGATGGAACTTGGGCAGGCTTCGTCCGAGCAATGGCACTACTTTTGTAGTGATTTTCCGACAAAACTTGTGATCCCAAAGTTCCCAGGTTGGAGCAAACGCACATCACTAACGCTGCTATGCGATTATTGGACCGCAAAACCGCAAAAGCCTGACACACCCCGCACCGAATCACAGACCGAGTGCACTTGCCTGGGTCAGGTGTTAGGGTCGAGCGGGGTGCAGCACCCGCGTTGTTGTCGCGTTCCTTAGTCAGCCAATTCGATGGCAGATGTCGCGACATGATTGGGCCGATCCGACGCGCAGGGGTTTTAATAGGAAGGAAACTCCATGCGAGTCTGGTGCGACACAGTGCAGGCGGAGGCGGCACACAAAATTGCTCGACCGCGTACTGGTCCTACTGGCAACGGAGGGAGAGAAGAGGCCAAAAGGAGCGAACGTGTCTGCCAGTTCCGCGACGCAGTCCACTATGTAGTGCAGGAAGGAGCGGAGCACCTCAGAGGGGCACAGATCGGAGCGAGGGCAGTTGCAGTTGCATGTACTTGTGGAATGTTCTGTTTTTCTGGGGCGCGCCGTGGCTGCAGGAAAAGTAAACAAGTGGCAGTCTTGAAATAGCCGTTTGTCCCGAGGGCCTGGTGCAACGCTTCCAAACACCATCATTGCTTCAGCTTCACTTGTCCGGCTCTGATCCCAATTGGCACACGACAAACGTCCACTACGGCTACGCTACGCAGCATAATTGATCGATTCTACTATTCCGTACTAGCGAACAAGCTTTTGATCAGCCTTCTCCAGTGCAGCCCAGCCAGCCTCAATCTTGATTTCCTGTCGTGTCTGGGGATCAAACGGCGCCCCTCCACACCTGCACTGCACCTCCACATCACACTGGCCACACCTGGCCTGGGCTCCCCCTCAATCCTCGCATCCCCTGTTTTTTATCCGCGAAATTGCATTGCACCCCCTTGTCTGTGCTTGACTCAACTGCTTGGTGGCGCCCTGAATTCGGGCCCTCGACTGCGGCCCAAGGTTTCGCTGCGACGGGCTTGGCTTGGCCTGTTTGGCCCTTGCACTCTACTGCACGCGGCCGACGGAACAATCCGCCTAGACCACTAGGAATTAAAAGCCATGGCCACGGGAACAAGACCTCGACCCAGCGTCGTGGGCATCGACCTTGACATCAACATCCACGACGACGACCGGAGTTACAACCACCCCAGCGCCCCCACCAAGGACGTCTCGGTCCTCGACGAACTCCCTCTCGGCAACATCCAGAACCTTGCCCAGCATTCCATCGACTCGTTGTCTGCCGACCTCGACAATTTCCACATACACACGCTAGACCTGGCCAAGGAGAACGCCTATTCTCAACAGCAGTTGCTGCAGCCGCACACGGCAAAGCTCCGAGGGCGCAAGGCCCGTCCCCACGTCAACGTGGATACATTTCAGGTTCCAGTTGCAGCGCCAGACCAAGACAACACGTCGTCTAGGGCAGTCTCTGGTTCGAGCTCAGACGTCTCCAGCGTTGGCTTGCTGTCATCTGAAGGTGCGCAACCCCTCCCTTCTCCCCCCTCAGTCTCTGAACGTAAGCTGACGCCACCTAGACTTCCAAAAGAACAACGCACTTGCCATTGCAAGCCACCACCTACCCAGCAACCAGGAGCAGCTGTCGAAACACCAGGCAGGTCAGTTTGAATGGGTGCTCTCTATCCCCATCGGCAATGCGGCCAGCGATGCAGTCCAGTCCAGATCTCTGCCGAGTGCCCCCCATGGGGGCAGACCCAACCACGGGGAGTCGCGAGACAGGAGACTTCTCTTTGGGTGCAACCTGGTCCATCGCAGAACCCAGTCCGGCGGCCATGTTGGCAAGGACGCCAAGTCAGCTAACATATACACCCTCTTAGCCACCCGCATTGAAGGTGATGACGACAGGCCCACAATCGACCAGGCCGCCCCAATAGAGGACACAGACATCATGTCCACTACCACCCAGATCCAGGATCCCGACACGACAGTAATCCGGATGGCGGAGCCTCACCAGACCGAGGAAGGCGAGCTGCAGAGGGAATCGCAACTGACGCTGGACACCAAGGCTGACGACACTGTCGAGCATTTCATTGCTCTCTCGCCCGCTGACGCCTCGCCCCGCATTGAGGATTCCGTCGAGGCCATCGATAAGCTCGAAGAGGAGCTGGAAGCCCTTAACGAGGTGACGCGGCTCGATCGCGTCCTGTCCCCCGACGCTGGAAAGGCGTCGAAAGTGCAACCCCTTTTTGCGACAACAGCCACCGCGAAAGCTGCATCGCTGCCAAAGCGAACAGGCTCGGTCGCAGCAAGTAACGCCGCCGCACGGAGGACGGGAGCTGAGACGGTCCGTATCAAGAGGGTAGAGCGCACCTCCTCGGTGCGCAGGTCGACGTCGATGACATTCAGCCACGAGGAAGAGAGACCAGCTAGCGTGAGTCAAAACGTCGGCCCGAGAAAGTCGGCGGTGGCGAGACCCACCAGTCTGCTGCCGCCGAGACCGCCAGCCCGGTCTAGCAAGCCGCCAACGGTGTCGACGTTTGAACTCCCCGGCGAGGCAGTGGCGCGGCGGCTGAAGGAACAGCGCGAGGCCCGCCTTTCGCGCCAGATAACATCGGAAGAGGCGGCGGCCATGGCTGCGGCTTTCTCTCCTTCTAAGCCTCACGCAAAGTCGACCAAGCCGCCGACGCGGCCAACGTTTGAGCTGCCCGGCGAGGCCATCTCTCGGCGCAAGCGAGAAGAGCGCGAGGCCAAGCTGCGCGCGCAGGAGGAGGAGGAGCGCAAGCGCCGCGAGTTCAAGGCCCGGCCGGTCCGCAATAGCATCGCCCCGGGCAGCTATCCGCGCGAGACGGTGGCCAGCCGTGCGCGCCAGGGCAAAGTAGCACAGCAGTCCGAGAACGGCGAGCCGGCAGCGCCCGCGACGCCCATCGGAGGCACGATCGCCCGGAAGCGGCAGTCCATGGCGCCTAGCGGCCCCGGCAGTTCGGCCGCGCCCCGCGCCTCGCTCAGCGTGGCATCCGGGAACCAGCAGCAGCCGACGCGCGGCCGCGGGTTGATGGCGACAGCCGCCGACAGCTACCACCTCAGCCGGGCGACTAGCGCGACGTCGACTACGGGTAGCATCCGCGGCAGCGGCGGCGGCAGCGTGGGCAAGCGCAGCACCATCAGCAGCGAGGAGGCGCAGCAGCAGAAGCTGCGCGGCAAGGAGATTCTGGCGCGCGACAGCGTTTACGTCGTCGACCGCGAGCGCGAGCGCCGCGAAAGGGAGGCGGCCACCAAGCTCGCCCGCCAGGAGGCGGCGGAACGCTCGCGCCAGCTCAGCCGCGAGTGGGCCAAGAAGCAGAACGCCAAGAAGGACGCGCTGGCGGCCAAGGCTGCCGGCCCGGCTATGGCGGCGTGAGCGAGTGGGCAATTTGAGTTTTATTCGTTGTATAACTTTTTTTTTTTTACCGGTGGACGTTGGACGTATCTCTTAGGTGAGAGTTAGCTGGTCGGTTTATTTGCATAGCACGGACTGTGGTGTGGTGTTAGGTCTGTATACGAGGGGTGGGTGTGTTTTTTTTGCACTTTCCGATCAAGTATACGCGGTATGTTTTTTTCCCGAGTTAGTGGTGGATAGTGGGAAGTCAGGCTTAGGTTGTCCACCTAGGTTTGTGGTGGCGATATTGGCAGCTCTTCTAGGAATGAATGGGAATAGGGATGAGGGGGTAAGGCAGTGTTATGCTTAGGTTAGGCTACGTACGTGAGTTGAGTGGACTTGGGTTGAGTTACACTATTTTTATATAGAGATACAGGAATAACCAACCCGTTTATTACGTAGGAAACCAGCACCAGTGTGTGTTGGTGAGAGCGGGTCGTGCACTAGCATTGTGATAGTCCAGTGGATATAAGGCGAGTTGACTTTTGGGTCCAGGGCCTCATCGTTAGGCAAGGGGGGTTGCTAAAGCGCCTTTGATCAAGTTGCAAGCGACTGCCCTGGTACATGGCGTTTCAATGTCTAGACAGGTAGCCTCTCTTCAAGCATTGAAGGAACTCGGGAACTCGAGAACGAATGGTTCAAATACTATTTGCTAATTTTATACTTGAGGGAGCTTGTATGGATAGGTTCTTACTTGGTCTTGATAGAGTGAGTGGTTGTCGTATGTCTTGCTATTGTGTCTTGTCATTGTATCTCGATTCTGTATTCTGAATTGCAGATTACCGCTTGCTATAAGCCATCTCAGGCCACGTAAGGAAAGTTCAGACACGTACACATGGTCAACGTTGCCGGTAGCTACCAGCAAAAACTACAACAACAACCACAAGAAAAATATAAAAACAATTCATGATCCTAAACAACACCCCCAGCCGAGAGTTCTGGTTCTATGGTTTATCATAGACTACCATGGTAGTTAGATCATACCGCTGCTTCCACTTCCATTCCTACCTCTCAAGTCCAGCCACAGCCAGGTGCCATGCAGATAGATAGACAGACAGACATGACAACGAACCAATTAGGTAGGAAGTTAGGTAGGGAGGTTCCTTGGCCAGCCAACCTGACGATACAGGATAGGACAGGGCAGCCAGCGTGTCCGTGGCTTGGTACCAAAGGTCTGGCTCTCTCGTCAATCTTGACTTCCCATCTCCATCTTCATTCTTAATCTTTCATCCCCCACCGTGAGAATCTTCCACCTTTCATCTTCACTTTCCATCCTCGCCTTCTATCTTCAACTTTCATCTTCGTCGACAATCTTTCATCCTCCACAATGATAATCTTTCATCTTTCATTTTCATCTTCCATCCACATATTCTATCTTCCATTTTCCGTCACCATCTCCATTTTTTATCTTAATCTTAAAATCTTCCATCTTCCCCCTTTCATCTTAATCTTCAACTTTCCCCTTCCATCCCCATCTTAATCTTTGTCTTCCATCTCCAATCCTCCCCCAAGCCAAGCCAAGCCTGGCCAAGCAACTCGAGTCCGAAGCCCAGCCGCCCAGGTCCGAAATACAAGCCAAGACAAGGCAGCCTACCAGCCAAGACAAGGCAGCCTACCAGCCAAGACCTAGGCAGCAAGGAAGCAACTAACCCCACCGCCACGCCAGATAAAGCGCAGCAACAGCACCACACAACACAATAGAATAACAGAACACAACACAACACAACAACAGCACAACGCCGCACCACACCAACAGAGCACAACACAGGACAAAAACGAGCACAGAAACCAGACGCCAGCCCGGCTGATTATATATCAAAACATTACATTAAAACAAAAACACACGCAGCAAATTTTTCTATCCCGCTTCTACTCCTACTCTTACTCCAACCCCATCATCACCGACACCACAAAACACCACCGAACACCGCCTTTTATATACATACCATTCCCGGCTCACGAAACGAACCGAAATATCAACCACCCAAGTCCTCAGGAGGGAAAGGCTCAGACAAAAATCACAGCTTCGCCTTGACCACAGCCACGGGCCCGGGCGCGTCCTCGCTGTGGTCCCTCGGGCCGCGGCGCTCGTCCTGGCCGCGGACGCCAAACCCCTCGCTAAGCTCGATGCGAGCCCACCAGAAGGCGCAGGCCTGCCTCTCAAAGTCAGAGAGGGCGCTCGCGTGGACGGGGATGCCAGGGGTCTTTTCCGGGGCGCGGCTGAACCAGGACCCCTGGTGGGGCCCGGCGAAGCGCTCGTTGTTGCCGTCGCCAAAGACGGCGATCTCGCCCTTGCCGTCAGTTTCTGTCGCGGGCTCCGTCTTTGCCGGGATGGTGCCCCGCTTCTTCGTGCGCCGCCACCCGCCTGTGATCCAGCCTAGCACCTCGTCGCGCGAAAAGGGCGAGACGAAGGCGGGCCACTCGGTAGCGCCGTCGGGCGCGCCCTCGTTGGGGTCGCCCGTCTTGGAGACGACGAAGCGCCACCAGGCGCCGTGCATGGCGTCGGCCACGGCCAGGAGACCGGGCATCTTAGGCCCGTCGGCCGGGGCGAGCGAGTCCATGTCGTGGGAGACGACGTTACCCTCGTCGCCATGGTTGGCCGTGCCGCGCGCGGCCGTCGCGGCGAAGCGGTAGACGTGCACGGGCGGCGCCTTGGTGTCGCCGTCGCCGGATCGCGAGAGAAAGTGGGCCGTCTGCAGCACTGGGCAGATGTAGGCGTAGTGGCTGTAGGCGGCGTCGAGGCGCATGAACTGGCGGCCCACGCCCTTGGGCACGGTCCGGTACGGGTTGTCCTCGCCCCGGGGCGTCTTGACCGGGTCTGGATATAGCTTCTCGAGGGCCGCGAGGTCGGCGTCGTTGAAGTGCGGGATTAGCGCCTGGAAGAACTCTCGGAAGTCTTCGTTGGTGTCGGCCGAGGCCGGCACAAAGGACGTGCCTTCGTTAGTGTTGAAGCCCGTCAGCACGGGGATGCGGAGGTGTTTCGCGTCGCGCCACAGGTTGATGGGCAGGTCCGGGAGCACGGTCGGGGCGGGGGACGAGGCCGCGTGCCGGCTCGAGTTGGCTAGGCCGTTGGGCCCGTCGATGACGGGCTGGAACGGCCACGTAACAGTGTCGACATACATGTCCCACACGGCTCTGGACGCCTTGACGATGGTATCGAGCGGAAGCTCGCGTAGGCGCGCAAACACTTCGCTCTCGGCCACGCCGGGGATGCCGGCCTCGAGCAGGAATTGCTCGAACTGGACGAGGTGGCGCGGGTGGGTGGGATAGAAGACGGCCCGCGCCGTGGTGGCGCCAGACTCCAAGATGGCCTTGGCAAAGGGGGCCTTCTTGCCAGCCTGCGCATACGACATAATGTGGTGCCCGATCTGAGTGGCAGCTGCTGTTAGTAAACGAAGGGATTTAGGACTGTAAAAACATACCGAGTGGGAGCCCGCGCTGACGCCCATGATGGTGACATTGTCGGGATCGCCGCCAAAGGCCTCGATGTTGTCCCTGACCCACTCCAGCATCAGCTGCTGGTCGCGCAGGCCGAGGTTCAGCAGGCCCTCCTTGGCGGTCAGGGCCGAGGGCAGGAAGCCCAGGGCGCCGACGCGGTAGTTAAAGTTAATGCCGATCATGGGGGCGTCGGCCCAAGCAACGAAGCTTGCCATGTTGCGCTCCTTGCCGGTGCCGCCGTTGAAGGCGCCGCCGTGGACGTAGACGACGACGGGTAGCCGCGGGCGCTCTTTAGTAGTGCCATTCTCGCTGCCCTTGAGGAAGCCGTCATTGCCGACCAGGGCGGCGGGGCGGTAGATGTTGGCATTGAGGCAGTCCTCGCCGGAGTCCCTGTCCGTCTTGACCTCCCTGGGGCAAGTCGGGCCGAACCTGGTAGCTAGAAAGGTATAGTTTGAGGGGGGCAGGGGCACCGGGGGGCGGAAGCGGTTCTCGCCGCCTGTGGTGTCGGCGTAGGGAATCCCGCGGAAGGCGTCAATGCTCTTGGGGAAGCGATTGGAGGCCGGCAGGGTGGCGCCGACGTAGATGCCCTGGGGGAGGATGGCAGTGGGTATGGGGATGGCACTCGAGGTCGATGACGAGGGGGCGTCGTCGGCGGCGGGCTCCGGCAGGGTCATGGTGGGCTCCGGTGGCGGCAGGGTCATGGTGGGCTCCGGTGGCGGCGGTTCTTTTGTGTCGTCGGTGGCTGGTGGTTGTGGGGGTGGTCTGAAGGGCGGGAACGGCTGGTGACCGCCGTGATGTGGATGTGGATGTGGATGGGGATGGGGTTGGTGATGAGGATGGTGCGGTGGAGGGCGGTGACGGGAGCCCGGCGGCCAGCCATTGGGACCGCTATGGTTGAGATAGATCCACAGCAGGACTAAGACGGCCACAGCCGACAGCCAAGACGACCGGGACGACGGGGCGAAGAGGACGCGCCTGTACTGCTTGGAATGCCGTGATAACCGAGGCGGGCAGCAGCTGCAGACCATGGATATCTATTTCCTGTCTCCCCTCGCCGCGCTCGCTGCGAGAGCGGGCGGGCGGGCGGAGAGGCTCAGGTTCTTTTTGCTGGTCGTTGTCCGCCCGTCTGGTCTCGTCTATCCGTCTCGTCGGGTCTCTTGGCGTCTCTTGGCGTCAAGTCTTTTGCGGTCAATCGCCCTTTTCTCCTCCTCTTTCTCGCCTCGTGTCGCAATTGATGACCTCGACCTGACCTCGTCCTCGTCCTCGTCCTCGCGGGCTGGCTTGGTGCCACGGTTCCCGCTCCACTCCAAGACTGTTGCACGGGGGAAAAGTGGAGGTGTTGATGATCAGATGCAGACCGGTGCCAGCGAGCTTCTGACCCGGGTGGGCTGCAGCTGCGGCTAAGTATGGTTTTTGGGGTTTTCACTATGCACCGTAACTGCCCTGCTCCGTGTTGGCGCTGTGTCGACCACTAGCGTACCACATTACGGCTCACAGCGTGATAATTAGGTGGGCCCTCCACAGCCCGCCACTCTCTAAAACACCCCAGCGGTCTCTGGCGGTCCAGACTCGCCAGGCTCAAGCTAGCCCCCAATTCGCTCGCCGCAACCAGCCGTGCCGCAGACTCAACTGCGACACTGAGGTAGACGCTAGCTGCGTCGTCGGAAAACCGTTGCCATTCGGCAGTTGCCAGCGAGAAGGTGTGCTCAGTCTTGGGTCCGCGGACAGTTGCCCAGGACTCGACATCCGTTACGGATACTTCGTGTTCGTTGTTTTCTGTGAGAAACACGCGGCCCACTACCACGGATTACCTTACCTAGGAACCCAAATTCGATTTGAAACCGCCATGACGAAGAAACTGGCAACCGCGACCGGACCAATTGCATCATGCGGTGCCGCTAGGAGATTAGTAGCAACTCAAGCTTCCGGGGCACCTGCTAGCCAGGGCACAGGGCAGAGCAAGGCAGGACAGGGCAGGGCAGGACATCTCCGTGCCACCGGACGCGGGCGCAGGCAGACCGTGGAAGCCAGTCAGCAATGCCGGCGTGAGGAGTTCAAGTTTTCTCCTCTGGTCGGTAAAGTGCAGCAAATCCGCATGCATGCATGCAAGCATCCGCATGCAAACTAATCATTCCACCATTCATATTCACAATTCCACATGGATTGCAATCAGCAGTAATATGGCATTATTTTAGCATTAGCATCACCAATCTCTTTTGGCCCCCTCAGGCGCTCTAGCGCAGTTCCTCCGGCTCGATGGATCGAGAAGCCATACCTCTTTCTATTCCAGCTCGTCAGCTTAGATTCAGCACGTGGGCTTACACAAGATTGGACTGAGATGGAGAAAAGGGGACCGACCATCCACTCACGATCCTTCGCTATCATGCTTGGCGGCCCAATCTGGCCATGTCATGGCCAGCACAACACACGACGACCCCCCGTCGTCTCCCCGTTGGATTTGATCGTTCATCGTGCGAATGGGGCTTGCTTGTTGGTACGGTATCCGACCGATGATATAACCTAATCGGCCCCAGGAGACGGATCAGTCTAGTGTAAAGGATCCTTATTAGCGGCTTCTAGGTTCTGGAGTCGTCCCCAAAAAGTCGAGAGAGAAGCAGACTCGCGGCACATTCGTTCATTCATACCCAGGGACAAGCTCCAAAAGTCAGCGGACTTCAAAGTTTTACTCGAAATGATAAAGACAAGATCCCAACCGCTCCTTTCCTCCTTCTTTTCCTGTCTTTCTTTTTCTATCTTCTTCCGTGTCTAACGGAGGAAATGCATGCCTTCCCCTTGACGTCCTTTGCTCAGCCTGTCTTTAGGGGTGTTTCAGCCTGTATACGAGCCACTACTCAGCTAGTGCTGTGGTATTGTCGTGGAGCAGGCCAGACCAAGTAGCAACAAATGCTTGACCTACCTACATGCATCATGCCACCTGCCTATTCCGCTGCTGTCCACGCAAGATTTAACTGACAATACCGTACAAAAGGCCCTCGAAGTCCAGGCAGCAGCTCAACCAGTCGGCCCACGAGCGACACATCCTTCTCCTGATCACAGGAATACGGGTGTCCTGATGACGCGTCGTTTATTTACCCTTTTGGATCTGGTTGAGCTGCCGGGACTCCGCCATGATACATGATCCATCGACTTCACGGGCAACGGTGAGGTCTTGGCAGGGGCCAACACAGCCCTCCTGTAGAGCTCGTTGCCAACTTCCCCCTACCCTCGTGTTCTGGGGAATCACCGAAGACGTTGATTTGCTACAGCGCCTCTCGGCCATGTGCAATCAACCATACCTGGGAACGGGTCGGCCACGCTCGAGTCCGGGGTGAAATAAGGAGGTGGGTGGTTTGTGACACTTGGGGCTGGCAAACAATCACCGTCCGAGCACTGAAACCTACGTCCGATGCGACAATCCAGACCAGTCGGTGTCGGTAGCCGAGAGTGTCAGGGCAATGCCGGCTCCTGGCTCGCCCTCGGAAGCTCGATATCAACCACCCACGGCAGCTGTGTCTCGGCCTCGCACTGCCCCTGGATCGCCGCGTTGACAAACAGCGTGTGTCTTCCCGGCCCCAAGGGCATCTCGTCTCCTGCGCAGTGGCTCGTGTATCAGGCCCCCAGAGACGCGTAGTCCTGCAGCCTCCGCGCCTTTGCTGCGGCCGACTCCGGCGTGTCCCGCTTTCCCGCTCGGAGGCTCGCCTGCGACTTCACCGTAGCAGACTGCCCGTTGTCGATGTGTGTGAAGTGGGAAGGCGTCTCGTCGTCGGGCACGTCGTCGCCGCGCCACGCGACCAGCTTGGCGCCCCAAGCCTCGTAGATGTGCCCGAAGCAGTTCATGCGCGGCCGAGCTCGGGCCACGGCCGCGAAGAGGTGTGTCGACCTGGCGCGCTGTCCACCGTCCGCCACGTCCAGCACGCCGCGCGGCGGCCCGTGAGTGATGGCCACGTCGATGCCGCTAGCTATGCAAAAGTCGTGGCCCGTCTCAGGCCGGAACTGGAACCCCGAGTCATCGGCCGACGGCGTGTACGGGCTGGCGTACACTGTCAGCAGAGCGCCGTTCTGCAGCGCGAAGCGGTGGGTGCCCTCGTCGAGGAGCACGATGCCGTAGGCCTCGGTGAACAGCGTCCGCGCCTCGCCGAAACCGCCAAACTCTCTTTTGACGAGCGCCGGGTCGAGCGGGCCGCTCGCCTCGGCGACTTTGCGCTCGAACGCGGGCACGTCCAGCGTGAAGCCGTGGTTCCCTGCAATGACGAGCTTGAGCGGCGCCCGGATTCTCTTTAGCATCTCCAGCGAGGTGTGGAACTCGCTGATCTTGGACTCTTCTGTGAGGTCGCCGCAGTGGATGGCAACGTCCACGGGCAGTTCAGGCGCGGTTCCGGGCCAAAACTCGTTTCCGTGCGTGTCTGAAATGACGAGAAACCTGGTCTTGATGTCCATGGCTACCTAGAGTGGCTGTGCTCGAAGAACCGTCTACGCTTGTTCGGTGTGCTCATTTCCTGTTTGAAGGGGGCGTCGGCTTCTCGAGGAATAGACTTTGTAGAGAGTAACTTTGACACGTCGCGGAAATCGAGGATGCGAAAGGAATTTTATACTATAACGGGCCAGCCTGAAGGTTTGTCGTGATATGGTTGAGCCTGGTGCAAAACCTAACTCTATGGATGTGAAAACACTGGCACGGTGCCGGGCGGTTAGGAAACGCTCTTACCTTGGTATCTTGTAAGCACGCACGTGGCGGCGCTGTAGTTTACCTGCCATGACGATGGGCGTTGGATTGTGCTGTCAGTTGTTCTATTTGTTTAGCCAACGCAGAGCGTGCTTGACATTATTCACATACACGAACCACGAATGATGGGGTTATACCCACAGCACAGCCTAGCAAAACCTAATCATGTATAAGGGTTGATATTGCTGAACTAAGCTCTATCGATGGTGTAGTTGTCTTTATCAAGAATAATAAACATACACACCCGGCTATCTCATTCCATTGACGATATACCTCTAGTTCTCGAGTTCTCCGTCTTTAGGAAGCTCACGTCCACGCTTATGTATCTGGGGCATCAACTAAGGCTCAAATAATAATAAGAAAGGACCTCAAACACACTATCTCTTTTCCCACTTGGTACCATCCACTTTGAGACTCTTCCAGCCTGAAGCAGACTAATCACTTACCACCCACGTACTTCCCATCACATATTGCAACGACTACATTTAGTCACTAGAGGCTTACTCTCTGTCACTTCGGGGTTGCTCACTCAGCTCCTATACCTACCGCACCCACTCGCTTGGGATTGGACAGATAGACATCATGTGTGAAATAAATAATTGCCGAATTTAACACCCACAAACCAACCACAAGACCACCCAATCTGGCCGCTAATCCCTCCCCCCCTCCTGTCTCGACCAGAACAAGCCGCCCTTCAGAAGACGGGAGTAAATCTAAATAATTCGCCGACTAGCAGGCTCAGTGAGCTTTATCTCGCGTTCACATATCTCAGGGTTTCTCCTCGACAGGCTCCCTTAGGAATTGTCACCCCTCCCTCCCTCACTTGATCAGCTACCTACCTACCTTAGCTACCCTGAACGAGATGGGGTTTGGTTGCCTGGGAGATGCGTAGAATTAGGTGCCTAACCTTATATTATCTTTTCTTTCCTATCTAGGTACCTACCTACCTACTTAGGTACCTTTCCTTACTCCTTCCCTTCTTCCTTCTTCCCTTCTTCCTCCTTCCCTTCTTCCTTCTTCCTTCTTCCCTTCTTCCTTCTTCCCTTCTTCCTTCTTCCCTTCTTCCTACCTACCCACTCTTATACCTACCATCCCCCCCATCCGTCCTATCCAGTCAGTTAGTTAAACTCGACTCCCTGCAGTGCTCGACACGCAACCAGAAGAGCCAAACATATATGATTTCTACCAGCAGAGTTGTGCAACTCAACTCTCCAAGATAACTCATGTGCTCTACTTCCCGTTCAAACTTACATTAAGGTAGCTACATACATTGGGAACTGTATTTATTTTAGTATACACATACCATCTTCGTCAGAGATACCCATCCGCCACGGCAACCTATGACTTCAGTCTACCACAACAAAAGTCAACCAGAGACGCACAGCAGACATCCAACAGAGATTGTGTGCATTATCATAGACGAACGAGGTTCACGACCACCCAAAGATCTATGTACATATTTTTCCTTCTTCCTTCCTACTTCTTTTCCTCTCGCATAATCCCGCCATTTGTACATGCATGCACCCCTCCCGACGAGCCCCCCGCCAGCTCGCCCGAGCCCCCCGTCTTCCACCCTCATCCGGCCCTCGGCTTCATCATCCCGAAGCCTTATTTAGCCGCACCCCGCCCCCCGCTCCTGCTGGGAGTAAACACCCGAGAATGCACTCTGGATGAGGGGATTGCAAACGCTGGAATCGTCCGTGCAGAGATTCCACTCGGCTACGACTGTCTCACGTGAAGTGATGAGGTGCGAAGAAATGTTCTTGATCGAGGACTCGAATATTACGTGCCATGGATCCGCGCCCACTGGCTGGGCCAGCGCATTAGATATGTAAAGTGTTATAAACAGCTGATGTTTGTCGGATGTTACCAAGTGGCCGAATCGCAAATGCTCAAAATGAGAAATCAATGCCGAATTAAACGCCAAAAGAGCTTGATAAAAAAAGCCCATCGAGAAGGGTATCCGTATGCAAAAGCGTCAACATTTTTGCCAAGCTGAAAAGACTCCAGCTCGGTACAAGAAATCAGAAATTTTGCGAAATACCGGCGCTCTGCTGAGGGTAGTGCGCCGGGTTTTCAATGCGCGTGTTCCGTCTTGCCGTGACGTCTCGAATAACCGGCTGCGCGGGCATCTCGGCCGCTGGTGGACGGACGCCAGGAGCGCCTTCCACGTAAGGGTTGCCGTTCCCATATTGGTCGTAGTACTGGGAAGGGCCTCCGTATGCGACCCCGATGGCGCCGTCCCCAGACCCGTCAGACTGTGCAACGCCGCTGTACGAAGACGAAGCGTTCGAGGGGCCGCGGTGCACGTCGCCGGCGCGATTGTTGGCAGCCGAGGGGCCCATAGCCCCGAGGATCTCGCCTTCCGGAGTGGGAGATCCGTCGTGCATGAGGGGCTCCCCGGATCGCGTGTCTGAGATAGCGCCATGAGTGGGTGAGGTTGCGGTTCCGTCCGAGTAAGCAACACCAGCGCCGCCAGACATGGTGGTCGACGCCTTTCCTGCCGTGGATCCCGCCAGCGTGGTGGTTCCCCAGCCTCTGTAGCCGGATGTGCCGTCCTCTTTCATCTCGTAAGGCCCGGCGGCGCCAACAGCCGGTATTGTGGGATCTGCGTTGGGGTTGTAGCCGTAGTCCTCAACCTCCTTCCGTCTCTGCTCCTCGAGCTCCTTGCGGTTCTTCCTCTTGCGCCATAACCAGAGGCCTACCAGGACGAGGATGGCAATGGCTGCGATCGGCACCACCACCGCAATCGCAATCTTGCCGCCATTTCCCAGTCCCGAGTTTGACGCGTCGGCAGGATTTATGGCAGAGTTAGAAGACCCAGTTGGAGCAGACGACGTCGTAGTTTCAGTATTCGAGTTAACAGCCCCAGTTGTAACGGTCAAGACTCTTGTCCTGGTTACACCCCCCTCCGTTGTGACGACTGTTGTTAGCTGCGAAGTGCTTGACGGCGTCGACGAGCTAGATGACGAAGGAGGAGGGGTTGTTGATGACGGGGTCGTGGAGGTCGACGATTGGGGTGTTGTGGACGATGTGGTGGGCGGTTGGGTTGAGCTCGTCGGTGGCAAGGTGACTGAGCTCGACGACGACGACGACGACGACGGCGATGAAGTAGGTTCCGTAGCACCTGTGGATGTAGGGTTAGTAGACGAAGGAGTCGTCGGCGTCGACGTTGGCTCCGTCACCGGACCACCCGTACTTGAGGTAGAATTAGAACTAGACATGGTGAAGATTTGACGCTGCAGCCGTGCGTGGCGCCTAGCGATGGGCGACATGTTAGCATCAGACCTTGAAGAAACGCATCGCAAAGAGCGTTGCAACGCATGGCGCATTCGGCCGAGATGATGTAGTAGTCAAGACTGCTCGACCGCCGTGACTGACGCAAGGAGCAAACCTGGCGACAGCGCAAACCAAGACAGGACGGGGCCGTTGAAGCAGCACAGATGGCTCGCACCAAAACAACTGGATGAAGGGCAACAAACCTTTAGGCCAGATGGCTTCCAGAGGCGTGCGCGCGGCTTGGCGGCGACGCAGTCGCGGTTAAGCAACGAGAGGGTTTTGGCGGACGAGGTGCAGGAGGGGGTGTTTGAGGAGTGGGATCGCGAGACCGAATGGATTTGGCCGCGCACTCAACTGGTGTCTCAATTTGTAACCTCAGCCCAGCGTCAAGGCGGTCGCCGTCGCACGCCGTGCAAAATGCCTAGCAAAGCCAAAGCCGTCCAAAGCCCAAAGAAAGCTCGGATGATTGCAGTGCGGCTAACAGCCGAAGGACGGGAGTCGAGATGAGGCGGAATGAGAATGCTGGAGAAATGGCGACGGGAGCAGGATAGCCGGGACAATAGAGAGGGCAGTCGCGAAGAATCAAACCTTCCGTTGGTAATTATTGGGGTTCAGCCCCAGTGTTTTGTCCCCCGGGACGAACGGCCTGGGGTTTTGGGGGCTAGAGGACGTCTCTTTTCGGCGCTGGCAGGTAGCGTTGGGCTGTGCTGCTAACCGGCCCGGGAACCAGCTACACTAGCTGGGAAGGTGCACTGGCGATAGCCTCTCTCGTATTATGCGCGCTGGTGTCTAGCGCGTCGTGACTTTGCACCTGTTGGGGCTTGGCTTGTCTGGGCACTCCCACGCGAGCGTGTCTGCACTCTGCAACTCGGGGCTGTCTAGCCTTCCTCCTGTTTGTTGTCTAGCGCAGGATCGATTCTGATGCAATTCGCCGTCGATTGCGCGACACAAACCTCCTCCTGCTCAGACAGATTGGCAAAGTCGAAACCTGCCTCGAGTTACCTGGCGGCCCTTCTTCAGCAGGAAAGTTGACGGGGTGCCCTGTATGCGGCGCACAAGTTCTGTCTTGTGCAACTTCCTCTTTGGGGCCGCTAGACCGGTTTTTGGGGGTCGGGCTGCCTCGGTGTGGAATGGACGGCAATTTCCAATTGAGGCAGATCCCAGTTCAAAATGCCAGTGCGTCCCAAAGCTGGCTGCGTCACTGCTCTTTTGGGGCTTGTGGCATTCTCATGTTTCTCCGTGAAGCAAAGATGAACGGTCGGTCGTGCCTGAGGTTGGCGCAAGCCGCTGTTCGTCCAATGTCTGACTCCAATCTTGTGGGTTGCCACGTCCGAAGGGATGGCCCTGCCCGGCGTGCCGTCTTGCATGCGGTGTCCGCCGCGCCGAGGGACGATGGTTTTTGGCAAAGTGGATTTCCGCCCGTTTAGCGGCCGAGTCTGGGGATCCAAGACACGCCACCGATGAACAGTCAAGTGGGAAGTCGCGTGCTCGACAGAGTCAATTGAGCTTGTGTGTGGCTGATCTGTAGGTTGAGCTTAAAAATATGCTTCGAGGTAAACGGGGGTGGATGGGCACTGGTGTTTAAATGACCAGCTCAACGTTGACGCAGCTAGCTCTAGTTCTTTCACCTGAACTTGGCAAGCTGCAATCAGCCTGCAAGTCGGAGTTCTGTCGGCGCTGAAAGAGGCTGGGATGGCTTCTCGGTGGGGTGGGGGTTGCGATCGTTTCCTTCCCTGGACCTCACCCACTGCCTGGTTTGCTGACGACCGCAACTTTGACTAACCGCAGACGGCAAAACAGGTAAATATGGGCTGGCATTGAGCTGGAGTTTAAACACGTTGTGAGAGTATCTTGCACGATTGCCGACAGTAAGGTATCGAATGGACGAGCCAACGAGGGGGGCCAGACTGGAGACCAGGCCTCTACGGCAGCCAAGACGCATCTGATTAGCACCTGCTTTGTGATCCTTACATGCACTTGCACGCCGGACAGGACCAACAGCTTCAGGATACATTGGCTACATATTTTCCAGATGAATTTGCAGGATGCAGCGAGCCATCTCCACCCAACCCGAGGTCGCGAAGCTCAGTCTAGAGCTAGCCCAGGGAGGAGCCAATAGGTTAGACCAAACAGCCTTCGTCCGAGAATTATACAGAGCAACAGACTCGAGTGACGTCTGCCCGCCTTGTAGCGGCAAATCCAGGGGAAGCGAGCTTATTACAGTCTGGTTGCGTTGAGAACCAAACCAAGGTTGGGCGCTATATCAACAGCGTGTTAATGGCGGCTGGCTTCCAAGACGTCATCGACGGGCTATATCTGGCTGCATTTATCGCTGCAGTGACTGCCAGGCATCTCAAGCGAGGCATCACTATCAATTCCATGCCCAACTCGCAAACCCCAAGAAACATTTAAATCCCACGAGCTCACGCTGTCAGGAGAAGCTGCGGCTCGGTGTCTAAAGAGAGGCTTTTAATTGGGTGTCGTCGCCGATTGCACTTCTTCAATATTGTAAATGCGTATGTGTTGTATCCCTCATCGTCAGCTTGAAGAGGGGTGTGGCAGTGCCTGCAACAGCGCCATGCGTCGTGTCCGGACGGGGAAATGCTGTCCATTCAGCCCTCATCCCCCACATGCAGCTCATGCGGCTTTCCCGAACTTTCCTTCTCCGGCAAAAGCCAAAAGGCGCAAAACAAAATTGGTTTTAAAAATAAACTCGACAGACGTTTCTTCCATTGTTTCTAGAGCTACCAGGTAGACAGCCCGCATCGAGAGAAGAAAGAAGGCCGTCCGTGGGGCGCGGTTAGACGCATTGCTAGCACGTGGCGCTCATGAAAACGTCGTGTTCGATTTGCCTCACCTCACCCCACCTTCCGTCGTGCCCGAGGGGTAACCAATCCGGGCGTCTCGTTGCGACAAGAGACTCGAGCAGCTGAACTGAACTGTGCGAGGTTGTCGTTTACGCATTTTCTGCTTCGGATCAAAGAACGGGCTGACCGGGCTGGTCAAAAGTAAAAGTCTACACGTGACGTGTCAGGAAGGTGAGGATCAGAAGGAGAGAAAAGTTCATACATATGCACAGATGAATCATCAGGTACAAACACATTTACTTGTAAGCAACCTGAGACTTCGTTCGCAACTCTCTTCAGGTACGGATACCAAGTCGGAATATAAGCACAGCATCAACACCCAGGTGGACTTGCTTCTGAGGAAGATAATCAGTCTCGTACCTAGCGAAATATGATCATCCATCCAACGGAATACCTTGTGTTAAACAAAGCGTTGAGAAATTCTCCAACACGTACACAGTTGCACACACAAATATACATACACCGACAGAAAACACTCACCCTCCCAGCCTAATCAACTGCCAACCCCGTATCCGGTGCTACCCTGGGATTACAACCTACATAAGGTAGTCTACAGAGCAAAGGATATAAGTTGGGTAGTTTGTAAGAAATCTGAGTAAGCGTCTATCCCATCATCCCATTGCATCCGATCCCGTGATCGCCGGACGATACGACGACACAACGACCCGCCCCCGTGACACCAAACAGCCAGCCGACACCAACAGCCAACCCACCCGGCCGTTACTATCCGGATGACACGCATATATATCATTTCATGTCATTTCATGTCATGTTATATCCATAGAATTATGTCCATAGAGATATCGCGGACGCTCGCCTGGTAGGTCCGTACACAACAACAATCCAAACCGGGACCGGAAGTGGACACAGAGGTGGACACGGAAGCAAAGCGGTGAGCAAGCGAGCGAGCGAGCGAGTGGGAAGATAGGAATATACATAAATGCATCTTCCCGGCCGTGGACATGACATGGCCCTACTTAAACCCATGCCAACTGAGTCTTTGAAGCACAGTACGTATCCATTTAGGTTGCTTCAGATGCCTACCTACTGAGTAACTGTGTTCACTTTGGTTGTGTGCGTGTGTGGTGAAAAGTTTATATAAGCCATTTATTTCACCTTGGTGATACCAGATCTAACTGTGGAAATCCCCCCTTGAGTAGGTAGACGAAACTAAATATATGAAGTACATGCTTCTTCTTCCGGAACGCACGGCGCATCAGTCTTACACATTCTATCTGTACAAGCTTGTCTGCCGCCGACTGCCGTCCCGGAGCTCCGGAATTTCCTCCTTCACAATATTCCATCAACACCCAAGGCAGCTAACCCGCAAGCTAACACAGCGCGACACTCACAAAGAGATGAGCATGGCAAGACAGACAGACCCGAAATGCATACAGTGCAGGCATGAGCTGCAGCTGATACATAATATATAATATATACAAATTTATTTACTTGGCGTGGTGGTGAAAAAAAAGTAAGGTGCCGATTTTTATCTACTTTGGTTTGTTCAGCTCAGTTCCAGTTCCAGTTCAGTTATACCCAGTCCAGTGTTCCATCTTTCCTCTCTATATATGTGTGTAAATGCAGAAACCAACAAGGAACGAGTCATGCTTTGGTTCAAGTGTCATTACGATTGAGGGACCCAAAAAAAGCCAGCCAGCATGTATGCCTCTCCGAAAAGAAGAAATCCTCATAGTACGAGATATTGAATAAAAGGCATTATCAATATACCAATAGAGAACATGCATCGAATGATGCTGCGTATGTGCTGGCGCCCCCGTGCTGGGCTAGTCATGCTCCGTACGTATGAACAGTGGATCTAAAGAGCCTGCTCTGGCCGAACGGATTACGTGTCGTAGGTGGCCCGCGTGGCAACCGAAGAAGACACGCCGACCCGTGTCGAGACTTGACGGGGCAGGACTAGTAAAAGGGCATGTTTAGGGGCGCATGGTCCATTGCGGCTTGAGCTTGTCCGACATTGCCGCCTGGGTGAAGATGGTGTCACCGGGCAGCCGGCTGACTCGTCCGGCGCCGCTGCGGATGGCTCCTAGCTGGACTGCCGAGATGCCGCTCCGGTTGCTGCGGATCGAGCCCGTCTCGCTGCGTGCATCCGACGAGTCTCCAAACTTTCTAGGGGGCGCAAAATCCAGAGCTGTGAACGTGGTTGATTTCCGAAGAAGATGGCTGCGCAATGAGTCAGTTACTTGCCCAAAAGAAAGGAGTATCAACTTACGGGCTGGGAAGAGTTGGAAGCTCCTCGAAAGCGTTCACCAGCGGCGAATGGGCAGGAACGGTAGGCTTGTAGGGACGACGCTCGCCAGACGGGCTTTGCGACCTTCCCCGAGCGCGCCCCCCAAAGGACTCTGGAGGCGCAAAATCAATTGCGTTCAAGAGAGCGAAGGAGTCGTCCTTCAGCTTGGCCGGGGTGGGGAGTGTGTTGAGGTCCATGGGGAGGGGCATCGGTTTCCGAGGGGGGCCAGAGCGAGCGTTTGACGCGGCTGAGGCTGCCCGGCTTCGCCCATAACCGTGGGAAACGGACGATCCTGGCCGTGGCCCCATGTTATTGGAAGCCGACGAGCCGGGCCGCTGAGGACCTCGCATGCCTGGAGGCGGCATTCTCATCCCAGCCATGGAGCCGTGGAATGCCCGTGGAGGCCGCGGGCCTGCGAATCTCTGTCCCGTTGGCGGGGGCGTCATTGCGCGACGAGCCACGGGTTGCGCGTACGGCATGACGAAGGCGTTCGTGTCGGGGTCGTAGTAAGGAGCATCCTCGTGATAATCTCCCTGGTAGTCCCCTCGATAATCCTCGTAGTAGTTCATGCCTTGCTGCTGATACTGTTGATGCTGCTGCTGCTGCATCTGGTATTGTGCCATCTGCTGAGCTTGTGGCATGGGCGGCACAGGCGGCGCGCCCTCGTGCCTACCGTCTTCGAAATACTCCTTGTAGAAGGACCGGATGCGGTTGGCTCGGTACTCGGGGTCCTCTGACTCCATGATCTCGTCGGGCGGAAGCGGGCGGAAGCCTACCGACAGGCGGCGGTTGTCTGGCTGTGGAACGCCCAGGCCGCTGGGGAGCGCGTTCGGGCCGTAGAGATGAGACTGCCTTTGCATGTTCCGGCCCCTTTCATCGTGCGCGTCATGTGGTTGCTCATGAGAGACTCCAGGGGCATACGGCTCCGCCACCTCGGGATAGTCCTCATACTCGTAGTACTCCATGGGTTCTTCAATGATTGGCGCCTTTGCCGAGGTCACCAGTCCTCGTTGGGGCATGGGACTCACCGGCAAGCTGTCAACTGTGGCCATGTGGACGGAAGCTTGCATAGGTTCGATATGGTCGACAAGTCCGAGACCAGCCAGAGTTGGCCCCGAGGCGACGCTCGATTCCTGCGACTGGTGCTTCTCGAATGCGCTTTCAGCGTATCCCATATCCACTCCGGAATCGGCAGGGCTCGGTTGCTGAGGAGAGATCGTCGGCTGCCTGGCAACCTTCTGGGCGACAGGAGCAGGCTCCTGGATTGGAGAACTCGCGCGGGGACTTCCGTCGAGCTCCGATCGGGGAGCTAGCCCGGCCGGAATGGCGAAATCGAAACCAGGGTCTGCTGATGCCGGGTAGGTGGGCATGTCGGCCTCTACTTCGTGTACGGTTGGCTGATGCTTCAGGTGAGTTGGCTCGGGCGCAGCAACGCCGGATCTGGGAAGAGAATTCTGGCGAGGAGGACCGGTGTATTGGCCAGCCTGATTCATTGATCGCGACGTTCGACTCTCTTGCCGGCTGCTGGAGCGAGTATAAATTGAGGACTCTGCGGGACCCCGTGACACCGATCGAATCGAACCAGCGTCGCTAGCGGTATATTGAGCTACCGGCCGATACGGGTCGTCGGCGTGAAGCGTTCGGGCTAGCGAGTTTAGCGAGTCCCGAGAATTCTGCAAACCAGGAGCCAAGAGGTAGGGGCTGGACACATTCATGTCCATGGACATTTGCTGTCGGTTGAACCGTGATTGCGGATCCTTCTCTCTCGTCAGGAAGCTCCTCCGCTTCGACTTGGCCTTGCCACCGATGTTGTCGTCCAAGCCAAAATCCAACGACTTGTGGGGATCAACAGCATCCTCCCTTCTCTGCTTCTTGACGCCTCTCCGGTGGAGGTAAATGAGGACGCTCAAGATGGCAACGACGGGAATTCTAGCACGATGTAAGTCAATGGTACCAATGCGGCTCGTCTAAAAAAAAAACTTACGTGACTCCGAGGACGATGGGAATTGTCATTGGCGTCCCAGCGGCGGGTTTCTCGCAAGCGTTTGCGCTACCGGTGCACTCTGTTCCTGAGTCGGCACGCCCGTGTATGCGCGAAGGCGTTTTGATTCCCCACGTCACGGTACCCATTGTCGCTGTGTCTCGCGCCTTGATATCGGGTATCCTGGGACCCAAGGCAAAGATCTGCCCTCCCGCTCCATCCTCCATCTTGAAGTCCTTATATCCCTTCTTCACGTCCAGGGATCGAGATAACAAACCGGGCAAAAAGGCCGACTGACGTCCGCGATAATCTACTCTGAACCGGCCTCTGCAGGATAACGGAGCAAGGTCGACCTTAACTGGAAATAGCTAGTGTCGTCATAAACAATTCATGCCACGGGACGGTCCTTGGTGAAGATCCTGTTTCTCGACGGGTGGGAATCGGCTAATTAGGAAGTTCCCCTGTTCCACGAGCTGATCGAAAGTCGCCGAAAGAGAGAGCGGCAAGAAGGATACAGGTCGGTATCTGGAATATACCGGCGGGCTACGATCACGTCAAGGAGCGGACTGGTCGCGGTTCGAGCCGTAACCAAGAGAACGAGTGTATAAAGGAGTGTCGTGACGAGACGTCGTCGTCGGGGTCGGTGAAGCGGCGTGAAAAGAATGGCACGCCTGCTGGCAGGCGACAGACCCAAGGTGAAGACGGCACAAAAAGGAGTGTGAGTTCACGCGTCCATTGACGGCGAAGTTGGCGACCGTCTAGACCGAGGGGGGGCCGCAATTCGATTCGGGAAGGGACGAGAAGGAAAGAGTGAGTGTGTGTGGGAGCAGTGGTAAGGAATTAGAAATTAGTCTGGACGAGCAGAGAGCCCGAGACCACGGTCAACTGGAGCTGGAGAAGGGAGAGGGCGAGGATTCGCTAGGCTGGGCCCTGAAGCTTCGGCGACGGACTCACAACAGGCCCCAACTTGTCCCGCTTGCTCCCCAAATCTCCGTGGACGAGAGAAGGGTTTGCACTTTGCAGGCTCCAGGACCGGGAAGCCAGCCAGCCTGCTTCTCGTGCAGTTGCGCTGTCGACGGCGCCGGACCCAGCGGTGGACGAATAGAAATTGCTCAATCTTAACCTTCAATCAAAAAGGGACGACGGCGCTGGCGACCTGCGATTCTCAACAGGGGTCGAGGTCGCTCTCGACGCTCTGAGTGGCTGGTCTTGGCGAATTGACCCAATTTTCCTGCAGGCTATTCGTGGGTGCGAGTCCACAGCTGTGGCAGCGAGCCATTCAGAGTCGAGGAGTGGGCCTAGAAGCTTTGACGCAACGAGCGGGCCGCGCAGGGATCATCTGCAGGAACAGGTTGCTCGTCGAGGCGCTAATCTCGCCTCGCGGTGGCGTTCCTTTGCGGTCCTTTCTCAAATCCGCGAAGCCCCTGGGACCAAAAGTACCAGAGCCGGCAAACGCGAGTGGGAAGATACCTGGGACGAGGGAACATGATGCGAGGTCAGGGGCTGGGCCTGGGCTCGGCGGTCGTTTCCAAGAAAAAACGTCGACGATGCCCTGCATTGGGGTGCAACCTCCTGTAATTCACCGCGAACATGGATTTGCCTGGTGTTTCCGTGGCCGGTAGGCAGTTCTCCTCTTGCTTTGTTGTGAAGATGGCGGGCAGATGCTGGCGATCTGAAACACCCGAAATGGGGGCATCTTGTTTACTTTATGTGCAAGACCATCTTGGTAAATTTGGGAAATGCGGTGGACTCGCTGGGGAAACGCGTGCTGAAAAGAGATTGGCACCAAAAAGACGCAAAAGCACGGTACGGAGTACGATAACAGATAACCCAATCGAGAAGGTAAATGGTCAAATAGCCTGCGTCTATTTATGGGGTATTTCGTGACAGAGAAAAGACATCACCGATGCCTCGAAGCAGAGTATAAATACGCCGAACATCGCGTGTTGGATAGACAGTTGCGTATCACGAGTGGGATCCGGAAACCCGTTCCCATTCCGTAGCTGCGCCGTCAGAACCTGGCCAGGGAATATGTTGCCGACGGATTATCTCTTATCCAGCCCTACAAGAATAGAGATAGGAGACTGCGTATATGGCGTACACCAAGACAAATGTTTCCTCTGCCCTTGGGTGGACGATACACGTCACAACTCGGATCAGACACAGCGCGTAACATGTCTTTATATGTCAGATATGATTATTTCGTCTTGTAAAAGTCTGGCGCGTACTCCAGAAGCCAGTTCTTCTCAATCTTGGTAATGTCGCGGATGTATGTCTTGTCCCCCGTCTCCATGACCTCGTGGAATATCACCCATTCCGCCTTGCGGTTGAACATGAGCGAGCTCGGATGGGCGTGGAGCACAGTCGTCCCGGAGACGTTGCGGAAGGTGCCGTCCGCTTGCATTTTCGCAGCGTGGGCAAAGTAGCCCGCCGTGAGGCACCGCCGAATCTGCTCCGCTTTTGTTGCCGGGTCCGAGTGTGCTGCCGCTGCTGGGGAGTCGTCGATGGCGAGCCCGAACCGCTCCAGGTACCGTCTCAGCTGCCCCCGGATGCTGACTGCCCGAGTCATTGCCTTGAAATTGAGCAGGTTCTCGCGGCAGAATCGGGCCTCTTTACGGCCCTTGGTGACAAATGCTTGGTAGGCATTAAGGAGTGTAAGATGGTCGCCTTCTTCGGCGGCGAATTTCCTTCTTGCGCTTTCTGCCTCCTTCTTCCCCCCATCATGCGTTATCCATACGCTCCCGCCGAGGCTGGTCATGGCCGCTATGGTTAGTATCTCGCTCAAGCAGCCAAACGCTGGTGCAGACAGCAGGGTCTTGGCCATCATGGGCTCAACAGCGAGTTCAGCCATCCTCATTCCTAGAGGCCGAGTCAGCTTGGCATAGTCGTCTAGGGCCCCGAGGGAGTAGAGGAGCTCTAGAGCCTTGATCATGAGCTCTGCGGGGGGCGGTGTGAGGAAATCGAATCGCAGGACATTATCAATGCCCAACGCTTTTAGCTGGAGTACGAAGGGTGCGAGGTTTGAGCGCTGTATCTCGGGAATATTGGCATCTGGAAGAGCCTGGTATGCTTCCTCTGTGTAGAGTCTAAGACACTTCCCCGGTTTCGTCCTGCCTGCTCTTCCTGCACGCTGTGCCACAGAGGCTTTAGAGACAGGCGTTGCCGTCAATGTCTCTATGCCCCTCTTGGGGTTGTATGCGCGCAATTTGACGAAGCCGCAGTCAACTACATAGACGATTCCGTCTATGGTGACCGACGCCTCGGCGATGTTTGTTGAGAAAATAACCTTTCTACAGTTCAGTGGTGCCTCATCAAATACGTACATTTGCTGCTCGGTGGGCAGGCCGGCGTACAGCGGTAAGGGTAGGATTGCTTCTGATCCCAAGGGAAGCTGGGCGGAACGCTCTGATATCGCCTGGACAGCCTGGTCGATCTCCTCTCTCCCTGTAAGGAAAACAAGAATATCGCCCTTCGGTTCAGTTGTGTGAATATCAAAAACAGTCGAGACTGCCTTTTCGACATAATCCTCGGCTGGGGTGTCTAGATAGAGTATATCAATCGGATAGGTTCTGCCTTCCAAGCTGACAATTGCGCTAATATCGGCGGCATTTTCATTCTCGAGGCTCTTTTCGTCACTGCTGCCGGAAAAGAAGTTGCGAAAATCCTCGGCCTGGAGGGTGGCACTGCTGATGATAATTCTCAGCTCGGGCCTCTTTTTGCGAATTTTCTTCAGCAGGCCGAGTAGAATATCGGAGCTTATCGACCTCTCATGTGCCTCGTCGACCATGATGACGGAGTAGCGGGACAGCAGCGGGTCGACGAGGGCTTCTCTTATGAGGAGACCATCGGTGAGGAATTTGATGCGAGTGGTTGATGAGGTGACATCTTCGAAGCGGATCGAGTAGCCAACCTCCTTCCCGACTTCACAGCCAAACTCGTCGGCAACACGAATGGCCACAGTAGTTGCTGCAACACGACGGGGCTAGAATCCCATATCGCCGGTTAGCGACTGCCTCTCAGCCTGGACGGACAGAGTGCCTGGGCTACGCTGGCACGGCGAAAGCACGTACCTGAGTGACGGCAATGATCTTTCCATCGGCACACCATCCGGCCTGCTCGAGAAACTGGGGAATCTGTGTGCTCTTTCCAGAGCCGGTCTGACCCACTACGACCGTGACCGGGTAGGTCTCGATCATGTACAAGAGGGTCTCACGGTGTCTGGCAATGGGCAGAAGAGCAGGCGGTTTGTGCAGGGCCGGGATAAAGGCCGTGCCAAGGTCGACGTCGGACATTCTGGACGCCACACAGCCTGACGGGACAAATAAATGCCACTGGTAATTATGGGGCCCAATAAGAGGCCTGTATCAGATAATTAGAAGTAACCAACAACGAACGACTCATCAAGGCCGTCACGTACAAGTGGGCTGCACCGTTGTAGATGCTAGGTGGATGAGATCCAAAGGTACCCACAAAGTGCCAAGTGCCAACGAGAAAAAGGCAAAGGGAAATGAATGTAGAGGATGCTAGGCTTAGGGTATTGATCAAGACTCCCTACTGTACTCTATGACCGACTCAATAAGGGTTCGGCAGTTTGTATACTGCTCATCATCGTGACCCCGTTTCGGGTCTCACAGACGGGCGTGATGCGATATCTTAACCTAGAAAGTGCCCGTCAGTCTGAGCTGCGTGGGTGACTAGCCAAGGTCGAGTGTGCTAGGTTGCCGTTGGTTCGGGGAGGAGGGCTGCAAGTGCTGAGGCTGCCTCGGGCGGAAACCTTCCTTGCCCAATTCAACGGGGCAATCGGCCCCACCAGCACCGCCCAAATACACACACCGCCCGACTCTTTAAGCTTCAGGTCCCAGGCTAAATAACACCCCTTCACCTCCTACCTTCTGTTACCCCTCCACCCGTTCTCAACACTAAACTCATCAACCACGTCGGCGTCAGATTGTTTTGCGACTTACCCTGTGTGCGCCGTGCCCAATCACCAGTGATCATTTGGCACTGCTTCACTGCTGCAAGTAAACAGCTGCGAGCTGCCGCTGCTCCATTGCGTTTGGACCGATTTTGGTCCTTGCATCCGTCATTTGGAGACGTGCGTGCTCCCGTCGACTTTCAGGATTCCCCTCACTTCCCGGCCGTACCTTCTCATTTCATTTCAGTTTTTGTCAGTCCGGCCTTGGGCTACACGCACCTACTAGTACTTCTTGTTCGTGCGCAAGCTTCCGCTTGCCTAGGTGTTTTCCTAGCCTCCTTACCTGGACCCAGACTCGAATCGCCTTTCGCTGCTTGAGGAATTCCACCTCAGGTGGCCCTTGGCTGACGAGTAAGCGCGAGTTCAGCGTCACCCGACGGGGCCTCATACTCGGCCTTCCTTTTCCTTTCATGCTTCCATCGCACTATGGTGAGCTTGTAGTGGCCATCAAAAATGGGAAGAAATAATTCGGCTGGCCCGGGCCCAGCCCGTGGCAACCATGCCAAGGACAGGCACAAGAAAGACCGCAGAGGCAACCTCATTGACTGGAATGCGCCCATGCCAGAAGGCCTCGTTGCCAGACGTGATAACCCGAAGCTCACGTCGAAACACAGGTCCTACTTTGAGTTCATCGAGAATACGAACAAGAAGAAGCCAATCGACCTCAAGGTAACGTGATGGGGGTAGCGCGCCTTCATTTGCCCTATCCTACCCTCCCTCCTAAAATCATCTCGGCCGTCGTTCTGGTTGCTAACTCACATGTGGCAGGTAACGAACGATGAAGTCGCGCCGCCCGGCTTCGAGTTCGTGCCCATCGGCAATCCCAGATTGATCGAGGAGTGTAAAGAGCTTTGTCGCGAAATGGATGCTATGATCTTCGTTGTGACGGTTAGTTGATACCACTACCTATTAGCTTTACCAAGATTCGCCTTGCTAATAATCGCCCTCTCTAGCAACATTACGGTCCCGTGAAACCCGGCCTTGAAACGTCAATCGGTGAACAAGTCAATCGGATTGGTTATCATTTTCGCCAGTCCATCGTTGACCAGGCACGCGAGCTTCTTGGGCCTGACGAAATTCTCGGCATGACTTGGAGCGGCCCTGAACCTATCCTAGAAAGGCAAGAGGATATCAACAAACAAGCTGATGCAGCAATAAGGGAACTTTTTCCGCGCATACCAAACACGGATCGCGAAATGATCATTCAGAGATCGTTCAACAAGGTAAGCCCATGCTTGGTCCACTCACTCGCTGAACCAGGCAAAGTCGCATATTCTGACCTTTTGGCAGGCAAATTGCAGGAGAGGAAAAGAGCCACCAGTCGGGTTGGCGGAGGGAGTTCCCCTCACCAGGCGCGTCCATCTTGCCGTTTCTGCCCATATCCGGCATACTCACACCAGATACGACGAGCTGCTGAAGCAGACAACCTGGGTGAATTCCAGAAGGGCGGTTGAGCAACTCTGCCTCGATTTCCTTCTCAAGTGGCGAGGCGACGAGGAATCAGGCCGTGACCAGCTTGACGAGATTCTCCGCGAGGTTATTGTCATCTCGGACTCGGAAAGCGATAGCGACGACGACGACGACGACGAGCTACCCGACGCCCACCCAGCAGTGGTGTTGGGCGATGCATCCATCGAGGTTAAGAACCGCTCCTCTGTTGGTCAGACCGCGACTTCGGTAAGTACCCCAAATGCCGGCGGGAATAGTGGCCCGCACGGCGGGGATCCCCGCATCAAGGTTAAGGACCTTTCCTCGGCCGAACAGACCACCCCCTCTCCCGTACAAGCACCCTGGATTCGCTTTCCATTACCACTTCCCTCACCCCGGAGCGCCTACCCTTTTGCCTCTTTAGGTGAGCCAAGCCGTGAGGATGGGCGCACGGTTGCAAGCCTCATATCAACTCTGCACCTGAGCGGAGATGGCGGCCAATCTGGCCTTGCGTACGCGGCACGCAAGGCCAGAAAAGACGCGCGCAGGGAGCGTAGTGAAAAAAAGAAAGCCCAAAAAGGCTTCGGGCGGTACAAAGCTGCTTATGAGCAGGCTATGGAGCGCAAGCGGCTTGAAGAGAACGAGCAAGCTCGATCCTCTAACCATACGGCCATGGCCAGGTCGGCGAGTCATGCGTCTCAGTCCTGGAGACGTGCCGAGTCCGAACGTGCAAGTTCTGAGCTGCAGGGAGTTCAGAGAGTGGGAGACCACTCCCGACTTGATGCGTACAATAGCCCCCTCCAGCCCTTGGAGGTCCGTCGTGGAAATCCAGAGCTTCCAGGCTACGGCGACGCATCACAGCAAACCGCTGATTTAAGGCTTTACCGCTTCCCGCATGAGAGCCGTGCCCAAGAAACTCAGTCGAGCAATGGGTTCAGACCTATAGTTGGGTCTCAGAATACCTTCCAAACTGGTATCCAAGTTGAACAGCCGAAGCAGTTCAGCCAGGAGGATTTGAAAGACCATCTTGTTAGATCTGTCGAGCCGTCGTCTCCTGCATTGCCCAACTTCCCTTCATGGTCGGTGGCTCAGCCTTGCCAGGCAGAACCCGTCCCTCGCGGATTTTCCGCTTCTGCCGAAGTTGTTTCGTATCCTCGAAGGGGTTTCACGCGACATGGAGAGGTCGATACAGCGCGAGCCTATCATACGATTCAGGGCCAAGACGGCTTTGTGACGCTCCCTCCCAGGACTCAAAACCTCCCTGCAGCGGTTCCTCAGGCTCATGGCGTGGATAGAGGCTACACTCCTCTCTCTCGCTCGGGCGCCCTTGATACGCATCCTTTGCCGGCGTACTACGACGATATGGAAAATCCTGAGAGAAGACCCATTCTCCGATCAGAGTTCCGGCCCGCCTGGTCCGAAGAAAGCTTCATTGTTGATGCTGGAAACCGGTCAATCTTGATTTCGGACACCAACGTACGACAAAGGGAGTCGATGACTAACGCGTCCCATAATCCCCATCCAAGCCACGCACAAACCCTCAGAACATCTACCGGTGGCTTCCACCAACTGGCTCCTGTGTATGTTGCTGACCGTACTCAACAGTATTCCCGTGCTGGGGGCAACGGAAACGCCGACAGTCATCTAGATGACTGTGTTGAATTCGTCCGAGTGTCAGACAAATTTCCCCGGCGCTATGAGCCGCAGCCACCTCGACAGGATGGGGAGACGTACGAGATTCGACAAGTATCCCTAGTGGATTCAGAGAGGTACGAGGCCCGACCAGGACCTGTGCGCTACGAACCGCAATCACTGCGGGTGGATGCAGAGGTGTACGAGTTCCAACCGGGAGCTCAACGTCGCGAGCCGTACCGGGTGGATGACAGAGCCGCCGACTCGCCATCTGGAGTTGCCCGTCACTCACTTTCGCAAGCCGTGGAACTGAGACGCCCTGAATATAGACAAGGGCGGATGTCCCCTATTCCGAGGCAAATAGACGGCTATTCGTCAAATATCCAGCGCCGGGAGCGTGTGGTGGGAATCGAATATGTTTCATTGCAAGCGTACGTACAGAGCCGACGTACCGAGCCGCCGTTCCGGCCACCCCATATTAACAATTCTTTTGTTAGCCACCAAGCACCCGCATATGTGGACAGCGCTTATGGGGAAGAGGGCTGGGTTTATCGGCCCCTTACGTCTTCCGTTGCAGCAGGTCCGTATCCCGCGGAATACCAAAAACGCCCCAATCCTCCACCCACGGGATCGGATGAAGTCATAATCCTTGACTGAAGGACTTCTTCCGATCTTGAACTTTGTACACCATTTTATTCGGCCCCACGCGAGCTTTCTTATATGAATACTCGAGGAGTAAATTTTTGGTGTTGTATATACAGGGCGTGCGATTCCACGGAATTCGCCTTGCATTGGTTTGTGGTTGGAGTACCGGCTGAGAAAAGGAATGAGCAAGGCGTTGCGGGTCTATGATCTTCAGGCTTGGTGTCGGAGGACTGGTGTTCGGCCATTGATGGTCACTATTGTTGTTCAATGTATTTATCGAGAGGCATTAAGGGCATCACGGGTGGTTATGGTTCTGGCTGCATAGCGTCGGTGCATTGGGCGGATCCGTATATACTGTCTGCTTGAGCATCTAATGCAAACAATTGCCGATAGTTTGACTTTTGACTTGCACAGTCTTGACTCTCTAGTTGTGCCGATGCTTGACGCATGCCTCCGGGCCGCTCCAAGTCCCGATATGTGTGTTACGGAGCGAGCCCGGCATGTGATACAGATGCCGTGTCGCGAACCAGCTTTGAAGAGCTCGTATATCAAACTGACGATGATGTTCTGTATTTTTCTCTTTTTATTTTCGTTCATCGGCCAGTCAACAAGTTTAAACCGTGAAAGGAGACCTGGGTACTCAGGGCTAATTTTGACCGTCTACCTTGGAAACGCCTGGGCGGGTGATATATTATATGGATTATGCAAGTATGCTCTGGTGGTTGTCTACCAAAGGTAATCACGGCCGCATAGGCCATTTCTGGAACGAGATCTGGAAAGAGTACGAGATCGAAGAGGAAGGGACGGAATGGATATAAGACACGGGATATGGGATACGAGACATGTCCGTGAGAGGATAAACAAACACTAAGGAAGGTGAAATTAAACTTGTAAGTAGGCCTAGCCCTCCCTGGGACGTGGGATGGATAGTTTGAGTTCTTTTGTCTTGTGATTTTTATTTTTATTTTGTTTATGCTTTTATTGTATTCGTCGTCGTTTAAACTCCCCCTCCCCACCCAGGCGCCGTCATCTATGCAATCTACTAAACACGTGCGAACTGTGTGTGTGTGTGTTCCTGCTCTCTATATATATAAGCCGTGGTAGTTAGTCCCATCTGCCCGCAGCTGTCGCGAGGGGATCCTCATTATCGTTCGTAGATTGGTATACTTAATGTGCTAGGCTAGCATGGCTTGCCGCTCGGGCTGGCGCTGCGGCGGCTGTTTCGCGCTGGCTCTGTGTTCCGCTTCCTCTGTGTTGGCTTCTATTGCTGCTGCTGCTGCTGCTGCTGCTGCTGGTAGCTCTGTGTTGGGCACGTTCGGTAGCGGCTGCACTGCGGCGGTGCGGCGCTCGGCGGTGACTTCGGCCTCGAGCGCCGCGAGCTCCTCTTCGACTTCGTCTTCGTCCTGGTTGGAAATGCGGCCGCCGAGCATCTCGCTGACTTCCTGTGGTTTTGGGGAAGAATATGTTAGTGGGTGGCCAGTAGAGAAATAGCGGTAACATACCCTCTGGTAGGCAATGGCGTCGGCCGTCTCGCCCATCAGCTTCTCGACGTGCTCGATGCCGCCCATCTCGGCGTGGATCTCCTTCAACACCTTGGTGCCCTGCTGCAGGCCGAAGACGACGTCCTTCTGGATCAGGGCGAACTCGACGCTCGACGTCAGCTTCTCGAGCTGCTCTAGCTGGGCGTCCGTCTTGGCCAGTAGCGACTCCTGGTACTTCTTGCGCCGCAGGGCCAGCAGCGCGCGCTTCTTGTCGCCGCTCGCCAGCATCTGCCGCGCAATCTGCGTCTCGCGGTCCGTCAGCACCGTCACGCGCTTCTGATACTGGTGCAGCTTGTCGCGCTGCGTCTTGAGGTCGAGAATCGCCCTGGGAAAGGGTAGGGTTAGTTTTGTCTGCGTGGTTGTGGTTTGCGCCGAGCGAGGAGGGGAGGGGTTCGCTACTTGTCTTGGGCCGTGACACGGCTGGCGCTATTGCCCATGGTAAGGCACCATAGGAGGGGGAAGGGGAACCCGGAAAGCCTGGTAGATTGGTACGAAGAAAATTGGCAGATATCAAGGATTTCTTGGTCGTCGGAGCTGGACCTGGAGCTGACGTTGCTATCGTCGCTGTCGTAGTCGCGGGCTGGATCGTCTCACGGGCGAGTTGGACTGGGTTGCGACGATGGGAGCTCACACGAGCTAAAGCGAGACGTCACTGGCGGGTTGCTTATCCCGCTGTCTAGGGTTGCTTACAGAATATTAAGTACCTTCCCACTCTACTGAATATTGCACGATAAACGCCTGATTTGATGGCCGAACTGGACAAAATATACAGAGATATGATCTGGGGGTATAAAGGAGTCCTTAAAGCCTTATTAGAGAAATAACTAGTAATACTTTTTCTTCCATTCGAGCCATGAATGGGCTGTGAGCTGTGAACGGGCCGAGGTAGTGTGCAGAGGTACTCGGCGCCTGTAGCTGCGTGTCTTATCGATTAACTTGTCTGGGGCCGGTAGGCGAACGGGTGGCGTGCCTACGACGCAATCTACACTAGTGGCGGCCGACCAAGCACAAGCAACCCCCCTGCTCACATGGGACATCCTTCTAGAGGGTGCCACTGCCATCGTCCACCGCATTGTCAACCTACGTTGCTGCCTCGCAAACCATATTACGAGCCCGTTGCGTTGACAGATAATACCCAACCTTTTACCCATCAGCTCAGTGGCTCCGTGGCTATTTAGCTCCATTCCCTCTACTGATCCTGTAACTCTGTTTTGTCCGACATGTCTACACCCACTGTAAGTCCCAAGCTCCCCACAGTCAATCTAAGACCAAGTCGACATTAGGGGTATTGCCCAGTACCGAACCGCACCTCGGGTTTGCGAAACGCCTCGTGCTTCAACTTTTGTGCCAAAACTACCTATTGCCTGGTTATCCCGCTGGAAGGCTCATTTCTCGAGCTGACAACCTGCCCCATCACAGGCCAAGCCGCCCGCAGCGTCAGTAGAAACAGCACCCGAGTCTCCTACCACAGCAAGACCCCTCGAGATGGACGACGACGACGTGCAAGAATCAGGTGTGCTGGGCAGCGATGATGCCACCGCTCGCTCGGCTGCTACAGCCCCAGCTGCACCCGCAGCCCCCCAAGCCCCGGCGTCTAGCGACGTCCCGCCGCCAAAGCCGCCGCGGCCCGTGCCCGAAGCCCAGCAGAACCAGCAGATACTCAAGGAGGCCTTTCCGTCCATCGAGCTCGCCGTCATCAAGGCCGTGCTGACGGCCAGCGGCGGGCGTATCGAGCCCGCATTCAATGCGCTCCTCGAGATGACGGACCCCGAAGCTGCTGCCCAGCACGAGCTGCCGCCGCCGCCGCCACCGCCGCGACCTGCAGCGGTCCCCGCTGGCCCCACTTCGACGGCGCAGTCACAGCTCGAGGCCGACGAGCTGTACGCCCGCCAGCTCGCCGAGCACTACGAAAACGTGGGCGCCTATGAGGCGAGAACCGCGAACAACCGCCCCGCGGGAGCGCCTCGAAGCCGGCAGCAGACGGCCCCCCTGAGGCAGAGCGACGAGGCCTCGGAGCGGGAGCACAACTTCTTCGACGACGAGCTGCCCGTTATCAAGGAGGGCCTGCGCAAGGGCTTTGTTGAGACGCAGGCCAAAGTCAACACGTGGTTCACCACTCTGAAGAAGAAGATAGACGAGCAGTTTGACGAGCAGGATGAGCAGCCAGCGCAAGGCGGCAGCTCCTTCATGGGCAGGCCGAGCCGCGACCAGAGCCGGCGGAGCGCCGACTACGACCGCTACGACGCGGACCCGGAGCTCCTCAGCGACGACTTTGCGGGCATGAAGTTTAACAATGACGGAAGTAAGTCGTCGATTTTCTTCCGACGGCAGGACGAGAGATATATATGCATGTAGCCCCCTTGCTAACCCAACAACAGCCCCCGTGCAAAGCAACCGGCCACTAGGAAACCCCAACCTGTTCAAGCCACCGCCGGCGTCCAAGTCGCCCAAGCCGGACGGACGGCGGGTGGCGTTCCGCGAGACAGTCGAGGACATTGACGCCTATAACGCGTCGCCCAAGCTGCCTCCTAAGGACACTGTGTCGCCGGGCCGAGCTAGCAAGTGGCAGCCGCTGTCCACGGTGGAGCCTAGCCCGATTGCGGAGAACGACCCGTTCAGCCTCGGCGACAGCGAGGACGAGAAGGAGGTCAAGGACAAGACGACGGGGAGCAAGGAGGCCAAGGCCGAGGACAGCGACGCCGACCGGCTGAGGAAGGCCACGGCGGATGCCATGGCCGACAGCCTGGTCGACGACAAGCCAAAGGCGGACAAGGGGAATTGAGAGGGAGCTGTGATGCAAGGCGGGGACTGCCCTGAGTCTGGAACTGGGTCTGGAAGCTTGTTTTCTCACCGGGCCCCTCCCCTATTTAGTCGAGTCGTATCTCTCATGTAATTACCCCCCTCACCAGGGAGCTGTCACCAGGGCCGCCCTGTTCCCGAGGGAGGCCGGCCGGAACGAAGATGATTCTAGTACTATAGTACAGTATGTAGCACGAGAGTGCAGATATACGTACAATGACCCGGTTGCCTACATTACCTTGGATCTCCACAAGAGGGAAATAACTCCGTGGCTACCTTCCCAGCTTGGCCTGGTACTGTTGGTACTAACTGTAATTCCGTATTTCAGTAACTAGTCCTTGACCAAGGTCCAGTAACCAACCTCAGTTAGGTATCCGTTCCTCTGTAAACGACCCCTCCAGCCCCTCTTTCAGCGGGACGCTGCCCCGCACTTGGAGCTGTGCAGCACCTTGCCGCGCTGGGCTGGGCTTCCGTCAGCCTTGCGCATCGAGCGAAAAAGCAAGCACATGGGACGATCTCGGGCTCTCATTGGCGTGGGCGCAGCACACTACACTGTCAGTGTCGACTCTTAGCCAGACGCACCTTTGTTCGACCTGACCTAGACCTAGCTCTGTTTGAGCTTTCTGCCGGGTCTCGTGAGCTCGAATTTATCGAATCCATCGAAGCACCCAACTGGCCTGAGCGAGGGCCCGAGCCTTTTTTTTCCCCTTGGCGCTGCTGTTGCAAGCCGAGACGGAGGCTCAGTAGGACAAGGGCTTGGACCTGACCTGACCTGGGCCACGACGGACCCAAGAGATCGGATCTCGTTACCTACCTTACGCCCGCCGCCCGTCTGTCCATCCGTCCGTTCTGCTGCAATTTCATGACAGCGGGCACCAGCAGATGAGCCAGCAGTACATACAGTGCTTGTCCACCATCTATCCAACTGCCGCCGTTCTAGCCGTTCCCGCCGCAGTCTGCTCGCTAGACTCGCCCTGGGGGTTTGTTGCACCACCGGGTTGTATGTGCAGGTGCAGGTATCCAGGCCGTACGCCGTACAGTTGTGGTATTGTATGTACTTTGTATCCGTACATTCAGTCATTCAGTCATTCATTCATTCATTCATTCATTCATACGAAGCAAGCATACCCTGTCACATTCCCCATCACACACCCCTGCCCACCTTACATAGTACAGTACCTCCAAGTGTGTGTGTGAACTGGGCCATGTGGCGTGGCAGCAGGCGCATTACCTATAATCTGTAACTAGGTCTAGGTCTGGGAACTTGGTCTGAGTCTGGGTCTGGGTCCTCGGTACGTACAGTACATACACGAATACTTGACGCCCCGGTGCGGGAAAGGGCGCTATCCGATGTTTTGAGGGAGACAACGAACGGGATACCAGAAAAGAATTTGCCGTCAATTTGCTACCGTCTTTTTATTTTATTTTTGCTTCTGTTTTTTCTCTCTCTTCTGCTTCTTCTTCTCCAATCGGATCCTGATGCTTCCTTTGCTGCTACAGGAAACATAGACACAACACAGACACAGACACGCCTGACCCCCACCTATAGGTTCCCATTCAGCTGTTCTGTTAGTAGGAGGTAGGTAGTAGTAGATCAGGCGGACGGCCTGTCTTGTCTTTCTAGTCTGACCTACCTTACCTTACCTTGCCTTAGGTCCCCATCCCCTCCCCTCACCCCCTGAGCTGCTTGTCAGTCACGCCCCCTTTCAGTCAGGACAAGACAAGATCAGAGATAAAAAAAAAAGGGCACCGAGGAAACAAGAAGAGCAGATCTGCCTACTGTCTATCTACCCTACTGCCTACTATACATACTTGAGGGAAATACCTTGGTCGACGGTGGCTGTCTACATGCCCAGGCTTGGCTGCTGTCTCACATACAGACACACGCACACACACATACAACACACACACACATACATACAGCATCAGCCAAACAGTATCAGCCAAACAGTCAGACAGACAGAGAGACAGAAAGAGAGACAGAAAGAGAGACAGAAAAACATACAGACACACAGACAGTCATACAGAGGAGACTGACTGACAGACACAGGGCCGGGGCGAAACCACCAAAGCTCGGGCTGAGCCAGGGAAGCCATCTCTCGATAGCCCAGCCCAGCTTGACTGAGGTGCCTTTTCTGATTGGAGAAGGCCAGTCGCAACTCTACAGCGCCGCCGCCCGCTTTCCAGACCAGGCGCACTATGTAAGTGCTCCCAGCCTTGCACTTATTGTCCTAGTCCCTCGCCCTGCCCATGTCGCCCCTCTGTTCTCTTTTGATCTCCCCCTTTCCATCCGCCCTCTGCCCTGCCCGCGCCTGCTTGCAAGTGGTGTTGGCATGCTCACATCGCCTCGCAGGAAGTTCGGCAAGCACATACAGAAGCGGCAGCTCGAGGTGCCAGAGTATGCGGCCAGTTTCGTAAACTACAAAGCCCTCAAAAAGGTACACCCTGTCTCCCATGTTGACCTCTTGGGGTTTGATAATAAGGAAAGGACGGATACCATGGCAGGACACAGAGAAATAGATACTCCCTTGCCCCCTTGTACTTCTGTTTTTGCCAAGCATACGAGGCATGCAGAGAAAAGATTGCCGGCACGGCCTCGTAGCTACCCGCTCTCGCTCCCGACCTGTGTCACTGACAATGCGTCGAACAGCTCATCAAGAAACTCTCGGCCACCCCCGTCCTCCCCACGCAAAATGACGCCTATCGCGCCGCGGTAGAGCACCTCGACTCGCAGGCCGCTCTCCAGGCGAACAAGGCCACCTTCTTCTTCCAACTGGTAAGGTCGACGTCTACCCCGTAAACCCGACCCGACCCGACCTGACCCAAGGGTTACTAACAGCCGGCAGGAACGCGAGCTCGAAAAGGTCAACGCCTTCTACCTGCAGAAAGAGGCCGAGGTATGTATACCCACCCCCTTTTCTGCTCCCCGTCCTCTGTTTTCAGCGTCTAACCACAGCCCTCGCCAGCTCAAAATCCGCCTCAAGACGCTCCTGGACAAGAAGAAGTCGCTGAGGTCCCGAAACAATGGCGTTTCTAGACGCTCGGCCAAGTTTACCACGCTCCAGGAAGGCTTCCAGCAGTTCACCAGCGACCTCAACAAGCTCCAGCAGTTCGTAGAGATTAATGGCACTGCCTTTTCCAAGATCCTGAAGAAATGGGACAAGACGTCAAAGTCAAAGACGAAGGAGCTCTACCTGTCAAGAGCGGTCGAGGTCCAGCCCTTTTTCAACGCCACCGTCATCAGCGAGCTGTCGGACCAGGCCACGACGAGCCTCCAAGACCTGGGAGCGTGGGCCGAGGGAGACAACGTCAACCTCGAGGGCCGGCCCGACCACATTGTGAGCAGTCAGCATCTGCTGGGGACCGACGAGGGCGATGCCGACACGCTGCTGCTCGACACGGTTCTCGCGGGCCACCTCGACTCGCTGCGAGACCTGCTCGGCCGCATGAGGGCTGCCGTGGATCCGAGCAACGCCGGCAACATGGACGTGTCGCTGATGGAGCGAGTCACCAGGACGTTCCTGGCCTCGATAAACGAGGGCCCCATCGAGGCGCTCCAGGTCTTGCTCGAGACGGGCCTCGTCGAGATCCAGTCCGAAGACGACATCAACGAGCGCAACTGCCTGCACCAGGCCGCCATCTACGGCAACTCGTTTGTGCTCGAGTTTGGCCTCTCAAAGGGCGTCGCCGTCGACAGGACCGACGTCTACGGCCGCGTGCCGCTCCACTACGCCAGCATGCACGGCCGCCTCGACATGCTCGACACTCTGCTTTCCGGTAAATTGTTGTTCATGCCCCTTTTGACCCGTCTCCGCCCGTTGATATCTGACCAAACCCAGCCGCGCCCCAGACCATCAACCTAATCGACCACGACAACTTCACGCCCCTTGTCCATTCCATCGTCCACGGGCACCTCGATTGTGTGCAGCGGCTGCTCGAAAAGGCCGCCAGGATAGACCCCGTGTCTGAGACGGATCACGTACCTCTCAACATTGCCTGCGAGCACGGGATGCTAGAGGCCGTCGAGCTTCTCCTCAAGCACGGGGCCCGCATTCTGCCCGACGCCGAAGGCCTCTACCCCCAACACCTAGTAGCGAGGTCGGGGCAGACGCCAGAGCTGCTTCTCCTCCTGAAGAACTACGGGGCCGACCTAGACCAGGTGGACAAGCTGTATGGGTGGACACCGCTGGTCCACGCGGCGAGCGAAGGAAACGTCCCGTGTCTGCAGGCTCTGCTGAATGTCGGAGCCGACCCCAACATCCGAGACGAAAAGGAGCTCCCGGCCATGTATTACGCGGCGTGGGAAGGCCACCTGGAGTGCATGAAGCTTCTCGCCCCGTTCAGCAAGGGGACGACGGCCAGCCCCATGGCCATGCAGATCGGGGGGTCGTTGGTTCCCATAACCGGCAGCGGCAGCGGCAGCAGCAGCGGCCCGATGCCCATGCTCCTCGACCCAGACGCGATCCCGGAGCTCGAGCTTCCGCCCCCCATCATCCCTCTGCGGCGCTACGGCCACAATTTCCTCGACACCAAGACAGTAGTCCAGATCAACTTCCAGGGCGAGCAGCCGCTCGTCTTCTTCCACGACAGCAAATACCCGGCGGCCCGCCTCACCATCTCGTCCAAGATCTCGGACCTCATACCCAAGAACATCATGCTCCCCTTCCAGGAAGACACGCGGCTCGTGTCCTTCCAGATCGACAACCTCGAGTCCTTCACGCTCGACTTTGACGTGTTCCCGGCCTACGGCGCCAAGGTCATCGCCAAGACGGTGGCCCTGCCGAATACGTTCCGGGCGCTGCTGAGCAGCTCGGGCAGCTGCTGCCTACCGCTGTTCGACCCCCGCCTCCGCGCCATCGGCCAGATCAGCTTCTACACCGAGGTGATCAAGCCTTTCCGGGGCAAGCCTCTCGAGATTACCGACTTCGAGACGTACTGGAAGGCGACGAGCCAGTTCGACCGGAACATGAGCGCCTTCGTGACAGGGTCGAGCCTGTCGGGCGACTTTGTGCGCCTCTTTGTGCAGCGCACGAGCGACGGCGTGCCCGTGCTGTGGCCGCGGTGGGCCATCCTGTGCGGAGGCATCGACATTCCCGTGTCGCGCCTGACGTTTGCGCAGTTCAGCTCCGTCACGGCGCCGGCGCGGAGCGGCGTCGACCTCGCGGCGCTCCGCACGTACCCCGCCGACCGCATCGCCAGCATCCACCAGACGCTCGCCACGGTGGGCACGACGCTGCACGACGCGCTCTCGCTGCTGCCCGACGCCATGCACGTCAACATCCAGGTGCTGTACCCGACGGCCGACGAGGAGCGCGCCTTCAACCTGGGCCCCAGCGCCGACATCAACGCCTTTGCCGACGCCGTGCTGACCATCGTCTTCGACCACGCCCGCGCCCAGCGCGCTCACAGCAGCGCCAGCGGCGTGCGCTCCGTCGTCTTCAGCTCCTACAACCCCAGCGTGTGCACCGCCCTCAACTGGAAGCAGCCTAACTTCCCCGTCTTCCTGTGCAACGACCTCGGCCGCCAGGACGACGGCGGGAACAGTATGAGTACGAGCCAGCGCGCCAGCTCCATCAAGGACGTCGTGCGCACCGCCCAGAGCAACAACTTTATGGGCCTCATCTGCTGCTCGCGCCTGCTGGTGTGTTTTTTTTTTCGTTTGTTTGTTTTTATCCCATGCTAATGGCTGTGGAAACAGGACATGGTCCCCGCGCTCGTAGACTCCATCAAGTCGCACGGCCTGGCCCTCGTCGTCGACAAGTCCGGCGAGAGGCCCGGCCCGATACTGACTTCGCTTGCGGACCCGTTCCCTCGCCTGCCCAAGGGCGTTGATGGCCTGCTGAAGGATAATGGCGTGCTGAGGTTTAACGAGTCGATTGACGTGTAGGCGGAGGTGGTGGAGGTGAAGGGATTTGGGGATTTTGGTGTGTGTTTGTGTGTGCTTGGGAGGGGGGATGGTGGTGGAGGTGGCGGTGGGTGTATATACCGTTGAGCAAAAACAAGCCTGGTGAATATCTGATTTGATGCGGCAAAGAAAAGATAGGGGCGGGGGGTTGGCGGTTGGTTGTCTGTCTGTCTATCTATATATTTCTCTTGCTTGAACTGGTTGCTTGCCTGACTGACGTGCTTGACTTGGCTTTCTTGGCCTGCTTGACATGACTTGGGCTGTTTGAGCTGTTTGACCTACTTGACCTACTTAACCTACTTGACCTACTTAACCTGCTTGACCTACTTAACCTGCTTGACCTACTTGATCTGCTTGACCTACCTGAGCTACTTGGCCTGCTTGTTTACCGACTTGCTTGGATGGCATGGTAGTTGGGTTTGTGCTTATTTAACCTGCTTGGCCTGCTTGGCCTGCTTGGCCTGCTTGGCCTGCCTGAGTTACTTGGCCTGCTTGACTTGCTTGACTTGACTTGCTTGACTTGACTTGGCTTGACTTGACTTGGCTTGACTTGACCTGCCTGACTTGTTTGACCTGCTTGAATTGCTTGACCTGCTTGACTTGCTTGACCTGCTTGACTTGGTTGACCTGCTTGACTTGCTTGACTTGCCTGACTTGACATGCTTGCTGGCTTGCCTAACTTGCCTGACTTGAATGGCATGGCGGCTGTGTTTATTCTTGACCTGCTTAACCTGCAGGACTTACCTGCCTTTAATAATATGGTAGCTAGGTTGTACTTATTTGACTTGACTTGCTTACTTCTATGTTGACTTGCTTGGATTGAAGGCATGGTGGTTGGGTTTGTGCTTGCGTGCTTGGCTTGCTCGACTTACAAACTTAACTTACCTGCTTACTTCCATGCTTAACCTGCTTAACTACCTACTTGATCCAATTAGCCTGTTAACCTGAATAGTATAGTGGTTGCGCTTATGCTCACATACCCGATTTTTCTACCTTGGTTAACTTGCTTGCTTGCTTCCTGCCTGTCTATCCAGGGAAAAAGGAACGGGGTGTGTTTTTTTCTGTGGTCTAGGCGGGCATATCCTGGGTTGTTGTGAGGCTGGGGTGGGTGAGTGCGTGCTCGCGTGAGCATTTGCTGTGGGCAAATAGAGGTTAGGGAGAAAAAATGGGGACACTCGGAGCCAGTTAGAGAGAGACCCTTTCTGTTGGCCCGACAGCCGGGTATTTTTTGAAGCCTTGGCGAGTACAGCGTGGAACCGCTTGGTGGACACAGAAAGCGTCGAGCCGTTTATGACGAAGCTCCGATAGGCACTTAACTAAGGAGCTAGATCTATACAGCTAATGCAGGTATGTATGTATACATCTCAACGAGAAAAGCCTAGGAAGAATGATAATGCAGACAACACAAGGGCAACAACAAACTAGAGTCAAAAACAAGCCCCTTTCCATTTCCATTCCCGCTAACAGACAAAAGAACCCCCTTTAGCCCAGCCCAGCACAGCCATGCACACACGTAACGATGGTAGCCCATAGTCACGCGCCCTTGTACTCGTAGCGCAGTGCGTCGAGCTCGCGCTCTGGGTCGACGCCAGCCATGACAACCTTGGCGACGACGACTACGGCAAACACCAGAGCCGGAAGACTACCGAGGCCGAGCACAAGCTCCCATGCGGCAGGCTCCGCGGCAGCAGCAGCGATACGGTACCTGCCCAGCACGCCCAGGACAGCGACGACGGCGCACAGGCCGGCGTTGAGGTACGGCAAGAACGTCTCGAGGGGGGACCGCGGGGCGGCAGCGGTCGTTGTCCCTCCGAGGCGGCGGTCGAGGACAGCAAAGCCCGTGCGGGCGGGCGGCAGACGTATGATCAAGAAGGCGGTGGCGGCGAGCGACGAGAGGGCCAGCAGGGAGAGCAGCGGTGAGGGCGCGGCGGGCAGGCGCAGCACGGCGCCGGCGGCGAAGGGGATGCTGGCGGTCGCTGGGAGCGCTAGCAGCAGCCGGCCGAACTGCTCGTTGCGCTGGCGGTTCTGGGCTGCGAGGCGCGCGATGAAGGATTCTTGTTCTGTGGTGTGTGAGCGTGGTCCTATACCTCTTGTGTCTGTCTTCTCCTTTTCAACTGAGAAGTAGAATAGAACCGACCCTCCTCAGCATGGAAATGGAAATTAAACGAAACAGCTGCAGCGCCCAGACAGGCCACAGTAGCACATATATGATAAACAACACCTTGCACAGATAGAGGAAACCACGCAGCAGAAACCACATCCGTCATCCAAGCGAATAAACTTTCTTAAAAAATGAAAAAGAGAAAGAAACAAAATAAAAAAGAAAACATAACAACCCGCCTCGGCTGGCTGGCTGATAACCACAACCATAGTAGAAACGCTGAAAATGAAATGAAAATAAAATAAAATGAGATAAGAAAAAAAACCGACCTTGCTCATCCATGACCGCGGGAACATCATCGTCATCATCATCATTCTCATCGCCACCGGCACGACCGTCTCGCGCATCGTCGGCGGGGAAGCGAAACGTGCGGCGCACGCGTGCCGAGCTCATCTTGTACCCACACACCAGTACTAGTACTAGGTGTATATGTGTATGTTATGTGTATGCCGTGACGCGATATCGAACTGGTGCTGAGATTTTCTTATGTAGCCATCTCTGTCTGTCTTGGTGTTTCTATCTTGGTGTTCGTGCGCTGTGCTGTGATGTGACGTGCTGTGGTGATGCCAGGTATCCGTAGGGTAATTCAATAAGGTGAGGTGTGTTTTGCTGCTGCCTGCCTATATCAGCAGTGATCTCACACTAATATGGAGGCAATAATAGGCCAGGCACGCAAGTGCAAGTACTGTACAGTAAAGGACCTAGGTTAGGCTTCACGCGGCCCCTTCTGTAATTGATACGTATGGTCTTTAAGTCACAGGCAGGTGGGTTGGGTGACTGTCAACGGCCTTGGCAGCTGGCTATCAGCGGACCGCGCTAGCTGGCTGGTTAACTGCATATTTCGGACTCGCGTACATGCATTCCTGGAAACAACAGCACAGGCTGTCGATCTTGAAGCTTCAAATTGCACAGCTTACTTGGACGAACACCGCAGCGCCACCGTGGCTCACCGGGCTTTCCTTTCGAGCGCAGCGAGCAGCCCGCCGCAGGGGCCCCCGGAGAGCCGCCGGAGGCAAAGACTCGTCCATGGCTGTAGGTAAGGGTATTATTTTCTATATCTTGTTTCGTCTGCTCAACCTAGGGGGGGCTTCCACAGCTACAAGAGTATTTTCCATCCGCCCGACTCCGACTAAATAACAACCGGCCACGCGCGAAGCCCAGAGAAAAAATTGTAATGGCTGCTGTCATCGGACCGGCCAGCTCAAAGGAAGCAGGTCAAAGAAAGGCAGGCAGGCACCAAATTCCTAAAGAGGTTGTGTGCCGCTGTGCCCCGTCCTCGCGTGCTCCCGTCACCACCACCACCACTACACCATCAAGTAGTAATAATAACCTACTTTAATCAGTAACCTTGGTTCCGTGCTTGCATCTGCAGGTCAGATTAATTGCATGGTTTGCCACTTTTTTCCTAGTTTTTATCCATCCTTCCTCCCAACGGCAGTCACACAACGGTGTATTTTTACACTACCCTCTGCAATGCAATCACGCCGGCGCGTGTCGAGCCAGGGCCCAGGCTGTTGGGACCGACCTGTCCTCGCCAACGTTGGGTTCGTGCCGTCTTTCCACCTTGTCCACCCAAGTCTCCTCGACACCATCAAAGGCCGCCCTAGCCTGCCTTTGTTTGTCCAACAATGCGCTTCTCGGCGCCAAGTGCAGTGCGAGATGCAAAAATAGAAACTGCGAGGAGAAAAGGTTTGCGCTGGTCGCTGTGGATTGAACTGCTGTCTGCTAGTCTGGTCGTCTACTTCTCACCCGGCTCACACACTACCGTACGTGGAAGATCAAGTCGGGCATATCTTCCCACCGCCCCACCCCACCACTAGGCTTTGCAACATGGGAGCTGCGTGTGTGTTTATTCGCAGGTGCCGTCACGGCCCGCTGCGGCCAGCAACTGCAGGCTTACCCGGTATCCTCCAAAGACGCCCGGCCAATCCAGCATCGCGCGCCGCTCTCAGCCGTTGGACGCAGGGTGCGGTTGGTATGCAGTCCGTTGATCGCCGCCATCTTTTCCGCGTGTCGAACTACATAGTACATGGTAGTAGCCCGGCCACGAGCTAGAGCCTAGGGGGAGCTCCAGCTACCCGGACCCAACCTTGTTGCTGAAAGCCCGCCCCCCGTCTGCCGGCCTTTCACTTCTATTATACGCCAAGGCTCCCTCAGGACCTTGTGTCTTGTCTTTCTCTTTCTCCCCCCCTCCCCTTTATCCCGTGAGGCCTTGTCGGGCAGACCATAATATATATATACCTGCCAGGTACGCCGGCTCGCTTTGTGGCTGCAAGACCAGACACGCAGACTCGAACACCCACCCGACAAGATGCCGTCACCGCCTCTCATAAAACTTATCTACGGCGCGCTGCTGCTGCTCGCCATCGACGCGGCCATCTCGCTGAGCCTCGTGTCGTCCATGGTCAGCTTCCTGCACCACCGCGGCGGCGCCTGGTTCGCCGTCGCCTACCCGCCCGGCTCGTCCTTCAACCTCGCCGGCCACCCGGCCAACCTGATCGTCAACCAGGGCCACACGTCCAACGGCGCCTCGGGCACAGCACTGGTGCTGGTCGGCTTCGGCGGCGTGCTCGCGCTGTGGCTGGAGCACCGGTCGAGAACAAAAGTATATCTCCCCCTAGCAAACCACGGGCCGCGCGCACACAAGCTAACAGCCCCCAGCTCGGCAAGTCGTCGCCGGCCTTTTACATCTGGGGCGTCACCACAGTCCTCAGCTGCCTGCTCACGCTGACGGCGCTCGTGTACACGTTCGTGGTGACGGCGCAGACGGCAGGGCAGGCCATCGACCTGGCCGTGGCGTCGCGCAACTCGGCGCCCGCGCACTACCCCGACGACAGCTGGACGCCCGAGAACTGGTACGACGCCGTGCTTGGGCTGCCGCTCACCGACGACGCGGACCGCGACGCCATCGCCCGCGCCCTGCGCCTCATGCGCGGCTGGCGCTTCAACCTCATTCCGCTGTTCGTCCTTGGGTTCGTCCTCGGCGCCCTCGTCGTGCTCGAGGTCCTGAGCGGCCGCAAGCCGCGCGGCAGGTACGGGAAGACTGCCTCGGGCGACGTCTACGCCGGGGGCGCGAAGCAGGAGGCCTGAGGCCGGTATTGAGCTGGGGATTCAGGGCCTGCCCTGTTTATCGCCTGCATTTGTTTTGACAAAGTCACCTAGCCAGTGAGGAAGGGGTTAGCTGAACGGTCCTTTTTGCCTCCAGCGCCCTCCCGGGGTCCCTGCGGCGGGCTGCTCGCTGCGCTCGAAGGTCGTTATATTTCCAGTCAAGCTCGCTGCGGTGGCTTCGGTGGCTCTATTCAGCTTAAAAGCACAAATACGGAAGCGCACGGCGTGGCAGGCCGGGCCGGGCGTATACACCTACTTAGTTCCGTTTTTCACTTCATACGTTACTTTTTCAGTTAATTCAAATAATAGAGCAAGCAGTGCAAAAATAGATTTCGCGGCGCAGATGTTCTTATTTTTCTTGTCTTCATACCTCTGGCTTTGCGTTGACTGTCCGCCCCTTTTTCGATACCCGAGTACGGAGTACTGTAACTGTACATACATACAAAGTATTCGTAAAAGCAACAATTGAGACCCCGTTTTATGGATACGCAGCTCGTTTAAGCATTCGTGCACCGTGCCCGCCCCACTCTTTCTCTCGTTCCGTCCCGCAAGCCCACGGACTACAGAGACGGCAGGCATTTGCAGCAGGCATTTGCAGCAGCAGCTCGCCGATGGCCAAATCACCACTACCCACAAAATCCACAAAACCACCACAGCTATGCTCTCGAGGACAGCACACCCGCGGCGGGCCGGCACTCTGGCAGCCGCGGCGCTACGACGAACAAGCCCAGGCACAGCCCGGCAGGTCCTCTCGCCGCGGACACCGCCATCCAATATACACCTGCAACAGCGCCGCACGCTCGTGTCGGCGCCGCGGCCGGGCGACGGGCCGCTGATGGAGCGGCGCGCCGACCGCGAGCTGCCGAGTACGTAACACCCCCCCGCCATCTATCCCCCCAATTACTAACCCTGAAAAGACATCGATGCGACATCTCACTGGCGCCGGACTCTCCCCGCCTTCCTCGCCATCCTGGCCCTCTCCTCAGTCGCCATCTTCAACTACCAGAAACTCTCGTCCCCGGTCGTGTCATCGACCCTCTACGCTTTACGCACGAACCGCAAAGCGCGCGCATATCTAGGTGACGAGATCTACTTCGCGGACCAGATCCCCTGGATCTCGGGGACCATGAACCAGCTGCACGGGCGGATCGACATCCGGTTTGCCGTGCGCGGCACGCGCGGGAGCGGGTGGATGCGGTTCGCGAGCAGCCGGGCGACGCCGCGCGCGCAGTTCGAGACGCTGGAGTGGAGTCTTGAGACGGTTGATGGGAAGGTTATCGATTTGCTTGAGGGAGAAGACCCGTTTAGAGGGATTACCGGGCCGGGAGAGGCGGGTTTCGGAGGTGGACGGGATGTTGCGGAGGAGGACGATGATGAGGAGACGCGGGGGTTTAGGCAGATGGTTACTGTGCAGGTTAGGGAGGGGGAGAGGAAGAAGGATTGATGGGGGAGAGGGGTCGTTGAGTAGGCACCTTTCTTTGACTCGATATAAAAGCAGAGAAGGGGGTGTTAGAGACAACCTGTGGTCATGCAACATGTCATGGTCATGAACAAGACTGGCGGGGGCTTCACTTTGGTGGGTGCTGGCAGAACCACTGCATTCATGTAAAGTTACTGTATTGTACATCTTCACTGCCGTCTATACTACAACTTGAGACTACAACAGACACAAATCAGCCCCGCGCATTCTCCATGGCCTCGGGCACGTCCTCGCCCGTCACGCCCGCCTTGAGAATCTCGGATATCCGCCCCTGCTTGCGCGCCTCCTTGAGCTCCATGTGCTTCTTGCGTGCCTCAGACAAACGCTCCTGGGCGTCGGGGAAGCGCTCGTCGAGCACCCGGCGCGTCTCGTCGATAAACTCCTGCGGCGGCGGCGACTTCTTGACGGCGTCCTGGATCTTGACCGTGCACCCCTTGGGCCCCGGGATGTTGCCCTTGACCACGACGATGCCGAGCTCGTTGTCGACCATCAGCACGGGCAGGTTCTGGATCGTGGCCTGCTGGCCGCCCATGCGGCCGGGCATCTTCTTGCCGGGCAGCACGCGCGAGCCGCTGCCCTGCGACGGGCCGACGGTGCCGATGGTGCGGTGGTTGAGCGAGTTGCCGTGGCTGGCCTCCTGACCGGAAAAGCCGTGGCGCTTCATGCCACCAGCAAACCCCATGCCGCGGCTGTTGGCGCGCACGTCGACCCACTGGCCGATGTGGAACCAGTCGGGCAGTAGCTGGACGCCGACGGGCAGCAGGCCGGTCTGGTCGCGCACCTTGAACTCAGCCATGTCGCGCTTGGGGGCCATGCCGCGCGCCTCGAAGAAGCCCAGCATGGGCGCGCCGACGTTGTCGGGCTGCCGCTCGCCCAGCCCGACCTGCACGGCCCAGTAGCCGTGCTGGGCCCGCGTCTTGTTGGCCACGATCTGCACGCGGTCGAGCTGCAGCACCGTGCACGGGATTCGCGTGCCGCTCCGCCCCATGAACGCTGTCATGCCCTTCTTGATGGCCAGCACGCCCGTCCGCTTAGGCGTTGTGCGCTCGCGCCGTTTGAGGGCCGCTGCCGGGCCCGTCGTCGGCTCTGGCAGCCCCATGGACGGCTGGTTGAAGCGCCGCGGCCGCGCCTTGGGCGACTGCGTGCTCCACCCGTACTTGACGCCGCGCGGTGTGGTGTGGGAGAGGAGGCGGGCGGCGGGGGGGAGGGCGAGGCCGAGTGGAAGGGTGTGCGAGAGCGGGGGCCGCGAGAGCGACGTCGGCTGAAGCTGCCGCCAGCAGCGCGCCGGCAGCCGGGGCGCCATTTCTGTGTTGTGTTCTGTCTTCTGCTGCTTCTTTCTTGTTCGTTGTCGGTGGCCCTGTCCGGGTATCAATTGCCCTCGGCCGGGGGGCGCAGTGAGATGTTATCGGCAAGTTCGGGGCATTGGCCGGGGGTTTGGCTGTCGTCGGGCGGGTGGAGGTGGTTTGGCCCAAAGTTTGTATGCCCGGCCAGAGTCGGACAGAAATTTGAAGCTGCTGCAGATAAATTCCGATAGAGTGATGCCCCGATAACACAGAGGCACAGCTGGGGGGTGACAGCTGGAGGCAGGGGTTGGAGAGATAACCCTAACCCTTTGGCTTCCCCGCTGAGGACCGCAGTCAGTTCAAAGTGCGCGTTTGCTAGCAGCCTCATTGATCAGCACTTCGCAGCTGACGGCATCGCAACTGGCACTACCGGCGGGCTGAGAGACTGCGCCATTGCAGATAGCGTGCACCTTTTCTTATTTTATTTCATTTCTGAGAGGTGTTTTGACTAAATCAAGATGGTTTTCTACTTTACGTCCAACGTGGTCGATCCGCCGGCCTATGTCTACGTCGGCAAGGACAAGTTTGAGAGCATGTCCATCAATAACTCTTACATGCCCCGCGCTCATCGCTGACTGCAATAGACGAGGAGCTGATACAGCACGGCTGGGAAGAGGATGTCTGGTGAGTTCAGTCTTGGCTTCCCACCAGAAACAATCTGTAGACTCACACTCGCCAGGGTATGAAACCAAACCTACTTTCTGTCTGGACGCATCTCATGCTTTGACCGCAGTTCCACGTCGACAAGCTGTCCAGCGCGCACATCTACCTGCGGCTGCGCGAGGGCGAGACCTGGGAGGACATCCCCGAGGACCTGCTCACCGACCTGGTCCAGCTGACCAAGGCTAACTCGATCGAGGGTGGGTTTGTGTGTCTGACAAAACATGCCGTGACTGACCCCCGCAGGCAACAAGAAAGACAACATCACCGTCATCTACACGCCATGGTCCAACTTGCGCAAGGACGGCAGCATGGCCGTCGGCCAGGTGAGCTTCAAGGACCAGAAGAAGGTAAACCCCCCCAACCCCTGACAACGCCCGGCACCCCCTAAACATGCCCCAGGTCAAGCGGATAGTGGTGCCGCAGCGTGAGAACGCCATCGTCAACCGGCTCAACAAGACCAAGGAGGAAAAGTACCCGGACCTACGCGAGGAGAAGGAGGGCCGGCTGCGCGAGCTGCGGAAGAAGGACCAGGCCGCGCAGCAGGCGCGGCGCAAGGAGGAGGAGCGCGTCGCCAAGGAGCGCCAGGAGCTCAAGTGGCAAAAGGACCACGCCTACGATGACATCTTCACCGAGGAGAACATGGCCGGCATGAGCAACCAGGACCGCGGCTCCGACTGGGAGGACGACTTTATGTAGCCTGACGTAGACTGCCTAAAATTAAATAATTTTTTGATACCGAGTTAATTACACGCCCGGGCCCCACCCGCCAATGCCGCCGCCAATGGCACTGACACTGGTGCCCTTGAGCTTGTGGTCGCTCGGGTTCGCGGCGGCCTCGTACAGGATATTCTGCGGCGCGCGGCCGAGCGGCATGCCGGGCTCGCCGCGGAAACCGACATACGAAATGCGGGTAACATCTTCATCACCGTCGCCAAAATTGTCGCTGAAGAACAGGCTCAGCTGCCGCACCGCGCTGAACCGCGCCCGCCGCACCGCTACCTCCTGCACCTCGCTCGTGCGCGCCAGCTCGAACGTCTGCGTGCCCTCGGCGTCCTCGGCCGCGCTGAAGTCGACGTTGTCTCGGTTGATGATCACTTTGAGCGTGCGCGGCGCGCTGGCACTGTCGGATGTCCGTAGTAGGATTGCGTGTAGCTTGACTTGGCCCGTGAAGCTACACTTGTCAGTCTCTCTCTCTTTGTGTGTGTGTGTGTGTGTGTAGGGTGGTTGTGCATCGACGGTGATGACTTGAGCAGCAAAAGGGAGGGGGCTTGTCTAAACCCATCTATACCATGTAGTGTAAACTCCCTCGTGATCGTGCATGAATATATTAAACAACAGAAAGGTACGTAAAGGAAAAAAAAGGGGGGGCACCCAAAAGGGGGGTGATAGACATCCGTGCATCATACAGACCTTACCCCCAAGAACAACAAACCGCAGCACAACAACACAAAACAACACACAAATGAATAAAGTAACGAGAGAACAATACATACGGCACATTCATCAACAGCTGCTCATCCGCATCGCTCGCCAGCTCAGGCTCCGCATCGAGGCGCTCAGCCCACGTCTTCTTGACAACCGCAGCGCCGGCACCTTCAGCGTCCTCGTTCAGCGTGACGATGTCGTCGAACGCGATGTACCGGTACAGCGAACGCTGCAGGGCGGGGGTGATGTCGTCCGTGTGGTCATGAGGGCCATCACCGCCGTGGGAGTGCGAGTGCGAGTGCTCGTCGTGACAGGCGTGTCCTGACATTTTGTGTGCCGTTTCTTGGTCTTGTTTTTGAGGTGTAAGGTGGGCTGTAAAGTAAGCTGTAAAAAAGACGTTTATTTGGTGGGACTTTTTGGGAACCTGCCCGTTGATTGCAGTGCAGTGCAGTGTAGTTTGCAGGTCAGGCGAGGGATGGATGAATGATTGCAGATGGAAGGGAGATGTCAGTGAATGAGTTAGTGAGTGACAGATGATGCGGGCCGCCAAACAGTTGCTCTAAACTCGGTGGAATCGGGCCAATTAACCACCAGACCACCCCTCGAAACCAGACACAGTCAACGACAAAAGAAACCAAAACAAATCCAGATATTAGAATAACCACCCATGATACCTACTTACGCACACACCACTCATGACGCCGTCGAAAATATACACACTTCAGAATTGTGTTCATTTTAGTGTGTGATGGTGACGGGTACTTCGCATACCCCATTTCACTTCAATTACGTTTTGTCTGTCGTCTCTACGGCGAAGCGAGTTGGTATCTGTCTGTCTGTCTGTCTGTCTATCTATCTATCTATCTATCTATCAATCTAAGTATAGAACGCCTTTCGAGCGCAGCGAGCAGCCCGCCGCAGGGGCCCCCGGAGGGCAAAACAAGAAGGAAAGGAAAGGCCGTTCAGCTATATGTAATTACAGTAGGCGGCAAAAAGTTTGAATCTAGCACTAAGTACCATATAGGCCGCTAGCTGTATTAGGCATAATATACATCTTAATATTTCGTGTACCAGCCTACCACTTTGATGACGGCCGCGACGCGGTGAGGCATTGTACTCGCTAATCTAGAATTGCTTGGTCAACTGCATGCCAGGCTTATTGCGCAGCACTAATTAGCTCTATAAGGTCTCCTCCGTATCTGGAGCATGGCTCAAGTTCTGAATGCTCCCGGTATATCTCGGTCTTCATAAAGGCCCAGAGGTTCTCGATTGGGTTAAGGTCTGGAGAGTACGGTGGCCAGACCATGACTTGAATACCAAGTCTAGTAAGGACAGCCTGTACTATCCGAGCTGTATGTACCGAGGCATTGTCGTGCATAAAGATATCTCCAGGCCGTATAAAGTCTGGAAGCATACCTTCGTATAAACAGCTAATTACCCATCCAGAGACACCTTGTTTTGCCGAGAGAGGGTCGCCGTCGAGAGGAACTAAGCCGGTACGACTACCATAGCCAAAGCCAGCCCAAAGCATCTTCTTCACACCCTTCCCACTATACAAAACTTCCTTAACATCATGTTGTGCAAGCTGCTCGCATGGCCGAAGGAAGGTCCAGACTGGCCGTATCCCTTTCCCTCTTTCTACAGTGCATTCATCGCTCCATTTAAGCCTCTTCTAATCTGCTTCTGTATAATTCTCACACCGCCGAGCCCAAGCGAGTCGTGCTGCAGCCTGCGCGTCGGTTAATTAAGGCCTCCTCAATTGGCGCCATTTCCGCCTACCCATCTCGTGAAGAAGGCCTCGGAGTGATCGTTCTTTAATCACATTATCCACCGAGTCGAGAAGGTCTCTATGAGATATATGGGGATTCGTATGCGTGAATATATCGTAGATTTGGTCTCGTTGCTCTTCAGTAATCTTGCGTGGTGCTCCCGATCGTGGCCGGGTCTGATTGTCAACTCGAAGAGTCTCGCGTCGTATTGTAGTCTTTATCGTACCGAGGGGGATTTCTGGATGTAGCTTATGAATGCGTCCATGACTATATCTTAGAGAATGTAGCTCACATATACGCGAGCGTATTTGAGGTGATAATTCCGACTGCCGTGCCATGGTGGTGATGTTGTTGTTCTGATTGTTATTGTCGTAAAAAAAAGTGGCTACGAAGGGGACCAACACGCGTGGTCTCCTTCTGGTTAGCGGCTGGCTAGTGGCTTACTAGCGGCTTTCATGGTTCAAAGTTTGGATTCAAACTTTTTGCCGCCCACTGTACGGATACCATGGTCATTCTCACAATACACACCTACCCCCGGGAGTCAGGACATAACTGGCAGCTTGGAGTCTCGCAATAGCACACGTTGGCATAGATTCAAGATGGTTATACACTCACTGCCTTTTTATTGTAGAAAGAAAATAGGGACTACCTATTTAGCACGTACACCTATTTTACAACCTCGAGAGATCTACACATGTCTATTGTGTGCGATCACTCTCTAATTCCGATTTCCAATTTTCTAGGTTCTCATACGTATCGGCCGAGAAACAATTGAGCAACAAACACCTCCAGCGCCAACCTCCGTACCGGCAAACTCGTCGGGTGTGAAAGAGAACATCAATATCAGCCATTCACCTCGGTCTCGACGTCGGGCTTGCGGCCGCTTAGGCTGCCGACCTTTGTGAGGCGGCGCGCGGCAAACAGCGCCTCGTCCTTGGCGAACTGGACGTTGCGCATCGGCCTCCTGCGAAATGTCAGCTCTGTTTATCCAGTCGTGCAGATTCAAGCTTGTACTTACCACTGCATCAGCCCGCGATGCTGGCGGTGGAGGTCGCGGCTGCGGCTCTTGTAGTCCTTGTATTGCTTGATGGGGTTCTTGCTGTTGCTGTTGCTGTTGCTGTGGCTCGACCGGCTGGCCGATCTGGCCTGCGTGTCGGCCGACTGCGTGCCCTCGAGAGCTGATCCGTTGCCGTTGCCGCTGGCCTCGCCAGACACGTACTCGCTGCCGTCTTCCTGGTCGGTGCCCTCGGGGTCGTGGTTGGCGTCGGCAATGCCCAGGTCAACATCACCATCATGCTCGTCGTCGTCCTCGTCCTCGGTGCGCCCCGAGTCCTCGCTGCTACTGGCGCGGTGCAGGCTCAGCAGCTCCTTGGGGTCCTGGCCGAACGCGCCGCTCCAGTCGGTGCCGTCCTTGGCCAGCCACTTCTGCTTGTCTTCGTCGGGCGCCTGCGCCAGCACGTCGCGGCCCTGCGTCAGGCTCTCCTCGTGCAGTTTCTGCACCAGCTCGGGCACGTCGGCCGTCACGTGCTCGGCGCGCACGCCCTCGGCGAAGCACGCCTCCCAGCTCTCAATAGTCTCGCGCGAGTCGTTGTCGCTGACGAACTTGAGGTGGTCGCGGTCCGTGCCAGGCTTGAAGCGGCCGCGGAAGCGCAGGCGGCCAATCTGCTCAATCTTGAGGTCCGGCACCGTGCGGTAGTTGCGCTCCGTGATGTAGTTCTGCGAGAGACGCATGCTGTTGTTGCAGCGCCAGATGGGGATGTCAAAGTCCCTCTCCTCGTTGTCGACCAGGTCCTGCAGCCAGATGGCCGCGAACGTGTCCGCGTGGCGTTTGCCCGTGGGGTGGAACTCGAAGAAGACGGGCGACCGGTAGCGGAACCGGACCGGCAGCCGGACCTTGGGGTTCTTGTCGTCGCCGGCGATGTCCCACGAGAGGCCCATGCCGTCTGCGGATTTGGAGCAGACATCCGTCTTGATGACGGCAGAGCTGCCGCCGGTGCGCAGCTTCAGCTTCACCTTGTTGGACGCCGAGTAGTTTGACGCCGCGATCTTGTCGCTCGCAAACTCAAAGGTGCCAATCTCGCCAAAGCTGAGCTGCGGCGGGGGCAGCTTCAGCTCGACGGAGCGGAAGAGCAGGCTAATCCTAATGCGCCCAAACCCGATTCCGCCGTCGAGCGGATACCAGCGCGTACTCTGGCTGCTGGTCTGCAGGACATCGGAAAGCTTGAGCGGGACGACGCCGATGATGGGGTCGTGCTGTCGGTTGCGCGAGTCCCGCACACTGACCGTCACGATGGCCGAGCGCCAGTCGCGGATGAAGCGCTCGGTGCCCGCCTCGAAGATGGGCTTGGACGAGACCACCTTGGTCCGCGTCTTGTAGACCAGCTCGTCGTTCAGCAGAATCGTGCAGTACGCGCTGGGCAGCTTCTTTCCCTGCTCCTCCATGACCTCGCCCGTGTCGGGCCGGGCGGGCTCGAACTCTCGGCCCTTTCTCTTGCCGTTGGAGCCCTTGACGTTTTGCAGCTCGAGGTTGACAATCTGGTGGACAACGACGCTGAGGATGCCGCTCGGCCACAGCGGGTCGGGAGGCGTGTGCACCACGGCGTCTTCCTCGGCGTTATCGAGGCTGCCCTTGTCGTCTTGCAGCTCCTTCTTGTCGCGCAGCTCCTCGGGAAGGTTCATATCCTTCCCGTGCGTCCTCAGGGCTCTCCTGAATTGCGTCTTGCCGAAGAAGCCAACTTCCCAATGGAGCTCACCGGGCATGGTGCTCTCGGCCTTGAGACCCCTCAGCTTGGAGACCTGGGGAAACATTCTGCCGGGATGTTGAATCAGCTTTTGGATGCTCAGCTCGACCTTGCCAACGACGTCGTCGGCCGAGTTGCGGTCGCTGTCCCATAACTCGAGAGACAGCTGCTCGTCAGCCTTGATGATGTCCGAGGTGACCAGCAGGGCGCAGCTTTCCTCGAAGATGGGATTCAGGTCGTCCTGGATCACGCGTGTGCAGTACTGCGGCTTGCCAAACTTGGAGAACGAAACACATATATATGGGTCCGAGCCACCACCTTCGCTCCCGCGCCGGTCCTGCTTGCTGAGCCCGACGGCCTTGTGGATCCTGACAAAGAGGACACCGAGTGTGTCGGTCTCCTTCTTAATGTTGTCTCCCTGTAGCATCTTGCCAATGTCTAGTGTCATCGACTTGGGGGCGACATACATGTTGGCGGCAGCCGCAATGGCCCAGTTGACAAAGTTTGAAATGATGGGGAGGTTGAGGATGTTGGCGCCCTTCTCGATCAGCGGCACACAGCCGGCCTCGACTTTGGGGAGGCCCATGAGAGTGAAACTGAGCGTCTTTATAAACGGCGGGTCGGGCGCCAGCGAGATCCTTATCCTGGCCGTCGCCACAAGCCGGTTCAGCTCGACCCAGACTGGAAAAGGGACGCCGAACAGGCCCTTGATTCCCAGATAAAACACCAGCTGCATGCCCATGTTCTTGGCCTTGGAGGAGACATCCCCAGTGGACGGCAGCGAGTTGTAGGCAACGGTAGCCTCGAGGTTGTAGAAGTCGCCGCCCTCTTCGTCAGCCGCCAGCTCCTGCGGGTCCTTGACCTTTTCGTCCTGCTTGCGTATCTCGGCCTTGAGGTCCTGGACCTGCGAGTCCGGCAGGGCTCTCAAGCTCAGGATGCGGAGCGGGTTACTGCCCTGCGAGATGTCGTTTACCTTTACGTTCTCGATCACGCCAGGTACGCTAGCCTGCATGACGTCCTCGAGGATGTCGGCCACAGCGGCGAACATGTCCGGATTGATAAGCCCCCAGATGAGCCCGACGGCCGTGTTCAGCCACTCGACCGACTCGGGGATTAGGTTCACGACGGCCGTCTCGCCCCTCTTCTTCTCGCTCGACCACTCGATGTCACGGCCCTGGCGGATGAGATCCTTGACCCACAGGAAAACGCCAGAGGCGACACAGGCGGCGAGGGGAATCAGGCCCCAGAGGCTGCCGCCAAACATCTTGCCGACAAAGATGATTGCGATAAAGACGCCGGCGCACAGGACGTTGGCGCGGGCCTCGACCGTCTCGAACATGGGCTCGTAGCTGACCGTCGGGGTGGGGTGGAACAAGACGTTGGTCTTCTCGCCGTGGATGGGCACGTCGGTGGTCGAGCCCTCGGCCACGGGGTCCGGGGGGGCCGTGACATCCTGGGCGACACGGTACTCCTCGCCCGACTGGCAGGAATCGGTCTGGACCTTTGTGTCCTTTTCGAGGTTTGCATTCGGGATTGTCAACTGTGGCACCATGTCAGCGAGTGCTCAGCCAGATGTAGAGGGGTGCTTGCCATTGGCTGCTCGGCGGCCTTGAGGTGCTGTGAGCTAATGTCTTCAATCTCGACGTCCTTACCCGTGACGGGGTCGCGGATGGTGCGGCGGTTCTTGCCAGGCTTCTGGGTGGGGATATGGTCTCTGGCGCCGTCAGTGTTGGCCTTGCCGTTGGCCGTGCCGTTCTGGTTCTGCTTGTCGATCTGGGCATCTCGGTGCTTCTTTTGCCGGTCGAGGCCTTCGACAAACTGCTTGATGTTTGGGATCCGGTTTCTTCCCGAGTAGTGCTGCCCCGAGGGGTACACCGTTTCCTGCGTGTCCATTCCTGTGATGCTATGCCCGTATCACCAGGAACAGCCCGGAGACTAGCACCGACTGGCACTGCTGCCCGCGCCCTCTACGGTAAGTCAAGGTCCTAATATCTCTAGAAGTTGTAGTCAAGATGCTGCGCAGCCCAGCTACTCGCCCGTCGAGAGTAAGTGGAGATGAAACTCTGCGTGACTGCAACGAGAGGTGGTGATGACTAGGGAAGTGGTGGATGTGAGCAAAGAGAAGGAAAAATGGACCGGACACACAAATATATTGGCCTGCTAGGCACATACCAGCGGACGGAGATAGATTACGTAGTGTGGCTTGATCTACGCCCTATTGGGAGCTCTTGGAGTTATGTTAGATGCAAACCGTCAAGCCCGATATCCAGCTCAGCTACTAAGCAGTCACCAAGAGAACCGAGCCAACGCCAGGCTGGTGTCATTGGCCGGGTGGTGAGTCCTCTACATGCATTGTACACTACAAGTACCTAATGATGCCTTTATTTAACATGACATGTCTCGATCGTCACTGCCTGCGGAGCTGGGCCGCTATCAAGAAAGAAATCGAAATCTGGTTCTTGCGCGCTCGGGGAGCTCAGTGGAAGGAAGTCGCGAGCCGGCTATGACGTCAACCCCTACCGCGCCGGTTCCACAACAACGCACCCCACAGTCCACAGTCCACAGTCCACACACCGCAAACAGTGCCCCACCCCACTCTCCCCGTTTATTATTACCGCTACCTATCACTTGCAACAGACTACTGCTCCATAGACCAGACGACAAGGCGCGGTGCCAGTGCTGGTGCCGGGCGGGCGGGGGTTTGAGAGACAAAAATGACGTTGACGGCCCGGGCGGCGTGGCTTAGCATGGAAGACAGGGGGATTACATCAGAAGGACACAAACAGCCGGAATGTCCACTTACAACGCCTAGTAATCTATCCGGAATTGATTCTAGCGCGTGCCCGGTGCTCTGTCAGGATTAACCACGTACAATATTACCTACACCGGCCTCTCTTTCCTTCTTTCTTATTGCCTCTGACCCTCTGGGGGCCCCTGCGGCGGGCCACTCGCTACGCTCGGAAGCCGTTTTATATCCTTTGCTTAGAGTCTCTGAGATTTCTTATTATTGCACGTTTATACGATCGACTAATCCCCAACCCAGGTACTATGTAGGCAATCCCTAGTCGAGAAACCTTCATGTCAAAAAAGGAGTAGATATAGAAGAAAGCACAGACGGCGCTTATTACATGTAACGAACGCTACGCTGTTCAAGTCTTGCCATAGAAAAAAAGAAAAAATAAAGCAAGAGCAGCGAACCGCCCACGGCACGGCGCCGGTAACAGCTCGCGCTTCCATATCAGGTAGTTACACAGTGTGCTTCGTGGTTCCACCAAAGGATGATGGATCGGCGCCAACTTCCCTGCATTACTGTGGTCGCGTGCAAAAATAAAACCCCCTTGTCAGATACCCGAGGGGCAAACACTTTACGCGTTTTTGACTCGGCATGGGGCTTTTTATTACCCATCATACCACAGTACACAGTAGTACAGAGTCGCAGCCCAACCCGCTCAACCCCAGAACCCACTCCCACTCTCACCTTCACACATATAGCCCCCCCCGCAGTCCCCAGCTACCTTATCCCCGAAATGAACCGGGATAAAACGTTTAATAATTATCACGTATCTTGCTGCGGGCGGACCAACTTCTGCTTGACCAGCCTTTGCCTACTTCTACCCTCCAGAACCTCATCTAAACCCCGCCTCCGCTTCAGTGTCTGCTCGAAAGCCTCACTCTCCTGAACCAACTCATATAACTGAGTGAAGGAGATGGTAATTTCCCCTTGAACCTTTCGGATCTCGGAGTAATCAAGCTGATTACTGAAATCCTTCAGCCAAATTCGGAGTTTCTGTTTACCATTGACCAAATTTCCATCTATATCGCGAAAGGTACCCTTGAAGGTCTCTTTTATTGTAAGGGTCGTTTCTCTCTTCTCCTTGGTCTTATTTGGTCGCCATACTATCACTCTTGCTTCCTTTCCCTGGTATATAAGGTCGATCCCGATAACAGCCTGGGTTAACCCATTTGAACCCAGGATATAGTCATCTGCAAGGAATTGCAAATCTTGGTATTTTTGCGAATATAAGACCTCTAGGGTGATACCAAGCTCTGTCGTATCTTTATATATAAACGATCCACCTAGGTAATGGGAACTACCATCCCTCTCAATCTTGGGAATTCTTGTTACATATACTTCCCGAGCGAAATCGGCAGCGACTTGGTTATTACCTCGCTCTATGTCGATTAACTGCTCTGTAACTAGGCCTTCGAATCTTTTGATAACGGCTTCGTGGACAGTGCCCGGCATTCGCAAGACGAACTTGGCGAAGTAAAGGAAGTAGTCGTACCTAATTAGAGGTTGGCTAATATATTGCTAGACAAGGGGCAGCTGGACGAAGAGGGGCAGAGAGATAGAGGGAGGAAGGGATAGGCTACCTGCTTTGGCCAGCGGTAGTCCCCTTCGGCTTCGAAACGCGCCTCAAAAGCCTTGAAATCGTCACGATTAAGGCTAATACACCACCACTCCTCTTCGACCTCGACTCGGCCATAGATGCGATTACGAATTTCGGCGATAATCTTATCGACGCCCGAGACGGGCAAGCCCACAGACGGTGTGGTGGATGTCACGGTCGCCACAGGGCTCATGTGACAGGATTGATTCTATTGGCTGCATTGTGCTTAGGGTGTGGCCTGTGCGCACTGAGCACCACTACCTATTTCTCCGCGCCCTGCGCGGACCCCGCGATAGATTCCTTTCTCTTCCTTAGCTTTAAATCCACATTCGTTGCTGCCTTCAACCATTGACATCCCTACTGCGTAAGGCGGGCCGTCACAGTGGAGGCGGGAAATACTGTCTCTGGGGGCGTTACCGGGAGCGTTGCCGGGAGAGATAGCCGATTGAGCTCGGCGATTTTTCTCTTATCAGCCATGTGGGCGGATGGCTTTGATGATGATGAAGATTGAATGCGCGGGCACCTAGGGCGACTGTAAGGAGTAGGGTTTGCTTGCTTGTTGACGACGGAAGGAACAAGTGTTGTTTGGGCGATTGCTTCGCTTGCGTCTTCCCCGCCAAAAATATAGGTGCAGAGGTTAGCAGGTCCAAGTTGCTAAAAACGGCACCCCAAACAGAGATACAGACCAACAATTAAACAGGGGTTAAGGATCAAGTACGGCCGTCGCGTTACATGCTGGTACAATTGCGAAGAATGTGAGAAGAATGGCAAGGGTTAAGAACACAAGAAAGAGACGCCGGGGGGAGGTAGAGTCGCGGGGATGATGGAATGGCCGCGCTAAACCAAATGAGGAGAGGTGGGGGAGGGCGCCTTTCCCGGAGCGTGCAGCACCATGTTCTCGATTAACTAAATAATTCGACTATACCATCCACCCGCCCATCATGAATTCGTTCGCTCGTTCGTTTGCTTGTTCGCCCTTCCCATCCATCATGTACATGAAGAAACCATTAGCTACCCCCTTCCGCAAAAATATAGACATATGATGTGTTTTATCTCTCTCTTTTCCCCGCTTCCGCATGATGCAAAGTAAGCCAAAAAAAAAACCGCGCGCCAACCCAGTGCAAAAAAGACAAAAGAAAAAACTACGGGCATGCCTCTGCCCGGTCCGGCTGCTGCATCGAGAACAGCCACGGAGCCCAGCCCCGGTCTTCGTTCACCGTGTATGCAGGCCTGGCCGTCATGGTCGGCGTGGCCGAGCCCATGTCCATGTCCATGTCCATGTCCATGTCCGGGTCGAGCCGCTTGTTGGCGTCGTCGTAGTCGGACGTGAAGCTGCTAGCGTCTGACATCTCGACGTCGCCCGACGCCTCGAATACCGAGCTGTGGCTTGTGCTGGCCATGGACTCCACGCTCGGCGTGGGCGGCTCTAGCGCTATTGTGAAGGGATCGGGTGTCGCGCGGCTTCCCGAGGCTGGCGGTATCGGCGTCGACGCCTCGGGCGGCACCGGGGTCGATGCCTGTGGCGCCCGAGAAGGTAGGTATGTAGACGTGGTCACGGGGATCTGTAGGACACCGGCTCGGGCAGCCTGCATCCTGGTCCTCGGCCTGGGCGATGGTAGTGCGATAACGGGCACGGCCAGCGTCTCCTGTTTCGGCACGTCGGCCTCGTCTCCCATGTCCAGAACTGCGCTGACTGCGCTGTAGGTGCTGGTGGCATCCTCGCCATCCTCGGCTTCTTGGCCGATAGTCCAGACCCACCGGCGCTTCTTCTCCTTCTTTTTCCCGCGCTTCCGGATACCGCCCGCCGTTGCCGGAGTGGTTGCCATCGGAGTGGATGTATGCAGCGCGGTCATGCGCCGTCGCATCTCCTCAAAAGGGCCCGGCGTCTGGCCTCCGTCGCGCGTCTCGTTGCCCGTGTACGCCATCGTCTGGTCCAGAACGTCCTCGTCCGAAGAAGCCATGGATGGTGTGGTGGGCGTAGCATCCTCGCTGAGCAGGTCGACGTGCGACTTGGTGTACTTGCTTGTCGTGATGGTCTGGCAAAGGGGGCTGTTGTAGGCGACCCGCCGTGCGGCCTTCTCTTGCAGGCGCACAGACTGTCTCCTCGGTGAGATGGGCGTGGTTGTGCTTAATGGCGGGAGAGGTGAGTTGCGAAGGATGCTGCGCAGGCTCCGAGACTGGGTGTACGGAAGATTCGCCATCTTGGCAGGCATCGTCGTCCGCCGCTTGGGGTTTTGTGTCGTCGGTGTTTGGCCTCCCCTGGACGGGCGCGCAGTAGCGGGTGTGGTGGATGAGTTATCAAAGGTAAAGACCTGGCCTTCCTGTTCTGCTGCCGACATGGGCGGCGTGGCCGTCATGGCGCTGGGGAACCGGATCTCCTTCCCCGTAGCCGGGGACCTAGGCTGCGCCGACAGGGGCGTGTCGAGCAACGGGCCCAGGTAGGGAGTGTGCAATCGACGCTCCTTTGCGCCGGGGCCATCTTGTGTCTGCAGGCGAAGCACCGGCCTCCCTCCTGTCAAGTTGTTCGCTGGTGGCTTGTCCTGGACGGGCGTCGACCGGTCCACCGTGGTAGCGTACACATTGGAGAGGGTGTTGAAGGCGGTTGGAGATGTGACGTCGACTGCGGCAGCGAGGTTCCGCGACGTCTGGACGGTTGCACCATGTGCCAAGGCCTTGATCTGAAGAGATAACCTTGGCCTCCTCGGCGGGCTCTGGGGTGATGAAGACATGTCGGAAGAGGCGTCGGGCCGGTTTATGGCCACGGCGATTCAAGGGTGTTATTTTTGGCTCTTGCAACAAGACAAGCAGCAAGCCACCATGTGGTCCAACTGATCGAGGGCCTTCGGATGCCGACAGACGTCAAAATAGATCGAAGCGGTGTTGGGAGAGATTTGGGTGATCAAAGGGGAACAAGCGGCTATATACCACACATGTACTGGAGAATGAAGTTGGGCTGGCGGCTAGCGAGGATGGGGACGGGGACGGGGATGGGCAGGGTCGGGATGGGACGCGATGGGACGGATGGGATGGGGGCCGACCAAAGCCAAAAAAGCTCCTTTGACCGATTCGGCAGCCAGAAACTGTCCAGTGCTGTGTAGTCAGTGTACAGGGCACAAGAGGAAGCGCCAGGGCCGGCTCGAGCTCGCGAACTAATGCGCCATGCAGTGTTGGGGCACACAATAGACGCGATGCGAGAGGGGCATCGCGGGAGGCCGGAGAGGCCAGAAAGTAGAAGGGCCCGCGAGGTCCGTGATGCCCCTGCTCGCTGGGCATCGTTGCGACTGTGGGTGTGAGTGGTGGGTGGTGTGGTGGGACAAGCCGGCGAACCAGGAGCAAGGCCTGCCAAGTGCCCCCGGCTCGCCTGGTTGACTGACTGCCATGTGTGGACGACCGTTCACTCTGCTCCCTGTGTGACGAGCTGGCAGGAGCAATGGTGGCGCCTTCCAGGTTGGTTGGTCCGCTTGGGTCGTAGGTAGGAAGGTGCCCAATCCAATGGCTGTCCCCAGCTGTCGCCCATCCGGGACTGGCGCCTGCAATGCATGGGCGCAAGCGCCCACACAGCCAATTGCAGCCGCCGCTGCCGTCTGTAGGCACATGCAAGCCCGGTCACCTCGCGTCTAATTGTCTTGTGCAGATTTAGAGCGCCCGAATGCGGTCAAGCGGCAGAAGCCGGCAGCCGATAATAGACGCCAGGGTCGGAGAGACCGTTTTGCTTGGTTCTGGCCGGGGCGGGTGGGTCTTTGGTTCAGGCTCTTGACGAACTGGGCTTGGCTTGGAATCCAAGTCAAACAAGTTGACCACCACCACCGCTCGTCCCGCAGCCGCGATCTCGCCCACTTTCCGCCCGATGGAAGGAGGAATGGAAATGGACTTTATCCGCTCGCGTCGCGTGATTTCGACTGCGAGCGTTGTTCTAGAAGGATTTCGGTTTCCACTCCGAACCCAGCCAACAACGCTACGAAAATCGCTAGCGCAAAGCTGTGCCTCTCGCTTAGTATGTCATTAATCTACTCAGATGACAACGCCGCTACGGTCAGAAGGCGAGCGGGGACGATATCGTCGGGTGTCCGAAGAATGAGATCGTATAAACTGCTAGCACAACTGTGCCCGACTGGACCCGTTCGGTTCGCTGGCCCGCGGCTCCTCCCAGGATGAGCGCTATACGTAGCCTGCAATGACGGCAGCCAGTCTCGTGGTGACGTCGTCGGTGAGGCGTTCTTTTGTGAAGGAATTCGTCCACGTGTGCTCGGTATGGGTCGAGGCCCAGCATATAGATCCTACAATCGGGGTTGGGACAAGGTACCGAGCCACTGTAGGGAGTGTGGTGTGGGAATTCCGTGAGGCTCCTGGGTGGCTGTTGAGATCCTCCGGATACCAGTCCTGTCCTGTCCAGTTCAGTGTTTACGGCTTGACAACTTACCCAGATCTAAAATGGAGCGAGCGTACCGGGTAGATCGAGCCCTACCGTGCCGCACAGATGTCGAGAGAGGACGGGATCTTGCGGCTCCGGTCGTATTGACAAATTCCATCCCGGCGTGCTGGACCCAGTCGTCAATGCTGGGGACCAAAATAACAGCGCGGTTAGTGAGTTCGCGGGTTCGTGCCGTGCAATGCACGTCCGGGGGCCAGGACAGGGCAAGCATCAGCCAAAACACCGATCTGCAATTTCCATGCCAAGATCCGAGCGACGACAAAGTTCATCGCTATTATTAGCAGTTTTATTGAAAGGACAGGACATGATTGCCATGGTCCATGGACGAATGTTTGTACGCAGCAACGGTGAGCCGGGTGCCTGTTTGACCGTTAGTTCGCAAGTCCTCTCTGCATTGCATGCGATACAGTGTGCAGTAGGACAGACGATCGGATTTCAGGTTCTGACCTTCGCAGAGCATCCAGGTGCAAAGCCTGTGATGGACGTGTGTTGGCACTGCTGGACATGCAGGCCGCAGAGGCTTTTGAGTGTGCTTTGGCAGTGGCCCACCTCTAGATCGGCGGCGCATGATAGGCTAATTCAATGCTCGTCAAGCAAATGCCAGATTAAAATAGAACGTGAAGGTGAAAAATGGGGCCCATCACATATGGAATCCAGCAGACCGGAAATCTGGATCCCCACCACCAACCAGCTGGCAGGCTTTCGGTCCAACCTTCCAAGCCGGCCAAACAGTATAGTCACAGTCCGTCCACCTTACTAATAATAAGTAGTGTGTATCAACTGCACCTTACCCACGTCGGCCGGCCGTTCGTCGCGTAATTACGGAAACGCCGCACGGGCCTGGGTCGCCACGCATCGCATCGCACCGCATCACATCACGCCTCATTTCCATTGCGATTCCTCCAGGCCGGGCTTCCCCAGAACCTCGGGCTGAAAATAGCAAAGAAAGTCCCTCTCTTTGGTCTTGTGGGAACGGCACCCGGCGATGAGATTGCCAGATGACCCGATCGTGGCGCACTACATCTCACCTTCCTTCCCCAAGGTATCTTAGCAAGCTCCAGCCATGGACCATCGTCCCGAGAAGAAGGCGCCACGCAGAAATGACTACCGCGTCATCTTGCACTTTGTAATCCTCCCGCCCCTTCCTTCCTTACCTATCTATACCTCAGTCTAGCATTTGCCTGTTCTGTCCATTTCCTGTCCCGCGTATGCCGTGTGCCGTGTACTATGAGTGAGGGGCTCTGGTCTGACCGGGAACTACGAGTGATTAGGATATCGATTGCTTCTACGCCCAGGCATGTGCTGTCCTGTCTTCTTCTATTCCCACCCGTCCCCGTGCTACATGGTAGTAAGGCAGTCGTGTCCCACACAACAGAGCAAGAGTACTTACACATGGCGGCTTCTGTTATCGTGTCGCGCGTCGAGTGCAGTGCGTCGAGAACCAGCAGCCCGCCCTCAAGACCGTGCCTCTGGGCATCAAGCAGAAGAGCATCCTGGCCACTTGCAACTACGCCGCGAGGCGCCGCGGCGTGAAAAAGCTGATGCTTATTGCCGAGGCCAGAAAAGTCTGCCCCGAGTTGGTCATCGTCGAAGGCGAGGACCTGACCCCCTTTCGCGACGTGTCCAAGCGCCTCTACGCCCTCCTGCGCTCCTACTCGTGGTCAGGCAAGACGGAGCGCCTCGGCCTGGACGAGGTGTTCCTCGATGTCACCGACGTGGTTGCTTACAATGTCGAGCTGCTCAACAGGAACACCCTGGCCCGCTCCTATTTCTGTCTGTCTCGCACCGACCCCGAACAGGGCTTCGAGTATGACGCCTCTGCCTTTGCTGGCTGCGTCGTGTACCGTTGCGGGCCCGAAGACGCCGCCCAGGCTGCTGCCGCCGCTGTCCTTGACAGTAACCCTCTAGCTATACGCCTACTAGTGGCCTCCCACCTGGCAAACTACATTCGCCTGAAGATTGAACAGGACGGCTTCACGTCCTCGTGTGGCATTGCCACGAGCAAGTTGCTAGCCAAGCTGGTCGGCGACAAGAACAAGCCAAGGAACCAGACGGCACTTGCTGCCTTGCATGACGACCATGTCTTGTCCTTCATGGACGGCCACCGCCTCCGGAAAGTTCCGGGCATAGGGGCCAAAACCACACACATCTTGGAAGCGTTTGTCACGAGCGGAGAAGTGCCCGATCTCGCCGACGTGGACCTCCACACAATGGAGTGCTCCTTAACTGTAGGCGAGGTGCGCACTCACGCCGACATATCAGCTCCCACCCTCCAGAATCTCCTCGGCGGCCGGCCCGGCTCAGAAAAAGGGCTGGGAACCAAGGTTTGGGCACTCTTGCACGGCGTCGACGACACCGAGGTGAAGCCGGCCCGTGACGTGCCTACCCAGATTAGCATCGAAGATACGTACAGGGGGCTGAACGAGGTGTCCGAGGTCACCCGCGAACTATTCCTCCTGTCCCTATCTCTTCTGCGGCGAATGCTTGTAGACCTTGTCGAGGACGTTGATAACAGAAACAACTACTTCCACTACTCCAGCCGCGACATCGAACCGAATGCTACTTCCAGCTCTGTCGTCGAGTCGCCGAAACCGACATGGCTGGCGTATCCCAAGACGATCCGCCTCACCACGCGGCCGAAAACGTCTGCTGCCGAGGGGAGGCCATACAACTGGTCGCGGTCCAGCCGGAGCGCGCCCATGCCAGGCTTTGTGTTGAACGCCCCGGCGGTCCCGGCAGATGAGATTGCCGATCGCCTCGTGGCTGAGACGCTACTTCCTCTCTTCTACAAGCTCCACCCGCCGCGGCAGCAGGCTCGTGGATGGAATATTGGCCTGCTCAACGTGTGCGCGACAAACTTGACGGGAGGCGCGGACGGGAAAAGCGGCGTGGCCAACAACAAGAACATTGCCACCATGTTCCGGCGGCAAGAAGACGTGCTCCGCGAGTTCACCGAGTACGGCAGTGACGGTGGGGAAGGGGGCGGGTGGGAAGTGGCAGCAGCAGCATCTGGACAGCCCGATGGCACTGCGGAGGAAGGCAGCGGCGCGCTCGCCGGCTTTTCTGATGACAACACATGGGACCAGGACGACTATGGCAGCAACTACCGCGAGGACATGGAGCAATGCCCTCTGTGTGGCCGTTTTATGCCCCGCTTTGCACAGTCTGCCCACGACAGATTCCATAGCATGGAGCAAGGAGGCTGATACATGGCCCGGCTTACGCTAGGATCCAATGTACATTTCACGTCCAGCCTACGTGCGTGTGTGCCTGTGCTATTGATAGTATGTGTTTTGAGAATCAGTAGACGAAAAAGCAAGAAACAGGCTCCAAAAATAAGTCGGCTGTCAGTGTCCCTTCCAGCTATTCACCTGGTTGGCCCCCTGGCCCCGTCACTCGGCGCACATAATTGATAGACCTCTACCCGAAACTCACTCGTATCTGTAGCTGAAATGCGAGTGTAAGTCGGGGCCACGGATTCGAAACCCGCAACCACATAACGACCGCCAAGAAACACACTGAACCCCGATCCCGACTCCGCTTCCTCGCGGGAATGGGGATAGGGGTGGGGACGGGGGCACGTCAGATACGGGGACGGAGCATGTACAGTACACACCTCGCTCGGTATTAGTCCTACAGGGAAACAACAAACGAGCGGCACCAGAGAACCTAGAATCCTTTGCATTGCTTTTTCTAGGGGGTCTACACGCACGCCCGCCCGCACGTTCAGTAAGTCCCTACCCAGCAAATAACGTCAGTAGCCACATTTTTCCGTGCCTCTCTCGCGCGTCCAACATGGATAGCAGCCGATGGATGGATGGATGGATGTGCATGTATATGCATATATGTGCATGGTGACGAACGGGACTATTGGCGGGATTCCTTCCTTCCTTCGCCCCCCTCCCCCATTCATTCCCATTCCTTCTCCTGTCTGTGCAGATAGATAGACTTGTAAATTCAACGGGACCACCTTTAGGGTTGGTAAGGTTAGTAGGATGAGGTAAGGCATCTATGCATATTCCTTTGCCGTTCCCGGCGCCGTTTTTGTTACTGCTGTTCGTGGTTCGTGTCCATGTCGTCATGGATGGCATCCGGGTCGGACACCACCATAGCCCACACGCGTCGGCGAGGAAGGAAGGGGCACGGTTATCGATATTTCTTCCCTGAATCATACAAAAATATGAAAAATCACATCACTCACACTCACACTCACACTCACACACGCAGACGGACTTGCACACCATCGTGGCAACGCCTTTTTATTTTTCCTTTTTCTACAGTCCTACATTCCTCCGTCTCGCCTTGTCAGAGAAACACAAGCGAGGAGCGCGGCACTGGTGTCGAGACCATGTTCTCAGCGTGAGACAACACCAATAACAATAACAGCAACAGCGGGCATGATAATCGTAATACATGATAGTATTGCAGGTTGGGTATCAAAGTAGTTACAATAGACAGTAACCTTTCATCCACCTTTTGTGTACAGAGTAGTGTGTGTATTTTTGTTAGTTATAGCTACTTGCTCTCTTCGTCTTTTCTTCTGCCCACCCACCTATCCATCCATCCATGAGACCGCCCGTTAGGTTAGGTCGGGAAGTTGAGGTATTACACTATAACGCAAGGCAAGGTAACCGCCCCAGGGAAAGCAGCCCCTTTGAAAATATGGCACCGCTCGATCGGCGTGTTCCTGTTCCTCTTCCTGTAAATAAATGAAGAACGCTGTTCCTTTTGTAGAGAGACGATCTCTCTAAAGCTTTCCTCTATACCCTTTTCTTTTTTGACATGAGAGTTTCTCGCACTGGTATTGGTTACGTACCCAAGGTAGGTAAGGTAATTAAGTGATCGACAACGGGAACTGGTCGATCGGATAGAACTAAAATAAGAAAGGAAAGAACGAGTTTCGAGCGCAGCGAGCAGCCCGCCGGAGGGCCGCCGGAGGCAAAAAGGAAATAAAGAAAGAAAAAGGGCCGCTGCGTGTTCGGCTGACGGCTTCCTGACTGACTGACTGGTCAGGTTGCGTATTTTACCTGCGCATATACGGCCGCCGCGACGAGAACAATGACAGCAATAACGCATGACTCGGTCGGAGTAGTGCAGGACATGTACAAGTCAATTCAGGCCTAGCTCAGCTGAACTTGACTCGTCTCAACTCAACCCGACCCGCCCGACAAGTTCCTTCCGCCAGCAGTCACCAGCAGTCACCAGCAGTCACCAACAGAGGCAAGGACGAGACGAGACAGTATTAAAACACAGGAAAAAGCACTCGCAAGCGACCACAACTTCCATTCGCCTATACACTAACGGTATCATAAACCATAAGACGCCATCCACCCCCTTTTGCCCCAGCTCAACCCTCTCTTAACACCAAACACGCGAAAATGCTACACCTCCATGGACTCGCCTCCCATGCCCGCCCCGTCTACAGTTAAATATTATTACTACATTGCTATGGTACCGACAGGGTATTCGTGAGCCTGCCGCTCAAGCCCGCTTAAAGCATCAAACGCCTTTTTAGCACTTTTTCTTCTTTGACCCCTTCCTGACCGACAACTAGCCTCATCAGTTGCCCGCAGCTTTCATCAGCTTAGGTTCCGTCAGCACCTGCCTCGGGGGCGTCATCCCCGTCCTCGCCGTGTCCGGGATCATCACGTAGAGTTGCGAGTCTGAGCTGCTCCCGGAGCCTCATGTTGCCCTCCTTCAGCTCCTCGATCCACTCGGCCGTGTAGTTGACGACATTAGCTTTACTGAATCCGCCGCCGCTGAGCCGGGGAACAATCTTGCCAAGCTCAGCAAAACCATCCTTGATTAAGGACCGCCGTCGCTGCTCGCTTTTTATGTGGTTGTCGCGTTTTTGCTGCGGCGTCAAGTTTTCTCGTCTGGGAACCTCGGGCGTGCCAGCGCTGGCAATGGCACGAGACTGTGACCTGGGCTTCGCATCTTTCTGCGGTGAGTCAGAAGTGGCTGCGGGTGAGCTCGTTTCACTCTCTCCTTCCGTCCGAGACTTCCGCTTCCGGCCGGCAGAGGGGGCTTTGCTGCCAAAGAGGTTCTCCTGAGACGTGGCCCACCTGGATTCGTCCGGTTTCTCGGCGTCTTCTAGCTTGATCGACTTGCTTGTCTTTCTCGGCTTGGTCGTCTTCTTAGGCCTGCTCGGCCTTCTTGCCTTGCCCCTAGCCGGCGACTGGTCCGTCTGTTTTGGCCCTTCATTTTCTTCGTATTCCTCCTCGCTCTCGTCACTCGCGCTGGGTTCCTGTTCCTGCCGCTTTACCCGCTTGGGCAAGGGCACTTCTAAGCCCAAGTTTGTAGAGCTATGCGTTCGATGCTTGGGACGTCGTGGTGTTTTGTGTTGGGTTTTTGGGGAGCCAGGAGGCACCGCCCAACCTGCAGCTTGCACCGGACTCGAAGCCCGCGTGGTCACGGCGCTTTTATTGACTGTTAGGCAATCAAGATACGAAATCTGCTGCTTCGAAAGAGCCTCGCTCGAATCTTCAGCCGACTGCGGGATGTAGTTCGGCCTGTTGAAGCTCGTATCCGAGCCATATCGCACTTCCACAGGCGGCGGCGCCCGTGTAGCGGGGACTAGGTTATGAGCGCCCCACATTATCTGTGCCAAGATATCGTCCCGATCCGAGTTGAGCGATCCGTGGCGGGATTCGGTCCTGTAGCCAAAAGGGTATTGTGCTTGCATGGGCTGGTGTTCGGCGGCGGTAGAGACGGCCAGAAGAGGCGCAGAAGCCGCGAGATACATGGGAGATGAAGTCGTCACAAGAGCTACAGAGTTGTTTCTTGCAGGCTGTACGGGCACCGGCATTCCATGCAGGAATGATATTTGATGCAGGGCTGAGGTGCCTGGGGGCGACAGGACAGATGCAGCAGCAAGGACGTCGGGTGCCTGATGCTGGCTGGCCCAGTGAGAAGCTGGCGGTTGCGGATACGTTGTTCGCTCTAGCTGCGTATGCCGTTGTGGCGCCGAGTATTGCTGTCGTTGCTGTTGATGCGGTGAATGCTCTTGTCTCTGTGCATGGTGTGGCGTCTGAAACTGGCCCCCCGGTGTAAACACTGCCTCGGCCAAGTATGGCTCCCCCAGCTGGGTTGAAAGTTGTTGCGGGTTCTCATGCTGCAGACCCGAGCCTGTAAATATCGGTGCCCCAGGATACTGCGCCGTATGGTCCAGCAGATCAGGCGGGAAATTCCAGCTATTTAAATTATTGCCGTTTTCGCTAAACCTTGCAGCATTGACAGAGGCAGCAGAGTTAAAGAGATCGAAGAAGCCGTCCAGATCATCCCTGTCGGTCCTCGTCAGCAACGGGCCGTTCTGCATCAATGTTCCCCTCGGCCCAGGACTCTTATGATTCCTGAACTCCGTGTTCTTAAGCGCCGAAGTTGTAAATTCTCGAGAGGGGGGCGAGGGATAGGCTACGGATAGCCTGCCCATGATAGCGTCTCGTAGTGGTAACCCGTCGGGATCTGGCAACGACAGCAGGGTCAGCCAGTGCAAGGGAGCGGGGGTAATTGCGTGAGCCACCGAGAAGAGACGAACCATCGTATGGGAAGTTAACGTCTAGGTATGAAGGGTTAATGCTATCTGGGAGCGTAGCAAGGTCAGTTAAATGTGCCACGATAGGCAGGGAGTTGCCGGTGCCGGAGGGGAGGACGAACCGGCGGTGGCGTTGAGGACAAAGTTACCGACAATGCTGCCGGTGTCTGGAACGAGGGGATCTGGATGGAAGCAAGGTTAGCGCCAAGTTGCTGCCCCAAGCCGGAAGGCATTACGGCGTCACATGTCCACGAACCAGCTGCCCCAAACTGATCTGCCAGCTCCTCTGAGGTCTGGGCCATTGTTCGAAATACTGCACCACGCGCCTAGCGGCGACATGAACTAATGATCCAAGATATATATAAACAAGTGGCGTATGGTGTGATCTGGAGGTCGTAATAGTAACTGTATACGTGGCAGATACTGAACCGGGCCTGGCGACCCGAGGTTCATAAGGTCGATAGGACAGCACAAGGGCGGCGTCGAAAAGTCTATAAAGGGCGGTTAAAAAGAATGGTGCCGAAAAGGCCCACCGGGAAAGCACGTCTTTCCTCCGAACCTTAACCTTCGAAAACAGAACAACAAAGATATGACGGAAGAAGCAGGAGGCGCCGGGCGGGCGCTGGCGTAGGTCGTCGGCTAGGACAGGCACGATCGCGCTGGCTCTTGGGCACAGCGGCAGGGCGGCAAAGCGGGCAGGTGCGCGTCGTCAAAAGCCGGGAATGGGGCGGTGCGAGGTTCCAAACGGCACCGCATGCAGCCTGAGATGCAGAAAAGCGGCCCCGGGGCCGTGACGTGACATGACAGCCCGACGAGTCGACTACTTGGTGCCAAGCTAGGTCGAGCCGGCCAGAAGGGGCGGGCTGGCGTGCTGTGCTAGGCTCCGTACACCCCGCGCAGCCTCCCTCTGCGGGATCCTCCAATGCAGCAGGCAAGGTAGGTTTGTAGGTTATTCAATATGAGTCGGCAGGTGGGAACTGGAGCCTGCGAGTCTGTCTGTCTCAATGTCGCGCCGGGATAGGTACTACTGTAGGCACGCTCGACGGCACTGTAGGTACCCGCAGCCAAACCCCGGGACCCCCCAGAGAGCGGCGATGGTAGTGGCTCGTAGGATGTATTTTCAAGGCCTGGGCCCGGGCGCAGGGACGGCGACGCGCGAGACGGGACTGGCCGGGAGCAGACTGGACTGGGAGCGAGCGTGTTCGAGTGAGGCCCAGTGTCCCACGAGTGTTTGTGGTGTGAGCAGCAGCAGGACAGCAGCTGCGGCAGTGGGTGCTTTGCGGAGCTAGGAAAATGCGGGATAGCGAGATGGATCTCGAGGAGCAGGGGGGCACCTCCAATTTAGTCACGGGAACGAGTGGAGCCTTTTTCAGAATGGGCGCCCGGAATCCGGGCAATGGAACACGGAAGTCAAACAACGCGGAAGGCCCTGGACTAGAATCCCAACCATAGCAGCGCTACGCTATCGTTGCTTCGATCTCGAAGATATGGAGAGGGAGAAACCGGAGGAAGCAGCAAAACAAACGTTGGGATGGACGGAGCCCCAAGTTTAACTCAACACGACTCCACGGACGATGGCGAGAGGACAAGACAAGGGTATGGAAGGCCTAGTGCCCCGCTTTGCGCCACATATGCTTATATGCCGTAGCGACTGTGCATCCCTGTCTTGGCCCGGGCGAGCCTGCCGCCCGTATTTCCCCCCTTGGGAGACAACGCCTTTTGCGATGCGAACCTGAATGTCGTGCCGCGGATCCTTGTATCGCGATATATTTGCTGTGGGCGACGCTGAGGGTCTGTCACATGCCCGCCGAGTTCTCGGAGCCCCGCGTTTGTCCCGTCGAAGCTTTTCATTACCGGCAACTAGAGTCCTAGTGCGCATACAGATCCGTAGTATGCAGGACCAGGAGCATACATAGAGACTCACCGTCGCTGGAGGTGGGAATGCGGCAGCGTTTCACCTTGCAAGCAATGTTCCGTACTAGCAGTTAACTGCGCTCTCGCCTCGCCTTGTTCAAGTTTTGGAGTTTTCGAGTATGTAACGGCATCCACAGGGAGAGGGATGGGTGTATACATGGAAGCTCCCGCCCAGGACATCTGCATAGCGAAGAAGGCACGAGGAGCTACTACGTATGTACACAGCACGCCAAAGCCGGGCAGCTCGTCAGGCCGATTGATGCCGACCAGATATTCGGGTGAGCATCTTTTCTTGTTGGGGCGCCTTGGGTCTCCGCAGGTGAGCAGCAAATGCGGGGGAGGTAATCTTTCAAACCGCACTACCGAATCTTATGCGTCGACAAGCCGCCTCAAAGCAGTTCGCAAGCCACGTACACACAGCAGGTGGGCTTGCGGTTTATTATCTAGCTCCCCGAAACAGCTGCAGGCTGTCCTGAGCAGTAGTCCTGTCAACCTCAGGTCGACTCCTGAGCCTGGGCGGGCGATTCCAAGATCTTCCCAGGTGGTGACAAGGATATTGGTAGGATTTTTGCGGGGGTGGGGCTTCTGCCCAAGCTGCTAAGAGCTTCCCTTCTGGGCATGGAATAGGCGCGGGTGCTCCGTGTCTTTTTGGTCTGTGCAGGTCGGCGGCAGGAGTGGAAAGTAATGGAAAGTTGTTACGGATGCCTTCACATACCCTCTCAGTGCGTGAGGTGCCTTGCTGCTTATAGGTTCTGTTATTACGTAGGAGAAGCTTAAGGCTGAAGGGCGTGCAAGGCTGCATTACGGTTTCCAGGTTTCTTTCGTTGCCTGACCTGAGGTAGATGTTTATAAAGTCCCCCATTACACATCATCTGCACACAAGAACCTTCCACTCCCAACCGGCAAGCTCACTTACGTTGCTTGGTAATTGATTGGGTGTTGAGGCAGTTTTGACTCTACTCAGAGTTTTCGTTACAACTCTTGAACTCAAACGTACTTCATCTGCAGTGTCTGCAAGGTACACTTTCCGCGCCTAGGTTAGACGCGTTCGGTCTCAAAACAGGGAGGAACGTCGACTAGGGAAGGAGCCAACAACCTAAGTCCTGCTCCAAGCAGACACCGAGCAAAAGGTTCAAGTTCAAGTTACCAGCTTTGGCCAAGTCAGGCGAGCGCGCACTGAATTGGATATCGATTCCTTGACGACTGATTGGTGGCAACCGCCCAGCCAGAGCGAGTACTTCGTACCTCGGTGGTTTCTCCAAGCAACGACGACCTTGTGGCTTCTGGCTTCTCTGCCAGAGCGTGTCATTTGGACAGCTCAACAACCGAACGCGACGGCGCCCACGCCCGCACCCGCACCCGCACCATTAAACTATCGAGTCCTATTCCTGGACAGCGCGCCTTTGGTGAGTTGTCCAGTCACCCCAAAAATTCAACTACCTAAGGTACCCATCCACCTACGTATGCACGTAGCTCCAAGTTGTCCAGCTCGGGGAATGCAGTCCGTTATTTCCTAGCATACTTTAGCTAAGGGGCTTCTGCTTCGGCTTGTCTCGGACAGCACTATGTCATGGCGTTCGCACGTTTTTATGAGGGGACAGGAGGTGGACCTGAGGCTGTTGGGGCGGAAAGCCAATCATTCAATCATACTGTACAACCTAACTCTAATACCTCGCCATCCAACTTAGAATATTTTAGTATCTACCTATCTCACATCTAGCTATCCGTACCCCACCCAGCTACGGACGGAAATACTGCCTGCCCACCCCTTATGACCTTCGGTCCGGACGGAAGCCCTCGCCACTGTCCTGGGTCTCGGCGGAGCGCGTCTATGGTGTCGCCGCGGGTCCCCAGCCGCCGGGCGAGATGGGATGACGGGATCCCTCCGGTGCTGCGGCCCCTCATGCGCGCATATCTGCTTGGCTATGCGTCGGCCGTGGCTCCTCGCCTCCTAACCTTGTTCTTGCAATACCTGACAGGCCGGAGACACAAGGTTCCTGCCCGCGACACGCCCAGCGGAACTGCGGATGCAGAGGCAAAGACCAAAGGCGTACACGTACAGGGCCAACTCTTTCTCGACTCCTTGCGCCACGTCCTCCTCGGCGGCCTCGATTTACAGCGCTTCCCCACATTTTGCGCCACCATTGTCGGCGGCAGCACGTTACTCGAGGTGTGTGTGTCCCAAGTCTCACCCATGACAGAATATCACTAATAACGGCCACGCCTCGTATAGGTACCCCTCAAGGGTGTTTTCAATCACTTCGCCCAGAATCTCCCGGAGCTGGCGCGCAAGAGGTGAGTGACTTCTTGCTCATGCCAGGTGCCCCCGCCACCAAATAGGGGCTGGTCCTGTGCTAATATCGTCCTTCCAAAAGACTGTCGAGATGGGTTGCCTCCTTCATCTCCGCCTGGTTCGGCCTGCGGCTGCTTCAGTCAAAGCAGACGCCAAGCTTCACCGAGACCATCACCTCCAACCCCGGAGATGGCCACTCGGTGAACGGCGCCGAGAAACAAACAACCATCAGGCATGCCGGACGTACTTTGGACCTGTCACTCTTCGCCGCCACGCGTGCTCTCGACGTCATCGTCGGCGAGTTATGGGCTCGGCGCAAGACGCGCCGGCTCACTGCGCAGAAGTGGACTAGGCTCGAGAGGGCCATATCGCGCCTCATTGACCCGGCCATGTTTGCCTTGTCAAGCGGCCTGATCATGTGGACGTGGATATATCGCCCGTCTCGCCTGCCCCGGTCCTACAACAAATGGATCGGCTCAGCTGCCGCCGTCGATGGCCGCCTGATCGAGGCGTTGCGGCGCTGCAGACAGGGCGAGCTGCGCTATGGCGAGGAGACGGGTCAGGCACCGTTGCTTGGTGCCATGTGCGCCGACTACGGGTGGCCAATGCAATGGGGAGACCCGGCAAAGTCCATCCCGTTTCCCTGCGAGATGGTCCACATGGGCTCAGGGGGTTCGTCGTGCGAGCTACACACCGTGACTCGATTCGTGCGCTCCTTCCGGTGGGCCATGGCGACTTACCTGCCCCTCACGCTGCTCCTCGCCGTGCGCAGCCCAAACCTGAAAGGCATCAGGCGGGCCGTCATCTCGGCAGTGCGCTCCTCGGCATTCTTGGGCGCGTTCATCTCCCTCTTTTTCTACGGCGTGTGCCTGGCACGCACGCGCCTGGGTCCCCGCCTGCTGGGCACCGGCACAGCGGCGCGACAGGCCATCGACGGCGGCCTCTGCGTCGCCTCGGGCTGTGTTCTGTGCGGTTGGAGCATTATGATTGAGAACGCCCGCCGCCGGAAGGACATGGCGCTGTTTGTAGCGCCGCGGGCCCTCGCCACCCTGCTCCCCCGCCGCTACGCGTGGGACAAGCAGTGGCGGGAGACGTTTGTCTTTGCCTTCAGCACTGCCGTCGTCTTCACCTGCGTGGTGGAGAACAAGGCCCGCGTCCGCGGCGTTCTCGGGAGCGTCTTGGGCACTGTGCTGAAGCCGTAGGAGAGGGCGGACCGTACCAGTATAATGTAGACTTGGTTTGCAGTCAATTCTAGTGTATATTTGAGTAACTAGCCGTAGTAAATACATGGAACGAGTTCTTGATATTGCTGTATCTGGGCGGTTTACTTCCACCTGTTTACTTAGCTCTGTCTTGCCTACCACACCAGACTCTGAACTGCTCGAAGCAGCAATATAAAAACAAGCCACCTACCTGGCAAGCTAGGAATGGAAGCTGAAAAGCCCCTTTTCTTCCTTCCTCTTGCCTCCGGCGGGCTGCTTGCTACGCTCGAAAGCGTTTATTTCCTTCAGGAGATCATCCGATCGACCAATCCCCAGAAAAGATTCCAGAACTACCCTAGCTAATCCCTAATCGAGAACCATTCGGTGTAGGTAGAGATGGAATCAAGTTGAGAAGGCGTCTCTCTCCGTCACCTTACGGCTCGGTTCGTAAGCTCGTAAGCTCGACAACGACGATAGATAGCTTCGGTGGAGCAGCTCACTCCGTTCGTTCACCTGAAAGAAAAAATGGGTTCTGTCTGTGATGGGTCCAGGTTGCGACTATCTAGTGTAGTTGCCGTTGCCCGGAACTATTAGGTAGGTAGAGGTAGCAGGCGTCTGTCTGTCTGTCTTGTTTGCTAATGTACCGGCAGCTGTGAGACAGGTTCTAGATTCCTGGCCTCTCTCTGATAGTGGGCACTTGTTGTTTCTCTATTATTATTATTATTATTATTATTATTATTATTGTCTGCTTACTTGGTCGAATACTAGCATAGCAAGACGTGCGTGGGTCGGGTTAGGTATAGTGACGGGCGAACCTTTCTCCGTATGTACTGTTCAAAAGTAGGCGGCCTGTGTATGCATTGATAGCAGACTGGCAGGGCCTTTTCTTTCCCACAAGTGGCCTGTCTAAATGGATTGCGGGAATAGGTTTCTGCCAGTGTCCTACGATTCATGGAACGAAATCCACATATGCACATGTATTTCGGGATATAATGTATGTAGATATATACATGGTAATTAATGGGCATAAGCTATCTCTCATCGTAGCTAGTTGTAACACCGTGGGTGAGAGGTCGCTCATCAACAGAGTCGAGTCGAGTCGATAGGTAGGCAGACAAGTGCCTAGGTACCTACCTATGAAGTGTACATGTAAGGATATGCAAATGTATTACATATCTGGAAACATTCATATACAGGACGCGAGCTCTCACTGTAATAGTCTGTCCAGTGGACGGCTGAGAGCTACGGTATTTGTGCCCGTAGGAGAGAATGAGAAAGAAATAACGGGCGACGGAAACAGAGGAGGGAGGCTATACACACGCACGGACACAGATCGTACATACATGTATGCACATACACAATGAGAGTCGACTAGAGAAAGCATGGCGGTTGAAGCAGGCGGGATTCCTCATGGTGGGCAGGACTACAGTAGGCCGATGGCATGCTACGGAATGAAAGATGCTGGCCATTGATAGAAATATCACAAGAATTAACACACAGGGAGAGATGGCAGTATTTCATATCCCATTACTCTATTTTAATCTCGCCAAGCGACTAGTCAGTAGTCACCATGTTTCCCTGAAGAAGCAAAAGTAGGCACCACACCCCGGTCTACAATTTCATTCCCGCCTACGATCTCCACCACGAACATGCGCCTAGCACAAATAGACACACTAGCACGTCGGCCTTGACAGTACTGAAAATCTGGAAGTAGCGCAGCGCGAGCTCTAGATAGCCTTTAAAGGGCTGGGGAATGAACCCAGCGGCCATGCCGAGCAGGCCTCCGCCTATTCCGCCGGCGCCGGCGCCGGCGAGCGGGCTGCCGCGGCCGCGGCGGTCGACGAAGAAGCGCGTCGTCAGTAGTAGCGCCTCGGCCGTGGCGAACGCCCAGAAGAATTTCCGCGCCAGCGTCTGCTCGTCGTCCCGCTCGCGCTGCTCTTCGGTGACGTCGGTCCACGCCGCGCGAGCCGCAGCCGCGGTCCGCTCCGCCTTGGTGCCGCTGAACGAAGTCCACAGCGCAATGTACAGCCCGAGCCCGAGCGCGACGGTAGTGTGCAGCAGTCGCCACAGCGCCGCGTAGCGGTCGGGCAGCACGACCGCCTGCTGCTGCTGCCCCATGGGCGGAAACGGCATGTTGCCGAACGGGCCGCCCGCCATCCCCCCGGCTGCTCCCGGAAACGGAAACGGCATGTCCCCTCCTGCGCCTGCCCCGCCTAGCCCCGGCATGCCTCCTGCCCCCCCAGGCCCGCCGAGCATCTGCATCATCATGCGCATCATGGGGTCGTCGCCGCCCATCATGTCTGGCCCCACGCCGCCCGGCGGACCGTCAAACCCTAGCATCATCTGCCGCAACTGCGCCTCGGACATGTCGCTGGCACTGGGCTGCGGCTGCAGCTGCGGCGGCCGGCTTCGCGTTGGCGGCTGGTAGTAGTGCGTCGAAATGTCGACTTCGTCGGGGTCGGCGTGTACAGCGGTAGCGGCAGCAGCAGGCGCGGGGGTTTCTGTCAGCGCCGGCTTCGTCGTCGTCGTCGCAGCAGCAGTAGCAGCAGGCGAAGCACCGTCTACGTCTTCACACACAGCCCACCAGCGTTAGCCATCTATACTACTTCCTCAATTCATTGCAGTGCACTGTCAGTTTTCAACAAGCACGAAAAAAAGTAACATACCTCGCCCGTTCAAGCCCTGGATCCTGCCGAGCCGCGATGCCCCGCCGGCCTTGATCTTCGCGGCGATGCGCTCCTTGCGGAGGCGAGTCTGTTCGGCGGCGCGCGCCGAGGCGGCGGCGTTGGGCGCAGCAGTGGTTTCCGTCATTTCTGGTCTCATTTCTCGTCTCTCTTGCTGGTGCTGGTGGTCAGCAACCCGGTCGTTGCTCGGTAGGTACCTAGGCAGCTAAGACAAGGAAGGCGCCTTATTGCACCGTCAGCTTTGTAGAACCTAGTGTCTTTTTTAATTTTATTTTAAAAATAATCCTCGGTCGTTTGTGTGCAAAATGATGAATCCCCAAAGAGTTCTTGTGCGAGTGTGTCGGCGTTGTCGAGAGTTTGCCCTCTCGAAAGCTGAAGAGAAAGGTGTGACGTCGTTTGACAGCCTGCCGTTGATCGAGGTGGAAACGTGGTGGTTTGATAATTTACGCTGCAAGAGTGACAACCACACTGCTAATCCCTTATCTAATCGGGACTCGCTGACCTATCCAAAACCCCACAATAAAACCTTGACCCCTTCCCCTTTCCCAATCAACAACAAACGTGTGGCAAGAGAAGGACAACACACGCTGCCGCATCACAAGAAAGGCAAGACCCGACAAGCTTAAATGCCAGGAGAAGCAGTCACTCCATTCTCTAGTTTATCTTTCTTGATTAGAGGACAAGATTTTCAACTATTATACTACACTTGTCTACGGAATACACTCATGCATCGCAACTCCAAGAGGCGGGCCGGGAAAGAATCGCATCGACTGATAATTCTACCTTGCCCATTTCTGCTGCGGCATGATTACATTCTTCTAGGAACTAATTACTATGCATGCTACACTCTGCCCTTCGCGCTCACGGTGTGGCCTTGCTCATGGTAATCAGACGTTTAACTCCAACCTAGGGCTCAGTCAGCATCTCATGGAGTCAACACGTGAATATGGAGCACTTACCATCCACTGCCCACACTCTTCTGTTCTATCGCGTTGTATTTCCACCTGCATGCGGTGTGCCGCGTCATACTCCCTGGCCGAGAGTGCCCCCGCCAGCTGGGTTAGCTGGTCAATCGTCTCCTTCTTGACCAGCTCTTCGTTGTTGAGGTGGTCAAATAGGAGACCAAGTCTCTTCTGCGTGTCCTTTACTTGAGGAGCAAACGACGCAGGAGCCTTGGACGCCACCCGCTGCATATCCGCACTGAAAATCCCTACTAGCTCCTGCGCATCAGGAGGGATGTGTGACCGGTCCCCGGGAGGGTATCTCTCCCTAGCTGGTGGGGCAGACGGCGACGACATCGCAGGCGACCTAACAGCCGCCGGAGGTCCTGCAGACGGCGGAGGACCCCCAGGGGGCCGAGAGCCTTGAGGCGGCGGCGGGTACTGTTGTGGAGGTGTCGCTGTCTGCTGGGAAGACGGACCATACGGGCTGGAGGGGGGAGGAGCTAGAGGGGCAAATGACGGAGGAGCAGTTGATTGGGGCGAAACGCCTTGGTTGAACTGCTGTGGCGCGGGCGCGGGTGCATATCTGCTCGAGGGAGGCGTACCTGTGGGCGGAGGGTTATAAGGAGAGGAGGTTCTGGGAACGGCCTGTCCCGTCAGGGTATTTGGCAAGCCAGAGCCTAGCCCGCCCTGAGGCGCATACGGATTTGGCGCAGTATTAGATGCTACCGACGAAGGCCTTGCTCCTTGGTAGCTGGGCTGCGGGGGGCCCATAGGCGGGGATGCCATACTCCGGGGAGGAGGCGCAGACCCCTTGGGAGGTGGTGGGGGCGGTGTGGCCACGCTTCGCTGATAGGGGCCAGCCAGCAGCGGGGATTGCAAGCCGGGCTGTCCAGAGAAGGGCGAGTTTACTGGCACAACGCTTGGGGTGCTTCTGCGGACCGGAGGGGGTTTTGAGACGACCGGGACATCGTTCCAGTTACCCACGTCCTTGTTGACCTTTGGCGGCGGACCCACGCTTCGAGGAGGTGGAGGCGCCCCATGCAGGTTGGGCGACTGATATGTTTGGGGAGGTGCATAACTTCCAACTGACGGGGGAGAGGGCGCATATCCGGGAGGAGCATACGCTGATAACCCTTGGGGCTGATATTGCCCTGCATTCAAAGGCGCATATGGATTAGCCACAGGAGCAGAGGCTTGAGGCTGAGCAGTCTGAGCGTAAGGGTTCAGAGGGCTCGGCCCAACAGGAGCAACAGCTGCCGGGGGTTGATAGGCAGCATGTGTTGCACGAGACGAGGATCGGGCGGATGGTGCCGGCTGTCGGGTGGCCGCAGGCTGCCGGGTCGCGACCTGAGGAGCGGCCTTCTGGGAGGCGAGCCTGACACGGTTTCGGGCGACTTCAGCCGCTGGGAAGTTGTTTGGGAGGAGGTCGAGATATTTCTGTGCAATGGCGAGTTGCCCATGAGCAGCCACGACATCCGCGTACTCGGTATACTTGTCATACAGAGCCGCAAGTTTCCACCCGCTGGTGAGGTTTTTCTCATCGTCGGCAAACTTGGTCACATGACGGAAGACGGTGACTTTTTCGATAAACTGCTGTAGCGATCTGGCGTGGACCGAGAAGGTCGAGTCGTCGCCAGACTCTTTCATGCCCGCCTGTTCTGCCTCCTCGAACTCGGCGATCCAGATGCCCACAACCTTCTCTAACTTGGACCCGACGAGGAAGCAGAAAGACGCATCTTTTCTGGAACCCGACTCGTAGATCCTGTCGCCCAGGGCCTCGCAAAGATCGGGAAACTCTGACGGGTCGGCAAACGTGCACAGCGTGACCATAGTCTCCTTCCAACTCGAGAGACCGGCATTGTGCACGACATCCCAGAGGTTCTTGGCCACAATGGAGCTGATGAGTCGCAGGTAGCTTGGGCTCCCCTGCTTTTCCGCAAGATATGCCGTTTGCACCTTCTCCACAAGATCCTTGCTGCCGCAGTTGGCAAGAATAAAAGCGTCCGCCACCCTCCCCTCCTTTAAGCAAATATCAACGGCCTTGTCGAAATTACCAAGAATGATGGCCTTGGTGATTTGATCTTCGAGACCAGTATTTCCCTCACCCAAGATGTGAAAGGGCTTGTCGGTCTTCGCTCCCTTCGTGGAGGCAAGGTCAGACAGGAAATCATCGCCATCGTCGGCATCACCCCACATGCTCGTCACCCGCTTATGCTTCTTGGGCGACGCAGCCCCGTTGGGCTGCAACAGCGAAGATGGCTCGGGTTCCTTAGTCTCGGTCACCGTGGCTTCGGGGGCCTCGGATTCCTCGGCGCCGTTAGGTGGGTCCTCGTCTTTGGAAAACCCGAGGTACTCCACGATCTTGGTGCGCCCATCCGAACCGCTCAGCGTTTGCAACACCTGCCATTCAGCCTTCTCTTCTTCAGTCTTCGCGTTCTGCCGATGAGTCTTGCAGATGCTGGCGATGTCTCCAGTCTTGAACGCTGCTTCAAAGGCCTCGGTGGCTGAGCCAATGTCCGAGTCAACAGAGAACCCTGATATTTGAATCTTCGAAGACCGCGGTTGACCAGGAGCTGTGTCGTTCTTTTTGAATATAACAAGCTTGCCGCCATAGCCGAAGGAGACACCGACAGGACGCTCCAGCCAAGCTGGTGGCCTCGCAAGAGAAAAGGATGCCACCTGAAGCTGAGTCGGGGCCTTGGAGAAGAAATCATCATCATCAAGGTTGTTCTGAGCTGCCGGCGAGGCTGAAGGATTGGTATTCTGCAGCGTCTGGATTGTGATCTTGCCATCAAACGACGCGGTAGCCGTTAAATCCGGGTTGTCGGGGTTGAAGCGCGTAGAGAAGGTCCAGTTGGTTGCCTCTGGAAACTCCCCATAACGCTCGCCCGTCTGTGGATTCCACACCAGGGCTCGGTTGTCCTTTCCGCACGATATCAACAAACCAGGGTCTTGTTGACACCACGACAGCGAAAGCACGCCCTGGTCATGGCCCTGGAGGGTCCTCTCGGGCGCCTGCGAGTTCCTGAGGTTCCAGAGAAGGACGACGGGGGTGTTGTCGTCGGAAGTGGCCGTCAAGAGATTTGTCGAGTTGTTGGGGTCCCAGGCAATAGCGCTGACAGGCTTCCGGTTGTTGTTCAAAGTCAGGGAGGCCTTCTTCGTCTTCAAGTCCCAGACCGTAACGAACCCTCCCGCGCTGCCGGTTGCCAGAATGTTTGCGACCTTCCGGTTCCAGGCTACGCATTCGAGATCATGGGCCGCGGCGGTGCCTAGGCGGAAGGCTATCGAAGGGTCGTTGATGTCCCAGATAAATAGCTCGCCTTTGGCGCCTGCCGTGGCAAGGACCTGGGGCCTCAGCGGGTTGAACTGCAGCGACTTGATGGGGCCCGTGTGCTTTGCAGTGCGCGACATGAGTGCGTCTTCGCCGGCGATGAGCTTTGCGGCATCCCACAATTCGAGCAGTCCGTTCTCCATGGCGCCAGCAATAACGCCCCGGGGATGTTCGGCACTGGGCAGGCCCCATGCGATATCGTAGAACCTGCGTGCCTGGTCAGCTGTGTTTGGGGCCAGAACAGAGAGCGGCCTGGCAGACATACCTAGATTCGGTAGTAATGCTAGTCAGGGGCTGGAGCTCGAGACCCTGGTCAGAGCTGTCGAGCTTGAGGTCCCATAGCTCGAGCTTGGTCTCGTCCGAGAAGTCGGCATCGACGGCGCCCGACCGGGTGCCCGTAACGAGAAGCGGGTTGGCGCCGGGAGACCAGGCAAAGGCCGCCGTCCGCGGAATCTCCCTCAGCCGAACCATGGCGGGCGGATGGCAGGCGGACAGAGGTGACGAGTAAGTGGTAGGTGGTAGGTGGTAGGTGGTAGGAGCAAAGCAGAGGCCGAGGGGAAGCGACGATTGCCACGCGCAAAGTCCCGCGAATCGAGTGGTTTGGTGACGCTAAATTAGAGAGTAGAAGGATTGCAATTGGGGCAAAAGAAATACCAGATCTCTAGAAACCCGGCGGCCGATTGCTGAGCCGTGAGATCAGGCTGCGCGGGTTCGACTACAAGTTGCTGGCGTGTTGCCAGATTGCACAGATTCCCTGACGCACCCCCTAGCTGTCGAGGATGCGCCCACAGGGGAATGCCAGATGGGCAAGAATTATTTTGTGCTCCACTAGCTGACTAAGATAGTGAACTTCTCCAATCCCAACCCTGTCCTCGCGATTAAAGGGCAAAGTTAGAGAATTCTGGCAGTAGAAGCAAGAAGAAATACAAAGCGTCCCTTATATTTGCTACTTTACAATATTTTCTTAGTTAAAAAATTTACACCAGGAGAGTATGCAGAGCTGTGACGACAAAGTTCAACGACATCGAGTATGACGGGCTGGTCTTTTCTATTCTATATCCTCCGCAATTAAAGGAGTGAGGTAATGGATCAAGTGGGGCTTCAATTATCCAAACAGGAAGGAATGAGGGAGCCTCTCTCCGCCTCACGTGATTCGAGCTTCAGCATCAAATCTCTGGACGACTGCCTCATGAAAAGAGGTTGAGACACTTTATATCGCTGAACAGGAACGAGGCTAATAGTCCAATAAACCCACCGACTGCTAGGTAGAGTGTGAGTTTGCTAGTATTCTAGTGACATCAACGGTCTGCAGCTGGGTTCGGGACTTGCCTTCGCACTGTCAATTCACTCGCCCAAAACACAACTCAAGCTCGCCATTGTTAAATTACAGCACAGCCTGAACCCGAACCCTGACCAAAGCGCCAGAAACACACCCCGAAGTTCCGAACTGAGACTCTAAACCTCAAGACAAAAGAGTACACAGGAAAAAATGACGGACACGGCACGCTGGAAGGCCACCGTCTACATTGGCGGTCTCGCGCCGCAGGTGACGGCGGGCAGCCTGCACGACGCCTTCATCCCGTTTGGCGAGATCACCGACGTGTCGCTGCCCAAGAACGACGACCCCAACGCCACGGAGCCGCACCGCGGCTTCGCGTACGTCGAGTACGAGGACGCCGAGGATGCCAAGGAGGCTATCGATAACATGGACCAGGCCGAGCTGTTTGGGCGCGCCATCAAGGTGTTGGCGGCCAAGGTGCCCAAGAGCGCCAACCAGGGCGGGCTCGGAAGCAAGACGGCCCTCTGGGAGCAGGTAAGTGCGAGAAACATATGCACAGGGCCACCTCATTTTACGGCTCACTCTTCTATCTTGAAGCACTTTCACCATGTATCGCCGAGCATATTCACTGAGACAAAATACAGGAAGGGTGGCTAGCAGAGAATGCCGTTAGCGAGGAGGACCGCCTCGCCACAGACCAGGCACAGAACTCGAGGCCTGATGATCCAATGCAAGGCCTCGAGGGGCTGGATGTGGCAGGGCCCAAGCCAGAATGAATTTTATCTCATTCTTTGCAAGAGTAAACTGACCCGCGCCAAATTTTGAGTCTTTCTAGCGCCGTCGTTCTGCTCCTTGGCTCGCAAACCAGGGAGGCCGTGGGTTCTAATGCATGTTACGGGCCGGCGATGACAATAGTTCTTCAATGACGAGAAGGATGGGAAAGAAAGGAAAATGAATAATACCCAAAGAAAAGAGTCTCATATAGTTACTGCGTGTCAGAGGCAACCGTTGGTTAAGAAAGCGCAAACCAGAAAGACAGCTTCTTCTTTGACGTTGACAGGGGTTCTTAAAACACACGTATCAAGGATGGGCCGGCAGAGGATCTTGAATTCCTGACAGCCAACCATGACTAGACATCATATACACAGGCTTACTGCCTTCCTGGCAGTAATTCTAAACGCCGCCCTCCCCGCGAGCTACAGACCATCCCGCAAGGCCCTACTCAGTTGTGCTCGGCATCGCCGTGCGAAGAAGCGTGCTCGTGCTTCTCCGGAGCGCGGTTCTGCCGCTTGAGGCGGAGCGTCTTGTCCACGAAGAAGTGGCGCATGCTGGAGTAGAACGCGGCACCGACGGCGAACGCGACGACGACACCTGGACGGCGAGAACAGGTAAGAAACAGGCAATTCTCGAATGCTGTGAGACGATACGGGGACATGGATGGTATACTCACCGAGGGGGATCAACTCGGGCGGGATCGACTTGAGTTTCCGCAGGCGTTGTGAGATGGTGTGGGCTGTATCCAAGAGTTTTGTTCGTCAGCTTCAGGACCACCCCCGTGGATGGACAGAGCCCCAAGTTCTGTTTCCCAAGGTCAAATGCGCCTCGAAAATGTCCATCGCTGTGCGGCGAGAGCGGTGCGGCTTCCTATGGCTTGCACATACCAGATTGATCCTCCTTCTGTTGGTTCGCAGGTTCGCAGGTTAGCTCTGACACAATGGGGCTCGAGAAACGGCGCACATGGGGAAGACACCTCGAAACTTACGGGCACCGGCCGCATCATGCGCGCCGTCGGGCGGAACATCTGGAGAGCTCTCGTGGCACGCATCTTGTCAAGGGAGAGTGGAGAGGTGTGTGTGAGGGTGGACTGATTTGCGCTGCCGGTCAACTCGTTCTGCAAGACACCAAAGCTTGAGAGGGCAAGTTTGGAGGTCGGAAATGGACAATCAATTGATCGAAGCTTCGGTTGCCCACCTCACCAAGGTACGGGTCGGTGCCGCCCCCACATTCGAAGCGACAATCATCCAGTCAGATCAGGCCATTTCGCCCCCTGTAGTAGCGTTTGGCCTCAGGCTGTCAGCCAATCAGCCCAGCCTAAAGCGCAAGCCGAACGATCCACTTCGCTACGCGCAGCATCGTGCTGTGCTGGAATGCTCCGACCGGACCTTACCTCACCTGCAGCTCTCAGCCCCGTCAACACCCGCCCGCCCGCCGTCGCCAATTCCACGCCATTAAGCTGCACTACACCCTTCGACCAGCTCGCGAGATCTCTGACTAAATCGCCCAACATGTCCGACGACGAGCGCGAGACCAAGCCCTTCAAGTTCGTCACAGGTATGGACGTCCATCCCAGATGACTGACTGCCTGCCTGTTTTCAATTCGCTCGGCAAAAAAAAACCTCCCTAGTTGAAAACATGGCCTGATCGCGGAGGGCAACGGGATCTCTGCTAACATTTGTCTAGCTGGTATGCCACCCCTTATATCCAATTTCTGATTTTCATCCACGCAATCTTTGCCCGCGGGGAATTCCGAGCTCGCCGTCGCAAGGGGAGAGGCGTGAAGAAAAATGAGGGGCCGTGGGCAGGAGTTCGAATCAATTGCGGATGGGATAGATAGATTGTGACGAGCAGAAAAAGCAGCCGACGACAAAAAAAGGACGGATATCAAGCAGAGGAAGAGAAACGAATCCCAATTGACTAACGAACGGCTTTTTTTTTTTTACCCTCGCTCACTAGGTGTCGACGCTCGCTTCCCCAACACCAACCAGACCAAGCACTGCTGGCAGAACTACGTCGACTACCACAAGTGCATTCTGGCCAAGGGCGAGGACTTTGCCCCGTGCCGCCAGGTCAGTTTGCTCAGACTCTGAAAGGGGTTAATACCGCCGCATTGTGGCCGCATCTACTAAACCAGCCGCCCGCAGTTTTACCTAGCCTACAAGTCGCTCTGCCCGAGCGGATGGCATCAACGGTGGGATGAGCAGCGAGGTATGGCGACCACCCCCCTAATTAACCTGGTGCTCAGTTGATCTATACTGGCCCTGTTTGCGGCGAGCTGACAGTGATTCGCAGAGGCCGGAAACTTCCCTGCCCGCTTGGAGTAGGGCGTCATGGGATGGATGTTCTGTGGGAGGATGGCGCTTAGTCAGTAGACGCGAAGGATCAACCCAACGTCTAGGTTGTTGTGTCAAACACAGTCACGGTAGCCGAGGGCAATGCACATAGAGAAATCCGGGTTCGTGTTGTTCATATGTCAGAGGAAGCCGTGAATATTCTCGAGTGAACGAGAAAAAATGTCTCTGCAGGTTGTATATGCCGCCTGCTCCAATAACCCAGGTGGTATCGTGAACTATAGAGAATCCCGTATGGTTCTTAAAAAACGCTAGATCCCAAATCCCAAACCCTAGCCTTAAAGCACGCTTGTCCGCCCTTATTCACATACATCCTTGGAAACTCCAAGATGCAACAACAAATGATGATGGTACACATCGAGAAACTTCTCCCAATACAGCGTCCAAGCTAAATGACTTCGCAGTTCCAATAACGATACAGGCTAAAAAGGCGACCCAGTGATCGGCCACGGTCAGCTATCGCTCACTTGGCAGCTTTCCCTTTGCCTTTACCTTTGACTTCCTCCTCCTCGTCGTCGTCCGAGCTCATGAACTCGTCGTCTTCGTCAAACCCGAAAAAGGTCCGTGCCTTTGCTTTGTTGGTGAATTCCGGCTCTGAAGGTGGCGTGGTGGCTTTTGACTCGCCACTTTCGTCGTCCTCTTCATCTTCATCGTCGTCGTCCCTCATAACCGCGTCCTTCCCTCCGGTTGGAGATGACGCAGAAGACGAGGCGAGGGGCGGAGACTCGCCCAGCACAAGGTTGTCCTTGTAGTTGCCGGCTTTGAGGGCGGCGAGCACGGCCTCGCGCGTGCGCTCGCCCGTCTCCTCCTTGGCCTCGACCCACTTGCCGTCAAGCCCGGCGGCACCTGTGAGTGGCCCGCCGCCCCGCCGGATCTCGTCCTGCTTGCGCTCCGTCATGTCGACAATCTCCTGCCACCGCTGCCGGCGCTTCTCCTTCTCCTTGCGGTCCATGTCCGGCTTGACGGCCAGGTACTCGGCTAGCGCCTTGGCCTCGGTCACGGTGCGCAGCCGCCGCCCGTCCAGGTTGCGGCTCGACCCGTTCTCCTCGCCCGCCGCGTTCTTCTTGCGCTTCGACGACATGCGTCCGCCCGCCGCCCGCAGCTGCGACCCGAACCCACCCTTGCCGCCGCACAGCGGCACTGAGATGCGTAGCGACAGGAAGTCGTCGTCCCCGCTCGAGAGCAGCCCTGAGATGGGCGCCGTGGACGCCGTCGGCAGGTGCTGGCTCGATAGCGTCGTCACGAGTAGCCGCGCCTGCGTGCTGGCCATGGACGGCGGGAGCCGCCCGTCGAGCTCCGACCGCAGTTCGCTGATGGTTGTCCATGGTGGCAGCGCCAGGGATAGCGTGGACGGGAGACCGGTGCCGGCGAAGCTGGTCACGAGGACGTTGATTCTACTTGGTGCCATGTTGAGTTGGGGTGTCTGGGATTTGTGGCTCCCTGCGTAGAGGTATGTGGCTGCAACTTTCTGGCTGCGCTCTGGGTGCGAGTTCCTGGCTGCGATGTTCTGGCTGCGCTGGTGATGCGTGTGTGATGTTTTTGGCGTATCGTCGGTTGAATGAAATATTTTGAAGAAAGAATGTGGTGAGGACGAGCGCTTTTGCAGAAGAGAGACTTTTGAAGAGTAAAGGGTCGATCGGGGGGAAGTGTTCCCTCTTCAAATGCCCTCCTCTGCGTTGAAGTTGAGGCAGTCAATGTCGTAGCCGTAGCGAACCTTAGTGGTCAACTTTGTGGCGTTCGGAAACCAACGCTATTCCGGACCAGGTCACGAGCAGTCACGACCTACCAGCCACACCCCGCCTTCCCTCTCCGGTAGCGCCAAGATTTTCTGACTGTGGCGGTGTTTGCCCCGCTTATTTCTCAACCCTACGGGCAATCGAATTTCTGCGCCTCAAGCCCACAAATCACTTAGATCTTGAATTTCGAGCTCTCGACTCTCACCCACCGCCGACACCTTCCCTGATAAACATCACCAATCGTGTCGACAACGGTCCAACCGCCAAGATGCTTATCCCAAAGTCAGACCGCAAGTCGATACATGAGGTATGCCAAATTTTTCTGTCCCTCTGCGGCGTCGGAACCCGCGATATTCGACCCCGGGGGGGGGGGGGAAATATTGTAGCCAGATTTGACCTTGCGAGGGAGCACAGCTGACATTTTCTCGCAGTATCTGTTCCGGGAGGGTGTTATGGTCGCTGCGAAGGAGTAGGTTTCACCGAGTTTCCCGAAAACCCCCAATCCATTTAATTCGGCTTCGAGTGGACTTGGTTCCCGACCGCCACGCACGATTTCACTTCACTGCCTGTCCACGCGCGAGCGAGACGCACGACACCGTCCGTCATACCGATCATGTCGTTGCGGATGCTAACCCGCGGTCCCTTTTAGCTATGAGTCGACCCACGAGACCGGCATCCGCAATCTCTTCGTCATCAAGGCGTGCCAGTCCCTGACCTCGCGTGGCTACGTCAAGACGCAGTTCTCGTGGCAATACTACTACTACACCCTCACCCCCGAGGGTCTCGACTACCTCCGAGAGTGGCTCCACCTCCCCGCTGAGATTGTCCCGGCCACCCACATCAAGCAGCAGCGGTCGCACGCCCCTCCCCGTGGCATGATGGGCGAGGACCGTGGCGGCGAGCGGAGATTCGGCGGCGGCCGTGGCCGTGGCGGTGACCGTGACCGTGGCGACCGGGAGGGTGGTTATCGCCGCCGTGATGCCGGCGAGGGCAAGGAGGGTGGTGCGCCGGGCGAGTTTGCTCCTCAGTTGTAAGTGTTTGATTCCGTTTTGGCTTCTTGTGAGTTTTGCTGACTTGTCCTGCAGCCGTGGTGGTATGGGCCGTGGCCGTGCTCGGGGTGGTGATGCTGCTCCCCCTTCTTAGGACTAAGGGCGGGCTTTATCTCTCTCTCTTAGGTTGTCTGCAATGGCATGACGGACGGCATGGAATGACATGTACTCTAGCTACAGAGTGAACGGGTCGACCAGCAATGCCCCTACTCACCTGGACGTGGGTCGTTTGCGTGGGGAGTTTGGCGGTTAGAGATCATTCGGAAAACGTCTGCATTCAGGGTCATCATTTGCGGTCAATTCGATTTCTTCTCACCACTCCGTGCGAACCGCCTTGACTTGGGCAGATGTGACAATGGTGCAGTTCCAGCCAGTGCGAAGTCTTGATCCCGGCCTTATGTGCCAGCCTAGTGTCGAGAGAATATATTGATCACGTACTATACCATCCTGCTGCAAAATCTTTCAAGTTCTGTATACCCTCAGCCATGTCTGCGGCTGCCATTTCGTTGCGGCTACGGCATACTAAATCACAGTTCACGAGGTCCAGAGAGTTGGACACGTTGGCCATCATGCGCGAGAGCGGCCGCATTGCCGAGTCGAAGCCCAGCTAGCGAACGTCCTAGCAGATCCCATCGATCGATCGCCAGAAGTAATACCATGTCCATAGGGAGTTTAGTGGGTCGACTGGTTGCTAGCCATATCCGCAGCGAGAGCAATATTAGTTAGTTGCCTGCTACGGCCCTACCTCACCTTGATTGCACAGCTATGCTTAGTACTTACTTGATTTCTCTATCCATATATCCATCTACTAGGTAAGGTAGGTTATGCATGATGATTAGCGGTTGGCGGTAAGGTTCGTGAGTCGGCCGGCATGACTCTGTTGATACTTGATTGTATTTATCTCAATGTGTGTTTCCCGGCAGGTGATGTGTATAAATAAGTCATTTTCACTTTGGCGATATATCTAACTATGGAAGTTGCTTCTTGAGTAAGGTGGCAGACGAAAGAAAATAAGGTAACTACCTCAATGCCCCACCTCTGACTATCGTCGAGTGAGGGTTTGCGTTTGCTTGCCATCCATCTCCCTACGCCATACTTCCAGCATGGAGGAAGCATCACACACATCCAGCATCACACACCACCCAGAATCACCACCATCTACTTCGTAAGGTACCTTGTCAAAACAATTCACTTAGCCGAACAACTGCATATGAACTCGCTTTATTCGATAATGGTATATAGTCTTTCAACGTTACGTCTTGCTAGCGCGACCTGTCGATCGCCCCGTCCCCGTCCCACGCACCTGGACCACCTCCAAGACGTCTGCCCCTCAACCAAGACTTTGGGGACAGAGTGAAAAGGGGTAGATACTCCCAGGAACCTGCCGACCACCGCGGTAAATCTAACACCCCCATCATGCCCAGACCAGAGCCAGCCTCCCGCCAAAACCGAAAATGATACGAATAACCGCATATCAATAAAGAGAGAAACATAGGATAGTGCAATAAAGTCGATCCGGCTTGGCTGGTGCGCGCCGCCAGCTCCCGATCCGATTCCTTCTCCAACCATACCCCTTAGTCCACAACTCGTGCATCTACTTCAAGCCAAAGCCCTCGCTCTCGCGGACCGCCATCCACAGCATGTGCTCAAGCCTCTCGCGGGTCGAGCAGCGCCATAGCGTGATAGTATTGAAGCACGTCCTCGCCGTCGGGTACCGCCCGCACTCGGGGCCCAGACAGGCGAGGCGGATCGTGAGGGACGCGGCGCCCATGGCCGGGATGCGGTCGCTTCCCGTGATGAAGAGGAGTAACTTGCGCTGGTCCTTGGGCGACGCCTGCTCAAACGAGTCCCAGAACCACTTGACCGTCGGCTCGTTTTCTGCCGGGTCGGCCGATCCCCAGCCGTCGTATTCCGCCACCACCTTGAGCGACCCAATGTCGAGCGGTTCGTCCGAGCCGCGCACCAGAAGCTCAATCTCCTCGGGGCGGAACAGCGAGAGGGCGTTGCCTCCGCAGACGGTGAAGAAGCCGCGCTTGAAGGGCTCAAACTGGCGCGACACGGCAGTGTCGAGCAGGTAGCGCACGTACAAGTCTACAAATTCCCTGCGGTTTGCGTTTGTGACCGCTCGCCTCTCTCCAGCTGGGCACAAGGGGACTCTCTCGTGGTGGCCATACTTTTCCATATCTACCATAAAATCAAGACAAAACGTCGACTCCACGTCTCCGTCATAGTCGAGGAGTTGGCGGAGGCCGTGGGCCAGGTTGGGGCGGTATTCGGCCAAGTCGTCGAGCGTGTACATCATAGCCTGGCGTGGTTGGGAGGTCGTTACAGCTGGACTCGGCGCGGCCATCAGGAGCTTGCGGAATGCAAAAGGCGGAAGCGCCACGTCCAGGATCGTCGAGTTGTAGATTGCCAAGCCAAAGACCACACCTATCAAAAAGAATTGTTCCGATGGCTCAAGCGAGTTCGGGTTGAAATAGCAGTACTGCGAGTCTTCGTCGTAAATGAACATGCCTGCAATTGTTAGTAACCGGCACCGTATTATTAGGGGACAGACATACCATGGTCGGGGTTGAAGACTTCTCTGACGAGAAGCAAGAACCACTCCTTCCGAAGACCTCCGCCGTCGACCCCTTCCTCGCCCTTGAAGACGATCTTGAGGCCCTTCTTGATGTCCTCGCCGCCGGCCCCGATGACCTCGCTCACCGCCTTCAGGCTATCATCGACAAGGCAGTCCCGACGAATGTTGAGGACAAGATACTGCTGAATGGTGCGGTGGGTCATGATGCTACTGAAGAAAGCGTCTCGGGCTTTATTCTCCATTTGCCGCCTCGCATCATGCTCCAGAATCTGGATCTTGGCGCCGATGCTCAATAGGAACGGGTACTGGCAAAACGAAAACTTTCCCTTTTTCCTCTCCCAGTTCTCAAAGTCGGCCACGAGATCCGACTCGTCTAGCAGGGTGGTGTAAAAGTCGCTGGTGGCCAGACCTCGCACCTGGACCCGCTCTCTTGTGCTGAAGCCTTTGCTGTCCGGGCGACTCGCAATGCTGCGGCGCGCATGCCCCATGTTGTTCGCGGCAAATAGAAAGCCCAGAACCTGAGCGGCTACCTTTATTTGCCAGTCATCCTGGTATGTGATCTTCTTCTGTCTTTCCTTTTGCTTCTTGCCGGATCCCGGTGATGGCCCCAGGGCAGCATGAAGCGATGCTGGAGACCGCCCGGCTCCCATGCTCGGTATCAAGCCATCGGTCACATCAACTTTGACCTCGTACTTCTTTTCGTTCTGTCGGATTAGACGATACGCAAGAAACCCCGAGATCAAATCCTTGGTCTGAACAAATCTCAGCTCGGGACACCTAGCGAACCAGGCCACGAGGTGGTTGTGGCACTCGCTTGGCGCGTTCGATATCAAGCCGACAATGCGCTTGATAATCCCGGAATGCCGCCCAGAGGCCGGGCCTGAGTTCCGTGGGTTTGAATTACTTTGCTCTGATAACAAATTTTCGGGGTGCTTGAACTCCCCTACGCAGGGCTTATACGAGGCGTGAAGTAGGGGGTTTGCTGATATGATCAAGAGAAATCGGATTTCGTGGGGTCCGGCAATGGGTCGCCCCGGCCGTTTGAGAATTGTCTCGCAGGCCTTCAGCAGAGTCCTCTGAACATGCTCCTGTCCGCTGAGAATCTGCGCTCCGATCTCCTGCAAAGCATTTGGGGGCACCGCAAGGCCCGAGTCCTCAGCTACCAGACTGTCATAGACATCTGGCCACGAGCGCGCCGCTTCGACCACAGCTAAATACCATTCTTCCAGTTCCGTCCATTCGATGCGGGGGCTTCTCGAGCTCACCAGCGACTGGCTGTTCTCACTCTTATTAGAAGCTGTTCGGCCGGGAACCACACCCCTCTGGCCGCCAGTCCACCAGCAGCCGTTTTCTGCAAAATCCCCCAATAGAAGAAGCTTCCCATCCAAGTCTATTATGGGAAAGTCGGTGGTTTGTTGCGATTCTCGCCGGGGCTCCGTGGCGTGACGGCGCCGCTCCTCGTCCACGCTAGGCTTTGCGGGATGGCTGGGGCGGTAGTGCGAAAACGAAGAGTTGATGCAGTGAAAGGAAGTGAAACAGCTGACGATGTAGTCTTCCAGCGGCCTAAACATGCGCCTCGCCTCTGACCCTGGACTCGGCGGCTGCGGGCTCGGCGGCTGGTTGCCAGGCGAGCGGCAAGTTATGTCGGCAAGTGTTGGCCGCGCATCTGGGTATGACGTAGAGTACGACCGGAATGCATTGCTCGTTTGATGAGATGGGCTGCGGCGATGTGCTGGCTCCGTGGGTCCGTCCATCCGAGGTCTCTGCTCGTAGCCCACAGACGCTTTGCGCCGTGCAGGGGAAGACGACACAGGTAGTGGGCCATTACTCCTGCCGTCGCTGACCGAGAGAGATGACTTTCTCGCGGCCAGCCCTGGTAAGTCAGATGACCCCCTCCTCGATCTTGCTCGCAGGACGGACGCCAGAAACGACCGCAGAGACTGTGTTATTAAGGACCTTGTGTGCTCGATGGATATTGGGGTTTCTGCACCACGTGTCAGCAGTCGTTTGCAACCCAACTGAGCCATCGCTGCTTCCTTACCACTGGGCGAGGGCCGCTCGTCGGCGCCTGGTGAAGTAGTGTTTGGAAAGGCCTCCCGCTTCGAATCCCGGGCCTGTGGTTGCAAGTCGTTGATGGTCAGGCAAATGGTGCACTTGAAGACCTGGAGCCCCCTAGGCCAGCGCACCAACGACCCGCACGTCATGCAGTTCCCCGTGGAGTAGTCCCTGCTGCCGGCAGAAGAGCCGTTCCTATGACCTCGCGGCTGCGGCTTGTTGGGCCTGGGCTCGTCGGCCGAGTCTGATGCAGAGTCGTCCAGGGGCATAGGGCTAGATTTCTTCTTCTTGCTCGAGAACAGCGACGGGAACGGATGGCTCATCGAACGCGTGTGGCTGGGCCTCGAAGGACGCGAGGGGTGCAAGTCTTCGTCGTCCGAGGAAGAGGCGGATTCGGTGTTGATCCGCAAATTCTGCAGGACCTCGAGGTCCGCCACCCGCGAGGCCGTCCCGAACCGGCTACCAGGTGCTGCTGATCGGGCAGGAAGACGCCGGGGAGTTGGAGCTGCGCTTGGTTGGCTCTGGCTTTGGGAAGGGTCGAGCGGGCGGTGCGAGTCGACTCTGTCGGGCCAAGGAGCCGCCATGCTGAGTCTCGTCGGGCGGAGCGGAACGAAGCATCGGCCGACCAGCTAAGCTATGGCAATGGCAATGGCAATGGCAATCGCTATGACAGAGGCAGCAGGCTAGGTATGTAATACCTTCATATGCGGCCCCGAGAAGAGCGCGAGAGCGAGCCAGAGCCGTAGCTTAGCTTTAGCTCTGTCCCGGGCTGCGGGCCTCCTGCTTGCCCAAGCGGTATGCAAGACCGGCAATACTTGACTGGCGAAAAGCAAAAGGAAAAGGCGGAAGAAGAGGTGAGGTGGAATGCGCGAGTTGAGGCTCGCTCCTTCTCAAAGCAACACAGACGCTGAACTGACTGCAGCCAAACCTTCCAACCCAAGTGCTGTGCTGCTAGCAGGACTAGTAGCAGTAGCAGTATGGATTCGACAGTTTCCCGTCGTTGTGCGTGTGGTAGGTTGGCAAAACAAGACAGACGCAGCGGCGAGAAACCCAAATCACAAGCCACGCACGCCAGAGGCGGCTTCCAGCCTTGGCCGGCAAGAGGCGTAGCAGTAGCAGCTGAGGTGAAGGTGGTGGTGGCCGCGGCGGCTTGGTCTGGGCGAGACTGGAACGAACAAACGTGACGTTGAGGGTCGTCGCTGCGGGTCGCTTCAAGCCCAAGCAAGGCCGCTCGAGATGCCGCGCTTGTTTCCTGGTTCCAAGAGGGCCGTGGAAGAGGACGGGAACATGTTATTTTTATTCAGCCCGCGGGCCCGCCCACAGGTAAGGTACCTCAGGCCGACAAATCACCGCCGTGCCTGACGAGAAGCAGGCGCATCTCCTGCCTTTAGGTACTGCAATGCATGGAACTCGAACTTTGGGGCACAGATGTGAGGCACGGGAAACGGGGCACAGCCATGTCATTACGCAGCGGCAGGTCTTTGAAATCTGCCCTGGGGCTAGGCGTCTCCATCTAGTCGGCATCTGGGATCCCACTTGGGTTTTCCGCTCGCCTGGGACCCTGAACCATCATCCCCAGTGCGCGCCTGCCAGGGGCCCCCTGATTTCCACAAGGCTGCCCGGCCGCTCTGGGAAGCTGCGGTACCCGGTATCCGTATCCGTCGGGTTCCATTGCTTCCATTTGACGAGACAAAAGGCCCGACGAGGCGACGACCGCCTGTGTAACCCCACGCGCGCTATAATGACCCCTCTAATGGCCCCCATTCGGTACCTTTTGGGCTGGCATGCGCGGGGTAATGCTGCCGGAACTCGCTTGGGCGCGGCTTCCTTCATATAGACGCTGAGTGGCCTTGGTAGGGCGTCATTCTAGAGAGAAGAGGTGGGAATTTGGACAAAGGCATCGAGTATAGGAACACTATCTTGCACAGGGCATCCGTATTTCTCGAGCAGCCAAGAAACCACCTCATTCCAGGAGTACGGAGTAGACTCGCGGAAATACGGATTCTGGGCATCTAGGTTTACTCCCCTCCTTAGGTATATGTGCTGTACATATACAGTACCAGCAGATAAGAGCCCGGAATTTGGGGTTTATTCCGGGTTTCAACCTCGCCAGGTAGCACAGCAGCAGCATGCTTTTTGGCTTCTCAAAGCTCCTTTCTTTCCTTTCATCAGCCTTAGCGCTCATCCTTCACATGATCGCAGACATTCGGTGCGCACGCTTGTTTAGACAACTCTTGAAGACACGGAGTAGAGCGGATTCTACGCATCATGCGTTGAATGGGCTGGAGTCGGTCGCTTTTAAATCGCCGCCTTCCCTCTCAGGGGCCACGCACACTCAGTGTAATGGTAGGCTGGACTGTTCACTATGCATCGCGAAACGGCCATGTATATTTGGCTGGATACAAGTCTGCTTATCGCGGATATAATCCAGGGGCGCGGACTGTCTACAAGTGTATCTGTACTGCCTGCCCATTTATGCGGCAGGTAGCAAAGTTGGTCCATTGTTAACCAACATGAGAGAGCCAGATCAGGACGTTACACCATTACCCGGACATAACACCACATCAGCGTTTGTTTCGATACTCGGATGAGACTCGCGCGAAACTGCACACACGCACCCCCAGAAAGCATCCAAAAATGTTTTCATCAGGCACGACCAAAACACCCTGGCGGCGGACGGAGCGGGATCCAGAAGCTCAACCGCTCTTTGCATATGTCGACGACGCCTGGAAGCCAGCTGAGAGCGAGACTGAGAGCGAGAGCGAGAGCGAGAAGCCGCCGCCCGACAGCTTCGCCACCATAGCGTGGAACATTGATTTTATGCGGATCCTGGACGAGCAGAGAATGAAGGCGGCACTGAAATACGTCCACGGCCTCGTCGAAGGGTCAGGCGGCAAGCCAACCGTCGTCATGTTCAACGAGATGGTCGACACCGATCTCCAACAAATCCAGGACCAGCCTTGGATACAGCAGGGCTATAACATTACCGATCTCACGCCCGAGTATTGGGAGTCTGACCGGTACGGTAAGTCTTCACTACGCTCGTGGCCTTTATTCCCTGGGGCTGGCACTCGTCTTGATAAGAAGTACTTGGCCAAGTCACCAATGCTCGACGCGCTCAAACTTGTGACTGTACAGGCACTTGCATTCTCGTGCCAAAGTCAATGCCCGTCACCAGCGTCTTCCGCGTGCACTACAAAGAGACCGCCTTCCAACGTGACGCGCTGTTCGTCGACATTGACTTGCCGGGGAAACGCACGCTCCGCATCGGCACCACGCACCTCGAGTCGCTGGAAGCCAAACCGCCCATCCGCCCTTTCCAGATGGCCAGGGCGGCGTCGTTCATGCACAAGGCGTACGCTAGCGTGCTCGGCGGTGACATGAATGCCCACCAGCCCTTCGACAAGACGCTGCACCTGGAAAACAAGCTCAAGGACACATACCTCGAGACGGGGGGCGAGGAAGGCGCCGAGTCGGGCATGACTTGGGGTCAGATGGGCGGACGGCGGCCACGGGCGCGGTTCGGGCTGTCCCGGCTAGACAAGCTGCTCTTTTGCGGCGGCATAGAGGCCAAGAGGTTTGAGACGTTTGGCATAGACGTCGAGGTCGAGGACGAGGCGGACCGCAAAGAGATCATGGAGGAAGACGGCCTCGAAAAGGGGTGGGTGACGGACCATCTTGGCGTCAGGGGGGAATTCCGAGTCATTGTGCCCGAGTGATGTCGAGTAGTAGGTGCCGGATGACTCGACGTTGGAACTGTGCCGGGCCGGTTCTGTTGCCGTCTTTTGGCGGCATGCTGGTGCCAATCTAGCCATTGAAATCACAACCTGCATCTTGCGATATCAGAATGACTCTGAGCTGAGTACGGAGTATCCGTTACAGGTCTCAAGCTGTAAATCCGAGAGCCTAAAAAAATAAACACAAGGCGCATACAGCTAAGTGAGACTGAGGAGTCAGGTGGGCCGAACCAAGAGGCTGGGGAGACACCAAGACAATCAGTCGCTGGGTCGGTTCTGTGAGACACGAATGCGGCGTGTTGTCGACAGATCACCATCCAATGTCCTGACGCCCACGCTGCTCAACAAAAGAGCCGGAAGGTATCCGCCTTACGTCGACATCCACATACCTATGTACAGAGACCCTAAAATAGCATTAGGTAGGCAGTTTCCGAATAAGTATCGAAGCAGCGCAGCCGCGTCTCATTTAGTGCAGTATTCGTACATACTCGTACTCGCTGAACCGGATTCACCCTGACTGGAGCGTAGCGTTTACCCGGACATCTCGACAAGGCAATGCCCGCCCACCACTGAAATTGTGGCGTGGAACGATGCCGGGAGCCAAGACCCGGCACCCGCCAGGTGCTAGCACCGCCTAGGCCTAGGCACTGGCTGCAACGGCTAGTAGCGGTATTGGCACTGTGTGCACCGCTACGGTTGGGTTGGGCACGGGCATGGGCCACGATCGGCTCGCCACTGGAGCTGAAAACCTGGGCCTGGACACGGACCTGGGGCCTGCCCGCCCACCCTCTGCCCTGGGATCGGCTCCCGCGGGCCGCTTTGGGGGAGCAATTGGAGGATCTGACGACATGCACGACAGTCATCGACGCAGCCGTGACTCTGCAAAGCAACTACCTCCCATACTACACCTGGAGCTACCGTAGCTTCTTGCACAGCTTTGGAACCAATAGCGGGACGGGAGTTTCCTACTTTGGCCAATGCCCTCCTGCCTCCAGGTCCGATTGTCCAACTTCGGTTCCAGTGTTTGATTCTCCAACACAGAACAGAACAGAACAGCACAGCACAGCCCGCCAGCCAACCCATCGCTCCTTCGCTCTCGCTCTCGCTTTCGCTTGGTACCACCCACGCTGCTGCTGGACTGGGCAGCCCCGGACGCGAGCCTTGAACCCACGATCAATGCGCCGCCATGTCCTCGCTCGTGTCCAACTTCATCATTAACCCCGTTCTGCGACAGGCCCGCCGCCTGTCTGCCGGGTTCGCCGCCGAAGACCGCCCCCCGGCTCCAGCCCTGCAGCAGCAGCACCACAGGACCAGGTCCGCCCAGGACCCCAGGCCCGCCTTTGAAGGTGCCATCCAGGAGGGCGGAGAGGACGCGAGGATACCAGACTGGGCCTTGTCTGAATCCGGCCTGGCAGCTGTCGCTATACGGCCCCTGGCCCAGCCCGCCCCCACCCCCGCCCCCGACCACAGCCAGCCCGAGCGTGATATTGCGCCCGAGCCTGGCCAAGATGGTTTTGGTCCTGGTCAAGGCGCATCGGTCGCCGGTCCGGGCGCCGGAACGGCTGCGGCTGCGCAGCTCGCGCCGGCCCTCGCCTCCAACGTAACACCGGCCAGTCCACCCCGCACGCCAGTGTGGATAAACGAGGCTCTCCGGAGCAGCACGCCACTCCCCGAAGACGACGGCATGGGCATCCTCAGGGCCAGGATACGTGCCGTCCAGTCCATGGACATCTCCCAGAGCCTCAAGGCCCGTCTGGTGCATCAGATCCTGCTCGAGGGCTACGCCAAGTCGCAGCTGTCACCTGATGCCGGGCCTCTCCTAAAGTCGGAGTCGCCGACGAGACGGGGCGTCAGCGCCCACGATCTCGCGGAGTCAACAAACCCCTTGCAGGCGCTCAAGTTCTGGAACCCGCTGGGCGACGGGTCCGGGCCGCTAGACCTACCGCTGAGCGAGGAAGACGTCCGTCCGACATATGCGCCGCCCATGCCCGTCGACGACCTCACTGGCCGCGTCGGAGCCCCAAGACTCGAAGACCACGGCCACCCCGTCCTCGGCTGCGAGCACTACCGGCGGAACGTCAAGCTCCAGTGCGCCGCCTGCGAGCGGTGGTACACGTGTCGCTTCTGCCACGATGCCGCCCAGGACCACGCGCTGCCGCGCAAGGAGACCAAGAACATGCTGTGCATGCTGTGCGGCTGCGCCCAGCGAGCCTCGGACACGTGCATCAGGTGCGGCGAGTCGGCCGCGTACTACTACTGCTCCATCTGCAAGCTCTGGAACGACGACCCGAACAAGTCGATATACCACTGCAACGACTGCGGTCTCTGCCGGGTAGGCCAGGGCCTGGGCAAGGACTTTTTCCACTGCAAAGTGAGCCACCCACCCAGAAAGGAGAGAGACTTGTTACTAACAGCGACGCAGAAATGCGTAGCTTGTATATCCATGACCGGACTTCACAAGTGCATCGAGCGGTCCGTAGACTGCGATTGCCCCATCTGCGGCGAGTATATGTTCAACTCGCCCAAGCCCGTCGTCTTCATGCAGTGCGGGCACAGCATCCACCGGCGCTGCTTCGACGAGCACATGAAGACGTCGTACAAGTGCCCGCTCTGCAACAAGAGCTGCGTCAACATGGAATACCAGTTCCACAACCTGGACATGGCCATCGTGACGCAGCCCATGCCGCCAGAGTACCGCGACACGCGCGCCATCATCTCCTGCAACGACTGCAGCGCCAAGAGCCAGACGGCCTTCCACTGGCTGGGCCTCAAGTGCTCCACGTGCAACTCGTACAACACGGTCCAGCTGCAACTGCTCAACCTCCCCGGCGCCGCCGCCAGCGACACGCCCGTGGGCACCCAGCCGGCGCCGCCGGTCGAGATGCTGTCGCTGGGCCGCGACATGCGCCGCGCCGGCAGCCAGCGCGAGACAACGCCCGGCCCGTCTTCGCCCGCGTCATCCTCTCCCGCGCCCGTCTCGTCGCCGTCGTCGCCGTCCCGCCACTACCTCGTGCGGCTGCTCTCGCGCGGCCCCGCGCCATCAGCCTCGCCCGAGCCGCCCGACACGCGCGCCGCCCGAGCTTTCCCCGGCGGCGCCCCTCTGGGGGCTGTGTCGGGGGATCACAGGCGGGCGGGACATGACTCTGCGGATGACGATGACGATGATGAGGATGACGAATACAACGACGTCATGCTCAACTTCTGGGGCCGCGACGACCACCGCAACATCACGTCGGCTGAGAGCGCCAACGGCGGCGAGGGCCGCGACGGCGGTGATGATGGCGAGGAGGAAAGTAGCTCGGAGGATGATAATTGCGACGACGACGACGATGACGACGACGAGGAAGAGGACGATCCCATTGTCCTGCTGGGACACAGGTGAGGTGAGTGGTTGAGTGGTCAGTCAGACGGGGGAATTAATCTATTATCTAGCATTCGGTTTTTCCGAGGGAGGGAGTGCTGGCGTGCTAGTGTGCAAGTAAGCAGGGGGATCAGCGGTGAAGACGGTATATTGATCTAGACTGACGGAGAAGCGAGAAGCGAGGAGAGAGATAAAAAGGGGGAAAAGAAGAAAAGAGAAGGGGGGAGGGTATTGCATCGAGACTGAGAGCTGTCCTGAATTCCGGGCGGGGTGGTTCGTGTGTTCTGTTCTGTTCTGTTTTATTTCATTATGATTCGATCTTCCGGTCTGGTCTGGTCTGGCCTGGTCTGGCCTGGTCTGGTTTGGTCTATTAGCGAAAGAAAAGAAAATCGCGGCGGCGTGGCGGGCGGGATAAGGGGCGTTTTCTTTTCCGGTTGTTGTTTTTGGTCTTGATCTTTGGTCGTTCAACGGGTCGAGGGTCGATGGTCGAGGCAAGCGGGCTCGGGAATACACTCACCATACATACGCCACAAACAGAGAAAGCGGTGTTCTGGCCGCCGAATTTGGCTGGCGCATGCCGCCATTTTCGGCGGCCAGAACACCAAGCGCACAACATAATTAATCAGTTCAGAGCTACAGAGAGGAATAAGGACAGAGCAGGAAAAGGGTATATTGAGGAGCGTGCAGACTACAGCTTAAAATATATATATATGGGGGCGGCGCCCATAACTCGGATCCGCACGAGTAGTTCTACAAGCTCCATCTTGGCCAAGATTAATCCGACTCTGGGATATAGTCTTAGTCCTGGTCGCTGAGCTGCTTCTCAGCCTCTTCCTCCATTGCCTCGAATCGTTTTTTGTCTGTGGATCCGAGTTTCTCTTGCGACGGGCGGACCAACTTCTGCTTGACCATCCTTTGCCTACTTCTACCCTCCAGAACCTCATCTGACCCCCGCCTCCGTTTTAGTGCCTGCTCGAAAGCCTCACTCTCCTGAACCAACTCATATAACTGAGTAAAGGAGATGGTAATTTCCCCTTGAACCTTTCGGATCTCGGAGTAATCAAGCTGATTACTGAAATCCTTCAGCCAGATCTGGAGTTTCTTTTTGCCATTGACCAAATTTCCATTTGCATCGCGAAAGGTACCCTTGAAGGTCTCTTTTATTATAAGGGTCGTTTCTCCCTTCTCCTTAGTCTTATTTGGTCGCCATACTATCACTCTTGCTTCCTTTCCCTGGTATATAAGGTCGATCCCGATAACAGCCTGGGTTAACCCATTTGAACCCAGGATGTAGTCATCTGCAAGAAACTGCAAATCTTGGCGTTTTTGCGAATGTGAGACCTCTAGGATAATGCCAAGTTCTGTCGTATTCTTATGTATAAACGACCCGTCTGGGTAATGGGAACTACCATCCCTCTTAATCTTGGGACTTCTTGTTACGCGTATATCCCGAGCAAAATCGGCAGCGACTTGGTCGTTACCTTGCCGTATATCGATCAACTATTCCATAACTAGGCCTTCGAATGCTCCGATAACGGCTTCGTGGACAGTGCCCGGCATTCGCAAGACGAACTTGGCGAGCTGAGGGAAGTAGTCGTACCTAATCAGAGGTTAGCCAATATAATACTAGACAAGGGGTAGCTGGACGAAGAGGGGCAGAGAGATAGAGGGACAAAAGGATAGGCTACCTACTTTGGCCAGCGGTAGTCCCCTTCGGCTTCGAAACGCGCCTCAAAAGCCTTGAACTCGTCACGGTTGAGGCTGATGCACTACCACTCCTCTTCGACCTCGGCTTGGCCACAGATACGATTACGAATTTCGGCGATAATCTTATCGACGCCCGAGACGGCCAAGCCCACAGACGGTGTGGTGGAGGCGGGATATACTGTCTCTGGGGGCGTTACCAGGAGTGTTGCCGGGAGAGATGGCCGATTGAGCTCGGCGATTTTTCTCTTGTCAGCCATGTGGGCGGATGGCTTTGATAATAAAGATTGAATGCGCGTGCATCTAGAACGACTGCAAGGAGCAGGGCTCGCTTGCTTGTTGACGACGGAAGAAGCAGGTATTATTATGGCGATTGCTTCGCTTGCTTCTTGATTGGCGATGGAATGAGGAAGGAACTGGTTGCGGGGGCGGCGTCCAGAACTACCCCGCCAAAAATGTAGTGTTTTGGGGTCGGCAACCCTAAACAGCGATACAGACTAGAATCACAAACCGCCGTATTGCGTACTGGCGCAATTATGAAGAATATGAGAAGAAGGGCAAAGGTCAATAATACAGGAAAGAGACGCCGGGGGAGGTATTTTTATTTATGTTTAGGCGCAAGGACGAAGAGTCGCGGGGATGATGGAATGGCCGCGCTAAACCAAATGAGGAGAGTTGGGGGAGGGCGCCTTTCCCGGAACGTGCAGCACCGTGTTCTATAATACTCTTTTTTGAGCTGTTATTAGGTAGGTAGCCTATTTATATCTAGATATATGGTGTGTATGCATGTGTATCGTGCGGTGTGCATGTGTGTGTATGCTGCGACTCGATCTGCAGCCCTTGTGACAGTATCGTATTGCATCGCACCGCTTTGCGTCTCGTTCCGAGGGGTGTGAGAAAGGATAGAGAGTATATATGAGACCTACGAAGCAGCGTAGTGGTATAAGAAGAAAGCGGAGGAAAAAGAAAAAGAAAAAGAAAAAGAAGTCGTCTGTCATCGGAGAAATAGACGTTGTTAAGCCCGCCATAAAACTGCTTGCTGTGTTTCGTGGCTCTCCATCCCATTCCCACTCCCATTAATGAACGTGTATCAAAAAGCCGGCGCGGATCCAACCGCCGCAAATATTCAAACCTCGAATCGGAATATGGCGTGAGCCAAAGATGTAGTTGTGTCCATGCCCACACATCATTCCCCCTCTTCTCTTCTCTTGTTCTGACCTGGCCAACCTGACGCTCTATTTTTCATGCGAGGCGCCCGCCATGGCCTCACCCCTGACCTTGTCGTTCTAAATCAATAAACGAAACGTATGTAATGCTAGGCTGCCATATTCACACGTCCCTGACTCCCCCCTGGAGTCTCCTCATGGCGTCGCGATGGGCCTCCATGAGGGCGCCGCTGCGCATGCGCTCTTCGAACTCGCGCTGGTTGCGCTCGTGCTCCAGCCGTTCTGCTTCGCGTTTTACCGCTTCGGCATCTTTCTGTCCGAGGAGCGTGTTGCGCTGCACCTCGATGCTGCGCCGCGCATCGGCGTCGAGCCCGTACGCCCCTCGCAAGCTCCCCATCGACGCACTACCGATCAGGCCGCTGTTCAGAGGCGTCTCTCGCCCGTAGGACGACTGCCTCGACAGCGCGCCAAGGTTCGGGTTGGACGGCATGGCGCGCAGATCGGCCGCGACGCTGTTGCGGAAGCTGGCCAGCTGGGCCTGGCGCACGAACTCGGGCGTGGCGTTGCTGCGGCGAGACGGCTGGTGCGAGTCAAACATGGCAGAGTTGGCGTTCGGGGTGGTGGCCCTCGGACTCGAGGCCATGGCACTCGAACGGCCCCTCGAGGCAAAGTCAAGACTGCTCTGCCGTATCATGATGCGGCGCTGCGAGAGCGGGATATCGTCGGCATCAATCGGCGCGTTCGAACCGCCGCCGACAGAGTTGTGCAAGCTTCCAGCATCCGACGGCGGCCCAGATGCAGGTATGGTGGGCATGCCGCCATAGGCAGCATCGGCTCCGGGGGATGCAAATGGGCCGAGGGCTTTGGTGCGGAGCAGCCTCTCGCGCATCCCGATCAGTGTCTGCGGCGGCGCCTGCTGGGCCGTATTTGGACCGTTCAGCCACATCGAGAGATTAGGAACTGACGCCGACGTAGACAGCTCCCGGGTGGCCGCCGAAGAGTGCATGGCGTGTGTTGGCGGGCCATCGTAATCCTCGGCCATAGGGGGCATACTATAATACGGCTGGTCATCCCCTTCCTCGGCGATTGGTTCTGCAAAGAGCCTCGAGCCCCGGCCCCTCAGCGTCCCTGATACTGAGCGGTAAGGCCCCGACCTGTTCTTAGTTAGAGGCTCAGGGGCTGACGCAAGTTGGTGGTGGAGAACAGTAGCGTCTGAATATCCGGATAATGATACTCTCGAGCTGCTCCTTGTCACGAGATGGGGCATGGACCCGTAGCTAGACAACGCACTGGCCACCCTCGGGGCTGCCGGCGGCGGCGTGGCGTTTTCGGCCGTCTGTTGTAGCTCAACAACGTCTAGTGGCGCTGGTTCCTCTGGATTTTCGTGAAGCTGAAGGGTTTCTAGCTCCGGTGCGTCTGCCGTGCTGAGGTGTTTTGCCCACTCATTCGTTCGGTACGACATTGCCACCCGTGACAAAGCCGGCGGTAAACTCTTGGAGAGACTCGCAGTGACAGAATCAACCGAGGTCGCCGAGTCTCGCCTTCTGTTGGTCTTGTCCGTCTTCTCTCTCGCCGATGCTGCATCCTCTGGAATTGTTGTCGCCGTGCCCCTGTCCTCGGCAACAACCTCGGCCTCGATTTCTCGGCCAGCAAGATCGGGAGAAGCTGGCAGTTGATCGGGCTCCGATCCATCCACAGGAGATAGTGAGACCGTGTCTATTATTGATGTTGTGCTTTCCGCAGCAGTCTTGGTGGCCAGCGCTTCCAGCGTTAATATTGTTTCTCCCATCGTTATTAATGTTTCGGCATGCTTCTTCTGCTTCTCGGCGATGTCACTCTTGGGATCGACCTGCGTATCGCTGGGCCCTGCATCACCATTGGCGGACTCGGTCATACCATTAGAGCTCATGTCGTCCATGTCGGCAGCGAGAGAGTCAATATCATCTCTTGTGTTTCGAGCTCTTTTGACCAACTCCTCACGGCTGCCACGCGTCCATTCGTTCCCGTCTTGCATACTTCGCGTGGAGCGTTGCGACAGACGCCTGAGGAGCTTGGCAGAGCCAGTGGACAACCGTCTTACCATGCTCTCGCTCTTGACACACCTCGATTCTCGGCCATCTTCTGTCTCGGCAAAGGTTGCAACCGATGACCGGTCGCTATTTTCTCGGGCCTCCGGTATCCTAAATGGCAAGGGAACCACGGCTGGCAGTGGGGTTAGGGGTTGGGATTTCCTCCTCTGCGTCGAACCGTCCCAGGCTTCCTCTCGAATCTCCCCTCCCCTATCTAATTCAGACGAGTCGGCAGACGAAGCTTGCTCTTCGGGTATGGGATCCTGGGCGACCATGACAGTAACACTGCCATTCACGGCGTCTATCGATATAACCCTCTCTGCCGCTGTCGTTTTCGGCACAGGCGGCGAGGGCAGCGTTGACTTCTCCGACACCACTTCGACCAGGCCGTTCTCGCCGTCCAGTTCGGTTGGCGACTGGGGTCGGATGGTGATGACGGTCAAGGCGCCGTTGCTGTCTCGCATCGGCTTCTCGCTACCCATGTCACTGACGCCCGAATCCGTCGAGCCCCCAAGCGGGCTCAAGCCACCCTCTACATCCCCATATACGCGTTCCCACTCGCGACGCGCCCGACTGGTCGTCTCTTCCACCTGCTGGCCTACAGTTTCCTCCTCGACACGGAGGTTGCGCTCTTCCTCGGCAATCTTGGCATTGCGCTTGTCTCGGTGTTCCTTGATGATGCGCCAGAGTTTGAGCTGCGAAACGATGCCGGCAAGAAAAATGAGAATGGTAACTGCCAGCTCTACGCGGATTCCGCGAGTAAGAGGGTACGTGGAGGCGCCAAGGGGGAAGAGGTTGTCGTTGAGGGCCCAGAGGTAAGCCCAGAACTCTCGAAGACCGGCGCGACTGAAGCAGTCGATGCCGAGAACAGCAACTGTTGCGCCAGAAAAGGAGATGCAGCTAATGAGACTGTATGTCTGGGTCCAGCGAGTGAAGTACGATCCAAAAGCCGTGAGGGTGAAAGCCGCAATAAAGACGACTTTGCCGCCGACAGTGGGGATGAGCCCCCCCGGCTGCAGGGTCAACAGCCACATGCTTAGACAGAAGCCCCCGAGGAGACAACCCAGGCATTCCATGATCTCCTTGAACACAACAGCCAGAGCGCCGAGAATCATGCCGGTGCAGACGACGGCGACCACATATGCTCCCTGGATTGCATGGCTCACGGGCGGAGTCATGACATAGATGATGAGGACCGTCGTGCCCAGGCTGGCCAAGAAGGCCGTTGAAAAGAATGAATGAAGATACTTGGTCTTGATGCCAACCAAGGCAAAGACGACGCCTGTGCCGAGAAGTATGGCCCCGGCGACGGCCCAGCCAGGGGTAATCTCGGGCTCAAGGGGAAGCTGGTTGGGAGGGAGCATAACTGTGGAAGTTCTCAGCTGCGTGTCTCCCACACAGACAAACTTATTGGGAAGCACATACCGTTGAATAAAGTCGAGTTTAAGCTGCCAGTGGTGGTTGAGCTGGCCGAAGCGCTTGAAGCTGGCCGAGTGGGTGACGATGCCGGGGCAGAGGTCGTCGAAGTCGCAACGCTAGTCGACCTGGGCGGCGAACTCGTAGTCTCTGGAGCACTAGCTCTTGTTGTCGGGGTTGACGTGCCCTCGGTGGAGAGAGTCGTCTCGTCCCTCCTCGGAAGGCCTAGCCGTCCGGTAGCAGTAACGCTGAAGAGACATAGGGAGAGCAGTGCCCCTGAGTGGAGGCGCCCCGAGAGCTTCATGTTGACGAGAGGCTGGCAAGCTCTGAGCGGTGAGGTTCGCCTCGGAGCTGGGTTGAGCTGTTGAGCTCGATAGTATCATGCGGCGGCACGACAGCGAGGGGAGGCGGATGAGGACTCGGTCAGCACATTCGCGGCATTACCTATGGGTACGTGTAGTAGACCGCTTGTTGCTCATCGGATTGACGTGTCTCGGAAATCCAATGGCCTGGCCGGCGATGGTGATGGCACGAGAGGCAAAAAGAGGGCTGGGGTATAACAAGACGGTTTAGAAGCAGAGGCGAAAAGATTAGAGTAAAACGACCAATCCCCGGGCGTTGATCCGCGGTTCGGAGAGGATGGCGTGCGTCGAGAAAGACAGACAGAGACACAGACAGAGACACAGACAGGGCCGAGCAAGCAGAAGAGGAGAGGAGAAGCGGGATCTGCAAGGCAGGCCGAGCACTTCTCTTCCAGGTTGCTGGCTGGTAGAGGGGCTGGAGGTCGATCAAACCATAAGACACGATGGATAACGCACGACCAACCGGGGACGGAAGTTGGTGGTGGGTGGGGGATATGCGAGCATGTTAAGCCACTGGACAGCGACGGTGCGGGAGGGGAGCAAGGATCAAGACAACTCGGTCTTGTCCGCAGGAGGGGGCCGATGACAGGAAACCTGGGCTGGCCAGCTGAGCTACCTTACCTAGGTTCGTTACCTGTTTAGACGGGACTGTACTGTACCAAGAATCCAGCATCGCGAGCCAAGGCCAAGAGGGAGGTGAGGACATTGGGGACCGGGGGTCGGAACATGTGCCGTGAGCGGGAGACCAGCCATGGCATCCATGACTCCCAGTCCCCGCTGCGTGGTGTCTATCCGTTGCCTGTTGCTGCCACTGGACTGGTGGGTGGCATGTCATGGGCTGCGTGCCATGCCATCATCCCGTGGAGCGAGCGGGAGATGGGCGCTCAATCGATGCTCTTGCCTTCAATGCCCTTACCCCAGCCCCTAGCCAATAGCTCAGGTAGCTCGAAGCTCGTAGCTCGCAGCTCTATGAGCTTCGACATGGCATCAATGGCATTGGCATGGTGTCCACGGGTATACCTAGGACATGGATGGCACGAGAAGAACGTGGGGACCCCGAGAGGCGGAGAGGCGTCGTCGCGGCCAAGAACTAGACGTTAGTGCACGAATTGAGGCGCTTTCATCCAAAATTGCACTGGCGTGTCTGCCAGTCGTCTGGGGAGTGCGTGTGGGCGGCACCCCTGTCCGTCCCCCCACCCCTGTGATCGATTTGCTGGGGACGCATGAATCTGATGCTCACCTCCAGTGTGGCCTGGTAGGGTCTTGGACCGCGAAGGTGCCCTTGCAATTGTTGCCAATTTTCCATTAAAATCCCTGCCTACCCCGAGATTAGAACTGTGCGCCTCACGTTTTCTCCGATCCGAGAATGCGACTGGCCTTTTCTCTCGCGGCAAGCGCGGGGCAGCTGTCGACATTGGATGGCAGCTTCCGCCGATCGACCATTGAGACAATGGACGATGTCAGAGAGCCAGTCCGTCCTGTTGCGGAAGGGACCAATGGCGGGCCCTTTCCTCTCGCGTGTCTCGAGTGTTATTAGCGGCAGATCCACATAAGATGCGGGAAGGAACTCGACGGACGGGCGGCGGCTTCTTCATGTCTTGTCGTTAGAGGAATAGAGGCACTTCAAGAAGCTCCCTCCCGTCAAGTTCGCGTCACATTTGCTCTTTACGGCGTGCACTTGCCAATTGACGTAGGCTAAACTCTCTGCCTTTTTTCATTGCCACCTTCCATGTTGCTACCCGTGCCCTTCACCTCTGCTCCAGCAGCCTGGAAACGCCATCGATCCGGACCGCGCCAATCAGCCGCCGACGCGCTCCGTCAAAAGCCACGCGCCGTCTTTGGCGAGATAGCTGCTAGCAAAGCCAAGCTTGTTTTTGCCATGGACTCCCAAGACTGTCTGGTTTTTGCCTGAGAGGCACAGAATGGAATCTATTTGTTTACGCCGTCTCACATGTCGAAAGACTGAGACGAGGCAATATGGAAAGTGGAAAACCCCAATATCCTGCCGTCTTGTCGGGAGGCTCGGGCTTCCACCACACCAGCGAGCCCGTTGACTGCCGAGAGCCGATGTTAAGCCCGTTCGCGCAGGACGGGTACCTGCCTGCCTGGCCCTGAGCGGGGGCTGGCCGGCACTGTGCCTTGCAGGGGGGGCTGCATGGTCATGGCCCAGGTGGGTGCGGGATGTAACACACTGCATGATAAACGACGCGCCCTCGGTCCAAAAAGGTCTGTCCGCGACGCCGCCCTGTGTCGGGGAAGCAGATCTGAGAGTGAAGGGCGCTAGCTTCTAAGCACGCAAGACTTTTGTAATACAATTGACAACACGTCTGGGTACAATTTGGAGCAACGCCCTGGTGGGTTACTTTATGATGGTCGATGCTCGCTTTCCCGGACCCAACTCGGAGTTCCTCACGTGCTGTCCGGCGGTCTGGAAAAAGGGGCCAATAGGCCAATAGGTCAATATTGACCCGAGACCTTCGGGGAAACCATTGGACACGAGCCCGCCAGCGAGTAAAACATGGAGTGGATTTTAAAATGACTTCCCTGGAAATAACCTGCAAGGCGCCATGCACAAGAACGCCCACTGCATCCAGAGGCGCAGAGTCGCAACTGCGAATACGACCCGGTCCCGGTTTGGTCGTCCATCCAATTCTGGCTAACTCCCTTGTGTGAAGCTTATACGCAGTAGTTCCGTGAAGAGATATGTTTACCCAAAAACAATACCGCCGACACACTCGGGATGGACCCCTCGCGGTTTTGTTTTGGTATGTCAGGAGGGTCGGCTCAAGTGTAGAAATTCGGCGATGAAGTTGGGTCTCCATGTCCTCCAGTCGCTCCTCGAGTTAGGCAGCAGCTCTGGTCTTGGTCCTCGTGGAATTGCAGTTCCGTCCCCTTTCCTTAAACCTGCCTCTTGGTACTGCTACTATCAGCGGGTGACTGTGAAAAGACATCACAGATGTAATATGGTCCAACTGCATCTTGGTTTAGGGTATCTACGTATATAACTCCCCATCATAAAGACCTTGAGGAGTTTTGACAATGCCTATCTGTTCCAAGATCATACGTCGTTATTTCGCGACGACGAAATACCTGAAAGGCGGCAGCCTGGGTATACACCCTAGGCCCCCCCGCCGCCATCGCCGCCGCCATCGCCACCACTCCCAAACACATCCGAGATGCTCCAAGCCCGGTGTGGTATACTCCCCCGAGGCACAGTGCCAGGAGACGACATCTTTGATCTTCGCGGCCCACCACACATGTTAGCAGACAATCCGCACAGTTACCTATTCCACATATAGCCCGTAGAGGCGGGAAACCAAGAGGTACATGCCGTCACCGAGCCCTCCTACCTCAGCAAATTCCAAGGAATTCTCGACCTCTTAGTGGGAATGGTCTTAGCGTGGATAAACGTTAGCATCTCGTCAGCCCTGACATCGCCGTCGCTGGCCTTGGCGTGGAGGCGCGCGATGCGCTTGTCGACGCCGCTGACCTTGGCGTCGAGTTTTCCGATTTGTTTGATCTTGGCACATTCATCGGCCATCTTGCTTTCAAGGTCGGCAAGCTTGGTTTCGCAGTCGGTGATTCTGGCGTTGAGGCCGGTGGGCTGTCGGCTATCTCTTAGATGTCTCTGGGCGGCAGCCGTCTGAATGGTGCGGTGCGTGCTGGAGGCACGCGTATTATGGCCTTTGTCGATAGAATGGTAGGTAGGCGGGCCATGGCTGATGTTTTGTTATCTTGGCCTGTTCTTGTTGTGATAATCTCGTGATGCTTTGCTGGCAGGAGGTGACTCGTTCATGTTGGTTGACATTATATGGGATACTGGCAGAAGCTTTTCTTTGGTTATCAGCGAAAGTGAAAATCCATTATGGCCAGGCCAGAGGCCAGCCAAAAGACCGAAGGCCAAAGTACCCGGTGGCCGTCACCTGGGTTGCCACCCCTTTTGACCCTCCCGCTCGCAGTCACCCGGCATGCCGGTAGCGTAAAACTAGAAGGGGTATCTCAAGCCTAAGTAAGAATCCCGACCTTAGTAATGCCCAATAATCTTGGTAGCCGAGTCTCCACCCCTTGCACAAATTTCGATGATGCAACTGAAGTGCATCAAGGTACTCGAGCTTTGCCTGTTGGCGGTATCTCTCTTGCTCTTCTGCCTCACGCGTTCCTGGGTCCTTCCGGGAGCCTCCAGGGGGGGTGGCACTGTTCAACAGTAGAGAGTCGAAGTAGGTTATTAGTGCCGTCAGGCAACCCAATCTCGGACCAAGAATCGGTAGAAGACGCACAAAACCCCATGAATTGATCATCGTCCCTCGAGTTCGTCATAACCTATTCAACGGAGAGTCGTGACTTGTTATTCCGCCCGCTATCTGCTATAGCAAACACATCCCCCGAGTAATTACAGAATAGGCACACGTATTATAGGAGATAAGTCGGACTTTAAAACGGATCTCACGTTGATCTCAGGGTCTTTAGTCGCCTTGAGGGAGGGAGGGGCGTTTGCCATATCGCCCGTATCTCAGAAAATGAGGTCTTCCCAGATTTAATTGGGGTTGAGAAGATCCAAAAACAAAATCATTCTGGCGTCCTCGCCCAGGTTATTGAACGTGCTGTCGGACACTATCTCCATGGTTTTATCATAAGCTACCGTAGCGATTTTTGTATCAGCCCCTCCTTTCCATACATTCTGTTTGTCTTCTTTAGTCTCCTATTCTCCCTATCGCAGAAATTACCCATCCACACCATTACGTAAATTTTACGTATCTATCTACCCACGCAGTCCAACACTATTTTCTAATATCTGGAGAGCTGGCGAGATATCTTAAGATATCCTTTAGCAGCTTTTCGGAACCAATAGTTATTAATAGTTATCAGGTAAACAACACCTCTAAACCCTCGAGCGGTATCCCTTGCCAAATACCTTCACTAGACTTGGCTATAACTCCATATTTATTAAGCAAATGCCAACCCTCACGCCCGGAAACGAGGCGAAATTAGTCCTGCAGTACGGTAGTAGTTTGGCCGGGTACACGACCTTCTTATTAATCATTACCAAGCTGAATACTAGTATTATCGTCCTGGTCAACTCCATTAGACTCAGCGACCCAGCGGGCTGGATCCACCAGCTCATCCTCGAGGCTATTATCGAGGCCAAGAAGCCTAACGACTATGTCGCTCTCGCCGAGGAAGCCGCACTCTCATACGCCAGCAGCATCGCCGAGATCCCTACTAATTTGCAGAAGGCGCGCAAAGATATTCCACTACAGCGCCCTCTATCCGACTTTACCGGCCTCTACTGATTTCTAGTTAGCTAGTCTAATCTCGGTAGCTGAGCCCAGACCTTCTCTACATATAGCTACAGGCTCTGAATACCAAGTACAAAATCTCCCTCTTACGGGCCTGGATCGCAAAGAAAAAGAAGTCGAAATCTTAGTACTAATTCCCCCCTAGTAATATTATACTTGTGACGGCAAGGAAATCCCCAGTAGTGGAATTAATGATATCGAAGAGATCTTGCGTATTGGTAAATCGCACGGTCGGGGGATCGCTATCTTTCGTCGACTTAACTGAAGTAAGTATGGTAGACGCCGACGGAACTGCCGATGAAGCCGACATCGACGAAGCCGATACCGACGAAGCCGACACTGACGAAGCCGACACCGACGGAGATATCGTCGACCTCGATATGATTGCCGCCATGGCGAAGCGTTGAAGTTTGAAGTTGGGATCTGTGAGATGCGTGGAGGAAGCCACTGGAGGGGTACGTGCTCATGAAAATGGCAGGGCCACCCTAGCCAAAAATGGCAGCCCGGACAGCGACACAGACACTCAGGGTAGAATGCATTGACAACTGCGATTATCGGCTGCCAGATGCCACCCTTCCAGGAAAAGGGTGAAACGGTGGGCGTATTTATTAGCAAAGCGGGGTTTTGGTCTGATGGGGTTTCCCATGGGCTCGGTGGTGCATGCGGTTTCTCACACAAAATGACTTCTTGAAAAGCGGACAAGGAATGTGGGTGCTGACTTTGAACAAGACTACATTCCAATCCGTACTTGGGATGGATAGTACGGTAGGGCTTGGGGTAAACAAAATCGACCCTGGACTGCCTTTCCAGGGCATTCGGAAGAGGGATACTGCTGTGGGATTTGATATTAGGGGCCTTCGAAGCAAAACCTTCAGGGCGAGCCGCACGGCGTACCTATTGTCTACTACCCTTTTTGGGGGAAGTAAAAGGCTACAGGAAAGAGCTTACTCTGTATGGTTTGCATGCTTCTTGTTTGGTGGCTTCTTGCCTCTGCCAGCATCGCGAATATGTCTCTGGGGTGTTATTCGTCATTCTCCATTTTTTTAATTTGTTACCCCTGAAAAGCACACTTCTACCAGACTTATGTATATGACAATAAATGTGAGTTGTATCTAAGTATCGCCATACTGTGTTTCTCTCAAGTCCCTTTAATGTGAATATGGTGGTTTTTATAAGCCATTGCACTTTGGTGATAGATCTAACTGTGGAAGTCGCTCCTAGAGTAGACGAAATAAAACGTGGTGATGTGTATCAGCGACATGTTCATGGTGGTAAGTCTAACATTGCGATAGTTTAATCCTCGGCGCAGGCAATAGAGCGACAAAATAGACAAAGGCCTATCACCATATTCCGCGAAACAAAACACAACAATACAGTTGTCATTTAAACTGTACTAAGTTATGGCACGACGGTAACTAAAAAAATGATCCCTGATGCTATAACACCTACCTCCTAAGCCTTCTAGATACGGTTCAATATATCATGCCTTGTCCAAGTCGACAACGCATGGATGCTTCCTGGGAGAGAAGGAAAAGAAAGAAGAATAATCCCCCCTTTTCCAGAGTGCGGATCAAGTGGACATCTCAGAGCGATCGCAAAAAACAACCGGGCCAGGTATTAGGCGTACAAACGAGGCGTTGACGGCACAACCATGCACACAGAGAACACGCCCACAAAAAAAAGCCTCCTCTCATGGTCGGGGAAAGTGTAATGACAGTGGCTGAGCACGCAACTGAACCCAACAGGTCGCGATGGACGCAATGCGGTGGAGGGCCGGCCATCGTGGCGTGGATACGAGCAGGATATATGTTTCCGCGCCGCCGTTCGTCTACCTTTAGGTATGCATGCATGGCTAGCCAGCACGCTAGAGCGTCTTACACTAACCACCCTACTAAACACCGGCCTTGCTAGTGTCGTCCCCAGCTTGGATCTACTTTGTTTTTAATTCGAGGTTTCCAGAGGGGTAAAGGGTCTCCCTTTGGAGCTGTGTACCTAACTACATTTTATTATTTTAAATCTTGCATTCCCGCTCCTGTCTTCCTCTCGTGCCCACTCAGCAGCCCAGCAGCCAAGCTGCAAGCCTCGAGAGAGGAGACGAGGATTGATCGAACCATCACTACTTTACTCCGGACCCTGGGGGGAAAAGCAAACACATCGAGGCGAATGCACAAACTAGGAACCACTCCGTAAACCAACCAGACTAGGACACAAGCACGGGATCAAAGCCCCATTCGAACCAAAAATAGAACAGACATAGCTCTGTCGCACAAGACTAAAGCCACCTTGTATCATTTGTTCCTTTTGTACAGCGCATGCGTATACGTGGATACATTGTCGCGAGGAGCGGACTACGAGGGCAGACAGACAGACAGTCAATAGACTAGAACGGCACACAAGCGCGGCGCCTCGCCACCGGGATCCAAATGAACCGGAATATGTACACGAGTCACGAACAACAAACTAACACACACTCACCCCCCAGACTTGTCTCACCTATGGGGCCGGACACAGAAAGACGAAAATGCTGTCAAAGAAGCTACGTACACGCTTAACTGTATTCATTTTGGTGAAGAGCATCATGGATCTGATTGTGGAAGCTGCTCTTTGAGCAGACGAATTTTCTTTTTAGCTACGTACACATGAGCGTCATGACGAGGACAGAGAATAGAGAAGTCCCACTTTCTCTCTTGGAGGTACGTTTGCTTTCTTCCGTCTACTCTAGGAGCGACTTCCACTCTCATTGAGATACGATGATGATGTTGATAGAAACACCACAGCGACTATTGCTGTGTTTGCGCCTGCCCCCCTACCCCTTACCCCTTTATGACCAGAAACTAATATCAACCAACCAACCAACCCACCAACCAACCAATGAGAAATAATGCAACGGAGAATGCCAAAGACTCCGCAAAATTTTAGTACTTTCTCAGCCGAAAAGCCGCTTCCCAGGTAGGTAGATATAACACGCTGAAAAAGTAAGAAAAATAAAAATAAAATCATGCGTAACTCATTCATTCCCCGTCTCCTTGATAGTTACCGCTCGATCCAAATTATACTGTGGGCCTGTTCGCCCCCCTTGGCGCTGGTGTCGTTCAGGTCATTACTGCCCTTAGCATTGCTAGTTCGCAGCGCTGTTCTCTATTAGTTGGGAGAAGTGGCTAGCGAGAGACGGAAAGAAAGCATATAGAAAATAGACAATGAGTGAAATGGGAGAGTGAGTGTCAAAAAGGAAACGAAAAAGAAAACGCCGCAGCCCCCGTGCGAAAAAACAGTCAATAAAGCATAAACACATGACGGCATTATCGGTTTTGTCATCTCTTATACAGCCGCAACTGGTGCGTGCGGTCAAACGCACCGATCCTCGCGGATGACAAGGGCCCCAGCGATGGCTGCAGCTGCGGTGGCGATGGCGGCTGCATCCTGGGCTGCTTCCCTGGAGGGACACCAGCGACTCGGCGACGGCCGCTCGCGGCAGACGCCGCATTCTGCGAAGTCGGCTGCCCCCGCTTCGCCGACGGCACCCCCGGTCTCTTCTTGCCGGCCCCAATGTTGAATGTAGCGGATACCAATTCTGCGAGCTTCAGGACGGCGGCTAGGACAAGCACGAACGGCAGCAAAGCCAACTCGAAGAAGAAAGAGCCGAGTGCGCGGAGGGATGGCCAGAGCCGAAAGTTATGCTGGAGGCGGTTGTTTGTGCGTTGTGAGACGGCAGCGGCGAGCGCAATGGCGTCGTTGACGCGGGCATTGACCGCGATGAGACGTGCCTCGGTAGTCGACGACAGCACCGACGACTTCTTCTCGTAGCGCCGCACCGCGCGGTTCAGCGCCTCGAGCTCGGGCTCAATAGAGTTGCGCACGTCGCGCGCGATTCTGGCCTCTTGCTGCTTGTTGTCACTGGGCTTGCTCTGGTGCGGCTGCGGCTGGACATCGCCGCCGGTGCCGTTGACAAGCGGACACGGCATTTCGGGTGCTCTAGCTACTGCTGCCGCCTCGAGTCTGGCCTGCGTCGCCTCCAGCTCGTCGAGCCGCTTGACTAGGTCCTGCACCTGCGCCGGAGTAACCATTTCCTGCCGGTACGGGTTGGACTGCACGACCCTCTGCAAGTGCAGGGTGCGGCCCTGGACGAGCTTGATGGTGTGCGAGAGGGGCACGACCTCGGCGGCTAGGATGAATATGGTGAGGTTGTAGTTCGAGACCAGCCCCTCTGATGGTCGGCTGAGCTGGTTCCGTATAGCATGCAGTATCCATGCGCCCACGACAGGCGAGGCAAAGCAAAGGAGCAGCGCGGCAACTTCGTGAATGTAGAGCTCATTCAAAGCTTTTCGGGCTAGAGCCGCGCCACGGGAAACATCTGCATTGCCGTCTCTGCTACTTTCCATACGAGTGGCAGTATCAGGGGACGCCCCCTGGTCCTCGAGTACGCCGTTCAGCTTTGCTGGACTTGGTGGTGGGGACAGGTCGCCGGCTTTCTCGTTGTCACCGTCGTCCTCGAGTGCCATCCCCATGACCGTCTCCTCCCTGACCCGGATTTCTTGGGCCGATTTGTACCAGGCCCTGTGCGCAGCATTGGGGGATAATTAATAAAAACAAAACTTATAGACGCACGGCCGGGCAAGCACTTACCAAGGTTGTGTCACAGACCAGTTAAGGAAGACGGCGGCCAAGCCCAACAGCATGATATCAGTAATAACGGCGCTGCCATTCTTGAAGAAGACGCCGCCGACGGCAGGCAGCAGAGCAAAGACGAGGGGGAGCGACGACGACCACGACATGACGCGGTCGTCGGAGCCCATGCCGCCTGGGTTGAGGATGTCGTCATGCAAGTTCCGTCTGGCCTCGGTCAGGCTGAGGTCCGAGAAGGTTGAGCTGCGGCGGCGGAGGTCGCCGAGCTGGGGATTTTGGGGGTCGGAACCGAAGTTGCCCGAGGTTGGACGGCGGCGAGCAAAGACGCCCTCGTCGACGGATATGGTTGTGCGGCGCGGGAGATGGGGACTTGGTCCGGGTCCGGGGGATTCGGGCGCAGTGGCAGTGGCAGGGGCAGGGGTGGATGTTGATGTTGATGCAGATGCAGGAGAGGGCGGCTCCGTCGACTTGGCGGCTCGGCGGGCGACTGGACCGGGAGAGCCGACGCCGACGCCGCTGCCGACGCCACCGCCATTGGCTAGCGGGCGTGGTGACGAGTTCATCGTCACTGCCGCGGCAAACCAGAAGCAAAAGCACTATAAGGTACGTACCGTAATCGGCGCAATGCTACCCGAAACTAGTATCCGACAGAGCAGAACCTCGAGACCAGATGGAAAAGAGGAAAAAAGACCGCACGTCGATCGATTGGAGGTTGAAGGTATGGGAGGCAGGTAGGGTAGTGGTGGCACGGCTGAGACCTGACGCGGTGCAAGCCAGTGGAGGGCAAGGCAAGGCGCGCCCAGCCGCCGTAAACCGCGGGGGGCAGGGATGCCCAGGGTACCCACAGCAAGGCAAACAGCCCGGGCAGTGAGGGGAGGTGGAGGTCAAGAGGCACACCCGCCTGCGGCCCCGGTGACTGTGACGTAACCGACTCCAATCTTGCCCGTGTTTTCTGCGCCGGACATTACTTTAGTCTGCCTTAGTCTCGATGAAGGCTTGCCGTTTTTCCCATAATCGTTGATTCGTAAACTGTATCAGCAGCGGCGTAAATCTAGGTTGTTTATGGGAAACCCCTTTCTTACCGGGCGAGGATCAAGCAACTTCCCCCTGTCCGTGTACGGAACACGCAGAATATCAGTCAGCCAGGGTCTATGGGTTGGTGTGGGAAGATGTGGAATGTGTTCATGTCCGGGCCCCGAAGATTTTGAGCCACTCTCTCCCACACGGCAATCATCATCATATTGGAGCATGCACATAGGTAGGTGTGTGTGAGTGACGTAGACACTATCATTGGTTAAACAAGGCAAAAAAAAGAAATCAAAACTAAGAGTCAGAATGCAATTGACAACAGAAAGACGAAGTAAGAGACCGGCAGAAAATAATCAATCAATCCGCTAAGGTGGGAACCTTCAACTTGAAAGAGATGGCTGCCAGCCACATCCCGGCTGCTCCACAGACAAGGAATGCTGCAGCTGCCAGGGCGAACGAGCCGTTGGGTCAGGCACCCGGCTTGCCTGTCGCGTGGTGCGCTCCACCTTCATTACCATACCTAAATAACGGGCCTCCTTCCGTTGTCAACTGTCAGGCGAGGTGGATTGTGAGACGACGACATTGAAAGCAGGAACTAGGAACATCTCATCTCCGGTCGACGAGAAGTCTTCCAGAAGCTGCCAAGGGGAACCCTTGAGCAGAGCCGTGACGCTTATCAGAGAGGCCGCACTCTGGGCAGCACCTGACCAGGGCCAATGGCCCCTATAAGATTGAATGCGATAATCACGTTCATGCTGCTCCTGGGCACAGACTCACCCGGCTCGAAATACCTAGCGGGCAGGCCTGAGGTTAGACCATGCAGTCCTTTTCTGCTTCTGCCAAGCGAGACCTTGAAAGGCGACACATCGAGCCGTCCCGTGCAACCGTGTACTGCGCCTATCTGCCTATAGATCGAGGAGAGGCAGGCAAAACGGCCGACATGTGCCTCGTCAGCGCTGGCGAGACCCCCAACTGCCAGCCAATCGCTTTGCCGAGCGTCCCAGTTGTAACCATCAACACTCGGGTTGCGCCACCCATCCCGTCGCGGGCGCTGACGAGATGGACGTATCGCTGATCCTGGCAGCCTTGAGATGCAAAATCTTTGGCCCCCTGGGCGACTCTTGGGGGCGCCGGGGAGGGGGGGCTGGAGCCTAGTAACCAACGTCCCGGTTGGCAATGGGAAAATGTCGTAATGGGCAGCGGGCCAAGGGGATGGACGGCCTTGGTATATTAGCCTGTCCTCGCACCAGGCGAAGAAATCTGGCCAAAGACGCCAAGCGTTGAAGAGTTGTGCATGAACTTCTTCAAGTTCCAGAATATACGACGAAAGTGCAGCACAGCGCCCGACCCGCCAGGCCGATCGTTTCTCGACCCGCTCTCCAAGTCCCGTCTCCAAGTCACTCTTCTTCAGGCCCACAAACTTTCACATCTGCAGACAGTCCCTCGGTACCGGCGCGAAGACGAAGAGCAATCTACGGCCAGCAAGGCAGTTTGGGCACTGGAAAAGGGTCGGTTCGGGATTTTGGCTGGTTGACCTCAACCGGAGAGGGGCTAGGGCATGGTTGATGGACTGTCTGTTCTTGGGAATCCCTCATTCGGCTTTGAAAATTTGTGCGCTTCTACGCTAGAGTCTTGGACCCCCCTGCTGCAACGGTGCAGCTGGCGGACAGTTGGCAGATGCGGCTGCCCCTGGACTCCACCTGCCAGCCTCTGGTCCTGGGTCTCGAGAAGGAGCTTTTGGGTGTCGTGGTTCCATTTGGTCGACAGAAGCAGGAACAGGAGCAGCAGCAGGAGCAGGATCAACAGGAGCAGGAGCAGCTGGACCCCTTAACACACCACTACCGGCACCAATTGACTGCGTCCTCGCCTCGCGCCCGCCTGCCTCGCCGCTGCCGCTGCCGCCGTTGCTGTAGGGAGATCGGCAGCCACCCACCGTCGCCACAGGGGAGGCGGACGATTTCAGCCCACATCTCGGCGCAATCGGGGCAGCTGCAACTGGGGCAATTGACTGGAACAAGGTACAGGTTGTGCAACCTGCGCGACAGAGCGGAGAGGGCTCGGTGGGCACGGAGACTCCTGCAGCGACTCGCGGATCGCCTGCGTTGGCTGCACCATTCGAGACACGCGGGCGGACTGCATAATAAGGCCAATTATTACCGCTGCCCGGGCCATTTTATTTTTACTCACCGCAGTCCCGAGGAGGTCGTGGTCGTCTCGGCGGCCGCCCCAACCCAACGCTCGTCCCCACGGCTTCCACAACGGCACCGCCAGCACCCCCTCCGAATCCACCAACGCAGACTGCCGCCGTAAATGCAAATGCATCGGCTAGCCGCCAATTCCCGTCCCCGCCGCTGTCCTCGCCATCGCCATCGCCATCGCCCTCCCCATCCCAGCAGCCCGCATCGTCCTTCACCTTCACCCCGACCCCGACTCTCCCGTTCCCGCTGCCAGTAGCCGCTGCCGCCCCCGCCCGCGAGCCGCGTAGAAACAGCCTGCTGCGAAGGGGCTTCGGTAACCCCCCAGATTCGTTTCTGCAGTCGCCCTTTCGCACGCGAGGCGCTGCTGCCTCATTCAACGCCGGTCCCTTCCAATCACCCTTGCGGCGCCTCTCTGCTGCTCGCCTGTGGAACCCGGCCAATTCGACTCCGCGAACTCCACCCTCTGCCTCTACCGCATCCTCACAAGCGCCAGCCCGCAGGAGACGTCGTCCCTCCACGCCGCCTCCGCCGCCCGTCCCGCTCTCGCACTCTGCCGTCGGCGCTGTCAGCGGCCCCGCCGACTCCGACCCCGTTGGCTCGGGTGCCGGTGATTACCCGCTGCTGACCATCCCCGAGCAGCGTCAGAACCGCCACTCCATCTCGAACCGGGCCAGTCTCCAGATCGAGCGTAGTGCGGGGGGCGAACAACGAATTAGCCTCCCGCCCTCTGTCCGCCATTCGTACGACGAAAAACGCACGAGCATCACCCCCTCACCCGTCGAAGAGCCGAAGAAGACGCAGCTACCTGTGGCCCAGAAGTGGCCTAAGACGAGGACACCAGACACTGAGGACCAGCAGGTTTCAGTTGGTATCACCTTTGAGCCTGCGTCTCCAGAACGACCAAAGGTCGACAAGGGGAAGGGAAAGGAAGTCATGGCGCCTTCAGAAGACGTGAGCGGCCACGATAGGGCGGGCTTCTCACAGGACTTGGAGCGCGGCCCAGACCTCACCAACCAGCGTCACTCGACGGCCTCGCGCATCTCGGGCATTGGATCGGCCATCTCGTCAAGCAACTCGTCAATCATGGGGGACCCAGACCAGCAAGCCGACGGAGGCGAAGACTGGGGCCCCCAGCACCCGTGCTACCCCCATCTAAACCCGCACGTCCCCGTCGACTCGCCCGAATACGCGACTACGCGCATCATCCGGATCCGCCGCGACTGGCTGCTGGAGGGCGACCTGGCGCCGACCTTCTCCAACCTGTACCCCGAGATTCTCGACCCGGCCGGGGTGACGGAGCAAGAGTTCCGCCGCGTCATCGAGAAGCTCAACAGCGAGCTCGTGCCCATCTTCAGCCCCTACAACTGGCGGAACATCCTGGACGGCATGCTGGGCCTGGCCACGGGCTGGCTCTGGGAGGACTTTGGCCTCACGGGCGCCAAGGCGAGTCTCCGGAAGGTCGAGAAGTGGATCGAGCAGTGGAACCTCGAGATGGAGAAGACGTATGGCGCTGACGAAGGCGCCGTGCCGCCCAAGATTATACCGCTGCGGAGGACCGGCTACATGGCGGTCAGTGATGCCTGGTTCTTTAAGTATTTTATTCCACATTTGCTAACCCCACGGCAGCTTGATATCCAGATTCCCGATCCCGAGATCGCGCCCGCCCCGCCGAGCACGCCAGGCGCCTCACGGTCGGGCATGCCCGCGGAGCCTGCTGCGGCCATAACGGCGTGATTTTTTTCTTCATATTCCACCTTGTGCTATCCTCTTTTTTACCTCTTACAATGTTTTTTTTTAATCGGTCTTGCTGCCACGACACGTCTGATGATGAATTCGCACACACAGTCTTGTCTCGCTGTCTTACATTTTACATATCCCCATATACATTGAACACATCACACAACACACACATACCCCCCCATGTATCCCGCCTCACCGCCGGGGTTACTTGTTGTTTTCACATTAGCACACAGCCCTCTCTAGGGTTTTATATACCACGGCATGAGCATGGCGTTGTTTTGGTATTATTAGTGCCGTTTCTCGCTGGAGCCGCGATGAGAGGGAGAGAGGGAGAAGAATGGCTCGGGCTTTTCATTATTTTGCCAGCTGGCGTCTCGCGACCGGGCACCCATCCGGCCCAGGAGAGCGTGGATTTTTTCGTCTTCTCTTTTCGCATTTTGTTGACTTGGCTTACTTTCCGCCGTTGCGTTGCGCGGGTCAGAAGAGGAGAGAAAAGTATGGAAAGGGAAAACTACATAGAGATGTGTTTTCTTGCGAATCCGTAGAAAAGTGGAAAGGGTTGGTTGGGTGACTACCCAGGTTGGCTAGCTTAGAGGGAAGGGGTGTTGTTCTCTTATCTATCTATACATATCTATACTATACCTATATATTAAACCTTTTCTCGGCAACGGTTGAACGTTCTCAGTCCAGTGTATCGTGAGGTTTGCTTTGGACGCTCGGGCTCAGGGCTGCTGTCTGTCAATCTTTCTGTCCCACTAGAGATCGGAACTTTTGCTAGGCCTTCCCGCCACCTGTGTAACTGAACCGCTTGTTGGACAGCCGCATGGGGGTAGATATTATGAGTCATGTCGTGTCATGTCATATACAGGGGGACGATGTGAGTTGCGCAGACACCCACAACCCTAGAAGAACAGAAGAAGAAAAAAGGAGCTTAAGCGGTGGATGGTTTGATGAAAATACCCGGATGGCCCAAGTTAGGAGTGATATAGGGCCGTAGGAAGAAGCGAAGCTTTCGAAAGTAAAAAAGATATTAAAAAAAGAAAAAAAGAGAAAAAAAAGAAAGAAAGTATAGTAAGATAATTAATATTCGGCTCAAATAGGCTGAATTTGAGCTTCTTGCTTCTTTTCCCTAATACGTAAGGTCGATCCCGATAATAACCTGGGTTAACCCATATGAACCTAGGATAGCGTAGAGTGGGTTCATAAAGGACTGCGTGGCTGCGAAGTGGATGGACGAATGGATGGATAGATGCTTTATTGAAGTTTTTTTCCTACTGTTATATATGCGTGTATGATCCACCAGAGAGAGGATACAGAGGAGTGACTCATACGCAGACTCTCCCTCTCGAATAATGCCACGACAGCCCGGTTCCAAAGTTTGATGTGTTGAAACATGAAATTATATCCCTTTTCCCTTTCCCCCTACTTTTCCAATCCAAGACTCAGTCCTTGCTGGTAGACGCAAAACATGCTCGCTCGCTTCCCAGACCAACACCAACCCTACGCCTCTGATGAATGCATCCCCCGTCCAACTCTCTCGTTCTCTGTCTCCGCCCTGCCGCGTTGAGATATCCAGAAAGCCAGGAATTTAGATCCCGTGATGCGTAGGTACTTGTCTATGTACATGTAAAAGAAATAGCAAAGAAAAGAAAGGAAATTGCACGCTCCGCCCCCATCCTTTCGTAACCAAACAAACATAAAAAAAAAACTGACACACTCACTCGACGAGCATGTCGGGCGGGGTGCCGTGCTTGGCCCACTCGCGCAGGACGTTTTTCTTGATCTTGCCGGTGCTCGTCTTAGGCAGCTCGCGGACGATCTCGACCTCGCGGGGCACCATGAAGCTAGAGATGGCGCTCTGGTGGCGGGCCCAGTCGATGACGCGCTGTGGCAGCAGCGCGTCGCCGCCCTCTTGCTTCTGCTTGGCCTTCTTGACCGTCAGGTAGGCCTTGGGACGCTCGCCCCAGTGCGAGTCAGGCACCGCCACGACGCCGGCCTCGAGCACGTCGGGGTGCTCGACCAGCATGCTCTCGAGGGCGACGGAGCTGATGTTTTCGCCACCTGCGAGTTTCTTGGGTCAGTTTTGTGTGTCTGATGCTGTTTCAGATAACAATGACTGGCTTACCAGAAATGATGATGTCCTTGGCGCGGTCCTGGATCTGGATGCTGCCGTCGGGGTGGTGCACGGCTAGGTCGCCCGAGTGCAGGGCACCCCCGGCAAACAGCTTGCGGGTGGCCTCGGGGTCCTTGTAGTAGCCCTTGGCGCAGATGTTGCCGGTGAAGACGATCTCGCCAATCTCCTTGCCGTCGCGGGCCACGTCGACGAGCACGCCCTCAGGCAGGTCGGGCTTGATGATGCGCGCGGGCAGGCTCGTGACGAAGCCGTGGCCCTGGCGCGCCATCTTGGCAAACCTCTCGTGTCGAGGCAGCGACTCCCACTCGGGCAGCACGTATCCACGCGTGATGGGACCGTAGGTCTCCGTCAGCCCGTACACGTGGACGGGGATCAGGTTCAGATCCATCATCTGCTCGAAGAGGTGTGCCGTGGGCGGGCTGGCGGCCACCGTGACGCGCACGGGCTGCGGCAGCGGCGAGGCCTCGGCTGCCGCGCACAGCAGCGTGTTGACAGTCGGCGCCGCGTTGAAGTGCGTGATGCCCTCATCCTTGAGCAGCTTCCAAATCAGCGGGTAGTCGATCTTGCGCAGGCAGACGTGGATGCCACGTACAGCGCAGACAGCCCAGGGGAATGTCCACCCCACAGCGTGAAACCTGAAGCCGCCAAATGATTAGCAGACAGTGTCAGGGGTAAGCAGAACAAGACCGACGTACATGGGAAGCGTCCAGAGGTACTTACACCTCCCGTTGGGGAGGTTCAGCCCTGACTCGACCACGTTGGCTAGGGTGGCGAGGTAGGCGCCACGGTGGGTGTACACGACGCCCTTGGGCTTGCTCGTGGTGCCCGAGGTGAAGGGGATGGCAATCATGTCGTCCTCGTTGGCAACTGTTTGTGATTGCAGATCTGCCCAGCCCTTGCTGCCAGTCTCTCGGTCCAGGACGAGGCCCTCGAGCACGGCATCATCAAAGGGACCGGATAGCACACCCTCGGTGGCGTCCGTGTCCTTTGCGTGTGTCAGTTGTTATCTTTGACTATGACTGGTACCACATTGGACGGAAGAGCGAAAAGGGGGCAAAAACGGGAAAAAAAGAGGGCAAAAAACACGTACGGTATCGACAATGACGGGGATACTGGGGTGGTCCTTCAGGTATGCATCGAGCAAGCCCTTGTACTCGGCGTCGGCGATGATGCAGTCGACCTCGGCAAAGTCAAAGATGTAGGCAATGTCTTCAGGCTTGAGGCGGATGTTGGCCGGGACGATGACGCCGCCGGCGGCCACTATGCCGTAGACGGACTCGAGGAAGGCGGGCGTGTTTGGGGCGAGCAGGCCGACGCGCGAGTACTTGTTCCTGCGCAGGAAGTAGGCGAGGCCGCGGGCGCGGTCGGCCAGCTCCATGTAGGAGCGGCGCAGGACCTTGCCGTTGGCCGTGACATGGTAGACGGCCTCGGCGTTGGGCTCGATGGCGGCGGCCCGCTCAAGGAAGAAGGTCGGCGAGAGCTGGGAAAGGTGGTGCGGCAGTTGTGACGGCTGCTGGTGGCCCATGAGGTGGCCCAGCACGTTCCTCAGCCTCGACGATGCCCTAGACATGGCGGCGTGTGAAAAGAGGCGAGCGCTTGTTTTCCAGGCCAGATGCTGCCGAGCAGGAGGGCGAGGGCGAAGAGAGGGAGAGGGCGAAGAGAGGGAGAGGGCGAAGAGAGGGAGAGGGCGAAGAGAGGGAGAGGGCGAAGAGAGGGAGAGGGCGAAGAGAGGAAGAGGGCGAAGAGAGGGAGAGGGCGAAGAGAGGGAGAGGGCGAAGAGAGGGAGAGGGCGAAGAGAGGGAGAGGGCGAAGAGAGGGAGAGGGAGAGGGCAAACAGCGCGTCACCAGTGATGCCGATGGCGGTGCCGATGATGATAATAATGGCAATGATGATGGTGATGTGGTTGCCAGCCACCGTCGTCCTCTGTCTCCCTCACACTGCCGTTCAATGCAGCGGCTGGCGAGATAGCCGAGCCTGTCAATGGATCCGCGATGCACGGTGCGGGATGTGAGATGATGCGCAGCTGCACAAGCCGAGCGAAGTTGTCTTGGACCAGGAATTGTACTGGCGGCCCGACCTTTGCCCCAAAAAGGTGCGGGAGAGACAATGATTGGACAGCAAATACCGTACCTACGAATACCTAACAACAATGCAAGACTTGGAGAGAGAGAGAGAGAGAATGTGTGTGTGTGTTAGAGATGGCAAGAGCAAGAAGAAGAGATGCGAAAATAAAAGGGGAAGAGAAGAGACATTCTAGTTCTACTTTAGTTCTAAAGTGGTCCCAGACCAAAATACAGCTTCCAGTTGTCCGGGCTCCATCTCCATCCTCTCCAACTTCCTCGGAACTTGCCCATCCAAGACGAGCGAGACAGGGTGCAGATCCAAATACTGCCCTGCCTTGCCTGGCTTTATAGGTGCCCATGTCCGGCTCCAGCGCGGTTTCCCCGACTCAGGCCTGTGACAGTGGTAACGCCCCGCCAACGTCTGCGGGGAAGCGAGTGGACCACTGGAGGCGGGGAGTGCTCCGTTTCACCCGCTTCCGGTTCACCGACGAAAGCCGATGGACTTGCCGGTGTAGACGCGAAGGCCGACCAAAACAAGCAAAAAGGAGAAGTGTTTGGCCATTGTGTTCCAAGCGGACATTTCTTCCCTACTTATCGTCATCTGGTTCGGGTATGCATATAAATACGTCCATGGCTACAAACCAATCCCAAGATCATGGACGTCTACTCTATTTCTCGGCGAGCCCCCGAGGGAGCAGAGAAGACCTAGCGATGAAACAGCCCGAAAATACCGAATCAGTTTTTTGTTTATTTAACAAGCCCCTAAGTCTTGTGGTTTCTTGGTACGGAGTAAGCCCCAGACAAAAAGGGGCAAAGGCACAAACAGCGCCGCTCCACACCACGTCTCCTCACCCCCGTTTCCGTCTCGTATCTTTCTGGGGATAGCTTTCAAGACGCGGCTGGGCCGGCATGGGCGAAAATTGCTTAAAATGACTAGCTTCCATACCAAGGTCGGCATGGGCTGAAGAACATAAAAAGCATGAACTCTACCTTAGGTGCTTGCTAAAGCGATACATATCCCTCTTACCAGAAAACAAACCGTAAAGAGGCGTGGCCGCCAGGGCTTCCGAGCCTACCTATAAAACCACGGGCCTTTCGTGGCCTGCTACATGACTGGATATGCCTGCCGTAGAGCGAGATATGCCTGCCGCAGGACCAGGTATGCCTCCTAGGCATGTATGCTATAGAGTTGGGCATGATCGACAGGCATTTACCTTGAGACGTCAAACATTACCTTCGAAAGTCACACACAAAAGAAAACGAAATGCCTGCCAACGTACTACCACTAGAAGTTATACCGCCCCACCCCGTGCTGCACGCCCTCGGTTGCTAGGATGTGCTCCTCGAGTAGCTCGCCCCGGAGGCTGTGGGCCTCGCCGATCCCTATCGGCCACTCGTCGACTAGGTCGACGATCTGATCGACCACTTCCTGGGGCAGGCCGTGGCGGGACCAGTCGATCTTGGCGGGACCGGCGGCCGCCCACCAGTCGTGCTGCTGGGGCGGGACGTTGTGCGTCGAACAGACCCGGTAGTGGGGGTCGACGAGATGGAGAGCAAGAAAGCGGCGGCGCCCGGGCCTCGACGGGTCGAGCAGTGCACACGGTTCTATCTTGTGCTGCAGCACGTTGGGATAGGCGAGGAGGCGGCCGTCCGCCATGGCGATGGTGCCGAGCTCCTGCAGCGCCTTGCCACCACCAGCGCGCCTGCGGCCGAGGTCCCTAGGATCGAGGCCGTAGATATGTGCAAGCGTATCGAAGCGCCCACTCTCGTAGTGGTGCTTGGATGAATCGAGGCTGGCCTCGACGCGGAAGGACAGGGCGCCTGACAGCTGAGTCACGTTGACGCTGTCAAAGTAGACCATGCTCGTGGCGACAATGTGCTCGTTTAGCAAACCGTCAAGGTGCCAGTCGTGAATGTTGGCGTCCTCGTCTTCATGTGGGCGTCCTCGGGTCAGTTCTATGCTTCCCATGCGCAGAATCACCTGGAACCCCCCCGGAAAGCTATCTTGGAGGGAGACGTTGTAAAGCTCATGATCTGGCTCTGGGGTCATGACGCCACCTCGGATGCGTGTTTCCCTTTTAGGAACAATAGCTGTACCGGCCTTGCCTTGTTTCCACTCCTGGTACGTAAAAGAGATTCCTGGCTCGGGTAGCAGCCAGTGCCTCAAGCCAAATCTCGAGGCCTGCCGGAATCGTAAGCTGTCCGGCCCGAATGTTTGAGATGGTGGGACCCAGGCTGTGGGCAGATAGGCTAGCACCTCTGGACGGTTGAAGAAAAGATCCAGGTGCAAATATTCCCGGACTGCCGGAATGAAAGTGTCATGGAGTGCCTTGTTACCTCGTGCCCGTGAGCAAATGTCTTCCACTTCATTTGGCGTAAGAGGGGACCAGAGGACACCATAAGTTTTAATGCGCGGCGGCAAGCGTCCAGGCCCGCAGTGAACAAGGACCTGGTTCCAAGGCTCGATGGATAAGGATACGAGCTTCTCAATGGTTTCGTAAAGGGACTTGTGGGATACCGGGTGTAGGTTGTTAATGTACGATCCGATGGCGACGTTAGGGGCGAGGCTTGTGGAAGCCGTCTTCATCACCTCATCGAAGCTAACTTCAAACGGTAGCCACTGAAACCGGCGCGAAAACCAGGGACTTCCGACCTCAATTCCGCGAACAAGTGCGAAGCGCAGCGACCTGTTCAAGGGCGGGGGCATGGGGTAGCGGTGGTGCTGCAGAGCCGGCGCTGTGCTCACTTGGCCGCTCGCGGCAAACATGCGGTGGCCAGTGTAGCCTCCGTCGGCGAGAACAAGACTCCGCCCATACACCAAGGGGAAAAGGCTGGGGTCTACGATGTCTTGTCTTTGTTGGTGGTTGTAGTTGGGGGCATCGGGTAGGTCTTCGCCATCATTACCACCATTGCTGCTCCCCTCGACATGGAGCGGAGCGGCCCGCGTTTGAAGCTCCTCTAGCAGGCCAGTAGGTATGGTGGACTTGCAGACGCCAGCAGCCGAGTCAAGAGCGGTGACACAGTTGGTCTGAGCGAAGGCGTGGGCCTTGTCCCGCAGCTCGGAAATACACCACTCCCAGGCCAGGCGGCTAATGTCATGATCAGGCCACGGCCCGATGGTGGTCTCGGTCCTCGCCCACTCGGCCACGACGCGCTCGTCAAAGACATGCGTGTGCCAGTCCGGCTTGTCGGTGATGGCGTTCATGAGCCGCAGCATGGCGACCTCGCACGCCAGCAGCCGCGGTTGGGACCAGTCGAGGACGCCATGGGCAAAGCGCTCGCGCGGAGTCCGCTCCACAGTGACGGGGAAGTTCACAAAGCCAGGAACTCGGAGAGGGCCCTGGCCGCTGTTGTCAAATACAAGGCCGGCCAATCCATTGCCGTGTGTTTCCATATAGTGCGGGACTGGATGCATTAATACCTTTTTTTTTCTTCCTGTTTTCTGTTCCCAGTCTTCTTCTGACTGTGACCGTGACTGTAACTGTGTTAGTGGATGAGTGGCAAGGTACTGGGCAGTTACCTAATTTCTACAGCAACAGCGCATATTTCCGAGCAAATACTTGGCTCGCGTTTTTGCTTCAGAAATAGAAGGAGAGAAAGAGGAAGTGCAGCTTTATTAGAGACTGATTCAAGTTGTGGTTCGGCTGATGCGAGTCACCCCCTATAGGTTGTCGTCAGCTGCCCCTTCCCATTCAGCGTCAGCTCCACACCGCACTGCACACCGCCTTTACCTGTTAGGAAGCAGGGTCAGCAGCTAGGCATTTCGCCGCGAAAGAGCTAGCCCCACTTTGAACGCGAATGAAATAAAAATTTCCGAGCTAGCTCCTCTCTTCCTCCTCTTTTTTGTTGCGTGAAGCCTCGTCCTCTTCAACGCTGCGTTTCTATGCTACACACGGAGAGACTGCGCGAGCAGCCTCTCATTTTCCTGGCATATGAGAAATTCGGAGAATCTGCTTCAACAAAGTTCGTCCGCCGCTTCGCTCGTCCGCGGGCGTCTCGGCGGGTCGCGAGCTCTGCCGGTGACGGCCTGTCGCGAACTCGCGGCTGTAATTGGCATCAGAAAAGCAGGGCCTGGGAGGAGCTGCTTGCAGTTTCCTTTTCAGGTTCCTCTGGGAGGGCCATTACGAAGCTTGTGGGCAAATCACTTTAGTGCAATACGCAGCGTGCGGCCTTGCTCTCGGGCGGGCCGTACAATTCGATTCACGATTATCCTGTTGAGGACGAGGCTTCACCACTCTTTTTTCCCCTCAGGTAAGAAGTCCCTACGTCGTCGTGTGGGACAAGGATACTACTAACAGATGCTGCATGCCACCTTCTCGAGAAACCACACATTTGCGCTTCGAATGGTACTGGCGTGCGACTCAGCGGCCTGGAACCACGCCGCACCCACAGTCACGTTGCAATTTTCCGCTCAACATCGGTGCTCATTAGGAGCGGGAGTGTTAGGTTAGCTTTACCAGCGTTCTCGAAACTCAATAAATATTTTGCCAGCACTGCTCCGGCGTACCCGATCATGCTTGTTTCTGGATCTGCGCAAGATAGTTTTGTGACTGGCATGGCGATGGCGATGGCCGACTTCCACCATTTATGTCACAACTAGAATCCCGCCGCACAACGAGTGCGAACTTGAACGACACGACAACAAGCCCGACAAATACGATGACGTTTGACAATGAGCGAAGCAGACGCTGGCGGAACAGGCCGTGGGACATTCTGCTGATGTTCGACTTGGAGAGCAGCGGATGGTTCTCGTTGCTGCTAAATTAAGCGGTCGACGTCTGAATCGAAAACAATCACGGCATCCGCCTCACTTCCATGTCACCCGAGTTCAACATTTCTGCTTAGCCTCTGACGTCACTACCACCTTCCCTCTCGCTTCTTAGTCAGTAAAGCCGACATTCGTCTCTTCGGGGCTTTCACCACTTCGTCCGGCCGCCCATGGGAAGAAAAAGAACCTGATACCACATCTAGGACGACAATCCTACAAATGCCAGGCAAGAATCTACAGCGAGGAAGCAGGGGAGTATTTGCATCACCTTCAGGTCTCGTCCTTTCGTGTTTTATGGCGTCGGTCTGGAGACGGCGAAAAAATGATCTATCAAGGCCGAGGAGGACCTCGGCCGGCCTTCGAGGTCAATCCCGGTCCCTGTCCCTTATGGTCCTCGCCGAATTCCCGATCCATACATGTTCACGATTGTTCTAATGGGCCGTTGCAAAGTGTCTTGACAACGCGAGGGACAGGCATTCTCTCATCTGCGGTGGCAGTTGGTCGTCACAATCTTGGCAAAGTGTATCGCTGGCCGAAGAAACAGTGACAACACCTGGAAGGTCGACGACCACAAGAAGCTAAATTCTAATCATGCTAGGCTGTCGACATGGACCGACTATCCATCACTCAGGCCCCGTGGACTACACCAACAAGTGCCAAACTTGGGCTACAAGTTCCAGAACCGAGTCTGTCTTGCGTCCTCCGCCTTCTTGCGAGGCTCTTGATCACCGGACATCGGCTCGGGCAGATGGAGCATTTCCGGCCGCCATCTAAACCGGCACCGCTAGGATCTTTTGGAAGTTATCACCGATGGTGGTACCGTTCCTCTGCACTGCAGGGAAGGTGTATCCCTCTTTATACGCGAGGCGCTCTTCCTCTGTTTGTCCCAATCACACCATCAGCATTGCCCAGTGTGTAGTCAGAGAGGAAGTCAAGACAGAACCTACCGAACCAAGCCTTGACCCACGCTTTCGGCGCCCCGCCGGCCTTGTCATCCCACAAGGTTGTCAGAAAGAGCGCCGTCGTGCCGGGGCTTCCCCTCATCTGATTGACTGAGGCGTTGAAATTGGGGTTGGCAGCCATGGCATCCTTCACGCGTGCTGCGCGGGCCTTGGCTGCCACCTCGATGGTGATGTACTTGTCCTGCTCGGTGGGACCGGTCTTGTAGAGACCCAGCCGCTTTGCCGTGGTGGCCCAGATGACGGGGGAAAAGTGCAGGTCATCGCCGAAATAAAAATCGTTACGCGACAGGGAGCCGTCGAATTCGACCTTGTCGTGCGCTGCCAAGTCGGCTAGGTTGAAGGTCGACGCGTTCCCCGTCGTCGTCAGTTTGAAGTTGACGGCATCGTCGAAGGCGCTGTCAAACGTGGTGTGCTCATAGTTGTAAGCTGCTGATACGGCCGATCTGACCGCTTCCTTGTCGATGTTCTTCCCCGAGCGAGGGAGGAAGCCGTGACTGGCCAGGACGTTGAGGCCAGGGCAAGGGGAGCGACCTGCGAATATGCGACGAGGTCAGTTTGCTTTCCGAGGGCCGAAGGTTGTTCTTGTTGGTCTGTTGGCCTTGCTGGACCGGGCCTCAAGATTCCAAAACAAGAAACAAGGAGAGACTAACTATCCCCTGGTCTGACTGGGTGATATTCATGGCCTTTTGGCTCGGGATTGCCCCACGGCCCGGCAGCGGCGAGGCCAATGAGGCCTGCCTCGACGAACAAACAAAGTTTCATGGCCGGCGGGTTGTTGGTGGCGTTTACAGATCGTTTGAAGGATCGAGCTAAAGAATCCTAGCGCATCCGATCGGTACAAGCATCAATCTTGAGATATATATAAGAACTAGAGTCTCGAGGTATACGCATCAAGAAGGACGAAAACGGCGCGTATTCGGGTGCACGACGAAAAAGACTCAGCCCTAGAGCGTATCGCCCTCGACAGCGGAGTCTGAGAGGCCGTATTCGCCAACATGAGGGGGAATTTCAAATAGCAGCAACACCGTCGTGGCCAACTTTGATTTGATTTCACATCTAGCAAGTTTATGCAGTGACACTCGGGTATCTCCTTTCCTGAGCATATCTATCACCGGCTCTCCTCAAGGACGTCGTCCTCTTGCGCGTTCTGGCGGCCGCAGCATGTCTACGGTCCCGATCAGTCGACACTTGGCGACAATTCCAAATCAATATCCCAGCGCGATGCTACCGCTCATCAAATTCTCGAGATTGCATCCAGTTGCACGACCGCTCGCCAGCACGTCCCGGGTCCCGAGAGCGACGCTGCAGTTGTGGGTGACTAGAAACTTGAATTCGCAGCTGGAGGGGCCTTGGAAGGGCATCGGACGACAATTATACCCCATTATTGTCTCGAGACCAGGGACTCCAGGTTGACGACATATCGGAGAGTAAATAAAGTAGCGGCACGATCAAACTAGCGGGAGCTTGAAGCCGTTGCGATATGTAGGTGAGACTGTGTGTAAGATGCGCTTGCCAAGCCCCACAAGCACGCCAAGCATTGTGAGATCTTGACTTTAATTTTTGGGGTCGCCTTTGGTTTTCTTGGCCTAGACCCCTACTTTTGACAGGGGTTGCGCTGCGAGTCAGGGAATGTACGCCTGCCAACCAAGCTGACTCGAAGCTAGCCAGCCACGGCAGCTCCGCCCTGCTTCAAGGAACCGATGGCAGGAAAAGTGGTCCTGGGGCCCTGGGCTGAGTAAGTGACAAATGTCTCACCGAGCTTGCCTGTTGAGCAATTCAGGCAACTTCGTTGTGGCCCTCCTCATCCGGAATGGTGCTCTATATTTACTATGTGTGTAGAATCATGGAGCTCTTTGCCTGCCGAGGGCCGGCCAGCTGTTGACTGCTTTGGCGGGCCCCCCCCACCGCACACGAAAGCCGACCAAACAGCATCGACGCTCTGAAGAAGGAAATGATCCACTTGCCGGTGTTTTGCATGTCTTTCCCCCATTTCTGACCTCGTGTTCTCCGGTTTGTGTTTGTTCCATGCATTGGCGAATACGCACTCACATCAGAACTTTACCTGCGATGCCCCTTCCCCCCTTGCCGCCTGCCGCTTGCCGGGACGGGGCAAGAGCCCACGGTACCTACTTAAGTTAGATGGGAAGGCCACGGCCACTACCACGGCCACTCCCGCCTGGGTGGGGTTCTTGGCAGGTAGGCCTGACTGCTCTTGGGTGGGTGGGTCTGCTAGGCCATGCCTCTTTCAGCTTTCCCAGGGGGCTAGGGAGTCAGGGAATCAGCCATGTCGTGTGCCGCACGAGTCAGGTCGCCATCCGAACGCGACATTCCCTGCCTTTTCCTGGCCCACCCACTTAACTTAACCTCATTCTAGTACATTTCATTTTCCCTGCGCCCCGGGTCTATCCCCACATGCGTGTGACTATAACGGGGCTCCGAAGGGGAGGGGGGGATTTGATTTTCCAATAATTTTCCCGCTCGGAAATGTCGGGGGCACGGGGCTTTGATCGAGGAGGAGGATCATTGCTCCGCTGCTCTCGGGAACTTTTGTTCTCTCCGTCGGGGCACCATCCGTCCGTCTCGCCGCCCCTCCCTCCTCTCAATCTCCTCCACTCCAGCCCTAGCAAGCCACTCCTCCTCCCCATTCGGTGATACCGGACCTAGTGCCGGACGCATCAGGAAGCTCCCTAAGATACCTACGCTCCGCGATCGACTCGCTGCCCACACAGGACTCTCCCAGAAGTCCCAACTGTGGATGGCACGTGTGACGTCTTGGCGGTTTGGACCCTCACCCTCTCCAGGGATTCCGAGGTAGCACACACCACCCCCGTGCCTGTCCCCTTCCCTTCCCATCCCCTTCCTTTCCCATCCACTTCCCTTCCCATCCCCTTCCTTTCCCATCCACTTCCCTTCCCATCCCCTTCCCTTCCCATCCCCTTCCCTTCCCATCCCCTTCCCTTCCCATCCCCTTCCCTTCCCATTCCCTTCCTTCCCCAAACCCCACCCCTTGACTCTTGATTCTGAGTTACCAAGATTTACTCGACAGGGCCGCCACGAAGGGGGAGCCGGCTATCTGGGAGAGCGGGCGGCCAAGTTAGCCGCGTGTTCCAGTGTTTGTCATTCCTTACCTATCTTTTTTTTCTAGCCTCGGCTCCGTAGCACGCCCGCCTCCACACACAGCCACACGTCATTGGGTACACTAAAACATACCACGTACAAATCATCTTGCTACTAGCTATGATGAAGTAAGGAATTAGGCGCTCCAGTCATCTATGTAAATCACCGCCCGCAGTTCAATACTGAGCACGAGTAATGATGCCCTCCATGTTCAAAGAAGCACGATGGCGATGATTATGACGACAACGATGATAGTTTGCCTGGAAGATACAAAGCAGAGAATGAGATCGGCGGCGGCGGCAAATAGAATTAAACATCATGACAGACATGATTGTATGGGGTCTGAATCTAATAATTAAGACACCCTGGCGCCCGGGACCGAATCTGGCAGGCAGGATTCCTTTCACATATTATGTGCGTACATGAACTGTGTGCATAGGGAGATAGAAGCATTGTAGCCAATGGGCTGTGCTCTGGCCGGCCGTGCGTGCGTGTGTATGACGAGCCGTACGATTGGATTATATAATTACCTTGGGCAGTTCCCCCGCTCGTTTGATTTCTAATTAGCTAAAGGCGTCTCAGCTATTCGTACTTACTTCCGGTGCCCAGATAGGTAATTAGATAGGTATTAACTATCCGTACCACGTGCTCATACCCCATTCTGTCTGGTGTTATAGAATAGGCTCTCATGTGAGATGGCTTCAGCAAAGGACTGTGCTCATTCTTTGATTGCCACAGATTCTGGGGACTATTAAAAAGAATAAAGGGGTCAATTAGTTAAAAAGACAACATAGAAACAGCCAGCTATTAACCAGTTGATAGTTATTTATTCATCAGGCAGGAAACGTGACATCAAACTCCAAACCCCCGCGAGCCAACCCTGCTGCTGCTGTTGCGGCGGCTGGTAAGTACTATCATCATCATCATCGTCGTCATCACCGTCATCGGCGCCAGGAAAGACGCCGGCCTCAGCCTCGGCAGCATCCATAGCCGCAAGAGCCCAGGCAATGCGCTTGGAAATGTCATCATCGCCAACGCGGGCTACGGCCTCGGTAGCCAGGCCGCGCTTCCACTTCACCCACGCCCGGTGCTCGATCGAGGCCGTGGCGAGGATCGGGCTGGCGCAGTGCGCCAGCCACTCGGTGGCCACCCACAGCTTGGCGTCGTGGGCTGCCCTGTCGCGGTCGCCGCGGCCGCGGAACGTCCCCGTGACGTCGTCCCAGCAGTCGGGCTGCCACATGGTGGTGCCGCGCTCCAAGAGGTTCTGGAGGGGCTCCCGCGTTGCCGGGTTGGCGGCGTCGAGATCGATCTCGCCGTAGCCTTTGTTATGCGTGAACGATAATAGATATCCTAAGAATCCCAGTTATTAACTCGCGGCGCTCTCTGTATATGTCGCCAATCTTGTCCCTCAAGCCGGGGAGTTGGTTCCACCGGGCTGTTCCCTATTTTGGGCTGACGTAGTATTGCCGACTTCAGATCAAGAGCTTTCCCCATGTGATAGTGTACCCACTCACCAACTTCCATCTGTCGTGGATAAGCTCGGCCCGCTGCTTGAGGTTGCCCAGGGCCACCAGCACGGCGGTCTGCCACGGATGATCCGGCAGGATGTGGGTAGCAATGTCCAGCAAGAGGATGCCCCAGGCCTTCTCGGGAACTGAGAAGTGGAATGGTGCCTGGGTTTCGTCAACGGCCGCTTGGGAGGCCCGAGCGAATTCGTTGGCGAATGCCGCGCCTTTCTGCCCAGAGCCGGTCGGCTCTTCGCGTTGCAGGCAGGCGATGAGGTCGTCACGCATTTTCTTCTTCCACGGCTCCTCTGCGCCGGGAATTCGATTGCGGCCATTTTGCTGACTCTTGGCGGGAGAAATCGAGCCCGGTGTTGGAAGTCACGGCCGTGTCGTTACGTTCGTTGAAAGACGAGTTTTCGCGGCTAGCCATGGTCATTTTCCCGAAAATCGAGATCGCGCTGGATGCTCTGCATCAAGATCGACCTGAGCCTGTACAAAGACCAGCGCGTCAGGGAAATCAGTATGCTATTGGCACCTTCCTTTGTCAAATCTTCACGGCTTGGATTGCGGCGAGCTTGCGTGTCATGTCAAGCACCGCCACGTTCTAGATGGTAGACTCCCAGTGCTGCGTCACATCAGAGCCAAGATTTGAGTTCTGGATTTTCAGGTGATGGATAGATGTTGGATTGGCCGGTTCCGGCACAAAGACCAACGAAAATCGACTCCCTTAGCCGCTCACAGTGCCGAGGAATGCGAGACATGTGTAATTCCACGTGTATCCAACCTGACTAGTAGAGTTAGACGTGCCCACTCCCGTCGGGATGTGCAGGGGTCCGAGTATATCGAGTTGGCTGTTGGGAGTCATATGTCTCGTGAGACGGAAAAGCTTGCTTTCCGTTACCAACCCAACTAATTAGAACCAGTTCTAGTGTAGATCCGTCGTGATAGTGGGCGGCGGGAGATATAAACGGCCGGGTCAAGCTTGTCCCTTAGTCAGACCTGGCGCTCTGGCATGGAGTACTAGTAGTAGTGTTGTAGCTTATCCATCCTAGGCAGGCAGCTAGCAAGCTAGGGAATACCGGCGAATGGGACGGTAGGGCCGACGGCGAGCGCGAGGGAACGTTGGGGGGAAAGATGCCCAAATTAAGAAACGCTTTAGCCACCGCCATACATACACGAAAACCCAAGCCGATCTCTCTTTCCTCTCTGGCGGGATGGATTGGATCGTGCATGAGGTGGGTGGGTGGGTGGACGGGCAACCTACGGATGAGGGACATGGATGGTTCCATTCCCTCATCCGGGGGGAAAAGCCCTGGACTAGGCCCTGTCGAGACAGTATCTGCAAAGTGGACCTGGCACTGAAGTGGGCGAGCTAGCACGCTAGCACACTAGCGCTGGCCTTGCAGGGCGCTGGGCACGCGTGGAATCACCTCAGGTCGTGTGAGGACGAGCTACCTAGGTCCATGAGGTGTGTGCCAGCGGCTCCTAAGTCTGACGGGCGTATGTCTGCTCAAGCCTCAACCTTGGGGGCAAGTGCTGGCGGTGCATGGCGTTCTTCCTTCGCTCGAGAGGGAAGGAAAGGGGCGGCCGCGCCTCTCGACGCCGTCAGGCCGTTACAGTACGCCGTTGTCGACCCCGCTGTCTGCGGCGGTGGTGCCACTCACCACGCGACGCTGCGGAGCCGGGTCCGTATCCTTAGTAAAGGAGCCTGCGTGCCGTGTGTATAGGGGGGCGCGTGAAACAAGGTCGTCGAGACTGGATGAGTGGGCGGCGGCGCGTCTGAGACCCCAGCCCAACCTGAGGTATTGGACGGACCCAGAGGAGGGATCCGAAGCAGTACGCAGTGCTCGGTGCTGTACGTACCGATCGATGCATGTGCACATGGGTGGCATGGGATGGAATGGGATGGCATACAGAGAGTCTAATGGGGATTACCTCAGGCAAGGTACATACCGTACATGGATGCAAACCTTACTTCGTAGGAATGCGATCCGTGATCCGTTGCCATTTGCCAAAGCATTTGCAAAGCACAAAGCACCACGCAGGACCGATCCGTGGTTCCCGGCAGGCAAGGATGGGTGGACATGGCACCTGCCACTGGGACTGGGACAAACACTGGGGCCGGGCCTGGTGCCGCCGCCGCTCGTTGTCACTTTATCACTCTACTTCTGTGATCTGGGACCGGTGCACTAGGAGGGAAGCGACATTTCACGGCCTCTAGGGGCCCCTGCAGAGGACCGTCGGTGGCCGGTGCAGCAGCATGTGGAGGGGCCCCGATGGCCGAGTCATGCTGGAGAGGAAACAAGCGGACCAAGCGGAGATAATAACCCCCCCAGAGGAGATTACAAAGACAGTGGGGCTGAGGTTTGGATAACCCAACGCTATTTGCCGCAAATGGCGGTCTGTTAAAAAGTACCTACTCGACGCCAAGACGGCCATCCCAATCGATGCAGCCCAATGGCGCAGCACTCATGACGTAAGGCACTGTGTTTTTACCACGATTTTTGGAATCAGTCACGAAGCGACATTCAAGGGCACCAATTCCAAATTCAGAAGGCTGTGCTCTCGAAGAAAGGCCCTCCCCCCCCTCCCCACTCAAGCATTCATTCCCCATTTCCCCATGACCCCCTGCTGTGCAGCACGGCCAAGATGACTAACACGGACAAGGCGAAATAACTTGAAAACAGTCGCAGGCCCCGTACGGGATGCGTATTAAGATGGCCTCTTGGGAGATTCCGCTGGTGACCGAGCAATGCTGCGACAAGAGTGCGAGCGTGTCTGTTGCTGTCTTGTGATTCCTAAGCTCTTTACGCTCTTGGGTCAACCACTTTGACACTTTTACGCTTCACTGCACAACATGGACGAAACATCGGACTCGGCCCCCGCCAAAAGTGGGACTAACACACCCACTGCAAGTGCCACTGCGTCCGGAGTTGGGTCCGGACCTGGAGCACAGCTCGGAGCTGGGTCCGGGACCGACCACAAGACGCGAAGGCCGCACCGAAAGTCTCGCTATGGCTGCACACGGTGCAAGGAGCGCAGGATCAAGGTATGTGGTTTCTAGAAATAGCTAATTACCGATACATTCCATCAATTGGCCCTTTTCCATCTTCATTTCGTCCTGTCTGTCCTTTAGAGCTCCTACTCGGCGTCTAGATCCTAACCATCCATGGCTGGCAGTGCGACGAGCTCTCGCCACGGTGTTCGCGATGCATCAAGATGAACCTGACTTGCCAATACCCGAAAAAGCAACCCAGCTTCCTCACCCCGGACGACTACTGCTGGACCGAGCCGATAGATCCCCTCCTCCTCCAATACCAGGTCTTCCCGAGAGCGACAACAAGCTCGAGGGCATCAACAACAACCGCCCCGATACCAAAACGGACCGCCGATGCTGGAGCTGGAGCTTCGGCCGCCAGCCCCGAAGGTTCCAGTCACTCGTCCACCGTCCCCCTCAGCCCATCGTCGGTGCTGTCCATCCCTCCTCCGGCCCAGTCCCCCGTCCCGCCGCCGTCTAGATATGGCCGAAGACCCGAGTCACCCCTGCGGTCGCAGGTCGCCCAGACCCTCACCCCGGTCGAGTTTGAGCTGCTCAAGCACTACCTCGAGCATACGAGCAGGGACTTGACCGTCGACGAAGACGATCAGTACACGCTGCAGATCGGCATCCCGAACCTGGCCTGCGAGAGCAAGCCGCTGATGAGGTCGGTGCTGGCCCTGGCCGCCATATGCAAATGCCATGACACCACCAACCAGCCATCTGTGTCGCGCCAGGACCGCGCCCAGATCCTCGAGCTCCTGTTCTTCGCACACCGATACCACATGGAATCGATGCACGAAATTCAAACAGACCTCCGCGAGGCCAAGCACTACGACCACGTCCTTGCCAACGCGGCCATGATGGGCATGTACGGATCCGCCAGTCACGTCGTCCGCATCTGGCTCGCCAAGACGGCAACCATCGACGACCCGCCAGTCATGTCCGACTTCATGCCCAAATACCCCCAATGGATCAGCCTCTACCGAGCCGTCGATTTGGCCTACTTTGGCCTCCTCAACAACACGTCTGGCTCCGAGGACGCCGCCCAGTACAGCCCCGCCCACTCGCCCGTCGACCCCATGACCTGCGGCGGCTTCCAGCTGCAGTACGAATACCGCGTGTCGACGCGCGTCGAGCAGATCACAATCCCCACGAACCACGTCATGGGCCCCATCTTGGCCGCCACGGTCAGCTCAGCGCTGGCAAAGCTCACCGAAAAAGCCAGGGATGTGGCCATGGCCGAGATGAGCTGCGACGAGGTGCTGGCCGACCACGACGACCCGAGGAGGACGCGGACGGCGCAGATGAGCCCCCAGCTCCAGGCGTGCTTCGTCGCGCTGGGCCTGTTCAGCAACGCCGTCACCGACGCCTTTGCCGTCGGCGACTCGCGGCCGAGCACGCCGGGCCACGGCCAGCTCTCCTTCGAGGTCGACATCGACCCCGTCGGCCGCCTGTCCGAGGTGCAGCCGTGGCTGCGGCGGTACACGGCCAGCATCATCTCCATGATCCCGTCGCGGCTGCCGAGGCGCACGATCGTCGCCTTCATCCACAAGGTCCCCACGCGCTACATGAACCTGGTCGCCGACATGCTCAACCTCATCATCCAGACCGAGGCGCCCCCGGGTAACGGGCCCAGCGACACGCCGCCCTGGAGCTCGCCCTCCCCGTCCACCATGCCCGAGCCCAGCATCGCCCACCAGCTGGCCATCGACATCTTTGCCCACTGGCTCGTCCTCGTCATCCTGCTCGACAACGTCTGGTGGATCGGCTGCGTCGGCGCCTGGGAGCTCGGCCGCATCGTCTCCTTCCGCAGGCGCGCCCCCTGGCCCAACAGCCTGTGGAACAAGGAGCACGACTGGTGGCCCGAGAGTATGTTTGAGGTCAGCCGCCAGCTCGAGAAGCACAGGCGGAGCGAGAGCTGCTGAAGTGTGCCTTTGTTTTGTTTAGTGGAAATCAGCCATTTAGCGTGTTGTGTCTTTCGTTTGGCGTATCAACTTGGAAGTTGTGGGGGGAGGGATTGGGTTTGATTTGGATGGCTGCATGTGTTGTTTCTCTTTCTATCTCACTTTCATCTGTCTGGGGCCCGGCGAATCTGTACTACTTACCCGACCTTGTCCTTACCTTGCCTGAGTTACTTGCCATATACCAAAGTAATACTTACCTTACATGCTAGAGTTGTGTGTGTCATGGAATTAAATTATATATACGAGGGATTTTGTTTGATTTTTGGCTTGTGGGATATGTTGTGTGTGAGTTTTGATTTCTGGAGAGAGTTGTCGAGACCTACAAGGTTGTAATTGACTGCGTCAATTGTGATTGGTTGAATACTACCTAACCAACCTACCCGACTGACCGACTCGCGAGGCGTGCGTGGGCTTTGTGTTTGTGCTTATGGTTATGGTCATGGTTACGTCGGATTAATTAAGTTACCTACTCGCGGCAGTGCAGATTTTGGAACTTTGGAGGTATTTCATTCGTACTACCTTACCTTATTTACTGGCTGTTGTGGGATCGAAACTGAACTAGGCAGTAATTATTTGGTAATTAGGAAAATTCATAGATGTTACCAACTCAATCTAAATTGTTTGTTGTACGCGATCGAAGTTGACAGCGCATTGAATTGTCTGCTTAATAGGTCTAAAAGTACAGAAAAGAACGCTTCCTTATACTCGTGAAGAGAAGGTAAGGGAGGCGTTGTAATCAGCCCGAAAGAGGGCATTCCGAATGAAATGAAGACATTCCGAGTCAAGAATGAAGGAAATAACAAAGAATGAAGGAAGCTCAGAGGCATGTCAACCAGGGCCTGTCCAATTCCATGAAAAGTGGGTCAATTCCAGACGACATTGTGTCTACCGCACCTCAGACGCTTTAACATGATCGGATCACCCTCGATGCATTCGGGCAACAGACCCTAGCATGTCCAAATGGAACTGAGATGCTGCGAACACAAACACCCCCAGCCAACCGGGCATCCCGCGGCGAAGGATCAATCATGAGCCAACCCAAGCCGCTTGGAGGGTCTGAGCCTACTGAGATTAATAATAGTGAGTAGGTTGGAAGGAGGTAACGGGAAACACTGCCCAAGCCCTGAACTTTTCGTCTTCTTCATCCTGGTCAATAGGTCAATTATATTGACTTCCATGTTTATTTCCCGCTATCTGTCCTAATTAATTATAATCTATATAGAAACCGCGCACAGCGCAGATCAATACTCTGTTTGGTCCCCATTGGTCACGAGAAGGAAGTAACTCTCTTCTGCAATCAGCTGGCGTGCCGTGATGGGGTGCACGACAGGTTGGGAGAGCTTTTCCAGCAGCTCCACGGCCGCAGTATACGTTTTGATAGATTCCCCGGATACCTGGCCCACGTACCTTCTGGCCTCTAATAATTCGCCGAGGAGCGGGTTCCGCGCCTGTCCCGGAATTTGGCTCCAAATCGAGACAACCTCGGGGGACAAGTCGCGTCCCGCCACCGACTCCACGTTGCACCTCAGCTCGAGTCGAGCGTTTTCGCGGCGCTTTCCGTAGTACAGAATCCGTAGACTATCCCACACTTGAGGTTTTTCCAAGAAATTCTGGGCCTCGATGACGAAGGCGGCCGAGAAGACCTCGACCCCGAGCAATCAGGTGGATTAGGCCAAGGTCCGGCCGAGGGCCTACAAGTGTTTCCCGTCTTCCGTCCTCCACCTGTGACTGGGGCGGTCAGGGCTCAGCGAGTTGGAAAAGCTCTGAAACAGCGTCATGTGCTTGAGCTTCCGATTGCGTGGAAGGGACTGAATCGCCTTGATGTAGCTTGCCTCAATGGCCCGCTGCAGCACAGGCGTGACACCGTGCCACGTTTCATGAACAACGGCTTCGAGATTGGGAAATGCTGTGATGAGCCGGTTGAGCGTCCTAGGTGAGATGGCTCGGTAAGTCTGCCTTCGGATGATCAGAGTCATGATTAGCTGCACCTCAGAAAGCATAGAGCGTGTCGTCTGCGGCAGCCATGAACTGCCCGTGACTCGTTTTCGCGCCTCCAGGCCAACTTGACCTCCCTCCGGGTTACCTAGGATGTGATTCTTCGCAAACATGAACAGTACTACTGTGGGTGGTCTCGCCTGGCCGCGCCTGCTCTGCTTCTCCCTCTCAGGGCTGTGCTGTTCCTGAGGCTCAATCGATAGCTTTCCTTCCAGAATGCAGGCTCCAGCCGCAGAGTCGCGCAAAAACCTCGCCCAACGAGGAATCATCATCGTGACCGACGGCGCTCGTTGAAACAGCCTCGTTCTTGCAGTGTGCCTAATTCGCCTTCCAGTCCAGGCAGCACCAGGCCCAAGAAAGGCCTCCCCCCAAAAGAAGAAACAAGAGAGAAAAAAAGGATTAAACCCCTGAACAAAAGGGGTCAGCCTTTAGAGAATATGTGCAAACCACGCCCCTAAATCCCCTCCTAGTTCACTTTACTACCATCACCACCTATAGAACGAAAATGCACCAACAGCACGACAATGGCAGGTAATCCGCAAATAAATTAATAGGTAGGTGCGCAACAGGTAGTTAGGGGGGTATTAATTACAAGATGGAGAGAGTCGCGGTAGATGTTCAAAGCCAAACAGAAAACTCCTTATCCAATGCGGTGCGATGCGATGCGCTCCCTCGTCAAATGGAAACCCAACCTCCCTCTCGTCCACCCCCATCCATCCATCCGACGACTGACTGACCCCAGGCAATCGTCTGTCTGTTTAACCTTTTCATGCGAATCCTTTGAGCAGAATCTGCCGACAAACTCGTACACGTACTTCTTTTATCTCATTTCTTATTTACGTGGAATAGGTTGACAGGGGCTTATGGTGTCTGGGTGCTCTTTCTCTTATCTCACTGGCGAGCTTCGGTACTATCCTGGTTGTCCGCCGCCTGCTCGCCGTCCGCGCCGCCATCTCCCAATAGCGGGGCGGCGTCTCTCCTAGGCCGCTTGACGCCAAACAGCCCGCCGAGGGTATGGCTTAAACTCCTGGCGCGCCCGCGGAACCCCCGTTTGGCCGCCTCCTCGCCGTCGGTCCAGCCGCCGTCCCCGTAAGAATCGGAGCGATTGGAAGCCCGGCGCTCGACGGCGCTGGTGCCCTCCAGGTCCTCATAATCGTAGTACTCGTCTTCGATCTCGTCCTGCGGCACGAACAGGCTGTTCCGTAGGCCCGGCCTGCTTCGCCGTGACCGGACTTTGCGCATCGTGGGGCTGCCGCCATCGTGCCCGAGGAGCTTATCGGCCACGACGGCGCTAAGTGTGGACGAGAACGGCGACGGTGAAATCATGGTACCACCGTAGTGATGTGAGTGCGGACGTAGGGACGGGTGCGCCAAGGGGCCCCGTGGTGTTACTGGGCGCTCTGATTGCGGGGTGGGACTGGTTCCACCGCCGCCTGTGGTAATAATGGCTGGTATTTGTAGCTGGTTCTGTGATGGTATACCTAGACTAGGCTGGTGTGCGAGCTCGCCGTCCGAAACAGGGGCAGTCAACACGGTTGTAACAGTGTCTGATGATGTTGCATGCAATCCGAGCTCGGGATGCTGCTGGTGCTGCCCTGGCGCAGCAGGCGGGTTGCATTTCCACGCGTTCTCGAGGAATGGGGCGGTTTCGCCATTCTCTCCGCCAAGCGGTTGTTTTGGAGTCGAGGTGCTTGAAAGGGGTGTCCTCAGCGTTGGGAAGCCCGAGCCCGACAGTGCCGGCAGATGCTTGTTTATAGCTGCCGCCTCCTTAAAGCTTACGCGTGACGCCCTGGACGACCGCCGAGACGTCTCGGACTCGCTATCTCGGCGAGACGAGTGGCGGGGTGCCTGGTGGGACGTTAGGCCCTGTTCGGCAAGACCAATAGTCTCTTCGATGCCTTCCTCGTCGGAGAGAGAGTCCTCTTCCTCATCGGGGCGGGGCCGGCCGCTGGTGATGAGAAAGACGCCGAAGAACGTGAGCAGACAGCCGCCGATAAACTTGACGGCCTGTTTGCGCGTTGTGCGCTCAAAGTCGCGGTAGAGCACAGCGCTGCCAATGATTACAAAGAGGGTAAAAAACACAAACTGAATGGGTATGACTTGAGTGGAATCGAAGCGCTGGAGCGCCTTGTTAATGTACTGGATCTGCATCCCAGCCGTAGCTATCAAAATGAGCAGGAGCACATAGGTCACGGGTGTCGCAAATGCGCCGAGAAGCATCGACGACAGCATCGAGGAGACGCCCTTGGTCGCAAGCGCCGTGTAGCTGCCTTTTCCAGTCAAGCCATGTTAGCACGGGAGCTGCAAGCGGTGGCTGAGGCACGGATGGACTCGGTGCTACATACCAAGGAGGCCGACGAGACCCAGGTCGATTAGGATGGTGCGGTTCCCGTACCTCGGGCTTAGCCACATTAAGAATACAATCATGGCAATGCTCACGCTCATGTAGACCTCGAACTCGAGCGTCGTGATGGCTTCCCACACCTCGTGGGGGCCTAGCTTTGTTTCCTGCTGGTTCGCGCTTAGGACGACGGTGACAGCGCCCATGACGGCGACGATGACGCCCCAAAAGTCTCGCGCACGGAACGCCTCCTTGAAGAAGAGCGGGGCGATGATGCAATTGGAGACTAGGGCGACGACTCCGAGCGGGCTGACGATGGAGGCCGGGGCGAAGCCGTAGGCCAGGAAGTTGCCCATCTCGCCGACTCCGATCAAGACCTGGCCGAGCCACCAATACGGCGACTTGAGGTACGTAGACGTGACCTCGGTCTTGCCATCGCCTTCCTCCTCGTCTGCCAAGTATCCGGCCCAGTGCGGATCGGCCGATTGAGGGGACGGGGTAAGGGGGTCTGTCTCGGAGGCATCGAACGAGTCGCCACGGTATTCGTCATGACAACTGTTACGATAATTGCGCTCGTTGTTGTCATCGCCTTCGTCGTCGCGCGGGTCGCGGGGACGGGGAGTTTTCGCAGCTAACAAACTGCTATTCGTCCTCGCAGCGCCGTAGCCAGAGGCAGCCGCAGCGGCGGTGGCCTGCGACTTTGCATTTTTCAGGGCCTGCCTGGCGCGCTCGCGGACCTGGGCGCGCTGGCGATGCAGGCGGATGTGGGCGTAGCGCTGGACATTAAGGGCGAGGGCAATCAGGACGTTGCCGCAGATGGCCGTGATGATGCCAATCAGGGACGACCAGTTCTGGAGTTCTTTGTCGCCGTGGCCACCATGGGAGGGTGTAAGTGCGATGGGTAGCCAGTCGGCCAAGTCGCGCATCAAGTGGTCGGAGGGCTGGAATGCTGATCCAGCCCCGGGAAAATGCATGTTGCCTCAACCCCCGTCTGTCTCGGTCGATAGCCGTCTCGCCCGTCGGGATGGCGGGTCATGGGCGGAGCAGCTGCACCTTTTGTAGCTGGGCAGGCGCGCTCAAGGGGGAGTTGTCGTCGTCGTCGTCGTCGTCGTCGTCGTCGTCTTCGGGGCTGTCGGGGATGTGCGACTTTGCTTTTGGGAATCAAAAGTTGGCAAATAAGGTTGGTGGTGGGCTGATGACGCCGGATGGAATGGCAGTGCCCGACGAGACCTTTTGGCTTTACAAAAGTGGAACGCTGGGCGAGGCGAGGCGAGGCGAGGCAAGGCAAAGCGCCGGCTCGGGACGGCGTGGTAGTTAGGTACCTATTTTATTCAAGGCCGCCATTCCTGGGCAGGTGTTTCGATGCCAAATGTTGGTTTCGTGCAATAGGTAAGGTGGCGGCGCCGGCCGGTGGTACAGTATGGACGGTACGGTGGCCGTGGGATTGGGATTGGGAACATCAGCGACGACTGTCATTGGCAGGGTTTGGCTGGCTGGCTTTAGTCACGACCCAAGGCCGCCGTCTTTTTCGGCGCGCGTCATGTCGGATATCTCCAAGGCCCATGCAGCAATCATCCACTATCCAAAATCCACAATCCAGACTAGTACCGGCCCATCCACCCGCTTGGCGGCCAAGCCTGCCCGGCCAGGAGCATTGGTCAATTCGGATTCCACTTCCACAGTCGCACTCGCAGAGAGTCCCGTCGAGTGTGACAAGAACGGGGAGAAAGGAAGGCCTTGAGGTAGGCTGCCTTGTTGGTTTGTTCTTTGAGAATTCGAATCAACGAAACTAATCCAAAGACATTCTAGAAGTTCCGGTTAATCCTTCTACCTAGTACAAAATTACCGCACATGACAGGACCGGGGTAGGTTACAGTACTTCGTACAGAGGGCGGCGGGTTGAGCGTAGGGAGTAGGCACAGCTTTTAGTCTTATTTTCAAGTCTTTCTTCCGTTTTGGCGGCCCTGCAGCATAGGTGGAAGAAAAAGTTAGGTTGTAGGAGAGAAAATTGGCCTCTGAGGATGCCCCGCGCAAGGCCAATATGTGTAGTTGAGGTTTAGATATTTTGTAAAATACCAAGTTATATGGTGGCTGAATATGTATGTCTACCCGAACATAACGCTCTTAGACCTTTTTCTTGGCCTTTGCCTGCGGGCGCCCTTAGTCATCACAAAAAGCGGGCCATTGCAATTAAGCTACCTCGTGGCCAACAAAAAAAAAGGACACCAAAAGCAGGATTTTGGTGACAGCCCCACCCACATCTTACATCACCATCAATCGCCCATTTTCCAAATGCTTCCAACGACAATAATTCCACCAAAACACAGCCCCAAACAGCCCAAATGAGTCGCCAGTTGCATTATTCAACGCCTAAGAAGGCGCGTATTCGTGGGACATGCGCTTTTCTCGATACACATCGCATATTGTACCACCACAACGATGTATTTCGCTTCCACGGCGCCAGCCGACGATCTGGCTGGCGGGCGCTTGCCGAACCCCCTGACGATGACTGGTCCTTCTACTCAACGTACGCTGAAACCCGCGGTCGGTAAAAGAAACTATCGCCAGAAGCCTTGGCTCAAATTGAGCGCTTTATCGAGAGCAATGGCTTTGACGGTCGCACTATTCCTTGGGCAGGCATTCCAGCGGCTGCCGGCCTCGATATCGACATAAGTGGTGAGACAGTACGCCGCGCGCTCAAGACCCTCGACTACCGCTTTTGTATCGCCTGCGAGAATACATATGCCTCGCCTCGGTTGAAAGAAAGAAGGCTTGACTTCGCCCGTACGATGCTGGAAAAATATCCCAAACCGAAAGACTGGTATAGGGTTCGCTTTTCTGATAAATGCCACTTTGGCTGGGACCCTCAAGGGAAGGTTCACGTACTGAGAAAGTAAGGGCACCGTTATTGCCCTGACTGCTTGGTTGAAAAGGACCAACCGGCTGAAAAGAACCTCAAACGGCTTCATTGTTGGGCAGCAGTTGGGCATAACTTCAAGTCAGAATTGACCTGGTATAACGTACCTGGGAATACGAATGGAAAGATGAGTATGAGGGTGTATAGAGACGATATCCTCGAGCCTACCGTCTTGCCCTGGTTACGTCAAGGCCAGGACTTCGTACTTGGGGAGGATAATGACTCTGGTCATAGTACAAGCAAGGATAATATCGTTAGGACTTGGAAGAAAGAAAATGGGCTCGAAAGCTACTTCAACTGTAGCGGTTCACCTGACTTTTCACCCATCGAGAAAGCCTGGCAGTCACCAAAGCAATACGTAAAGAAAAGACCTTGTTGGGACGACGAGATTGTTAGGGACTTGGCCGAGGAGGGTTGGGCGGCCCTCAAGCAGGAGACAATCAACAAATGGATTAACAATATCCCTCAAATCTTCAAGAAATGTATAGAGCTAGAAGGCGCTATAACAGGGCATTAAAATGAACTTAGTTTTATCAATTTTGGCATACATTTGGCTGTATTGTGGATGCTCAAAGTGGTGGTGGTCATGTTTTGGTGTGCCTTTTTTTTTGTTGGCCACGAACATAGGTGTAAAAAGTGGCTTGTGGTGTTCAAAGAGACTCTTAAACTTTGACGAGCCATGCCCTAACCATTTTAGGATTCCTAAAAGTCTTTCCTATAAAATCTCTCTACACAATTATCCCTCCAGTCATCCCATCCACCTTCCAAAATGGCTTCCACCTCGTCTCACCCCCTGAATATCATTGAGCTGTGGAAGCCCTGATGTTTCCGACTTCGAGCGCCGCAAGAGAGCCAGGTATCGCGATACTGAGCACTCATCCTCGGACTCCAGCGATGCCGGGGCCTTCCTCATCTCCAATGTCAAGTTTCGTGTTGGCGCCCCGCCCCCGCAACCCCTTCCGGTCTTCAACGGGTGGAGCACCGCCTGCACCTTGGTCCAGGAGGCTCTCGGCACCTCTCTACAAGGCCAGGCTGAGATCATTGCCAAAGCCGAAGGCGTTGAGCCTTTGAGTGTCGAGCTCGTTGGGCGTTTCGTTACGGAGTCTGACAGCTGCCGTCCTACCATTCTGATCGTGGCAAAGTGGAGCGAGGCGTCGCCCCCAATCTGGGAAAAGATTGTGAGAAACACGAAGAAATTCGTCGACTTGTCGACACGCGACGGAGACCTCGAAGACATAGTGATCAGTGTCGAAATGATCGCCGAGGAGCTCACTCTCACAAAGTACATCACGCCTGTTCTAGGGAGTGAGCTCACGACGACCTTATGCGAGGATTGGTAGCACATCGCGGACAAGGTCGTTGACATCCTCGATACCTACCCCGCGACAAAGTCAAGACTCACCAGTATTGCCTTGTTTAAATTGGGCTTCTCTGAGGACTTCGACAGAAACCCTCTCACGGTCTATATCTCGGTAGACTACGAATCCGAGGAGAGCAAATGGCCCCCTGTCGTGGGTGAAATCCAACAGCTTCTCAACGGCTATGGCCACAACCTCTACGTTCATATGGAACAAAACACCTCCGGCGAGTCTACGCGAAATTTCATTTGGTCGATCGACCCATGACTGATGAGCAGGAGAAGACCAATATTAACCTCGGATACAACCCCGATCGGCAGTACAATAAACTAGTGGGGCTTGGGGAGGATATCGGATCTGAGTGCTACATCAAACTTGGTCATTCTGGCGATATGTATCACTGCCCTAGTGTTGGGACCTTGGGAAGTTGGATCGAATTGAAAACTATAAAGGAACCCCAGTGGACGAAGTACGCGCTGACGAACTACCATGTCGTGCGCCCGGCCTTTGATGGCTTTTAGCTTGCCAAGAATGACAAGAACGAGCCGGTCCCCCTCGATCCGGTCAAAGACTCGGACCTCTGGAAGGTTGATCTCAAGGGGATGGGCCCGAATCTTGCCTCGGAGAAGGCGGAAGTTGAGCACCCGACACGCGCAAAGCATTGCTTCGCCGTCCAAGTCTTGACAGAGGAGATCGAGAAGAATCCCAATGACCCTGATACACCCAAATCCGCCGAGCACTTGAATAATATCAAGGGATTTTTCGATAACAATGAGCAACACCTCGGTAGCATCTACTGCGCATCGGGGTACACTCACAGAACAGCGAATGACGGGCGTCTGGACTGGGCCCTGATCAAGCCTACCGGCGCCGGTGTCGCTCGAATCGGGAAGAATCCCCTTCCTACCCGTGCAGACTGGCACAAGAAATGGTATATTACAAGCAAGCCAAGGGCCAGGGGAGTTCTCAAGCAGCCACCGAACCGCAGCCTTCGATCTATCCCGAATGGGGACCCGATCTTCAAGCTTGGCACTACCACGGGCGCCACAGGGGGCGTATTTTCATGGCTCAAGCCCAAAGTGAACTTCGCAGAGGACGCGCACGTCCAAGCCTATATGGATGCTCGGCATCGGCCATATCTTTCCAATGAGTTCCTGTACATCGGTTACCCGAACCCAGCCGAGCATTGGCTTGCCAAAAAGGGTGACTCGGGGTCCGTGGTATTTGACACCGACGGAAGAGCAGTTGGGCTGTTGTCTAGAGGACACATGGCTCAGCAGGCGGCGAGCTCGCCTCCATATATCACCCCCCCCCATCGAGGATGTCTTTGATGACATCAAAGCTTTCTCAAAGCAGCAAATCACGGACATTCGCATCGCGGAGGATTCCTTGGCAGAGGCATTTTGTTGCAGGAGCTGAATATGCACGCCAACACACATCGCTAACTACACTTAGACATAGGGCTGACGTTGAGAATTCATTGTACTAATGCAGCTGGTGAAGTTCAGGAAGGCTGCCCGAGCCGTTGACAGCCTTCGAACCGAATTGGGTTTGAAGCAGGCTCGTCTTGGTCTAGAGAGGCCGAGATAAACTGCGTGGCAGCTTCGGCTTGAGGAGTGTTTATACCCATTTTGCTCCATCTATAGGACCTAGATAAATATAGCATGATTAAGTGAGAAAAGTGTTTAGCTTCGTCTACTCAAGGGCCGACTTCTGGAGTTGTTGAGTGAGATAGGCTTCTACGGGACCGTATGCGAGGTAGAAAGTTCATCAGTCGGTTTTACGGCCCATTCATAATTGCTGCCCAATGTTTATTGTGATCTCTTCGGGAGGGGGGCAGCTATATTCGAGCTCTCTTGCTATATATCTGTTGAATTCCAGCCTAGTAATGCTTGATAAGAGATCATTTTGACGAACTGATATAGGGCGTGATCGTTCCATCCATATTCGTTTTATTTTCGTAAAGTTTCATTTGATGTTTTCCTTTGACTCCACATCTATCCGTCGGGTCGGGTATGTTGATGAGAGCGCAGGGAACGATCAGCTCAGTGGCTTGAGGCTCAGTAACGGCGGCGAGGTGAGGGCTACCGTTGGCAGTTTGGGGTTAGGGTTACACAAAGGCCCAAGCAGCGGGCACCTCGCTTTACCACATCAAACCTCGAACAACCAACAACAGCCATCAGAAAGCAAAAGACTAGAGAGCAGCAACCATCATGTCGCAGCCGTTGCCTAAAAACGGCATTACGCCAGGCCAGGGAGACGACGGGCTTGAGACAGAACTGGACATGTACCTGCTTTTGCAGTCTCTGGAAGGCTCAAGCTCAAACTCCAAGCCGGAAAGCAATCCAGCAGAGAACCCCGGCGTGCAAGTGCACCAAGAGATAGAGGGCGAGAAACCAGCCCAACAGCAAACCTAAGATAGTTCGCCATGATTGTTACACACAGCCCGTCACGTCTCACAGTACATGGGTGTTATTTTTATCCCCCCTCTCTTCCGTGCCACCACACCCACCACCCACGCGGCAAAGAGCGCCCACACCACCGCGACACTGGCCAGTCCGCCGGCCGCCACGCCCGTAAACTGCTCCGGGCGGCCCCACACGGCCGTCGACGCCCAGCGGCCAATCTCGGCCGCGCTCACAAACGCCATCTCGACGCCCGAGAACTCGACGCGGTGGGCTGCGTCGACCCGCGTCTGCGCGATCTGCTGCACCGCCAGGTTGTGCGTCCAGTGCCCGAGCCGGCTCAGCCCGAGGCACACGAAGAAGGCGACCGTCAGCGATGGCGCTGGGCTGTTGTTGTCTTGATCATTGGCAGAGGATGCTGATGTCGATGGCGACGAGGGAGAGGGCATCAGCGCCAGCGCCGCAAAGCAGGGCACCAGCAGCGCCAGCTGCAGCGTCACGCCCGCGAGCCCCAGCACCGCCATCGGGTCGCTCCAGCGGTGCCGTCGGTTGTGGTGCCGCGCGAGCAGCGACGCTGCCGCCGGAAACACCACAGTCGACCCGATCTCGACGGCCGAGATGGCCGTCCGCGCCGACGTGATGACCGACAGCGAGTACGCTCGCGTCAGCAGGTACGTCGTCATGGGCCCGGACAGCGAGAGCACCGAGAAGGACTGCAGCGCTGCCGAGAGGGAGGCTGTCGGCGGGAAAATGTTTAGTTTCTTGTGCAGTACCTAGTGAGACGATTGGAGAGAAGGAAGCGATGAAAAGGAGTCAGGTACCGAGACAGACGTCGCTGCTGAAATACAGCCGTAGACTGCCGATGCTGCTGCCCCTGCCAAGTCTCGTCCCCGACCCGCTAGCAGAGGAAGCTTGACGCCTCACGCCGCGACCGTCATCAGCTGCGAGCGCGCTATCCTCGCTTGCACCCAGCGTAAGCAGCAGCTCGCGAGCGTCGCCATCGCCACCCTCACCAGGAACGAGGGCGACCTTGGCCTCGCGCGCCTGCCTAAGCGCAACGCAGCGGTCCCAGGCGCCGCGGGCCGTGACGAGCTCGACCCCCACGGTGCCGAGGTTCATAGCCGCCGTGACCCCCGCCAGGTACAGCGCGCCCTTGTCGGTGCCGGCGCCGATAGCAATGGCCGACACGAAGACGGGCGCGAGGATCTTGGACACGAGATCGATGCGGCGCATGGTGGCGTTGAGTGTGTGCAGCGGCGGCGGGTTGCCGCTGCTCCCGCCGCCGCCTCCCCCTCCACCACTAACCGCGGACGCCATGGTCGGCACCCAGTCGCGCTCCATGACAAGGTTATTGGCGACGGCGCACACGCGCTCGACCATGCCGAGACCGACAAGGGCCGCGACGAGGACATCCTTGCCCGTCGAAAGAGGAGAAGACCAGGCCCCAGAGGAGAGAAACACGGCCGCCCATAGCGCGCAGCCGGCGACGATGGCTGCGCGCTGCACGACAATGGTGAGCCGCATGGTGCGGAAGCGCGCCGCATTGCGGTCGACGCAGCGCCCGATGCTCGGTGACAGCAGCAGCGCCGCGCCGTTGGTCAGCACGCCCCTGAATTTGCGCCCTAGTGTCAGCTAGCTTGTGAAACCATCTCGATAGGAATATAGACACAAATCCTCACCTAACCGACGTCGGCAGCAGCGTGTTCGGATACGCTTGCGCAAAGAGGAGGATCTAAAGCAAGAAAGCAACGTAGGAGCACGGCGTGGTCAGTTAGAGCTTGTTTCCTTCCATCCATCCATCCATCTTGCTTCCTTCCTTCCGTTCTCGCCGCCGCCGCCGCCGCAGCCGCAGCTATAGCCGCAGTAGGATTTATACCGCGCAGAAGCTAGAAAAGAATAGGTAGTTTAGTGTTTAAGAACAAAACATACATACCACGGTGAACTCGTAGCTGCGCATGTTCCACGTCGACAAAAAGTGCGACGCGTAGAGGCGCCAGAGCAGGCCGTGCCTGATGGCAGCAGCGTCTGCTTCAACATGCTGCTGCTGTAAGGCGGGGTGGTCAGCTAAGGGCAAGAATAGAGTGAAGTAGTTTGAAACTCGTGGGAACAGACACATGCACACAAAAGACTTACCTGGCTATTGCTGCTGCTGCTGAGCAGCGGCGACTCTTCGCTGGTGTCGGAAGTCATCTCATCTCATCTCACTTCACCTCGTCTCACTTCACGCCGTCCCAACCTCGGTTTTTCGCCTCAGCTCTGAACTTCTGGCGACAGGCAACTGAAAACCGGCATGAGATGAAATTGCTGCAACAACGAGCTAGGCAGGTACTATGTAGGTAGGCGCAAAACAGGCATAACAAGCAAAATCGGGGCGATAATAAGAATGCAGCGAGAAGTATCGACAGCCCACCGACAGCCTCCCCTGAATGCGCGAATCGGGTGGTTGCTTGCCAGCCAGCCACTCACGATTGCCGCTGGCTGCGTCTCAGGCAATGCATGGCCGCGCCACAGGCCGGCTTCTTCCCGATGCATCGGCTACGGCCCGCCATACACCCCCAAGAACGACGACGACATAACACCAGTACCTGAGGTGCAGTAAACCGACATGTCTCACCTCGCCGGCTTCCACAACAAAAAGCCCACCACCAACTCGGCTCACGATGAATTATGCCGGTTGAAAGGATGCAAACATTATTTCGTCCCAAAAATTATACCTCCATTACTGGCTAATAACACTCCATGGCAAGCCTAACGCTCAACCACTACTTCCCTCCTCGACTGACGGCCTTCTTCTTCCGAAGAGACCTTTTCCTCGCAATAATCTTGGTCCTTAGGGCCAGCTTGGTTTCGGCCTTGTTACCGGCCTTGCTCTCGACTGCGGCGCTGTTGTCTGGCTTGTCGCCCTTGGTCTTCTTCCACGGCTTCGCCTTGTTGCCAGCCGATGATGCTGCCGGCGTAGCGCCCGGTCTCCCGGCTCCGGCTCCGGCTGCGGAAGGCCCTGGCCCCGCTTTGAACTTCTCTTCGAGCTGCCGTCTTCTCTGCACAACGTTGGCATTCTCAATGGCAAACTCGACAACCAGCCTCTGCGTCTTCCCTGCCTCGTTCCTGACCGCGTGGCCGTTCAGATACCGCAGTCCCATCAGCGCCCAGCGATGAGACGAGTACTCGATGAAACCGTAGCCTCTGCTCTTGCCGGCGCCGGCGCCCTCGTCCACCTTTGAGCCCTGGGCCGTCTCGAACACAATCTTGGCTTGCGTCACGACGCCCTTGCCCTTGGCCTTCCGGCGGCGCTCTGCCTCCTTGTCAGGCAGGCCGCCTCTGCTGTTCTCCTCCTTGGAAATGGGCTCTCTGCGGCCCTCCTTGACGTCCTTGGCAAAGCTAACGACGGCCTCACGCGCCAAGGCCTTGAGGTCCTTTGAAGTGATGTTGTTCGGGATGTTGCGCAGGGCGAGACGGGTCAGACTCAGGTGCAGGGCTGGGTTGGTCTGGATCATCTTCTTTCGCTGCGCGGCGCTCGACCCCCGCATCTTGATCTCTGCCGCCGACAGCTTACTATAGAGCGGCGAGCCGCTGGAGATTGTGCCCTCAGCCAGCAGGAAGAGCCTTCTCTTGTCCTTCTCTTGGCGGTTGCGTGCTCCCGGGCCACTCTCCGCCAGCCGGGTTGCCTCCTCCTTGGCAACTGCTTGTGAAATTTGTAGGATACGGCCCTCCAGTGTGTACTTTCCTTCAGGGTCAATCGTTTCATCTTGCAGGAGAGAATGCTTGCCCGTGATCGGAGTGGGCTGATGGCGAGGTGCGCCTTTCATGCAGGCCTGCGAGTCTTCGGCATTGAAGAAACATACGAATCCGGTGCCAGCCGGACGGTCTGTCGTGCGGTCTTTTACCACTCTACCATACCTAACTGGGCCAAACTGCATAAAGTGGGCCTTGAGCGTCTCGTCAGTGGCAGAGTAGGGAAGATTACGAATGAATAGCGTCGTCGAGTTGTCTGCTGTCATTGGCCGTGCTGGCTTTTCGTCTTTTTCTGTGATGGAAGCACCGCCGTCATCCTCCATATCTGAGCCAATGTCCTCAAAATCGTCGTCGTTCTCTTCGTCCTGGTCCTCGTTGGAATCCTTGTCCGCATTGTCCTCGTCGTCGGTCTCCTCCTCGTCCTCGAGGTCGTCGCCATGGGTCTTGAAAAAGTTTGCCAGATCCCTATCTTCCTGGGTCATGTTCTCGTCTTCCTCCTCGTCGTCCTTGTCGCTCTTGTCATCTGCAGGCTCCTGAGACTTCTTGGACTTTGACTTCTTTTTGGCAGCACTGGGAGCTTCATCGGACTCTTCGCCGTCATTTTGCTTGTCCCAGGTCTCCTTATCCACGGCGTAGTCGACGGCTATGGTGCGGCCATCAACGACGGTGCCGTTGAGTTTTTCCAGAGCCTTCTCCGCGTTCTTGCGGCCACGGAGCGTGACGAAGCCAAAGCCAGAGAGCTTGCCCCTGTCATTAGGGAGATCTGAGAACTTGACTTTGCCATACGGCTTGAACAGGGCGGCCAATTGGTCTGACGTCTTGATGCTCCAGGGCAGATTTCGAAGGATGAGCTTGGGGGCCTTGCGAGCCTCGACGAGGGCCTCCTCGCGCATACGCTTCTCCTCGGCAATCTTGGACGTGCCGGCAGACATTGGCCTGCTGCCATCACGGTGTCTGGGCTGGGCAATATCAAGCCTCAGGCGGCGCCCGCCAAACAGCTGGTTGTTGAGTTTTTCCTTGGCCTCTATGGCATCGTCGGCGTCGGCAAACGAGACGAAGCCGTAGCCACGCGACACTTTGTTCGACGGGTCGAGCACCACTGTGGCATGCTTGACGGGGTAATGCTGCGAAAAGTATTCCGTGAGGCTCTCGCTGGTGGCCGAGTGGGGGAGGGAGCGAACGAAGAGTGACGTTTTGGACTCGAGGCGTGCCTTTTTGGTCCAGGGCTTGGGAGACTGCGACCGAGACTGGTCTGCCACTGCCGCGCCTGCCGCTGCTTCGTCCGACTCGCGCTGCCGCTTCTTGTCGCTCTTTGCCATTTTTGCAGTTCGGTGTGTTGGAGGTGAACGTCAATTCGTAGTAAGCAGCTGTTGCAGCTGCTTGCTCCAGACGCCGAGACAGCTGCTAGAACCAGGGAGACAGACAGGGATGGGATGGACGGGGAAAGAAAAGAATTTCGAGAACCGATAAGGTCAGCTTATCGCAACACAAATGTGGGGTCAGAGCAGCTGGCTGCACCTGCCGTGTCGACCCCTCCCCGAAGGCCATATTAGGAAATGCGCATGTAAACAAACAAGCCGTCGCATCCACTGGCACTGCCGACATCCAGGGTCGAGCCTTCCACCTTGGGGTTTGACTGACCAGCTAAGGTAACTACGAGTACCACACTCTCCCGATCGAGCGATTGACCGTCAACGACCGACGGCTTTCTTTCGCCCAAACTCGAAAAGCGAAAACGCCAATGTCGTCTTAATTCCTAGCGCGGACCAAAACACCAAAATATCTTTGCATAACAAGTCGCAGGGAACAAACACATACACACCCAGAAACCATGCCCGCGCGAACTTCGAGGTCGACGCGGACGTCGGCAGCGACTGTGTTGCACAAGCCGTCGCTCGCCAGCCTCAATCCGCGCGCGTCGACAGCGTCGCGCGCTTCGTCGGTTGCGCACCTGGACGTCCCCCAAGAGGCGCCCGACAATGCGCTGCGCACCCAGGTCGCGACCGTGTTCCGCGAGGCCCAGCGCACCACAGCCTCGCACCGCAAGCTCGCCGTCACGCTGCGCAAGACACAGGAGGCCTGCTGCTACGAGCCCACCGGCGCCAAGCAGTCGGCCGCTGCCGACTTCGACGAGGACGACTTCAACGCCGAGTTTATACGTTGCGTCCTGCGTGTCATGCCCGTCAAGAAGAGCGAGGGTGTCGGCGAGAAGACGATCCGCTTCATCGGCCTCTTCCTGCGCTACTCGGTCGACAAGGACAACGAGGTGCTGGGCGAAGCCGACGAGGATGCTAGTACCATGCCCGAGACGCCCGGCACCCGCCTGACCAACCGCCTGATCGAGACCGTCGTCCCCCTGCTCACCGCTAAGGACAAGTTCGTGCGCTACCGCTCCACCCAGCTCATTGCCCACATCATCAACTCGCTGGACGCCATCGACAACGACGTCTTCCAGAAGCTGCGCTCCGGCATGCTCAAGAGGATCCACGACAAGGAGGCCATGGTTCGTGCCCAGGCCGTGCTGGGGCTAGGACGCCTAGCCGGAAACGAGATCGAGGCCGAACCCGAGTCCGAGGAGAGCGACGGAGGCGATAACGCGTCTGGCCTCCTCCAGAAGCTCTTAGAAGTGATGCAGAACGACCCCAGCGCCGATGTCAGGAAGTCCCTTTTGGGTAATCTGCCGGTTCTGCCAAAGACGCTGCCGGTTCTGCTAGAACGCGCACGCGACCAGGATGCCCTGACGCGCCGGGCCGTCTACTCGCGTCTCCTGCCCGCCCTCGGCGACTTCCGCCATCTTTCGCTCACCATGAGGGAGAAGCTGCTGCGCTGGGGCTTGCGCGATCGGGACGAGAACGTGCGCAAGGCTGCCGGCCGACTCTTCCGCGAACGCTGGATCGAGGACTGCGCCGGCACCCCGCCCCCCACTGAGCTTGGCCAGCCTATTGAAGTGTCGCCACCCACTATCGAAGCGCTGCTGGAGCTCCTAGAGCGCATCGATGTTGTCAACTCTGGCGTCGAGAATGGGGTGGCCCTCGAAGCCATGAAGGGCTTCTGGGAGGGACGTCCAGATTACAGGGAGGCCATCACGTTTGACGACCACTTCTGGGAGACGCTGAGTGCCGAGTCTGTTTTTTGCGCGCGAACCTTCAACGATTTCTGCAGGAACAGCGAGAGCAATGGGAGGTACGAGTCGCTCATTGAGGAGAAGCTCCCCGAGGTCACCAAGGTGGCCTTCTATCTCGAACGGTACATCAAGGTCCTAATCGACGCCATTAAGGAGGCCGAGGAGAAATATCTCGAGGGTGACGAGGAGGAACAGGATGATGACACGGTCGAGCAGGAGTTTATTGTCGAGCAGCTACTGCAAATTGCCCTCACCCTCGACTACTCTGACGAAGTCGGGCGGCGTAAGATGTTTTCCCTTCTCCGTCAGACGCTGTCGATTCCCGAGCTACCAGACGAGGTGACCAAACTCACCGTGGGTGTGCTCCGGGACATTTGTGCTCCTGATGCCGCCGGCGAAAAGGAGTTCTGTAGCATCGTGCTCGAAGCTGTCGCCGACGTGCACGACACCATCCTCGACGAAGACCTCCCGTCCGAAGATGCTGATGAGAGTTTCCACTCGGCCAAGTCTGAGGTCAGCACCGACAGCACTCCCACCAAGCGCGGCAAGAGTAAGACTCCTGAGCTCTCGGAGGAGGAAGCTGCCAAGAAGGCCATCAGGGAGATCATGATCAACATGAAGTGTCTGCACATCGTGCAATGCATGCTCTCCAACGTTGCCGGCGACCTACAGCAAAACGACAGCCTCATCGGCATGCTAAACAACCTAGTTGTTCCGGCCGTCCGCAGCCACGAGGCCCCCGTGCGCGAGAGAGGCTTGGTCTGCCTAGGTCTCTGCTCCCTGCTCGACCGGTCCCTCGCCGAGGAAAATCTGTCGCTGTTCATGCACTTCTTTAGCAAGGGCCACACGGCGCTTCAGATCACCGCTCTCCACATTCTCACCGACATCCTCAATGTCCACGGCGCGCAGCTGCTCTCGTCGAACCCAGCCTTGCTCAAGGTCTACATCAAGGCGTTGCGGTCAGCCGCCAAGGCTCCCGAGGTGCAGGCGGCTGCCACCGTTGCTGTGTCCAAGCTACTCCTCGGGCGCGTCGTCACTGACCACGACGTGTTGGCCGAGCTGCTCAAGACGCTGCTGGTTGCCTACTTTGAGCCCGCCAGCTCTGGCAACCAGAGCGTCCGCCAGGCGCTCAACTACTTCCTGCCCGTGTTCTGCTACTCGCGCCCCGAGAACCAGGATCTGCTCCGCTGCGTCGCCCTTGACGCCCTGCACGCCCTTTACAACGTCCGCGAGGGCTTGGACGACGATGACGCCGACGTTGACGAGGAGATGGTCAGCCTCTCCACCATTGGCGCCTGCCTCGTCGACTGGACAGACCCGAGGAAGTGCTTCTCTGCGACCTCTGGCGGTGGCCTGTCGGTGGATGGCGAGAAGAAGAACGTCAATGGTGACGTCCATCTTGACTTTGCCAAGAACATCATCGAGCGGCTCGGTGGCAACGCAAGCAGTAAGTTTCAACCAAAACCCCGTCTTCAAAACCTTTGTATGGTAGACACGAAGAACCTTTGCTAACACGGCATCTCCCCTTTTTAGAAGAAGAAAAGAAGATCATCGCTGCCCTGCTCGGCAAGCTGTACATCTCGACGGCGTCCTCGGAGGACAAGATCCGCGACGTGTACGGCGACGTGTGCCACGCCGTCGACACGCAACTACTAGCCGACGCCACGAGCCGCAACGCCCTGTACAAGATCCACGTCTCGCTCGGTAAGATCGTCAACAACCTCGACGCCGCCCAGGAGCAGCAATTGCAGGTCGGTAACAACTTCCGCCGCAGCGTCAGCCGTAGCACCTCGCTCGGCGGCCTCGAAGACAACAACAAGACCGTCGTGCCAGACGACAAGACGGCCCTCCTCACGCAGGCCGACATCAAAGAAGAAGAAGAAGGCGACGAGGGGAGCACCGTCATGAACGACGCTACTGTCATCCACAAGCCTGAGGACGAGGACGAGGACCAAGAGATGGCCGATTCGCTGGTTGATGATCTCCTGACCGACGACAACGACGCGTGAGGCGGCGAGTGGATTGTGCGAGCGTGTTGCTAATTAATTGACTGGGCTTGGATGGGAGCTGGGGCCGGATGCGCGCTGGTGGGCGGGGATAACGAACGTGTCTTTTGTTTATGCCGCTTTTTTACTTTTCCCCCTCGAACATGGCATGGCTTTTTTGGTTTGTTTGTTTGTTCGTTTTGTTCTTGTTCTATGAGCCGTACGTATATGATATTTCCACAATACTATGATGATTTACAGTACAACGACAATTACAGCGTAAAGCCCTTGGGCTTAGTGACATAAACAGCACACAGCACACAAGGAACAGACTTTGATACCAGCAGTGCGTGCATGCAAAAAGAACCGCTTGTCTTCTATCCCAAGTAATATCGTCCCGGAAATGCCAACCCTTTTTCTACCAACACTTATCACGTCCAACCGTTTATTGATTATCACTCGCTTATAAAGAGCCGAGACCAAACAGCAGCCCGCCCACGCCAACATTAACCAACAGGTGCTGCCCCACGCTCCAGGCTATGCAATACAGGTACTTGGGCGAGAAGACGGTCCATATGAACAGATGGGTGCGCAGCACCGTGCAGGCGGCCATGACGGCGGCGACGCTGCAGGTGGCGAAGACGGTCAGCAGGGCGACGTGACCTGAGAACAAGTCGCGGCCTCGCGGCAGCGCTGTTCCTACTGCTTCACCAGAACCGGTGCCAGTGGTGGTGCCTCTGCGCTTCCTCTGGCAGAGCAGGAGCAGCGTGGTGGCCGAGGTCCAGAAGATGGGTCCGGCCCAGTTGCTGACAAAGGTCAGGGAGCCGACGGCGGCGGCGTCGTAGTCGGCGACGCCGTTGTACGCGTTGGAGAGGTCGACGGACGAAATGGCGTTGGAGCCGCCAAAGGTGAAGAAGGCCATGTGCTGCAGCAGCAGCGACGACGTGCTAAGCTCGATGGGCCTCAGGTCTAGGGAGCCGAGGAACTCGTGCTGGGCGGCGAGCGTGAGAAACAGCGGTATATTTGTGAGCCGCGACTGCGTCATGGCGAGCAGGACGTAGAGGTAATGGATCGTTTCGATGGCTAGCATAGAACTGTTAGCATTTGTTAGATCTGAGACTTCTTGGGAGGTTCATTTACTTGGGTGTTTCACAGAGAGTCGCCTCCTTGAAACAATGAAGCAAAGTGCGCAGGCAGTCGCAAGCCCAAGGCCAAGGAAGACGGTTCGAGCGCGGGATATCAATGACTGCCCTTGGGCAGGGTTGAAGTCCATGAATATCTTGGCGAGACCGGTGACGAGTTCGGGAGCGTCTTCTTGCGTGAATGCCACCTTGAATGTCAGGGCTGCCAGGACAAGCGCAGAAGCGCATGCGATCCCAAGTGGTGCGGGCAGGCCATCTAATCTCTGGCTTAACTGCCGATATATCCAGAAATATGTTGCACCGACGAGCAGCCAGAGTCCAGTTGGGTCCCTGGTAACCAAGTACTTTGCCGTGTCTGGCTCGCCTGCGAATTTCTGGCCTGTCTGGTTCCATGACCTGAGCTGCCGTGTGCATACTAAAGCTAGGAGGGCTAGTAGCTCACGGGGCACCCGCGAGTTGCAATGGTTTTTTCTACCACAAAGCGTCAGTTCGAGGCCATGGGCACAGTAACGAAAGGGAACGCACCCTCGGGCCCTCTTCAAGGCAAGAAACCCGAGCCAGGCACTCGTCGCCCAGTACCAGAAATGGTGTTCCTCCTCGACATAGCTGCTGGCGAACATCATTATCCCGTATGCGATGGTGATGGCTCCCAATGGAATAAACGAAGCTGCTTTTTCTGGAATACACAGGCCTACAGCGGTTAATGCGCACACCACAGCAACGGCAGCAATGACTTGTCCCAACACGAGTCTAGAAACGTCGTAATTGCTGGCCATTCCGCTCATAATACTTTGAGCCCTGCTGAGCCACTGGACACCAGTTAGTTGCCAACGATCAAAGCAATACAGAATAGTTCACTCGCCTTGGACATGGAATATACCCATTCCGGGTTGATCTGGTCAGCAGCCTCTATTGACTTGACCATCAGAGACACTTGCTGCCATTCACACGCAAGCTCTTGGTAATCGGTCTCGGGTGCGGTACAAGCCTCTGATGTTGGGTTCAGATCAAAGACTTCTCGCCCAAACGTCGCATTTATAATGTCCAGGATCTGGTAGGCGTTCCGCATCAAGAGCTGGGCCTGGTCGTTTACTGGGCCACGTCAGCAGAGCACTCCAGGCAGCGGTCTAGCCAGCACTTACCGTTGGGCCAAAACGAAAGGAAGTCGGGGATCAGCGCCCCTAGATTATTTTTCGGGACGGGAAAGCCTAGCAAAGCGGCCAAGGTCGGTGCAAGGTCTGACTGCTCGACAGCTGTGTAGTACTGAAAGCTTTCATGCTCCGGCAGAGGGGACTGCAAGCCGGTCTTGTGGGCTCTGAGCTTTGGCGACATGAAAACCAATGCTGGTGATGTCTCACCCGAGGACGAGCCGCCATGGTTGCCGGCATCGTTCATGCCATGGTCACCACAGACAACAAAAAGGGTCGACTGAAGATGGTTCTGGGACTCGATAGCACTGAAGATCTGCTCGACAATGCCGTCCATCTCTGCTTGCTTCCCGATCATGTGAGAGCTTTAGTGAAGTTAGCATGGCCGCCAATTTGGTTCCAGAGAATGTTGCATACCTTCTCGGACCGCCCTTGTGTCCAATGTGGTCGAGCCCCAGGTAATGAAGGACCATTGTGTTCCAGTCATCCCTAGCAAGCTCGTCTGAAATGTGCCTGGTGACATTGTTGTCAACCTCGGTAAAATCCTGGGTGCTATGTCAGATAGAGTGCCCCAGACTAGTGGTTCGTTGCTGTGCCTACCGAGACAAAGAAGCTCGTCGTCCCCTCGGATCGATCAAAGATTCCAGGGAAGAGCTTCAACCATGTGTCGTCGCCATACATGACGAGCTTCCCGGCGCCCTTGGCCTTCATCTGGGCCAGCCACGAGTCTTGCGACGCCAGACTGGACGAGCCGTCGCCCTCGTCTAGGTTGAGGACGACGTCGAGGAACGAGGGAATCGACCCCGTCGTTATGGCCTTGAGCCGAGGCATGGTGACGGTCGGAGACGTCGCATGAGCCGTGAAGGGCATAGCCCCGCCATTGCGGATCAGCCTGTGCGCCCCAGTCAGCAAGCGCCTTGAGCACGCCGGTACGAGCAAGGGCGTGTTCCTTACTTACTCCTGCGTGTACTGGAATCCGCTATTCTCGGCATAGACAAAGTCACTATAGGACAACACACAGCAGTTAGCTCCAAGACGCCACGACAGAGTTCCAGAAGGCCGCACCTGCGCAACGCGTCGACTACCATAAAGACCAGCGCGTCAAAGGGCGGCGCTGGAGGGTCGCCATATTCAGGCAGCGGGCCGTACCCGGCGAGACCCGAAAAAAGGGGCTTGTACGGGAAGAAGCCGGTGGCAAACACGAATATGGCAACGGGGATCAGCGCATTGGCCGCGACGAGCAGCAGTGTCGAGGTCAGGGTCCCATGGCGACGCGGCGTCATCTCCGAGCCGAGAAGGGGTCGGCGATGCTCGGGAGCTTGGAATGGCCGGGGCCTTCGAAGTTGTTCAAACTTTGCGTGTCTGTGAGAGCGTCTATGGGCTTCAATCGCGTCTGCAGGCCATATTTGGGCGTCGTGTCGTCCTGCCCAGCCCAAGATCGTTCGGACCGAAATACCAAGACCTCAGAGACAAGCCAATTGGGTTGTCGGTTCCAGTTGTTTCTTGGATTTACCGACCAAGTCAGAGGCTATGCCCGCTGAGGATACGGATACAGAATACGGAGAACCTACGGATACCACTAAAGTGAGCCTGCCTGCCCTGGTAAACGAAACGGCTAGATTGCCCAGCCTTGCATCAGTGCCCGCAGCTGCTGATTGGGTGCTTGGCTGTCGGGCAAACCACACCACCCTGTCCCTTGCGCTAACTTAAAAAGACCCCGCCCACCATATCTTTTCGCTGGCGACAGCCTTGTTCAGGGTGGGTTCCATTCCCTTCATGTGTTTGCAAAAGCCGTTCACTCTGATACAGACATGATCACGTCACCAACGCGCTTGAGATTGTTAATGGTGGGAAAAAAGGAACACGTAGTGTTAAGGTATCTCTCATTTCTTCTTCTTCAGGCTCTTGAGGCTCTTGCGGTCGCCAAACTTAGAGAATACAATCTTAGACTTCCTCCGCTTCTCAATTCTCTTCTTTCCATCTGCTAGCTTCTTGCCAGTTGCCTTTGCGCTCGAGTCGACCTCCATGGCTAATGCAGATGGTCAGCGAGACGGATTCCGCGTATTTCACGGTTAGCAACTTACCGGTCTCCTTGACTTCTTCAACTGGCTCTGCAAAATTCATCAGTACAGGTTCACATATGCCTGGTACCACCAGTAAGGGGCGCTATGGGCCAGCAGGAAACTCACCCTCAACCGCGGCCTCCTCCATTTCGACCTCTCGTATCGGCTTTGGCTGGGCGGCGAGCTCTAGGAGTTTTGCAGAGAGGCGGTTTGTGCGCGCTGTCTCAACCGGCCCAAAGACATCCTTCTTGAGCCTCTGGTTGTTCGTCTTGAGCGAACTCGATCGCGCGCTCTTCGCCATGTTTGCTACTGTGATGCGAGATCTGCTGCCTGGGTAATCGGCAGTTCAAAGATGGCGATTGGTTTCGTGTTGCAGGTCGGTGAGGCAGAAGGGTGTCAAGATCCAGTAGTTGTGAAAAGGTTGGCGGGTGTGAATGAAAGGTGAGCGATGTATCAAACTGACTTTTTCAGCCTAGACTCGAAAAGTCCACAAGTACTAAAGACCTGGGTGCGGGGCTGGGTTGCACGCTCAAAGCCGCCTGGTGTGGTGCTGGCCCACCAAGCTGCGCGCTACCGGCTTATCACTTGTACTTGGCTTCTCCACTAGATGCCGTCGTTTGGGGGGGGCTCATTTACTGCCCTCTCTTTCCGCCTCTGCGGCGACGACAGCCTGAGCTCCTGCTTCTCATAAACGACGGGACTGTGGGCGCAGAGAGGACACAACAGGCTTCTTCGAGGCTTGCACGGGAGAAAGTCTGTGCATTAATCGCCGTCTTTCTCTCCCGCAGCTTCAGCAAGCTGCAAGCACAGCTATCTGCCGCACTCCGACGACATACGAAGCCGAAATATTATTTCGGTCTCAGCCTCGGACCAGGACCTGCCCACCTACCACCTACCTGCCTTACCTACCTTACCTTGCATTTCTGTGACTGCTTGCCGCCTGCCGGCCCAGGCTGCCTCATCGCAGCCTCGTCACGGATTACAGCACCTTCGGGCCGGTTGCGGCAGCCCTACCTGCCCAACGCGCCACTCAGCGCGCACCGACCCGACCCGAACCCCCCCTCCACGCACCACCCCGGCCTCCGCTTCTTTCCAGCCGCAGCCGCTCCTCCTACCAAAGGTAGGTAGGCACCTAGATAGGAGACTTGTCAGAGACCACGAGGTGCTTGGCGTGGTAGCTACAGAAGATGGCCGGTACCGGTCCCACAAAGGAAGAGATCCAACGCCTGATACGCGCTGTCCAGATCCCTTCCCTCCAGAAAGCCGCCCTGCAGTCGATCTGCTCCGTGAATGGTTTGGCGAAGACCGGAAACAAGAGCGACCTCCAGAAGCGCATTATCAACTGTGGGCAACTCTCCAACCCCCCTCCGCCCTTCCGTTCTCTCTCTCTTTGGACGGTAGTTTGCGAACTCGCGCAGCTCTTCTCGCCACGTTCCCGTGCTAATGCCCCTCGATCAACAGTGATAAACACCTGCGCCGGAGACGTTCAGCGGTTCCATGAGGTCCGCGAAAGTCTTTACAGCCAGTCGCGCCTCTTGGTACCCCAGCTGACGTCCCCGATGCCGCCCCAAAAGACGCCGTTCTTTCCGACACCCTCCGCCCTCCCAGCTTCTCCTCACTACCCTCTCTCGGCGTACAACACGGCCCTGGGGAATGGCCTTGGGCCTTCCCCTCCGCAGCCGCGTTCTCAGGCTCCCGCCTCCCGTCCGCCGAACCAATTTTCAAGTAAGTTGAGCCCTCTCTAGCCCGCCGCAACCCGGCCCCGCCTGTACTGATGCTGACCTTCAAAGCTTTCCAATACAAGCCAAGTCCATTCTACGATGTGTTATCTAGAATTGGGGACATCAAGACGTGTGAGGGTGCGTATTAGGCAGTCGCCTATTCCCTAGCCTGCTTAGCTTTGCGGTATTATTCTACCTTTTGCTGCCTGTTACTGACTAGCTCGGCAGTGATGTCTCAGCATCGGAATACGACGACCATAACGATGAAGCCGCAGGACCACCCCTATGCGGTTCAGCAGCTCACCGCAAACCCCACAATGCGGGCCATGTTATTCTGCAGCGCCGGCAACACGGGCATTCAAGACATCACTTTCCCTCACCAGTCGGAACTCAAAGTTAATGGAGGCGATATCAAGGCAAATCTGCGAGGCCTGAAGAACAAGCCCGGGTCTACGAGACCGGTTGACATCACGGACTCGCTACGCCTAAAACCCGCTTCGTATATCAATAACATCGAGTTCACGTACGCCCTGACGAACAAGGTAGGCGCCGGTTCGAGAAAAGAGTGGCCCTGTTCGACCATAAAAGTCTCATTGGATACTCGGTGCGATGTGCCATGGTGTAGGGAACGAGCAAACGGCTAATATATGTGTTCTAGAAATTTTACCTTGTCGTCTTTCTCTGCAGGGCGAAACCTGTTGAGCACCTTGTTGGCAAGATCACGCTAAAGATTCGAAAAGAATCAGTCGTCACAGAGAGTAAGAGAGCCTTTCCATTTAAACAACTAGTTCTGTGCTGACCAGTCAAAAGTTGCCAAGAAGGCGAGCGATCCGGATGTTGTGGCTACGGCGCAAAACCTGAGTCTCAAGTGTCCCCTCTCGTACATGAGACTCAAACTTCCATGCCGCGCTCTCAGCTGCAGTCACATCCAGTGCTTTGATGCGACATCATACCTGCAGTTACAAGAACAGGGGCCGCAGTGGATATGTCCCATCTGCAACAATTCGGCCCCATTTGACCAATTGGCAGTTGACGAGTACGTCCAGCCTTTTCCTTGTTCAGGTCCTTTCGGCTGACGTGGTTTAGATATGTTCGTGAGATCCTAGTCAAGACTCCTGAAACAGTGGAGCAAGTCACCATAGAACCAGACGGGAAATGGTCAGTTCCAGGCGCAAAGAATGAGACAGCGTCGGCAGCGAATGAGGCGAGCCTCCTTGACGACGACGATTTGACTGTGTCGGAGATATTTGGGGGGCCAAATCGCACGAGCACAGCAACGCCAAACCGAGGTGCAGCCCCCGCCTCAGCTCTTGGGACACCTACAAACGGTGTTTCCAGTACGCCGTCAATATCCAGATCGGGAAGCAAGCGCCCAGCTCCCGAGGTTATTGATTTGACCCTATCTGATGACGATGAGCCGCCAGCGCGCCCAGTGAAGCGTCCCAACTATGGACACAGTGTCTTTGGGGACCGGTACTAGTCTGGTCTGGCCGCGGCGCGCTCACGTCGTTGGGGTTTCCGAGTTATGTTGTGGAGTATTATAATGTGTTTGTACATCAAGTGCCCTCGCGCTCTATATTTATCTCGCAAGGTGGAATTGTCATGGCTAGGCGTTGGAGCGGCGGATAGCCCTTTTGCAGTATAGGAGAGCGATCGGGGCTGGAATTATAAGAATAGGCCAAGGCCTCGCAGGCCGGGGGAGGAGCTGCGGTTCCCTCTTGAAGAGGACCGGCTGGGTTCAACAGGTCATCCTGTGCCGGCGTATCCATCCCGCAGTAATTTCACCTAGACTGGATAGCAACGAATTGCGTGGCCGTTCAAGTCTGTTCTCGATTCGCAACGCAGCCCAGTGGGCAGCCGGTCTTGTTTCCGACAGGACCTTGGATGCATACCCATATTGCTTACTGGCATTAATTAATTCTGCACTACTATCCAGACTTGGTTTGTTTGTTGGTTTCTTAGGGTGGTATGGGTCATATCTAGCTGATGACTTCAGCTATATGGGTGGGTTGAAAGACGCTTTTCAACCTGTAATTAAACGGGTTGTTAGAAAGACTTGACAACTGGAATCTTTGTCAATGCTTCTTATTTCACAATTATGCGTTGCCACCTACTTAATTTGTGAAGACAGAAACGTTCGAGTCTATATGCTGTGTCGCTCTAGCAAGGAACAATTAAACTAGAGCTGGGTAGGGTATTCCGTGGGGGGGGGGATCATTCAACGTCAACCGTCCCTAATTCGGCGCATTGTCCGATTGTCCGGGTGCCTTGCTGCAATGCATGTTAGACCACAAATAAACGCTGACCTAGCTCCCAAGCAGCCTAGAAGCCTGCGACAAACAACAACACGCTACAAAGATATTTCCCCTCGACGCAGGAGCAGCAGCAAACGAGAAACCCCGTCTCTCGCCATCCGAATGAATGCCAATGCTTAGCCCAAGCTCGAGAAAGCCGCCGCACCACCTGCTTCTTCCCAACGGCTCGCCGCCCTGTCACATCGCCGGGCTAAGCAACGCAACCAAACCGCCATAATAACCAAAAAGAACGACGTGGAGAAATTGAAGGGGGAAAAAGAATACACACCTACTAGTTTCTACTACTCTGATCGTCTAAAGTGACGACGGGACCCGCCGCAGCAACGCAACGCAACAATGTCTTTCGAATCCGTCATGCCGCCGTACAACGCCTCGGACCCCAGCGCCAACTTCCTCAGCGCCTCGTGCCTCGACTTCCTCCTCATCGAGATCGTGCCTCTGGCCTACCGCGTCACCAACCAGCTCGAGTTCGCTGCGCTAGAGGACGCCGCCGCCGCCAGCAACTCGGCGAACCCGTCTGCGGTTGCTGCTGCTGGGGCGACAACAACGGTTGCGACGACGTCTGCGGCCGGAGGAACAGCGGCCGGCAGCAGGAGGGCCATGGACGAGGAGGAAGAGCGAGAGGCCGTGTTCTACAGGCTAGACACTATCGGGTACCGCGTCGGCCAGGGGCTGGTGGAGCGGTAGGCTGCCCGCTTTCTCTTCTCTTCTCTTTTTCGTTGCTTTCCTTCTCCCTTGCCTTGGTCACTCCCCACAAAGAGGACAGCTTTTGGCCGTTGCTTTGGGCAATGCTATAGGCGCAGACGCGGCCAGCAAGCTCTGGCTCGAGCTGCTGGAAGCTGTGTCCTCGTAGCGTGCAACCCGGGCATAACAACAGGGCGGGCGTGAGGCTGGTCTCGGGTCATCCGCTGCTGCTGTTGTTGCTGTTGATGTACAGTGTCACGAGCTGTCAGACCTGCAAACTGCCCAAGAGAAGAACGCGTGCTAAGATTTGTAGTTTCTCGCGAGACCGGCCACGGTTCAACGACACGCTGGACGTCATCAAGTTCCTGTGCAAAGACCTGTGGACGCTGGTGTTCAGGAAACAGGTCGACAATCTGAAGACGAATCACCGGGTACGCCCCCAATTCACTCATCTCTTCTTCGCGTTCCGTTTTCTAACAAGCATTATTACAGGGCGTCTATGTCTTGACAGACAACAACTTCCGCCCGTTTGCGCGCATGAGCGCAGAGGCCGGCGGCCAGGCGGTGGTGCGCGCGCAACCTGTAAGCAACGCCTATTCAATCACCTCTATTTTTTCCCTTCTCTCCAAGTGATTTCCTTTTCTGACCAGAGAGAAAAAAACGAGGATGATTCAACCTGACTAACAACACCAAAAAAAAAGTTCCTCTGGTTCCCCTGCGGAATCGTCCGCGGCGCGCTCGCAGCCATGGGCATCAACGCCACGGTGCAGGCCGAGTCGAGCGAGCTGCCCGCTGCCGTGTTCCAGATCAAGACCATCTCCACCAACAAGTCATGATAGCCAGCTTTCGGGTGTTTTAACGATGGCCCGTGGCGGTAATCGATAATTATTCACTTCCACACCTATCTCTACATACCGCTCTCGTCTTGCCAGGAAATATCCTGGATAGTCAAGAACTCCCTGTCCCAAAAGAGAGGAGGGAGAGCGGTTCTGTTGTCGATTACAGTTTACAGCTGTATGGCATCGTCATGGGTGCCTGGACCATGAGAGGCAGAGACATTTATACAAGTTGTGACAGGTCGCTCGCAGCAAGCAGCAAGCAGACAAAGAGCAACCCGAAAACTACTCACCCCCTTGTCTACCTACTCTCGACAGAATAAAGCAAAGCAAAAAAAGAAAAAGCCATTTTCTTTTTGCATCTAGAGACTTTTTTTCTGTCATTTTTACAGCACAGCACAGCATAAGAGAGGGACACTTAACTGTTGGGCGGGCGCATGGCGTTGGGCAGGGTGCGAATGGATGGGTTCGATGGGCGATGTATATACTGTTATTCTGTGTGTTTGTGTGTTTTTCTGTTTGCTTGTGTTGCGCCTGGATCAAGGTCTAGGTCTAGGTCTAGGTATTGTCGGTCTATAAAAACCCCCGACATCATTTTCATAAAATAAAGGATGCTACTTTATCAATGCGTGCGCCTTATCCCGTCGATGCCATGCAGAAAAGAAAGAACATAAAAAAAAACAAAGAGGAGGGCTAATGGTCTATTCTATTCAGACGTGTTATAACAGTCTCTCGCTTCCTCTCTATTACGAGCTCCTCCTTCTCCTTTCCTCCAAAACCAAATACCTTAGATTCTTAGGTAATTACATAACAACTCGGTACCGAGCCGCATCCCGGGTAAAATGGTGCCGAAGGTTCCTGGATTCCAGCTCTTCTAGTGACCGTAAAACCGAGTTTTCCGAAGAAATCGAAATATGGCGTGAGCAGGGCGAATTGGGGTCCGAAATCTTTGAAGGGGGATAGAAGGCTAACATCATCCTAGAAGGAATTACGCCATCTTACAGCCTAGGAATGGAAACAACAATCAGCCATCTGGTTACTGCCAAGCTTTCTATATTGCTCTATTGTTGGTTACGACATGTCCGGCTGCCCTCAAGCCACCAAATCATTTTTGGAACACAATAGCCTGACGCGGGGAAAAATACTTGGCCAAAAGAAAAGGAGCTGGATTCACTTTTGAGGGGGGTTGTGGGCAAAGGCGACACCCTTCTCGATATTGCCCTTCAAGCCTTCGACCGCAACATTGAGCAGCTCCTTCTCCTTGTCAGTGATGTCGCCAAGGATGTCAATGGCACGCTCGGCACCGCCGGGCTGCGTGACAGTTAGCACAAAACAACAACAATAAAACAGGAGGCAGGTTGCCACTTACCCCAAGCTCGATCGGAACCGAGAAGAAGTCGATACCAGTCTTCTCGCGGATCTCCTTGCCGCCCGGAATGCCGGGGAGGTAGACGTAGCTGGGCTCGACAAGCCCCTTGGCGCCCTTGAGAGCCTTGAGAAGCTTCTCGGCAAATCTGTAGCCGGCATAGGCCATCGAGAGGGTGGCGGATCCGAGACCGTCCTTGGCCTTGACAACCTCGTCACCGCCGAACTGAACACGGTTGACCAGAGCATCGTACTTGTCATCAGGGATGGTCACCTTGGGGGTGACCTGGCTGAACAGAGGGACAATCGTCTCTCCAGAGTGTCCTCCGATAACGGGGACAGTCAGCTCCTGAGGAGTGGACTTGCCAGCGACCTCGGCCACGAAGGTCTCAGCGCGGACAATGTCGAGGGTGGTGACACCGAAGAGGCGCTGGGCGTTGAAGACGCCCTTAGCCTTAAGAACCTCGGCCGAGATGGGGACCGTCGAGTTGACGGGGTTGGAGATGACGAGGATAAACGCCTTGGGCGCGACCTCAGCAGCCACCTCGATGAGTCCCTTGACGATTCCAGCGTTGATGTTGAAGAGGTCGTCGCGGGTCATGCCAGGCTTGCCTTGACACGCACTGTCAGTACTTGCGAATAGGACAACGCAGCTCGCATTGATACGTACGGGGAATGCCAGCCGGAATAACGATGATGTCGGCATCCTTGAAGGCGGCCTTGGCACCCTCGTTGGCCGGAAGGTAACCAGTGGTTTTCTGTTGCTCGCCTGTCAGCTGAAGCCGTCGTCGTCGCGGAATTGCGCGCCCGGGAAGGTGCTTCTTGTTTTACTCACCGCAACCGACGAGATGTGGGAGAGATCGGCGGCGACGCCGGGAGTGTTGACTACATCGTACAGGGCGAGCTCGTCAACGAGCGGGGAGAGCTTCAAGAGCAAGGACAACGGCTGTGGAATATGTGTGAGCGATCCAACATAATACCCGGACACTCGGCAGCGCGGAGTTCAAACCTGTCCAATTCCGCCCGAGGCGCCGGCGACAACTGTCGACCAAGTCAGCTTGTGTCGTCAATTCGCGCAAAGAACGGGGGCTTTTTTCTTGCTGCCTGCTTACCAGCTTTGACCATTTTGATGATGGGATATCGTGGAAGCGGGCGTAAAGCGGGGTGGAGGGGTAAACTGAGGTGGAGGGGAGTTCGGAGTCAGCGTCTTGTGCTTTGGAGCGCCTAATTGCCTTGGGAACAGCAGAGCAGTCAATTAAAAGTAAAATGGTTTGACCTACCGTGGGAGATGGTGCGGCGAGAGAAACCGACAGCCGAGGTGATGCAATTGCTGAGATGCTTGTGCAAGTCTTGTTAGTGTAGCCGAGCAGTGCTACTCCGTACTGGTCGCAGTGCCGGGAGGAGCTCGGAGTGGCGCCTTTAAGTACTGGCGGGGTCGTGAATTGCCAGTCAGGGCAGGAGCTCTCTGTCCTGCGTTACTAGGGCCGCCGCCCGCCTCCTACCTGCTGAGTGCCGCATTACCTGTCTTCTCCCGAAGAGGGGGTCTCGATCCCTTGCCGCGTGATGGCGTGCTGGATTCTTACTCGCTGACGTAGAGGGAAGGCTCTCAGTATGTACTGAGTGTCTATTTGAGCGGTTTCATTCTAGTGCCAGAAAACAGACAGAAAAGCTTTTCCAATGAATGCTTCGCCGGAAAGGTAGGGGCTGTTTCCGTACGCACATGTTGCTTCCGAGGTCCGGCTCATGTCATGGATTCGTACGGAGTACCTAATCGGGCAACATCGGGAATTCGCAGGGTCAAGCCAAGAGACCCGCAGCGTCACTAACTCACCCGCTTCAAAAACAGCATGCTGGAAACATTTACCGACGTTTGTCCATTGAACGAGGGAATCGGCTGCGTACAGCTGATGCTTGGCATTGGACTCGATGCCACAGACTGACTGGAGTGGCTCGTGGAGCCACACTGCCACTCTAGCTAGTTGCAATTAAGGACACGCGCTGAATTATGTGTTGTTTAGATATCAAACGCCGTAGCCATCCCCGAATGCAAGAACTGGCTACCCGCCTTGTCCCATTGCTCCCGTCCATCTAAGTCATGCGCCTCTTTTGAGGCTTCCCAACTCAGTACAACGAGACACGTCCTACCCCATAACGAAACCGTCGTCCACTTTAGTTCTCAGCAGCAGCCTTCTTGGCAGCGTTGCCCCTCTGCTTCTTCTCGGGCGAGGCCTTGACAGGTCTCTGGGACTTGCGGATGGCGCTGGCACGGGCAACGGCGGTCTGGCGGAGGTCTGCGCGGTAACCTGACTTGGCGGTCTGAGTCGCAATGTTCTTGTAAGTCCTGATCCAATTCGTCAGTATTTCCCGCCCATTCGCTGAGGGTAGGGTGCGTCTACTGACTTTCTGGCAGACTTGTTGCCACCATAGGTGACGGTGTAGCGGCCCGTCAAGGGCTTGTTACCGGCACCGGCCTTCTTGGTGATGACCTGAACGCCGCCCTTCTCATTGGGGACGACCCCGACAGCCTATTCCCATCGTTGTTAGGCGCAAGTTCCATTAGGGGCATTGAAATAGTCGACATCGCGCGCGGCGTACCTTCTCGTTGACGAAACCAGCATGCTAATTCCCGTGTCAGTTATTTGCTATAAAACTTGAATATCTCGGGGCGTACCTTGCGCGAGTGGACGTTAGCCAAGTTGTAGGGGTCGCGGGAGAACCGGAGACCACCAGTGGTCTTCCTCTTCACGAGGAAGGCATTCTGGCTGCCTTCGAGATATTGATGTTAGGGCTGGCAATTTTTTTGGCATTGCTGGAACAAATAGAACTTACGGGTCACCTCCCAGATGAGGTCTGCGGAAACGTTAGGGAACGACATTGTGGCGGTATATGTGCTTCGGGAGAACTAGAAGCAAAAAGTGAGGCGATGAGAGTCGAGCCGTCTACAAGTGTTCGTCTGGGTCTCGAATTTCGGATTCAACGCCTTGGATTTTTGGCGCGCAAAATGAATGTGGGCTCGCCTAAAATCCTCTTTCCGGACTAGCCTTCCCAAGGTCTTGGCGGGCCAAACTGGCTAAAATCCAGGAAATGACCCAGATCCAGACGGGTACAGAGCGTTGTGGCCCGTGCACCCCCTACCGCCACAGCCTCCTGGCTGACGAGTCCGACCCCGATTAGCAACAGCAGGCGTCACTGGCCTCTCCTGGTTGCGTGAAACGTCTACTAAAGCAGCCCAGCAGGACCGTCTATGAAGTTGCTCGCCCAGCTGTGTAGTATGTGCCAAAGTCCATCAGCGAAATAACTGCTGCATCTTCTTTTTTTCCCTTTCGCTTGTCCGCTTGATAGCTCGGCTTGCCACTTTCCTCTCGTCCATCGGGCCCGCCCCAGCCGGCCATCCGAGGCCTCCCGAGGTCTCCGCGGCCACGAAGATCGCGACCGTCGCTCCGACCGAAATACTCCCGTGACGACGAGGAGCCGCCACTATCCAGCCCGGCTACCCCCAGACCTTCCCGGCCTTGATTTTGCCGACTAGGGGCATCTTCTCGCCTGCAGCGCGAACACGCAACCGAGCATCGTTTAAAAGCGGTCCCTCCCGCAGGCGCGACACCAGAAGCAGCCAGGAAAAATGGCGTACATCATCTACTCTCTCACCTTCATCACCATCGTCTTCGGCACGCTCCTGTACCTTACACGGGTGCGGTGGTTGCTAAGAATGCAGGAGGCCTTGGCGCGGATCGACCTACCGGGGCGCGAATACCTGTACTCGCAGTTGCCAACAATAGGAGGCGGCTCGTCGGCATCGCGCGGCGGCGACTCGTTCTCGGGCGACATGGAGGCCGGGCTGTCGTCGAGCACGTTCGACCTGAGCGGCAACGTGGCGGACGGCGACGGGCGCGCGGGGCTCGACGACGCGGCCAAGCGCGAGATCCTGACCATCATGAAGAAGCGGCGCCTGCGCTTCGACGAGGCCCGCCGCGTCTACATGGAGCAGCGCTTCAAGGCCAACGGCATCGGCGCCGATGGCCGGCCCAAGGACCCCAAGTTTGTCAGCTTCTCGTGACGAGGGGACACGGCACCAACGAAAAGAAAACAGAAAGAGAAAAAAAAATGTTCCAAAACAGGCTTGTTCTTGAGGGAGCCGGAGGCTGGAGGACTGGAGATGGCACACAAGACTGGTTTCTCTATTTTTCTTCGAACTGGAGACATTTCTTTTTTCCCCCCCACTTGTGTTCCAAATCCTCTTCACGATCGGGGCTTCACGATGAGGGGTGGTTTCTTTCCGACCTGCAGAAGCACCAACTGCACGGCTTTCCGGGTCGTTAATCCTGTATGTACGGCATGGCCTTAGCATTTCCTTTGTTTGCACATATCCGATGGGGTTGGACTTGCGGTCCTGCACGGCGTTTGGGGCGTTTATATTTTTCGGAAGCGTCAGATCAAGGGGTCTCTTGGAGACTGACCTGGGGCTATTTGTTTCTCACTCACTCACTTTATTATTCTCTCTACCTCATTGTTTTTTTTGGACTACTTTTTGCTAGTGAGCCAGAGTCACCAAATCAGTTCAGGCTGAGCTGTTCGTCTAAACAAGTATCACAGAAGAAACTGAAAATCACACCAGTATAGCTCGGTAGTAAATCGGGCAGTTTTGTACAGATAAAATGAGTTAGACGATAGTTTCTAGTATTAAAAGTATATAATGCCCGGGTTCTGGGTTTTTGCTGCGAGACCACCGCTAGCCAAAACCACCAACGGGCACACTGCGTATCCAGTGTCCAACAAAAGAAAGAAAAAGAAAGTAAAAAAATTCCAACGCCCCCTGCCTTCTCGAGACAGGATGAAGTATATACGATTAAAATGCAGCTATGAACGTGTCGACCAACGATCCTCTCCCTGTCGCCAACCATCCTCCATTATCTCGTGGTGCTCGTCATTCGGCCGGCTGGCTAGCTAGCCACCCATGGCGAAAGTCCGCGGGGGCGGCATGAAGAACCGGCAAACGCCGTTTTTGTGGGACCGACTCTCGTCTCTACTGCGACTTCTTGTCCTCTGGTAGGTAGACGCGGTCGTCCTCGCCCTCGACGTCCTTGACTAGCTCCTCCATAATGGTAACCTGCTTCTCCCACATCTTCTTGCTCATCTTCTTCTCCTTCTTGAACATGTCCTGGTCGGGCTCGCGGTAGCTGCCGCCGAGGCGGTCCCACAGCGTCGTGTACTGGCCGTAGTTGTAGTTGAAGGCGAAGTGGTGGACGCTGTGGCAGGCGGCGCCGTTGATGATAGGGTTGTTGCTGACGTACTCGCCGTCGTGGATCATGATGGTCCAGAAGTTGATGAAGACGAACAGGCCGACGTACGCCAGCTTCTGCAGCGGGAAGATGAAGGGGAACACGTGGTACGGGATGCTCTGCGCGAAGCCGTCGACGGGGTGGAAGGCATAGCTGGCGTAGGGCGTCGGCATGATCCACTTGTGGTGCGGCTTGTGCAGGTACTTGTACACGGACGAGTGGTGCAGGCTCCGGTGGATCCAGTAGACGCCGCAGTCCGTGAACAGCAGGAAGAGCGGGAATTGGAACCAGTCGTACCACGAGCCGGGACCGTCGGCCGACCGGTCGTAGAGCTTGCTGTAGCCCTGGCACTCGAGTACGATGAGCGGGAACGTAAGCAGCGCCATGCCCGGCAGCGCCCAGTTGGCCTGAGCAATCTCCATTGAGACCTGGTTCTTGAGGAACTTGGGGTGGTCCATCCCTTTCTTGTCAAAGACGAATATGTAGGAGAGAGTAGAGAAGCCGAAGTAAGTAACGAGGCCAAAGAGCCTATTGTTTTCGAGTCAGTCAAAATTCCCGCCGCGCCCCCGCCACGCATGCCTCACGGCATGGCGAGTATAACAGAAGACTCGGAATTGGGGCGTACGTACCATAGTATGAGAAACAGTGAAAAGGACTGGCGGATGATGTTGTCTCTGTTCAAGGAGCTCGAATAGGCGGCTTGTGATGGCTCAAAGGTGAAAAAGGTTGTCGCAGGCTTGTGCTGCCATGTTGACAGAGCCGAGGCGGTGCCGTTGGCGAGCGCGCCTTGGTCAAAGTCGTACAGGGCGGGCTTCACCGGCAGTGCCCAGGCGTAGAGATAGTCGAACAGGAACGTGTCCGTCACCTCGAGGATAACATCCATCTTGGAAGGATAGACGGGCGAAAAACTGTCAAGAGAATTGAAGGGCCGGATGCGAAAAAGGCGTGCAGTTGACAATGGCCTTTCCAGGCGCGACGATCTGACTTGACAGCACTAGGTGGCGGTCAAAGTTCTCTCAGGTTGCGCAACGGTGGAAAGAGGCAGCCGAAGATTTTGCCGCGACTGGTGGGCAGGCGGGCGGGCAGTCGCCAGTTAATAATTCAGACTCGGTTCCGTATTCGCAATTTCCAGATGGCCCCCTCCCGGCTCTGAATCGCCCGGCAAACTAGGGGTCCAGGGGATGTGCTACTAGCTGGGCAGTGAAGCGTCAACAAATGGGACTATCCAATTGCCGCAAAATCCTGGGGCTACAAAGAAAGGCAATGCAGCAGCAGAAGCAGTGGAGCATCAACGACAGCTCCGAGTGGTGTCTCATGAGGATTGATTCCTCTGCTGCAACCCGACCCTCCCTTTAAGTAAGGCATGCTCAGTCCCTATCTTAGACCGCCAACGTGCCTCCTATTCCCCGCCAGTTTGCAAATTTGCCAGTTCAGACGAAAATCCCGTCCCTAGACGCGCCAGTTCCTGACTAAACAGCTGTCGCACGCACGTTCGGGTTCAGAAATCGTGCAACAAAATTCTAAAATTCGAGGTGGATCTCCCAATCGAGCTTCTTGATTCGCCGTGCTCGCGTTCCTGTTTCTCGGAGGCACAGCGATGCCGATGCACGGAATGGCGTGGTTATCCACTTGTGGCGAGGTTCCATGTGCCTCGAATCCCCGCCGGACTTATCGAATCCCCGCCAGGCACCTTCCGATCGCCCCACTCACATGACGAGGCAATCCGAATACGAACACCTCAGGTTTGGGCAGTTTTAACAGATGAATTACCATATTTAAATACCAAGAAAACTCTAAACAGATGTGCTTGAAACTCTATTTCTTTTTACTGGTCGAACGCCAAGGGAGCCGGCGGGTTTAGCTGCAGAGCCGCTACCTACAGATCCTTTCATCCCATCCCGGCATGTCCGGGACTCGGAGTATCGTCCGGTGCCCTGAAGCCATTTATACATCATGGTCCCACGCCACGACGTGGTCGTTGTTCCACTTCCTGATGGCCTCAAAGTTCCTGCACATGTGGTTGATCTGGAAGTCGGGCCACTCGCCTTCGATGCCTTCGTCCGCCAGCTCGGGGAACGTCTTGAATGTGAAGACGCTCACGTCGCTCTGACACATGAGGTTTTCTCGAATCGCCTCGATGCAGTGATCTACGGGGGGTGACAAATGTTAGCAACTTACGTTTAACGGCGATTGGCAATCTTCATCCATCGCTATACGTACCGACGTGACCGAAGAGGTCCTCCGGGCCATCCGCGTTCCCGACATCTCCGCCTAACTCCTTCTGGCCGTAATAATCGCTGTATATCGCCTGCCTTAGGAGGTTGAGGCAGTGCAGCTGATGGAAAACCTCAACGCCAGCTCTATAGCCCCATTTGCCTGTCCTGGGGTCTTGGATCTTGAGCGAGTCTGGTGACAATCCCAGCTTGAGTCTCTCCTCCTCTGTGATCATAATGTCGCCAACTTATATCTATGTCAGCGGCTGTTGTTCATTTCGGCTCAGATCGTGAGAATGATGCTTACTGTCATTGGCGATGACGTTCCACGCGTCGTCCACAGCAGGACCGTAGCCCGCATATGGCGAGCCTTTCGGGATAGGCGCGAGAGTAAACTTGTTCAGCTCATACTTGACGGCAGGGAACAGCGGAGCTGTTGAAAGAGTTAGCCCAAGAACTTGAGGACGAGACCAAGAGCGAGAAAAGCCTACAGTATGTGGAAATGTGGTCTAGGAGGTGTGTTGACGGATTCGCTGATTTTACGCAAAACGAGAGTGTGAATAGAGTCACTGAGGCGGACAAGAGCAAGGCATGAACAAGCCATATCCAGTGCGATTGCAACGGTCTTGCTGGCCCAGAACCTGTCTTCCTGCTCCCTGACAGCCAGGGTGTCTTCTCTGTTGAGCCATTGACGCTCTCTTCCTCGTCAAGAGGCACAGAATGGTAGTCGTTTGGCATTGTAAAGGACCGGAAGCTTGGATGAGAAGATAGAAAATAAAAATATTACAAGGCAATCTTCACCAGTGAAGACGCGAAGAATAGCACACCAGGTACCTGCCCGTAGATGCAACAAGGAGAGGAAACTGGGTGAAAGAGAGTGGGCGAAAAGAAACTGGGCCAAGGGATCAGCAACAGGCTCAACGGTAGATGCCCAGCGGGGGATCTGGTCGATGGACTCACTCAATGGAACTCTAGGTGCGATAGGACAAGCCCGATCAGCATAGGATCGAGAGCAAATGAAAATCAAGAGCAGAGCAGAGCACGAGAAAAAGGGAATGTCTAGGCGAAATGAACGCCCTGGTTCATTCTCGAAACCGTCTATGTGGGAACAGGAGACATCAGACAAAATCTAACGGTACCTTGGGTCGGGCGGGCTACCACTACGAGCCAAGGGTGACAGGGCTGCCCTGGCTGGCTCGCGTGTTTGAGTCTTGGCCTAGCAACGTCAAGATGCGGCGGCATGGAATAGGAGGGCAATGCATTGGTTCTCGTCCCAATCGAGGGGAGCACTGTGCTGCACAACACGCGCTGCACGGCACTGCAGGGCACGGGCACGATGCTGCATTGCAATCACTGCGCTGCAGCCGGACAAGAACAACATGGGGTTTGTATTGCGTAATTCTATGTTCGACGACGGGAGCATACCAATAGAGAAGGGTCTGTTGGTTTCCTTACCAGGCTTCAATGCTCAAAGCGAGCAGACGCTTACGGGGGTAAAGCGGTCCACAGGTGAAACTCGAAAAGCTGGGGAAGGAAACTTTTGACGCCTTCGCCAAGCCTCAAACATGTTTCAGCCATCAAAGCGAGCGGTGCACAGAGTCAGGGGATCAAGGATTGGTTTCATCGCCCTGGCTTGACTAGAAGCTGGAACTATGGTGCGTCTCAGATAAGATAAGAGATGAATGCTGCCTTGACCTCGACTAAGTGGTATTTTCCGAGGCGCAACAACAGGGGAGCTGTGCAAGCATAGGTAGCCCGATTAACATTACGTTGGGAGAAAAAAACCGCAAACGGCAATTCTAGAGCCGCCAAGGGGTCTGGAAGGTTTTAGCCAGCCTGGCCGTCACATAATGTGCCATTCATTCCGGCCTCTGAACTGAGCTGTCTGGAGCTGCCAAGGTAGTCCTGATGGGGTTTGTTCTTATTTTCTAACCGGCTTGAATCTTGGCGGTACAGTAATCGTGATCGAACGGCCCTGTTTCATTGTCCGATCTCACTCGACTTCTAAAGAACATGAATTATAAGACGAGGTCGGATGGCCAAAAATGAGGCACTGGAAGCGAGGACCACGGCCACAGCTACCCAGATGGTCGTCTAGATGTGGTAGGTAGGTCGTATTTAGTTCCGCGGATACAAAGACTAGGGCACCCGGTAGGCCATACCTACCTGTAACTTCGCTTCAGTACACTACGCTAGGTAGTTTCTCATCGGTAGCTCTTTGTAGTTTCGCATCAGATGCTCGTCTTAGCTAGGTACGAACATATCCTAGAGGCTCTATAGTCTACCCTCTTCTCTGGTGGATAACGGGAGGAGTCATTCATGGTTGGGCTAGTCGCCACAAGACACTATACTTCGTATCCCAGTAAAACGGGGCATATAGGCAGGTCTTTGTATGTATGAACGAGATAAGTGAAAGGTCGTGTATTTGAAATACGAACTGCAGTCTCGACAGACGTATTGCGCAACGAAAATATGCGTCGTTACTGGTCCAAATACATGCAGCGTCCATTTTAGTTTTGTGTCACCGTAGGTCCCTGGTTTCGCAGAGCGGCTGGGAACACTCCGGGGGGGGGGGAATTCCCGCCAAGCCAGCCCGTAGGTCCACCAACAAACAAGCTCTTGCCAAGCTGAGGCGGCCAACAATTGCGGGCAAGTGCAGACGAGCGACGATTGCTTTCAGCTGCCATTTCTCCTATAGCGGCATCCATTTCTAGCAACATGCATCCATCCCATCCATTCCATCCCATCCCATCCCATCCATCGCTTGCCATTCATGCCGCACAGGCTCGCCCAAAGCTAAGGTACTACGGTACTTTAAACGAAGCCATGCCCCAGACTACGCTCAAACACAGCGTTACCAAAATAAGAACGGAGAATCCCAAAACTTCATCCTCGGTTAGGAGATCGTACTCGGTCAGTCTATGCCTCAGGACTTGCGACGACGGCATTCCCGTGTCGATCGAGTTCGGCCAGCCAACAGCTAGCAACAAAACGCGAGAAGACTCGACGGATCTCTAGTAATTCAGCCGAGAGCCCGGATCGTTGCGAGAATCTCGTCGATGACCGGTGATTCTAGCTGAGGATGGGAGAGAAGAAAGGAAAGCAACTGTAGCCGCGCCAAGCACTCACCCCGATCTTGATCTGGGGGAATGTCCATCTTGTGCCGTGTATGCCGGGGTTTGTTCAGGCACAGACAGACACCTGGCACACACCACACGCCCCCCGGGCGGTTGACGGCGAGATGACGCTAACTGGCCCAGCCAGAAACTGTTCGTGGCTCGCTCTCAGTCCTGCTGGCCCTCCCCCGGGTCCACCTGCCTTGGGCCTCGATCTGATCGCCAGGATTCCGTCAGCCTGACCCTGTAACACTTTGCCAAGACACGGTGTGGCCACACGCCTCAAAGCTTGGTCAAAGACTCAGGGTAGGCAATGAGAAGCGCCGACAATGGGTAATCACGGTGAATGCTTAGCTGGCTGGCATACTAGTCCAGGTCCGGGGTAGTGCCCGGCGGGCTTCGTCTGGGCATCCCTCCCAGACTCCACACTAGTCTATTCTGTCCATTCCTTGTCTATCCTAAGTCGAGCCCTCGTGTGCCAGTGCTATCCCATCCCCGCTCAAACACTAGCCCGCAATGAGACCCAGCCGTCTGTCTGCAGTTCGTCTGCAGTCCGGCATCGTGAGACGCGCCTCACCACCTGGATGTGCTCCACAGCTTTGTCGATCAGGTTTCGCCGGCTTGGTATGTTCACCGTAACCGTCGACCGATTGGTGGCTCGCGGATATCGGCAACAAGTGTTGCTGATGAAGGGGGCTCCTGTGAGCGAGCCAGGACTCAGGAGAGGCACGTTCGTGCTCCGTCACCCATCGACCACTCCTGAACCTAGCGTCATGGCTTCCTGAGGTAGGGAGCGCCTTCGAAGCCAAGTCTATAAAGTAACTAGGTCTCCGTCAGGCCATGAGGTATTGGGTCTTGGTGTCTATCCGCCTTCACTTCCTTGGCATTTTGCAGGTCATTCTTTCTTCGCTTCTATCTCCACTCTTTATTTACGTTTCTCCGCTGCCGGCCAGCACGTTTTATTCAAGATGCACGCCCCTACCTTTGGACAGTTCCTTGTTGGAGTCATTGCCGCGTCTTCGGCCGTCGCCTTCCAGGTGTCGACCCTGACCCGAGCTGTGAGTTCTCTCCTGACGTGTCCCTCTTGTAGACCTTTCAAAGCTAACAGTTGACTAGGGCTCCGCTCTTGCCATCCTTGGCCCGGCTGTGGCCGTGGCTCTGCCCTTTGTTGGTGATGTTCCAGCAATCGAGGCTAGACATCACAAGGGCCAGAAGCCCAAGGGCAACAACAACAACAACAACAAGGGAGCCCGCGATGTTGAGGCCAGGCACCACAAGGGCCAAAAGCCCAAGGGTAACAACAACAACAACAACAACAAGGGAGCTCGCGATGTTGAGGCCCGACACCACAAGGGCCAGAAGCCCAAGGCCAATAATAACAACGACAAGGGAGCCCGCGATGTTGAGATTGAGGCCAGACACCACAAAGGCCAGAAGCCTAAGGGCAACAACAACAACAAGGGAGCCCGCGATGCCGAAATTGAAGCTCGTGACGTCGAGATCGAGGCCAGGCATCACAAGGGTCAGAAGCCCAAGGGCAATAACAACAAGGGAGCTCGTGATGTCTCCGATGATGAGCACCACTTTGATGATGTCGAGGGGCGTGACGTTAGCGATGTTGAGGCTCGCGATGTCGAGATCGAGGCCAGGCACCACAAGGGCCAGAAGCCTAAGGGCAACAACAACAACAACAAAGGTGCTCGCGATATTGAGGTTGAGGCTCGTGACGTCGAGATCGAGGCCAGGCACCACAAGGGCCAGAAGCCCAAGGCCAACAACAATAACAACAAGGGAGCTCGCGACATTGAGATTGAGGCCAGACATCACAAGGGCCAGAAGCCCAAGGCCAACAATAACAACAACAAGGGAGCTCGAGATGTCTCCGATGACGAGCACCACTTCGATGATGTTGAGGAGCGTGACACCAGTGACGTTGAGGTTCGCGATGTCGAGATCGAGGCCCGGCACCACAAGGGACAGAAGCCCAAGACCAACAACAATAATAACAACAAAGGAGCTCGCGATGTCTCCGATGACGAGCACCACTTTGATGATGTCGAGGAGCGTGATGTCAGTGACGTCGAGGCTCGTGACGTGGAGCTTGAGGCTAGACACCACAAGGGCCAGAAGCCTAAGAAGGGCAACGGCAACTAAGCGTTGCAGTACTATATATAGTTAGGCGGCAGTCTATCGGCTTGCTTCCTGTTATTCTTTGTACTCCTTGTTGCTGCGTTGTAAAACTAGGTAGTTTACTAGTCCCCCTCGCCTCGCCTCGTCTCGTCTTCGCATGTCTCACCCTACACATGCCGGGCCGGTGAAGGGATCGGGCTGGACGCTATGGCAATCCGGACTGAGCTTGACTTTTAACTAAGTCTTATTTTTTATACTATATTATCTTTGGCTGGAACATTTCTCGGGTTTCTCAGGTGTTTAGGCGATGGCTTCTGTTTCTTTTTCTTTTGTTGCCCCATGGAAAACTCTGAACTGTACATATGCCTCGGGTGCTGAAAAAAAATTAGAGTCCTTTTTCCCACCTCGCTCGTAACCTGAAGGTGAGTTGGTACTTGGTTTTGGGTGTCGTTGGTCGTTGGTCGTTGTTTCGTGTCATCATCTGCTTGGCGTTTCCTTGGTTTGCGTGGGGATCGACGTCCGGGGGGCTGGTCCTCCGGGGGGGTGTTCCGTATGTATATGTATTCATAACTTGGCTTATTTAATTACCTACTTCGGATATCCAGCCATGCTCTAAGTTTTCTTGACGACGCAGTGATTATTATCGGCATTGATTATCGGCTGGGGTGGGATTAGGTACGGCGTACGGCGTACACCATTGCAGGCTGCCCTCGTTTTGATCCTCGAAATATTTATCAGAGCATTGTAAATACCTTCCATATAAGCCTCGTCTCATACCCTTGAAGTCGATCGCAAAAGAAGTTAGAAGTTACAGACAGGGAATCTTACAGGGTTTTGTAAGTAGGGCATGTAAACTATTTACCGTGGAGTGGTGTCAGTCCACCGATTTTACGGCTTGGCGCCCATGAATAATAAATAAATGACAGCCCCAGGTGAGTGTTTCATGAAACCTTTTTTCGTGGCACGATGCTTTTTAAACAGTCGCACAATTCTTATATATAGTAGAACTAGCACTAGTAGTAAACCAAATGCGCACTAGGCACGCAGGGATGCCACGTGTATTACGTGGTAGAGGAGGGTTCGGCGGAGACACCCATTCAGTTTGTCCTTTAATGCCAACCTGTCTAGGTTTTGGCCTTGATAAATTGTGGATTCTGTAATTCTTTACAGACAACTGGTTGCCCGCAGCACATGCAAGGCGAGGAGATATGCACGGAAAACCTAGCACGCAAAGTAAGATGCCTCTCGCGGTGAGAGACTCGGAGTCACCCCCGCAACTAACGGGCGGGATTTTATGATGTATCGAGAGAATAGAAGAAACCTGGTTACGCCAAGACTGCGGGAAAATGGTCCCGAGTTGGTCGAGTGGTGGGAGAGGTGATGTTCCAGCCCGGGGGACGACTCGTCCAAAACATCTTCCCAAGTCGAGCCTGATTGGCACCGTCTGCCTGTCTGTCTCACCGACCAAACAACCAACTAACCTGTCGCGCTGAACACACACACACACACACACACACACACCGCATGCATGCAATGAGACGCACGCATATGCGGACAGTACTGGATATGTACAGCGTCGCGGCGGCTTAGGGCCACAAGCTCGTTAATGCGGTTCCCCGACAGCCTAGGTACGCAAGGGAGGCAAGCACTGGTGTCAGGTCAGTCTAGCCCAGGTGCCTGCCGATTGCTGCTGCTGCGGCTGATGACAAGCACGGGCTTGGAGGCTGTTTGAACGTAAGGCTGCTGGGGGGCGGGGGCTGGCGATTTTTAATCTTTTTCACCTCTCGTGCAGTCGCCATCAGCCGAACCTCGAGTGGGGACAAGGTTGTGTTGCGTGTGGCAGGGGAAACAAGGCGAGCAGGGAGTGCGAAAAGGGAAAAGGCGCTAGCCGGGCTTAGGTCCTAAGTAAGGCATGGTATGGGACTGCCACTGCTGCACATGCAACTTGTTGACCTCCGGGGAGAAGAGCTGCAGGCTGCTGCATGTACATAGTAGGCAACTAGGCAGGCAAGCATAAAAGCCCTTTCCGGCCCGCCCCCAAAACTATGCTCGCCTAGTACCGTGCCTAGGCGGACCAGTTAGAGCCCGGTTGAGAAGCGGCGAGAGGATAGAAAGCACGGGCAGGCATGCCAAAACGGGAACTGATGTTATTAGCTACTATAGTACTGGTTGGCCCCCCACCACCCACTCACCCACTCGCCCACCCCCCTCCCACCCGCCTCGGGTGCGGTGCGTGGAGAGCTGGGCTACAGAGGCGTTGTTGGGGAACGTCTGAATGGATGAGGCGACAAGACGGGATGGTTAGTGCGATGTGTCCTGCACCTTGATGGAGGATGGGGTGCTAAGGTGCCGCCGGGTGACGTGACAGGCCTGCCGAGGATGGATACCAGACATGCCGGCCAAGTTTGCCTTGTAGACAGACAGACAACCTTCACGGGCCGGATAATTGATCTGTTTGGACAGACATAGCCGTGCTGAGGTGTTAATAAGCCCGGGCCCGAAACGCAGAAGTGCATTTTGTCATGTTGCCCTCAATTCCTCCGTATCTCGTGCCGCCCCTGCGCAGTGCGGGCAGTGCGCCCTTCGAGCCGCACGGTTTCAAGTTCACCTTTCGGGAGCAATAGACTTCGGAAACCCAACGACTAAGCACAAGCAAGAATGCTAAAGGTAAGGGATACATACGCCTAATGTGGTCGAGGCTACGAAGCCCTCGGATCAGCACAGGCGTCGCAACAAATCCATAGGTACCTAGTAGGCCGAGCAACCTGTCGGAATTGATTATATTCAATTATATACCCGTAACCCAGGGGCCGTGACTCGTAACCACACCACATTGAAGTCACGTACGAGGGCGTCACCTTTGGACGAAATGACATAAGATAAAGTCAAGGGGAAAGAAAGAAATAATAAGTGCGGCGAAGCCAGAAGGACATAAGGTAACCAATCGAAGTATCCGTCGGTGGACCTTGGCTATTGCGCGGTGGTGGCTCGAAGGCAGAGGAGAAGGGGGCAAAAGAGGAGGGCCTTTTGGGAAACAAAACATTTAACGGTCAACTGTGTGGGGTGCATTTATCTGGCGTGGGCCTGCAGCGCGTGAAGCTCGGCACTCCCGCGTTCTCCACCACCCTGATCCCTCCTTTCCAGAACGGAAAGCTCAGACTGCCTGCCTGCGCACCGACTCGGGGACCCGCAGCGGCCTATTCTCCTTCGCAGACCCACTTAGCTTGCTTCCCTCTAGCGCCGCATATGACTCTGGTCCTGGTCCCTGCCACATCCCAAGTGGCTCCTGCCGCAACGCACAAGTACCTTTTTTTCTCGGTGGATGATTGTCCTGGGTAGCGGTAGTTTGACTAGTAGCAGATTACCTTTCCCCAAAGATACAGCCGCCCCCTCCGCTCCCTCTTCGCTCTTCTTCCTCCCGTCACGACAACAACTCTTTTGACCCCGTTACCGTTGTTTCGTCCCCTCCCCCCATCCATCTTAAAACATCGACTCGCAGTGCAGCTCTCATCGGGGGCCTCGCCATCGAGCGCTGTGCATCCAGTACCGGCCGAGACGTGCACATTTTCGCATCACCATTGTTGCGCGCGCGCGTCTAGCTGATAGTTTCGGATTGAGGCTGCCCTGCCCTCGTGTTTAAAAATTTCCCACACCCGCGCCCACGCCCACGCCCACGCCTAGCCAACCGGCCCACCAACCCGCCAACACGGCCTACGTCGCATCAACCTCCACAACAGGGCATCACACTGCTCAATCGGCACCATCGCGGCACCCTTCTCGGGCAATCCAATCGCCGCGCACCAAAACCTAGAGAAGTAAGAGGGCACAAAGAACCCGACTGGACACTATGTCGATGTACCCGGGGCATCGCGGCATGCCGCCCCCTGTCAACGGGAGCGGTGCTCGCCTCAACGAGCTCCTTGACCAAATCCGCGGCGAATTCGAGGTCTACGCCCGCCAGAGCGAGACCTACGAGCATCAACGTAAGCGCCCTGCCCTGCAACCCCGCCGTCCATGTTCATTCATTCTTCCTTGCCGGGCATGCCTTGCAGCGGAGAGAGATATTGTGTTTTCCGCTGTTTTCCTGGCCGGATCGCGTGACTTTCAGCTTTTTGGCCAGTCGTCCATCCAATCAACTAACCGCCCGCCTGTTATATAGTTCGAGATCAAGTGAACGAGATGCAGAGTATCCGTGAGAGAGTCCAGTACATGGAACAGGCTCAGGTTACTCTGAAGCAAAAGTACGTCGACTCTCAGCTACTCCCATCCATGTCGCGTCTGCCGGAGCGCATTGGCTGACACGTATCCCACCAGGTACGAGGAGGAACTCGCCATGTTGCGCCGTCAGCTCGATGCTCGCGGTGGCCCGCCAGGCGGCATGAACCCGCCCCCGCAGCATGGAGGCCCCTCGCAGCAGCCTCCTTCTATCGGTATGGGCAGTAATGTATTTGGCGCGATAATGGCCGGGCAAGGCACCCAAGGACTGGCTCCCCCGCCGCCGCCCCAGCAAGAGCAGCAACCTGCTCACATGCCGCCCGCACCGCCCGGACTTGGAGGCCCGCCGCCGCCGCCACCTCCTCCGTCCCAGCAACCTCCTTTCCAGCAGCAGTATCCCCAGGGACCGCCGCCGGGAAGCTTCCCCTCGCAGCCCCCACAGAGCACCGCTTCCCCGGGACCCGGAGGCAACAAGCGACCACCCATCGGGAGGCCTCCCGCTGGCGGCCCAGCCACCCCTCAGATCAACACTCCTATTCCATATAACGGGCCTGGCCAGTCCCCTCAGGTGCCCACGCATCCTACCCCAGACCATGCTCGGATGTCGCAACATGCCCCTCCTCCGCCTCCCCCGCCCGGAAACTCCCTAAGCGAGTTGGACCCGGACCGTCTTCCGAACCATATCAAAAAGGTCCGCGAGGATTGGTGGGTCATCTTCAACCAGTCCGTGCCGCGCGTGCTGGATGTGGATCTGGTTCACACTCTCGTGCACGAGAGCGTTGTATGCTGCGTTAGGTTCAGTGCTGACGGCAAGTGGGTTGCAACCGGCTGCAACAGATCTGCTCAGATCTACGATGTTCAGACAGGCGAGAAGATGTGTGTTCTCCAGGATGAGAATATTGATCTGAATGGTGACCTCTATATCCGGAGCGTTTGCTTCAGCCCAGACGGCAAGTATCTTGCCACTGGTGCCGAGGACAAGTTGATTAGAGTATGTAGCCTTCGAACTTTTACTCTCAGATCTAGCTACTAACTTGTTTAGGTCTGGGATATTGCTCAGAGGACCATCCGCAACACTTTCCAGGGTCACGAGCAGGATATTTACTCGCTTGACTTTGCCCGCGATGGTCGTACCATCGCTTCCGGCAGTGGCGACCGCACTGTCAGGATCTGGGATATCGAGACGGGCCTCAATACCCTGACGCTCTCGATCGAAGACGGAGTGACGACGGTTGCCATCTCACCAGACGCCAAACTTGTCGCTGCTGGATCGCTCGACAAGAGCGTGAGGGTTTGGGATATCAAGATGGGATACTTGCTCGAGCGACTTGAAGGCCCCGATGGACACAAGGACAGTGTGTACAGCGTTGCATTCTCCCCTAATGGCCGTGATCTTGTTAGCGGTAGTTTGGACAAGACGATCAAGATGTGGGAGCTGAGCGCCCCTCGTGGCATGAATCAACCCACACCACTTAAGGGTGGCAGGTGTATCAAGACCTTCGAGGGACACAGGGTAAGCACTCAATTTTGTGCTCGTTTTTTGGAAGCCTACTAACGCCATCATTGCAGGATTTTGTTCTAAGCGTCGCGCTTACGCCCGATGCTCAGTGGGTGCTTTCGGGCTCCAAGGACCGAGGCGTCCAGTTCTGGGACCCTCGCACCGGCCTCACGCAGCTGATGCTCCAAGGCCATAAGAATTCGGTCATCTCAGTTGCTCCCAGTCCTACTGGGGGCTTCTTTGCGACGGGGTCCGGTGATATGAAGGCCCGAATCTGGTCGTACCATCGTGTACAACAATCTTAGGAACAGCAGCAACATTTGAATGGACGATAGCGGGCGCAGGGCACCAACCGTCAGAGCCATGGCCGACAGTGGGTGCTTAGAGGCTGTAGGGTCGGAGCATATCCCCTTATCTTAATCACCAAAGCGTGGAGGTTACAAAACACAACAAACACTCCCAAAAGTTGGGGCAAGAAGGATTAGCAGACAGAATTAATTTGCAGCGTAGGCAGATGATTGGATAGAAATTCTGTGGGCTGGGATTCATATTTTCATTAGGTTTTGTGCTCCGTGTTTGGTTGTCCTTGTCGTCACGGTCGATTTTCGTTGGCCCGGTAGGGAGTATGAGCTTTTGGAATGATTACACGTAGGTCGCTTCTTAATCAGACATGATTTAGTCAAATCGATAAGAAGTGTGCTCTCGTTTTGCTTGAGGCGGTTCTTTTTCTCTTTCTTTCTTTCTCGAGAACAGAGAGCAAGACTTGGCTGGGGTTTAATGGCTTTGGAAGGGGGCAATTGCTATGAAAGGATAAAGGGGCGGGGGGTTCACTGTTATTTTTATTTTTACTTTAACTGTCTATTTATCTTATTTTTTATTCACACTGTTTTTGCTGTCTATCTATAATTATCTATAAGGAGCCGAATATGTCGTCGAACTCGTCGCTCCCTTTCTTTCGCTTCTTCTTCGCTCGCTCCTTTGGCTGCTTACTCGGCTCGAGCTGGCCGAAGATGTCATCAAACTCGTCGTCGCCTACTCTTTTAGGATCCTTCTTCTTCCTCTTCCTCTTGCTGTCCACGCCTTTGCTACTACTACCGTTAATGCCACTAGCGGCAGCAATCAAGGCAGCGGTATTGCTAGGCTCGTCGTCATCGTCGTCATTTGGCTGCCCGGCAGGCGGCAAACGGGACAGTAGCGTCGTGTTGGGTTGTGATGGCGGCGACCGTGGTCGTGTTTCTGCTGGTACTGCGCCTAGTAGCATGGCCATGACGGCGTCGCGAGACACGACCTCCCCCGTGTCGTGGCCGTGCACCATCCCCGTGCCGGTCGAGCCAGTTGCCGTCGTTGCTGCTGCAGGGATAGGCTGCACTGTAGCGGCCGCCGCGGCTCTCTGAGAGTGAGAGGGAGAAGATAGGGAAGTATCTGGTGATGGCGGTTCGGGCGCAAACAGCGCCGCCGCCGCGTCGATCTGTGCTAGAATCCCGAGCAGCATCAGCCCCAGGTGCGCAAACTGCCGGTCGGCGGCGAGTTGTGTGAATGCCCTGTGGCGCCGCGTGTCAGTGCTGTTTGTTTGTTTGTTTGTGTATATACATATATATATATATATATATGTGTGTGTGTGTGTGTGTGTATATACGTATATATGTGATTTTAAGTGTGTATGTAGTGTCAAGTGCGTGACATGGTGCATGGATGAAGTGGATGTGAGAGATGAAGGAAGCTATTGCTTCCTGGGTGGAGTGATATATGAGGGAGGGGGCGTTGACATAGACATGCACAGATGATGTCCGAGAATGAAGCTATAGACAGAACAAGCCCCCTTTTTTCCCCCTCTACGGGATGTAGTAATCGGTTGCACATCACGCATATGTAAACAACTGTACGCAAACTCCCCTCACAACCCAAAAGAGACTAAAAAAATAAAAATAAGACTCACAAATACGCCCTAGGCACAAGCTGCGCACACACAAACCCAGCACGAACCCCGAGGTCCCTCTCACAAGACTCGTCCTCGGCCCTGCGCTGCTTCTTCTTGCGCCTGGCCGCCGCCGCCTCAAGCGCATCGCGGCGGGCCTCGGCGGCAGCCAGCAGCTTGTGGGCGTGGCGGCGGAGCATGTCGGCCTCGGCCCACCAGCGGGACAGGCGGTGCTGGTTCCTGTTGCGGTGGTGGAAGCGGTCGAGGATCTCGAGGGCGGGCGCGAGCGCGGCGATGGTCTGGCGCAGCGCGTCGTCGTTGTCGTCGTCATTCTCATCGGCTCTCGCGTCTCCTTTTCTAGAGGCCGCCATCGTGTTCATGTTATAACATGAATTGGACGGGATGATTCGTGGATGTGTGTTTTGGGGGGCGCTTCTCCTTGTTGCGCGCTAGCTTGTTGAGTGTGCAGGGCGATGAATAGCGGGAAAAGGTAGTGATAGTCTCGTGTCATTCGTTGCTGGGCCCAGCCTAGGACATGCGAGCAGCGAGACAGCGGCCCCACTGTAACACCAGTCTAACAACAAGCAGCTGTGAGATCGCGGTTCGACAATGGCTTTCACGACGACATTGAGAGCTGAATCTGATTGTAGGTTCGGAAGGTTTACCACTTGGGTACCTAAGGAAGGAAGGCAATTAGCCTCATGGAATAAAATCGATTTCTGATTTCTAAATGTGAAAAGTGATGCTTGTTTCTAGGGTTAGGGTTGCTCCAACCGCTTTTTCCCGTTGTCGTGTCTCCTCAGAGTTTCTCAACTCGTCTCAACACCCAGGACAACGCCCCCAGGCCTGGTATATCATAAGACGGACAACCTTATTTTCCCTAGTCCCCACAATACCCCAGGTTGATGAATATAGATACAGAAGATGAAAGCAGCACCCCCGCGCTCCCAGCCAGCCAAGCTCCCCGCGCAGGACTATAAGTACTCGTGGTAAAACTGTCGGCGTTCCCACACAACCCCCTCTCACCCGTAGCTAGGTATATATATTAATATGACCCCAAAGACTCCCAATAGGCCCCCAACCCCAAATGGAAACGAAGGCGAGTTCAACCCTTGACTCTTTTTCTCTCTCAGCACACCCGCATGCCGCAGACCTCGACGCCCTTGGTTTCGACGTAGGCCCGCCTCGAAAAGTAGCGCGCCGTAAGCTCCCTGACAAAGTCGGCGTCCGACTTGCTCCACACGTCGAGTCCCATGTTCCCGAGCGCCTCGCTGTCCACGCGGACCCACCCCCGGCTCCCGTCGACTCCACTGCTTCCGCTCGAGCCCAGCAGCCCCGCCTCCTCGGCGCTCTCGTCCTCGGCCAAGGCCCCAAAGTCGACGTCCGCCATGTCGTCGTCGTCGGCGCTGTCGACAATATCCGCCAGAACGCCGAGCATCGATGTCGTCAGTCGGTGGAAGTAGGCGATGATAGCCAGTTCAAGGTCAGCCTGGCCCTCGCCGTCCTGCCCGCTTCCCGGCTGCCGTGCCGTCAAAGACGATATTGAGTCCACCAAGACGCTGCTGGGGTCTGCACTGAAGCTAGATTTCCGTTGGGGCATTGCCATTGACGGCCCTAGGTCGGCCAGCAAGCCCGAGTCGTGCGCTGACTCATCGACCTCGTCGCTCCGCCTTTGCTCGCCAGCTGACGCCCACCACATAAACCCGCTATACGCTAGGGCAGCCCACGTGGTGGGCTCCACGATCTTGTCGGCGTCGTCGTCCCCGATCTGGCCCTGGCGCGCCGCGCCGTCTTCAGACGCCGTCCCTAGTCGCGACGTAGGCTGTGATAGCCGAATTGCCGATGTGGCAGAGGTGGACGCTTCAGTTGTCTCCGAAACGGGGCTATGAACACCTCGTGTCTGTGTGCCGGCCGAAGCTGCCGCGAACCGTGCGAGGCCTGCCCTTAGAGCGCGAAAACGGCGGAGATCGCGTTGGGTGGCCTTTATTTGGACACCCTTTGGGCATTCAACCGTCGGCCAGACCCGCTCCTTGGCGTTGGCCGAGTACACAGGCGGCAAAGTGACGAGCATGTCCCACAGCCCTTCTTTTATGGCAAGGATACTGTCCGTGGTGCAGGCGACCCACCCCGAGCTCGCCTCGTCGGCTGCGGCATTGTGATCTTCGTCGTGCCGGCCGGCTTGGGTTTTCATTGTCGCCTGGTGCTCGAGCAGATACAAAATATCATGCACACCAATTGTGAAGAGTGGCCGAAGGCGCTGGACCGAAGCGGACGGGTCTATAATGTCGCCAACAGACAGGGGAATGTTCGACAAGACAGATATATCATACACTGGCAAGCAAAGTCAGTACCAGAAACCGTAGCTAGCCCACCTCAATGAAAAGCCAAGGCATACCGAAATTGCAGACCTCATGCACCGGTGCATGGGTGGATATTAGAATGCGTTTCCGCAACAGGGCAGCGCGATGGATGGGGAAAATCAGGGGTCCGAATGTGTCAAGCAGCGACGTGAGGCTCCAGGCGGGGTGGTATGGCGACAGCCTGTGTCCCGGCGGGAGCAAGGCAGTGCCGTCCGAAGCCGACCGGTTTCTCGCGTGGCCTTTACCCTGCCCGGGGTGAGACTGCTTAAAGCTCAGAGCCGGCGAGCTAAGCGGTGTCTCTTTCAACGGCTGCAACGCCGATGTCTCGTAGGCCCCATTCGCCTCCCAATACTGCTCGAGGAGCTGTGTTTGTTTCCGGTCGGCAGCTAGCTTGCTGTGCGAGGAGGTGGCATTAGCCACCTGATGGGGACAGACAAAGAACAGAGGAACAGGGACGCGGGCACAAATTGAGCGCCCTCGGAGTGAGTGCATCTTTTACCTGGCCATGTGTTTCAGGGCGTCGGCGTGACGCCAGGCCCTACCAAGTCTTCCGTAGCTCAAGGGCACCAAGACACCGACGGCTATCATGCGCGCATGGCGCGTCTCCTCCTCGTCGGTCCTCTCGTTGACGAAGGCGCTGAGGCCAGCATGGCCACCGCCGTGGACAAAGTAGATGAGGTCATCGGATACTGTGTGCAAGCCCGAGGGCAGGCTCTTGTATTCGACGACACCCTCGAGCTCGAGCCCGGGCACGGCCTGTTTCCATACGATGGTGTATCCAGCCTTGACGTCGAAGTCGATTAGGAAGAGGGCCGAGATGGGCGGGAGATCGGGCAGCGCGGCGGCCTGTGACACATTCGTCTGTGGCAGTCGCACCGAGAGGGGCGGCTGGCCACGACGGGACGCAGCCATGGCGAGCCTAGGTTATTAAGTTCCTTAACGGTATAGAGACCCTAGGTAGGTAATGTAGGTATGCAAGGTAGTGGATAGAGGTTATGTCGCAAACGCGGGACGACGGAAACCCAGACGGCTTAACAAAGGGCTATACGGATAGCTCGCTGCCCTACCACCATCATCGAAATCGGAGACAGGCAGCAAGAAGCAGCTGAGGAGGGGGCACTCTAGAATCACGGCGGGGGCGGGAGGTCAGCAAGGCGGTGTTGAATTGTGCGCCGCGATTGCGCGCGGGACGGAAATGCTGTCTGTCGGACGACGTGTTTTCGTCGTGGGCGGTTGTTTCATTTCATTTGCTACGAGCTGAACGTCGCAACTAGAACTGCCTTGGGTAGCAACAGGACCTCCTCAGTGGTGTGTTAACCATTGCCTACGCTGTGGTGCGTGCAGGCTAAAAATCCCCCCTTACAGCACATCCACTCAGTGTAATTGCAGGCGCAAGCTGGTCACACGTGATACACTTAGATCTCCTTCGTACCTTGGGATGGAATGGAACATCCCTAATAATGGAAGCTTGCCAAATTCAGCGTCTCCCATTTTGACATTGGCAGACAGGACAGACAGTCCGGGCTTCGGTCTTGAGCCACCTCCAAGATTAGGTTGCAATCGCCAATATATATAAATGAGCTGCCCACGGTCTAGCCGGAGCTGATGTCAAGTCTCACTTAGCGGCCCAGAATAAGGGACAACTCGAGAAAAAAACCCCGGTTGTCGGGTAATATCCCTGGTATTGTACGTATTGTCTGTCAAAGGCGGTCTCTTTTTCCCTTGATTTTCCTCCATTCCTATTCAAGCTCTAATAACAGACACGTCCCAGTTTGATGTTCGACCAAAACTCGAATACTAGTCTAAAAGGGAAACACGAGCTCGGTTCTTGAAAATACCTTGACAAACTTTATCAAGATAATTCGTAGAAGATGTTGAAGTGTCATATGTGACTATGCTACTTAAACTTGGGCAAGACGAATACGGGGCATACCTAAGTAGGTAGGGAGGAACGGTAGAATCCATGGCCAACCCCAACATTTTCCCTTGGCGGTCTATTCTCTTGCTTAGGTTGTCAAGGCATCAAGCTCGACAATTGGATGGGAATAATGAGTATTCGAAGCGGACTCAAAGAATAGGTTGGTATTAACTTGGGTTCTCTCAGTTTATATATTCTCCCTCTCTCCCCATTTGTCCCTCAATTATTTTGCCAGTCTTGGGGCTCGTCCAACATGTCTCTTCCTCGCCTTCTTTGCGAGGAATCTTAGTCTCAACGAAATGCGAACCTCGGGATCTTGCACAGTTGCCCCGGCCCCAAGACTTTTCCACCGGGGTTGTAGAGGGCTTCTGTGGGGTCGTGCCGAGTTTTAAGCCAATCGAACATGGCCAGCGGCAGCCATCCCGCGATTTTGGTCTGACCCCACAACCCAGAAGCTGGCCGCGGGGCCTCCCTCCAACTTTTCGTCGGTGAAGTCACTGTCCCGTGTCTCGAGCAGGCGCAACGAAAAGCCATGCCTGCTGCTGCATCGCCGTTGAGCTGAGCCGCCAAAAGTCTAGAAATCGACAAGTAGTATCCGTACAACAGGCAAACAAATCACGGACGGACATTCTCTAGAGAATCAGACCTAGTTACAGGCTATTTTACTATTTATTCAAAAGAGTCTTGGACCCCGCCACATGCCTCGACTCGCAGTCCACCAGATCAAAAGCATCGCCCGCCTCCAGCTCCTCCACCCCGAACACCTGCCCCGAGTCTGCCAGCCTAGGTAGCTAAGGTAGTCGCTGGCCCACTCACCACACACAAGTCAGTCGACTATCCCATCCAGATGCATGGTAGAGCTCGTTTGGAATCCTAACGGCTACCAGCGGGAAGACAGTCGCTCGAGGACCTTAGTCTCTGGAAAGCCCAGCAGACAGAAACTTTAACTATTCAGACCGAGCCGGTCCTCCGCCGACCGAATAGTCCCGGACCGCCCCGTGCCCGTAGGTCGTGGCCGCCGCGGCTCGTCGCCTTTCAACATGGCGTCCTTTCTCTCCTACCTGGAGTACTTCCTCGTCGGCTACGCGGCCCTGACGCTCGCCTTCTACATGCTATCGTTCGTGGTGCCCAAGGCGGCCTTCGTGGCCCGCTCCCTCGCCTCATACATATGCCTCGTCTGGGCCGCATGCTTTGGTGTTGTTGCGTCCATCGTCCTGAGCCCGACAGGCTACAGGCTGGTCGCGGCGTGGGCCACGGCCCGCTTCTTCAAGCTCGTCATGACCGCCACGACCAACATTACCTTCGACGTCGACGACCCCAAGCAGCACATGAAATCCCGCCCCGCCGTCTTCCTCGCCAACCACCAGACGGAGCTCGACGTGCTCATGCTTGGCTCCACCTTCCCCAAATACTGCAGCATGACCGGCAAGGCTTCGCTGCGGAGGACCCCCTTCCTCGGCTGGTTCATGTCGCTCAGCGGCGCCATCTTCCTCGACCGCGCCAACAGCCAGAGCGCCCGCTCGACCATGAACGCCGCCGCCAACGAGATCCGCAGCAACCGCCAGAGCGTCTACATCTTCCCCGAGGGCACCCGCAGCTACAGCAAGGACCCCGTGCTGCTGCCGTTCAAGAAGGGTGGCTTCCATCTCGCCGTCCAGGCCCAGGTGCCCATCATCCCCATCGTTGTCGCCAACTACAGCCACATTCTGTGGATCAGGGGCTTGCTGTTCAAGTCTGGGAGGATCCCGGTCAAGGGTCAGTTTGGCGTTGCTCATGAGCGTTGCCCAACCTGCAATAAAAGCAAAAAAAAACCCCCATCTATCCATGCTTTGCTGACTCTAATTTGATGCGTCTAGTGCTCGACCCCATCTCGACGACGGGCCTCACGGCCGCCGACGTCGACGAGCTGACCAGGACGACCCGGGAGCTGATGCTCAAGGAGCTCATTGCGCTCACAGAGAAGGCGCAAGGGCGGAAGTTTGCAGTGTCCGTTGCGAGCACGGCAGCAAACGGCGTGGCCAAGGCATCTGGGATTGATATCAAGGTTGCCGCATGATCCAAAGACAAAATTTATCCTTGCAAGTAGACTTTGCCAGTGTGCCTGTCATTCTTGTCCCCAGCCCTGCAGCAACAGCAGCAGCAGGAATCAATTTTCCGAAGTACAACACCCCCGGGCGATAATGGACTTTTGTGTCGGTGGTTTGTTTGCCAGCTTGGCTTGGCTTGGCTTGGCTTTCGGAGGGAGAATGGGGCATTTGCTGTTAACAGCCTTCTTGAATGTCGGGATAGAGAAAGAAAGACCAAGGTTAAATGTGTAACGAAGGAGGAAAAGAAAGAAAGAGATTTCTAAGAAGAAAGATAATAGTAATGATATGCACGTCTCATTTATCGTCTGTCCTCATTTCGTCCTTGTCGCTCGCTCGCTTGATGGTATTGCATGGAAGTCAAGAACAGAGATGGAACTGGTGGGGGCATGAGGGCGCATGCGGATGGCATGGCATGGCTTTTGTTTGATGCGTAAGTGGTGTGAAAGCAGGGGCGGAAACGGAAGTAACTAATCGTATGTGAATATATATAATGCCAAGACAGAAGAACAGTTCGCGCGCGTCGCATGTTGGTAGATAGAGAGAGTATTGCATCCCTATCCAGTGTTCAACTCAGCCAGGCCAGCTCCCGCCCGCTCTAGTGTTCATCCCTTTCTCTGTTTGTTAATCATCTCATGATGTTTCAATAGATGTTGGATCACGGACAGAGGTGGTTATTTTACGAGTTTAGAGTCGACGTGGTGCATGCATGCATGCACAGAGCGTTGTTTGTTTGGAGATATCTAGGCAAGGCATCGATAGCACGGGGAACGATGAGATTGTTTTTGCATTTGCATTTGCATTTGAGAAGCGAGTAGTACTCTTCATTTTATTTAATCAACATCGACAATTGTGTGCGCACGTGCATGCATATTTAATCGGTCGCTGTAGTTGGCTAGTCGCGCCCCTTTTCTCTCTTTCGTCGCGGCGTTGCTTAGACGATGATATTGGCTGCGCACTCTTTTTTTTATGGCAGCTTTGCTCTGACGATATAGCTGCACGCACCCTTCTCTCTCTTCTTTGGGCAAAAGAAAAGTTTGGAGCGTCAAGCCGAGCACGGGGGGTGGAGGAAATTTTTTGCTTACGGTGTTGTTTCGTCGATAGTCCCCATGTGGCAACTGGCTACACGCTCAGAGGCGGCATGGGTACTAGCCCTCTAGGGGTGTGGGCATAGGACGCAGCTGGCTGATCAGACACAGGGTAGCATGACCCACTACCTTCCAGGCCTAGAGGGCGCGGTATCGGTGTCGGAAGGATGGAGCTCGGAAACTAGAAGTAGTCGCGGTCTACGGGGAGTTGCTACGTGTGTCGTGTACCCACGTGGCATACACACTCAGAGGCGGCGTGGGCACTGGCCTCTAGCGTTCAGAGGCACTCAGTGAGGTCGGCGTGAACTATGGAACGCTGGCTGATCAGGCGCAGGGTGGCATAGCCCACCTGCCCACCGAACCTAGAGGCGTCGGGTCTCGTCTCGTGATCGGGTGAACTATTCGGCTGAGGTTCCGTCTGATCGTCGCGATTTTCGTCGAGTTTTTGCTTTTGACCGAGTTAGCACGTGACCTCTTGGCATGAGCCGAAGGGTCCCGCGCTCGACTTGACGACTTCGCCATCTGACCGGCGGGCCAGACGCTTCTTGTTGAAGTAAGCTTGGGGCAATATAGTCTAAGTAACCCGGGGCAGAGAGAAGCGGTCATGTAGGAAAGCGGGCGGGTGGCGGCGGGTTGAGTTCATGCTGAGGCTAAGGTGAAAGCATGTTGAGCATGGAGTACTAGGAGATAAACTCATGTAGCTTGGACTCTGTGCGAAAGCCGAGAGTATATGCTTGTAGAGGGCGTGTTGAGGATGCGAGGTCATGGTTCTCTCGAGATGGCTTCCTAGTGAGCCATAGGACAACGAGAGTGAGCACCCCCAAACTACTGTCCGGACGGGATATCTTGATGACTTCGAAACCCGGGACTCTCTATCTCATGTGAGCGTTGTGCAGGTGCTGGTTGGAAGCAACAAGAGACGTACCAGCTGCCAAGCAAACTCTAACCCCTTTCCCACTCCGGCGGCTAGTGAACCGGTAAGTATATGCTAAAGCTCAGCTTCGTCGTTCCCAAGGTGTCAGATACTGAACCGTGAAAGAGGAATATGGGTAGGCATCTGTCGCTGATCGCCCGTAGATAAATGCAGAAACCAAGGTGATCCAATCCTAAGAAGCGTGTGCAATGGTCTGGGTAATGAACCTCAACAATATACTTGCAGATCATCCGGTTTGTATATTCTAGGCAAGAAAATTGCCAACCGCCGTTTGGAGTCATACCTAAAACATGTACACAACGGTATCCACCTGTCCGGCTGCCAATCGTCAAGCTAAGCTGCCCACGTGTCGAGGTTCTGCAACACACAGCCGTTGTTGCCCGACTCTCTGGGGACCAGGTGGCCAATGGTATAGACCTTCTCACCGGCGGCCTCAAGCCCAACAACAACACCCGCCGCACCATCGGCGCTGACGGCAAGCACCATGCCAATGCCGTTGTTGAAGGTACGCGCCATCTCGGCGGGCGCAACCGACTCTCTCAGCCACTTGAAGACTGGGGGCACCTCCCAGGCGGCCACGTCAATCTCGGCAGCGAGTTGGGATGGAAGCATACGCGGCACGTTCTCGGTGAGGCCGCCGCCGGTGATGTGTGCCATGCCCTTGATGGCGCCGGCACACTCGGCCAAGACTTTTAGAATGGGCTTGACGTAGATCCTGGTGGGGGTTAGCAGGCTCTGGCCCACAGAGACTCCCGAGCCGGTATCCCACGGCGCATCGTCCGTGTAGGACAGGCCGCGCTTCTCAACAACTCGTCGGACGAGAGAGAAGCCATTTGAGTGGACGCCAGACGAAGCAAGAGCAACGAGAACATCGCCGCTAACCATGGCCTCTTTCCTCGGCAGCCGCTGGCTCGACCTCATGATGCCAATTGCTGCACCTGCTGCGTCGTAGTCATCACCAGTGTACAGGTCGGGCATCTCAGCCGTCTCTCCACCAACTAGGGCGCAGCCGGCATCGATACAGCCCTTGGCTACCCCCTCAACAAAGGAAGCGGCGGCAGAGACGTCGAGTTTGCTGCACCCATAGTAGTCCAAGAACATGATGGGCTCAGCTCCCTGGACTACCAGGTCGTTGACATTCATAGCGACGAGGTCAATTCCTACAGTGTCATGCTTGTTCATCTTCTGGGCGATGATGAGCTTGGTGCCAACACCGTCGATGGCTCCAACCACGATTGGGGCACCGGGGTAGCCAGCCTGCGATAGGTCGACTTCGCCTCCGAAGCCGCCGATCTCGGCATCGGCACCAGGTCGGCGTGTGGTGGAGACGGCAGCCTTGATTCGGTTGACGAGGTCGTTGCCAGCGTCAATGCTCACTCCAGACTGAGCATATGTCAGCTTGTCGGCAGCCTTGTCGTCGCGGAAAGCACGGTAGGCAATGTCCTTGCGGTAGTGCATCCCCTCGAACTGGATGAGCTTGACACCCTCATAGGCCTTGTCAACAGCCGCCCTCAGAGTCTCGCCGACGGCATTTGCTGCGATTACTCGCCCACCCGCCGACAGCAGCGAGTCGCCGGACAGCTTGGTTCCAGCGTGGAAGATGGTGGTGCCCGAGGGAGGCAGCGCTACCTGCATCAGTATGTTCTTGGGGTACGAGCTGGGATATCCTGGTGCGGAGACGACCACGGTGGCGCTGAAGCGTTGTTGAAGCTTGAATGGGACGTACTTGAGCAGCGGGCTGGCGCTGACGCAGGCCAACATGATGTCTGCCAGATCCGACACGAGAAGGGGAAGCACCGTCTGCGTCTCCGGGTCGCCAAATCGGACATTATACTCGAGGCACCTGGGGCCGTCGGGAGTGATCATGAGCCCCGTAAAGAGGCAGCCTCGGAAAGGAAAGCCGTCACTGCGCATGCCGTCGATAGTGGGCTGCAGAATCTCGCGCTCGATCTGGGCAATCAAGGCGGGCGTGGCAATCTTGGTCGGCGCGTAGCAGCCCATACCACCCGTGTTAAGGCCTGTGTCGCCGTCACCGATGCGCTTGTGGTCCTGGGCAGCAGGGAGGGACCGGATGGTGGTGCCATCGCAGAAGGACAGGATGCTGAGCTCGTCGCCCGTCAGAAACTCCTCGATGACGACCTCGTCGCCAGCATGGCCGAAGGCCTTGTCCAGCATGATATCCTTGAGGGCCTGCTGGGCCTCGTCGAGCGACTGCGGGATGATGACACCCTTGCCGGCAGCCAGCCCGGTGGCCTTGATGACGACATTGTGGCTGATGGTCTTGAGGTACTGGCTGGCCTGCTCGTAGTCGGAGAAGTTCTCGAAGGTGGCGGTGGGGATGGAGTGCTTTTTCATGAAGTCCTTGGAGAAGGTCTTGCTGCCCTCCATGCGGGCGGCCTCTTTGGAGGGGCCGAAGCAGGGGATTCTGGCATCGCGGAAGAAGCCCTCGATGCCGTCGACAAGGGGCGCCTCCGGGCCAGGGACGACGAGGTTGATGCGCTCCTTCAGGGCGAGCTGGACGAGAGCGGGATAGTCGTCAGCGGCGACGGCGCTGTTGTTGGTAGCTTTGGGGAGGGCTGCAGTGCCGCCGTTGCCAGGCACCACAATGATGCATTCGACGTTGGGCGACTGCCCCAGCTTCCATGCGAGCGCGTGCTCGCGCCCGCCGTTTCCGATGAGGAGGATCCGAAGCGACATTTTGGCTCGGAATCAATCAATCGATGCTCGTAGCTATGCTGGCTGCTGGCTGGTTGTGCTCGCTGGCTCGACGCCTCGTCTGTGCCCCGCCATGGATTGGGATTCTCGACGTGCGCGAGAAAAAATGCTGCATGGGGGAAAGAAAATTTTACCCCTCCCCCGCAATCACATCTGGGTGGGGGGCCCTACCCCCGAATTGGCGAATCCCTGCCGTGGCTTGCCGATCCGTCCAGAACAGGAAAGAGTACGAATACGTACCCCCGTAAGGCTGCATCAGATTCCCTCAAGTTCGAGCTGGGCGGAAGGAGGGAAGGAGCACACTTTTTGACTTCAACTTCGATGCTAAAACACCACAATCGTTTCATTTTTTTTAAAACACTGCGGAATACTCATTGCAGAAGGGCGGTATTGCTCCTGGGCCTAAGAAAAGCGGGCCACCAATCTCGTACTAAGTAATTTCCTCACATCAGATTGCTATCTGATCGTGCAACCACTTCGAACTAGACCGAGGCAGTTAAGGACCTGGGAACTGCCCGTGCCACCAGTAGTAGGCTCCGAATGGTTTATGTCTGTACCTGCCTTGGGCATACCTGCCTTAGACATATCGCATTGGTAATCGTTTGTGTTTTCTCTTGGCTGTTAACTAGGTAATGTAGAGGCGCTCCAAGCCTTATGTACCAAGGCACCTTTTAAGATACCTACCTTACCCACTGGTTATCTTTGCTGTGTTGACAGGTAATTGTCGACCCCTGGGCATATTGCCCTAGCATCTCCAAAACAAAGGCGCGGCAACTTCCCAAATGTTTTGGCTTGAACTTATATGCCCTGTTTCGTAGCAGGATTTAGAGGCGCTACCTAACGATGCTCCTACCTGTTTGTGAGCGAAGCGATGGAAACACTAGACACTCATCCCGGCCGACAAAAGCGGTCGCAAACCCGCATCCCAAGGCTTCCAGCCTTGACCTGTTCCAGAAACTCAAAGAGCGAGGTGTAAGGGCTTCCATCGTTGAGCAGACTGGAGTTTGGAGCATAGGCATGGGGGCCTTGTAGCCGTGCCTCTCGTGCGCACACGGGCCCAAGCCGCAGCACGCGCCATCCGGGGCTTGAACCTGTTGGCTCTCCTGAAATGCGGCACGTCGAACGCCAAGCGACGGATGTGCCCTGAAATAGCTAAAGATGCAAGGGAGACAAAAACTCCGATCACCGGCAGTGCAAAACCGAGGCGGGGTCTGGGTTAGGGGCGTCGGCTTTTCTCTCGATTTCAGGCATGGCCAGTGAACGGCTGCATGGGGGTCAGGTCTTGTTTGATGCCAACGTCCGCGGATAGGGCTGTCGATCTCTCTTGAGGTCTCGGGCTGGCTTGTTTTCTCTCAACCACTTGAGTGTCTTTACACGGCGTGCCGAATGCCGTTTCGCCGTGGTGCGTTGGCTGCGACCGAATGCGACCAGATTCCGGCAGCTCGGTGTCCGAGGAAGACTGAGGAAGTTGGAACCCTGCGTGCAAGTGCAAAATGCCCGCCAAATGAGAATTGCCAAGATATCATCTGCCACTGTTGAACATGGGATAGATTCCATGTTGAACAGACTCGTCTCGTCCCTGGCTGAGGCACAGAAGCTTGAATTCTCGAGGAGACGCCGCACCTGGGAGTTGAGCAGAAGCGGACCAGGAACCCGCGGGAGCGGGATCTCATGGATGCGAGTGTCGATCCCGATCCAGGGTCCCGAGACTACCCCCACTGAACCCGACGTTGTCAGCAATACGAGCGCGTAAAACAAGCTAATGTCAATTCATCACTCAAGAGAGGTGGGGGGTGGTCCAGCCTGTCGACATTTGCATTTGCATTTGCATTGACATTTGCGAGAAGATGCAGTTGGAACGCGTTGGCACACAGACAAACTCGTGTTCAAGAACCCGACGGCAATAAACCGTTTGTCCGAACCGTGGAACCGCAATCGAGGCTATTGGGCCGCGGAAGACTCCATCGTCATTGGGTTCCTCGCCCTATTGTGCTTTTGTGTGACCAACGCTTGACGAGAAACGCATCTTACACGCGTTGCGCCTCCCCACGGCGGTGCTGCTCTGTGCCTGTCTGTGGATACAGCCTGAGATTATTGCCGTAACTGGGCGATCTGATCCACGGCGGCACGCTCTCAATCATGTTCGTTTCATTTCATAGGAACCGAACACGAGGCACACAGCTTTCGATTACCCACTTGAGAGTTTCGAAGGGAAGAAACCAACGAATCCTACATGTAACCTCAATGGGAATCATGCAGTGCAACAGATGGAAGGCTTGCAAATCGCGTGAATGAGGTTGCATGTATGGATACTTCGTACTGTACTTCGTATACAAGGTCCCATCTTTTGTCCTGTCCTGTGAGACAGTGAGACAGATGGAATGGAACGGCGAGTCTGCAGTGACGATCCATGCATGCCACGCTCCTAAACTTTATTTTCGCACCCCAACGAATCTATGCACGATCGTACCTGAGCAGCAGCTTGAACGTGGGGAAGGAAGGCGCCATGGACGGGACCTCGTGTCCGGTATTACAGCATTACCTCAGGTCAACATTGATCACCAAGAGATTACTAGTATCTGTACTCCGTAGAGAAGGTGCAATGCCGCAAATTGCTCCTGCCGTACTCAGCATATTTGATAGCTAAGGCCAGGTATGCAAGTAACGGTGAAAATGGGGAGCTGCAATCCCAAGGCCAGGGCTACCATTGAGTCCATATCAAAGAACTGCATCGAAGACACAGAGAAGCATTTGCCCGGCATCAATTGGCCAGGCGACGCACGCACGCATTTCGGACGGACCATCTTTCAATCTCCAGGTCAACTCCCCGCATTGACCGGGCTGCACAGACAGACAACTGGGTTGAGTTGAGTTGAGATGGCGGGAACTTGATGCTGTGCGGAAGAAGTTCCATGCGTCGCCGAGACCGTCCCAGCACGGGGGAGACAAGCTGATGGCCAACAGGAGCCAGCTTTGACGGACAACCTGCACAATGGAATTCCAAGTTGCACCTGTCGGCCGGAAGACCCATTGGGCCTACCCACGATTGATTGATCTTTCCAACCTCCTGCCAGGTCTGCATGTTCGTCCATCACCGACCTGTTGGGCTGGGCTGGACTGGGCTGGACTGGGCTGGACTGGGCTGGGCTGGACTTGGGCTGGCTGCTGCAAGAGTCTGGGAATCCTGCCCGCCTCTCTAGACACCTGTCAGTTTTTCGGTGATCTAGTCCTTCTGTCTGCTCGCTTGTCGCCCGTCAGACCTATCATGGAAGTCATGACGAAGACGCCTTCCGGGTTGTCTTGGTTAAAATAAAACGGGGCGCCCAACAGAGAATGCTGGAGCTCCAATGCGCGCCTCTAAACTCCAAGCGGGCAAAGTCGCGCACGATCGATGAGTCTCAGGCCTCGATGTTATTGCGAGCACTAGTGACTAGCCCCTACTCGAAGGCCGCTGGTTCCTAGATTAGAACTGGACTCCATTGGTTTGCCCTGGTGTGACAAAAAAACCGCGAGACAGGACCGGGCGTGGTCGCCTAGTTGTTAAACCCGCCCAGGGCTTGGGGCAGCCCTACCTAAAAGCGCCCCAAAGCAGCGACTGACAGCACCGAATACGTTGTCGTAGGGGTCTGTCAGGCCTGTTAGGCCTGATAGTGGAGGATCGGAGCCGGAGTTTCCGTTTTGGTGTCTCGCTGGACCAGCGCCGACGACCACGCGACGCCACTATCCGTATCCCAAAGCATATCCATTTGTCTCCTCTCTGCAGGACCTGCAGCTGCGGGCTATGGAAGGTCGGGCTTATTCTCGTTACGGATTTCATATGGTACCATATGTCTGTATTCTGTACTGTGTGTGTTTTATTACATGAAGTCACTGATGATGAGCTGACAGGGGTCAGTTCAAGATCGCCCAACAAGGCTCCATCCAATCCCAAGCAGAGCCGCTGCAAGCTGTGCAGCTGCAGCAGCGCATCGACGGCACATGGCACACATGGATGGCACACCTCGCATGGCACGGTGCATCGGGGCACGCACTAGGCAGTCGAGTCGGAGCTCTGTTGCTGGGCCTTCATTTCGCAATTCCTTCGTGATGTCCGGACCGGGGACTCGTTTTCACAAGTGGCGCCCAAACATGGCAATTGACACCAGAGCTGTGCAGAGCAGGATTAGGTGCCGGCTCGAGTGCAGAGGCTGTTCAATAATTTTATTGACGAAGCTCCGTGCCGCTGCTTGCCGCCATTCACTACCCGTTCTGAAACTCGAAATAGGGGCACGTATGGCGAGCAGGTGCCGAGCCACGCACCCTAACCCGCATTGGCTCAAGCTGCTACTCTGCCAGCTCGAGTCAGTGGAGAGAATGCTAGATCCTGTTGCCCAAAGCCCAAGCTACCTTAGCTACACTACACACGGGCTACGCGTAACCCACTCGTCGGTGGCAGTGGTCGGCGGTCGCTCAGGGCGGAAGAGCCTGCCCGCAGCCAGGGCTCACCTTTGAGTCGTCGTGATTATACAGCGAGCACCTGGCCAACACCAACCCGGCCCGGCCCACCCAGCGACCCTACTTGGCCATGCACGACTCGGAATTTCTAGTAGTACGAATCGAATCTTTGGTGGCTGTCCAAGCTTGCGAGCCCGGGCAATGTCTCTTCGAGAAGCACATGGCAGCTTCCCCCGTCCAATCCCATGACGGTCACGACCCCCACTGCTGTCGTGCTCCTCCTCGCCCTTCTCCCTACCTACCTTTTCTTTGTGACTGGTGCGTGCCCTACAATGTATTCCATAGGTGGGATCTGTCTCAAGCTGCCCGCTGTTGGACGACACCAAGATGTCATCCACTCGGTCAGCGGCCGCTCCCCCTCTGCCCCCTCCTGTGTTATAAACCGGCCGCCGGTCCTGTTCCCGAGGCGGCCCTCATTTTTAGTTCTCCTTCCATCCGACTTCCTAGCCATCTTGGTCGACCGCGCCCAGCCTACCCCCCTCTGGCTGCTCGCACTCGCAAGTATAACATTCTTGTCCGAGAGGTTACTTAACCTCCCATCCTTTCCCCCTCGCTCCCGTGCCTGATAAGCCAGGAGAGACCCATTCAGATCAGCATCTTGCTGCCGGCCACCATCGTCGAACCTGCGAGTGCAAGCCAGACGTCGACATGAAGGCTGTCCTCTCACTCATTGTCCTGGCCGCCTCGGCTCTAGGAGCCAATATCGGTCGAAACTACAACCAACCTGCAGATGTGTGGAAGACCATAACCACAAAGGTCACCATCACTTACAATTCGCCTTGCGCTGTGACTTCGACCGTCACGAAGAGCGGCAAAACCTACTACACCACCTACACGACAACCTCGAAAGTCACAAAGGTGGTTCCTACGACCATCATCCAAACCGTGGTCAAGCCTCCGGTAACCAAGTCGACCAGTACTGGTATGCAAGAGCTCCAGCTTCTGTTCTGTGCCTCGGCAAATCGTGCTTCGTGCTAACAATTCATGCTACAGTTGTCTACAAGACGATCACGGAGCTTGTCCCCTGCACCACGACCAAGGTCGTTGGTGGCTCGACGGTCGAGGTTATCTGGACATCCACGTCCACTATCGTTACCAGGGTCAAGGAGTTGCAGACTGTCTTCACCACGCGGGTCTCGACCGAGTACGAGACTACCGATGTGTTCGAGACTGTGAGGCTTCCCATCCTCCCAAAATTTGTGTAGCTGCTAATCCTGGACAAAAGGTTACTTGTCCCGAAGTTGTTGTCACCACTGTTGTGGCTGGCGAGACGACCACTATGACCAAGACCAAGTCGTACGTTTTCTTCTCTTGCTTGAGCACTCTGAGCAGAGCCGTGCGCTGACAAGCTTTAGGATCACCATTACAACCAGCACAGTCCGCACCGTAACGGCCGTTGTTCCGGTCACTGTGACCCGCCAGGTAGGTCCACTCTTCCGAGTTTCATCGGGCCAACGGATGGCTTTCTGGCCGCCCGCCCGCCCGCCTACATTCAAGAGAGGAAACATTCTAGAAGAACGCTCAAGGGCGAGTTGGGCAATTGGCGGACAGCGCTGATGCATACACGCCTATAGGTCGACTATGTGATCCCCGTAACGGCGGAAAGCCAGCTCACATTGACAGACTATTCGACCGTCGTCGTTTCGCAGGCCAACACTATTTATAAGCCAACGACGCTGCCGCCCGTCACAGTGGTCGTCCCGACTACGGCCACAACGCAAGGGCAAACAGTCGTCATTGAGAGTGTGGTCACTCCGGACTGCACAACAACGCTCTCAACCGTGGTGGTGACGAATCAACCGCCGCCGCCGCCAGCCCAGACCACTCCTTGCACAACCACCGTCTCAGTCGTAGTGACAACCGAAGTGCCGCCGCCGGCCGAGACCTCGACTCCGTGCACAACCACAACGGCGACGGCAGTCGTGGTAGACACGCCACCACCAGCATTAAACACGACCATGGTTCCAAGTGCGATAGTGAGTCTCCCACCGGCGGAGACAACCATGGCCCCCCCACCAATTACAGCAAATGGGACAACGAGCGAGGTCACCAACCCACCCGGCGAAGTCACCAGCAGCCCACCCAGCGAGGAGACGCCTCCGCCGACCAACAACTCTACTACACCACCCCCTCCTGTTGCCACGGCTGCTGCGAACTCGAACCAGAAGATGAGCTCTGCGGTCGTGTTCTTTGCGGGCCTGCTCGGTGCCATTGCTCTCTTTTAAAGACATTATGTGTACCTGTTTCCTATTTCCGTACCGACAAGCGAACCTTTGCGCCGCGGCTCTTCCTCTCGTTTTCTCATCCTGTTGTCTCTTGTTTCTCTAGGGAAAAGGCGAGATACGAACAGGAGCTCATGACGCAATTGCGTATGAATTGCGCATGGATCCATGCATCAATGGCTCGGACGACATGAGACAATCTTTTTTCTTGCCGGTCATTTTCAAACTAGTGTTCCCTGTCTTTTGCGAGCAACGGCATACTGGCGCATCGGAGTAATTGCACGGCAGGAAGCTGCATTGCCAGTATCACACTCTTACGCACACCCACACACTATTGAGCTCGAGAGTTGCATGATGACCCAGACCGGATCTCACGTTGCCCTTTTACTAGCAACGGCAGAGAGGAGGAGGAGCGAGCGAGCGAACGCGACACTGAACTGTTATACCCCATTCCCTTCCGTGGTGAACTAGGCGACGGCGACGGAAGTGGACGAAAAAAGGACTGCGAGGTCCGCTCCTCGCGGTGGGCACGCCTACTGCCTCGAAGAAGAAAGGGCCACGGATTTTCTGTAAGGAATTTAATTTTCGCTGTGTATAATCTATCAACCCAACTAGAATATCCGCCTGGACTTAGGAGAGGCTGCTGGGGGTTTTTGGGGGGGTGTATTTTAGATTTCATTTTATTTTCCTTGAGTCTGAAACTGGGAGACACTATCCTCTGGCTTTCCTTATTTGGTGGGAGAGCTTGGGTTGCACGCATTACCTGACGCAAAGGAAAAAGGGAGAAAAAGGAAAGAATAGGACAGAAAGCACTTAGATACTGTACAATAAACGTGGGCAGTAGGATGGAGTATCATAGAAAGGCACCATACATTTTTTTCATCTCACATCACGCACACACACGCAGCCTGTTTGCCAGGCGAGCTGAGGACGGGATTGCGGTGGATATGATCGGCCACTTGTAGGTAGGCTACCTTGGGCACCTTTATAGGTTGTTGCCCCTTTACGTAGCCTACCCTCGTCGTGTATTAGCCCCTGCCAGGTATCCGTACCCGTGGACCTGCCTACCTTCCAGATTCCTTGGGATGAACGGTCGGAGAGCGGAGCTAAACTACAACTCTTCAGACGGCATTGCGGAGTTGTCTAGTTCGGCCCAGCCAGACATGGGGAACTCGCGAACGTCATGTCATGTCATGCCATGTCGCTCGCTCAGTCTACTGCAAGCTAAGCATAGTTCCCGCTTTCGCTTCGTCCAACCGCGCTGCTAGTAGACGTGCTTTAGCTTTAGCTCGAGCTCAAAGCGAGACGAGATGAGGCGATGGGCAATAACTTTGGTCGTTGACCTGCTTGTTGGTTAAATGCTTGGATACCTACCGTGCTGTACCATATATCAGATACGGAAGCCTGTAAGGTTGGCGCTTCCTTCTTGGGATATCTTTGCAATTGAGCACTAGATAGATGGACGGGAGTTTTGAAAGTGTTCCGGTGTGTTGTATCTAGAGATTCCTCGACAAGTAGGCATGCATGTAACGTACTACTAGCAATACCAGTAAGAGATGGGCTTTGCGTCCAATGTCCCATGGATGGGCGGCAGACTGGTGCTGCCATGGCATGGAAGCTGCTTGAAAAGAGCCCAAAATTTTCATCTCCATCGCAACTGCCACTTCAAGTGATCGGCGCTGGCAAACAGCCTTCTCCTCCTTTGCGCCTTCCTTCCTCTTGCTCTAGGCATCATGGTAAGACGAAGAAGAGGCGGGAGCATCTCCCCGCTTCCATGCAGTAGTATTAATGCACCCGAACCGCCAGGCTATGTCAGTCCACCACCTGCAAGTTCACCTTGACCCAGTGACGCTCTGATCGAAAGACCGGAGCCAACCTACTTTGCCTCGCCTTGCCTCTCCGCACTACTAGCTAACTAGCTAGCTCGCTCGTCATTGCCCAACCTCGCCTTTACGCACGCAGCCGGATCTATAGCACATCACATGCACCATGAAGCTCGCTGCTCTCTTCTTCGCCGTGGCGGCGGCCAGTGCTCCCGCTCCGGCGGCGGCGAGTCCTATCGAGCGCCGCGAGCTGGGCGGTGTAAGTCACCGATTCAGAGTTTTTCTCGAAGACCCGGGGAGGGGGGGGGGACAAAGCTAACCTGCAGTGACAAGGTGCTCATCTGCAACGGCGCCAACGCAAAGGGCTACTGCCAGTACAGCGTCTACAAGCTCGACACGTGTTACAACCTACCGCAGCAGCTCAAGCGCAACGCGGCGACGTTTGTTCCCGACGCGGACAAGTTTTACTGCTACCCGTACCTGTAAGAGCCAACCTGAGATAGATGCCCCCCCCCCCGGGCGCGCGCGCGCGCGTGTGTGTGTGTATGTGTGTGTGTGTATGTGTGTGTGTGTGTGTGTGTGTGTGTGTGTGTGTGTGTGTGTGTGTGTGTGTGTGTGTGTGTGTGTGTGTTCTTGTGTGATGGTTTTTTACTTAGACAGCGGCGAGGTAGTTGATATATATATATATATATGCTTGCTGATCAGAACAAAACACTATAGCATGGAATGCGGAGGCTTTTGCATGTCGGCCGCAGGCTGCACTCTGGGTGCTATCAGCTCCGACTACAAAAACAAGTACGACCTCTCGGCGGTGAAGTGGAACACGATCATCAGGTCGTTCAAATGCTACCTGAACACGACGGCCGCCCAGTTGACGTCGTGAGTTGTGTTGGGGGTTGACGGGCGAGGACGAAATTATGACATCCCCAAAAGGGGGAGAGTAAATACGCGGGTAATGAATGGAAAGGAGAGCGAGGCGTCGGTGTTGGAGTAGGAACCTGGTGCGTTGAACATTACGCAAGTATTTTTTTACCTAGAAGGCATTTGAGAGTAGTAAATAAACTTGTTCGGGGTTTCGGAGTTATCAAGGCATGTCTGCTCCGGGACTAAGCCAGTGATCAGGTCACAGATGACGCAGTGACACTTGGCGTGGGGTTGGAACTTGGTTGAAGGGTTATTCCGATAAAAAATGAACTTGGCGTATCTAGACAGTTGTCGTTTTGAACCGCCTTTCGGTGGTGAATGTTTGGACCTGTCCAGATGCCTGAGGTCGGATGAAACACGTTGGAGGTGGCAATGGATTAGCGTGCGGAGTATTGGCACAGATTCAAACATGGACCTCGTTTATTGAGGCTCAGGTCGACATCAGTGTGCAGGTCAACTGTCCTAGTCCCCTGCACCTCACCTGTCCCACCCCACTTTTTTTGGTGTAAAGCTCAGCCGACCTGGTCAATACGCTAGAGTCAATTGGCGTTTCCTTGGCTATGACGGAATGGAATGGCAATGGGGCCCCTCCTTCACTCCTTTTTACCCCTCGCTCGCTCGTTCATCCCCCCCCACTCCCCGCCTAATCACGGCCGGCAATCGACAAAGGTGGGGTTGACAGCTCTTTTGCCTGTGCCTGGCAATGGGAGAAGCTCCCCGATCCCGACGAGATGCCGCAGGCGGGGTACAATGGATTTATACTTATTCATGTACGGATAGATAGGCAGCGTCAGCGCGGAGGGAGGACGGGATTGATTGATTGATTGATTGATTGTCTGTTTGTCCTCTTCACCTCATCTCACTTTTCAAGTCTACCTAGTCACAGTTATGGCATTCACGACCAAGGCCACGATCCGGTCGTTTGGCGGCAAGCTGGTCAAGCTGTCGCACGCGTCGACGTCGACGGGCACTGACATGGCCGTCAACGTGTTCCTGCCGCCGCAGGCGCTGGCCGGCGCCAAGGTGCCCGTGCTGCTGTACCTGTCGGGCCTGACGTGCACCCCCGACAACTGCTCCGAGAAGGGCTTCTTCCAGCACGCCGCCGCCCGCCGCGGCCTGGCCATCGTCTACCCGGACACGTCGCCGCGCGGCCTCAACCTGCCCGGCGAGCGCGACGCCTGGGACTTTGGCGAGGCCGCCAGTTTTTATCTAGACGCCACCCAGCCGCCCTTTGCCGGCAAGTACAACATGGAGTCGTACCTGACGCGCGAGCTGCCCGCGGCTTTGTTTGCCGACGCGGAGTTCGGCGCCTTCTTCGCCGGCCCCGATGCACTGGCCATCACCGGCCACAGCATGGGCGGCCACGGCGCGCTGTCACTGTACCTCAAGCACCCGGGGCTGTTCCGCAGCGTGTCCGCTTTCGCCCCCATCGCCAACCCCTCGCGCTGCCCCTGGGGCGAGAAAGCCTTTGCGGGCTATCTCGGCGGTCCCGACCGCGAGGCGTGGAAGCAGCACGACTCGACGGAGTTGCTCAGCCGTTGCGCGAAAGGCACCGACGTCAGGATGCTCGTCGACGTCGGCACCGCCGATAACTTCTACAAGCAGGGCCAGCTGCTGCCTGAGAGCCTCGAGAAGGCGGCCAAGGACGCCGGTGTCGAGGGCTTTGAGCTGCGGTATCAGGACGTGAGTCTTTTTTTTTTTACTCTTTAGATTTCGTCTTGACACACAGAAACACTAAAATCCGGTTCTAATTAGGGCTATGACCACTCGTACTACTTCATGGCTAGCTTCGCCGACGACCACGTCAACCACGCGGCCAAGCACCTGGGTCTCTGAGCTGCTGCCGCTGCTGCCAGAGCTATCTTTGACCTGAATTACGAAAGTGCTAAAAGGTAGATGGGTTCTTGAGAGTGTATATTGAACGGCAGTTGACGAGTGGAAGTAAATAAGTAAATAAATAAGTCATTCAATAGATAACTTCGCCTCTGCTTTTTGCCTTTGGGTGGTACGTCGTGTCATTCAGGTCTCACCCACACTCACTTGGCAGGTACGGGCTGGTAGACCCTGAGATATTTAGTTAAATATATACCTTATTACCTATGTTTAGCACCTTGTCTTCTGCACGCATTGCAAGCAGCGGCAACAATGATAATAACAACACATCCACATTCCCAGCTCCCCCAGACAGGGTACGCACGCCATGTAAGCAAGGCAAAGCTTGTAGGGCTGGCATGATGAAACAAAAAACCGGGACCGCTCCAGTTTATTGCTATTATTTATCCCTCTTCCCTACTCCTCCTCCGCTCGCTCGTAAACTCGTAGCCTCGTTCGCATCCATCCATCCGGCTTCGCACCACCAACAGACGCCCCCTACTTGACTTAAAAAGGGGGTGCGGGATATAAGAGAAAGAAAACACCACGCATGAGAAACATAAGTAGGCAGGTAAGGTAGGTACATTTATGCATACGGAATACATAACGTGGATATATAGATAGGTATATACAACGCCGTCTCCCATGGATATTTGCCAACAAGAAAAAAAATAGACCAACAGACACACAGAAAAACTAATCAAGGTAAGTCGACAAAAAAGACTAGCTTCTAGCCTCCGCCCCTTCAGAGAGATAGATAAAACATCGCGAGTTCGCCTTGCAGTGCCGACACGAATGTGGGGAGGTCATGATATGTGCTGTGTGTGTGTGCCCAGGGGGGGTGGTAACTTGAGAATGCACACTGGGGAAATCAAAACGCGCATCACGGCAGCAATCAGCTGACTCTCTTGTCGCGCGGGTCAGACGGGTGGCCGAGGCTGTTGTTGCTAAAGGCGTCCCTGTGGTTGTTGTGGCCGCTGTTGCTTCCGCCGCTGTGGGTATTGTTGTTATTCCCGCCGGCGGCCCCGGCGTTGCCGATTTCGAGCTTGGCCCTCAGCTCCAGCTCGGCCTCGCGCCGGATGCGGACGTAGGCGAGCTTCTCGAAGCGGCTGAGGGCCTTCCACCAGTGCTGGCCGGCGTCGTGCTCGGCGATGCGCTCGAGCAGGTCGGCCGTCTTGATGCGCACGTCGCGGTCCTTGTGGAAGAGGCCGAGGGCCACGTAGAAGAGCCCGGCGTGCGACTCGGGCGCCACGCTCAGCAGCAGGCAGATCTCGTCGTACGAGTGCACGTACTTGGCAAAGGTCGAGTAGAGCTCCCTGCTCTGCATGGGGCTCAGGCGCTGCGTGCGCAGCCGGTCGTGCATGTGGTGCAGGTCTAGCCCCTTGAGGGGCCTCACCGTGTACAGCTGTGCCACGTCCTGAGGGTGTAATGGCTCGGTTAGCTCGGGATCAAATGCCGCGTGGATGACCGACGCCAGCCCTCCCCAGAGGACTGGAAAAGGACTTGTCTCTCTCCGCTTTCTCACCTGGATGAAGCTGTAGTAGCTCCTCGTGTTCCTCCACCCTTCGATCCGCGTCACGTTGCCCGCCAGCTCCTTGGCCTTGGAGGACTCGTCGCACCAGACGTATCCGTGGCCGCCGCCGACACCCGCCGCCGTCGTGTCGTGCTCGTCGCTGCCGATGTAGAGGGCGCTCGCGCCATATACGCTCTCCTCAAAGGCCGCCGCGATGCGGGTGAACTTGACCACCCAGTCTCTCCACTTGGCGCGGATGACGCGCTCGCCGGCTCGGTTAGCTATGCCGCGCTGAATATCCGCCATAAAGGCCACGTCGCCAGTGAGGTCGTTGGTTGAGCTGTTGATCAGAGAGGCGTGCGACGGGTTCTGCTGCTGAAAGTACACGAGCCCTTCGGTGATTGGGGCCTGGTCAATCTTGCTGCTGATCTTCATCTTGCCGCTGGGCAAGTCACAGAGCAGGTCCCACCACTCGGGATGGTGCTCAAAGGTCGGGTTCGTGACTCCGGCGATGAAGCCAGGCACATTCAGCAGGTCGTCGATCTTGGTCAAATCCGTGTACGGGAAGGCGTGGCGGGTGAAGCCCCTGAGTACACCGCCCGACGCGAGGGCGCAAGCCGCCAGAACGGCATCGGCCACCTCGCCCGACGGCAGGTTATAGCCCAAGAAAATGACGCGCTTCTGTGTCAGGAGCGCATTCACCAAAACAATGATGGGGTGGGTGTTTGGCCCATTCGTCGTCAGGTGCGGGTGCAAGGGGAACGTTTGCGGCGTCTTTGAGTGCGTGTCTGAGAAGTTTTGTATGAGTTTTATCAGGGAAAAGTCGCCCACCGTCTCGGGCATGACAGCCACAGGAACCTTGATGGGAATGGGGATTCCCTTGTACATGACCTTGCTCTCGAACTCGTGCGTATCCCTGGGGACCGCGTAGGTTGACTGGCCCTCGATGTGCGCCTTGGTCCCGGAGCGGAAGATTCCCGGCCGTTTTGGCGGGCTCCTGCTCGCGTCGAAAGGCTGGTCTGTAACGTTCTCCCCCCGATCCTCGGCTATTCGCATCTGGATCATCTGCTCAAACTTCTCCACAAAGAGGTCCTTGTTGTCGCTGGCCTGCAACAGGTGTCGCTCCTGCAAGCTCAGCTTGGGCATGAGCGACAAGTCCATATCGTTGACGGCAGTAAACAGCATTGACAATGTCTCGGGCACTGGCGATTTAAAGTATTCCTCCAATGCCAGCAATAAAAGGGGCTGCAATACCAGTCAGAGGCTATGTTACGGGAGGAGCCAAGTGTGGAGAAGGGTGCTGTACCTTGTAGATATGCAGGAAAGGGTGCCGGGTGCAGATGGCCATAGCCTTGACGACAGCTCCGCGCTTGACCGTCTTGTCTTGTTTTGTGTTGACTAGATTGAGGACGTATATCAGAGGCGGGCCCGCCCCACCTTCAGGTTCGCTGTCCGTCGAGGCATCGTCGTCCCAGTCGTCGTCATCGTCGTCGTCGTCCAGATCACCACCAGCCTCATCGTCCTCGTCGTCGGATTCATGTATGATGCCCTTCTCACGGTCCCGCTTGCGCCTGCGCCGTCTGCGCCGCTCGTCCTTTGCGCGGCGCTCTTCGTCGTCCTCTTCTTGGCTTGTGTCCTTGTGCAGGAAAAAGATGGTCCAGTCCTGGTTTCTCACGTGGGCCTGGTCGGGAAGCATGAGCTCGGCCAGCATGTGTTCGTCGCCCGTGATGGCCACGGGATACTGGTGCTCCATGACGGGACCGCGGTCGACGTCAAAGGACGCGACTAGGATGTACTCGACATGGTTCTCGGTGGCGCCGCGCGGGTACTGGGAGCGCAGTTTGCGCGGGCGGCGGGTCGGGGCGTCGTAGCGGCGAGGCGGGCCCGTCGACAGGGAGCTATGCTGAGACGAGACGGCAGTGCCTGTCGAGGCTGTCTTGCCCTTTGAGCTCGGATTGGATGTGCGATCCGTGTCTGAGGGGAGCGCGGCAGGGGGCAGCGGCGAGCGCGGGGGGCGCGGGGGCTGCGACATGTCCGAGGTAGACGTAGACCGCGAGTACAGGGGGAAGGACGAAAGCGAGGTTTGCTGGTTCGGCACGCCAGGAGTAGAAGTAGAAGCAGCAGTAGATCTAGATCCAACTACTCTCGCAGCATTGGCAGCATGGGCGGGCGCACTAGCTGTTCGCGATGCGACCGAGGGCAGCACTGCGTGCGCAAATGCCATGCTCTGGCCCACCAGCCACCGTCCGACGTCGTTCTGCCTCGACCAGCTGTCGGGCTACTCTGCCGTGTCCCTTTTTCTAGTCTGTGCCCTCTTGTCTCTTTCAAGATCGGATTGAAATGAAACGGGTGTTGCTATTTCCTGGTCGAGCTTGTGAAGATACGTTTTCGTGATCACGTTGGGTTGTGCGACTCCTCCAGTGGAAGGTGGGTGACGGGATAGCGAGACGGGTGGGTCAATTGCAGCCGAGTGCAAGGATTGGCAACGACGGCGCTGGGTATAGAGTTGTAGATCGGCGGCGTGCCACTCGGTTCGGACGATTTGTTCGCTGGTCCGCGTTTTATTCGAACTCGAAGTACAGGAGCTCGAGGTGGGCAATCTTAAATTTTGGCGTTGACAAGTGCAACGGGCGCAAGCTGCGAAAAAGGGGGGTGAGGGGGAGGCGCTGGCGTGGTGGAATTCGGAAAGGTAACGTCCATTCAGGAGGTGGTGTATGGTATTCAGTCGCACAGCCATGCAATACCTACACAGTACTCCATACTTGCGCAGTAACGGCAACCACAGCGCACTGGCTCGAGCGCTGGCAATGAAACGGCGTCGAGAGGAAAGCACAGACGGCACTTTGAGCGGCTCAAGGTTGTGTGTTGCAGCCAGCTCCTTCTCTTCTGGCGTCTTCTTTGGTCGAGTGTAGTTCTACATGTATTATATCTGTACAGTGCCTGGCAAGGCTGTCTTTCGACTTCCCGTCTAGTTAGATATCCCGTACGGCCCGACGGTAGTCGCATTCTGTTGCAGCTCGTCCGTCCCATCAATAAACATCAGACGATGAAATCAACACACACGAGCAGCCGCAATGCTAGATTCCATAGCCTCCCTTTGCTATAGTCCTCTTCTAGTAAGGACGTGCAAATGCGCCTTCGCTTTGTGATGTCTCATTTTGACAAGCAGGGGACAGGCAAGTCGGGGTTCAGACTGGCAGAGACAGACGGAGAAGTGAACGAGGGGGGCTCGGGTCTGGCTGTCCCCTGCGTCTTTGAAACATGCATGGCCAAATATGGGCCGCCGGAGAGCCTCAGCCCCGCATTACTAGATGGGGTCGGTGGGCAAGCCACAGGGAGGAGGGGGAGCGCCGTGGGGCAGTGGCTCGCGCCTTGGCCGTTGTCTGGTCAGTTTGTTTACTTACGTACTGCATTGGACCAGCTCGCCATCTCAAATTCCGGCTGTGGCTCGCGCCACGACTATCGCGTCCAATCTCCACTGCAGACCTCCCGCCATCGAGTCGCTAAAGCCAGGTCCTGAATATTTGACGAAATAATTTGCCAAGACAACGACCGATATTCCTACATCGCATCCGACTAGAACTACCGGTGCCTTGGTGTAGAGACACAACAACAGTAGCCTTCAACAGCGACCAACACGCCAAAACAGCCCTATACGGAGCCCTTCTTTCTTCTGCTCCTTGGCTACACACGAAAGTAAGGGTGCGGCAGCAACCGCTGTGACGCCATCATGGTAGGAGAGGTTAGAGAAATCTGGATTCGGCGTGCGCTGCAGCACTAACCTCGCGAGAAAACAACAGGCAATACCAGGAGGATACAAGCCGTCCCCGCTGGGATATGGCTCTCCTCGAAGCTCACCGTTCCGCCGGCCAGAGTCGCCGGCATCTCCATCTCCTCTCCGACACACCACCCCGACGGCATCACCGTCGAAAACAGGACACGCCAACGAGAGTTTTAGGTTTTCGACCACCGCCACAGCCGCCGCACCGCTGTCAGACAGCTGGTCACCCCGAGGAACGACGGCGATCGACGACACCCAGACGCCGCAGCAGCACGGTAGCTCCAGGCCTTCGGCCCCAAAGATGATGGCGCACGGGAATGCACTCTCTCAGCTGCAGCCGTCGCAGGTGCGCACGATGCGGGACGGGTTCCAGATCCTGGACCGCGACAGCGACGGCATTGTGAATAGAGAAGATGTCGCTGATATGCTCAACCAGCTGGGTAGGAGAATGCCACCCCCAACTGACTATGGACCATGATCTATCGATGCCGTGGCTAACAGTGGACGCCCTCTAGGCCTTCCGTCGAACCCGTCGGATCTCTCGCCATTCTTCCCGCCCGCAGCGCCCCAGACAATGACGCTGGCGGTGTTTCTCAACTCTCTGGCCACATCGCTGGCCGCCCTGTCGCCCAGCTCGGAGCTGGTGTCGGCCTTCTCGGCCTTTGACGACGACGACAGCGGACAGATTGACGTGGCCGAGCTGCGCGACGCCCTGCTGCACACGGCGCCAGAGCCCGGGGAACGGCCCGTGACCGCGGCCGAGGTCGACAAGGTCGTGAGTGGCTTCACGGGCCGGAGGGCGTTCAGCAGGAACAAGACGGGTGGCGGCCTGGGTAGTAAGCGCGGCGAGGTGTTCAAGTACAACGACTTTGTGAGCTCCGTTGTGGGGAGCAACGGCGGCGCGGAGCAGGCCTCGGGAGACGCCGAGGACGAGGCTTGAGCGGGCAGCATCGCCGCTTGGTTAGTTGGTTGGTTCCTGGCAGCGACTTGACTGGGCTGTACTACTACTACTACTATTTCATCACACAACCACGGAAGACATCATAAGAATAGAGCCTCCACAGTGTAGGTATCGGGTATTGAGGGTTTGGGGTCTTGGGGTATTGGACTGGGGACACGGGGTTATGAAATGAAATGTCTGTGTCGCTGTCGGGGCGGGCTTCGGTTTTTGATTCGCTCTGTAGTACGTATTTATTTGACTAGTGGTTGTTTTAGTTACATTACGCATACTTCTGCAGGATGCCCTCAATAACACGGATGTTTTCCCGCCAGCACTCTCGTGCTTGGTCCTCTGGGAGGTCCTTGGGTCGCCATTCAGGCTTCAGGAAACGTCCGAATTTGAACCACTCTAGAAGCACCTGCGTAGACTCGCTATCAAACCACGACGTCTTCCACTGAGGAATGGCGTTCCAGAATGCCTCCCGAAGCTCAGCGGCGCCTTCGTATTCGGGACCAAACCCGTTTGCTGCCGACCTGCGAAAGAGCATTTCGATGGTGCGGTACTGTGACGCAAACGGTGCGCTGGCGACAAACTCCCAGTCAATGACAGCTTGGATGTCTACGGGTGAGTGGCCGGATACCATGACATTGTGAGGTCCCATGTCTGAATGTATCGCAACGACATGGGTATCTTCGACAATTAAGGGAATTGTGTTAGTGTCCATGCGGTTGTCTATAAAGTCTCTGATTCGCTCGAGATATTGCTCTTTGTATTCTTCGATATCTTGTTGCTTTTCGAGGGCGACAAGCGAGGACTTGATGTATGCTTGGAGATACTCGCGTACGGAGGAGAACGGGCCGCCCAGACTATAGTGGCGGTCCGGTCCGATGTCGAGGTGAATTTGAATGGCGTCGCCGCCACCAACGTCTGAATCGGCTTTGGCGATAAGCTCACCGATCAGGCGAGGTTCCGGAAGTGGGATACTCCAGCAGGCTTGGAATGCGCAGGCCATTCTCCGAGCAAAAACGAGCTTCTCGTCGTGAGATAGACCGGGGTATACTGTCGAAGCCACGTGCCCTGTATGAGTCGCGTAATCTGCCTTCCCATGCCTGTGGCGTCCTGTCGACTCCTTTCCCCAGGGATCAGGTACATAGGAGGTGCTGGTAAGATTCGAGGGTCGAATGTCTTGGAAATCAACGTCATTAGCGCATCCATGGACGCGACGTTGCCATAGTGGCGTAGCTGGACCACGTAGGCGTCATCGGCGTTTTCTTCTTGAACTGTGAGCTTGTATGAGATGCTCAGTGCGCCATCAGTAAACCCGAGTCGACGACGCGAGGTGCTGGCCGGTGGCCGAGAGAATCACCTCGGCCAGCTCCGTTTCCGAGAGTTTGATAAGTCCCGGAGGGAAGCTGGAGGGGAGATTGCCCTTGATCGTCGGTCGATTTTAACCAAGTATCTGTCGATAGGAACTGCAGGCCCGTCCATGTCTTCGAGAACCGCTGACTAGGTGATGAATGTGGTGAGCGTCGTCAACGCTTCGATCAGCGCGTAGCTCACGCCTCTCCCGTTTGGAGGACTGAGCGCGCCTGAGAAGACGAAAGCCAAGATGGCCGACCGGCTTCATCTTTGGTCATGGGCTCGTCCGGCATGATGAGAGATGGTATCTTTCCATCGTGCTTCATGTCTCTTGGTTGTGGCCGCCAGGATCGGCCAAACAGCGACACAGACACTATATGTGAATGTGAAATGAACGTCACATTATCTGATTTTAAACCTAGCGCCGTGGCTGTCGCATTTGTGTCGCAAATTGCCAGCCCGTTTTGGTTTGCGACTTCCAGTATCCGTACACACTCTACAGTACGGATACACAGATGCCTTGGCCTTTTACACTGTGTGAAACTGCCAACCACAGCCGATGCAGACTCGGCGTTCCGGGTGAGATGCAGTGAAAGGCCCAAATCTGCAATATGTATAGTTAGCCACGAAAAAAAACATTGCTTGTAAAACAAACAACAGCCAATACCCAGCAGAAGCACTAATCACAGGTCCAATACGGAAGGTTCTCGGATCCGGCTATAACTAGCGCATCGCATGCCGGCCGCTCCGCTCCACATACCCGAACTTTGAACGGCCTGGGGCCGTCAAGGTCCGGCACAACCATGGATTTGCCGATGACACGTATACTGAGAAGACTCACGCCATGCTGTGGTAAGGCCCAAATATAGTACAAAACGAACCGCTTTGCAAATATATAAATCTTTAACTCTAAAGCCAGTCTTGCAAAGCCCTATCTATTCACGACAGTCTCTGGGTCCGGGTCGGAGACAAATGGGCATTGAACCAAGGACGCAAGAGCACAGAAGCTTCAGCCTCGCAAGCATGGGGGCAAGTTTGTTACTCCGACCACGGCCAACAAACCCCACAGAAGCTTCTCGAACTGGGGCAGAGGAACCCCGGGCTGAGTAGTGTGCTGCTTAATTCAATATTCCCTGCTCGACGAATTTCGGCGGCTATAGCGGGGTCTCAGTGCTCAGCCGTCAAGGCTCCCTTCAAGCCAGCTCCGGGCTGTCCTAGGGCCAAGAGGCTGCAAAGGGCCGGCAGCACCCGCCGTCCCGTTCGCTACACGGTCCCCTGGCAGCTGCCCAGAGCGTCTGGACCCTGGGCCTTCCCTGTCACGCTAGGAAGCCGCTCTTGCCCTGACAGTGAGAATAGGAAGTTGGGTACTGCTACAAAGAGAGGGGGAAAGGGAAGGGGCAAGGCAGGCAAACGGCGGCCCGGCCTTCTACTGGTTGGTAATGCAAGATGGCAGTTGTAAACAAGTCGGCCCCTCCAAGCCATTGGTTGGGCGACACGCTGGAACAACCTGTCAACTGTTAGGCCCTGCCCTGCGATGGGCGGTGCCCTGGTGTGGGGTCGACCCGAGTCTAAGAGACCTGCAGCGTGGCGCCCTCAGTGCCCGGCGCCCAGGTATCCAGTACCGGGGCTCGCTGGGCGTCGGGCGAATGGTTTTCTTTTGCTTCCCAATTTCCAGCGAAACCCCAGCCAGCTCATATTTCTTGAATCGCAAATCAAAAAGTGCCCAAAAGGCTACGTGATTTGCTCCAGAGCTGAGAAATCCTCTAAACCCTTTCAATCTGCCAAAGCCAAATGCAATGTGATGGTCGATCGTCCGGCTGCCTCGTCCTCGCGTTCTTGAACCAGCGCCGACCGACAGTTTTCCTTTCCAGACGTTAGCCCGTCCGAACCGCACGCTTCTCTCCCACCGTCAGTGCCCGCGCCCGTCAGCTTTTTTTTGTGCCCGCCCTCTTTTCTGGAGCGACCAGTGTTGCAGCTAGCTAGCCAGATCCAAGAAGCTCGCTGTTCCACTCTTCCCAGATACTTGAGCGCCCGGTACCGCCCCTGAATCCTCCCGCCAATTTTTGCCTTGATGCACCTGCTGCAATACAAAGCCTGACCTTGCCCCGAAGTCACGGCGTCAACCCTTCGCCTTGCGGACCAACCGCATTTAACAATCGGGGACCCAGCGACACCACTTTTCAGAGTTACTCTCGCCCCGAGTCCACTTCAATGAAGTTTTTCGGAAAAAAAGGTTCCAAGAAGCCCAACTCGGTCGAAGAGGAGGACGAAGACACCGCCAACTTTAGCGAGTCGCAGCCGCCCTCCCCAACTAAATCGCCCACTAAATCGCCCACCAAATCTTCGTCATCCCGCTCGCCGTCCAAACGCGACAAAGGCCAGCGACCCGCCTCGCCGCCGCTGCTCTCCCCTCGTGAGACCAAGCCGCGCCCCTCGCGCAGTTTTGCGCGACCAACCGACCCGGCAGCCTCATCTTCCCGGAAGAAGAAAATCGACCCGGACACGCACCCTCTGAACCTCCCACCCGAGCAGCGCAAGCGACTCTCTGCTCTCTCCGCCTCCGCCATGAGCGGTCGGAATTCAATGGAGGTCGAGAAAGACGCCGGTGCAAGCGGCGGCGGCGGCGGGGGCGGAATCCCGTCGTCGCCTGTCCCGCAGCAGCAACAGTCGCCGCCGCAGCAACAGCAGCAGTCGCCGAAGCCGCCAACCCCCCAAACAGGCTCCTTTACCTTCACCGTGCCTGTTCCCAATGGAGCCGAGCCGGCGGCCGCAGATGGGAGTGCCGACGAGGCAGTCCCTACCCCTCCCCCTCACCGGTCGCAGCCTTCTAGCCCCGTGCAGACCGATGCCCAGCAGGCCGAGAGCTTCAAAAATGAGGGTAACAAGTCCTTCAGGGACAAGGACTACCCGCGCGCAATCGAGCTCTACAGCAAAGGTAACCCGCTTTCACATGCCCTCGTTCCCGGGACTCTCAACTTCGCGACGCAGCTGGCTGACCCAATTCTCAGCCGTCGACTTGCAGCCTGATTCTGCAACCTACCTAGGCAACCGCGCTGCGGCTTTCATGTCTGCGAACAGATTCAGCGAGGCTCTGGAGGATTGCAAGCGGGCGGCAGATCTTGACCGTAACAATCCAAAGATTTTGCTGCGTTTGGCTCGCATCTACACCAGCCTTGGCCTGCCTGAGGAGGCAGTTGCTACTTTCAACCGCATCCAGCCACCCCCCTCGGCCAAGGATATGGCCCCCGCCAAGGAGATGCTCCATCACATCAAGTCGGCAAAATCAGCCCTCAAGGACGGAACTGCCTCAATGGTCCTCTATCCTCTCAACCAGGCCACTGCACTTCTTCCGTTTGGCGCCCCCAAGCCGAGGAAGTGGCAGCTAATGCGTGGCGAGGCGCTTCTCAAGATGGGCGATGTTAACTCGCTCGGAGAAGTCCACAACATTGCAATGCCGCTCTTGACAAACAACAGCCAGGATCCCGAGGCGCTCGTACTTCGTGGCCGCGCGCTGTATTCGCAGGGCGAGAATGACAAGGCCATAGCGCATTTCCGTAAAGCCATCAACTGCGACCCCGAGTTCAAGGATGCGATCAAGTGGCTCCGGATCGTTCAGAAGCTCGACAGAATGAAGGAAGATGGCAATGCCGATTACAAGGCAAGGCGATGGCAGGATGCGATTGACAAGTACACGGCCGCTCTGGAAATCGATCCGGCAAACAAGGGGACCAACTCCAAGATCCTCCGGAACAGGGCCCTGTGCCGTATTGAGTTGAAACAGTACGACGAGGCCGTCCAGGACTGCGACAAGGCTGTCAGCATGGACTCAACATATATCAAGGCTCGCAAGACCAAGGCCAACGCCTTGGGCCAGGCCGACAAGTGGGAAGATGCCGTCCGCGAATGGAAGTCCATCCAAGAGTTGGATCCGGAGGACCGGACTATTGCCAAGGAGATCAGAAAGGCTGAGCTCGAGCTCAAGAAGTCGCAACGGAAGGACTACTACAAGATTCTAGGTATCGACAAGAATGCCACGGAGAACGAAATCAAGAAGGCTTACCGAAAACTCGCCATTGTCCACCACCCGGACAAGAATCCCGGGGATGAGACTGCCGAAGCTCGCTTCAAAGATATCAGCGAGGCGTACGAGACACTGAGTGATCCACAGTAAGTTTTGCGCTGGAGAACCAAGCACATAAGTTTATGATTTCTAAAATGGCAACAGGAAACGCGCCCGATTTGATAGCGGCGACGACCTCGCCGACATGTCGGACATGTTTGGCAGCGGCGGCATGCATGGACATGGCGGAATCGACCCAGAGATCATCTTTTCGATGATGAGTCAGGGGGGCGGCTTCGGTGGTGGCGGCGGCTTCGGAGGAGGCCAGGGATTCAACTTCAACGAGCGCCAGCCCCCGAGACGAGGCGGCTTCCAAGGTTTTCATTACTCATGACAATCCGATGAAGACGCCAGCGATGACGACGAGGACGATGACGAGAGTGTTGGGGACACCTTCGGCGACACTCGACATGGGCCGCAATCCCAGCCAAGCGGGAGCGACGGCGATATCAAGGCGGCTTGGAGAGCCGAGGCGGCCAAGGAAAGGGATAAGTGGCTGGAACGGGTGCGTGGGGCAGGACTATTGCTGGCGGCTTCGATTGTGCTTCTCCCCGCGTATCTCGTGGCTGTGGTTGTCATGGGAGCTGGGGCTGTATACATTTGTATCATGGCGATGAGACCGGTCGGATCTCCTCGGAGACGCGGTTTTGCGACTTGAAAAGCTGGGTTTCGGCATTAGACTAGCACTGGTATTTGGCCATTTCGCATCACAACATCAATATCAACACATGGAGGAGGCGTTTTGTTTGGGTTCTAATATCACTACCCCGGGTCCATGTTAGGTTACCGCTGGCAGCAACTTGATTAGCAAGATAGACAGGTTAGTGGAATTTATAGGGGCGTAGCTTTTCTTTTTCCTGGACGAGTTATTCGTTCAGCCGGCCTGACGGGGCGTGCATTTTGTGAAGGTTCCTAGAAAGCGAGAGAATGGGTTTCGTTTGTTGGAGATATGTAAGTGTGCGAGTTCCATGATTATTAGACATCAAAATAAATATGAGATACTAGTTATGTTTCAAGATAAAGAGCACATTAGAGCCTGAGGAGGCCATTTCTTTCTTTGTCGTTACCATGGCACTAACCGATACAGCTAAAAGTTGAGTGTCAGGGTTGTTAGTGCGCCGACCGAAGTCCCGAGGAAGCGTCGGCGGGGCTGTCACCGTTCCCAAACAGGGTTCCACTCGGTACAGATCGCCTCAAGATCCGGGGTTTGGCCGCGGAAGAAGCTTGCCCCACCACCCCCTGCAGGTTGGATGGAGGCCACGATTCACTTGCCCGCCGCAAAAAAGTAGCCCTGTCTGTCCACTAGAAACCTCCACATCGCCTTCTCGCCCAGCGCGGACCTCGCTCATTAACCTGGACGGCCACGGTCTCCAGCACGATTATCTGGTCACCTAGTCCCCATGCTCGAGACGGCGCGCACTCGCTCCTTTAGTCTCGACTTCTGACTCTGTACAACAAACCAAGCTCATTTCGAAGCGTCTGACGGGACTTCCTGGCGACATTGCAGGCCCGTCCTACCTTGCCTCCCCTTAGTTCCGGACCTGCACTGCACCGTCTCGGCAATAATTCCACCTGAACCCTCCTGCGCACCAGGTCCCCTACCTAATTGCTAGTCCCCGCGCAACCGAGTGCCCACCGCTATGGGCGCCGACTACGCTTACGACGAGGAGGGCTACCTCTGGCCCTTCTTCGTCTTCACCCTGACCTTCATTGTCACGCTCCCGCTCACGTACCTGCTGGTGAGCCGCTCGCGCGACCCTGCCGCAGCCCTCAAGCGCGTCCAGTCCGACTACCGGCACGAGCATGCAGACCTCGTCGACACGCTGCGCAAGCAGGAGAAGCGCAAGGACCGGAAGCTCTGGCTGCTGGCCTTTGTCATGGCCGGGTGGGCCGTCATGGGCTACATGCTCTACCTCATCAACACAACCGAGGCGCCAACACAGAAGATCTGGAACCCCTACGACATCCTCAGCATCCCCGAGTCGGCCAGCATCAAGGTCATCAAGAGCACGTACAAGAAGCTGTCCCTCAGGTTCCATCCCGACAAGATACGGCCCGATGCCTCGAGGAACGAGACCCTCGAGGATCTCAACGCCCGCTACGTCGAGATATCAAAGGCCTACCAGGCCCTCACCGACGAGGAGGTCCGGAATAACTACATTCAGTACGGCAACCCCGACGGTAAGCAGGGCTACAGCATCAACATTGCCCTCCCGAAGGCCATGGTTTCGGACGGCAACGGAAAGTACATTGTCCTCATCTACTCGGCCCTCTTTGGAGTCCTCCTGCCCTATCTGGTCGGCTCCTGGTGGTACGGTACCCTGAGGCGGTCCAAGGAGGGGTCGCTGATGGAGAGCGCCAACCGCCTCTTCCGCGCGTACCAGGACGACATTGACGAGGGTGGCGTCATCACCGCTCTCAGCGAGGGCAAGGAATACGAGGACCTCTTCAAAGGCAACAAGGCCGACTCGCAACTATCCAGGATAGAGTCGAAGATTCTGGCCGAGGGCGAGCTCTCGCCCTTCGCTGGCGGCCTGTCTGTCAAGCACAAGGAGAAACTCCAGAACTTGGAGAGCGGGCCGCAGAGAAAGGCGCTTGCGCTGTTGTGGGCCTACCTGGGGCGCGTCGAGCTCGATGATCCTGCTCTGAACAAGGCCAAGCTCGAAGTTGCGCCCATTTCCCACGCTCTCAACAAGTCATTTACCGCCATATCTCTCGCATATATGAACACAGCACCGCTCTTAGCCTCTTACTACACAAGTCAACTGCTCATCCAGGCTCTCCCCCCCAAGTCATCCCCCCTCCTGCAACTCCCGTACTTCACGCCGAAGATTGTCAAGGCGGTTGAGGGAGACTCAAGAATCCGCACGTCGGTCCAGAGCTTTATGGACAGGCCAGACTCCAAGCGCCGTAGTCTGGTGGTAGGGAAGAATCTTCTCACAGAGCAGCAGTACAAGGAAGCAGTGAAGGTGGCCAAGCAACTGCCGTACCTCCGTGTGGCCAAGGCGTACTTCAAGGTGACTGGCGAACGTTGCATCATCCCATCATCCCTCGTCACACTGGTCGTTAAGGGTCGCTTTGTGCCGCCAGGCAGCGAAAAGCTGCCCGAGGTCAACGAGCCGGACCTCGAAGACATCGACCCGGCCGAGGACGACCTGGACGCCATCCTGGGCCGCAAGACTAAGAAGCAGATCGGCAAGGATGAAAATGGGAAGCCCATCATGTCGGCGGACAGCGAGCCCATTCTGCCGCCTCTCGCGTCAGCCCCCTATTTCGCCCGCGACCACAGCCCCAGGTGGCATGTCTTTTTGACCGACTCCAAGCAGGGCAGAGTTGCGGTGCCGCCGTTTACGTTTGCACAGTTTGACCGCCCAGTGTTCCAAGAGGACGGCAGGACGCCGACGTTTGCCATGCAGACGCTCAAGGCGCAGTTCCAAGCCCCGCCGCAGGCCGGCCATTACACTTTTGTCATGCACGTCGTCTGCGACAGCTACGTCGGCTTCGACACCAAGATGGAGGTGACGCTGATAGTCGACGAGGCGAGCAAGGCTGCCGAGATGGCGGACGATGATCAGATTAGCGAGCCTGATGAAGGTTGGTCTACCACTTTTCTTCCATAGTATGCACTGTAGCAAAAAACTGACCATTGTTCTCAAAAGACTCGCTTGCCGGCATCATGAACGCGGCCAAGGGCGGGCCTGCGCCGTCGCCGCCAGGAGCCGCAAAGGCGGGCAAGAAGAGCAGGAAAGAGCAGGACGAGTCAGACGACGAGAGCGGCACAGAGGAGGAGGAAGATGATACCAGCGCCACAAACACAGACACGGAAGCAGAGGACTAAACAGCCCAAAACGCCATATTTTAGATTTCTTCTTGTATCTGGTGGTGGGGGTTCATCATAATGTGTCTCTCTCTGTGTAAACCAAACATCCCCCTTTTTTTATAACGGCGTTTAGACAAAGAGCTGCTTTTTTATTTTTTTTATCATTCTATATCTTTTATCTTCAAAAGACAGACAGGAGTGAGAGAAAGAGAGATAAAAAGTAAAAAGCAACTCGGGGAAGAATACGATGTACGGCGTTGATCATCTATCGTTCGTCCTTTTTCTAACTTACTTGCCTTATTTATATGAGCGAAAAGATCAAATTACAGAACTGAAGTTGCTAGGTGATGAGGGACTGGGCGAGTGGATTGTGAGATTTCCCATTTGTTTTGTGAGAATATGGTGAATTAGTTGGTGAGTAAATCCTTGAGTGAGTGCTCGAGTGCGTGATTGAGGAGTGAAAGGGCAAGTGAAAGACTAAGTGAGCGAGAAGGCGGTGAGAGAGTTAAGTGGATGAGCACTCGAGTGAGTGATAGTGGAGTGCGGGAGTAAGTGAGTATTTAAGTACGTACTCAAGTAGTAGTAAACTCTGGATGTGAGGTGATGGCACTTTCATGTCATAATGGGCTGTCATCGGTTGTGTCTACACCACCAAGTCCCGATTACATAAATTGATATGCTCTAGATTTCTTGCCATGTACATGTGTCTCAGGTCTTTTGTCTAGGTATCTAGGAATAAGATAATGTCTATGTATCATCTAGTCTTTCTTGTTTTGTCTATGCCGTGAACACACCACCTAGGCGAGTGAGTGCGCTCTCATCTTCTATCGACCCTGCGTGTTTACACGGGCCCCCCTTCTCAGGTCATCATCGCCTTGATTACTCTCTACCTGCAGGCCGCGTCGTTGCAGGACTGACCATGCTTCATCCCTGGTTGGGGAGGTTGGTGTGTCGCCTGGGAATATGGCCAGCATTCGAAGGAGGGTGCGTATTGGCGTAGCTTTCATCTGGGTGTATGGTCGCTTATTGAAGTCATGCCAAACCGGGCGAGATAGATAGCATGTTATATCGGTTGGAGGGTTCTTGCTGCTAGGTAGCAGTTCTGATCTATTGGTTGCCACGCTTGTTGCAACGGGATAGCAGGATTAGAATTTATCCAACACAGCGCAGCATCAGCGCATGAAAGGTTTGCGCGGCACATGGTCCGACAGCAGTGTGCCTTTCTCTCCACTCTGTTAGTCCCAGAGCGTTTCTCGCGGATTGGAAGCATCATGTCGTGATGCATAGAATCGTCTCAGAAGGCTACAAGTTCTTCGTTTTTATCTCGCCGCTACCCGTCCTTCTCGAAGGCGTCGTTGAGGTAGCCCACGAAGCTCTCGCGCAGGCGGCTCGTCATGAGCTTGCCGACGGCCTCTAGGCCGATGCCGCCGCGGTTGAGGGCGACAAACGCGCGGCGGTGCCGCTGCAGCTGCGGCAGCCCGACCTTGGACCCGGGGAGCTCCACCACCAGGTCGTCGTCGGCGACACCAGCCGCGGCGGCGGCCCGTGGGATGCGGACTTCGCCGCCGCCGCCGTCCGAGTACTCCTGCTGCTTCTCGAGGATCTTCTTGACAATGTCCTGCGTCTCCCGCTCCAGCACGTACAGGTAGTCGCCGCCGGGGTCCTTGTCGCGCTGCACCGTCGACTGGTTCGGCCGCACGACCTTCTTGGCCTCGCCCGCCACGGCGTCCCAGATCTGGCCGAAGACCTGGCGCGTCTGTTCCGCGTCGTCCTCCCAGATGAGCGTGAACAGCGGGCTGTCCCAGCGCGTCATGGGGTTGGGCTCCTCGTACCGGAACACGAGGTTATCCCAGTTAGCGGGTTCGTAGGGCTCGACGTCCTTGGATTTTTCAGTTTCTGCCTGTGCTGGCTCTTCTTGCTTCTGGTCCTCCTGGTACTGCTTCCTCCTCTCCAGGCGGGCCTCGTTGACAGCGCGTGCGCGGTCGACAGCGCAGCCAACCTGCAGCACGGCACTCGGGGTGCTCATGTTCTTGGCCTCGCAGAACAGCTGGTAGCGCCAGCCCTTGATGTAGTTGAGACCGTCGAGCACGACTATGTCCCGGGGCGACAGCACGCGCTTGACGGCGGCGTAGACGGCGGCGCGGGCGTCCTTCTCCGAGGCATTGGCGGACCGCACGTGGGCCGGCAGCTGGGTCGGCGACAGGTCGTAGACGGCCCGCGAGATGCTCTGGGTTTCGTCGGATATTAGGTGGAGCCGGTACTTGGTCTTGTCGTTGTGGGCGGCGATGCGCTCGGCCAGGTAGGTGTGCAGCTGTTCGGCGCGCGTCGACTTGCCCGATGTCGGAAGGCCCGTGACGATGATGAGCTTTGCGACAAGGGGCCAGGTCAGAATGGGGTGTTGATGGGGGGGCGCAGTTTGGTACTCACAGGCATGGTCAATTCCGTTGGACTTCTGGTCTCTTTGAAATCTATCAGGTCGTAAGAAGGAATCCTAGAAGCAAGGCGGCGCAAGTGACTTTTGTAGCTTGTTCTCCAAAGCTTCAAAATAACAACTGATGGCGGGGCAGAACAGAGGGGTGAAATACCTACATGATGGATCTATGGTGGATACCTGGCACAGGCATTATGGATTAACGTTAGTTCGCTATGGAATACCTACCGTTTAAGTATTCGTACCTGGTTCTGTACTCCGTATGTACATACATACGAATACCTTATTTTAATTACCAGTGTTTAAGTGGTAGGGGACTTTTCGTCCAAGTCCCAACACCTAATCCGACTCCGGTGCTTCCTCTGACAACACAAATTACAATTGCCCTCTCTTTATCTGACAAGAACCACAACTGTCATGGATCTTCTGCATCGTTGCCAACCTTCTTTGATGTATTGGTATAGTCTTTATATACTCCGAATTGATCATCAGATTTAGCACAAGTAACGCCTTTTAAGATGTCTGAGCTTGGTAAAAATTCTCAACTACCTAAGTGGTAGACATCTACTTTATGAACAGACTCAGACCCAGGGAGCCCATGGCGATAGACAGGCTTGCTTGGCCAGCTCGGCAACAACTGTTGTTGGTACAGCTGAAATGTTTGACAGAAGCTGGCCTGACTTGTGGCTTGAGGTGCGCTGCACCCTGCAATTGCAATGCCTCCCTACTTCTCGACCCAAAGCCGGCTCGCAGATTCAGCCTTGGCCCGTTAGTTAGCATGGCATCGTCGACCCAACTTGAATTCCCCGACTTCTCATCATTTTAATATCTGCGCCTTTCATCCACCCCTCCTCAAGACAGCAAACAGTCGGATGAACCCATTGCCACTCTGATCCCATATACGTATCAACGTTCTTCTATTGGGCAAGTCAAGTGGCCATTCGTCGACGGCGTGCCTGGGACTGAGTGAGTGACTTCCAGGCAAGGTCTTCAGCAGCCGCCATGGCCGATCTGATAACCATTCTCGGAGCCGCCAGCTCCGCCATCACTATCATCGACCTGCTGGCCAAAACAATCAGCCCCGTGTCGGAGCTCAGGAGCCGATGGAACAGCTCTGATATCACGATTTCCACCTTCGAGACGCAGCTGATCGCCGTCAAGGCTGCTTTGGTCAAGATCAAGGAATGGTCCGAAACCAGCTTTGAGACCCCTACTACCAGTTCGTCATGGACCTAGACCGCTGTCTTTCTCACTGCGCTCTGCTGGTCGGTACCATCGACGCCGAAATGGCCCCTCTACAATCGACAGCTGGCGGCCAGCTCGACGTTGCCAGCAAGTTGCGTCTCCTCTTCAAGACGAAATGCATGCAGGACATACAGAAGATAATAGAGCATGTGACAGGCGCCCTGAACCTGTTGCTGACGGCCTGCAACTAGTAAGACAATATACTGTTCATGTCGAATTATAACATTACGGTTTTGCTAATCATCCGCTACCCAGTACCTCGTTATCCGAGCAGAGAGTCTTTCTCGAGACTCGAGATGTTCGACGAGAGTTCAAGAAAATTGACGACGACGTCGCTTCCATGTTTGTCCACCGAGACGTCGATTTCCTGCAGACCTACTTTAGCGGTACATCCATCACTTCATCGAAACGGTCGCTCGTGTTCGACTTTGACCGAGAGCTTCTGCCCAGCCAGATATACAGAAGAGTCTTCCAGGGCTCTGTGAAAGCCAGTCTGCTGAAGCTGCAAGGGGATTTCCCAGTGGCCACGCTGGAGTTTCTGGCTATAGCCACTGGCATCAAACGCAAAACACAGCTGCATGAAGCGTGCCTGACTGGAGACCAAGAAACTGCCCAGAAACTTATCCAGAAGGGTGCCGACATTGAAGCCGAAAATCGAAGTGGTAATACGCCACTATCTTCAGCCGCGAGGGAAGGTCACGAAGCAGTTGTACGAGTACTCCTTGATAAAGGGGCTGATGTCGAAGCCAATACTATAGGGGGGGGTGCGCCTCTATATGGGGCCGCGGCCAGCGGCCACGAAGCAGTTGTACGACTTCTACTCGAAAATGGGGCTGACGCCAATGTGATGGATGATGATGGTCAAACGCCACTTAGACGGGCTGTCAAGGGAAATCACAAGACGGTCATTCGGGTGCTACGCGAGTTTCAGAAGTAACAGGTCTCCTTTCACGATAGTTTTGGTCATCCTGAGAGTTTTCTTGGTACGGGTTAGGAACAGGACGAGAGTGGTTACACGTTCCGTCGAGAAAAGACCATGGAAATATGAGCGGCTCTTTCAACCTCTTCTACGACAAACTTTCTCAGTCGGCGGACATAATAAGCATCGCGCTACTCTCAAGAGCGTCTCGAGCCTCTACTTGTTCAGGGGCGAAAAGGCTTGCTCTAGACCACCAAGCAAACCCGAAACCGTCTCTTTGTCACGGAGAACTCCGCCACCGGGCCCGAAAGCGAAAAAGAAGCGCTGGACCTTCCTGCCATGCACCACGCAGTCGGCGAGGTCATGCCGGCCGCGCTCGCGGAACAGGCGGGCGAACCGCTCCTCGTCGTCGGACAGCTCGTTGGATCCCTCATAGAAACTCCCGACGGGCCACATCATGCACGGCGACGAGAAGGCCTCGGCCCACGACGCCGTCCGCGTCCACTCCCAGTCAATGACGCTCGTGATGTTGAGGGTGTCGTCGACGAGGATGTAGTCGCCCTTGTCGTCGGGGTGCTTGAGGTAGAACCGCTCTTTAGTGCCCGCTGTCTAACCTCTAGCGTGGGACACGTGTGCCACGGGCCCTGCAGGTGCCTCCGGCAGAGATGGAGCTCGCAGAGCTCGCAGTCGACGGCCCGTTGCACGGCGGGTCGCGGGCACGCCGGCCAGTCGCACTGCCACAGGGCCATTTCCTTGTTTTCTTTTCTCGGGTGGTGGTGTGATGGTGATGATGATGACTTCTTGGCACGTATACACTTGACGAACAGACTGATACCATGTACGCTCGGATGAAAATGCAATTAAAAACACTTGCTTTATGAACCAGGATGGGACGGGATCTAAACCCTCGTTTATCCTCCCTCACCGCTATAGCATACCCAACAACGCAGTCGCTGGTATTTTTCATCCCTCACTCCCTTGGCGCATGGGTTGTAGGAGGATAGGGGCTGATTGGCCGTGTAGAGCCCGACAGTCTGGGTCCGTACATACGTATGTATACACATAATGGACGTGGTGCTTTGCTTTGCTTTGCTTTGCGCAGCCTGTAGACAGCACGACACACGAACACGACAAGCTTCATCGAATGAAGCAGTGTAGCTGACCGCTTTTCACCCCCAAGGCACGTATGGTACGTATGGAACATCACATCATCACTTCGAACCTAGCATATGTGCCTTGTTAGTAGCGACGATATATGCCGTAGCTCGGTGAATAAGGTCAAGTTTAGATGACACAGGACGGCAAGCAATGCAATCCCCCAAGCTCAACATGTCGCCGAAGAAAAAGATAAAAAAAAGGAAGTTTGAATCAAAGCTAGTATATACGTATATGCGTCTATGTTTTTCTATGCCACCCTCCCAAACCCCCCCCCCCCCCCCCCCCAGAAAAAAAAGGTCCCCCAAAGCCCCTCGCTAGGTATCTATGCATCTATGCTATAAACAAAAGAGATATCAAAAAAAAGGCAACCTTATCCAAGAAGATATCTCACCGCCAGCCGCCCCTTCAATACGACCCTCCATTATCCCTCTGGCGGCCCGTCATCTCGACCTCGTCCGCGGGGCGGCCGGCGGGCGCCTTGTAGGCGGGGGACGCCTTCTGCAGGGTCAGGCCGACGGCCTCGATGATGGCGACGGTGGCCATCTCCATAACAATAGCCATACCAATGAGGTAGTGGGGGTAGTTTGGCGAGCCGCCGAAGCTCCTGAAGTTTGGGTCTGACCCGAACGTGGCCATGGCGGAGAAGACTATGCGCACGAGCAGGAACGGCAGGGCGAGCCCGACGGCCAGCAGCAGCCTGCGCTCGCCGGCGGCGACGTGGCCGACGTGGGCGGCGGCGGCGATCGTGACGCCGACGAGGATGGCGTAGCCGGCAATCAGTAGCCCGAGGCCGGCCTTGGACTCGACCGGGATCGAGTATGTCGGCGGTGCTTGGCCCTGCGCTTGGCCGTCGAAGGCCTTGGAGACGGCGTCGCCCAGCTTGGTTCCGCCGACGATGCCGAGGATCAGGCCGACGAGCACGACGAGCTGCACGAGGCGCAGGGTACGCGGCTCGACGACGGCGTAGCCGGTGCCCTGGCGGGCGATGCCGCCGAGCACACGGCCGATGAGCGCCAGAACGACGAGCACCAGGGCCGAGATGCCGATGGACAGCAGCGTGGCGGCGCCGACGATGAGGCCGACGTTGGTCGGGTCGTTGATGGTGGCCAGCTGCAGCGCGCTGCCGAGGATGCGCGCGACGGAGAAGACGACCAGGAATAGCCAGCCGGCGTTGCGGCCGAAGCCGTGGCGCAGGGCTAGGGTTACGGCCACGGCCAGCGCCGGGACGTAGACCACGATAGTGCCGATGGCGATGCGGTCGAGGTCGGTCAGGTTGGCCATGTTGGCGGTCGGTTATATAAGAGCTAGCTCACGATGGTGGTGGATGTGAATGTGAGGCTGGTGATGATGACGGCCCGGTGGTGATCCAGGAAGTGCGAGTGAGCCAACAACAACAGCAAGACGTGCCGAAGCAGCTGCTCTTATGCATTTGTTCAAGACAAGCCATGACGGCGGCGGGGCTTGCCCTCGATGCTTTTTTTCTTTTTTTTTCCTTCTTTCATTCAGCCGCGCAGAATCGCGGCGTATGACTGAGCTGGACTGGACCAGTATGGTGGTTTGGTGGCTCCGAGAGTGGGAAAGCGAGCAATCCGACTCGGTGTTACCGTACTGTGCGTAATCCCTGTAGACGGCAAATCGGCAAGTGCTCGGATAGGCTAACGGTCTGACCGATGCCATGCGTCCCTCGCCGCAGCACCAGCCTTTACAGCGGAGGGCGATCAAAAAGTGAGCCCGGCCGGGCCAATCAATCACACAGCCTGCCTCGATGGAATCGGAGCCGACCAGTGGGTGCACCACCCGCATTTCCATCGATTCTTATTGCCGTCCTTGGGGAAATTGCAGAAAAAAACAATGTGAATCTGAAAAAAGAGTCCGAAACTGGCAAGTATATACAGTACAGGTACGTAGGTAGTAGAGCGCGGTAAAGGATGCCGTTGCGTTGCGTTGCCCGCCTGGCAATCCCTCCCGATTCAAGACGTTCAAACATGCGCGACGCCAACTAACTAACACGCTTTGGTGAACGCCGCTGCCAAGACTGTTAACAACCGGCTTGGCGACAGGCACTCCCAGTCCCAACAGACGACATCCGTACTCTTTTCTGTGGAGCCGGAGCCGATCTGTCGGGGATGCCTTAACCTAGGGTTATGGACGAATGAAATGGAGGGCAAAGTTCCATGCCATGTCATAGAGCCGAGATCCCGTCACATTCTATAATGTTTGCGTGCACAGGGTCTCCGCTGTCTAATACGATTGTTTACACGACGCCGGCTCTGTGACTGGCATGAAGGTGCGGTGTAGGTGTGGCGAAGCGTTGGATGACGATGACGACCCGAGTGAAGATCATCGCCCTAGCCCCAGTGAATGGGCAACTGACTAACGAAGCGACGCCAGCTACCTTAATTATCATAACCAAGGAAAGGCTGCTTCTCGGGTGACACGACGGAAGGCGTAGGTCGAGCTGACGTCGGGTCCAACCAGACTAATGTTTCAGCGTGTCGTAGCGCTGACCTTGCCTTAGGAACGGATTTAATCAGCAAGCCGCAGAGAGTTGCTAAACCCGTAGAGTTACCTTAGTTGCCTGGGCTTTTAGTTGCGCCACCTGGATTACCAATACTTACCTACTTAAGGTACTTGCCTAACGAGAACTCCTTTTTTTTTCAAATTCCGGGAACCTGTCAAATAATGGAACCCTTTATTCCCCGGATATCTCTCCGGGGCAATGCCGACCAGACAGCAATTTAGAAGCTCTGAAGAAGGCACATGCTTACCTTACCTTACGCAAGAGCTCGGGTATGCTGGGGTAGCCTACAGCCACTACAGCCTACAGCAGTATATATGCACAGTTGACTAGACTGCTAGGCACACAGGTATCTGTTTTGTCTAGCTAGCACAGCGGCACCTATTACATCGGGTGTGAAAACACCAGCTGTTTCAGGGGCACCTAATGGTGAACTGGTGATATTTGATTTCCTTGCGACCCGCAAGGCTTGAAACTGGAGTCGGAAACCAACTATGTACCTGGCCGGATTTTCAAACGTTGGATGCGAAAACTCCAGAGATCCAGTCTATCATTATCGAAGGATGAAGCCGTATTTAGGTTGAGAAAGGGTCAATTTGGCTTGACAAGTTGACCTGTTTACTTGATCTTTTTTCGATTTGACTTAGTGGTGGGAAATATTTGCCTGGCCCATGTAAATCTTGAACTAATTACCTAGGTAGGCAGGTAGGTAGGTAGGTATGGGTCCATTTATTTGATTTGCATTGTTTTGTTAGACCAACGTCCCCGCTCACTCACAAGGGCAATCTCAAGCAGGAACCCGTCCCAGAGTCCCAACGGTTGTTGTGTCGGTGCTCGTCAAGAAGTAATATATGATTACCGGTAGGTCATGCTCAAAACACCAAAAATAGGATCGCCACCCCCTCCCCCGCGTCGTCGACTCAAGAGGACTAACGCCACCGTCTGCAACCACTAAAAGTTTAACTAAACCTTTCTCAACCCATTGCTATCACGTGCTATTACTAGCTCATGCCATGCCGTATCTGCAGGCGTACCTTTGACTTACCCGTCCTTTGCCCAAAGAGTAAAAGTGCTCACTCTTGTCATCTTGCTGCGCCGGCGAATCCGGGCACGCAACATGGCCATCAATGCACAGGAGCTCAAGGGTGAACTAATTACCTTACCCAATGGGGTAATGTAGTGTTGTAGATAAAATGATGGGGAGGACGGTGTATAATGTTCCCCCCCTAGATACACCGGCTTTGCGGGATTAGAACAGCCCGGGGGTTTGGCTCACAGAGCAGTTGTTGGGTGACGGGGATTCCCCCCCCCCCCCCCCCCCTTTCTTTTTTTTTGGGGGGGGGGGACAATAACTTGGTTTGTGGCCAGCTAGACCGGCTAATTACCGAAGGAGCTTTTCGGTGCGGAATATAGAGAGAAACATGGGTGATACCGGGCTATCTATCTAGAATTGCTGCCCACTAGAATTAGAACTGATCGTCTAATTAACACACTCGTTTTGGGACTCAACAACACTGTCCCTGCTCCTCTTATCTCTTTTCGCAACTACCGGTATATAGGTGCCATTAATTAGGCGGCTTCATGTCTTGTTTCTTTGTGTGGCCTTTAAATACATCTGCCGCACCTGCCTGGGTAGAGAGAGTTACCTCTCGTGGCTGTTGGTATGTCCGCAGCAAGGAAATTCTTCACCAACCCTAATTATTACTCCAAAGCCGCAGTCACAAGATAGATCACAATAGATGGGCCAAGTACTTCATCTGACTTTCTTCCAACTTGGTTTGCCGACATGGTAGTTCTACGAATCTTTATTTATAACTTTAATGACTGCTTTGGGCAATGTGACTGCTTATGGACTTGTTCCAGACGAACCATGATGCCGGTGTTGAAGCTTTTCCTTCGGCTACAGAGACAAAAGTGGCGTGTGACTGGCCTCTTTTCGAGGCTGTCAAGTCAAGTGAAACGGAGTCTCCTACTGTTGTTGGAGGTTTGGTGCCTTAAGAGTCGAAAGCGAGGAATCCGACGCAGTGTGTTACTGCAAAACTGGGGAGGCGGCAAGTCGGCAAGAGCCCTGATAGGCTGGCTGGCGTGGCCGCGGGCCAGCGACAAGTGAGCTGGCCAGTCAGACGGCCTTGGCGAAATTGAGCTGGCCAAGGACGGCGGCATTCGCATCTCATTTGATACGTACGTACTGCTGATCTATACTGCCATTTCGGATTCAGCGAAGGCAATCCGAATTTTATATTCATACCAGGTTGGTGGCCGCTGGCTGGAGATGCCGTCCTTGTCGTGGTCTTGTTTCCTATTAGATCCGTCTAGTGGGGGAGTGGTCAACCGAGTATTCCGTGCCCATTGTGAAATTGGGTGAGCGCCACCGCCAAGACTGTCAAAATCTGACTTGGCAGCCCTCGATATCGACCGCAGTTGAACGTGTAGACATCCTTGCCTTGATCCTCAGGCAGTCCACAGTTCCTTCTCTTTGTGGAATGGAACCAAACTGTCGGGGAAAGGACCCGGAAATAGTAGAAAACAAACTCTCGTAAAGTCGGCTGAGTCCCCGTTCTAGAAGACTCAGAGAAGAAAATGGCGCGGCCTGATGGTAAGACCATGCTGCTTGTGATTGGCATGATGACTGGCACCCATGTGCCTGCCGTTGGCGTGGGGCGAAGTGTTGGATGACGACAGGATAAGGGGCTGAGCAAAAGGGAAAAAGATTATGGATGCATCTACGCTTTACTTAACGAAACAAACTCTAGATTCGTGGAAATCTATTTCTCCTATCCGTCTTGCATTGTTGAGGAAGAATGGAAGATAGCGCTCTTTTCTCTTGCTCTTCCCCACCACTAGTGATAGTGTTCGGGGGGCAGGTAGTGTGGGACTGGGAAAGGATCAAACTCGAAACTCTTCCCACCAAGCTAGCCGCCGCCACAGATGTGATTGTGTTTGTTCCTTCCTTCCTCCGAGGGAGAGACGAGAGACGAGAGACGAGACTGCATGATCCTAGTGCAAACCCGGGCGTCTGGATGGATGCGGTAGTTTATCACCTAGTGCGTGCTGCGTGTTGATTCACTGAACGTTTAATTGATAATTGACACTTGAGCAAGCCGAGCGAGCACGTAAACACTGTCGAGAAATTTATGTAAATGGCAAAAAGCATGGGGGCTGCGCCGCAGAGCCGCAGACCCCTGAAGATCGCCAAGACGCGAGCCGGCGATGAGGTCATGCTAAGGTTGGGTCGCCTCATGGGTTTGTAGTCTGTGCATGTATGTACGGAAAGTCTCAGAGATCTCCATATCGAAACATGTTTTGGCTCTGATATTAGGTAAACCTAAATGTTTATTTTTTGTTTTTATTCCCGGCCACGATACGAACTCTGTGGGTAGGGCTGAATGACCAAAGTCTCTCCAGTCTCTCCAGAATTGCTTTGTGGCGCGCGCTAATCCTCCGTAGTGCTCTCGGAAGTCGAGTCGTCCGGGACCGAGAGAGAACGATACGAGCCTCACTAGCACGAAAAGGCGCAAGTTGGGGTCGTTCAATTTCACTCTAAGTCGGAGCACATGATGAGGACAAAAAGTGCAGGCGGTCAAGAGAGTAGTAGGGTGACGAAAAGCCTAGACAATTCCGGTCACTATTGGGGAGAAGTGGGCAAACAGCAGCAACCCAGAAACGCACCTCAGCATAGCCACACCCAGACACGACATTTTTGCCGAATCCGTCTGCAAGACGGACATGTGTGCTACCAAACGCCCACTCATTGCTTTGCTTGCTTATGCGACTTGATTCCGAACTAGTGTAACTACCGGCATATTTAGCCCACGAGCATTAACAGCTTCCTGGAGAGGGTGTACTAAGTTCCCTCACAGCTGGGTTTGCGCTTAATGTGGATGGGGGTCCCTCGTTCAGCCCCAGCCGCTTACAGCTCCAGCCCGCCGCTCGCACACCAGCCACAGCCAGCGCCCCCCTTACCAGCCGCCGCGCAGGAGAAAAGAGACGGGAGGGGGCGGCAACGGAAAGGACCCCTAATTTTTAAATGCGCGCCCACGTAAGAAGCGTATTCAGTACATTAATCTCAGAACCCCGTGGCGGGGAGATACCGGACATAGGGCGTTTTCCATGTATTTAATCTCGCATGCTGCTTGCTGCAGAGAGGCTGAGCTCGGGCGAAAGCACCTTTATACTCCTCTTCGACATCTGCTGGGTAACTAAGGGGCTCTGGTGGCCGCTGGGAAGGGAGGCTTTGGTGCGACGCAGCCCGCCAGACCCAATAGACCCTAACAACAACGAGGGCGGGTTGCTCTTGTATGGGGCGCGGAGAGCCCTCCAGAGCCCCCCCAGAGCCCCCTCTATGGAATCAATATATCGCGAGCCCCTAATGCACGCGCGACGCGCAACTGTTAATTAAGTTATTTAGCGTAGGGCTGTGCCTGCGGAGGGCATCTGCGGGACTTTTAGCGCGAGCGTGTCCTGTCATCCCATCCGTAGACCGCAACCTGAGGTAGGTGGGATGCTGCAGCGGCGGATTTATTGGGGTTTGGGACAATTTGTCCAGATTTGGACATGGTCAAGGAAAACGCACGCTCTCCATCACCACACTCACCACAGTCTGCTGCAGAGCCACTCGGATGCCTTTTAAAATTGCTTCTTGATTTCCGAGCTGCTTGTTGTCTTAGGAAGCTCCCAAAGTCTCCCGCATGACGGCTGGACCTGGGCATCGATCGGAGGACGCCAGATTGTCGGTCCACGAGATAACGGAAAGGGGTTTCGCCGAGTCAAGTGTAATCATATTGCCGCGAAGGGCTTGTGGGAGCAGTGTAGTACGCGTACATACACACGCACAAAGTTCAACTGGTATGTAAAACAAAGAGCTCATGTTTCGTGTCATTGGCTGTTAGGCGAGATCGGTCCGAGTCGCATTTTCCGACGAGAACTTTGAGGTAACGTTGACCGACATCCATACGACGCCTGGGCTCGAGCTCGACGTGACACATCGAGTACATTGGACAGGCAGGCATGGCGTGGCATCAGATCTACGAAGGCGTTTGCGTTTGGTTTGGTTTGCGTCGAGTCGAGGGCGGGCATGGACCGTGGCCCGAGCATTGCCAATGCCACTGAACGAATGTCTCAGATCTCCCGCCGTTGTGCCTGATTTGTTGGGATACCGAGTCCATGCTGCGTGTTAGTGGAGTGCGGTTAAGAGCCCCGAAATCCAATATTTGCTTTGTTCGGGCGGTTCCAGCCAACCCATCTTTGAAGCCGCGCCGTGCCGTGGCGGAGGAGAGATCAGATGAGCGAGGCGCGCTGCAGCCGCCAAAGCCGCCCGCCAAACAAGCCAGCAACGCCAAAACCCTCTCTGAATCTCGATCCGGACCATTGCCGATGGGGAAAACGTCGAGATGCATTCCGCAGCACCACGGAAGGCGCAAATCAGCCATGTCCGCGGGAGAAGAAGCATTCGAGAAGAGTTCCAGAGTCCACGCGCAAGCCACGGCAAGCCAAATGGTGGCGTACTCCCAGACCACACTTGCCTTTTACAAGATGGGGTTGGCTTTCACAGCGAATGAAATGCCACGGGGACCTTTTAAGCTTTTTACTACCCCTGTCACTGTGGTGCCACCAAGACGACGCCAATGTCCCAGACCCCCCCCCCCCCAGACCCCAAGACTCGCGGAGACCACCTTCGCACAGGTAGCCCAAAAGGGAAGATACGCTAGCTCGGATGGGACCCAGCACTTTGATGATAGCCAATGGCATCGCGCCGCGACTTCTTAGTGGTGAGTCTTGCCCGCAACACCAGCAACATCTCATGGTGGGACTCGCGCCGACCAGACAGCTCTAGGTGGGCATCAGATAGTGTAGCCAAGCGATAGGCGTCGGGAGGACTAACACGAGGCTGTGGCCGCAATATACAGGGGCTGAGCTGGTGGCATGGCATGTGCTCGTCGCTCACACTGGCACGCTGGCGGTCCATGCTCTGCTCTCGTCCACAGCAAACCCGGAGGGAAGTCACAACCCCCTCAGGGCAGAGTCAAGCACACGGGCAATCTGAGTCCGTGGGCAGGCAGGACAGTCACATCCCACCCCGCCCAGCGGCCAGAGACCAGCAGCCAGCGCCCGCCTCACCCACCTCACCCACAGCAACCCAGAGCACCGCACCCGCAGAAAGGCCAGCTCCCGCATCCTGGCTACCTGCAGCAACGCCGCCCGCATAGCCTTACCGAACCGAAGCCTTGGCTTGGCTCAGGAGACAAGCCCTCAATCGCGTCGAATGTGAAAGCTGCCCAGCCCAGGATCCATATACCTTTCCTACCCTACCTAGGCCCATTACCTACTCGCCTTTAATAATAGTATGTATGGGGGCCTCCAGCAGCTCCAGTCTCGTAACTTGCACAAGCTCAGCTTAAATTAAGAAGGCCGCGTTCGGCAAGCCCTCCCTCCCACACATCAACTAGGTCCAAGCTAAACCAGACGGAAGACGACGCCAATTCACCCAACGACTCGACTCGACTCAACTCGACACGACCCAAGACACGAGCTCCGTCAATTGCCTCCAACTGACCTTGACGGCCCCTCCCCGCCCCCGGAACCCGCTGGTTTGGTCATGCTGATGCCTGTACCTGTGCCTGTGCCCCCGAATTCGAATTAGCCTACGCGTCCCGAGTCCACGGCGACGAGGCCGCCAAAACCGCCTGCCTGATTCGGAAAGACACTGACCTCCTTTCGCTCTGGCGAATGCAACAACGAGACAGACGCTACGCCGTTGGACTCGCTGTTCTCACCCGACGCCGGCTCAGGCTCTGCGCCTGACCATTTTCTCTTGCCTCCACCATGGTCTATTGCGGGAAACCAAGCAAGGGATGCTCCAACTGCCGGGAGCGTAAGATTCGCGTATGTTTGGCCCCCCCCCATTGCTTCCGCTTCCACATTGGAGAGGGGATCGCGAGCCCGAGTTTCGGTCTCCATTTTTCTCTACCTCACCTCACTCTCACGCTCCCAAGTCAAAAGGCTTTGTTTGGTCCTGCGTGCTGCTCGTTGCGCACGCCATGTCCGCGTTGCCCGCACCAGCCATTCGCCTCTTCCCCTTTTGCCCCGTTTCGTTTCCGCTAACGTCCTGGATAGTGCGATCAGAGAGAACCGGGATGCGGCCAATGCGAGAAGAGACAGCAGGGTTGCCCTGGCTACCGCAACCTCGTGGACCTCATGTTCCGCGATGAGAGCTCTCATGTCATCAAGAAGGCCAAGGCGAGGGCCAGGAAAAAGAATCTCACCGTCGAGCCCGGCACGCCATCCGACACAGACGGCCGCCTGTCGCTCACACCCGAACCCCGTTCAAAGTCTCTGACGCTGGTCATGCCTGTCTCTCCAATGCCGGGAACCCCGACAACGGAGCAGAGCGGATGGAACTCTGACGACAGCAGTCTTTTGATGTCACCCGATTCGGGCAGCTGGCCAGTCACCCCCGCCATGGCTCTCTTCTACAACCTGGCCCCGACTTGCCAGGAGAATGGCACCGCCTATTTCTTCTCTCGCTACGTTACCATGGACGAGACAGCATGCCATCAAAAGTTCGACTTTGTCTACGACGTCTGGAAGCCTTCGTCGGTAATGCCTGAACGCGAGGTCGACGGGGTGCTTGCGAGCATGACGGCGGTCGGGCTTATGGGGCTGGCGAGCATGACGCGGTCACGAGACTTTATGGATGCTGCTCGGAAGTCGTACGGGACCGCCCTCCAGCTGACCAACCACGCGCTGAAGAACCCGGTCGAGGCCGTCAAGGATTCAACAATGCTCTCAGTCCTCATCCTCGGCGTGTTCGAGATGATGACGGAGAACACGCCGCGGATAAAAACAGTCAAGGCTTTCCAGGAACATGTCAATGGCGCGGCCGCGCTGGCAAAGATGCGGGGAGTTGCCCAGTTCCGGACCCGGGCGGGAAAGAGGATGTTCTCAATGCTCTGCCAGAGAGTGGTCATAAGCTGCATTCAGAGACACGTCCCCATGCCGCAGCCATTAGTCGAGCTTTGGCAGGAGGCGTCCGAGACATTAGACCCTAGAGATCCTACGAGGTGGATAACACCTCTTATGTTCCAGATTCTGCAGTTGCGGTATGACATTAAGAGGGGGGCCATTACAGACCCCGAGGCGATTGTGGGGGCTTTGCTTAGCATTGAAGAAGACTGCGAGAAACTCACCACCCAGCTCCCGCCATCATGGCAATACCGAACATTTAAGTTGACCAGGCAGCATCCGGCTGTATACGAAGGTGTCTGCCATCTCTACTCCTCCCTGTGGCATGCCACCGTATGGAACGGCCTGCGAACAGCCCGAATTCTTGTTCTCGAAACCATACTTTCCGAAATCTACCGCGAGTCGCAAAGTTTCTCGCCAAGGCTCGCCTCAAGCCGGTACACGGAGGAGTTTAACCGCGCGAGACGGAAGTTGAAGCAAATGATCCAAGCCGTCAACGCGAGCGTGCCGCAGCATCTGGGGCTCGTCAATCCGGTCGACGGCAGCATCGAGAGTATGTCGCCAGCGTCGACGCCGATATCGAGCGTCGAGGTGCGCGAGACACCGAGCCCGGCCACATCACCTTCGTCCCGGTCCTCGGACTCCGGAAGCAGCAACTACGGCGGCTACAGTCCCAGCCAGCCCTCGGGCCTCACTATTCTCGACACGACGGGAGCGCGCGACGCCGAAGACGAGGCCGGCCGTTTCATGCTGCTGGTGTCAGCCACGAGCACCATCGTCTGGCCGCTCTACGTGGTCGGCATGTCGTCGGCGTGCGACGAAGATACAAAGGCGTACGTCATCGAGCGCCTGCGCACACTATACATGGAGACGGGAATTCGGCAGGCCGACGCGCTGGCGAACCTGCTCGAGGAGCACGAGTCGGCCGAGTGGCCGCTCAAACAGGAGCCCGAGACAAGATCGGTGCCCGCGCCGGTAGTCCTCTCGACCCTAACGGCGACGCCGCCAATGATAACGACGGAGTTCGATCTGCCCAAGAGGTACAAGGCAGACTATGACACGTTTCTCGTATAGCAAAGCCGTGCCCTTGGTTGAGAGGGAAAACAAGCGACTCGCTAGAGTTAATGACTTGACTGTCGTTTGTCAATGTCTGGCGAGAACAGTTTGATGCGGCGTGCTACTGTTGACGGGGTATGAAACTTGCGGGGCCGTACACGAACAAGGAGCTCCGTCATGTCTGTCTACGTGACTATGAAATCTGCTTTTGGAGGACGCAACTTGGGCAAGCACAGCGAGGAATGACTTTATTGTTTCTATAACACTGGGGAAAGGAGCATCAAAAGAAATGGCTCGGGCCCATGTATATACCCCCTTCATCATGAAGGTACCGTTCTCATGGTATTTGTTGTTATTGTTGATATATTCTGCGTATATAATCCCATATATAATCATTCGTACTTGGGATGGAATTTCATGCAAGTGATTACTGAAGACATTGAAATGCTTGTTTCATCTATTCGTTTCCCTTTCTTCGCTATGCATCCACACGAACGCCCCTTTTCCGTAACCTAACCTAACCTGACCTAAATGACGCCATTATAGATGGAAGCCTCTGGGCTGGGGTATATATATATGTATATCTATACAGTAAATAATCTCGCACCGTTTTTTTTAATATAATGATTTTCTCTCCTCTCTACCAACCGTCGAAATTCCCAAACCCGGCTGTCTTGGCCTTTTTCCTCGACGGCTGCTCCTCCCAGGCGTCAGCATCCAGCGACGCAGCGGCAGCGGCAGCCTCGTCGGCGAGCTCCGTCGGCGAGCGCGACTGCTGCTGCAGCGGGCTTTTTTTCTTGCTCAAGTATTTCCCGACCCTGTTCGCATTGGCGTCACTGGATCCCCCGGAGCCCGGGGCGGAGCCGTCGTCATTGCGCAGGCGCTTGCCGGTCCAGGTGGTGCGGTCGTCGTCGGTGCCGCCGCGGCGCTCAACGTCGGCGCGCTCGCGCTCGGCGCGCTCGCGTTCGGCCTTGTCGCGCTGGAACTCGGTGAAGGGGTCGACGAAGACGACCACGTCGCGGATCACGATGTCAGTCAGCGGGCGGGCCGAGTCCGGGTCCGTCGGCGTGGCCTCCATCTTGTCGAGCACGTCGAGCCCGTCGACGACGCGGCCGAAGATGGTGTGCTTGTGGTCGAGGTGCGGCGCGGGGCGGTAGGTGATGAAGAACTGCGACGAGTTGGTGTTCTTGCCCTTGTTGGCCATGCTGATGACGCCGCGCGCGTTGTGTGTGTGCGGCCCCTCAAGCTCGTCGGCGAAGGGCCGCCCCCACACGCTCGCGCCGCCCTTGCCCGTGCCCGACGGGTCGCCGCCCTGGATCATGAAGTTCTTGATGTTGCGGTGGAAGGCTATGCCGCGGTAGTAGCCCTTTTGCGCGAGGCGCACAAAGTTCCACACGGCCTTGGGCGCGGTTTCCGTGTGCAGCTCCACGTTGAGGTCGCCCAGGCTGGTCTCGACGCGCGCGTACCCTTTGAACTTGACCCGCTTGGGCTTGAGCATCCACTCCTCGTCCGTTAGCACCGCCCGCTCGCCGCTCGTCTCGGGCGTCAACCCCGTGCTCGTGAAGCTCGCCGCCGCCCGCCCCGTCGTGTACGCCGCCGCGTTGGCCGCGAGCTTGCGCTCCTGGATCTGCTGCTGCTGGGTTCGGCGTATCGAGGACACGTTGCTATCGCCGGGCTTCTGCTGCTGCTGCTGCGGCAGCGACTTGGTGGTCCGGTTCACGTCGCCGCCGGCCTCGCGCTCGCGGCGGGCGCGCTCGACGGCCTCCTTGGCGCGCAGGACCTTCCCGCCGATGCGGCCCAGGGCGTCGATGTTGACGGAGCCGGCGCCGTCGCGCTCCTCGCGCTGGGCGGGGGTGAGGATGGCGTCGGAGCCGTCGCGCAGGAACTTGAACTGGCTGAGGTCGCGGCTGGCGGCGTTCTGGGGGTCCTGCAGGGTGATGATGTCCTTGCGGCCGAACTCGGCGTTGTCGACCAGGTCGTGCCACGACTTGGCCTTGATGTTCATGCGGTCGACCGTCTCCCAGGCGAAGACGTTGGCGTAGGCGCCGTGGCGCACGGCGACGATGTGGGTGTTGTCGGTGAAGACCTTGAAGGTGACGGGGTCGATGAGGTCGCCCTTACTGTCTGTCGATGTGTCATCGGGGGCCGTGTCGCCGTTGCGGGCAAAGTTGAGGCGGATCAGGTCCTTGGAGGACAGCGGCTCGCCCGTGACGGGGTTGGTCTTGTGCTTGTCGAGCCAGGCGCCAATGACCTCGACGTCGAAGATGGTGCCGTCGGGGGTGCAGACGGGGTTGTGGAAGGGCTGCAGGCTCGCCGCGCAAAAGTTGAAGGGCAGGCGCTTGAAGTTGGCGACGCCCTCGCCCCGTCGCGCCCGCGCGTTCGACCCCACGCTGGCCCCGTACGCATCCGATGACGACCACTCCGAGTGGGTAATGTACAACTTGTCGGTTCCCTTGCCCATTTTCGCTTTTGTGCTGCCTTCCTTCTGCAAGGTTGTGCCGTGCGTGCAAGAAGACGTATCATGGTTTTGCGCGGACGGTACAGAGGTAACTTTCCCGCCTCTAGGTGCTTATCTTATCGGCAAAACGCCACTTGGGTACGAATCGCAGCTCGGGCGCCGGATTACGTAATTTACCCGGGCCATGTGGCACTGGCAGTGCAGCAGGCGGGTCTGTGAATATATGCATGTACGGAATATCCGTACAGACTCCATATATTCATTCTCTCGAATGTCATAATTTGAGGTTAAAAATGGAGAAAGCACCAGGAACATCTAACAAGAGACGTATCGTTGGTGGTTCCACAACTCAACAAGCCACCGGCAGGACCTCAGGTTGTAGCTTGTTTGCTTCATGGTATCATTGTCAACTCACCTAATTTCAGCATTAGAAAGAATATGTGGTACTCCGTAGCTGCTCGTCGTATCGGTTAGGTAAGATACGTAGTTACATTCCCCTCGGAACTCTTTGAGGCTGACAAAAGGCCTAACAAAGTATGTGAGGGAACAATCCACACCCCCGTATGTCGTGAAAGTTCGAGTAATACGGATTCACTACTTGCCTGCACATGCCTAGCAATCACTCTAACTCTTATGCTATGGTGGTGAATCATTAATCAAACCCGTAGGGACCAACCGCTTCTCCAAATAGAGCCAATTACGAAATTCCTACCGGTGCTTGACATTCGGTGCTGAGCGTTGAGCTTTATACGAGCTCCCGTAATGTGTAAGGAAAGAGCACCCCAAGCACCTGTCAACGCGCGCACCCTTGCGCGCGCCCACCAATTGGCCAGACTGCTGCCGGCTGGCATGAGCCACTAAACCAACGCAGGGCGCCCTGCCTTCACAAGCACACCGGGACCGAGCCCCTGAGCATGTATATAAACAGTGGCCCTTGTCACGGCACGGTACCGTAGGCGCTGTGGGCAGGCCTACGGGTGCGTGACCATACTATAACCTCCTACAGATTGCAGCTTGGCAGCTTGCAATTCTGGCATCCGTTTGGAAGGTGTGGTGCAGCGGTAGTAGGTGCTGAGCCCCGCCGCCACAGCTCTCGCCCCCTTCCTTTGCGAGGGCCAGGTTGAAGTCTTACACCAATACCAGTCATTGCTCGCCCTCTTTGTTGCCTCCATTGTGACCACCTTGATCCGGCGTACCTGCCTTCTCTTACATAATGCCTCAGCCAGGGCCGCGTCGGCCGCGTCAGCTCGCCCGTAGAGGTGAAAAGCCACACATAGCCTCTCAAGCCAAGTTTCTTGTGCCATAGCGAGCTTAGCGAGGCCAGCATTACTTTCGGTTTAGAACATGGCAGCTGCTGCCCGTATGCTAGGGCTTAGTCTTTCGGCCAAGAAGTCGTCAAGCAAACCCTCCTGTTCAGTTAAAACCATCACCAAGAGGCCATATATGAGCCGAGACGAAAGAGGAATGCTGCCAGTCTCAGCCGCCCTTTTCAACGGCTTCCGGATCGCCGGCAGTTGCTGAAAAGCTCTCACCACATCTTCGTCTGTGATCTCCGCATGCGGCTTCTGGATAGTGAAGAGTGGCTCCTCGCTTAGGATTAGGGCTCCTCGTTCGATTCGTCCCGTGGCGAAGGCACCCCATCCCTTTCCTGACGAGGGCCTCAACTCGAATGGCGCATTCCCAGGCACCGGATGCTGGCGATAGGCTACACAGGGCAAGTCAGATACAGGACGACAAGGCTGACCGCGGCAACTAACGATGATCCAGGGTTATGGTCGCCGCTGGGTATCTCTAAAGATGCTGAAAGTTTTTAGGCCTATGAGGGACCGACCCCCTTGGCTGGAATGAGCGGATAGAGTGGAGCACTCGTCGGTTGGGCTGCGCGGGCTTACTTAGTTAACTAACGTATTCGCCGCTAGCTCATTACTAGGGCGAACCACTCTTTGGGTACCCAATTAGCAGTCAGTGCCTTAGTGCTCTCACTGATTGCGCTCGCGTCCTCTCTCGGTATTATGTAATAGTATGTTCCCCAGAACTTTCACTCCCAATGATGTACGACCATGCTCACCCTGCTCCGCAGCGGTAACAGCCCTTTCGACGGGCTTTGGGATGCAAACGTACTCATTCGAGTGGTTGAGGAGAATCTCGGCGCCAAGGTGATTGATATCCCGGTCGTCTACAAGGGGTCCCACAACTATGGGTTCCTTACTTGCAATCTTCGTAACCTACCTACCTTAGACAATTCCATGCTAAGACTAGGTCGGAATGGCTCATAGGGTCTCCTTATTAAGCTGCCAGATTAACGGGACATTATGGCGCGGATGGCTCGTGACGATGTTAATATACCAAAATTTGGCGGCTCCCCAATTCATAAGTAAATTCCCGAAGCCAAGTTCCAGGTAGCGGTGTACAACCTCTTGCGCTCCGAGCCTAATATCTTGGTCTCGCGCCTGCTTTACTACCGTATCCCAGTACAGCACGCTGGTCCCAGACTTGATCTCCCTCGAGATATTGCGGGCCGTCACTTGTTCTTGTTTGAAAGAGCAGAGGGAGTGAATAACGTATGGCGGGATCTCAGCCCAGAACAGAGGGTGCGTGCCTTTGTTGGAAATCTGTTCTGCTCTGTTCAATTTAACTGTGCCGATTCCCTAGACCCATCTTCTTGCTCAGTCAGTCCGTATCCGCGCATCGTTATTCCACTTCAATCTCCCGCCCGACTTCGCCGCTGTTTGGCTCCGCGAACGCCTCTTCGAGCAGAAGCCCAAGTCGCTTCCCATTCCTGTTGCTCCGACACGCGAGTTCTGCATTGCCCTTTTCACATCTAAGATCGAAGCGACAATCAGGAACATAGGCGACATGATCGGGTAGGAGAGTGACCATGCTACCGTAGGCCCTATTACTGCGGCGGCCAAACAGTCTCTCTTACGCCTTGTCCCACACATCATACCCACAGACGGCGACCAGACGGCTCTCTGTCGCCTCGTTCTCGAGCACGGAGACTTCGGCATTCACAACATGTCGATCAAGATGGATGCAAACGGTCAACCCCTCGTGACCCTGTATGACTGGGAGACTGGGTGTATAGCACCAGCCATCTAGTCCGATCCGTTGATGGCGGTATGGGTCGATCTAGTGCCAGGTGAGAGTGCCAGGTGAGAAAGCCGCCCCTTTGTTCATTCGAGTACCCGACGACGCGACCCCGGATGATCGTGTAGAGTACATGACATGGGCGAGGCAGTATTTCAAGGTTCGTTTTCCTAAAGATTAGGGGTTTTTTTTGCCCATAAACAGAGACGTAACTACGTGTCTCCACATAGATTCTCTTTAATCAGGCACTAGGTTACGAACGTGCAATCTAGGCAGGAAAAGATGCACGCCATCTTTGGCTTGCGCTGCGAGACTAGCGAGGTGACGATCCGGAGAGATATTTCGGTGGTCTGGGAGCTTGGGCTGGGGGTAAGATGAAACAGATTGGGGTGGAGGGTTGTTCGACCATCTCGTAGCCAGCTTCCTCTCCGTCTTCGTCGTCGTCGTATGCGTTTGTCGTTCCAAGAGGCGACCACTTACCCGGCAGCATATATATACAGACAGAGGAGATCATTCGGTGAAGATTGGTGGGCATCCGTGCCGTTACTTCCAATGCTCTTCTAACTGGCCCTTCAGGGCATTCGGCTACTCCCTCGCGTCTTATTCCTAGGTTCCTGAGTCTTTGTATCGCATAGCTGGAGAGCTCTCGAGCTGTGTCTTTTAGAATTTTCAGGCTGTAAAGTTGACTTTGGGTACGGTATGCCTATTGCCGAGCTTGGGGGTAGGTATGAATACCTCTTCTAGATGGTGATTGACGGTACAAAAATAGCGGGTCTGGGCTAGCCAAAACTGACACCCTAGCGGGCACTCGGGCGCCGGATTACGTGGCGCATATCTAGATCCAAGCTGAATCTGCAGCTTGGCTTGCCAGGGGGCTAGCTGACCCAGTGCCCATTGCGCCGTATGAGTATACGCACCGTGTGGGCTGCTGACAGGCTGTAGCATCCAGACAGTGACAAGACATTGGCATACACAGTACCCTAGCGCTGTAGCCAAGGCAGGCAGTTGTAATCTGTACTAACGTCGGCCAGCGGCCAGGCCAGCAGAAAGTCAACGTTGACAGTCTCCAGCTGTCCATATTATCGAATTAACAACTTCTAAAGAGAGGCTGTCTAGTAACCGGCTTCCTCCATCCGCCCCATCAGAGCCGGAATTAAGTGTATTGCCATCGAATCCCGCCCGACCCGGCGAATCCATGTCGCCCGCGGCAGCGCTCTGTTCCGAGCTCTGAGTCCTGAGCCCCGTCCCGGCGCCAACACGAACACGTCTCGCACGACTGGCCGACTGGACACAGCTTTGACCTCGCATCACCGCAGCCACCGACTCTCGACCCCCTGGCCACGACGGCCATAAATCACTACAACTGACGCTAGTCATGAGGAGTTGGCCATGCGCTTTCTTCCTCCTGGCCCTGTCGGCCTGGACGGCCACAGCGTTGGAAGTCGCCTTGGTGAGCTAGCCTGGCCTGCTGCTGTGCTGTGCTGTGCTGTGCTGTGCTTTGCGCTCGTTGCGCTTCCATCCCAATGCAGCCAACGCCCATGCTAACGACGACGGCGATGCAGGACGAGACAGAAAACAACCAGCAGCGATGCGCCGGCATGTATAGCAGAGGCTCGTGGGGCGGGCCCGTCGAGCCCTTCATCGAGGTTTTGTTCCCGTCGGAACTCCAGACGGACCAGGGCGAAGACCCCATTGTCAGCCTCGTGATATTCGAGTACAAGGACCAAGACTACATCGGCGTGTCGCCGCCCGGCGCCGAGCTCAGGATCGGCATCTGCGAGCCCAAGTACGTCGAGGCCGGCTACTGCAACGACACCGACATTGGCGAGTTCATCCTCGCCGAAAACGCCACCCAGAAGTCGACCAACTACATCATGACCAAGGCCGTGCACCTGAAGAAGGCCGTGCCCCTCAAGTACGAAATCAAGAAGACGGGCTACTACTGTGTCTTCACCAAGCCCTACACGGCCGGCCAGTACCGGGCCGCCGTCACCTTCCGCAACGCCTACGGCGAGCTCCCTGCCTCCCAGATCCCCAAGCTGCCCTTCTACGGCGGCGTAACGATTCTCTATGCTGTGGTGCTAGTGTAGGTTTACCCTGTGGCGGCGCCGTCTGTCGTTCTGTATATAAGAAGGGGCGCACGGCTGACATCTCTTTGCTAGGTTCTGGGGCTTCCTCTACTATCAGCATCGCTCTGACATCTGTGAGTCGCTAAAAGCCCCTGTCCCGCCTGCGCATGCATTTTGATCTCTGGTGTTAACCGTCACCAGTGGCCGTGCAGAATTATATAACAGCAATTCTAATCTTCCTCGTTGTCGAGATGCTGATGACGTGGGGTTTCTATGGTATGTTCTGCCGTGTCTCAAGCTAACACCCACAATCTAGGGACAGGCTAACAGACCACAGACTATCTCAACATCCACGGATCCGACGTCGGCGCCAAGGTGTTGCTGATAATCGTGGCCATCCTCAATGCCGCACGCAACTCGTTCTCTTTCTTCCTACTGCTTATTGTCTGCATGGGATATGGCGTGGTGAAGCCCACGCTCGGCCGCACCATGGTCCATGTGCGGTGGCTTGCCATTGTCCACTTTTGCTTCGGCATCGCCTACGCCGTCACGAGTTTGCTCGTCACGCCAGATAACGCAGGTAAGTCCATGGTGGGCGTGCAGACTCGCTCAGCATAGAATTGAATCTAACTCCGCCGGGACAGGTCCGTTTGTGCTGTTGATTGTGCTACCATTGGCCGGCACGTTGACGGCCTTCTACGTCTGGACTCTCAACTCGCTCAACTTCACGCTCAAGGATCTCAAGGAGCGGAAGCAGCACGTCAAGGCATCCATGTATAAGAAGCTGTGGTGGTGCATCCTGATCTCCATCCTGGTCATCTTCGCCTTCTTCTTCTTCAGCTCGTTCCAGGTGGCGTCATCGCGGGATCCCGACTTTGTGCCCTTCCACTGGAAGAGCCGGTGGTTCATCCTCGACGGCTGGCTCAACCTGGTCTACTTTGCCGACGTGGCCTGGATCGCCTACGTGTGGCGCCCCACGGCCAACAACCGCCGCTTTGCCATGAGCGACGAGATCGCCCAGGAAGACGACGGCACCTTTGAGATTGCCAACCTCGATATTGGCGCGCCCGACGACTCGGACGACGACGAGGAGGCCAGCGTGGGCGTGCCCAAGCCGCAGAACGGGTCCTCGGCGCCCCGCTCCGGCGACCAGCAACATTATGCGCCGCCCTCGGGCGCGCCGCCGCAGAGGAGACCGAGCCCCCCGCGGGATTCGTTCGACGGCGAGACCATCTTTGCCGTCGGCGAAGACGGCGACAAGTTCTCGGACGACGAGGGCAGCGGGGAGGAGGCGGGGCTGGTCAAGGGAGGGCGAAAATAGAGGGACGACTTTCATTTCTCCGTCTAGATGTGGTCGGGTGATGAAAGAACGAGGTCCAGGAGAGATGGGAGCGGCTGGGAAGATGGAAAAGGGGCGGAAGGTTAGACACTGACTCGAGATCATAATTTTTCCCTTGCTCTCAGTGGGCCATGTACTAGTGTAGGTTGATATAACCCCCCATTTCCTACTCCTCGTGGCTTGATATGTCAGAGGATTCAAAGAAACGCGGAGAGAGAGAGGGCTGAGGTTTGATGGGGCCGGCACGGGCGCGGGGGGGGCATAACAAGCACAGGCACAGGATGGGGGTTTTTTTTGGTCTCTCTTGTCGTACTATTTTGTTATAATGTCAATCATCATTCATCGAATTAGCATCGTTCATTATTCACGCCCTTGCTCGTTTTTTACTGTCTCGGGGTAAGGTAAACATGAAGATAGGCAGACAATCGTTAATACCTAGTGATGGAAACATGAGATGAGTATCTGCACAAGATGGGTTGAGTTGGTTGGTCTTGGCTTGGTTGCACAAGTACGGATGGTCAACATGGGATGAAAAGATAGTTTAGCTCTGGTAGCCCTTTGCGCGTAGCCTCACAAGAGTGTTTCAATGGACCAAAATCACACAATGCCATTGTATTGTTTTGTGTTGTATTGTATTGTACAGTATAATATGATGCCACGATAGCACCTCTTCCACCCGATGGGTTTGAGTAGGGCGTACACGTACACAAATGTGGTACATATGTTTCTCGCCCGCTAAACTGCTTCCCTGCCAAGAGAAAGCACTATAGCCCAAAACAGTCATGTCCTGTTAACGGACAGATAAACGGCGTGGCCTCTCTTCATGCTGCCCAACGGTGAGGATGCGTCTAGGCAGCCACGGCACCGCCAAAGCCGACGGGGCGGCGCCTGCCGTCGTTCTCGGGCAGGATGGCCAGTGCCTTGTAGACCTTGCCCATGCCGCCCGGGCCGCGGTCGATGAGGCGCTTCCAGGCCCTTTCAATGTCGGCGGGCGCTGACTCGCGTTGCTCACGCGCATCGTCGGCGACAGCAGTGGCGTCGTCGGTGGGGCTGTCAGGGCTGTTGCCACCCGCACCTGCAAGCGACTTGATCAGAATCTCGGCGCGCTCGCGGATGCCCATGGCCTCGAGGAAGGCGGCCTGGTCGACGGGGCCGTGGACCTCGATGCCCTCGCTCGCGCGCATCGAGGCCTCGGCGATGGCGGCGAAGTCGACATCGGCGCTGAGGTCCGTCAGGCCGGGCTCGGCAAAGGGAGACACGCGGCGGTGGCGGCGGATGCCGCGGAGCGTGTTGGTGGGGACGGTGCCGTCGCCCGGGCCGTAGTCGAGGATGAGGGCGACGCCCGAGGGCTTGGCTTTGGGGTGCTGGGCAGACCCGCCGATGCGGGCGGCAAAGTCGGAGGCGTATAGGGCGGCGTCCGGGCACACCTCGAGCAGCGCGCCGACGCCGGTACGCGACTTGATGGCGCGGTACCGCGGCGACGACTCGGGCAGGTACATGGAGTGGCGTGTGGCGGCCTGGGCGAGGGTGAGCTGGAAATCGGGCGGCGGGGTCTCGCGCGACTGCGATGGCGGGGTGCGCAGGCTGTCGTGCGTGGACCCCGGGGGCGTCGGCGAGACGAGCATCTCGCGCCATTGCAGTGTCGGCTTGGTCGTCCGCGTCGAGGGCGAGGACTTGTCGGCGTCTGACCTGGCGGCGTCTTGGTTTGGTGGCACCTCGATGCACTCGAAGGCGTGGATGGGCAGGGCGTCAAAGAATTCGTGCGCCACGATGAAGGGCATCTTCTCGGGGACTGATGCACAGGTGTTATCGGTGGGTCAGTTCGGCAGAGTGACCAGGTGCGGATGTACGTACCGATGGGAATGGACTTGATAGTCTCGGTCCACACTATAGGCAGAGACGTATTCCTGCAGATGCTGTGGTATCCGACTTTTGACTCGGTCATGGGGGCGTCGTCGCCACACAAAAGATTCTTCTGGGTGGCTCTAAGCTCACGACTAGCCTCGACCATATAGATGGCGTCAATGCTGTCGGCCATGGCCGGGAAGCTCTGGATGGTCTGCGGCGCGTGTTAGTAGAGATTTGGCGGAGAGAGAGAGAGAGAGAGAGAGAGAGAGAGAGAGAGAGAGAGAGAGAGAGAACAAACGCGGAGTATGTCGTTCATCAGAGTGCCGCGGCCGGGGCCGACTTCAATGAGCTCGACGCCGCGACTCGGGCGGCCCTGGGCAATCCATTCGGTGACGAACCAGATGCCAATCAGCTCGCCAAAGACCTGGGAGATCTCGGGCGAGGTGACAAAGTCGCCCTTGAGGCCGAACTGGTCACGGCCTTCTGGGATGGCGCCGCTGTAGTAGCCGCCGATGTCCGAGGTCAGACACATGCGCATGAAGCTGGACAGGGGCACGGGGCCGGTTGCCTAGGAGGTGCACGATGTGAGTGTGAGTGAGCACCCGGGCATTTATTTGTTTGGTGCATACCGAAATGGCATTGCCCAGCTGCTTGGCTAGTGGCGTCGACCATTGTCTGTTGTCGCCGTCGTCATCATTGTCCCGGCGCAGACGCGGAGTGGTGGAGAGACTACGACGGCCGGAGCTTGAAAGGCGGCTGTGGGTGTGTGTCTGTGTCTGTGTCTGGGCAATGAAACTTGAGCTTGAGCTGGAGCTGGAGCTGGAGCTTGTGCCAATGCATTTTCTTGACTGCAGCAGTAAGCCGTTGCGCTCAGCGCCTCGAAGCGCCCGAACCACGGCCGATCTCATCTTGGCCGACAAAACAGAACAGAGCTGGACAAGGCTCACCCGCGCATGCTCCGAGCTTGGGATGTCATGATAAGAGCAGGCGGCGGAGGGGTCTCGACTCCCGTCTCCGTCTCACGGGCATGTCCATCCCATGCCCATGTCATCATAGAATCCCCCCCCTTCCCCCCTGTCAAATGTCAGTGCCCTGTCGACCAGGTTCCACATGCCATGGAAGTACAAGGGTTAGGGTTGGCTGCTCTTGGCTTTAGTGATGTCAGGGGCGCTGGCGCTTGCCCAGAACATCCACCTGTCCACCACACCACAACCACACCACTGACTGGCCTGGGCTTCAAGCTACCTACCCGGCAACACTACTGCCGTTTCCTGTGCATGCCAAACCCAAACAACCCGGCCTACCATAATGGCTCGATTAATCTACGGCGTGGCCGTCTCGACGCCCAGCGTGCGGCCGTCGGATCCCCTCACAGACCTGACGCGGCTGCTGAGCCGGTTACAGCACACGGTCCTGCGCGCCGACGCTGACCGCGAGCTGAGACTGCGCACCAGCGAGTACGAGCGCGAAAAGGTCCAGACGGTGCGCCATGTCGCTTCTCTCCTCCCGGCACCTACTCCAACTAACTATGCTTACCCGGCAGAACATCAAGTTTGCACGCTCGCTCCTCACAAAGCTGGAGCACCAGGCGCTCAGCGTCAAGATCCACTCGCGCAAGCAAGACCTGCAGACCGATCTACTGCAGAAGCGCGACATCCTCGACCAGCTGGCCGAGCGCATGGCCGACCTGGCCGAGATCGCCGCAGCCGGCGGGGACGAAGACGACGGCCAATGGGGGGACTACACGTCGGAAGAGGGCGAGGACATCCTAGCCGACATCATCGCGACGCCCAGCGAGAGCCTCGACTCGACGCGGTCGCCCGATGCACTGCACTCCGAAGACGCCGACGAGGGCCCCGACCCGGACCAGGGAGAGGAAGAAGACGCCCACTCCGACCCCATACCAGACATCCCCAAATCGCCGCCCTCGCAGACTTGGCCCCGCGAGGACGAGAGGAGGGGCCAAGCTCTGCGAGAGTCCTCGGCAGCAGCAAAACCAGACATGACCGCCACAGGCACCGCCACGTCAATACGGCCCGTACTCCGCTCCCGACGCCAGGAGTCAATGTCGGCCAGCGGCAGCAGCCAGGCAAAGACGGCGGCGCTCGCGACAGGGCCGTCGTCGTCGTCGTCGTCGTCAGCACTCTTCGGGGACCGCGTGCGCGGCAGCGTCACGACGACAACGGCAACGACAGAGGCGATCCTAGACCACCAGCGGGCCGAGCACGACGTGCTGTCAGAGTCGATCTTGAGGCTGGCCAGCGAACTCAAGGCGTCGTCGCAGGCGCTGTCGGCGTCACTGGACGAGGACAAGGACGTGGTGGCGCGGGCCGGCGACGGCATGCACAAGACGGGCGCTGGCATGGACGCCGTCACCCGCAAGATGGGCACCCTCCAGCGCCTGACCGAGGGCGAGGGCTGGTGGGGCCGCATGCGCCTGTACGCCCAGATCTACGGGCTCATGGTGGTCCTGGTGCTGGTCGTCTTTGTGCTGCCCAAGCTGCGGTTCTAGTTTTTTATTCCTAACATATGACGTTGACGAGGGAGATGAAAATATCACAGTTATGGGAGAGCAAAACGGAAGGCCACACATTACGTAGGCAGGCACGGCGTTTCTGGGGATACCAGCTGCTTTTGGGAAGGGTATATATCAAAAGATGAAAATTGATTAGATTCAATGGCAATTAAGAATTTGTTTTAAAAAAGCTGGCTTGGGAAGTGCAATTACTTCCAGTTCCATGCAATTCAATGCAACGCAACGCAAAAGATTGTGCGTGTGGCGAGATATCTAACCCCCGATGTGATGTTATGTGATGTGATGTGATGTGATGTGATGTAATGTGATGTGATGTAATGTGATGTGATGTGATAGTGGGGGATAATTCAAGATCGCGTGGCTTTGGTGTTTTGTGTCTCTCTCCCCCTTTTCCATCCCAGCTATGATGTTTCCATCTTTCTATTTCCTTTCTTTCCTTCATCCCCCTTTCCCTCCTCTCATGCGTGTGGTGAACTACGATGATCGGCTCTAGTCCAGAACGATGACCTCCCTGCCCGTCGCCCACTCGGCAGCAATGACAGCAGCTCCAGTAGCCACCGTAGTAGCGGCCGGCTCGTCGTCGAGTACATAACTACTACCCTCGTCGTCGTCGTCGTCGTCGTCGGAATCAGCGTCTGCCTCGGAGTCCGTGGGCGGGTTGTAGTCGAAGTTGAACGTGCCCGGCGCGGCAGGCGCGGGAGAGTGCTCTGCGAGAGTTGAGTCTTGGGCCATCGGCTGGTGGCGGTGGCATCTATTTGGCATGACGAGTGTGTTGGTGCTGCTACTAGTGGTGGTGGCGGCGACGTCCACCGCGGCCGCGGGCTCGGGGCCGTTTCGTGGGGTCTGCGCAGCAGCGGCCGTATCTTTGCATTCCTGTGCGTTTTGCAAGGGCCCGGCGGTGTTAGGCGTGGCTGTGTGGGGTGTGTTGGTCGGAGAAGCAGCTGCTGTCGCGGAGGATACGTCTGCCGTGGCGACGGCGACGGCGGGCTCTGGTGCCGCCGCCGGCACGAACTCGGGAGGGACCCAGCCGATGGGCTTGCCTCTGGTCTGTCGTAGGGGCAGAGATTCCGGCGGTTAGTATATCAGACTGCCTTTCCAGGTATTAAATGCTACTGCTTGAGAAAGAAACTGGAAAGGGGCAAAAAAAGGGGGCAGGCAGAACGAGGAATTTTTCACCGGCACCTCATACTGAAACCGAATCTTGTCTCTGGCCGCAGCAACAGCACTTCCCACCAGACGATGCGGCCACGGGACGCCCGTCTTGATGCGGAAGAAGATTTGGAACAGGGCAAACTCGCGAGCGAAGAGGCCAGCCGTCGGGCTCGGGCGGTAGTATTGCGGTGGGCTGCCCTTCTTCTTGATGAACTTGGCTACGAACCAGTACAGCCGCGGCAGCGCGTGCGACTCGTAGAGCTGTGGCATGCCATCGAAAGGCCAAGTTAGCTTTGCCGGGGGGTGTGAGATGGGGAGAGACATTTTCAGGGGAGCATTCAAGTGAAAAAAAAAAAGGAGGGATGGAGTTTTGATCTTTCCGTTTTCCCCTACAAACATGCCCCCGGATAAGACCCTTACACACATGGTCTACTGCTGGACGCCACGCTCGCCGTCGTCCTTGAGCAGCTTGACGCTGTAATCGAAGAAGGTGCTGTCGCTGTAGACGCGGTACATGTCTAGCACCACGCCCCCCAAACTGTCAGCCAGCCATCTAAACAAACCCAAATCCCCAAAGAAAACCAACACTTTTAGAGAGAAAAAACGTACTCGGATCAACCGCTCGCTCGGCCATCGCGCGGCCCTTGGCAATGCGGGCCGCGCGCCTCGCCCTCTCGCGCTCCCTCTTGGGCGACTGCAGCGAGAACTTGGCCTCGGGCAGCAGGCGCTTCCTGTGCATGCTGTCCTCGAGCTAGTCGACGGTGACGATGTTACAGGCGCCGGAGGTAGCCTTGCTAGCACCGCGGGTGCCGCACTTTAGGGCTGCCTTGACTGTTTTGGTGTAAGTCTCGCACATATATGTATGTATATAGGGAGATGTCAACTCACCCCTGGCGCCGCGCTTCTTGAACTCGTCGGCGGAGCACAGCAGGTGCGTGACGGAGGCGTCAATCTGGTAGCTGAAGGCGCCGTCGCGCAGCCGCACCCACCGCGCAATGTTGTTCTCGGTCCACTGCCCACCCAGCTCGCCGGCCATGGCCACCGTCAGGCCGCGGAAGATGGGCTTGAGCTTTGCCTCGCGCATCGTGTGTGTGTTTAACTAATTAGTATGGATGGATGGCTTCGGAGTGGCGATGTGCTCCTCCGTCTCTGATTAATTAAGTGACTAATCTTGGAGGAAAGGAAGATGATGGGGGCTGGAGAACCTGTGTATGTATGGGAATGTGGTTATTCGATGGTGGAGGATATTCGACAGAAGTTGTGTATGGGGATGCGATTGTTCAACGAGGGAAAATACTTGAGAGAAGCCGTGTATGGGAATGTGGTGATTCAATGAAAAATGGTAGTCGAGAGAAGCGATGTCCGTAGATGGGATTATGAATATGTAATCATATGGAGAAGGCTGCTTGAGAGATGCGATGTTCGGAGATGGGATTATGAGGTTTCTATCATATGGAGAAGGACGCTTGAAAGAAGGAGTGGAACGCAGAGCAGGAAGCTTAAGAACCAGGAGAAGCGCTGCTAGGAAAGGGATCTCAAAGGGCAGGAAGTAGTTCTATGCTAGGTGTGGATGGGCGGTCTCGAGGGGGCACGAGTTCTTGCCTTCTCTGGAAGCGCCTCGTCCAGGGTTTTAGTGAGAATGGAGAGACGCGATATTAATGGCAGCACTTGCTGCTGTCAGTCGTACTCTGTTGCTGGGCGGGTTGACGAGGCGAGCCTTGTCTTTTTAGTCAAGTGCCGATGCTTCCTCGGGCTCATCCTATCTTTAGAAATCACCTTTAATGCTGCGGCCGTGGTACCTGATCATACGCCTCACAGTCAAGCTTTAGACACGGGACGAATCTTGTTGTCTTGCCACATCCAGATGTGCCAGTTAAGTGATATTGCTACCTCCAGTAGTTCGACTATCTAATCGCCTTGGCGGCATGTATAAAAGCCCGTATCTTTTCCACGCTCTGCACCCCGTTCACCTCGACGCCGCTGGCGAGATCCACGCCCAGTATCCTGTCTGCGAAAGGCCCCAGGGCGGCCACCGACTCAGCTACATTCTCTGGGGTCAAGCCGCCAGCAAGTAGCACCGTGAGGCGGTCGTCCTTTTCGAGAGCTGACTTGACCGACTCCACGTCAAGCAACTCGCCCGAACCTGAGCCCGAGTCCAAGAGGGCGGCCGCGTGGTAGCCGCGGACGCCAATTCCGGGCTGCCCCGGCTTGAACTTTCGGATGACGGGGACGGGAATCAGGGACGCCCACTCAATGGGCTCGTTGCCGTGCAGCTGAACGACGTCTAGGCCATATTGTCGCTGCTTCTCCAGAACCTCCTCCAGAGGCTGGTTCTTGAACACGCCGACGAGAAGCGGCCCCTGATTCCGTAGCAGCTCCCCAGACCAGCTAAAGAAATCCTCTGCCGATCCACGGGCCTTCGCCGACTCTTCGGCAGGGGGCTTGGAGATGTCGTGCACGGCTTTCGAGATGGCCAAGGCAGTTTCGTCATAAACGTACCGCTTTGTCCCAGGAACCAAGATCATGCCAATAAAGTCAGCCCCCGCCTTGATCGCTTCGGTGGCAGCCTCGGCGCTCCGGGTCCCGCAGATTTTTACAAGCAGAGACTTGGGCCCAGAAGTCGGGGCGGGTGCGTCGGGGCCAGCGCAAAGCTTCTTGATGAACTGCGAGGCGTCCGGGGCCCGCATGATGGACTCTCCAACTAGCACGCCGTTGACGCCATCTCTCTTGTAGTCGAGCACATCCTGGTGGGAATTAATGCCGCTCAACGCTAATAGAAATGTGTCCTTGGGCACCATGCTGCGGAGACGACCGGTGGTGCCGAGGTCAACTTCGAAACTCTCCAGGTTACGGTTGTTGACTCCGATCACCTTGGCCCCCAGCTTGATGGCAATGGCCATTTCGTCGGCATTTTGCACCTCGACGAGCGGCTCCATGCCCAGCGAGAGCGAGTATCTGTAGAGCCGCTCCAGAAGCTCGGCATCTAGCATCTTTACGATTAGGAGAACGGTATCTGCGCCGGCCAGTCTCGCCTCGAGGATTTGGTAGTCCTCAAAGATGAACTCCTTTCGGAGAACAGCGGGCCGGTTTGCCATGCCGTTCAGAACCTGACGCACGGCACGCAGGTCTTCGATGCTTCCCTTGAACCACTCTGGCTCAGTGAGGACCGAGATGACGCTGGCGCCCGCGAGGGCGTACTTACGAGCTTGCGAGGGCGCGTCGATGTCGAGGGCGAAGATGCCCTTTGATGGCGACCCTCTCTTGATCTCGGCCGCCAGGGTCACGTCAAACGGAGACTGGTGCACCCGGTCGACAAACGAGATCTGAGGCGGCGCGAGATTCAAGTCGTAGGCGGCTCGCAGGTCCGAGGGTCTCTGAGAAGGGACCTGCTTCTGCGCGGCCACGGCAGCTCTGCGGTGGGCATAGATTTTTTGGAGGATGTTGTGTTTCCCTCCGGATGGCGGCTGCTTTGCCGACGACTCGACAGGACTGAGAGTAGCGGCAGGACTTGCACTGTCGGCTTTCTGGAGCCTCCCGTTCTCAGCCCAAGTGCCGCCCTGCATGCGCAGAAAGTTCTTCAGCATGGTGCCCCCCTCGGCAGACAAGATACTCTCGGGGTGGAACTGGACACCCTCGAGGGTGTACTCTTTGTGGCGGACACCCATGATGACGCCCTTGGAGCCATCTTCCAGGGCAATCCAAGAGGTGAGCTCGAGGCATTCAGGCAGAGTCACGTGGGTGCCGGCGAGCGAGTGGTACCTTGTGACGGGCAGGCCCTGGGGCAGGCCGGCATAGACGCCCTTTGAGTCGTGGCTCAGGGGCGATGTCTTGCCGTGCAAGATCTCGCCGGCGAAGGTGACATCGCCGCCGTAGACATCAAAGATGCACTGTCTCGAGAAGGGTCAGGCAGGCCCAGCGAAGCCAGACAAGAGCGAAAACGGGGGGCGACTCACTGGCCCATGCAGACGCCGAAGATGGGGATCTTGCCGGCAAAGTGGCGGATGGCATCGCGGCTAATGCCCGAGTCGGTGCCGGGGTGGCCGGGCCCAGGGCTGATGACCAGCTGCGTCGGGTGCTTGGCGATCAGCTCGTCCAGGGTGATCTTGTCGTTGCGGAATACGGTGGCCTTGGCGCCCTCGAGCACTAGGTACTGGTACACGTTCCACGTGAACGAGTCGTAGTTGTCTATGAGGATCAGGTTGGTTGCCGTCGGCACCAGCGCCTGCCCTTGGCGCGGCGAGTGGTCAATGAGCTCCAGCGCAGTCATTTTCTTCAATAAGTAGCGAAACAGGAGACAAGGTACAATACAATAAAAATAGAGACTGAGGGCTTCCAATGTCCGCAGCTGCACCGCACTCTACTGCATCCCAACACTGGGCACCGATGCAGCAAAAAGAAGTAGAGCGCAATGCGAAATGTGCAAAATGCAATGGACAACCTGCAACCTGCAATGGCCTTTGAAAGGATAATGTGTGTAAAGCGCAACAATGGACTTTTTGGGCGGCGGGAAGCGGTCTGGATGAGTCAATGCAACTCGCTTTGAGACAAGCTCTGAGAATGGGCCTCTTCTTCTTACGGTGCATGACACAGACGAAGCGAATTATGGATGGAATCAAATGTGGCACCGATGACGGGTAATACGGTACCGTACTCCGTGCCTTCCATAACCTTACGGCAAGCGGCCACTAACAAAGAAAAGGCCGCGATCGCTGCTGGAGCTGGAGCTCTATCCCGCAGCGGCTGGGGGCTCTAGAGCTAGCCCGGTACGTTAACGTCGGGTGTGCTTATCGCTTATCGAACGGCGCCCGCTCTGGTAGGCGAGTTGCTGGTAAAAGTGAATCCTTCCCTCAAAGAGCTTTGAAGCCGCCTTGAATCGCATCGCGTCGGAGAGCGCGTCGAATACCTAATCCCGGGCCACTCCAACTTTTGCAGCCCGCCGCCCAACCTAGCGACCCAACCCCCATTGCCGTCGCCAAAACCGAAATTAATTGTGCCAATTTCCCCCGACTTGCATTCATTGCTCAGATCCTCGCCGACGACGTACCACGACCAGCCAGCTCTGGCCCTTGGCTGATGGAGACGGTTGCTTAATGGCGTCCTTGACCGATAGAACGTATTTTCCTGACCTCGAGGAGTGTCTGTCGGGCAAGCATTGCATTCTGTACGTATGCCGCCTTTCTCTATTGCTGCCTATTGCTGCAAGCTACGACTTATGTTGGTGCTGGTGCTGGTGCTGGTACTGACTTTGTGCCTCTAGATCGTGGGGCCTCGTCGCATCTGCCCTCGACGACAGCGCACCCGACCGCGTCACCAGTGCTGCCGTGTCGGCCTTTCTCAGAGATGGCTACGTCCACCACCTGATCAAGACGCCCTCGGCCGTGTTTGAGCCCCCGACCGCCAAGTCCAAGACAGACTTCGAGACTAAGACGGCCGCCATCAATGTCATCCCCGCCCCTAACGACCACTTCACCATCGGCGTCATCAAGGAGGATGCCCTGTGGCTGAGCGAGAATGTGAACGTCAACGAGGTGGCCGCCTTGCGCATCGTCGCCATTGAGTTCCAGGTGCGTGCCCAGAGCCATCTCACCGGGCCCCTGTCGAGCCAGGACGCCGTCAACATCCAGGAGGCCGCCGGCGTCACCGATGTCCAGGCCTCGAGCATTCTTGCCCTCCTCAATGTCTCTGCCGCCACCGACGCCGAGGCCACGTGGGCCGACTTCGAGACCCAGACGAGCCGCCGCCGCCGCCTTCTGTCTACCTACCTGTCCGAGCGACGGTCCTTCCTGGGTGCCGCAGACTCCTTGACCTCGTTTCTCTTGCACTCGCGCTCTGCGGCTAAGGGCCGTGAGGTCGACGAGCTGCGCCGCATCGTCGTCAAGGCCGCCTTTAACTTCGACGAGCTTAACTCGCAGCCCGACGTGAGCCTTGCGCCATTCGAGGCCCTGGTGCCCAGTTACCTAGCCATTTTAAGCCACTCCATCGACCGCTCCCAGACCGGCCCCGGCAACGTCACCCGCCCGGTGCTTACCGAACAGATCGAGGTGAGCTGGCTGAGGACATGTCTCACAGAGGCCGTCCACGCCATGTCGCTCGTTTTCCAGATCCTCGACCTCGCTGGCGCCGTGTTTGCCACGCCGGACTTAGTGGCCCAGTGGTTTGTGTTTGTGGACAGCTGCGAGTTCCTCGAATCGCTAAACGCGGTCAGTATTCCTCATCCTTCTCCCTCATATTCCTATATGCACTGAGCTAGTACACTGACTTCTCACTAGAGCAACGACGCTCTTTCCGATCTCGTAATGCCGCTGAGGAGTATGATTTGCGTCATCTCGCTCAAGCTCCTCAATGCGGACCGGTCCATCCCGTACCTGAACCAGGAGATCGATCTTATGGAGCACGAGGACCCATACCTGGCTTCGTCCGAGGTCCTGACACAGATCCACCAAACACTTCAGGCTGCCGCGAGCGCGGGCTCGGTGACGGCGAGCCCCGTCGTGCTGGCGTGGTCTCTGATTCTCCACACCATGTATGTGGCCTACCAGGAGAGGACAGAACGCCGCGACTTTCTCCAGAATCAGCGGGCACAGGAGGGCTTCGAGCTCGAGATCCGCCCCTCGGGCAGGGGGCGCAGAAACTCGACGGGAAGCATCGTCTCCCTTGAGCAATCGCCTTACGACCTATTTCTTGCCTCGCAGTCCCTGGATCGCGATATTGCCGCAATAGAAAATCTGGCCATAGTGGCCACGTCTGCACACGGTCAAATCTACGAGTCTATCTCCGACATGTCGGCATGCCTGGGGAACGGCGCCCAAGCCGCGTTCCGGCCCGCGGTGGGCGGGCGGGGGCGGCTCACCTTGCAGGAGCTCCTGAAAGCCAGCTTTAAAATCGTTGGTTACCGGACCGAATCTGTCTCGAGTCTGCTCTCCGTTCTGTCGGCTGGAGGGCAATACTGGGACACGTCTCTCGAAAACTCGCTCGCGGCCACCCAAGGGCCCGCAGCTCACATGCTGGAAAACACCAATCTCAGGAGATCCTACCTCAACCAAGCCATAACTCGCTACCCATACGAATTTCTACCCTTTGCAAATTTCTGCCGCGTCTTGTCCGCGAGCCTGCTCTCAGACCCAGAAAGCTCGGAGCTGGTCATGGGGTTCCTCCACAAGACACCGAGCTTGATGCTCGTCTGGAAATATGAATGGACGCAGTACGAGTTGGTGAGCGAGGAGGAGAACACAAACTCGTTCCGGCTCACAGAGGACCTCGATCTCTTCAATCCTGCCTGGGCATCCAAGAGACGGCCTGGCACCGAGGAAGCCTTCTTCATACCCTCGGGCACACTGGGACGATTTGTCACCACCGAACCCAGGATTGCACTGCTCGAGTTCGAGCACTCTGCCCTGGCTCTTCTCGGAAAGCGTCTTGAAACGAACCTAATGCCTGATGCCTCCAGCTCTGGCCTTGGGCCCCTCGCCCTAGAAGAAGTTGCCGAGGGCGTGTCCCTGCTAGCGACGGTGCTGCGAGCCCAAGTTGTCAAGATCTCGGGCCCCGATTCCCAGCGGACATCTGAAAGCGCCGTAGACCTTTTGAAAGAGGCGAGCCGGACTTTGCCGCGGAATAGAGACATCATCACCGTCATTTGCGACACCCTGGACGGCTTGATTCAGGAAGAGCTCACCAGCCTCGACAGTGCCAAGATTGCCACCATGTCGTCCTGTATACAGTTTCTTCATGCCGCGCTCTCGGTCTGTCCCGGCCGCATCTGGGGTTATGTGGCTCGGTGCGGTCTGGTTAACAGCGAGACGCGATCTGGGCGGCTGTCCAGGATCACCGGGAATATTGACATGTCCCCTGAGCGCTTCGATTTCCTCTCGTCGGCTGTAAAGCTCTTCTCTAGCTTGGTCGACAGCGCCATGACCAGTGCTGTCCAACGCAAGGCCGGGACCGCCTCGTACTCTCGGCCCAAGGGGGACGAGACCCCGTGGCTCGGCACGTCTGAGAAGACCATCTCCCGAGTCTCGCTCTTGGTAGCTCAGACGGCCGTTGATGTGTTTGAGAACTCGGCCACGTGGAGATTCCCCAACGAAGTCGACCGCAGCATCCTGGTCCGAGACGTGTTGAGCATCTTGAATAATCTAATATCATACTCGTTTAGCATCGGGACAGTCGAAAAACCAAGTAGCTTGACGAGTTGTCTTGTGCCTGCCGCCAAGTATATCGTAGACGGCTTCTTGTCTCCGTCTTCGAGTTCCCTGAGGTTCCAGCCCTTCTTGGCAACCCTCCTCGTTGCCTTCCAAATCCCCGACTCGACTCTATACGTGCGACGATCCGGGATAGTCTCCGAGAGACTGACGGCTGCCTTGGCTTTTGCGAACACGCTGTTGCGAGCTGCCAACTACCTAAACCAGCCTTCGGCTGTCGTTCAGACGCAGCTTTTCAAGTCGGCCTCGCTCATTGCTCGGCTGCCGGGCATCAAGCACTCTTTCAAAGCGCCAGCCGTATCTCTGCTCAGCGCGCTTGTAGAGAGTGCCGGAAAGGGCAGCGAAAACGAGCCACCGTCGCTATTGGGATACCTTGGACCGCAGGTATCAAGGTCCTTCCTCCAGATAGTTTCGCAGCTTGATCAGCCATATGATAGGATCTCTGAGCTGGTGAGCATGTGGAAATTCTTCTCGACCATTATGCGGAACCGGCAACAATGGATGGCGAACTGCCTCCTTACGGGCAAGACGCCGCGCGAGGCCTTGAAGGGAGACGGGAAAATGTCAACACTGTCCCCCGACTCGGTGCTCGCAATGGCGCTGGAGAAGTTGTGCTCGGTCAATAAACTGCCCAGCCGGGAAAGTATGGCTGTTCTCGAGTTCTTCACCTCGGCACAGAACTACTGGCCCTGGACCATTTTTGCAATGCAGAAAGACAATAGCTTTCTGCAACACCTCCGATCATATGCGCGCAACCTCAAGTCGCCATCTGTCGTGTCCAAGACGGATGCGAGGGAGGCTGGCTACCAAGCGAGGATAGCGGCGTATATCGCCGAGACCTTTGCCATGCAGCTGTACCACTTGCGCCAGATTGGCCAAGAACAGACGTTTGCCACGGATGTGCTGAAAGACCTCGACTACTTCCTCCGCAACGGAGCCGAGGTGGCGGACTACAATGCCTCTCTACACGCAAACTTCACCAAGAACTTCAATGCGCGGTATTCCGGTTGTTCGATAGACGATTTCAAGAGGACCGCTCTAGTACCTCGGGACCTTGGCTCCAACTTTTACTTTGCCCTGGATTTCGCCGACACAACGCTCGGCTACGACGCCGGCTGGACTCCCCGGCGGCAGAACGGCTTTAGGCACGAGATGGAGATAGCGAACCTAAACCTGTCCTTAGTGGAAGCTGAAGTGGTAAGACGACCCCGACCTGCCCGCTGCGCCATACCCGCTAACATTGTCGAGGCTCTATTTCACGCCTGGGAGTATCTGCTCCTGGAGCTCAGCGTGTGCCTCTTGCCGGATGGGGCTGTCGTACAGCGCATGTTGCAGGTTGCAGAGCAGTGCTTGGAGTCCAACCAAAGGCCCCAGCCGCCAGAGAATATCTTCGTCAGGCTCAGTCACTCACGGGCGAACCTGACTCTGACGCTCCTACAGCGTCTTGCAGATTGCTCGTACGCGCCAAAGAATATCACGAGCCTGCTCATGAGCATCTCGGCCACGATCAACGGGGTCGAGAACCCATTCAGCGCTGATCGGATATCCTACTTCCGAACCCTCCTCAAGATCCTCTTTATGATTCTGAGAGGAGCACCCAGACACTCGGCCGGCCCTGCGCCCTCCAAGGATAATGAGCATGACGCCCCGGTGGCGCTCACCCAAACAGTCTTGACTATCCTCGATCGGGTCGTCGCCCGGCTGTTTAGGTTACTCGTGACGCTAGTCCACGAACCAAAGTCGGCGACAACCCCTGAGGACCTTGCCCTTGTAACCGCCATCCTCCAGGCCTGCCTCAGCGTGAGCGGAATAGAGCAGTGCCAGCTCCAGATCGGCAACATCATGGCTTCGTATGACGTGTTCCAAGTGGCAACTTCGCTGTTTTCCTGGGCCGACAAGCTGGCGGACAACGGCGATCCCGTCTACGGCGAGCTTGCGCTGCTTTTTCTCCTGGAGCTCTCGGCCCTCCCCACAATAGCCGAGCAGCTGGCATGCGACGGCCTCCTGGACCACCTCACGTCGGCAAGCCTCGCCGGGTACATGCGGCGCAGCAACGTGTCGCCGTTCTCGGAGAACGCGGGCGCCGCCCGGTGCTACGGCATCTGGGCCAAGGGGGTGCTGCCGCTGCTGCTCAACATCCTCGGGGCGCTGCGCGCCACCATCGCGCCCGAGATCGCGTTCGTGCTGAACCAGTTCCCCAACCTGCTGCAGTCGAGCGTCGAGCGCTTCGAGGCGCCGGGCCTCAGCCGCACGGCGTCGCGCGACGCGCCGCAGTTCGTCACGCTGGTGGCCGTGTCCGAGATCCACTCGCTCGCGCTCCTCACGCGCGTCCTCGGCGTCCTGCGCGCCAACAACACGCGCGACATCCCCGAGGTGGCCTGGGACGCGACGTCGGTGCTCGAGAACGTCGAGTTCTGGCTGCGCAGCCGCAAGATCCTGCGCGAGCGCATGCTGCCCCTCAGCCCGCGCGAGACCGAGTGGCGCGCCACGAAGGCCGCCGACGGCAGCGGCTGCGAGAACCGCCTCGAGGAGAAGGCCGTCTCGAAGCTCGAGGCTGTCAAGGATGTGCTAGCCGAGGATATGGAGTGAAAGGGTTTTTTTTTCATCATTATGTTTTGGGTTGAGCGGGCAGAGGAAAAGGGGGGGGTTTCATTTCCCTCGGTTTTCTTTTTTCCTAATGTCCTTTTCTTTTTGGCATAACCGTGCAAGTGTAAATATAAAGCAAACAATTTGGGGGGAGGAGGGAAACAACACGGTAGCCAAAAAAGAAATAAAAACCAAAAAGGGAGTAAATATTAGTTATTACCTTGTAGAACACACATACGCGAGATTCCTCTGTTGTCTCTCTTCTCGCTCTCGCTCTATTGTTACAATGCCAGGCGCCGCGCCCCGCATCAGTCTATGTTATGAGTATGAGTATGAATATGAATATCCACCACCATGCCAACCGTTGACCACCTTTAAAAAAGAGGGAAGAAGGGAGTATCCACAGATATCTCTTCTCTTCTTTAGCCCCTTCCCCCCCTGATTTATCTAAAGTAGTCAGGCCCAGGTATCGCCTCCTGTCTTGTCTAAATGCCTGTTTCTCTGCGATTTCCCCTCTATCGCTTTCCGTTCTGGGCATGCAGGGAGGGCAAGAATATGGATGGTGTTGTGTTAGATGGTTGGTTTAGGAGGGGAATATAATTGTACAATATGTTTTTTTTCTTTTCTCTTTCATCTCTTTTTTCTACCTCTTGTGGGAGTGAAAGTAGAGAGGTTCTATTGCTGCGCCTTCCGCTGCATCTCGGCGGCCATGGCCTGGTTCTGCTCGGCGAAGCGCTCCGCCATGCGCGCCTGCGTGGTCATGGACTTTTGCACGCACCGCGTGATACACCCCGTCTCGGTCCCCGACAGCGCCTTGGACGTGAAGTCGTTGATGCACGAGTTGAAGCACGTGTCGACGAGGTTGCCGATGACCTAGACGTGTGTGGGTTAGCTTTCTTGCGGCCTCTTTTCTTTTATATTTCATTGCTTGGTCGTGAAGTGTGTATGGGCAGTGGATTCGATTGGACACGCGGCTAGCAAGGGATGGGGTATAGACATACGCTCATAAACTCCTTGAGCTGGCGCTTCTGCATGCGCGTCTCCAGCTCGCGGTTCTCGGCGGCGGTAAGTCTGCGATGCGAGCGAGATCATGTTTAGCTTTGGAATCCGTTGAAAGGACTTGCTGGCCAACGTACCCGGTGTCCATGGCTTCGAGTATGATGGGAGCGTGATATGGGTTGGTATAGTGGTTTTGCGGACTGGGGAATGAATCGGTGATAGCTTCTCGTTTTCTTGCTGGTGATACTCGGTCGATGGTCCTTTGCCGCGATAACAAAAAATCGCTGATGAGTGACGTGCATGGGCCAGCCAGGCGGACCCCAGAAGCTAAGCTAAGCTGGGCGTGGCCTGTGCGCCGATGGGCCGAAGCTGAACCGAGCGCCTGGGCCGGCCTCTACTTAGCGAACCCGCACTCCGTACGGAGGATCCGATTTTAGACTGAAAGTATTCTATTCAGAATAACCACCCCAATAGTTGCAATAAGCGTTCAGACAGCCTTCACCGAGGATACGCAGAGGCTAGCGGCATTTTGGCAGTCCATTCCAGTAGGTATCTCTGGTCCATCCCAACATGGCAAGCCTCGAAAGTCGAGATACAACAACCATCAGAGCGACAGGTTCGCCAAGCGTGGCTGTGGTCGTGAAGCTGCCCAAAAGACGGCAGCAGCGAAGCTTGACTCTTGACAGCCTATGACGTTCTGCAACATCTCGTATCAACGCACCCCGCACCCACGCGGCTGAAGATGAAACATGACCCGAATAGGTAACGTATGTACTAGAACTAGTAGTAGGTATACACAGGCTGCCAAGTGCAAAGCCCTGGGCAACATCTCGCCTGCGTCGTTTTCCTCCCCTGGTGAGTACTGTACGGTGCAGACCAAGTGTTCTGGAGTCCTGCGCGCGCAAGCCCGCCCGCCAGTCTTGTGCGACTGAGAAAGGCCGGCGGAAGTCTCGGCCCACACGCCAAAATGTCTCGCAGCCGTTCCTCAGCCCTGCGAATCCAACCGTCTGAACATGGGATGCGTGGCACAGATAGACATATCTGCGCCGTCCGGGGTTCAGAGGCAAAGACATAGTACATAGTACTAGATATGGCCATTGGACAGGAGGGAAACGGCACGTTATTGGGTTGACATTCCCAGCTGTGGGTGGCCACGCCGGGAGCGAGCCGAGTTCTGGTTCTACCAACGTATGTCCCCCTCTGAAGGGGGGCTGGCCTGACGAGACAATGACGAGAGTACGCAACACGCAGAACGTCGTCGTCGTCGTCTTCGTTGCCGTCTGGAAAACTGGGTGGGTTTGGGGCCCGCCGGTTGGCCCTCGTCCCCGCATGACCTCAGCAAAGAGCTATATTTAGAAAACAGAGAAAGAGAGGCCCATCCGTCTACGGAGGGATAGGATACCTTCCATACAGTAGTGGCAAGACTGCGCTGCGATGCGACTGCACTACACTGGGCTACTGAGTACGAAGATACGCCCCAACGTACACTACTGTGCGCGAATGTCGGCTGCGACGCTACCTGTCGAGGTGCCTGACACTACGCAGTACCGTATGGCGTAGGAAGGCGGAGCTGGACGAAGCTGCCGTGGATCTAGTGCGAGCTTAGGTAGCCCGGTTTCCAGACGAGGACCGGTAGATGACAGGGCCGAGTTAAAATTGACACCCTAGTGAATCCGTCACCAGTGAGATGGATGCACGTCGTGACCGCTTCCGAGCAGCTGCTGCGCACGCTGCGTGCTGCAGGGAACCCTACATACGTCATTAGTCCCCCCTGGCGCCCGCAGCAGCAAATTGCCGCTGTCCGACTCTAGGCTGGGCTGCCCGTCTTGTCTTGTTCAACCCGAGACACCACCAACCTAACTCAACTCCCTGCAGAGTGCAGCTTTTGGCAATGGAACCTACTGAGGTGTGTAATAAGCTAGCTGGGCTGTCGTTGGCTGTGGCGATTCAAACACCCCTCCTAGAAGCGTCCTGTTTGGGCAGGGTCAGGAATCTGGTGACGGGACGACCTTAGTTGCCCTACCCTGCGGTTAGCAGATGGCCTGCTTTGCCGCGGCGCCCACGAGAGAAACTCAAATGCCGCGATCTGCATAAAGCGATCATCCTGTTGCCCTTTGCCCTATAGTGAGTGCAGCACACGGAACATGTACCTACACGTAGGTACAGCGTAGTGTAGAAATTTGCAGTGGCGCCGGCGTCCTATACTGATGTTGTCATATTAGCGAAAGCCCGTCGGTGAGGCTTGATGGATTAGAGTTCTAAAGTTTAGGTGAGCTGAGCTTTTAGAAACCCGCGTGTAGAATGCCACAACCACTTCCTATTTCCTGAGTAATAACAGTAAAATGGAATATACCTGCCGCGTTACATACACACTTGATCTCGAGGTAAACAAAGTAAACCATTAACCTGGGGAAAGGCACTTTCTGTGGCTTTTTGCACTTGGATCAAGATGAGTAGTAAGATTTCAGCCAAGAATGAGCCAACGGCTGTCTTGTTTAAAAATAGTCAGCGCCCTGATTGCTGGGACCGCAGCACCTCTTGGGAGCCACCTGCCGCCGCCGATTCAACCCAAAAACATACCAAGACCAAAACATCGCCGGCCATGCCTCGCGCTTTCCTTTTTTCGCATCGTGTCCGGCTCGATACAAGGCCGTTATTATCCGTCCGCTGTGACTTTCTTCTTGTTGTTTGATCAATCACGTGCAGAGTACGGATACGGATACATACCAAGTCCCCGTTGAAGGCGTCGGGTTGGACGCCAAGGCTCCCGTCGCTCGTCAGTGTGCAGCTTAGACCACGCACCGTGGGAGACTGGCGCCTTGGGGCCGCTGGGAACCCCCTGTTGCCCTTGCCAAATCCCCCCAACCAGTCCTGAAAAGGCAGCCCGCCGTCTCTCTCTTTCCTTGTCGTCGCTCACGGGGCTCATTTAACCAAACCCACATCCAAAACACAACGCGAGCCCGATTGCACGAATCCAGAAAAGAGACGGGCAGCGTTGCGCGCTGACCAGCCGCCAGCTGGGAATTTAGTCTCGCCGTCTCCTCCGCCGACCGCGCACCTCCCAGGCTGGTTTCTTCTTCCAGGCCCCGCCCGGCCTCACAATCGACGGGAGCAAGGCCACCTCACCGAAGCACGCGTCCAAATCACAGGCATCCTGCACGCATCGCACGCACGTACCGCACGGCACCGCATCGCATCGCGTCGCAGAACCGCGCCAGTTTCACGCCTGCAAAAGCGGCGAGCCTCGGCCTGGTCCCGGCCGGCAGCCACGGCACGCATCTCTTGCTTGCCCGCAACCTGTCGGACTCTTGCAGAGTTCTCGACCCAGCTCGTCGCGATCCTGCCTCGCGTCTTCAATTGGCCGAGGCAGCTGCCCGCCCGCGTTCCTACCTATAACCAGCTCTAATAAACCAGTCGCCCGCCTCGGGCCTCCTTTGCAGTCATGGCATCCGGTACACCGCATTCTGCATCGCAGCAGCAACATCAACAGCAACAGCAACGAGCGGGTCCGTCGTATCATCCTCCGCCCCTGGTGCCTCCGCCGGTGCAGGCAGCCTCTCCGCCCAACAAGCGGGATTTGAAGTCTTGGTGGAAAGGATTCAAGCTGGCTTCGAAGAATCAAGAAACCCACGGTACTGCTCCCTCCTCTACTATATCTCGAGACTATAGGCCACATTCCATGTTCGTCGAGGGGTCGGATGGCTGTCTGAGCAATATCCCGTCATCCGTAACCGTGGCTCGAGAAATGGTGGCGGTCGAAGGAGGGTGTCCAGCTCATCAAGCAAGTGCGAGCTCGGGCCAGGCGCCCATGGCAAGGCCTGGCAAGAGGCTCATTTTAAATACCCTTGGTCGCATCCTTAATTGGCGTCTTGGGAAATGTGCGACTGGATGCCCCAAACCATGTCCCACCGGGCTCAGACTGACCCTCGCAGACCATCGGCCCCAGGGTATCTTTGGTGTCCCACTTCGCCAGAGCATCACGTACGCCAACGTAGCCATCTCTCTCGTCGACGAGCAAGGGGAGAGCTACATATACGGATACGTGCCGATTGTCGTTGCAAAATGTGGTGTCTATTTGAAGGAGAAGGGTTTGTGACATACCCCCTCACATGTGTCCCCTCGAGGTAATGAATCATTACTGACGTGCCCCAAAGCGACCGAGGTTGAGGGCATATTCCGCCTCAGCGGGTCGGAGAAGAGGATCAAGGAGCTAAAGACCGTTTTCGACTCGCCAGACAGGTACGGGAAGGGGCTGGTGTGGGATGGGTACACGGTTCACGATGCCGCCAACGTCCTCCGTCGCTACTTAAACGATCTCCCCGAGCCGGTTGTGCCGCTGGATCTGTACGAAAAATTTCGGGAACCGTTGAGAGGGGCCACCAAGCAGGGTGCCGCCGATGTTGACGGACCCCAGTTTGTCGAGAACTTCGACATGAATGCCGCCATCGCAACCTACCAACATCTCATCACTGAGCTGCCCCCCCTGAACCGTCAGCTGCTGCTATACATCCTGGACCTTCTTGCCGTGTTTGCTGCAAAGTCGGACCAGAACCGGATGAACTCGCAGAATCTGGCGGCCATCTTCCAGCCCGGCATGCTTTCCCATCCCGCCCACGCCATGGCACCCGACGAGTACCGGTTGAACCAATGCGTCATTATTTTCCTTATTGAGAACCAAGACCATTTCCTCATTGGAATGCAAGGCACAGCCGCAGATGAGAAGACAGTTCAGGAGGTGCAAAAGGGAACACCCGTCATAAACAGCCCCACTACACCAGGTCCAAACCGGAAATCAGGGGTGTCGCGGTCTCCGTCAACCGCTAGTGCCGGCGCGGAAAACGTCGCGAAAGATGGCCAGATTAGAAGAAATAAATCGACATCCTCGAGGCGATCGCATCAGTCAAATAGTGCTCCCAGCCCACTAAGCCCAGGGAGCCCCGCGATAGCCACAACCCCTACCAGTGGACTGGCTCGGTCTAATACCCTGCCCTCGAAGAAGTCTCCAGCGTTACAGTCTGGGAGGTTTGCATCAAGGAATGGCCCTTCGGCAGTCTCGGCGTTGACACCCGTGGCTCCACCAACAACACAGGTTGTGCCTCCTCCAGCCCTTGCTGAGGAGGTCTCCACCACGCTGGAGGATTTATTCGTATCAGTACCGAACTCAACGGCAACCTCCAGTCTGGCGCCCGGCCAGTCCGCCGTGGGAGCCAAGAGCCAGGAAAGACTGTTAGACCCGAATCCAGAGGCCACGACGCCGTCTCGTGAACGGAGGTTGCCAGGTTTGTTCCAGAGGGTCCCCACTGGAGAGAGTGATGGTCGACAGCCCAACAAGTTGAGAAAGAAGAAGATGCCGGGCAGCGCCAACCCGAGCGCGCACAGCTCCTCGGCGTCCTTACCACATTCATTAGCGGTATCCCCAAATACAGAACTAATCAATCCTCTTGACACAATACCATCTGCGCCCCGCAGTACAAATATAGAAAGCTTTTCTATGGCACAGACGATCGAGACACCGTCCGAGGCAACCCCACGGGCATCTCAAATTCCGTCCAGCAACACACTTCATCCTAGCAGCGCCGAATCGACCCTGAGACCAAACAAGTCCCCGCCAACATCCATACACGGCTCCTTCAACGAGGGTTCTGACCTTGACCAAGTTGACGAGCCGATAGGTGGCCAGGCAGACGCAAGTCCAGATGCGACATCAGACAAGGAGAAGAAAAAAAGATGGCGGCTTTCTCGAAAGAAAGACGATGTCCCGCCGCCCCAGTACCCCCCGCTTGCGTCCCCGCGGCTGTTTCTCGGAGCGAATTCGAATGCCGATATCAGCACCAGTTCAGTTGGTAGTTATAAAGCTCGACATAGCATGTCTGGCGAGCCGCCTGATCTGGCGGCGGTCAATGCTGAGGCGCCTGTAGTCGAGGCAAGCAACAAGGAAAGCCGAGAGGACGCCAAGGGCCTAACTGGGTGGTTCAAGACCAAGTACCGCGAACGCAAGGAGAATGTCGAGCAACGAAGAAACAAATCACCACCTGCAGATCGGACTGTATCAATGGGCAGCAGCTTCCTGTCGTCGACGCGCGGGAAAAGCCTGGATATCAAGCGTGGCCTCGCCGAGGAGAAGCATCCGCAAGAACCAGGTGCGCCGCAATAAGTCGGCTCGGCCAAATAGCTTCCGCCGACTGGTGTTTGGACATGGCCGTTTAGCGCCATGATTGCTACTTTTTTGTGCACTTTGGTCGAGGGTGCTCTGGCCGCCCATCCGGAGTTTTATGTGCTTGGCTCTGCCGTTTTAGGGATACGGTCTTGGTTGGGCTGGGGGATACAGATCTGATGCGATTGGGGTTTGTGTCGAATGGTTGCGGATACCCAGGGCTTGTGTGTTTTGATGTATACGGGAGATGTTGAAGACGTTTCTCTTCCCTTTCTTTTCTCTCTGCTAAATTCCCCCTTCCTTTCCTCCCTTTCCTCTCTTCCCCTTCACATTTCTTCCATTCTTGTCTTGGTTTCAGCAAGCGGTGCTTTCTTCTCTTCGTTCACGGGACTTGACAGAACACTTTTTTTTTCTCCGCAGACCCCGAAAAGAGGGCGAGATACGGAAGGGCGCCTGGCATAGGCCGTTTTTAAAGGGAAAAAGGATGGGGGCAAGGAGAACAACCAATGATCAAATCGGTCGGGCGGGACAGGTATCGCTCTGGATTTTCATTGTAAAGTAGCGAACCATCATGTGGGAAACATGGGGAAATGGCGCGGCTCGACCAAATACAGATACCTAAGTTAGCAACCGGTATTCTGCTTTCTATATGCCTTTTATCCCTACGAAGGTCTGCCGGGGGATAGGCGGCCCTCTATGTTAGTCAATATGAGTACGGATTACAATCAGCATCTCGACGTATCAGTCAGCCCCGGCTTCGAAGTCAGCTTCGTTAGTCACGCCCAGGCCCCATGTTACCTAGCGCGGCATCATTTCTTGATGAAGGCATATTCGCCCCCCTGAGATGGGGCCGAATCAGAAGTGATCTGGCACCCGATCACGAGATTGCGGGGAAGTGATGCAAGCCTGAAGCCACCCCGGAATCCGGATTGGCATTCGGCTATCCGTACTTTTCCGTCGCCGATACCTCCGTGTGCGAGCCAATTTCAGTTCTTGTTGGTTCATATTCTAAAGCCAGTCCCTTTTTCTTTTCTTTTTTCTTAATAGAGTCTCTATTCTGTCTGCCACCACATGTACATACGTGAATTAATTCGGATGATAAATCTTAAATAATTATAAGCGGTGCGACCTGAGGACGACCGACCGCCCACGCCAAGCTTCCCCGCAGTGAAAAGCTTCTCTCCCCTCTTCTCACACCCCCTGTTGACCAAAACCTAATGCGGAGAGCGGGCGGGCGGGCGAACGGCGGGTTAGTAGCTGATGATGTGAGTGGCGCCGCCGGCACAGGAGAAAAAAACCAAGCTACAAAAGCTTAGCTTGACGGCTTTGGTTATTTAGTGGTTTCGACTTTCGATATCTTGCACACGCACTCTCTCTCATATATAACAACATTGGAAACCAGACCGGTTGTTCGGCTAGGGGAAAAGGTTTGGATATAACACATATATACTTTGTACACATGCTTTTCTTTTCTGTGTGTGTTGTGTGTTCCGTTAACCGGGTTTGTTTTCTAACCTGAAAGAGATAAAGGGTTGGCTCTTTATCAGACAGAGAGACATGAGAAGCCCCTTGGGGAGGTTGTTGCTTGTCTCGGAAGTGTGAAGCTGACAAACATCTTCTCACATGGCGCCGGTCCCCCATTCTGATACCTACCTTAAGTAGGGTGTAGGTTTCGTGGGACGGTTACGCAGCACTTTGCACTTTGCACTTTGCTGCAAGCGAAGAATTCTTTTTGTTCCCCTACGTGCTCGCCCGTCTCGCACCACATTATGTCCAAAACATCGTCTGTACTACCCGTATGCTACACGTATGGTCAGACTACCTAGGCTAGAAGCTTTGACGCCGCCTATCTACCGTCTGTCGTCACTCCCTAGATAGATCTATCTCTCTCTCTCTCTCTGTTTCTCTAGTAAGCGCCTGCCGGCGCCATTGGAGGGCTTATACCAAGAGACTCGCAAAGTAGCAAGGGATGGGACGCTGGTACATAAGATACGTACGAGATACCCAAAGTAGGTTAAAGTAAGGTAAGCAAGCAAGTAAGCCGGCAGCTTTTTTTCCAAGCTTCATCCGAACCCCATTCAATTTTCCACCCTCGGCACCTTGAATCGTCGGTCCCGATTATTATTACTGCTCGGCGTGCGTTAAAGTGAGTCCGCCGCAAGGAAAACTTTCTTAACTCCTAACTCCTTCGTGCCACTCTTTTCATCCCATGCGAGGCACCACCACTCCCCCCCACCCCCTCCCCCCGTCACACAAAACCTTCAGGGCACCGGCCACGCGCAGTAGTCTCGTCCGAGAATTTCATTGTAGGAGACAGAAAGAAACAGGCCTCTACCACTGCTTGAGTCAGGTTGGCGTCGCACACACACGACTGAGAGAGAGAGATAGACCGACCCAAAATCTCTGCGCTCTCGGGTCGCGGCAGCCGGGGCGGGGGCTGCCTGCCGACAGGTGGGTGAAGACAGGTGGATGGACACAGTCGGTCCTGCAAGACAAGACAGGACGAGACAGACATCAAACTTGAATTCCGAGTACGCGTGCGTGGGCGCACCGCGCGTGTGTGTTAGGGTTTTCCTTCTTTTTCTTTTGCAATTTGGATTTGCGAGGGAATTGTCAAGTTAACAAGTTGAACCTTTTTACAAGTTCCATTTCTTGTCCAATGTCCATGGAATATGTAGTTGACTTACATGGGTGTTTTGTTTTTCGGATTTGTTTTTGCCGTGGTCCGCCCGCCGATCTCGACCGTTGCTCAGTCAGGAAGGTGGGAAGGTGATCACCTCCTCCTCAGTACCACTAAGTTCTAGACCTAGTGCCCCCAAACAGCCAACAGCACAACGAACAAACCGAGGAAGCGTGACGGAGAACCAATAAACTTGGTCACGCTCAGTTCAGACGGAAAAGCCGAAAGGGGGAGGAACGGAAAAGGCGGAGGCTCTACCTAGGTTACCTCACCTACGTCGGACCCTCCTCACGTGGGCTTGCTTAAGCTTCCTCTTTTTTCCTCCTCCCTGCCGCGGTTTATAATACAGCTTCCCCAACCCTAAACCTTCTTTTGGTCTGCCGTTCGTGGAGCTTGCGCAGACGCAGACTGCGTAGATTGAGTGTCTTTATTTCCTCCCTCGGGCTCAAGACAGCAATCATGTTTGGACGACTGAAGTCTCCTCGTACGTTGAATTCACACACCAAATCCCAACCTCTCTCATTCGCGGTACCTGCCCAGTTCAAGTCCGAGAAGACCACCGGGCGTTGGCTGCGGAGAAATGCTACTTTCTTGACACTTTTGCTCACTCGGAATATATTGCCCCCGCCCCTCTGAGCTTTTGGGTTCTTGTTCTAGGAGAAAGCAGTTCCGAGGTAGTTCTAATGCCCGAACAGCAGCTGTCAAGGAGGAATTCGCCGAGGGCGTTCCCGTTGGTCAGGCGTCCGAGGCGGGCCTCGCCAACTTCGACGACGACGTGCGCGTGCCGTGCCCGCCGCACACGACGGCGCGGAGACTGCAGGCGCGCATCGACTGCCGTATCGTGCCCTTCCTGATCGTACTGTACCTCCTGGCCTTCCTGGACCGCGTCAATATCGCCAATGCCCGCTCGTTCGGGCTCGAGGCCGACCTCGGCATCCTGGGCGACGGCGTCAAGTACAACACAGCCCTGACCATCTTCTTCGTGCCCTACATCGTGCTCGAGATCCCATCCAACATGCTGCTGAAGCACTTCTCGCCGCGCATCTGGCTCTCCGTCTGCTGCCTCGGCTTCGGCCTGGTGTCGGTCTGCCAGGGTCTGGTCCAGAACTACGCCGGCCTGCTCGTCACGCGCTTCTTCCTCGGCGTCTTCGAGTGCGGCATGTTCCCCGGCTGCTTCTACATGCTCAGCATGTGGTACAAGCGCTCCGAGGCCCAGAAGCGCTACTCGCTCTTCTTTGGCTCCACCTCGCTGGCCGGCGCGTTCGGGGGGCTCCTGGCTTCGGCAATTGGCAAGATGGACTACATGCGCGGCTACCGCGGCTGGCGCTGGCTCTTCATCCTCGAGGGCTCCTTGACCTTTGCGGTTGGCTTGGTCTTTCTCTTCACGTTTCCCTCGTTCCCGGAGCAGGTGGTACGTAAAAGAAAATGCTTCCAGGCGTCGCCGCCACTGCCGCTCCGATTTCCTCTCCTGTTGTTGAGCTGCAGGCCGATTCTTTCTAGCTCGTGATATGTTGGTCATTCCCCTCGCTGGACTGTGGAAGAGGGAGGATATGGCTGTTATGTGGACTTTGCTGATTGACATCAACGCAAAGACGTGGCTCTCGGACGAAGAGCGCGAATATGTCATGGCCAGACTTCAGGCCGACCAAGGTCGCAACGCGGCCGAGCGCAAAATTAGGTTTACCGACGTTGTTGCCGTTCTGAGAGACTTCAAGGTCTTACTCGGCGGGTTCATGTACTTGGGTCTCATCGTGCCGGCATACAGCTTTGCATTCTTCGCTCCCACCATCATCCAAGGCTACCACTACAGCCCTATAGAGACGCAGCTGCGGTCGGTTCCGCCCTGGGCAGTGGCATTTAGCTTCGCTATGATCGTTGCGGTGCTGTCCGACTTTGCCAGGCACCGTTTCCTGTTCGCCATGGGGCCCATCTGCCTCGCCATTTCCGGCTTCGCCGTATTGCTGAATGTTCACGACAACCTCCAAGTTCAGTATGCCGCGCTCTTCCTGATCTGCATGGGCTGCTACTCGGCTATGCCGGTTATTGTGTGTTGGTTCAACATGAACCTTGGCGGGCATCACCGCCGGGCCATTGGCACCGCGTGGCAAGTTGGTAAGTGGCTTGGACTTAGGTCTGCCCCTGACGGGAACGGTAAAAGAATCGACAGAGAAATAAGCGGGGGAAGAGACAGAGTAGGGGGCTGTACTAACATGATTGCCTTGTCGCAGGATTTGGAAATATCGGCGGCATCGTCGCTACTTACTCATTCCTGACTACGGACGCGCCGCTGTTCAAGAAGGGCTACGCGATCTGCACCTCCTTCGTCTGCCTGAGCGCCGCTTCCTGTATCCTGTATGCATGGGCGATTACCCGTGAGAATCGGAAACGCAGCAAGGCGGCTCACGATGTGGGCCTCACCGAGTACGAGAAGACGGAGCTCGGGGTAAGTTGTTTATTTCTTCTGGGATTCGTGCCATTGACATGTTCTTTGGCCTGTCAAACAAATACTCTTCTGGTACTAACCTCTGTGTCTTTTTCTTACAGGACCTGAATCCAGAGTTTCGATACATGCTTTGATATCCGGATGTACGTACGGGGCGCGGGGAATGTGTGAATAAGTTGGCGGAGTTACGAATACCTTTTTTGTGGATCCATTCCGGCAATGCTCGGTATATACACGTACTCCGTGTATCATATAACGAAAAAAAGAAACCAAGATAAGAACTTGTGGGGCAAGTAATGGCACTTTCCGGCTTCGTCTTTGATGACTTGTTCCGTTCCTGTTTGCTTTTTTTCTCGCAGTGACGGAGAGAGAGTCTTGGGCCTGCTTTGTTGCTGTTGCTGTTGTAGTGCTGCGGTGTTGCATGGCTGCTGCTGGCGTTCGTTGTCTTGTGGGTTCGCGGCGTTTTGGAAAAAGGAAGAAGAGGGGAGTGTGTGCGTCGGGTGGGGATCGAGATCGGGCTCGAACTGGCAGCTGCCGTGCTTTCGCCGTGTATGTATTTGCCTGTGGATTGGGCTGGTTTCGGCATTCTGCAGGCATTAGATTTAGGGTTTTTTTTTCAGGGGGAGGGGAGAGGGGTTTTCTTTTTGTGGATTTGAAGGGAGACTTGTCCATCTAGCCCTTTTTATCCCAGGAACCCCTTTTTTCTTTCTTTACAAGATGGGGGTCAACAATAGGGGCATTGGTTGAACCGAACGAACGAACGACTGGAAGGTTTCCTTGAAACCCAGAGTAGGTATACCCCCTTACGGTAGGTAGTTGACCCAACAAAAGAGACGGGTGGCGTCTGGGTCGGCTTACCTTGCCATAACTATGCTCAACACGGGGTTATTCTTACACGGGTTCGGCTTATGTATTTTCAGCCAACGGAGTATATACGTACAGGTAGAAAATACAGGCACAGCGTCGCAAACAGGCGGTTGTCGGCCTGGTTCTTGACCATGGGTATCAGTTTGTTTTTTTCTTCTATTTTTAGCCTCCTACGGTGTTAGATTTACCACAACAGAGATATGAAGTATGTATATACAGTAGCTTTTCGGCCGCAACCGCCTTGTTACAACAAGTAAACGATACTCGGCCTCGCTCGCAACACTTGGTTATCATACAATCAAACACATATAAAAACAAAGAACATACGCTGTCCCTCTCTATTTACAGCTCGTCCTTCGGCTTTAGCTCGTCCTTCAGCTTTAGCTCGTCCTTCAGCTTTAGCTCGTCCTCCAGCTTTAGCTCGCCCTTCGACTCGTCCTCTAGATCTCTGAACCAGCGCCGGCACCAACTCAAATATATCCAACTCAAAACAGTCAAATACTGGCCTACCGGTCAACCAAATGTCCCATGTTTGGGGTCAAACTCAACCAAATATAGTCTCAGATTTGATTTGTTTCAGTTGATGCCAGCGCTGGATCTTTCCTGGGGTGGGCCCATGTCATCATATGCACTCCTCTAGCCGAGCCCGGGTGGACGCCGGTGCTCCAGACGGAGAGCCGGCCGCGGCGGCGCCAGTCCTCGTTGAAGGCGCCGTTATCGAACCACTTGATGTGCTTCAGTGTCCCTCCCATGGCGTGTAGCATGCCATCGCCGAAGAAGTCGCGCAACGTACTCTCGATGCCCTCAAAGCCGACAATGTAGCGGGGGATTTCGCCGCCGCGGTGCTGGGGCGTCTTCTTTTCCCCGCTGTCGTCCTCGCCATCGTTGCCCTCGCTCACCGAGGGGAACATTTCGTTGGCCAGGAACTGAGAGCCGTAGTCACTGTAGCATCCGTGATCGTCCTTGGCGTAGAAGCGGTCCGCCTCGTCTAGGTAGTCGTCGCGCTCGGCGCTGTCCGGCGCCGTGTGCAGCGGCGGCTCGCACGTCAGAGAGCGCGCGCGCAGGGCCGGGTAGACGAGGTGCGAGCGCCAGGGCGTGGAGTGGCAGGGCGTGAGAAATAGGACAAACAGCTCGAGGTGCCCGCCGTGGTCGCCGTTAATGCTTGTCCCAGGGTTTGTTGGCGTGGATGCAAGTGACGACAGGTTGGCGGCTTCATGGCCCAGGGCAAGATAGTCTGGGTGAATGCGCTCAAACTCGGCGCGGAGGAAGTTCATGACCGAGATGGGGGCCGCTTGGTGGAACAAGGACAGATAACCTGCCAGCAGCAGGTTGATGGAAAGTATGTTTGCAAGCTGAAAGGTGCGGCGGAGCTTCACGGGCCGTGGGGATGTGGTGGGCGGCGGCGGCTGTGTCGCGCCACTGTCAGCGTCGACAGGGGCGGTGGGTCTGACCGTGAAGAAGGACGTGATGTATGGGGCGGCAACAATGTGTAGGATGGGTAGCAGCGGGTAGATGAAGCGGACTTCCTTGTGCGAGATGACGGACAGCACGGCCATCATGGCTAGGGCGGAAAGGGAAAGCGTGCTGAGGATGTTGGACTGGAGCATGGCGAGGTTCTTGGAGGACAGGGCGGCCTTGTACAGACCGATCAGAGCAAAGGGGAGGAAGGTGGTTGTGAGAAGTGGGATGCCCTGGACGAGGTAGTAGTGCCAGGGCATTTGGCCGTAGAAGACGGCAAGGGACTGCGAGACATTGAAGTAGAGCCACTTGTAGGGGGGGAAGGCCCAGAAACCGAAATACAGGCGGTCAGATAGCACAGACAGGGCCAGGACGGCGGTGCCGCAGACAAGGATTTCTCGGAAAAGAACAACTAAGGATGCCCTTTGGAGTGGAGATTGGCCGGCCAGTGTCGGTCGAGTGAGGGTGGAGCCGATGATGCTAAGCCAGATGAATATGTTTGTTGGCCGAAGTATCACAGCCACGGCAGCAAGAAGCAGCGACACGCGGAGACTAGAGGCAGGTCAGTAAGCTTGAGGGTCTCAAGTGGTAAGGGTGGCTCACCTGTTAACTCGGCTCCTCAGTTGCAGCGGGACATCCTTGGTGGTCTTTGCGTCGCCAAGAAGCTCCCATGGCCAGTGGGTGAGGGCGGCTATGGTCAGGGTAGTCTCGAGCGAGTTGGAGAAGGTCCTCGTGGAGCAATACCACTGCCACGGATTGAAGACGGTCATCCAGAGCTAGACACGGACAGACAGAAGCTCAGCTAGATGGCCATAGTGGTGCAAGCACAAGCGAGGGAAAGGGGGCAACCAACGGCAGCCCACGGGGCATTGCTCTCGCGGCCAAAGATGGCGGTGGCCAGCTTCCAGGTGTAGTAGTCACCTAAGGCGGCGATGACTGACTGGACGACGCCGGGTAGGGCGACCAGCATCATGGCGCGGAAAGGGGGGAACAGACTCATATATGCCATGAGGGCGTCTGCGGCCCTGTAGACGGCGGCAAACAGGACGGGGTGCAGTGACGACCTCAGCTGGTGCTGCCATTCCTGGTGTATGTTAGCCAACTAATCAATTCAGAGAGAGAGAGAGAACAAATTACCCAGGTCAGCCAGGCACCGCTCTCGCTTCCAAAGGCCAGGCGCCATGCCGGCTCCAGCACCTGGAAGTACTCGTCGGGCTGGAAAAAGGTGCGCACGCAGAGCGCGTTGATGAAGCGGAAGGCGAGCAGCAGGTGCAGCACGTCTCGGGACAGGGCCGAGATGACTTCGGGATGCCGAACCGGTGATGGTGGTGGTGGCGGTGGTACATCACGAACCCCTTTTTGAGCCGATGGGCCTGTTTGGTTTTCCGGCTTGTCCATAGCTGCCAGCCTTCCTTGGCTCGCCTAGCAATCAAGGCACCTAGGGTAAGCTATTCCGTCATAGATCTTGTCTGGCACAGCAAGCAAGGTACAGTTGCACAGTTGACCTCATCTGCCAAACTGTTTGTTCCACTACACTTTACTTCACCTTGTTGTTTCAACCCAAGCTTGCATGGGCGTTCGGTTGTGACGGGAGTGTCGTTGACGTCGTGGCCATGGTAATTCGTATTTCCATTTCAACAGACCCCAACTTGAAGCAGTCCCCGCTCCCCATTGGCTGGCCCCCAGCCCTATGCTGCAGGGTAATCGTTAGGCTCGTGATTGGCTGGCACCAAAACGACATTGTGCATGCAAAGATGCCATGGCCACTGCTGCAACTGCATTGACTGCAAGTGCAACGGGGTCCAGTCCGCCGCAATCGGCCTCACCCACTACTATGTACCCACTGGCTATCCTTTGATTCTTGCGTCTCACAGTAGTGTAACGTTAGCATATCTCGTGTACTGTTTCTCAAACAGAGATCGAGATGTGATTGGAAAGGCGCGCTGCAACGGCATCCCGTGGCTCCTTCTAGGGTTCCGAGCCCGAAGGCCGTGGTGTCGCAATTCGTTATTCGTTTCGTAATAGCGGCGCTTTCCTTCGGCTCCAACAACCAAAGATTCTTGGCCACGTGATGGATTTCCCAAGTTTCTTTCCCGCCACTCCCTCTTGTCAGGCAATTCCGCGCTCCCGTCCGCCGGGTCCTCAATAGCATCCCTGGATCGGACCGCTACTGCTGGACGGCTTTGCTGCACCACAATTCCTTGGGCTGGGGGCTCCCCGGATGGTGACGTTGAGGGGGGAAGGAACTGAAGGGCAAGTGGCGGGCCACTTGACTCGTCCCACTCTTGACCGTTAAGGTATAATAATCCACAAGCGGCGCCCGTTTGTTACTTCCCCTCATTCACATTGTAATTGTCACATCTTTTGTCTTTTACTATCAGTATCTCCCCCCAAGGCCTGGTTATCTTTGACATCTTGCTTTCCCGCCTCGTTCCCCCTGCTTAGCCGCCTCGTCCATCTTTGGTCTTGGATAAGAGAAGCAATTGCCCGACCTGCCTACCTACCTAACTTGGCCCTCAATTTCGTCGTCTCGTGCCTGATTCGCCTCTAACCTAACAAGCTCTCATCGCCACCTACCTTACCTTACGTTAACTTACTGTACCTACAAGTACTTGATCGACTTACGTTGCCTTACCCATTCTCAACGTGTGGGGCCAGTCGCTCATACCATAGCACGTTGCTCAAACCTTGGTTGGATCGTTCGTGCCAACCTTGATTTGCTGGATTTCCGCCGCCCCATTGGAGCCGCGATCAGTTCTTTGAACAAGCACGCCGACACTGTCGTCCGCAACCATGGCGCCCCACGCACACAACGACGTCTCCAACGGCACCCCGGCCGGGCCGGCGCGCTACCATGCCGTCTCGACCAAGGCCGCCATCGGCGCCGAGAACGAGTACGCCGCCCACAACTACCACCCCCTGCCCGTCGTCTTCGCGAGAGCCCAGGGCGTCAGCGTTTGGGATCCCGAGGGCAAGCACTATCTCGATTTTCTCTCTGCATACAGTGCTGTCAATCAGGGCCACTGCCACCCAGAGCTGATCAGGGCCCTTACCGAGCAGGCTTCCCGTCTGACCCTCAGCTCGCGCGCCTTCCACAACGACGTCTTCCCCGTCTGGGCTGAGAAGCTACGCCACACCTTCGGCTACGACATGGTGCTGCCCATGAACACGGGCGCCGAGGCTGTCGAGACCGCCATCAAGATCGCGCGGAAGTGGGCCTACAAGGTCAAGAAGGTGCCCCAGGGCAGGGCCCTCGTCTTCAGCGCCGCAGACAACTTCCATGGCCGGACGGTGAGTCCCTCCGAGTCCGTCCCTCAACTCGCTGACAAACCCCCCGCCAGATGACGGCCATCTCGCTGTCTGTCGACCCCGAGTCGCGCGACAACTACGGCCCCTTCGTCCCCAACCTGGGCGCATTCGTCCCGTCCACCGGCAAGCCCATCCGGTATAACAACGTGGCCGACCTCGAGGCCGCCCTCGACGCGCACGGCCACGAGACGGCTGCCTTCATCGTCGAGCCCATACAGGGCGAGGCCGGCGTCGTGGTGCCCGACGACGACTACCTCCAGAAGGTGGCCGAGCTGTGCAAGAAGCACAACGTGCTCCTGATTTGCGACGAGATCCAGACGGGCATCGCCCGCACCGGCCGCATGCTCTGTTGCGAGTGGGCCGGCATCAAGCCCGACATGGTCACGCTCGGCAAGGCCATCTCGGGCGGCATGTACCCCGTGAGCTGCGTGCTGGCCAGCAAGGACATCATGCTGGTCGTCGAGCCCGGCACCCACGGCTCCACATACGGTGGCAACCCGCTGGGCTGCGCCGTGTCGATTCGCGCGCTCGAGCTCGTCGAGGAGGAGAAGCTGATCGAGAAGGCCGAGCGCCTGGGCCGCATCTTTCGCGAGGGCATCGAAGCCTTCAAGTCTCCAATCGTGCAAATCGTCCGCGGCAAGGGACTCTTGAACGCCGTCGTCATCGATGAGTCAACCACGGCAGGCAGAACCGCCTGGGATCTGTGCATATTGCTCAAGGAGAAGGGCCTACTGGTATGAAGCTAACGTGGCACCTTTTGTGAGGACCGACGACAAGGATGCTGACGCGGGCTAGGCAAAACCGACGCACGGGAACATCATCCGGTTCGCACCCCCGCTCGTTATCACCGAGGAGCAACTCCGGACCTCTCTCGACCTCATTGGCGGAGCCTTGAAGGAGCTGCTCACGACGAAGAAGGCGGAAGCGCACTAGCGCGGAGGTCAGAGTCGCCCGACCGTCCAACAGAGTGACGCCAGGACCATGGATCAATGCGTGGCTTTGTAGAGGACGAGGTGAAAAGTGCCATTGCTGCTCTCGCGTCGCTCTGATGAAGCGTCCTTGGTTTAGGCATCTACTGCATGAGCGGCTCCACCGTCACGGAATATTGACATGGGGAGCAGCCTAGGATAGGATGCCGGGGGCATATCAGACTGGACAGCAGCGGGGTTTTCTGCATATAGATGGGGATTTTGATGTGCACGGATATGGATAGCATGTGAGCTAGCTACCTGCCTATCAACGATAGACGAGCTGCCCGTCTTGCTTCTGGCGTGCGGAATGGCAATAAGAACAAGAACCCCTGCTCGCCTGGAAGCAGCGTGAGTTAAAAACAAGCATCAATCAGATTCGAGAGAGACGAGGAACGCACCCGATGCACGGGGGCGGCCGGACCCAAAAAGGCTTGCTTGCCGCTGCGCAGCGGGTGAAGTGAAGTGCAGTTTACCTTCCCATGCTTGCTTGCTTGCTTCCAACTCGTCTGCCTGCGGAAAGGCATCTACCCGCTAGCCAATCTGCATGCCACGCCAGAAGATATGGACAGCGGCCAAATACTAGGCCCCTGCGCACGCCCGCTTGCCTGCCTATCACGCAGGCTGCCCTGCCCCGGGCCAGCCAGCAATCAAGCCATCAAGCAATAAGACAGAAATCAAGGAAGCATGCAAAAATGTAAGTCGAACGCAATAACACGTGAGCAATTCAATTGAGTATTACTTTTTTTTATTGTTTTTATGTTTTTGCCCTCGTCGGCTACCTATCTAGTTCTGTTTTGTTCCGCTGCAATTGAGGTAAGTAGGTGACTTGATTGGAAGTAGAACTTGATGAGTCCGAGACTGCCCGAGGCTGCCCGGAGACTGGGAACTGGAAACCCCGTCAACCCGGGCAGCTTTGTTCTCATTGTCTAATTAAAAAATCGTGATAGCCGCGCTGGCCGGGGATTTTTTTTCCTCTTAATGTATACTATGCAAATATTCATGACTGTTACTGTGAGTTTAGGTTAGGTTTCAAGGGAACGCTGGCAGCCTGGCCAGTAAATCACAATGGGTAGGGAGATATGATATATGACCAGTCAGTATGTCCGTACATACATTAAGTCTGTCCCGGATTATTGTTGTCGAGCACGGGAGAGAGAAACGGCTGCTTCCCCTTCCCGGGAGCCTAGCATCTGCACATAGCGTAGTATACGTAGTCTAGTATAGAGAACCAATGTGGACTCCTCCCCTTTCTACCTTGACGGCGGTTAGTTACGTTCTCTTGGTGGGGTGGCTGCCTTCGTCAATGGTTCGCACCCCGAACACACACTGGGAAGCAAGCTAGGTAGGTAGATAGATGAAATGCCGAGCAGTAGCAAAAACAAGAAAAGCTGAAGAAGAACCCCTACCTAAGGCAGGTGAGTAGCTACTATTCCGGACCCTGCCTTTCACTACTTGTGAGTGGGCGTGGCTGTGGTTGTGTTGCGTGGTCCCCTTTACTTTCACTTGAACTTGGGCGGCCGCTTCCCGGATTCGGACGGCGAGCCAGCAACGTGAATGGTAGGTAAGGTACGTTACGATATGCGTGTATCTCAATGTAGGAACTAGACGCCCGTCAACACGTGTTAAGTCGGAAAGGTAGGTAAGTAGGTAGGTAGGTAAGTAGGTAGGTAGGCAAACACACTCCCGTTGGCCCCCCACACACAACTACCACGCAGACACACCCAGAGCATCCCTGCATTGATTGTCTTGTTGTCTCTGCGCAAACCGGAAATCGAGGAGAAAGGGGAAAAAAAAGAAGGGTTCTGGATGGGGCACACACCCACAACCCATACCCACACCTACTCACACACCAGCCCGTGATATCGACGGGTAGATAGGTGGCATGTGGAGAGAGATATACTGGCAGGTGCCGATGTGTGTACGTGTGCGTGTGTGTGTGTGTGTGTGTGTGAGCGGGCGAATGAGCGGGTCGGAGAGGGCGACCCTCTTTGCTGCACGGTTCGTAAGATAACTACACATGCCCACCACACAGATCTACTAGTCGGATTAGGATTCTTACATAGTAGGATAGCAGCAAGCAAAACTCGCGGGTTTCCCGCCGACGGGCGTACCTAGCTAGGCCTAGCATGCCAACCAGCCCGGGGCCTGGCTGGCATTGGATGACACCGGTGAATCAACGCCGGCGAGGGCATGAGCGTGGGGCGGGCTTGTGAAATGGAATGAACCCTATTGACTGTCTAGCCTTGCTACTAGCTTTGCTGCTGTTGTTGCTGCTGATGCACAGGTCGAGGATGAAACAGCACGGCCAACGAAAACTGACATTGAGGCGGCAGCTGCAGGAGCTTAGCTTGCTACCGGCCTATCCAAGAGCTCTCGGGCTGTATAGATGCCTCAGATCGGCAATCTAGAGTCAAGCTGGCAACCCTTGGAGGGCCAGCCAACCTTCAAATAATGCAATGACACATTTTACCCCCTTTTGCCGATGCGAAGTGTCAAGGTTTACGTATGTACATTGCAGACGTCAGGCCAACCGACAACGACGGTGGCTGAAGGCAGACAAGAGGCAGAAACGGGATGGATAGCTGACCACTCGGAGAAGACGACTCCATTCCGCTCTCGCACCCGCTCAGCGGGTTTACGGTGCACCTGGATGAAGGAAAGAAAAAGACGACCTAAGGATTCCTTCGTACGGGCCAGACCTAGCTGGGCGAGCGGGAATGGCTGTTGGCTTGTTGGTAGAAGGGGTGGATGGAGGGATCGGATGCGAGCTGGACAAGAGAGAAGCAATTCGGCAGATAGATGAGACACCGTAAAGTGTGCCGTTCGCTACCACGAAAGGAGATTCACTGGCTCGGCTCTTTACCTCAGGCAGTCTAATACCCGTGGGTGAGCTCTGTGTGTGAGTGCGTATGCGTCAATGTGTAAAGGGTAGGGAGCGGGATTACTAAATATGCCTCGGCTGCAATAAATATAAATCAAGGGTCGTCGGTCCCCGTAGACGAATCTCCAATCCGGTGCTGTTGAGTCCTGCAGCAACATCACCTCAGGGTTGCTTGCTGTTGGGTTCAGTTAGGACTTGCCCGGGGATGTGCATGGGAGCGATAAGTGGAGTTATTTAGCGAGTGCAGCGGTGGCTGATCCGAGACAGGACTCTCGGTGTCACACGCCCCATTCCATTGGCCATTCTAGAATCTGGCTTGCCGACAAGCTGGGGTAGACCTAGAACTTCCTTATTATTAGCCTTGATTGACTGAGAGACCCTGAGGTCGTTTCGGTCAAGCTGCAAGAGTAAACTTCTGTCGCATCTGAGAGAATTGGGAGATTTCGTTGCTCTGGTTTCTTAATTATGGCCAATCTGTAACCCTGCCAGTCTGTCAGTTTGCCTGTTTGTTTGGCTGGTTCGCCCCGGGCTGGCCGATCAAAGCAAAAGAGCCCCCAAGTCGAATTGGCGAAACATGACAATTATTGGATGAAAGAAAGAGCGAATGAAAGAAGATGACCAGGCTATGACGCTGGCCAAACACACTTGACTTTGCTGAGACAAAGAAAAAGGAAGACGAGGGGGAAACAGGCAAGGCTTTCGTCAGCTGAGAAGGCTAGGTTGCCTTGCCTTTCGGTTGCTGTGTCCGAGACACATTCCACAACAACTCGCAAGGCGTGTCTCGGGCGTTGGCTGAGGTCAGAATTATTAGTTGACGGACCCAGTTGCCTTGGTTGATGCGTACTGTGTGAAATCCCCGAGAAGCTAGTGAGAGAAGTGGCTTGCTATTGACGAACACCCTCTGTTACAGTCTAGACTGAATGAAGAGGGAAAAGGCCGAATGCAAGGAAGGTGCCCAGGAACTTTGGCATTTATCTACGAGGACGGAGTGTGAAAATCACAGAGTAGGTAGGCAGAAATCCGGGTAACCCCATCGAGTAATTTGTCGACTTGGCAAGAATGCAGGAGGGCGAGGCAGGACGACAAGGCAGAAATAGAAAATACAAAAGGAATTGGCCAACAAGAAACGCGAGGATGCTAGCCGGTCAATTGTAGTCGAGTTGGGAACCACGACCTGGGATGTTGGATGTCAAGAAGCTGAAGGAAAGAAGGTGCCCGATAGAGCGCGCCCCCACAACGCTCAAAGCTCCTTCCAGGTTTAAAAGTTGTTTTGTTGGTGACCAGACTGCTCGCAACTTGGACCGAATCAACATGTGCCTGTCCGATTTGCTCCGTTCGGGTAACACACGCACACACGCTTCTCATACTCTCACATTGTTGGCTGCATGATGAAGAGCGAAGGGGTGCTGCTCCCGTTCGATGCGTCAGATCGATACGACGTCGAGGGCCAAAATACAAATGGAGCCCCATTCTCTGGCTCTGTACGAAGTATCCGTATTAGCATTAGGTTCAAATCTGAGTGGGCATACAGTGCCGATAAGACGGATAAGGGTGATAAACAGCAGATAACCGACGTGCAGGATTCTGTTGGGGCTTGGCAACTGTGACTGCACAGCAAAGCACCCGCGGCAGACAAGCAGCCTCACTCTCGCCGAACCTTGGCCTGGCACGCCCTGTGGCATCCATGATCCGGAAGGCGGATCAGGGCGTGGCCTAGATTAAGCGACGCCACCGACCGGCATTCGCCATCCGGCCAACAAGACGGGCCACATTCGGGAACCGACAAGAAACCCACCCGGGACAGAAGGCCGCTCTCGAAGGCCTCCCCTAACAACAGTCTACACGTACACATACGGCTTGCACGCAAGCACCTTCCTGGATTGCATGTTGAGACGAACCCAAACTCAAAAATACCTACCGAACAGAGGCGGATGGGCCCTTCCCTGGCCGCCACGCCCCTCGCCGTCCGTCGGTGCCGTCGAGTGGCGTGGCTCGGGCCTGACGAAGGGGGTGTCGACCATCTGACAGCAAGAGCTGCTCTAGTCCCCACGTCCACACGTGTTTGCCCATCATAAACATCTTGGCCCCGGCTGGCTCGCACTCGCTGCGCACCCCATCCACCGATGTGGGATGTAGCCCCTGTTGAATGCCATCTGCAGTAAGACGACCCAGCACAGGCACAGCACTGGACCGACTCCGTCGCCGTCGAGGTACAGAGCCCACCGTGTAGTGTAATACGCCGCGATGGCGAAAGGGCGTAGGCAGTGTAAGCCATGTTTCCAAACACAGCATTGGCAGCATTGGCGGCTTCCCTTGTTTCTGTTGGTGGAGAGCCTCGTCTGCTGTCTTTGTGACAGTGCCAAAATGGCAACGCATTCGCTGCCAATCCGTCGGCCGCTTACAGTGGTGGGGCGGGGCAACCGACCACAGGATCAAGTGCCTGCCTGAGTTGGGGTTGGGTGGACTCTTACGTTAATCCGCAGTGCGCATGTTGCGGCCAACACGATGGCCCGCCTTCTGCTATGCCCCGTTTGGACAATGGGCTCTCCAAAGCCCCCATCAGGGCAGCTTCCATCGCGGCAAGCGCAGCAGTGCTTGAAGTGCACCTGATCACCTTAGTACAGTACATGCTATCGGCAACAGTGAGGCAGCAGCACCACCACCAGCAGCAGGAGGACAAAGCCTGCAGACAGCCACCGGAGAGGAATGGAGCACTAGATAAGTGAAACCGTTGCAGGACAGCTCCAAGCTAGTGTAGATAGCTAGCAACCCAGCGTGTACACGGTTGGTGTCCGTGGTCACGTCACCTGTAATACTTGCTCCTTAGGTAATTCTAGAATAAATAGCATCAAAGGTAGTAAGCAGCTTTCACCGTCTTCCGCCTCTTGACCGCCCGGATCGGGCTGGGGGCAAGGTCTAGAGCCTGGCTCACCGGCGTGTCTCCGAAAACGCAAGAGAAGCGGGAAATGATGTGGGTGGAAACTGGCTCGGTCGCGCCTTATGGGCAGTCGATGCTGCTGGCAGGTTAGTGTTTTACCTCAAGACGGAATACGGAGTACGGATTACACCTACCGTACCTTGATGGAGCTTCAGAAAAGAGGCGGGCGGTACTCCGAAGGCGGTGGTGTTATCAGGGAGCCTTATCGCAAATTGCCCGTTTTTGCACCTCAGTACGTACCACTAGCGTCCCGTCGTCGGCCTTGGCCAATGCACAGCGATGGCCATGTGTACCGGCCAAGTACCTAAGCCCGTTGATCACAGGTGCAGGCTCTCGAAAACCGACCGGGTCTGGACCTGGATCGGTACGGGCGCATGACTTGCTCCTGGCTCATCATGTCTTGCCTCCAATTGGCCGGGGTTGGTGGGTCGCGCATCACGGGTCTGGTGTCACTGGTTCGTAGCTCCTCGCTCAGCGACCTTTGACCTCCCAAGAACCTCAGACCTCCAAATGCGGTCCCACTGAGCTGCCCTCTCCCGCAGTGTCCACTGCCAGTGAATAATGCAAGGTATTCCGTAACTTAGTTGGACCCGCCCTCCAGCCAAGGTGATCCACAATCCCGTGCCTTCCGCTGTCCTACACTGTTTTCAGCAGCCCAAACCTTGGGGCAAGCTCCCCTGCTCCTTTCTGCCGCTGCACCCAGCAGGGCTCCTACCTACCTTGGCTACCGCGCTCGGCAGCCAGGCCGCCATCGTCACCTTTCTGCCTTCCGCCTTTCCAACCTTCCCTCCCTTCCATCTTTCTGCCATTCTGCTCAGCTTTCCGCCTTCCTTCTCTTTTCCTCTCAGTTTCCCATCCCCGTTCCCTTTCAGCCTGTCGATTTTGGACGATATTTCTCTTCCATCATCACGTCTCTAGGACAGCCGCAGCGCAGCACACGCCTCGACGCAGGGACCGCCCAAACTAGACGCTCTGTAGCCGACCCCGAGTCTGAGTCATTCAGTTGACCTTGGACGTCAGCGTGCCGTGTGGAGCTGCATTGCCTTGCCTTAGCTACCTATTACCTACCCTTGGGTCACCTATCGACACCCATTTCGACAGCCGCCCAGACTCCAGGCACAGTCGGCTTCCCAGAGCTTGGACGCTTCTACCCTTTCGCCCTGTGCCTCAAATCCGTCGTTACCCCAGACTAAACAACAGCCGCTACCCGGCCTGGGCTGTTCCGTGCCCTCCAGTCTTTCCGTAGCAGGCCGCCAAATAGCGTCTTGTCTCTGTGGTGCCGCCACCCCCTCCAACCACAAGCAACAATAGCAGCACAAGCCTACCTAGGTCTCCTTGGGTGTTCATCGTCGCCAGGTCTCCTGCCTCGACCTCGATCTGCACACGGTACGACAGCAACACAAGGCATACACGTTCTCGCACAACTCAAAGCCGGCTCCCCCTCCCCACAAAAGAAGCTCAGCCAACTCCTCTTTTTCCTACGAGGCTTTCGCGTAGCCAGCAGCAGTGTCTACTCTACTCTCCCATTTCCTCTCCCTAGTCTGGCGTCCACCTCCACCTACCTCAGACCTCCAACCGTCCACCTCGTCACGGGCCTCGACTCCAGCATCCGCAGAGCATCCACGGCTCGTCGCCCAGACTTCCGCCTCGAGCTCCTCGTCTTTCTCGCCCCTGCCCATCCATCCCCCTAGACAGTCCCGCGCAGCACCACGATCCGTCTGTGTATACATGACGACTCCGTCACCCGCCGACGTCTTTCGGATACTATAAGCCCCCGGGCTCCTCGTGCCCAGCACAGCTTCCTGCCCTCGCCAACCACCACAGGAAGCCATGGCTGACCGCCCGTCTGCCGCCTCATCTTCGAGGCGGCATAAGCTGGGCGATGATGCTGTCGGTCAGTTCGTCATAGACCAGGAGATAGGGAAAGGGAGCTTTGCCCAGGTGTACTCTGGCCGACACAAGGTCAGAACCTCTCAAGTTATCTTCACCTACCTCACTTCGAGCGTCAGGCCTTGATTGCTCGTCTTTCTAAATACCCCCTTTGCATTTGGCTCGCCGCTAATATTCTTCTTTTTACTTCTACAGGTCACCGGCGCTTTAGTAGCCATCAAATCTGTCGAGCTCGCTCGCTTGAACAAGAAGTTAAAAGAGAACCTCTATGGCGAGATACAGATCCTCAAGACGCTTCGTCATCCTCACATTGTCGCTCTCCACGACTGCGTCGAATCAGGTACACACATCAATCTCATCATGGAATACTGCGAACTCGGTGACCTATCACTATTCATCAAGAAGCGGGATAGGCTGGTCACCAACCCCGCCACGCACGACATTGCGCGGAAATACCCCGTCCTTCCCAATTCGGGTCTAAACGAGGTCGTTACTCGCCATTTTCTAAAGCAACTTGCCAGTGCTCTACAGTTCTTGCGAGAGGGCAATTTCGTCCACCGAGATGTCAAGCCGCAAAACCTGCTTCTTCTGCCGTCTCCGTTATGGCGAGAAGGCAACAGGATGGCCAAGCACATTCTGAGCGCCAGCCATGACTCTCTTACACCTGCAGCTGGGGTACCGTCGCTCCCAATGCTCAAGCTGGCCGATTTCGGCTTCGCGCGTGTCCTGCCCTCGACGTCCCTTGCCGAGACCCTTTGCGGCTCGCCTCTTTACATGGCTCCTGAGATCCTCCGTTACGAGCGGTATGATGCTAAGGCAGACCTATGGTCCGTGGGTACAGTTTTGTTCGAGATGGCTACAGGGAAACCGCCCTTCAAGGCTGCCAACCACGTTGAGCTCCTCAGGAAGATTGAAGCGGCCAACGACCTCATCAAGTTTCCTCGAGAAAGCGTCGTCAGCTCTGATATGAAGGCCTTGATTCGAGCGTTACTGAAGCGAAATCCAGTGGAGCGAATGAACTTCAAGGATTTCTTCAACCATACGGTAATTACGGGTCCTATCCCGGGTCTTGTTGAAGATGACGTCCCCAGAAACGAGAGTCTGCTTCAAAAGGAGATCAAGTCAGCTGCTGCGGTGGATGAGCCGCTTGCGGCGTCTCGCAGGCACTCGTTTGCTCGCCGATATCCCGCAGACCAGGACGGAATCCGTGAGACGGGAATCCCTCCGTCGCCTAAGCAGCGTCGGTCCTCCCCACTCGCGACTCCCGTCGAAGCCAAAACCAATCCTCTGGAACAGATGCCAAGCTCGCGCGAGCGTATGAGCTACTCACCTCAACAGGAAGCAGGTGAAGGTTTGGGAATCCGCCCCGCCCCCCAGTCGTCTACCTCCGCACCCTCGCGGCCAGCTTCGTATGTCGACCGACACCGGCGATATTCAAACGCTTCGTTGAAAACGCAGATTCGTGAGGCCCAGTCACCCCAACTGTCTCTGCTGGTGGAAACAAGCAAGGCCAGGCCCAGCGGCAAAACGGAGAAGCCCATCAGCGATGCGGAGAAGGCTGCTCAAGATGTAGCATTTGAGCGCGACTATGTGGTTGTTGACAAGAAACACCTCGAAGTCAATGCACTTGCGGACCAGATATCTTTATACCCGCAGCAGCCATCATCGCCCAAGTCCGGCCAAGTCATCAGACGTACTTCAAATGCAGCGGCTAGCTCGGGCTCCAGGAACATTCTCATATCGCAGGGCCGGAACGACCATAACCGACAGGGCTCTTACGATAAGGCCTTGTCCAGCAGCCCTGGTTCGGCAACTTCGGTAATCTCGAAGGCCATTCAGGACGCTAGTCTCCGCCTGTTTGGCATCAAGTATTCGCCACACCTTCTGGGTAAGGGTCAATCGCCACCTCAGATTTACAGCCCGTTCCCGGCTTATCCAACTCCGTCGGCGCCTGTTGGCTTGCTTGTGGATGGAAAGCAGAGTGCGCCCGTAGATGAGGATTCACGTGTCGCGCAGTGCATTGAAGATTATGCAACACGAAGCGACGTTGTTTTCGGCTTTGCCGAAGTGAAGTACAAGCAGCTCATTCCCCTGGCGCCATCCATAGAACACGGTCTAGGTGGCATCCCGGTCGATAAGCCGGCATTGGACGACGAGGATGGGCTCACGATTGAAGCAGTAGTCTCACTTTCGGAGGAGGCCTTGGTTTTATACGTCAAGGCTCTGGCTCTCCTCGCAAAATCCATGGATATCGCCAGCCTGTGGTGGACCCGCAAGAACCGGACGGAGTCGAGCAGCAGTGTGCATTCAGCTGCTCGAGATTCATCAAACAGTCAGGCACTAACGTTGAGAATCAACGCAGCAGTTCAGTGGATCCGGGCTCGCTTCAACGAGGTGCTGGAGAAGGCGGAGGTTGTCCGACTAAAGCTCATTGAGGCGCAGAAGCAACTGCCCAGAGAGCATGCTAGCCACCCGGACAACCATACAACCGAGGCAGTTTCGACGAGCAGCTCTGGTGCTGAAGGTGTTTTTCTAACGGCCGGCATCAGTGCTGAGAAACTCATGTACGATCGCGCTCTTGAGATGAGCCGCGCCGCTGCCATCAATGAGATAGCCAACGAGGATCTTGCGGGCTGCGAGATCTCCTACGTAACGGCGATCCGGATGCTCGAGGCCGTTTTAGACCAAGACGATGACCACCTGCCCAAACGAAGAGTATCAAGTGCGTCAAAGGACGAAAAATCCGTCGCTGTTTATGACGAAGGCTCGGGGGAGATGAACAGCGACGACCAGCAAGCTGTTCAAAAAGGTATGGACATTCAGACATTAAATCCCTCTGCTTCTTCGGCGATGATAGAGCACTTTGCTAACAGCTTGCCTACAGTGATTCAGATGGTGACCGGCAGATTAGGGACTGTCCGGAAGAAGCTGCACATGATTGCTACGGCATCTCGCGCCCAGCATCAACAACAAAATCTGGTTCGGCGGCGCAGCGGCGACATTCAGCCTCGCAGCGTGCCTGCCGTTTGACACCAGTGAGGTCTGACGAATAATGATCATTGACGAAGATATTCAAGGCTCTAGTATGAGCTTATGCCCCACGGCTATCATTTCTGCCCTCCCTTATTCTTGGTCTCCCCAAGCCGGCTGTAGGGAGGGATTTTGCTCTCAACCTTTTCTTTTTCGGAAAGGCTAATCATACATTGGAGTTGGTGGTTGCTTTCGATAACTCTGCGTTTCATTTCGAGCTATATCATATGGAAGCTTTTTTCTACGTTGGTAGGATGCTTCATGTCCCAATCCTTGGCGTTTGCAGGACGGGGCAGGTGTAGCTGCGATTGTTTTTTTTTCTATCTTGTTTGGGTGTGTCAATAATGGGATCCGGTAGGGGAGTTGTTCTATCGGTTCCTCGGTTCCTCGGTTCCTACCTGTTCAGCTTCATAAGTGTCGGGAGGGTATTCTACCAGGAGTCGGTTCCTCGTGGCTAAGAAGCACACAGGATTGAATGACTCTGAATTTACCGGCAAATGGGAACAAGCTTCCTTGGCGCTAAAATACCCTTGCGGAGTTCCGGCTTTTTCTTTATTCGTTCTCTTTCTAGCATGGGACGGGGTTGGGTCACTTGGACCGCATCACGGCCAGCTTCAAGTCCTTGCGCGTGCGCCTATTCGTTTTATGTACTTGTGAGCTGCGGCTCCCTTTCTCTTGGGGCGCGGCTGGGGCGAGATGTGTGGCATGTGTCTTTCATCTCCTGGCTCCTCTTGGTATGCTTCTTTTGCTTGGTGGGTTTGTCTTGCATTCATGGAAGCGTGTATAAACTAGATTGTCTTACATCAGGATACGAGCTGCGATTAGCGTAGCCAGGAGAACAAGAATGCCATGCTCCCATCAGGGTTGTCACCGACTGTCTGTCTCCTATTGACACTCGATTTCACCGTAGCAGCTACCTTCCGTCGTGAGTATTGGTCGGTGCTATGTTCCTTCCTCTATTTGCGTCTCGCGGACTCACTCGCTCGCTGTAGGCTCTCACACGCCATCTGTAAAGGCCTTGCCGCTCATCTCCTTGTCAAATTCGGCGCACTCGCTCAGGCCGCAGAGCTGAAAGATTTCGCGGACACCGCCAGCGACCGTCTTGCCATCGGGGCCGAGCCGGTCCTTGATAGCGCCCGTGCTCTTCAACTCTTGGGCGGTCTTTTGGAGAGCCAAATAGGTCGACGTCAAGGCGAATAGCGGCCAAATGACGATCTTGTACCCCATCCTCTTGGCCTCTTGCGCGTCGACGAGCGGCGTCACGCCTCCTGCAACCATGTTCAGGAGGCAAGGGGTTGGAACCTGTGATGACTATATCAATATTTCTCTTTCGCTGAGCTCATGGTCTCTCCTCTTCTAAAACCTCTCCGGCATATCAGCCGGGAAGGGATAGTGATGAATGAGAGATGAGGATTTGAAAGGGAGTTGGGAACCGACCATTCTCTGAACAACCTGCTCCATCTCGTCGGCCGTCGTCATGCCCTCGAGGAACACCACGTCGGCGCCCGCGGCCACGGCGGCCCGCAGCCGCGCCAGCGCCTCGTCGAGCCCGCGGCTCTGCAGCGCGTCGGTCCGGGCGATAATGACGATGTCGTCGTCAAGGCGCTTGCGCGCGGCGACCGTGGCGCGGATGCGTGACGCGAACACGTCGGCGTCGACCAGCTCCTTGCCCTGCAGGTGCCCGCACCGCTTCGTCGTCACCTGGTCCTCGATGTGGAGCCCGGCGACGCCGGCGAGGATATACCGCTCGACCTTTTTTGCTTGGGTGTTTTGGTGGGTAAAATGAATGGAGGAGACGGGGTTTTGTTTTTTCCAGGGCCGGGGATAAATAGGGGGGAAGGGAAGGGAAGTAAAGGGAGTGCTCACTGAGCGCGCAACCATTACCGGGCCGCCAAAGCCCGTGTCAGCGTCGGCAATGACGGGCACGGTCCGGTCTAGGCCGGCTATAATGGCGGCGTTGCGCACCATGTCGTCGGCCGTGGTGAGGCCCAGGTCGGGCATGCCCAGCAGGCTTACGGCAGTCCCTGCGCCTGTCTTTTTTTTTTTTTTTTGGTAGAGTAAGTTTTAGTGTATCGAGGCTCGGCTATGGCATTGTGAGAGACGGAGCAAAATACCATGTACAGGTTCTCGAAGCCCTGCTGCAGACACACACGGGCCGAGAGGCCGTCTTGCACGCCCGGGCAGACGATTATTCTGTCCGGGTCGGCGAGCTGGGCCCGGAGCTTGGCGCCAGCTTTGTTGACCATTGTGGGATCTTTTGTGAGGTCACTCTGGATGCGTGTGAATAAAAGACGCCGATAATGTCGATAACGTATAAACAGATGGCATATATATCTTGTTAGGTATCTTAGGCATGTAGGTAGGTGATGGCGCAGCATTATTGGCGCGAGCCAGCTTCTGGGTACCTATGACGAGACGAGCTCCGTTCTCGTCTCCGCTCTCAGCGCATGGCCCGGGATTCGAGGGGCCGTCATCCTTGGGGTTTCCGCAGCTGCTTCTCCGCACCAGGTCCGCCAGCAACATGGGGAACCCCCTTTCCGCCCTCCCGAAATAGGCGTGGAGTTGGTTGATTCAATGAATACCCATGTCATTAGAGTGCGGATACATATAGTTGCCAGCGGTGGATTCAGTTGGCACTTGCAAATTCTGAGGCGGCCGAGTATATCAATGGTCCGTTGGTGTACCTAAGTAGTCCTGGATGCCGCCTTGCTGCGAAACCAACCAAGTGAACATGCTGAAAGCAAAGGTTCATACACATAAATTAACGGAAGGGTCTTAACCTCAGGTAAGGTAGGGTCCCGCAGCATAGGTAGCGCCCGATCGCGCAACGTGATGTTTTGTGTTCGTGTTGGTAAGGTTTTAATTTACACCTCCCGTGCTCTTTCCTTGCACTACTTATGGGACCAGTCGGGTGCAGGCAAAGTATTAAAGCGAGGGCGTGGGGGATGTGGATTCCTTCTTATTGCCTCCTTTTTGTGGCAGGTAGTCTTAGATCGAATTTGGTAGTTACGAGTTGCTGATATTAGCAGTACCCATTACTACAAAAGACCTTATACTAGACTTTTTGGCAGTTTCTTCGTTCGCGCCTTCTAAGACAATTAATTGTTGGTTTTTCGCTCTCTCCTTCCTGCCCAGACCCAAACCAAACCCCAAACAACTGACAGTCTGGAACGTACGAGCAACTTACACATTTTGCCCTTAACTTTTTTTTTCCTTGGGGGGTTTTTTTTCTGGCCGGAAGCTTTCTTTACTGACTACAGGAATGAGGGGACGGCAATTTTGTTTTTCTTACGAAGTGAGCACGAGTCATGTATTTGTATACCTAGGTGAGGTAGTTGCGAGAACCAAGGTAGAACCAGTAAGGGAAAAGAATAGTCGAGAGCTGCACTGCCGCCCACTCTTGGGAGAGGCGTGTTAGCTGTGCGGAATATTAGTCTGATAATTTCACATCATCGTTGTTGCGAATTAATCAATACAAACTCGTATTTTACCGTTCAGTAAAAAGAATTACTTGATGCTAATACGTTAAGGGGTGGGCAGACAATAAATTAGGTTGGGTGTGGGTGCGTTGGTGCGCTTGGCTGTTGCGGCGCGGTGAATACCTCCTACCTTACCTAGGAAGCCTCCCTAGAAATTGGCATTGATACTTCAATTATGCTTCCCTTGATGGGCTAATTCGCTTTGACTGTATGTATATGTATGTACATACGTTAGGAGCGGGCTTTGACGTCGTGCTGCGATAAGCTAGCAGACGACTATCGGCTCAGGGGCTAAGTAAACAAAGCTGAGGATACCAGGGGGACCTATAATAAGACCCAGAAATATACACGGGATGCCACCAACCATACAAATTTTATTGACGTTCCCCTTTTCTGTTTTCCGTGCTTTGGGACAAGATATCTTCACCATTAAGTGGCACATGTGCGCCTCCCCGACCTGTTGAACTCGTATCCGCGACTACCTTGCATATCTTGGAGACAGACATTTAGATAGGTATTGACATGACAAAAAATAATGTCTATTCGAGTCTGTGTGCCCCGGACTAGCCGGCTTAACACCCAGGTGTTCCGTGTACATAGCTATCTAAGGTAACTGACTGTACCAACCCGGTCAGCCCATACTGTACATGATCCATCATTGAGTACCTGCCCCCTGTATGTGCGTGCATACTGTACAGCAGAGCTATGTAACTAGCCCCTGCGGCGATCCCCCATTCTTTTTGCCGCACGTCTCTAGTATCCATGCTAACAAACTGTCGAAGCTTCTCCATCCTTGTCCGACTGGGATTCTAGTGTACATAGGTCATACATAGTACTACCTCCCTACCGTTGGGGGCGGGACCCGCTGTAAATGTGGCCTGTGCGTAAGTAGGTATGCAGACGTGGGGTCGCCTTTTCCAACGATATTTACCGAGTATTCAGTAGTCTAACTCGAACTTCTCCCCACGCTTCTCCGATCTCCCTTTACGTAAAACGCCTTGAATCGTTGATTTTGTCGTTTGCTTCCAGTCCATCCGCTTTCTTGGCTGCATCTGCATCAAAGCGCATATAAGTCCAGGCCATGTGACCCCAGATACTGGGAGTTTTTGTTTGTGCTTCGTCGGTTGTTTGCACGATCTGTGGTGCGATGCAGTCAATCTGATCGTTCGTTTCCCTGCATTGCATGTCTTATGAGATCGATCGATCCTCTCAAGTGCAAGTATCACGCATATTCTCAGCTACAAGCCATTGCAGTCAATCCAAGACGTCCATATTTCTTTTCCCCATTAGCCAACCAACTCTTGGATACCCGTACCCGTACGTACGGATTACCTGCAGCCATTTTGTCACGAGAGGGGCTACTTGTCTTTTATCACTTGGGTTCGTTCATCGACGAACGTAGTCATGGCCGGACTTCTCGAAGCATGGAAGCTACAGCCCCAAGACCGCCTAGCGATATTCGACAAGGAGATCGCCCCCCATGAGCTCCAGCCCTACCTGCATCTCCACCACCAAGATGACGGCAAGAGGCCAGTGGCCGTGCTGATTGTCGGCCAGACGGGCGCCGGGAAGACGCGCCTGGCTCCCGACCTGACCAAGGCCATGGTCGACGGGAGCCGCACCCTCGCCCACTTCATCGCCGACACGTACAAGACGTACCACCCTCACTACGCTGAGTGCCTGGAAAAGGCGCCCGAAAAGGCTTCCGTCCTGGCCGGCCTCGACGCCCGCATCTGGCTCACCATGGCCTGCGAATACGCCGCCGACCAGCGCCTCGACGTCCTGGTCGAGTCGGCCTGCCGCCACCCCGACGACTTCTGCGACCTAGCCGAGCTGTTCCACAAGCGCGGCTATAACGTGCGCGTCGCCATCCTTGCCGTGCCCGAGGCGCTCAGCCGCCTCGGCATTCTGGTCCGCTACTACCGCAACCTGCCCGAGGCCCAGTCTCGCAACCTCCCCCTCCGTCTAACCCCTAAGAAGGTCCACGACGACAGCTACGCCGGGCTGGCCCTTGCTGCCAGCTTCATTGACCAGAACCCGGCAGCCGATGCCGTCATTGTTGTGCGCAGAAATAACATGCTGGCCTACAAAAACGAGCGCGCGGCGACAACTGCAAGCGGCGGCACCCGAGCTTGGCAAGCCGACGCCGGCGCGTCTAGGAGTCTGGAAATCGAGAGGACACGCCCCCTGTCGCTTGAAGAAAGACGCACGGCCGAGAGTGACGTCGAAGAGCTCAAGAAACTGCACGATCCCAAGGTGGACGCCCAGATTCGGGAAATCGAGGGCTATCTAGCGAGTCTCGCAGCTGGTAGTGATTCCGGACAGCCGCTGCTGCCCCCTCTCGAGCCTTTGGATGCTGCCAAGTTTGTCATACCATTCTCGAGTAGTAAGCCAATCCAACAGAAACTAGCTACCGTCTATCACTATGAGGGGCAGGAAATATCAACAGGGGTAAACGGGGAGTAAAATGTTATTCGTATTTTTGCTTTCACGACTAGTCACAATCCGGTCTTGTAGATACCACGTTTCGGTATCATCACATTGGGGGAGATTTAGACAGGGGATTCAGGAGGAGTGGCTCTCGAAAGACGAATCCTCGGTCGAGCTCCCTCCCACTTCACTGGAAGGGGTTTGAATTATGTCTTCATCTTCCCATACCGAAGCCCCTGTAGGCTTCGTATCGGTTACTTCTTCAACAATCGCTGCCTTTGCTTGCTCCTTCATTGCCCTCACGTTGGCAAAGTATCTCTGCCACGTCTTTGGCGACCAGAGGGGATCGTCCTTTGCGTCGGGCGCATCATTTCTGTGCCATGGAGGCAGCTCAAACCCCTTGGGCTCGGCCTTGACCGCGGCGTCCGTGACGCCTGCGTACACCCTCCGCTCGCCCTCGAGGAACTCGCGCGCGAGGCCAAACACGTCTTCGACGGTCAGCTCGTCGCTGCGCACGTAGGCCCAGAACTCCTCCCACCACTTTGGCAGGCGGTGACGGAAGAAGACGGCGGACATATCGGCCGCCGTGATGGGCGGCGCGGGCGTCTCGCCTCGGAACGGCGCCCAAAACACCGTGTCGAGGTCTGCGCCGCCAAACGTCGACTGCAGCACGCACCACCTGCACCCGTGGCGCACGCAGCGCGTGCAGCGCGTGTCCTGCTCCGTCTCGAACAGCTCCAGCGAGCACAACAGCCCCTTGCCCGCGCACCGAAGGCACGGCATCATGCCGCTGCGCCGCCGCTCCGTCGACCGGTTGAGCATGGCGTTGTAGTGCAGCTCGAACATGATGTGCTCGGCGAGGGGCCGGTCCGCCTCTGGCATGAAGATGACCTGCTCGTCGTCGCCCGCCTTGTCGTCATCTTCGTCGTCGTCCTCGTCGTCCTCGTCGTCGCGCGGCCTCACCCGGTGCCACGACTGCATCTCCGACACTCGAAGCCCGTACTTGAGTGGGTTCTGCTGGAACTGCCGCATCGTCCGCCGCACCTGCGCTTTGCGGAGCAGCTCCGGCCACTCGCCTTCGAGCGGCTTGTCAAAGGCGTCGTTGTACTCTTGTACCTTGTTCATTCTTTTTCGTGGATGGCTGTCCCTGTCTACCCGCCCGTATCTACCCACCTATTCGTGGTGGCTGCGTTGCGATGTTCTGTTAGAGAGTCCGTAGCAAGATGCTGACGAATAACAAGAATAAAAGAGGGTATGATGGCGGCGAGCGAGCAAAAGCCGAATAAACAAGTCAGGCAATGAATATGTATCTCTCCTAAGCGGCTAGGTATGTTTGTGAGAGAATAGACGGGATACACCAACAGCGCCAGAATCAGACTTGGTGCCGCGTCTTGGTTTATTGGGGCGGCACATATATACGTTGCTTTTCTTTCTTTGCCCTCCTTATTGTTCCATTATTGTATGTTGTGTTTTGTGTCTGTTGCTTGATGGCTTACACAGAAAGCAACAAAGAGAACTCTTCAAAAAACAACCAGTACCGAATCCTCAACAGACTTGTAGCTTATATGAGCAGGAGTCTATTGGTCAGCGACGAGGCTGTCTTTCCTTTCTGGAAGATGTGGCCGAGACAGTTTTAGCCAGTCAGTTCGGAGTAGTCAGAGGCAATACACGAGACCAAAGGCAAAGAAGTAAAACCTGAAGCCTATATAGGTAGGTAGTTACCTATAAAACGCCCCGAAATCAAATCGACCTCTCGATTTCCCAGCAAGCATGAGCCCGTACGAAAAAAAATAGGTGCCTCGAAAACACAAAGACCGTACAAGATAAGACAAACCAGCGAGCGTTTCAATTCCATATCAGAAATGAGACTAGACACTTGAATAGACAATTGAAGGCTGATTTCTAGCTTGTGAACACGGCGCGAGGAGAACAAAGGAAGAACCGTACATACCTACCTTAGCTAGCGAGTTTATAGCGAATAGAATTGTCTCAGAACAACCAGGCTCGTAAAACAAAGAACAAAATGAGAACGGACAGCTGCCACCGTAGTCTTTTACGGTATGCAGAAACATATCGGCGTCTCTACCGGCTCTACCGATGTTAGTCCACACCGCTAACTTGCTATAGACGGGTAACAAGACGTTATATTATTCCGGAATGGGTTTAAAGCTGCCCTGTAAGAGAGCATGTATTACCACAGGAAAAAAACTAGCACAGGCAATAGACTGGCTGGCGCAATCACGGAGGATATTTCTGTTTTTTTTTCCATATGAGAGGCTGCCTTAGAATGAACCCAAGACAGAGCGAGACATATTTTCATGGACCTAATGCCTTTTTGAACACAAACATGCCCGAAGAGACTCAGACCCTCACCGCAAAACCTGGCCTGAGAAGACCAATTGGTACAACAACGCTTGACAAAACTCATCTCCCATCATAGACCTAAACAAACCGCCCGCCGTCATCAGCCTTTCCAACTCGCACGACCGTCCGCCACCAGCTCAAGACCTCGCTGACTCGAGGTCCAGCTCTAGCTGTCGGATCCTCTCGCTCTGGTCTTGCGAGATTGGACCGACCTTCTTCTTGAGAGTCTCGACTTCGGTGGTAAGCTGCTTGATGATTTCGCTCTGGGCGTTGATCTTCTCGCTCTGTACTCCGATGATCTTGACCTGCTGCTCGAGGAGAGTCTTGATCTGTGCTAGAGATTCCTCAACCGAGGTGCTTGGGGGTGTTGAGATAGCGGGGGGAGTGACGCGCGAGACCGCCGGCGCAATGGGCTGAGGCGACTTGAGTGGCGAAGATGGCTTGGGCTGTGTCGCAGGGGCCGTCACAACTGGCGACGTGGGCTTGGAACGGATCGGAGCCGCAGCCCGGGGAGCAGGGCGCGTGACCTCCTCAAAGCTTGACGTCTCAGCATCATCGTCGTCGCTTTCATCCTCGTCTTGGAACTTGTTGGCTACAGCTGACATGGAAGCCTTCTGATCTGCCACGACAGGCGGTGAGCGGGGGGCAATGGGCGCCGGCTCCGGCGCCTTTCTGGCGGCAGGTGCCGGTGCCAGTGCAGGTGCTGGCACCGAACCGATTGCGGGCGTCGAAGGCTTGAAGTCAGCGGGGAGCTCGACAGGCGCATTCCCGTCGTAGATGCTCTCTAGATCAATCTTGGGGGGGAGCGCAGTCTTTCCATCAAACCATTCCTTGGCAGAAACACCTGGCTTCGAACCAACTGCCGGAGGGAAAATGTCTGACTGGAAGGTTTCGGCTCGACGAGGCACCGTGAACGAAATTGGCTCAATGTACGAGTCGCTGACGGTCTTGAAGGCCCTCATGACCTCGTTCTCGTGGACCTGCTCTGGTTAGTCACGGTGCCGCCTGATGATCAAGAGCGGCACTTACGTTAACACCGCGCCTCGGCAAGAAGGCAATTCCACGCTGGGGGTCTCCCGATTTGTACTCAGACAAGAACTCAAACTTGTCGTTCTCATACTCGAAATAGCGAATGTTGCCATCGCTGCGGCGGATATTAGTATGCAACATCAAATGGTTGGACTAGCGATGTAGACCTACCCCTTTCCAGCAAGATATAGACAGTTGGACCCGTCATCTATAGTACTGTGTTAAAAACTGCGCTTGTCTGCAAAATAGATGGGCCAGAGTGGCAGCTTACCCCAGAATGGCATGCAGACGCCGGAAATGGAGTCGAGCGAGGTGAGCCCGCCGATGGGGTCCTTCCGGCCGGGCTCCCACAGGCCGATCTGCCTCTCGCTCGTTCTAGTGAAGCCGGTGGTGGCGATGCGGTTGTGTTCGCCCATCCACACGGCACGGCTGTTCTTGGCTCCCTCGTGGCCTGGATGCTCGTGCACCGGCGTCTGCTGGCGGACATCCCAAACGCGCAGCTTCTTGTCTCTCGAAGTGGTGACGAGCATAGACCCGTTAGCGCTCCACGAGAGACTCTGCACAATGTCGGGGTGCTTGAGGGTGATGTGAGCCTGTCCCGTGCTGATGTCCCAAAGCTTGATTGCTAGGTCGCCCGAAGCCGAAGCTAGGATATTCTCGGCGGCGGGGTTGAACAGGACATGCCCGACTTTTCTACAAGACAAGACTGTGAGCGCGAGGAATGGAGCAGGCGCGCAAATGCACAGGCTAGCTAGGCAGACTGAACAGGTCGCACCTCGAGTGGCCAGTCAACTTGGCGACGGGCGAAACGTGTGGGACTTCTTCAGCATCGCTGTAGAGTGAGAAGCCCTGCGGGACCTGCCATATGAACACCTTCGCGTCATCAGATGCTGAGGCAATGATTCTATCGTTGAACGGGTTCCTGTTATGGGCGAGAGGTTAGATAGTCTGTTGGGGGCCTTCGTCCGAGGGAAACAAGACGTACCAGTCCGTGTCGAGGACGGCAGCAGTGTGACCTCGGAAAAGGGGTATCTGGTCGGGAAGCTTTCCGCGCTCGTTGAGGGGAATGACAGCGAAGGCGCCACCACCACTGGATTCCCAATTGACGGCCAGATACTCGGGGTTGGCCTGTGTAGGCGACGGGTCAGCGAGGCACGCGACGGCGATGGGCAGAGGCAGCGGCAGATCGACAGGGCAGCTGAGGGCCGGGATGGGGACGAGGCATGGGGTATGGGACGACAGGTATCCGTCTCGGTATCCGTACCTTTATAAGATTGGTGTCCCAGGCATTGCGGCTGATGTGGAGGTTGTCGTAGCAGAACTCCTTTCGCGTCGATTTGCCAAAGACATGTCCTGCAGCATTATCAGTCAGTTATCAAAGGCTCACGGCATCGCAGGCTTGGCGGCCAAAAGCTCGGGGCGGCGAGGTTCAATGTGAGGCCCAAGGCTGAGCTCGCAGTGAGCCTGCGGGGAACCTGGGACCCGAGTGAGGGGGAGGTGAATGGAAGGTGCGCCTACGATATTTCGACGCGCGCACAAAGCGGCCAGCCATGAGGAAAGCAAGATGTTAGAGAATTGACGTTTGGGTCAACGGTGAGGAGAGTTGTAGACACAGGTCTCAAAAGCGTGGCGATTTGTAGTGCACCAAGTAATAAATGCAAGGCGAAGCGTGGGGAGACAGGAATGTGGACAGGCTGCATTCCGTAGGGAGGTAAAGTGGGATGCGGTGCGGTGCGGCGGTGCGGTAAGCTCAATGTCAAATAAGCCCCGCGACGGTTGCTCCCTGAGACTCTGGCACCGCCTAGGCCCGAGCGCCCCTGTCTTCCCCCTTAATTGGCTTGCCACTTGCACCGCCGCGCCTTATTACCCCTCCATCCTAAACAGGACACTAGAACAAGATAGTGCCACAGCTTGGTTTAGAACACCATCGTTTCAACGACAACCCGTTAGCCTTTTGTTGCTCGGGCTCACTAGATGGAAGGAAGCATGGAAGCAGAACTTGAGGCAGGATGTCTGTGAGACGGATTGTAGAGTGAAGAGCCTACCTAATACGTGTTCCGCACTAGAATAACTGCTGCCTTAGGTTCCTGTATCTAACTAACGTGATGCCCTTTCTGCGAATTATATCCGCATTCTCAATGAAAAATGAGGGCGTTTCTATCTTGTAGCAAAGGAACGACAGCAAATAGGAGCAAAAAAAGTAATTGGGTTCACTCAAAGAATGAAGCTCCAATTCAACAAAGAGATGAATCCGTGACTGACAAAAGGGGATGTCCACACCAGGGATCGAACCTGGGACCTGTCGCGACCACGTAACCGTGTGAGGCGAACGTCATACCACTAGACCATACGGACTGGCTATTGGTGAAATTTTATGCGAGGTACATGCGCTATAACCCGTACCGGCGGGGTCGTTGATGCACGCCGCTTCTCCGCAGAGTGTTAGATGCAGTACAGGGTGCTTTGCATCATGCTCCTTTAAGAATAAAGAAAAAGATAGTTTAGACAAGTTATATGGATGACGAGAGGTCCAGTACTTAAGGTGCCAGCAGACGGTGAGTTGTAAGAGTGAGAAAAGACTAAGTGAGGCGAGGTAGAGGAAAGGGTGCACAGGTTGGTAGCGTACTTAGCGGGCGAGACTGAGAGCTTCGACCACCCAACCAGGAAATCTCCAAATAAACTCCGTCAGGGAGCTTCTTTCCCTGCTGCTGCGCGCAACCACGGAACGCAGACTTTCTCGACAGCTCCCTACAGCAATGTGGGCGCGCCACCACAAACCCCCAGAACAGGGCGTATTAAGGCAATGCTTGCTTGGTTTTCTGGAATAGATTCTGGACCTTGAAGTGTCGGATTCACAAAAGAATCTCAACGAATTCGCCCAAGCTAAGCTGCGCCCGTGCGCGATCGCAACTGAGCCTCGCCAAAATATAGAAAGAGTCCCACCAACGGCCGAAAACAAGATGTCAACTACAACGGGCAAGATCAAGTCCCGCTGGGCCGACGACGAAACTGACGCTGCGCTGGAAGCCCAGGCGAAGAAGGAAAGGGAGGAAAAGAAGCGCCAAAAGGCCGAGAAGGCGCGCAAGCTCGAGGAAGAGAAGCGGGCGCGCGAAGCCGAAGCCGCTGCGAGCGCGCGACAAGCTGCACCTCAGCAGGGCGACGATGACACGAATCCCAACAGCGAGCCCCCCTCCAAGCGGCGGAGGATATCGCCAGAGCGCGAGACAGGGCCGCCAGGCCGCGCAGCGGGGGTCGACAGCAGCAGCAGCGGCACGACGCTGCTGCGGCTCGGAGGGGCCAGGGGCGCGTTTGGGCCGTGCCGGAGCGTCGAGAACTACGACAAGCTCAACGACATTGAAGAGGGCGCGTATGGCTGGGTGGCGCGGGCGAAGGAGCTCAAGACGGGCAATGTGGTGGCGCTGAAGCGGCTGAAGATCGACCCCAAGGACCGCAGCGGACTGCCTGTCACCGGCCTGCGCGAGATACAGATCCTCAAGGACTGTAGCCACAGGAATGTGGTCAAGCTGCGGGAGGTGGTCGTCGGCGAGGACACGAGCAAGATTGAAAAGTACGGACATGTCCATTCGCTCCTTTGCCTCCCTCCCAAAACCCATGAAACGAGAAACGAGTAATTAGCTAAATATTTGATGCCGCACTACAGCATCTTCCTCGTCCTCGAATTCCTTGAACACGACCTCAAGGGGATCCTCGAAGACATGCCCGAGCCGTTCCTCGCGTCCGAGGTCAAGACGCTGCTGCTGCAGCTAGCGTCGGGGGTCGCCTACCTGCACGGCAACTACATCCTGCACCGCGACCTCAAGACGTCCAACCTGCTGCTCAACAACCGCGGCCAGCTCAAGATCGCCGACTTCGGCATGGCGCGGTACGTGGGGGATCCGCCGCCCAAGCTGACGCAGCTGGTGGTGACGCTGTGGTACCGGGCGCCGGAGCTGCTGCTGGGGGCGGCGCGGTACGGCGCGGCCGTCGACATGTGGAGTGTTGGGTGCATCTTCGGCGAGCTGTTGACGCGGGAGCCGCTGTTGCAGGGCAAGAACGAGGTGGACGAGCTGACCAAGATCTTCGAGCTGTGCGGCATCCCGACCGACGAGTCGTGGCCAGGCTTCCGGCGCCTGCCCAACGCGCGCGCGCTGCGCCTGCCAAAGATCCCCGCGGCCAACGGGTCCGTGGTGCGCGCAAAGTTCCCGCTGCTGACTGCGGCAGGCGTGGCGCTGCTCAACGACCTGCTGGCCCTCGACCCGGCCAAGCGGCCCGCCGCCGAGGCCATGCTCGCCCACGAGTACTTCAAGCAGGACCCCAAGCCGAAGCAGGAGGCCATGTTCCCGACTTTCCCGAGCAAGGCCGGCCAGGAGAGGAGGCGGCGCCAGAAGACGCCGAACGCCCCGGTCCGCGGGCAAGCCGCAGACCCTCTGGGCGCCGTCGACTTTAGCGGCATTTTCTCGGGGCGCGAGAAGGAAGAGAGAGGCGGGGGGTTCTCCCTTCGGATGGTCTAGATTTGGGAAAGGCCTCTCTCTTCGGGGATGGCCATTTGTACACGGACAACCGTCTGCACTCGCAGAAGCAAGCACCTGCGAGGCCCCAACCGGGATTGGGATTGAGCGACATTGGCTGTTCATAATCATAGTCTCGCAATCCTCTTCTTGCCGCAGGGCAACGAAATCATTCGGAATACTAGACATTTTTAGTGTCCATTGCTTTCACACCAAGGCATTGGCACTGCGGACAACCTCGAATTAAGTTTAGCCCTACAGCAATGATGGATAAAGAAGACATCATTAAGCTACTAGGGGCTTGAACTTGTATATGTGCAAAGTTCATGAGCTGCATGAAATAAATACATGCCACCAAATTATGTTCCGAGAGTCTTTTTTTATCCCATAAATGAAAATGAAGAACCCCAAAAAATTCGCAAAATGGCAATGATGAAAATGTCTTGACCAAAAACGCCAATTTCCTGCCACCATCACTACCCTCACCACCGACCGCGACCCTATTAGCGATATGAACAGCCCCGTCCAATCTCAATCCCTAGAAAGAATTACAAGGAATTATATCACAGCAGCAGCAATGTGCCGCCCTCGGGTTTCTGTTTCTGTTTTTCAGAGAAGTGCTCCAAAGCCCGCAACAAACCACGTGAAGCTGAGAACCGTGGCAATGCTCATGACCATAGCAGCGCCCACCGCGCGGTTGTCCATGCCCGACATGGCGCCGCTGCACGTCGCGCACTTCCACTCGCCGAGGTCTTGGTACGGGCGCTTCTGGTACATCCCAAAGGTGAAGCCCGTAAAGGGCGACAGGTAGCCGGCCTCGGGCGGGGCACTGATGCTGCTCTCGGCGTCGTATATTACGAGCGTGTAACGCTCCGTCAGCAGCTCGTTCTCGGCGTACTGGCTCGTGTCCCAGGTGAAGGCCGCCTGTGTCGCAAACGTCATGTTCTGCGTCAGCGTCCACGTCCTCGTCGCCACGGAGCAGCTGACCAGCACGTCGATGGCCGTCGGCGTGCCCTGCAGGCTCGTGTAGTTCCAGACCCACGTCACGGGCTCGTCGATCTTGTACAGCTGGGTGCCGTCGGTGAGCGCGGGTGTCACCATGACCACGTTGCCGGCCGGATCCACAGGGTTGAACTCGGTGTGTGTCGGCTCGGACGAGTCGCTATCCGAACCACCCGACCGAGTTCCAGTCTCGGTGGCAGAGCCAGTTTTGGATTTGGTGATGCCCCCAGTGTTGAGATTTACGGATGTTGCCGACGGCGGCGTGTGTTTGCCTGAATTTGTAGGAGTGGACGTGGGATTTCCGGTGGGAGTAGCGGAAGTGTGCGAGGCTGCGCAAGTTAACACAAGAGTTACTATTGTACACGGCTTCGCAATGGGAAAAGGTCTTCATACATGACGACGAGTCATCCCGGCGAACAATTAACGAGTCGAGTTCGGGAAGCCACCTCGGCCATGACGACCAAGCAGAGACGACAGGTGACAAAGACAGAAGGGCAACAACCAACTGGCTCACTGATCGAGTTGTTCGCATGATGGCGATGGTTTCAACGACAAGGGCGGGGAGGGGGTTTGAGGGAAGATATAGTGGTGGACGAGAGGGATAAGACCTCAAGGCCGCGGACAGGATCTAAGCAACTCAATCCCACGACGAGATTCAAGAATATCTCTGATGGCGTTGTTTAACGTCGGAAAAAATGGCTGCGGTGGTCGTGTCGGCTTCGGTGTCGGTGTTGGTACAGGTCACCAACTGGAGAGACGTGGCACGGCGTTCGCTGTGTGCTGCGGCGGGTTGTCCCTTATCGACTTGGCCGGAAAACAAGGGCCCACGCGTGAAGGATGAGCCAAAAAAAAATCCCACGGGGGGAGAAAAGAGGCGTAATTAATTATGCCAAAAGAAACAAAAAGATTGGCCTTGGCCGATGGAAATGCGAAACAGAGCACAGGAAGCGAGCGTTGGAAACGAAAAAGCGAGCGTATTCGTGGTTGCTGAAGAAACAAAAAAAGCGAATGACGGGTTGGCTGAGAGAGGCTTCAGTGAGATGTCGGTCGGACGACGGGGCTGGAATGAGAAATCAAATCGAGAAAACAGAGTTCCAAGCTACGCCCTCGTCTTCTGGTGCATTGGTCTCGCAGGGATCTAAACCGGAAGTTTGGGCGACCAATAATGGGTCCCACGGAGGGATGCGGCCAATCAGGGGCACAGCGTAATCGGGCTTAGCGGGAGGGCTTGAGGGGTCACTAAGCGAGGAACTGGGAACTTGGGTTCGTGTTGTGGTGGCGTTGTTGAAAACCCGGAGACGGCCTTGACCATTCATGCCACGCAAACCCCCCGGTTATCCCCCTGCTAGCAGCCTACCTGCTGCGAGGTGCCGGGCGGGGTTTTCTCGTGTTTTTGCGTGGTCCGGCTGAGATCCGACCCCATCTGGCCCCAACTAAAAATAATACCGAGAATAGTGGATGCTTGAAGTTGACGTTGACAGGGTGCGCTGGACGAGATCCTTTTGTTTCCGTAGGGCAGAGCCGCGGCGAGGTCGCTCCTCTGTATCAAATTCAAGGCATTCATTCGATTTAAATGCTGAGCACTCCTTTAGCGCCGACACCTCCCTTCCAACGGACGTGCCGCTTTTCCATGCCCTTCCCAAAGTCCCCGCTGCATGATGCCGCCTTCGATCTTATTACCGGGTTTCCCCAACCCGACGCTGCGAATGTTTCGTTCCCTAACACGGAAGCCCGTTTTACAAACAAAGTCCCGTCTTGACCTGTCCTTCTTTTCTCAGTGGAAATCGAGCCCTCCTACTGCTACAAATTCATCCTTAGGGCTCTTTTCTCACCTTCAGTCCTCCATATGGGTGCCTAAGCGTTAGAGCATGGCGTTGCTGGTGCCACTAAATCTGGGGACCTCTTGGTCGATGATGAGCCGCAGATCAGCATGGCGCTAGGTTCGAGTTCGAAGCCGCACCCGAACGCACGTCCCCCGTCTCTGTGTCTGTCCCCGTCTCAGAGCTGCGTGCGCTGTCTGCTCTTCCGTCTATCATCTCTTCTTTCCCACCGCAGTCCAGAAGGCTAAGGCTCGACATGCAGTCATGGACAGCTCAACTACAGCTCTCGGGCGATGCAGCCGAAAGAGCATGCTTGGAGGCTAGAGGCAACGAATGCATTAGTGAGGGGGCAACCCGAGTTTAACAGTGTCATCTCAACAGTGCTTACGTCCGTTAGCCTGTATCTTTGCTCCTTTCTCTTTGAGACTGAGAAACGCTCTTTAGGCCGTCAGAGCGACCACTCCGGCAACCGCTCATGGTCCGCCAATCTTGGATTGGGGGAATCACGCATTCGCGCATTCGTTGCCGAGATGGTGCTACGCGACATGCCGGGAACACGACATTGATTCTGTGAATAGCCATGCGGGCTTGCTTTGACCGCAAGTCATGGCAGCCGTGGCAGTCATGGCATGGGCACATCTGTTGCACCCGACCTCACCCGTCTCGGTACGTAAGGCAGGCAGTCAGGTGGTCTTATTGTACTGTACGCATCGATTCAGGTTGTCGTGGACAAGTACACGCAAAGGTCAACATAACCCCGTCGCTTGGTCTCATTCGGTTCAATTCCTTCCGGTCTTTCTTGACAGATCAGACTCAAGAAGTCCAGTCTCTGAGTTAAAGGTTGACTTTTCTTTTGTTGCAAGACATGCACAGAAAAAGCCGTCTGTTGAATGGTAGGTAAGGTTATGGTGGACGAGAATGAGTATATGCTTATACCAGAGTTGCCTCTTTCAAAGTGTGGCTTGCAAACAGGCGTTCCTTGGACAGCAAAATGGGTATCCCAGGCAGTATGGTATCAAGCTAAAGCATTCAACTTACAAACCAATTATCTTTCCCTACTCCTTACGCATCAGTGGGACAAAGGATATGCAGATCACTGGTTGCCTTGCGCAGGTTCGAGACACTCAATTATAGTACAAATACGATTACGAAAGGGTGCATCTATCTCTTTCTGAGAGCTCTGGTGAGTTGAAGCTTCTCTCGGATTGGTCGCTGGAGTTGAATGTTATACTCCAACTGGGCGCTGAGACTTGCATTAGAGTCGGGCCACCGCAACATGTCGTTGGTTATGCTTTGAGGCAATGGTTGGGTCCTTGGCACCACTGACTGGCAAGCCCGCCTATGGGAATGTGGCCCGTGTCACGCACTCACAGGCGCTTACACAGTCAGCCAGCCAACCGCCGGCCGCCTGGGCTGCAAGCTGCGACGAATTGCACGTGAGGATAAGCACTCGCCTGCAAGGATAGCACTGATTGCCAAAAAAGCACTTGCGGGCGCCCGCTAACGCTAAATTGACTCCACTAGGCATGTTTGCGGGTGCCAGGGAGCCAGGTAAGAAGGTGACAAGTGCTACACTAGATCTTGGCGGCCAATCTTTGGGCTCTGGGGTGTCGGCGGTCGACCTTCAGCTGAATTAAGGGGAGCTTGCGCCGACGCGACGACCGACCTTCCTCTTCATCCTCGCACCTGTTTCCGCCGTCGCTAGGCTATGGGCAAGATGACATCGGTCGACGCCGCTACGGTAACCATTGATCGTGGGTATTTCGACACTCTAGTGCGAAGGTAAGCATAGAGTTCATGGCATGGCATGCCCTGCCTGGCCTGGCCTTTGCCCAAGCGCCGCATACATGTACATACAGGTTGATGCTGATCTCTATGTTGCCATGCTAGGGCCCATTTTGTACGTGCAGAGCGCAGACTTACAGCCTCTTCCGATCTCCTAATGGCCGATCCAATCGAGAACTCTAACGCCTCAAACTCCTCCTAGAACTCTGAATCGCTCGCGAATAATGGCCATCCTCCACTCCTCGCCGTGACCGTGTCGCGGGGCGAATACGACAGTCTTCAGGCGATTGCCAAGCAATATGGTAAGATGGAACTGCCATACTCCGTACTTGGTGTTGGGATGGCTTGGGCGTCGCACATCATCTCTACATCCCTCTGGGACACCCTTCGGCGATCTATCTAGCACACTGCGCTGGGGCTAACATTGGGTCTGTGAACAGAGAACCTGCGACGCAATCTACTCCGTGGCGGGGTCGGGGAGGAGACTGTGGATGTGAGTACCCTCATGATTTCAGGGAGTAGCCATACCTCATCCCGTGAAGATGCCCCTCGTCCCCCCCGTCCTCGCATTGCATTGAATGGTGCTCACCGAATGAATGATAGCTCCTCAGTCAAGATGACCACACAATCCAAGACGGCAGGAGCCAAGCGCCTTCGCCATCCAAGGCCGACGTGACGGACGACGGAGGTGCCCGACTGAACACGCCCACGCCGCAGCCTTCGACGGCCTTTTTCGACCAGCCCAAGCCTAGGACCTATGGCTATCGGAACGGCAACGGCTACAGCGGTAACGACACCGCGGGCGCTACCCACAAGCATAGCGACCGTCCAGCGTGGGCAGACCACGATGCAGATCTGGAAGATGAGGAGGACATCTCATGCGATTCGCCCGTCGAGAGCCCTGGCGGTGCGGCTGCCCCCAAGCAGCAGGGACAGAAACCGCAGTTTGTCCGCCAATGCATGAGAACTATCCAGCTTCAGAACCTTGCTGAGGGAATCACCCATGCCGATATCACCAGTGTTGTGCGAGGTGGTATGGTCTTGGATGTCTTCCTCCGGGCCCATGAGCGCTCCGCGACCGTGTCTTTCCTGGACGCCATGGATGCGAAGAGGTTTTACGACCACGTGCGCAAGCATGACTTGTATATCAAAAACAAGCGGGTAGGTCTTGCGGGCCTGGACGACTGGAATGTGTGCCTGGGAGCTAACAGAGTCAGGTTGATATCAAATGGAGTGATCGGCAGTTCATTTTACCAGGCCATGTGGCAGGTAAGATTGGCTCAGGTGCCAGCCGTAACCTCGTCATTCGTCGATACGATGGCAGGCACACGGAAGAGAATATCCGCGAGGATCTAGACCATATTCACAATCTTATTGTCGTCAAGATTGAGTTCCTCGGTGGAAACTGCTATCTGAGTCTGAATTCGGTGCACAATGCCATCTATGCGCGGCAGTGCATGATGAGTCGATTGTACGTGTTTTGTCGCCCGAATACCCGGGACCACGAGGCTGACACGGTTTTTTTTAAGCAAGTACAAGGGTACAAAGATCGACTGGGATGTCGATGAGTGTGCCCAGCCATTGGAGCAACCCCCGCCGCCAGTGAAGCCGCGCAAGGAAAACGCGGCATTGAAGAAGGCCCCCTCGACGGTTGCGAACCGTTTCCACCTGTTGCACATCGACGACGGCGAGGAAGATGAAATAGCAGCGACATTCCAGTCCAAGAAGTCGGTTGGCATTGCCGCTTAGGATGCGCCGCGCCACGAGTTCGCACCGCAGATGGGCATGCACCACTTCCCGTACTGATATCCCGACTGGTAGCCGCATCGTCGTTGGGGGCTATACTCTGTCTAGCCGGAGACGCCCGGAGAGACGTATTCGACTTGTTTCTCGCAAACTAATAAAAATGCATCAAGCTGAGACATAGTTTGCTAGCAGACTAGGCGGCGTTAAGGATACCCTATGGCTATTCCCCGCCTCTTTTTATTTTTATTTCCTGGTTTCCTTTTTTTTCCTCCTTTTTTTTCCTTGCCTCTTAACGGCTTTATGCTATACTGCGAAATAAGGGCCAGGTCGTGCGCAACGACTTACTTAGATTGCTTTTGTGGGGATATATTTTCCTTCTCGCATCTATCGTTTCTAAGTTATTGCTGGGCAAAGGAATTGTCCTGCAAAACAGTGAGCACGGCGAGGGCTTGTCTTTTTCTTCTTTTCCTGCACATACGGCCCCCCAATGGGATTCCTTATATGTAAATCTATGGCTTACGTTTCTGGCCCTTTTTTCCCTCGGGGAATGTTGCCTATGTCACAATGCCTGATTCTGAGATGCATGTTTGGCTAACCCTTCGCGATCCGTCTAGTTGGTTGTCTCTAGGTTGTAGAAATTAAGATTGGTTAACGCAATTATGAAGTTACGCCAATGGCTCGCACAATACAGACGGATGGCACACGAGAATTAGGGCTAAGACAGGGTTCCTAGCTTCGATTCATCTCTATCTAGTCTAAGGACTCATCTACTTGTCTATCCCACACGGGGACCGTAGGGACGGGCGAAACTGCATCACCACCGCCATCCAGGAACACCGGCATAGGTAGGGCAACTGCTGCTTGACATGCTAAATCAAGCAGCAATAGTGACCTCGACCTCGACGCCCGCCTCGACTGTTGAGGGGGAGACATGTGTTAGAACCATCACAACATATATGTGTATGACTGGTTGGGGTTGGGCAAGCTACTTACTATTGACAATGATGGACTTGACAACCTCGGTCGGGGCGAAGAGGCTGGGTTGGGCGTTAGTCGTCTGTCTCTCAAAAGTTGACACTCATTTCACGGGCGCCAAAAACTCACTCGATCAGTCGCTTGTGAATGCGCAGCTCATAAGCGTCCCAGGTCTTGCTGCCCTCGCCACACGGCGTCTTGCGCGTGGTGATCTTGAGGTTTCTGGTCTGAAGAAGTACGAAAGGACATGTTAGTTGTCAAGTCTAGTTTGCTTTTCTTTGGTACGCTGTCACGGCCATGGTTTTTCGTCAGTTTACGTACCGGAAGACGGACCGGGCCCTTAGACCGGAGGCCCTTGGACCGAGCTCGCTCGTAGAGCTCGCCGCACACTTTCTCGAGCGAGCGGATGTCGCGGCTCGTCAGGGTGATGCGGATGCGGTAGATTTTCTGTTAAGGGGGGTTAGCTAGCTGGACGTAGGATTGCCATTGTGGCTTCGACTTTTATTCCTTCTTTCTTGTACATGTGCCTCGCAAGCAGGGAACAAATAGCTTTAGAAGAGGTTGAACAAAGAACGTACCGGCTGCTCGCCGAGAGCACCACCCGCCTTGTCCGTCTTTTGATGAGACATTTTGGAAAAGAAAAAAAAATCGATTTCTTTCACGAAACGAAATTTTCTAGATAGATTAGGAAAATGACCGTCACGACTCGGCAAGTCGGATTGACTTGCACGGTAACGTGATGACGGTCGAAGCTCTTGAGAAAACTGACCTGCAACGACACACGCTCACTTGTTCGTGATGTTGGTTGGGTTTTTTCTGTGTGGGCAATTATTTTGGAGTTTTTGTTCACCACCCGCGCCGTATCAAAACCACCCCTGACGGTTTGGTGCAGCGTGCACGGGCCGTCCCCCTAGGGCTGGCCTGCAGCCGTGGGACTGAATGGGGTGCTTTAATCCGAGAGTTGCAATCTCTCAATGCCAAGACTTCCGTTTGTTACCCGTCTAGGGTTTAGAAGTGTATTACAGTAAGTAGTGTATTACAGTTTTTGAGAGGCACAGTACACACTTCTGCACACAACAACCTAAGCAGAGAGTTTGTGAGGACGGGTTGTTATCACTGAATGTTTACAGACTGCGGTGGTTGTGAACTGCAGTGACGTGTGTTCACGAATACCTGTGGATTCAATGTCACAACTTGGGTTGCCTGAGAATTATCTCGTCTCTTATTTCACAGACGCTTCTGCAACGTGGACTCATCTAGCTCCTACCTACCTGAGGTGCTTATCACGTCAAGTATTTCCTCGCCCTCTTTCTCGCTCCGGACGCCTTTTAAGCCTAAGCCTAAGAGATGACATAAGTATCACAAAAACCATGTTTATCTACGGACCTTGCGCCGAAAAGTTGGAAATACACGCGCTTATACCATCGCTGAACAACGGATGAAAACATAAAACATTTGCAGAATGTGCGGCTAATGGCATTCCTCACGCGTCAGCATGATGCACCCTCAGTCATTCCCTCTCAGCCATTCCCTCTGAGCACTCTCAAACCGCTCCCCACGCTTTGTCCACCGGCAGGCTTACGCCGTTGATGGTCCTCGCCTGGTCACTGACCAAAAAGGTAATCGTCTTGGCTACCTCGAGCGCCGTGATGGTCGGCGCCGCTGCGGACGGCTGGGCCTGGAGCGCATGGACTGGCCTGTTGATGTTTCGCGGCGTCAGTGGCAGCTGTACCGAGGGAAAACGGGGCAGACTTACTCGATCTGCGCAAAGGCATCAGAGTCCCACAGCTGGCTGCGCCCGGCTATGATGGTCTTGCCAATGTCCGAGGCCACGGCGCCCGGCAGCACGGCGTTGCACCGGATGCCGTCGTTCCTGAAGCGCCACGCGACGTTCTTGGTGGCGCCAATCTAGACAGCCAAAATCTCAGCTTTTATATCTTTGGCGGGGCTGCAAATAGAAGAGAATCCTCACCAGACCGTGCTTGGACGACGTATACGCGATGCCGGCCACGGCGCCACTGGTGCCGGCCGTGCTCGCCACGTTGACGATGACGCCGTCCTTCTTGGCCTTCATGAACGGCAGCACGCTGCGCATCATCTTCACGGGCACCGTCAGGTTGACCGCCATCACCTTGTCCCACAGCTCGTCGCTTACGCCGTCGGCGCTGCTGAAGTTGTCCATGACGCCCGCCACGTTGACGAGGACGTCGACGCGGCTCCTAGGGAGGCGAAGATGGAGTCTGTTAGATTTTGGACACAACCTCTCCCCCTGTCTTTCACAGACACGTTCACACGGTCTAACCCAGAAACAGCACCGGGATTCATCCCTCACAACCACCTACCCAAAAGCAGCCGCACAGACACGGACGCCGTCCTCGCAGGCGCCGGGCTTGGTAAGGTCGCCGCGGGTGAAGTGGAAGCGGCCGTGGTCGGCCTCGCGGAGGAGAGCATAGTCAAACTCTGCGACGTCGAGGCCGCAGACCTGGAACTGGTGGGCGAGCAGCAGCTGTGCGACGGCGAGGCCGATGCCCGAGGCGCACCCCGTGACGATGGCGACTTTGCCGAAGCCGAGGGGGTCGACGGCGGTCTGGGGCACGAACAGGGCGTCGGGCGCCGTGTTGTAGAGCATGACTTTTTTTTGAGTGTCTGCCTACCTAGGTATTTCCGGGATGCTGCGGTAGAGAGGAAGAGAGAGAGAGCGAGGGGCGGAGAGAAAGCTGGAAATTATGTCCAGGAGCAAGAAAACATAAACGTCACCATGACGAGATGGCGTGTTGCCATAGATAAATAGTCCATTTTCGTTTATATACAGCCTTGGTAGAGCCCGGCACTTACACTAAATCTACGACGTCGGTGTGGTGAGCGGGAGATGGTACGATACAATGGGCCCTTCACGAGCATATGAGCGCCGAGACCGCATGGTGCGGGCGGTATTGAGCGGGAGCGGGGGTGCGAGGTGGCATCGCCAAAACATCACGCCACAGAAAACCACGGGGTGGGGATATCTCATCGCCTTATTCATCACGGCCGCGACAGCTGGCCTAGATTGCATTGTCCAAGTGTCCGAACTAAGATAAGTATGCTGATAGAATGATAATCGCATACAGCGCTAAGGAACCCACAACTTTGAATTGCGTTCTTCGCTGCTGGCCAAAAGAACGAACACTGGGTAGGTAGAGCCAGTCCCGATTGCCTGCCGCCCGACGGACCGCCTCCAAGTTCATACAAATTATCATCAGCCCACCATAAACGTGAAATCCGCCTACCAAGACGTTAGATCTCACCCCAACGCCAGTGCCCCTATCTCCCCACGCTCGAGACAGACTCTAGGTAAGAAAGAAGGAAGTTGCGGTCCGCAGGAGAGATTGGTGTCTGGCTACTCCGCCGCGAGACTGGGGCGCTGCCTTGGCCGTGATCCCCAGATGCTGAGGCCAACGATGCAACGCGGGACCGGGGGGTGCCAGACCGGACCTGCTCAAACATGGCTGGTTCCTTCATCTTGGCTTGTTCGCCACCCGCGAACCCAGTCGGCGAAGGCTGTCCCTTCCCGAAAAGTGACAGGAGCTTGTGCTTTTGTTCCGGGATGGCGTTTGATTGCCGTGAGACGGTCCCAGATGGTTGGTGTGACTGGGGTGCCGGCGCAGAATGTGTTGCAGAATGGGTTTGCAGCGGTGACTGCTTATACACAAGACCTGCTGTCTGTGGCATCTTGTCCTGACTCTCTGATACATACACAACCCCACGGCTCCTCGGAGATGGCAAGTTAGACTGACCAGTGATCATAGTCTCATAGCGTGTAGTGCCGCCGGGAACAGGTTGACTGGGAACCTGCTTCACAACGGAACTTTGCCTCTTGTCGGTCTCGGATTGCTTCGGTCGACTCAGAATTTGGACCGCCCGATACGGCAGGTTAACTTCTGGGTTCATCCGCAATGGTGCACCTCTGGCATCTGACGCAAACGCCAAAGCCTCTGCGGCTGAGAAGGGTTTGGACATGGGACCACCGGGTCCTTCCATTCCTTTAAAGACTACCGGCTCCTTTCCTTTGCTCTTGTTAGTGATCGACTCGCCGCTTGGCGACGACATCGGCGCCGGCTTCTTGAACATGTCTAGCAAAATCGAGCGGTGAGAGTCTGTAGACTGAATAGGATGGGGAACAGAGGCTGATGGACCGGCCGGTGCTGCCATGGTCTGGGGCGCATTGTTATCAAACCGAGGCTTCCCGGCTTGAGCCATGTTGTGCGGCAGGTATTGCGCTGCGGCATTGGCTTGTTGCGAAACAGGCAAGTTCGCCCAATGGGCAGATGGATGCTGCGTTTGACTGTTCAACTGCGGCCCGGCGCCATCCCTGGAGCCGACAACAGATGCCTTGTTTTCACCCGATTCCCGGTCTTCGGTTTTGAAGGCATTCAACAATGATATCTTGTGATTGGTCAGCTGAGGGGGGATATTCGACGGCTGCTGCTGGGCTTGTAAGGGTTCCGGATCGCTAGCTGCAAACACATTTTGAGGAATATGGCGGGCTTGCATGGTGCCGTGAGCAGTCGAATCCGGAATGTTCGGAGTGGGCAGGATAGCCCGCGTGAGGAGAGATTGCTGAACCTGAGGAGGCAGCGGCTGTGGGTGCAACAGTACAGGCTCCTTACGCGGCATATGATTCGGATTTACGGATTGGTTTCGGCCGGAGAACTGATGCTGGAGGGGAGCTTGAATAGGGGCACGCATCTGATTGAAATAGCCGCCCGGCAGATTCTGGTTCGAGGTAGGCCGAACGGAGAAAGTTGGAGGGGCCTGGTAGTCGTCGACGCGCATCCTCTGCGTGGGATGGTGATGGTGTGGGGTATGGGGCTCGGGTGCGTTAGAGTAGGTGAGGTCAAATGGCGTGTGGGGAAGCTGGCTTTGGTTCGGCTGGCTTTGGTTCGGCTGGCTTTGCTGGCTCGTCTGAGCTTGCTGGGACGGAAGCTCGCCCTTCTTTTGTAGAATTGCCATCAAGGCCTCACCCTTGTCGGGATTGACTGCAGTAGAGGGGCTCATTTGTAGGCCTTGGATTGGCGGCTGCACCTTGAGGAGACGTTGGAGTTCAAGTGTGGCTCCGGCGAGGGTTTCGATTGCCGGCGTACAGTTGGAAGGCCCAGCCAGGGGTTCCGTGTGACTTCCAATATCGTCCTCGGTGAGAGGCTCCTCAATGGGGATATGGACAGGCAGGTGGGAATGACTGGCCGCGCGGGCCTCGTCCTTCTTCCGCTGTTGAACAACCCACTTCTTCAAGGGCACAAGGAATGGGGCTACCATGTAGAATTTGTTGGCATTCGTTACCGCTGCCAGGTCATTAGGGTGGTTGCTGCCCTTTTTCCGGAAGGCTGGCAACTCGGAGAGCTTGTACCACTGGATCTTGCTGATCTCCTTCCGCGTCCTCGGGTGGAAAGGCGTGTCCATGGGGATGTCGCGGAAGACGTAGAGCCGGATCTGCTGCTCCCTCATGGAGATCTGGATGTATTTGACCTCGTCGTCTTTGGGCACCAGGCCGGCCTCTTTGATGTCAAAGCCCGTCTCTTCGTACACTTCCCGGACGGCGCAGTCCAGATCGTCCTCGTCCTTGTTGATCTTGCCGCGCGGGAAGCTCCAGTTGGCGCCCTTCTTCCAGCCCTTGACGAGAACGGTCGAGTCCATGGCCTCGTTGAGGAGAATGGCACCCCTGACGGGGACTCGGGTTTTGTACTGGAGGAACTGATCGAATGCGCGCATGTGGTTTTCGACGGAGAAGGATGCAAGCAGCGGGCAGTGCTGGAAGATGCGGAGGCAGAAGCTGCGAAGGGACATGGACGGCAACGTGGGGTCCAGCGGACGGATGAAATCTTCGTAGAACCATTGTGCCTCCTCCACCTGGAAGCAGATGCGTGCGACAGACGATAGATCTTCTTTGGGGAGGTTTATGATGAAGCGGACGCAAAGGTCATCCAGCCCTGTAGACGAGTAAGCGGACTATCCTATCAACAACAGACACGCGCAGCACAGCAGGCAACGCAACGCGACTCGACCCGTCCGTCCCTCGGTCCGTCGGCCGGAGAAATGGAGAAAGGGGGCAAGCAACGTGGGTGGGCCGGGCCGGACGAGCCACAGAATCAGTAGCAGGAGTAGTAGGAGTGAGTAGCAGCAACATACAATCTTCGAGTTGCATGGTTGATTCGGCCATGTCGACATAATCTGCTTCGCATATCCACGACACGGCTACAGACGGCAGGGCTTGTCAATTGAATGTCGTAGTCAAGTGTCGGGGCTTCGAAACGGGCTGGGTGACTGGGTCCGAGTTGCAGACCGATGAGGCTGAAGCTGGCCACCTGGTCAAGTCTTGTTGAGGCCGTTACGACCTGGCCTAGTGGCCTGAGGTGACTAGGGCAGGTGAGGGGCGGCGGGATCGAACGAGGGGCGTGGCAGGGCAGCGCGCGCCCAGCGGGCAAACAGCGTGCCCCAAAACGCACGGGTTGATTGATAGCGCGGAGAGTGCGCGAGGTGCTATTCCGTTCGCTGCGGTAGAACAGCAATGCGGTTAGGTTTTTGTGTGTTTTGGCGCTGCGGACGCTATCTGCAGGTCGTGATGTGCACCGTGGTTGTGGTGTCGACGTGGATGGCCTTCATAGGTTTGCATAGACCTTACCTGGCGGAGCAGCTGCGATTAGCTCGCCGTCAGCTGTCCGTTGTATGTACAGCGTCTGTGGCTTGATACGGACCAACGCTGCCTATCGACGAATACCGACGCCACAGTTATGCCTGGGCTAAGATCGCCAAGGCTCGTGGCGGTGCAAGTCAATCCGCTAACCACGTTGGCCCACTATTCGTACAGCGGTAAAGGACCTTGCCAAGCGCGTGGCAGTCACCGCACAAGGACGTCATCCCCAAACCCAGGCAGGAAACTGTCAGCGGTTTGAGGCTGATGTTTAGACATCGACAAAGGGCCGTCCAGCAAGGGGTAAGGAGGCGCTGTGTAGTCCATCATCTAATAAACTAAGGTACCTTAGGTTGGAAGTGACCAGATAGGTCGCCCAGTCTCCGCCTCATCTAATGATTCGGCCAGGCAGGCCAAAAATCTAATGGTTTTCGAGTCCAGTTTCCAAGCACGCACCTGAAACGAAGGTAAAGTCTACAATACACACACCACCCGCCCCGATCTCGTAGCAGCCAGAAACAGACAAATCCGTGAATTTGATAGATAAAGTCCCCTAGAACTCCGCGGACTCTGTTCATACCACAATCACTCTTTCAGTCCCACCCACACACACACACGCACGCACGCACGCACACAAAACACCCTGGCTGTGCAATCATCATGGGCGCACTCATTACAAAACCGTTTAAGAAAGCTGCAGAGAGATTTGGCAAGCAACTTGTCCAAAAAACAATCGATGCGAAGTTAGCGCCGGGAAATGGCAGAGAAAGACTAACTATGGAGCTTGCCGGAAAGGGTTATGATTTAATGATGAAGAACGCCAAAACTAATCGTCAAAAAAAGGAACCGAGGCGCTCGGAGGACGGACGTGAGAAGACGAGAGAGAGAAACTTGAACGCCGATGTACGTTGAGCGCTTCCATACTTACACGCCCCGATGCTGACTCTTGCACCGAAGAACCCCTATTACAAGGAAGGAAGAAGCTGTTGTAGGAGGCGTAAAGAGCGCGACTACCCAGAATTCATACATCCTAAAGATGAGGAGATCCTCAAGTATATCCGGCACAGAGCCTATATATGGGACATGTGGATTCATATTCCATGCACTGGCGGCTTCACCTTCGGCCTTTCTCCTATATTCGCTCTCATTCCCATGTGAGTATTTCCAGCCTATTTCACAAGGCATCTTGTCACATTTGGAGAAAGCAGCTAGCTGACAGGTACTTGATTCCTAGTGTCGGTGACCTTGGCGACCTGTGGATGGCATACAAGCTGATTACGAAGGCGGGAGGCCTGGTGGACGGTCTGCCGTGGGAGCTCCGGGGAATGATGGTGGCCAATGTGGTGTTTGACTTCGCAATAAGTTTCTTCCCCGTCTTAGGCGCTTTCGCCGGTGCGGTATGCCGTGCAAACACGAGGAATGCCTGGCTTGTTGACTCATATCTCTTCGCAATGTCAGATTTGGCACGTACACCGCAGAAATTTCCCAAAGGATTTACGCTCCCACCCTCTCGCCAGAAGGGGAAAGCTTAGCCGGACGGATGGATCGAGCTCGACAGCCAGCATGTTTGTCAATGTTGAGAAAGGTGACAAGGGCGGCGATAGCAGGCAGTACTAGTCGAGGAGTATTTGCGTAGCATTCTAGTTCGGGATCTCGAGAAATTCATGGCGCGTGCAAGATGGATTCTTGGATGTGGGGTTTGGCATCGGCGTTGACACGACGATGCCGTTTTCTTTCTCTCTTTTTTTCCCCCTTTGTCTCTTGGGTGTTTGTTGGGTTTATCATTTCGGGGGAAAGCAAAGGTTCGTACATAGTTTTTGCATTTACTAACGAGGAAACATCTGAGTATATATAAATTACCTACTCGGTTCCTTAGGTGCTCGTCGGAGCTTTAGCAGGCCGCGTAGCAACGAACGATGCTTCCGCGTCTTATTCCATATGAGGGCAGGACGTTTTGCCAGTCTGCAAGGAGCATGCTTGGTAGTTAAAGTGTGGACTTGAGGAATATCCGCCGAAGGTCTTCCAATGGCATCGATGTGATCGAGCCATAGTGGAGCCTGGGGGTAGCTTGGGAGCGCTTCGCCTCGCGGACTCGGGGATAGCCGGATCTGATAAGGGGCGACACGACGACGAGTGGATATCTGAGGGTTCGGATTGCTAGGGATGGTGGAGGCAGGCGGGGGGGCTGGTGTTGACCGTGTTCGGTGCCTGGACGATGAGCACAGACCGAGTCGCGTCCAAACGCGAAAAAAAACGGGCGCCGAGATTTATTTTAGTTAGTGGGACCACGTGCTGACGTGCAGCATTTAAGAGAAATCGCGCCTCCCGCCTCCCCTTCGCCGTCTGTCTGCTTCGTCTACCTACTCAACACTCAGTTCGCCACAACAGTCCCCCAGACCTGACATCCGCAAATTCTAATCTCGCGGCCTACAAACCTCTCCCGACCTCTCAGTAACCCAATTGCTTCTTTTTACCACCACAATGGCCGTCGAGATCACACCGTCCAAGCAGGTTCGTGACGCTGCCCCGCGCGCGTCGCCTGTCCAACGTGTCAGCCGTGTCGGACCGAAGCTAACGCGCGATATTGCAGGCTGCATCCGCAATTGAGTCGCTGAAGATGGAGTCACCTATTAAGAAACTCAACTTTTCCACCACAAACAGGGAGAACAAGCCTTTTGATAGCGACGTCGCAGCACTCGAGGCACAGATGGACGCCAAGCACCTTGCCTCCAAGACGGGAGAAGTCCTCAAGCAGGAGGAGGCAAAGGTCATTGTAGCTCCTACGACCAAGCCAGAGGAGATCGACGAGCCTCTTCTGCAGGAGAACCCGCAGCGCTTTGTGCTGTTTCCCATCAAGTATCACGAGGTATGTGACGCGTCCGCGACGCGTTAAGTGTTTTTTTTTTTCGTTCCGCGCGCTAACGGATCCACGTAGATTTGGCAAATGTACAAGAAGGCCGAGGCCTCCTTTTGGACCGCCGAAGAGATCGATCTGTCCAAGGATATGCACGATTGGAACAACAAGATCAACGATGATGAAAAGTTTTTCATATCTCACATTCTCGCCTTCTTTGCCGCGTCAGATGGCATCGTCAACGAGAACCTCGTTGAGCGTTTTAGCGGCGAGGTCCAGATCCCCGAGGCTCGCTGCTTCTACGGCTTCCAGATCATGATGGAGAACATCCACTCTGAGACATACTCGCTCCTGATCGACACATACATCAAGGAGCCAGCTCAGCGCACCCATCTTTTCAACGCCATTGATACTAGTAAGTCGCTACTTGTCACCATTGACCGCCAGATCTTAACTAACCATCGCAGTTCCCGCCATCCGCAAGAAGGCCGACTGGGCCCTTCGGTGGATCACAGATAAGGAGTCAACGTTCGCTCAGCGCCTCGTTGCATTCGCCGCCGTCGAGGGTATCTTCTTCAGCGGCGCCTTCGCGTCCATCTTCTGGCTCAAGAAGCGTGGCCTCATGCCCGGCCTGACCTTCTCCAACGAGCTCATCTCTCGTGACGAGGGCCTGCACACGGATTTCGCCTGCCTCCTCTTCTCTCATCTCAACAACCGGCCGAGCAAGAAGGTCATTGAAGAGGTCATTGTTGACGCGGTCCGGATTGAGCAAGAGTTCCTCACAGAGGCTCTCCCTTGCGCGCTTCTTGGCATGAACTCGAACCTCATGAAGCAGTACATCGAGTTCGTGGCCGACCGCCTGCTTGTTGCCCTTGGTAATGACAAAGTCTACCGCGTCTCCAACCCCTTCGACTTCATGGAGAACATCTCGCTGGGAGGCAAGACGAACTTCTTCGAGAAGCGGGTAGGCGAGTACCAGAAGGCGGGCGTCATGGCCAGCACCAACAAGAAGCCCACGGCGGAGGAGGCCGAGGAGAACAAGGACGAGTTTGGCGGCGACTTTGCCTTTGACGAGGACTTTTGAAGTTCCTCGCCGCCACACCTTGTCTCTACCCTCCCCATGCCTATCACGACCTCTTATACCCAACTGTGTACTCGTATCACTGCCTTTTGTCACTCTTTTTTATCTGTTTAGGGCATACTTCTGGCATAGAAGTCGGCGGCGGTCTGCAAGCTTCTCATCTGGCTTAGCCTTTCGCGGCGTTGGATTGGATATTCATTGCCGTACATTGTAAATACTGCGCGGGCCATGTTGAACATTGGCGGAGTCTAGGCGTTTCGGATTTTTGCATTTTTCCAAGTCCTGTCCGTCGGGACTTATGGTAGACCATGTGCGGAGGACGATGGGAAAACGAATCATTTGTTTGGCATGTATGAGTAGATAGGGTAGTCATAATCACTAGGAATTAGGACTTTGAATCTAACTTTGAAGAAGTTTGTCTGTTTTGAGTGCTGGTGATCACGTCGAGGCCGAAGGATACTACTGCTCAGCCCCTGAAGCACGCACTCAATATCTTCCTGAAAGTTGTGCTTGCTCTGCTGTAAGTCAACTCCGTCAACGCCACCCACCCTCTTTTCTCATTTTTGCATACTTTGTGATATATGTATACACCTCTTGAAGAGACACGGCGTTTTCTCTATTTTCTACTTTGCCCAACGAGCTGGAACTGCCGCCCGCTCACCGCTTGCCCTTCTTCTTTCTACCCTTCCCGCCACCGCCCGGCTGCGGCCCCTGCCCCGAAGTTCCCGCCGCGGGCGTCGACGCCGCCGTCGGCACGGGCGTCTGCGTCCCGCTCCCTGCTGCCGCCGCCTCAGCGTCCAGCATCGGCTCGTCGTGTTGCTGCCCCGCCCCCGCCACCTCGGGTAGCGCCGCCATGCGCCGCCCCAGCGTCCCCAACATCTGTACCAGCCGTGTCACTTCGGCCGCCTTGGACGTCTTGTACTTGAGCGCCACGCCGCTCTGCGGGTCGAACGTCTTGAGCAGCAGGTGCCCGCGCGGCGGCTTCGTCGGCACTGCTGTTGTGGTTGCAGGCGCAGGTTCAGGTCCAGGCGCTTTTTTCCCACCGGCTGCGACCTGCTGCTTGGCCAGCGCCTTCTGCTCCTTGGTTAACCGGCGCGCGGGCTTGAGATGGTACTTTGTCGTGACGCGAGTCTGTGTGTTCGTTAGAGGCCGAGAAGCAAGAAGAAGAGGGCGACGACGAGAACGTACAGTTGCAGGCCGCGCCTGCAGCAGCAGCGCCGACTCGCGGAGCCAGTCCTCACTCTTTTCGTAGTACGGCATGTTCTTGTTGTTCTCTTGTTTGTCGGTGGCGTCGGCAAGGCGGCCGGTTGTTCAGATAGATAGATGGATGCTGGTAGGGTTTTGCGCGGGCGCGCGCGCACACACACACACAACCACCACAACTTCCCCAGGCAAGTTGGCGAGCGACCTCGGTTATGTGTACTAGCTTGGTGTGGAAGCTCAAAGGTTGAATCTTTGGCACTCCAATGGGTCGTAAAGGCGATGGGCGTTAGGTTGCCGTTCAAGGGTTGCTTGGAAAGGCTGGGAGGTTTTGGCATCAAATGGGGAGTTTTGGCCCATGGTGGGGCTCACCTGGGATGCGGGGGAGCGATAGCAAGCTTCAATGGCGTCTATCCTTCCCCACAACTCCCATCTTACACTTCCCTGTAACATTTAGGAACCTCACACAGAATACTCGCCAAGTTCTGAAATTTGCTGATTCTATTAATGATACAGAGTACTTTTGTTGTACATACTTGTACATGCATAACCTTGACACAACACTTACTAGCATTTCCTGGTACATGAAGAAATTACACTCAGCAATCAATCCAGGCTCCGTGTCAAAACCAAAAATGCCTACCTCCCCTTTTTACGCATCCAAGTACGCCCAAAGATGCAAACAGGGGTATCCTCAATGCTGCCAGCCCGTTTTCCGGTCCCCAGTTGGTTATATTACTAGAGATCAACGCTACGCCCACTCATCCACCTACATTTCGACCTACGCATGCGGGTCGGGAATCCAGAACAAAAGCTCTTGATCTGCTGTGGCTAACATGTTGTACCGAGGGTTGTATGCGACCACTGCCGCCTCTCTCTTATCGTCGAGGACGTGTGCCGTCTCGAGGATCTTGTTGTGATCGGGTGTCGCCAGGGTGTCCCAGACGAGGAGGTCCTTTTTAGCACCGCTCAGTATATAGCGGCCATCCGGGCTGAAGCAGCAGTCGCCGCTACTCTCGACCGAGCCTCCTTCAATCTCCCCCACGGCTAGACGTCTCGTGCCGCCAGGTTTCTTCAAGTACGCCTTTAGGGTGCCGTCAAACGCGTCGAGGAGAAAGTGGCCGCCCAGGCGCGAACCCAAAAGGAGGTGCTTCCCGTCATTGGAGAATTCGAGCGCTGTCCATCCGCGGTAAGCGGCTTCGAGCTCAGCCGGCCCTTTAACTTTCATCACGTCGAAAACGGCGAATGGCGCCTTCTGGTAGTTTCGGTAGTCGTACAAAATCACCGAACCGCTGGCGGGCAGTGCGACGGCGAAGACGTTGCCAGAGGGGTCCCAGGCCGCGATGTGTGGGCCAGGGAGGAGAAGCTTAGCGACCCATTGCCTAGACCCAATGTTCCACATCCTCACCGTGTTGTCCAGGCTGCATGAGATAAAGTTATCAGACCCAGGGTGCAGCGCCAGACTCGTGACGGATGCCTCGTGGCCGTCGAAGTAGCGGATAAACGAATTGTCATGCGTGGCCAGGTACCTGATAGCATCTAAAACCGCAGGACTTTGTCAGTACATAATGCGCCAGGCGGTCACGGCCGATGCCCCTCACCGTTTTGTTTCGTGCTGGCATAGATGATGCTCGAGCTTGTGTGAGTGAATTTGGCCAGCTTTACGCCGTACTTTTTGCTCATAAGGCTCTTGTCGTGACGGCCATCTTTGACGTTGTATATCTGGATTGTCTCGTCGCTTTCCGAGGTCATGCAAAGCTCACCCGGGTCGTCGAAGTCGATTGAGAGGATGTGGGGCTGTGGCTTGCCCTCTTTAACGTCGTCGCGATGAAATAGCTGGGAGACAAGAGTAAGCAAGAGGCGGGCGGCGTGCGGCGAGCAAATCTGGAGGCATTGTCGGTGGTACCTTTGTTGGTCTGAAGGCCGAGATAACGTCGCTCACTTTGGTGGTGCTGGGGACATTAACACCCAGCGTCCGGGTTATGTTGAGCGACGGGGTCGTATTGAGGCTTGTGAGCGATGGCGGTGCCTCGTCCACGTCCATCGGGGTTGAGGCCATCTTTTCGCACGACTGGTGGTGCCCAGTCCTGTGATTAGTAAGGTAGGTATGTGGTATATCGCCCTTTCATGGCTTAGAGTTGTTGCGCGCAGCCGCTGGCGCTGGCGGGCAAGTCTGCCAAAGTCTGAAGGCGGTGAGACAAGCTTTGTAGTCTTCTTGAAAGAACCCTAACCCTTTTAGTGGCTTGGCCCAAAGCCGTCACTGGCCGCGCACGTCGCACGGTGACACCATCCCGAAAGCCGGAGATGGGTTCTTGCAGCCGGGACCTTGCAGCTCCAAAATCCACAGGGCCAAGCCCGCTATAAACTCAATGGGAGGGTCCTTTTCTTCAAGGTTGTTGAGGCCCCGACTCCGCAGCCTGCGCCTTCGGCCTCCCCTCCCGAGTGAATGCCGCCTTGGCTTGGATGCTTGCACGTACAGTCCAGACAAGTCTGCATACTATATAATTCCAAGCACGGCTAACTCACGCCCCACCGAGCCGGAACACGAGAAGTAAGCCCGAGGATTCTGATATAAGACGCGGCTGTCAATAGAGCCTTCCTCCCGTCTTCCCTTCCGTCTCTTGCTGCTCGCTCTTCCTTTGACGGCACCACCTCAATTCTCTGACGGCACAAGACGAGCAATCAGACCCAATTCGGCCCAAACAGTCACGGCGACGACGGCAAAAGTTTGAGCTCAACACTTGGTGAATTCACCCGCCGACTCATTCCACGAAAATCCTCTCACCGCCGGATCCTTCGGGGATCTAAATATCTGGGAAGGCGGAGGCAGAGGCAGAGAGGGAGAAACAGACACATTAAGACACAATGTCGACAACGGCTGGGTAGGTGCGCCAATGGTGCCAATGGCAACTTCTCCCAGACCCACGAGTCTTGTCTAACAGCGGCTTGCGACCAACCACTATAGCGCCTTCCTTGCCGGCGGCCTTGCCGCGTGTGGTGCCGTGACGGCAACGCATCCGTTCGAGACGGTCAAGATCCGCATGCAGCTGCAGGGAGAGCTTCAGTCCAAAGGTCACCAGCCACACCACTACCGCGGGCCCGTCCATGGCGTGTCGGTCATTGTGCGGCACGAGGGCCTGCGCGGCATCTACCGCGGTCTAGGCTGCGCCTACATCTACCAGGTGCTGCTCAACGGCTGCCGCCTGGGTTTCTACGAGCCCATGCGCAACACCCTAACCGGGCTCATCTTCCGCGACCCCAAGACGCAGAGCCTAGGCATCAACATGTTCTGCGGCGCCGCCTCGGGCATCCTCGGAGCCGCCGCCGGGAGTCCCTTCTTCCTCGCCAAGACGCGCCTGCAGAGCTTCTCGCCCTTCCGGCCTGTCGGCACACAGCACCAGTATCGCAACGCCTGGGATGGTCTCAGCCAAATTTTCAAGTCGGAGGGCGTGCGCGGCCTGTACCGCGGCGTCGGCGCCGCCATGATCCGGACCGGCTTCGGGAGTTCGGTGCAGCTGCCTACCTACTTCTTTGCCAAGCGCCGGCTCGTCAAGCATCTGGGCATGGAGGAAGGGCCTGCTCTCCACCTCGCTAGCAGCACGGCCAGCGGTTTCGTAGTGTGTGTTGTCATGCACCCGCCGGGTAAGCCGCCCTCTGTTTCCCCCTACCACCTTGTCCCCACGAGTCTCGTATCGTTTGTGTGACGGCGCTAATTGCTGAGTAGACACCATCATGTCTCGGATGTACAACCAGAACGGCAACCTGTACAAGGGCGTGTTCGACTGCCTGGCCAAGACAGTGAGGACAGAAGGCTTCCTGGCCATCTACAAGGGCTTCCTTCCCCACCTGGCCCGGATATTGCCGCACACCATCCTGACGCTGAGTCTGGCCGAGCAGACGAACAAGCTGATCAGGAAGCTAGAGAACCGCATAATACCAGCCTCGTCCTTGTAGAATAAATGGTCTGCATGTTTGGCGCGTGTCCCTGTAGATCATACATCTATATGTTTGGCGTTTTTGATAGGGAAAGCGAGTGTGTCAGGATACGTACTTGGGTGCTTACTTATTCCATGTCCAGGCGTGAAAAAAGCATAAGAAAGCTCGGGTTGGCTCGTGGGTAGCCTTTGAAAAGCCTTTTTTTTTTAATTCTAAATTTCGTTTGTTGTTGTCGCGTACATATACCAAAAGGCTCACAAGATGCCTGTCGTAGATGTATATATATAACTATAAAATAGGGGGGGCTTGGCACCGAGAGGTTCAATTTCAAATGAAAGCTCTGGCATAAATTCACATAACCTCAACCTCTCCCCGTTCGCTGGAAGTGCTCTTTTGTGTTTCATTACAATGTCTAGAAACCCTACCCTAGGTCTACTATCTATTTATCCCCGGGTAGACCGCTCACAGCCATAGCATATCCGGCCCGACGACGACAACAACTGGTCATCCTTGGCCTCCCCGAGCTCGCCCCGCCACCGCTCGTCGCCTTGCTCGTCAAGCGGCATGCCGCACAGGCCGCATCTCGCGCCGTTGCCGTCCTCGCCGGTGCCGGTCCCGTTGTTGTCCAGCCGCACCAGCTTGCCCGTCGTCCGCGCCACGTTAGCCACCACCGACGCGTAGTTGGTCTCCACCTCGGCAAAGTACCGCACCATGACCTCCTCGATGCTGAGGTCCTTGTGCGACACCACCGCTCCGGCCCCGTTCCCACCGTTTGACGAGGTGGCGACGGCCGCGTCGGGCGCGTCCGAGATCAGCGCTGTCAGCGGCGGCGCCGTCAGCGTCGCGTACGTCACTAGTTCCTTGCGCAGCGCGTCGCGCAGCGGGTGGTAGACCAGCATGCTTGCAGCGGTAGCGGCAGGACCATCGCTGTTCCTTGCTGCAGCGGCTGTTCCACTGTCATGGTACTCGTACTCGACAACCGGCAGCAGCCCGTCGTTGACCAGCCACGGCAGCGCAAAGCCGCGGCCCTTGGCCGTCTCGGCCAGCGTCAGCTCGGCCAGCGCCGTCGTGCTGTGGCCCAGCAGCAGCGCCTGGCACCCGCCGTCGCGCGCCGCTGCCACCAGCACGTGCCGCACCAGCAGCCGCAGCACGTCGGTGCGCGCCGCCGCCGACGCGAGGCCGTCAAAGAGCTGCCGCAGCTTTTGCTCTTGCTGCTGGTTCTGGTCCTGTGATGGTGGTGAGGGGGCCGTGGTGTTGATGTTCTGCACGTCCGGCAGCTTCGACCAGTCAACAGTGCGCAGGCCGAAGATGGCGCTCAGCGGCACGCACTGGAAGTCGAAGCGCGGGTAGCGCTGGCGGTATTTCTCTAGAGCTGCTGCCGGTGCTGATGCTGTAGATGTAGATGTGGATGTGGATGTGGATGTGGATGTGGATGTGGGGACGAGGCTGGACGAGACGTCGATGTGCACGACGGTGAGCTCGAACGGGGCGTTGCGGCCCTTGGCCAGCTGAAACTCGACGTTCTCGTTCAGTAGGTGCAGCAGGACCGACGACGAGACGCCCAGCGACAGGCCCAGTAGGTACCGCCGGGGGCTGGTGCTGGCGCCAGTGCTGCTGGCCGCCGGGGGCCCGCCCGGCGCCCGCGTTTCTTTGCCGAGGATGGCGATCTGCTTGATGCACTTGGTCGAGATGAACTTGGCGAAGCAGTCCCTGAGATCCGATGTTAGCCAATGTTATCATTCTTAATGGATATGACAAGACAGGTAAGCAGAGCTGCTTGGGGGTGTCTGTGATGAATATAATATAACATATATGTGATATATATATACATCTGCATAAAACATACCTGCACACAGCATGAGATCTGCTATCGAGAGTCGCTTCCTGGGCCCAGCACTTTGTGCATGGCCGCACGAGTGAGCCGCCGGCCACTGCGGGCTTAGTTACTTCGTCCATCACCAAGCCAAACCGCAAGCCGAGACAAGTAAAGGCGGGGGGGGGATGTAGATAAATATGCGTCAAGCGTTGAGAGGCAGGGCGAGGGTTGTGAGCTGATCTGACTGAGTCACTGCTCACTTTCTTTTTCCACTTCTCAAATGCTACAGCAGCTTGTCGATACGGCCCACTTTTGGATTTCTTAATCGAGGGTTGACAGGCGAATTAAACTGATATTGGATAGCAGCCCGCTGAGAAGTTGTCCGGTGTATTTCCTGTTCAGGGGGAGTAAGTCAACCTGAGGCTTATTAGTGGTTGCGAATGAGGCGTGGGGAGGATTGCGCCTAGGCTGTTGGTGCTGGTACTTCAGGGTTTGTAAAGACAGACCCAGGGTTAGGGTCGGCCGTGTGTGTTCATGTATGCGTACATACATACAATACAACCATCCCCTGACATCCCTAGAGACGTATCAACGACCATAGGTTGCAATTTGACATTAGCGTCGTTAATGCTATAGGATATATCTTGTGACTCTTTTCTACTTTGCAAAGTCTTCGTTGTTCTTCTCGGCATTCCGCGCCTGACGACGCAGATGCCCGTGCCGGCTCGAAAGAATGAATCGAATTCTATCATGGAAAGACCTCGTAAGCAGGCCTCTCTCTATAAACGGGCTTGAAGGTGTCCATCTCGATGCCCCCAGGGGATTCCCCCGGGCCCTGGCCTCTCGCCTTTAGTGCCCGGCGAGTGTCCCATGCGGCGTCCCGTGCTGTTAAAAACGTGTTGACGGCTGCTCCTGCAATCGTCGTCCCCACGACGGCCGCGAACAGATTGGAGGCCATCATCCCCACCGTGATTGTCAGCGGCGTTGGCGACAGCACCCGGATTAGATTAGGTGTGACCGACACGAGGGTCTGGTAGGACGTGAAAGACGTAACGGCACCTGCCGCCGCCGCCCAGTCGAGGCTGCGAGCCCACAGCGCTGCCTTGGTGTGCAGCTCGCCGACGACGGTGCCCCGAGAGTTGAAGTAGAGCTGGACCAGGTTCGCAATAATGTCGGCTATCAACAAAATCAGCAGAAAGATGCCGCTGAGCATGGCAAAGTTGGCCTGCAACCCGAGCGCTAGATTGGCCAGCGCTACGTTTCCTCCCCCATGATCGCTTGCGATTTCCCTCGCAACATCATTTGCTGACTTTGACCGAGACACGCTCACACTGCTAGTGCAGTCGAAAGGAGCAGGCCCAAAGCAGACGCCTTATCATGCCCCATGCCCAGAGTTAGCAAGCCATCGCTTAGTGAAACATGAGAAAAGGTCGGAAGGATGAGAGCGCGAGGTAATAATATATGCCGGAGGGGAGACAAGTCAACTCACCCCAAAACCCGACCCGCAGGTCGACTCGGACTGCTGAACCGCCAACCGTGACCGGGCCGTTCGATCTCACCACCACGGGCGAGATGGTACTCAGCGAGTCGGTGATGCAGCCGAGTAGAAGAATTACTAGCCCAAAAGGACAATCGTGAGCACCAGGCACCGAGCAGCTTCGAAGGTGGGCATCAAAGACGACTTACAATACAAAATAAAGCTAATAAAGGGAAATACAAGAACGAGAATCACCCGAGGAGCCTTGAGAATCCCTACAAATCTCCGTGTCAGCTCGGCCACGATGGAGGCCCGGAGGCCCGAGGAGGGTGAGGGTGGACTAACAGGCGGGCCTTGGTGCCATCGTCCACGCCGTGCTCCTCGCCGCTTGCCGCTGCCGGCAGCGCAAGAAGACGGGGAGACAGCAAGAGAAGCGAAAGGGATATTAGGTCAGACCGATATATCGGTGTCTATGGAGGCACGCGATCGACCATGTTTGGCTCGCAGCAGACCGACTTGGAGGAATTATTGGCACTGCTCCGCGTCGAGGTCGGTCTGGCATCACCAGTAACGTAGAGCGAGGAGCAGGAGGCCGGCCGGCCACACCATGATCGGGATGGCAACCGCATTTAATGCAGCCTCGACACTTCTTTCTGCCTGTGGCGCGCTCCGCTCTGTGTGGGGGGGTATTGAACTCGGGAACCTGCAAGTGTGGAAGTCATTGCGCTGGACGCGGATCAAGTGCAACCGGAAGCCAGACGGTCCATGTGCCCCAGGTGCATCCCCCTTTACCTGTTTCAGAAGGAAAGGCAGCAGCACGGAATCCGGATATCTTGTCACCTTTCCCACAACTAAAATCCGCGGCCTGTTTCACCGTCGCCCATAGACGACGCATTCGCGCAGTCCGGCATGCCAAATGCGGGATTGGCCAGTTGTTGTGCCGGCTGAAAGAAACGTGCAGTGAGACGCTGAATGAGAGGCCCTCGTCAGCCTCGCATACACCACCTTCATCCCCCGAGACGCTTTCATCAGCCGGTGGGTAAAAATGCCCCAGGATCACGGCTTGTGAAATAGGCACGCCAGCTCTCCTGCTTCATACTAGTCTCGGTCTTTATGCCAGCCAGGCGTCCAGAGCAGCTCCTTGCCATTGGCGGCGACGTGTTCATTCGCACTGCGCCTCGAGTTCTAGCCTGTCGCCCGTCACCTGTCAAAATCAGGCGGCGTGCTGATGAACCGAGGCTTGGATCATAGTGTGAAAGGCAAAGGTAGAGGCAGAGGCAAGGACGGCGTCAATATTGCCCGTTGCCATTCGTAGTCTGCTGCGCAGCACCAGGCACCCAGGCTAGAAACGCGAACCGGCACCTCTCGCCATCAAATGTCCCGGAACGGCGGCGGCTTGTAGAGCCCCGCAATGGACCTTGTGTGGTCCATCTGATAAGCTGCAAGGCGATTTGGCACACCTCCCAGTCGGCGATGAAGATGGAACTTTGCACCCCGGTTGAGGAGGTCGATCTGGAAGAACAGCAGGTGTGCGCACACCCGCACATCGGATTACCTACTCACTTCATTTCACACTCGGGAAATCCTCCGCGGGTGGCTCTGACGCAGATGCTTTAGATCCAGGACTTTCCGATCCGTGGTGTAAGTGTTGGAGGCATCGCAGGTGCCTACCTATCCAGTGATGGATCAGGCGCTTCCCGAAAGTGCCATTTCAACGACTTGGATCGTCGAGATCACCTCGGCGTCTTCCTATAACAGAGTCGAGGTTGTCGGGTTCATGTTTGCTAGAGCGCCGAGCAATTTAAACGATCTTGACTTCAGCAAAGCGACCTCGTCGTGGAATCGTGGTTGCTGCTTGGAAATGGCGATGTGCAATATCCAATACAAGCACAAGCACGATGTACAGTGTACAGTGTACGGAGTACGGAGGAACCCTACACCATTTAACGCTGGGCAACATAATGTGGGGTCACCGGATCGAAGATTCACTCGGGCTGGTGGCCGTCTTGGCTGCAGAACGAGGAAGGCAGGTATCTTGAACAAGGTTATTCGTATTTCGCACCTGTGTTAACAGTTACCTCAGATCGTTTCCTCTCTTTACACTGCTGTTTCCCTCTCAAGACATTTCGGTCTCTTTTGTTATCAATCAAGAGAGAGCCCGCTTGGAGAGAAGCAGCCTGATTTGCAGAGCTGTCATTAACTCGCCGGGCGCGGCAAAGCGACGATCAGTAATAGCAAAGAAAGAAGAATGTTGAGATCTCGCCCATTTCCTGTCACACACGGCCCCACGGGTGTTGGTTCAACGTCGGGTGCTCCATCTTGGCGCCAAGATTTCGACTCTGAGCCACCAGATAGGCTAAATCAAGCCTCTAGCCCCCGCTCCCCACACAAAAAGCAGCCACCACCTCACACACCCCCCAGTGCAGTTCCACCCATCTGCTGCTGCTTGATTTGACCCCGATTTGGCTTTGGGCCTGATCTTCAGACCGTCCGCCTCTGAAACAGAAACAAGCTCGAGCTTGCCCTCTCCAGTCCCAGGTTGCCCATTGCGCCCCCCTCAATCCGCCCCGCCGTCCGTCAACCACTCGACACTGGGCGAGTTCCGTCGCATGAAGCATTCGTCTCGGCTGCTCAGAGCCATCAAATGCAGAGTCGTGCCACGGTTGCACGAGGCGACCTAGGCAATTCCCCGCGTGTCGATTAGACCCGATCCGTCTAAACTCTGTTCTCCGCTGCGCATGAGCCGCCGTCCACTTGTTTCGCCGCAACTCGACTTCGTCGCCGCCGGTCCTGTGCCCCTGACCCAGTCGTTCGGCTCCCATCTGGTTTTGAGCTCCTTCCTCTGACCGCTATATTGTGACTGTTGTAGGTAAATACTTTCCTTACCTAAGGTATCTTCCTAGTATGGCTTTGTTGCTCCCGTCCATGACTTCCTCCATGCGCAGCTCGTGGGTCACGAGGTGTCGATGCCAATGACGATAGCTTCTAGAAGTCGCTAACGGCCTCTGAAAGCCGCGCTCCTATTTGCCGTTGAATGGTGCAGAGTTTCATCAGCGACGCCTTGTGAGACCTGTCGAAGGAGCCTTCAGCCTGGAGAGCTCCCGCCATCCACTCGCACTAAGGCCGGCACTTGCCATCCCACGCGACCCACACCTCCCGCACACGACCCCCCAGTTCTTCCCTGTGGATTGAACAGACCAACCAGGAAGTCCGACCGCGCGTAAGAACGAGCTGCCAACCCAGCAAGAGCCACTCACTCGTGCGAGACACTGCCATTTCAACGCCGCCTGGCTGCGCCCATCGACAAGTCTGTCATCCGAATCGAGCCTCATCAGGTGGCCGTTTCTATTGCTTCTTTACTTAGTCTAACCCCTCCCCCAAGGTGTCTCTCGCTTAGACTTACTTCCCTTCGCTTCTCGACGGGCCCGTTGTTCACGACCTCTCCTACCGCCCTTTTATCTTCTTTTGCAGCGCACAGCTTCTATCTTGCGGTTTCATGCTCGGACCATTATGGCAGACCTGCAAACACAGCCTCCGACGTCGTCGGCGGGGGCAAAGCCTCGCGATATCCGAGTTAACCTGGCCATTCCGCCCACCTCTATCGCAATGCCCACGCTTTCCACCGCAGCCCGTCTAAGAAACCATCTTGGTCTTGACACTTACTCGCCCGTCAACCAAAACGGCAGTTTCGAGTTCGACCGTGTCATCAAGAGCGGCTACGTGCAAAAGCGCACACAAAAGACAAAGGTACGGCCTGCCTGGCAGGTGCCTAGCCATTCCACATGGAATATGCTTGCTGATTGTAGACGGGGGCTTAGGCATGGAGGACAATATACCTGGTCCTACGCCCAAATGCGCTTTCGATTTACAAGTCCGACAAGGAGGAGAAGCTGCGGCATAAGATATACCTGTCAGACTTAACTGCGGTCACGCTGCTAAAGGATCCAAAGAACAAGAGACCCAACGTGTTTGGTCTCTTTTCGCCATCCAAAAACTACCACTTTCAGGCACCCACACTCAAGGACGCCCAGGAGTGGGCAGAACTGATCAGGCAAGACGCCAGGATAGAAGAGGAGGAGGAGGAGATGTTCTTAGCGAGTCCCGTGGCGGGACAGCGATTCTTCAAAGGTGTTCAGTTTGATACCGATGTCAACCGGCTGGTGTCGGATGCGGAGCGGATTGCATCGAGCTCTCCCGAACCTCTGGAGCCGCAACCACGCACTCGGTTCCCGGCGTCACCTCGGCGGCCTTCACAGGTAGATTCATCCGGCATGTCAGGGGCCGAACTTGCCTCGCACTCGGACTTTTCGGATTCGGATGTGCAGCGATTTCCGGGCGCTTCTATAGAAAGCCTCGCTGTCAAATCACCGCCGGGTTCCTCGGCACAACCCAGGCCCGGGATGGGGCCGGTGAACGCCAGCCAGATCAGCGGAATCAACATCGAGCACGACCCGGACCGCGTCATCTGGCAAGGATGGATGTGGTTCCTCCGGAGCAAAGGCGGAGTCAGGCAGTGGAAAAAGTCATGGGCTGTTCTCCGGCCAAGGAACCTCATTCTCTACAAGGACGAGACCGAGTACTCGGTCTTGTTCCTCGTCTACCTATCCTCGATTGTCAACGTTGTGGACATTGATCCGACGAGCCGGAAGAAGAGGCACTGCCTCCAAATAATCACGGACGAGAAGAGCTACAAGTTTTGCACCAGCGACGAGGAGGCGCTGGTTCGGTGTCTAGGAGCTTTCAAGAGCCTCTTAGCAAAGCGCCGGGAACTCGAAGCCAAAGTGGCAGCAAGCGTTGACGCCGGCACATCTGCCTGAGGCGATGGCTTCGCCCAGTCATTTTCGCGTTTCACTACTTGATAGTACCCGATAGGCTTCGCGGTGTTGCGGCGAGCGGGGTCTATCACACTCATGTTGTCGCCAACCTAGCTCGTCGGTGGCTCACTCACTTACTAGTAATGGCGCTTGCCAGCGCTTTTGTTCTGTACACTCCGTTACGACGACTTACGACTTATGACGAGACGGGCTGGAAATAGCAATACTCATCACCCGGCTGAGTGCAACGACGGACAAATGAAGTTTATTAATTATGCATACTTCTTGTATTTCGCGTCAATCACACGTGTGTGAGTATTGTGGCGATAAATTACCTTGACTTGTCCCTGGTTGGAAGGGGAGGGAGGGAAGACGAAGGCGCGCCTTCCAACATAGAAACCATCCATCACCACGAGACGCTGCCGTCATGAAATTCCCACAAGTCCATTTTACACTTTAGTTTTAATACAATTTTTTCTCCGCAAAATCGACTACTGCTGCCAGTGAAAAGTGCAGAGGGCCGTCGCCTGATTTCACATGAAACGGGGACTGGGACTCTATCAGCGGACCATCCTATCAGCTGCTCGTTGTCGTAGCGGACGGGCACAATAGGTCGCGAGGAAATCAAGCTACCTACAGAGGAGTCCAAGAAATGCCTGTGGCGAGATCAAGAGCACCAAGAGCACCGGACTCTGGGGCGAGATGAGGTTCAGGTTTGTGTGAAACTTGGCAGCAGCGGGAATTCGATCTTGGGATCATCATTGGCCTCTGGGGTTGCACGCTAGCAGGCACCTTGTAATTGAATCCTAACCTAAATGACCCCGCGCTGGTGGCGCAAGCCACCTGCCGGTGCGCCCCAACCAATGCCCAGCCAGTGCCTTACAGCCCACCTGATATAGGCATGGCATGGCATCGGCGACCGCCTGGACAGGGAAGGTTCCATCGCGCCTGGCCCCGCGGTGGCTGCTCCATCCGTGGATGCCGCATGCGGCGCGGGTTGGCTAACAACATCTACTGGATGTTTGCTTGCATGGGAGAGAGAGACAACGACCTCCCGTCTTCTCTCCTCCCCTCTGCTCCTTCGGCCAGCAACAAACTCTGGACAAGGAGCAACTTCTAGGTTTTTTTCGTGGCATCTATCCATTGCCTGCCGCTACGTTACGCTGCTAGCGGGAAAAAAATGCAGAACTAGTTTCCCATTTGCTAGATCCCTTCACGGCTGGTCGATGCATGCACGGGCGGGCGGGCATATTGCTACCATTGCTATGTATGTGTATATGGAAGGCAACCCGAGATAGGCAGGGAAGGCAAGGTGAACAGGACTAGTTATAGGAGTTCGGGCGGGAAGAGACAGTGGACGACGGCCGTTTCTTTTTTTTGCCTTTTTCTTCCTGCGCAGTTTCGTCACGATAGTACGTACCCCTTTTTCCCGGCGCAAAGCAACCTCGGGATGGAAGGAAACAAACCAGAAAAAAACCTGGTCTGTTCTTTTCTTTCGTTTCTCTCTCTTCTTTCCCTTCCGTCCGTCCTTCTTAAGTGAGAGGCCTGATGTTGGTTTGCGCGAGAGTACCGCGAGGGAATGGATCGATTCGGTTGGCAAAGAAGAATAAGGAGAAGAAGAGACGCACCGGTACGTTCTGTCCTGTTATTAAAATTTAGAACGTGTTTTTTTCCCCGTGATTTGCCTCCCCCGAGTCTCCAAACCTCCTCATGCGCCCCCTCCTCCCCAATCACAAGGCGTGGCCATGGGTCCCGCCCAAATACTCCCCCCCTTTGGCCTCGGGGTAGTATACCTAGTATAGGTTATTTAACTTCTTCGACGTCAGTGCGGGTTTGCTATAGGAGGGAGGGGGATAGTGTACAACACTAGCAAATTGCTTGGTAGCCATGCCGTCGGCGGCTGGCCTCGGATGGTATTTTTATTATCATTTTTCCTTTCTTTCTCGTTGCTGTACCCTCGCCGTCCAATCAATGTCTTATTGAGACACTGGCCTTCGCTGGCTGCGGTTGTCTCCTATTTTGGAGAAGGCCTTTCTCTCACACGTGCGGCCCTGGGACTAATCTCTAGATACGGAGAATAACTCGACTGAAGCGTAACGTCACGCCTAGAACGTCCAAGCGTTCTGCCGAATGGGGGACGGGAAGTTCGCATGCCATGCCTTTCTTCGCTCCCAAGCCCTCGGGGCCTTTACCTTTAGACTACCTACCTACTCTATGACGAGGCTACGGTAGTCACCTCGCCGACCCCAGCACATTCCCCAGATCACCCCCTACCCTCTGTCTCTCCCTCCTACCCTCCTCGCCCTATCACGCTCCCTCTGGCGCTGGCCATGGGGATGGTTTTGGTTTGTGGAAGTGCGTGTGGGTGTGGGTGTGGGTGTGGCATCTTGTCGAGACCCCCCAGTAGGAACCCGCCGACTTATATATCTCGTCTCCTGCCCACCCATGCACAAGTCCAGACCTGCCTGCCCTCCTCTGCTGCCGCTAGCCACCCAGCTTCCGTCTTATCTCTCCTCGGGCCTGTTTGTGAGGCGTCACTCATATTTAGGGGAGATTGTTGCCATTGCTCTCTTCCATCCTCTCTCCCTTCTTATCTCTCGTTGTTTATGTCACCCGCCCCCTCCAGGCTCGACTCGCTCGCTCAGGGACCCCGGAACCTGCTGACACTCGTTCTCTTTCCTCTTTGACGTCTCCTTTTGATTTTTCTCTATCTTGCCAGCAGCCCCAAGCTGTCACCCCAGCACTTCTTCCCACCCGGCAGTCCGGGTTTCCATCAACAATGGGCTACCTCTCGCGGCTGCTGCTCGTGCTAGGCCTCGCCATCCCCATGGTGCTGGGCCAGGCCCTGCCGCTCAAGTCGTCGAGCCGGTGGATCCTCGACGCCAACAACCAGCGGGTCAAGCTGCGGTGCGTCAACTGGGCCGGGCACATGGAGACGCACATCCCCGAGGGCCTGCACCGGCAGTCGGTCGAGTACATCGCGGGGTGGATCCGGCGGAACAACTTCAACTGCGTGCGCCTGACGTACAGCACCGACCACGCGCTCGACCCGGCGCGCCGCGTGTCCGACGCCTTCGTCGCCGCCGGCCAGGCCGCCGGCGTGTCGGCGGCCGCCATGTCGGGCCTGTACGCGGCCGTCGTGCAGCACAACCCGTTCGTGGCCAACGCCACCACGCGCGACGTCTTCGGCGCCGTCGTCGACACTCTGTGGGCCAACGGCGTCATGACGGTCCTCGACAACCACGTGTCGCGCGCCTCGTGGTGCTGCAACCTGACGGACGGCAACGGCTGGTGGGACTCGGGGTTTGGCTACAACAGCTGGAACAGCCGCTTCTTCAACACGCAGAGCTGGCTGGCCGGGCTGCAGGCCATGGCGGCATGGTCGCAGGGGCACCGCGGCGTGGTCGCCATGTCGCTGCGCAACGAGATCCGCGAGTTCCTGCTGCAGGGCATCAACAGGCGGGCCGACTGGTACAACTACGTCAAGCAGGCGGGCGACCTCGTGCACGCCACGCACCCGGATGTGCTGGTGCTGGTGGGCGGCACGCAGAGCACGACGGACCTGACGCACGTGCGCAGCAAGATGCTCGACACGTCAGGCTGGGCCGGCAAGCACGTGTGGGAGATGCACGCGTACAGCTTCACCGTGACGTTCCCGGACCCCTTCACCAGCTGCGACGCCGTGCAGGCCGAGTACGGGCTGTTCGCGGGCTTCGTGCTGGAGCAGGGCAAGCCGTACACGGGCCCGCTGGTGCTCAGCGAGTTCGGCGTCGGCATGACGGGCGGCAGCGAGCGCGGGCTCGTGCCCAAGGACAGCCGCTACCTGGCGTGTATCACTGCATACATGCAGAACAACGACGCGGACTGGGCTGTGTGGGCCGTCCAGGGCAGCTACTACGTCCGCGACGGCAACGTCGACGCCGACGAAGGCTGGGGCCTGCTCGACCACGAGTGGCGCGACTGGCGCAACCAGGCTTTCCCGGGCATGCTCGGCAGCATGTGGACCGTCAACCAGGGGCCATAGAGGCTGGGGGCCTGTCAACCAGTCTCTCCTTTTCATGGTCAAACTCTGATCTGAGATTTCTTGTTTATGTTTTACTTTGTTGGAGGGAGGGCGGGAAATACCCGGCGAAGGGATGATGGGAGGAAAGGAGGGGAGGCATCTGGCTACCGCCAGGCTCTTTCTTGTGTTCATATTGGTGCAGGCGAGCGCATTAGACGGCAGAGCCATCTTTTCAATTGTCCCTTTTTCGTGTTCTTATTTCCTTTCTCTGTTACTGTATATAAGGCGCTTTTATCTATTTAGGGGTTCAGGGGCTCTGCATAGGTACCTTTTCTCTAATTGTCATGAAAGATGAAAGACTGGTATGAAAAATGACAATAATTAATTGATATCTTTATCCCACGCAATCCCTCTACTCTCATGTGGAATATGTACAATACAAGAGAGGAAGAAAATATTTTGGGCTGCCAAATAGAAACAAAGCGGTATCCGTAAGCCCGCGCGGCGTCGAGTCCGACGATTGGGGTTTTCATCGTTGGAATTAAACGAGACGAAAATGAGGGCGACAAATCCCTCCAAAAAGGGAAAAAAGAAAAAGGACGTTGTTCTGGTATCTTGCTTAGAAAACGGGAGCAACAGACGTAACCTCGTCTGCAAGCAAAAATGTAAGAAAAAAAAGAGAGTAAGGAAAAAAGCCGCTTGAGGAGCAAACCCATGCCGCTCTCCAGCCCCATTATCAACTACCGCCCCCCCGGCCTTTGGTCGCTTCGGCTCTCTCCTCGGCAGAGAGAGCCGCCTAGAGGTGAAAATACGCATTGTCAAACTCGCCTGACCCCATGTTGTCGTCGGTCCCGTTGAAATAGAGGTCGTTGAAGTTGCTGTTGTCGCCGCCGTCCCCGTCGAGGTCGTAGTTCATCTCCATGTCCATGCCGGCCGAGCCAAGGTCGAAGAGACCGTCGATCTTGGCGTCGACGTTGGTCATCATGCTGTCTTCGCCAGCGCCAGCGCCCCGGCCGCCTGGATTGCTGTTCGCTTGCTGCTGCCCATGCGAGACATCTGTCGCAGAAGCCCCATTCCCGTTGCCATTGCCAGCGCCACCAAAGTCATTGACTTGCCCAAAGATTGACGCCCCCCCTACTCTAAGACCCATCATGGCCACATCTGGATTCTGCTGCTGCTGCTGCTGCTGCGGCGGTGGTGGCGGCTGCGGGGGCTGGCGGCCCTGATTTAAGCCCCGTGTTTCGCTTGGAGGTGCTAGAGAGAAGTTCATGTTGGTAAAAATGCTCTCGGGTCCCGGTTGGGTCGTGGCGGCCACTGATGCTGCCGCCGCTGGCGCTTGCGCTTGTGCCTGTGCTTGTGATGCTGCTTGAGTCGCTGCCGCTGCGGCCCCATTCTCCCGCACTCCGGTCGACACTGAAAGATTTGGCCCAACAGCCTGCACTGATTTGGCATGGAAAGTTGGAGAGGGCTGGGGGGCCTGAGATTGTGGTACGGCGCCGGGCCTGGGAGGCTGAGCGGAGGGGGCCTTAGCCTCTTTCCGCGCACCGCCTAGCCTGCCAGCGGTGGCGGTTGTGTGCGCCGGGCGAGGCGAATTCTTGGGATTGCTCTTGGGGACTGTCTTTGGGCTGAGAGTAGCCGCAACGTCAGGACTCGCGCCCAGGTCAAACCCCATGTTCGGGAAAGGAGCGACGGGCTTGTTGTTCTGCTTTGTTAGCCGACCAGAGCCAGGGATGCCTGGAGCCGAAATCAGGGATATGGCCGGAGACTCTAAATCGACGACCATGGGAGCTGGAGGCGCAACCGGCTTCAGCTCGGGCGGGGGCGGGGGGGGAGGTAGCCTCCGACTTGCCCTCAGCTGGTTGAGATCGCGCAATAGCACAGACTTGGTTTTTAGCTGCGGAAGCGTTAACCAGGCTCTCAACAATCAGATTGGCGGACCGAGGGAAAGGCTTACTATTTCGCTCTCTAGCTCGTCGAGGGCTGTATTGAATGTCTCGATGGAGGCGGGAATCCTGGTGTTAATGGGCGCCGTAGCCGGACCAATGTTGCCCTTGCTGTCACTGCTGGCGGCTCTCAGGGCCTTGCCGGTTTGGATGAGCTGCGGTTTAGTTGGTCAGCAGATGGAGCAGACGGCAGTGTCTTCAGGCGCCTCCATTCACAAGGGGGACTGGACGGGTACTCACGACCTCATTAAACATCTGCTGGAGCACGTCGAGCGGCTCTGCAGCCTTGGAAGTGGCCATCGCGTTGGTAGGTAGCTAGGTATCGCTTATACCTCGACGTCAGCGACACGGCGCGCAGCGGGGGCTGTGATGTGATGGCGAGCCCTTGCAAAGCGCGGCCCCTCTTGATCGCCGAGGATGACGGGTGCGTTTGCTGGGGGAGAGTGAGGCTATCTCCAACAGGTGGAGCCCTGGATATTTGGCAGCGGAGCGCGACAAGGGTTATTGTCCGGATCGGCACCCAGCGGCTTCGGGTCCAGGCTGGGTTGGCGCAGATAAAAAGTCCAGATCCCTAAGAGTCGGCGGCGCGATCATGGAAACCCATGCATCCATCGATTGAAGCATGCTCCGTCACTCGCCGCCGCATTCCGTTATGGCCAATGCAACTTGAACCTAAGGTAGGTAGGTAATCCTTAGCTGACTGATTTGGGTAAGGCGCTACCGTGCTGCAGGTATGCGTTTAGGCCGTTTGGCGTGATTAAACCCTTGGCGCAAGTTTGGTCACGTTGGCAGCTCTCCAGCTGCCGGGGCGCGGGATGGGAGATGATGGTAGGTTTCAGAACTGCCCGGGGAGCTCCCCCGTCCTTTAATTGCGGCTCTTGTGGGGGTTCTCTGTTCTCGGAGCTCGCTAACGTGAGTTGCCGCTTGGGGTTTAGGGCAGCCCGGCTGACGGAGGAAGTTTAGGGCAACTCCCGTTAAGATCCATGCTTTAACTTTAACGGAAAAGGTACAGTCCAATCCCTGAATGGTGCAGGTTTTGGACGGCACTTGGAATGAAAATAAGGATCAAGTCAAATAATATTGACCAAGAAAGACCTCAATCCGTCTCCTATAAGGCGAAGCACCAGGCAATGAGGCCTTTCGTATCTTAACATACGGCAGAGAGAGACTCCCGTCCATGGTCCCGGACAAAACTCGACTGATCGTTATCGACCTACGAATACCTACCATGTATGTACTGGATCCGAGTAAGTAAAAGATCTGGAGGTTAGCGACCGTATTTGAATTGCTACCTTAACTACCTCGCCTCTTGTAAGCAAAAACCCCGTGATAGGCTCTCGCCTGGCTACTGGCTGTCTCTTGTCTCTGATAGGTCTAATCCGGCAACCTTATTACAGGCACTCCGTGCAGGACCGAGTACAGTACAAGAGGGATGATAACAGACAACAGCCAAGAATTTGTGGAGATGCTTGTCTGATTGCCTGCTAGCAGTGCCGCTTGCTTGCTGCATCTGTCATTGACCTACCCCAGTCAGGGGGTTTGGTTCTGCGTGCAAAGCTTTGCGCAGGCACTGTCCGTTCAAGCACAAGCAGAACTGTGCGTCAGCTCTGAACACCTCGCTCGTTTCTTTGTGAATTAATCCGAAAAACCCTGCCTTGACTTGATAACGCCACCGACGGTTGCAGTAGCCGTTCTCGCTCATGCCAGGCTCGGCCTCTGTTGAACAGGGCACTCACTCGCTGCCAAGACCCTCGATCGCATCACGGCTTACCCTTTTTATCCGTACCTCCTCACTAAGGTACCTACCTAGGTAGGTATCCATCATGGTTCATTCTTGATTAGAAGATGAGTTAAATATCATGTCGTAGGGACCTAAAATACGAAGCCTCTTATAGCCAAGCATATCTTCGTGAGAGAGCCGAAGACGCTCAAAAGTCTTGACCCGGTTCACTTCGAATCGCGTACTGTGCGACTGTGCGATTCCAGTCTGGGTTTGGCCTGCCACGAGTCCAACCCGGAGAGTTGCTATAAAGGCTCGGTTGATAAGTAAGGCAATCTAGGTAAGGTAGCGATTAGCAGAAAGCAGTTACCTTGGGTGCGTGCCTATAAGTAGCAGCAGTGACCATATGCAATCGTGAAAACGGAGCTTCCAGGAGATTCGCGAACTCGGCATCCAAGGCAACCCTGAGCTGCCTTGCAGCAATCCCAATCCCCTCCAGTCCAAGCCGACCAGGATGTGAGGGGCAGAGCTTGCTCTCTGCACGGCAGGTATTTCCTGTACCACGGCCAACCCTGGGGCTCGCAAATTTGCGCTAAGGCCCGTTCCTCCAAATCGTCCAATCCCAGGGCAATGGCTCGATCAAAAATCCTTCCCCTCCTCGTCACGGCGACAGCTTTTCCCCTCCGAATTTTTTTCCCACTTCTCTGCACTATCGAGGACACTCGACAAGTTCATATCGGATCGGCTGCTGCTGTTGTTTGAATTTCTGGGGCTCCCTCCTTTTTTGACGGCCGTTTCTTTTCCCTCTCACGTTGGTTTTTCACAGCTTCTTCCCTTATCCTTGTCTGTCCTTTTCATCAGCCATCTTCTCTCTGCGTCGTCGTCGTCGTCGTCGTCGCGCCTCTCTGGTTGTTACCGTTGAGCCGTTTCCTCGCACGTCGGTGTTTCCCAACTTCCAATTGGCATCGTCTCCTATCGTCAAGCCACGGCGACGCTTCCTCTTCGCCGAGCTCGTCTGTGCTATTAGCCAACCGCCTCTTCCTCTCCGTCTTCTGCAAGTTGAACAGCTTCAGCTCCTTGCCGTTGCGAGCCCGTCAAATTTGCTCTTCGCCAAGCGAAGAAGCGCGGCGATTCGAGTCGAAACGTCCTCTTAATCTCCTATCTACTGCCGCCACACCGCGTCACGGTCAGCAAGCGATCGCAACGGGAATAGAGACAATCTCCTCCAGACTTTCGTGTCTATCTTTTGCTTCGCTTTCCCGGCCCTCACAGTTGCACCATCGGCTGTCGGGTTTTTCGTCGCGTCTTGCTGGAATATAGGTTTCGCAGAGATCCTTTCTCTGTAGTGGGGCTTCCCTTGCCAAGACGGACCTACGCCCTTCATCTCCCAATCGCTGTCGCGATCTTCCACATTTCGACAGCTCCTCCCTGTTACCTGCGACCTTGTTCGATATGGCTGACAACGGCCCCCCTCCTACAACCGGCCAACTGCCGCCACCACCTCAGCCAAATGCAGGCGCACCTGGCTACGAGAATGGCCAAAACACGTCGAATCCTTCGCATCTGCCCCCGCCGCCTCTGCACATCCCGCAGAACACAAACCCGATCCCTACGGCCATCACCTCGCCCATGGGTGGAGGTGGCGACAAGAGCGGCATCATCTCGCCCGGCGGTGGTGCGTTTGCTCGCCGCGCAGCCCCAGAGCCCAACAAGCGCGCTCTTTACGTTGGCGGATTAGACCCTCGGGTCACTGAGGATGTTTTGCGTCAAATCTTCGAGACCACTGGACACGTCCAGAACGTCAAGATTATCCCCGATAAGAACGTAGGTAGACCTGTCTCGTGGATCTCACTCAAGCTTCTGCTCGCCCCGAATTTTTATCGGGCATCTCGAGAGTCATCTGCTGACTTGAATTCGCAAGGCTAAGGGATATAACTATGGCTTTGTTGAGTACGATGATCCCGGCGCTGCCGAGCGCGCAATGCAAACCCTCAACGGCCGGCGTGTCCACCAGTCGGTTTGTCTTCCCTGGATCCTCGAACGAGACTGGATTACCGTATTGACGAGTTGGACAGGAGATTCGTGTGAACTGGGCCTATCAGTCTAACAGCAACAACAAGGAGGACACCTCGAACCATTTCCACATCTTTGTTGGTGATCTTTCTAATGAGGTTAATGACGAAGTGCTTCTCCAGGCCTTCTCAGCCTTCGGGTCTGTTTCTGAGGCCCGCGTTATGTGGGACATGAAGACTGGCCGCTCCCGCGGCTACGGCTTCGTTGCGTTCCGTGAGCGGCCGGATGCCGAGAAGGCCCTGAGCTCGATGGATGGCGAATGGCTGGGATCTCGCGCCATTCGATGCAATTGGGCCAACCAGAAGGGCCAGCCGTCCATCGCCCAGCAGCAAGCCATGCAGCAGATGGGAATGACGCCGACGACGCCCTACGGCCACCACCACTTCCCCACTCACGGTGTCCACAGCTTCGATATGATTGTAGGCCAGACCCCGGCTTGGCAGACGACTTGCTATGTTGGTAACTTGACGCCTTACACGACCCAGAATGATCTCGTGCCTCTTTTCTCGAACTTTGGCTTTGTTGTTGAATCTCGCTTCCAGGCCGATCGCGGTTTTGCTTTTATCAAGATGGATACCCATGAAAATGCCGCCATGGCTATTTGCCAGTTGAATGGCTATAATGTTAATGGTCGACCCTTGAAGTGCAGCGTATGGGCCCCCTATCCCCGCCGCCCTCGGAATTGCATCAGCTAACGTCTCACAGTGGGGGAAGGACAAGACCCCAACTACTCAGCAATTCGATCCCAATCAACCCCAACAATACAGTCCCGGGAGTGCGCAGACACCTGGATATCCTGGTACGCCCTCCACTTACTTCAACCAGTTTGGCGGTACGTGGCCCTAGCAAGAGGTGAAATCTTGCTCGGTATTCAAGAGACTAATGTCAATTGCAGGTTCGTACGGTCCTGGCCAACAGCCCAACTATGCTGGCGGTCAGGCGCAGTCGCCCGCCGGATACAACACGCAGCCGATGGGATACACCGGCCCCCCGAGTGCTGGTGGATATGGCCGCGGCCAGCAAGCTCAAAACGCGCAGTGGTCCCAGCCTCCCCCGGCCCAGAACTTTAACAACGGCTTTTCTGGCTACCAAGGTTAGTTGTGGCCTGATTGGCGACCACTGAGCGAAGACACACTGGACATTTCTGCGCGCTTCTGGTCTGTTATGTGGCGATGGAAAAAGCCGTCTTCTTACCCTGTTCTCCTTGTTTCTTTCTTTCCGGCTCACCAAGATGCCGTAGCCTGGCAGGTGCGATGCATTCACGTTGTGACGTCTTCTTCATTATCTGATTAAGTTTGGGACAATCGTTCGAGTTGGGATTTGGGACTCTGTTGGGGAGAATTTGGAACCTTTCTCTACTTCTTTCTACTCGGCCATGTCACTTTTCCGTTTCCAGTGTTGTCTTTTTTTCTTCCTTTTCTTCTTTCGTTTCTTTGTCTGCTAGTGATTCCCACGGGCATGATCTATTATCCGGTTGGGTTCTGTAGCTGCGCATCTTCCTCTCTCTGCTCAAAATTTCGGAATGATTTTTTCTTACCGCGCTGGATACCTCTTAACGCATCGTGGTATTCTTTCGTTGGCCACCTTTTTTCCTCGACGACTTCACGAATTTCCGCTATATCAGCCACCTCTTGGTCCTTTTTAGCAAGCAAAGGAGCCAAGGTAGATTTCGGGATTTCCGGGTATTGGGGATGAGGTACGAGCCATTCTCTGACTCAGTAGGCGTCTTTGACCAGAGGCGCACGGGCTTTTAAATCTCCGCGAGGAGCGCAGGGTTGTTTGGATGAGGGGTATGGGTATGGTATGGACGAAAAGGATGTGATATCTCTTTCAAATGGACATGGCGCGATATGTATCGAGACTGTAAAAAGGAGTATTTTGGAGAATACTCTAGATCAAACAAACAAAATCGCGAAACCTCGTCAAGTGCCTCAGCTTTTCTTGTTCCAAGATTGTGTCTTCTCTCCTCATGTACGAATACCTGTTGAATGGCGTTTGATGTGATGGCAGGAAGGACTGCGTATAAGGCGCGAGGCAATTGGACAAAAACACGCCATCCGAAAGATGTCACGCAGTGCTGGGCTGAGTGATGGGCGGCTAGCAAGCAACCCAGGGCAGATGGATTCCCGAGACCGGGGCAGAATTTGTGGACCAGTTGACGCCAAGCGTGTGTAGATGTTGATGCCCAATCTCGGCCGTCTCAATCGCATCGCATGTTAGCCACCCGCGCAGCCGTCCCATCTCCGTGGTTCCCAACTAATAAGTCCATGAGACCAACTACGGAGTAACTGATTTCCAAGATGACGGGATCGTTTCCACAAGCATACAGAGTTTGGGGCAGGAAGATTTGTTTGCTCTGCAGAGGAGTATACCGTACTTAGTGCATGACGCTTGCTAGGTGACGCTAATAACCAAAATCGACTAATAAGTGCTGCGTGTTAGGTAGGTCGGTATACATACGTACATCCTACCATTACGCGCTTCTGGGGGGCGCAAGAAGTCTACGGAGGCAGTATGGATATCATTTTAAACCATATAGGTAGAAGCAGACGATGGAAAACAGAACACATATATATAGTGGCGATCAAGGTCGCATCCCCGTCCATTTGCAGGAAGCAAACTATTCGTACAGTAAGGTGAGGACCCAACCCAGGAACATGCCTACCTACATATGTCTATTGTCTATCCATACTAGGTGCCTTATGAGTTAACATGTTAACATTGGGGCTCATGGGACGTGAGCGAACATTGTTCTCAACTGCGACTCTTCCCGCGTGGGCAAGTCGAGAAGAGACAGATAGAAACCTGTATTCCCAGATGATCAGCCCGCGCATCTAATCTAAATATCAGTTTCAGCTGTCGATATGTCCGTCAGAGTTGTTATTAACGGCCGCAACTTTTATACCTCCATACTATGTAGTAGACTCCCAGGATCAGAACCAACAGCGTCGCAAGCATTCCGTTGCGCTTTGGTATGTGCCATCGTACTAATTGTCTGGGGTGTTGTAGATACCCCTGCTTCGCAACTTACTAGAGGCTCGACCTGGCCTGAGCAAAGCAAACAAGCACGACGGAAATATGCCCGGAAGGGACCTGGGTTCGTCTTGTCACAATCGCGCACCTTGACGAGGTGTCTTTTGTCTAGCGAAAGAGCCCAAATAGAAATAGAATAGCCCGTTAGAATCGTGAGCTCTCAACAAAATGGCCGCCCGTCTTTATAGACTTCCATGCCTCAGTGCTCCGTACCCCGTGCCCCGTGCCCCGTGCTCCGTTCTTCTCAAGATATCTCGGGGTCATACCGTCGGTGAGGTAATAGTATAAATGAGTTCGGGTGGGATGTAAGATATTAACAGTCGGGTTCTACAGAAACTGTGTTTATCATCCCAGCTATTAGAATAAGTACAGACATACATACACAGCAGTACTAGCATGGAATCCAGCCCAGCCCGGAAGCCCAATTACAAGATTCGACCCCTCGGCCGACATCCGCGTCCCTAAAACCGGGCTACCAACCTTTGAAGGTTCCATGTTGGCAACCCATTAGGAGTATGTGGGCTAGCCATCAGGCGTATACACATACCTTTTAACCAAGACTCTCTTGCAGACTGAAAGGCGGAAAATCGATCCCAGAACCCAACTCAGCTTGATCTTGTCCGTTCGGGAAGGCTTTCTACCATCCCCCCAGATTGGCTACCTCACCTGCCAGGGCGCACCTAGGCACATACTCTGTACAGCACATACAAAGCATACAATTCCGCCATGGGCCCTTGATAATCTGGAAAGGTCCCGTTGGTTCTGGTCGCCAACCCTTTGTGGCTGTTCTAGGTCTTTTCGCGGGACGATAGCAATTGGAAGAGTGAGCTCGGTGCGGGCTTTGAGCTATTTCCCGGCCCCTGCAGACGCCCTAGCTCGCTTCCTCCGCACTCCAGCGTTAGGTTTGTTCAGGCTCCGAGCGCAGCCCATGCTGCGCTGCCCCTGCCTCCACTGCGTAGTCCCCTCCACTCCCTTCACTCCAGCTCTAGCCGCCTAACACGTCCAAAGCAGGCAGGAACTTGGGAAGCGCACAGAAGGGACCTTGGCTCGAACGTCGCTGACCCGACCCCGACCCACTTGTACGCACTGTACCGCACCCTCGCTCACTAGGTGAGCGGGTCCACCCCCTCCCTCTCCAGATCGAAAGCCCAAACTCCCGTCGCCAGACTCGCATCACTGCATTGCACAGCGACACGACGGCCGTCCACACCACAGCGCAATCTCGCAAAGTGGCTCTTCGTCTTGCAAGTAGCCAGCAGCCATGGAGCAATGGCAGGCGTACCCCGACCCTGCCGGCGCCGGCGGCTCAAGGCGGTACAATGGCAGCAACAATAACAGCACCAGCCAAATGTCGCCGCGAGACTTTAACAACAATGGCGGCCAGCCCCCTGCCCAGCAGCACCAGCAGCACCAGCAGCACCAGCAGCCGCCGCCCGCCGGCTTCAAGTACGACCAGTACCAGGGCGGTCTAAATCCCCAACAGCAGCAGAGCGCCGCCTCGCCCATCATGAACAGCTCCCAGCTGCGCGACGGCAACGGCGACGTCGCCATGCAGGACGCCCACGATGCCTACTCGGGCCTCAACCTGAACCCCAACGTCAAGTACCCAATGCGGCCGCATCACCAGCACCATCTCTCGGGCGGCCGACCCTCGGCCCTCCAGCAGGAGCCCTCGGCTGCCGCTCAGCGCTACTCCCCTATGGAAATCTTGTCTCCCACCTCGCCCTACGCTGCAAAGTCGGCTGGAGGAGGCCAGTTCATTCAATCGCCGGCCCAGCGCCAGTCGCCGAACCGCTCTTCCGACTACGTTCCCCAGAGTCCCTACTACACTTCTCGACAGGCTGCTCCCCAGCTGCCGCCCATCAACCCCTACGGGTCCCCCCATGACGGCTATCCCTCGGCCGCCGTGGCTGCCATGGACGGCTCATATGTCGATCCCAAGTCTCCCCGACGCGCCGCGCCCCAGTCGGCTCTCCCCGAAACTGTGCCCGAGTTCAAGAAGATCCGGGCCCTGACAGACCTGAGACCAAAAGTTAATATGCAGCCGCCGTTCAGACGCGCCAACCCCGAGGGCGGCTTCATCAGTGTAAGCTGTGCAGCCGCGATTATCGCTATCTCCCGTCTTGCCACCTGCTAACCCATAGTCGTGAACAGCCCCTCCAAGCCCTTACGGTGCACCTCCCCGCCACATATCGGATCTGTAACCCCAGCTTCAAGTATGAGTCGTCGCGGAATCCCCGTCGTGTCTTGACCAAGCCGAGCAAGGGGACAAAGAACGACGGCTACGACAACGAGGATAGTGACTATATTCTCTACGTCAATGACATATTAGGTTCCGAAGAAGCAGGGCACAAGTAGGCCTCTCCCATGCCCTCGACCCTAGACTGACCGAACTTGTCGTGGCTAACCTTTCTACATCAGGAACCGCTATCTGATCCTCGATGTTCTCGGGCAGGGCACTTTTGGCCAAGTCGTTAAGTGCCAAAACTTGAAGACGCAAGAAGTCGTGGCTGTGAAGGTGATCAAGAACCGCACTGCCTACTTCAACCAGAGTATGATGGAGGTCTCTGTTCTAGACTTGGTAAGCTCTCTCGCCTTGCCCTGACCCTTGCCCGCCCCCCCCCTCTCTCGTCGAGTACCGACTGTTTGCTAACCGCGCACAGCTCAATACCAAACTTGACAAGAATGACGACCACCATCTCCTGCGACTCAAAGACACCTTCATACACAGGCAACATCTTTGCCTGGTGTTTGAGTTGCTGAGCGTGAACTTGTATGAGCTCATCAAGCAGAACCAATTCCGTGGGTTGAGTACGACATTGGTCCGCGTCTTTGCCCAGCAGCTCCTTAACGGCCTTGCACTACTGAACAAGGCTCGGTTGATCCACTGCGACTTGAAGCCGGAGAACATTCTCCTAAAGAACCTCGAAAGCCCCATCATCAAGATCATCGACTTCGGGTCTGCATGTGACGAGCGTCAGACTGTCTACACATACATCCAGTCCAGATTCTACCGCTCGCCTGAAGTACTACTTGGGCTCCCGTACTCTTCGGCTATCGACATGTGGTCTCTGGGGTGCATTGTTGTGGAGCTGTTCCTCGGCCTCCCCCTTTTCCCTGGCTCCTCCGAGTACAACCAGGTCTCGCGAATCGTTGAGATGCTTGGAAATCCCCCAAACTGGATGATCGAGATGGGAAAGCAGGCGGGCGAGTTCTTTGAAAAGAGACAGGATGAGTACGGTAGACGGACCTACCAACTGAAGTCCATGGAGGTGTATTCGCGCGAACACGGCACTAAAGAGCAGCCGAGCAAGAAGTACTTCCAGGCGAATACCTTGCCCGAGATCATCAAGTCGTACCCGATGCCTCGCAAAAACATGAAACAGTCAGAGATTGACAGAGGTAAGCTGATCCAATTCTTCCCACAAGCGAGGCGCTAACCACCATACTTGTCTAGAAATGAACAACCGGGTTGCCTTCATTGATTTTGTCAGGGGCTTATTGACGATAAACCCGCTCGAGCGATGGTCACCTCAGCAAGCAAAATTGCACCCTTTTATCACGCAACAGAAGTATACAGGGCAATTTGTCCCGCCAATGAACTTGAAGTCCAGTTCTCTCAATAGGTCACCAGCCCCTGGCACGCAACAGCAGCAGCAAGCCGAGGCCCTGAGCAAGCAAAGAGCCCAGGCTGCCCAAGCCCAAGCGACTTCGGCAACCCAGGGCGCCTACGCATCAATGGCTGGCGGGCAATATCAGCAACCAGTACACGCCCAAGGACCACCTTTGTATGCGAACAATAACATATACTCCCCCGGCGTCGGTGGCGGTGGTCACGCAGGCGCGCCCCCGCCTTATGCAGCGCAACAAGGTGGCTATAGCCCAATGGCCATGTCACAACCCCCTGTCCAAATGCCACAAGCCAACTACGCCGGTGTTCCGCAACCCAACATGTACTCCCAGCAACAGCAACAGCAGCAACAGCAAGCTAGGACAAGACAGCGCGCATCGACAATGGAACAGCAGCAGAGCGGAATCCCCGCCGCAATTCAGAGGGTTGCCAGCCATCTTGATCCGAATCATCCCATCCGACTGCAGCCAAGCCCGGCGTACTATCCACCCCCACCCGATGGCATGGCGGGCCTTGACCAAACCACTGGTAGGGGTGCCGCAAGGAGGGGAAGTCGGGCTCAGCAAACCACGCGGAGCAATCGCGACTTTATCCGAAACTTGGAGGAACGGACACTTGAGGAAGGGTTTATGGGGAACAGTGGGAGTGGCCAGAGCCCTTGGCACTGAAAGAATTTGATTTCATAACAGCTGTCGAGAGCGAGTTCCCCTATTCGAAGCCAGACGTTGACGCAGATGTTACGAGGCTGAGACGCAATCGACTCGGCCAACTAGCAATTTCCAATTATCCTTACCGCTGGCTCTTTGGATGGAGCTATCAGATAACGGATCTCTTAGAAAATCGCATCAAGAATCTGGATAAGAGACATCGCGGTCGTACAAGGCTCGAGTAAGAGGAGGAAGTCGTCAGCCCGACATGGAGGTCGAGTGGTAGGCGGGCGTCTACATTGTTCCGGTGGGCTCATTTGGTCTCTTTTTGGTATCGATTCTTGTCAGTCGGGAAGGCGCGGCACAGCAGGGCAGGTGTATCGAACGCGCATTCTGCAGAGCGAACTCGGGTGTCTTCCGTTGTAACAACAGAAGGACCTTGAGCACATATCTGCCCTGCTGGGCTGATGGAAACGGCAAAGACGGAAAGGGTTGGCTCATTAGCGGTTCGCCAAGAAGCATGGGGGGGTTATAAGCGGCGAGGTACGAGTGGAAGAAGGACGAGCGAATTTGACGACATACACGTTGGCTCCAGCATGACCGGTTTATAACTGTACTTTTTTTATCTCTCTTTCTTTCTCCCCCCCGCCACAGCCCCTCGTGAAGGCCAGTCTCATTGAAGTCAATGGTGCGTTGGGTAAATGTCATACCTTTTTTATTCGTCGTGTCTTTAGTATTTTTATTTTACTTTATCTGTAGCGGGCACGAGACCAGATATGAACACACACACACACACACACACAAACACACATACAGCACGCTTACACGCACATGTATAGGAAAGAGGAAGAGAGAGGCTACTTACTGACTTTAGGTAACTACGTGGGCCATGTCAAATTTGCGGGTGTGGCGAGGTGGCGCCAGCGGCCTTGGGTGGAGGAGTTGTATAGTTGAAGACATGACGAGTACGAGTTGCCTATCCTACCTTGCACGTGTGTGTGCGAATGCACTCGCAAAAGAAATTCCGTAGGTCGTCAGTTCAAAATGTTGATTGATGCATTGACTGCATTGACTGCATTGCACTGAACAGGCACCTTTCCATACCTACATATCTAACGCTGAGCCTGCCTTGGCCTCTCTCTCTCTCTATATATATATATCCTGCTCAAGAGATCGGGAGAGAGTGTGATAACTGAAGAGGCAAAACCAAGTCAGCCACTAAATGCAGAGCGTATTTGGGGGGAAAGAACCCGAGGAGGGTTCCCTTTGATTTAAAAGTACAAAAAACTTGATATTAGTGCTTTTCTTACATTTTTACCCCCAACCCCAAAGAAAAGCGATGATGGGGAATGGTGCTTCACCAAGGGCTGTTTGTGCTGTGCTGTGCTGTACCGGAGAGATCTCCTTTCTCGTTTTCTTCCTCCAAGCGGCAACTTGTTTGTTATCGCCTTGCCCATCGAAAATGCCATGTCATGGCGTGGGTTGTGCTACAGCGTCCCACGCTTTCCTTTTATTTCCGCATCAGAGAGAAAGAAACAAGGAATGCAAGAAAGAAAGGATGCTTCTTGTAAGTTCGCGACCGTCCGATTGCCCTTCTGCTTTCCGTGTCGTCCTTTCCTTTGTGCATTAGCTCGATCCCCGAAACCACTCGTAGCCGCAAAAGATTACAAAGCTTGGTACATCACCTATACAGACTATACGGCCCAACTTTAGCACCTTCTCTCTTCGTATACCTCCCTTGATCCCGGGAGCTAGGATACGATTAGATGATGATAAGTCTAGCGGGAGGAGGTAGTGAGAAGAGTGGCGGTAGCAAAAAGGGGAAAGGCGGTGGATAAAGGAGATCAATGATGTCGTCTGATGGGATGGTCAAGGACCCAGTTTCTGTCTCACGGACCACATATCTTGCGAGTGGCCGCAGCTCGTTATCTTCCAGCGCCGCCGCCGCGATTGGAACCCCGGTCCCGGGGCCTTCTGTGGACCATGTTGTCGCTGTACAGACCGCCACCACCGTTGCCCGCTGCGGGAGCCCGCGGTGGCTGCCGTCCGTTGCTGCGGCCATTGGCAAAGAGGTCGTCCGAATCCATTGGGTCGTCAAATCCCATCGTGCCATCGACCACTGCGTCGTCGTCGTCGACTACCACCGCGCTCGGTGTGTTTCCCACCTTGGGGTATACGCTCAGGACTCGGCCATCAGCCTGTGATCACGGTTAGCCTAAGGGATCTCTTTAAACAGGCCCCCTATGAGGGCACAAAAGAGGTAGCTCACTGTCTGGCTGTGAAACGTGGCAATGACGTTGTCAGCACCCTCCTTGCTCTCGAACACAATCTCAGCAATCACGATGGGTTGATTCTTAACCACGCGGCAGCTGGTGATGATACCGCCGATGGGCGTCATGGCGCTCTCGATGTCTGCAGCCGTCGTGCCCGGAGCGAAATTCTGTGCCATCACAACATACGGACCCGCCAAACCCCGGATCGTCATACCCTTCTGGAACGTCGAACCGCCATGCCGTCCTGTGATCAGGTCCGCCGCCGGCGTCACTGGCAGTGATGATGACGGTATCGCCTGTGCTGGTGCCGGATACCTCGCCGATGCCGGCTGCAGCTTCGTTCGTATCAAAGCTTGCGCCACCTGTGCAGCCCGTCGCTTCTCACGGTTGCCAGCGATGCCAGCATTCGGGTTCGTGATGCGTGACGCAAGCGAGCTGGGCTTCGGGCCATTGCCGTTGTTGCGCTGGCTACGAGGCCCAGTCGGCGGCGCCTGCGACGAATGTAGGTCGTGAGTCCACTCGCTATCGATGTTTCCAGCGCTGGGGCGCGACACAGTTGACGATACGGCACGATGCTACATTACGGGGGCGCGCACATGTTAGCTGAAGTATTTGGCTGTATGGACTGAAATTGAGGTGAAGGCAGAGCGAGAATGCGTGAGTGATGCAATTGGGACAGCGCACCTTCTTGACGCCTGCGCGGCTGGCGAGAGAGCTAGGGCCGCTCAAAGGCGTGCTCGCGCGACGATCCTTGCCAAATATCCGAGCAGCGAGGGCTTCATTCTTCTTGCGGTCGCGACCTGGTAGCCAGAAGCGGGCATATGTCAGTAACAGATGAGAAGACCGGGTTCGTAGAGCGGTGGCTTTTGGCGCGACGGGGCTTACCCTCGTTGATGATTTTCTCCAACTCGGATGTAACTTTCTGCCCGTTTTCTTTACCCATGGCGGGCGATTTGGCGAGTGCGCGATTCGGAGGCAGCAGCAGCGGTCTAGATATCTAGGCTCAGTAACAAATTTTGTGCAGTCTCGGAAACGAAGGAGCAGCGCTAGACAAGAGAATGATGAATCTAGGGTGGCGGCGAATGAATTCACCGTTGCGGGATTCTCCAATAAAGTTGGCTGTCGAGCTTCAAGAGGGGCGTGTTCTGGGTCGTGGTTTGTAGCGTAGCGCACTAGACCGCATTTGGTTACCCAGTTGAAATGAGCAGGTACATCAAAGTGGGGCACAGTGAACACGAGCTCCAGTATGCATCAAGTTTCAAGTTCGTTCATAATAACAACCTAGGTACCTACTAGGCAAAAGTATGAGATGATAACATATCTAGCACAGGGCAGCTGCCATACATAAGTCAAAAAGATCAAAAGTATGGTCGTATGTGTCAATGCTAGATGGAGATAGAGCATGAATAGTGAAGGCCGCATGGAGTAATCCCAGCCTAGGGAGACATGGACAGGTCACTTTCTCTTTTGTTGAGCCGTAGGGATTTAGATGCTAAGTAGGTATACATCACGAAGCATCTCAGGTGATGGTTCTGTCGAGAGCCGAGTGAGTAATAAGAAACGGAAGGCAAGTGCCGTAGTCGTCCCTCTTTCCTTCCCAGTCTTCCGGGGCTCGTATACCGAATCTAGGCAAGAGCTACTGGTACATGGCTTTCCTGCTTCCCCTTCCAGTTTCTGGGCTTCTCTTGGGCTATACCGTACTGATTTACCTTCGAGTTCTTTCTGTGAACCTTGGGCTTGCCAAACCCACCAGCATCTTGTCATTTTTAGAGGTGCGTACTGCCTGTATCGCATCGAAACAGAATCTCACAGACTCTGTGACGTATAATATCATCTCCGGGTTCTGTTTCTCTTCTTCACTGTCGGAATTCTCTCTGGGCGTCTTCTTTTCCGCCCGTCCAGGAGGAGACACCACCTGCAGTCATGTTAGGCAGTTATTTAAGCATGCCCGCTACCATTGGCAACCGAGGTGTGTTTCGGGGAAAGAAAGAAGATGGCTTGGAGCAGCACTGTCACCCTACCGAACCGAGCAAGGACAGATGGAGATGGTTTCATTCGACCGGAAGACGTTCATGCCCTTCTCTGAACTCGGCTTCGGCATCGCCCAGATCGCACAATGGGAACACAATGTTCAGGACCCCGGGTTTCATTCGTTCCCTGCGCGGGAGACCTACTATTCGGCAGGCCATGACCCCTGAGTGGACTGACGAGCCATTGGTCCCTGGCCCCATCAACGAGGTAAAGCACGTCCCTCCCGTGTTGGATATGCCATCTGTTTGCGCCCTCGATGCGGATCGACAAAGCACCTTCCGACTCTGTTTTAAGGATCCCGTTCAGGGTATGTGTCCTAGATCACAGCTACAGTCTCTGCTTTTATGACACAATATGGCGTGCTCCCGTGTTAACTTGAAGCATAACCAGCAAAAGTCGATGAGGACCTATCCCTTCGGGGTCTGTACAGCTCTTCCAGTAAGAGCCCTCTACCTCAATCGTACAAAATCCCAGTACCCCCTGTATATCAGAGCTCCCACTGTCGTGATCCAGCCTGGCACATAAAGAACAACACGGCCGAAGCGGCTGACTCTAGGTTAGGCGTGTCTCGGAAGGAAAAGCTGTCACATATGTCCATTTCTTCTCTCGCTTCTTTCCCGTCGGCAAATATGTCGATGAATATTCCAGCCAGGATACCATCAAGGTCAGTCAGCATGCATGTCTTTCTCATACGGTACTCGTTTGTGAGTTTAAGTAGGTGTCTCCGGTTGGAACACCCAACTTACTAGTAAGGTGATAGTAGGGAACCTCGCCCAGTTTGCACCAGCCCCGAGTCTTCACAGCAGTCCTCGCCGGATAGATCTCCAGCTTGTGTCAACCCCGTCAAGTCCGAGAAAAAGAGTTCCTCGAGCGCGCAAGAGAAGGCCCCGGACAACGGGGCAACCGATAGACCAACAGACTTGTGCTGGACCCCCCACGTTGACTCTCCATGTTGTGCAGACCACCAATCTCTCATTGGGAACAAGTCTAGCGCGGTTCACGTCCAAGATGGTGTGTCTGGAATTGCCCACGGTTTGCTTGCGCAGCTTCAAGGAAGAGTGTGTTGTGAGCAGGCCGTCTCGACTGTTCTTAGATATTTTGAACTGGTGCTGCAAACAAATCGAAAACTGGACGAAATTGACCGCACCACGATACACCTACGCGACGAGCAATACGGAAAGACCAAATCTAACATACAGATGTTGACTGAGCTGTGCAGAGAGGCTTCTTCTGCATACTTAGCCGACGAGAACTGGATCGCATATGACACAGATAACAATCAAGAGATTAGATATTCCGACGACACCGCGGCCTTCGGTAATATGTTGAGTGCTTCAACATGCAATACCAACCCGGATTCTCAGGGCTTGGAGCCTCTGAGCAGGCAATTGGCCCATGACGGGGGCTTTTTTGTAAGAATTATAGCAGCATGGCATAGGACGAAAGACATGTTAACATTGCCAAAGACAGACACTCCAAACACCACACCTCGATGTAGCTGCGACGACGAACCGAAGGATGCGACTTGCTCGGCCCACACGACCGAGCTTCTTGGTGGAAATAATTCATCGGACGAGGCGGACTCCATGGAGGCACGCGTTTCGTTAAGCCTGGCTATGAGATCCCTAAGAGATGAGCTGCTGGAGGCGGGTGAGACTGTTGATGCAGATATGTCGTGAGTATATGATGAGGTTGCCCTGGGAATTCATCTCAGCTTGAGGTGAATCATGACGGGTAGTAATTATCACAGCGTTAAGAGCTAGAGAAGAGATAAGCCACGATTATTCTAAGGGAAACAGACTCGGCCGGGGCTTGGAGATATTAGCAAGGGCTTTGTTGCACAGCGGTAACAAGTCTGAATCCAGCAGGCCATATCAGCCGGCAAAGCGCTGGCTGATAAGACTCAGGCCAAAGAACGCCAGAGATATCAAGTAGTAGTATCAATACAGTATTTGGCTTTGATGACCAATAGCTAGGTAACTCCAGAGACAGAGGGGGTGCTAGACAATTATATCTATACACACGTACTATATACAGATCTAGTTTATTACTGTACACCGATAGCCTCAAAAGGGTCCTGCTCGTCGCCTTCTTCTGTCTGACGAAAATCTCCCTGATCTTGATCATCGCCTTCTTTTTTGGGGCTACGATGCTCTCGCTGATTCGGGTCCATGACGTAGTACTTCGCATTGAACCGCTGCACCTGGCCGGCCAAGATGGTGCGTCTCATCTTGAGTTTCTTGATTAGTCTCTGGTCGCGTGTTAACTCGTTCTGAATAACCGCGTCGATGGCGGCAATTATGCGCTTGCCCACGGAGATCATCTCCTGGTAGTCGCCCGAGTTCTTCTCGCGCTGCTCCTCGGGCGAGTCCGTCTGGCGCAGCGGGTACGAGGACGTGGCCGTCAGAATCCGGTACGGCTCCCACATGAGCTCGGTGGCCATGACGATCTGCCTGCCGACGGCGAGCTTGCTGGCGTCGGGCTCGGCCGCCTTCTTGTCCAGGTCGTACAGGTGGCGCGTGTTGGCGCGGGCGGCCTGCAGGAACAGGCGCATGGTGAGGGCGTCGGGATCGCGCACCTTCTTCACCATGGCGTCGAGGATGCGGCAGGCGTTGTCGAACGAGTTGGGGTTCAGGTTGTCATGGATGCACGTGCCCATGGCGGCCCGCATCACCGCCTGCATCATCTCGTTGGCGGGCATGTTGCTCACCAGCTCCGCCGCCTTGGTGCTGCCCTTGCCTAGCTGCAGCACCCGGAGATACCGCGTGTAGTTGTCGCGGTCGGGCTTGACGCCGTACTCGCTCGTCAGCAGGTCCCAGTATCGCGGCGCCAGCGACGTTCTGCGTGTGGACCGCAGCGATATGAGGATCAAGGATAGCGTGTTCTTGCCGGGAGTGGCGTATGCCGAAAACTTCCGTCTTGCAGGGGCAGTGGTAGTCCGGGCAGCTGCCACAACCTGTCCGCCCTTGGCGGTCGACGCCTTCGAAGGCGCCTTGTCGGGGATCGCACCGGGCGTCTTAGCGAAGTTGGGGATGTTCATAGTCTGCTCGATTAGGTCAAGGACGCTCTCGTTGTCGGGCTTGTTGCCGAGAACGAGGATTCGTCCCATGGCGCACACAAGCTCCTCGTCGAGAATGAGCTGGCCCTTACGCCAGCTTCTGATAGCCGCATCCCAGAGAATCCTGGCCCTCTCGAGCACGATTTTGGTAGTGGCCTCCAGAAGAGTTCTATCCTGGTCACGCGCCCGCCAGGACATGGCCGGCTGCTTCCTGAGAGCGTTGAGCATGATGGTATATGTTTGGTTGTCGGGAGCGCGTATCCCCGATTCGGTGGCAGTCGCCGCAATACTATACATGGCATCAATGTCGAAGGCACGAGCGCAGACCTCGAGAACGGCATTGAGGTGGGTTGTGTTGGGCTGGAGGGTGTCCGTCTTGAGCATTGTGTGGTAGATCCGAAGTGCCTCTGACACAGCCAGCTTGGCGTGCGGCGAGTCGGCGCAGCCACGAAAGATGATGGTGTACGTCTTAGCATCGGGCCTCTGGCCGCGTTTCTTCATCTATACGAGACGAAAGGGTTAGTATCAACGTGGAAGTGTTTTTGGTGTTCGCCTGTGCGTATAACCCACCTCGTTGAAGAGTTTAATGGCCTTGTGTAGCCGGTGGTTTTTCATCTGATAGTCGATCAAATGGTTCCAGCTGACTTGCACCTTGGTATCCCGACTCGTTTTTTGCGCCATCAACAAAGCCTCATCATAGCGGTTATCTGCCAGCGCCGTCTTGACATGGTCGCCGATCAATAAGGGGTCCTTGAGATACTGCAGGTGCTTCTTGACAACCCACTCAAGCTTCCTCGTCGCAGCGGTACTTGTAGGTGCAGGCTCGATCGACTCCCCTTGCTCATCCGGATGATGCACGTATTCATCAGAAGTGGGAGATGCGGGAGGACGTGGCACGGGACGGGTCCACGTCTTCTTCTGGCCGACTGCAGCCGGCGTTGAGGCGGGGACAGAGGCGAGACGACTCTTGGGGGTCCGGAGTGCGTGTACTAGTCGCCTTTGAGCCGGCGCAATATTCGAGAACGGACTTAGACCCCTCCTCAGGCAAGCTCGACAGACGTACATGGCTGCGGCTGTCAGTTTTTGGGTTGTGGCTATTGCCAGCGTTGGCGTGGGCGTCGTTGTCGTCGACGTTTCGTCGTATCGCCGCGTCCCCGTTTCACGACGCTCCTAAGGGTGCTTCTGACCAAAACTGTAGCCTTTGCTGCGTTATCTAGCGCATCGCCTATTCTACCAGAGTGCGGTAGAGTGAGGAGGGTGCTGATGCCTGGGAGAAGCCAGTGCGGCAGAGAGCAGAGCAAGTGATGTTTCCCACGATGTCTTCTTGCGCTATCATCAAATTATTTTGACGGTTTTTTCCCCCCCTACCTTAAGCCATGCCTGCCGGGGATAACTTTTTTAGCGTAGCGACAGGGGGGCGGTAACGAGACGACGTTAGTGGAGGATGGTGCCCCACATAGCTGAGTTGCTGCATGTGGTGCACTGATGCTGCCATTTGCAGGGGTGCGCGTTGCTCGACGCGAGAAACACGAAACAGCGCGTCTGGTGTTCAATGCCTGGCCCACCGTAGCTCGCTTCCCATTATAAGCGGACTCTGGGGGGGTGGAGGGGGCATTTTCACATCATCCAATCCATAGGAGGATCGTAACCCCATGAACAGCAGCCCACCACGGCTTTTCCTACTCCTCCTCGACGCCTTCTTCAAAATACTGTGCCCGTTGCTGCTAGCATGCCCATGCCCAAACCCATGCCTATGCCGCTTTCCTCCTAAGTACGCAACTGGAATTGCACCCGCAACCGCATCACACACAAAGCCATGTCCAAGGCGGCGGGCAAGCGCGACAAGTTCGCCAAGCTCCGCGAGCTGCGGAAGTCGGGCAAGACGGCCTTCGATGGCTACGAGGTCGCCAAGGTCGACGAGTTGTATGAGGAAGTTGACGAGAACCAGTACAAGACCATCGTTCGCAATCGCCTCAACGAGGACGACTTTGTCGTCGACGACAATGGCGAGGGTTATGCCGACGATGGCCGCGAGGAGTGGGATCGCGTCCCTCAATACGAGACGGAGAGCGACGACGACAGCGACTTGACGGGGGCCCGTAAGAAGGGCAAGGGGCGCACCAGTAAGTCTTGTCCTGCTTCTCTCTACCTGCTCCGGCACGCCGCACCCCGAAGCTGACACGCTGCCCTCCCCGTCTAGCCAAGAAACAGCGTGAAGAAGAGCTGGCCAAACAAAACGCCAATGACAGGAATATTTCAGAGTACTTCACCAAGGGCCCTGCCAAGACGCAGCCGAAAGCAAAGGTTTGTCGCTGAAAAATGGTCTTCGCTCGAGACTAGGGTTGCTAATTCGCTGTTTGTCCACACAGGTAATCAAGACAGAAGATGACGACAAGTTCCTCGCCGATCTGCTCGGCGAGGTCGACGCCAACATTCCTGCCCCGGCGCGTCGGCCAGCCAAGAAGAGAGACAGGTCGGCTGAGCGCAGAAAGGCGCGGCCCCTCTCCCCGGTGCGCGAGACCCGTCAGCCAGCCGCCAAGAAGGCCAAAGTGGTCGACGACAGACTGCCCTCGCCCGCCGCAGACGACGCATACATGGCGGGGGACGACGACTTCGTCCCTCACATGGACTACGAGCCTTTGCCCGCTGCCGACGCCATCATGAGCGATCCTCTTCCTTCGTCGCCCTCAGCCAAGATTGTCCAACGCCGAACGCAACTCAAGGCTGACGCTAACGAAGATGACGAGGACGAGGACGACATGATGGAGGTTGCCCATGCCGGCGCTGTGACGGTCAACAGTGTCAATATCTCAGCCGCCCGCCAGTTCAAGAAGATTATCAAGCCGGATCCGTACCCGTCGCCGGCCAGCTCGTCGCCGGTCAAGGCCGTAGATGCCACCGTTGATGCCTCTTCGTGGAACGACATCAGCCAGAAGCTTAACGTCATGTCCAGTTCGCAGGGCGAAACTAGGAGCGTCGGCAAGATCGACTACAAGGACGCCATTGAGCCCGATGGTAGCCTGAACATATTCTGGACCGACTACACCGAGGTCAATGGCAGCTTGTGTCTGTTCGGCAAGGTCCTCAACAAGAAGACGAAGAGCTACGTCAGCTGTTTCGTCAAGGTTGACAATATCCTACGGAAGCTGTACTTCTTGCCGCGTAAGCATCGCATAGAGTACGGCGAGGAGTCAACGGAGCAGGTCGAGATGATGGACGTCTACAACGAAATCGACACCATGATGACCAAGATGAACGTGGGCATGTACAAGATCAAGAGCTGCAATCGGAAATACGCATTCGAGCTTCCGGGCATTGAAAAAGAGAGCCTCTACATGAAGCTCTGCTACCCCTACACCAAGCCCCAGATCGACATGAACAAGACGGGCGAGACCTTCTCGCACGTCTTCGGAACTAACACGGCCCTATTTGAGCAGTTTGTGCTCTGGAAGAACATCATGGGTCCGTGCTGGCTGAAGATCCAGGACGCCGACTTTGGCTCCCTCAAGAATGCCTCGCATTGCCGGCTGGAAGTCCTGGTCGAACATCCCAACATGGTTTCGACGCTGAGCGAGGCCGACAATCTGGACGCGCCCCCTCTGACGCTCATGAGCATTGCCATGCGCACCGTGTTCAATGCTAAGGACAACAAGCAGGAGATACTTGCCGTCAGCGCCAGAATATACGAAGACGTGTCTCTGGTCGACACCACGCCTGCCGAGAAACTGCCCTGCCGCACCTTCACTCTCGTCCGGCCGCACGGCAGCGCGTTTCCTCTCGGCTTCGAAAAGATGGCCAAAGAGAGAAAGCAGGGTCTTATCAAGCTCATGAGACAGGAGTCGGAGATGCTGTCTTTCTTCCTTGCCCAGATTGACGTTGTCGACCCCGACGTCATTGTCGGGCACCAGCTCGAGGGCGTCGACTACAGCATCCTGCTAAACCGCCTCCACGAGAAGAAAACGAACCAGTGGTCTCGGCTCGGCAGGCTAAGGCGATCGCAGTGGCCGTCGTCCATCGGCAAGATAGGCAACAATGTATTTGCTGAGCGCCAGGTTATGGCTGGCCGACTTCTTTGTGATCTGGCAAACGATGCCGGCAAGTCAATCATGTTCAAGTGCACGTCGTGGAACTTGACTGAAATGTGCAATCTCTATCTTGCGGGCGAGCACAGCCGGAGGGAGGTGGACAACGAAGTTGCCCTCAAGACTTGGGTGACGACAAAAGACGGCCTGATGGCCTACGTGACGCACGTCGAGACTGACACGTTTTTTATTGCCGCTCTGGCCATGAGGGTTCAGATTCTCCCACTCACCAAGGTTCTCACCAATCTCGCCGGCAACTCGTGGGCGAGGACCCTCACAGGAACCCGCGCTGAGCGTAACGAATACATTCTGCTCCACGAGTTCTACAAGAACAGGTACATTTGCCCAGACAAGCAAGTCTTCAAGGGCCGAGCTCGTGTTGAAGACGAGAACCAGGATGGCGCAGAGGGCGGGGATGCGAAAAAGAAGGAGAAGTACAAGGGCGGCCTGGTCTTTGAGCCCGAGAAGGGCCTTTATGATAAGTTTGTCCTCGTGATGGACTTCAACTCGCTCTACCCCTCCATCATCCAGGAGTTCAACATTTGCTTTACCACAGTCGATCGATCATCATTGGTAAGTTGTTGAGCATCTATTGTTTCCGCGCTCATCGCTAACCTACGAGCAGTCAGACGATGGGGATGAGGTGCCCGAGGTTCCCGCCCAACAGGCCCAAGGTGTACTACCCAAGCTTATCGCAACGCTGGTTAGTCGCCGAAAGCAAGTCAAGAGTCTGATGAAGGACAAAAACGCCACCCCAGAGCAGCTCGCAACATGGGACATCAAGCAGCTAGCCCTGAAGCTGACGGCCAACTCCATGTATGGCTGTCTCGGATATACAAAGTCGAGGTTCTACGCCAGGCCCCTTGCTGTGCTCACGACCTACAAGGGCCGTGAGATTCTAAGAAGTACCAAGGAGTTGGCAGAGAGCAAGTCGCTGCAGGTCATCTACGGCGACACCGACTCTGTAATGATCAACGCCAATGTGGACAATGTCGCCGACGCGCTTCGGGTTGGCCACGAGTTCAAGAAGGCCGTCAACGAGCGCTACAGGCTTCTCGAGATTGACATTGACAACATCTTCCGCCGGATTCTCCTCCAGGCTAAAAAGAAGTATGCCGCCAGCAACCTGGTGGAGTCGGACGGCAAGTATATCGAGAAGATGGAGGTGAAGGGTCTCGACATGAAGCGCCGCGAGTACTGCGGCCTGTCAAAGGAGATATCCAAAAACATCCTCGAGGACATCCTATCTGGCGACGATACCGAGGTGTCCATTCAGCGTATCCACGAGTACCTACGCACGGTAGCCGTCAAAATGCGCGAGAATGCGGTTCCGCTGCACAAGTACATCATCTCTACGCAGCTTGGAAAGGCGCCCAAGGATTATCCCAACTCAGACAGCATGCCGCAGGTCCAGGTGGCCCTGCGCGACCTAGCACGAGGTAAGACCGTCCGAAAAGGCGACGTTATCCGGTACGTCATCACGGGCGACAGCAAGAACACGTCCGAGGCAGTAGCCAAGCGTGCCTACACGCCCCAAGACGTGATGAAGGCCGATTCGGGCCTCACCCCAGACGTCGAGTGGTACATTGCCAAGCAAATCTTCCCGCCCGTGGAGCGTCTTTGCGCCAACATTGTCGGTACCTCCACTGCCCAGCTTGCCGAGAACTTGGGACTCGACATTCGGCGCTATGTGAACAACAGCAACAATGGCAATTCGGGCGGCGGCAACGATGTTGAGATCCACCCCCTTGAGTCGCAGATACCCGACAACGTCCGCTTCAGCGACTGCGTGCGACTGTCCCTCCGCTGCCGTGCCTGCAAGGCGAGCGCGCCATTCGAGGGCCTACTTAGCTCTCCCGACCGCATAGCGCCCGGCGGAGTGGTCTGCCCGTCGTGCGGCGTCACGCTGTCCACGCTCTCGGTGGTCGCCCAGGTCGAGGCCGCCATCCGCGCCCAGACGGCCCGCTACTATGAGGGCTGGCTGGTGTGCGACGACCCAAGCTGCGGGAACCGCACACGCCAGATGAGCGTGTACGGCAACCGCTGCATAGGCCCCAAGGGTCTAGCCCGCGATTGCCTCGGACGCATGCGCTACGAGATGGGCGAGCGAGATATGTACAACCAGCTTGTCTACTACTCCAGCTTGTGGGATGTCGACAAGGCCCGCACCAAGGCCAGCGCCGCTTCCGTTGCTGGCTCGGACGCGTCTGTGCCGGCGGAAAGCAGGGATAAGATCCTCGCGCTAGCAGAGCACAATCGCGTTCGCTTTGGTACCGTCAAGGGCGTCGTGGACAAATACCTAGACAAGTGCGGTCGGCAGTGGGTCGCTATGGATACCCTGTTTACAAAGCTCGGATTCTCTGCTGTTTGATCGTGATTTGGGAGGCGACCAAAGGAGGCGTGCGTACGTGGTCCGTTGGGTTGAGAGGGTAGCAGCTAAATTGTATGTATTACTAGCCTCGTGTTGGATTGAGCCGAAGGGCATTGGACAAGCATGTATTTGCTGTCAGGAAACGGCGGTTATGATTGCGTATATTCGTTTATTGTTTTCGGCGAGACACGGCTTAGGCTAGGCGTTACATCAGACGGTGTTTTTGTTTACGGACGAGCATGGCTGTATATGGCCTCGAGTGTAACTATTCCTTCGGTTTGATTCTAATGTCCACACTGCGTCTTGACTTATGTCTATCCACTGGAAATGACAACGGCGAGTTGAACAAGCTTATGCATGGCCAGAGCCTTTGTTGAAGGGGATGGTATGTTATTGATGTCGCTGCTGCAAGTTTACTACTCGACCAGCCATGTCGATCCATATACACATTCACAAGAGCGATTCAAGGCCACCGAGTGAAGATATTCCCAGAAACGGCACGATATTATTATTCCCACATTCCCCAATCTTATAGGTGTGATGTTACGCAATCGCAGAAGGAAGCGAGCGCAGCAGCAAGTAATAACAACCTATCTGAAAGCCAAACCGGCCAAAAAAGCCATTGCATGACATGAATGAAGCGAGGTGGTTGAGCATACAGTGTGTGTACCGGTCGTCAACGCCTGTCCCGTCGTCCTACAACGCAAGCTGGCTGGCTGGCTCAACCACACAGCCGACCACAAACCCTTGCATATGTGTATGTATACGACCACACCCTTCTCGCTTCTTCGTTCGTCGTTCATCCTTTGTCGTGCAGTCCAGAGGAGTTCGTGCCTCCTTTCGCCTCTCCATCGTTTCCCTCGGCCGACATGTCAGCCCGCCCACCCGGGTTGTGTGCCGACGACCCCTTATCTCAAGACTTTGGGCGAGTATGTACTGTACATACTTGATCGCCAAACCCTCTTCTCTCTTTCTCTGACCCTCTCCCTCAGTCTAGATCGGCCAACACGCCCCCTCCTTCACTGTAGATATCCCAACAACAGCGAGGTGAGCAAACAAGAGCACACGAAAGAGCGAGGCAAGCAGCAAAGAATGAGCAAGTAGGAAACAGAGTGACTGGTACAGAAAATACAACAAAAAACACTGTCAAAATGGTTCTCTCTCCCTCATGCCTTGCATTCGAGAACAAACTCTCCCACGCCACCAGGCAGGCACGAGCTTCCGGTGTGAGGAAATAACAGAGATAAAACCCCGAAACACAGAGATGCACATCCATATTTGTCTGCCACCGCATGAAGCTAAATTGAATAAAACCATCCTTCTTCCGGAACTCTCGTCATGTTGCCTGCTCATGTCGCGATCATGGCAAATTTCTCTAATATGCCACTGCACTCGGCCGCCCTTCGCGTCTTCCCAAATCATTTCCCGGCTCATTCTCTCTCCCCTCGGACAAGACACAAACTGTCAGAGTAGGGGTGGCAGAACCAACACGAAAAAGATGAGAAAAAAACACCAAAGCAGAGGCAATGCACAAAGGGCTCTGAAGGGTAGGAAAGCACCGAATGTATTAGAAAGAGATAAGCAGGGACCTCCTTCCCCAGTGCCTTCTGCAAAGAGCAAAAATGCATAGAGACTTTTTAAAACATATAATCAACACAAGGGTGGAAGTGAAAGGTAAGCCCATCCCAACTCCACGAAAGAAACAAAGAAATGGGTGGTTGTGCAAAACGTCTATCCGAATGGGGGGAGGTATCATGAATGAAGGGGCGCAACTCTTAGAAAACAGTTTTGTAAAACCCCGCCGCAAATGCAAATAGCAAACCCGCCCGGTCTATGCACAAGTTATGGAGGCAAGACACCGTGATCTAATGGAAAAAAGACCCTCTAGTTCCCCTTCTTCGCGTCGCTGTTTGCCGAGTCAGGCGCTACCTTGGCCAACGCCGGCGACGCAGCGGTTGATGGAGGTGAAGTCGGGTGTTCTCCTGTATCGGCGAGAAGACTGTGTCTCTTGTTAGCACCGAGGCATCCTTTCACGTGTCTTCCCTCGCTCGGAAGACTGCTTACCCAAATGCATTTGTGTGGGCAACCGAATCGCGCGTCGGCGGGGTTCCAGTGCGTGAGGATGCACCAGAGTCCTCGCCGCCCCGTCCAAAAGCACCACCGGGGCCAGCTAGTCGCCGGCCGCTGTTGCTACGAGAGCTGAACATGGACGTGGGCCCGAAGCCAACGTTTTGGCTCGACGAACGGCTCACATTTCCCTTGAGTCGTCGTAGGTCATCCATACCAACCTGGTTCGGGGCTGGTTGCGTGTACGAGAAGTTCCGAGCGTCTCCGCGGCCAGATTGCATGCGTCCGCCTTGCGGTCCCCGTTGGCTGCTGCGCGCGCTCTCGGCCGCCTTTAGGGCAATTGCCGCCTCGGCCTGTGAAGAGTGTCAGTTTCATGATCAAGAGAGATGCGTGGCGATAAGTACATACCTCAGCTCTAACTTCCTCCAGTGTCTTGGGGCCCTTGTTCGTATCCTTGGAGCTCCAACGCTGCCGGCGGAGATCAACAATGTCCATAAGCATGAACTTCAGGCGACTAGGAAGGTCTGGAAGCGCAATGATCGATTCGATACGTTGGAAGTACACATCCATCATCGGCCGGCCCTTGTCGGTGCTGTCCAGATTACCGCCGATTGTCCGTAGAAGTTTGGTCAAAGACTCGATCTCGGCCTCATCGGGGATGCCCTGGAACTCGAGCAACTTTCGCACACACTCGTGCATGATGCGTTCCGTAAGCATACCAAGTTTGTAGAGCTCACCAATGAACTGAACGAGACCCAAGCCGCGTCGCTTGGCAGCCGCAGCAATGTAGTACTCGTCCGACAGCAGGACGGCCTCGCCGCCCTTCTTGTCGTCTCCTCCCTGAACCTCCGGGAGGTCGACCTTCCATCCACGTTCGAACTCCTCTTGGCATCGGTTGAGGAGATACTTGCGGAACAGAGCACCGCCGCTGACAACATTGCCCTGCTTGTCGAGGATGTTCTCATCGCGGATCTCGGAGCTCATCATCTCAAGCATCCGCTTGCAGAACTTGGCATACATGGACGCCCAGTGCGCCTCGTCGGTCGCCTTCTCAAATGTGAGCTGAATGACTTGCCGCAACGTGCGGCCGTCTGCCTCGTTCTTGGACTGCCCAGCAATAGCGAGGATCTGATCCGAAATCTTGTCAAACTTCTCAGGTGTCATCTTGTTCAGAGCAGCTTTGACCTTTCGCTGCACCATTTCGGGATCGAGATTGCCGTTCGGGCCAGCTGCGGCCGTGGAAGCCTGCGAGCCCTTGCTGAAAACACTGGTTGGCTTCCAGCCTGTGGATGTGATGGCAATTGGCTTGAGGTCCATGTTTTGGGTAAGCGGCATGGTCTTAGCAGCCTGAGCTTCTCCCTTGTGGCTGTAATCAGTCCTCTTGCTACCGCCACCGCCGCGCCTGCTTTGCGTGCGGGGCGATCCAGGCATACCACCGCTGTTTGTCGAGGAAGGAGTACGAGCCGTGAACTGGCCTGGGCCAGGGAAGGTACCCGCACGGCCGCCTCCAAAGGCCGGCACGTTGGATCGGCCGAGGTTGCCTCCCGGCATGTTGCGGAACTGGTCCCCGATGGCAGGGGCAGGAGTCTTGAAGGTGCCCATGGGTTGAGGGAAACCACCTGGGGCACCGCCAGCCCGAGGTCGTCCGGCTCCCGGGCCGGGAGTTCGTGCAGTCGCAGACCGAGAGCCATCAGAATCGCCAATGAGAGACTTGACCTGCTGGTGGAACTCTAGAGATGGCTGCTCAGTGAAGACATTTTGGAATTGGAGGAGGAACTGCGCGTCATACTTGAACACCTTGCCTTTCTTGTGGACAGCGGCGTTTAGGGCCGGGTTGGGCGAAGCAATGCCTGCAGGGTAGATGTTGTATTCCACGCCTTGCAGGAAGCGCGAAGACCTCAGTGACTGAAGTGCGGCGCTCGGCTGGGGTGCTTCGACAGGCTTTGTGTTGAGCGGAGCTAGGTTGAGAGGGACAGGCTTGCTTCTCTTCTCAGCCGCGACCGCCTTTGCTCCGGAAGCTGAGCCAGCATCGGCAACGCTAGGGCTAGCAGCCTTATCCGAAGGCGAAGATGCTGTCGCGTCCTTAATGTCGGAGAGCTTGAGGCTATCGATCTTCTTAGCCAGAAGGTCGGCTACGGACTCGCCGGCGGTACCCTTCGACTCGTTCTCCTTTCGCTTTCGCTCACGCTCTTCTTCGAGTCTCTCCATCTCTCGCTCCTGCTCGCGAAGCTTTCGGTCGTTCTCAGCATCCGTTATGGCCTTGTTAGCCTCAGCCGCCTTCTTGGCAGCTGCCGCCTCGGCCGCCTTCCTAGCAGAAATCTCGGCTTGCTGCTTCTCACGAAGAGCATCTGCCTCCTCCATCTCGCGGACCATGCGGTCCATATATTCATCCTCTGTCTCAGTAGGGACCGCGGATGACTTTTCCTCCTCCTGCTTCTTCGCAGCTTCTACAGCAGCGTCGGCCTCAGCCTTTGCCTTAGCGTCGGCCGCAGCCTTCGCCTCGGCTTCGGCATCCTTTCTTGCTTTGGCGTCCTCTGCAGCCTTGGCGTCCTCCGCAGCCTTGGCAGCCTCTGCCGCCTTGGCCTCTTCAGCAGCCTTTGCTTCTTCAGCAGCCTTCTTTTCGGCAGCCTCCTTCGCGGCAGCAAGACGCTGTTCCTCTTCAACTCGGGCAGCCTCCTTAGCCTGCTCAGCTGCAGAAGCTTGGTCCAGTTTGGCCTTCTCAGCTGCAGCTTCGTCGTCCTTCGACTTACTGACACCTGGGCTTTCGACAGCAGCAGTACGAACAGCCGACATGAACTCGTTCCGGAGCTGCTCGGCCGACTTGTTACTGGCAGCATTGGTGCTGTCAGACCGACCGTGTGCTGGCGTTGAAGGCTTAGGTGGAGGCGTGGGAGTCGAAGCAACGACAGGGGGGGTCCTGGTGTTCTGAATGCTGGGAGCTGGCGACGCCGGAGACTTGATCGCGTTCAGGTCGAGAATGTTGCCTGCCTGGTCCCTGATGACGATATTTCCCTTTTTGGGCCGTGTGAAGGTGGAAGAAGAGACGACAGCAGGAGCCTGCTGCGCAGGGCGTTGCTGTGCGGTGCCTTGAGCGACGACAGATGCCGGAGGCTGGCCAGTGCTGGAGGCTGGACGGTCTGAAACTTGCGACGGGTTGCGAGACATTGCGGTAGCCGCGACGGGTTGCGCTTGGCCGTATGGCTGAGCATAAGAACCGGGGTGGAAAGCTGGAGCGGAGCCTTGTGGGGGTTGGCTCATCTGGCCCATGTAGGGTGGCATCTGCTGCATTTGCTGCATCGCCTGCATCTGCTGCGGGGTATACTGATAGCCCTGTGGCATCAAGACTTGGCCGTACTGATTCATATTGTAGGGGTTGGGATTCATCTGCTGTAGCTTTCCTGTTAGCAGGTCCTCAAATTGCCCGGTTTCTGGTGACAAGTCAATGTGTCCCATAAACTGGGGAGGGAGCACAGGAACAGAACGCAAAGGAACAAAGTCGTAGCGATGTTGTGCTCCATCTGAATACTCTGGCGCTGGCAGGCCGCCGTTCGTATTTTTATGGACCTCCGGTCCCGCGTCCCAACGCTTGCTGTGGTGTCGCGGCCGAGGAGTGATATCCGAGCTTGACTGCTTGACTGAAGAACTGGGCGGCCGCGGATGGGATTTCTCCGAGTCCCGACGCGCCCCTTTGTTCTTCCGGAATGGCTTGAAAGAGGAATGTTCGTTGCTAATGAGGGGGGGATTTACTTGTGGCTGGTGGTGAGCATAAATAGGCATGTTGGGTTGGTAGTATGGCTGGGCGGGTGCTAGGGCAGCCGGGGTCATGGTAGGCGTTCCTCCGTGATGGGGCATGGCCGGAGCTGTGGCAGGACTGGCTCGGTGCGGCTGCGGAGAGTGAGAATTGGGAAACTGGCCTATGCCGCCTCGGCCCTGGTGGTAGGGCATTCCACCGCGACCGCCATTGCCGCGCGGATACGGCTGGGCGGGCGGGAAGCCCATGGTAGGCTGCTGGTTGTATTGGTTGAAGTTGCCGTGACCACCGTGGCCGCTGTGGCCGCCGCGACCGCCACGACCGCCTTGATAACCACCACGACCGTGACCTCCGTGGCCAGCGTCGCCATGAGCGGATGCCTGAGAGTCTCGTCGAGCATGAGGGCTCTGGCCCATTGCACCCTGGTTGTGGGAGATGGAATGTTGCTTCATGTGACGCTGAGCAAGACGCAAGGTTAGCGACGAAGCAGTAGAGAAAATCAGGGACTGGCACGAGAAATTGGTGCTTACGTCATTCTCGCCCGGGAAGCTTCCAAATGTAACGGCCGCCTGGGGATTTAATGGGGCTCGTTGACCGCCGCTCTGCTGCTGCGGGATGGGCGATGGCGAGGTTGCCGGAGACGGAACCCTCGCACCGGGGATGGGAATAGGCCCAGCGACACCAGGTGTGGGCGAGCTAAGAGCAACCGAGGGCGACTCAAAGCCAAACTTGGGAATGGTCTTGTTACCTCCCACGGGCCCTCCGTTGATATGGCTGGGAGCGTTGGCCGCGCTAATGGTGACAGAGCTCTTGCGGGCGTGCTGCTCACCGGGTCCGCCGTTGGGGATCTGGCTGCGAACAATGGGAGGCACGGCCCCGGCGGGAAGTGCCGGCGTGATGTTAGGTCTGCCGTTCATCGGCGCTGTGGTAGGCGACTTTCCATTCTGAGCAACAATCGCAGGAGAGGCCGCAGCCTGTAGCGGAATCTCGTAAGATCCCGTCGCGATCAGCGGCGTCGTCGTCTTCGGCTTGCCACCGGCCGCGGAAGCATACGTGGCAGTAGAAGTGGTCGGCGACGGGGTTTGATTCTGTTGACTCGCAGTGGAAGTCATAAGGGGAATCGGGTGACTCGAAAGCCGTGTTCTTTTCTGGCGCTAGGTTCGCGGGTGGGTGAACTGAGGGTGGAGGGTGGCTGAGATGATCGGTCGGGTGAGGACGTCGAATCTCAAATCCGACAAGTCGCCCAGACAAAGGGAATGATTGTCTTTGCGAAAAAGAAAAGACGCCCGTTCCTATGCGAGCGGATCGTTCCGGCGGGATTGTAGGCCTGGAGGACGCGAGCGCACTCGATGATTAGGGTGGGTTTGGGAAAAACCTGAGGCAGTTGACGCAAAAGTCTATGGTCAAAGAGCGTGGTGGGTGGTTTGGGGCAAAAATGTTGCAGCCGACCGAAGAGTGGACGGCGAACGGCTTCTCGTGGCCCAACACTCGCAATTAAGAAGAGTGGAGATGTATCTCGATTCTCTAGGTCTTGTCCCGAGAATGAGAATACAAATGATATTATGGGGGAGAGAAGAGAACCCGTCGACAGAAAGTTAATCCTCCTTGGGTTCTTCACAAGCGGCTGTGAATGATGATGAAAAAATGAGGAAGCGGCCAAATTTTTTTGGGGGGGAAGCCGCTCTAAGATAGCGCAGCAGAGGAAGGGGGGGGGGGGGGGGGGGGGGGTGCGCCGCCCTGCGTTTTCGCACCGAATCCTAGTCTGACGCCCCCACAAGTACCAAATTCACTTTAATTGCAGCCACCGGTACATACTTGGCACCCTATTTGTCGCGCACGCCTTTTTCGTCGTCTCACAGTTGGTCCTTCCCTTCTTTTGCAAAGCTCAACTTCGTGTTGCACTGCTTAAACTCCCGCTAAAACCCAGTGGCACGCGTTCTTTGAGAACCGCCCCAGATCTGGAAATACCTTCGCGCAGCGCTCTAGGGAAGGTGTTGTAAAGGCCCTAAATGTGATTTGCCTCTCTTTCCCAAGTCTTTTCCTCTCTCTGATGTCCGATACGACATAACGGGATGAAGTGTGACCCTCTAAAAAATACTCGTCCCAAAAGCCCTTGTCATTTATTGAATACATCAGACCATGCTGTCCTCTCAATCATTTCCTTCCCATCTCATCTATTCCTCTAGTCCTAGTATCCCCTTATTTCAGAATCCACTTGCGCGCAATGCTCTCGTGCTTGACGGCCAAGGGGGTGTTTGAGGCGAGAAAGATGCCGAGGGCGGGCATAATGGCATCCGCAGTAGCGTCTGATAAGAGTTAGCACCGCACTCCCGCACTCCAGAAGAATAAATGACATACCATCTATCCTATAGAGCTGGAGTTTCGTTTGGGAGAAATTGGGAATGTCGCCTCCATTCTGGATGTCGACGGGTCGCTGGAGAACAGCGGCGCCGTGGGCGTGAACCAAGCATGCATTTACACCAGCAATCTCGAAATTGTTTTGGCGGTTTTCGAGAATGTCGAAGCGGTTTGCGAGATTGTCGAAGCGCTGGTTCATTTGCTGCTCCATTGCATTGATGCGGTGATTCGTCTGCTGTGTCAAAGCGTTCATCTACTGTCCCAGAGTCTAGACGGCATCGAGGAAGTTCTGCTGGTTCTGAATAGCGCCAATGTTGGCGATGCGATGAGATTGAACACGCAGAGTGTCAAATGCGCCGGCGATGACATCAGGCTCGGGGAGGGCGTCCATTGTGAGGGTGCGAAATGGCAACGCGAGAATGGAATGGCTAAGGCAAAGCTTGCGAGAGACGAGCGAAAGAAAATTTAGTTGGAAAATTTTGGTTGAAGAAATAGCGAAAAGGATGGAGGAGGCATTCTTGTTGGTGGGGTTGACTTAAAAGTTGAGCTCTCCATTCTAGAGCTACCCAGGTGTGGGGGACGGAAAGACACGGCAGCCGCAACCAACTCAGATGAGCTAATTTAGGTAAGAACAGCCAACAGAAGCAGTAAGAGCAGCCGTACAAGGCGATACCCTTCAAGGTACTAGTAGACCTAAGGTACCTACGGCAGCTTCCAGTTCAAGCTGAGCCATGTCTTCCAGCCCGGCGAAATGCCAAATCACGACAAGTCAGTGAGCGTTCGTGCCACAACTCGTTCGTTTTCTGCTGTGAGCACGGAGGGGCAATACTCGACAAGGCCAAGTGGTCAGTCCCGACATGTAGACACATTACCAATCTTTATCTTCTCCCGCCGAGATCAAGGTGCCCTACACAATAAGCTTGTTGAACGCCCACTTGGAGTTAGGTAAACGCCGCGGCGATGCTGCAAGCCTTTAAACTACATTAAATAACATACATATTACAATTGAGGTGCCTTCCATTGGCTCGTACAATCCAATCCCGGAATGTTTGTTAGCGGACGACTTTTGCTCGGCCTCAAGGCTTTTCGCCGAGTGAGGCAATAACTATTAGAACCCCTATTCTAGAATCCTAGAGGCCTAGGTATCTCTTCTCTAAAAGTGCCCATTGATTAATTAAAGGCTTTTGCCTTTTTTTTTTTTTTTTTTGCTGGTTTATTTGCGATAATATTCTCCTTGTTCCCAGGTACCAAGCCAACAAACTTTCAGGGACTAGAGTGTGCACTACGGACAGGACTCTGCTTTAGGATGTGGTTGGTTGACTCCGTATCCTATTCAACAACTAGAAACCTGACAGGTGGTTTTGATGGTTCCCCAGAACCTTCCTCCGAAGAATTTCAAGTTACCTTGCAAATACGTAGACTCATTGATGATTATGAATAAATATAGAATACTGATATATGCCCTGTAATTCCAATCTCGGGGACCAGAAACCAACCAGGCAAGTCAGATATAGATACCAGACATGTACCTCAGGTACCTGGGATACATCGCAACCTACTTGGAGCTTGCGATAAATCTACCACGACGGTCTTTGCTCCTCGGCAGTGGAGCCCCGGGACCAAGCGCCAACTAAGTACTGTGGCTACAACACACTCTGATGGAAATGGGCTTCTTTTTTCGGAGAATGCCTCCGAGTAGAATCCTCGGGAGGAGGACGTCAAAGCTCCTAGCTTGCTGGGCCCTCTCCTCGCCTCGACACACTTCTATGAGGCGAGGACAAACAAGGGGGAGGGGAGGAAACGGCAACTCGGGATGGTGAACGTGCGCCTGCGGCGAGGGGGGCGCCTTCCTCGGATGCCACAGTCATCTGCTTTTCTGAATAATACTACGGAATAGAATCCAGTTGCCTTATTGGAACCGAAAGGCAAAGGCAACGGTATGTTTTTTTTTCCTTCTCCAAGGATTTCTTTCTTTCTTCTAGGCCGACGGAAGCTTCCCTCCACAATAAAGAGGATCTAGGAAAAACTCATCCGGGTATCAAGGGAGCCTTCGACCTGAGGCTCGCGACTGCCACACGTGCTGATTGGGTCAAGTCGTGCAGAGGTAACCTGGGAAAATGCTGGTTCTTTGCGGGTAAAAATGCTACTAAATCAATCCGGGACCCACCTGAGAAGCCCGCAACCCAGAAGACGCTTTGCTTGTGCGCCTCTCCAATTTTTTTTCCAGCAACTGGCCCGGGCGCTGGCGCTGCACTGTACCTACAAGGCACGTTTGAAGTTCGTACAGTGCAGCAGGACCGCGGCGAACGCGGTCTGAGGACGGGAATGCCTCGACTCACCATCTCAGCCCAATGACCGCGTCGGGGGAGGGTGGAGAGGATCTTGTGCGACCGAAGGCGAGCCAAGCTCCCGCCCCGTGGAAAATGCTTCTCTGCAGCGTCTGCTTTTGGGTCTAGGTACCTACTGTACTGTATTTAACCCGAACTTATCCCAAGAACGCCTGCGACGCGATCTTTGGATCCGCCATCTCGCATTGCCAATCCTCCTGTGCTGTCGATCTGGGGAGAGCAGCAACGGCGATCAAAAGGACAGAAAAAGCAAGAGAGAGCCAGCAACAAACAGGATGTCCGTTTGGGGGGAGGGCTTCCGCTCAGACAAGCCACAGGGGATATGATGGAACATGGAGATTGCAAACGTCTGAGGTAAAAGCGTCACAGCGGCAAAAGGCTTACCGCCAGGGCCCACGAATCAACTGGCGGCCTGTGCGGCATTAGCATCGAAGCCTTTTTTTTCTTCTTCTTTGCTTACGGGAAATACCGCTACCTAGTTGAGATGTGTTGAAGATGTCTGTCTCTAAATGGCCTCATGTCCCACTCGCCGCATAGAACGAGCGATGCGATGGTGGCAAACGAAATGCTTCGAAAAGGGGCCAGAGGGCGCTGTCTGTTTAGTTCCCCCGCGGCCGCCGCCGCGAGTGGCCTCCAATGTGCGCCCGCTGTTTTCGGGCGTACGAATACTGCGTAGTGGACCGACCACCGTCAGTTGTGGTTGACTGGTAACTTTAGGTTTAAGGCTTTGGGCACAGCTGGAGACTCCAACGGGCAAACGCCAAGGGCCAATCGTCACAGGGTGGGCAGATGGCTGCGAGTCCCGTCTGGAGCCTCATTCGCTACCATCTCTCGAAACCCCCCGCGAATCGAATCGCGAGACTGCAAGCACTGGTTGGTTTGTCATGACTCACCCGATGGGTTGCGTCTGTCTTGTCTGCCTTCCCTCTTGCCGACGACGTCTGATGGGCAAACACCTAGCCCAGTCCCAGTCGGTCGGAATCGGAGTCGGAGGGGGTCTCGCAAGCAAGCTCTCAGGAACGAACAACGGCGGGATTGTGGCTCATCAGATGTCGCCCTAAGTTGCCTGTGCCTCCTAGGCCGCGAGAAGACCACACCACGCCAAGACAGGCTGCTAGAAACAAAAGGCTTTCCGGTTGAGCGCCCCTTTACTCGCCCTTAGGGCAGTGCGTGTGGGCTGCAAAGTGACGACAGGCGACAGGACGGAGGGAAAGAGAGAAGAACAAAAAAAACCGACCCCAACCCCAACCAGCTGCATGTCATCATCGACGGATCGCATTCCACGCCAACCTCCTGCAGGCAGCACATCCTTAAAATAGGTGCCCGTAAGTTGGTGGATCAGCTACCTACTCCGTATGTACATGTACAGTATGTACCCTAGCTGTTTGGGGAGGCTTGCGCTATGCATGTGCTGTGCTGCACATCCTGTCCACATACAGAACGCTACCTAGGTAGCTACCAGCAGCCCAAGAGAATTCAAGGTAGCCAGGATGTCGCTGCACGCAATACCGAGTGGACCTAGACTTCCAGAAGTGTGCTAGTTGGAGCTTTTGATATATATACCTGCTCCGCATCACGTAAAGATAATAAGGCAAAAAGCCCCTTAAAAACACACGGGTGTTGAAGAACTGTCAGCAAGAAATGCCTCAAAGTTCTTGAAACAAATGATGGCGTTCTCGATTGAAGGACAATGCCGCGCGCACAGCATCTTTGACGAAATCTTGGTTTCAATTTGAGACACGGTCACACAGCGAGATTTGGAGGACAGAAAAAATACATCATTCACCTGCTCCCTAGGTAATGAACAAAGAACTCCCCCACAACGCCGCAGCCGTCATAGCATACTCCACAATACCCTCGACGATGTTCAATCTTCTTCAACCTCAAAGCCCTCGACTTGGACTACTTCCTCCCTCTCTTCATCAGCTCCCCCATCAACCACTTCGGGAACCTCCTCTTCGGGCTCCGGCAGAGCTTTGGGTATGGGGGCCTCGTCAGGTAGCCCGCGCTCAGCCCTCAGTTGCTTGATGCGGGTGTTGGTCATTTCGTAGACGTATTGACCAAGGTGTTCTACGCCTTCCATCACCGCTTCCTCGGGCACCTCTTTGCCTGCTTCCTCGGACAGGATGCGCTCCGATGGCCACATCTCGCCCGTGACGAGACTCAATTTGTCAGGCCGCTTCAGGAGAAGCTCAAACGCTTGACGAAGCTCGTAGCAAGCCTCGAATACGGCACGCCGGCCCAAAATGTACAAACCAAGTCGTGCACGAGAGAGGGCCACTGTGAGACGGCGGATGTCACGAAGATATCCCACCTTCGAGGTACGCGTCAACGACAAAATGATGTCTGCAGAGACGTGTTAGTATTCACAAGGCTCCATTTCTCAACAGCACTAGGGGCGGACAGTGGACTTACAGTCGTTTTGCTCGCCCTGATATTTATCGACAGTGGTAACGATCCTCGGCAGACCGAAAACGGGGGATTTGGCGCACCGATGGGCTAGCACATCTTTGATTAGGGCCCTCTGACCTGCATATGTAGCGAGAATGCTGATTTTGGCAGCTGGATAGCCCAAGAGTCGCATATACTGGAATATGGCCACAGCATACTCGGCTTCGCCCAGATTCTGGATGAAGTGAGGCGTGGGCTCTGACTCCCCCCTGCCTTTGTAGTCGGGGACGTTGATAAACTGATAGTCGAACCTGAAGCCGGCATTTGCCGTCAAGAATTCCTTGTGACTCTGCGTGTGCGGAAGGTCGCCTAGCTGGGGATACCGCCACCTATACAGATCTGCGATCGAAGGGCGAGCACGCCCTTGCTGGTCGAGGCTGATGGTTGGGACACCAAGGCGGACAAGCCGAGAGAAGAGAGACTGTTCCAAGTTTGCATAATGTCGGAACGCCAGGTTCTGGATCACGGGAGAATTCTGGTAATGGTCGCCGCATAGAACCACCCTTTGCAAAGCCATCTGTCCGTCCTTGGGCTTCTGAAGGGCCAGTGGGATGAAATTCTCAATCTCAGTGATCTGAGCAGCTTCTTCCATGACGACGTTGTCGTAATGGAAGCCAAGAGACACAATCTCTTTTCTTCTCATCGCAGCATGAGTCGAGGTCATGGCAATGATTCGAGCTTCGTTTGTCAGTAAATAGTTGGCCTTGTCCCTCTCGCGGCGTAAAATCTCGAAGGGCAGAACATCCGCCAGCTCGGCAAAGATTTTCGAAATGTGCCGGTAACAGCCGTTTGCAACCTCCAACACGGTCTCACGATCCGCGTCTGGAGCAAAAAGGGGCTGAGGAGCATCAGCGAAGTAGTAGTAGAAAGGGAATGCTTTGACAATGGTCTCTGCAGTTATATCTTCGGCCTTGGTGAGATCTGTGAACTTGGCCCATGCCGGTTCCACGTAGACAGCGTTGAAGTAACCAGCAGTCTCGGCCGAGTTCCCGTGAGCACCTGGCGCCCCTATGGTAGCGGCGAGACGGTTAACTTCCTGGAGATAGCGGTCTCGGTTTTCTAAGAACGATTCCACTCTCCCGTGCTTGCTAAAGCTGCCCTCGGTTTCTAGATCTTCCTCGCCATGGCCCAGCCGTAGAAGGTGGCGCTCATCAATGTCTAAAGCAACTATCTTGGCAAATAGCTGATTCAAGGCTTGGTTGCTGTGTGCGATGAGTAGCGTTCTCTGCTCCGGGAAGTTGTGGTATATATTGTTTATGATTTGAGTGGCGACGTCGGTCTTGCCTGTTCCCGGAGGGCCGACGACTATCGTCAGCCCCGGTTGTGTGCCAGAAATTATGGCATCGATCTGGGTGGGTGTGAATCGCACAGCATTGAGCTTTGGCGCGTCGACTGGATAAGGCCCGTTGTTCGGCGGCTTATAAGTTGAGACTTTCAACGTCTCGATATCGGCGATGAGAGCTGGCTCGGCATCGCGCCTCCTCTTCTTGGAAGGTTTCGAGGCAATCTGCTCAACTGGCCGGTCAACATTCTCGAGGACATACGGGGGACCAAAACTCCCCGATACGTCATCGTCAGGCTCGACGGTCTTTCCCGGGAGGCTTTCGATGAGGTGATGCCAGTCCAAAAAGGTATCTCGATAGTCGATCTTCTTGACGCGGTTGGAGAGCTGCTTGTAGTTAGCACCAGCTGGGTCCCCATATCCTAAGAAGACCTCATGGAGCCAAGAAGCCAGCGGGACGTCGGATAAGGCAAGATCCCTGATAGACTCCAGCACCGGTCTGAAGTTGTTTTCGCGCCCGCTTCGGCGGACAATGAGGTTGATTGAATCATAGATATTCCGCTTGCCATCCGTGTCCTCCATGTAAGCCTTTGCGTCAAGTCGGAGCTGAACAGTTCTTGAACCACTTCGGCTGTGCCCATCAAAATAAGCTTGGGCGTCACGGATCGCCCGCCCCTTGTCGTCCAAGATTTGGATAACCTCGGCAGCGCGGACTGAGACTAGACCAAGCCTCTCGGCTTCGGTCAAAGGGCTGCCGCCATTTGCCGCCATCTTCGTCCTTGAAGCATCCACTGCAAGAAGGAAGACTACGTCGTCAGGGCGCAACGACTCCCACTCGCGTCGGACATGTTCGGATAGTTTCCGCACATCAATGCTAACTTCGGCTCGCACCTTTGACGGAACATCGCTGCCAACGGCGGGTGGGACAACTTCGAGAATACTACATAGAATGATTAGCCCTGTAGTCTGTTGCACTCAGTCGGAGCGTACTAACGTTGGTTTTGCGATGGGCAAAGCCATTTTTGAGAAGCCCGTGAATGTTATCTCTCCTGCCCGCTTAGACTCGGGTTTTAACCTAGTCAAGACGTCCTCGATATTCTGCCGGATGGCATAGAAGGACTCGCAACGGTAGAGAACCAAGGCCCGCCAGAGAAAGTCACCGACCGACAGATACTGCAGGTTGAGCTTTGGGAGAGCCAGAGGCCGGGAGCCATCATAATTGCCAGTCCTCCCGAGGACAATCTCGAAAAGCGTATCCTCGGTAGGGAGCACAGTCAGGTCGTGCGCAGTGTCCTGGAAGGTCTTCCGCCGCTCAAAGGTAGACAACAAGACCTCGACAAGAAACCTGCGGTCGATAGACAGCTTCGAGGGCTCCGGGTAGGCAGTTCGGAGGTGCAACAGCTTGAACAGCTGCTGGAGCTCTTCATCTGTCAGAGGATCAAGGAGCCCTTGAAGCTCTGATCGCTTGTCAATGGACCCGTAATTCGACAATGCCAAGACGGTCAGCTTCTCTTTAAAGTGTTTCAAGGCGGTTCGCTGCAGCTTTGCCAGACTCTGGCAATGCCGGTCATAGGCCTCGGTTCTGTTATGCTGAGCCCCTGTCTGGTCATCCACGTTGAAATACGTATAGTGAGAAAGGAGAGCAGAAAGATCGCGCAAAAGGTTGTTTACTTCGTCATTATACACCGGCGAGAGGCTCAGAGCAGGCAGTACGTGGAGATCTTGCAAAAGGGAATTGACATAGCGTCTTGTCGGGAGCTGGCTCTCGAGGTCCGTCAAGAACTCGACAAAACGCTCGCAATATAGCACATGTTCTGCGGCCAGGTTTAGCAGAAGAACATGAATAAAAAAAGGAAAGAGAAAGACGCAAACTCACCTTGCTTAGCACTATTCGAGTACAGCAGAGTCAGGAAGTCCAGTACTAAAGTATATAGCCAGGATCTCTCGAAGCGCAGTCGCGCTTTTGTGGCATCGTCGGCCGAGTCGTATCGCTTAGCCGACGCCCTCCAAGATTTTCTCAGATGAGGTTTCGAATCAAGCAGCTCATCCCGCTTCTCGGCGGACGATAGGTTGTGCCAGATGGAAATAGCCACAAGAGGGACGCACTCCTTTCGGACAATGTCGCAATCAAGGCTCTGGAATGCGTGGATGATGAAGAAGAGAACGTGGGTCTTGATGGTCAAGGGAAGAGAATTGTCGAGCGTCATGGACAGCGCGCGGCGGAAGAGGTCCGAAAAGTCGGCTGGGCGGCCATTGAAGATATCTAGGTGGGCTGTCAGCGGCTGTCACACCACGGCAGGCCAGAGAACCTACCCCAGGTATCCAGGCGCTCCCTCCGCTTGGCATTGACGATCAGGACGATCAGAAGAACGTGGTAGTTGGAAGATTCTTCGCCATAGCCAGGCCACAAGTAGCTATAACAGAGTGTCAGCCAAGTGCATGGGCGTTGAACGACGAGTCCCAGGGGAGGGGGGCCGTACCTCTCCAGAGTCTGTAGGCCCTCCAGCACCAGTAGCGACTTGAGCGGAAAGTTTTCCTTCTCGAGGGTGTCCCATATCTCGCGCTTGAGCACGTCGTTCTTGACCTTGACGCGGGTGGCGCGTTTGGACGTCTTGAGCCAGTGCTGTCGCGCGAGTGTCGCGAACTCGCTCTCGCCTTCCAGGTCATCTGTTGTCGGCCGACCCGAGTTCGCGCTCGGCCGTGCCGCCGCGCTGCTCTTGACTCGCTTTGCTGGAGGCATCGTGGGTGCTGCTAGCGCGTTGCGCGTGCTCACTACTTGGTAACGGTCGACTTCGAAGCGCGTTTCTGCATGAATTTTAGAAGTCTAGTAATTGACTGAACGATTTGACGTTTCCTACCAGCTATGACAATTCAGCCTTGCAGCGTGAACCCCACTTTTGAGGGGCCTTGGAAGAGTTGACCAATGGTCTGGAGCACAGGTGTTGTTTTGGCTTGGGGACCCTGTTCAGTGGCTTCCCTTGGCTGCAAGAAGCATTTCAACGCCTGACGACTCAGCCTTGTGCTTTCCCAAACAAGTCATCGACCGTTTCAAATTATTGATTCGCACCACCTCCACCTCAGCCTCGAGCAGCTCCAACTGCGGTCGAAGGCAAGAACGAAGACGCGTAATAACACAACCTAGCAGCAAGATGCCTTCGGCAACGGCTACAGGCGACGACGTCATGGCGACTGTTGGCGCCTTTGGCGCCTTCGTGGACGACCTTCTCGATCGCGCAGATTCTATTAAACGCGCGTCGTCAGCGGTGCTTCTTGACTTAACGCATTTCCCCGACCTCCAGCAGCAGATTGACGAGGTTCTGGGCTCCCACTTGAGTTTGCGCTTTGCGGTAATCGAGACTGCAGTACGAGACGCATTCACCAATTTAATATCGACAATACCAATCGAGTCCCCGAAGTTCGTCCGGGTTTGGGATCTCTTCGACATCCTGTCCATCCTCTCCGACAGTGAGCAATGCGATCCTGCCTTGCTGTTCTGGCTCGCAGAGGAGCTACTCGACAGCCAAGCTATTGCCGGCTGCCGCAAAGTTTTTGATTACCTCGAGTCTCGCCGCGAGCGCATCACAGCAAAGCACTTCAAGGCTAAAAAGCTCGTCATCCTCCGCACCTGCAATGAACTTCTCCGGCGCCTGTCCCGCGCTCTCGATCCAGCATTCTGTGGGAGACTTTTCATCTTCATGTTCCAGTGTTTTCCCTTGGGTGACCCCAGCTCCGTAAACCACCGCGGGGAGTACCACGTTGAGAATGTCACCACCTTCGACCGAGATGCGCCGGCAACGGAGGAAAACCCGGATATGATGGACGTCGATGCCGAGACGGATAGCCAAGCTGCCGATGCGCGCAAACCCACGGACCAAAAGCCAGCTCCCAAGGTTGCTGCTGGATCGGACGGAAAGAAATCAGATAAGCCCCTCGATACGGGCTCGCTATACCCCATCTTTTGGTCTTTGCAGGAGTTTTTCAGCCAGCCGAAAAAGCTTTTTGACGCAGCCCACTTCACCACCTTCAAGGCCGGACTCGAGGCGACCATGGGCGTCTTCCAGGCCATCAAGCACGAGCAGGCACCTCGCTCAAAGGATAAGCATAGCGAGGAGACCAAGCAAAAGCTCCGGAAGAAGCGAGACGACGGTGATGATGACCTTGCTGGTGCTTTTAACCCAAAGTACCTCACGAGTCGGGATCTCTTCAAATTGGAGGTTGGTATCCGGGATCGTCCCAAAGTTGACCTTTTTTTGCTAATCCACTGCAGATCAGCGATCTGGCGTTTCGGCGAAATGTTCTTGTCCAGGCACTCATAATCATGGAATTCCTTCTTTCCCTTTCCCCAAAGGCAAAGGAAAAGATGGCCAGTGTTAATGTGCCTAAAAAGTCTGTTAACGTGACCTATCCAGACCAGCAGCTGTCGGAAGAAGACACAAAATGGGTCACGGACATGAAGAGATCCATTGCCGACAACCTCAGGCAGGGACCGGAAGGCCCCTACTTCTACCGCATGGTGGAAACAGTCCTCTCCAGAGACAAGAACTGGGTACGGTGGAAAGCTGAGGGTTGCCCATCTATTGAGCTTCCTGTCGTTTCACCAGAGACCTTTATCGAAGCCAGGGAGGGGGCTAATGAACTGGCCACTAATAAACGGCTGCGTGCAATGCCTCTGGGTTCGTTGGCACTGGATTTCCTAGACGATGTCGACGAGGCCACTGCAATGGAAAAGTTCAAGGCGCCTGAGCGATACCAATTTCCCGACCTCAAGACTTTCCAGAGCAAGATTTCCGACGATGACTTTGAGATCGACATGGCGAGGACTGAGCAAGCTAAGGCTAAGGCGATAGATAGCAAGGCCAGCAATACTTGGCGAGCTCTCAGACTCGCTAGCAGATTCAAGCTTGCATCCTTTGACAAGATCGACGACGATGACAAAATCGATGCCATTTTCGAGGACTCTGCCGACGAAGGCGCCGAGGACGCGGCGGATGCAACAAATGGCGAAGCGGTTTTGCCCGATGATCGCCGGCCCGTCGTCCTTGTGGGTGCTGGCGGCAGCAGCTCCAACATAGCTGGGCAGTTTGTCGCCAAGTTCCCCGGCGCATTCAGCAAGGTCCCGGTCCACGTGACACGCAAGCGAGAAGAGGGAGAGACCAGCGGGAAGGACTACAATTTTGTTGATACCCTGACGTTCAACATGCTTCGGGACGGTGATCAACTTCTCGAGTACAGCGGGGAGGGCCTTGAGAGCCGCGGCATCAGCAGGAAAGTGGTAGAGACTATCAGCGCCACAGGCAAAGTCCCAGTGGCGGTAACTGACAAGGGCGTGAGTATCTCCAACCCCCTGGCGTTGCAGAACAACCTAGCTAATATCGAGCCGCAGGGTGCGCAACAAATCAAGGATCTTGGCTTTGAAGCGAGGTTCATATTCGTCCAGCCGCCTCCTTCAGAAACCATGGAAGCGGCCGAGTCGGCAGAAGAGGCGAAAAATTCGGGCTTCTATGATTCGGTCGTTGACTGTGACGTCAAGTCCCTGGAGCTGGCCATATTCGGGCACGTGAGCAATGGCGGGGAGGTCGATGCTAAGTCAGCTACGGCAGATAGGGATCTCGCCGAGCCGGCCGCGGGCAATACAGATGTTGCCGATGGCAGAGGCGGCGTAACGAAGATGGAAGGTTTGGCACGTTTCGGATTGCATGGTTGTGTGTATGTTTAAATGTATATATAATAGATAGTGAGAGACGGAGAGACATACGGAACGCGGAAGGCAGCATTGATACCCACATGATAGTCAGCATGGCTTTTTTTGTCATTTTTGGGCCAGATTAAAACGAGGAGATCTCTCAGAGGTCAAAGTGTACTCTCCATGTATATAAATACATATGTACTTGTATTTTTACAAAAACACCGCGAGGTTTCCTCAACTTCACCCTATGTTATCTAGCTTCCTTAGTAAACCAAAGGAGAAGCATTAACCGGTATAGCTTTAATAGCAGTGGGCGAGCGCCAGTCCGGAATGACACTGTTCTCTCCCGAGTGTGGTATCCCGTCGGAATTTCTTTTTTTCAAAACTCGGAAATGGGGTCAAATGCCTCCGTCACAGCCACCGACCTCGCCTTGATGTCGGCGCCGTACTCGACGGGCGCCAGGCCCATCCGCAGCATAGCCGTCATCGGGTCCGTGATGATCAGGTTCGCCGTCAGCGACCGCGTGAACACGTCCTGCATGCTCTCCCGCGCCATGTCGGGGTCCGGGACGGGAGAGGCCGCTGCGTCACGGTGCGGGACCCGCGTCGGTGGCGGTGTTAGTGGTGTGTTTTCCTACATACGTGTTGTGCAGTGGTTGTTGTTTCTTGTATATATATGTGTTAATATGTGTACATGGGGTTTGTGTGTCTAGGATGTGTGTTTGGGATATGTGTGTGTGGACGGTCAAAATGAGGGTTTAGAGGTGGAAGAGAAAAGGGACATTGTAGGGTGTGGAGCAGGACCCGAGACAAGAGACGAGGAAGACAAAGTGACACCAAGGGGGTTAGATACATGTAAGGGATCCGTACTCACCTCCGCTGCGCGGGGCGCAGCAGTCGGGAATCTGGTCGGGATACTGCACGGGTAGGCTAGCCTCAATGTTGTCCAGCTCCGAGAGCATGTATTTAGTCCGCATGGCAAAATCCCACAGGTTGTTTAAGGTTGGGTGCCGTGAAGGCGGCTGCATCAGGCGGTGCGAGAGAATGGCGCCGACGCAATGACAGCCCGGACCTCGGCGCTCTGTTGGCGTTGCTGGACGGTTGCGGTACCTCTGGCATTTTTTCTTAGCGGTTTCCGTCTTGTCTGCCACAACAAAGACTTAGTTCATGCACTCAACCGTCCCGGGAGCTCAGGAATAAATGGAATGAAATGAAAAGAATAAAGGCGAAGCGGTCTCTGGGGCCTTGTTTATCCGCCTACATGCTCGTCAACATTTCTTTTCCCTCGTTTATTTTTCCCATTCGTGGCAGAGACACGGAGACGCGCCGACGCGTTCAGCCCCTGAACCCCCCTTAAACTTCTAAAGCCCGGCTGCTGATAGCTATAGCTGTCTTAGAGCAGCAAGAGGCTGAGGTCATGTGAAGAGAGCCAACCGCTCCGTAGCCCACACTTGCCTTACACCGTCGGATTTCTCGAATGGAAGCCCGCTTTCCCCCAAGCCCAGTTGAGACTAAAGCATACCTTATCTCAACACGCATTGCCGACATATGCTCAGCTCAGGTCCTCCGTCCAGCTAATAATACCTACCTAAGCGTTACGGCAGCCCGCTCATCGCGCAGAGTTTCCTTACATACTATCCGTCCATACACGCGTCTTGATCGTGATCGTGTCGCGGGATAGCCATGATCGATGTTGGCGACTTCCATCCCCAAAGACCAAACGGGCGATCAGCCCAGCAAAGTTCTCGGGACCACGCTAGTCTGCGCTCGGTAAAGCCAATATCCTCAAAGCTGCGGCATTTCCTCGGCTTGCCGCAGATTTCACAAACTCGCAAACCTTTGGATATCTCTTGGAGCTATTGTTAGCCGGCAGGGAGCGGGCTAGTCGTTGGTCTTCCGGATCCATGAGTAAGAGATGTTTCGAATGACAGCGAGATTTCGTAGCCTTTTTTCTCCTTCCATGCATCGTCCTCGCAGAATCGCGAAACAGCGGTCATGTGGTTTTTGGAGCCCGCCAAGAGAGGTTTCACGACCTCATGCACAGATCTAGCCGCTACTGCGTACACCTACGAAGTGTCTCATGAAGTAAAAGGCAAGAGAGATATGTGCGGGGTGGTTTTGGCTACTGAACAGTCTGCGGAAGGCACGGTTTAAGGTTACCAACCTTAGATACCATACCTACCTTACCACCGTACAGTCCTACCTAGGTAGGTAGGCACGTCGGTTTACTAAAAGTAAAAATACTGCTCGCACGCTGCCGGTAGGTAACCTTCCTTGCCCCTGCAGGTCTTACCCCCAACGGCTCCAGTGGTGTGGGCACATCGATCCTCCCACCAAGCACACCCCTGCCATCTGAAGACATCATCTTGCGTGGCCGTCCAGGTTTCCAGGTTGTTTGTTGCACCACTACGGTCCCTGACCACCTTCGCACTTTCCATGACACCGTGATCCAGGAACCGTGCCTCACCTTATTTCAGGCCACTTACAAGCCCGGAGGTCGTGAATTGCGTGCCGTTACCAGCAATAAGACTGTGCTCTTCGGTTTCCGTTCATACACTTGTATTTTTATCATCAAACTACCAGAGTAACGGCAAATCGCATCGTCCCATTCGTCCCCTTTTCCGGCCATAAACACCAGCCCGGAACAGCCTTTCCTGTTCACGAACGGCCCGCTCACCTCTAGATGCCCAGCTCTCGCTGTTCACCATGATTTCGCTGGATTATTCCTAGCACCTCTCCGCCTCTACCGAGTGAGAGGTTTCCAACCGGTCCCCGCCTTTTGGGGGTTGACTTCTACACCTACCTACCTTCACCCTTCAGCCGCCGTCTTTCCAGGTCACTCTCAACACCTAACCAGCTAAGCGCCAACGAGCTGAGATCGTGCGTCCGTGAGAACAGCTTCCTCGCTCATAACGGCACACATATAACTTCTCTATTCCGCAGGGACCGCAGATCCGGCCGCATCTCCGTGTCAATGTCTTCCCCCACCGAGTCCAGCATGTTACAGACGCCCTCCTTCTGCATCTCCACAAGCGAGGGAGAGGCTAGTGCCCCTGTCGGCTGGGAAAAGCTGGCCTCAGAGCAGATACGCCATATAATTCGATTGATACAGTGTCCCATCTGTTCCTTACCTCTGGACGCTCCCGTCATCCTCCCCTGCGGCCAGAGTATATGCCGTAAATGTCTGCCCCAGACACATCGGCGGTCCAACATCACGTATCCTCTCGAAGAGAAGCGGCGACGGGAAGGCATCTTCTGCCCCTTACCCGGATGCGGCAGGGATCACGCTGCGGACGACTGCAGCTCTCACATCACGCTCCGCAAAGTCCTCGATGCCGCCAGGTCCGCGCTTGAAACGAGTCGCGACTCCACCCCGGACCCGGATCTGGACCTAGACACCACTGTCATCGTCGACGATGAACCGCTGAGCGAAGATTTCCTGTTTACCGAGCTAATGCCGCTGGATGGGTCCCGGATGATGCGGGGCCCGATGCAGGGCCCACGTCTCATCGCAACCTGGATCGTGGCTGAGAGCGGTGAGCTTCGGTACAATGCCAACGCCACGTACAACTATACACCGACAGAGGCATACAAAGCCCTCGAAAGCGATGTCGTTTCTGCGGTCAGAGAGGCAGTGGAGAGGCAGGTTGACTGCCAAATTTGCTACCGCATGCTGTATGAGCCCGTCACAGCTCCGTGTGGTCATACGTTTTGCCGGTCATGCTTGCAGAGCGCTTTGAATAGCGCGAGGCACTGTCCGATATGTCGCCACGCCCTGTCGATAGATCCCCAGGTATACCCAGACTCATCTCCACCCTGCCAGCCATTGACGGATATCATCTCCTACTTCTGGGCAGATACTCTAGAGGAACGCAGGCGAGAGGCCACCAAACAGGAGCCTGATGGACATGATGTTCCCATCTTCATATGTACGCTCTCGTTTCCCGGCGTGCCTACGTTCTTGCACGTCTTTGAGGCGAAATACCGCCTCCTGATTCAGCGTGCTCTCGAGGGGGATCGAACTTTTGGCATGGTCCTCTATAGTGAACACGGCAACCCCCGTGAATTCGGGACCATGCTCCGCATAGAGAGCATTGAATTCTTCCCCGACGGCCGCAGCGTGCTGGAAGCGGTTGGTATATCACGATTTCGGATACTCGAGCACGGCACTTTGGATGGGTATATCGTGGCGAAAACCCAAGCTATCAACGATATGAGCGTCGCCGAAGAGGAGGATAAGGAGATTGAGGAAACGAGGCTTTGGTACGGCGCTAGGGGCAGTTCGATGGCTTCGCAGGCCGAAGGTTTCCAACCGACCGCCGCCGCCCTTATTAGCGGTGTCCAGGGCGACAGGCAAACTTGGCCGCGCACGATAAAGTTCCCAAAGAGCTTGTATGAGATTGAGCATGTGCCGACCATGGATCTGATGGCATTCTGCGTCAATTTTGTTCGGCAGAAGAAGGAAAACAGCGTAGGCTGGCTCAAGACTCGCATAGTCACTATTTATGGTGAATGCCCGGAAAACGACCCAGATCATTTCCCGTGGTGGTTCGCGAGCATCCTGCCCATCAAGGATAGCCACAAGTATCGACTATTGGAGACGAGGAGTGTGCGTGAGCGCATAAAAATCTGCTGCCAGTGGATTATTATGCTGGAGGAGAGCATGTGGTGAGTTTTTTTTTCCTGCTCGCCAGTCACCTGAAGCCATTGCCCCATTTCAGCCTCGTCCCTCTTTTGCACCCAAACACTTTCAGTAAAGTGCAAAGCTTTTCCGCTTCTCCGGACTAGGGAGAATAACCCAACGCCCCCGATCCACACACCATCTCACCGAGCAACACGCAAACCCACCCAGCCGCCACGAATGAACGATCCGGCTAATGAAGGCTTTTCACATTCTCCTAAAAAAAGGACAAACATTGTTAACAGTGTTTGCGACAGGTGTTTCAGCTCTTGCAGCATGATGTGATCTTGGATATATATTTCCTTGCTCCATCTCACAATCTTTTTGCAATCTCACAATCTCTTGGCATTATCGGCAGAATCTTTTTAGCAGCATCTATAGACAATGAATGCATTTCGGCGTTGGTGTTGGGTAGCACAGGTATAGGTGGCATGAGACATTAAATATTGTTGCATGGAGAGCGAGAGAGAGAGAGAGAGAGAGAGAGAGAGATCAGAAGAAAAGAAACAATTCTACACAGAAATGACGGAGGGGGAACAGACATATCATTCTGGACTGTTTTGGCCAGAAACAAGAATCTGGGCGGGCGGCATTGGTTTGTAGCGAGTGAGCATTTGGTAGTAGATATCAGATGACTATGTTTCTGTCTAGCACTGTGTTTTATTCTCGCAGTGAAAAGTGAACTGGTGTCGTGAAGCGGGATACTTCTTTCTCTCTCTAATTACGTACACGCTCATAGATGGACAAAAGTAGTAGTACCACACGCCTTTGTCGTTCACTTTAGTATTGTCCCTCCCAACAAAGCGAGACCGGCTTCACAGCTTTCCAAGATCATGAGCGAGCGAGATGTCTGACCTAGTAGGTAAGATAGTTATCCGCTATAAGATGCGAGCAAGGAAAAAGAAAGCTGTCCTCTCCATTAACGAGATGCTATCCAGACATAAATGACTTCAATTGTCACACGATACTCTTTAATCACACACACACACACACATCTCTCTTCATCAGAGACATACACACGACGAAGTCTTACACAGAAAATATTAACCAAATCAATCACGCTTTTAGATTTCAAGGTATCAAAAGAAACCCCCTCCAAAAAAACAAAGCCCTCCCGCAAATTGTTTTAAACCCTTTTTTCCCCATCCAAGAAAAAAGAGAACATGGTAAAGACGAGATAGGAAAAAAGAGAAAGAAGAAAAAAATCATGCCAGCCTTCCTACCATTCCTTCCTCCATCTCCCACCCATCCGTCCGTCCGTCTGGCCGTTCCTTCCCGCTATCTGCCCACGATCGATTCTTCTTTTCCATTTTTGAGAGTTGGTATTAAAAGTTGGATAATTTGAAAAAAAAAGAAAAAAAAAGAGGAAGATCGATGTCTTCCCAAGAGATGATTCCTTTCAGGTTAGATTCTCCCAAGGTTATTTATTCTCTGCTTCTTGGAGCCCCCTCGATCTAACATTCCCTTTTTTCCATGAAGCTTCCTCAACATGCTGAGAGGGGAGACCGGGGGGGGGGGGGGGGGGGGGGGGGGGGGGGGGCGAGAAACAGGTTTATTAAAAAAGGGAAGTAGAATAAGATGAAGGAGATTATTCCTAAAGGAGTGTCGAGAAAAAACGATTAAAAGCGTCACCGAACGCCGCCCCACCGGCCGCGGTCTGCTGCCGACCGGTTGAGGGCCAGGCGCCGGCCAATGTTGCCGAAACACACGCAGCTGCAGAATAGCACGCTGAGCATCCAGATGCCCGTCTCGAGGGTCTCATGGCTGATGAAGCCCTCCGACAACGCAGCGTGGGGCTGCGAGCCCCCGCCAGTCCCGTTGCCGCTCGAATGCTGCAACGACGCGGAAGACAGGCCAGCCGTGGGCGCGGGCATCATGTCCGGGTTGAGACCCATGAGGATGGCGGAGCCGGTGAGACCTACAGCGGCGGATAACAGGAAGCCCGGTTTGGAGCGGTCGATGAGGTACCACAGAAAGGGGTTAGCAAGGGCTAGGGTCAGCGAGACTTGCATGGTCGACGTCCAGGGCAGCCGGCGGATGGCGAAAACGATGCCCACAAAAGCGCCGATGCCGCGGACCACGAGCGCCCAGTCGGCCTCGGGCCGGGATGATGACGAATTAGCTTTGCTGCCTTTGTCAACCCCGAGGGCGGAGGTGGCGGCGGAGGAGGAGGGGGAAGAGGCGCTGGCGGCGGAGTTTACGGCACACCTATCGTTCCTCCCGAACGTCTCCTCCCAGAAGCGGTCGAACCACGGAAGCAGGCTGCCGAGCGCCACACCAGCCACACCCCAAAATGCCAGGTACCGCCAATCGTATCCTGTCTGCATCATATCCTCGACGCCAAAGGCCGCCAGGTTCTGCTGCCGGCTCGGTAGCCGCGTGACTAGGACGCCGTAGCCCATCCCGAGGGCGAAGAGCAGGGCGGCGCGGAACACCAGCGAGGACACGGCAGCGGCGCCAGACAGGGCAGGGCCCGTGGTCTGCGGCACTGCCGAGTCGAAATACGAGGGGGCCCGTTGGACCTTTGATGACCGTTCCCTCATAAGCTTATATGTTTCGTCGTCGAGACCCGGGCGCTTAGCCGGTGTCTCGGCACCGGCGCTCCAAGGCGTCGAGGACTCGTCGCGGTCGTCATAGAAGCGGTCCCCGCGGTCGGTTGCAGTGGGTGAGTAGATGCCGAACAGGGTGGACGAGGTAAGGTTCATGAGAGAGGCGGCGCGGCTGAGGGTGTCGGCCGACTCGCCGTTGTGGCGTGGGTCGAGAAAGCGCAGGTCATTGGCGCTGATGTGCTGAGCGGGCGAGGACGACTCGTCGTCGTCGGGAGGTGTCGGGCTGGTAAAGTTGAGGTTGAAGGGGCGCCGGGGGATGGGTCGGATGATCTCGGGCCCGTCGCCGGACCTGGAGTCCATGATATCTGCTTTGCCGGGACTGCCTGTTGGCAACAAGCTGGTTCCCGACTCTCTGCTCTGGGAGGGGTATGCTCGCGCGTCAGAAGACACCTAGGCCACCACCACTGCGAGTGGTGTTTTGGAGACGGCGGGGCTGCCAAGCTGTTATAGCTGTCGCCTCGAGGCAGTTGCTATCCGAGTCTCGCGCGTTGCGATGGCGGTGCTCGGGCCACGGGTCAATGACGTCCTGAGCGAGTCTCGAGCAATGGCCAAAGTTTGTATCGTGCTAGGTCAGCTATAAGGGGCGACGAGAGTGCGGCAGCCTGCGGAGGGATGACTCGTGAGGGTGCGGGAGGCGTCCAAGCAAGGGAGGGAAGCGTAGGTGCTAGTCAGTCGTGGTGGGTGGATTGGGTGAGAGGTGAAGTGATGTGTGTTGCGATACGATGCGATGCGCTGCTGCTGCAACAACACTCAAGACAGCAGACAGACAGGGTCTTCGGTTCGGAATACGGAATAGGTAATGGATCTGAGGGCGGGATCCAAAAGACGCGGAAGAGGACACAAAAAAGGCCGGGAGCCAAGGGGAGTGTGAGCGGCAGTGACTCCACTGTTACAGCTGCAACTGCTGCTCACCTTCCATTATATTACTTGGATACCAGTTTACGGAGCTTGCAAGTTACTAACACAATCCGAAGTTGGATACAGTACAAACATGTACGAAGTACTTCGTATCCATGTTTGGGCAGTTGGGGAAAGATGGCTGTTTTCAGCGAATTAGGTACCTTAGGTAAGGTAATGTCTGACTGTGTGCTTCACTCAGAGGAGAGGCGTGGGGAAATGAAAAAACGCGGATCACCGCTCTCCTCGTCCAACTGAATGTTGGCATGGTGGTTTCGTGCTGCTGCCATCAACACAAACCACCGCGAACAGTCCCGAGGCCAAGCTTGAGGTCTTGCAAGTTGGCCTGGTGGCTGCACATCTTCGCGCTTGCCTAGCTAGAAATGCGCAGGTGGGTCTAGCGTCAATCTCACATGTGATCAGCAGGCCTCGAGATTTCAGGGCTGTCCTCCTTTACCCCACAATCCGCTCCGCGGACTAATTTTCTGTCTCGAGATTTGACCACTAAAAACCCTGACATATCTAATCCAACGACTTCAGCGTATGAATGCCTAGGTACAGTACATCAAGTTAAGTAAGTATGGGGCCGCATGTGTTGGATTCGCGAGCAAACAGAGGCCTGAGGTTGGCTGGCTGCGATGGAGTTCCTTGACACAAACTGAAAATAGCGAGAGCAGGTACGAGTTATAATTTGTGTACCACCGACCTAGCTTCTACATAATATTATTCTTATATTAAATAGTAACCCGCTAAACGGAGGCCTTGGCTCACTCGTCTCCTTCGCTGTCGTCGTCGTCGGAGCTGTCGTCGTTATACTCATACTCGCTGTCCTCCACTCCTTCCGGCCGGGGTATCATGATGAATGCTTCCACACATGTGATCCTATTCTGTGTCTCATAGGTTTCGAGGAGCTTGCCAGCCGATCCCTTCTTCTTGCCTCCCGCTTGCAGGTCGCCGGCCTCCAGACGCCACAGACGAAGCTTGCCGTCGCTGCTCCCCGTGACAACGTACCACGACCTCTGTCCATCCTCGCTCTCAACGGGCAGGATAGCAAAGTCCTTGATTCTGGTCAAGACGCCCGCCTCTTTGCCACCCAGCTGGGCAACCAGCTTCGCCGAGGGCAGGGTACGGGCCGGCTTCGCCTCAGACTTGGGTGGGTCTTGGAGGTCCGTCTTGTCCGTCGAGTAAAACAGAACCCTCCCATCCTCCGTGGCCACAGCCAGCGCGGTTTCGTCGGGGGTGGCGCCTGTCTGAACGTAGCACACCTTGTGCACCTTGGTTTTTGTGTCGCCCAATATCCGGCACCTGGGCGTGCAGTCCATGCCAAACACCAAGATGTCCCGATCAAAGGCCACTGCGAACTCGTCCTCGCCTCCGGAACGGCCCCACACAATGCTGTGCGCCTCGCCGGTCGAGTGCCGGCCCTCGCCAATCTCGGTCAGTGTCTCGCGTGAGAAGTTCAGCACGCGTGACTTCCTTCCCGTCTCTAAATTCCACAGTCGCATGCACCGTTCGCCCTTGCTAACACTAATCATGATCTTGCTGGATGGGTGGATCGCAAAGTCGTTGACCCCCGACGGGACGCCTCCCAGCGCTGCCGTGTCGCCGCTTGGGCGGCCTATAACTTTGGGTACGGGGCACTTGAACGTGTGCAGAAGCGCCCAATCGCGGCTACGCGAGACGGCTATTGTGCTGTCTTCTGAGCCGGATAGGAGCTTAGACCGGCTGGGGAAAACGAGCTTCGTGATGTTCGACGTGTGGTGTAGGAGCGTGCCCAGCTCCCGGTTCTTTGGGTTCTCGAGGATCGGGCGTGGTGTGACGGCCGAGAGCAGTTTCTGTTCGTCGGCGGCCCGGGAAGACGGCGGGTGTGCTGACAGATTATAGATGTTTATGCGCTCGTCTGTGCTGCCAGTGGCGAGGAATACCTTCTGCGGCTGGCCGGGTATAGGTTCGGATGGCGGCGACAAAGCGAGGCAGCGGATGGCCGAGGCGTGTGCGTTGAAGAGAAATGTGTCGGCAAAGTCTACCGCTTTCTGAGCTGCCGGCCCGCTGATTTTGGAGCTCGGTTTCGCAACAGAAGAGGTAGGCGGCGACCTGGTTGTGGCCGTGATGCCATGTAGAACTCGATCGTAGGATCCGGCGATGATTTGAATCGTCACACTGCCATCCCCGCTTACCTTGAACGGTAAAGCTTGCCCCGGTCGACTGGGCGCCTTGGGCTTTTTTGCCGAGCTTAGTTTTCCCGCAGCATTGCCATTCGTGGCGGCTTCTCTTTTCCTTTTAGCCATCGTGTCTGGTGTGTGGGTGAGCTTGTTCTAATGTCTAATGTTTGCGTCGGCCATGTTCTTTGGGGGAATCTTTTTTCAAGTGGAGATTTACGTTAGGGTGGCATTATCAGCTTATCGCTTATCGCTCCTCTTATCGACACAATGCGACACTGAGACATCCCGTACTCTGCACATCGCTTGTTTTTACGCTACGCATATTCTGTAAATCTTTGTGATTTAAATTTTTTTTGTATGGAAACGACGCGCAAACCCGAGCTTGGGGAGCCCAGCTCGAGGTTCACAGACCAGAGTCCGGAACTATATACTGCAATTAACAAAATTATGTACAAGCGAATTACCAGCTCCTCTGGAGATAGCTTGGCTAGGAAACGCGAGGAAACTCTCGTCTAAGCAAGGTAACTCTTCTATGCCCGCAAAAAACACCCGCCCTTCAAAGGACATGTGTATAGCCATCCCATATAGGCTATAGGCGACTCATGTCTTCATCTCTCTAATTGCCCGGCACTGGCGTCGCGCTCCCACTAGCTTGCCTTTGGTGCTGCTGTTGTTGTTGATGCTGTTGCACTACTTGAGCCGCTTGCTGCTGCTGCTGCTGCTGCTGAGCTTGCTGCTGTTGTTGAGCTTGCTGCTGCTGTGCTACTTGGGCCGCCTGCTGTTGCTGCTGGGCCCGCAGCATCTGGGCATATTGGTGCGGACTTGTCGTTGGAGTCATGCCGTTTAAGGGTTGTTGCGCGATACCTCCAGCTGCAGCCGTCATCGCCTGCTGGCTCTGCACAATCAACCTACTAAGGTGTTCAGTGGCCATTTGACGAATCGAGTCCTGAGACATGTTAGGGTTCTTAAGCCGATAGTGGTTCTCAAAATCTTTCAGGCGTGCGGCAACAGCTGGTAGTTGTTGGGGCGGTATGACCGGGCGGGGGGACCCATTCGGAGCCATACTCAGGTTGGACCCAGGAGACGTTGCCATTCCCACGCTGTTGGATGCATTGTAAGAAGCCATCATTACTTGCGCGTTGGTCATGAATGATCCTTGGTTGAGCCCGTTTACCACATTCCGCATTGGTGTTGGCGACCCTTGCGGCCCATTACCCTGCTGCATTCCCTGTGATTGCTGCCCACCCTGCTGGAGCTGAAGCTGCTGCTGCTGATGTGGGAGCTGCTGCTGGAGCTGCTGCTGGAGTTGCTGGTGCTGAAGTTGCTGGTGTTGCTGAGCGAGTAGTTGTTGATGTTGCTGTTGCTGTTGATGGTGCTGCTGCTGATGCTGTTGTTGTTGGTGAGGGAGCTGCTGTAGTTGATGTTGTTGTTGTTGCTGCTGCTGCTGCTGCTGAAGCACGGCAGCCCGTTGGGCCTCTTGTATTCTCCGGGCCTGTAGGACAAGATTTAAATCTGGTCCCGCGTTGGATATGGGCAATCTATGTTGCGCCTGTATCGCTTGGAGCTGGGCCTGTGCCTGTGCCTGTGCCTGTGCCTGGGCCTGTGCCTGGGCCTGTGGGAGCCCAGCAAGCGGCAGAGGAGGTACAAGGCCATTGGAAAGCTGGCCTTGAACGGCAGGCATGGCCCCTGCTGGAGCCTGGATTTGACGTCCCTGGGGACGGTTTTGAATGGGAACAGCAAGCGGAGCCTGGATATTGACTCGGGGAGTTCCGTTGAGAGCAGTTGCGGCAGCAATCTGAGCGGCAGCCGCCGTTGGGCCCTGAACCACACCCGGCGTCGCAGCGGCCTGTCCAGGAAGGTTTTGCCTTTGCTGCTGCTGTTGTTGCTGCTGTTGCTGGAGGAGCTAGATGAAAATGTCAGTACATGTTTAATTAAAAGAGTCCCGGAAAGCATCAGGCAACGAGAATCAAGGTGCACGAACCTTCTTTTGAAGTACCTCCTGATGTCGGGCGGCATACTGGGCCATCTTCTCCGCAAGTTGCTGGTCTCTCTCCCACCTCATCAGACTGTAATCTGTAGCGGTCTTTTTCTGGACCGGTTGTCGGGGAACCTCGTTAGCCTTCCGTACGGCGGCCAGATTGGCCACGTTTTGCGCTTTCTGTACATTCGCTTCCCGCTTCTTCGCGAGCTTCCTCATCGCGTCAATCAATGCAAGGTGCTTCTGGTTGCGGCGTCGCTCCACGCGGATAGTAGTGGTTGGTCTTCTTCTCGGAACTGGTGTGACAGCCCCGTTCGGACCGACTTGCTGCTGCGCATTTTGGTTTTGTTGCAGAATGGTGCGTTGGGCGGCATCAATTCTGTTTTGGTATGTCTTGAAGTAGGGTGTTTTTGCCATATCGTTTGGCAAGCCCTCGAGGTTGACCCACCGCTCAAAGCATTCCCAAGGAGTCCGTCGCTCGGCACCAGAAGCAAATACAGACCTAGTTGTTATCATTGCCGAAACCAGAGACCAGTTGTACGAGTACTCGCGCACCAAAGACTTCAGTTGGTCGTCCTCAGTCCACGTCCATTGCGAAGCAGTTCGGTGTTCAAAGAAGCTTTGAGGGGGCATGGGATGCTCCGTAGGTGGGCGGAACTGGTGCCCGGCATGGAGTCGATCTCGGGTTGACTTCATGTCCGGCCTAAAAAGCGCGACCACAGTGCTTCCTGGTTGCATCGATACAATACTATCCGGCTGGTTGCCAAACATAACCTCGTCGCCATCATCGCCTTCATCTTCACCAGAATATTGGAATCGGCCTCGTTTCCGCGGCGGGCCCTCGTTTGCCAGAATCATCTGGCCTTCGACACACTTGCTTAGCGGCAAAGCTGGACGCTTCCAGCTGGCATCCGGATCATATTCAGGCCCGGTAAGGTCGAATCTGGGGGCTTGGAGGGGCGACCCGTACATGGGAAGGTTCCCCAACAGAAGATCCGCCGTTTTGGAACGCTGGAGACCAAATACCACTTCATCGTTTTGCAGAGCAAAAATAATCGAAGGCGCCACAGTCCCGAAAGGCACCTCCAAAGGCTCTTCGTCATTCACCGTCGGAGAGTCGGAATGGGCCAGCTCGGGTAGAGGCTCTTCCGGGACATTAGGAATTTCCAGCATGCTCACTTCGCCCTCCGCCATGACCGGAGGAGAAACAGCATTCACCTGGAGAGCAAGCCGTTCGGCGGGTCCGGAATTGACCCATTCCGCGCAAGCATTTGCAAAATTCCGAGCAACAGCCCGCTTCCATTTCCGCTCCTCTCGGAAATCGGTCCGCATCCATTTCATTTCCTGAATCATCACATCCCAATGAGATGCAGGCCTCATGGGTTCCGGGCATCGTACCGGCTGCCTCAAAGACCACTTGTCGTGCTGTTGGAGATGGTATACCCGCCGGAGGATCCGGCACGCCTGGTTGTCCAATAATGAAATATACTGGTCAGGCGTGGATAATGTCTTGTGGGCTGAATGCACGAGCTTCTCGATAGGCTTCATCCAGACCGAGTTTCTCGCGTATCCCTCCACGAAAAGAGGTGTGAAATAATCTTCAGATGGCATGGAACCGGGTTTCTGTCGACTGACCGCCAAAGAACCATCGTCCGCAGATGTCTTCTTGTTCGGTTGCTTGCCAAAGATTACCGTCGGGACGCTTCTCCTTCGTCTGTCGCGGATTTTATTGCCAAAGAGCTTGAGTTGTGGGCCTGATAGTGCTTGAGCTGAGGATTCTGCATCATGCTCTCTAACTTCTTCTGGATGCTCTGAAGGTAGATGCGAAGGTTTGCCCAAAGATTGGGAAACATCAATAGTTGGCCGAACCTTCTTGGGGGACACGCCTGTTGTTGGTTTGTTGTTAGACTCGGAAGCGTTGGCCGGTGCTGCTTTCGGTTCTCCAGCGGGCTCACGATCATGGGTCGAAACCAAAGGGGGTTCGTGTGCGCTCGAAGCAACCTTAGATAACGCAGGGGGCTCCAGCTCGTCGAGATCCATCGGTACAGTGGGCGGCAGGGTTTGAACTGGAATGCTGCTCGGAACGCCCTGTTCTAGTGGAACATCTAGAGATGAGCTCCCGTCTACCGACACCGCACCGGCATTTTCTGGAGCCTTGGTGGTCGACGCCTCGACGGCAGAGACCCTGTTCTCCGTCGTGCCAGAGGTCTTGAGAGCGGCGCCGGATTGAGAGGGAAGCGAATCAGCCTCTGCTTCAACCAGGCTAGAAAATTGAGCCGCGGCGGATTCTTGAAGTAGCTGCGCTTCCACTCCGTTTGCGACTCCTAAAAGGGGGGCGTCTGATATCGCATGCCCTCTAGCTATCTCTACTTCGTTGGCACTGCTGCTAGCTTCTTCAGTCTCCCCATGGTTTCCTTGAGACTTCCCTTCCGCGATTTCCTCGCTTGTTTCCGTGTACTGCGGGCCCTCGTTGTCCGGACTTGTGTCAGCAGAAGCTTCATGGACGGCCGGAGTTAGTGTCGATTGGGCAGTGGAGCCGGGAGACGAGGCTGCATCCAGGCATCGCGAGGGATCAGCGTGCGATACTTGAATGTCGAGCACAGGATTAGCATCTTTCAGCTGCGCCGGCGCCTCGTCAATGTCCATGGATACCGATGCCTGGCCAGGCGGGAGTGCCTCTCCGTCGGCGTTCGACGCCTTCCAAGAAACATCAGACGCTTCTGGGAGCGCTGAAGATCCCCCAGAAGCCAGCAGCAAACGACTTTGACCGGGATCGCTGGCGCTACTACCAACTTTGCCACCTTTAACCTGGGGCAAGGGCGCCGTCGGAGGGAACACGCCTCGCGTATCCTTCGTTGGCGCCTCCGCATCTGCGCCATCGCGAGCGATCGGGGTCCTTTCCGGTATTGCTACTGCTTTGGGTGTCTCGAGTCTCGGTGGTGTCTTTCCGGAGGCAACATGTGGTGCTGGGGGGTGCTCTGAGGCTTCTGGGCCAGCTCTCGGGTGGTCGTCCACAAAGGTGCCGTGCGATGGCGTTAGCAGCCCGTTCTCCAGAGCTTCTTTCGGCGCGGAATGAGGGGCGTTCTCGACTGGTGAGCCATCTGAAATCAAATGCGGGTGTTGAAGTGCATAGAAGCGAGGCTTTCGGCGCGCTGGTATGTTCAGTTCGTTCAATCGCCGTCCCCTGCAGGCGGAATTAGCAAACCGCCCATTTGGCGCGACGTAAACACGATGCAAAGACCAATAAAGTCATGGCGGAACATTGTCTACACGTACTGCAATATGTCGCAATCAAACAAGAATTTTTCCTCAGCTGTTGTGATTGGCGGCGCGTCGGGGTTGCTGAAGTCGAGGTTCGGAATGCCATCTTGGTCGGTCGCAACAGCGAAGACTTCACGAAGCTTCCGTTTTCGCGACAGCACAATTGAGCTAGCGACAGTTAATATCGCTCAATGCACATCAAAATGATCGGGGAATTGAGATGCATCGGTTGCAATTATTCTCACCTCGATTCCGCCCGCTTTGATCGCAGCAGCTTCAGGCGGTCGGCGGGTCCGACCTCAGTCATGTCATCAGCGACCGCGACATCCGTTTTCAATCAAACGGATGCTACTACGGTCGTAAGGAAAGTAAAGGGGATGGAAAATGGGAAGGGGGATGATGGAAAACGTTGGTGTTGCGACTCCCGCCGCTGGGGTTGATTGAATGCCTGGACGCGATCGAGCGAGATAAATCTCTGTTCCGCTCGTGTTGGTTATCAGGATGGCATCAGTGGGAGCGAACTTGGGGAGGTGTGGCCAGAACCCAAAAATGTTAAGGTCCTGCGTGCAGCACCTAAAGCGCAGCAAAAGTTGGGTCGGCGTAGCTGATAGCGCGTTTTTGGGTGCGAAATAGAGGGGGAAGGGCCTAAGGTTCCCACTGGGATTGGGCAAATGCTGGGCAACCTCCAGGTTCAGCGGATGGAGGTCACTGCGATGTCGAGGGCCTATCTTTCTCCGGGCTGGCCTTGGTAAGGTAACCAAAGTTGGGTATGTAAGGTAATAGGTAAGGTAATGTGCCCGAACGCGTGGCCATGGCGACACCGTGTTTTGTTCTAATCGCACACACTGTACAAAGTCCTAGGCACCTTCCTCACCCACCCAACAGCCGCTTCCGCTTGGAAGCGGGAGCCCCTCATAAAGCAGGCAGACATGGGTACAGAGTACGTACCGAGAAATACTTGCCCAACAGGAAGGAAGGAATGTAAACTCGCAGGGGGAGCGAACAAGGGAACGACCTACAATGGGAAATTCAACTCCCCTGATATCGAGCATCGAGCATCAAAAGAAGCCTGCTCTTACGACCCAAGCTGGATTTAAAAGACAGGATTTCCCCAGGCTCAGGCTTGAAAGGCCAAACGTCCCTCCCGTCCTTGGAGGCAACTCCAGGTTTCCATTGTTTCTGGAAGGCTGTTGGGTGCTTGCCTTGCGCGGTCATCCAGGAAAGGCAAGTGTGGCTCGTGAGCACTTTCGTGGATGCTGGTTGCCGGTTTGGGCGGTCCTAGCAGAGCCGGTAAAGCGTTGAGAAATGCAGGGCTTCCGGCGGTGATGGCTTGCACGCAGAAGAAAAGAGGAAGTGATGTTTTAGGGACGCCTGCTCGAGTTCATGTGGCGGAGGACGGGAGCGGGCTTAAAGTTGTTCGAGGCCGAGGTTTTGTCATCCAGGTTTTGGATGTGATGCGTTCCTAGCAAGATTTCTCCTTGGATACCTTAGGCGAAGCACTTTAGCCCCTGCGCCACCTACCTTCGCTTTCGAAACATCATCCATCCCGCCCGCCACAAATGCAGGTGCAAATGCAAATGCAGACCACCACGGCCGACATTGCAAGCTGCCGGTGTTCCTCACAGCTGCATGTCACAGAGCCGACTTCACAGCAGAATGCCTGATCAGTATTCCAAAGCCTCGCGCGTGTCCATCAAGTTGGGTGGCACGTCTGCCTTACCAGCGGCAAATGGGTTAAAGAAGCACTCTAAGCCCACCCACAGCAAACGGCATCGGGCGCATGCACTGCACAACGATTCGCACTCGGAGGGTGATGACGACAACGACGGCGCCAGCAGTCAAGGCGAAGAGCAGCGCACCGTCCACATCGAGTCAATCACAAGCTTTGAAATTAGCGGCGGCGGCCGCGAGAGTTGGCCACGAGAGAGGCACCAACAGAGCCGCTCCGAGCGTGAAAGTGGACAGACACGAGGTCGCAATTCAGACGCAGCTCAGCAGACCAAAGATGCCAGAGGCGCAGGTCGGCGACAGGACACCGGCGGCGCGGAGGATGGGTTGGATTTCCAGGACAAAGCGCCCACAAAGTGGGGTTTGACCATCAACATGAAGTCGGCCGGCAGCTCTAAAGTCAAGAAAGAGGCAGGATTGCCATCCGATGACTCAGATTCAAAGGCGGACGATGAGAAGAGGAGCAGAGAGGCGCCCCAGAACGTTGACGACGAGGCGCTCGAGGCACTCATGGGCAACAAGGCCCCGAAAAGGAGGCGCGATTCCAATGATGCCGACAGAGAGCCACGGCCCGACGACTACCGGTCTGTGCCCATCGACGACTTTGGCGCCACCCTTCTCCGCGGGTTTGGCTGGGATGGCAAGCTGAGGGGCAAAGTCAAGGAAGTGGTAAAGCACGCAAACCTCACGGGGCTTGGCGCGAGCAATGGCAAGGGGGCCGAGGACTTGGGCGCGTGGGACCAGAAGACTACCAAGGACTCCCGACCCGCTCGCCTCGAAGATTACCAGCGAGAGGACAGGAAGAAGCGACAACGGCTGGACGATCAAAATAGAGACAGTTACAAGCGCGAGCGTGAGCGGGAACGCGAACATGAGCGCGAGCGGAGACATGGACATGGGCGAGACAGATAGAAATTCGAAGTCGAGGTCAGGCACAACTACCTAGTTTCAGGATCTGCGCACTCCCGACACCCACAGCCCAGCATCCATCCACCACATCCTTCACAGCTCACGGCCCTGACATGTCAAGATCAAGCATAAGAAACATAAATACCTACTCATTTGTACAGTATAATGCTGGAGCCATCTTGGGCCCACTACTCCGTACACTCGGGTACCTTCTTCCCCCTCATCCCGTATTGCTGCCGGCCCTGGGCTAACGTATGTAATGAATGCCAAAGAAAGAAAAGGAGAAGAGAAAAGGGGGTATACATAATTCAATAATTTAAAAGTGCGCGACTTGAGTCGTCCTGTGCGTAGCAGCCAGCTGTCACACCTGGCCCAGAATTGCCGGAGGCGTCTTCTCTAGCCTCGTCATCCCCACCGCCGCCATCTCTCAGGGTCTAGGCCTTATCCGTCGTCCTGATCTCGTGGACCATGATCGACACGTCAGAAGTCCGGCTGCCAGCCTCGGCCGCGGCCTTTTCGCGGTCTGTAGCCTCGACTGCAGCAGCCTTGTCGTTGTTGAACTCGCGGGCTGAGATCTTGTGCTGGAAGAGGATATCGAGGGCGCGAGCCGACAGGCCCGTCGTCTCGGGGATGCGATACCAGGTATAGACGGCGCCCAGGACGCACATGCCGGCGTAGAGGAAGCCAGTCTTGGCACCCCATTTCCAGCTCGCCTCGTCTATGCCCACCATTTTGGGCGTCAAGAAGTGGTTGACGAGGCCAGCGATCAAGTATGTGCCCCGTGCTGCCGAGAGCGTGGCGGCGCGGCGGCGGATCGAGGGGATCTCGGAGACAATTGAGTAGCATACCGGGCCGATTGTGAGGTCGTAGATGGCGGTATAGACGGTGAGGATTCCTCCGGCGATCCACCCAGAGATGTTGTCGGGCGCCAGCGAGGCGAGACCAACGCCAACGAGGAAGACGCCCATGATGAGCTGGCCCCAGAAGTAAATCTGGCGGCGACCCCAGATCCTCATCAGCCACCATGACGCGACTGTGCCCATGATTCCGGCAGCTGGCAGGGCAATGTTGACCGACAGGGCCTGGCTGGCGGCGAGGCCGGCAGACTCGAACAGCTTCGGTGCCCATGGGATGATACTGGATCCGCACATGGACTGGATGAGCCAGGCCATGCAGGCAATCTCGGTCCTCCGCGCATCCACGCCCTTGAACATGCCCGTGAATCTCTTCCAGCTCGACGCCGCCTCGGCCGCGGCGCCCTCCTTCTTGGACTCCTGGTGCATCGTGTGCTGCATCAGGGCCAGCTTCCTGTCAGCCGTGTCCGCCGACCCGTGGCGCACGAGCTTCCGGATTGTGGCGCGGGCTTCGGGGATCCGCTGGCGCTGGAGATGCCAGTAGGGAGACTCGGGAGCGAACGAGATGACAATCATGAGCATTGAGAGGAAAACCCACTGGAAGGCAAAGGGGATCCTGAAGCTCATGTCGCCGGGGTACTTCTCAAAGCCCTTGAGGATTGCCGACGCGATGAGCTGGCCAATAACCCAGCACAGATTGTTCCACGTGGTCAGGATCGGCCGCAGCTGCAACGATGCCACCTCGGAGGCATAGGCAGGGCTCACGACCTGGTAAACACCCCAGGGGATGCCCTGGATCAGGAAGCCCATCAGCAGGACCTGGACCGAGGAAGCAAAGAAGGGCATGCAGACAAAGGCCGCCGACCAGACGAGCATCAGCTGGGTGGTCCTCCTGTACCCGAGCTTCCGTGTGATGGGCGCCGTGATCATGATACCGATAAGAGAACCGAATTGGGCCACAAGAGGCAAGAGAGCTTTCCAAATGTATTCGAGCTACAGAGCCATGTCAGCACCACCCTACCAGGATAGCAAGAACCGCTGGAGCCTTACTTCGTATACGGGCTTTCCATCCACGAATTTCCCGGGCAGCACCACGCCGTACTTCTCGTTGAACGTGTAGAAGCTGAAGAGATAGGTGATAAGGGCATAGCCGTATCCCTCCATGACGATGGTCCCCGAGAAGCCGAGAGAGTGCCAGATCAGACGCTTGTCGGCTTTCATGGCGTCGCGGAACGTCATCTCTCGCTCATGCCTCTCGGTTTCCTCGGCGACCTCGACGTTGTAGGGCGTAACTGAGTGAGGCACGCCCGCTTCCGGGTCGGCGGGTTCGCCCCGGCGGATCCCGAAGCCGCTGAATATTCCGGCCATCTTGAGAGCCTAACCGTTGGCCGCCAGGTTGCTATATAGGTAGGTATGATAACGATAAACCAGGTATGGCTGTGTGAACAAGCGCTCAGGGTGTCCAGGCTGCCCAATGATTTGGAGACGATGGGAGGGTTGGCTGGCCAATGGCTTAACGAAACAGATGGATATGGATCAATGAGGAATGCGAGGGCAGGAACAGTCGATGCATTGGTGTGCTCGGTCCGATTTGGGGAACAGAGACCGAGATGTTGCGGGGGAGATAGGGCATATTTATGCTCATCAAGCTCAAGCCAGACCACCTGCGTAATGGACGGCATTGGGGTTCAGAACGCAGCGCTGGCTGGGAAGCTTGAGGGCAGTGCGAAGGGCAAAAACAAGGGAGGACTCATCAAGGGGCTCCGTGACCATCAAGGTTCGGGACTAGCAGCTAGGAACGCCATTGTGCTTTCCCAGCCAAGGGAAGGGCTCTTTCCACCCCGCCAGCAACGGGAAGAGGGACGAGGGACGAGAGACGAAGGGACTTGTCCTGGCCGTAGTGGATGAGCTCAGGAACGAGGTATTCCCCCGCCTCCGGCCTGGCCGTTGCTCCGGGTCGAGGATGTGCTTCGACTCCACAGGTTTGTCTTCCTCCCCGCAAACTGTCCACAGCCAGCTCCCCATCTCCAGGTCACGCTGACAGGTTTTAAGGGTCGATGGCTACTCTGTAGTCAGGCCACACCAAGAGCAAGTTTAAGAATCGTTTGAGTGCCTCCACATACCCAGATATCTCGCAAACTTAATGTTCAGGTTAGCTTTTTAGACGGTCACCTGGCCAGCAAGCCACCCCCTCGTCTTGGACCGTGTTGCTAACTCGTGCTTCTAGGGGGGGGTAGCCGAGAATCTCTTGTGTAAACAACCATGTTGGTCCTGTCCTGGGGTTTCGGTTTAGACACTGACCCGGCCTGTATGAAGCCCGCGAGGGTCTTGAACTCGACAGAGCCGAATTCACCACGAAGAGGGATGACACTACACAGACGAGCACGGCAAGGCATGGACAGAAAGGGCCCGGGTAGGCGAGCCGACGAGAGGGGTCGAAGAGAGTTAATTGCTCAAGCAGCATGGTGTCTTCGGCAGCGGGGAAACGCCACCTAGACTCAATCCCCTGGGCACCTCGGGCTACGTTGGCCTTCGCGCGGTCAGACGATTCGAGTATGCGCTTCCAGCGTGGCCAACAACCGCGGACATGACGACACTTGCTGCGGTCCCCTTCATCTTGATGGGACGGTCCCGCCGTGGCCACGCCGGCGCTCAAAGGAAATAGTGCGGAGAAAGTCGGCTCCGCACTTTTCAAGCAGCTCCTCCTCCCGCCCCCGGATCTACCCCAGGCTGTTGTCCATGCCAGTCTAGCCGGCTAGACCTGTGGTAGCATGCTGTCAGGCACTTGTCTCTTGTCTGATTCAAGCGAGGGCAACGTGTCTTGAGTTTATACCCCCCCTTCTGTCTTGGCTGACGTGATGGACGGACTGTGTGCCCCAGACAAGTTGAGACGCGACGCGACTTGACAGCTGTCACAAAACTCAATAGCGCCCTCTCCGCCCGCCGTTCTAGGTCGCGCAGTCGGTTGGACCGGGAATGTTGTTTTTCTCACTAGCTACGTTCGTATGCCGCCGCGTTCCCCTTCTCCTCGCAACGCAACGCAACGCCAGCCACTCGGACAGACCCTAAGCAGGGTTGCCGATCACTTCCAGGACACCCGATTGCAGGCTCCGAGGAGAGCGCCAGTCTGGTCAAGAAGCTGGGCACTATGCCTGTTGTGCGTGTCGTAAAACGTGTGCGCTCTCGGAGCTACCCTCGCACAGCATGCATCTGGTCCTATCTTTTGTCCTTCAGTCGGCCGGTTCCGGTCCGTAGTCTACCATGCGTCTCGCTCTCATTCGCCCCCTTGTTAGCCTGCCGGGCGACCCGCGTCACTTCCAGGTTGTTCCTGCATAGGCTGCCAGCATCCAACTTAGCTGACCTCTTGCCCTCCCACCAAAGTTGGGCCTCTTGGCTGAGATGAGATGTCTTACTTGGCGTTGGCGGCGAGATGGTCATCATTGGGTCTTGGCGGCGTAGGCTCCTATCTAATGGTCTACTACTAATACGCACCACATGGGCCTCCGCAACCGTTGCCCGAATGCTCTCTCTAGTCCCAAAGACAAATAAAACAAAACTTGCCGTCTACTAGCACCTCTTGTCTATTATTCTCTCTGTTCTGCTCTGCCCGCGCTACTGGCCAAATCCCCCCCCCCTCTCTCCTGTTCGTCCCACCCTGACTCGAACACGCAGAGCCAGAGCCAGACCCCAGACCCCAGACCGCCCGCTATGACTACTGACATGGCGTCGGCTAGGCCGTGGTGGAAAGACGCCGTCGTCTACCAGATCTACCCTGCCTCCTTCAAGGACTCCAACGGAGACGGCCTCGGAGACATCCCCGGCGTCCTCAGCAAGATGGACTACTTGAAGGGGTTGGGCATCGATATCATCTGGATCTCGCCCATGTGTGTAGAAACAACTCTCCCATTGTCATAGACAGGTGTGTGGGACGCTAGCTAACTCACGCCGTGTCGTTGTCGTTCGTTGCCAGGTTTGAGAGTCCTCAGGTAAGTAAGGCAGGCTATGCCGCCAAAACTTTCCGCACGACTGCGTCTGTGCTAGCGTCGCCAGTCCAGGCTGAGAAAGTCTCAAGTCTCTTTGGCTATTCTAGCTGGGCGAGAAATATTCACTCTAGGGGCCCCGTCGCATGCCTCTCCAGTCGGAGAGAGATGAAAGGACTGGCTGTCTCGAGTGCCGGTTAATGATCAGTAACGGCGGCCACTTGAACCTGGCTATCAGCGAGGCCCAAGACTTGTAGATTCACTCTGTTGCGATGCTTGGGTGTATTGCCTCTTTGCGGTGGTGATGCTGTAAAGAGAAACAATGCCGTTGGCTAACAGGTGCTGACTATTGACTGTGAAAGGTTGACATGGGCTACGACATCTCCAACTACGAGGAAGTCCACGCTCCGTATGGCACCGTAAAGGATATGGAGGACCTAATCGCGGCGTGCCATAGCAGGTAGGTACCGTGCCGCGCCTGCCTACCCCTTTCGCAAGCCGGATATGCTAGTCATTGACTAAAAGGCGGAAACAGGGGAATGAGGTTGATCCTAGATCTCGTCATCAACCACACCTCAGACCAACACGCTTGGTTCCAGGAGTCGAAATCATCGAGGGACAACCCGAAGCGTGACTGGTGGGTCTCGCTCTCTCTCTCGATGCGCGCTTCAACGATGACGAAAGCTAATCGATCCGGGGAGCACCATCGCTCACGAGGGGGAATAGGTACATCTGGAAGCCGCCCCGCTACGCCGAGGATGGCGCCCGGCTGCCACCAACCAACTGGCGAAGCTACTTCTCGGGCGGCACGTGGGAGTATGATGAGCACACCCAGGAGTACTACCTGCACCTGTTCGCCAAGGAGCAGCCCGACCTCAACTGGGAAAACGAAGAGACCCGCAAGGCCATCTACGACAGCGCCATGCGCTTCTGGCTCGACAAAGGGGTCGATGGTTTCCGTGTGGACTGCGTAAACATGTCAGTCATTCTTTTTTTTCTTCGTTTACTTTTACATCAACTGCCCATCAACATAACTGTTCTCTTCAGAACTTTCTGGCCATGCAACCGTGATATGCGCTTTCATCCCAAACCAACCCCCCACTCACTCATTACAACATAGAGGCGCTGACACCGAGGTTAACCTATGGCACAACAAAAAAAAGGTACTCGAAAGTGGTAGACTTTCAGGATGCGCCCGTCGTGGACAAAACCTTTTACGAGCAGCCGGCATCAGAGTTCTATGCTAACGGGCCGCGGATGCACGAGTTCCTCCGCGAGATGAACGAGCAGGTGCTGAGCCGCTATGACGCCGTCACCGTGGGCGAGCTGCCGCACACGCCAGACCCGCGCAAGGTTCTGCAGTACGTCGGCCTGGGCGACCGCCAGCTGAGCATGGTGTTCCAGTTCGACATCGTCGCCATCGGGCAGAACGTCGCGCAGAAGTATAACTTTGAACCGTGGACGCTTCCGGTTCTCAAGGAGATTGTGGCCAAGTGGCAGCAGTTCATCGAGGGCACAGACGGCTGGACGACAGCCTTTTGCGAGAACCATGGTATGGATGGCGGCACTAGCCCCCCCCCCCCTTTTTTTTTTTTTTTTTTGGCTTACCCTTCCTCCTTCTCTCCTCTATCCAGTAGTCATGACGGCCCAGTAGAACGGTTGGCTTGGTTGCCACACTAAAGATATAACTGACCAATATCCAAAACTCACAGACCAAGGCCGTTCCGTGTCTCGCTATGCGTCGGACGCGCCCGAGCACCGTGTCGCCTCGGCCAAGATGCTGGCCATGATGATGTGCGCGCTGACGGGGACCCTGTTCGTTTTCCAGGGGCAAGAGATTGGCATGATCAACTTACCCAAAAGCTGGCCCATCGACGAGCTCAAGGACATTGAGGCCCTGGGCTACTACAAGTCGATGGCGGCGGCGACGAACAACGACAAGGAGACGATGGCCACTGTGATGCGCAATCTCCAGATTCTAGGCCGCGACAACGCCCGGCTCCCAATGCAGTGGGACTCGACCGCGCACGCCGGCTTCACCGACAGCAAGGACGGGCCGTGGTAAGTCGCCCCGAGCCTTTTCTTCCGTATCGGTCCTTGTCTTCTTTTCCCTAGCCTTTTGTGTCCTTGGAATCCTAGCAGAGTTGAAACCAAGCTCCACTAACATGCACTTCTTCGCAACAGGATGCGCGTCCATGACCTGTACCCAGACATCAACGTGACCAAGCAGCTGCAGGACCCCGGCTCGACGTACAGCTTCTGGAAGGCCATGATCCAGCTCCGCAAGGAGCACAAGGACATGCTCGTGTTTGGCGCCTTTGAGATATTTGAGCCCGACGGCGAAAAGACGTTCGTCTTCGCTAAGACACACCGCAACAACAAGGCCGTCGTCGCCCTCAACTTCACTAGCGATGACCAGCGCGTCACGCTGCCACCTTTTGATGGCCTCGCGCTCCGCGTCGGCACCTATCCTGATGCTGCCGACGTCGAGAAGGCGGCGGCGCCCGGGAATATGCGGACATTGCGACCCTGGGAGGGGCGTCTGTACATGGCTTGAGGACCAGGTGAGTGAGCACACCCGCCTGCTTACATGTTTTAGGCGTTTGGTTTATGTCAAGTTGCGGTGTTGGTACGGTGTCGGGCGAAGGTCGAGAGCGTTTGCTACTTTTTTATTTAATTTGCTTCGAACTCTTTGCTCGGGCCTGATGTGATTCCATCGTCTAAAATTCATCGGGCGGAGGGCTGGGGATGTGGCGGGATAAGGTGTTTGCACTTGTAGACGAGCCGGCGTGACACTAATGGATTTTCTATCGCATAATCTGCTTTCATACCCCAGATGGATGCCTGACGCTTTTCGTATTGAATGTCTTGGTGAGTTGGATAGATAAGTACCTCGGCGGAAAGCTCCAGATTTAAAGGTAACAAAGGAGCTCGAAAGACGCTTCCTTCCGTCTTTGGATTGGGCAAGTTTCGGACAGGTGATTTATGGAAATGAAATACGAAATAGGAAAGAGTGGCGGTCCGTGGAGGGGCTATTCTACGATGTAGTTCGAACCTTCCATCACCGCCTTGTGTGCTGTACCCGGTATAGATTGCCTAACTTGAGAAATTCCGACCACGTCGTGCAAAGGGTGTGGTCGTCCCCACGGACCCTTGAGGAAGGTGCTGCAAGTCATCCCTTGCGGCAGCTCCCGCTTGCAAACTATGCACCCCGCCACCACCTTAGCTCCCCTGACAAGACCACCTAGTACACTGCAGCTCCTCGAGGTACGAATACCGGACACAGTCTCACAATCAATGTCTCGACCTTCTCCCTCCCAATTTCGGCTGTAGACCTGTCCAGTTTACCAACTGGCCTGGAGCAGCCCGACCCGACCCGACCCGACCTGTCCCGTCACCATGTCGAATCCGCAAAGCGTCGCTGGCAGCGAGTCCGAGTTCGAGTTTGTCGAGACTCCCAAGGCCTTAATAACCCCCGAGAAGGTCGAGGACTGCGGAGTCCGCACAACTTCCGTGAGCCCCCTCCCTAGTGGCATCACTATCCTATCCCCTATAGCTAGGCTGCTAGCTCATCTTCAGGTTGCCCTGGGCCCTGGAACGGGCAAAGACGTGGCGCACTTGGGGCGGTTGGACCTCGACTAACTCAGGGCCACATGGATAGTATCCCGCCATAAAAAACGCCCCATTACCTGCTGATGCGGCCGGCACCGAAAGCTTCTCCAACATCCTGCTCTTCTCCCTCATCGCCGGCGTCCCCATCTGCCTGTCGTGGAAGGCCGGCGGCGGCTGGAAGACGGCCTTGTTCATAGCTCTCTTCACGTCGGTCCCGCTGTTGTGCACCTTCTGGCTTGTTGCTGGCGCCATTTCGCCCCGCAAGAACGAGAAGGCCAAGTATCCCGGCCGTCCTGTAGAGCACTACCTGATCTTCAAGAAGCCCGCGGACCAGGCAAAATACCATGGCAAGAACAAGATCCCCATGTGGATCTTTTTCGAGATGTACTTTGACGGCGACGTCGAGTTCAACGGCGACTGCCTCGACGTGCTCGAGTACCGCCATGACTGGGCCAGCTTCCGCTTCACCTTTGGCCTCATCAAGTTCTTCCTCGCCGGCATGATTCCCGAGACGATAATGCATACTCGGTCCCAAGGTAGTTGGGCTCGAGCCTTGTGGCAATAGAACATGGGCCTCGAGCGTAAAAGCGCTGACCTTTTTGCCCCTCCACCCTAGACGAGGAACAGGTGCGCGACCACTACGATCGCGGTGATGATTTCTACGGCTGGTTCCTCGGCCCGCGCATGATCTACACGTCGGGCATCATCTCGGATATCAACAAGGAGGAGGCGCTGGAGCAGCTCCAGGACAACAAGCTCGCCATTGTCTGCGAGAAGATCGACCTCCAGAAGGGCGAGAGGCTCCTCGATATTGGTTGTGGATGGGGCACGCTGGCCCGCTTCGCCAGCGTCCAGTACGGAGCCAAGGCCACCGGCATCACGCTTGGTCGCAACCAGACGGCCTGGGGTAACAGCGCCTTGCGCAGAGCTGGCGTGCCCGAGGAACAGAGCAAGATCCTGTGCATGGACTACCGTGATATCCCGGTTCCCGCCGGCGGCTACCACAAGATCATATGCCTCGAGATGGCTGAGCACGTGGGCATCCGCCACTTCGCCGGCTTCCTGAGGCAGGTCTACGACATGCTGGACGACGACGGCGTCTTCTTCCTCCAGATTGCCGGCCTCCGCAAGGCTTGGCAGTATGAGGATCTCGTCTGGGGCCTCTTCATGAATAAGTACGTCTTCCCCGGGGCCGACGCCTCCACACCGCTGGGCTTCTTCGTCGACAAGGCCGAGGGCGCCGGCTTTGAAGTCAGGGCTATCGACACAATTGGCGTCCACTACTCGGCTACTCTCTGGCGATGGTACCGTAACTGGCTGGCCAACCGGGACAAGGTTGAGGCCAAGTACGGAAAACGGTGGTTCCGCGTAGGTCTCGCTCGCTCTTTTTATTACCGTCAGTCAACGGAACGCTAACCGTCTCTTCTCGTTGTACATGCGTCTGTACAGATCTGGGAGTTTTTCCTCGGCTGGTCGACCATCGCGTCGCGCCAGGGCTCTGCCACGTGCTACCAGATTGTCATGGCCAAGAACATCAACTCTAAACACAGAGTCGAGGGCATTCCCTCCCAGTTCGCCCTCAGCGGCGCCCTCGGTTTGACCAGGGCCGACATGAACTCTTGGGCCGAGGCCGAAGCAGTAGAGTTTCCCATCGTCGCCACGCACTGAGCGGTCCCTGTCGTTGCGGAAGAGACCTTAAGAGTTTCTTTATCTCAGGATGGCTGCTTTCCATTCCTGGGGCATTGGTTTCGTAACAGGTCCGAGGAGGGTGAAACGGGGTCAGTGGAGATTCCTTGTTAGGCATGGTGATAGACAAAAATTAAGAGGAATAAAAAGCAAGAGACCTGAAAGGGAACCGCAGGGTAAAAGCTGTAAAATAGTCCTAAATGCCTCGGGAAGGCTAGACGGAAAGGTGTATTATACTGTACTGTAGTTGGTGTAAGGGCCTCTAGACTGGCCCTCGTGAAACCTGGAATCAAAATATTAATTTCATCCATCATCCGTGAAAGTTGGCTGCTAAGAGAGAATGAGCTTGGGCTAGATAAAGACGTAAAAATGGGGGGTTCGGTGTAGTTACGGTGAGGTCTCGACGGCCTGTGAAGGTGTCTGAAATAGGTAACTATCTGTTTGGTTCTTGGGAAGCACGGAGATGATTGAGACGCGTGACCCCAACAAAAGCCTCTGACAAATTTGAGTCTAACGAACCTATATTTATTGTTTTGTTTCATTTCATATTTTTATGAACGAGAGGGAGCCATGGCATGGATTTGACTAAGAGGAAAATTTCTTTCTGGTCTCTTGACTCTGTCGAGGAGCAACCTCAACAATGTTAAACCACAATAGAAACATCATTTCTATGCCAGCCACTAGACACACACACACACTGAAACTGCCATCTTCAATTCTCTTAACGCAAAAGACACAAACAACGGAGAGCTGTGTGTCTACTTAGATAAGATCTGAACTAAGTCTCTTCTACATCAGTATAGTATAGATAGGTCCCGTAACCAGCAGCAGCATCCTGTGCCCAAGATCTCTTCGTAGCCGTCTGAATGAATTATATCGTACACCCCGATGGGTAGGTAAGTAGGGTAGGTAAGGTAGGTAGTATAGTATTGTATTTTACAAAGCGAGACCACCCATCTATGCGCTCGCAGAACCTTCACTCCCTATAACTTGGGTGATGAGATGTACAAGCCGCCCGGGAGGTATACATAAGACAGCGAGTCTTCTCTCGAGAGTTCCTCTTGGTACCCCACTACCTATCTTACACAGGCACCTTGGGCAGTGCGTGGGGAATTAGAGCAAGCAAAGAAAGACGGCAGTAGCATCAGACAGCGCCGATGCCCTCGCGCCAGCCGATAGGGACCAGGGCTGCAGCTACATCGCGCACGCCGCGCTCGGTAGCGAGCATATTGAACTGCGACGCGGCGTTGCGTGTATCGAGGACCTCGACGCGCATGCCGAGGCTAGCAATAAGGCGGCGGGTGTCTGGGCTGAGGGGCCGTATGTCTGGGCCGAGGCCCAGAACGAGCAGGTCGGGGCGGGGCCAGACGAGGGCGAGCACGCCGAGGGCGTCGGGGTGTAGGTCCCACTGGCCTTTGTCGTTGAGTAGGCGGTGGCCGGGGCGCCAGGGGCGCCACTCGAAGGCGTCACCGGCGACGAGCAGGGCGCCGGCGCCGCCGAGGATGGTGATGCCCGAGTTGAGCACGAAGCCGTCCGACATGCACACGTCGACTGAGGTGGCGGGCGCCGGCGTCTGCCCCAGCATGTCCATGCGGTCAAAGTCGGTCGTCGGCGCCGAGTCCGGCACCGTCTCCTTGTTGTGTCCCACCGTGCGCCGCCGCGCCGTCGTGTGTATTCTGGCGGTAGCGGCGGCGGCAGGGCCTACATGGCTGCTGAAGAGTGGTCGTGGGGATGATGGCGATGGCCATGGCGATAGTGACAGTACTGCTGTTGACGGTCTGGAAATGCCCCTGTTGCTCCCACTTGCAATACGCCCGAATGTGCGATACGCTGTTGCCGCTAGGGCACGAATTGATGCTGCCATCGTGCCGATTATAAACGAGCTGTGCGACAAGATTTTGATGGTTTATAGTCTGCATTGCACGCGATGTTTAAGGATAATGGCTGGCGAGGGCCCAATCCATGGTACGGTAAATTTTGAGCTCAAACTCGACGTCATTTCATGGACAACTAAGTTTAGCTGCAATGAGCCACAAATGAGAATGCATCTACAGCACAACGACACGACCAACTGTCTTGTACACAATCGGCTATTAACACGTTTGCGGTCTTGCTATTCCAAGTGTCGCAAATACAGAATGGACACAAGGTTATTTCTTGCTCAACGGCTTGGGCCTGGAACTGTTGTGCTCGGGCTCGGGGCCTCGTACTTGGTCGGCCATCACTGAGCGGGCCGCTTGATAGGTTCACGCATATCCCCAGTGAATTGTTTCATGCCCAGAATCCGTATTTCATGAAAGCACGGCCTGAAGTCCATTCCATTGCGAACTTCATTCCGGTGAAAAAGCAGCCCTAATAACAGAGGCAGCAGAACCCCAGCTGTGTGTACGGCATGCAGCCCTTTTCCCTAGTGAACACCGAAGCAATGAGACCGTCAACCTTCCACCCGTCGCCACCAGAACCAAAAGAACTGAAAATTTATTTCTTCTTGTCGGCCTGGCTCTGCTCCTTCAGCACCTTCTTGACAATCTTCTGCTCCTCAATGAGGAAGGCCCGCACGACGCGGTCCTTGACGCAGTTACCGCATCTTGAGCCACCGTACGCACGCTGAACCGTCTTCTTGGGCTTGGAGAGCTGAGCGTACTCGCGGGGCCGGAGGGCGGGGATCTGCAGAGAGACATGTGGTCAGCGACGGGCCTTGTGTAATTCGTTGCTGTGATTCCATCAATGCATCCTCGTCCCGTCGTCCATCAGGTCGTATGCGGCGTGGGCTTAGCCGACCAATTCGTAGAGACGTGAATTTCCAACGTGGACTATTCGCACACCGGTGCTCCTGTCGTTGGTCATGTCGTTTGCGATGTCAAGTTTCGTATTGCTGTCGCCGGTCGGTCGCTTCCAGTACGTTGGCGTGGAGAAATTTGCCTCCCCCCAAACTCCCCGCAACCCGAGAAACCTGCAAAAACACTTACACCAGGCAGCTTGATACCGCAGTCACCGCACTTGGGAGCGGTTCCGCGCTTCTTGATGTGCAGAACCCGCGTGTTACCACCGGGGGTCTTGATGATCCGCGTCCGGTTCGACGTGGTGTTGTATCTGGTCAAAGGTCAGTCAATCGGAATTTCCTAGCAATTGGAAATTTGCCCGCCCTGCCGACGGGGGCATATTCGGGACGCAACTCACGGGTTCCGGCGACGGTAGGTGACTCGTGTGGGCGCCATTGCTGCGGTGTGGTCGATGTCGTGGTGAGATCTTCAAATCGATCGCTGGGTGCGAAGTGGATGAATTTTGGATTCGGGGTTGGGAAATTTCTGTGTGGGCGCGGAACAGGGGGCCCCACTCTGGCTCAACCGAAGGGCTGGCCGTGGCACCGCCACCATCCGCAGGAGTTGAGCATACGCTTACATAAAAAGCTACATGGCTTGACGTCTGGGGCCTGACCAGCGCTTGTCTCCACCTTGTCTTCAGGATTGGCCTTGGCCTTCTCAGTACTCCCAAAGAGTGCAGTGCGTGAGAACGACTCTACTGCATTTATCATTTGGGCTCATAGTTACTCTTCAGGTGGTCTATCGCGTGGTGTTGTATTTTGTTTTAGCCTTGATACCTAACTAGGTATACATTGCCTGCAGACCTGTGAGAATGTTTTTCGAGAAAGTTCGCCAGTTGCTCGTCTCCTGCGAGAAAAGCAGCAGAGTCTCAAAGAAACCAAAGCACGCCAACAACTGCTCCACCTTGCATATCGCCATCTCCCAGTAAATCAGGTAACGCCCAAGAACGATCTCCAATGACAAGGTCTAACTCCGGTCTGGCGACTACCGTAAGTCGTCCGTGGATAGGTCTATTGGCCACGCTAGATAAACCCCAAAGACCGCTTCTCTCCCAAATGAATATCGTGCCAAAAAAAACCAAATTATGCGTGTAAACTCCAAACGCCTATCCGGTCTCGCTGAGCTACCCAGTAAATGCTCCGAAGAAGGTAAGCCATAGTGTTTGTTTTCGTCTCAGTCAAGTTCTCATAATCGCCATTTCTCATCTTTTAGGCGTCCTTAGTTTTCTGCCGCTTTGTTGTTGTCCACTGGGGGTCGTCCCGTGGTCTCCACGGTTTTAAGCCCTTCGGGTTTGCTTGTCGGCTCTTGTTGGCCTTTTGTATGAGTTTCTTGGTCTCGTCGCTGCTGATGGCAGTTTTAAAGCTGGCAATCTCCTTATCGGTGGCGTCGACGGATTCTAGAAACGCGTCGTACGAGGCTTGGGCTGAGGAACGAGTTAATATACAACTCTCTCCTCGATCGCAAATGTATGGAGGGGAGATGTACGCGACGGCTGTTTGGAGGCCAGTGGTTCGAGCATGCGCGGAAGCACCGATCGCAGACGTCGGAGCTGGAAGGCAAGCTGTCAGACAAGACTCAGGGTGAGCGGCGACTAAACCATGGGGCTTGACTTGCCTGCAGATGCAGCTCTTTCAAATGCTCCAGAGCATCCTCCAGATGTTGCTCTTCCTGGAGGCTGTCTTTAGCCGCCTGTGTTTGGTTGATTGCCATTTCGAGGATGATCTAGTAGCCGGGCAGAGACGCTTTAACGGCGACTCGAGAACTTGAAATCCTCAGGCGGTATCAATCCAGCTCCAGGATACGCCAAGGTGTTGACGCGATTCATACTACCTCCTTCAATAACCCGGAAGGATAAGGTAGGGAGGCCGTTTGAGGGGCAGACTAGGTTGTCCGACTACCAAGTACATATAAAGTACCCCTGCAGATGGAAGACAACTCAGGTGGGGTCGGCTTGAACAAAGGCTGGGGTTTGGGGTTAATCGGCAAGCCGACACCTCGGTGAGCCACCGGTGCAGGACCTCAAGGTGCCAATGGTCTCGGGTCAGGTACGTAGTACGTACTTACTCCGTAATATTTCGAAGAAAGGGAGGAGCGGTTTGGAGCGTTTGGAGCAGTCATGTGGCTGATTACAGAGGAGCTAGCCGGTCTGGCCTGGCGTGCAGTCGCGCTTGTTGGGACTTTGGCTTGGGGGGGGGAGCTTGCTTGCTCACGACTGGGGCACCCGCTGAAACGCTTGGGCCAGCCAGCCAGCTCTTCAACGCGAAGCGCAAATAACAGAGCAAGCAAGCATTCTTCGTCAACTCGCAGGCAAATGTCATCCCGCAAAAGACTTTGCCGACGGATCGGCTGCCTTGACTGAACGAAACGCGATTCGAAAAAAGGCACGACAATCGGCTGGGCGTCCGCGCGACACTCGGACATTCTAGCGTCTGCAGCCTGGGCCACCTCGACTTCTTTTGCCTCCTGCAGCACAGTATATTTTCACTGGCTGGCTGCTGTTGCAAACAGACGTGCCAATCATTGAGAACCATTGAAGAAGCATGGAGACTCACGCAAATTCGCAGCCACGCCCGCGCAAGCGCCAGCGCACTCGCGTCGGAGTCTCGGATAACGGAAATACAGCGAATCCAGGCGGTGCTATCGCCCAAAACTGGCCGGGACCCGCGCTCGCCCACTCCCACTCTCAGACCGTGCGCGTCCATGGTGACACAGTACAAGGCCAACCTCCAGGCTTTCCATCGCAGCAGCTCGACCGATCGCACCAGGTTGCCGAGCCGGACGCGTTGATGAACGGCTACACCACCCAGCAGCACACGCAGTACCCGGATCCGCCGACGTCGCTGGCCGCCACCTCGCAGCCCGACCCATCTGGCCTCAACAACCTCAATACCCTCGCCGGCGACAACAGTGGCGTCGCGAACCCGCACCAACACGCGCACCAGCAGCAACAACACGCGCACCAGCAACAGCAGCAGCAACAGCATCTCCAGCACCCGCACCCACACCCGCACCACCCCCAGCAGGGCGCTTCCGCCGGCGCCGGCACCACCAAGGCCGACCGCGTCATATTCCAGCAGTACGGCAACAGCCCTTCCGGCAACGCCACCTCTCCCACCACCGTGGCGAGCTCTACCTCCAACCCCGCCTACAACCTCCCGGTGTGGCAGGTGACCGGCCCGACGCCGTCCTCGACGGCGATGCCGCCGCAGTCGCCTGCGCCCGGGCTGGCGCCCCCTCCCGAGGGCATATTCCGCTCCTTTGAGGACCTACTCGCGTCGGTCCAGCGCGTTGCCAAGGACCAGGGCTACGGCATTGTCAAGCTGCGCGCAAGCAACTACCGCGATGGCAAGCCAACGCGCTACGACCTCGTGTGCGATCGTGGCGGCGTCAAGTACAGCAGCACTGCCAAGAAGCGCAACCCGAGCACGCGTAAGGTCGACTGCCCCTGGCGTGCTAAGGCTGTCTGCGAGGTAAACCTCGGCAATCAGTGGCGCTTCGCTGTGCAAGAGGGCCGGCATAATCACGAGCCGCGCATCCCGGCCGCCGTACCCGGGCAGGAGAACACACCCGTCGCCCAAAGCATCCGCAGCTTCACAAACAAGATCGACCGCATATCTCACGACATGACGCAAGGGTTCACCCGCATGGAGGCCATGCTCAACCAGAGGTTCGACACTATCGAAAAACGCATCGAGGTGCTGGAAGGCGGGCGGCCTTCGATGCTGAGCGGAAATGGCGTGTCGGCCATGGGCGCTCAAAGCATGCCCGCCGCCAATATGGGCGGCGGCAACCTCGGCAGCGGCCCTCTGACAAACGGAGGAATGGGAGCCGGCACCATCGTCGACAACCGCTTAAGCAACATCGAAGCTAGGGTCAACGCAATGGAGCAGCGCGGGCACGGCATGGAAGGCTTGCCTATGATGGACGACGGTTCAGACCGGCTAATGATGGTGAGCTCCTAGTGCGAGCCTCACGATTACCAAAGCCAAAAGTCTGCATCGCCATGCTCGGACGCCACAGCATAGGAGCCTGCGTCTTCGCCGTCGCTTCCTTACCATCCTGGCTCACTTTATTCCCCTACGCTCTGCATTGGCAAGTGTCAGAGTGGCAACACTACCCACCCGCGCACCCCCTCCCCTAAGCGATGCCAACCAATCACCCTTGCTCGCGAGGCAAGAAACAAACGCACATGTTCTCATTGATTCCCTTTTTGTAATGTATAGGTAATTTTGGCGTTAGCAATTTCCGGAGTGTGTAAATATCTCCGTACGGCCTGTTACGGAAGGGATAGGATATGGCGTTTTGGGAACGGCCGACTTTGCTGGTAATATGTCGACCTTGGGCTGACGATTTGGCCTGGTCCACATACTCGGGCTGGGGCCCCTACACGGTCTGCGAGGGATTTTAAATTTTCGAAGCAAAAAAACACCAAAAACAAAGAACGAGCGGCATGTCGATAGGTCGAAGCCGCTCAGTGTGTTTGTTTGTTTGTCTACCGTATTAGTAGTATGTATGATGACCACGTTGTGGTTTTACAGCGACTTTTTTATAGCGGGTGAATATAAATCTTTGCCCTCTTCTCTTGTTCGCGTATGCGCCTTGCATCGTTTTGAATATTCATTATCATAAAGTTACGCTGTCCCGTACCGAGAAATGTAGTCTGACTATTCCATGCGGTGAAGTCGTCTGCAAGGGTTAGGGTTTGCCTATTTACTGCAATTGCCAGGCACCCCCCGCAATCTCCAGGGCCCAGACCTATTTTAGCCCTTGCGCCAAGACTTTCCTCCCACGCAAAAATATTCCGGCTCTCCCGTCAATAGTCAATCCGAGGCTTCTTCAACACTACGAACAACCAACCCTCAAAACCTCCAGCAATCCCCGAGAAATCCGCCAAAATGCCTGGAGGTGTCAGCGTTCGTGATGTCGATGTAGGTTACTGCAACTTTTCGTCATGATCATCTTAGCAGCCCAGATCCGAAAGCTGTTTCGCCGTCGACCGACGACGATGCATCGCGACCAGCAATCCGGAACAAGATGATGGGAGCAGGCGCGAGGGGGTCGAAAGACCTCTGATGACGGAATGGTGCTAATTGCGGTGTTGATTTAAAGGCCCGGAAGTTCGTGGCTACCTATGCCGCTTTCTTGAAGCGCCAGGGCAAGCTCCCCGTCCCCGGTAAGTACACTTTCATTTTAGTTTCTACACCTACCAACGACCTCCCTCGTGTGAGCGCTTCGCACCGTGACAACGCGGCTGACTTTGATTCTATAGGTTGGGTTGACACGGTCAAGACCGGCCCCGCCAAGGAGATGCCTCCCCAGGACATTGACTGGTTCTACGTCCGCGCCGCGTCGGTTGCCCGCCATGTCTACCTGAGGAAGACCGTCGGTGTTGGCCGCCTCCGCAAGGTTCACGGCTCCGCCAAGAACCGCGGCTCGCGCCCTTCCAACCACGTCGATGCCAGCGGCAGCGTTGATCGCAAGATCATGCAGGCTCTCGAGAAGATTCAGGTCCTCGAGAAGGATGAGGAGAAGGGCGGACGCCGCATCACCCAGCAGGGACAGCGTGATCTTGACCGTAAGTTTTCCACAGCCCGGTTTTGTTGACTGAGTGTAGTGCTGACATTGGGTGAATAGGGATTGCGCAGACTGTCGCTGAGGCCGACGAGGAGGAGGAGGAGGACGACGACGAGTAAACAGGTCTTTACGAAAACCTTTTAGATTCTCCAGGGCATGCTGCCACGCTGGGGGGCTCCTCAGCAGTGTCGGAAGCAATGGCGTCGTGACCCTGGCAATGGTCCTGGATTCCCGGTAGCATCAGGTTTAGGCGTCATAAAATGGGATTGCTGGCTTCATCATGCCTGAATGTGCCTCATCCTCTGAGCTCTGCAGTTGCGTTTCAGGAATTTATCGTGTGTCTGTGTCCGAGTACCTACCAAGAGCTTGACATGATGAGTTGTAATGACACGAGTGCTTGCTTTGCGTGGACTGTCATTCCTCTCTATTCTATTCTTCACACCATCTCGGTGTCCTGGCTTGCCGCCCTCTTCACATTTTCTTTGTTGCTCTACTTCACACATTCTCTCTTGCCCTCTCCTCACGCTGTCCTTCGAACTCTGACCTCATACCATCCCCCAAAAACCTCTACTCCTCCATCCTTCCTACTTCCTACTTCTTGCCTTATTAGCCTGCCTCGCCCTCCTTCACACTCTCTACCTTCCTCGCCCTCACCTGGGCCGTTTCCCCTCCACACCCTCACCTTTGTTACGCGTCTTCGACGCGCCTTCCGTGACGTGCCCTGTCCCCTCTACGCGCCCTACTCGGTCATTTTCTTCTTTCTTCACCTGTCAATTTCAACCCCCCGCGGGTGACCTCCCCTTTTTCCCCCGCCCTGAGGTCTACTCACGGCATCTTTCCCCGTCTATATTTCTGCCCCTCCAAGAAGGCATGGTACCTCCACAAGCGTAATCTCATCTCTCCTACCCTGACATTTGTTCACGAGAGAGCTTCCTGGCCTATATTTCTGCCATCCCGAGAAACACAGGGTGCGTACCTTCCCTTTCCTATATAACATAGCCTCCTTTCGAAAGTAGTCAACTGACCATCCTCTTAGCCAAGCTCGGCTAAACACTCGACAAAGATGTCTTTCAAGCAAGCAAAGAAGGCCTTTGGCCTCGCTAAGATACACATCGCCGTACTCGAGAGAAACTTTGCAGAGGTTGCTCGACTCTTGAACCGAAGCAAAGACAACGTCAACAAGCAGGATCGCATGGGCGCCACCCCGCTCCACTATGCTGTCACGCTCGGCTACCTAGACATCGTGAGCCTGCTGCTGAGCAAGAGGGCTTCGTTTCTTGTCGAGGATCTCAAAAAACAAACGGCGTTGTTTTACGCAAGATCTAGTGCAGCCCGCACAAGATTGCTACGCATTTATGAGCGGCTCGGAGTTCCGCTGAAGCCTACCAGGTCGATGAGACAAGACATAGCTCACCTGTTACGAGAACCAGAAGCCCTCCGGGCCATGCTGGCGCGGAAGGACCACCCGTTGTCTTCGTCGGTCGTACTCAGAAACAAGACACACATCTCAATTATCGGGAAGGGGAGAGTTAATGTAAACGTGGGCTATGATATCGTGGATTCGACCTTCGGGTTTTTATCCGGATATGGAGATTCTTTGCCCACCCCTGGAATGATGGTAATTTCGGGTTGGAGAGATCTGACGCGGGTATCTCTCGACATCATTCCGAACGGAATATTTACAGAATTGGTGCGAACTGCAGCGAAGATTCTCGATTTCAAATTGTGGAAACAGTCTTGGGACAGCCCTGGCCAAAAAGTCGTCCATCGCGATGATGTCGGGAGATATTTAGCCTCGCAGTAAGTGCCCCTTCCACGCTTCTTAATGGCTGTCTTCCGACTAACACTCGAACTTGACAGTGTCGAGAAAAAGCTCTCGACGGCTTGGATTATAAAGCTATTGAATGAGAAGTTCAATACGGTCGACCTGGAGCGTATGTCCGAGTTGAAAACATTGGACCTGCCAGGCAATAAATCGAAGGTCAAGATCTTTTTAGATCACAACCCGTGTTCTAGGTGAGCACTATTCCCACTTTCCCACTTTACCATACATATATCGTATAACCCTTTTTCTATGGGTCTCTTTTCTAATCTAGAGTTACAGCTGTTTCGCATACCTTGCTGTTCTACGACGAGCGACAGGCATCACCTTCTCGGTAGAGCCCCTTCAATCTGTCGTACTTAGTAAACGAGGAAAGAAATCTGGTGCGTGTTCGAACTGTAGCTGCGATAGCTGCAAGCCTGCAAAAATTCCTCCGTCTTCGAATCCGAGCCTTCCAAGACAGGTGAGCGAGGAGGTAGAGAACCCAAAGCAGGTCGATTACGACGAGCTCGACGAGGTTGCGGCACGGGTTCTCCTTTTGAGCCCGGAGAGAGTGGCAACACAGTAGAGACAAGCCCAGTTGTCCGTGTTCAGAGGAAAAAGCTTCAGACCTTTAAGCGCAGCAAATGGGACTGCAGTCCCCCGAAGTTGATAAGTTTTTGGGCGGAGCCTTTCCTCTCTGCCTATTCCCAGGCCTAAAATATCTACCTAGCTACGAGTAGGTGACCATGGCTAACTCCTAGCGTGTAGTGAAGACGTTATCACAACTGCGCTAAGCCGATCCCGAGGGTAGTCGAGAAACAAGCTCTTCCCAGTCGTCGTACAAGACTCCTCCAGTCCAAGATCAGAGCAGGGACCAGGACCGGGACACAACGCCGTCATCAGTGCATCGTCCAACGCATCGTTCAGCTAGAGCTTCCGATGAAACAGAATCCACCCCCAATAGCGAGACGTTGCGGGAGGCCATCATGACAATTGAAGGCCGGTCCGGGGTCTTCGGAACCCCTGCGGCCGAAATGGAACTGCCACCAATTGATCGATCCACGGGAAGCCATTTCGAGATTGTTGGCGATAACTCCAACAATGTCCCGATTCCGACTACAGAGGCCAGCGAGCCTACCAGACCCAGAGGCAAGCTAGACTTGAAGAAGAGATTTGAGTACACGGGCCACAGGACGTTCCAACACTTGCAGCAGCGTTTACGTTCGCGTTCGCATTCGCGTCTCGGCTTACTTCCCAAGAAAAAGGCACATAATAAGACGGGGAAACCAAGCAGAGCAAAGTTGCGTGCAAAGAATAAAGAGGCCCAGATACAGAACAAGAGCATCTTTGGGAAGGCGTTTCAGTTCCACCAACGAATACAGAAACGGCAGCAACGCCAACAGCAACTGCAAACCCAGTCACGTTCGCAACAGGACCAGGCCGCCCTGCCAATCTAGGACAATGGCAGCAGCAGCACTAGTGCTAGAATCCACCCGGCGTACATCGCGCAATGCCTTTCTAACAACGGCAATGTTGCGAAACTGCATCCAGAGTATGTCGCCCGATCTAGACCTCGCCTTGATGCGTGCCTGGATTAGGGTTTCTTTGTCTCATTTGCTTCTTGAGATTGGAGAGGGGCAAGCAACCATTTCACCCCTCGGATGCGATGAATGCTTTGTCGTCCTCTGTCCCTTTCCTCTTGTCTTCTTTTCGCCCCTTTCGTCCCTTAACGATTTCCTATTTCGGAGCAGGCCCGTGTACGTATTGCATTTTTCTGTTTGGGGTCTTTGGGAAGGCGGGTTAGCTTACATACTATAGTATTACGGCGGCGGTGGACTTTACGGAGCGTAGCAGGGTTTCATGTGCCCGGAGCCAATTTGATGCCGGACCGCAGCAGGCAATACGAAATAGTTGTTGCCCTGCTTTACTTCCATGTCCGTGGCGAGTGAACTGCTAGGCAGCGAGCACCCCTGGCTGGGGTGCGGAGAGTTTATTAGTCTTTAGGTAGTACCAGCCCAAGTGGCGCCCATCGCGCGCGGGTATCAACCCTCGCTGTCACCCACCCACCCACCCACCCACCACGGCCCCCCCCCAGGCGCAATCCTTCGGCGACCACATACATATAATAGAGCTGCTGTCGCTGATCGTCTTGGCCCGGGAGCTTTTTATTTCCAAGAGTGACAAAACTGGGCATTTGTAGTAGTTTAGAAGTAGACTGCCGGATTGTCATGAAATCTTTGGGATTAGGACGCCTTTATTACCATCTGCGCTCCCCGCAAGCGTTTCTTGTCCCATTCAGCACCTGCGCCTGCTCGTCCGTCTCCAAATCGCCCCAACGGCTATTAGCGCAGCAACGACTCGACTTGCCGCAATACGGATACCACCAACGTAACAGCGTCCACAAGCATATACACACAATGTCGGCAGACGCAAACTCTTGTCCGGTACCGCCCGGCGAATCGCTAGACACATCGCCAACTCCTATAACGACAGCGGCAGAAGAAGGGGGCCAACATGCTGCGGGCCAAGACACCAAGCCGGCCGAAGCCGATGCCGAAGCCGATGCCGAAGCCGATGCCGAAGCCGGCAAATCCACTAGTTCTACAATAAACCCCGAACCCGAGCCCGTACCCGAGCCGGCGCTTCCGCCCCTTTCTCCGGCCGAGTTCCGGGAATACAATCGCCTAGCCGTCAAGATGGAATATTTTGTACCCTCCACCCTCCACCCCCCACCCCCCACTCCCCACCGCGAACCGCCTCTGGCTGACCGGGCTAATCTAGCACGACCACTTCCGCCAAACATACAACATGATCTACGAGGCGGCGAGGACGGGCCGCCGGCCAATGGGCATGTCGCTCAAGAAGTTCCTCGACGAGGGCATCAGCCTGGTCGGCTACCTCGAAGCGCACCACGGCATCGAGGAGTCGTACCTGTACCCCATCCTGGCCCGCAAGATGCCCCAGTTCCGCACCGCCGCCGAGGCCGCCGCCATGTCGTCGCCGTCGTCTTCAGCCGGCGGGGGCAAGAAGCAAAAGCAGGCCGACTGCGAGCTGCTGCGCCAGCACCGCGCCATCCATGCCGGCATGGACGTCTTCGAGTCCTACCTGCGCGCCTGCCGTAACCGCGAGCGCGAGCTCGAGATGTCGGTCCTCAAGGACAAGATGGACGCCTGGGGCGACGTGCTGTTCCGCCACCTCGACGACGAGGTGCGCGAGATCAGCGCCGACGTCATGCGCAAGTACTGGACTGTTGCCGAGATGCGCTCGTTTCCCATATGACGAGCATCACTTGCGGCTGTCAGGCGGATGGGGCCAAGTTTGTGGTGGGCGGAAGATGGATTTGCATCTGCCTATCTACCTGCCCTTTTCATCCTTTTTTTTTCATATGTCGAATGTGTTAATAGCCAGTATTAGTACATTTGCAATGCCGTTCGTGGTCCTTTTTTCCCGTTCCAGCATGCAAGTCTCCATGATATGACGCAAGCCTGCGAAAGGGGAAAAATAATGCCGCCCAATGACCGATTGCAAATGCACCCCCAACTCAAGATTTGAGATCCCCGTGCCATGAAGATAAGGCGTGGACGATCGATCAAGTTAAAACGAAAAACGCCCTCCCCCCCCCCCCCCCCCCCCAAAAAAAAAGAAAAAAGGCCAGCCAGTAAATTGTTCTCATACCCGCGATTGTTGCAGATAGGGCACAACCTAGATGCCGTGCGCCCTGCTGAGAGAGAACAGCCGAAACGCCATGCGCCCTACCGAGAAGACAAGACCGCCGGTGCAGAGAAGGAACAATCGAAATATCGTACGCCCTACCGATAAGGACAATACTGCCGGTGCTGGTGCAGAGAGAGAGAACAGCCGAAATGTCGTGCGCTCCGCCGAGAAAGACAAGACCGCTGGTAGAGAGAAAGAACAACCGAAACGTCGTGCGCCCTGTCGATAAAGACAAAGACTGCTGGTTCTGGTGCAGAGAGAAAGCAGCCGAAACTTCGTGACCCGTGCCGAGAAAGACAAGGCCGCCGCGCCGGTGCAGAGAGAGAAAACAAGCAGCAACCCCGAACGCCGTGAAACCTTTAATCAAACACCCGCACAACGCAGCTGCCGAAGAGAGCAACAGCAAACCCAAGCCGTGCGCCCAGAAATCACACCGCTGCCGAGCCGGATCCGCCCGCCGCGGTATCGTCGTCCCCATCCTCATCCTTATCCGTTTTCAAGCCGCGGGTCGGAACAAGAATCTCCTGGGTGATGAAATCGGCTGTGCCCGTCTCGACGGCCTCCTCGGTCAAGGCCATACCGCGGACGACGCTGACGCTGGCGAGGCCAGGTTCGGAAGGTCCAACAACGATGCCAGAAGAACCAGCAAGTGAAGACGGTCCGGCAAGTGACGACGGTCCAGCGGAACCAGAAGGACGAGCAAATGAAGACGGTCCAGCAAGAAAAACCGGCCCAGCAGCAACGACAACATCATCTTGCGAATCATCGTAATCCGTCTGCGCCCTCGCCTTGCCCTTGCCTTTTCCCGCCTTCTCAGCTTGGTCCATCTTGAGCGCCATGATATTGCCGTAGACGGCACGGTAGACGGCCTCGGCGTCGTCGTCATCGTCGGTATCTGTGTCGGGCAGCGCCGTGTCGCGCGCCGCGGCGGCCTGCAACTCAGCCTTGATACGCGCGAACAGGCCCACGTCGCACAGCTTCCTCGGCCACGTAGCCCCAGCTCGCGTCGTGCGCGGCTTGGTACCCCGGCTGCGCCGACTCGAATACGCGCGCGCGGGCCTGCTGGTTCGTCTTGAGCGAGTTTGGGCTGGAGGTTTGTGGGCGGTGGAAGTTAGCGTTTTGTGGTCTTTTGGTTCTCGAGCTGTGGTTGATGGGGAAGTAGGTAGGTAGGTAGGTGGGCATGGGTATTAGGAGAAGGGAGGAGAGAACTAATCTTCGGCCATTATAGGCTGCCATGCTGCGTCCAATCATCGAGCTCTTCTCAGGTTTAGTAGACTAGTCCTTGCCCTCGAAGTCGGGGGTCGGCGTGGGAGGCGGGGTCTACGGGGGACGGACAATGGGGACCTCATCTGGGTAGACGGACTCTATCGAGTCGTCGCCGGACTTTGCAAACACCGGTCCATCGCCGGCAAGTGTCTCGCGGATGTACCGCAACAAGGGGTCCTCGACGGGAGCTTGGTTCACGGGGTCAGCTGCGGCCCAGGGATGTCACTCGTCAAGGTACATACCCGAGGACGACGACGAACAGGCGTACGAGTAGACGACCGGTTCTCTCAGCTGCTCCTCCTCGGGCTGTTGTGCCGCAGTTTGGAGATGACGTGGTTAGCATGTGTGTCATCAGAAAAAAGGGGGAGGGGGTTTAGGGCCTCTACATACCTCGGGGAGGACCGTTGGGCCGAGGCCCAGGTTTGCCACGACTCTGGCATCCATGACTGGCCGCTCTCCCAGCTGGGAGAAGGCAAAGCCCGTGGCCAAGCCCGGCGAGATGTCGCCCTCTACAATGGCGTCGATGCCGGTCTTGCTCTTGTCGATGCCCTGGCGAAAGCAGCCCAGGCACGCCTTGAACTGGCACTCGTACCGGCTATCCGGCACCCACGGCTTAGCGTCGTCGGGGAACTTGCGGCGGGCCGCCCCCGAGACGTTGCTCCGGTCTTTGGTAATCGCCGCGTGCACCTGCGAGGAGAATGTCAGAGGGCTCATCTCAGCTTGGGGCGGGTGCTAAAGGAGAGGAAAGAAAAGGGGAGTGAAAAGGGGAGACAGTGAGAGAGAGAGAGAGAAAGAGAGAAGGAAATACATACGCTCTCGCGCTGTTGCATCACCGTGATCAGCTGCTCCGGGGTGTACGTGTGCAGCTGCTCGGCGGTCATCTCGCGCAGCACGCTGTACCGGTCGCTGCGGGCGTCGGCGCCGTGCTTGCCGAGCGACATCTGGTCCTCGAAGGTCTCGCCGACCTCGTCGAAAGAGACCTATCATTTCCAACAGTGTTAGCGACCGATATACGGAATATGCCGTTAGATTCAGACTGAAACCAAGACTTACCGGGAATCCCTTCTCCTTTGCGTTCATGATGATGGCGTCTCGGTCCATCACGCACCGGAGGAGGTAGCCCATGTCGCAGGGCCGGCCGCACCTCGGACACTCGACCGCGTCCGTATACAGGCGCGTCATGCCCGAGTGTGAGCATGCCGCCCTGTGCGGACCGCCCGCGCGGGGGGTTCTTCTGCCTCGCAGAGAGGCGGGGGCAACAATCGCGGGCTCCTCTGAGCCCGAGGCATCCTCGGCGATGGGCGGGAGACGGTCCTCTCCCGAGCCCGAAGGCTCGCCCTCGTTTCTCTCCATCTCGCCGCCTTTTCTGGGCGGGCGAGGCGGCGGCGGTGGTGTGCAGGTGTGACAACCTGCCTTGGGTGGTGAATGTATAGTCGGGTCTTGACGAGGTTGATGAGATGTGTGAAGTTCGTTACTGCAGCAGCCGGAGAAGAGAGGGAAGAAGGTGCACGAGCGGGGGAGGAAGGAGGATGAGATCTCGGCTGATGAAAAAAAGTAGAAGGGAAGGGTGCTCGGGGCGGGAGGGAAATATTTGCAGGTACTGCAAGCAAACGCGAGCAGGCGAGCAGCTCACGCGGGCTCAAGAGCTAGTGACCTGAATCTGAGAAAAAATTGAAGGTGAGAGGAAAGCGAGGGCAGGCTAAGAGCCATCTCAGGGCGGTGCCATCGCAACTCTCTCACTCTGGGGAGTCATTCTTTAGCTAAATGGCACTCAGAGGTCAGGCATATTTGGGATGGATGGATCTATGGATAACACGAGAAGAGCTAACTCTGACACCGAACCTTCTAACCTTAACAAACTAGGGCTGCCATGATTGCTTAAGCACAAGCTCTCGGCCTCTCGTCTGAGGACCAAAGGTAGTTAACTACCTTGATAATTTGCATATCCCCCTGTCTCCCCCTATCAATGGAGCCAAAAGAGCAAGCTCTGGGAAACGCTCCACAGCTCGGCTACAGCAACCTATCACAATCACAATACTATTCTCAGTTGAATCGGCTGGGTTGCTGTTGCTGTATTGACTTACGTTGTCTACCTATATGTTGTACTGGCGCTGTATTGGCGTGTAAATAATGGTAATTGCCTCTGCGCGAATTCCCTAATACTGGATTTATTCGCGATAATTAGTAAAGGGTGTACGTAGTTTTGTAACTTCAATGTCAGGGAGAAACCTAATCTTAATTTATGGAGCTTCCGCGCCGAGGCAAGTGTGAAGTTTGAAGCTATTTACAACTTCGCGATGCGGCTCAGGAGTGCCGTTGCTCTGAGTTGAGTTATGTGGGTCATCTTGTAAACCGCGACAACGTCCACTCAGCTCACAGCTTTGACAAGACCGCACTGAGCGAGCTGATGTTCGCTAGCGCGCCTTGGTTGCAGAGTGGGCCAGCCAATGGCATCGACCAGTCAACAGCGACCCAGTGGAGAGCTGCACCCTGGGACGGGACGACAGGGGTTCAGTGAGCAAAAGCCCGCCGATGAGCTGTCGTTTCCCAGCAGCCAGAGAGCCCTGAGGGGGAAAACAAACCTCGGCCACCTGAGAATGCGGCCAATCAGCGCCGCGCCTCGTTGGTGGTTGCCCGCAGGTCAGGTCCCACACACGCCTCGCAGCGACAGCCCCCCAGTTTCCAGGCGCGACACAGTGGGTGGAGAGGTGAGGGAAGCTCCTACCTGCCGCCGCCGTTCTCTCTCCCGTCCTACCCCCATCGAAAAACCAACCACCCCGTTCAGCTCCCATCACGACCAGACCGTGTCCGCAGCCCAAATACCTCGCCGTCGACTCCTCGTAGCGGCCGATCCGCATCGCGACATCCCGCAGCCTGTGAATTCCCGGTGAGTTAGTCCTTGCTCACCTTTTCTATCCCATTGACCCGACCGTTTCGTCCCATCGGGCCGCATTTACCGACGCGCTTGGCCTCGCGATAATTAAACTACGTCTCGGCCTCCTTTGATCCCACCAGACCCGCCGCATAAACAAGACATCAACCAGCGCAAAATCCCACGCCACGCCGCGCCACGCCACGCCACGCCACAGTTGCGCGCCCGAGAAACGAGCAGGACCGCTAATGCGATATTCACTGTCAGTTCCTATACCTATCTAGATGTCGATTTGATCACGGCGAGCCATGTCTCTCAAGATCGAGCGAGACACCATCTCGCAGGTGTCGGGGGCGCTGCCCGCGCTGCCCAAGCTCCAGAACCATGGCGGCATCGTCGGCACTGCCGCCGCCGCCGTGGCTGAGGCTGCTCACGGCCAGATTCCCGGCACCAGTGGCAAGCACCCCATCTCCGAGGTGGTCGGCACCGCCATTACCGGCGGGAGGCAGAATGCGGGTACCAAGGGTTATCTCGCCGTAGGTTTAAGCCCCTGCCAACCCCCTCCTCCTGGGATAGAGTGCCAAAACCAATACTGACGCCTTTCCCCGTTATCCAGGCCTACATCAAGCAACTAGAGGATAACCCGTTGCGCACCAAGATGTTGACGGCGGGCACTCTGGCCGGCGCGCAAGAGCTGATCGCATCTTGGCTAGCCAAGGACCGCAACAAGCACGGCAACTACTTCACGTCGCGCGTGCCCAAGATGGCGACCTACGGCGCTCTCGTCAGCGCGCCGCTGGGCCACTTCCTGATCTGGGCCCTCCAGAAGACGTTCAAGGGCCGCACTAGTTTGAAGGCCAAGATCCTACAGATTCTCGTCAGCAACTTGATAGTGCGTTCTCCCTCCTTTTCCCCCTCCCCGAGGGATTGCCGCTTTTTTGCATCGCTAACCAAAGCTGCCCAGATTGCCCCCATCCAAAACACGGTCTACCTCGTGGCCATGGCGCTGATTGCCGGCGCCAAGACATTCCACCAGGTGCGGGCCACAGTGCGCGTGGGCTTCTGGAAGGTGATGCGCGTCAGCTGGATCACGTCGCCCATCTGCCTAGCCTTTGCCCAGAAGTTCCTGCCCGAGAGCACCTGGCTCCCCTTCTTCAACTTCGTCTCGTTCATCATCGGCACCTACATCAACACCGTCACCAAGAAGAAGCGCCTGGCCGCCCTGCGGAAGAAGCACTTTGGCGACGGCCGCGCCCCCGGCGGCGGCGGATCTTCCATGGGCCGCCCAGAAGACTACCCCCCTCTCGGCCCGAACCCCCCGTATTAGAAGAGGGGCTTGCAGCCATGAAAAAAAAACCATGGTGGTGCCGGTAAAGGAGAGGACCAGAAAAAGGAAGAGGGGATGACATACAATAGGAAATATGAGTTTATTTTTACGATGGCCACAACGTATGTTCGGCGCGGAGGCTAAGTTGATTCCCCGGGGAACCCCCGCTTTTTAGAATAAAGGGGGTAATTTGTAAAGGAGGGGGAGGAGAAAGGGGGTGGGGGGCGACGAGCACATCTAGTTATATCAGGCAGGCTCGACGAAAAAGGCCTTGTCGTGTGTGATAGGGGGGTGGCGACAGGGCAGACACCTTTCGGGATGCCAGCCCCTTTTCAAAGTGGGCAGGGATTCGAATTCCTGCGCTGTATAATCTCTCTTGTTTACGTTATTGGGACGTAGGTCAAATATCTTGTTTTGCTTTTTGCTACCGCAACTGAGTATGTGAATTCCCGCTGGCTCGGTTTCATGCCCCTCTAGTGCATTGCTTCGGTGTGTCCTAGCCCTTAAATACATCTCTCTCCCAGCCCGTTCATCATAAGTAATACATAAAGTCTTGTTTGATCGTAGTTTCCCCGGAGATGTTGCTTCTAAGCCATAGCCATGGCTTGATCCGTGGAAGATGGCAGGGGGCTTAGCCTTGATAGTTATGAATCTTTAGTACTCTACCCCCAGAAAAAGATGAAAGGGAGACAGAATAACCCTTCCATCCCATTGCATCCCATTTAAAGCTGCCACCTCAGATGGCTGCCACCCGGTTGACTAGATAGCCATGACCGACACATGGCTCGCCTCAAACTGACTGGTCTTGCTCTTCCCCCCTGCATGAGGGATTTGGCTTGTTTTCATCCGTAGTCAAGCTCTCGAGCACGAACGAATAGTGGGGGTGGCACGCCGCCCAGCCGTATCCAGACACGAATGGGGACGGGTCAGATATCCTTTTCTGGGCTCGAAGCAAAATGGAAAAGGAGAATGTCTCCTTTTCCATCGTCTTTTCTTTTCGTGCATTCGCCCCGTCTCATCCCGCCGCCGCCGCCGCTGCCACCCCTCCGCTCCCTCCGTGCTGGAACTCGTCGCTTTCGAGCATGAAGCCGGGGCTCCAGTACTCGTGTTCGCGTGGGCTCTGCTTGTCGACCCACAGCATGCCCTCGCCGACGAGGTCCTCGAGGGCCGTCTGAGCGCGCGCGCGCGTCCACCGCAGGTTCACCATCAGCATCGACACACTCACGTACCCCAGCACCTGCGCCGCCTCCAGCACCGCGCTCTGGTCCGTGTTGAGCTCCTTCGGCACCGACCGGATGTACGGCTTGCTGCCGACCTTGACGATCGAGTACGCCGACCCCAGCGGCTTGAGCGTGCCCACGGCGCGGAGGATGTCGTCTCTTTTTGGCCGGAGGGGGGGGTTTAGTTACTTTTTTACTTCTTTTTGGCTGGCTACCTTGTCAGAAGAAGGGACAAAAAAAACTCACTCCGTGATCTCAGGCGCGCCCTCTATGCGGCTGCGCATGAGCCGCTCGCGGACCTTGGGCAGCTCAATCAAGCCGCCGTTCTCGCCGCGCGTGGCGCCGCACACCTCGACGACGCGCACGGCGAGCTCAAAGTAGAAGTCGTTGACGGAGCGGCCGAGCAGCTGGGCCCAGATGGACCCGACGCCGCCGGCGGACTGGCTACTATTGCTGCTGCTAGCGAGGGGGTCGACGCCGATGGCGGCGCACATGCGGGCGAACTGGGCGCGGAACGTCGGGTTGGAGCGGATGTCCTTGGCGTGCGTCTGCGCAAACTGCTGCAGCAGCGAGCGGAACACGTCGAGCTGCGTCTCGAGCGCCTGGGCGTTGGTCGACCGCAGCGTCGAGCCGTGGCTGGCATACTGCGCCGACGTGATGCGGCTGCGGTCAAAGGCTGCCAGCCCGACGCCCTTTCGCGACATTTTTGTTCTACAAATGAGTCCGACTCCGAGTTGCCGCCGCCGCCGTTTTCCTTGTCAAGACCTTGTGGCTCCTATATATTTGATAGTCAAAATTGTTGCGGACGACTTCACCACAGAAGAAGTTGCTTGCATGAGTGGGTGACAGAGGGTTGCGTGGAGGTTGCGGTGTTGGAGCTGCTCCGGCAGTGAAGGTGGGGCGATAAGATAGCCTCGACGTCCTTTTGGCTGGTGCCGTGTAAGTGATAAGCCCTGATCCTATCCGTAGGTCAAACAAAGCGAAAATTGCAAAATTCAGATTGGGTTCCCCATTAAGATTATGCTATTAGATATTAGATGGCAAGTTTGTAGCCTTTAAATACACATTGTTTCACAATTCGTCATGTCATACCCGTCAGGAACAAAAAAGCAAACAAAAAAGGGGAAGCTGAACAATCCATACCATGCAATAAACCCCAGCCCCTTTTCCCACTCCATAAATCCCACACACCTAATAAGAAAACCCCTGTCCTGCCCCCCTCAATGTCAATACAACGGAAGCCAACATAAAATCAAAACATGAAGATCCAAACGTCCACCTCCTTCATATTTCAGTCAAGCAAGCAATATTCACAAGTATTAGCCACGAACACTGGAAACCCCTGTCTAGCCTAGCCCGAGTTAGTCGTGGTGGAAAGATACGAGTCCGACCTCGCGCCCATTCTCGTCTAGATCAACAATCACAGGCTGGTCGTCATCGCTATCTTCCATAGCTGGGTCCGGGCCGATATCCCAATCATTTGCGTCGGCTCGCAAGTCCCAGTCGTGCCTCCAGAGCCAGGTCTCGAGGGCTGTAAACGCCGAGAAGACCTCCTTTTGCTCGGGGGCAAGTTTCTTCCCCTGAGGAGCTAGTATCTCGTCTAGCCGACGCTTGTACTGCTCTAGCGCCTTTCGGAGTTTCCTCCTGTTCTGCGGGGCGAACTGGTAGATGAGCCTCTCACTGCTCGGGCCGGCCTCGACAACATCGCCGGGGCTGCTAGCCTTGTCTCGCTGCGGAGGCTCGACGTACTCTTCAGTGTAGACTAGCTGTGCGTGCAGCGTGTTTAGCAGGCTTTGACACAGGTAAGGCCGCAAGATGCAAAGCCGGTACGCCCTCAGAACGATCATGAGAACGAGATGCCACCATTGCTCGAGACACGCGGCGTTGCCGAGGTGGGTCCCGGTTATGAAGGTGAACTGCAACTCGGCGATGATGTCATCTTGGGCAACGGGGGCCTTGTCGTTATTCAACTGTTGTATGATACGCGTTGACGTGTCTACAGCAAGCTGCCTCAGGGACCCGGAATCTAGGAGACGCAAATCTTGAAAGTCCTGCGCAAACAAAAAGTCCAGCTCGCTACCCACAACCGTCTTGTATGCCTTGCTGGCCGTGTTGTGGTTCCTGGCGATATTGGAGTCCCCTTTGACACAATCCGTCGAGTCCACCAGCCATGTGTCGGCCGTCCTTTTACCCGTGACCCGGCGGAGGAAGGGTTCTGAAATCGCCTTGGTCAATTGCGACCATATTGAAGGGGGGTGGTTCTCGAAGCCAGGGTCCCGGGCCAAAGAAGAGGGTAAGTGCGTAGGCGACGCGGCAGAATTGGGGGGCCGGTGGCGCAAATCATAGGGCATCAGCTGGGTGTAGATTGTCCCGATACTGGCCTTTTGGGTGCGGACCTCGAACTGACTGGCGGCGTCTCCAAGGACCTCGTTGTAGCTATCCCACTGCTTGACCCGCACCACAGCCTCCTCCTTGGTGATGTACCAATACCCGCAGCGAGATAGGGCACGTGGCTGCTGTACCCAGAGAAAGTGCGGCCCACGAGGGATATCGCGGAAGCCCAAGACCTTGTTGTCGGTGGTTATGGCCATGTAGTCGAGGCCTACGGTGAACTTGGGCGGCAAGTCGATAAGCCTGAAGATTTCGCCACTCTTGAGACAGCTCTGCGGCGAACGCGGTTCCGCTGCGTCATTGCCCGAGTCTCTTGGGTCTGTTTCAGTGGCCTCGGAGTCGGATGCGTCGTCGTCCGTGTGTATCCTGAGTTCGCCGAAAGGGATGTCACCAATGGCACGCAGCGAGATATGTGACGTGATTGAGAGCCGGCGCGATGCTGTCGAGTTTGACTTTGACAGGCCGGCGCCCGAGAACACGCCGACGCTGCTGCTGCTGCTGCGAGAAAGGGACGGGCTATGGCGTGACGGCGATGTCTGCGGGACGGCGGGCAAAAGACTGTCGGGCATGAAGGTGATGTGAGGACCTCTATCGTCCACTCCAGCCTGGCGTGTGTGATAGGAATCAGCCACTGGTCCGTTTCCTGGCCCGGTATCCTTGGCCCAAGTTATCCCTCCTGCTGGTGGATGTTGATCCATAGTGCATGTATGAATGTGTGTGTGTGTGTGTATGGAGAGAGGGAGCAGACAGGCAGGCAGGCAGGCAGGCAGGCAGGCAGGGGCAGGCAGCAGGAAGACCTGGGGCACTAGGAAGAGCGGGGTTTGCTGTTTTAAGCTCGAGCTGCCGGGGTCTTGGAGTTAGTAAATACCCTATTCTTGGCTTTCAGAGGGTGGCTTTTTTGGCGGCGGTGGAGAAATGGGTTTGGGATGATGAAATTCCAGAAATAGAAGCTGTTAATTTTGTGGAGGTCGGAATAACAACCTAGCACCCTCTTCAACTCGGGAGTAACCTCCAGGTCGAGACAAAGGGTCCCAGGATCTTGCAGAGCACTAGACCTTTGGATGCCCTGACATGGATTTGGTCTGGTCTGGGGAGCGAGAGAAATGAGCTTGGTGCTGCATGCCGGGTGCTACGTCATAACCGTCTCCGGTCTGAGACACAGCAGCGGCTGCAGGCACGCTGTGTCAATGGTTGCTGGAAGCTTGAGCCGGGAAAGCTTGTCGGCAATATATGTCCCGTCCTTCTTCTACCTGGGAGCTTAGGCGCCTGCCTTGCTATATGTGCACGAACCTTTCTTGAAGAGATTAATACCTAGGTGGTAGCCGCAGCTAGCCACGAGGGTTAGTTTGACTTGGGAGCGGTGCCCAGTCGGGTGGCAGAATGATGGCGGTCTGTTTTACGGAAAGTAAGAGAACCAAGGTATTCCGCCGGGTATTCTTTAGTACGTATGAAAACGAATCCTTACGGAAACACGTTCTAGTGCGCGTCTGGATCTGCAGGAAAGAGAAAAGAAACGAAAAATTGCGTTCAGAATAAAGTTTTGGCAGCGGGCTGGCAATCCTGGACGTCGATCATCTCAATCCGGGGGGCCTTCTTGTCAGTGCTTTCGAGCCTTGGGGGAAAATCACGATCTTTTAGTGCCCTGTCGAGAGCCCAGCGGGTGGTGGGGGCGACGCCTAGAACAAAAACCCCGGCGGGTCAAGTATCCTGGAAGCGGGAAGACTTTCAATTACCTTAGGTAAGGCAAAGTACGGACGGAGTACAGTACCCGAGGACACGCACAGTGCCGTCTGCAGGTCCGTCGAGCCCGGACTCCCACCCACTCATTGGGGCACGCACGCAAGCACCCGTGCCTCACTGGGACCAACACACCCAGGCCACCTCGGACGGAAGATTCCATCTCTTGGGCTGGGCCTGGGCGCCGAGTGTTAAGGTTATTACGTACGTACGGTATTAATTTTTTTTTTGGGGGTTTGGGCCCGAGGGGGGGAGGGGGAGTTCTCACATCAGCCACATGGCACCTCGATTGTTTCCAGCTTCCTGTTGAGACACACATAGTCATCTACCCGGGGCCACAGGATGACTGGCTGACTGCAACTGGACCGATGGTCGATCCCATCCGGGGGGTTTTAGCCTCGTGTCACCCACCCTGAGCTCCCGCGTCAAATCCCGCCCACCGGATCCTTCGGAGTCCGGATGGGCGGCCCCCCTGGACGACACTACGGAACTGTTAACCCCCGGCCTCTACTACCCGGCCCGGAGCTGCCCCTCGGGGCTGCGCCGCTGGCTGTGGTGCGAGGAAGGCCGGCCGATCAGCCCCCCCGACACAACAGTTTCCTAAAAACTCCTCCCCCCGCCCGCTAGGGCACAACTATGTAACTAGCCAGAAGGTTTTAATGGGGCCTCGGGGAGCCCCCTGAAAGGGACTGTCTCGTGGCCGGCCTGGCAGGAGTTGGGGAACGGGGGTGGGAGTACCCTTGGGGAAAGGAAGCACCCGGGATACTGACCTCCTGCTTGGGCAGGCCCCGCGGCGGGGCCTCGGAAGGGGAACTCCCGTGTGGGAGCGCTCCCTTTCCTTGGGATAGCTACGCCGTACACTCCGGATGCCGCCGTCGCTCCGGCGTCTAGTTGCCACCCTGTGGCAGTCTTAGTCTTCTAGGTAGACGTTAAATTGATTCATTCATTCATTCCCGCGTCAAATCATGTATGTATGTACGGTACCCTCACTACTTCATACATACAGATACGGAGTAGTGAGTGAACTGCAAAACCCGAAGGAATCACCTAACCATGCAGCTCTATTTCGAGAGGGTGCTTTGACGTTGCACGCCCATCCATGCCACGCCCTGCCATGCCAGGCTATCGTTTCCAGGTTTATTAATGGCCCCCAAATCCGAATCCCGGACCGGGAACCGCCCCTTCCAGATTCATCCAACCACCCCCGGGAGCAGCTGGATTCAAAATCACGACAAAAAAAGAGCACGGCGACGCGGCAGTCAAGAGTGGTACTGTGAGAAATGTTGACGTGACCGTGTTCACCAGATCGGAAAATATATTATCTGCCCCCATTCATGCCTTTGGCCGGCTCGTATTCCGAAAGAAGGCCGCTCGGACTCGGGCCTAAAACGAAGCCGACCTTCTCGTATCGATTCACCACGTACCTAAGGCAAGTCATACATGTTATATATTGATTGGCATGCACAGAGGCTGTTTGCCCGTCGAAGAGAAAAAAGGGGCCGCGGGGCGGTCAAGCATGAGGTATGTGTGACTGACCAACATCCATCCAATGGACAGGATCCGGAGTACCGATTCGAGGCACTGACTTAGACGAGTGTTTCCGCGGAGTGTAAGCAAGGATTTTATGTGCTCGCACTAGCCTGGTAGCTAGTTACCTACTCATACAACGGGAATAACTGGGAAAAGCTATTACCTGGAACTAGTTGACTCGCAAGTGATATATAATCGGCACCCCTCCCGACTACCTAATTCTTACTGCCCTAGTGAGAAAATGCCCACCCACACCATCCCAAATCTCTAGTCCGCTTTCCTTAGTGTCCCGTCCATGGCCACCTCATGTATCTAGTAGACTTGTCTCTCCCAAGTGCTGCTGTGCCGCGCGATCCCGCCTTGCCTTGCCTTGCCTTGTGCGACAGAAGCTGGTGGGCCGTGGCCCGTGGCCTCTACCATACCAGTCGTCCGGCCTTTTTGTCTTTCTTCCCGAAGTGTGGTTACACAAGACTAAGGTAAGGTAGTGTCCGAGACGAGCCACGAGCGAGCGAGTGTGGTGCTGCATGCTTAGGACCGCCACGCGAGACCGCCCCGCCTCGGCAGGCAGGCCATGCCGTGCCCATGCCCATGCCATGCCATGCCATGCCCTGCCCTGCCCTGCCTGTCGATCGCGCCCCATCGTCGACCCCCATCTCCCCCATCCTGTGCGTTCGGGAGCTAAACTAGACTTGCCGTGGGTAGCTAAAATCCTCCCGTCATGTATGTACAACATACTACTGTGCACACTGGTATCCATACATACACACAAGACTTCCAAATGTAACTTCGTCTGTCTCTGCCCGTGCTTCCGCTTTTGCTTCATCTTCTGTCTCTGCTTCATAACTCACTTGCACGGTCTCGCCTGCCATGATGCTTCCGCGATCAGTACGTTGGACGGAACTCAAATAGTTCAGGTAGTTCATGAGTTCTCTTTTATGGCAATACTTTTAACTTTATGAAGTGTGTCGTGTTCGTCGCTGTTCTGTCATCCATCGCTCCTCAGCGTCATGGCAAAGAGTTGGGATTGCTCCTGCTACTTCGTACCATGCGCCCGCCTCTTCTCCTTATCGCCCCCACCAGCCGCCGCCGCCTGCAAATAAATCAAAAGAAGGGGCCAATGAGAAAAGTAAACACTCGCTCCGATCTTAACCACCGAACCACAAAATCACCCCGCCCCCACAAATAAAACGTCCTCTTTTGGGTATACCCGACTATAAGATGCAGGAGATTGATGAAAGGCCCCAAGAACCAAGAGCGAAGCAATGTGGTTTGAAAGTGCCTAGAAACCAAACGAGAACAACCTTCCTCCGCACATACCCACGACCCTCATTACAGTTCAGTTCAAGATGTACATCCCCAACCATGCAATGCTGGAAGAGAAAGAAGGAGAGAAAAAGAAGACACTTTTTCTTAGAAGAGCCAAAATAGGCAACAGGGAATGCCGGAATCCAGAAGTGATAACAGGCATGAAATGCCACTATGTTCATATGAAAGCTCACATCATAACGCTTCGTACCGTCTTCAGAAGTTCCGTGAAAATTTCGCTGCGGGATATAGACAGAGAACCTCGGGGGATTGTGGTGATAATAATCGAGGAATTGATTAGATACAGCCATACCAGGTCATGTTGCTGAGACTGGTCCTAGTGACTGGGTTGTCCGCCATTATCTAATGGTATTGTTAGTGCCATCCTTTTCATTGCTGAGGATTGTGTAAGACAAGTTCCCACCTACGTTGGTTGTACATCTGCTGGCCTGGCTGGCCGTACGGGGAGGGAGGTGTATAATTTGGGTATACATGGCTGCCCCCATATTCTGCCATGCCTGCAGACGGCGGTGCAGGGTACGTGGCAGTCTGATATCCGATGGGCGGTAGCTGGACCGCTCTGGGGCCCGAATAAGTCGTCGGAGGTTGAGCACCGTCGGGACCGTTCTGCGGGTCAGCTCCGCCGTTTTGGGCGGCGACTGTGACCGCTGCCTGACGTTGACGTTCCTCTTCGGCCTTCCTGGCAGCCTCCTCTTCCTTCTTCCGGGCCTTCCATTCTTTGCGGATCTCCTTAAATTCTAAATGGCGACGCGTTAGCAGGTATTCGTTTGTGAGGCTATGTGCATGTGGTATGTGCGTGTTTCATGCGGTTTTCTTTGGTCCCGACAGGCTGGTAAACCCCGGCTCGCTAGCCTGCAAGCAAGCGCTAACACCCACCACCACCTCATGCGTGGACGGTGTGCATGCGGCACTAAACTAGCGAACCAACAAAAAAGGGGCCCAAGACATCCACGTTCTTTACCCGGAACTGGTGTCGGGAGCTAAAATGGTGTCTCAAAGTCCTTTATCGCTGCGGATTTGGAATGCAAACTGTTCATACCTTCTGGTGTTCGCTTCTGACCATGAGCCTGCATCGTTACATGGGCGTTTAGGTGGTTCAAAGTGCCGTAGGCTTTCTCGCACCCATTCCAGCCGCACTTATACATGCGCTCAATTTCTTCAAATCGTCTCCTCGGCCGCTTATGTTGCTGCGCGCCAGGAATCGGGACAAACGAATAAACCTAAACAGGCGACCGGGTCAGTAACATGGATTATAAGGATTGTTGATCGGCGGGCCGGAGGGGGTGAAATGTCGCTCCCAAACGCCTCGACGAGCCCTGGGCGTGTTTATTCAAAAGTCCAAAAATGACCAATCTTTCCCTGATTCTTCCGAAAGGTCCAAAAACAACACCTCGATCTTTCCAACCGTCAAGTCCCCCGGGAATGCAAGTGTTTCGACCCGGAGGCCCCAGTCATTTTTTGGCCGCGCCGAGCTGGCGTTTCCGAAAACAAGGGGGGGGGATCCACACTCAACAACCTACCTGGTTTGGCCGAGTCTGGGACGTTGCGGATGTCGGCGTCTGGGGAAATACGTGATGGCCGGGAGTTATGGGGGCGCCAGGTTGCTGCTGGTACCCTGTCCAGTCTGGACGGGGTTGCGCGTACAGGCCCGCGCTTGACGGGTGTTGGTAACTATGCGCCATGTCTTGGGGTGGAGGGGCGTAGGGCGAATATTGTCCGTGCTGAGCATACGTTGGACTGGTAGCTGCGATTGATGGATCTATAGGTACATCGCTGTCAGATTTGACCTGCTGGGAGTTCTGATGGCTGGGCCCATCTTGCATAGGCACGGACGGACTTGTTGGTGTTTGCGCCATACCTCCGCTGCTGCCGCTGTGGTTGCTAGCTGGGTGGTATGCTCGCGTGATGTGCTCAGGAAAGGAGCCCGACCGCGCAGATGGCGGATACACGCTGTAGTCTGAAGTTGGAGTGGCCGAGGTTGAGTAGTTTGTGGACCGCGCTTCCTGCTGGGTCACAAACGGCGCAGCAGACTCGTGATCTACGGATGAGGCCTCAGACTGGGTGTCGCCGAAGCTGCTTGGATGGGGCGATGGCAAACCTGACTGCGAGTACTCGGGGGCACTGCGTTCCATAGAGCTGCCGATGGGGGGCGAGACGGAAGCAGGCCGGGGGGGCGCTTCTGGGCCGTGCTTCCGAACCTCTTGAGAGCCGGAACCGGAACGGCCGCGTAGTGATGATACCGCGTGGTTGCCAACGAACGCGTGATGCTGTCGCGTTGAAGCCGGTAACATACTACGGCTCAGCGGAACGCGCCGTGGACGGTGGCTGGTCGGGAGACCGGAGATTTAGGTCCTCAGCCAGCTCCGAGTGCAGCGCAGTGTAGTTTGACGACGGCGTGGTCTTGTGGTGGTGGTGCGCAGCGGGCAGATGCGGTAGTCTTTTCTCCCTCCGATGGAGACGCGTCGCGAGGGGGGAGGCAGGTCATGTACCCAGGGAACCAGGACTTGCAGCAGCGGACCTGGTGTGTGTGATGGCGGCAGGAGGTAGCGCGAGTCCGGGTTAACCGTCAGGGACTTGGTTCGGGTTAAATGGAGACAGGGCGACTAGCCACCTCTTGGCCTGTGAAGATGGACGTGGCAAGGATGGCCAACTTGTACTGGCCCACCAGGGCACGCACACGCCAAGCGACGAGAAAGGAGCAGCGCCCTTTCTCTCTCTCCGCTCTCAAACCGAAGTTGTTGGTAGGTAGGTGGGGAGAGAAGAGGAGCAGGCACTAGTGTAGCGCGAATCGAAAGAGAAGGGCTGAACCCTGCTGCTGCTTGCTGGCCGCAACAGAGCTTTCCCAGGTCAGGTCAGGTCGTCCGCAGCACGCGTCTGTCTGGTGTGCTGCTGCAATCTCAATCTGCTCGACCAACAACAAGAAAAAGTAGCCGGGCAGGCAGACAGAGAGGCAGGGCAGGCAAGCAAGCAAGCAAGCGCAAGTAAAAAAAAAAAAAAAAAGATGCTCGAGCACGACGTCAAGCGGAGACTAAAGGCTGACTTGGGACTTGACTCAACCCTCTTTTCCCAACCGGCAGTCTTGTAAAGTTAGTTCCCGAGGGCGATAATGACTCCTGCTCTGATCTGGAGGCCCTTGGGGGTGGCTCGTTCGTCCTTAGCCGATTGTTATGAACGTGACGTGCAGTACTGGGCCCTCACGAAGGTTTGAGCGAGAGAAAATCAAGTCTAGCGCGGGCCGGTGGGTGGTTTTATAATGAGGCGAAGGGAAGGGGGGGTGGGAAGTGAATGGGGTAAAATTGCGCTAAGTAGATTGTGCTGCGCTGCGCGTGCTCTCTGGTGCTTGCCTGTGGATTCTCTAGGCCCTAGGTGGTGCCCACTGCCCAGGTTTTCCGCTGAAGAGAAAGGAGGGCTGATTTGCTACTGCTGGAAAAGTGGAGTGCACTTTCACCTTGGTGAAAGGCTGAAAAAGATCCCAGACAGCCCAAGGTCACGTCTTGTCGCCCTGAGCCTCCTTCCCGCCTGATGATTGTGTGTGCGTGCGTGCGTCGCGATCCAGCTTGCACGGCCGGCGATGGCGAGCGGCAAGAAAAGCCACACCTTCCGCGCCTCTGTAAGGTACAGTAGTTGCTCTGTCTCAGCTTTCTTCAGTTTGCGTAGGTATTTGTATACCGGCGTTTTCTTCTTCTTGCGCGTTTGCTCTCCGAAAATAAAATAAAAAAATGCTGCTGCTGCTGCTGCCGCTGCTGCTTCTCACACCGATTCCTCCCCACTGGCTTCAGGTTCCTCCTTCTCGGGTGCCTTTCGGGTTCAGTGCCCGAGAGCCGCTGTCTGGTCCCTTTTTCGGGTTCGATTTTCCCTAGGATGCGCTTATCGAAAGAAATGCGGTTCGTCAGTTATTCAGCTAAATCCCGGTGATTATTCAATCGCGCAGCGCACCCCAGTCGCAATGGAACAGGTCGTAAAATATAATAATAAGCCCCAGAATGCCTGCCAAGAAAAGGAATCATGCGCCGCCTGCCGAACACTCCCCACGCCGGTGCCAGCTGGTCTTGACTCGTACGCTAACCACAGCAGGAAGACTGTATCGGGTCTATAAGAGTCGCGCGGCACCAACAAGCAGATGTTGTTTGTTATGAAGGATAATATTATTTTACGGTATACCAGCGAATGCCCCTTGCGACGTTGCGATCAGGATGTGCGTGGTGGGCGTGTGCGTATGTGCGCGCGCAGGGAGTGTGATTTTGCGTAAATAGGAACGACCAGTGTGCGCGCGCGTCCTGGAATCTTAAGCCCTTTCCTTTATCTACTATGGAGAGGAAAAGCGGGATATGAAGGCCAACGACAAACCGATGGTGTGTGGACAGCTAGTTGGAGAGTCTTGGTGGACGGCGAGCAGGTCGCCGGATTCGTCTGGTGAGCCGTGCTTCTGATTGTCCTCAGGCAGGCAGACAAGAAAACAAGACGGGCACGTAGGACCCAAGTGGCAGCAAAGGGGCTGAGAAGGCAGACGACAAGGCGTGGCAAGAGGGACAACACAAAATTGACTGGCTGGCACTACAGAAATGCCATGAACGGATGTTGCACTCGATGTCCCAGCTAGTGTGGAGCCCGATGCAGTCGGGGTATCGGCCAAGGGAATGAGGTGTGGGAAACGAGCAGGGAATAAGGTAGGAAGCCTGTGGCGCTCGACCGAGGAACGGATGGTCTGAATGGCGAATAGCCTCCTGGCTGATCGCCTTTGGCGCACCACTTTCACTCAATACCCACCCACTCGCTTGCTGGCTTTACTGATAGGAGCGGCCGAAGCCGATGCATCAAGGGACATTAATCAGTCCGTATGAGGGGTAAAAGACGCAAAGCTACAATTTTAGATGTGGGCACAATCTGAGAGTACGAGTCGCCCGCAACTCGTGTTTGAAACAGTATGGTTGAGGGTGTGGATTGCGACTCGGGGAGAGAGCGGATTACGTGATAACCTCCTTGCTGGGTATCTTTGGTGGGAGAAGAATCTCAAAAGACAGACACCGTGCTAAGCGTACTGGGCGGGTCGAGCAAGGGTTGCAGTGGCTGGGACCACGAAGCGATGATCTGCGGCCTTTTCACGCTAGCGAGGAGTTGAATGATGATGTCTGGGTTTTTGGGAACTGTGGCTGGCCTTGCTTGCACGCGCCAAGGCAATCCCGACAGGGAGGAGAGCGCCGAGAAAAAAATGAGGTGGGTGGTCAAGCAGTGGGGTTTAGAGTGTGGGTGGTTCTTGCGTCCCTCTTTGGCTCAGTCCCCCGCCTCCCCCTGGTTGCGCTTGGCTTTGAGATGCGATTTTCAAACGAAACGATGCCCAACTTCCTCGAGTGAAGACACATGTAATGAACGGGCAACAAAGGGACGTATGCTTTCTGTGTTGGATGGCACCTTCCGAATAGTCCCGAACACACCACAAACACCCTCATCATAGCGCGTCACAGGCAAAAGCTTGTCAGGCTTCCGTACCAAGTGTTGCGAACAAGGAAAGAGATGAGGGTTTCGGTCTCATAAAAGGCCCGCACCGTCTCAAAACTGCAGGTCCTTGAGGAGGCAAACTTACCCCCGTGAAAGGCGTTGTGTTGAGAATGCATCTTGGAAACCGAGGCACATGATAATGTGGACAGCTGATCCCATCGCGGCAGGCGCGTCCAATGTTGCTGCATGAGGCACCGAGGTCGCAAAAGATGTGGCGGAATCCTGCTTCTACATGAAGGAGCAGAATTTTCGTCCATAGATTGCAACGGTGAGGATCGTCTCTATTCAACGGGTGCGGCATTGGCACTTGAGGTTCTAAGTTTACCAATAAGCGTCCAGGTATGCCGTGCAGTAGTTCAAGCTCGCTCGGTGACAGTTTTTTGAAGATGGTAGTTTTAAGGTTTGGCACTACACCAGTATGAAGGGATCCTGGTTGGCGCTGAGGTCGGATTTTTTGTTCTCGTCCGGGGATACTAAGGGCTTAGTGTGGTGTGGCCGAGGATCATATCGACGGCGCTTTTCCGGGATGGGGGCGGCTTGACGCCGTCGGGAGCTAACAAACGGTCATGAACAGGAAGGCTCGGAGGAGCACTTTGTTATACACAGCAGACGAACACCGAAAATAAACACTGTAAATTAGTGAAGCGAGTGGCAATGATCTTCTTCGTCGAGGTCTGTTAGTCCCCTTCTATAACACGTGCATTATGTATGCAAATCTCTCGCGGAACACATTCCATGATACGGAACTTTAACTCGGGTGAGGTCGGGTACATCGAAGAACCCTGTCCCGTGACGTCTTTTTTAATCAGCTACAAGGGGATGAAGATTAGCGATTGCGCACGAGGTTTGTTAGACAAAATTTTAACTGGGCCTCTGCAATTAAAGATTTAGATATTTTGCCGTCCTATCGAGCGTTAAGACTCGGCTTGATTGTTCGTGGCAAAGGATCAAGTATGATCCTCACAAAAGAAATGTCGAACGACTCCAACGGGTTTAACCCACCAGAAACTACGAGGTACACGAAAATACCTAAGGTACCAAGCTGCTAACATTGCACTCGTCAGTACCATATCCACCAGTGCCCTTTGACCTCACTTTCGAGCGTGATGCTTTGTAGTTTCGTGTCATGATATTCATGTGCATCAAAAAGATACGAGATTGCAATGCTAATGAGGCGACAGTCCCTAGTTTATCACAGCTTCTTCCATTTGACCTTGTTACTGGCATGTAGAGTTTCTGTGGATCCTGGGCCATAAGAGAGCGTCACCATGGCCAATTCTGGCAGGCACATACATGTATTTTAGCCGAGTGCCGGATGGAATCCGTGCTGTGTTTCATGCCCAAGCACCGGGTTTGAAGTCTAATGACATGGAAGCTCGTTTCCAGCGTTGAGCCTTTAGGATTCGAAGTCTTCTAGAGGACTGACGACCCAAGTTTAGAAGCCGCACGCCTTCTAACTAAGCCGGAACTGGGAGAGTCTTTGGCGGGGCGGCGAGATGGTGGGGCGGGAAAAGGAAGGAACCGGAAAAGCCAAACCAAGGTACCTTACCATGCACTGCTGAGGCCAGGTGTAAGGCAGCCGCCATGGAGGACACTATGTACCTTACCAAGAGGGCGTGCAGAAGGCTCAGCTGGATGTCAATTGACGCTATGTATGTGCTCCTTTGCATCCCACACACAGTCAGTTCCATACCAAGTCTCGGTGGTCCTCAAAAGTGCGACACGACCGACATTCAGCCTCAATTCTAGAAGACAGTAGGCGCTAGCTCGAGGGTAGTAGATGATCCATGGAGAGGCGGCGTTGACAGATCTCAGGCGAACCAAGCTCTCGGGTGCACTAAAATCGCGTCCCATGTCTTAGAGGGGCACAGTGCCTTTTGCGCGCGGCACCACGCTCTCCAAGCCACTGGGAGCGAGCACCAGTTTGTCAGACACCGAACGGCGACGAAAAGAGCCCCAAGGCTCTGCATCCATCAACCTGACGGGACAGTCCACTAGAGTAGGGTACTGAGTTCGACACGCATACCTGGTAACCCACGTGCACACTAACAGCACCGACATGCGACGCAGCGCTGTTGCAAGTCCAACGCTGGGTCGTTGCGAGCTCGTGAATGGCTACTACAACACGTAATACAGATATCACTTGTGGGTATTGATTGAGAAAGAGAGAGGGGGGGGGGCGCGAGAACCGAACCCTCGAAGGCGCCTCGTATGTACCAATACTGCCTGTGAAGCTCGACATCAACACCCAACAAAATCAGAATGGAAACATTCAAGCCAATCCGCTCCTCCCACACCTTGATGGTGGCGACTACAAAGTTTGTATCGCGCCGTTGGGCGAGATTGCTGTTGGGGAACTCGATGGCCTCTAGATGTCTCAAATAGCTTCCTGAAAGACACCTCTCAGTGCTGGCCGCACTCGAGTTCAGAGGGGCCGGTGGCGGTGAAGCCCGGAAGCGGTCCTCCGGCCTGGGAGGGAACTGGAGGCGCGGAGCAGGTTTTCTGTCTCAGCTAGCTTGGGCAATCAAGTTGGCCAAACCAGCGTCTCTGACTGGCACGCGGAGTTCTGGCAAAAGCACGCTGTATGTGGGTGAGTTGTGATAAGCCAGTTACGTCTTTGCTTTCCTCAGAGTTTGATAACCTGGCTGCAGGTGCCGATTCGCCCGGACGCCTCCCTTCGGAAGTCTTTTGATGCTGGCCGTGACCAGCAGAAAGGGCGCCCTTTTTATCGGAAGCGCCTCTCGAGACGCAGGACCATCCACAGCAAAGAGCGTGTATCCAATCGCCTAGACTGCAAAGGACTTCACCGACAGATGGAGAGCATGTGCGGGGACGAACCTTGATCATGGTAGCACCACGTCTGGGGCCATGATTGGCGACAGCCATTGGACGGCAGCCAATCTGGCCTTGGCGATTGTCTCAATCGGGATACAGGGTCCTGAAGCCCACCGCAGTCACCCTTCGAAGTGGAAAAGCCCGAAAAGCTACTGTCAACCCCCAAACCAATTCCGTTCAACCAATGCACCTCGCCAATCTGAATCTGGGCAACTGTGTTCCGTTTCTGCGGAAGACTTGGCAGATGGGCGCCAGGCCACTTTCACCGTCTTGTACACGCCTCGTACAGTACACTCCCGGCGCCCCCGCCTCCCCGTCGTTGCCACATCTGGCTAGTAATCCGTGGTTAACTCCAGGGAATAGCACACCAATTAATGTCATTAGACGGATGTATTGCGGAATGCGTCTCAGTACGGACAATGTTCCTCAAACAAGCGCTTCGCAGGCAAGGAAGGCAAAAAGGCCCGGGGACGGTCCTTTTCACGGCCTGCCGGGTGGTGTTGGTGGCGGATGCCCCAAACTTGGACTTGGGTCTCGGGGGCAGCAGCTCAGAAGACAGACCACCATCGCGGTAATGATCTATCATCGTATCGCGGCGCTGCTGCGTTGTTCTCAACCCGACTGCCGGGATGTGTTGCCCATCGTCGCCCTTGGCTCCGTTCATTTGGTCTCGCACTGTCTGTCCCCTGGTTCGCCCTCCGTTGGTTGCAGCGTCGCATGTGTTCCCTGATAGGTCGACATGTCGCAAAAGCGGCAGCCAAAGTCAGGTCAGGTCAGACACTCGCATGTGTTCTAAATTCCAGGCATACGGGTTACCGTCCACAGCGAACTGATGACTGGGTACATCTGAAGGGCATGTTCCGGACACATGAGCTGTGCCGTGTTTTTACCGCGCCAGCCGAGGCGACCACATAAGGGCGATGCTGGTCGCATCTGAGAAGGCCTTCTCGCCTTGCAGTCGAGCTCTGGCCCAGGCAGGTTGCACAAAGGCGCGACGATCTCGCGCGGCAATTGGACGCCCGGGCTTTTCAGCTAGCGCAGCTGAATCTACCAGGTAATATGCTAGTGAATGTCATTCGCGTCAGAGCGGCATGTATGTACAATACACCTGCTAGTGTGGTTCTTCGAGATCGTCGATATATTCCGTGCGCGCTAAAAACACGTCCATGCCGTCCGTATCTTTTGGTGTAGCTCCCGCGTCTCCTGGAAAAATGTCGGCTAGTGTGTGCTTTGGTTTGTCATGTGCGAAATAAACTCGACCGCACGGAATGCTCTGATTTGTCCCTGTTCACTGGAGGAAGCTCGGCATGTGGCGCACAGTACGGGCTCTTCTCCCCCCCAGAGTGGGCCACGACGGGAAGCGGTAACAGAACAGGCC